TTTCAAGGCTACGAAGATCCGCAGAACCCGCGCGCAGACTGGGTATACCTCCTACGCAAGGCTCTATACGGTCTGGAGCAATCTCCGCTTCTCTGGTACCGTACTCTTCGCGAAACCCTCAGTTCCCTCGGCTTCACTCTGTGGACGATTTCATCGCCTGCTGCTTTCCCGTATACGTCAAGCAAGTGAAAAGTGAACTATGTTCTCATTTCAACTGTACGGATCTCGGTCCCATCAAGAACTGCCTAGGTCTGGTCTTCGATTACCAGCTCTCGCCGTCAGGGAACCAACTCAAAATCAGCAATGTTACCTATATCGACGGTTTACTCGAACGATTTGGACAACAAAACGCTACCCCGGTCTCTACGCCGTGCGCCGTCTCTGCGCGTACCCGAACAGCCTCCGCGAGCCCCCCTTTTCATAGCAAGGTTCTCTACCAGGAAGCAGTGGGGGCCCTCACGTGGGCATCCATTACCTGGCGCTGGGATATTTCAACTGCCGTCGGCTTCGTCGCACGTCAAGTCTCAGCTCCTACCCAAGCCAACTGGAATGATGTACTTCGCATCATGCGCTACCTGAAAGGTATTCGCACCTTGAAGCTTACCTATAAGTCCGGTCATTCAGATCAAGCTGGACTTCGCGTCTATACAGACGCATCCTACGCAGACGGTGTCAACGACCGCAAATCTACCGCGGGCATCGCCAGCTTCTTCAACGGCCAGCTTATCTACTGGAAAAGCACCAAGCAGAAGTGCGTAGCTCTCAGCTCCACGGAAGCTGAGTATATCGCCGCATCCCTCAGTTACAACAAGGTCATCTGGCTCCGCTCGATCATCGCGGAGGTCTTCGGCGACGAATACGGCAACATCAAGGACGCCACGCCACTCCACATCGACAATCAGAGCGCCCGCAAGATTGCCAACTCCACGGCTATTACTCAACGCTCCAAACACATCGATGTACGCTACCACAAGCTATGCGACGGCGTGGCGAAGAAAGACGTCATACTCCTCGACACCGCAACGCAGGAACAACTGGCTGATTACTTTACAAAGCCCTTTCCTCCCGAGACACATACGAAATTTATTCAAGCAATTCAAGAAGGACGTGTCGCTAGCAATAGACAGCTGGCGACAACTACGTCGGAATAAGACATACGGAACACCCATACCGAGACGGCTTCTGGACACTACATACAACTTCAGCACCTTAACCCGCCACCGTGATAGTCGCCGCTGCCCTGGCACCGGGGGCTCCACCGGCTCCGGCTCCGCTGTGGTAGGCGGGGAAAAAGATGTTATATATTGGGTTGTCGGTCAACTGGCGCGAGCGCAGCGAGCCGGCTTTTAAAGTACAAGAAGAAAAACTGCCAGAAAGTCACATTACTGGGGAATAAACTAGCTACTGGTTAGGGTTACGACTGGGGATAGGGTTGGGGATTAGGGTTGCGGCGTCGACTCCACACCGTACCACATCCTCCCCCTAGCCTCTCGGCCAAGTGAGTAGCGAAGAAGGAAGAACGAAGACAGAACGCGACATCAAGCTCGATCGTATGGGCAGCTACACCGAGGGCGACCGTGAGACGCTACGGACGTGTTGTTACAAGCGAAGACGAAGCGGGGTCAAAAGAAAAAAACCGAAGAAACGAAGAAACCGCAAAAGTCAAGGAAGGGAAGGAAGGACAGAGTCGGCGGGTACAAGAGCGGAATGTCGGCATCCGAAGTGGACTCGATAATGGGAGCGCACGCCGGGGACGGAGGCATGCCGGCACGGCGGCGGGAGGTAGAGGTATCATTGACGATCTCTTGGTCCCGGGAGGGGAGCGTAGCGTGGAGGGCGGTGGTAGCAGGGACGTCGTAAGAAGGCGGAGTAAGAAGGGCAGGTGCATACCACGGCTTAGCCTTACGCGCGGGCATTAGGCGAATGTGGTTTACCGGGCGACCGTTGTAAACCAAATGACCGTGTTCGTTGACTAATCGGTACGTATTGCCGGGGTAGGCCTTGTCAATTTGGAACGGGCCAGACCAGCGAGCGACCAGTTTGCGGGTGGACGTGTACGTGATGTCGAGCTCGTTGCGGGCGACATAAACCCAACTACCAACGGAGAAGGAGCGAATCCTGGGGTGATCTGCGTTGAGAGCCGCGGTTTCCTTGTCGCGCTGCGCGTTGGCGAATTGGAGGGCCCAGGTACGGAGGAGGTTGCGGTTGTCCTGATACCCCGGAGACAAAATGCGATGGATATCGTCCGACGCTGGAGGCGGCGACGTACCAGGGAGTCCAGGGATATGGCATTGTTGACCAAAGACGATGTTGTAGGCAGAGACACCCGTGGTACAAGAGATGTGTTGGAGGTACGTACTCAACGCGGCATCGACGCAGTCGGGCCAGATCGTGAGATCGGGTTGGGAAGGATCGGTGGAGCGTTGAAGGACAATGTGGGAAAGGATGCGGGTGAAATCCTGGACAAACTTCTCCGCGCGACCGTTGCCCTGGGGATGCATGGTGGATGTCGGTACCAACTCGATGGATTTCTTCGCAGAGTAAGCGGCAAAAGCACCTTCGACGAAGTACTGGGCATTGTCGACTACCACATGGGCGGGGGTACCGTAGCGGGCAGTCCAGTCGCGAAGGGCAAGAACGATACCGTGGCCGTCAATCGTACGAAGAGGATAGGCCCAACCATAACCGGAAGTGTAACAAATCACGAGTAGGCAGCCGATGTAACGAGCGGCGGTCCGACCGATTTGCGTGGGGGGATAACTAACGCAGTCCAATCCAAGAAGAGTGAACAAGATCGGCGGTGGGGTGTAACGAAAGATCTGGTACAAGCGGGGTCGGCGGAGCTGGCAGAGCTGGCAGATGCGGCACGCACGGATGAAATCCTCGATGTCCGCATACATGTAGAACCAGAAGTACCGAAGCGCGATAAATTGGTAAGCGGATAGGACACCGAGATGACCGAATTTGTCGGAACCGTGAAAGGTATGTTTGATGTGGGTGACTTCCTCGATGCGGGGAACGAGACGGGGAGGCATTCGCGGTAGAGATCTGCGATACAGACGGCCTTCATAAACCAGAAATTTCTTGGAAAGAACGCGGATACGATCGTGCTGCTTGCCGTCGACGTGTAAACGGGAAAAGTGGCCAGTCAAGAACTCGTAAATCGAATCGTAGGGCTCCCAACCCGGGGTGAGAAGCTTCACGCTGGCTGAAATCGGGATGTCGTTGAGAGCACAGGGTCGCGAAGCGTCTAACTCGTCATCGACGGTACAAGAGGGAACTTCTTGGGGGCCTGCGGCAGGGCGCCGAGAGAGGGCGTCGGCGTCGATGTGAGCAGCGGTGCGGCGGAAAATGTACTTGGGCCAGCCCTCAGCAGCCGGGATGGAGTTGATGCAGTCGAACCATTTGAGGATGCGTTCGTTGGGGGTGTGGACGTTCTGGCAGTGCACCCAAGCGAGGTGGTCGGTGATGATATAGAATTCGAATCCCAAATTGACTTGAGCTTTCATGAGGCCGAAGACAATAGCAGCGAGCTCGCGTTCCGGTTGGCCATAGTGGAGCTCGGCGCCAACCCACAATCGGCTGAAGAATTCACAGGGAGAGTACTTGGTGGTGGCAGTGACGTGGTAGTCGTCGGCGGGGTCCTGGCAGTGAGCGATGAGGACGCCAGCCCCAGTCCCGGAACCATCAGCAGCAATGATGAGGGGACGGCTTGGGTCGTATGCGTGCAAGACAAAACTCTCGTTGACCAACCGCTTGACTTCGAGAAAGGCGCAAGCGTAATTCTGGGTCCGGTGCCATTCTGTGTGGAACGCCCGTCGGTCAGCGTACTGTTTCTGGAATAGAGCGTTGAGGGGACCCATGGAAAAGCTGTAGTTGGGCAGACCGTCCGAGATGAAGCCGACGAAGCCACGGAACAAACGGATGTCTTCTTGTGTTCGGGGGGTGGGCCACTGGAGGACGACGTCGAGCTTGCCGGACGTGGTTGCAATCTGACCCGAACCGATGATCTTGCCCAGAGCCGGAATGCGTTCAACGGCAAACACGCACTTGTGTTCGGAGATGGATCCATTGTGCTTGCGGACGGTTTGCAGAAAAGCGCGGAGACGATCAAGGTGCGTGGGTGAACCGGTGGTGAGATTATCTTCGCCGATGTAAGGTTCGTCACGGAACAACTCGGTGTGGTCCTTAAGGAGCACCACGTCGCGGATCATGTCGTCTAACTGAAAGGAGAACCATTCACCGGAGTCGATGAACCCCATGGGCATGACGGTATATTGATAGATGCCCCGCGGGAGGAGGATAGCGGTCATCCACCGACAAGCGATGTCGAGGGGCCCTTGATGGTAGCCGAGACGAAAGTCGAATCCGGACAAGCGAAGGAAACGAGCGATACGCTGTAAAACAATGTGCGCAGGTAAGATCGGGTAACGAATCGGTTTGATGTACTTGTTGATCTTGAAATTCGCGCAGACACGGGCAACACCATTTTTGTACGCGACCAACGGCAAGGCAGCAACGAGAGGCGGTTCCTTGACGGGTTCTAACTTTTCCCAGCGCAACATGCGATCGAGCCACTCATTGAGGACCTTTGTATCCGCCGGGCTGTGCGCGCGTTGCTTGGGGAAGGGGAGCTTGCGGGTTCCCGTGGGATCCAGGCGCAAGGTGGGACGCATAGGAGCGACGCCCGTAAAAGTGCGCGGGATCTCCTCCTTGTTGCAAAACTCGGCATCATGTTCGGCAAGAAGGGCAGCGAGCTCGTCAACGAATGTGTCCGGCAGGTCAGCAGCGATTTGGAACGTACGCTTTCCCACGCGAAGGGGACGAGTAGGTGTGGCTTGTATAGTGAGCGCCAAGGCTGAGCGGACGGTGACGCCGGCGATGGTCTTTTCGTATATCTCTGCAGCCGGTGGCGGATGAGGTGGATCCGGAGATTCGGGGGAGGTCAACGCGGTCATCTTGACGTGGTAATCCAGGATGAGTATGTCGGTCATTAAGACGACGTTGAGCAGGAGCGGAACATGGTCGGAACCTTGGAGATCGGCAAGGATCGTGCATGAAATGCGTGGGGGATAGCCGGACTCCGGTGGAAGGCCCAAGAAGATGTAATCAAGTCGCAAACCGATGTTGTTGGCGCGAGCGTGCTTGCCGATCCACCAGGTAGTGAAGCTGATGTCGTGGGGGTGGCATGAGCGCCAAGTATCGACGAAGTCGTGGGAAGCAAGATTGCTGAGCAGCGTACGCTCCGCATCAGTGACGCCAGTCTTCATGAGCGGGAGGACCGACGGATGGATATCGCGATCTTCTTGAGCGATGTTGAAGTCGCCAGCAAAGACGACATGCTTGCGGGCTTGCTGGGCGCGTTTAGCGATCGGAAGAAGAGCGGTGTGCATGTCGCACTTGGTCAGGAGCGCCTGTTGCTGCTGATCCGTATCGCCAAGCCCACCATTCGGGTAGTAGACGTTGATGATGGAGACGGTATCCAACTCCACAACGAGCACGCGGCCTTCGACATCGTCATTGTTGGAGATGGGTAACGTGGTGGTGACCGTAGGTTCGGTTATGACTAGCTCGTTGCGAATATAGGTACCGACGCCCTTGACGCCTTGCTTGCTTTCTGTTATGAATGGGCGGAGCCGACGGAAATAGAGGCGACTTGTGGTGCAGGTTGTTGACAGGTAATGGTATTCAGACCGAAACAAGAACTAGAACAAGACTAGGAAGAACTGGTGTTGATCTGCTGGGGGATCAGGAAGTGGGGAGCTCAGGGGAGGCGGCTATTTATGCTTTTCTGGGAAGGCTGGGGAAGCGTGCGGAAGCAGAAGGGTACGGAATGAGAGGGAAGCCAAGAGAAGCGCCAAGGGTGGGGAAGCATAGAAACAGAAGACTGGGGATGGGGTGGCTACGCTGAGGCTGTGGGCGGGTACGTGGGGAAGTATGGAGAAGGGTTTGTAAGCGCCGAGTGTTGGGAGGTGTGGCTACGTGCGGCTGCGTGGAGAAATGAAGGCAGTGGCAGGTGTGGGGTAGCGCGGCTGCGTGCGGCTGCGAGGTTTGGCAGATGTCAGGTTTTGACAGGGAATTGACATTGACTGACTGTTGGGATGCTGTCATGAGGTAAGCGCATGGTATGGACGCGTCGTCCATAACATCACCCCCTCCTTTAGCCAGGGCGTCCGGATGTTGTTTTGATGTTGGCAGGCTTTGGTCGGGGTTTGTCGGGGTACTTTTGGTGGAACTGGGCAACAAGCTCTTGACAGCGGGCAAGGTGTTCCACTGGCTCCCATGTGTTCTCCGAGCTTGGCCAACCCTGCCACTTGATGAGGTACTGAAGGTGCGTGCGTCGAATACGGGAGTCAAGAATGTCTTCCACAATCCATTCCTCCTGTCCTTCGACTTCTTCTGGTGGGGTGGGTTCTGGCTCAGTTCGCTCCGGAATGGTGAAACGTGGTTCAAGAAGGGAGACATGGAAGACGTTGTGAATTTTGTAGGATGGGGGAAGCTTGAGGCGATATGTGACCGAGTTGATCTTCTCCGTGATTGTGAAGGGGCCAATCTTACGGTGATCAAGTTTCTGGGAAGGTCGGAGAGTCTTGAGATTCCGCTGTAAGAGCCAGACACTGTCCCCGGGTTTCATGTCTGGGCCAGGTGCCCTCTTAGCATCGGCAAAGCGCTTCATGCGTCCTTGGGCCTCCTTGAGCTCAGTGGCAAGCTGTTCATGGATTTCCTTGAGATGGTTGGCACGAGCTTCGGCTGCAGGATTAAGGGATTCGGTTGTGGTGGCGGAAGCCAGACTGAATCGAGGATGGAACCCATAGTTGGCGTAGAAGGGGGTTGTCTGGGTGGCGGAGTGGATGGTGTTATTGTAAGAGAACTCAGCAGAAGACAAGAGTTCCTTCCAGTTATCTTGTTGATAGTTGCAAAAGCAGCGAAGGTATTGCTCAAGAATCTGATTGGTCCGCTCGGTTTGTCCATCGCTCTGGGGATGGAACGCCGATGAGAGGTTGACCTTGGTTCCCAGGAGAGCGAAGAGACGTTTCCAGAAGTGGGAGTTGAACTGTGGGCCACGGTCAGATACAATATCGTCGGGGAGTCCATGGAGCCGGATGACATGGTGCCAGATCAGATCTGCAGTTGACTCAGCGGTGGCAGTTTTCCTGCACGGTACAAAGTGCGCCATCTTGGTGAACCAGCAGATGACAACGAGCACAGAATCAACCCCATCACTGGCGGGTAGATCCGTGATGAAGTCCATAGAAATTGACCCCCAGGGGCGGTCAGGGACCTGCAGGGGTTGGAGGAGTCCGTAGGGCTTGTGTCTGCTGGTCTTGGCTTGAGCACATACGTTGCAGGACCTGATGTAGGACTTGACAAAACGCCACTGGCTAGGCCACCAGTAGTTGCGTGAGATGAGCTCCAGGGTCTTTGACATGCCCTAGTGTCCTGCCAAACGCGTGTCATGCATGTCCCGGCAGATCTCAGCACGGAGCTTGTTGGTGGGGACGTAGACAAGGTTGTCGTACAGCAGAACCCCATTTTCCTCGGAGAATTGCTTTATCCGTTCTTGGTCTTCTTGAGATTGCTGGGCAATGGGGGCCCTAAGCTGTCGCCGGATGGTTCGCGCAAACACATCGGATGCCAGGGCAGCTTTGATTTGGTCAAGGAGCGAGGAGTCCAGTGGGGTCAGATAAGTGGCGGCCAGGCGGAGATGGTCAGGGGTGAGGATCGTGGTTTCCTGGGAGCGGAATGCTTCTTCCCCCTCCCTTAGCTCGTATTCAGAGCGACGAGAGAGGGCGTCAGCTTGGTGTTGCTGGGTACCAGGGCGGTATGTGATGACAAAGTCGAAATCAGCAACGAAGATTGACCAGCGGGATTGGCGGCGGTTGAGGGTACGGGTAGTCATGAAGTACTGGAGGTTCTTGTGGTCACAGTAAACGATGACCTTGTGGCGGGCGCCAATGAGGTGGTGTCGCCATTGAGCAAATGAGTCTTGGATAGCCAGGAGTTCCTTGTCGTAGATCTCATAGTTGATTTCCTCAGGAGTAAATTTGCGGGAGTGAAAGGCCACGGGGTGGAGTTGATCTGTGTCATCGGGTTGAAGGAGGACGGCGCCAAGGGCAAAGTCGGAGGCATCGGATTCGACAATGAAGGGCTTGTCAGGGTCGGGGTGAGTCAGGATAGGTGCGGAGGTGAAGGCTTTCTTGAGGGTTTCAAAAGCTAGGTGTGCAGCGTGGGTCCATTTGAATGGCAAGTCTTTGCGAGTGAGCGTGGTCAGGGGTGCAACGATCGCAGAGTACCCTTTGATGAATCGCCGGTAGAAGTTGGCAAAACCAAGGAAGCGCTGGATGCCTTTGACATTCGTCGGGGGTTCCCATTCAGGTAATGGCAGCCGTCTTCTTTGGGTCCATGGAAATGCCTTGCTGGGAGATGATAAACCCCAGGAACTCAACAGAGTCACGGTTGAATTCGCATTTTTCCGGTTTCGCGTACAGCCCGTGCTGGCGGAGTCGTGAGAGCACCTCTCGGACGTGGTTGGGGTGGTCTTCTGGGTTTTTTGAGAAGATCAGAATGTCGTCAAGGTAGACCACAACAAAAACGTCGAGAATGTCACGGAATATGTCGTTCATGAGGTGTTGGAATACTCCAGGGGCATTGGTGAGCCCAAATGGCATGACATTATACTCGAATAGGCCGTAGCGACATCGGAACGCTGTCTTCCATTCATCCCCTGGCCGGATCCGAAGAAGGTTGTAGGCTCCCCGGAGGTCAATCTTGGTGAGCCGGCGTGCCCCTCGAAGACGATCCATGATGCTGTTAATCAAGGGCAAGGGATAGCGATTCTTGATGGTGATATTGTTGAGTCCACGATAGTCGACGCACAGACGGAGGGAACCGTCTTTTTTCTTGACAAAGAGGACTGGGGCACCGGCGGGAGACTTGGAGTGCTTGATGAACCCCTTAGCTAGGTTCTCTTCAAGGTAGTCACAGAGTGCCTGCATTTCAGGCTCGCTGAGACTATAGATCGGGCCGAACGGTGGCTGTTTGCCCTCTTCTAAGTCGATGGGACAGTCGTAGGGTCGGTGCTCTGGGAGGGTATCCGCGTTCTTCTTGGCGAAGACGTCCGCAAAATCTTGGTATTCTTCAGGAATGATGGCCTTCGGATCTTTTGGAGGAGTGGTCGCCAGGGCTTGGGAATCTGACTTGGTCGGATTGGCGTAGGCAATGAATGCCTGGTCATGCCTTGCCGCCACACGGAAAGCTGGGGCGCTGATAAACGATACGTGGATCGGTGTGGGTGCTGGGTCCAGTGTGTTGGGTGTCTGGGCTAGGGAGACTGAAATCTTGTCTTGATGGATACGGATCAGAGGTTCAGGGGTTCTTGAGGGCTTCGGGCTAGGTTCTGTTGGCAGGGCATCCCAGGAGGCGTATTGTCCAAAACCGCAATGGCAGCGGACGCAAAGAGTGCGAGTCTTCCAGTGGAGCTCCACATCATGGAGCTCAAACCAGGGAAGCCCCAGGATGATTGGCGCATGCGGGGAACATGTCACATGGAATACCACCTCCTCAAAATGGTCGTTGACCCACATGCCCAAAGGTTGGGTGTGATGGGTAATGGAGCCCGCATGGCTGGGACGTCCGTCAACCAGTTCAAGCGCAATGGGGTCCTCCTTCTTGACAAGTGGGATGCGGTGCTTGCGGGCATAACTTTCGTCGATGAAGCACGACATCGCACCGGTGTCAAGTAGTGCTGAAAGCTGAACTGGAGCTCGCTGGGCCGATATCTGCAGGGTAACAGGGTACTCGAATGGTGAGGATGGGCCCAAAATCCGCATGGGTGAGGGTATCTCAGATCGGAGATTGACATTGTTGGTGGTCAGGAGAAGGGTGTTGCTGGAGATGCCAGGATCGGAGCAAGGTTTTGTGGCTTCTCCCTTGGCAGTACTTGCATGGTGAGAAGGCCCAGGACAGGTGTTGCCCAGCTGCTCGGCCTTTACTGCAGCTGGACTTGGGCAAAATCCTGGATGGGTGCAGGTTCCTTAACCGCGACATTCGCCGTGCGTATCTTGTTTGGGCAGAGTTTGGCTATGTGGCCAGGTTTACCACAATAGAGGCAAAGTTTGTTTGTGATGCGGTGTTGGCGCTCTAGCGGTGTGAGGGGTCCTCGCGGACGAGCAGCGTCAATGACCATAGGGTCGTCTGGGCGGTTGTCGGGGCTCATGAGGGTGGGGCTAGTGGTAACTGGCACATATGGCTGTCGGTTCCTGCTTCGCTCTAGACGGCGCTCAAACAATCGGTTGTCACATTGGATGGCCTGTTCCATCACGGTGTCGATTGAGGCGGTAGGGGGCATCGTGAGCATTAAGTCCTTGACGTCTTCTTTGAGGCCGCGACGGAAGGTGGCAATCAATGCCTGGTCATTCCACGACACATCGCATTGCAGCTGTCGGAATTCAGCTACATACTCTGTTGCTGCACGGGTTTGTCGAAGGTTCTGGAGCTTGTTTTCGGACGTGCGGATCCTGTCGCTGTCTCCAAAGACTGCTTGCATTTGCTGGATGAAATCATCCAGGTTCGTAAGGGAATGATGGTCTTGTTCGACAAGGGGCGCCAGCCAGGCCTGGGCGGTGCCAGTGAGGTAGGTGCCAATAGTTCGTATCTTGGTCTGATCGTTGGGGTAGCGCCTGGGTTGGAGGGCGAACATGAGCCGGATCTGGTTGAGGAACCCACGGAACTTGCTTCGGGTGCCATCAAATTTGTCTGGGAGACTGATTTTGGGTTCGGGGGCGTGAGTGGCAGGGGCAGTGGTCTGGGTTTGCGCTAGTTCGGCTTGTAGGGTGGTATTCTGCGCTCGAAGTTCGTCAATCGCATTGCACATGGCTTGCCAGGCTTCGGCCGTGAGGGGAAGGGCGTCGGACATGGTGATTTGACGTGGAGGCACAGCGGCTGGGGGTTGTTGAGCAGATCAAACTGTTATGAATGGGCGGAGCCGACGGAAATAGAGGCGACTTGTGGTGCAGGTTGTTGACAGGTAATGGTATTCAGACCGAAACAAGAACTAGAACAAGACTAGGAAGAACTGGTGTTGATCTGCTGGGGGATCAGGAAGTGGGGAGCTCAGGGGAGGCGGCTATTTATGCTTTTCTGGGAAGGCTGGGGAAGCGTGGGGAAGCAGAAGGGTACGGAATGAGAGGGAAGCCAAGAGAAGCGCCAAGGGTGGGGAAGCATAGAAACAGAAGACTGGGGATGGGGTGGCTACGCTGAGGCTGTGGGCGGGTACGTGGGGAAGTATGGAGAAGGGTTTGTAAGCGCCGAGTGTTGGGAGGTGTGGCTACGTGCGGCTGCGTGGAGAAATGAAGGCAGTGGCAGGTGTGGGGTAGCGCGGCTGCGTGCGGCTGCGAGGTTTGGCAGATGTCAGGTTTTGACAGGGAATTGACATTGACTGACTGTTGGGGTGCTGTCATGAGGTAAGCGCATGGTATGGACGCGTCGTCCATAACACTTTCCGCGAGTGACCAAAAGGAACGGTAACCTGGGATGTCCGCCAGGGATAAAGGTAAGGTTTGCCGGGAACACTTGAATTCTTGGAAGCAGACCACATCTAACTTCAATTCCGTAAATAAAGTGGAGAGCGCGACGCCTTTGCGGACGAGGTTCCGAAGAGAGTTAACGTTCCAAGTGAGCACGCGCAAGTCTTGTATCGTTGGGGCAACCGGAGGTGGAGACGGTTGGGACGCGGGCATCAGTAAATCCTGCTCGAGCTGTGATGCGGCCGGCCGAAGAAGTAGGGGAGTGAACGACGAAGGGGGCGCGTCGTCAACAGCAAGCGCGTGAAGGAGGTTGATGCGATCATCCAATGCGTCCGTCGACGAGGGAGGCGGGTCAAGAGGTGGTGCAAATTCGGTACACAACACGCCGAAGAGAGCGCCGTTTTGAATATCCGCCAGCGTCTGCGCACCGTCCGTATCGATCTCGACCCGGAAATTGTTGGCGGTGAGAGCAGCAACATGCGCATCAGCGGTAGCGGCTTGCGTTTGGGAACGGGTGCGCGGGGCAGGGAGCGCGGTCGGGGTGAGCGGGTGCCGACCATGCGCTTCCCATTCAGTGTTCTCAGCGGGGGTGAGCGCGCGAATCTCTTGCGTATCCCCAGTGCTGCCTTGAACGACTAACCACGTGGAATGGATGCGTAGGTGATAAATGGCTTGCGACCAACGAGTGATAGCGTCGACATATTCCAAAAATGGGCGGCCCAACAAACAGTCGGCGTCCATTCCATGGATCACTAAAACGTTGATGGGGATCTGGTGACCCGCGACCGTGATGACTAATCCACGCACGGCGCCTTCGATGGATGGCAAGCTACCGTCGACTTGTCGTAAGCGGAAAGAAGGCGTCAAAGACGAAAGGGTCCATTGATTGCGCTGGCGCAATGCCGCGCTGATCGCGATGAGACAACAGCCGCCGTCGAACAAGCACTTGGTGGGTGCACCTTGGATTTCCGCGTTCATGAAATGGGTGCCCGTAGCGGAGACATCAATCATGGCCAATTGCTTAAGATGGAAGTTCAAGCGTGAATCGAGGGTGTTGTCATCCGGCGAGGTCCCGTCTTCGGCGATGTCAGTGTCGGGATGCCACGCGCCAAGTAAAGGTTCGCGAAAACACAGTGCCGCGCGGCGAGTCTTGTTTACCAACTTCATGGATTCTCGTAACTTCTCGCGAAGAGCCGGGCTCCATTGTAAGAGGTCAGCCATCGTGAGTCCTCGCACTTCGGTTTCGTTCAAGAAATTGACGATGTCGAATGGGATCTTATCGATCATGGCGCGGATGGTTGCCGGAATACGTTCCTCCTGGCTCTCCGGTTGCAGCAACTTGGGAGGGTCCTTAGCCCGGCTAGCCGCATGTGTTGGCGGCTTCATCCCAGAATCCACGGGAGGTGCGGGCGCCGGTTGGATTACGGGTTTGACTGCCGGGGGTCGCGGAGAGGGGCTCGCTTTGGGAGGTGGTCGAGGGGGTTTCGGGGGACCAACCTCCATGGGCATCGGAGCTAAACGGACAACCGGCAGTGGTCGCGGTGGCTTGGTAGCGGTATGCGACGCTCGGGCGGAAGCTGAACGTATGGCTGTACCCGCCGATCGGGATACTGCAAAGCGGTGGTAAAACGTGTGGGACGTGGAGGCCGCGGGGGTACAGGTGCAGGTCGCAAGGAAATGTTCAACCTCTTCGATGGTGGCATATCAGAAGCCTCATCGTAGTGCTTGCGCTTTTCGGCCATGTAAGCATCGTACGCCTCATATTCTTCAACGTTGTAGGGCACTCCTGGATCTGGAGGATAGGGTGACGGGAGCTCGGTGCCCTCTAAGCCGAGCTCCCTGGGAGAAAATCCGACGGGGAGTCTTCGGGGTCAGCGTAGTACGCGCCGACGTCTTTGAGCACCCAGGAATAATACTCCTCTTGGGTATCGTCGTAGTCGGAGATATCCTCGGGGTAAAAGCAAGCGGCCAACCGATACCCACGCCAAGTGTCAAGCTTGGTCATCGACTTGCAGTCTCGGAACCCGTGCCCAGTTTGGCCGCAGCGGAAGCAAGATCTTTCAGGACGCCTCTGGGGGCGGGCGGACGGCAGACCGGGAGGATATTGATTGCTATTGGATGCCTGTTTGACGGCCAAGTTCTGCATACGGGAGGTAAGATCGCTGACTGGATCTGCTGGCGTAGTCGTCTGAATTGTAGTTTGAATTGTAGGCGCTGGTGGGGCTTGTTGACGAGGGGCCGGTGCCGGAGTCGGATACGTACGGTCACAACTGGGGTATGCGCGCGGAGCTTGACGGACAGCCGGAGGGCACCAGAAGTCCGTTCGATTGGTGGCGATCGGGGCCGAATATGCGTCTTTGCGCTCAGCGTAATCCGCACAGGCACTTACGAGATCCTCAATGGGGAGCTGGGTGAAGTTTGGCAAGCTGAGGGCGTGTGTGAGAGTAGCGCTATCACCCAAGCCGCGGATAAAGGCTCGAGCAATCTGGGTGCGGGTGAGTTCAGTGGCGACTGTAGCAATGTGCTTGTTCAGGTACTCCAGTTCGTAGACCAACGACAAGAACAAGCTCCCGTACTGACGAATGGTCTGCCCTTCCGTGCGCTGGAAAGTCGAAATGCGATCTGCGAAAAGCGACGGGTCACGATCGATCGAACAAGCGACGGGTCACGATTCTAGAACCATGTCGGTGCGAACGTGGTTCCAATCTTGTGTGTTGCCTTGGTACGACGCAAACCAGGTCCATGTGAGATGGTCTTTGTCATCACTCGCTTTTGACAACCAACGAAAGCGGTCTTTTTCGGGAACGCCGCAGGAATCCGCCAGCTTGTCGAACGTGCGGAGCCATTGCAAGATTCGCGAGGTGTCCTGGTGGTGCTTGTTGCCCTCGTATTTAGGCAGGCCTTTCTGGAGGGACGTGTTGGAATTGGCCGTCTGCGGATTGCGCTGAAGCTGCTCGAGGGTTCGGAACATCAAAGTGACCAGATCTTGTTGACTGATCGCGCCATCCACCGGGGCAGCGGGCATTGCGCCAGCACGATGCAAAATCGGCGGCATTGGACGAAGACCGGCGCTGTTCGGTGGCGCGGAATGCGGTCGAGCGGTGCTGGCGTGCGGACCGGCATGGTACCTATCGCGCGCCATGCGCCAAGCAGCGGCGATCTTGGCAACGTCAGAGAACTCGCGGAGAGTGAACTGTGCAGGATTCGCGTCCAATGCGAACTTCAATGACTGGATGTAGATGCGGTCAAGAGAGCCAGCGGCAAGACCTTCACACACGGAGTCGAAACTGATGCCCATATTCGTACAAAACTTGAGTAGACCATACAAGATCTCGGTGTCGACATGGGAAACGGTACCATACAAGCTGATCTTGACCGTGGCGTGTTCAATAGTGGAACGAGCGATGAACGTGTCGATACGATTACGAGCGGTCTCCGTGGCACAAGCACACGCAGACTGGGTATCGCTACTATCATGCTCGCTAGACTCTCGTTCCTCCTGCTTGTCGCTGTGCAACGGACGAGTGTCGCGCCAATCATTGCCAAGGAAGGCCGGGCTACCGTGGAAAGCCATTGCGCAGGAAGTGGACGGGATAAACGGCGGGATATGCGGCGAGTTGTCTGATCGATGGATACCCCACTGGAGCGGATAGCCGAGACGATGATGCTTAAGGAACCGTTGTGGGATGGTCGGATTGATGTCGGGAATAGATGGATGGATGGATGCCGGGGGTTGCCGCCGACAGCTATAAAATTCACTAGAACAACGCGGAAGGACATGGGAATGTCGGCAAAATGCTCAAAACGCAAAGTCAAGCCCGGACGATGAAGACGATGGGGATACTCTCTGTTGCTGCAGGTGCTGCGGTGTACGATGTGCGTTTTCCCAAACACCTACTTCTTCATTCTCCACAAGAATGTGGTAGGCAGGGAAAAAGATGTTATATATTGGGTTGTCGGTCAACTGGCGCGAGCGCAGCGAGCCGGCTTTTAAAGTACAAGAAGAAAAACTGCCAGAAAGTCACATGACTGGGGAATAAACTAGCTACTGGTTAGGGTTACGACTGGGGATAGGGTTGGGGATTAGGGTTGCGGCGTCAACTCCACACCGTACCACACCGCCTCCACCAGGCGGACCCCCTGGACCCCCTCCCCCGCCGTTTCCGTCACCGTTTCCATCCTCACTCGCATCCATGTGCTTTCTCAAGTACTGGAGTCGCTTCATCATCTTGTCTTGCTCCCGTCTCTCGACCGCATCACTGCGGCGCTTCGCCTCTTTCATCTTTTCTTTCGATATGCCGCCTTTTGCCTTATATCGCGACTCCGAGACTGCCTTTCACCCAAGGTAGTCTGCCTCCTCCATCAATGCCTCGAACAACCCCTTCTTTCGCTTCGATCGATCCAGTTTTGCCTTTGTAAACGCCAGGTGCTTCGCGAGGATCTCATGGTTATCCTTGCGGTACCTCAACGTCGATACCTCCGTCGCCAATCGAAGAGCTTCTCTAACTTGGGCTTTCGACATCAAAGAGTTGCTTGCGGACGCTGCGGACGAAGCGCGCGTAGAGCGCGTAGTCAGTCGTGAGGGTCCTGGCGGAGGTGCAGCTGGAGGGGCTGCGGGCGCTCCTGTCTTACGGGCCGTTTGCTTCTTCTTGCCGTCGCCGCTCTTCTTACCACTCCTGCCGTTCTTGCCTCCGTTTGCCATTGTTTTGCGTATCGTGTGGTAGTCTGGGATACGGTAGTTGAGTATGGGGAACGTTGGTCTTACCTCTCTGGGGCGACTGACAGCTGTCTCTTGTTTTATACTCGCGGCGGTTCCCTCTTCTTTCATTTTTACTCTTTCATTTCTTTCATTTTAGTCATAGCTATTCACCCAACGTCCGCCCGCTTTTTCGCGTACGGCCGCACCATTTCACTCATTGCTTAGATTTATCTTTCACTTAGATAGACTCGTGAGTTTGAGGTGGGGTGTTGGAGGTATCATCCTCCCGAGTCCCCGGTTAGGGTTCCCGTAGTTTTTTTCCTCACGTGACTCCCCTCCCGCTTACGCCACGCTTCCGCGTACGGGACTTCACTCTTTTCTTCCCCTTCGGACCTCGCGTCCTCTTTACACTTTAGACTTTTCTACACAAGACAATACATACTTCACAGTACAGCATTGCACACTACATAGGGTTCGCTCAGTCATCTGCTTCCTCTGCCGACTACTGCTACGCTACCCCTTCCCCCCTACCGACCCCGAACCGGTACTCCCAGAACTCCGACCATCATGTCCCGAAGATCCTCCACCACCTCCTCAAGAAGATCCAGCGTCGCAGACCTGTCCAACGCGGTCTCGAAGCCACCTATCCTGCCACCAATGACCAGGACCAAGAACCAGCGCACGGACTCGCCGGTTCCCAGTACCCCGGTCCGCTCCGTGTACCCCCACAAACCAATCGAGGTCGACCCTCCCCCTCAGATCGACAGAGGGTTCAGAGAAGCCACCAGCTCCCGTACTCCCGCCCCAATGAAGGCAACGGGGAACAAACGTCCGCCAATCCGCTCGCCCAGAATCACCGTGCGAAATGCCGGCGACACCCCTGTTGACACCCGCAAGAAAAGGAAGGTGTTGGATACGCCCGAAGAGCCACGAAGAGGCAAAGCGATCATCGGCTCCGCCACTCTCAGTGTCTCCGGCCTGGACCCGGAAGAGGATGAGTTCACGAGCGAGACCCTGACGAGAGACGTGGGATACCAGCCCGGAGAGGAAGAGGAATACTACGGAGCAGAGAAGAATGGAGCTGTCTGCATGTGCGAAAACCCGGACGATAGCGCTTCCATCTATGGTCGCGTCGTCCATGCGAACGCGGAGACCTCTGCTGTGGAAGCCAATTCTACCACCCAGAATGCCTCAACAACCAGAGACTGCCCCACCCTCAGGAAGACGAAGAAGTCTTGCAGGCCTACTTTGCCCAGTACAACTTTGTTTGCCCGCCCTGCCTAGAGGACCTCCCGGAGAATGCAGAAACCGACGGCAAGATCGCTGCGACCAAGCACCCGAACGTCGGAAAGAAGAGGGGACTGCGTCTGGCGCCCTACGACCATGAGAACGGCAAGTGGAGGACCGACTTCGCGATGAAGACCGGGGAGGGGGATACGGAGGAAGACCGACCGTACTGGGTCTCAGGGAGGGACATCGAAAAAGTCATGCTCCCAAGCCAATACAAGGAGTATACGGACGTCCCATCCACCATGTACACCCGTGTGCACGGCCTCTTCCCCCAACCGGTGCTGACCTCGCGCTCGAAAGCTCACAACTACATGCGAGACTGGGAAAAGGAATTGATCTTGAAGCAAGCCGTCTTCGTCGTCATTACCAACCTGGAGCCGCACTACGCGCAATGTGCCAAGGCCCTCCGCAAAGAGCACGGCATCCACGAGACTCCGGACGACCTAGAGGACCCCAAAGCACTGCTCCGCCAAGCCGCCTTCCCCCGCATCGACCAGCCCAACTACCTTATCTACGCAGGCCCCAACCTTTGGGAACTCGAGATCATCGTAGCGAGGTTTGGGCCCAAACCCAAAGACAAGCCGGAGGACAAGGAGCTGACGCTCGGCGTGCCAAGAGTAGAGTCTGAATTGTGGTCAAGTCTGGCGTTGAAATGGCTTGCCACCGGCGACCTTGGTTCGCTCAAGCCGAAGGGATGGAGGACACCGGAGGGCGAAGCAAAACACGGGGGATCACCGAGGTTCAGAACTCAACGGGGGCACCCAGCAGTGGACGCACAGGCGGTCATCCACGGAGGGGTACGGACAACGACAACCTCCGGGGGAAAGACGAACAAGGGCAAATTCCCTTACCCCACAGCAGAAAGTCGACACGTGAGATACGGCCTTGGGTGGGCGGAATACCTAGAATTTGCGGAGAATGCCACGGCACACAAGCGCATGGCCATTTGCCACGAATGGATCGACCCCGCTAGCCATGCCCGACGGAGGAAGGTTATCGACAACCTCCCTGCCCAATGTCAACACAACATTCCTGCGGGCTCCCCAGGCACTATGTGTGTCATCAACTTCAATGTGACCGTCTACTGCCACGTGAACCCCAACGCCCATGGGTTCACCGTTCAATACATCCACGGAAGCTTCTCTGCCGGAGACCTCGCCTTCTGCAATTTGCATCTCCGTGCCGACACACCCTCGGGCACGATCACTTTGGTCCGCACCCAGCTAGCAGAACACACAGTGCTGGATTGGGGACCACTGCCCGGGCGGAGCTGGACCAACACCTGGCGTTTCAGTCAGCCCGCCACGACGCCACAGGATGTCCTGCACGCCCATAGCCGGAAGGAACTTCGGGAATCCTGGGCGAAGTACCGGGGCGGCTCATGGCCTACCCAGGGGCTCAACATTGCCCAGCGTCCCAAGGCCGACGTAAACTTCGATTCTCAAAGTCAGCTTGAGACCCTCAAGACGAGCCTGCAGGAGTTGCCAGACATCTACATCGGCCACACTTCCATCGCCAGCGGCGACGGAATGGGCAACCCAGACCAATTTAACGAGGATAGGCGGAACATGCTGTCCCGTTACACGGCAGGCGTCGACGACTTCGCCCCGATCGCCCGCCTCCAGCAGCAAGAGACTGCCTGCAGAGCCCACGCCACCCTCGCCGCCAGCGAGCACGCCACCCTCGACGACATCCTGGATGCAATTGTCGCTCGGTACCCTACTACCCCTCCGACCTCACCCCCGCAACCACCTCGCCCTACGCTCTGAGCTAACATCACGCCCTCAACGAGACTGCTCCTCAAGTACCAACACGTCGTCCCTCTCCCTGAGTCCGACGCCGACGAAATACTCCGCAGATGGTGGCTCGAAGTACGCACCCTCAGCGCAGAAGCTTGTCTAGAGCCGACCCAGACCACGACTCCGGGGACGACAAGACCATCTGGTGCCGGACCATCCCGCGCTGGTCCATCCAGCGCGCGCTGATCGATCAAACCTACGACACCCCACGACCTCAAACAACAAACACCACTTCACCAACACATCCGCCCAAGTAGCGGAGGTTCCCGGAGGCTAGCACACCATGGCAACATGGTGCAACAGGCTAGTTTCTGCAAAATACAGGGAGTACCACGGCGGAACCCTTCTGAGCACCCCTCCTAGAGGAAAGCTCAAAAAAGGGGAGGATGTGAAAGTGATCAGGTTGACAGCGTATGAGGAGATGGGGAGACTCAAGGGAGGATTAGTATTTGCGCGCGCGTAACCAGGCGTGATCAGGAGTAGGATAGAGACACACCCCCTCCCCCGCCCCACTATAAAAAGGACGACACTGGCGTAGATTGCCCGGAGAGCATCTTACCGGCTATAGACTAGACCATAAGTTTGTACCATAGGAGCTCAACTGACCAAACTGACTAGCGTACCTACGCCTAGCAGTCCGGGGTTGCCAATATATGGAGTACGCCCAAGCGTGTCTACTTGTGTGGTGAGAATAGGGATTTAGTTGGTCTCTACCTTTTACCTTGCACTCTCCACGAGTAGATTACCTCCACCCGCGAATGACCCGATTTAGGACCTATCTCAGGGAATAATCGACCACTTTCACAGAGGCCCACTGCGCCCAACTCCTGCCCATCCTTTGCCGACAAGAAACTCGTAAGCCCGGCCCCAAAAGTGGGCCTCAAATTCAAACCAGAACTCAGTAACACGAGAAGAGAAGATACTGCAGCCCCGCCCACGGTAGTCCTTGACCATAAAGAACTGTAACTGTTTTGTATAGCGTGGTAGGTGTTAGTGGTGGCAATTGTGATAATAGCAAGATTGGTAAGCAAAATAAAAGGGGCAGATGGGCGAGCACGACACACACATACCTGACTCGCAATGAATTCCCAGAGCCAGTGAGTGGGCCTCAGGCATTTTGAACCTACAGCCCGCATCGCCATCACAGCAATATCGTTCACCTCCATGTCCTCAAGGTCGGTGAGCTTGTGGTACTCAGTGTACAGCTTTGCTGCTCGATACGAATGTTCGTTCTCCTTCCCAAAGATGAAGGCACCTTTCTTGTTGTTGGCCTCGACTCGCTTGGCAAGCAGTGCTACTTTTGCGAGCAACTGATCGTCGGTGAGCTTCCCATTCCGACCTCGGAAACACATGAGGCCAGTGTGCAGAAGATTTCCTTGCATGGCCCTGTTCTCGTCGACCAGGCATTGAACTCTCTGCTTTGCCTCCTCATGATCCTCCTGCAGTTTGGTGTAGGTTGTTTGCAATATGCTGAGGTCGTTTCCGAGTTTGGTATGTTTGGGTTGGAGTTTGGTGTGCCTTGTGTCGAGGTGGGCAAGGAAGCCTGCAAGAAGATCCCATTCTGTTTCCAGGTGTCCTTTGACTCATTGGGATCTAGTGCATACCTCCAGAAGGATGTCCAGCTGTCCCAATGTTCTCCAAACCACTCCCAGTGTTCTCCGAACCACTCCCAGTGTTCTCCGACCCACTCCCGATGATGTCCGAACCACTCTCCATGTCATCGGCTGGGTTGTCCTCTCTACCTTCAGCTGATTCACCAATTGAACTCAGAAGGCAAAGAAGTGCAGTACTGACACAACCCTGAGCTAAAATGGAGCGAACAACAGCTTTCCCATGCATTATAAGGACCTCCTTAATTCCATCGGCCGAACATAAGGTTTTCAATGTGCTCTGTGTCTCCCCAGGGCACATTGCTTTCAGGAACATCGTAGGTCGTGTCGGGTTGGGTCAGAACTGAAGCTTTGGGACTCCCAGAGCTTCTAACAGACTGCTTGGATCGTAAAATCTGCAACAGGGAATGTAAATGGGATGACTTGAAAAGTGAACGAGGTTCGGGTATATTTTACCTGCACCTAGCTTCATCGTGCTCTCTGGCTGCCCTCATCTCAGGAATGAAAACACCCCCTTGGAAGGAGACTGTAGGGGCCCCAAGACCCCCTGCTGTTCGGAAGTACTTGGGGTTCATTGAATTGGGCCTGTGACGAGAATCAATGTGTGTGTAGGAGGTTGAAGCCTAAGCTAGTTCGGACACCCAAATCGTATGTGAAACTCGCCAAACACTCCAAACTCGCAACGACGCGTCGTCACTAGTGCAGAATGTTTGTCACCACCCTGATCGTCACTCGCCTGCAGATAGCCACCGGCGCGCCCAGTCATACAAGGTCGGGGACTAGGTCCTACTGGCATCCAAATCCCAAGCATCACGGCATGAAGCAAGAAATTAGCCCCACTCTGGATCGGTCCATACGAGGTGATCGGGAAAGGCCCGCATCCGGACACGTACAAACTCGACCTGACAAAGGAGTTCCAGGGCCTACACCCGATATTCCACATTGGTATCGCTGAAGAGATGGAGACCCCGCGGACAACCGCTACCGCGAAGTAGGGGCCCCACCAAAGGGACATCGGCTGCCAGACGGCACAAGGGCTTACACAGTCGAAAGAATCGGACGATCGAAATGGGAACGGAACCGCAAGATGTTCCTGGTCAAATGGAAAGGTTACCCGGCTGATGTCAACACGTGGGAACTGGAGCGGCCGGAGCGGCAAGGGCACGAGTGGGGACGGCAGAGACAGCAGAGACGGCAGAGGCGGCAGGGGCCCGAACGGGAGCGGCAGCGGCGGCAGAGGCAGTAGGGGCACGGGCCGGAGCAAGACTGATGTGGGTTCCGGGCGGAAGGGCAGGGGTGGCGCCGCTGGCGGACGACGAGGCTGTGGGGGCCGTCAACCTGGTAGTACGACGGGTGGGCGACACTGGCTCCGGGGAGACTTCCGAGACGAATTCTGTCCCCTCCGACTCCGATTCGACGTTGGTAATCTCGGGGGTCTCGACCCGCTCGAAGCGGGCGCGCTTGGACGGGGTAGGGCAAACCATGGTGGTAGACTGTGCACGGGGAAGGGAGCGTGAGGCAGAGGGAGCGGCGATTGAGATGGGAGCAAGGGAGGTCGCGGACGATGAGGGGTTGAGAAGGGAAGCGGTCCTCACCCTTCGTTTTATAGCCGGATCATCGAACTCGGTGAGCGCCGACTACGCCCAGGCGCAATGGCCGTTCCCCTGCTACAGCCCCCATGAGGACTATCGATGACGGTGTTCCCCGCTGTGCTATCGACGGCGGCCACATGTCACACATTCGGCTTATTCCCCTTCAACTTGGATATGCGGTGACGTTCTATAGCTGTCAAGGCCTCGCATTGGACCGTATTGTGCTGGACCTCAGGTCTTCTGTGTTGAGTCATGGACAGCTGTACACTGCCCTCTCCCGTGTGAGACGCAGCTTTGGTGTTCTGCTTTTATCTGATCCTGCACATGCGGGAGAGCGGTGCACCAAAAATGTTGTGTACTCTGAATTGCTGTCATAGATTGGAACCTTCACACTTAGGTCCTACTATTTTTCCCTCCCTCCCGGCTGGCTCCCATCAACTGCAATGTATGCATATCCACTTCATCCTACAGTCTTCCACGTCAATGTGCATGCTCAGTCAATCGAAATTTATTTTACCGTACATTGATGGTGACATTCCACCATCGGCACTGTTCGGGCATGGTGACTTTCCACCTTCTATAATACCCATGGTCCTTCCATGTTTTCCTACGCATGCCCATTGTCACCCACACTGGCCGGTCAATGTCTATGGCACGGTTTATGGCCAGCGCGTGCGAAAGCGCGTGGATCGTACGGTACTGTGCCGATCGCGCGCGAAAATCGACGATTGTGGCTTGATGCTCCTGCGGCCACCTTCCAACTGCGCAAAGCGGCGTGGTGCTACTACCGTCTACGTACTGTACAGTATTCGCTCTTAATCCCAGGTCTGCGAAAAGCGCAAGCCTAATCGAAGGCGCTAATCAATCTCGCAGCAAATTAGCATCAAGTCCAGCGATAGTCATCTAGGCCCCCATTCAAGATCAAAAACGCGGTCGGTTTAAGTTACAGGTAGTGTGCAAAAGAGTACGACTGGGCAGCGGGGGCATAGAGTGCTACATAATACTGGACGCACAACTTTTGTTGCGCACTATATAGGGGTGTGCACTCAGTCGTTTTGGTGCAGAACTGAGAGGGTTATCAAAGTTCAATTGTGGCTTCTCAAGATTCCAAAGTGTTGTGAAACGCCCTCTCTGATTTCTGCTGGTGGAAACCTCGGTAACATCATAAACATGGAGTCCGCTATCCACAACGGGAGCGACAAGGACGCCCAGGAACCGCCAACAATCGTTCGGCCATATTCTGTGGCGTCTGAGGAGATGGAGACCTCGGCCGCGTCAATCCCGCCGGTGGAAAGCACTGCACCTCTCGAGACTGTTCCGCGAACCGCCGTGGACAAGATTGCGAGGGTCCTCGAACAGGGTGCACCGCGAAATCCATCCCCTGTACCTCTGTCACAAGCGCCGGAAACCGCAGCCGATGGTGAGTTGCAGAAGTCCCGCTGTGTTATGCGTGCTTGGTCAAGCTAACCTCCCTTCTATGCTACCCCAAAGCCTCCGTCAAAAGCGAGTTCCTCAAACGACAGCATGTACCAAAAGTCAACTCGTTCCGGAATGTCACCCGGGCCGCTGTCGTGGCCAATGTGATCGGGAAGAGCGACACATCAACGGCTGCAGCAAAGAAAGGCGGGACAGGCCTTACGGCACAACAGGCCATGACCCGACTGACAGGTGTGATCTTCGACAACGAAGGAGAGATCCCGGCAGTTCTACGGGGCTTGGCGATCAAGACGGTGGAGTCCATGGACAAAGCGCGAGATCAGGTCGATACCTACAAACCGATCGTGGAGCACCTCATTTACTGGGAGAACCTTAAGATCGCTCTGTACTTCAACACGGCCATCGTCTCGACGTTCCTGCTTACGAAACTGGGCTTCGGCTTCGGAACCGTTATCATCATTCTCATTTTCGTGATTGCTGCATTCCGCCGGAATCAAGCGAGGCTGCGACGGAAGATTCGAAACGAGCTCAACAAGCATTTCAGCGTTAAGAAAGTGGATACGGATAGTGAGACGGTTGAATGGATGAACCTGTTCCTGTCGCGCTTTTGGTTGATCTTCGAGCCCAGTCTTGCTGAAGGCGTGCAAACCAATGTCAACGCAGTGCTGGAAGCCAACAAGCCAGGGTTTCTGGATGATCTCCGGCTGACCACGTTCACCCTAGGATCGCAGGCGCCTCGCGTTGAGAGCATCCGATGTTACCCATCCACCAGTGATGACATCTTGATGATGGACTGGGACCTGAGTTTCAGTCCTGTGGACGAAGACTCCGTGTCGAAAAAGGCTCGGCAAACCTCAGAACTTCGTAACTCCAAAATTGAGCTTACGGCCAGGGTCGGAAAAGGCGTCGCTTCCATCCCCCTTCCGGTGTTGGTCAGCGAATGCGAGTTTCGTGGGAAGGCAAGAATTCAATTGAAGTTCATGACTTCCTTTCCGCACATCAAAACTGTCGAGTTTTGTTTGTTGGAGAAACCTATGATCGACTTCATCGTCAGGCCTCTCAAAGGAATGGATCTCATGGACACCCCCGGGCTGAGCAACTTCATCTTCGACACCATCTACTTCTATACCAATCAAATCCTGGTGGACCCCAACAAGATCACCATTGATCTCGAGCAGTTGTTGGGCTCATCTACAGAAGCAGACAAACCCGTAGGTGTGCTTCGCATTGCCTTATACGAAGGGAAGGGACTGCGGAACGTGGAACTTGCCGGCAAAAGTGATCCTTACGCGAGGGTCATGATTGGTGGAAAACCAGTCGCCAGGACCAAGACGATCGATAACTCCCTAGACCCCGTGTGGGATGAGACCCATCACATTGTCATCTCCAAGTCGACTTTGGCACAGGTTGGGAGCAACTCTGACGAACTCCTCGTGGAATGTTTCGATTTCAACGGGATCTCCAAAGACAAATCGCTCGGTAAAACAGCACCGCTGCGTCTGGCTCGGTGGATCAAACTCCTCGAGGATGCCACTTACAAGGAAGAAGTCGATGAGTCGCCTCTATTGGAAGGCGAGCGCGACATGTTGCTTCACGAATGGGGTTCCCCTATCGGGGACGTTGGCACAGACGTTTGGAAGAAGCTGGCCACAGACAACGGCGCCAAAGGAGATATCCGCCTGCAATTGAACTACTTCCCGGTGCATGATCTCGGCCCGGAAATCACCGTCGTCGAGGTTCCGGCAGGTATCCTCGAAATCGCGATACACCAAGGTCGTGAGTTGGCTTGTTCCAAAAACGGCCACCCGGAGTGCTCCATCGAACAGGACGGTATGGAGATTTTCCGTACCCCGTCCAAGAAGAAGACAAACAACCCTATATGGGAAACCAGAAACACAATCTTCGTCACCGATCTTGACTCCGTGAAACTCAAATTCCGTGTGTGGAATGATGGAAAGACGCTAGGTGCCTGTGAGATAAGTCCGAGGCAGTTCATTGGCAAAGAGGCCACGGACGATTGGTTCGGCTTATTCGGCAAAGACGCCAGTGGACGACTTCGCGTCACCTTCAAATTCACGCCAGTGGATCTCGAAGGCACTGGGGTTGATCGCAACAAGGTTCAGCGCCGCCAACCCACTGCGTTGTTGCGATTGCATGTTATTGAGGCGAAGGGACTGGCAAACGTCGAGATCATGGGCAAATCCGATCCGTACACAAAGCTGAATTTGGCAGGTCGAGCCTTCGGAGCCACGCATGTAAAGAACAGTGTGCTGGATCCGAAATGGGACGAAATCTTCTATGCAGTTTGCTATAGCAACCAGGAAATGTTGAACCTCTCTGTTTGGTAAGCGAAGCGAGAGCGAATTCGGTATGAGAGGGAGAATGACATAAAGACCCGTACTCACGCATGGATCATCCGTTCAAAGGGATTGGAACGACTTCAAGAAGGATCGGACGTTGGGGAAGACCGAATTCATGGTGGGCGACCTGATCAAGAATGAGTCCACACCAGAAGCTGGGGTCGATTCCGAGTTGCCTGGTATCAGAACGCCACCCAATGTCGGAATGACCGAAGAGGCGTGGGCGAAATTGGAGAAGGATGGTTTGAAGGTCGTTCGCACCGGGATGACTGCCGACGTGTAAGTTTCACTTAAGATTAAAGACGACGCAGGCTTCCAGAGTTGCTCAAACACCTTTTTCAGTTGGGCGCCACTCTACATCCAAAAATCGGCTGCTGACGACTACGCAAGTCAACAACCCAGCAAAGCTAACAGTCCAGAGGGCTCCGTCGAACAGCTGAACGCGGACGCAGCCCCTGCGTCAAAGAAGGGCTTCCCTAAAGTGATGTCGATAGAAGGCCTCGCGAACGTCGGGCGCAGCTCAGGAACCGTCAAGGAACCGCGTCAGAAAGGGTTCATCCATTTCGTCGTCGATTACTTCCCAGTAGTCGGTGACAAGATCATTCATGCAGAGCGCGAAATGGTACTGAGGAAACAACCTGAGCCTTACAAGCCACCAATCACCGAAGATGGTGAACCGCTTGACGACGCAATATTGCGCGCACACGAGAAACAGGCTGCGTTAGACCTAGAAAAGTGGCATGAGGACGCTGTTGCGCACCAAACGCATCACGCAGCTCGTGTTGAGTTCGTCTCTTCAACTCTCAAGGAGCTTCCGTCCGGAATCATTTCGGTTCGCTTGCAAGATGCGCAGGATCTCAGAGTTCCGGTCAATGGATACGTGGAGCTCCTGCTGGATGACGAGCCGGTCTGGCAGTCAAAGACGAAGAAGCACACGGCACGCCCGTCATGGAGCGAGTCGATTGACAAGTACATCTCGAATCTGGCGAAGAGCAATCTGAGTTTGGCGTTGCGGAACCAGCTGGATAGTAAAGAGAGATCTGTTGGCGACCCTGTAGTTGGGGTATGGACGGGCGATTTTACGGAGTTACTGGGTAGAGCCAGTCACTGGATTGCTTTGCATGACCCACAGGGCCTTCCCGCAGGCAGGCTGCGATTAAGCATCGGTTTTGCGCCCGTGGCGGTTGAGGGAGACGGCTCGGAAGCTGCTGGCGGAATGGGCATGCTTCACATCGATGTTTTGGAAGCTAAGGACGTCGAAGGTGTTGACACGTCCGGCGCCAGCGACCCGTACTGTCAAGTCTACGTGAACGAGAACAAGGTCCACAAGACGAAAGTTGTCAAGAAGTCTCTGCATCCCGTTTGGAACGAGACCGTTTCTGTACCCATCACATCCCGCTTGCGCTCGACACTCGAAGTCCGCGTGAAAGACTGGAACAATTTCGCAAAAGATATCACCTTGGGCTCTGTCCGCGTCCAACTAGCGAAACTACCGCCCAACGAAGTAATCACCAAGGAATACCCATTGGAAGGCGCCCGGAGCGGGCACCTGAAGCTCCGCATGTTCTTCGATCCTCAAGCCCTCGAGAAAGGGAAGGACTCCCACAATGGCACCGCAACATCGCTTCTACGGGGCGGTGATACTCATGACGCCAGTTCCCGCCTGACTGCAGAAGAAGGTAGCGCGGTGAAGAAGACTAGCAAAGCGCTGTTTGGGAAACTGGCAGGGACAACGATTGGCATCGGAAAGACTTTGGACAATAGCGTCGGCAGGGTTGCCACCAGGTCTGACAAGCATACGAAGGGCGCGCCGTCCATGAATGTCGAAGAGATTGCAAAATTGCACGGTATTGTCGGCGCGCCAACCGTAGTGGAGAACGAGGCAGCTGACCCGGCTTTGGGTAAGAGCAGTCGTTCCGAGAGGGTCAATGCGGCATCGCAAATGGTTGCATATATTAATCAATCCTCGTGTCCAATAGAAGGTGCAGGAGGAGCAAGTATTTCTCCCGGAGGCTTGTCCCGCACACCGTCCCTTCTATTCTCGAGTAAGCGCTGGATCACATTTGCCCGTACTCGTTTGTATCATCTTGAAATCCTGGCTTAAACCCGAAATCTGTAGACCTGGAGGGCTCCATGACACTTACAATTTTGGAGGCGTCAGGCCTGAAAGCCGTGGATTCTGGAGGCACATCTGATCCGTTCGTGAAGATCATGCAGATGCACCGTGGCAAACTGAAGACGATTCACAAGACTTCGGTGGTCAAGAAGACGTGCGATCCGAAGTTCAAAGATGAGAGGGTTACCATTGTCGTGCCGGTATGTTTTTCATCCTTCCGCCAATGTACCACTTGGTTGTGTCAACTATCTAAAATCTTCCACGACCTTCACGTCACGTCACCCTAATCAGCCAACGCAAATCCGCCTGGTCGTGAAAGACCACAACACCCTGCAAAAAGATGTCGCGTTGGGCGAGGCTGACATTGAACTTGCCGAGTGGTTTGGCAACCCTCAGGCGCCGACCACCATCGAAAAGTGGGTGCCTCTCGCTGTCGGGGGGACCGGCCAGGTCCTCATCCGCGCGGAGTTTGCCGCCGGTGTTGGAACGTCCATCAAGTCCGGACATGTCAGTCGCGGCAGCATATCCTCTGTTGCGTCGATTGGAAGAGATGCCCCTGGTCTAGGTACCGCCGGCGGATTGAATTCGAGTAGAGGCGGAAGTCCCATCGGAAGCCCGCCCACCCTCCGGAGAAGCATCAGTTTCTCAAGCCTGGGATTGAAGCCGAGGAAGAAGGCGGGTGAGGGGAGCACCTTTAGCGGGCTTGGGAGGCAGGCTTCATAAGCAAAGTTTGCTAACCGATGGTGATAAATTCACGGGAGGGTGGCTTAGAGTAAGATATAGTTAGGTTCGCAAGCAAATGCAGAAAGAATTAGGCGCTATCGAATTACTACTAGCAATCAGCTACAAATATTAAATCGAAGTCCCAGGCATTTTTTGTTCGATCAGGCATGTGCATGGGGCTGGACTCGTAATGCCGCCTGCAACCTTTGCTTTGAATGTCCCCTTCCGACCCAGCATTTCGAGAGTTGGATTCATCCACGATCAGGACTACGTGTCCACGCCGCATAGAATCACTACCGGGAGAGGCTGGAGCTAACGACGTTACCCATGTGACTCATGCGCTCCTGCTCGAAGCCCCAGATCTGTCGTGAGCGTGAGTACCCCTTTTCATACCCCGGCTAAGCAAGCATTTGCGAGGGCCCATAACATCATGCAGGATGTGGGTCGTAGCCTCCAGCAGGAAGATGAAGGCGATTCGGTTGTCACCTCCTAGATCTGTCGTAGGGGCGAAGGTGCTGTTACCATCCCCATGTAACAAAGTGTTGATCACGTTCGTCCACATGAAAGAACCACTGCCCCGTCGATGGAATGCCGTCTGAACCTGCGTCTGAACTACGTGCCCTTCCTCACGGTCGTTTTATCAAAGCTTCATCGCGCTCGCTTTCAAATTGTTGAGCAACGAACTTACCAGAATTTCGTGCACCAGCTTCAGCTTGCCCTTCAGCTTGCCGTGAGCTTTCGATACCCGGAACTTCGAATTGTTTGGCAATCCTAAAGGTTACCCCCTACTTACCTGTGCCTGAGCTTCCGTGAGCAGCCACCCTTTTTAGAGCGTGGGAAAGTCCCATTTACTGGCGATTCGCTGTTCGCAGCTATCTTGGCTCTTAGAAGGGATTCTCACAGGCAACTAAGGAACTTCATTAATTACTATAGGTAAGCGGGTATTGGTACGTGTTGTCTAGAATCGCTGAATTCATAAACCTACCATCAAAGGACGACGGGCAACACCCATACGAATCCGCTTAGTGTCTCTCTTTTCGGGTGTCACTTTCAAGTCGACAATGTCTGGGACGCATTCAGTCTTCTTTTCTCGGTAGTTGCTCCGACGCCAGCACGCTCCCTACCGTTTGTGGACAAGCAACGATGGTCCCGCCTTCTTCTCAAGCAGTTCCGCTTGCTTGTTCGAACTCTCAACCATCGTTTGGGTCTATCCCAGTCGCTTCAGTGTCCGGCTATGGTCAATCTGACTTTGCTGATCACCAAGAACGGACACTTACAGTAGGCTGCCAGATATCAGGTTACGACGGGTTGTTGAGCCTCCCTGTGCAACCCCAGAAGTCACCGGCCAGCTGTCAGTCCTGCCCTGGGCTAGCGGTCGTGCTGAAAGGATTTGCATGGGGGTCGGCAACTTGAGCCGGTGGCTATGCTCGGAATGATGTGTCCTTGGGGCGTCGTAACCTGATATCTGGCAGCCTACTGTAGACGTCCCTTTGTTTGGTTGCTCGTTTTGGATCCGAACTGGAATGGGCGATCGTGCGGATATCCAAGCCAAGCTGCGGTTAGAACGACAAAGGAAGATAGTTTATCGATGGATAACCGATTCGCATATAAACGTGCTACGTGGCATCAAAGTTCAGGGAAACCCGCCGGGTCGATGTGCCGAAACAATTCCGTGGGGAGCCCTGAAAGGGCAAGCCGCCGCAAGGGGATGGGTGATGATGAGCCTTTCATGCTGGACCGAAAAGAACTCACTGTGGGATCCGTGTGCAACGTGTTACACGGAAATGGCGAACTTGGAGATCTGGGGAGCAAGCGTGATCGCTTGGTAGTGAATTAACGTGGAATTGAGGATATTCGTCGATGCTTGAAAGACAATTCGGGAATCAGTTGCATCAGTGCGAGTGATCCATCAGATGTCCCGATGTTCGAGTGGATGTCCCAGCCAGTGGTCCCGTTGATCACATCCAACCCTTACTTGCTTTTTATTGACGGCCAAGGACGCATGTTCGCATACGATCAAGTGGGTCGTGATTTATACCTTCTCGGCAAAACCGTTACGACCGGGATAGATGCTTGGGTTCGTTGCGCTTCCGACAAATGGCTCATGCTTTCACATGACGCGGGCGAATGGACGGGATATTATGGGGACGGGTCATTCGATGGGTAAAATGGGAAGTGGTCTAAGTTTTCGTATTAGAATCCGTGGATAGTACGTTCCTGTCGAAAATGTAAAATGTGAAGCTACACTGTTTTTACTGAATGCTCTGACTGCACTGCTCATGTAACAAAAAACTACAATTGATGTTGGAACCTTGAATGATCCGCCGGTGGATGACGGGCAACTGCGAGGCACGACGGGAACGACTCAACTGCGCGACTTTGGCCGAGCCACGGCCGTGAAGGTACTGGTTATGCTTGAGGTGGTACTCAAGTCCTGCCGATATTCGCGCGAGCAGCATCCATTTGGCGGGGCGTTCGCTTACCTGGGATACGTGGGAGGTTCCGAGTCCGCACCAGTCGGCAAGCCATTTTTTCGTGACTGCATTGAAAAGGCCAGAGACTCTTCCCTTCGGACATGTTCTCCCCACCGACGACGTTCGTGATCAATTTGCAAGAAGACGTTGACCGGTTGTCCAACGTCGACAACGAGCTCCGCAAGATCGGCCTCCCGTATGAGCGCATGGACGCTGTGAAAGGGAGCGCGTTAAGCTCAACGGAATGTTTAGGGTTACTACACCCTTACAAGTTGCCATCATCGGCGACGCCTCAGGCAGAGGTACAATGATGTGAATGGCAGATAACCACCACGGAAAATGGGATGGGGTGAGGATTCTAGACTACCTACAGTTACGGGAGAATGCGTCTGGTCTGCGTCCATTGCCAAGCACCACCGAGTTCACAATCGAGAGGAAATTCTTGGTGCTTAGGACGTCCCGATTGTGCACTTTCATCCGTAGTCGTAGTGGTTGTCTTCCAGGAATCCGCGTCCAGTCTTGGTTGGAGCAAGGAAATCGAGATCCGCGCCACAGAAAGCCACGCCCGCGCCACACGACGTCTCGGGCTAACTCGGGCGTGGGAATTCCCGAAGGAGGCCGTAGGGTATCGACAATCCGACGAATTACTAGTCGCTCATTGTGCATTTGCCAGCGCAAGCAGCAGCAGCAGATAGCAGCAGGTGCTTATCTTTGACTCTCTGTCGTCCCAAGGCCGCTTGTTTACGTTTGGTCAATCTCTTACAGCAGGGCAGCGATTCGCTTGAGAGTCGTCGGATAAACCACCAACGCATCTCCTAGAAAACTCGAAAATGTTGTGCAAAGCCGTGCGTCCTCTCGTCCGCGCTGCGGCTCCCCGTGTGCAGACCCGTACCTACGCTGTTCTCTCCGAGGACCACTCGGCCGTTACTTACAACCGCAAGGGTGACCAGGTTGCGGCCGCGCCATCAATCGTGAAGACTGTGACCCAGACGGCTTCTGGCATTCGAATCGCAACTGTTGACCACTTGGGACCTGTTTCTACTGTCGCTTTGGTCGTCAAAGCTGGAAGCAGAAATGAGAGCCCCGATGCTCCTGGAGTCGCCCACTTCTTTAAAAACAGCCTCGTCAGGGTAAGATCATGTGCGAGAGAATTTCAGCCTGGTGGAGGATCGTGGGGATCTGACGATGTTTTCCAAATTCATAGAACGTCCCTGGAGACACTATTACACGAACTGTCCGTGAGACCGAGCTTCGTGGAGATACCCTCTACGCCGCGCACACTAGGGAGCAACTCATTGTGGCGTCTGACTTCCTGAGGGACAACCTGTGAGTCGGTGAAGCCGTTTTCCGAAGGAAGGTGAATCGGCATCCTCATTTCAGATTCCTACTGCCTTCGCTTTTCTCTAGGGTGGACGCTGTGCCTCTCCTCTTCGAGAACTTCTTCAACACCCACCATTACCCATACGAATTCCTCCACACCCGTCCCCATGTGATTGAGCAAGCCAGTGCGTCTCTTGCCGACCCTACGGTGAAGGTTTTCGACAGTTTGCATCAAGCCGCTTTCCGTCACGGACTTGGCAACTCTCTCTTCGCCACCGCCCCTGCCGCCAAGGCTCTGAAACGCGCACACTTGCACGAGTTTGCCGCAAAGTACTTTACCGCAGATCGCATCGCCGTTGTCGGTAGTGGAGTTGCCCACAAGGATTTGCAACCTCTTGTGGAGGAGGCCATTACCCGTTTCCAGGACCGCTTCGGCAAATCATCCGTCTCTGTTCCCGTCTCCAAGTTCCGTGGTGGTGAGATTCGCATCGAAGCCGGCCCCAAGGCCGAAAGTCACTATGCCGTTGCATTCCCCGCGGTCGCTTTCTCCGACCCCTTGTACCCCGCCGCATTAGTCTTGCGCGCTATCTTGGATGGTTCCAAACGCGCAAAGTGGGGTAACGCATCGGGCTCCGCAGGCGCACTGGCTTCTGCTGCCACCGCTAAGACGAGCGTCACCGCTTTCGAAGCGGCGTACTCCGACGCTGGGTTGATTGGATTTTACGTACAGGGGTCGAACAGTGACGTGAAAGATTCCGTTGGAAAGGCCATCGCTGCCCTGAAGGAAACTGCTTCGAAGGTGTCTGAGGAGGCTTTGTCCCGTGGAAAAAAGATCGCCATTGTCGATGCCGAGTCGGCGTTGTCTCGTGATGTGGCCATTCAGGAGATTGCCAAGCAAGTGTTGGTCAAGGGCGACGTGGCGGTACCAGCTGACCTTGCTGCTGCCATCAAGAAGGTTACTGCCGCTGACGTTCAAAAGGTAAGACAGCAACGAAGTTGGGGCACTACTTTACGGCTCTATAATCATGCGGGAGAGTTTACTAACTGTATCCCTGTAGGTTGCCAAGACCGCAACAGCAGCAAAGCCCGCCGTCGTTGCTTACGGAAATCTCCTGAAGCTGCCATTTGCGGACGAGCTTTCCATCTGATGTGAACTCTTAGATATGCGGCTAGATACTTTTATCAAACATGAATACCATTCACATGCTCCTTACGCTGCTGACGCCCCTGGTACATGTTCAAATCACTGGTTCACCGAGTATTGTACGCGAACAGCAGAAGAGTGTGGAATGGGTTGGGACAACAAGCTAGAAACTGGCCAGTGCGCATGCATTCATGTTTGGATTCCTTACGCCAGAAAGAGGGATCGCCTACGGAACATGCACTACCTTACAACTATATACGCAACAGTGGTATGTCACAATCCCACGACGGTAGGCGCAAACTCCCCTTCCTCGTCCTCCTCCTCGTCGGTCTGCGCCCTCAGCTCTTCCTTGATATCCCACAAGAATTTTTCCCGAACAAACTCCACAAGTGCGTCCAGCTTTTGCCCTAGTTGCGGGGAAACCTGCGTCGCATCGAGGTCGTGAATGGAACGCGTTAGTTGTAGAATGTTGTGCCTTATAAAGTTATCGGCAGAAAGGGCGTCGACGAAGAAGTCAGATGGATGTGCGTTGAGTTGGGCTTGCAGAGTTTCTGGAGACATAGGTGAAGAAAGTCATCGTGTGGACCTCAAGAGATCGTGTGGGAGTAAGGGGGTGACTCTGGGCATCAAGCGATGTGTTACCTATGAAGTCGGAATACAATGTCTCGCCATATTCAACGATAGCTTCCTCAGACTGGCATAAAAGGTGAATCAAGGTTTTCCAATGCTCGTATCCATCGTACACTTCTCCCAGCAGGAAGATGAGAAAGGAGAGCTGGAGCTCGCCTAGAAGTTCCCGGTAATCTGCGAGCACAACATTAGCGCGTGAATACTTCATAGCGAGCCCAACTATGAATACCTTTGTATTCGTGAGTCAGAAGTTGTTTCAGCAGGTAGCTCTTATCTCTGCTATACTTCGTAAGCTCTGCCCCAGTCGCACCAGGGGGAAATGATCTCTTGAGGTCCACAGGTGTGAAGTTCAAAAACAGCTGCTCGATGTTCGATGCACCTAGATCTCCTTTCGTCATCTTTTGCAAGGATGGCTCCACATCCTTTGCCGCTCTAGCATCTCCAGTCGCATTTACGGCCCGCTCCTCCGGGTCGACATCCATCGCATGCGTCCCACCTCTTGACTTGAAATCCGATCGTGAATCCTGCACATCTGAATACCGCGATACACTGGTCATCGCGCTGATCTTCCCAGATGGTGGTAGGACCTTTTTCACAGTGGCGGTTGTGACATGGGTTATTAGGCTTAGCCATTTCTGATATGGGCTTATCGGATCGTTGTCCTGCGGAACCAAGGGGTAGGCACCGAGGAACCGATCAAATTCTCGATAATCTGCGAGTGTTCATGAATACCTAGTTCCAATGGAAGAGCAGACGTAAATACGGACTTACTTGATTTAAACCTGGCTTCCGTTTCTGCGTTCAAGCCTTCGTCCGGGAAAACATCCTCGTCCGCATTATTCCAACGCTTTACAACAACCTGGTCAAGGGAAAATCCTACGGGTCAGAAAACACCCGTTTTGACCCTAAAGTTTGTTGGAACATCTTGCACAAACCCCCGACATACCTGCCCAGCTTCAAACCTTCGCCAGAATCCTGTTCTAACAGCCGCCGTGTCCCCATGCTTATTGTGTGCACTGTAGTATATGAAGTGCAGGCCTGGTGGGATGAGTTTCAGCCCTTTGAACTTGGGGCCGGTAACCCACGAGTAGCAGTCGACGCCAAACTCCATGTTAGGCGGTGCATCGAGAAAAAGCAGGAGGGCGCCTTTCTCGAACAGGGCGTTTGCCGTTTGTTGGTCCATGGCATATATCCGTGGTTCGGCGTTGATTTTCAAACCGTCGTTCGACGTAATCCAAAATACGGACTGAACCGATGTTTCCCATGTCGAGAGTGTCGAGCGAATATCGACTGAACAGCAGCTATTTCGCGAGATTTCGCGTGGAGGCTCGAATCCTGGCTCGAATCCCACGTCTTCCACCTTTTTCCTTTCCAAAGGTTCCAGGGGGTCTCCCAGAAGGATTGCGATAGCCATAGCCATAGCCATAACCCAACGGACACCATACGATTTCCTACAACGACGGTTCTCCAGCAGCAACCGGGAGCGCCAGCGTACGAAAACCAGGAATTTTCCAGCACGCCCTGTCGGTACAACCGAAACTCTCAACTTCTCAGAAGCTTGGGAACTCCCGGAAAACTGCCTCGAATAACAGACAGAGTTTTGTATAGCGGAGAAACATAGCGCATGTTATCGAATTTAACATGGTTGGTTTATTGCAAAGCTCGTGAATGTTCATGATCTAGGTCGAATCATTAACAGCGTGTCTTGAACCCCGCAGCTCTTCTACTCTTTCTTCAAAACACTCGTGGGGAAGACTGTAACGGTGGAATTGAAGAATGACCTGCAAATACAAGGGACGCTGGTCTCAGTAGATCAGTTTCTGAATATCAAGCTTGACGATATTCAGGTGTTGGACGAGCAAAAGTTTCCTCATATGGTACGCCAGGTTTCTTGGACATCTTTTCTGATTATTGGCTATAAGCTTGCAAATGGACGAGCGGGGCAGCTGCTGGGGAAAGCGGGACGTGCAGCTGATCAATTCTCGATCACCTTTGGCTTCTTCACAGATGTCGGTGAAGAACTGTTTCATACGAGGGTCCGTTGTTCGATATGTCTCGCTCCCAGCACAAGCGGTGGACACAGCGCTGCTGCAGGACGCGGCTAGACGAGAGGCTCAGAAGTGATTCCATATCTGATAGCCTTAGCTTGAGTATCACCGCCCTTTTGTGCTTACCGCTCATCAGAACTGTTAGACGGAACCGTCTTCAACTGCTGGCAGTAATCGATGTGCCCTGGCTATACAGGTCAACTCCGACTCTGTGCAGTGCGCTTCAGGCTCGTAGCCCGTCAATGCTGTATATTATGTAGATAATTTGGCTAACATAGGGTGTATTTGTACGTACACTGAATCTGAGCCTGACCTACGCCGAAACGGTATTGGGAATGACAAGCTAAGCAACACTCAGAGCCACCATCGCTCCACCCAACTACAAACTATCTCCCAGGCCGTCAATGGCTTGCCCACTACTGGCTTTGTTCTAACGATCGGGCCTTTGTTCCTCGTGATGCAGGTCGTAGGCTTCTGTGCCGAATTCTCCTCTCTGACTTGTTATTATCTTGAGCTGCTTCGTCTCGGTTTGGATTGATGGGGCGACGACGTACGGGTGTCATGCCATCTGGCCTCAGCCCGACCGAAGTATGCGACATCGTCTTCACCCAATCCTCCCAGGATTCATTCCCACTTTCTTCACGATGCCATTCCTCTGTGCGATGAGGTAGAAGCATGTCGAGGAATAAGTCCTCCTTTTTGGCGAGCTTGCTCATGCTGCTGTTGCTGATCTACTCAACCTTCGTAGTCTTGTGAACTCGTTTCACATACCTTTCCAACGAACGGAAGTACATTCGCCTCCACAGACTTTGTGCTTCACATCTTGGACTCAAACTAGAGGTTAGCATGACCCTCCTTAGTGGTAGCAATTCTTGGTTGGAACGGCCGCCGGTTCGTGACGCCCCGGGTAGTGTTAGGTTGCTACCGACGTAAGCGATATTTGACTCTGCCTGCGCGACATCGGTAGGCGTGAGGGCCATGCGGTTGTCGCTTGTGTTGTAAGGGTAGAAGACCGTCTAGACCTCGAACGTTTCAGGTTAGTATCTGTTTTATAGCCTGTCGATCCCGTCGCAGCGGCAATACTCCTCACGCAGCAATTCGACACAAATCGGCAGGGGAGCGAATTAAGCACAGCGCTAGAGAATAAAGATAGTTCAAGGAACTGATGAGGACGTTGCTATATATATCGACGTTGCTTATATGAGGGTTTGTGCCACCAGCCTCTGTCGGAGGATTGAGAATCGAAAGTACATTTCGCAAATGTAAGCTTGAGCCAAAATGGTTCAAATAGCTTTCGACAGATCTTTGGTTTCTATGCTTCGACTATTTTGGACATGGAGAACAAGAACAAGCTTCTTTTGCGCCAAAGAGGAATCACCGGCTCGCATGGACGGTTTCTGGCCTTCGTTGCTCTCCGGCCAAGTGCTTTCTACTCTCTTGAAAGTCTTGTTTGCAAAACCAATTGCGAATGGCAAGTCTTTGACCTGCGACGAGTAAAGCCCTACAGCATTGGTGAGAAGCTCGACCGAGGGCGGCCTACCGTTACAACTTCCGACCCCTAGTCACGACCTTCTCGACACAGTGTGGACACCGTGCGAGCTTCTGCTCTGCTGCTTCTGCACATAGTCCAGTCATCGGCCTGCCATATCGGCTCAGGTGTTCGGTGAAGACGACTTTGACAGTGAAGCGCCCTCCGCCGTATCTCGTAAGGTGAATCTCCGCCCGCTGCGCCACACCACCAAGCAGTCTACGGGCTATATCCATCATCGCTCGGCAACACCCAGCTGCCACACTGTCTGTAAATGCCTTACAACACAGGGCCACCGCCACTGGTGCATCATGCCACAAGCGTTTCGGCTACGGACATCCTGGGAAGTGCGCACGAGTTCTTAAAAGGTCAGTGGGGATCGCAAGACAGTACGAGAGTTCAGTGGAAAGGGCGGGAAATGAACAAACTAGGCGAAGGAAGGCGGAGGGATTGCATTCGGCTATTAATGGTGTGGTCTGCGGAAGCGTCACATGCCTTATGTCGTACTGAGTTCTTCGAAATGTTTGTCACTGATATTCATACGCTGCTGAATACATGCATGATCAGATAAGCTTTACTACACCAGCGTATTGGGGAATCCCGGACAATATCCCAATGTGAACTTCTTCAGCATCGACCGGGTTCTGGTCTACATCAACTTCTACTCCGATTTCGGGCCGTCAAATCTCGCCCATGTCATTCGGTTTTGCGATATCATGCAGGATAAGTTAAAGGTAGACCTCGGAAACCGGATACCGTTGCTTTGAATCGAACAAGCAGTTTTGCATCTATCAAACGAAAAGGGGGCTCTGCTTTCAACATCGATACTCATGACCACACTGATCTGCAGAATCCACGCACGGCGGACAAGAAGATATGCTTGTACAGCTCTATGGATCCAGATAAGAGGGCGAACGCTGCATTCCTCATGTGCGCATACATGGTATGTGACGACGTAGACATGTCGCCATTGCGTTCCAACTAGAGAAGCACAATCGGCACTGACGGTATAATCTCGTTCAGCTTATAGTTCACAAGCAAACCCCGGAAGAAGCATTCCGACCTCTGTGCACCGCCAAACCATTCCTTTCGTACCGAGACGCGGGATACGGAACCGCTACCTACTATATAACCATTCCCGACTGCCTCCGCGGCCTGCACAAAGGGTTGACTCTGGGCCTTTTAGACATCGATTCTGTGGATGTGGAAGAGTACGAGTTCTACGAGAAGGTGGAGAACGGGGATTTCAATTGGTTAACGGATAAGTTCCTCGCCTTGGCCTCGCCGAAGGATGACCCGGTGACCACACGAGGCGCCGCGATGCCAGCCGCGACACACACATCCTCGGCTTTGTCTCTCCTACCAGCGCCATTGGCCGCCGTTCTCGGCGTCACATCGTCACAGGAACTGCACCAGCAACCAGCACATCAGACGGCTCTGCGGGCGGCGCCGTCCGGTTGGGGATTTCTTTCTCGGGCCACCGCGTCTGTCGCTCCGGCACCAGCAGCGTCCGCAATCTCACCGCCAGCGAAAGGCTTTCAACCAGCATATCGGATGCAAGACCTTGTGAAATATCTCAAGCAGCATAATGTCGGAACCGTGGTTCGTTTGAACAACCGGACATATGACCGGACGCAGATCGTCAAGGCTGGCATCGATCATGTGGAAATGTACTTTCCGGATGGCACAAATCCTCCGGATGGCATCTTGATGCGGTTTTTGGAGTTGTGCGAGTCGCGACCCGGTCAGTGCAGCTCTGGTAGCAGATCTGGTTGAATCTTGGGCCGAGCCCCTCATTTGCTTTGTTGTTCCAGGGCCGATTGCTGTACACTGCAAAGCCGGCTTGGGCCGCACGGGCAGTTTGATTGCGGCATACCTAATGAAACACTATAAGTTTACAGCCGCCGAAGTCATCTCGTTCTTGCGGATCCTAAGGCCTGGATGTGTTGTTGGACCACAGCAGAACTACCTTCAGAAGTAAGAGTGGCATCCGGTCGAGACGATTCTTTGGATCGGTCACTCCGCCTATGTCAAGCGTGTACTGATGCAAGGGAAATTATTCTATTTAACAGCATGCAGGACCGTTTGCATAGACTGCATCCGTCGGGAAATCTGCCACCCCATATCTCTCTTCTCAAAAAGCCGACCTATCCCGATGGTATTCGCCGTTGGAATGTCACCCGGACAAATGTAGTGCCCAACCCGCGGTTCAACGGCGACAGTGAAGGAGAGCTTGCACAGTTGGACATCCATCGAAGGGAAACGCAAGACGAGCTCGAACGCGCCTTTGCGGAAGCCGAGCGCGAGCGGTCCCCAGATCCAGCGGCACGGATTGAAAATATGACCATCCCTGTGCAGCCGCGCAAGCATGTGCAGAACCCTCAGCAGGCGGCGCCTGGTGGGACCAAGTTGGCGGCGGGAGGGCTCGATCTCCCGTCAGGGTCTGCGGGCGACAGGGACCGAGACCGGACGAAAGCGCAGGTTCAAGCTGCATTGGAACTTGCGAAGAAGGTACCCGTGTAAAGGGAAGAGCTGAAACACGGGAGTTGATCTAATCCTGCTTTTCATTTCGGATTTTCAAGCATTCATCGGCAAATCCAGCCACCAAGCGTTCCGCCGACTCGAGACCAAACTACGTGACGACAAGCACGGGAAGCCTTGGTCCCACGTCCCGTCCAACAACATCCCATGGGAGCGGGGGTACTGCCTCCGCGAGCGCCACACCACGCAATCAGAAACAGCAACAGACGGATTTTGTCGTGCTTGGGAAGAAGCCCGGGGTATCCATGAGCGCTCGGGAACGTTAGCGCGAGTTTTTGCATTTACATCTGTTTCTCGAATATATATATTTGGATCCGTTTCCGAGACATCTTTATGTGCACTAAGAATGCTACGGGTGTGTCGATAGACGCCGGGTTCCTACGTGCGCTAAAACGAAGTCGGCACTCACACGGACATCTCTTCTATCTGAACCCGACAGGGTCAACGCCGTTCGCTATCCTTTGCTCTTCCTCGGCAAGAAGCTGATCTAGCCTCCTCAATAGCGTTTGCCCCTGTTGCTTCCCCGTCTGAATGGTTCAACACAGTTGGTTCATGTCATCGGGAAAGAAATGGACGTAGGATAAACCTACCTGAACCATCTCAGCAAGCAAACTTGGCTCCACACCTCCCTTTCCTCCCTTTTGCAGCGCACAAAGATTTTCTGCCTTGTTGACTGCCACGGTTAGATGGGCAGATGCACACAGCTCCTCCAATGGTGTTGCATCGATGATGTGACGATATGCGATCTGGGAAAATAGGAAAGTTCAGATCGGTTCGCAGCAGTCCCAGCGAGAGGGGTCAGCATAGCACGCGACTCACTTTGCTCAGCGTAACCGAGACCGGCACGTTTTGCCATCCCTCAACGATCTCCGTCTCCTCATCAGCTATATCGAACTCAACCCGTCCATCAGACTGCTCAACAGTCGCCTTTGGGATCCTCGTGTTATGCAGCGCGCCACGAGTAGCCATGAAGATCGCATCCAGCAAATTGCCCCCGTAATCCAAAACCAGCGCATCGATGTTCAAGATCCAACATGTTGATCCCGGTATTATGCACAGTGCCTTCAGGTTGACTCCGCCCTGGGGCCCGTTCAACACCCTGTTCATGAATTGGGAGTACTCATTGCACATGTTCTCCACGTCGCGTGGGTCGAACACCCTTGTCGCCGAAGGCGAGCAGTCCACGTTGCACACTATTCGGCCTCTATCGCGGTCTTTATGCGCTGTTCCGGCCTGCTGCTCCACATCGTCGGCCGCCTCGACTCCTGCAGGGGCACCGTCGTCGTCGTCTGCGTCCGTGAGGTCGGGTTCTATGCTCCCCACTTCCACTTTGACACCGACGAGGACATCCGTCCCGCCTTCCAAAGTAACCCGGCATGAGCCGCTGGCTTGGTTGATCATGCCTGTTTCGAGCTTGAATTCGCGGTAGTCGAGACGGGACCGACCGTCGGCTCTAATGGCGCAGTCGATCCCTTTCGTTATAAAGTCCCTGGAGAAGATGCGGGGAATGCCCGTTAGCTTGAGAAATAGCGCCGCTCGGGACATTAACGACTTGCCTCACCATACCTTTCGGTCACGGATATCATGGCTGCTACGAGGGTTTTCTTGCTGGTCCAAATTGTCAAACGGTGTTCGAACTTCTACAGGCGCGTCGGTCGCTCGCTTCCACAACACGACGCTTTGTTGGATTGATACAGTCCGAGATATCTTGAGAATAGTCTTTCCGGCTATCGCCCAACAGGAAACGGGATCTTACAGGAAGCACAAGGAGGGTGGACATATGTGCCTTGGCGAGGTGCTGGTGTGAAGATCCTTCTGAACCCTCTTGCTATATACACGCCATATATTCGTGTTCACTCTGGCAAATGAAGAATTCCACTATGTAATTCTCTAGTTTCACTAGTATATGATATGGCTCGTGCACTCTACCGTCCTATTCCTACTCTCGGGTCTCTATTCCGATGCCACCTTCTCATTCTCCATCACCCCCTTCCAATACGCCGCAGTCCTCCTCAACCCCTCCTCCAACTCCACCACCGGCTTATACCCCAACACTTTAACCGCCTTCTCGGTATCCCAGTACCGATTACTCGTAATAATCTGCACGCGGAACCTCGTAAACGTCGGCGTGACGACCTTCCCCGTAGTGGCGTGGATGAGGGAGACGAAAAAATCGACGGTGGAGCCGAGGATGAACCCGAGCGTGCGTGGGATGCGCTTGGAGAGGGTGTTGGTGTAGCCGAGGTGGTTGTAGAGGTATTTGGGGACGTCCCAGAAGAAGGTGGGGGTGTGGTTTGTTATATAGAAGACCTGAGGGGATGAGCGTTGGCGGTTAGCAATGATTCTATTCTGCATTGCTGGGTTCATACGCCATACCTCTCCGGCGACGCCTTTCCGTTTGTCCATGACGTTCGCGGCAAGAATGTGCGCGTGAGCTACGTTGTCAACGTACGTCCTAGAGAATCGGTGGGAGGGTTGTCAATTTGTGATCCTGTAGTCTCAGCGCTCATAGTTATGAGCAGAAGACGATGATACCCACCAGTCAAAGAGGTATGAGTTGTCGCCAATCATGAACTTCCAGTTGCCCTTTTTGGCTGCTTCGTAGAGACCTTTGGATGCATTGTTGTCTCTGCGATGGAAGGAGTATGAGACGACGGCAAGGATTGGACACGCGAGGCAGGGGCTACCAATGCTCGCACGAGCTCGCGGAACGAAGAAGGCTCGCTATCGGTCGCAGCACCGTCGCTCGCAGCAAGCCCGCTGGCGCTCGATACCCTTTCCCTCGCTTCACTAGCCCGCCAATGCCATAGCTACTCACGCAGGTCCAAAAATTCCAGCCGGCCTCAGCACAACCGTAATCAACCCACCCTTTCCATTCGCCTCCCTGACAAACCGCTCCGCCTCCGCCTTGGTCTCATTATACGCATCCATATGCACATCACAGTACGGGTCCATCTCATCCCCATTTCTCAAATCCTGCCCATTATACGTCACACTCGCGGACGACGTATACACCAACTTCCTCACACCACTCTCAACACAGGCCTCTACGACCCGTTTCGTCCCTTCGACGTTGACGTTGTAAAGGAGGTCGCGGGAGACGTTTTCGATGAGCGCGGCGGTGTGGATGACGGTTGTGATGCCGTTGCAGGCGGGTAGGAGGGAGGCGAGGGAGGTGATGTCGCCTTCGATGAAGGAGGCGACGCGAGGGTCGGCGAAGGTGATGCGGCGGTCGAAGACATGGACTTTCGGGATGGGCCGGTCGGGGAATGAGGAGACTGTAGTGTCGGCTGCCTCGGGGGAGTGGCCATCTAGCAGCATTTCGACGATACGGCGGCCGACGAACCCTCCGCCGCCGATAACGAGATATGTTTCCTAGAAGTCAATATTAGCGACGAAGTCCTTGGGGTGCTGCAATGAGGAGACCTCTGTAACGCTCACCTCCGCGACAGTCATGGCGAGCACGTTATGCAATACTATCGAACCTTTGGACAGAGATAGAGAGACAAACGAGCGAACACCTGCAAACGGCTGGAGGGAGCGGGGCGAGGGGTGCTTATATAGATAGATGAGCGTTTTTGAGGTGCCCAGCGAAAGAGGGAGCCGCCTGAACAGCTGAGGCCGAAATTCGTCTGGGGCAAGTCAGGAAGTCAGGCCACGCGCAAGACGGGTCCTTCCTCCTCTTCCGACGACGACCTCGCCGGCATCCGTCTCAGCCTTGAACAACCAAGTGTTGCCCCCACCACCTCCACCCACCACCACCACCAACAGCCCCTGGTCGTACATATTCAACCCCCCGCGGCTCTTCCAAAATGAGTATGGGATCTAGGTAAGTGGCTTCTGCTGGCCACTCGTCACTTTGCCAGTGCTTTCCCTCCCTTCGGAACACTGTTCTACCTTTTTTGCCACAACTCATCATTCCTTCACTCCCGCTGGCACAGTTGGCAACGCTTCTCCCGCGCCGAAGCACCCGAGCGCGGCGCCTTCCCTTTGGACCTGAATGGCGAATGCCAGGACTTCGTCAAAATCTACATGGCATGTCTCAAAGAAGCCAAAGGGAATAACGGTAGATGTAAACCGCTCGCGAGGGAGTATCTGAAGTGTCGGATGGATCAGTGAGTTTGGGAAATGCCGTTCGGAGGTGGCTGGGGGGGCGAGTGCTGATGATGATGGTCTCATCTACAGTGGGCTTATGAATAAGGAAGATTTTCGGAATCTCGGATTTCATGAAGACGACGCTGCGACATCGCCGGAAAAACCATCAATATCCAGTGCCACCAGTGCCACCAGTGCGACCAGTGCGAAGAAATGATCAGCACCATATGCAGTTCAGAGGATTTCGGCCGGGAGGCAGATCTCGACCATTATCATATTCAGAACCGTCACATGCGATACGCCAGAGCCGCCCACCACTCGGCCGCGAAAGCAGTCACTAGGGCGCGAATATCTCACACAAGGGCAGTCTGGGATAGAAGCTGAGGAAGGCGCTATGTAGATAAGCAGAGCAGATGTTAGATCATCGGGAGGGCTTGCAGAATGACTGCAAGAGGGATTTGGTGGCACCAAGTTGCGCTGGAAAGCTTCAGGACTGAGCACGCAGATTGGGAGCTTTCGGCCGCAGCAAGAGGAGAGCTAAGGGAAGGATTTCCAATGCGGCGACATCTAGCCACGCGGTTCTGGGGGTCGGCTGTGCGGAAAAGGGCATGCGAGGGTGTCCTGGTGCATCTTTCTCTGCCGAAGGAACCATTCTCGCCGGGTCCTCTTCACCCACGCATAGTGCGGGATGCCCAGTCTGCCTGCCCAGCGTCGCTTCCTCTCTGCGCCAATTGCATAATTGCATACCCCGCTGCACCTCGAAAGCCAACACATAATTTAATACCACGATATTCCGCCCCTCGCATCCTTCCCCTCCCTGCGTATGCCGTACCAGATGTAACAAATGCTCCTTATAAGCGCCAACAAATGTACTCAGCAACGCATGCCAAGCAAAAAACAATAGATAATATATACTGCCGAAATCCCATCCTCACACCTCACGCTGCCCTCTTTTTCCGCCCCGCCGCCTTCCCAGGTAGCTCCTTATGCGCCTGCATAAAGTACAGATTTGGCGGTAACGAGTCTGCCTTGCGTGCAAACATCTGCTCGATTGCATCCACGCTCGTGAATGGATCCGGCACGCCGCCGCGTTCGCGTCGTTCTATGGTCGTGAGGAGGTCTTGTACGGACATGATGTTAGTTAGTTCGCGGTTGGAGATGCGGAGGTGGCAGGCGGCGAGGGATCGACTGACGATCTGAGGGAGTCGCACGGCGTTAGGATTTCTTTTCTGAGACTCAGAAAACTACATACAAGCGTTCTTACCTTGAACTTCAGTGATGGGGAAGCCAATTGCACGCTCCTCCACGCCTCAGGATCAGTGCTTTGGACAATCGCTTCTACCGTCTTTTTCACGATAGCCTCGATTTCCGCGTAAGAGGTTGGTTTTGGTTGTCCGGAATCGATATGTAACCTTTCTTCAACGCTGGAGAGAGAGATAGAACGAGGCGTGTCAGTTAGGGCGCAGGTGCGAATCATCAACCCATCAACCATCGACCATCGACCATCAACCCATCAACCCATCGAACGTCAACCGTCATCCATCAACCATAAAGCATCAACCGCCGATGATCGGGAAAGACAATAAAGACGACCGTTCGCTGTCGCTCACAGCAAGCGGCGAGGGGGCGCCCCACCACCTAAAAAGCACGATCGTTCGCTGTCGCTTACAGATATTGCGCCTGCGGCGCCGCTTGCTTCGCTGGCGTACAACCACCATCGCCCCCTTTGTTCGCGGCCCTACCTATTTGACATTTCCGATTCTTCGCCATCCTCGGCCGCCAACAAAAAAGGCGAAGCCGACCCCGCTTGCCCAACATTCTCCGTCAACGCCTCCTCGGTCCCCTTTGCGGTCTCCAATGCATTCAATAGCGGCGATCCCGTGTGCAGACCCGCGGAAGCCTGGCGGTTGACGCTGGCGAGGAAGCGGTGGGAGGCTGATGCTGATGCACTTGAAGAGAGGCCTGCGAAGGCGGAGGAGGGTGGTGGTGTGCGGATGGAGCCTGAGGCGCGGGCGCGGCGGGCGGCGCGGGCGGAGAGGTGGAAGGTGGTGCGGAGGAAGCGCATTTTGGTGGCGAGGGTGTGGTGGGGGTGTTGGGGGTTGAGGGGATCCTGGAGTGTGTCAACTCCCGCAATTCTGCTGGATATCGGCAATTCCCAGGAGGAGGAATTCTCGCGAGCGACGGAGGGATGGCAACGAAGAAAAAAGGCAGCCAATTCAACAGGCGAGAGTCCACGTGACTGTGCAATTTAACTTGCCTCCTCGCTTACTCAGCGGGGTTGTTGCGCGTTGAGGAGTTTTTGGATTCAGCTCCTCACGTTGATATACTGTACGTAGCAAACCATCAGAACGTCTGTAGGGTCAACGTATCAGGGCTCAGCAAACCTTCCAGTCCTATCCACGGTCGTCATGCCCAAATACCTCGTACATTTCGCCCAACTGCACGCGGACTTTCGGCTGCCAGGTATGCCCAATTTGACGTCGAACATTGGACTTTCAACCTCACCAGTGGTATTATGCTGACTTCCTCTTTACCCTCTACCGTTGATAGAGCTGGACTCCTTGGCTGTCCTTGAAAATGTGAAGTTGACGTACGAGAAGAGCGCTTATTCAGACGAGGTACATATCTGCCTTCGAAAGAGGGGCAACGTGGTTGGGACCAAAAGACAGCGTGGAGAGGGGAGGGGCGGTGGAGGAAGCAGAGAGATGCTGCCCTAGGGCGGAATTGCGCTTGAGCGGTTCAGAGCAACAGCCGGTCGATGGCCAGTACCTGGGAGGGGTTTGGGATTTAGCCGTCGGCTCGAAGAAAGCAGAATTTGCTCTGATACATCTTTTCGAATTATCAGCATCCCTTCCTTGTAGTCGAATGCGAAAGCGATGACGAAGCACGAAAGCTGATTCGGAGGTCTATCCTAACAAAGTAAGACCAACGACCATATCGCACATCGGGAGAAGGACTGGAGTCTCACCAATGCTCCCCGCGTACATAGGCAGATCATCAGACTGGTTGCAACGGCGCCCACCTACGACGAAGTGCTGGAAGTCGCGAAGCGCTCTACGGATCTCATCGTGAGTGTTGCTCATTCCGCACGGGCCGTGCGGCGACGACCTTCTACTGACCACCCTTCCCTACCAGGACGAGTGCCGCGGAAAGTCCTTCAAATTCGAGCTTGACGCCTTTGGCCGTACCTTCGACCAAGAAACACAGATTGCGCGGATAGAGCCGTTCTGCTTCCTTCCCTGTGGAGATGTAAATCTGAAGAACCCGGAAATCACTCTTGCATACATTGAGGATTACGGACACAGTGAGACCGCAGCGGCTAGGAATCCGGAGAGAGCGTTCTTTGGCGTACTTGTGGGGAGGGGAGATAGAGGGACGGTGACGAAGTATGATTTGAAGAAGCGGCAGTACCTTGGGACAACGTCGATGGACGCGGAGTTGTCGCTCGTGATGGCGAACCAGGCGTTGGTGAGTCTCTATCCTCCCGACGCCCGTCTCACGCGTCTCGATCTCTCACACCTTCCCCCTTAGGTGCGCGCAGGTAGCTTTGTCCTAGACCCCTTCGTCGGCACGGGCAGTTTCTTGGTCACATGTGCACATTACGGGTGCTTCACGATGGGAACAGACATTGATGGGCGGCAGATACGAGGAAAAGGTCCGTTTGCGCAAAATTCCAAAGTTGTTGGCGCGGACTGCAGGCGGCGCACGTTCTGATCAGTTCAGTGAACACAGGCGAGCGCAGCATCCGGTCAAATGTTGAACAGTATAAGCTTGGTGGACGGGTACTCGACACCGTTGTTGCTGACATTGGTAAGCAACTCGGCTGATCTGGATTGGGTACTGGGACATGAGAACTGACTGGATCGGGACAGCGCATCACCCATGGAGAGCAACGCAGTTGTGGGATGCTATTGTTTGCGATGTAGGCTTCGTGACGGTTCCCGCTGCGACTTTGAGAAGTCTGCCAACTAATTTCTTTCTCGTTCGCCAGCCACCATACGGCGTCAGAGCTGGCGCAAAGAAGCTGGGGTTTAATGCGAATGCGAAGCCGCCACCAGGAGTAGACGGGCCCCTCCCAGCTCTGAAAAAGTGAGGATCCCGTCTGTTATAGCATCAATTGTCGTTATAAGTCAACTGACATTGCAATGTTGAACAGAAACGGCGAGCTTCGGTACCCCTCAACCATCCCATACGAGATGCACGATGTCATCGTAGACCTGATAGATTTCGCAGCCGTGCATCTCGTCCCTGGAGGACGGCTAGTGTACTGGCTGCCGACGATCGTCGATGAGTAAGTCCTCAAAGCCTCTCCCGGTTTGACTATTTCGCGAACACTCATCTCCATTGCTCATGCAGATACAGCCCAGACGACCTGCCCCTCCACCCACAATTCAAACTGGTATCCAATAGCGCGCAGGTATTCGGCAAATGGTGTCGCCGGCTGGTGACGATGGAGAAGCTGCATGATGCGGGGTCGCTAGAGACGGGTGAGTGTCAAAACGCGGCCCTGGCGGAGGCTGCTTCGGCCAACCCGGCGCATGCGAAGTTTAGGGAGGTTTACTTTGGCGATGGGAGGACGTGAGATTTACGGGCCGGGGGTCTGCGGCGGGTTCGTGGATTGGATTGGAAGGATTCAGGCTTTGGGAAGGTCGTGGCCGCATAACTTATCACGTAGTATATAGCATCTCTGGCAGTAGCGCACGGTATCTAGACGTCCCATAGACAGATACCATGGTATGGATTCCCTCTGGTATATCACAACGGATGTACATCACGAGTGCATACAGGCGTTTTTGGTCAGAGATCATGGATACATCAGCGCGCGGGCGGAATGGCCATAATCTTGATGATCTGCTGATTCATCTCGTCCATGAGTTCCGTAACCTGTTTCGCGAGGGGCTTGTAATCGCTCTCGGCGTTTTTGGTCGCAATGTCTGCGGGTTCGAGAACGGATCAGTCCACATTTCAATCAATGGGTCAGACGAATGCGCAACAACGTACATTCTTTCAAATGGAAATTCGTCCCCTCTATATGCCTCAACCGCTGCTCCAGCGCCGCCAACTGCGTCGCCGTGTCGTTCTCATGCAGCGAGGCCTTCTTGGCGTCGTGCGTCGCGGAGAGATGTTGCTGCACCTCCTCGCGGAGTGTGTCGCGGATGATCAAGAGCTGGTCCCGCTCTTTCTCGTTTCGCTAGATGACCGAGATCGGCAGATCATTGCGTCAGATATTGCACGACGTAAATCATGCGTTTGCGAAGGGGATGGAGAGGCGAACCCACCTGCTTCTCAGCCTCTAGACTAGCGCGAACGCCCTCGATATCGGAGATTTTGCTAATCTCAGTTTTAAGCGATTCGATTTTCTGGCGCTGGAACGTGAGCTCGCCTTCCATTTTGCTGCCGAGCTGGCTGACTTTCTCGTAGTCTGCGAGGCGGCGGTCGCGTTCTGCCATGGGAAGAGGTACGGGATGTTAGACTGTTGGAGGGCCAGATCTTGTGTGAATGCGCATATCGACGAATGGCGGTTTGTCCGACGCCGAAAAGGGCACTATGGAACACAAACCTTGGATAAGAGCCTCCATCGTATTCTCCGAATTGCGCATCTCCTTTTCCTTGAACTTCAGATCTCCCTGTAGATCCTCGAAGACCTCAGGCGACGGCAGCTGTTCCGGCTTCGACAAGATCTGCGAAATCAACCGCAATCAGAGTCACAGCCCAAACACCCAAGACCGCATCAAAACCATCCAAAACCAACCCGCATCCGCTCCAGCATCGCCGCAATCTTCTGCTCAATAGCAGCGTTTCTGTCCAGCGCCTCCTTCTTTTTGCTTTCGTACGCGTCTATGAAGGACTGCATGTCGCGGTCGCGTTTGAGGAGTTCTTCGTATTTGGCTTTTTTCTCGACTACATGGATCGCAAGCGTTCGGGAGGATGAGTATGCGCGCTTTTCATTGGAATGGATCGGAGCACGAGGAAGTGAACCCTACCTTGATTTGCGTCCATCTCCATGTCCAGCTCCGATAGGTTCTCTTTCAGCTTTTGCGCCTGTTCTTCCAGTTCGGTGACGCGGCGTTCCATCGCTGCTGTTTCTTGGTTCGCTTCTTTGACCTGTTGTTCCCGAAAGTGTTGGCAACTCTTCCGTTTGGAACTCCGTTCAAAACACGCCAAGTCCAGCCCCATACCTGCTGCAACAGTCTATTCTTTTCCTGCGGCCCCGACTCGCCTTCCAATTCGCGGATCTGCGTTTCCATTTCCGATTTCTTCAACCGGAGCTCATTCACCTTCTCGCTTAGTGCTAGGGCACGCAGCTTGCCGGGTTCCTGGCTCAGCTCCTAATCGTACGTGAGGTTTGAAGGTCAGACTCTTGAGCACATCAAGCCCCGACTGATGGGAGACTAGCTTACCTGCTGTAGAGCGGATGATTCCTTGGTGAGCCCATCAAGCTGCAACTGCTTGGACTTTATCTCCTCAGAGTATCGAGCGTTTTGCTCTTTTAGTTCGTGGTAGGTTGCTCGACGGGTATCGTCCTGAGTGAGAACGTGTGAGGGTTTCCTGTCATCCATACGAGGTTACGAGGTGCGAGAACCAGCCTACCAGATTGTTGATCTGCTGCTCAACAGTTCGACGCTCCTCGTCCATCTGAGCCTCGATATCCCGTATCGCCGTTTCTCGTCTGAATCAATACAACCGGAAATCAGATTCTCATCGTTCTTGCCACCTCCTCCCATAGGGATCCCCAAAGATTACTGTGGGAACACATACTGCTGCCTTTCCTGAAAGACATCATCAAGCGTCTGTGCATTTCGCTCATTCTTCGCCTTGATCTGACTCGCTAGCCGCTCAATGTCCTCCAGATCGGAGTCTGTGTGCAGTTTGTCGACGAGGGTGTTGTAATCGCCAAGCTGGCCTTGGAGCTCGCGGAGCTCGTCGGCTAGCGTGTCCGCTCTTGTTTGTGAAAGTTGTCAGTGACCTATTGAGCGCAAACCATAGATGTTCGGCAGGTATCCCATACCTCCTCTGGAAGCTCATATAATTCGTATTCTCCTTATTGATAGTATCATACTCGTTATTGAGTTTGTTGATCTCCGAGTTCAGGAGCGCTATCTTGTGACGGAGCTCGCTTTGGAAGAATGTTACATCTTGCACCATTCTTCCTGGTCCTTTCGAGATGCAAACTCCGTCAGAAAGCGATCAGAGTTTGGCCGATGGAAATTGTAGCGGGCTTACCTTGAACACCTGTCTTCATCCCTCCCAGACCTTGCTGTGTCATCGGACGGTCCAAGACCTGGTAACCTGCACATGTTGACTATGTGAGTTTGGCACTAGAGAAATAGCGGTCTCGTTGCGCACATACCGAACCCGCTCCGAGATGCAGTGGTCGGGCGAGCTGTTCCAGGTGGACCACCTCGTGTGGGCGCTAGAAAGTATCGTTAGCAAATGGTCTAGCGACATTGAAACTCCGGGCAGTACTCTGCGCTTACCATTTCTACCAGCGCCGCCAACCGCTGTTCCTGGTGGGGCAGGCCCTCGTCCCCATGCTGTGTTTGGATCCGAATTGGTCCGAGCATCAGCACCGGTACTTCCATTTGTCCATAAACCCCCAATGCTAATACGCACATGTCCCTGCTCCCGCCCGACTGCTTGGCCGGTTTGCTAGAGATCCTGTTGGCGGACGACCTACGACAATTTGAAGATCAGAACACAAACGCTACATTTTTGATTGACAGACATGGCCTTACCGTACATTGCGGGGCGAAATCTGCTGGATTTGACTCGGATAGTAACTTCTATCGGGTTTCCGCTTTGAATCACTCGATTGTTCACTGCCAACGTCGTTGCTGCCCGACGGAGTTGTGCTTTTATATTACTGAAAAGGGCATTGACCTCAGTGAACTTCTATTTCCATATTCATTGCTGACGAAAAATCATACCTGCTGCGTTCAGCTGGTTTCCAAGGAGTTTGCAATTGAAGTGCTTCCTTCATTCACGAACGGCATCACGGACATGCCCCGGACGAAACGCGAAACTGACACGAACCGTTCGAAATTCTACTACGTAGCTTACGTCATCAGCAAGGTCAAAATCGGTTTTTTGGACCTCCCAAAAGCCGGGCAAGCATGGCGACGGAGTGACCAACTGTATGATGAGCGAAAGCTCAGGTCGTGTCAGTTCTCGAGGGCATGTACTCAGGTCTTCTGGCAGTGAAGGTCCGGACTTCAATTGACGTGACTCGACCTTTGCGACGCGAAGTTCACGTTTAAACGGGTGTCAAGCGGGTTTCCAGGACAGCAATCGGCTGGAGCAGGTGCCATCGAACCCAGAGAGGGCTGCCCCTGGGATGAGCACAGTCCCCTTTAGCAGCCCAGCCTCATGTCTTGAGGTTCAAATCCATGCCCGGGAGGTTCTGTCTAAACAGCCCAAGACTGGGAGAGGCCACAGAAAGAAGCCATCCAGACGCCTTCCACCTTTTGTACACATCAGAATATCTTAGAGCATCTACCTATGGTTATATACTGTACATGCTTCCAGTCTTTCCAATGACCAAGACCAATGAAAATCCATTCGTCGAGTTCATGGAATATATCTAGCCCAAAAATGATGCTTGCGCCTGCTCCATCTGCCGCGAGGATCCGGATCCCATCCTCAGTCATCGTCCTCGCTCGCAAACTCCTCGTCGTCCTCCGGCTGCGCTTCATCTTTTCCCACCGATCCATTCTGAGCGGCCTTTTCCGCGTCCACTACTACCGTTAAAAACGAGTTGATATCCTCCCTCATCGTGGCTAAACTCGAGTTGAGGGCTCGCGTGTATGCCGCTACACTCGATGGCTTTGTTTCCGTAGGCAGAACGGCGTTCAAGTCTTTAGTTGTTGCAAAGCTCGTGGGAGCTGCTCCGTCGGCGGTTTGCGAGCTGTACTTGTACGCAAAGGCGATCTGGGGTCCCGAGACAGTAGTTGGGCGTTCTGGCGACATGAATTTGTGAGCGTTCTGGTGGTTAGGGTTGGAGGATACGTCGTCGCCGTGCTGGAGCTTTCTTCGCTTCATCTGAGTCCTATGGAGTTGTGTGATGCCAAGTACAGATTTCGCCGTGGCGTGGAGCTCGGAGCTGCTCTGAGCGCTCTTACAACTACTGTACTGTACAAGGATCACGTGATGCCCGACTTGCAGCGGATCGGCGAATAACGTCTCCTTCGCGCTTCCCATATTTCGGTTGGCTTTTTCTTTGGTCATTACCGGAACAGGACTTCGATAGGACCGTTCTGAACAGCACTCACTCTTCCGAAACCAAAACTCTCGCTGCTGTAATGGGCCGCGCTGCTACAACGTCCGCAACGGCGGTCGCCACTACCCCCGCCAAGAAGGCGCAACCTGGAAGGAAAGGCAAGAAGGCATGGAGGAAGAACGTGGACTCCACTGAGGTGGAGGAACAGCTCCACGAGCTGAGGAATGAAGAGCGTATTGGGTATGTCTTGATTTCGGTGTTGGCTCTGTGCAGCTTACGCCAGCACGTGCTCCGGTAATTGAAGAGTGAGGTCCCCGAATTTCGCCTAACTTGTTCTCTCAATGCAGCGGAGGAAAACTTTACACCAAAGCGAACGCGGACCTTTTCTTCACTGACAAGTCCGGCGATGCGGAGATCAAGCGGAAATTCCAGTTCAAAAAGCTGAAAATTGACGAAATCCTGCAGCCTACGTCTGCCATGGACGGCGTGCTCTCGAGGCCGACGGCCAAGTCTACAGTCAAAGTAGCCCCGGAGGGCATGAAAGCGAGGAACGTGTCGAAGAGCAACGTGGAAGCGGTGGAGAAACTCGCGAAACGGAAGGCCGAGAGTGGGCTGGCACGAGTGGGCGCGAGCGCAGAGGCTAAGGCGGCCGCCTCTGCGGCGAAGAAGCGGAAGTTGGAGCAAAAGAAGGGTGGCTTTGATCTGTGGGATGCACCAGAAACGGAAACGACCGTGATAGATTCCTCGTTGGATGTCGCGTACATCGAACCCACACTGAAGAAGTCTGTGAAGAAACCACTTCTTCCCGATACTCTGCCGAAAGGCATCAAGGCCGTTGAGGTTTCACACGCGGGTGCTTCATACAACCCCAGCTTCGACGACCATCAAAAAGCGCTCCGTGAGGCTGTGGACGAAGAGACGGAAAAGATTGATACCAAAGCGAAGACGCTCAAGAAGCTTTCATACCCTGCGGAGCTGGACAACCTTGATGACGAGACTTTCTTCGACGATGATTCAGAAGAGGAGGAGGAAAACGAGGCTGAAACTTCTGCAGCAACTGGGGAGACAACGGTGACGGCGGAAGTTTCAGCGCAGCAAACATTCGCTGCTCCAGTCGTGGTGGAACGCAAAACACGGGTGGACCGGAACAAGGAAGAGCGTCGGGCAGCGTTGGAGCGCGAACAAAAAGCTGCAAAGGAGGCGAAGAAGCTGGACAAGCAGCTGAACAGGCTGGGGGAACTGAAGAAGATCGTCAGCAAGGAGGAGCGAATACGACAAGCTCGCCTTGAGGAACGCGAGAGGGAAGCGGTGGAGAAGGCAAACAACGAGACCCGCCGGTTGGGTCCTCATGCGTAAGTAGCTTGGGACATCGAGCAGAGTGAACTTATGCCTGTCGGTGCTGACATTTCGTTCTTCCGTCTCCACTAGCTTCAAACCTGCACCGATGGATATCCAGCTGACAGAGGAGCTTGCTGACTCTTTACGGGAGCTGAAACCTGAAGGAAACCTGTTCCGTGATCGTTTTACGAGTTTGCAGAAACGAACGCTGATTGAGGCTCGAGTGCCAATTAGGTATGTTTTGCTTGATTCGTCAAGGGCTTTTGATGAAGTCATCAGTCGCCTGCCTTTGCTAACTTGATGCCTCCCCTTTCCCAGCAAAAACAAGAAACTCCGATACAAACGCAAGTTGGTGGAGACTCACGACTACAAGCGTTTCAAGTAGCCGTCTTTGCTCTCTCCATGATAAGCTTAGATCTCGTGGTAGATTCCTTAGCACCTTATTTAAACCCATTGATACTATAGAGACCTGTACATAGCCATGCCATACTCATTCGGAAGCGCTGGGGCTGCTTACTCAAACCCCCAGTGAATACGATATTTGAAAAAGTATGTCGGCAGAACGAGAAGCAATCCGTCCATATTCGGCGCATCTATGTATCCCACCGCATCAAAGGAAAGCAGCATCAGTGGGAAAACAGCAGAAAGCAATGTGGCGCAGTCATCGACACGCGAAACTTCCGATTTCAGCATTTGATCTGCCCTCTTGCTGAGGAGGCCAATTAGGCGCTTCAGCGACTGACACCCAGAGTGAGGAGGTGGAGCTTGACGCACCATGGCATCTCCCCTATTACCTGTATCAGCCGCCTCCAGGCGGGCTCCCGGCTCAGCTCGACTCGCGTTGCTGTTCACGCTCCTGGATGCCAATTCGACGAGCCGACAATCCCGATGTCGATGTTTTTCCAACTCCGCCCGTCTGAAGGGATGGGAACACGAAGAGAAGGAGCCGAAGAGCTCTCCTGCTGGTGGAGGGTTTATGCCGGCACCAAGAGGTGGTGGTGCTGGGGGCTTCATGCCGCCAAGGAGATTTGAGCCACCACCAGCGCGACCAAAGCGGGATAACGGTTCTGATCTGCGGCCACCGCCGTTCGCAAAGAACGCCGACTCTCGGAACGGTCAGCGGGCGGATAACCGGAATGCCTCCGGAAGAGGCTTCCAGGCTCGAGGGGATCAGTCTCGTTGGGAAAAAGGGCCTGCACGGCAGGGCAAACCGCCGGCCGGCCGCGAGTCCGAGAAGCCGGCTCCTGCAGCAAAAGCTGCGCCAGTGATTGCGGAGGTGGACGACGAAGAGTCGTCCTTCACAGATCAGCGCAGGAGCGGCCAGGGCAAGTTCGCAAAAATGTCGGGGAAGGAGCGGGACCGTGAGAAGATGGCGAGATCTCACGAGAAGCGGAAGGGGGAGAAAGAGCGGTCTAGTGGCGCCAAAAAGAAGGCAAAACCTGCCGTCCTGCAAAAGAACATTCATCTGCAAGACGGAATCAGCGTGGCGAATCTGAGCACGTTATTGGGAGTACCGTTCAATCAGTTGGTGTGGAAGATGAAGGACCTTGGTGTGGACACGACGGACGCGGATTACGTTTTGCACAGCGAGATGGCCAGTCTGATTGTGTTGGAGTACGGTTTTAACCCCATTGTGGCGACGATATCCGATGTGGATTTGACTGCGAGACCAGAACCGGAGGACTGGTCAGAATATCCCGTCCGTCCGCCGGTCGTGACGATTATGGGACATGTAGATCACGGAAAGACGACGCTTCTGGATTCGCTACGGAAGACATCGGTCGCAGCAGGAGAAGCAGGCGGAATTACACAACACATTGGAGCCTTCTCGGTGCTCTTGCCGTCGCAGAAGCGAATCACATTTTTGGATACCCCAGGCCACGCCGCATTCTCAGCAATGCGACAGCGAGGCGCGCAGACCACGGATATTGTCGTCTTGGTCGTGGCAGCAGATGACGGTGTCATGCCGCAGACAGTCGAAGCGATCAAGCACTCGCAGACAGCAGGCGTGCCCATCGTCGTAGCGATTAACAAGTGTGATAAACCGGACGCGAACGTCAGGAAGCTCAAAGAGGGCTTGCTGCGTTACGACGTCGTTTTGGAAGAGTTTGGTGGGGAGATTCCCGCGGTGGAGGTGTCTGGTCTGACGGGCAAAGGCTTGGACGAGCTGGAAGAGACGATCGTGACCATGGCTGAAGTGATGGACATTCGAGGGGACCCGAATGGGCCCGTTGAAGGCGTCGTCATCGAGTCCAAGCTCGTTCGTGGGAAAGGCAATGTTGCGACCTTGATGATACGACGGGGCACGTTGACTCCCGGTGACGTTGTCGTTGCCGGGAACACGTGGAGTAAAGTGCGTATCATGCACGACGAGCATGGGGTTGACGTGAAGAAGGCGGGTCCGTCCACACCCGTGGAAGTTATGGGATGGAAAGATCTCCCCGCAGCCGGCGATCTCGTCTTCGGGCTCGATGCTGTGAGTATTGCACCATTGCCATATAACTCTCATACACTTAGCCAACCAGATATTCACCGGACTTTCATTACCAGGGCGTGGCAGAAGGCATAGTCGGACCCGCTCGAAAAGCATCCGACGTCCCCAAAAACATCCTCGAAGCCGCCAAAAAGGTTGTTCAAGCACGCATTGAGCGAGCCAGACGCGAGGCCTCCATCGAAGATATCAAACTGCTCAACGAGAAGCGTCTGAAAGAGAAGCAAGAACGTGCTGACGCGAAAGCCGAAGAGGCCGGTGAGCCCACGTCTGCAGATACCATGACGGAGGAAGAAGTGGAGGCTGAGGCGAAGGATGTTGCTGCAAGCGGACTTCCGGTCCTGAATGTCGTGTTGAAATCGGATGTGCATGGGTCGCTGGAGGCGTTAACGGATGCGATCAATGGTCTGCCGGCGCATCAGGTCCGGGTGTGTATTGTCAAGTCGGGTGTTGGGCCCGTGACGGACTCGGATGTGGATTCTGCGTCGGCTGCCAAAGGTTGGTCCTCCTCTTTCTTATGTGCGGCACATGGACTTTACAGCTGAACTCTATGTTTAAACCCTAACCTTCCAGCCGAGATCATCACCTTCAACATTCCCATCGACAAACGCACCTCGCAATACGCGGTCACGTCAGGCGTCACGCTCCGCCCTCACACCATCATCTACAAGCTGCTCGACGAACTGAAAGAAATCATGGGCGACCTCCTCCCGCCAGAGATCATCACCGAAGTCAATGGCGAAGCCGAAATATTGCAAGTGTTCGGGATCAACGTGAAGGGCAAGCAGATTGAGAAGATTGCGGGATGTCGCGTGGCTACGGGGAAGGTCACGCGTGCGAATAGCATTCGGATTACGAGGAAGGGAGAAGTTGTTTATGATGGTGAGTTCATGGACCGAGGCCTTTGGGTGGACTTGACACGGAGTTGGGAGCGCTTTCTGACTCCATACGCACTGGTCTCCAGGTCGTTTGAAAACGTTCAAGCACCACAAAAAGGATATCAACGAAGCCTCCAAAGGCTTGGAATGCGGCATGGGCTTCGAAAGGTTTGACGCTTTGGAAGAAGGAGATATCATCCAGGCGTACACGACCATCCAGAGGAAGCGCAAGATCACATAGACTTGTAGACCTATATATTGAAATCGTTCATCCCTATATAGATTTTGACCCCGTTCAGACGTCGGCTTGCCCGTCTTACATATAGAGCACCTTCCTTTCGATGGAGTGGTCGGTGATGCGAAGTATAGGAAGAAATCTACTATGCTGGGGTAATCGGTGTGGTAATCGACTAACAAGGTTTCTGTCGCGAGTGCCGGATACACTTGAAAGCTTCGTTTGGCGCCTCGCCGCTGTGCACGTGGCCTCGTGCAGTGCATTCAACCCCGGATGCACATGGCGCCGTAGTGCAATACCGCTCGTCGTGCGTTTTCTTGTTTGGGTCCGTCGTGCACGTGCTGGCGTTGCTAGGCTTTTATCGTGTGTCGGATATGGTCCCTTTGCGTGGGTGTCTCTTTGCTTCGGTTGCCCCGCTCACCAGCCTGCCGAATATGCCTGCTACTGTTATATACGCTATTGCAAGTACTGAAACGGCAAATCCCAGCGTAAACACAGCCTCGACAACGCCCATGTCTGCTTCGGGATCCTGATGCTGGCTCATGGCGTTGTGGTAGGCAGGGAAAATGTGTACACATAGGAGAATTGTCACGGAATGTGACATAAGGTCCCATATGAGACGCGCCGCTGTCACAGTGGCGCAGCTGTGACAGCAAGCCACGCTGCGCCACACAAGCGCTCTAGTGTACTTTATAACTGTCAACTAGGAGACCTCAATTAGTAGCACGTTTTCATACCCAAAAAAAAGATATGGATGTCACATATACCTGCTGTATGGTCTACAGGTGAACAGTAACAGTTGATTGGAGCCGCCACAACAAGCAGTAGCTGACGAGAAGGTAGTTTGGTTTTTGGACCTTCGCAGTTCTGCAATGCGGCTATGGAACATTTTAGCATTATAAAGGATGCTCCGAGCCCAGGAGAATGCAATCAAATTGAGATCAGGAAGGTTAAGTTCGCTTCCGCGTCCCCCCCTAGAATGTCAGTGGTAATCAACAAGATGGAGATGAGAGCGATGTATTGGGTTGCGGAGAACACGGCACGATTATATAGACTACAAGGTGAGGGAGGGAGGGTTCAACAAACGTTATCCTTTGCTGCTAGAAAAAGGATAATGGGAAAGGAAGGAAAAGAAGCAGCTACGCCGTAAGGCGACGGGATTACAAAAGGGAAATTTATATAGAGAGATCACGGGAGCCCACCCCGCGCGCGCTCAATTAACTCCGACACCTTCGGTGAACTACGATAAGTTCGCTTCCGCATCCCCCCCTAGAATGTCAGTGGTAATCAACGAGATGGAGATGAGAGCGATGTATTGCGTTGCGGAGAACACGGCACGATCCCAATGGCGAAGCCGTGGCCGTGTCTCGCGCAGGCCCAAGGAGCACCGAGTGCGGAGGGTATGGGAGCACCGGGTGCGGGTAGGGAGGGGCACCGTGTGCGTACTGGAGCTTACCGTGGGCGCCCGCGCGCGAGGCGGGCAGTGTAGATACATGGGGCACCTGGTGCGAGTATCAGAGCTTGCCGTGGGTGCCGGCGCGCGGGGTAGTGTAGAAGATGCGTGAGGCGTCTGATGCCGGATCGTGATGCCGGTGCAGCGGAAAGGGGCACCAAGTGCGAGAACCGTAGTATCAGTGGAACGTGCAGGTATGATTGGTATACGACAAGAAAAGAAAGGGGAAAACAGATGAAGGTCAACTGGGGATGAACATAAATAGGGTGACAAGACTAGCTACCCATCAGAAGCCGGCGTCGTCCTCGGCGCGCACACGTCTCCCTCTAAATAGGATGGCCTGTTATGGACGACGCGTCCATACCATGCGCTTACCTCATGACAGCATCCCAACAGTCAGTCAATGTCAATTCCCTGTCAAAACCTGACATCTGCCAAACCTCGCAGCCGCACGCAGCCGCGCTACCCCACACCTGCCACTGCCTTCATTTCTCCATGCAGCCGCACGTAGCCACACCTCCCAACACTCGGCGCTTACAAACCCTTCTCCATACTTCCCCACGTACCCGCCCACAGCCTCAGCGTAGCCACCCCATCCCCAGTCTTCTGTTTCTATGCTTCCCCACCCTTGGCGCTTCTCTTGGCTTCCCTCTCATTCCGTACCCTTCTGCTTCTCCACGCTTCCCCAGCCTTCCCAGAAAAACATAAATAGCCGCCTCCCCTGAGCTCCCCACTTCCTGATCCCCCAGCAGATCAACACCAGTTCTTCCTAGTCTTGTTCTAGTTCTTGTTTCGGTCTGAATACCATTACCTGTCAACAACCTGCACCACAAGTCGCCTCTATTTCCGTCGGCTCCGCCCATTCATAACAGTTTGATCTGCTCAACAACCCCCAGCCGCTGTACCTCCACGCCAAATCACCATGTCCGACGCCCTTCCCCTCACGGCCGAAGCCTGGCAAGCCATGTGCAATGCGATTGACGAACTTCGAGCACAGAATACCACCCTACAAGCCGAACTAGAGCAAACCCAGACCACTGCCCCTGCCACCCACGCCCCCGAACCCAAAATCAGTCTCCCAGACAAATTTGATGGCACCCGAAGCAAGTTCCGTGGGTTCCTCAACCAGATCCGGCTCATGTTCGCCCTCCAACCCAGGCGCTACCCCAACGATCAGACCAAGATACGAACTATTGGCACCTACCTCACTGGCACCGCCCAGGCCTGGCTGGCGCCCCTTGTCGAACAAGACCATCATTCCCTTACGAACCTGGATGATTTCATCCAGCAAATGCAAGCAGTCTTTGGAGACAGCGACAGGATCCGCACATCCGAAAACAAGCTCCAGAACCTTCGACAAACCCGTGCAGCAACAGAGTATGTAGCTGAATTCCGACAGCTGCAATGCGCTGTGTCGTGGAATGACCAGGCATTGATTGCCACCTTCCGTCGCGGCCTCAAAGAAGACGTCAAGGACTTAATGCTCACGATGCCCCCTACCGCCTCAATCGACACGGTGATGGAACAGGCCATCCAATGTGACAACCGATTGTTTGAGCGCCGTCTAGAGCGAAGCAGGAACCGACAGTCATATGTGCCAGTTACCACTAGCCCCACCCTCATGAGCCCCGACAACCGCCCAGACGACCCTATGATCATTGACGCTGCTCGTCCGCGAGGACCCCTCACACCGCTAGAGCGCCAACACCGCATCACAAACAAACTTTGCCTCTACTGTGGTAAACCCGGCCACATAGCCAAACTCTGCCCGAACAAGATACGCACGGCGAATGTCGCGGTTAAGGAACCTGCACCCATCCAGGATTTTGCCCAAGTCCAGCTGCAGTAAAGGCCGAGCAGCTGGGCAACACCTGTCCTGGGCCTTCTCACCACGCAAGTACTGCCAAGGGAGAAGCCACAAAACCTTGCTCCGATCCTGGCATCTCCAGCAACACCCTTCTCCTGACCACCAACAATGTCAATCTCCTATCTGAGATACCCTCACCCATGCGGACTTTGGGTCCATCCTCACAATTCGAGTACCCTGTTACCCTGCAGATATCGGCCCAGCGAGCTCCAGTTCAGCTTTCAGCACTACTTGACACCGGTGCGATGTCGTGCTTCATCGATGAACGTTATGCCCGCAAGCACCGCATCCCACTTGTCAAGAAGGAGGACCCCATTGCGCTTGAACTGGTTGACGGACGTCCCAGCCATGCGGGCTCCATTACCCATCACACCCAACCTTTGGGCATGTGGGTCAACGACCATTTTGAGGAGGTGGTATTCCATGTGACATGTTCCCCGCATGCGCCAATCATCCTGGGGCTTCCCTGGTTTGAGCTCCATGATGTGGAGCTACACTGGAAGACTCGCACTCTTTGCGTCCGCTGCCATTGCGGTTTTGGACAATACGCCTCCTGGGATGCCCTGCCAACAGAACCTAGCCCGAAGCCCTCAAAAACCCCTGAACCTCCATCAAGACGAGATTTCAGTCTCCCTAGCCCAGACACCCAACACACTGGGCCCAGCACCCACACTGACCCACGTATCGTTTATCAGCGCCCCAGCTTTCTGTGTGGCGGCAAGGCATGACCAGGCATTCATTGCCTACGCCAATCCGACCAAGTCAGATTCCCAAGCCCTGGCGACCACTCCTCCAAAAGATCCGAAGGCCATCATTCCTGAAGAATACCAAGATTTTGCGGACGTCTTCGCCAAGAAGAACGCGGATACCCTCCCAGAGCACCGACCCTACGACTGTCCCATCGACTTAGAAGAGGGCAAACAGCCACCGTTCGGCCCGATCTATAGTCTCAGCGAGCCTGAAATGCAGGCACTCTGTGACTACCTTGAAGAGAACCTAGCTAAGGGGTTCATCAAGCACTCCAAGTCTCCCGCCGGTGCCCCAGTCCTCTTTGTCAAGAAAAAGGACGGTTCCCTCCGTCTGTGCGTCGACTATCGTGGACTCAACAATATCACCATCAAGAATCGCTATCCCTTGCCCTTGATTAACAGCATCATGGATCGTCTTCGAGGGGCACGCCGGCTCACCAAGATTGACCTCCGGGGAGCCTACAACCTTCTTCGGATCCGGCCAGGGGATGAATGGAAGACAGCGTTCCGATGTCGCTACGGCCTATTCGAGTATAATGTCATGCCGTTTGGGCTCACCAATGCCCCTGGAGTATTCCAACACCTCATGAACGACATATTCCGTGACATTCTCGACGTTTTTGTTGTGGTCTACCTTGACGACATTCTAATCTTCTCAAAAAACCCAGAAGACCACCCCAACCACGTCCGAGAGGTGCTCTCACGACTCCGCCAGCACGGGCTGTATGCGAAACCGGAAAAATGCGAATTCAACCGTGACTCTGTTGAGTTCCTGGGGTTTATCATCTCCCAGCAAGGCATTTCCATGGACCCATAGAAGACGGCTGCCATTACCGAATGGGAACCCCCGACGAATGTCAAAGGCATCCAGCGCTTCCTTGGTTTTGCCAACTTCTACCGGCGATTCATCAAAGGGTACTCTGCGATCGTTGCACCCCTGACCACGCTCACTCGCAAAGACTTGCCATTCAAATGGACCCACGCTGCACACCTAGCTTTTGAAACCCTCAAGAAAGCCTTCACCTCCGCACCTATCCTGACTCACCCCGACCCTGACAAGCCCTTCATTGTCGAATCCAATGCCCCCGACTTTGCCCTTGGCGCCGTCCTCCTTCAACCCGATGACACAGATCAACTCCACCCCGTGGCCTTTCACTCCCGCAAATTTACTCCTGAGGAAATCAACTATGAGATCTACGACAAGGAACTCCTGGCTATCCAAGACTCGTTTGCTCAATGGCGACACCACCTCATTGGTGCCCGCCACAAGGTCATCGTTTACTGTGACCACAAGAACCTCCAGTACTTCATGACTACCCGTACCCTCAACCGCCGCCAATCCCGCTGGTCAATCTTCTTTGCTGATTTCGACTTTGTCATCACATACCGCCCTGGTACCCAGCAACACCAAGCTGACGCCCTCTCTCGTCGCTCTGAATACGAGCTAAGGGAGGGGGAAGAAGCATTCCGCTCCCAGGAAACCACGATCCTCACCCCTGACCATCTCCGCCTGGCCGCCACTTATCTGACCCCACTGGACTCCTCGCTCCTTGACCAAATCAAAGCTGCCCTGGCATCCGATGTGTTTGCGCAAACCATCCGGCGACAGCTTAGGGCCCCCATTGCCCAGCAATCTCAAGAAGACCAAGAACGGATAAAGCAATTCTCCGAGGAAAATGGGGTTCTGCTGTACGACAACCTTGTCTACGTCCCCACCAACAAGCTCCGTGCTGAGATCTGCCGGGACATGCATGACACGCGTTTGGCAGGACACTACGGCATGTCAAAGACCCTGGAGCTCATCTCACGCAACTACTGGTGGCCTAGCCAGTGGCGTTTTGTCAAGTCCTACATCAGGTCCTGCGACGTATGTGCTCAAGCCAAGACCAGCAGACACAAGCCCTACGGTCTCCTCCAACCCCTGCAGGTCCCTGACCGCCCCTGGGGGTCAATTTCCATGGACTTCATCACGGATCTACCCGCCAGTGATGGGGTTGATTCTGTGCTCGTTGTCATCTGCCGGTTCACCAAGATGGCGCACTTTGTACCGTGCAGGAAAACTGCCACCGCTGAGTCAACTGCAGATCTGATCTGGCACCATGTCATCCGGCTCCATGGACTCCCCGACGATATCGTATCTGACCGTGGCCCACAGTTCAACTCCCACTTCTGGAAACGTCTCTTCGCTCTCCTGGGAACCAAGGTCAACCTCTCATCGGCGTTCCATCCCCAGAGCAATGGACAAACCGAGCGGACCAATCAGATTCTTGAGCAATACCTTCGCTGCTTTTGCAACTATCAACAAGATAACTGGAAGGAACTCTTGTCTTCTGCTGAGTTCTCTTACAATAACACCATCCACTCCGCCACCCAGACAACCCCCTTCTACGCCAACTATGGGTTCCATCCTCGATTCAGTCTGGCTTCCGCCACCACAACCGAATCCCTTAATCCTGCAGCCGAAGCTCGTGCCAACCATCTCAAGGAAATCCATGAACAGCTTGCCACTGAGCTCAAGGAGGCCCAAGGACGCATGAAGCGCTTTGCCGATGCTAAGAGGGCACCTGGCCCAGACATGAAACCCGGGGACAGTGTCTGGCTCTTACAGCGGAATCTCAAGACTCTCCGACCTTCCCAAAAACTTGATCACCGTAAGATTGGCCCCTTCACAATCACGGAGAAGATCAACTCGGTCACATATCGCCTCAAGCTTCCCCCATCCTACAAAATTCACAACGTCTTCCATGTCTCCCTTCTTGAACCATGTTTCACCATTCCGGAGCGAACTGAGCCAGAACCCACCCCACCAGAAGAAGTCGAAGGACAGGAGGAATGGATTGTGGAAGACATTCTTGACTCCCGTATTCGACGCACGCACCTTCAGTACCTCATCAAGTGGCAGGGTTGGCCAAGCTCGGAGAACACATGGGAGCCAGTGGAGCACCTTGCCCGATGTCAAGAGCTTGTTGCCCAGTTCCACCAAAAGTACCCCGACAAACCCCGACCAAAGCCTGCCAACATCAAAACAACATCCGGACGCCGTGGCTAAAGGAGGGGGTGATGTTATGGACGACGCGTCCATACCATGCGCTTACCTCATGACAGCATCCCAACATTCAGTCAATGTCAATTCCCTGTCAAAACCTGACATCTGCCAAACCTCGCAGCCGCACGCAGCCGCGCTACCCCACACCTGCCACTGCCTTCATTTCTCCATGCAGCCGCACGTAGCCACACCTCCCAACACTCGGCGCTTACAAACCCTTCTCCATACTTCCCCACGTACCCGCCCACAGCCTCAGCGTAGCCACCCCATCCCCAGTCTTCTGTTTCTATGCTTCCCCACCCTTGGCGCTTCTCTTGGCTTCCCTCTCATTCCGTACCCTTCTGCTTCTCCACGCTTCCCCAGCCTTCCCAGAAAAACATAAATAGCCGCCTCCCCTGAGCTCCTCACTTCCTGATCCCCCAGCAGATCAACACCAGTTCTTCCTAGTCTTGTTCTAGTTCTTGTTTCGGTCTGAATACCATTACCTGTCAACAACCTGCACCACAAGTCGCCTCTATTTCCGTCGGCTCCGCCCATTCATAACATGGCCAACAGCAAGCTAGGATGGCTTCGCACATATCTGCGCCACGCCTCCGACTCCCAACGTCCTAGCAGCTGTATGTCAAGCGCGGAATGACCGAGAAAAGCGAGCTGTGTGGCGCCGCCCGCGCGAAAGCTGGATGCCGACGCCTCGTGATCTGTAAGAGCTTGCTACGCGCCAGAAAACCATGTGCGGCTAGCCACCTTCCCGCTTGAGAGTGTCCAGAGCGGTTGATCCGCAGAGTGTCCCTTAGAAGCATGCCAGTTCATCGGCGTATGGAGCGCGCGGTACGGGCAAACCCGCTGGTCGTCACGGGGCACCAGAACTAGGTGTTGATGGTGGTCAGTGAGCGTTTTTGGTTTTGGGATCCTGATCCAATAGCCGTCGCCGCCTTCCACGCGGAGCCGAGATACATCCCGCAGCCTGACAACACCATCTCGCTTGAAGTTCTTCCTGTCGCATACTATCTCTCGGAGCCTCGCCAATCCCCAAAACGCGCAGAGAGCAAGGGTACGAAGAATGAGCATGTCATGCGGTTCCGGTGCGGCGTCCGTAGGCGCCAAGAAGAGTGTGCAGAGCATGAAGATATCGACTTCTGGTTTCTGATTCGCGGCTTGAGAGATGTCGAGAGCGCGGAGAAGGGTTTTTGTGCGAGAGAAGCGAGCTTTGGTGATTTTGTCTTTGTATATATAATCGAATTTGTAGCCAGCATGATTGTGGATATCTTTGAGAGAAGAAAGGTAAACGCGAAGGGTATTTAATTTGATTGTGCATGCAAGCACTCATTCCAGCTGATAGTCGAGCCATTTTCTAAAATTTGTGGGGTTAATAGGAAAGACGCTGCCGCTCGCGTTCCGCCAGTTCCGCAATATGGCAAGTGCTGTGTAGGCGGTCGCAACGCTCTTGTAGGAGGGGTTGCGCCACTCGGTCCATGCTGTCACCCGCGGCATGGTGTAGGGGTATGGTGGCACTCGAGGAAGCCGACGGTTGGCGAAGCCGAAGGGGGAGTATTCCACGAGAGGAAGGGCGGGAGTAAGGGTCGGGCTTGAGCAAAATGAGGGTTGTCGGCCCTGAACTGGGCATCGGGGCCCCGAGTGAGCGAATCGCATCCTGGGATATTCTGCCGGCCAACGTGAGAAAAGCGCAAGTCGAACTGGAACGTCATGGCAAGCGTGCGGAGATGGCGAATGCACTTGTCAATCAAGGGATCTTTGGAATACCCGGAGGCCCAGAGTTGGGTGCATGCCAGGTTGTCTGTGAGCCACACGATGCGCTTGCGGGGAAACTGGTTGCCAAACGTCGTGAGCCCGATGCAAATGGCGACCATTTCGAGGGTAGTGGAGTGGATATCGCGAAAGCAGGCGGAGCACCAATCGCCGAAAGTGTACGAGGTCCGAGTGTGGGCACCGAAGCCGATAGGGCTTGGGTCGGAGACCGCGCCAAGCTGAGCCCACGTCATCCAGCGTTCTTCTGAGATAAGGGCGTACCCGGTCCAGTGTAGGAGCGAGTAGGTCCACCAGTGTAGGTCCTCGCGGAGATCTTGCGCAAGGACAGCCTTCTTGAGGTTGTTGCGCTGAAGGACGGCCCTGTACCGCCACAGACTCCCGAGGTAGGTGTGCGAGGTGGGAAGGACTTGGGAGATCCAGGCCAGACGGAATTGTAGGTCGCGGCGTCGGTGGATCCGGGCGCAGCGGTGAGGATCTGGATCAGCAGTTCCCAGATGGATTGGAGCTTTTGAGGAGGAATCGAGATCGTGAGCGTCACTAGGTTGAACATGAAGCCGTGAGTGGCGAAAACCTGGCCGGAGGCTTCAACCTTGATTGGAACACCGATGGCGCCGAAGAACGATACCACCGTGCTGAGCGATGGCGCAAGGAGCCTCTTGGCGGTGAACCCGGTAAAGTTGTCGACATAGTGCAAAGCGTTTGGCAGCCCCAGCTTGATGAGCGCCCAGCAGAGAAGGTCCCCGAACAAGCAGCAGTAGAACCTGGCGGAGCGAACGCCGAACTGGGTAACGAAGTCCTGGTAGAACGATTCTTTGAACCAGATCCCCTGTTTGAGCTGGTCGGGGGGCCGGGCAGGGTGAACATGGTATGCGGAAACAGTGTCGACCACCCAACCAGAGATGTCGCCGTGCAATTTCTTCTGCTTGAGGATCGTTTGCACAAGCACGTTGACCTTGTCGAGAGGCACCGGGCCGAAATTGTCTCGCGCAATGCCGTCGTTGAGCAAACCCCCTTTCGGGAAAGACGCATTGTGGATGATTCGAAACTTGCCCGGCTTGTTGGGCTTAGGCACGACACCGACCGGGTTGGCGATAGCGTATGGCGCTTGACGGAGGATGTCGGGATCGATGGCTTGACGACGGCCCAAGAGGATTTCTTCAGTTAGATTGTCGCGCACGACATCCGCGTGCTCTTCAGAGCTTGGGTGGTTGCGCCGGAGCTGGACGCCAACGCCTTCCGGCGTGATGGAATTCGTCGGAAAGCCCAACCCGCGCAGAATGGATTCGACGAGGGGTTGGTTTGGGTGCCCCCGCAAGACGTGACGGAGAGCCATGGGATTGACGGGAGACGGGATCTTGTGGAGTCCATGGCGAAGTAGGAAGGCGGACGCCGCGTACTCGGCGTTCGACATCACCGGCTCCCGATAGGGGAGCTTCGATTCAGACAGCTCCGCAGTAGACTGCACCTCATATGGGCGGTGCAGGGCGCGGACTTCGTTGGGGAGAACGTCGATGCCCCGCGCTCGATGGTCAGCATCAACTACCCGGTAGGGTTGGAACAACACCCTACGGGCGTCGTTCTGCGGCCGGAGCGGCGCCGCCCTTGGGTCGCTGAGGCCAGACGGACCCGCGGTGGTCGCCGTGGCAGTACTCGCACTCGTGTTTGCGGCAGCAGTACGACTTGGTGCAGCGGTTCATGTTCCAATCTCGGCAGACTTGTTGTTGCTGCTGTTGTTGTGGACCTTGGTTACGCAGCCCGCCTCGTCCAGCTCCAGCGCCAGCAGGAGTGTACTGGGCTTGGCCAGGCCTGTGACTGCGGGGGCCGGCTGTACAGGTAGGTTGTCTGTAGCGCAGGAACCGGGTCCGCGAAGCCTTTGAACTGATGGTTGGCCTTGTGCTTGCGATGCGCGCGATCGTAATCATACACCACATGCCACGCCCAGGTCGAGCACAAGCTGGTGAGGTACTTGCGGTAGGCATGAAGCTCGCGCACGAATGCCGGATATAGGTAGAGCATAAGTTCGCAGTAGTTGTCGTACGCTTTGCACCATCGGCTAAAAGTGTTGATAGGTACTTCGCAAAGGGACTTGGAGACAACGCGGACGTCCTCGCGCAGGCCTTGGTGGAATTCGATGCGCGCGTGATCGCTGGCCATGATACGAGCGTTCGGATGGATCTTGGCAAGGTCGACGTAGCGCAGGAAGATGATGTCCTCGACCAGCTGAGGGCCCACCTGCGGGCAGGCGCTGAGCTGCATTTGGACCTTGACTTTGGAGAGGCGTAGGACAAGGTCGGCGCGTTGTTCCAACCGGGCCGCGACAACCGGGTCCCCGCCGTATGAACTGGGCGTAGCAGCTGTGCCGGTGATCGGGGTGACCCCGAACCACTCGGAAGCGAGGAGATCGTCATGTGAAAGTCTGAGGGGCTTTTGCTTGGGATTGAACAATCCATCGTGGAGCCGCAAACGGATAGTTCTCCATCGTCGGGAATGGATACCAGGTTGTCGACGTCGTCCGCAGCCGGTACACCGAGGCTTTCTTCATCATCATCGTTGTCGGCGGCCGGTTGTTTATCACCTTGGCGACCTCTAGGCGGAGTAGGGCTCGGGGTCTGGCGCGGCCTGCCCTCGTCGCTGGACTCGGACTCGTTGCCGGACTTGTCCCCGCCGTCGCCAGCGCCGCCTCCGGCAGCCCGCGCTCCATCCTTTCGGCTAGAGTCACCACCGGAGCTCCCAGCTTTGGCCTTCCTAGCGGCAACGGCGGCAGCCTTCTTAGCGGCAGCCTCAGCCTTTCGAGCGGCGGAGGCCGCGGCCGCGGCAGCACGGGCTTCAGCGTCGGCTTGATCGCGAGCGGCTCGATAGAGGCGGATTCCTTCCTGGAAGGCCTGGGATTCCGCTGGAGTTGCAAACTCTGGGACATTTTCGCCGAGAAGGTCCATGGGTCGTGGGAAAGTTCAGGCTGCTGAGCCGAAGAAGGCGGAATCGTGAGGTTTGGCTTGTGAGCTGCGGCAGAGGGAACGATAAGAAGGCGTAGCGTAGGCCTCGGGTGTGTGGTCTGGTGTATGGTCTGGTGTACTGTCCCAATGCGTAGCTTCAACAAATGTTATCCTTTGCTGCTAGAAAAAGGATAATGGGAAAGGAAGGAAAAGAAGCAGCTACGCCGTAAGGCGACGGGATTACAAAACGGAAATTTATATAGAGAGATCACGGGAGCCCACCCCGCGTGCGCTCAATTAACTCCGACACCTTCGGTGAACTACGATCATTATACCATCAATATGAAAGTGGGAAGCTTACAAGTGAACAGAACATATCAGGAATGTGCTTCTCGGCCCTGAGTACTCGGTGATACATTACCTAAGGCTCCAAGCCACGCAAGCCCCATTGGCAGCCCATATATAAGCTGTCGATTGTGCGGCCGCTGCAAAGGACTTTTTCACTTTTTCCTCACTCCAATACATTGTATCTCAGCCCTCTCAGAAGGGCCCATTATCGTCCAAGCTTCCTCTGACGTTACATCTTCACCTTCCACCTTCCACAGCCACTCAAACCACTAACTTATTTACTGCAAATTGTAGAGGATTGGCTAAAGAGTACGACCCACACCTAACCCGAGTGGAGTTCGAGGTCCGGGGAAAGATTTATTGGTTGGGTAAAGCGTTTTGGTCCTACATGTAGGCCGTCGGGGTTCTAAGGGTTAAGGAACAAAGCACCCGGCACCGTGCGCGGGCGCGACAAGAGAAGACAAGACACAACAGGAGAACACGCGAGTCACACGACTACAGAGATAAACTAAACAAACTACCCAGGGGGAACTAAGCACAGCGTGCTTACGTGTGCAGAAGCTCTCCCCCATCGCCCGCCTCTTCGCTCTTCATGAACTCCCCAATTACGTTGAGCAACGTGTGCCTGCCGCGCCTCTCTCTCATGTCGTACGTTGTCTTGTATTCAACCAATTGTTGGTACGGCTTGTATGACTGCGGCAGATTCTTCGGGTCTCCGGTACGCATCCCCTCCAAGTACGACTTCGAGAAACGTAGCGTGTAGAGTCTCGCTTCGAAGTTTACCACGATCGCCCCCAGTATCCGCAAGTCCTTGTACTGTTGGTTGTTCTCGCCGACCACTCTCTCAAGTGTGATCGCTAGCATGTTGCATACGAGTTGGTTTGCCTTGTTATCGAACTGTGTGTGCCCGATAGTCGCGCCTGTCTCGCGCGCTGTCTCTATCACTACAAAGTTGTTGGGCCCACGAGCCTTTCTCACTAGAATGTCGATCTTAGGCTGCAGCCATAGACGCTCGTCGACGAACTCTACTTTGTACTCGCTGAACACACATATATGTCGCTTGCTCAGCTCGCGATCTCGGTTGACCATCTCGGTAAGATACGATGTCAACATCGATTGATACTCGGCTTCGAGCATGACCTTGTGTGCCTTTGGGCCTCCGACGAACTCCATGATGCTGTCTCCAACATTGTGTGCCGCCATGCCCTTGGGTCTGCTCTCGTTATATCAATCCCAGTCTGACTTGGCTGTTGCTGCCGTCGCAGACATCGCCTGGAAGTCTTTCGCTAGATCGCCAATGTCTTCTTCGAATGGCTCGGCGTGCTTGTTGTATCTTCGTACGATCTTCAGCGTTTCTAGAAACGCTTCCCCCAAATCGTTAGATCCGGACGCCGTTAGTTTCCACCGTTGGGGTGCTTTCGCGTTCACCGCCATTGCAATGGAAGGCGATTAAGGCGATGAAAAATGTCTTCTGGACTACGTAGAGAACAAGAATCTCAGCTCACGGTGGTGACAAACATTTCAAAATGCCAAAATGTGCGAGCTGCTGCCCAATTTGGGGCAGCAGATCACGTGACCCTGCACTAGTGACGACGCGCGAGTTTTGGCGAGTCTGACAAGTACCGCACATTTGGCAATACGAAGTCCGAACTACCTTCAACCCCTACACATAACTTGGTTCTCAATATAAGCCCAACCCAACCAATGAACCCCAAGTACTTCCAAACAGCAAGGGGTCTTGGGGGCCCTGCAGTCTCTTTCCACGGGGGTGTTTTCATTTCCAAGATGAGGACAGCAAGCGAGGATAGCTGCAGGTAAAATATATCTGAACCTCGTTCACTTCACAAGTCATCCCATTTACAATACCTGTTGCAGACTTTACGATCCCAGCAGTCTGTTAGAAGCCCTGGGAGTCCCGAAGCTTTGGGTCTGATGTGACAAAGGACCCACAATGTTTGTAAAGGCAATGTGCTATGGCAAGACACAGAGCACATTGAAAACCTTATGTTTGGCCGATGGAATCAAGGAGGTCCTTATAATGCATGGGAAAGCTGTTGTTCGCTCCACTTTAGCTCAGGGTTGTGTCAGTACTGCACTTCTTTGCCTTCTGAGTTCAATCGGTGAATCAGCGGAAGGTAGAGAGGACGAACCAGCTGACGACATGGGGAGTGGTTTGGACGATATTGGGAGTGGTGCGGAGAACATTGGGACAGCTGGACATCCTTCTCGAGGACCAATGGAGTAGTCGGTGATGCATATACTTCGCAGACACGATAGCCCAGACACGCGAGCTGCTCTGCAGGGCGTACAAATAGGGCAAGGGATCGTCCGACTGCCAGGACAAAGGCTCTTCATTGACACTCTACTTTGATGCGAACAATATGTGTGATTCAAGCTATGCATTTCGTGATAGATACAAGAACAGGATAGCAGCCTCCCAAAAGAGGCCACTAATAGTCGTCACCTCTAGTCAGGATCTCTTTCCTGGTTGGCCTCAAGATGAAGGTGTGCTCGTATTGCGCGGTGTACGAGCCGCGCACGTCAACAAGCGGCGGGTGGGCCTCGACGGCACCGTTGTCGACGAGGTTCTTCAGGGCCATCAGGTACTTGGTCTCACCGACACGGTCGAGGTAACGGCGACTATACAAAACAGAGGACATGAGCATCTTGGCGAGATTTGATGGTGCAGTTTGAAAGACTAGTACGAACCAGAATGGCAGCGTTCCAAAATTTTTGGTGATGGAGCCCAAGAGCGCCTTGGCACGAGGCAACCTGTTTGTAACACAATAGAATGAGAATGCATCGCGAAATGACGCGGCCTTCACGCGCAACCCTACCTCAAGGGGATATGCCCCGTGTTGAAGTTCTTGGAGTAGTGACTACACTCCATGTCCTCATGGACGTATCCCTTTCCGGTACTACCGAAGGTCTCGATGGCGAACAGCTCTCCCTCCTATATGAAGCAGGAGCATGCTTGTTTAGTCGCTCTCTTCTACAGGGCGCATCAGAATGACGATGTGATGGTATGACCCACCTCCATCTTGGTTTGGTCCCCTCCACGGACGATGGGGACAGTCTTGCCACCGTGAATATGGTACGGACCAATGGAGTGGCCGTTCAAGTTCCTGATGGGCTTCACTAGTGATCCAAGCATCCCGCGTCAATAACCTCCATTCTTCTCATGGGGAAGCACGAGAGAGGAGAGACACACCTTGGTAGGTTTTGCCATTGATCTCCACCTCATAGGACTCCATCACTTCCTGCACTGCAGCACCGATGTCGGACATGCGGACATCGATACCTGCTTCCTTAAGACCTGCATTGGTGGCAGCCTTTACAGCGGCCAGTAGCTGGTCGTATTGAGGATTGAACGCCATTGTGAAAGCGGAATCCACGATCCGTCCTGATAACCAAGCATGTCAGAAATGAAAGCTGAGGGTGATATATGGTTCAAGGTGTCCTAAAGCGTACCGTTGACGTGAACACCAAAATCGACCTTCATCACATCGTCGTGCTGCAAGACTGTCTTGTCACCGGCGTTCGGGGTGTAGTGGGCAGCTACGTGGTTGAGGGAGCAACCGGTGGGGAACGCAATTCCTATCGAAAGAGACAACTCCTGTCAGATTCTCCGACCCTTCGACGATCCCCATTCCCGCGACGCTCCAACGCACCGGCCTCCAGTCCCTTCTCCTCAACCAGTGTCCTTGTTCCATTTTCGATCATCTCACAAATGTCGATCATGGACATCCCCGGTTTGATGGTCTTCTTAGCATACTGTCGAACTTGTCGATGTACCTCTGCTGCTTTACGGAGATCGTTGTAGTGGTCGTTCTCCATACGCTCCAAGTACCGCTTTTCCTCGTCCGTCGTTCGGAACGCATTGCTGGGAAAAGTTGCAATTAGCAACGCCGTCCCGAAGCATCTCCTCAGAGGCCTCCAGTAAGAAGATCAACTCACTCATCCCGGTACTCCTCCAATTGTCCTTCCGGGTAGACAGCGTCCGGGAACAAATGGGAGACGGGAACAGACGGCGGTTCCGTCTGCGCCGTGGCGCGCTTCACAGGTTGAGCGGTTCCATTCGCCGCGGTGTCTCCGTCCGCAGCGGGCTTCTTTGCCTTCTTCTTCTTCTTCTTTTTCTTTTTTGCTGCTCCTCCGTCTACAGCTACATCCTCCGCAACGTCGTCGTCGTCAGAGCCCTCTGCGTCGGGAGTGCCTGGGGTGTTTTCTGCGTCCAACCACTTTTTAGGAACTTGAAGTGCATCCGGACTATAGGAGTGAAACCCGCTTTACCTTTGTCCTCGACGGACAGAGCGTCGAGCTTCTCCTGTATTTCTGCAGGCATAATGGGTTTTTTGTTGTTGCGAAGGTCAAAATTCACATTCATTTCCAACATGGCAATATCGCTCATCTCCCGCGGGGGGGGGGTGTGCGGGTAGCAAGCAGGATGAGTCAGTCTGACTCAGTCACTGTTGCCGTGACATCACCCCCAATCAACACCTTCAACACTGGGCGCAAAACCGGTGGGGAAGTTCCAGATGGCCATATTGCGACGTGGAGCAGATGTGCCAGGTGCAAGTGGACGGACTGCTTGTGAGTGACCGTCCCCACTGCACGTACCTACAGTATGTAGGTATATATGCCCCCGGCGGTCGGGGGCAGTCCCTTGCATCCGACAGTCCTTGCATCAACCATGTCTTCGCAATTCCAGGACCTGGTTCTCGATTCACACCGTGCATCCGCGAAGGAAGGCTCCTCGAGTATGAACCTACCGTTCTACCTCACCAATTGCGGCCTCGCACCGCTCGCCACACGTGCCATATCGACAGAGGATCGGGAGCAAGCCGCGTCAGCCACTCAGTTACTTGAGGAACTGAATACCCACAACTTTGAGGCTTTTGCACTATCAAACCTGAACGAATGGGCTAGTGAAAACCTCCCGCAGTCCGTCCGTGATGCCGAACCCTTTCGAACTTTCATGGCGAAACGACCCGCAGAATACGACCTCAGCTTCTGGGGCGCGGACGACCCTATCATGGGAGGGACAGCCCCCGTGCTACCAGGCCCTAAATGCTCCGTCCCAAATCCTCCTCGCGAGACAGAAGTCGATCAGGAGGTCTTTACCACCATCAAGGAAGCGATGGTCCTGCGCTACGTGCAAAACGCCATGGACAAGATCGATCCTTTCCTCTACCGCCTCCTGCCTGACCGCGACGAGCTGCGCCAGAATGTCACCGCACGACTGCTTTCCCTGATCACTGTAGATATGATTATAGACGGTTCCGGAGGCGAATGGTTCGACGAATGCATCCACGACGTTGTGCAGAGCTCGTTTAGAGACGATTTGGCATGCGCACGGCTTGCGTTTGTGCTCCATATGTTACCCGAAGCGCATAGGGACACCCTCCGAATCATAATGGACATCTTGATTTTGGATGCGTGGAAGGTGGACGAAGGGCTGTCGGAGAAGAACGCAGACCATATCATGGATACTGTGAAACAGGCGAGCAAGCTTTTGTCGGTACCAGCAGCTTAAGTGCTTTAGCGACGTTTCAGAGTCTGCCGGATGTCCGTAGACATGATCTTTTGCATGCCTCCATAGGTCGTACATTACAAAACGCCCATGTTATGTTGGTCGTGTGTTTTCTCAGGCGTCTAAACACTTGGGCGTGAAATCTCATGACTTGCGGTCGCATATGTATTACATCAAGTGACTGATTCCTACTGTACGTCTCCGCCTCGGGAACCTTCTTCAGTATTGGGAACAATCGCTTCATCTTTACTGCTTCCATTTTCCATGGTCTTGTTCTGTGGGCCCTTCCACCCATCGTAGATCGTCGTCTGACAGGACCCCATGATGAATTGCGGGAGGATGAATTGCGAGGTTGCTGAGGGTAATGGACCCCACTTCGCTTGAATCCGGGACGTGGCAACCCATCGACCACCCGCTATTGACGAAGAACGGGAAACGCGTGTACCCAACGCGTTGAGGAGCCAAATTCCAATCCAGTCTGACTAAGCGGACTTCAAAGGCATCGTTCTCGTTGGCATTCTCCTTAAATGTCCAAATGAACGCCCGTTTATGTGAACCCCACCCTTGCACCTTCTTGCCCAATACTCCCAACAGCACCAAAAGTCTTCTTCCTAGCTCCAAGGATTTTGTCTTCGCAGCACATTTCATCTTTGCATCACCCATTCTTCAATTGTCTAGTACAGCTATCATCCATCGGACCATGCCTGATTCCAGAGCTCCGTCCAAGCCGTGTCGTGGGAAGCGCAAACACTCTTTATAATCCTCGTGCAAGCTGGCGGCCAAAGATCTGCGTGCTGACGAGCCCGGCAGCTCCCAAGGTGCTGTGGATGTACATGCCCTGCGTCGACGTTGAAGCCGCGGACGATGACGAAAAGCTCGCCCATAACCTCCGAGTGTGCACTGACGGTCTGCGAGTCCCTGCCTATATCGACGCCCCCCCACCATCTTGACCGTTTTGGAGTTCAGCGGCTTTTTTTCCCACACTCGGTTTGCTCGGAGGGCGAGGATTGTGACGGTGGGTGAAGGTACTGTATGCGTGTGGTGCCGGTCAAGATTGCCAAGACGATGTTGCGTTGGGCCTTCCCCCCCAGCGGCAAGAAGCAAGAACGCGTTGCAGCTGTTGCAGTGGTGTGGTCACCGTCTCAATACAGTACGAGAGGCTTCGAGGCTGTCGAGCTGCGAGTGCCTTTTTACATCCATACTTCATCCAAGTAGAATGCGGGAGCAGTGACTGGCACGTCGTTATGCAGCATAGTCCAGTATATATATTTTAGTCTGAGAAAGCCGTCGTAGGAGCATAAGAGGGCCATCGTCGCCAAAAGTCAGTCGGGACCGCTCATACCGACGTCGCCACAAAGCCCAGGTCTACCACGCCTAGCACGCCTTCTACAACACCCGCCTCCTCTGAAGCCCACCAACGCTTCTACGGAATGGCTGAAGAGGCAGACGAACCGTCGCCCAGGCGTGTCGGAAATCTTGCCAAAATGTTCGAGTCGCAGATGCCAGCTCCCTCCGAAACGCCAGGGAACCGAACGTCGAGAATCTTCTCGCAGCCGAACTCACGAAGACCGTCGGGCCAGGAACTCGCACCACCGTCTTTTCAGAACGGCCGAAGCACTTCCTCGCCATGGAGCTCTCGGAACTCTTCAACGACAACGCTCGCGAGCAATGGCTACGCCAGGACTCTGCATAGTGCTGGAAATTCGACAGAAGTGCTCAACCGGAACTCCAGTCGGTCAGGGTCACAGGGGAATGTTGGCATCTCCAATGCCCACGGCGAGGATAGTGGGGCAGGTACGAATGGGGCTCGTCCTCGGAATACGACGCAGACGGGTGAGATGTCACCGGAGACGAAGCGGCTATCGGTCTCGCGACTGAGTATGATGTTTGAAGGGGGTCTGGACGTTCATTCTTTGGGGTTTGGCCAGCAGGCTGGCAATGTCCCAGATGTGAGATCGGGACAGCCCCGTGGTGGGATCGATAGATCTGGTGGACGACGTGTGCCGAGTACAGGGGTGCCGTCACGGGTAGACTCAACATACAAATCGATGAGAGACTTTTCAGGGTCATCATCCCCGGCAGGATCCTCAGAGAGTTTGTCGAAGAACAGGCATGATGTTCCTGTCCAGAGATCACGCGAGAGCAGCATAGAAGTACCGCACACGGTGCCTGTGAAGGAGCGAATCAAGTCATGGGCGGTGGATCTGCCGGCAGGAGCGGCTACGCCGTGGTTGAGCGCACCATTCATACATGTGGAATCACCGTCCTCAGAAAGAGACACGCCCAAAGCCCCCGCTATCCCCTCGCCCGGCGCATCATATCCCGTCCCCATGCCGCCGAAAAGCACGCCTTCATCCCCGGCGTTCAAACGCTCCCGCCCACCAGCACCACCACCTCCATCACACAGCAGCAGAGCAATCGAGAGTCTTCAGTCTTCCATATCTCCCGTCCTGGTCATGCCTATGCCTCGCAGCAGCACTGCGCCTCAAATCAGCGACCTAGCACAGACTACCCTCGGATCAATAGCAACAGACGAGCCCACCCGACCGCCGCTTGTTCCTACCTTATCGGAACCGATCGTGGAGCCCATCAAATCAGTTGTCACAGGGGAAGAAGAAAAGAAGCAGAAGCGTCACAATATCATCAAAGAGCTCGTGACGACGGAAAGGGGGTTCTTGAAAGACATGGAGGTCCTTATGGAAGTCTACGCGCTTCCGGCCTCTGAGCAAAAGATCCTCTCTGAACGTGATCTTCGAAATCTGTTCTCGAATCTGGATGTCATAATCTCAACATCGCGGGCTCTGCTGGAAATGTTGGAAGCGGCCGTCGGATCTCCTGACGAATGGATCGGCGAAGCGTTCAATCAGATGATGCGCAAAATCGAGAGCACCTACTGCGATTACTGCAAACATAATGAAGCAGCGCTAGCCAAACTTGCAGAGTTTGCGTCTCCGGAATGTCCGCCCGATGTGAAGGAGTTCTTAAAGAACAGCCAAATGCAGCTTCAGGGTAGAACCGGCGCGTGGGATTTGGGCAGTCTGGTCATCAAACCGGTCCAAAGGGTACTCAAGTACCCGCTGCTGATAAAGCAGCTTCTCAAGGAGACACCGCCGACGCATCCCGACTTTGAGCAGCTGGTACAGGCGGCGGCCGACATTGACGTGGTGGCAGAAAAGATCAACGAGGTGAAGAAGCGGAAAGATATTGTCGAGAGATACGTCGACAAGAAAGGCAACGCCAATGTCATTCACGGCATTACTAAAAAGTGGACCCGAGGAACCCACCAGATCAAGAAGGCAACAGGGCTGGCCGATGGCTCCGCTGCGATTCAATCTGACGCTCTCTATGATGCTCTGATTGAGAAACTGGATCAGCAGCTTCGTGGCGTGCAACAACTCTCTGTTGACTTGCAAACATGGCTGTCCAAACTGCAGCTCTTTTCCGAGATCCAAGAAACGCTCGTCACGGCTTTCGAAGACATCTACGTGATGGGCCGCGATCGTAGCCGACAGGACGTGCCGGCGGCAGGGCGGGACGACTTTTTCGCCATCCAGGAATTCCAAAAAGCAGCTGTCCGGTTCTCCGTCACCGCCTGGCGCGACGCAGATACCACCACGCGAGAAGTCATCCAACCCGCTCTGGATGTTCTCGCCAAGATGTTCCGTGGCCCCCAAGTAGTGATCAAGAAACGCGAGCAAAAGCAACTAGACTACGAGCGAGCGATGGCAATCAAAGCGCGCGGCGAGCAGGTGGACAAAGTGCTCACGGACTCTGCCGACGCGTACAGTTCCATCCACGCCCAGCTCATCGAGGAACTGCCCCGGTTCCTGGACCTCGCCGCAAAGTACATTGATGTCGTCGCGGTGCATATTGCGGATATGCAGGCGAGGACGCACAAGACGTTTCTGGAACAGGTTCAGCCGATCGTGCAGTTGATTACCGCTGATCAGAGCGGGGAGGTTGCGTCGCATGCCAGTGTTGTGGAGGAGTACAAGGCCGCTCTGGCTGTCGGCGGGGATTTGGAGCTGTTTACCAGGAGCATCACACTGTTGGCAAGATGGAGGGAGACTGTGTGGGAGAATGCCCCGATATTAGAGGCCCCTTACAGCGGGTTTGGAGGCGGGCTGGGAGTCGGGACTGGAATGTCTTCGAGGTCTTCATCCCGTACGTACATCTCATATGCTGAATATTCGCGGGTTTCGTTTCTATCGTGAACTTACATCCGAATTATGTCATACATAGGATCTGAACTCTCCACGCTGACTCCGGACTTTGGCCCCCGCTCATCATCAACTTTCCCCCGCCCATCGAATGGCACGTCAGCTTCATCAAGTTCAAGTTTCAAGGGTTTGCCCCATCAGGCCCGACGTGCCGACACCGATTCCAAGCTGATCGATTATGATGCAGGTATGATAACAAATCGCGGAACCTCGCTGCCTTCTCCTTATTCGCGTGCCTACGGCTGATTGAGTGAAAAACAAACAGGTCTCCAAAGCCCCATGCCAAGCTACCAACCCGCCTTCCTCAACACCCAATTCACCCCACTCATACCCACCCACTACACCAGCAACAACCCGGACACCCACTCCACCTCCACATCCCCACCACCCAACTCATCCCATTCGCGCACGGCCTCCGCCACCAACAACACTACAAACAAAACAACACGCACCCCCTCCCCACCCCTCGGCTTCGAAGCGGTCGCGATTTACGACTTTGAGGCTGACCTGCCTGAAGAGGTGGAGTTGAAGGCTGGGGATCGGATCCGCGTGCTGGAGGCGGAGGGCAGCGGGGGGGAGTGGTGGTTTGGGCTAGTTAATGGGAAGGAGGGGTGGTTTCCTGGGACGTATGTTGAGAGGGTTTGAAGGATTAGTTTCCCACGAGTGTCCCTAATTCATAAGGGTAATATCATGACCGGCTTCGGTATATACCCCATTGGCCCCATCGCATTTCATCTAGAAGTAGCTTATTTCCTTCTCTTGTACATAGGCGAAGTAGATCATCTGATGCACACATACAACAACTTCGTTCTATCGCCATTTACCGTCTCAGTTGGAAGAAATCCAGTTGACGGAAAGCCCTAATAGCCACTCCGCGATCATCAAAGATAATCTTTTCTTTGAGCCGCTTAACCTCAGAAGCACCTTCGAGACGGCAGGCTAAGCAAGGCCCGATATTCAGTTGAGGGAAAGAAATCTCACTAGGGATTGAGAAAAAACCCGTTCCTTATAATTCAACCAAGCAAGGGCTTGCACAAACCATCATTGTACACGGCAAACATTGGACCAGAAACAAAATCCTCGAAAGGAAAACCAACTGATATTGAAAAAACGCGGAACAAAATCTTTTTCAAGTGGGTGAGGGCCGTTGTTGTGGGGAGGGGCATGTACATATATATAAAAAACTGTGTGTGTGGGGTGGGGAACTCCCTATGAGAATCTACAAACTACAAATGATTGTTTGTGGTGGTGATGACATGATGAGGTTGGAATAAAGAATGAATAAATATTACGCCGGGGATGGTAACGTTCTTGGAAGCCCTATTTGGACGGGCGAGGGTTGGAGTGAACCGTTCAAAGGTCCTCATCCTCCTCCTCCTCGTCATCCTCCCACTCCTCCTCATCGTCGTCTCCGTTCTCGAGCATGGCGGCGATGGTGGCAAGGCACTTCTGCGCCTCATCGAGGATGAAGGCCTCGGCGTCCCATCCACCCTTCTCGAGGTCCGCAGGGGTCTTCTCGGCTTCAACGACTTCTTCCTCGTCCTCGTCAACCTCTTCGATGATGGCATCGAGGGAGCGCTTGCCGATGGAGCCACCCCACGAGTCGAGGGCGTTGTTGGAGAAGCCGATGTTGTCCTTGGCAAAGTTCAGGGCAGAGATGCGGTCGGGGAATCGTTCGGTTGGTGTTCCAGACACGGCCTGGAGGAACTGGGCGTAGCCCGCCGGGCCACCGACTTCGTCGGGAGGGCAGGCGCGTGCTCCGCCGATGACCTTGGGGTATTCTGAGGTGTGCTCGTGCTCGTGCTCTTTATCCTCGTTCTCTTCGTCATCGTGACCGGCGCAGCAATCGTCGTTCAAGGTCTCTTCCCGGATTTCCTCAACGGTGACCTGGTGGACCCAGTCGCCTTTCTCGTAAATGTAGGTGAAGGTGTCGCCAACCTTGGAGGCGACCATCGCTACGTTGGTGAGGTCTTCATCTTCGCAGATCTCGTGACGCTCGTCGAACTCTTCCTCCTCATCAGGGATGACAAAGTTGTCGGGGATAGTGGTGAAACGAACGATACCGTGGTCGTACACTTCGAACTCGTGGGTGTTGGGTGCTCCGCACCAGCCGAAGGCCATGGTAATGTATTCGCGCAGGTCGCCGAGGGTCGTGTGGCCGGTGACCTCGATGGTCCTCCACACCTCAGGAGTCACACCGACAAGGGAAATCTTCAAACTGTAGATGGTTCCGCTGTTCTCGTCCATGTTAAGAGCAGCCAATTGTGCGCTGGCAGCCTCGGTGAGAGTCTTGGCCAATTCGGGGGCGACAGGCAATTCGAGGGTCTGACCAGCCTCGGCCTGGATTTCGGCCCTTTGGTCTTCGATCATCTTGAGGAGCATGATGGCCATGTATCCGGAACCAGCCTCGATACGGTTACCCAAAGCGCGGTTAGCCTCGGCAGAGGTGAGAACAGACTGGAAGTAGAATCCAGCCTCGGTCTGGTCAAGGCTGTCCAAAGCCTCGACGGGACGGCCGTAGATTCGCTCGACCATCTCACCATCGCGAACAGCAACAGTGTAGGCCTTCAACTGGAAGGAGGCCTTTGCGCGAGATCCAAGAACCTGAAGCCTCAGGGCGGCATGTGGGTCTTCGCTGTCGTCGTTCTCCAGGGCTTCTTCGGGCAACTCGCACGTCTTGAAAGCGCGGGTGAAGAGGGTGAGGGCTTCGTTGAAGTTGCCAGCCTCCATGGCGGCAACACCCTGCTCATGGAGCTTAGCACCGTCGGTCTCCTTAACGTTTGCCGCCGCAATCGCCTTTTCCTCCGCAGCCTTGTACTCGGCCTCGGTACTTTCCGACAGCTCGGCGACAACCCACCTATGATGCAAGAAAGGTAACATCAGGGTCTGTGAAAGGGCATCCCGGAACTTCAAATATGAGCAAAAGACTCAAACTCACCTGAACCTGGAAAACCTCAAAAGACCCTTCCAGAAGCCCTCAAATTCAGCCTCGTCCTCAAAGACCTTGTGCTGCTTAGCCTGGAACTCGTAGGCAAAGTCCACACCCTGGCCGGAGGCCAGTTCAACGGTTTGTTGAGCACCGACGGGACCACGAAGAGTGACCTTCTTGTTGCTGTCCTCCTCAAAGAAAAGGGAGACAAGGGCAAATGCGCCGGGCTCAGGGAAAACGTCGGAGTTGGCGAGCAGAGCGTCCTGGTACTCGTCGCGGAGCTTGACAACGGCCGCGTTATCAACTCCAGCGGCACGAATGCCGGCGGGCAAGCGGGCAACGATCTTCACAGCGTCGACGGTCATGGTTTGATAGAGAGTGACTGAAAGAGCGGTGAGAGAGAGAGGCTGTGGGGAGGTGGGAGAAGATTGAGTTGTCTCGATCGAAAGCAAACAAACTCCGCACAAGAAAAAAGAGCAAGCAGGGAAGGATGCAAGCCGCCTTTTTGTAAGTGAGCGGAAAAGCAACTTAATCCTGTCACGTGAGGCCACCTGCCATTTTAATTGTGAGAAATCGACAACGCGTTCCGTGTTGGAGTGACAGCGTCCGACAACTTGATCTGGCTGCCTCACCCATCCGGTGATATCGTGCTCTTACTGAAGAAGAGACATCCACGCAAACGCTTTTTTTTGCGCCATTCTAACCACCGGCAATCAGAAATTTGCAACCCGGGTGTCCTTCGATCGCACAGTCGCTCACAACGATGGCACAACCAGATCTAAAACTCATAACGACAGCACTCGCGGCCCCTCCGTTCTCCAGGACTTACAGCGTCATCCAGCTTCACGATGAAGTACCCGTCATTCAGCTCATGCAACTCATTGCAGATGCAATGGCCGCCATTGATGAAGGCAGTCCGTTGAAAGGTGCGGCTCCGCTCGATATGCAGAACGAGGTGCCGGAGGAAGCCGTAGGGAAGATTGCAAACTTTCTCCTGCTTCTGAAGTGGAAGGATATCGGTGACATGTATGTAAGTGGCAAAGGAGTGGCTGGGCAATCGAGACGTCATGCCGACACTCATGTCTCTTTTCCATGAATGATTCAGAGAAACGTTATGTCAGAAACTATTAGACGGCGATCGCACGACCATCCTCCGGATCCTTCATTTCCTGCTAAAAGACCTCAACCTCCACAAAAAGCGCGCCTATCTGGCTCCTTTTCTCGGTGCAATTGATATTCCGGCCGAGTTCAGCCACGACCCAGCAACTGCAGAGCTACTCCGACAGGTGGAAGAGCTGCAGGAGCAGTTTAAGGAGGTTCATAAGACGGTGGATGGGATTAGGGGAGCGGGTGGGTAGTGCATGCACGCTTTGTTCTCCCATGGGTGGATGTTAAAGGGGGCGGCATTATGATAGGAACAAATGCGGCGACTGTGAAGAAAGAGATCCAGCAACTGGAGGACGAAAAGCAGCAGGTGCACAGCAAAATCACCAACCTGCGGAAGAGAGTTGAGGATATCGTGAGTATTCCTGAAGCATTCTCACATCATCGAGTGTCTTCATTCAGCCTCTAACTTTAGTAACCATTCCAGCCAGAACATGAGCAATGGCTGGATGCAGCGAAAAAGCTGCGGGTGGAACAGCAGGAGGACTACCAGATTGCTGAGAGGTACTGCTCGGGTAGTTATGCTCAGGGAGGGCACGGCCATTGACCCCGACCCGCAACCAACAGGATAAAAGAACAGAGAAGCCAGATCCAACAGGCCGAATCGCGCTTAGCACAGGCACAACAGGAACTCAGAGATGCTAGGGTGCGTTGCCGTCGCGGACGAGACCTATGCAGGATAACGTCAGGCTGATGTGCTGGGCTCGTAGAATGCAGGAGCAAGCGGCGGGCCGGAAGCCCTGTTTGCCAAGATGGAAGAGGACAACAAGATGAACAAGTATCTAGCGACGGAGAATTTGCCAAAGGTGGGTCAAACCTGCCATGTCACCAGCGCCACAGATGGCGATCTCATCTCATCCCCACATCCAGCAACTGGAAGACGCCCGGCAGCACTACCAACAACTTCAAAAAGTCCTCACCGAACCCACACTAGGTCCGCATGAACTAGGCGAACTGGAATCCGAAATCAAGAATTTGAACGAAACCATCGCTAAACTGGCCGAGCAACGGCTGGCAAAAACTACGTATGTGGCTTAACTTGTGTTACATAAGTCAAGGGTACGGGACAAGCTAGATAGCTGACGAATATCTGACATTTGGGATTCCATAGCAAAGGCGACGATAAGCTGAGCCTGTTCCGCCAACAAGCCGCCATCATCCTTCGCAAGAAGGAAGGAACGACGGTGCGGTTGAGCGCTGTTACGGAGGAGGTCAACAAGCTAACTGCAGAACTTGAGAAGAAGAAGGAGGCGTCCGAGGCCCAGGGGACCAAAGTAGGTGGTTTGGTTGACACATCAGAGCTTGAGTGACTGACGATACACATCCGACATGTAGATGCCAAAAGGAGAAGAGTTCAGAAAGTACGTAACGGATCTCCGCACAAAGTCGACAGTGTACAAGAAGAAGAAGGGGGATATATCCGCTATCACGGCCGAGTTTGGGATCTTGCAGAGGACGGAGGAGGTAACTGCTGAAGTCAGAAACTCGGGTTGAAATCAGCTTTCCAATGCGCTGTCGAATCGTATGACTACAGATCTTGATGAACAAGCAGAAAGGGATGGAAGACTCCCTCACAGCGCTTGAGAAACGGCATGGGGTTGCTGGGTATCACGCAGCGCAGGAGACCTTAGAGAAGGTACGGCATCACATGCTCAAAGCGCATCCTTGATGTCTAGCTAACTGACTGTCCTTGCATGCATCGCAACTCAAAGGTATCCGAGCGCAAAGCAGAAGTCGACGAAGCCAAAGGTCGCACGCTCGAGGAGATATCGGCAATCATAACGAAGCTTACGAATGACATCAATGTATGCCTGGGCGCAATCTCTCATCGGGAACAGTTGCAACATTGGCGATGGCATTAATGCGCTGATATTGTTCCATGAATAGGACAAGAAGACCGTCTTGGCACCAGTGATACAGGAGCTCCGCACGCTCCGGCAAGAATCGCAAGAGCTGGAGAGCGACTACACGGAGAAGAAGCGGCTGTACGATGCTACCATGGTCGGGCTCGAGAGGTATTGAATCCCATCATCCTGCTTCCCCAACCCAAACCCGCTTCTAACACACCTCTCACCCCTCACACAGCGAATCCCACTCCCTCTCCACAACCCTCAAAACCCTCCACTCCGACATCCACCTCACCACCTCGCGCTACCACTACCTGCACATGCACACCTCCCTCCTCGACACCTCGCTTGACCGCGTGATGCAGGAGATGAAATCGTACATCGGCGGCGACGAGCAGCTCGAGCAGACGCAGAAACATCGCGGGTTTAAGACGTGGAGGGAGATGTATGGGAAGAGGGTTGCGGAGGGGGAGACGTTGGGAAGGGCGTTGAGAGAGCAGCAGAGGGAGGTTAAGGTATGGGGGTTGGATTTACGCGGTATGTTTGCTCATGATGGAATTGCTGATGATGCACGCGTTTCTCAGGCAAAGCATGAGCCAAACGTGAAGCAGCTGGCCATGTTTCAGGATATCAAGAAGCTATTGGCGTTGAAGATCGCGCACAACAAGAAGGTGCTGGGTGGAGAGTTCAAGAAGGATCAGCCTATGCGCCATGTAAGTTCCCGCCCCGCTATTTCGTCCTCATCGCAGCTTATATGCTAAAAGTTTTGGATTTGCCATCACAGGTTACGCAAGACCGATTGGTGTTGTGATTGATTCAGTTCATAGATTGATTCGGTGACTGCCAAGTTGAGTTCTGCTCAACGTCAGACGATGGGTTCATAAGATCTTCACGTTCGATGTGAAGCTCGGACTAGACCCAAGTTCCGCTGTCTCTGGATGCCAACATACGACGAGTAGTCGCAAAGATGTGTCTATATAATTACATATGCAATGAAAGGCAAACAAACAGACCGTTCCACGAAATCAACTCGATTTCTGTCGTAGCTTTGCCTCTCTATTGTTCTTCCCCTTCGGCGAATGCCCGACCTTCTCCTGCTTTTTTAAGCTCGTCCGCAGAGGGCTCTTGGCCCGCGGAGACGTAGTCCCGCTACTTGAACCCATACCAAACCTCACGATCGCATAAACAGCCAACAACGCCGCAAATGCCGCCCACGCCGCCTTGACTCTCCTCGGCATCGGGGTATGGAACTCTCCCTGGCTGAACTTGACGACGATCAGCAGTTCCGTGAAGATGTTGGCGATGGCCATCCACGCATGCATGCCTAATCGTTTGCAGCGGCGGTCGGACATGAATTGGAAGGCTTCGCGCGTTGCGGGCAGGGCCATGAAGAAGTAGTAGATCAGGCGCCAGACGTTGATTGGGTGAGCTGGCGGCAGCCAGAGAAGGTACTTGAGATAGAAGGCGTTCATTTCGGATTGAAGAATCTAGGTGAGGTACGCATGTCAGTTTTGCGTGGATGTAACCGCTGACACGAAGAGTCACGTACAATGTAGAGGAGTCCGATGACAGCCAAGAAGTTCTTGAAGGTAGTAGTCCCCTCCCAATTGAATTCAGTCCAGCTATGTGGTGTGAACTGCTGCATCGCTCTCGCGACTTTCCCGCGATACGTAGGGATGTCGTTGACCCCACGCCACGAATACTGTTTCATCGCAAAGTACTGGCACGTCTTCATCCCCAAAATGATTCCGATCCAGTTTGCGAGCAAAACATCCAAAATCCACTAGGCTCGCGAAGTTGCGTCAGTTTATGCACCGATTCCAGTCGAGCTTCCAAAGCCATATTCCTACATGATCCCACCAGCACTCGGCGAAGTTGGGCAGCTGATGCTCGAAAGTGTACTCCAAAAACTCAAACATGACCGAAAGAATCCAACAGAACCAGTAGTCCCGCAACACGATGGCCTTGCAATACCACCCCAGCGCATGGGCAAGAACAAAGATGTCTAATTGATCCCACATGGACGCAGGTGACAACGAGCAGTCCTCCGCGTACGATTTGTCCGGCAACGGCACTCCCAATGACGGATCGAACTCTTTCAGAAGGGCGCGCATCGTGTGTTTGTTCTGAAAGGCGACAAAGACGAGGATGATCTGGTAGACGACGCTGAGGGAAAGGACGATACGCCAGAAAGCTGGATGCGGTCGCACGAAGGGACCATCGCGAAACTGCAGCATGCCGATGAGTAGGAATATCCCGACGCATGTCGCTAATCCACTGTGCAGGAAGGCTATTGAGTCAGTCTTTAGGGCGATATAGCCACAGCAAGCCGAAGGAGCTAAACATACACTTTGGTGTTGTCACCTCCGATGACGACATCATCGCCGTTCGCAACGAATAGCGCGAGATATACGAGCACTACGAGCATTACAATAAGCTGTGGTGATTCAAGTCCATCAGATTGCTTCCACCCCGTTGCCCGGATGACCTTCCCCGCATACTTCGTCCGCAAACACTCACCAAACGAATTGTCCTGGGCTTGTAAAAGAAAGCCACCGAAGGGTCAATTTTGTCACTGAACTCATATTCCCAGGCCTCGCGCAGGTTCATCTTCGGCGCAGCCGGAGCAAGCAGCTCAGAGTCCGACACTGAGCCGGACAAGTCTTCGCCGACCAGAGCATCGTACACGTGAGGGGGCACTACCGTGCCGAGGGACCGCCGGGTGGACATTGGGTATGCGATGCCGCCGTCGGACTTTATATGGCCGAAGGAGGTTGAAGCGGATGCCTTCGTCGGTTTTCTTTGGTATTCAAAGACCAGCGAGCGTCCTGCGCTTTTGCGGCCCGTGGGAAAAGGCACAAGCCGAAGGTGGAATGGCACGATGGTCGATGGCGATCAGCTACAGCAATGGGAGCCTTTGGAGGGGATAAAAATTGACGGCCGAAAACTCAAAAAAGGAAACAACACGTTCTTCGCCCGTGAGTGATCGTTACTAACGGACGTTTCAAACTTCAAACTACGTTAACAGCGCAAGACCGAAGCGCATGAGAGCGCTTATTGGATCAAAATTGGCCATGTTGTTATTCAGAAAGGCTAGTTAAGATATATGGGGGGTGCGAGGGTGCAGTGAGGATGGTAAACAGATCAGCGAGGTAACCTAAACTACAGTGTTGTCGGGAAGGAAGGGGTGGCGGTACGGCGGGTATATCGAGTGTATTTCTCCATCCAAAAACTCCTCACTCCATCGTTTATAACTTCTTTCCCCACTGCTTGGTCTTGTCGTTCACGTCCTCAGCGCCCCTCTTTGTTCCAATCGCGGCATCTTCGGCAGTTCTCTTAACGTTCCTTCCAGCACGTTCAGCGGTCTGGGAAGCGGTGTACGAGGCGTTTTCGGAGGTAGGCTTGCGCTCGACATCCCGGGCAGCAGACTCGGTAGCTTGGGCAACCTTCTGTCCGGTGCCGCCAATTGCGCCGTCGGTGGTGAATTGCTTGCCGATGGCGCCGTCACGAGTGAAAGGTCCGCCGACGGCTTCTGCCGTGGAGCCAACTGATCCTTGCGGGGTGAACTTCTGGCCGATCTTGCCGTCCTCCTTAAAGGCTTGCGCGGCTTTCTTGACGGCCTCGGCAGCCGCCTTGATGGGGTTGCTCGACGAGTTGTTGAGGACTTGGCGGGAGGTGGAGAAGAGACGGGTGGGCATACGGGAGGCCATTGTTGCGGTTGGTTGTTGTTAAAGAGGTTGGTGGTTGGTGGGTTTGTAGAAGCCTTTGTTTTGTTTGCGAGTTGCGAATGAGGATTTCGTTGGTTTCGGATTGCGAAGAGGTCGAGGGACTCGAAAACTCGACCCGTCTTTTATGCCATCATTCGCAAGGAGAGCGCATTGCGAAAGGGACTATTCCCCCGCCTGTGGCTGCACCTGCATGCATGGGGTGTCCTGCGCCCCTTCTCGAATTATACCATGCCATGCATCATCGTGGTGCGTTGCTGCATGATGCAAGCCGCGAGCATTCATTTATATGGGCTCCGGTCTCGGTTTCGATGACGGAAACAAAGCCGGAAAAGCCCTGGGAATGCAGCGAGTCATCAGTCCACGACGAAGCGACCGAGGTGATGTCACTGAAATTCGAGACTGCGCAGGCGTGTGGCTTCGCCATGCCGTCAGTTCTCTGTCCTGTCAGTGAGTCAACAAGTGACAGGAACGCGCTGTCGAGTTTTAGCTTTTTGACAAGACCCCAGGTGTTGGCCCACACAGGGCGAACCTTCTTTCCTCTCTCCCTCGCCTGCTACGGACTAGCATACTGTTACATAGTCGACATTTGTTCTTCTCACCTACCCGGTGCTGTTTTTCCTGAAAGGCGAGCGTTGTTGATTTTCAGAACAGAATCGAGAACGTTCACATTGGCATCAAACTTCTTACCGTCAACCTTAACAACTACCACCACCATGCTATCTCTGAGGAAGCAGAAATCCGTCCGCTCCATCAAATCCTTCATGCGAAACAGCACCGAGTTCGCAGAAGGTGGCGAGATCGCCTCGTCCAACAATAGCATCTCGCGCTACAACACCGACAGAGGCTACTCAAACGAACCCCAGCTCAGAGCCCTCCATCTCCCCGGCTCAGTCCACTGCAGCGACGCCATTTCCGCTGGAATATGGAGCTGGATTCATTCGAGCGCTAGTGGGTTCGTAGACCCGGATACTCTACATGTCGCTGCGGCCCATACCCGTCTGTTTGCCACGGACGGGACGCCCCTTGAGGTGCCTTTCCACATTGTGTCGCTTGGAGATGAGATTGAGGATGGACATTGGAAGGGATTGGCTGGTGCGCGTCCGCTGCCTGGGCTGACGAGACCCAATATGTCGCGCGTTGCCAGCACTTACGAGAATGCTACTCCGGGATCGAGTCTGCGGGCTGGTGGGAAAGTGACCCGTCGACCTGTCGGCGGCGTGTTTCATGAGGCTGATGCCGGGCCGGCTGGGGGAAAAGTTCGAAGGATGTATTTGCAGTTTGACGGACTCCGTCTTAAGAGCAGCACCAACGGTATGATTGCCCACAAACGTATTGAGGCATCAGCCTTTGGCCGCGCAATGAAACTAACATTCGCAGAAATGCTCGACACCCACAGCTCAAGCGGTGATTTGCCGCGTTCAATGTGGAAACCAGCGACCATGCACCCAGATCATCTACTTGCGAAAGGAGGCTAGCAAAGGGTTTGGGCTCGTAGCAAACCCGAAAGAAGGTTTCATCTTGTGAGTAGACTAATGCATCGCCTTGTTTTTTTCATCCGCTTCCGTCTTCTAAGAAACCTTCATCCCAGCGATATCGACGAGCACGAACCACGCGTCTTAATCCGCATCCACGCCACCCCCGTTGGCGCGACTCGCACCTCCCTAGACGGCCTCTCCTCGTCCCCTTCCTTCGAGCACCTCGCCTCTCCCGTAAGCGACCGCCCACGCCTCAACAACCTCCTCTCCGGCCTTCGCCGCTCTCCCACCAGCAATTCCTCCTTCCGCTTCAACAACGACGCATTTTACAACAGCGGGATGTCCACCCCGACGCGCGTTCTGCCTAGCAATGCGACTGTGGAAGCCGGTCCGCTGTTGGGGGAGATTATATTTACGGTGCCGGAACATGCTGCGTATAATCATTCGAAGGTTGCTGGGGAGTATACGGTTATGTCGGCGAATGCAAAGAAGGAGATTGCGAAGTTGTCGTTGCAGTTGGGAACGTTTTTGGATGAGGAGTATGTTCCGGAGCCTGAGGTGTGTATGCGGCTGTGATGTGGTCCGTCTTTGGACTGTGCTCGATGCCTAACATCGTATATTATTCAAAGCCGGAACCCATCCCTCTCGAACCTGATTTTGGAGACTACCTTAACTTCATGATCCACACCGCTGGTGTTTCGGTAAGCTCACCAAATCCATCATCGTCCATTTTCCGTCAGGATCCTATCTCTCAACGTTGATGCTACAGGTGTGGCGCAAGTACTGGTGTGTCCTGGCCGACCGCGAGCTCTGCGTGTATGATTTTGAGTACCGGGATGTATGTTCTGAGTGCACCCCTCAATGCGATGACCGCGACCCACGCAAACTGATACCTCTGTCACGCCCACTCAGATCAAACCCATCTCGCGCCTCCCTCTCTCCTCCATCTCCCAAGTCCACCCGGCCGACGCCGAATTCATCATGGCCCCATACTGCATCGAACTCACCCTCACCCCGCAACACACCTCCCACGACACCCTCCCCGACTGGACCGCCCGTGTCATCGACGACAAACCCGGCTCGCGCGACGCGGTGGTGTATGCTACGGCCGAGTCGCACGAGGCCATGATTGGGTGGATGGATCGCATTGCGAGGTGTAAAGCGCGGTTGGCGGGTGCGGGCACGCCGGTGCCGCCGCCGAGGAAGGGGGGCGTGCAGAAGATGGAGAGGAGGAAACCGGTTGCTTCGATGGCTTGAGGTGGTGGAGATTTTTGGAAAATGGATGGAGGAGTTTCTGATGACTTTCGGGAGATTCTCGTGAAACTCTCACTTTTTGTAAGCAATGATTGTTGCCCCGCACATACACATATACACACAGTCGCTCATGTCCAAAAAAAAAGTATATCCAAAGATTGCCTCTTGTTATCCGATCTGGTCTGAAATGATGGAAATACAGTACTACGTAGTACGTACAGATAAGCCCGTACGGGCGGGTCCTCGGAGAATCGCACGGCTTCACGTCACGTGTTAGCACAAAGTACTGTACTGTAGGGCTGACTGTAGGCCGCCGAGTAGGCCGCCGATGCCGCCGCCACCTCGCTTTGCGATCCGAGGTCGCAGCGGCCTTCACGTTCTCAGCTCAAACGGCTCAAAGTCTTGAAGATCATAACGAATGAATGATCACGTGAGCATACACCCAGTCGGAAGACTCGGAACTCCCGGAGAAGTGGACGGCGGCCCCCCTTGGAAAGCCTAAAACCCTGTCAGTTCTACACCCAGAGTGTGTGCATAGTATTAGGTAAGGTGCCAAAACTTGGGCTCAACGCGCGTACACGAAATCTTTTCCCGACGGCTTCCAAGAGAGCAGAAGTCACCGGCCATGCGAGTCTGGGGAATAAAGTTTTGGCCGCGACCTGTCCTGTAACTAATACTGTACTAATCTTCAAGGCAGGAAGGCCGGAACTGGCAGCCGGCCGGTGACTTCTGCGTTGCAGACGGAGGCTCAACAACCAACCCGTCGTAAGTTGTAACGAGAGATCTGGCAGCCTCCTGGAAAGAGTCCTACTGTAGGACTACTATAATAGAGCCGCTCCGATGTAAAGCAATAAAAGGCGGTTAGGCTTTCTCCCCGCTCCAGCCTGGGCCATCGCATCGCTCGCCTACGCCGACGACACAGTATCAAGATGCCGGCCATCCACTGTCTCATCTACGGCGAGGACGGCAGCCGTGCGTTCTCGGTCGACGTCCCCGACTCAAGCAACGGCTTCACCGTCGCCCAACTGCGTCGTCTCGTCCTATCGCAACTCCCTGCAAGACATTCGCAGCAATTTGGGGTGCGTTACCTGAACGTGTCGGTGTAGCTAGCAATATACGATCACCGACTCACCAACTCTTGTCTGATAGGTCGCGGATATCGTGCTGTACCGAGTGGACGAAGAATCTGCTCTGTACCCCACCGATCCCAGGTTGGGGCAGGTCCACGACCCTATTTCCCCGATTGACACCGCTTTCCGAGTTTTTCGGTTAGACGATCCTCTGGCCGAGATCTGGGATGTGTTGTCCGAAGAAAAAGCCCACGGCAAAGCGCGCCTAGATATCCTGGTTGACCTGCCCAAGGACATTGCTGAACATCAATCCGGACCTCCACTCCGCCCTTCCTCGGTCATAGACCCCGCTTTTCCTCCGTCATACACCGTGGTGGAACGGGCTTTGCGGGAAGAAGTTAATGTACCATTGGGAAAGGACGTGCGGGCCTTATCTCCTGCCTCTCCGACGAATCACTCCTTCTACGAGTCCGACTTCATGGAAGAGAATTCACAACCTCGCACAGGAAATCCTGTGGCTGCTCCACTTTTGGCTGCTCCATTTTTGGCTAGCCGAAAAGCAAGTCAATACCATCCGGTCCCGTCCAAATCCTCTCATCAGCAACCGAAGACCGGATTGTGGCAGGCAAAGACTCAACCCGTTCACAACTATGAGCACACCGCACCGACGCAATCTCGCCCTGTCTACAACGCTACTTCCGCTCCAGCACTCCCAGGTCCTCTCTTCTCAATTTCCACCGTGGACAAAGATGGAAAGCAGTTCTCCCCTGACGTGGAAGCGACGAACAAGAAGTCATCGGCAATGACTACGGGTGCGTGCGTTCCGCCTGCCGCCCTCTGGCAGTCCAAGAAACGTCGATACATTCTTATTGGGGCCATTCTTGCTCTGCTCGCGATCGTTAGCGGGAGTGCAGTGGGTGTCGTCCTGAGCAAAAAGCAAAATCAAGTTCCTTCTTCTACAACTCCTACTCCTACCTCGGCCGCCTCCGCACCCAGGGTTGTCCAAAGCCTTCAAAATCACACCGCCGCCATAGCCAGTATCGTCTTATCGCCCGACGGGAAATATCTTTTTAGTGGTGCGTTGGACGACACCATCATACAATGGGACATCTCCACGGCCAATCCTGTCCGTAGATTCGTGGGCCATCGCGACGGGGTGCTCGATATCATTCTGTCGAAGGATGGTCAGCAATTGTTTTCGGCGGGCCGGGACAGGTCTGTTTTGCAGTGGGATGTTGTCACTGGTGAGGTCCGCCGAAACTTTACGGAGCATACCAGATGGATTCACAGGCTGGTTCTATCGCCGGATGAAACCCAAGTATTCAGCGGTGACGACGACAATGTGATCATACAATGGACCATTTCCACCGGCGCTCGCCTCCGCACCCTCAGAGGGCATACAGACTCAATAGTCTCCCTTGCCGTAGCGGCTGATGGCAAATCGGTGTTCAGCGGCTCATTGGACTATACCGTCCGGCAGTGGGATATCTCCAATGGCACCCTTCTGCGCACTATCCCGGCCCATACTGGTGCGGTGCGTGGTCTTGCAGTAACAGCCAACAATCAGTACCTCTACAGCGGAAGCAACGACACCACGATCAAGCAGTGGGAAATTGCTACCGGCAGACTTGTGAACACCTTAACAGGCCTCTCTCACTCGATGAATGAAATGGCTCTGTCACCTTCGGAGAAGTACCTGTACAGCGGCGGTGAAGACAAGCTTGTCAAGCAGTGGGACCTCTCTTCAGGGACGCTGGTCCGCGATATCCCAGGTAGCGGCCGTCCGATACATGCTGTTGCTGTATCACCTGACGGCACCCAGCTGTTCGCTGGAGGTTTAGACCGCGTCATAACACAGTGGGCATTGTGAGGAACTCCGCCGCCTGGGGCAGAGGATACTTGTTGGGGCTATATCTAGTCGAGAGGGCATCCGGAAACCTGAATGACCTGGCTCGGATTTCTTGGACCCGGAAACGTAGTCCAGTAGAACCCATATACCGTAGACCGGCGTAGACATTCCTCCGCTTCATTCCGATCCCTCTTCATGTATTTTTTCTAACATCCATGCCTTTGCTTCTGTACGCGTAGTAAATTCCTCTTACGACGGTTCTGTCCGCGATATCGCACTACGACCCAAACCTCTCGTACTAGAACCGTCCGATTACCGGCTTCAATAATAAACCATACCTAAGCCCCGGCATGAATGAAACCCTGCGTACGTGCCAATTCATTATTCGCAATTTTCACATAGTATATGTTTCTCGCACCGATGTTAGCTCCCGCGGTCGACTCATCTGATATATTCATCGGACGGTACTTGTGCTCTGATGCTCCCTCCCGTCAAAAGGGCCCGACATCTCGACCGCAATTTATCTCCGCACAAGGCGGCAAATCATGTGGCAGGGTACGACACATGCAGGACGGCTGTGTGAGGTCTTGGCGGGAAGAGAGTTGGAAGCCGGCGTGGTAATGGGTCCTTGAGGTATTACTATGAAATGAATATTGAGAACATCCCTAGTCCTTCCGGCCTGCGCTGCACCTGTGATTCATGATGAAGGGAACGCCAAGAGTAAAACCTGTCGGTCTTGGATTGCGTTTCGTCCTTAAGGCATCAATATCAAGGAAATATTGAGAACGCTACAATTCTTCTTTCAGCCTGACTTGCATTCCGTCTTTGCGACGGGGAGCAAGGAGCGTAGGTCCTGTCAAACGGTTTGGCATTGTAATTCGTCTGCCAGGCAGCAAGTCTAGAGCACATCTCCTCGCTCGCTGTGCCCTCTAACTAATCCTGTGTCGAGATCAGATGCGCTCGCTTTGCTCCCATATTTCCTTCTCCCAGGACTCCCACATGGCATGTGAAACCTGTCAGTTGCTGTCGGAGTTCAACCAAAATGACAGCTTTTCGCGTTCCTACAAACCTGAAGGATAATAACAGCAAGCACATCCTGCATGTTGGGGATATTAAGAGGTTTCACCGAGCTTCCTTTTCATCGGTGCAGAACTCGCAATGCTCGCCCGTGGCCAAACACACTCCGCCAGCTCTATTGAGGTATGTGTCTCCCGGATTCTGAAAACCAACTTAACTCCCGCCTTGCAGCGAATGCACTACTAATACACAACTCGATTCCAGGGTGACCCTAGAAGACACCCCCCTTCCATCAGGCCAACCCCGGGATCTTCCGCAAAAAGCGCAACCGTTTCCCGCACCACAAAGCCCCTACCCGGCCCAACATTCGCGAAAGCCAACAGCACGGCGCCATCGTCGAGGACAGCCCCGTCATCCGCCGCGAAAGAGATATGCAGATCGAAGCCGTCTTCGAGGCTGAATCCGGCAGTGGTTAAGCCGTTGGGGAATAAGAAGCATGAGACGTGAGTTTGTTACAGTGCGTGGGGAGTAACGTAGGGATTGGCGAATGTAGACTGCTAAAGCATGGAATCGATGACTTTGTAGGGTGTTCAGTGCGATGTATGCTCGCGGAGAGATTCCGTGGTGAGTTTTAGCGCTGGGTTGACGAAACCGATTGGGTTGTAGACTCATCCATCATCTTCGTTCTAGCCGATTGAATCATGGATCCGTCAAGCACAAGGTACGACCTGGCATCTTAATATCTCGTTCTGGGCATGGCCTGAATGTCGGATGACTAAACCGAACTCAATCCTTACTACCCACATCTACAGCTGACCTGGACATCCTACTCTCCGCCGTCAGCCCTTCAACATCTCCTCCCATCCTTCTTCGCCGGCCTCCTCGAAAAACAACATCCGTACACCCTGCTGAGTCGCCTCGGCATTCAACAAATCCTCGCATCAACCGGGCCCTCATTACCAGCAACATCGTCATCGTTCAGCTCCACCCCAGCCTTCTCGCTAAACAATTCCCTATCCACCCTCTCAATATCCTCCCAGCCATCCCATTACGATTCTTCACCTGCACCCGGCGCCCATCACAGTACTCCAAGGATAACACCCAAACTCCTCAACGAGATCGCACCCCACCTCCGCGCCGCACTTTGCGCAAAAGACACAGCAACAGTGTCTGCCGCATTAGACGCGTTCGAGGCGCTTATCAACGTCGCGAAAGAGGACGTGTTCGATATCAGAATCGAGGAGAAACCCAAACCTTCTACGTCGTTTGCTAGGAGTGGGGCTGGGTCGAGGACCGGGCGGGCTAGTGCGTCGAGGGAAGCAGAGCATGACGGTGGTGAAGCCGGGGTCGCGAAAGGAAGCACGCTGTTGAAGGCGGTCATCCCGCCGATCGCTGCGAGGGTGCTGGATGCGAGGATTGGGGAGAAGTGTGCGGGGACGCTGCGGACGGTGGAGATGTGTTGTGGGCCGAGAGCGTTGGCGGTGCTGAAGGCTTCTTGTCCGACGTATATTCCTGTTTTCATCTGAGGAGGTTTCCGCGAGGAAATTTACACATGTAGCAGAGAGCCCGTTGGAAAGCGATAGATTGACAGACTGGCGACAGGCATTGTCAATCTATTCAGTTCTGGAGCGATGAACAGATATTAGTTACCGCTCTGGGGACGAACAAATGGAGAACTAAAATTGGAACCATATTTCCTTCGCTCGTAGACCAGATCCTTTGACGAGTTTCCAAAAGCTGCGATCAAGTCCGCAGAGGCATTTCGGACAACGAATAACGCTCAAAATTTGAGGACTTTTGGATAACAAAGAACATCATAGCAATACACCGCAGAAAATGGACAGTTCGCAAAGAGTATGAGAAGGTGTGTACGCATTGTGTTGAATTCAGATATTATGAGAACATGACAAAAAGATATGACAATTGCGGAACTCGGCTACCAAGCCTTTTCCGATGACTCTATGCGGTCCTAAGCCATTTCCGAGTCATATGCACCTACCGCGATGACCTACCTGTAGTGCCGATATGTGCCGGGACGTATGTGGTAGGATGTGACTTTTGAGCGCGTATTAAGCAGTATGGCAAGGAGTGTTGAAGATATTGGACGTGGATAGGGGAAGATCCTGGACGCGTAGGACGAAGTATGGCGAGAGATGGTGAACATCTTGAACGCGTTGTAGGCAGAATGAGTGGGTAGTAGGCAGTTGGTGAGCGCTTGGTAGCAGCCTGGGAGCAAGTACTGTACTAGTAGGAGCGAGCAGTGTTGAGCCTGTGTTGGTTGTGGTGGTGGTTAAAGTTTCTTTTACTCGTCTGCTTCCACTCGCGTAGCTAGACTTGCGACAACAGGTGCCGATGGATCAATGCTGTATGAACAAAACGAAACGGTCTCATCTCCACAAGTGTCATATGTATGCATGGATGTACATAAGAGAGGCTCATCTAAAACTTATACACATCACCCTCAACATATCCCAACTTCTTCAAAACACCCCCAATCTTTCCCTGCGTGTAGTCAGGCGCCTTCCCGCCCGACAACGCCTCAAGCATCTGGTTAGGCCCGCAGATAAAGATCTTCTCCTTGGTGGCGGTCTGCTTGGGTGGGGCAGCGACTTGGGTGATGATCTTTTCGTTGATGTAGCCGACGTCGCCGCGCCAGCCCATTGGGGGCTTTTCGAGGCAGTAGCGGACTGTGAAGCGGTCGCCGTGGCGCTTTTGGAGGTTGTCGAGGTAGTCTTTCAGTAGGATGTCCTCCTGTGGGTGGGTGCAAAGTACGGGAGTGAGAACGTGAAACGACCAGATGTTGCGAGAGAAAGACATAAGGGATGCAAATTACCTCAGCGATGTTGGCAAACACAAGAGTCATTTTGGTCTTGTCCTCAGGGTTGTGGGTAATGCGTTGTATAAGCTGGAGCATGGGTGTAATTCCCGTTCCACCAGCGAGCAATGTGATGTGGTCAAACTCGTTGGCTTTGTAGGGGAACTTCGGGTTGGGACCCTTGATGTCAAGGGTGTCTCCGGGCTTCAGGTTGAAGATGTGGGTCGACATGGGGCCGTCTACAATATGCAAGTCAGGAAACATTGCATCCATTGTGCCTAAAACAGAGACACCAGCTTATACGTACTGGGGTACTTCTTGATAATCATATCAAAGTAACCGGTATATCCGTCAGCGGGGTCCTCAACGGGGGTGTATGGCCGCACAACAACGTTCGGCTTGCCATCGGGCTTCTTGCCGTCGACAAACTTGGTCAAGACGCAAGAGGCGGTAGGGAGACCCAACTCAGTGGTTCCCTCCGGCAGGGCGAAGCGGAAGCGCTTGGTGTTGTGGTTGACGTCGGAGACCTAATGTGCATGGGCACAAGGAATGTCGTGAGTTGCGAAACGAAGAGATTCCATGTATCGTACGGCTCCATCCTTTCCCATCCCATGCCGATGTTGCGCTTGTCAACGGGAACCTCCAGGAATCTTCTCTCTTCTCCCTATATATCTCGCAACCTACCTCCTTCAACGCAAACGGCAAGAACGACTTCCCATCGAGCGCAGCTACAGGGTTTTCGCGAGCCTTCTTGTCCAGCTTAGCCTTGATCAGCGCTTGTCCTTCCGCCTTATTTTGTTGTTGCCAATAGTAGACTATAGAACGTCGAAGAGAATGGGAACTAAAACGTTAGACAATTGTGGGTGGGACACCATTCCGTTCACGAACCGGGATGCGTCCTGCAAGCCGTGTAAATCCAGCCCGCTATGTTTCCTCGCTATTGGGACCGGCGGTCATCGTCATGATCTACTGAGCCTCCCGCCCAACGGCTGATTTCAACGCAACGTCCGTTCAACCTTAAACTACCCTTCCTATCCACCCCATCTCGCAGATTTCCCAGCCACTCCCTCCAGATTCCCGCACAAGCCAACTCACCACCAGCAGTCAGCACAGTCGGAACAGCCAAGACTTTCACGATGGTATTAAAAGAAATGCCTCCACTTCCTCCAGGGGGTGGTGGAAGGGGCACGGCGCCTGCTCCAGCGGGCCCCGAAGCGTAGCTGCGCAGACCGCCGAGGGCGAAGGCAGACTTGAGGGCGCCGCGGGCTGTTGTTGACCAGGACATTTTGGTGTTGATGAAGTGGGGTGTGATGCGAAGGGATGGATGGGGCGGATTTTCTCGAAGTCGAAGTCCGGAAGTCGATCGAGCAGGCGCGTCCGACGTCACAAAAAGCCGCACAAAGCCTCGCCAATTGCACAGAATTCGGTACAGCATTGCACCGCTCGAAAACACCATAAAAACCTCTCGTCAATATGCCTCTACCACGCAATTTCATCACCGCGGAAACGCTCAAGGTATGTATCAATGCTGGGACCGTTGTCTAAATTGACGAGCGAAACGACGCGGAGTTTTTTGCTCCGGTCAATTCCGCTTTCTCACTCAGTTCCCCTTGACTTTCTCGATCTCTTCATAGTTCGGCGTGTATATTCTCTTCCCGGTCGGCGTCCTCTATTTGTTCAACAGGCCCGACTTGCAGGAGAGGTTAACGAAGGAGCAGGTATGGGAGGGCATTCGCGCGTGTTCAGTGCACTTCCCACCCAACATGGCTTACGAGCGCCGGTGGGGTCTTCGGCTCATATCTCGAATTTTTTGAACAGATGGATACGATAAACACGTTCAGAGTACCAGAAGACCAATTATTTGTGAGTACGACCGGGTCTTTGCTCTGTGTATGTGGGTTGTGCCAGTCGAAGACTATTGGGCACCCACCCGACTAGCCTAGTTGACATCCCAGACTGACCAAAGGATTCCTCTGTCTCGGCCCTATCAGAAACTACCGAGTAATATGACCGAAGTCAGGGAGGAGGTGGGTTGATGTTGCCATTCGGCCCGGCTGGTGTCGGTAACACCTACGATGGTGTCTGATTCCATCCGATCGAACTGACGGCTCTGCATCTAGACTGCACGACTGCGTCGATTACGACAGGAGCGAAAACAGCAGCAGACTACAGAGACTTCCAGTTCCGCCTGATGCGACTGTGACGTTGTGACCCTGGAGGGATCGTGTGATGATGGGACGTGGGTATACGCATTCGCGACGGTTGTTGCAGCGAAGCTGATGCATGGCTCACTCGACGAGCATCACTTCCTGCCGTCCCGTTTCCGGAACGCAAAGGCCATATAGAGCCCTGCGAACCGGTCCAAGTCAGTGATCCGTACGAGAAGGGGTATTCACCGCCCGAACGGAATGGGGCGCCGAACATACCTGTTGATTCCCATTCATCTGCGGACATTGTTCCTTGATCGTTTACAACGTTCATTCGATATAGCAGCTCCTTGTACTGAGGATCTCGCGACTCCTCCTCATACAGCTCGTGCAATGGCTTCTTGTAAACTAGTTCAAGTCCGTATTCTGATGCGAGCCTAAGTTAAAATGATACTGTTAGACCCTGAATCAAATGTCTCAAAGCTAGATACGCGGACACGTACCGTTCGAAAGTGCGAAAGTTGACCAGGTACTCTGGACAATCATCTATTGCATCCTTCAGTTCGAACCAGTACTTGTGTCCAAACTCCTTATACGGCCGCTTCGTCTCAAACTTGATCTTCAAAATACTGTTGCCGAACTCCAGCCCCTCCGCCGCCTCCACTTTCCGCACCAACCAGTATGCATTCGGTATCGTCCCAATGAACATGCCGCCAGGCCGCAGATTCCCCGTAATATTCTTCAACCCCATCCGCACCTTCTCCTCCGTCTCAAACGAGTAATGAAACGCAAACTGGCAATTCACCAGATCAAACACGTGATCCGGCCTCGGTAACCGGTCCACGATGCGCTCCGTGAAGCAATCCGCCGCAAAGAACTTGGCCTGGAACCGACTGCCCCGCCCCTGCGCGAACCGCTGCTGTGCCTGTTCTATTGACACGTCCGCGATATCCACGCCCACAAGGTGGTTGATGTTCGCTTTGCTCCATTTCAACAGATCCCCGCCCTTCCCGCAGCAGAAATCGAGGACGTTGTCGCCTCGTCGAGTGTACTTGTTGATGAGCACGGACTTTACCCAGTTGTTGAAGTTCTTTAGCTGGAGGATGGGCGAATCTTTGCGCTTTTCGCGGCCGACTTCGGGGCGGGCGTTGTAATGTTGCGCGACGACTCGGGCTGAAAGGTCGTCTTTGGCGACGGCGGGAGAGGGTTTGAGGTATTTGGTGGGCGGTGCTGGGGTTTCAGGCGGTGTCCTGTCGTCTCTATCGTCCAAAGGCCTTTTCCGGCTTGGTTCTGCGGGGCGCTTGTCGATATTGACGTGTTGTTCGGAGCGAGACCCTGCCTGCCGTGCGACGTTGTCACCCATTGCGACTTGAATATGTCGCAAGAAGGTTGGCGATGGGACTGGGGAAACGCAGGATTGTGATGGTTTTGGTGTTCAGCGCTGTTGAGAAAAAGGAAGTGGACAGAGTGGAAATGACAAGCTGTCAGAAGTGTGGACGTGTTGATAGCCGAAACAGCTAACCATACCTACGTAGCCATGGACCGAGAGCGAAAATTGGCTTGGACCACAGAACCAAGACAACACTGTAACAAAGAATATGTATACCAGCCATACGCAGACTATTCAATGATCCTAAATACATGCTACATCGCTCGCCTACAGTGGTTCCTCCGCCGCCGAAGCCCTATCAAATGACTCGAAGCGACGGATTCGTTTTGGGGGGTATTAAAGGTTCCATTCACTGCCCTCGGACAAGCCTATTTGACATTCTCCATTTCGCCACCCGCTCGTTAGGCCTTACGCTCCGAGAACAAGGCGGAAGATGTCTATCAACGGCGGCAGACATAGTGGATAAGTATCATCATGCGAGAGTAAAGACGGAAGATGGAAGCTTCACTAACCGTTGTACACGAAGAAACTAGCGCCTTCGGGGTACAAGTGGAACGTTTGTGTGAAGAACTGGGTGGTAGTCTCCTCGTCGATCTGGAAATATGATACAATCAATTTGAAGTCTCTGGGCTGACAATTTCCGTGCGCCCGTGCTTCAACACGACAGTCGGCGTAAACATGATCGTAACTCTGGCGAGGTCTCCGCGGCAGCCATGCCTCCGAATCAGACCATCTCCTCTAGCCTACCTGAAGCTGGCCGGTCACCGTAACGAGGATGCTTCCGTTAGGACTTCCTGGCTGGGCGTCGCATGTAGAGATGACGTGGCGGACCTTTTGAAAGGGCAGGCTCTGAGAGATTGAGGAAGTTTGTGTTATTCCCAGATCTTATCGCATCACAGAAGGTTTTCGTCTCGACAAGTGACGGAGGGAGTAATCTCCAGGCGTCCGACTTACAGTGAGCTTCTCGACGATAGCGGCAGAGCCGGATGTTTGCTGACCCTCAAACGAGAGCATAGAGATATCTTTCTATGATTTGTGGAATGCGGTCAGCTAAGTGCTCCATGTACGGATAACGACTCTCACAGAGGGATGGTGGGAAAACCAGCGAGATTGTGCAAACAAGACTTGTGAGACGTACGTAGAGGGGACCGAGAGACGCCCTGTTTGCGTCGAAGGTCTGGTAGTAGTAGTCGACGAACTGCCTTGCGACGACGCTGGGGTCTGCCATTGTTGCTGGTTTGTTATGAGGGCGCTTGGGGGATGTCCAGAAGATGGATGAGCGGTTGCAACTTGCGAACAGTCGACGATAGCTGAGGACGGTGGGCAAGATGTTGAGATGGGCCGACAACTTAAATGCGAGTCACGTGCGCTGGCTTAAACCACCTCAGCGGCCGGCGCATTGTGGTGGCGCCTCGATGGTGTTGTTGGTGCGTTGGATTTGGGTCGTCGCCTGGGAATATCTGCCCGTGTTTGTCGAGGAGCTATATACAAGAGCTAGCTATTCCTGTCACCACGTCCTTTCTCCCAACGTAAAGTAAGAAGAACCCTAGTCCCATATCCTCAGGAACGCTTGGAAACAGCACTTCCTAATCCCACCGTCGGTAAGTTGATGACGGGACTTTTTGGACAGTCGCCACGAGGTCAAACGCGTGACACTCTCTCTCATCACGGTCTCATCGCATCTTTCGTCAGGTCAAATGGCTGCTCTTGCTGAGGCCACTCCGCCATTCAGCGTCGATGGGAACACTGGAGGTTCTATTGAACCCGGGAAAGTCTACGTGAAGGCAATTTGGGACTATGAAGCCGTTGAAGACAACGAGCTGCAGTTGAAAGCTGGGGATGTCGTTGAGGTTGTGGAACTCTGCAACAACGACTGGTACGAAGGAAAGGTTATCGCGAGCGAGGGAAGGCAGGGGCCCGATATCTTAGGATTTTTCCCGGCTACCCGTGTGGCATTCTTGGAAACATACCCACAAACTTTGCTGGACACGTTGAAGCCGAATGAAGACGAACATGTCCCTGCAGCAGGGTCACCGCATAAGAAGAGCCCCACTGCAGCGACGCCACAGATTGCAGGACCATCACCAGCTGCCGCAAAGAAGGCATCTGAGAGCTCAGGCGCTGTGGAAACGGGCGCACCCGCTACCCTCGTGCAGACAGAGCCATCGACCACCAAACGCGACGCGGACGCGAAACCGACCAACGAGCTCGATGCGAAAGGGGACTCTGTATGGCTGCCAGTAACGAGCTCAGACGGGCGACGTTATTTCTGGAATTCGCTTACTGGTGAAAGCAGATGGCGACCGGTCGAAGGGGAAGCACCCGCCCCAGCAGCTCATAAAGACGAAGACCTTACAAAGGACTGGCCAACAGAGGTCGTTAACTATCCCGATGAAGAGGAGGACGATGAGGATCCGTTTACGGATCATGTACTTCCTCAGACGCGTGATAGTCTGCTCGATACCGAAATAGAGGCGTTGCCTACTCCGTTGACTACAGCGCCTTATATCCTCCATGAGGAACCTGAAGTACGTGCAGCTGTGTTGCTTTCTGATTCATCCTTCCACTCACTAGTGGAGAACATAGGACGGTGGAAACGGAGACACTTCAGCCCGAAACGCCATGTCGTCACCCGATTCACCATCCAAAGCGCCTCCACCTCCTCCACCTCCACCACCGGTTATGAACTTTCCCGCAACACCAGTCGATTCCAGCTCCGACCCCGAGTTATTGTCTCTCGCTAAACTAGAAGGGGTTCCACCCGAAATCATCCGCCGAGAAGGATACCTGTTCACAAAGCTGAAAAAGCAGGCGCCGTCGAAGAACTCTCTCAAAAAGACCGGAGGTTCCTGGACGCAGCATTGGGCGATCCTCTGCGTTGGATTCTTGTTCCTGTTCAAGGACCAAGCGGGGAAGACAACACAGAGGAAGCCCTTGCATATTATCAAAATCGACTATGTTACGGTGGAAGAGGTTGGCAAGGAGCTTACGAAGAAGAAGGGGGCATTCAGCGTTGCGACGGAGAACGGTGCTGTCTGGTTGATCAATCCCTCGAGGGATGGTGAGATGCATGAATGGATGGATGCTATCACCGAGGCGAGTCGCGAGAGGAGTACGGCAGCCGAGGTATGAAGTGCCCAATCTCGGCAGTTCCATTACTATCCCCGCTGAGTGTGAACATGTTCCAGTACGAGAACTCCCGCTCCAAGCTGTTACAACGCTCCGAAGCGAACCTCCCGCGATCCAACAGCAAAGGCAACATCCCTCGATCCGGCAGCGGCGAAGGGCTCAGCCGCTCCTCTACACTTCTCGGCGAAAAGGAGTCATCGGCACCAGGAACCCCGCGCGGGAAATCAGAGAAAGTGCCACACAGTCGCCGGTCGACAAAGACCCTTGATCCGGACGAGGTGCCGTATGAGGGCAGGAAGAATAATGTGAAGAGCAAGATTGGAGCGTTCTTGTTTAAGAGGCCGAGCGTGGATAAGTTGAAGGAGAAGGGGATTATTCTGGATGAGTGTACGTTGTGCGGAGTTGCCGCTGTGTGAAGGGTAAAACCTTATGATGGCTCCGGAATTTGCAGCCGAGGACATATTCGGAGGCAATCTTGCGTCACAAGTCAAGGATTCGGGGAAACTGGTCCCAACGGTGGTTGAGTTATGTGTTGCCGAAGTTGATAAGCGAGGTCAGCATGGCCGTTTGACTTTTGCTATCGGCATTCTAGCTACCTGGCCATTGACAGCTCACAACCGATTTTCGGCAGGATTGACATCGCAAGGCATATATCGACTGTCGGGCAATGCATCAACAGTTCAAAAAATCCGGCAGCTGTTCAATGCTCGTATGTGGCCCATCGCACAGTAACCATTTGTGCAACCTTGATCACTAAACTTCACATATAACATGTAGATGAGCCAACGAATCTGGATGACGATGGCTTGGACATCAACGCAATCGCCAGTGCTCTGAAACGTATGCGATCTTCCGGGAAAGAGGCGCTGCTGTATGGCCAGCACTCAAGCTAATCACGTTTCTTCCCATTCTGCAGTATATTTCAGGGAACTGAAAGACCCGTTGATACCTTACGCCTTCTTTGACGGAATCATAACCGCAGCTAGTAAGTTTTGATGCGAGGACTCATATCTCCGTCGGCTCTGAGGTTGACACCGTTTTCCTTCCTTTTAGAAATCCAAGACTATGATACCCGCCTGATCGAGTTGAAAACCATCATTCAGTCGCTACCACGGCCAAACTATGATACCCTGGAGTTTATGCTCCGACATTTATCGAGGTAGCGTTTAGTTTGGAAAAGGCCGTTGGGGCAGACCGATGTTTCGAACGGCGATTTCTGAGGGTCATATCCGATGAGAGCATCCCTGAACATTTCTTCCTATCCTCTTCACGACACGATAGAGTCACAGCACATTCGGGAGAAAACAAGATGGAAGCGAGCAACATCGCCATCGTCTTCGGCCCGACTCTGATTCGACCAAAGGAGGACGCGACCAGCAGCGGGTATGCGGATATACTCAACATGACCTGGCAGAACACCGTCGTCGAAAGTATCCTTGTGCAGGTTGACTGGGTGTTTGATGGGAAGGCGGATTGAGGAGACGGACATCTGCTCCATCTTCGTTCATACCAGCATAGTTTCGCGGACTTCGTTGCGGAGGTGTCGTGCGGTAGGTAGCAAGGAATGATTCCCTTTTACGCTAGTGAGGCAGAAGTCGACTAGGCAGCGAGGGGTCCATGCGGATGGGAACGACATTCTGAATCTGGCTACCATCCCATGTCGGATAATCGCATATACATGCTTCTACGCAGCAATTCGATACATCAAAGCAATAGAATGGTGCCATCCCACATTCCTCGTTCATCACGCCCCAGTCGACCCCCCATTTCCCTTCCTCATCTCCTCCAACAGCTCCCTCACAACATCCCCAGCATCCTGTTGATCCCCCTTCAGATGCTCCTTAAACGGGTCATCGACAATACGGTCATGCAGCATGACAAAGAACGGCACGTAGGTCAGGAAATCGAGGAACCCGACGCTGGTCTTCTTGGTGGTCCCTGCTGCGGCCTCCTTTGTGGGTGCGAGGTTGAGGAGAGATGCGACGCTGTCGACGGATTGGGGTGGGAGGCCTGTGGAGAGGAGGAGGATTTTGATGTCGTCGTAGGTTAGGGTGGATTCTTCGTTGGCGTTCAGTTGGAAGAGGTGCTGGTTTGGGGTGAACGGAGTCAATGAAGGACTAGTATCGAACTCGGATGAAAGCAGCGGAATATGTACCCTGTACTGCTTGATATTCTTCTCCAGCTTTTTGAAGTCCGTCTGACCGAAACTTTGACGGAGCCGCGTACTATTGCGATGCAAGTGGTGAAAGCGGCCGGACAATCAGCATGAAGAGCAAGAGCGGAACTCGCTGCTGATGCCGGATTCACCGACAAACTTACTCCAAGAACGTAACCCGTTCCGCAAGTGCCGCAATGACACAGAACTCAGCCTGGTCGACATAATCGCCCGCTACGAGCTCAAATACCTGCATTGGGGGAGAAAAGCTCTCAGTGTCCTCTCCCGTCGCGCCAATCCCCGGCCCTCATCCACTCTCGATGCAATCCCCACGCCAACTCACATTCTGGATATACGACACCTCCCCGCTGTTCACCCATTTCATGCGTTCCAGCTCGACCCCCAGCTCCTCGACACTTATCAATTCTCGATCGGCTCCCTTAAAGAATGGATCTGTTAGGCGGATGTAGCGCTTCTTGGCTTCGTCGTCGAGAACGTTCATGTCGTTAAGGAGCGATGTGAGGAAGTCCTGTTGAGCGCAATGTCATCGAGAGGTTCAGCGGGAATCGTGGTGATGGGGACACTGGTGAGTAACTTCACATACATCCTTTTCCTTCTCCAACCCTTGCCTATGTGGCGCATCCTTGTTCAATCGTCGGCGACGCATGGTCTCCATATCGATGGCCGGCTTCTATTCAATCCGTTAACGTCGTTAGGAATTCCGTCGCGTCTTCGTACGTGGCAGACATGCCGGACAAGCAAACATACCATGACGCTCATCCTCCTAGCGCCTGGCATACCCGCCGCCACGCTTTGCCTTCTACTCTCTGCCCCACCCTCACCGCCAGGTTTATGGTTCCTTCCCGCAAACTGCGCCATGCGCGCCTTTTTGGCCGCCAGATCCGCCGCTGGGTCCACAGAACGTCCAGCCTCAGCGGGCATCACGTCTGTTTCCTCTTTTGTCGGGTCCTCAGGTGGTGAAGCTTCGCCTTTGTCAAGAGAAGGGAGGTTCGTGCTGACATGGCGTGGGGGTGTTGGGCGGCGAGGTTTGTAGGGTGCTACTTTGTCTTTCGTTGTAGGATCTGACGTAGGAAGGGATGTATCTGTCGTTGTCGGCTGTGGTGCTGGTTCGGTCGCCCAAGCCGCGATGTCTGACTCAGCTAAAGCGGCCGTGGCTCCTTGCGGATCCATTTCGAGTGGTGCTGCAGAGATGAGCTGTTCGGCAGGTTCTGGAGGCGGCGTCGTTGCAAGCTCCTCCGCGACTTCCGGATTCGCATGCAGGACAATGACTGCTTTGGACTCTTTTCGTTTCCTTTTAGGTTTTATTGAACTTCGCCTTCTCACGACCGGTGGCGGTGGTGGATCCTCGACGGCGGCCTCGACGGCGGCCTCGAGGGGCGGTGTCGGTGGGATTTCGACTGAAGTTGCAGGAGGCGGTACTGGGGTGTGTGGGATGGACTTCGCTAGAGGTTTTGGCCGCGGGCGTTCTTTTCGCAGCGGAGGCAACAGCCTCCGGGGCTTCCCTACAATTTGCTTGTTGGCTTGAATCGCGTCGGGCCGCGCTGGAGTGAACATCGAGGGTGGCGAGCGCTCGACCGGTGCTGGTGTCTTGAAGGGTGTCTTGAAGGGTTATTGTAGATGCGATAAGTAGTGCAACCTACAAATTGCACGCCGCCATTGGTGAGCTATACCTGCTGTTTCGCCATCATAAGCAGACGGGGACTTGATCCGTAGAAGGGCATCTTCTTGGTATATCGATGGGGTAACAGGCGCGCCAGGTGATGTCCGTCTTTCTTCACGTCCACCGTCTCCACCGTTTTCATCTCTAAACGCATGTCCTACCAACGGTCAACCAGACTCACGGTTTGATGGTGTTTCCGCGAAACATGCAGCCGCTCACCGGTAAAAATCCGAAAGTACCCTTCCGGCGTGATCTCATCTGGTATATTGCCCAATACTGGCATTCTCCTTACAATAGAGGGTATGGGTATCGCCGATATCGAATTCGATTTCCTGTTCACTTCCATAGGAACAGAGAGCTCCGCCGCTCGTAACTGATGAAGACCCATTCCTTTCAATCAAAGGCACCGACCGCACACGTGAAGTGTAGCCACCCACCCATTCACAATCCAGCCGCCCAACCATCTTCTCCTTCAGAGGCCTCAAACTCCTCCCTTGTCTCGGCAGCACCCCGTCCACAATCTTATTGAAGTTGAAGATGGGCATATTATTTCTCGGCGTAACCGGAGCCAGTGTCCTTCTCGTCCCATTTCGCAGCGTTTTCGCAGGGAGAGGGAGGCGGGATGCATTCCCTTCCAACTTCGTTGGGGAGTTGTCCTCGTCAGCAAAACGAGCTGTTCGTTGGCGAGTGGCTTTGCTGGAACGCTGTTCTTTCCTGGCCTCCTCGCTGTCTGGAGGTAAGGCATACACAAGACCGCTAGAGATATCCACGTCGAGACTAATCGAAGTGGAATCTTCCGGTCCTCCCGCGTCAATGACTTCTCCCTCATCTTCACCCTCCTCATGTGCATCTTGGTCGAAAGCAGAAACGCATTCGGACGCGAGGACATCAACGAGAGCCATCGTGAAGATTGCTTAGAGAAGTTCGACTTCGACCCCGTCCGACGAGCTACTATGCTTGCTTCACTCCCGCTGCCGCCTCCGAAACAGTCCTGTTGAGTGGGTTCGCACATCGTATCTTTCTGTGCTGCGCCAACGCCTTCGGAAAGAAACGTAAGGTTAAGTTTCAAGCGAGTCTCGCGATCGAGGCTTGCGTCTCGCGTGTTCCCAAGGCGCACAGAAGAGCCCTTCGGTCAGCTATTTGATGTGACCTTTGCACCTTCTGCACATGGATAAGCACAGGTAAAAGGCGAATAGCTCAAGGGGAAAGGCACCAGAAGACACCCAATTAGGTTGACGGACATCCCGGCCGTTCCAGTCGGACTCCGCTCCGTGATGTGTCACGGTTGGTCCAGCTATGCCATGAGGGCCGGTTTCTCACTTCGTTCTCGGAGGACAAGATGGAACTTGTACACAGTAGAACGGTCCTACTAGAACCTCTTTGATACGATTTTCCGGTCCCGACGCTGGGACTTGAGGATAATATTATCACCTCTTCTGAGTCCTGACAGTCCCATTGATATCATGTTCCATTCCATTCGTAACCCTAACCAGCTTGCAACCTAGCGAAAACTGACCCAAGATCGATTAGGCCCTCCCTGAGGCCCTCCCTCCGTTCAATTATCGCCTCATTTTTGCTCGGGGTCGCAAATAGAATACAAAAGAGGTTGTGGTGTAGTGGAAAGTTACGGAACAACAAGCCTCGTGGTTCAAGTTATCCTGCTCTATGGACACAACCCTATATTACAATTTACGGTTCGTGGGCGTTTATGAGTGGTCCAGCTGCTCGGCCACGGAAGCCTTGTCTGGAAGTCTCCTGTAGATGTACTGTATAAAAGGGCTGGCTCTGTTGCATACCCCCTGAGTCGTCTGTTCGCGGCGTAAACTCTTTCTATCTTTCAAGTGAACACCTGCCCAGCAAAAATCATGACTTGGACAGAAACTGACGGAGCTCTCCTCGAGAAGCTCGAGGCTCAGATCCTCCCCGGCGACGCTCCGATCGAGAAACGTCTCCTAGCTGAGATCGTCCCCGGCTTCTCCCTCGCAGTCCTGAACAACTACGAAGTTACTTGGACGAAAACCTACGGAGTTCGGGACAACTCCGCTTATGGCGCAGAGCGCAAGCACGTCGACAGCGAAACCCTCTTCCAGGCCGCGTCTATCAGCAAGACCTTGACTGCTTTCGCAGTCTTGCGCTTGGTGGACCAGGGTGTGCTTGATCTCGACAAGGACGTTCACACGTACTTGAAGAAATGGAAGTTTCCCGCGGGGAGCCCCACGGTTACTCTGCGCCTTCTACTTTCTCATCGCGCCGGGGTCAATGTTAGCGGATATCCTGGATTTGCGAGAGGAAACCCGGACATCCCGGATATTGTTACCTCCCTCAACGGTGAGGGTTCCACCACGACTTCCAAGGTGGTAATCGACTCTGTTCCAGGCATCGCCGAAAAGTACTCCGGAGGCGGGTACTCTGTTGTGCAAGTGGTATTGGAGGATGTTGTTGGCAAACCGTTCGATGAGCTGATGGATGAGCTGGTCTTGAAGCCATGTGGAATGCACAGGTCCACTTTCAAATTGTGCACCGCGGAGCCTCCGTCCGACAACACCGCTTCCGGACACATGTTTGGTCCCGCGAGCGTGGGTGGCGGATTTCTTGTCTACCCTGAGATGGCCGCCGCTGGCTTGTGGACAACGCCAGCCGAACTCGCTCGGTTCGCGATGGCGATCGGACAGTCCGTTCGCCAGGTGTTGCCATCGGTTGTGGAAGCCGAAGCCGCCGAGGACGTGGTAAAGTTCGACGGCCCACTGCTTTCCCCTTCGGCGGCCAAGGAGTTTATCACCATCCCTGGTATGGCGGGTGAGCACACTGGAGATTCAAAGGGAATGGCTTTGGGCGTCAATGTCGCTGGCCGGAACGAGCGGATGCGGTTATCGGTATGTTTAGGCTGTTCTGTTCCACAGGTCCGAGGACGGGGAGGGAGGGGTGTTGGCCCAACCACCTCGCTCTCAAAAGCTAACCTTCAATTTGATATCAAAAACACTTCGCTGAATAGCATGCGGGTGGCAACCATGGATTCCTATCCAATATGGAGATCAACCCGTTCTCCGGCTTCGGCTCAGTCATCATGTACAACGGGCATGACGAGAGTTATAGTATCAGGCGTCAAGTCATCTCCGCTCTCGGCGGGATTTACAAGTGGCCTGACACGGCCGAGAGCAAAGATACCTCTCAGAACGGCGGAGCGAAGACGGAAGAGATGGCGAAAGAGGTTGACTGGAACCTGCTGTCCGGCACCTACAAAACGGACGAAAATCGGGAGATCATCGTCAGCGCGGACTCGACCTGCTCCTTCCCTCCGTTTGCCAAGGGACCGTTCACTCTGAAGAGAAAGCGGGACAACAAGTTTGAGATCGTCGGACTGACCGAATCCTCTTTGGAGTTTGAATTTGAGGAGGCGGAGAAGACAGGGGAAGATGCCGCTGCCACCAAGGGCTCTGCTGCGGTCTCGGTCGCGTACGCTTCATCGCAGAGCGGGGGTGAAGCATGGGCAGCTCCCTCTACCGTGACCGCCAAGCGGGTGAAGGGGTGAAGGGGTGAAGGCATGGTGTTGACACTAATGTAGTTATTGATTCGCAATCTGATGCATATATTCCGAAAACCCATTCGGATTGTAAACTCATATATCTCCAATTCATATCACGGACGTTTCTCCTCACCGTGAAGCTGCGGCGGCCGCATGTGAAAGTCATCTAAATGGAAATGTTCCATCACCCAGATCAACAGCAGAAGCCAGTCTTCCATACGAGAATGGACATTATTGTTCGCGACGGAGCCATTCTCAGAACGAATCCAAGGTCGTCCTGGCGAAGCAGATTTAGGCGTCGACAAAGAAAAGCCGTCAGTACGTACCGAATACCCGGAAATTGCGCGGTGCCGAGCCCGCGGTAAGGGCAGTCAGGGTCCTCTTCAAATGTTCAGGCTTCCCCTCTCGACTCTCAACTCTTAACTCAGCATCTTGGAGCACTTTCTTGGCGCATCCCGAGGACCAGTGAGCTGTCCGCGCCCCCTAAGTTCCGCTCCATAGGTAGTCCTACTTGAGCTGTCCGTAGATTTTGCCGTCGCCTGTTCCAGGATACACCTCCTCAAGTCAAATATTGAAAGCACAGTTATGGAGGACGTTTCGGTGCAGCTCCTCGACTTCCAGAAGCAGATGGCGACAGACCTACTGTCATATTCCCCAGTGGCTCCAAAGTCGTCCTCAGCTCTCGCAGCAACAGCACCACAGGGAAGCGAGGGAAAAGGCGACGGTCTGCTGATCGCAGCGAAAGGGCTTGGCCTGCGAAATGTGTTGCTGGCCTTCCTACAGATCTACGCTGACCCTCGCGGACTGGTGCTGTTGCTGAACACACCCTCGCGAGAGGTGCAGGTGCTGAAAGAGGATTTGATGAATATCACGGCGTCTAGGGATGCTATTACGGATGAGGAGGGTGGGCCGGTTCATCCCAACTTGTTCAGGTCGATCAATAACGAGACACAGGCTAGCGAGAGGTAAGCCGTGTGACGTTTGTCGGATGGGATTGGGAGCGACTAGGAGATTGGGTGGATAGAGAGTATAGGTCATAGGAAGGCACCTGGTTCTCGTGTATTATGTGCTTTATCTCTGAATATCAAAATGACATTAGTAAAGTGTTTGTCGATGCCATGCAGATCTGAGCTTTACTTGACCGGCGGCGTGTTATCAGTGACCTCCCGAATCCTTATCGTCGACATGCTGAACAAAGTGGTTCCTTTCGACAAGGTGTTGGGGATCATAGTGAATCATGCTCACAGGTTCGCAGACTCTATATTCGGCTCCTTGTTGCCTGCAATGTTACTCATTCCTTCAGTCGTTCCCCGAACAATATGAAGAGTGACAGACACGTCAACGGAAGCTTTCATCCTGCGGCTTTTCCGAGATGACAACAAGGTATATTTTCCTGATGCCCTCTCATGAAACATGAATCAAGGTCCTGACACTTCCAAAGGAAGGGTTCATCAAAGCCCTATCGGATGAGCCGGAAGCCTTCACGCATGGGTTCTGGAAATTGGAAAGATCCATGAAGACGCTTTTCCAGCGACATGTGTTCCTATGGCCCAGGTAAAACGCAGGAAGTTCAGTTGAGCCCATCGAACTATTCTCAAGCTGTTGCGTTGTGGCAGGTTTCACATGACTGTAACGGAGGACATCAACCGAGGAAACGTACAGCTCCATGAGTGCAAGGTAGTGAATGACCCGACTTCCTTTCAAATTGCAGCATGCACATGGTTCTGATCTGGATTTGCACAGGTTAAGCTCACTAAAAGCATGAAGGAGATCCAGGCCGCGCTCATCGACTGTGTAGATCAGTGTTTGGCGGAACTCCGGAGGTCAAATCCAAGTGTGCGTCATCGACGTTGTAGAGTGTTGGCAGAGCTGCAAAGACGATACTGATGTGGGCATATGACTCCGAACAGATCGACGCCGAAGAGCTCACGGTAGAGAATGCCTTCTTCAAATCATTTGACCAGCTCGTGCGGGCACAGCTGGACCCCATCTGGCACCGCGTTTCCACGAAAACAAAGCTGCTTGTCAGCGACCTGAAGATCCTCCGGCGGTTGTTGAGGTATATGAACCCGTTTGTTCCTGAAGCACCACCGAAAATTTACCCCCGATATCAACAGTTACCTGATCTCATACGACTGCGTCACATTCAACTCCTTCCTCGAGACCATCGTCGCTTCAAACGCCACGGATGCAAGCGCGGTCTTCCGTGCAGAATCAAACCAGAGTCCGTGGCTCCTGCTGGATTCGGCACATGTGGTGTTGTCTGCAGCCAGACAAAGAGTATATCGTCGAGCAGTCGAAAAGCAAGGAGATCTGGACGCAGGGATTCCCCCTGGCATCGAAGCGACACTGGAGGAACAACCGAAGTGGAGGGTGTTGAGGGACATCTTGAGGCAGATTGAGCGTGATAGGACCCTTCGGACAGAGCGTGGAGAGAGCAAGTATATATAAATGGGTCCCAACTTGCGCTTGTAGAGGCTAACATGTATACGTCTTGATGCGCAGCCCCCGGCCCAGTCCTAGTAATGGTGGACGGTGACCGATCCTGCAACCAGCTCCGAGAAATCATCGACAAATGCGACCTTACCTTCATCAAACCAGAGCCAGAAGCGGTCCATCGTTCATGCGAAGTGGTCGACAGCGACGCTGTGTCCCAGCAACACGCCCGATCGAAAGGGAAAAGTCGAAAGCGGGCGTTGAATTCTGAGGAAACGCGACATGGCGAAGAGAAAGATAATGAGCCCGACGTCCCGGCCGCGGTGCATGAGTTCTTCACGCCGGGCTCGGAATCGTTGCTGAAGCGGCTGTTGAAGCGGTATTTCAAGTGGAAGGGAGGAATGTCACTGGTGACGAAGAACCTGTTTCGGAAGGCACCAAGCACTAGCACTTCTGCGGCGCCGTCGCGGGCAAATAGTGGGTTGTCGGAAGGTAGGTTCCGGGTGCTTTTGTATTTGATGGTTTCAGGCAAGTACCAACGTAATGGTCCGGATTATAGGAAATGGGAACGACGCATTTGGCCGTGGAACCGGCCGTGGCACTGCCCCTCCCAATAAACGGAGGCGGACGCGCGGTGGTGGCAGCGGCGGAGGATCACCATCAGAAGGCAGGAATCATGCGGCGGGTATTGGACAGACAGGCATGCCTGTGACCTTTGAGGAGGAGGCTGCTCGAATTGCCGAATTGTAAGTTATCGTGGGATATAGAACCTCAACGTTCACGATCGACCCTGCGTGTTGACGCACCCATCAACAGTCTAAGTCAAATCGAACCACCCCTCGAAGACGAAGAGCCGATGGACGTTGACGCTCTGGACGATCGGCCTCCCCAACTATTGAACGGTGAAGACGTATACACGCTCATCCCGAGCTCCCACGCCGTCGTTCTCCGCCCGTACGCAACGACATCCATGTCCCTCGCGGGCGCATCCGTGTCGAATGGTGACGATGATGCCAGGGTGTTGGAAGACTTGAGGCCGGAGTATGTGGTGATGTATGACCCGGATCTGGGCTTCGTGAGGCGGGTGGAGGTGAGACAAGAGCTGCGATGAGCGCTTATGCCACTCCGTGCGCGCTGGACGAGTACTCATCTGGCCCGATTCTGCACAGTGCTTCAAGGCGCTGAATCCGTCTATGAACCTCAACGTCTATTTCATGGTGTATGAGGACTCTGTGGAGGAGCAGCGCTTCTTGTCCGGCATCCGCAAGGAGAAGTCCGCGTTTGAGAAGCTCATCCGCGAGAAAAGTGTAAGCATTCTTCTGCGTCCTGAATTCCCCCATTGTCTGAGGAAAGATTTTGACGGGCACTCTCTTCTCGCCAGATCATGGCCATACCCATTGATCAAGATGGTCGTATTGCGCGAGATCCGGAGGAAGAGTTCTGGCGAAAGCTGGACACGCGTTTAGCGGGTGGGCAACGGATACCTGCCGAGCAGAAGAACCAGGTAGGCCAGCCCAAAATATGAGCTCGCGCTCTGCGGTCTCATCGAACCGATTGTCTGTATTGAACAGGTGATAGTCGACGTCCGCGAATTCCGCTCCTCCCTCCCCTCCCTCATTCACGCGCAACGCATGACCATCCGGGCCTGCACACTCGAAGTCGGCGATTACGTCCTCTCTCCCCACATCTGCGTCGAGCGCAAATCCCTCTCCGACCTGATCTCCTCCCTCAAGTCCGGCCGACTGTACACGCAATGCGAAGCCATGTCGCTGCACTACAAGATCCCTGTGCTGCTGATCGAGTTTGACAAGGCGAAGGCGTTCTCGCTGCATTCGGATCGCGAGACGAAGGGAGAGATTGATGCGAAGGATGTGGGCAGTCGGTTGTGCTTGTTATGTTTGCATTTTCCAAAGTTGAGGATGGTGTGGAGTTCGAGTCCGGCGGCTACTGCGGAGATCTTTGAGGATTTGAAGGTGCGTCTTGGCAGAGCGTAGGGGTCGCATGGGGCGTTCTTGGGCTTGCAATGTGTTAAGATCTTTTCATGCCCGATTTTCCCACCCAGAAAAACCAAGAGGAGCCAAACATGGAGGAAGCCATGGCGGTCGGTGTTGACAACCCGGAAACAATCGACAGCGCGTTTGCCATTACTCCATCCGTACGTTCTTCCCCTTCTCATGTGTTCCGTCCATTTCATTCACATCCGCACATGTCTCACATGCATCCTTCCTCTGTCGCTCCTTGAACCCTGACAACACCACACACAAACTCACAGGACATCCTCCGTGCCCTCCCCGGCATCACGTCCAAAAACTACCGCTACGTCATGTCCAAAGTGCGCAACATCGAAGAACTCAGCGAGATGGGGCTCGAGGATTGTCAGGAGCTGCTTGGCCAGGAGTTCGGCCGCAGTTTGTACAATTTCTTTAGGCAGGATCCGACAAAGGAGCCGCCGGGGGCTGTGGCTGGAGCAGAGGCAGGGACCGGAGCTGCTGCGGGTGTCGCGGCGGGCGGGAATACGGATAGGGGAAGAGGGGGAAAACGGCGGGCGTAGAATGGCGTATGGATGTGACGGGAATCGCGTATGGCCTCCGGCTACCCCGGATTTTGGGAGGTTACGGAGATTCTGGAAGTAATAGGAAGCAGCAGTCTCTCCTAGCGTCACTTGTTTGCATAAACATCGGCATATGCAGAGGATAGATTCGGAAATGTACTGTATGTAGAGTACGACTGATCTCTAGGTACAAGTTTCGGCAATGCAATGAACACACGCCTAGATAAGATTTACATAACCGGTGAGAAGCCCCTACCTCTCGGCGTCTATACTCTATGCTAAATGAGAAGAAACGGGGCACGACATTGCCCGAGGTAGGGATCTGCTATACACCCTACAAGTACGCCACACCAATCCCAAACTGGAATCCCGGCTTCAGCACGTCAGACCTGGTAGCCGTCACAGGCAAGCAGTAGTTGAGTTCCAAGCGGAGGATGCTGAATCGGACGGCGAGACCGAGCCCCGCGGACACGGAGGGCGTGGCGAACACTATGCGGGCCGTTTCTGCTGGCGGGGTGGCTGCGACAATTATGGAGTGGAGGAGGAAGGAAAGGGAATGATGTGAGTTACACGCTCAAGATGGGAACGAATTGCAGGATGAAAAGCCTTTCCAGACCTGTGTTGACTTGCGCCAGCGATCCTCCGTTTAGGAACACGTGTCCCTTTATTGGCTTGTCGCGGAGGTAAGGCAATGGGGTGAAGAGACTGAGGCCTGCCGCCCAGTAAGCGTCTCCACCTATCGCATCCTCTGTAATGCAAGAAGGAGCGGACGTTTAGCATTCCGGTTTCATAGCATGCGGAGGGGCCTGTCCAGTCTTACTCTTGTCCATGGGCCCGATCCCACTTTGCCGGAATCCCCTCACGGTGTTGGGACCTCCCAGGGTAAATCGGTCGTTGATCCGCATCCGGTGGCCTGTGAACGGCACAACAAGTCCTCCGCGGGCGGATGTGGTGAAAATCTGCACGACAGTCGAAAAATCAGTCAATCCCCCTCACAAAATGCGACTGGCTATCCAAACGAGGAAGACACGGGACAACGAAACGTACGAAACCGTTCCCAAGACTCCGAACCCACTGGCCTTCCGCCTCTCCCTTCATGAACTTCACGTCACCGCCCAGTCCCGCCAATTCCTAGGATATTCTGTGAGCGCATGCATGAGAGGCAACAACCAGGTTGCTAAACGTTGCCCACCTCTCTTGTTCGGATGTAGCTTCCCGTTGTAGGTAGCATAGGATCGTCGCGATGGTCCTTCGCATATGTGTGGCTGATTGCGGATTTGAGGGTGTGGCCGGCATCCTGTCGCACACTGTGTGGAACCGCGCCAGAGCACCAGTCGTCAGTCTTTGCACTGAAAAGCACGCCAGTGAAGTCTCCCACCTCCACGAAGCGCTCTGCGCCAGACTGTGGACACGTCGCCATGCCACATCGTATGCTAATTCGTGTGTGCCTCGGAAGATGTCTGCTGTCTGTAACCAGACAAGAAGGATCGTAAACCTAATGCTCCCTTCCACCAACCTCTCCCTGCCAAGCCCCTCTGTACCTTGTATCGCGCAGACAGTCCCTTCGTCTCTTCTTCGTGCGATTGGTGCAACGACATGTTTCGATTGGTACTATACGCCGCAAACTCGGCGCGGGCGTCCGGATCCACATGGTTCGGCCTTTGGAACACCGGTTTTGGTAGAATCGGTTTGCTGAGTAGAAGCTGTCGGAGAGCGGCCAGCATCAGCCTCTCTGCCTTCAATCGGTCGTCCCCACAATCCGCTGAATGCCGGAAATCCCCATCCTACCTGGAAGTAGCTCCCCGTCTCGTTGTTGTTGAAAGATGTACTTGGCTCGTTCAATGCGATGCCGGGCTGCACGGCATACGATGCATTGGCTTCAAGCACTTCGCCTCCTCCCAACACATTCGAAATCCGCGTTGTGATATTCTGATGTATCGCATGCCGAGGAAAGACCATCAGCAAAAATGCCCCTGTCCGCCGGAGGAGTATCCACGGTAACGAATCCTCCCATCCTCACCGTCGTGGTATCATAATTCGAAAAGTCCGCCCCGGTCCTCGCATAAAACCTCGGCGCCTCCGTCACATTCAGCACTACATCCACAGCCTCATCATCCACCAACCCATACAGTCCCGGGTCCGCCGTGTCCAGCGTCACGCCCACGGTCCGGAACACGCCAAGCCGAGATATCCGGTGACAAGCCTCCCGGGATTCTGACAGGACGTCCCCTAGGTTCTGGGATTCGAGAATTGGCCGGACGAGCGGCTCGACCACTGAACGCTTGGTATGTTCGATTCCTTCTAGACGGATTGAGTTCACGCGCATGCGGCGATCTTGCGAGTCCGCTACCTAGAATTCCAAGTGACACAAAGAAAACGGAAGGGAAAGGGAATTGAGCAGAATTGAGTTGTCTTCCAGTATGCGACAAGTCCTTTCCGGTCTCCCTATATCTGCAGGCCGCAGACCCAAGGCGCCCCTCATAGCGGATACTTTGATTATATCAAACGTACAAGCGTGGTAAGCCTCTGCACCTCCTGCTGGCGGCGGAACACAACTTCTGGGTCCAAAGTCACCGGCGCGGGGGGCAGGTCGGCGGAAGAGCCCGGCCGAGATCCCGCCAACTTGTCGTCGTTCAGAAAGCCCTCCATAGTGGGACTTCTGTTGGGGTGTCAGAGGTGTCGAAGTCGGTCGCAAATGGGTCGAATTGTGAAGTGGGCCCGAATTGTGCACATGCAGTGGGAGTCGCGTCGCAATTGACATCGTCGCCGGGTCGTCGCCTTTTCTGCGTTCCCTTAGACAGGCAAACCCTTCATGAGGACTGGGGACACCTTCGCTTTTATCATGCATGATTGTAAGCGGTGAAGGGAAGGTACATATACACTTTGTCCCTCCTGCAGCGATATATCAGCGGTAAACAAGCAAGCAATGAAAATGTTAAGGCATGAAATACTGATTATCTGAACCTTTCCGACTACGGAGACATATACATAATACAAAAGGTCGAAGCTGGTATGGAGGGAAATGATGTCCTCTCCCCCCTCCCTCGTGGCAGCTGACTCTCCCGACTATCACTATCTAGTCCTCGTTGAAACTACCATAGAACTCGCCAAGCAAATCATGCCGATCCGCATCCGTCGCAGCCTCGTTCCACTCACACTCAACCATGAACTCCGTCCACAGAGACACAAACTCCTCAAACGACTCTGCTACTGGCTTGATGCCCTCCTTCCCACTCACATCCCCAAAATAGATCTTTCCAAACTCCGTCTCCGCTTGTGAGCTTTTCCTCCGCTTCCTAACCGACCCGTCAGACAATGGCGCGATACACGCGACCCAAAACCCTACTTTCTCGGCATACGGCCCGTCGACCTCTTCATCGTAGTCGAGGGAGATTCGCGCCAGGCCGGGGACTTTGGGGTGCAAAAGGTCTGCGTCGGCGGGGATGGTGGGCAGGCCGAAGGAGGCGGTGGAAGTCGGCTCGGTTTCGCCGGTGAGGAGCCAGAATTCGGCGATACCGGCGGGGACGCGGATAGAGGGGATTAGGGAGTCAGGGAAGGCGTGAATGAGGTCAGAGACTAACGGACCCATGGCGTCCGGGTCTCGGATGGGCTTGACGGAGGGAAGGTCCGACGGGAAGTGGGAGTGGAGGTCATCGATGGCCGCCCGAAGGGTTGTTTGGATTTGTCCTCTGTTGTAGCAGGAGATAGGTTGAGCAGATACTTCCTATACCCCCGAAGATGTGCTTCTCTATCCGTCTGTCCCATCCCCTGTTTCCCAGGAGCCCACACGTACCTCTGGGACTGAATGAAGGCGCCTGATTGCGCGCCTTTGGGAAGGTCCTCTATGCCCTGGTAGTGCACGAGGTCTCTCCAGTCGTCGGCGTCGTCGTCGGAGGACGCCATTCTGTCCGTATGAAGCTTTCGCAAACCGAAGTGGGAAGGTGTCCAAGGCTCCAGCAGCTCCGAGCCTGCCCAAGCGAATGCAACCGTTTGAGGTGGTTGAAGGCGTTGAAAAGGGGATTGCAGGGACGCGTGAGAACCTCCTCAAACCCCAGCCAAAAACACGAACTGGAACGGGTGCATTTCAGTGCAGGGCGACCCATAAAGCAACAATGGACGCCAAGAGGCAGAAACTGAAGGCACGGAAGGACCTGCTGAAGAAGGTATGGGCCGCCGTTGGCACTGGGCTGTGGGACGCTCTCTGAAAGAGAGCGGTGGTTGTGGCATGCGGAGCCTATCGCAGCGTTTCTCTGAGAGCCTCCAAGCACATGTGCACGCATTAACCGGACCGTACGTTTCGGCTCCAGGCTCTACTAAAAAGCAAGCAGCAAGGAGATGGCAAACCCACGGCGACAGCGTCACCACTCCCAAAGCCAGTCGTAGGAGCCACGAAACAGAATGCGGATAAGCAAACGAAAGAGGAGGTTCACAACTCGAAACCGAAGAAGCAGGTGAAGGTGGACGTGAAGGACCAAGCGATTGGCGCAAAGGCGCTAGAGGCGCAAGGTCAGAAGGAGCCAAAGCAGAAACTCACTGCATTGCAGGAGAAGATGCAGAAGAAGCTTGCAGGTATGTCGTTCAACCCTTACGTGTTACCGAATCCCTCAACAGCGGAGGCGTGGGCTGGCCATACTCACCCCTCCCCCTCTCCCAGGCTCAAAATTCCGCTGGATAAACGAAATCCTCTACACAAAAGACTCCCCCGCCGCCGTTCAAATCTTCACCCAAACCCCCGAATACTTCGACATCTACCACGCCGGCTTCCGCTCCCAAACCGAGTCGTGGCCCACCAACCCCGTCGATACCTTCCTCTCCCACCTCGTCACTTTACCCGCGGGCACCGTGATCGCCGATATGGGCTGCGGCGACGCCAAGATCGCGCAGGTGCTGAATGCGAAACGCAAAGGGCAGCTAACGACGCATTCATTTGATCTGGTTTCGAGAAGGCCGGAGGTGGTGGCGTGTGATATTGCGCATGTGCCGTTGGAGGAGGGGACGGTGGATGTTGTGGTGTTTTGTTTGAGTTTGATGGGGACAAATTTCATGGATTTTGTGAGGGAGGCGGGGAGGGTGTTGAAGGTCGGGGGACGGTTGATGATTGCGGAGGTGGTGAGTAGGTTTCCGGATTTCGAGGCGTTTGTGGAGGCATTGCAAGGGTTAGGGTTCAGGATGCTGAAGAAGGTGGGTGTGGGGTCGACGAGGCGACGAGTTTGCTGGTTTTGCTGTCCGCGTGGAAAAATGAGACTCACCTCTCTTTGGTGGAATGGTTATGATTTGTACAGGACGAGAAGAACAAGATGTTCATCCTCTTCGACTTTGTCAAAGCGTCCGATTCCGCCGACGCAGACGACTCTCATCCCATCACTGCCACTCAGAAAACGAAATGGAAGGAACAAGAACCACCATTCAAGTCATCAGCCACCGCAGCCTCCACCTCCGCTTTCACAGCCCAATCCAAGAAGCGGAAAGCAAATCCTCAATCAGCCAGTGCCGCAACATCAGAGCAAGATCAGGACCAACAGCCAGCGGTCTCTAAACGCGCCAAGCAGAATGCAAACAAACAGAATGCGGGCGGAAAGAGCAATGTGCCCAATAAAAGCGCGCCTGCTTCTACGACGACACCCATGAAGACGACGAAGGATGGGCCGTTACTCAAGCCGTGCATATATAAGCGGCGTTGACCCATACCGAAGAAAAGTTACTCGTTGTACATACAATAGGAAGGCAGGCGCCATGCATGCACCACCCTCTCATCGACAAACGTAGATGTAGACTAGCCATAGAACCGGGCGCACGTTTCTTGGGCGGTAATTTAAGAATGAGCATTAGCACACCAAGTCCATTCTATGTTGTTGCATGCAGCGTTTCCATTTGCTTCTGATTGATAAACAGCATGGATGGATGGTATACTACGTAAGTAATTGATGGGGATGTAGTAGGTAAGGCGGGCTACGTTACGGCCTGTGCGTGGTGAAAGCACAAAGCACAGAAACGCACAATGTACATATACAATAAAACTCTCTCTCTCTCTCTCGGGGTTTAGGGGTGCAGATAAACAGAAAAAGGCACCCCAGATCCACAAACCCAACACTGGCAATCTACTGGATATAAAAACTCAACCAACGGAACCCATCGCCATAACCCTGCTTCATAACGATAGAGCACATGAACAGCTCGACGGGGCGGATATCCTTCAGCAGCACTTTCCCTTTTCCGGTGGTTTGGTACAGGCCAAGGGCGTGGCGGAGCTCTTCTTCTGAGACGGCGCCGCGGGCGTCGATCTTGTTGCCGAGAATGAGGAAGGGAACTTTTGAGAGCTCTTCGATTGATAAGAGGGCCTGCGAGGTGGTTGAGGTGTGAGTACACGTGTCTGCCAGTAAATGATACCAAACACGAACACTCACGTCAAGCTCGGCTTTACTCTCCGCGAACCGCTCCTGGTCGGCGCAGTCTACGAGGTAGACGATTCCGTGGACCTCTGGGAAGTAGTCTTTCCACAACCGACGCGCCTGTTGATGTCCTCCCAGATCATATGTCGTGAATTTGATGTTTGCTACTTGCAGTTCCTCTGAGGCTGTGTGTGGGGAGAGTCAGAGGAATCTTCAGCAACATCTCTTGAGGGGTGAAACCACAATGCGTGTGGGATAAAAACACGGCCAACCCATCGACCATCGACTATCGACACCATCAATCAAACATCAACCGTCAACCCATCCAACCTTCACCCATCAACCATCGACCAATCGACCATCAACCCATCAACCCATCAACCTTTGGCGCAATGTGGTCCGCGAAGGCGTTCGCTTGGTCGACGCCGCTTTTGGTCGACGCCGCTAACTCTCGGTACCCCAGACCAAGCCAAGGTTCACCTCAAGGATCGCCTGCCTTGAACATCCCTGCGTCTCGCTTCACTCGCAAAGGCCTTCGCTCCGGTCGTCCTCGCTGACGCTCGGTGTCCCGGACCGAATCAAACCTCGCTGACACTCGGTCCATTCACCGCCCGCATCGCTAGCTTCGCTCGTGGCCAAACCATCCCCTCCGTTCCCCTCTCTCCCGCTCTATCTATCTTTCTCTCTCTTTCTCTCCCACTCTCTCTCGCGTGTTGGTGCTTACTTGGATGCAAAGTCGGGGTCAAGGTAGCAAGCCTGTCGTTCTTCAGCATATGCAACAGTGTCGTTTTACCTGCATTGTCGAGGCCCAGGAAGAGGATTTTGGCGTTCTTGTTGAGAAGACCTGGTTGGGGGTGGGATGTGTGCAACGTTGCGCGTGAAGTGTGAGATCAGAAGGTCGAGAGGGAATCACGGAGAGGATGCCGGAAGGATACGTTACCCCAGTCTGATAGGAGGGATCTGAACCAGTCTATGATGAACATTGCGGGATGGGGTGGGTGGTTTGGTAGTGTTTTGTGAGTGGGATTGTCGCACGGTGGAGAAAAGGCTTGGAAAACGAGACGGCGCAAGTTTGACAGAAAGTGACCACAGCGGCCGCTCCCAGCGCGTGCCAACCTCATCTCCATTCTGCACGGATCTCAGGATTCGGATCTACTTAGATGCCGCTAATCATTTTGGGGACCGCCGCCGCCCATTTGATTAGGCTCCAGCGAACCGCCGCCCGCGACGCGCGCATGAACAACGTGTTCCTCCGCCGTGGGGATCTTCTCGCTTCCGCAAGCATAATCACATCTGCAACCATGACCGTCGACAGTCCTCCTGCTACGTAGGAAGCAGCTACTGGTTTCCTTGGCAGGGAACATTCTCATCGCCGCCCAACAACACCGTAAGTTCTCCGGAACAGGCGCTTTCCGGGTCGCCATCGATGGCGTCGACGGAGCTGGGAAAACAATTTCCGAGAAGAGCTCGCACTCGCTCTCACTGTCGTCGCCTCCTCCACCTCGTCACGCACTCCCTATATCATCACCGCCTCCGTCGACGGCTTTCACAATCCTCGTGCTGTTCGCTAGGCAAAACGTCTCCCGTGGGCTTTTTCAAAACTCCTACGACACTGTCTCCCTGAAAAAACACCTGCTTGGACCCCTTGGACCTCAACAATCCGACGCTGATGAGACTTTAAAGACGTTTAGGACAGCTGTCTTCAACGTTGACACTGACACCCCTCTTTCTGAAGCTGACTCTCCCAGTATCCTCGATTGAAATGATTCGTGAGACTGTGAAGTCTTTCATTGGGGGCGAGAGCAGCCTTGGATGCAAATGCCCTCCCTGGTCATTATTGTAAGGTCGTGGCGAAGAGTGCCTAGGGTGTGCCTAGGGTGTGCCTAGGCAAGCACGACGCTGATAAGTTCCTCAATGTGCGAGTCCAACTCCGGCGCCACATCAGATAGCGCTGCCACTGGGGCATCAAAGGTCTCCATCACTGCCTGGAGTGCATATGGTATTACATCTGTGGCGGTTACATCTAGATTGTGAGAGCAGCAAGTTACAATGAGATGCGTGAAACTATCAACTGATTGATACCTTTGCAATGACTCTCACCTCTTCCAGTCTCAACAGACACTGATGTGACGCCTTTTCCAGGTAAACCACAAGGCACAATATGCTCAAACCATCCCAAATCAGTCTTACAATTCAGCGCAAACCCATGACTTGTGATGTGACGACGCACTTGGATCCCCAAAGCTGCGATTTTCTGATCATCGTTCCTCTTTGGATTGAAAACCCAGACGCCTGTGTCATTTGTTGTGCGGGCCGTGATGTTGTAGTAGGAGCACAGGCGAACAAGCATGCTTTCGAGCGTTGAGACATAAGTCCGAACTCCTAGCTAAGCAGGACGTCAGAGAAGTGCTATAGAAAGAAGCGCTTACATCAAAACTCCGCAGGTCAAATATGGGATATCCAACAAGCTGTCCTGGACCGTGGAATGTTGTCTGCCCACCTCTCAAAGTCTACTGAGGCCAGAAACCACTTTAAGTGGAGCTATTCCTCAGACAAAGACCATTGCACAACCATAGTACAGCATACCTCATGGTAGTCTGCACCTAAAGCTCCGAGTCTTCTTCCCTCATCTACCTCTGTTCCCCTCACTCTTCGTCCAGCAGTGTATGTTGGGGGATGTTCCAACAGTAACAGCACATTGTGCCTCTGTTTGCCATCAGCAAGAGCCCGACTGTGGTAAGCCACCAGCTCGTCCTGAAGTTGCAAACCTAGGGCATATGGCACCGGAGACCTTATGTGCTTGTAAGCGATGGTGCGACTTGGGAGGGAAACTTGGGCGGAGGTAGTGAAAGCACGATGGCGGCGGACAGGGAACCACGGCCGGTGACGCCACGACCTTATCGTGCTCCTGTTGGCGGCCGTACAAGCCATTCAAGTGCTGCCTGTGGGTAGTCCGGCTGTGCGTTCTCCCTGGAGCTTTCTGGATATAGCGATATGCTAGGTGGGAAACACTGAATTTGGAACCAGCGGGCAGTCCAAGAAGTTGCGAAGAGTGAACAATATGCCCGCGCATAGGGTTTGACTCCAGGTTGCGGTCAGGGTTGCGGTGGAGAAAACAGTTTGTCCCCGGGTTGCGAACGCCTCAGTACGTTCAGCACGAGGTCAAGGTTACGCTTAACCGTAGTAGGGGACTATGCATTGCGCGTACCGCGTACCACAGACCCTCGGTAGCGGTGAGGCTATTATGAAGACCTCTTGCTGTCTCCCAGTAGTTTTGTGGAGTCCTGCACAAGGTGGAAACGATTTTCTGAGCCGCATTGCTTGACCTGGGTTGATAAATCTTACCGGAATCAGAATGTCGTCGGACGTGGAGTTCGAACCAACGTCGCAGGACAGCTTCGACTCGTCGCCGCCGCCTGTGGCACGGAGCAAGTTTCGTATCCCGTATGCCGTTGCTTTGCTAGGTCAGTAGCTCCGCGTTCGCCTGGGAGCCAGTGGGAGGCATATCGTAACCGTCAAAGTCGTTGAAACGTCAGCGGCGACTATCCTGACCAGCGCCGCTATCGCTGCCCCGCTGGGTGTGCTCACGTTCAAGGGTGCAACTGACTCAACTGATACCAGTATGTATCCGTGAAGACCCAGCGAGTTGAAGAACACTACCTCAACCTCTATGCAGTGTTGGACGTCCTAAGATCCAGAATCATATCCGATGTTTCGAAAAATGGTATGATTAGAAGCCGGGCGCGGTGAACGCCAACATTTGTAGAGGCGGTATGACTCATCCGCGTACTTGCAGTCCTTGATATGGCGCAAACATGTAATCGCGGAATCGACGGTAAGGTAACGTTCAGCGCAGGAGTATGTTGGAGCCGTGCTGATGGTCCTTGCTATTAGACAATATGCACGGGATGGGCGTTCGAAGATTTTTGAGAGCCTTTAGGGCAAATTCCTCTGTCCGGATGTCCGAGTACGAGCAAGTGTATGTGATAGGAACCAATGGTTGCATAGGCTTTTGGATTGAAGCGACACATCTGACGCTTTCACCAATACCACAACAGGATACAGAACGAGCTTATGGCCACATCGCAACGATATCAAAGTCAATCTGTGAGAGGCAGTCGGTCTTGAGTGGATCTAAGGAGGAAACCCCCCTTTCTGATGGATCTAATGTCAGTAGGGCATCTTCATCACCGCTCCCGATGTGCCAGGGGAAGGAGAATACTATTGGGGTGAGGCTATGGGACCGAGGATTGTCCAGGACTTGGCGGGATACTCACAGCTATTATGTCAAAAAGTCTCTCGAAACAACTCGATCGGGCAACAGTGTACAGCTCTGAATGTGACGCATGTACTGTGTATGAATGGGATCTATTCGTCTTCAGGCGGAATACTGGACAAGGTTGTGAGTTTCACGCCATCGCCGCCTGCGGTCGCTGTTCCGCGAAGTCTTGCGCGTGTACAAAGTCAAGAATACTTGGGGTCGTCCCTGTCTTGGCAATGGTACTTGCAGTTCCCGGCGCGGTTCCCTGAAGTGGTCTTTTGATTTCATTGAGTTCCCCCGCTATTTGCAGGAAACCGAGCCACTATGTCGAGCAGGGTACCAACCGAATAAGCGGCCGGTCTTGCGGGAGTAGGCAGTGGCTGAACGACGCCCCATCCGGTCCGCCGTATCCAGACAATTTTGATGTCGCGTGGGGACAGATATTCGAGTTCCAGAAGCTTCAAGACTACCTGATAGTGAGTTCTACTTGCCTGATATCATGCTTAACTCAGCTTAGCGGGAAACTTGCTCGCGTCGTCTTATTCCGTTCTCGAGAATCTTTGCTGACTTCTTTACCATTGCACCTACCTGCATCATTGATTTCTAGACTTTGAAACCTACGGAAAACTCATTGCTGGTGTTGATGTAAGGCCATCGCTGCATGATTCCCATATATATCTCAAGCTACTCCTCATCAACTATCGAAAATATCACCTTCACTCTCCTGATCGAAGAGAGCCCACAGGCGCAATGTGAGGCTCCCTATAACGGAAGAGCACCCTTACCTTTGTCTTTCAAGCTCACAAGAAGCAATATTCCTTCGTTTCAAGAATTGCCAGCAATAAGCAAGGATTGCTCTACACGAGCGATAATTTGATATCAGCAACCATCCATACTACGAATAACACAATGTTGAAAGTAAGTACCCTTCCAGGATAAGGGATGGCTGTCGGCGACATTTCATCAGTAAGACTGTACTTGAGATACCCGCATGATAGTGACATCTCTCCTTACGCACCCCCTTCATTTCCATGACTCCATCAGTCAGCGGCCAACGCATTCCTCAACGGGAACAGCAACTTCCCCATGCAGCACGCCCAAGCACGTGTAAAAGACGGTCGTTACAACATCCGGGCGACGCTATACCATATCAGCGACGGGATGGGCTTCGACGTGATACTCTTCATTTTGATTCCCGACGAAGATCTGATCAGCGATCTGCTTCAAAGCGAGAAAGCCGCCATTGCGTCTGTCGCCGCCGTCAGCGTCGTTATGCTGCTTGTTGTTATTGCTACGAGTTATTCGTTTACGTTGCCTTTGAAGCGTTTGAATGGGATTATGACCGCGGTAAGAGGAGCATAGAAGTGGGGTGACAGGTGTGATCTCTTTGCTCTTATTGATGCTTCCGCTCGGATATACAGGCCATCCGGTTCGACTTTACGGCTCTACGTTCAGACTCCATCAACCGGCGCTCTCTCTTCTACGAACTCGCGGTCATGGAAGACACTTTCGAGAACATGCTTCGGCGTTTCAGCAAGGTACGAGCGGACGACGTCAAATCTCAACTGACCCCACAAGGCTAATCATTCCTCGCAGGCTATCCAGGACAACAGAACCTTCCGCAAACGCACCGCCGGCCCCGGCGTCCCGGAGACGCCCCAGGAGCGACGCAAACGGCTGAAAGTCGAGGCGGAATACCTCAGCCACAGCGAGAACGAGCGCGTGAAGGAGTACACCACCGCTTCGATAGCCAATGTTTGCGGAACGTCGGCTTTTGGAGCCGACCAGTCTTATTCGGCCGAGGATATTACGTCGAATGACGATTCCGAGTCTCATGAGTATTCGGTCGACGTGGATGATAGCCAGGATACGTGATGTTGCGTGCATTTCAACTCTTACAGTTTGTGAGCCACATGTGGCTCTATCGTTGTGGCACGTCCTCAATGTGTCACAGACGCCAGATCGCGGACGATGGTCAATAAGACTATCGTCCGCTGTCAGTTCTGTAGTTTTGTTCCGTCCTCCCGCACAGTGGGCCAGCCTGCCTGCTACTTCTGCAAATAATTGTTCAATGTTTTTTTTTGGATTTTTGGACTTTTGGTGTATATCTTTTGGACATGTCTTGGTTATTTATGTACAATTAGGGCTTCGAATAAAGTATCGGTGGGGCGTCGTCGTCTGACGTTCATTTTTTTATGGCCTAGTCCGGCCAGAGGTTTATGACCTGTCCCATATCCTCGCAGATTCTTCGTCTGCAGGATCTGACCCACATCAACCTCTGGATGTTTTCAGGGAGGGTACGCAACAATTCGACGTTGTCCGTTGCCCACAGCCATCATTCTCAACCCCCTAGCTCCATCGAACCCTCCTCGTCCGCCTGCCAATCGGGTCCGTCGTTCTCTCCAATCCGAGCTGTCCGTATGTTGTTGAGTTCGTACAGTGATTGCTTCGTGCACGAACGTCGAGTAAGTATCTAAACCCCGCGCAAAAGAAACGCCGAGTAAACCGTGTGAATGAGCGGGCCGGACGGGTTGAGCCGCGGGGAAGGAGCTGCGACCCGCGATTGTGTGGGTCTGAGATTTCGTGGCCTACTTCCATGCCCTCCTATATGCATATCAGCCTGAAGCGAAGGAGTATACATGCTTAATGGTTGAACGATACTCTCGTTCGATGGATGAGCAGCGTCAGTCGGTTGAATGGTTGGGGCAGATGGTTGAACGACCCCCTGCTCACTCCGCTCGCAAACAACGGTGTTGGCACATGTGTGATACTCGCAATCGCTCATATCTGCTCCTCGCTATCTATTGCCAAGGTGTTTGTTTTGGTCGTCGTTTGCTCCGCTGGGACTACCCGGTCAACCTCCTGTTTGCCTTCATAAGTCCCACCCTCTCCCTCACCTCGTCCTCCCTATCCATCTCCCACCCGCTCTGCAACCCCCACCGATCCCTAACCCCCTGAAGGTTCCCACCCTCCATCTCAAACTTCAGCCCTCGCAACATCTCCCTTTTGGCGCCCACTTCTCGTTGCAGGTGGGTGTGAAACTCATCGATCCAGCTGACGGTTTCAAGGAGGGTGATGTGCGCTGGGTGCGGTGGTGGTGCCTGCGTCATATTCGGGGCAGAGGCAATATGCTCATGCAGCTTGAAAACTGCATCCCGCTGTAGACTGTCCATGGCCCCCACCACCTTCTCAAACCCCCTCATCTCATCATGCAATCTCTTCAACGTGTGTTCAATAGCAACCGTCTGCTTGCCCAGTAACCGCTCCACCAGATCCGGAAACTCATGCACAATCAAGGGCGTGGTGACGCTGTTCCACCATCTGTCACCACTGGTGCTGGGTGAGGTAGCACCAAGTAAGGGTATTGTGTCATTGCGTTGGGATTGCAGATTGGCGAGTGAGTCGAGGAGGGAGGTTGTGCGGTCGTGGGTGGTGTGGTAGGTGGTGAGAAGAGTGAGGAGGCGGTCGAGGAGGGTGAGGGAGGTGGTGGATTCTACGTCCATATCAAAGAGGGAAACGTAATGACTGCTATGGCCCTGTTGTTCGTGTACATCCGGTTTCGGGTGAGGGGGTTGTAAAGGTAGTGAGTGACTCGCTAAAGGCAGGCGAGTACGGGAGCAGGGAGCGACTGGAGCGAGAAGTCGACGAGTCGTGCAATGTCAACCCCGACCATGGCCTCTGTGCCCTTCCGTTCCTCGGTTCTGTCTGGGGCATGCCGAAGTCGGAAGCACCCGCTTTTCCCGGTTCGATGTCTCGGCTGTGTCTCGGCACAGGTCTCGGCATTAGAAGCCGCGTTCTTGTTTTGTTACTTTTCCCCGTTCGCAAATTGGGTTTCGTTTGAGCATCCACCTCACTTGAACACCACCGCTCTCACCCGCCCACAATCATGACACAGTCCAAGGCGAAGCCGTCCGCTCCCCAGGGGATAAAGATAAGAACAAACTACGTGCCCAAAGGTAGCTAGTGGGTGCTCCTACCGAGTCGCATTTGGGCCATTTCCCACCGAAAGCATGCTAACCATTCTTTCCCACGAAAATCTGTAGTCAAATCCAACCGTGGCAAGCCCCCATCCCAAATATGCCCTCGCTGCAATCAACCCGTCCCTGTGTCCGAAATGGGCGAGCACGTGCGCATCGAGCTCCTTGACCCGCGCTGGAAAGAGCAAAAAGACAAAGCCCGCGAACGCAACCTGGGTTCCAATCTCGACTCCAACCTCGTCTCGACCAACCTTAAGCTGCTCGCCAAGACCCGGCCGGACATTTTCGTTGGCGGGGATGAGTTGGAGGTTGAGAAGACGCTGAAGGAGCAGGAGAAGGGGAAGGTTATTTGGGATGGGCATACGGCGAGTATTGGAACTGTGACGCAGAAGCTGGGCCAGTCGGGGAATAGGGAGGAGCAGTTGGCGGAGTTGCGGAGGGATGCGGAGGAAGCGGAGGCGAGGAGGACAGCTATTGGGCCGAAGGTTCCGGTATGTATATATGCCCCACCGGCGTTGTATTATTTTGGGAGCATTTTGAGCGGATGTGCTGATGTACGTTCCAATTCTGATAGAACCAAGCATCGCAACAACGCCCAGCAGGTCTTCCTCCAGTCCCACCAGCTCCATCCATGCAGCACGCGCCACAACCACCTTTCCAAGGGTACCATCAACCTCCGGCCGGTGCATATCCACCACAACAATCCGGGTATGCACCTGAAGACTCTTACGCAGACCCTTACTATGGCGGTGGAGGCGGGGGCTATGGTGGAGGAAATTACGACCCATATGCTGGACAGTATGGGCACAAACAGGATTGGCAAGGGGGTTATGCGGCGTATCCGCCGGCGAATGCTTATCCGGGATATCCTCCGGCTGGCGGACCGCCGCCCCTTCAGCATACTGGGATGAAACGGCCTGGGTCCCCTGATGGTGGGAACGCCGCGAAGCGTCATAAGTAAGTCATTAAATGTGGGGGTATTATAAGGGCACGGGAGAGGCCTGCTGTTTGTTCAAATGGGATCTTGGAAGGACGTATAAGGGAGGATGGCATTGTGAACCCCTTCACAGCGCGGTCGCCTTCAAGGTGATCCATAAATCTTCGCTCCTTCCCCTGTCTCGCTGTCTCCGTTTTGTTGTAGAAGCCCCGTCTGTTTTTTTCGAAGTGTTGTCACATATACCCAAAAAAACCTGCTCCTCCAATGTCACGCTGAATTGCTCGAGAAAGGCAGAGTTGTGCATTTATTCAACCGAAGGTCAAAGGCAGTACAACGAACAGACAAAGACTGCTTAAGAACGGGGCTTCTCCTTCTTCTCCTTGTACAAGGCGAGAAGAGACACACCGGCGACCTTGACGACCTTGAAACGGACACCAGGAATATCACCGACGGCACGACCCTTACGACCGAATCCAGCGATCAGAACTTCGTCCTACAAAATCGTTGACACATGTTTGAGTCAGTTTAGAAATGAGATTGGGGAAACGCACGGCTTTGGGCTTACGTTCTCCTCGATGAAGTTGAGACAACCGTCGTTGGGGACGAAAGCGGTGATCTTCTTTCCGTTCTTGATGAGCTGAGCACGCACACATTTACGAATGGCGGAGTTGGGCTGCTTAGCCTCGACACCGCTGGATGAGACAAGGAAAAAAAAACATGGATTCTGTTGTTAGTCACTGAATGTGATAAATTCGCCCCGGTCTCTTCGGTTCATTTTGTGTGTCTCCAGTCTCTTCCCGTGGCCTCGCCTGAATGCCTTCTTCCGACTGGCATATCGATCTGCGGCAACTCGCGCCCACCTCAGCCCTACCGAAGCAATCGCCTCCCCCCATCTTTCGCATCCACCCCAGTTGTCCACCTCCACCTGCTCCAGCTCCACCCGCCAACTCCCACTGTCACAAACTTACATCTTCTCAAGAACGATACCCTTAGCGTGGGAAGATCCACCGAAAGGAGAGGACCTGAAAGCAGTTCCGAGAGCCCTCTTCTTGTACTGCTTGTCCGCCCACCGGTTCTCACGGCGGGTGGTGCGCAGCTTGCGGGCGGCTTGGAGTCCACGGGGCTTTCCTCTGTGATTGCGGGGGGGGGGGGGGGGAGGGGGGGGGGGGGGAGAAATGAGGGAGGGTTCGTCAGTTTTGCGGAATGAGAGACATGCCGGTGGATAAGAAAGAATACGGCTGGAGTGCCAGCTAGAATGCACACAATGCCCCAGATACCAAGCACACAGCAGCCGGGTATAGGTGCCCTCTGCCCTATGTGATTGCGGGAGTGTTTGGTATACGTACTTTCCCATATTGACGGTTTAGTTGGGTGTAGGAGAGAGGGGGAGAAAACCGCTTGTTGCTGGCGAGCCAAAGAAAAGACCAAGCAGCTCGGGGGCTGCGCCACTTGGGGGCCCTGACAGGAGGTGCGCGCGGGTGCGAGGCGGCAGCGGGCGGCAGAGGGGGGGGTGCGTGAGCGAGCAGTGAGTAACGGGGAAGAAACAGCGCGGAAACAACTGCGCGTGAGCTCACGGCCGGCGGAGGGGCCGCTTGGACAAGATGGACAGGCATCCACGATATCTCCTCCCCTCCATGTCCACCTTTGGCACCGTCCCACGTTCCACAGGTCGTCCCGCTCCCGCAGGCTTGTCTAGTACAAGGATGGAGTCGTCGGCTATATAATAACTCGAGAGCAGGGCTTCGACCGGTCGCCCATCTTGCATCGTCTGCATACAGTACAACAAGTCAGTCAGTCTACTAGTGCAAGACCGCACACTGCCGAAGAAAACACCCAACCGACCAACGACGAGCATCCCGATCCCCACCCCGCCAACGATGACAGCCACCGACCCTACCCTCACCACCATAACCCCACCCCGCCGCCCCTCCCAACGCCGTGCCCTCCTCCCCCTCTCCCTAGTCCCCTTCTTCCCCATCCTCCTCAGCACCCTCCCCCTCATCGGCACCTTCCTGCCCAGGTGGCTCACCTTCCTCCTCCCCCTCCTTCCGACCGCCCACATCCTGCACACCTACACCCGCAAGTCCTCCACAACCCACATCGTCCCCCGCCGCGTCACCGCCCAAATCGACGGCGATTTCGTCGTCTTCCTCATCGGCGCCAAACTCAACACCTTGAATGCGTGGACCGGCGGCGAGGGCATATGGACCGGCGAGGCATTCGGGGCCATGGTTGCAGAGTTACGGCAGAACCCGGAGCTGGGGTGTTTGGCCATTGAGGAGTTTTTCGGGGCGGATGGGGCCGCGACGGATACGTTGAGCGTGCAGTATTGGAGGAGCGCGGAGGATCTGCATCGGTATGCGAGGGATGGGATGAGGAAGCATCTGGGCCCGATGATGCGGTCTACCAAGGTATGTGCCGCCCGCGAGAGGGGGCAGTGTGAGTCCACCCGCGCGTCTGGGCGGAGATACTTCCTCAGCAAACCTTCTCTCTCTCTCTCTCTCGCATTCCAGAACTCCAAACTCAACCCACACCCCGACATCGGCATCTGGCACGAGACTTACTCCGTCCGCGCCGGCGAGTACGAGAGCATCTACCTCAACATGCCCGAGTTTGGGCTCTCCCGCGCAGGGAGAATGGTTGACCCAGGACGTGCCCGCATGACCATGATGCAGCGGATGGGGAAGGTTGAGGAACCGGATGTTGTGGAGGGGATGAGGCCGTATATGGATGAGTTGTGAGGAGGGGAGGATCATCGATTGGAGGAGATCTATATTTACTTCGGGTTACGACCGTTACCAATGAGCAATTACGAGAACGAAAGGATCCCTGTGAATTCAAGGGATGCTCGCCAAGACCCGCCCGCCAGGAGAGCCACTGCGGGTTCGAGGAGAATGACTTCGTTTCCCGATCATATGACGGCAGAACGGTTGCAATTGGCAGAGGGGGAGGGAGGTAGCCGCAGCAGCCGCAGGCGACTTGGGAAATTGACTTTGTTCTGGGTGGGGTTCCACGCTGCCCCATACTACGTAGTAGATACGCTTTGTGACATGCATGATCTGCTGTAACCCACTCCCACGAATAGTGCAGAATATGTAGTGTTTACATGTGAATTGAAACTAGCAAAATGCATATACAAACGAATAAAACGGATGAGATCATTGAAAACTATATGAGGGGCGAACCCACTCCCACGCGCTCCTGAACCCTCCCACGAAAAAGATTGACCCATTACAACCCACGGCCCCATGCAGCACAGCACGCCCCAAGCCAAAAAAGAAATAGAACAATGAGAAGAAAACTCATAGATACGCTGAATGAACGTGTGCGCAACGCAACGCAACGCAGCGCACATATGCACAAAACCATGGTGACTGACAGGCTTCCCGAACGCCGAGCCAAATCACATACCCTCGTCTCCCGCGCACACCTCCTCCTCCCCACCCCTCCAACGCTATATCCCGATATCCCTAGATCCCCAGATCTAAGAAGTAGCCCCCGCAATGACCCCCTGCGCGATCCCCGTAACCACATTCAACGACGTGCTCCAAAAGTAGTAGTTTCCCATCAACACCAGACTCGTCGAGAACCTCGCAAACCTAATGAACTGCCTGATTGCCTCGACGACCTGTGCAACGACTTCGCTGACGATACGGTTGAGCTTATCCGCCCACTGGGTATATTTAGCCAGATCGTCTGCTTTGCGTTTATGCGCTGCGCGGATGTCCATCTCAAAGTTGCGGTAGTTGCGGTCCCATGTTGTTTTTGCGATGGCGGCGGGTTGGGCGGGGACGAGTTTTGTTGTGAAGGATTCGAGGTCGTTCAGGCATGTGTTTGCTGCGCCCTCGACTTCGCGGAGGATGGTGCGGAGGTGTTTGCGGCCGTTGACTTGGACGGGGTGGTTCCCCTGTTTGCGGACGCGGGCGATGAAGTCGGTCCAGACGGCGTTGGCGGCTTCCGCAGCCATGTTGGCAACGAGGGCCTCGGTGGCGCTGATCATGTTGTAGCGGTTGCCACCGTCGCGGATCTGGGCGAGGAGTTCGTTGATGAGTTGGACGATGACGGAGCCGTCGACGGGGACGCCGCCGATGACGGAGGGTTGAAGGTCTTCGGCGAGGCTGTCGGCGAGGGTGGCGATGGCTTCGTTGTAGACGGCGGTGTTGCCGGCCATATTGAAGGGGAGTTTGGCGAAGCGGACTGAGAAGCGTTCACGGATGAGGGAGCGGACGCGGTTGGTTTGCTCGTCGCCGTCGATCTCGGAGAGGAGGTCGTCTAGCAGGATCCGGTCGGGGATGTCGCCATTGATGGTCATGTTTTCGACGAGTACGAGTTCGCGCGTCATATCCACCTCTTCTCCGCTCGTCGCGTGGCCCATGTTGATGACCTGCATGACGGTGTCGAGGCCGCCAGTGGTGAAACAGCCCCTTTCGAAAGCATACATCCGCGTTGATAGGCGGGCCGCGAGACCAATGACGAAGGGAAGAGCTGTCTGGTTGTGGTTGGCGCCGCCCTCACAGTCGAGAAATACTATGGTTCCGGGACCCCGAGGGTTGTCAAACACCAGCATGTCGATTCCGTGTGTGCAGGGTACGTTTCCCGGTGCACTGATGAACTTGTGGTCATCATTGCCAGTCAAATGTGACCTGATCTTGCTCGCCGTAAATGATTTACCCGATCTAGTGAACGAACGAACGAAGTGAGTAAGTCGGTGAGCGAAGCGAAGCGGTTGGATGAGCGAAGCGAAGGTTGGTTGGATGTGCTCAATAAGGACCGCAGCGAGGGGAGTTTTCCGCTCTCTCTCACTCCGTTAGGCCGCATTTTCACGCTGGCGTTCGAGAATCAGAAAATTACCTCCCAAATCCCGTAAAAGCGACCACATGAATGGGCATCTCCAACTGAGTCAAAATCTGTTCCGCTTGCGGTGTGATCCCGGTCGCAACATATTTGATTGAGTTTGACCCTGGCGCAATCGGTTGGGAAATGACTTTGACGAGAGGGACAGGTTGCGGGAGTAGTCTCCAGTCTACCGAAGGACTAGTGGCCTTCCTAGTTCTCGCCATGAGGTTGCTGAAAGTCGAGGATACGCCCTCCAGAGCCCCACTTCCGGCGTCTGCGGCTGCCCGTACTGAGATGGACATCTTTTTCTTGGCGCTGATGTGTTTTGTGTGAGGGAGTGGGTGGGTGGGTGGTTTCAGGTGGTGGGAAAGTGACGTGCAATGCGTCTCCGAGTGGAGAAAGTTATTGAGTATCCTCCCTCAGTTCAGTGGTGAGTACGTTACGTGCGAGGTATTGGTAAGTGGTATTGGTATTGGTATTGGTATTTGTATGGAAGAGGGGTGGTGGTTGTGTGGGAGTGGGGATGAACGTCAGTCAAGGAGTACGGGCGGATGGAGAGGGTTGAGAGAGCGCTGTGCGAGACGTCACGAAGGACGCTTGTGCCTTTTGCCTCCCATTGTATATGTACTGTACTGTAACAGTAGCATCATCCCTCCCGCGCGTGCTCTTTCTTCGCTGGCAGCCTCAGTCCCCGGGCGTTAGGGTTAGCGCTGTCCCGTCGATATCCATCTCTTTACCTTATGATGGGCGTGGTGGACTGCGATCCGCTTTTGAAGATGTTGCATAACAGGGCCGCGGGGCAGTGGTTTTGAACCTGATGGTGCCGCGATTCGCGGAGGGGATGGTCGTCACCAAGGTGACAAAGGAGATCGGCTCCAGCAGCCGCTTAAAATGGCGGACGAATGCGGTTAGCTCACCGAATCGTTTCTCGTGAGACCTCAAAAATTGCCCGTACGTGGTTCGACCGTCGGATGATGGGCGTCAACCCGATGCCCCGCTTCTGAGTATCCATCAGTGCGGCGAGATTGATGTCCTTTCGCCAAACTGTTGCTTTGGTATACTCCTCGCTACAATAGCAGCTTCGGAATGTTCGAGAAGGGTTAGTGGTTGTGGTTGTGCCTTCCGGTTCGGCGACTTTGTTGAAATAAGCTTTGCCTCGGATCATTCTGCTGAGAGTATCGGTGGGTCCTGTTGCGGGGTAGCCGGCTGCGAGGGTCTGCACCTGCTCCCGCAGACCCTACCCCCATCCGTGAGCGCTTCCTTGTCGTAGTTGGCGCCAAGAGTCCGGCGGTTCCCGTAGAAGAGCCCCCACAAGTCTGCGCCAGAGGGCATCCCATCTTTCCTGGTCGCACTTCCTATAGAGTGCCCGGATGAGGCGCCGGACCGGACCACCGGCAACATCTATCGCTTCAACATCCGTAACATCATCAACTCCCCTGTCATGAACAATCAGCCAGAATCTTACCACCCCAGATGCCTCGTCAACCTCTTCGTGGAGATCGTTTGTGGAGCCCATACGAGTGGTGCTCCAAAAACAGGTTATGGACGTCGTGGGTTGAAAGTGCTGTGGCGACACGTTTTGGGCGGGGGATGGATGACTAAGCAAGATTGCGTGCGCGACTTCTCTCGATTGCTTAAAAGAGACCACCCCTTCCGTCCCTGTCCACCCACCCCGCAACGGACGAACATCCCCTCCAAGTAACCCACCGCCTCCTCTCGTACGCAACATGACAGTCTCAACCGACCCCGCCCTCTACTCAGACGTCAAAATCGCAGTCATCGGCGGCTCAGGCCTCTACCACCTCGACCACCTCACCCTCCTCGGCGAAATCAACCCTCTAACCCCCTGGGGCCACCCCTCCGACCACATCATCATCCAGCAGACCCCCTCCGGCCACAAAATCGCCTTCCTCGCCCGCCACGGCCGCGGCCACTTCCTCAACCCGTCTGAAGTGCCCACCAAAGCGAATATCGCGGCGTTGAAGCATATCGGCGTGGAGGTGATTCTTGCGTTTAGTGCGGTGGGCAGTCTGAGGGAGGAGATCAAGCCGCGGGATTTCGTGGTGCCTGACCAGATCGTGGACCGCACGAAGGGGATCCGACCTTCCACATTCTTTGAGAACGGTGTGACGGGCCATGTCGGGTTCGCAGACCCTTTTGACGCAGACCTCGCCAAACTGGTGCTCGAACAGGCTGCAAAGGCCTGCAAAGACGTGACCTTCCACTCCCAAAAGACCTTGGTGTGCATGGAAGGCCCCGCCTTCTCCACCCGCGCCGAATCGAAACTGTACCGCGCCTGGGGCTGCGATATCATCAACATGTCGGTTCTCCCCGAAGCCAAGCTGGCGCGGGAGGCCGAGATTGGCTATCAGATGATCTGCATGTCGACGGACTACGATTGCTGGAAGGAGAGCGAGGAGGCGGTTTCGGTCGAGGCTGTTATTGCGAATCTAGGCGCCAACTCGGGGAATGCTAAGCAGTTGCTTTTGGCGTTGATTCCGGAGGTTACGAGGGCGTTGGAGGCGGGCGAGTTGAGGGGGGTCAAGGCGCTCAAGGGGGCGAATAAGTGGGCGGTCATTACGGCCAAGGAGAAGAGGAATGTGGAGGAGGTTAAGAAGCTGGAGTACATTCTGCCGGGACACTTCTAGATCGACTACCTCAGATAGTGCAGTCTACCTCGGCCAGCACATCATGTATACATTCAGACTAGGGACGAGTCTCTTAGCATTAGGCAACTTGACTTTTTATATATGGACATCATGCATTCATACGGCGTATCTCTCTCACAAGGGATTCATATGCTTGAACAATCCTATCATTTGCAATGGTATAAGTTGATGCTGCACTACTCCATATGAAACATCCCCGCCAAATCATCATTCCCCATCCCCTCCTCCGTCTGCGCATACAAACTCTCTGAGTACCCAAACGAGAGACCGACAATCAGCTCTCAATTCCAACGAATCCAATCAGGAAACGAAGCACAACTTACCAACAGCCTCATTGATAACATCACACCTCGACCCCCGATGATCCCTCGCCTTCGTATACGCCAACAGCGCTTTGCTCTTGTTTCCCAACGCTTTGTGGATCCGGCCGATCAGGAGGAAGACGTTGCTTTCGGATTGCGTGAAGCCCTCGAGGGGTGCGAGGAGGTGTAGGGCTTTCTAGATGGGTTCGAAGAGTGGGGTTCGCCGTTAGTTTGGCGTGGTGGTGGGGTGAGGAGGAGATTGGGAGGTGGGGGTGGGGTTACCTCGTATTGTTTTTCTTGCACGAGGGCGTAGGCTAGTCGGAACCTATACAGCGGGTTCTTTTCGTCGAGTTTGACTGCCTTCTCGAAAGCTGATATTGCTTTTTCGGGGTGTTCTAGTTTTTGCAGGATCTGGTCGCGTAAGAGAGTGGATTGAGACATCAGTCGATGGATCGCGGATGTCCATATGGATTGAACGTTGCTTACGACTCCGAGATGGTATTGGATGATAGGGTTCCGGGGATTTATCTTGATGGCTTTGTCGTAGTGGAATTGGGCGGTGCGGTAGTTTTCTTGTTGGAAGAATATTTCCCCCATTCCGAACCTGACATGCAAAGGACAACCCTTCAATACACAATCACATAATGAGCGCTGTGCATCGTGTGTGAGAAGCCAAACTCACCAAGCATTAAACGGCCCCGGCTCAATCCGTATCGATTTCTGGAAATAGTCCACAGACTTCTCGAATTCTTCTTTCATCTTATACTCGAACCCCGTAAGCGTATACGCGTAGTAATAATAGGGGTCCAGCTGAATCGCCCGCGAAAAGCACTTGATAGCCAACTCATGCTCCTGCCGCAAACTGTACAGGTTCCCCACAATACACCACGTCTGCGGCGCCAACCGGTCATTCGCTTCCATATCCTTTGCCAAGAATGCCAGCTCGACTTCTTCCCTAAGGTGCCACAAACAACTGCCAAACAGGTCGAGCCCGTCTAACCGCCACGGCTCCAGATCCCTCGCTTCTCGGAAATGCTTGGCTGCTTCGGGGTATCGCGCGATTTCGTAGAAGCAGCGGGCCATCTGTGTCATCACCCACCCGGTTTTCAGATGTGCTTCGCTGACCCCTGCGAACGCTTGCAGGGCTTCGCGGCTTTCGTAGCGGGTGAGGTGGCGGTATGCGGCGCCGAGGAGCTGGAAGTCGTGGAGGATAGCGTCGCCGGCGGATGTGGCGCGTTTCTTGCGTTGGGGCTGGGTGTCGGTTGCGTCGTCGGCGTCGGAGGTAGGGCCGCTTTCGGGTTTGCGTTCTCCGTCCCGATTCCGTTTCCTGCTCTGGGCCTTTTTGGAGGGATTCGGATTCGCTGGTGCTGCAGGTCGTGGTATTAACGTTGGTGCAGTGCGCGCTCCGAACACCAGCTCGCTCTCGGGTGCCGTCCGCAAATCGCACAGTTCCTGGTACGCGTCCCACAAGAATGGACTCAGCTCCAAAGCCCTCATGAATGACAGCGTCGCTTCCTCCTTCTTCCCCGCCCGTCGACATATCTTGCCCAGCAGACAGTACACATGCTCCATCGCCAGCCCCTCATCCGCCATCCCATCATCCGTCTCCATCTCATCACCACTCGTCCTCGTTTTTGCCCTCGCGACCGATTCCAACACGTATCGCAACGCCTGCTCGCCCTCCTGCAAAAAGTCCAGCTCCAGACAGCATTTCGCAAACAGGAACCGCGATGGCGCGTAGGATTGCCCCTCGAGGACCCTGTATGCTGCGTGTTTGAGGTTCTTGAGAAAGTAGGATTTGCCTTGGAAGTAGGTTGCGCGTGGGGATTCGGGGTAGCAGGCGACGAGACGTTCGGAGAGGAAGAGGGCGTTGGAGTAGTCAAAGTGGGCGAGGGAGGACTCGATGAGCTTTTCGTAGAGAGCGGCTTGGTCGTCCATGACGGCGGGCGGATACTTCTGATACCCCCCAAAAAAGGGAGATTTAAGATCACTTTGGCGTCTCCGCCGATTCGGGGGTCGTTGAGCCTGTTCCAGAGCCTGTTCAACTGTCTGAGCCCTCACGCGTGCGCGGGTTTATTCAGGGTTTATCTCCCCGGTCACGTGGCACACAGGAGAACACGGTAGAGGACTCCTTTGTCGTTGCAGACCAGAAGGAGTCATCGCACGCAGATCAGATCAGATCACGGCGTGCACTCACTCCACTGGGAGGACGCTGACTAGGAGACCCGATCCCACTGGGACGCTGAGACTAGGACGCAACGTCCTTCTCGCATCCCTTTTTTTCGGCGTGGGAAAACCAACCTCGCGGCTTTCAACACCTTCGCTCGGCGTATATCCAGCATCAGAAACTACATACAACAACAACAACAACAACAACAACAACAACATGGCCGAAGAAGTCTCGCAGCAGTACGACACCATCCTCATCCTGGACTTTGGCTCCCAGTACACCCACTTGATTGCAAGGCGTATCAGAGAGCTCGGCGTCTACTGTGAATTGCTCGCTTGCACAGTCAAGGTCTCCGAACTCAAGTTCAAGCCTGCCGGTGGGTGGTGCCCTCTTTTGATTGATGGGATCGGGTCTCGATGTTTCGGATAGCTGACGATATTGTGTTTGTGTTTGAATAGGTATCATTCTGTCCGGAAGTCCCTACTCCGTATATGACAAAGACGCACCTCACGTCGACCCGGCAATTTGGGGGCTGGGACTCCCCATCCTTGGGATCTGCTATGGGCTGCAGGTGGGGTTGGGGGGTGCTTTCGTAACCGTGGGGATCCCACTATCGGAATGTTCGCTGAACATTATGTGACGACCACTAGGAAATCGCATGGACAAAAGGCGGAAAGGTAGAACCCCACGACAAGCGCGAGTACGGCAAAGCCACCATCCAGATCCAACCCGAGAACCAACTCTTCGCCGGTCTCACCAACGACATCACCGTATGGATGAGCCACGGCGACCAGCTCTCCCAACCACCAGCCGGTTTCACCTCGGTCGCCCACACCGCCACCTCTCCCTTCACCGCCATCGAGAAGCACGACGAGCGGATATACGGACTGCAGTTCCACCCTGAAGTCACCCACACGCCCGAGGGATCCATCATCCTCAAAAATTTCGTCATTGGAATCTGCAATGCGACTCCCAACTGGACCATGGCGTCCTTTGTCGACAAGGAGATTGAGCGGATCCGGAACGTTGTCGGACCAACCGCACAGGTCATCGGCGCCGTCAGCGGTGGTGTTGACAGCACCGTCGCCGCGATGATCATGAGCAAAGCCATCGGCGACCGGTTCCACGCCATCCTGGTCGACAACGGCGTGATGCGTCTCAACGAGTGTCAGATCGTGCAGGAGACCCTGCAAAAGCATCTCGGGATCAACCTCACTGTCGCTGATGCCCACGATCTCTTCTTGGGCCGCTTGAAGGGTGTAACTGACCCTGAGAAGAAGAGGAAGATCATTGGAAACACCTTCATTGAGGTGTTTGAAGCTGAGGGGCTTAAGATCGAGGCGCAGGTTGAGCAGGAGGGAAGGGGGAAGATTGAGTTCTTGCTGCAGGGCACATTATACCCTGATGTCATTGAGTCTATCTCGTTCAAGGGTCCTTCTGCTACCATCAAGACGCATCACGTACGTCAACAAGTCATTCCCCTCATATCAGCCCTCCCTGCACAAGGACATCAACCTAACAACTCAATTTTCCCCCCCACAACAGAACGTCGGCGGCCTCCTCGACGACATGAAACTCAAAGTGATCGAACCCCTCCGCGAGCTCTTCAAAGACGAAGTCCGCGCCCTCGGCGCCATCATGGGCATCGACGACGAGCTCGTCTGGCGACACCCCTTCCCCGGCCCGGGCATCGCTATCCGGATCCTCGGTGAAGTCACACCGGAGCAGGTCGCGATCGTCAGACAGGCGGATCATATCTATATCTCGGAGATTAAGGCGGCGGGGCTTTATAGGAAGATTTCGCAAGGTATGTTGTTGTGGCCTTGCGAAGCTTTGTGCGTCTGGTTTTAACCAACCCCTTTTGGTCTACAGCCTACGCAGCCCTCCTCCCCATCCGCTCCGTCGGCGTCATGGGCGACAAACGCACCTACGAGCAAGTTATCGCCCTGCGCGCAGTCGAAACAAAAGATTTCATGACCGCAGACTGGTACGAGTTCCCTTACGACGTCCTCAAGCGCATCTCGAGCAGGATCATCAACGAGGTGCAGGGAGTTAACCGCGTCGTGTATGATGTGAGCTCGAAGCCACCCGCGACGATCGAGTGGGAATAGGCTTGTTGAGGGATATGTTGTGGTGGTGCGGGACGTGCTTAGATGTTGTCTGTGTTCCATTTTTATCATTTTTTTTCGCATGTGTTTATTTATACAGAACATGATAGATTTGCTACAGATGCAGTCGTGCTGGACTAAGCTACAAATATGCAGCTAAATCTACTCAAGGGATGCTCACCCACCTCTCCCTCCCGATCGCAGCCGAGGCTAGATAGCACACGGCACAATGCAAAATTCACAAAACGATAGAACCAGATCTAACGCCGACGCTCTAGGGACTCACACAACCAAAACCCCCAAACCCGACCGGAGTTTTCACCGAAACCGCTTGGTCATCTCATCCAGCTCGTGACAAGCACCAGCGTAGTCGATCGGCGCAAAAGACATGACCGATGTCTTGACTTTGGCCTCGTCCTGGAGGAGTGGTTTGTTATCACTCAATGGCTGTTTTGCACAACATGAAACGAGGACTGGAGAAGTGTGGGTGATCAAAGAGTTACCTGATACGTCTCAGCCTTAGCCCGACACTTGAAATCAAACGACTTGAAACTCGCCTGGGCAAACACCAAATCGTACTCTGCCTGGTTGCCAGAGTCCTGCAATAAAGTAAAGTGCGTGGGGGGTGAGGGAAGTGCATTGTCAGATTCTCGTCCACAATCGTTCCGTGATTCGCAAAAGCATACCTTCAAGTGCGCCATCTCATCCGCAGTCCTGCCCAACATCGCCTCCCCGATGTCGTTGAAGCCTTGCAGCCATATTTGGCCTGTGTGATCACTGACGGTGAAGGACATGATATACCTAGTACCCCCAAACCATTTCGTTAGGCCCTACCGATCACCAGAAAATTGAAACCAGCAAAAAGGCATGTTCCTCACCTGTAAGAAGGCGCAGGCCATGTCTGGTCGCACTTCTCGCACCGCCACCCGCTTCCAATGTCGGTGACCTTCTTGTTGCAGTTCTCCGATGGACAGGCGGGGTATGAGATGTTCTCGTTCTTAACGAACATGACTGTTCCTCGCAGTGTGAAGTAGTCGGGCTGTGACATTGTTTCGAGGAGGCACGTCGATGAGTATGATGCAACAACGGTTTGCCGCTTTGAAGGACATGCTAAAGGGAAACCTTTGCACACATACCTTTTCACCCATCCCAAGCCCTTCATCCTTGATCTGGGAGATATACTTCAGCGCATCCCGCTTACTCCCAGCTGCGGAAGACGACCCGCCACCGCTCGAGTAAGTCTGAAAATGCGCGTTCCGCCCCTCGGCATCATACCACCCGCGCAGGGCATGTGCCTCCGGGATATCCGGGTTAACCGACAAGGACGATGAACCCATGAGGGAGAGCGAGCGGCCGCCAAAGTCCCCCACTTTGACTCCTTTCACGGCGACTACGGGGTTGTCGTTTGCTTCAAACTGTTCGGCTTGCCGACCCCACAAAGTCATTTTGACTTCGTAGCCGGACTGATCTACGATTGTCGTGTCTCGCTTTTTGAACTTTGTAAAATATGGAGTGTGATGAGTTTAACCCTTGGCAAAGACAAACTACACAGCCTCCTGATAGACCCTACCGGCTTCTGTGTTGTTTTGGAAATGATTTCAGACAGGTCGCCCACGTCCCTTATCACACCGATGACATCTACACAAATGAATCATCTCAGTTCTCGAACGCCCCGATGAGCATATTCAAGTATTACCAGTGATGGCATTGGAATCGATCTCATATAAAGAGCTCAAGCTCGCGAAAGTGTATCGCACTTTTGGCACGTCGCCCGTGTCTTGACACTGCCCAAGAAGAGTGAGTTGACTGCGTGCTGTGAATGGGCATCGCTGCTCCGAGACGTACCTCAGTGATGACACTTTGTTGGTCCAACGTCATCTCGTATTCATTGTTCACCTTGCTGAATTGTTTGTTGGCCGGCTTGATGGGGGCTTTGGAGATGAAGAAGACCTGTCGAGATGGGAAAGGAATGAGGGGGAGTCGACCCCGAGCCATCTATCTGGTTCTGAGCAAGCCTTACTTTGCCATCCTTAAGAAGGTCATAGAAAAGATCCACCGCCTCCTTGAAACCCGTCGCTCTAATCTCTCCCTACGGTGCCAACGTGAGCGTAATGCCACCGGCTTGTGAGGGAAATCCTCTGTGTGTACTTACGGACTCGTCAACTAGGGTGCAGCTGAACAGCTTTCCCGACCCACGGGCATTCTCCCAATGCCTGACATCCGACTTATTGATCACGCGAGCTTTGATAGTCCACCTAGTCGATTGAAAACGGGCGATGAGCGAATTGCGGGCGTCTTCAGGCCGTTCGTCGCCACCCACTTATTCTGATACGGGTTTAAACTCTTGATCGGGAAAATCGGAACCTCCCCACCGCCACCTCCGTAGCCTCCCGCGCCAGCCCCGTGCTGCTGGTTTCCAAACCCGCTGCCTGATCCACCGTATTGTTGCTGCTGAGGCCCGCGAGCGTTGCTGTTGGAAGCTACGGGTGTCGGATACGTGTTCTGTGCCTGTGCCGGTCCGTGGGGGTTACCCGCAGGCCCGTCGGCGCTGAGCCCCAATCCTACGGGTGACCCTTGCTTCGGGTACTCCGCAAATGGTGTCAAGACTTCCATTTGCAGAATGATAATGATCCTGTAAAGAGTTCGTAGCTTTGAGCAAAGTCCTGCATAGTAGTAGGGCTGTTATTTGCCGGTGCTTACCGTTTTTGCGCAACGGTATTGCAGAGATATCGTTTCAATTTGATGACTCCATATTTTTTGAGCTCTTGCGAGGTTACGTATCCGTTGAGCTGTGTTGCAAGCATAGCTATGATGAAGCGGTCAGTTGAAGCTCTCGGCCACTTTCGAGCGGGTCCAACACACCTTGCATAAAGTGAACTCCGTCCGAAATTATGAGTCTGCAACCGTCCGATCGTTAGGGGTATCGAGCTCAGCAATTGTCCGGAATGGCTCCCTAGGACAAGCCACTCACCTCCATCTATCCGGCCCACCGCTGCCGCCCGCCGGCGTCTGTATCTGCTTGATATTCAATATCTGGACGGTCGCTTCCGGGTAGCTTGTTGGAGCTGCCTGAGTTTCACCGTAGGCCGCCTGAAGGCATCCTTGCGTGAGCTGAAACGAGTGTGCCATCTTGAGTTGTGCTCCGACTGAGGGCTTCGCTCGCTATTCTTTTCCTGGGTCCTTGCTGATCTACCTACTGTACTCTTTGATAGGTCGGAGTCTGTGGAGAGAAATGGCTTTCCACTTGAGCTCCCAAAAATCGAGGACGAGCTGTCCGAATTGTGACACGCACGCGAATATATTATCAACACAGCCACCCCCGACTGCGAGCTCAGTTTCGCATACCGTAAGGTAGAACGAGTCCGCGAATGCATCGACATTCGATAGGAAATGGGGAAAAAAGACTTTCGAGTTACAGATTATGTGGGTGCCGACCGTAATGTGCGTCTATATAAATGATGATTGCATATGTCGGTGTCCTGGTATTATGCCGCCTCATGTGCGGCTTCTGATGGCCCAAAGACCCTCTCCCATATGCGCTGCGCTCCCATCCGAGCCCTATCGAATACCGCCGATGGACTGTCAAGCGCCGGCCTCACGTCACAGTTGAAGGCGGGAACCCCTGGCTCTTCGTCCGGTGCAGAGTAGTAATCAATGACATATCGGACATCCTCTCCGCATCTATCTATGGTCCAGTCGTGACGATCGAACGGTTTCTCCACCCTAGAATTGAGAGTTGCAACTCAGCACCTGTCATGAACGGCAAAGCCTGCCTTAACACTGATCGATGCTTACCCAAACCAACTATACATCCGCGCCTTCGGAGTCAGATCTTGTGGCCTCCCTTGGAACTTCTTCAGCTTAAGATCCTTGCAATCGCAGTGGAACTTCTTCTCCCACTTTTGCACCTCCCCCCAACACGCCTCGTTCAGGAAGTTGTGAATATCCACCATAGTCGGCACTTCGGCCTCGGGGGTCTCGTAACCCTTCCGTACAAGCGCGTTGTAGAACTGTTGGGGCGATGGGTAGTCCCATGTTTCGTTCACATCTGGTCGTGGGATACTCGACTGTGTTCGAGATGTCGAGAGGACTGTGCGTTGAGAAGCGGATAGCGGGTGTTGGGATAGGTTTGGCATCATGTTCAAAGGGTTGAGGGAGTCGGATGGTGTAGGAGGATGACCAGCGGGCTTGCTGGCACTGCCGCCATGGTCGACAGGACAGCCTCCCTTGCTATCTGAGCTTCCCTTCTGGCCGCCAGCGACCTTCACAAAGGAACTGTGGTCTACTGGGCACTTGTCCCCGGCCGAGACATCGCCGTTTGCTGAGGGTCCCATTGCGTAGTGATGAATAGTGACTTGCGCTGCGTTGCTATTGTTTAGACGACCTGATTAACCTGGCGGTTCAGTAGCTCGCTATATTCGTCGTATCTAAGGGTTCTCTTCCTGCGGTTCCGCTCAAGTTGCTTTGCAAAACGAAACGCCGAAATCGACAGAGGGCTGGAAAATCCGAGCGGAAGTTCAGACAAACACGACGTCTTCCGAATCGATTGCTCGCGTGGTGCTCACGTGACCTCGTGGGTTCGCGCACCTTCGCACCTTTGGGGTTCCCTGACTAGTTGGTCACCGCTTTGACTTTTAGCAATTCTGGCCATCTTCCCACCGGCAACAAGACGTTGAACCGAGGACGTTGGCCAAGGTCAGGAAGGCAAGGGATATATCGAAACCTTACCACGACGGTCCAGCCGGGAAGGAAGAGCCTCGAAAAACGCAGAAAGTTGCGGCACCATGAGTCGGCCGCAAAGAGCAGTCCGCTCGCAGCGATCGAGGAGGCGACCTATAACCGCAGGGCTACTGTTGGCGTTGGGGGCTCTCTCGTGTGTGTCCGCGAACGCGCAAGCGAACTCCGGTGAAAGCTATAAGGAAACACTGCGCGTGTCGCAAGGGTACGATGGGAAAGTAGTGGCAGAGTTCGCGTTCAACCGGAAGATAGGGCCTTTGGCGTTGGCTAAAGCAGAAGGTTAGAGGATAGAGTGGGATGATACGAGGCTTTGGTGCTGTCGGTTCTGACGGCTGATTTTTGGATGAACAGACAACCAATACGGACTGTTGCCGCGATCCATCGGAGAAGTCGTGCAGACGTATGGGGTGCAGGAGTTTCATTTGACGTTCTCGCAAGGGAACTGGAATTCTGCCAAATGGGGATACTCGTCTCTCGCCTCTGCGACCGGTGTTGAGTTGTGGACATGGTTTAACACCACGGCGAAGTACGTTATACCAGTCGTACGACTGTGATTTGGAAGGGCCGCTGGAAGTCCTTCGGGCTAAGAGACTTTTCATCAGCATAGATACGCAGTGGAAAGGTCTCACCCATGCGTTGGCTGGACTGTTCTGCGCGTCGCTGAATCAGATTGATCAGGCATCTACGGCTCAGCCGTTACTGTCATTCCAACCGGAAGGCGAGTACCCTTCAAATCCAAAAGCAGGTGTGTGTGCTACTCGGAGTGCCGATAGTTCTCACCGCCAGCAGCCAACTCACAGAGGTCGAATTGAAGGCGAAGGGTCGGATTTGCACGTTCGCTATGGACACTTGCCCCATGAGGCTGTTTGCACCGAGAACCTCACACCATGGGGCAAGCTGCTCCCATGTCAAACAAAAGCTGGACTGGCAAGCCTGTTCAATGCCTACCGGTTGTTTGATGGAAGCTACCACTCGATGGGTACACATCTACGACCATTATGCATGGTGCGTACGGTCGCCTAATCCCTGCCTAGTGAAAGACGACCTTAGGCTGACGACCGCTTTGCATCGCATCGCAGAATGAGGCGTGTACAGAGCGTGGTCTGGAGTTTTCCCAGACTTTACTCGTGGTTCTAGACCCCATCCGCTTTGAGAACAGAAAAGGTGGCTTCCTGTCGTTATCGGGTTTCCCCTGCGACCACTCACTCTCCGTAAACACACAGACTGGACCTTCAGCAGTCTCTTCGAACGGACAGTACCGTCCACGTGCGCATTGGCTGATGAGACCGACGTGCAGGTCACGGTCCCTAGCCATCCCGCGGTTACGTTCACTCCAGAACCCAAGAGAATCGTCAATGGGTACACTGGATATATCACAGCCCACTATTTACTCGACCAAAGTGAGTAGGACGGACGTCGTCTCAGGCCCATGGCAGCACTGACATTCTCTTTCAACCTCGCCCTCCAGGATCGTCACCAACTTTTGACCTCGGTATTCACTGGTCGGATACGGCGGTGTCTTTTGGTGAGCCTTGAGCCTTGATCATCGCGAAACTTTAAACTCAGTGGTGATATTTACACAACGGATCATCCGCAGGCTTTAATCGCAATGACACCTACATCCGAGCGCATCGATATGGAACCGGCTATGGCGGCGAACGTGGAGGACTGGCCGTCGACCTGATAAATGATCATCCCGACAATGATCAGGATATCACCTTGTTCGACGCTGTGCCATGGTACCTCAAGTTGTACCTACATACTTTGCGCACGGAGACAACAGCCGGGAATGGTGCAGGTATGTGGCTTCTCACTCGCTGCTTAAATGCTTGATTATTGACAATATCGATGCCGGCCTCAGATATCGTAAAGGATCTTTTCTTCCAGCCGGCGATTGACCGTGGACGCCCCGCTGTCCTTGAGATGGCCATGACGTTACCCGCAAACAGCACGACAACGCTATACATTGACTTTGACAAAGCGTTCATCAAGTACACGGAACATCCACCAGACGCGAATCGCGGTTTCGATATCGGGTAAGTCATCTGGTCGCACGGTACTCGGCCTCCTCGACGTGCATCTCACACTCTTGATTACAGGGCTGCCATCATAACGTTCACTACCCCATCCGGCGAAGACGGGGATGTTCAAGGCAAAACACACCGAATATATACTGAGAGCGTGCTCGTCAGCCTCCCGACGCCGGATTTCAGTATGCCTTACAACGTCATCACCCTGACGTGCACCGTCATGGCGCTGTGGTTTGGCAGTATGTTCAATTTGTTGACGAGACGGTATGAGCCGTTGGTGATCAAGGATTAATATTACTCGTTCCGTCATCGCACATGGGAGATCTTTGCTTCATGGCCCACTTATGTTATCATCTAAGCTGAGAGCGGCAGCAGTAGTCTGCGATTCTATCTACATCGTATCTATGCGATCTTCGTTGTGCGATCAACATCTCTCCATTAGGTAGCCAGGAGTCTCTATTCATGTAGTCTTCTTCTTTGGCACGCCACTCTGGGAGTATACAGCAGTGCCGAGAAACACCGCCGCTGTTCCGAGCCAGTGGCCTAGTGTGAACTCGTTGTCGAATACGAGGATTGATATCACGAGGCTCACAAACTTTCGCACGTTTAGTATCTGCAAAAACGATGGTCAGCACGGATGGATGCGAAGAGTAATGATGAGGCAGGCAATACATAGACCGACCAGATTCAGTGTGACGGCGGAAGCCATGGAGCTGAGCCGATGTACTCCAGCTATGCAGACATCTGAAGATATGGAAGTGAGAAGCTGCATCCCACATTCCGAGGGCCCCTCATACGCATGATTTCGGATGCTTACACTGGGTAATGGTATTCAGCGCCAAATAAGCCCACAACCTCGGGACTTTCACATCCTCCCATATCGCACCCACCCCTCCTATCGCACTCCCAAGCACCCCGCCCTTCCCTCCAAGCATATCCATATTCTCCACCGGCCCAAGCATACCCAGCACAGGCTCCAGCACAGGTACGAGCGGTGACTCATTGTACACCGCCATTTGCTGCCTGAGGTCGCTATAGAACAGCACGAAAGCGGGCAATCCCAGGAAATGCGTGTAGAACAAGCCCTCGCGCCATGCCCGTCCGTACTTTGCATAGGTGGTTTGTTGCAGCTGTCCAAGGAAACAGGAGAGGATGAGAGCGAGGGAGAGAATGCCGAGACCGGCTATCCATTCTGATAGAGGGGTGGCGGGGACGGCGGAATCCGCGTTGGATTTGGAGGGAGCTGCGACGGCTGAGCTGTAGGTGGATATAAGCACGCCGATGGAGACCAGGGCGACGCCAGCTACTTGTTGTTGTGAGAAGCTGCCGGAGGAAAGGTATCAGCGACCGTTGCATCGATCGATCTCACGCGTCGGGGCACTGACCTTTTCCCGAACAGCGCCCAGCCGATCAACTAGAAGGGAGATGATTACTTTCTGGAGCAGGGATCAAAGAGAGCCAACATGCACATCCTCCATCTGTCTCCGTTCCATACCATGCTAACAAACAGCCCCAACGATCTAAACACGATATGCAAGGGCATTTCTATTCGAAAGCCTAACGCATAGTTGTTCAAGATCGACACCGTCCAGAACAGCGTCACCATCGCTATCCAGTACTTCAGTGGAATGACCCTCTTCTTCAGCCCTAATGGGAATCCTGAAGACCCGGACCGCCATTCAAGGTGTTGAAAAAGCCCTTCGACAGCAACGACGAGAAACTGGGCGAACGTTATGAGGTTCCCACTCTTCGGTTGGCTCCTATTCCGTTATAAAACTCCTTCGTCAGTGGCCTGCTTCCCTCCTGCAACCCACCCGCTTCGGCGACGCACTTTACTAGTAGTTCGAGGGTCCACACGTTCGAACAACACCTGAAACAGAACGCATACGCTTTAGACGCATGGGACGACATGGCTTCATTGAAAGCGCAGAGCTTACCCTCCAAAGATCAGGGCGGCAACCAGCACCCATTCCCGCAGGAATATGCGACCGACCGCCGCTGCTTGGGCCTGCGTTGGACGAGCCTTCACCGCTGTGGACATGGGACCGCGCGCGTAGGTGCGATTGTGAGTTTCCAGGAAGCGTCGTGAACGTCCCGCGGCGACTGACGCCTTTTTGACGCGTTTTCTCGTTGCCGTCAGTCGAACTTGAGGTCCGACTTGCAGAGAAACCCCTCAGCCTCAAGGACGGCAAACAATCAGAGGACTTGACTATCAGGCTTATCAGGACCTCCTGGTTGAGGTGGCAACAAAGCCCTCTGCAAAAGCTACACTACAGTCCGTGTACGGCATCCGAAACAACTCGAAACAGGACTTTGCCGAAATGACGACCGACGCCATGGAAGACGACGGTCGCCGCCGACAACTCTCTAAATGCCTAGACCTGCTCTCACCCGGCCGAAAGGACGAAGAAAAGTTCGTCGGCTTGTTGATGATACCCAAACTGGTCAACCCGGAGACGGACAAAGATGCGTTTCGAATGTGCTTCGAGCACATGGACTGGAACTTTGTTGACAGGCTGTTGACGTCTGGTAGGCTTTTGGGTGGTGGGACGAGACAGGGTAGAGGCTGGGGCAACTGAACAAATATGTTGCTTTTCAGAGGGGACGGAAGAGATGCCTGGGGATACGTTGAAAGGCCTGGCGCTGAACATTATCCAAGTGTTTGGTTCGGAGGCGGACTTCAGGAACCGGCCAGGTGCGTGTCGAATTTTGTTTTGGCTACGCTCACAAATTTACCAATTGATCCTTCCTCTAGAACTCACGTCTAGGATACCGTCCCTGGCGAAGCTGCTGGACAGGTTAGTCGCCGTTTTGCCTGAATCTATCACCGTTCAACGAGGATGTCGGCTGACTAGTAACATTCCAGCCGCGATATGTCGGAGTTCAAGCGTCCCGTCATGGAATGTCTGTATTTCTTCGCAGACTCAGAGGAAGGAGCGACACAGCTGCAAGATCTAGATACTTTGAGACGGATCTATTCCGCGATGTCTGATGGACCAGAGGATGGTGAGCTATTACAGCATTGCCACCGAATGCCATCAAGTAGGGGTTTGCTGACCTTCCCCTCGATTAATAGCATCGGTGGTGGCATTTCATCTTTTCGAGCAACTATACCGCACCGTGCATTCGCGAGGGGAGTTCTTTAACGATGCAAACACCGCATTCAGGGAGGGGTTCCTGGACATGATTGCAACAACTTTCGCGACGGTCGACACCCATCTCAAGTTCGAGTGCGGGCGCTTGCTGATGGAAATCTTTGCGGACCATGTGAGTCGTTTGTAGCTCTTTGCACACATCCCTTCGGGTGGAATGTTGACTTAATTCGGGACGTTCGAACCAGGATCTGAAACCAATGAACGGGCCCGTGTCTAACTGGGCGTTGGAATTGCGGAAGGGAATCATGACCATCTTAACGAGCAAGATAGGCTCCCAGCAACGGGACATGGCGCTCATGCTCAGTTCGGCATTGTGCCGACAGTACGGTGCCCGCTGGATTCTACAGGGACCAGGAAACAGCAAAGGAAAGGCGAGAGAAGGATCTGCGGTCGATTTGTCCCCGGCGCAGACCGCAACTATCCTCATCCACCTTGCGGGGGGTGAACTGCGGTTACTGCTAGACGATGCACCAACGTCGGAGATCCCCGATCCTGCGTCGAGGGCATGTCAGATTGTTCCGATCTGTGCGGAGATTGTGGAAACGCTGATTCGCGGCCTGATTGGGGAAAGTGAGGAAGCGAGCGTCAGTTTACCGCTTGAGACGGTGGAGTCGATCAGACAGTCGTTGCATGAGACGATGGAGTCTGTCAGGGCTTACTTGATTGATGTGCAGGTATGCCAATGGGGGATGTCCACACACTGCGGATGTCAGGCGGTTGACCAAAGCGTTTCTTCGTAGATACATTGCGATTACGTTAAAAACGTGCATAGCCTGGACACACTCGTCACCGCGTCCTGCCTGCGACTGCTAGCCACATGGCTCGCCGAAGACGATACCATGTCGACCAAGGAGATTCGGCAGGTCGTGCCTGTCCTCGTATCCGCGGGACGGATCCGGTAAAGACAAGTGTTCGCCCATCCTAACAAACACCAGATCATCTCCCCTAACATCACCATTCAACTCACCATACAGACTCGAATGCCTGAATCTCCACCCCATCCAATTCCTGGGCCCCGCCCTACTAAACATCACAGCCGATCCCGCCATCCGCGACGCCTTCATCTCCTCCGGCGGCTGCCGCATGCTCATCGACGTATGGTCGTCTCAATCGGGCCCATCACCATTCTCCTTATCGATAGTCGGCACGCTACTCAACGTTGTGGCGACGAAAGATGAGGTGGTGAAGAGTGATGATCAGATTGTGCGGAGCTTGGATTTGTTTGGGAGGGATGTGGAGGGGTTGGACCCGGCTGCGAAGACAACGACGGATGAGGATTTGCAGTTGGTGGCGCATTATGTCGCGTATGCGTTGATTGTTTGTAGGAGTTTGTCTCCGAATCAGTTGAAGGGCGCTCAGCATCTTGCGAAGGGGATAATCGACGTCTCCGCCAAATTCCTGCTGCGGGGTCTCGAGCTGGAGGGCGGGAAGAGCAAAGCAGGGTGGGAGGAGTTGAAGGAGCTTTGGCTGATTTCGTGCTCAGGTATCCTGGACGTGAGAGAAAGGGTGGGGCGGTGGTGGATGGTGGGCAGTGATGTTGATATGCGCGATCCTTTGTTCCAGCGTTCACGGCATGTACGAGACCAATACCCAAAGATCACGAGATCCGTCGGCTTGAGAGCGTGCAGGCTTTGCAAAAGCTAAGTCAAAGTGAGTCGATGAGCCTACACTGTTCAAGCCCGATGCTTTGGTCTTACGCATATCAATGTTCCTTGCCCTTGCAGAGTCAGGCATATTGGACCCCGAAGCAAGAGAGGCACTAGGGCACTGGCACGAGTTGTTCCTTGCAAAGTAGCATCTGTTCACTGTCACAGCATCGTCCTAAATGCATGACGCTTGTCGGCACCATCACAAAGTCCCAAGCTCATGATTAGCGAGTTCGGCGGCCACCGTGCAAAGGAATGAGCGAAGCGGATCTCATCCGCCACTGCGCTCGCGATGAGGCACCAGTAGTCATCGACATCGCGAAGACTCTGAATGCATCCATATCCCCGGCCCGACCTCGCCCGCATCTGAACGATCTCTTCCCTCCTCCAACTATGGCGTCTCCCGTGGCCCTGCCTCCTCCCACGTCGGCCGCTCCGTCTACACCCAAGGACCCCGTGCGACGGCCAGGACCTCGACCATGTAGATTGCCGCCGTCCTCTCCCTCCACGAAACGAATTACAATCGAATTAGCACGGGTGGATTACTCCCGCAGCAGGGAAATCATCCTGTTGTCGTTTGGTGCTGTAAGGAAAGGGTGGAGTTTACTGAAGCTATATTAGCGTTCGTAGTAGTAGTGAACTACACGGCGTAGGGTACAAAGCATATGCGCGGGCAACTGGGAAACAAACTAGAAAAGCTGGTAGCCCTTCGATATTAAAAGAATTTGGAGCGAGCAGGTGAAAAAAATGGAACGCCTACACGGCTACTTCTAAAACACGTTTGAGCAAAATAAAATTCGGGCCAAGGGTAATGAGAACGCTAGATTGTTTGTTTTACTTGACCTTCTTAGTCTTCGACGCCTTCCACTCCCCAATCGCGTGTTTGATACGGGAGTCGAGGCGCTCTTGGAGTTGTGGGCGGTAGCCTAGAGTGAAGAGCATCTCGACCCAGACGAAGAATGGCGCGAGGACGAGTGCTGTGTGGGATTAGAAGCACGATTAGCATGTCTCGGGCGGCATATTACGCGCATGGGCAATACGGTACTCACCTTGGAAGAAGTTATCCAGCAAGGCGGGCGCGCGTCCCTCGATGAGGCCGTGGCTCACTATTCAAGAAGGATCATCGTTCCATCAGAAGAAGCACAAACCACGAGGCAAGTCGACGTTCGACATTCCCATCGAGCTACTTACAGAATTGGGCAATCCAGCTGCTGGCGTGAATGGCGACGGCAGCGATCTGCGGAGAAACCTGTTGGGAGAGAGCATCGGTGAGCTCGATCAAATCAAGTAGATGGTATGGGACCGCTCACGAGACTTACATCAAACACTTGATCCTTAGCCGCGAAGGTGTTGGCGTAATGCAGGAGACCGAACAGAACGGGGGCATACAAAGTCTAACGGAGGGAAACGTAAGATGACACTTTTCGGAGACACGCGCTCGGCCGGCAAGGCAAAGGCAATCTGCTCCTCTCCCAAACTTACGCCAGCAACAGGATCCAACACGATGTAATAGATGTTGTAAACCGCCGTCACGATGAAAGCGGCGTTCAAAGGCCACAGGTAGGTGAACGCCCACTCTCCAAAGGTTGGCGTTTGTGTGAGCTGTGGGTGGGAAAACGGGCAGAGGATTGAGTTAGGGACTTGATTTGGGGTAGGTTAGACAGTATGACTCCCAGCAAATGCATACCCAAACTTGGACAGTCCACAGAATCGTGGGGACAAACACGAAGTGAACAAGCTGGTTTCTGTTTTCGAGTGGGATTTACGATCGTTCTCGTCAGTCATTTCCTACGTTTCACTGCTTGTCACTCTATCCGGCGGTGGACTCGCTTACAGTTTAGCATGGTGATCTATGGCCCAGGGACGAAGTGCGGAGTTAGGTAGGTCCAACATTCCTGCACGTCAAAAGAAAGCCCCAGATAGGGGGAAACCACGTACATTGGCCATACTGGAGGAGCTGGTCCTCGAAGTTGAAGATGCCCATGGCCACGAGTCAGAATACGCGACGGCTGAGAGTGCAGTCTAAAGCAACGAGTTCGGAAGGGCGACTGCGAGTAGCGAGCGAGCGAGCGAAGCGGGTATGAACTTGTAGAGTGTTGCAACTTGTGCGGGGGGCTCGATTGGGCGAGACTGTTGCAAGTTGGTGCTGCGGGCGGCCAACGTCCTTTGTTGCAGTTTGTTCCCAGCCAGTTGCGACCGGCCGCTCGTCTTGTCATATTCGCAGATGTTCGCCGCGTCCGAGGGAGCACAGCGTGACCCTCCGCTTTTCGATTTGCGGCGAGTTCATAACTTTGAGGGTTCTCCCTCTTCACATCCATAAACTAACTTTGACCGTAAATACGCAACCTGCCCTTCGAGCTATTGGCAGCGTAACATAGAAGGACAGCTTGGCTAGCGGGATCTGAAGGACCTCATCATTGAGCTAGTGGTAGGCGTTTGACTTCCAAGCATCTGGGCTCATGATGGCAGAAACGCCGGAAGCTTTCCACAGGGAACCGTTTTGACGCAGATCGTTGCTCGAGAATTATTCTAATAATATCTGGACGATTGCCTCGGTTCCCTCGTTTTATTGCGGCCACACTATCCACCGGCACTGACAATGAAAACAATCAGTTTCACGTACTTTGGATAGCAGCAAGTCAACGAGACCGGGTCAGAATAGGTCGTTTGGCATGCGGAGTCGATAGCAGGCCTCCCCGAGAGAAACCTCAAATGGAACACTCCTTGCCTGTTTCAATGTATGATAGCCGCTGACTTTCAGCAACATGTAGCAAACCTCCGCAAGCCATCCCTTGCTCAGTCACCATTCCTCTCTCGACCGATTGATGGTTATGTATGGACCCTTCAAGCAGAAATGAGTCGGGTCAATGGCACCGCAGTGGCACCGTGCCGACACCCCCGGCGATTTGCGCAGCGGCATGCGCCAGCACCGAGGCATGTGTCAGAGGCTCACAAGCATCCCCAGCCCCAGGCCCCACAGATCCTGCCATGGCAGGTTCCCTAGACCTATATAATAATAGAGCCATGCCAAGTCAATTCCGGACATGGGAATACAACTTGCCAAGTTCCGATGGTAAGGAATCAGGCCCATCCATCTCCACGTTTTCGCACCGAAATCTCCTCTCCTGCTCTGCGATGGTTTCCTTTTGACGCGCGGGTCCTCCTTCAGTGGTGACGCACGCGCGCAGACACGCAGAGTCGCAGACCCGATGAGATTAGATATGGGGTTTCCCACCATTTTCCTCGCATATGTATATCTCGGCAAAGAACGCTGGGAACCCTCCCTCTGAAACATAGGCCACTTCATACATACACATAGGTCTTCAAGAAGAGTGCCGCCTCACCCTCGCAAAACCTCAGGCACTCGCCGAACTTCACTATGGTCGCCACACCAAGCAACAATGTGAGCCCGAATGGCTCGAAGCAGGGCTCTATGACGGAGATCATCTCGACAATGATGTCCTCCCATGATCTGCTGGAGTCGAAGCACACACCTGACGCTATCGACTTCAACAAACCTCTCAGGGTACGCGTAACGTTAGGCGGAAGGTCTTACTTGATAACCGCGGCTGGCCTGTTTCGCGTGACTTGCCCCCGTCTCACTAGAGTTTCTCCCACAGGAAGACATTATGCTACTCTCGGACCTTCTGCTTTCGACGATAAGAGATCACTCGGGAGTGGCAGGAGGAGTTCCGGACCATCTTGCTGCTATCGTGGATGAGCTGCTCCTCGCATCTCGAGACTATGGCGAATCACCCTCCGAGCAGACTTTCCAGACCATGGTGTCTATCGTAAAGAGGATTGAAACACCTTCAGTTCATCTGGAAATTGCGCGTGTCTTCCACGAGTTCTTGACGCTGGCCGACATTGCTGAACGTCAACATCGTGTCAGGCGTTGGCGTGGATACAGGAGAGGCGAGTCGTCCCTGTCGTACAGGCAGACTTGTCGCGACGCCTTTCAGCTTCTCCAGGAACGAGGATTCAAGCCAGCGCAGATCCGCGACACGCTGGCGAAGCAGAACGTCGATTTGGTGCTGACTGCTCACCCTACCCAAGCTGCGAGGCGGACATTATTGGACAAGTATTTCCACATCGCAAACTGTCTGGCTACTCGTGATAAGACGATCATGACGCCTCAAGAAGAGGAGGAGAACCGTGATGCCATCCGAGCCGACATTTTGGCTGCCTGGCGCACAAACACTGTTCGACGCATCAAACCCACCCCTGATGATGAGGCCCGTAACGGGTTGATGGTGATCGAAAACACCATCTGGGCATGCCTGCCAAACTTCATGGCCACCGTCGACCACGCGCTGGCGGAGATTGGACAACCACCTCTCCCGGTCGACAGCAATCTGATTACATTCGGAAGCTGGATCGGAGGTGACCGAGACGGCAACCCGTTCGTCACATCGGAAGTCACTCGCGAAGTCATCAAACTCTGCAGATGGCGCGCGGCGACTCTCATCTACACGGAAGTCGACAAGCTCATGTTTGATCTCTCCATGACCGTCTGTAGCCCCGAACTCGCAGCGGTCGTAGCAGAGATCCCCAACGAAACAATCGTCGCCTCATCCCGAAAGACCAATTTGACGTTTTCGCGAGGAAATATCCCGCGAGACGAGCCGTACCGTGTGCTGCTCTCTGTCTTGCGTGACAGGGCAAAGATCACCGAGGAATACCTGCAAGGTGCTGTTGGCGTCGAGAACCCGCCGCCGCCGCCGCGCGGATTTATTCGCGAGGCGAAGGAGATCCTTGAGCCTTTGATTTTGTGTTACAACAGTCTGGTGGCTTGTGGTGATGGACTCGTTGCGAACGGCCGTCTGAAGTCTCTCGCCAGGAGGATCTCGACCTTTGGTCTCACGCTTGTCAAACTTGACATTCGACAGGAGTCTGACCGTCACGCTGAGGTTGTCGATGCGATCACGCAATACCTGGGTCTGGGCTCATACGCTGAATGGACCGAAGAGAAGAAGCAGGAGTGGTTGATTGAAGGTACGAGTTACCTGTGAGCACCTCACAGTTTTCATTGCTCAATGTCCTACGTCCCCCCAACAGAGCTCAGAGGCCGTCGTCCATTGATCCCCGGAGACTGGCCACAGAACTCCCCAGATGTCCCCGACTCTGTCAAGGAGGTCGTCGCTACCTTCCGCATGCTTGCAACAGTCGGGTCGGATGCGCTCGGTGCCTACGTGATTTCGATGGCACGCGTGCCGTCTGACATCCTGGCCGTTGCGCTGTTGCAGAAGACCGCTGGGGTTGTGACGCCCATGCGAGTCGCACCGCTCTTTGAAACAAAGGCCGATTTGGAGGCTGCTCCACAGACTATCGACCGGTTGCTGTCTGTACCTTACTACCGGTCCTCCATTCACGATCAGCAAGAAGTCATGCTTGGGTATTCCGATTCTGCCAAAGACGGATCCAGGCTGACGTCTGTATGCTGCCTGTACACCGCACAAGAAGAGCTAGTAAGGACGTGCGACAAATACGGCGTGCGCCTCACCCTCTTCCACGGTCGTGGTGGTAGTGTCGGCCGTGGAGGCGGACCCCAGCATCTTGCCATTCTGTCGCAACCCTCCGGCACCGTGCAAGGCCGCATGCGCATTACCATCCAGGGAGAGATTATCGACCACCACTTTGGACACACTGGCACGGCCGAGCAGACCCTGGAGCGATACACGACCGCCACGCTGATCTCGACTCTCGCACCCCCACCCCCACCCAAACCCGCATGGCGCGATCTCCTCCAACACATGTCCGACATCTCCTGCGACTACTACCGCAAGATTGTCCGCGACACCCCCGAATTCACACCCTACTTCCGCACCGCCACGCCCATCACCGATATCGGATCCATGAACATCGGGTCTCGACCTTCGAAGCGTAAAGCCACGGGAGGCATCGACACCCTGCGTGCGATCCCGTGGATCTTTGCGTTCACGCAGACGAGGCTGCATTTGCCCGTGTGGTTGGGGATTGATGAGGCGATTGAGGTTGCGGTTAAGGAAGGGCATTTGGACACGTTGAGGGAGATGTACCAGGAGTGGCCGTTCTTCAAGAGTACGCTGGACCTTATTGCTATGACGTTGGCTAAGGCTGACCCGAGGATCTCAGGTATGTTGATAATACGACTCCCACTGTCTCTCATCCTAGTTGCTAACGCACAACCTCCCCTATACAGAATACTACGAAAAATCCCTGGCCCCCGCCCCCGAACTCCAGTCCCTCGGCGTCCTCCTCCGCGACCGTCTCCGCAAATGCATCGACTCGATCCTAAGTGTCTCCGGCTATGACCATCTCCTAGCCTCCGACCCCGTCGTCCGCCGTGCCGTCGAAGCGCGTATCCCCTTCACCGACCCGATCAACCTGCTGCAAGTTGAGGCACTGCGGCGTTTGAGGGAGGAGGAGGACAAGGGGGTTGAGGAGAGTTTGGTGTTGAGGGATTTGATGAGTGTTACTATTCAGGGGATTGCTATGGTATGTTTTTGTGTGGGACGTTTCTTGTTGCGCGATGCAGCTGCTTGACTTATGTTTTTGTTCGCGGGTTATAGGGAATGGGTAACACAGGATAGATTGGGCGACTCCGAAGATCACAATCATGTCGCGGCACACACTTGCTTACTTTTCTGGACGGTAGAATATTGATGCTTACTTCTTTGTTCGTCAATGTCTGCACTTTGAACATGCGGCGACTTCTGATGTGGCGTACTTCATCCGAATTGCCCCTCTTCTCGCACTTTCCCCTTCTCATGGTTGCCATCAGGAAACCCTGTACATTACATTGAAAAACACTCAACGCATAACCCTCAATCAGCCGCGTCTACTAGTGGAAGTAAGTGGGTCGTGACGAATGAAGCTTTCCATGTACATTCCGAGGCGTTACGACACACGCCTGAAATCGGACAAACAGAGCAATCGGCCTACCGATCTAGACTATACAGATTCCAACCGTAAATGCCACCCCACCTCCCATACGTTCCAAAAACTATCTAGGGTGACCAATCATAATACGCAAACCCTTTACAATGCCGCATCCCTAACCATCCGCCTCCAATCATCCGCAAATTGATCAATCGACGCGCCATTCGACAGATCGACGGCGTCGCGCGGGAGGCGGTTCATGCTGTAGGCTGGGTGGGCAGATTGGATGGTTAAGGAGGGGGAGGGGATTATGCGGAATGGGGGTGATGTTGGGGGTGATGGGAGGTCTGCGTCTGAAGTTGATTGTGTTGGTGCTGGTGGGAGAGAATGTGAGAGCTCTGTTCAAACGGGACAAACGGGATACGGGAAATGATTGATGGGGGAGGACTTACCGTTGAGGATCTCGGGCCACGAGAACAGGAGGGAGTCGGTGGTTGGGCTGAACGGATTAAAGTCTAGTAGCCAGACTTTGCGGTTGTGCTGGTTGATATATACGTCGAACACATCTGGAAGAACGGGACGTCAAGTCAATGATCACAAGGTGCATGTGTATCACCCCGAAGTGGGATGGTAGGCCTTACAACTTGGGTCCGGGAACCTGCCACGGATCTTGTCGCGGAAGAATGTACGTATCGATCCGGCGAGCTCTTCGCCTTCGTCCACAAGGAATTTGTAATAGTTGGCGGTGTCTCGTTGGCTTATGCCTGAGAGAGAAAGCAAAGTGAACGGTTCAGCATGCTTTCTCATAATCCTAGGGCATCAGAAAACAGCTCCTTACCGACGAGCTGATCATCCTTCACAAAGCACCTGAACTCCATCGACGGAAGTAGCTCGTACCACTTCCGTAAAATGAGGTCGAATTGCTCCGGTCCAGCTATCCCGGCCTCGTCATCCGCCTCCTCTGGTTGTCCGGCAGTGGTGTCCGTCACGCATCCTTCGAATGCGTGACCCAGATCATGCGCTACAAAATCGCTACTCTTGAGCAACAGGAAGACGTCGGCGGGTGACGTGCATTTCAGCGTGGAGCCCGTTGCTACCCAGCAGGCGTCCTAATGACCCAAAACGCATGGTGAGCTCTTCGGTATTCATCGGCGGAGTAAGTGCCCAACCCTCCGGCTGAATGACCGCGTCTAGTGCCCACCTTAGGCGAACTCCAATTCAGCTTCGGAAACACAGCCCCAAACTCCGCAATGACATCCTCTATCCTCTGCTGAAGCTCTGGAAACGACGGCAAATCGTCGTCCTCATCTTCATCCGCACCCTTCTCCTCCCCAACATATGTATCGTCCGTCAAAGCAGCGTCGTCCAGGCGCAATTTGCTGAGAATGTCCTGCTTCCACGTGTCTTCTGCGGTATCTGCTGGCAGTTCAGTGATGCCCGATTTTCCCGCCTGCGCCTCGTCCTCGTCCTCGTCGCTTGACCAGCCGTATTGGTGACGTCCATTGCTTCAAGGAATGTAGGAAGTTAGGCTGTGCATACACGGAGAAAGCGATTTGTCACATCAGCCACTCACCCGTCCAACGGCAGGAACACCCCGTCCGCATTCAGATACGTTACAAAGTCCTCGGAGAGCGGTATCACAACGCTCTTCAGGGTGCAGGACCGGAAGGTTGGGTGCCATGCCGAGAACGAGCAATTTTGGACATGCTGCACCGTCACTGGAGGGAAGTTGAATGACTCGCCGGCGGTGCTTGAAGTTGCTCCCGACATATCGGAGTCGTTGCTGCGGCCTTCCGGGGGCGCTGGTCCCGATAGGGGTACTGCCATGTAGGTATATATGCACCTTCTGTGCTTGGGAGGAAGACAGCTGTCAGGAGCCTTCTTCTGGGAAATGCTTCCCGACTTTTGAAGTTCAGGAAGTTGGGGCGGAGGACGCGTTTGCCTCTTTTGCCTCTTCCCACACAGCTCTCACGAGAGTCGCTTTTTCTCACCACCAACTAACTTACGGGCTTCGACCTGGAATCATCGTCTGCCTTGGGACCACCGTCTGCACAGCTGATACTCCGTAACTATCCAAGATGTCTGCTACCCCCGCCCTCCCTCACAACGTGTAAGTCCTCTCACAGCAATCGCCCAAATCTTCCGAGCTTTACTGATCTCCCATCCCTCGCAGAACCTTAACGGTCCCCTTTCCATCGACCCACCTAGCGTCCATTGCTCAAAAGGTCCTCTCCGTCGACCGGGAACTGAAACCAAACGAATGTCGCAAGGCATTTACTGTGCGCGAAGGGAACTCACCGGACTCGCAGGCCGAACTTATCGTGTACGTACGTCGGTTGGGAAGGTTTTTGGAAGGCTTTGCTTGCATGCAGGGGATGCCTTGCCGAGATGGGAGTGGGACTTGTCATGTCATGAAAGGATCCAGATCCTGTTGACATTACCTTATCAATACACTCAACCTCTCAATTTTCGTGATCTTCGCGGACAGAACGATTGACGCAATATCAGCCAGGGTATTACGAACATCGGTATCGAGTATCTTTGACTTTTTGGCGCTGGTCGTAGAGACTATGGAGGCGTTCGGAGACCAGGATGCGAGCGTATGACGCGATGGTGACTTTGAAGGAGGCGAATATGAGAGGGGTCCCTGGGTTTCATGACGGAGACTGGGAAAAGCGATCTTTCAGATCATTGGTTCGGGGGCAGACATTGCACGGCGTAGGATGTAGAATCATTTTGCATCGGACGAACTGACAGCGTCACTCGGGGATGTGGTTACGTTACGCCGAAATGTCTGCGCCGATGGGCCTCAGCTATGGATCTCTCTATGGCCACGAAAAGTATCTAGCAAACCACCAGCCCACGATGGCTAGAACTACAGCCGACGCTAGCAACCGAAACATAAGAGCCTGCCACGTCCCCTCCGCCTCCGAATTTCTGCTACGCAGCATCTCTCCAATGACCGCCTCCAGTTTATCAATGAACGCCTCCGACGAAAACGTTCCCTCCACTCTCCGCCTCCCCATCCCACCCATCCTCTTCCCTTCAACCCCACCATCCTTCACGATCCTCGTTATCGCCTCGGCAAACGCCTCTGGATCGCCATCCCGCAGAAATCCCGTTACGCCTTCCACCACAGTCTCCAAAGGCCCACCAGAGTTGACCGCGATGACCGGTAGCGAGGCGTACATGGCCTCCAGGGGAACGATCCCGAAATGCTCGTTGCTGGGGGTGTAGAGAAGGACTTGGGAGGTGGCGAGGAGATGGGTGCGCTGGGATTCGGTGAAGGAGGGGAGAAAGACGACTTGAGTTGATGGCGGGATGTTCCGGGCTTCTGTGGAGTAGGTATGGGTGGAGAGATTGAGCCCTTGCGCGAGGGAGGAGAGTTCGGTGAGGTATTCAACGTTCTCCGTGACGCGCGAATCGTAGCCGCCTGTAGATTATAGATGATACCCAGCGAGGCAAATCAGATAAATTCGGCGTGAGACGATTCACCTACCATGACATGACATACCTGCGATAACTAGCCGTAGCGACTCGAATTGCGCGTCTTCTTTGCTTCTGAGTGCGTGAAATGCGTGTATCGCCAGCTCAATGTTTTTCTTCCGTTCGAACCGATTGATAGACAATATTGTCTTTTTGTCACTATCAGCGAGTCCACAGCTTGCTCAGTCTCCAGACTAAAGTCCCCAGCACCCCGTTTTCAATTCGAGCCTCCGCCACACCCACCTGACCAGTTCGGCGACACCCTCACTCTTCTCATCCACCTCCCCACGATACGACTTCAGGTGTATCCCCGGATACACCACATCCGGCTCCGACTTGATATTCGGAAACGCATGCCGGAAGATGTTTGCTGTGAATTTACTGTTCACGACAATCTTATCCGCCATTTCTGAGAGACCACTGGATTAGATGGGCTGCCTTTGAGTTTATGCGTCCGATTGGGGTTCACACGATTTGAGTGTCGAATACATACTGGTTGTAAGCTCTTCGAGCATATCGACGGGGAGTCGGTAAAGGGTTTTGAGGAGCGATTCACGTTTGGTTAGAAGCTTGTCCGGGAAATGGCAGTAGAAGAGAATCTAACAGAAGCGGATGAAGGTCAGTTTTGCCCAGCTGGGCCCATCGTCCAGCTTCCTTCCCCAACGCGATAGAACCAGCAGCCTTCACAGGGCCCGCGACCCACCTTTGCCCCGGAGAATCTCAATAGTGGTACAGAAATTGATAACTGATCCACCACCAACACATCAAAGTTTTCTCTCCCCATAAGTCCCGCCGTCAGCAAGCTCGCCGACAACAGCAAGTTGCGGAGAATCGCAAACAGGATGTATGCCTTGCCCAGTATGCTGCGGGGCAGCCAATCGCCTATCACGGATACATCCAGAGTGCCTGATGGACGCCCTGCCGTTAGCTAAATGTTGAAAGTAAAAGGACAGGAGGCTGACCTACTATCCCGCGTTTCCTGGAAGCAATGAGAGGGATCGTGATGCGACGTGAAGACTTTTACGCTATGTCCATGGGACTGCAGACCTACGGCGGCGTCCACGACTAAACGCTCTGCTCCTCCTTCGGACGACAAGGGGACGGACTGGGCGTAAGACAAATGGTCGAGGAAAACGAGGAAGAAGGAAAGGTTCCGCACCTATACCCAAATCGGGATGAATGAACGCAATGCGGAGCGGCGTGAGGGTATTGGAGGCCATGGCTCCAGTAGCTGGCCGTTACGGGCGCAAGCGGTGCCTGTGTTACTTGCAACACTCCCACGAGCAGCGGTAAATGGCCTGCTGGTTGGAGCGAGATTGGAACGCGTGGGGAGTTTTTTGAACGAGGAAGCCTGAAAGCTCTTGCCATCGACCCTTTTGACTCGCTTATATACGTACCATAGTGTTAGATCGTCGGTCTGCATTGCTTGTACATACTATCGCACTTTGGCAGGGAAAGATATACAGCTCCTGCACAGGTCCGCACTTCAATTATGTATTACGACAAGAACAAGGCCACAAAGGGGCCAGTGAATGTTGTCCCAGAGTTCCAGGTAAAAATGGTGCGGTCCTACATTTGTGCTACTCAGCAACGTATTAACGACCTTTTACAGGCGGTCATCCTGGCCGGGCGACCGAGGGATTGGGGAGGGTATGAGTCTTTAGACGGACTGGTTCTTTCGGGGCGACCTAGCGGGGACTGACTTGCGAGATGTTCACCTTCAACAGTCTCGACTGCTTGACCGATGACAACAATACGAAAGGGGAGCATAAGGTGCCCAAAGCTATTCTACCTGTTGCAGGAAAGCCCATGATACACTACCAGATGGAATGGTTGGAGGCTGCGCGAGCTCAAGGTACGCTGGGCAAAGCCGTGGGGGATACGGGACGGTTAGGTTAGGATGTCTGGGAGCTTACCGATGTTCGCCGTCGCAGATGTGCTTGTCGTTTGTCCACCTGGCTCCAAGATGGAGATCCAAGCACAGCTGCTGAAGTATGGCGTTACCCCGTTGAAGTGGAAAGTAAAGGAAACCAAGCATGGGGAGGGCACGGCTGATGCATTGCGACACGTTCATGAAGAGATCAAGGTAGGTCTACAGCCGGACCGTTCATCGACATCGGAGGGAATGGTATCCTTATGGGTGTTCTCCACAGACGGACTTCATTGTGATGGCTTGCGACGTTATAACGGATGTGTCGCCACATCACTTAATAGACTTACATCGAATTCACAACCCCGCCGTCACAACGCTGTTCTATGACAACTCGAAGCTGGACGCAAACTTGGAGCGACCTGCGAAAAAGGATGGTATGGAACGGCATTGGTCGATGGGAAACTCCGCTGACGCCAATCTGACTGTAATTGCGCTTCTAGCATACGCTCAATACGTCGGCATCGACGCTGGGAAAGGGCGACTTGTGTATACAAAACAACAAGAGGACGTCGGCGACTTCTTGCAGCTAAGAACACCAATGCTCAGAAAGTAAGCCAGATATCGCTACTGGTGCCTCTGACCCGACTTCTTTCGAGACTGACTTCTTTGGTCCATCTTCAGATTCCCCAAACTGAGTATCCACACAAACCTCCGCGACGCACATGTATACATCTTCAAACGGTGGGTCCTGGAAGTCGTCGTCGCCGACCCATCGATATCCAGCATACGCAAAGATCTGCTGCGGGTGCTGCTGCAGTGCCAGTTCAGCGAGAACGCGAGGCAGAAGTACGGGGTAGCTACATGTAAGTTGCGACCATTTTTGTAAAGACCTTGACAGTCGAGGGTCTCTAAGATACTAACATGGCATCCGAACCCCAGTGAAAGAGAAAGGCATCCCGTTTGAAGAAGCCTCCCTGGCATCGAGCGCGAATAGCGATGATGTGGAAACACGTAAGTATAAGTATCGCCACATTTCAGGGGGTATGGGCCTCCCTTGACCAATGCTGGCACGCTTCGTTTTCAGTACTCAAATGTGCAACCGAAAGGGTGCAAAAGAAAGGGGAAAAAACGCGCGACTTGCCGCCTCATGCCCTTGAACCCAAGGGCCATGAAGTTCTCTGTGCCGCCGTGGTGTGCGGTGGCGATGCATTCTGTGCTCGCGTGAACACACCATGGTCATACGCGGAGGTCAACAGACAGGTTTGTTGACGATGAACATGGTTGAGAATTAGCATATGTTCCTTACCGCCCGTCTCAACACAGAAAGCCAAAACGTCTTCAGCGAGCACACCAGTGGACCTCCGGAACAAACAGACGCAGATCGGGTCGGACTCTATTGTCGAATCCAGCGCCATAGGCGAACGGTGTAGTATCAAGAAGTCCGTGATTGGGAAGCACTGCGTCATTGGAAAGAATGTCAAAATCACAAACTCGATCATCATGGACCACGTTGTCATCGAAGACTTGTAAGTTACTATTGAGAAAAGGACGGGCACATTCGCTTCCTCAAGGCTCAAATCTGATCAACAAACTTGCAGCGTGAAACTGGACGGATGCATTGTCAGTATGAACGCGACGATCTCGGAAAAATCGCAACTGAAGGATTGCGAAGTCGGACCAAATCACACCGTTGAGAAAGAGAGTACGTGCTATGGTCGCTTTTTCCCCTTAACTTCCCGAACCTCACGCTCACCGGTGTCCGTCTCCTTTTCTTCACAGGCGTACGGACTAGCGAGCAATTATCGCAATCCCATTATCTCGATATCGACCAGTCATAATCTTTTGCATAGGCGTAGAGCATCAAAGTAGAAAATCAAACGATAGAATTTGCATAGGCATTGACATCATTATTCTAAGAATCTGAATGTTACGCACCCCGTCAGAAAACCGCTTCGAGACTTGGCGCCGAGGCCAGCAGATTGGCTACCGTAGCTGTATATGTACAGTAGTTCATTGGTACTTTCGATTTTTGGCGCTTTGCCGTTGTTGACCATGCACCACCCATTCCATTGTTCTGATAAATGTTTTGATGGGGTGCAAAAAAGGTTGATCGCCCCTGATTGGCTATTTTGACAGCGCGGGTCCCGACCGACAGTTCGGATTTTGCGTTTCTCCTGTCAGTTTACTGAACCGTAAGAAACGGACGATGTTGTCGCTGGAGATCAATCGGCGTCCGGCAGCCATGCATACGACTGGTCCCTGCTCGGATTGGTGTTTTTCTGCTGCTCGGGCCGTATGCGTAGGAGACCGGGTGCAGATAATTGCCCTTTCGCACCGCCCGGTACGTGGACGAGGATTATATAAAAGCTCTTGGTAGGTGTTGACGGCCCCCACAGTGTAACCATTCTCAAGCTTAACCCACTCGACTCACCCAAGACAATCTGCAAAGATGAAGACTGCATCAGCTCTTGCCATCCTTTCCCTGGCCGTGTCCTCCGTCGCTGCCCACGGCGCCATCACATCCTACGTGATAGACGGCAAACCCTTTCAGGGGTGGAACGGATACGCTCCGACCGGAGCTCCTACCATCCAGCGTCAATGGCCCAGCTATGATCCGATCGTGGACGTGCTCTCAGAGAAGATGACCTGCAACGGTGGAACCAGCGCTGCGTTGAGCGCGGAGGTCCTGCCTGGCAGCAATGTTACGGCTCAATGGGGACAGGTGAGTAGGACTTGGCTGCATCTCCACATCTACCGTGAGCAAACCCTTCTGACAGCTTTCTCCTTCGAAATCATAGTGGACACACAGCCCCGGGCCAATCACTGTCTACATGTACAAGTGCCCAGCCGACTTCGCCACCTGCGATGGCGAAGACAAGAAATGGTTCAAGATCGAAGAGAAGGGTCTCATCTCCGGCACCCTCGGCAACGGCCAGTGGGCTCTCGGCGAGATCCAGAACACTCGCACGTGGTCCACCGCCATCCCCGAAGGCCTCGCCCCCGGCAACTACCTCATCCGCCACGAGCTTCTCGCCTTGCACGCTACCAACCAGCCCCAGTTCTACCCGGAGTGCGCCCAGCTCAAGGTCGGCGGAACGGGAACTGCCAACCCTGATGCGAGCTACTTCACGTCCATCCCTGGGTTTGCTCAACCGAATGATCCCAATGTTATGGTGAACTTGTACTCGAACGAAGCTCAGACTATCACCGAGTACAAAATCATTGGTCCGCCTGTGTGGAAGCTTGGCGCCGCTCCTGCCCCTTCAGCATCTGCTCCTGCCCCACCTGCCACTACGCCGGTCGCCAGTAGCTCTCCTACCGCAGAGGTCCCTCTTTCCAGCGCGTACACATACGAGGATGAGTACACCACCACCACGACCAACCCCACGACTGCTACCCCCATCCGAGCTCCGACCGAATCCACCGACTTGCCTTACTGCGACGAGACCACCACTCCCGCAGCGCCGATTCCCACTGCCGCACCCACCACATCTGCCGCTCCCGCTCCCGCTCCCACCACCACCGACGACAGCGATCTCCCGTACTGTGACGAGATTTCTTCCACGCCCGCCGCACCTGCTCCCACGACCGAGGCCGAGCCGGCGTCCACAGTGGCCCCATCGGCGTCCGCACCCGCATCGGTCCCCACCGCTGCTCCGCCAGCGACGCCAACAGGAACGGCTTCCTGCCGCACCCTCCAACCTGCGTGCTGGAGGGAGGCCGCCGCGTGCTTCAAGGACTTCAATGCCTGCACCGCGACGAAGGGCTGGATCGCCGAATGCCAAGCGAAGCGTGACGTCTGTGGCCAGAAAGCCAACTCGTGCTCCAACTTGAACTGCACTTGGACCCGTCGTCGTGATGCTCGTGATGCTCATCGGGCGGTCGTTTGAGCAGTTCCTGTTACGCATGTATTTTCGTATAGATATAGAGTTCCCCAATTGCGGGACGGCTGTTTGCTGCTCTTGTAAATAGATTGTAGATCCCTCCCTGGAACATAGATGTAGAAAATGAGACCGTCGTTTGACTTTCATATGCACAATGTAGACGAGCTTTTGCTCAGATCCATCCAAACACATCTGCTTCTCATTATTGTTGAATCTGCTCGGATGAACTCCGCATCGGGTCACCGACTAGAGGGGAACCGCAACACCGGTGACCATATCTCCATTTCTCAATAGATGATGGATACGTTACATGATGAGCATACGACCGGAGTCGATCGTTTGTTTCTCAATGATGCTAAAACCTGCCGCTCTATGTACAATATCTAGCCAAGTCCTTGCGACCGTGCCTCCGTCTCGTAGATAAGCATACGCCAGAGTACCATCACAAACGCTTCTGCTTCTTCGGGATCCAAGGCCTGTAGTGGAAGAAAGCTTAGCATTCAAGGCCGGGACTGGCAATGCCGGAAATGCATACTCACAGCTCCCATCTCTTCGAGCAACTTTGGCGCCGGTGTCTTGTTTTGTAGCAGCTCCATTACGAATTCCACAATGTCAGACTCCTCACCACCGAGATATTCCACTATCTTCTTTGTTACCCATGGTCGGAGCTTGTTGTTGAGAACCGTCTGGAGGACGCAAAGGACGATGAGTAAGCAACAGGATGACCCTTCTGGCTAGAGCGCTCAAGTTACATACACTATCCAAGAAATCCCATTTGATATGCCAAGCAAACAATCCCTCCTGATCGGCCGGAATAATGCCAATCAAATCCTGAATAGCCTGATGCCGCTCTTCCTTGGTCATGATTTTGCCAATGATGACTTCTTTTGTGGGGGATACGGCCTCTTCCACTTTAGCCTCCGGCTCGGCTTCCTTGCGGGCAAGCTCTCGCTTCTCTTCTTCACGGTCTTGCGCGTCCATGTCATGCTCCGCGCGGCGCTGACGTAGGCGGCGGGCAAAGAACGCACGTCTGGGATTGGCAAGAAGAGAGAAGCAGACGTACGTGAGTGAGATGAATGCAAGGCCGTTAGAATGTTATTTAGAAAGCGTACCTGTCTTCATCCAACTTGAACTCCGCATCCTCATTCCACTCCGACAGCATGGTGGACAGGTCTTCGGCTCGTGCTGCGAGCCCGCTTGCCTCCGTCTCCTTTTCCAATGTGATGGAGGCCAGCCACCGTAATCTCTCCTCTTCATGTTGCATCCATCGGCGCTCCCGCTTTTATGAACGTCAGTTTACGGTCCGGAAAGCGGGTATCGCAACACAGTGTCCGCTTACCTCTGCAAACGCCTCCTTGGCTTCGGCCTCCCTGCGCAGCTTCCGCTGTTCTACTTCCTCCTCATCGGTCTCCTCATCATCCCGCGGATGTCCCCTATGCCTGTTTCGCTGTTGATACGCTCCATTTTGAGGGAAGGGACTCTTCACGGGCGCTTCATGTTGATACCCTCGTGCTCCATGGTCCGACTGTCTTCGATACCGATCCCTATCCAGTTGTTGGGCAAACCGTCTTTCCTCTTCTTCACGTTTTTGCCTGTCTTTGGCCGCCGATCGCTCGCGGAACATCGAGATTTCGCGGGAGATGAGCTCTCTTTGCTCTGCTGGCATTTCCGCAGGCAGGTCGTCCTCCTCCTTGTTTTCTGGAACCGGCGACTCCCCTCTCCCTGCATCCGCCATCGCAGACAGAATTAGATCATCGGCATCAGCCCTGTTCGCGTCGTCAGCGAAGGTCTCTGCGATGTGAAGCACCCGGTCACGGATATCTCGGTCTTCCTCCTCATCGCGCGCGCTCTCTCGTGTTCCCCTGTATTTTTCGAGATGATTCCGTGCAGTAGCTTCCACAGTCAACCTTAGACGTGTTTTTGCCCCTCCAGGGAGCCCCAGCTCAATGCCTTCGGAGAGCTCTCCATGTCCTTCTCCACCCAAGATTCGCAACGCGCGAGAGACGGATTCCGCGTTCTCGTAGACGCAAAAGCCAAAGCCTTTTGGCTTCCCGGTGGGGTCAGACATTCGTTTCCAGCTCCGAACCGGCCCGCATGCATTCAATATCCGTTCCATACAGTTGTCCGTGATCCCTTCCGCGATCGCCCCAACGTACACTGACGTCAGTTTATCGTCCGCCGCAGGTGCTGCACGTCCATGTGGCATCAGCTGCTGCTGAGGAGGGCCCCCAAATCGCTCATCCGGTCGCATAGGTTGCCCGTGGGGCGAATTGAATCGATCGTGCTGGTGAGGTGGCCCGCGGAAGTCCTGCCCACCGAATGGCGGTCGGCGATCAAAGTGTTGCTGGTGTTGCGGAGGGCCAGGTCTGAATCCCTGATTCATAGGAGGTGGACCACCATAGCCTCCGGGCCCTCCTTGAGGAGGCGGACCATAGTTACCGTGAGGCGGTCCTTGTGGCGGTGGGCGACCATAGGGTCCTGGCTGCCCCACATGGTGCTGTTGGGGGGCTGAAATGCGAGGATATTGAGAGGCAAGCAACATGAACTAAATGTGAATATCCCTACTCACGGTATTGTCCATATGGGTTCATTGTTGATCACTGCGACTGTGGAGTTCAAAAATTGGGTCGAAACTCCTCGAATGCAATGCCGAGTAAGAATGTTCCTTCACGAGCGGAACGTTGACCAGGGAAGTTCCGAAGAACCCCAACGCTTCTCTGATTCCGACCGACCAAGCGTTTCGCAACGCAACAGTGTATCTGTAGTATGGCCCCTTTGATGCTTTGGAAGCGCTCACTGATCTAGCGTTTTTCAAGCTGGGAATCCCAAGGGTTCCAATTTCGCATCCCTGCGTCGCATCAAAGCTCATCCAAGCGCGTCCTCGCCCTCGCTCCCACCAGTCGGCCGCACCTTCGCTCACTTACTCTCAAGCCTGCTCTGCATCGATACCATACTGGACCCTGCAGCAATGACAACCGAGGTATGTGCTCACAAGCTTCGGCTTCCTTCCGTTTCGCTCTGGTGCTGATCTGCCCTCCCTTTCCTGTCTCAGCGTCACCTCATTTTCGGAGCGAAAGGCTGGATTGCCGGTCTGCTCGCCGAACTTCTCAAGAAGCAAGGAAAGGAGGTCAAAGGAACCACCGTCCGCCTGGAGGACAGGGAGGCCGTGCTCAAGTAATATCATATTGTACATCGCTCTCTGCTCATTCCCATGGGCTTACTGGTCGTTCCCTTACGCTGATCAGGGAACTGGACGAGTACAAGCCTACGCGAGTATACAACTGCGCTGGAGTTACCGGTCGCCCCAACGTCGACTGGTGCGAGGACAACAAAGAGGCCACCATTCGCAGCAATGTCATCGGAACTCTCAACTTGGCCGATGCCACGTTCTTGCGCGGGATCCACATGACCAACTTCGCCACTGGTTAGAGGCCCGTGATGTATCTTCGGGTATGAGCTTTGCGAAGATGAAGCCTTACTACATTGTGTTTCGTAGGTTGCATTTACGCTTACGATGAGAAGCATCAGTTCCACGGTGTTGGCTTCACTGAGGAGGATGAGCCAAACTTCACTGGGTCTTACTACAGTTATACCAAGGGTCTTGTGGAGAAGGTCAGTCCTTCGGAAAAGCGTCGTCAACCGTACCATCATCGAGATTGGGGAGCTCACATGGCTTTGCTGGCTAATAGATCATCAAGCAATACAACAATGTCCTCACGCTGCGCCTGCGTATGCCCGTGTCCGATGACCTCAACCCCAGGAACTTTGTCACGAAGATAACCAAGTGAGTTCAAGGAAGCATGGATCACCGCGACAATATCCTGTGCTGACTATACCAATTTTGCAGATACGAACGCGTTGTCGACATCCCCAACTCCAACACCATCCTCTACGACCTCCTCCCCGCCGCCCTCGCAATGGCCGAGAACAAGCTGACCGGCGTCTACAACTTCACAAACCCCGGCGCCATCTCCCACAACGAAGTCCTCGCCGCTTACAAAAAGCACGTCGACCCCAACTTCACTTGGAAGAACTTTTCCCTGGAGGAGCAAGCCAAGGTCATCAAGGCTGGGCGGAGCAACTGTGAGCTGGACACGACGAAGTTGACTACGGCTTTGGGCAAGCTTGGGATTAAGGTCCCTGAGGTGCATGAGGCGTATGATCAGTGCTTCCAGCGCATGGCGAAGCACTTGAAAAATGGTACTCAGCACTCGTGGTAGCCTGGGCAGCCATAACATTGTAGTTATAGGCGGACAGTCTGAAATTGTACTTTTGATATCTTATACATGCCCGGTGTCCTGGAAGACGACAGGCGATGAGATAAACTCCCGAAGGATACGGTGTCCAACGTTGAGCATCTGTCCGACAACCCGTCCCTACCATACTTTCTCTGATGGTTTGTTTTGTGGTTCGGTACAATCCAGTTTGAACGCCCAACAGCACAGCGACCCGCATCGACCTGTACCTGCTGTCTATGATGCATATACGTCCGCGGAACAAGCAAGCAGAAGAGCAGGGTTGCAGATTCGAGGTTCGGCTAGGTGCGACACCGCGAAACTTCGGCACCGAAAACTCGGAAAACGCGTCGACGTTTGCTCACCAACTTCGACAGCGAGAGCGTTCAAACTTCCACTGCGAAAGTTGTTCTTGCGAAGACCAAGTCATCACTCCTGAGCACTCCACATTGTGCCGAGAATCCCCGCCCAGCATGGAAGCAGTCAAAGCAAAGCTAGATGGGCAGCTGACGTCCTTCAAATTCAAAAGCGACACCTTCGTCATATATTCCTGTGTCAAACCAACGTCCGAATGGCGTGTCGATGTCGTCACGGACTCTGAGGTATACGTGAGTCTCCTGGACAAGGCCAAGCAGAAACTTCTGGTATGTGAGACTCGCTCCCTGTGCTTTGGTAGTTTAGACGTGCCATTCAGCGTGCGCTGACCTCGGGAAGGTAGAGGACAGTAAGCGAGCAGACGAGCTGATAACGGCTTGGGAACATGGTGCTTTTCGGTATACTGAGAACGGCGACACGGCGGAGGTATGGCATTTAGTGATTTCAAGATTCTTGAAAGTCTTGGAAGAGGCTAATTAAGATCTCCTCCGATAGCTGTTGATTGATCCCGCACCATCAGAGCCCTTCCGGCTCACCTTAGACCGGACAGAGGATGCCTTCCAAAGTCTTCGTTCCGTCTTGATCCAACAATGTAGCAAGGCAGCACGTAGCGCTGCAGGTGCGTACTCGCTTTGCATCAACGAGCATTGAGTGGCCTTCAAGCAACGGTCCCGGGTATCTCATTTGTGTGCAAACAGAAACCACCATCCGGAAACTGGAAGAAGAGCTCGCAGCCGCTCGACGCGAACTCGATCGCACGCGACGTCTGGCGCCGATCGATGATGGAGGATTCACCAAACGGGTTGTCCCTGCCAAAAGGCCCCCGCCCGCGAAGAGTCTGATGAACCCGAGGATGAAGATGAGAGAGGCTACAGGTATGTCATCGTAGGCGCCATGGTATTGGAAGGAATGTACTTACGGGATTGTTTCGACCCATCTAGGCACGACCTTTGGAAGTGACAGTGAAGATGACTAGCGTTTATTTTTTCTGGTCTTCGCCTAAGAGCAGACCTTTCATTGTGGAAGGGGTATGCAAACATCAACATCGGAACTACTGGGAGACCGCCCAACCGGGGTTCCCATCCTGGAGTTCATATGTATACAGTCGATATGCAGACAGAGCACGTAGTTTCTTGTAGTGCTGCATGGAGTGCATTGAAATGCTATACCGTACATGTACAGGCCCATATTCGCTCGTCCTGTAGAGCGATCCATGGTAGCTTCGTCGATATGGGAATGTTGCGGGATGACCCTCCTAACCCTAACCCGATTCCCAATCCGGGCTTACGCGATCATGAGGGCCCAAGCCACAAGGGTCCCTTCGCTTCCCTTTCCCCTTTTCTGACTTTTTCGCTTCACATTCCGCCGGAAAGCATTTTGACAAACCCACACAACAAAATGACTGCCCCAGCGGAGCTCCTCTCCCTCGTTCACTCTTTCCTGGAGGAACGGGCGCCCAAAGCTGCCAAGGCGTTCAAGAAGGAGGTTTCTTTCGAGGTTGGTTTTGTCCTTACATTGTCGGTCAGGCTTCCTTCTACAGTTTCGAAGGGTGCAACATTCCTAACCTCTCAATTTCCTTAGACGGACTCGGAAGATGCAGACCCCAACAAACTGATCGAAATCTATGCTGCATTCAATGCCAGCACCGTCGAGGAATTGTAAGGGTCCCAAATGTTCCTCATGCGTTGTCGCTGTGGCACCCAACTAAGCATTCATTTCCCAACCTCCAGGCATTCCAGCGAATCCTCCTCCGAACGCGAAAGCTCCGACTCCTCCGATTCCGATTCCGACAGCAGCGATGATGAGGAGGAGGAAGGGAAAGCGGACGACAGGATGGAGATTGAGGAGGTGAAGGCGGCCGAGTCTTCTGACTCTGACTCCTCTGACTCTGAGTCGTCTGAGTCTTCGGAGAGCGAGGAGGAGAGCGAGGAGGAGAACACGGAGGCGAAGGAAGAGAAGGCTGAAAGTGCGGAGTCTGAGACGGAGGAGAAGGCTGAGAGTTCGGATTCGGATTCTGACTCTGGTTCGGAGAGCAGCGATGATGATGAGGATGAGACGGTTGTCGAGAAGGAGAAAACCGCGAAAGCGGAAGCAGAGTCTTCTGACTCCGACTCCGACTCCGACTCGTCATCCGACTCTGACAGCAGCAGCGACGAAGAGGAGGAAGCAGCAAAGGAGGAGGAAGACACTTCACCCGCCGCCAGCTGCCCCGACGCATCCTCCTCCGACTCGAGCGACAGCAGCAGCAGCGACTCAGACGAGGAAGAAGAGAAGACGCCCGCGACGAACGGTACAGTGAACGGCACGGCCGCCGAATCGTCTAGCGACAGCGACAGCGACAGCTCGTCGAGTGACTCGTCGTCCTCGGAAAGCGAGGAGGAGGAGAAGCCTGCGCCGGTGAAGAAGGAGGCTGCCACGCCTGCTAAGGACAAGAAACGGAAGAGGGATGAGGAAGAGTCGGAGGAGTCTGTTGGGTCTCCTGCTCCTGCGGCCACGCCCAGCGCTCCTGCTACTAAGAAGCAGAAGGGTGAGGCCAAGTCTGTCGAGGTACGTCCGCTGAATATCCGAGGGTGTTACTCTTCCTCATCTACAGTCAATCCTAATCCTCCCAATTTCCACTAACAGCGCTTCCAACGCGTCCGCGCCGAAGAAGTCGACGAAGCCGACATTATTGACAACAGCTACATGGCCAAAGGCGGCGCCGAGTCCAGCTATGGGTTCCGCGCCCACCAGGACCTGATCGTCACGCGCGGCAAAGGGTTCCGTAACGAGAAGAATAAGAAGAAGCGCGGGTCTTACCGGGGTGGGAATATTGATACGGCGTCGCATTCTATCAAGTTTGCGGGGGCGTATGATAGTGATTAGATTGTGGGAGTGCGGCGGGCGATGATATTCAAGGCATTTGGGGTTACGAACGGCGTATGCGTAGGGATTGCAGAAACACACCACACATCATTCATCCCATACCATCCCCTCTCGGCGAACGACCAAGGCACCATAGCATACATTTGTACATTTTCACATATTTATCCAAGTAGAAGCCAATCGGCTGCACACACGTAATCCCTGGCCTTCTCATTGATGAGCTAGTTTCAGATGTCGCCCACTGCTATGAACATGCAGTCTCCCCCATTCATAGCAAACCTTGGGAGAACTACGACGTTGTGCACCCCAGCACCCACAGGCGCTTCGGAAATATATACACGATTTGCGAGAACGAGAGAGAATATACCTACAAACGACCAGGAGATAGTATAAGTGGGATGAGTACATATACAAAGGGGGTTGCGGAGTGGCGCGTTTGGGGGCAGAGGCCAGAGCGGGGAGGGGGGGTATTTGGCTGCGGAAGGGGGGAGAGCATGTAGATAAGGTTTATTTGACGCCTGGGGTGGTGCTCTCGTTACGATCGGGGTCGACTGTCGTCCCGCACCGGCCACGGTGCTTGAAGCCTCGGGCTTGCGCGAATAGCAATGCAAACGAAGAGTACGCCCAAGGAGCTTTCGATATGGAACACGCTAAATGAAACGTTGCCTCTCCCCAAAAGTCAGCCATTCTTATTGGAAAACAGGCCGATATAGCACCGTCGTTATGTACTGTGAGGGAATCAAGAAACACAATGCCGTCAGAAGGAACATTCCAACAGAGTTTAAAGTTAAAGGAAGCAATACCCTACCTTCTTCCGATACCTTGTCGTACACCCCACAGCCATAACCCCATCTCTAATCGAGCACGCATACATATGATTCAGCGTAACATGATTCGGAACCGGTAACACGCTGCGATCGTCTTTCGCGATTGTATGTGAGTTCAGGAGGACCTTTTCGAGGTGGGGCGGGAGATGCGGTGGGTCTTTTTGCTGCATGTTGAGGGGGGTGGAAGGGATGTCGGTGGTGTAGGCGTCTGGGGGGGTTGAGGAGAGGAGTGGTGGCGAAACTGCGAGGGGATATGGGCGGTTAGTGCATGCTTAGCGGGTGCATATGTCTGGTATGTGGAACCATCTACCTCTGCCATCCTTCATGGTTGCCAATTCATCCAGGCCGTCTCCCTGATGCACACCCGCCTCGTCAGTGACCTCTAGATAGTTGACCAGGTTTCCATCTGCGTCGGATGCGATTGGCAGGTCTTCTGAGCATTTCCATTCGTCGTCTACGATGAACTTGAATCGATGTGTTCCGGGGGGCATGTCGATTACAGTTGTGAAGTCAGCGTTACTGTTGGGAGTAGAGATCTCGGTCAGGCATCCCTCGTAAGACTAGGAATGGTAGATCTGCTTTCATACCTTCGACTCATCCGTATCTTTTGCTTCCAGTTGTTGAACGTCCCTGTTACAAACACATCACCGCCACCCTGCGCCCAGCTGATCATGATTGGAATAACCCCATCTTCATCTGAAGTTGGGATAAGAATATGTGATTAGGGGATGCGAAGTTGCGTAAGTATACGCGGAAGTATATGTGACCATATAGCAACGATTGACCACTCGTCTCTTACCTTTAGTCACTGTTATGGAGCCGGAAGCCATTGGCCCAAAGTTATGGAAGATTCTGGCCGAATTGCGATAGCTCTTTTCGTGTGACGGCTGCAGCATGGAGCTACCAAGTCCGCCCGATGAAGATTGTCGTTTGATCTGTATTGGGGCTGATGTGGTCGGTCCGGAGCGATTCTCGAGTTCGCTTTTACTTTCCGGCCCGCTATTGCTCGCCGGCCCGCTGCTCCCCGTTGACCCACTATTCGTTGCCGGGGTGCTCTGTGTTTTTGCTGATAGCACATCCTGTGCGCTCGAAAGATCTGCCGGGACAGTGGGTGCTGGGGTGGTTTTAAGACCGCTCGCTGGTTCGGAAGTAGCAGCAGAGCCACTTTCCAGCTCCATTCCACCTAACGCTAAGGACAGGTCGTCCTCCGACCGTTGTGCTGGTGGTCTGCCGGAGTTCATCGGAGCAGAGAAGGCCGCGGCGCTGCTCGCTGCCCACGACTCCTCCCCTACCGACGACGTCCGAGAGGAAAACCTGCGGTGCTCTCCGTACGAGCGAATAGAGGAAGAAGGTAAAGCGCCTGCTCTCGGCACTGGTTGCTGGTTGTCTGCAAACTTGTCGGATACCATAAGCGGGGAGCCCACGAAAGGCGAGTCATGCACCAAGGGCGGCTGGGGTCGAGATGGAATCGTTGTCGGAGGGGTTACACGCGATCCCTGGAGGCCCTGGGTGAGCTCGCTCACTCGCTGGGCCGAGTTGGAAGCGGGCGAGAGTGTTTGCTGAATTTGTGTTGCGCTGCTGTTGGTGATGTTGGTGGGAGCAGAGGACGACAAGCTCTGGCTTTTTTGTCTCTTATTTTGACTGGGATGGTGTGAATTGTTGTTTCCCATTTCAAGCCGGACAGCGACCAAGACATGGACTAGAGAAGGGGCAAAGCCAAAGACCCTTTCTTCAGACTCGACGGTCTAATCTACCCTCGGGAGCAGATTGCCTTCCCTTCGGCAAGTAACTCCGATGGGTACGTACAAAATAGACGGGCGATGTGTGCTGAGTGCACCAGAAGAACGCGAATTTCCCACGACCGACTCGACCGACTTGATCTCCACACAGACAGACACACTAGACGATGACGGGGTTGACTGTATTAGCCGACGGGTATAGGGTGCGTGGTCAGTTTGCGAAGGTGTGTCCCGCCGTAAGGCAGCACTTGTGTCTGTGGTGGTTGAGCTGATGATCCTGTGGGGGACTGGGCTGGGTGTTGTTGTTGTTGTTGTTGTTGTTGAGGCTTATCTTTGATTTGCTGCGTGCTGCATGTGCAATTCGTGTGGGGGGGGGGGCGTTTCCGCATGTTGTCATGTCCGGAAGGCGCCGCGTTGGCCGGGTGGGAGTCAAGAGTCAGAGTCTGAGGTAGGGGTTAGATCTAGAGTCAGTTAGGGTTATGGCGGGTGTCATCACAAGAAACACGCGCGCGAGGGAGGAAGTCCATTGTCCATGTCCAGAAACGCTACCTTGCCATCTTCCCACCCGTTAACGGGGCGCCGACAGTCCTTGCAAAGCATATCCCTTGCTGCTCAGTGACACTTGCTCTCACTTGTGTAAGGCGAAAGTCTTGAATGACACTTTGAGCGGGCTTTTATCGGGGAAAGTTTGACTCGGAGCATCGTATGAGACGGTAGTGAAAATAGTTGCAGTGAGGTTGGACTCTTTCGGCAGGATGACTTCCCCATACGGTCGAAAGTCGACTGCAACAAAAGGGACCAGAAAAGGTCGCGAAAAGGACCCGGACTCTGACAGTGGCTCGGGTTCCGACGGCGGCCGCGCTCCACCACCTCGTAAGAAGGACGATAGTGGAGACGACTCGGACTCGGACGGTGACGACGATAGAGCGTCGGGTTATGACGACCCGAAACGGCCCGACGTGCGGTGGACTGCGGAGGAGCAGGATGCTGGTGGGTCTCTTTGGTGTGCTTCACGGTTTCCCGACCGCCCGAGTGCCCGCCATCCAGCCGTACTCACACAAAAGTCCGTTCAGTGATGGATTTTTATGGCCTGCAGACGCTCTATCCACAATCATGGCTTGACACCAGGGACAAGTTTTCATCATCTCGCACCGGATTGGGCGATGACGAATCATTAGCCGAGTCACTTGACGATGAGGATAAGCAAAGTCCGAAGGAGGCGGCGGGTACCGGGGAAGATGACGGCCCAATCGATACGTCCGATCCGCTGGCGGTGAAGGACTCAATCCTGGGGTAGGACAGTCGATGATGCCCTGTGGTATTGTGAAGAAGACGCTACTAACGACGCAGTACGCAGAGCGCGATGGAGACGCGGAACAGTGCCGCGCGGAAATGAACAAGAACAGTGTGAGTGCTGTTCTCCTACGCATATCGCGTATCATGCGCCGCAGACGCGAAGCTAACGCATGCATTGCCTCTTCTCCCTTCTCAGTCGCCCAGCTCCTGATTAGCAGTCGAAAGTTCGACGCAAAGCACTTTCTTCGCGAAGTTCACAAAACTACCACTTATGACGACTTGGAGGTCGGCGCTGAGCACTTGAGGCAGGCCATAGACCATAAAGAGGATGTCATCAAGAACTTGGTCAAGACTCACTTTGCCAAGTTCGTGAGCGCCAAGAGCACTATAGACTGTATGGGAGGATCACAAGAGCTGGCGGTTCCAACATGTGCGGTTGACTGACTCACTATCCAACTACCTTTGCAGCGTTTTATGATCAGATGAGAACGAAGAACCTGATCTCGTCCGACGAATACGGGGTTGCTCCGTTCGCAAAGTCCATCGAAGGTATAGTCCATCTTCTCAATTCGCACATCCTGCAATACGCACTAAACCTCAATCGAACTTAGCCCTGCAAGTGGACGCTGGAACGCTATACAACCCGCTTCTGCAACGTCGCGTGCAGGCAGCAAAGATCCGATCCACTCTCGCCGTGTTGGGACAGTGGAAGTTCTTCTTCAACCTACCTAGCGTCTTGCAGGGCTATGCAAAAAAGGTGAACAATGGTCCTTCACCGGGACGCGAGTGTCGAACCTGACGATCTCACTGAATGCTACTGTCGCATAGGCAAAATACGACGCCCTAGTCAGAGACTACCAAAAGGGTAAATACCTCATGCACTCCTCCTTCGGCGAGAACAGCCAACGTCGCACGGCCTTGAACAGCAAAGAGAAAGACGCCCTTCTCCCGCAACACCACCAGGCAGTCTTTGAAAAAGTATGGAGCGAGGTGGAAAGCATCGTCGCTCAAGCTCGGCAGCAGCTGTTCCTCCGTCTGAGCGAGCCGTGGTTGGCGCTGGACGTGCAGGAGCGGAATATGACGTGAGTTTGCAGAGATGAGTTGCGCGGGAAAGGTTAGCGTTATCTGGACCGTCGAATAATGCCTCAACAGCATCGTCATTGTAGGTTTTTGATCGAGCTGGGTGCTGAGACGGATCCAGTGCATGTGTATTTGGACAAGCAGTACCAGTGGATTGTGGAGAGGTTGCGGAAGGCGTATAGGACGCATTTGCGGACTCTTGATGGTAGGCGACGGCGTTACTGCAGTTCTATCTTGCGCATATGTTGCATTTTGATTGATGTTCATTGTTCCACAGAGCTTGCAAAGACATTCCAGGATGCCAGACAGCCGGTGTTCACACTTCCCAACCTACGCAAAGCTTTGAACATTGTAAAGTCACAAGAGTTCGAGCAAGCTTTTGGTAGGTTTGAGGCATCAAAGGGCAGCCTGGTTCTCCGAGTATGGAGCGTCCGCTCAAGCTTACCACGCTTTCTTTGAATCGTATAGCTGAAGACACGCATGTGCAACTCTTCAAAGCCACACAGAGGCTTGTCAGAGCTTTATGCAACGTCCTCCTAGATTGTTTGCCGGACTTCTGGCGGCTTTGCAAGATCTACTCGGGAAGCAAGCTTCAAAAGGTTGGTGCGACTGAGAGTAGATCTAGAGTTGAAGCTGCGAGTTCATCTCAAATGGTCTGCCCTTCAATTTGCAGCCCAAGAACTTCGACTCGGCAGAAGCAGCCGCACAATCCCGAATGAAACGGCGACTAGACTCCAAGAAACTCGAACACTGCCAATCCTACATTCGTAACATATTGGATCTCTTCTCAAAATCACTAGCCCGCGCATTTTACACCGACACACCACTTTCAAACCTTCGAGCGATCATCGAGGCAGATGTAGGAAGCAGTGCAGATCTCTCTTCCCACATCGACGGCGACGTCTTACAATCCCCGGAAAAAGCTACGGGGGAAGACATACCGCCGCCTCCAACAGGCCAAACTGGAAGCATCCTCACCCCGGCTCCCCCCCTGCCACCACCCTCTCCGATCCCTTTCCGATTCGCATCCTTCCTCCACTCACATCCACTGACGGCGTCGTATTTCTTCATCAAGATTATGGGGGAACTGACCCGGTGTTTTGGAGAGATACGCGCTATTCGGATCGTGGGTAATGAGCAGCTGATGATTGATTTGGCGGCGGGGATGGATAGGGTGAAGGTTAGGGCTACGGAGGTGGTTTGTGATGGGATGTTGGAAGGTAAGTTGGCTCATGTTGGGCGTATTCGCACCTCCCTGTTTTCGGACTTACCTTCAACGATATCCTAGAATCGCGGACCTTCCACATGTACGAGGACTGGTCCTTCGACCACGACATGGCCGCCCAAATGGCAGCCCAAGGCCCCGGAATCCGCGCCTCCACATCCGAAAACGCACTAGCAAACGTCTCCTCCATTCAATCCACATGGCGCACCAACGCGACCGCCAATGACGCCACCAACCTGCTCAAACTCTTCTACAGGCTGCACCACTACATCATGCGCTGTCTGCAGCGGATAGCCGCCGCGCCGATATCGGTATCCGATGACGCCGGCGCGGGCCGTGATTCGGTGGGGACGGCTATGGGACGACCCAACGCCTCTGTCGCCTCGGCTGGCCCGCTCGCATCCCCTACTTCTCCGGGTGGACTCAACATCGAGCGCCACATCCCACACAACATCCTCGTCGCCATCAAAGCGGCATTTAACGCGTCTATGTTTGCGATGCTGGACGGGCTCCAATGGCTCGCTACCTCGTGGACGCCCGCGTTGATGGCGAGCGCGAGTCAGCAAGCGGCAGACGGGAGGGAACTGGCGTCCCCTGAGTCGCTGATGACGAATCTGCACAATCGACCATCAGCGGTGGCGGGGTCGACGGCCGTGTTGAGTGGGGCGTTTGGCGGTGGAGATGCTGCGCGTGCGACAATGGGGAATGCGCCGATTTGGAAGAATAAATCGACTGTTGTTGATGTTGAGAAGGCGGTGGGTGGTTTCTTCTTCGATGGGTGTAAGTGAGCCATGGGGCGTGGGAGACTCACTTGGCAACCATCTGGTCTTAGGAGGTGCGCATCCTCATCGTGCTATCCAATCTAAGCTACATGCGCAAGTTCCTCCTCCCAAAGCTTGGACTCCTGTTCGAAGACAGATTTGGCATCGTGCTGAGCTCAGACATGAAGGTAAATCTCGTCTTACTCTATCTGGCTTCTGTTCCCCTAGCAAACTACTCATATGCTTCTCGATGTGTTATAAGAACCTGCAAAACACTCTCAACGACCTCGACTCACTCCTCTTCCGAAACTACGTGAAGCGCACCGCAGCGAGTCTGCGGATGATCATCAGGGACGGCATCTTGTTCGAAGGGATGGATTGGAGCGGGTTGTCCAAACCACAAGGTTACAAACCTGAAACACAATCCTACCCTCTTTCCTTCCTCTTTTCATTAACCACAGCCCTACAACATTAAACAGAGGTCCGACCGTACGTCTTCCGGGGCCTCCTCCTCCTCGTCGCCGTGCACGCGCAAGTCAGCGGTGTCTCTCGCGCGCTGGTCGTGAGAGTACTGGAGGAACTCACGATCGTGCTTGCGTCGGATGTGTTGGACTCGGTGCGGCAGGTGGAGCGGTTTAATTGGGGTGGGATGTTGCAGGTACGTCAGTTGGGATAACTCTTGTCCGACAGATAGAGGCACCGTGAGCAGTTATTGATGAGACGCTCTGCGTTTTTTGGACCGATAGGCAACCCTCGAAATCCAGTTCCTCGACCAAACCTTGACAGCCTACTCCACCAGCACATCCTCCCAGCTGCTCACACTGGCGTACGACACCATCGAGCGTGGGCACGAGAGGTATGAGCTCCCATCATTTGAAACAGCAGCACCGTGGTTAGCATACCCACAAATATTAACCTGATATTCCTCAATTAACAGCGAGAAATCCGACAACACAACAGGCGATAAAGACGACCTCTTCAAGAAAGTCAAGACGCTTCTTGCGGACGCGAAGCGCGCTACGGAGGTGCAGTTTTCGTGTTTTAAAGAGCAGAAGGGGGACGAGAAGGGTGTATATGTTGGGGATGAGGACGACAGCTGAGAATACCGAATGGAGAGTAGTTTCAGTGGGGTTTTTTTTTTGGAAATGAATATCGTATTTTGGGGGACTCCACCCTTCGTAAGGTGGCTCGCTCCAGGCGTTGGTTGCCCATGCGCCAATTCAGATTTGTCTTCTGTCCATGACTTATGATGTGAAGAAAAGAACTGCAACAAAATACCTCCCACTCGGTTTGTAATGTGAATAATGATAAACGAAAGGATGTAGAAGAAAAAACGTGTAGATACAGTGGTTGTGAGAAAGTGATGCAAACACAAACGTCACGGTGTTGAAGGAACGGTGAGTTCAGAAGACTCTTCATCCCGCCCCGCCTCCCACGTCCCGTCTTTCTTTCTTATTGCGAGATTCGCATACGTTTATTGCGTCCGGCAGGATGAGAGTTGGAGAATCTGAGAGGTCTTGGTCGCATTTTTATGCATGCAGCGAGTTATGTAACCCAATGACCTCGCCCGCGGGCGCCTGACGGGCCTCTTTCGAGTTGTCGTTCCGGAGGCCTTCGAGGTGGTTGAGGTATGCTTCGTCAATGTCACCTATTGTATGGCGTAATGGATGAGTGATTGAGCTTATCGGTTCGAATCGGGGCCATTGGGGGGATCCAAAAAAGCGACGTACCAGTGATATAACACCCATTGAAGACCGAAATATCAAACTGCTTAATATCCAGATTCAAACTCCTAACCGACTCGACCAGATCCTCGATCGCCTGGTAGATAACGCGATCGGCGCCGATCTCCTCCGCGACCTGGCTGGCGGTTCGGTTATGCGCGACGAGTTCCTGGCGCGTGGGCATGTCGATGCCGTACACGTTGGGGAAACGCACGGGTGGCGCGCAGGATGCGAAATATACTTTTTTGGCGCCGGCTTCGCGGGCCATTTGGATGATTTCGTAGGAGGTTGTGCCGCGCACGATTGAGTCTGTTGTGAAGACGATTGGTGAGGAAGGCGGGTCATGATCCGTGCATTAGGAATGCCCGAGCTCTGGACAGCCCGACACAGGGGAGAAGCCACGTACCATCGACAAGCAAGACATTCTTCCCCGCAAACTCCATATTCATAGCGTTCAGTTTCCGCCTCACGGACTTCTTCCGTTGCTGTTGCCCAGGCATGATGAACGTTCTCCCGATGTATCGGTTCTTCACGAACCCTTCTCGATACAGGATGTTCAGCTTATACGATGCTTGCAGGGCCGAACATCTACTTGTATCTGGAACCTGCAGCGTGGATAGAATGCACCGGTGAGGAAACTCACTTCTCCTAACTCGAAACGCTCGCAAAATCACACTCACGGGAATGACAACATCGATATCGTGATTGCTCCCCAACTCCTTCAACACAGCCTTAGCGAGCGCCTCGCCCATGGCCAGCCGGGCCTTGTACACAGAGATCCCATCCATGATCGAGTCTGGTCGTGCAAAGTACACGTATTCGAAAATGTCGGGTGTGAACGGCTCGTTTGACCGGCATTGGCGCTTTTTCACGCCGTTCTTTGTCAGGATCACGGCTTCGCCCGGTTTGACATCGATGAAGTTGGTGAAACCTAAAGCGTCCAAGACCACACTCTCGGAAGCAAGCATGTAGTCGGTGCCATGCGCCGTCGCCCGTTCTCCGTAGATTAGCGGCCTGATTCCATTGGGATCCCGGAACCCGATCAACCCAAACCCGGCAATCATCCCCACGCACGCATATCCGCCCTTGCACTGCGCATACACGCCCTCAAGAGCCTTGAAGATATCCTCCTCGTTGACGCGGAACTTGCCCGTCTTGTTCAGATGGTCTGCGAAGATGTTCAGCAGGAGTTCGGAGTCGGAGTCGGTGTTGACGTGGCGGTGCGCTTCGTGGTCGAGGAAGTCGCGGAGGTCCGTGGAGTTTGTAAGGTTTCCGTTCTAATTGACGTTGGAGGGAACGTTAGATGATGCTTCAACGGAATCGAGCGGACATTGCTGATCTGCGTAAGCGTCCCCTTACATGAGCGAAAACAATCCCGTAAGGGCTGTTGACATAGAACGGTTGTGCCTCCGCATTCGACGACGTGCCCGCAGTCGGGTATCGCACTAGCAACCCCATCGCAAAGTTAAAACGCTCAGTAACTTCCCCCCAATCGGCCCAAAAGCTCTGCTCCCTCCCCCCAGGCAAGACCCTTACCGTGCCCAACGCCCAACGCCCCCTGCAATTCCACCAACTGCCTCGGCTCGAAAACGTCACGGACCATCCCGTTCCCTTTGCACTGATACAGCCGGCCTTTGTTGCCGCACGTTATGATTCCCGCTGCATCCTATTCATTGTATTCGGGTTCAGTTGAAGAACTTACACAGGAGAGCTCCAACATGAATCCCATCACCCACCTGCCCACGATGTTGCAGGAGCCCCAGTCCCTCGTACAGCTCTGCGCTGGCGGAGGCGGACGAGTCCGCCAAGAGTACGCCGTTAATACCGCACATATTGCGCTCTGATAACTGTTAATGAGCGTCGAACAGTATTCGTAAGGCTTTTCTAAAGAATGGTGCGTGAGAAAGAAATTCCTGGCAACTTGAACGTAAGACTTCCAGACGAGAGGGCTACGCATACAATACCTCAGCAACGCTTCTATTCAGCTGCGGGTCGGTATATGGTCTATGGGTACGACGCTGCGAGGTTGAAGGTTGGCTCAGGCTGTTTCCGCAGACCCAGAAAAAAGGGCCAAGCGGATCTCACCGCGCATGGAAATCAAATCAGATCTCGGGCGACGCGACTGGCTGCTGGTGACCGTTCGACTGCGCGCAGAGGGCGATGCTGTAGTGTAAGGCCGAGACTGGGAAAACCGCATAATAGTAATCTTGTAGAGTGGGATCGAATGTACGGTACAATCATGCATGTTTTGTTGAAGCTACGCCGTGCCATAGGTAATAGGTGTATTGATGCGATGTATAGTACAATTTTGCAAAAAGAGTGATATATAAGAAAGTGCGGTACACATGAGTGGCAGGGAGCAGCTCCATCGAGGACCTGCCTCGCGGGAAAACGCAAAACCACGGCCCAAATCTCTATCTATCCCGGCCAAAAGGCCAAAAACGGAAGCGCCCCACCAGCTACGACGAAAATCTACGTTTATCGCCGCTAATAGTCCATGTTTACGCCTTCCCCACCACCCTCCTCCGGCCCCTCCAATCCCTCCACTTCCTCCCCAAGCCCACCATCGCTACCACCGCAGCAACAGCCGCCACCGGCACCAGATCAACCAAAATCGCAAGCCCAATCTTCTTTCGCAGCCCCCTGACCGCGCTCACGGATGTGGGGTCGACTCGTATCTGTTGTTGCTGTGCGGCGGGAAGGATGCGTGGGAATGGGACGCGGGCGGGGGTTGTTGCGTTGTTATTGAAGGACTGCGGTGGAGCGACGGTTTGATTGGTGGTTGGAGTGGAGTTGAGGACGATGCCGGAGAGGGTTGTGGGCGCTGCACGGGCGGTTGACGTCGTTCCTGTCGATTGTGTTGATACTGCGGGGATTGTTGCCGCTGGGATGCTAGGCGTAGGTGCAACAACCGGAGTCAAAACCGCCACGGCTGTCGGAGCCACGGTCGCCGGCACCCGACTCCTCACCGCAGCATTCCCGCAATTAGGCGCCAGGAGCGCAAAGAACTGATCCCGCAGGCCGGTGAAATCCGTGGCGCACGGATAGAAGCCAACTGGGTCGCCGTTTGCGACCGATTTGCGATTGGCAACGTTGCCGATGCCGACACAGGACGGTGGTTGTGTTGAGGGGTTGAGCAGTTGCGCTGAGAAGGCTAAAACGTAAGGAGATGGAACTGTTAGTCGATGGATGCATGGAAAGTGGATCTTTGCTTGTCCAAGTCCGATCGCAATGATCTTCTTCCACCCTCGAAAACACTTACAATTCTCCTGCAGACTATTGATCTTCCACCCCGTAGCAGGGGTCCCAACCGCACAAACGGCCGACTGCTGCACTACACTCCCAGGCCCCACAAACACACTATCCGTATACAAACACACACCCTTCCCCGGCACCACCACTTGCCACTGCCCACCCCCTACGTCCCTAAACTGAACCTGCTGGTTCGCGTCCGCAGCATTACACCCATCGACGATACTCCATGACCCAGCCCCCGGTCGAGCGTCGGCGGTGGCCATAAGTGCCGAGAAGCATTGTAGGCCGACAGGGGAGGGCGTGCGGGAGAGGAGGTGGTAAGTTATGGAGGGGAGAGGGGGCCAGGGGCAGAGTTGGAGGCCGGCGGGGACGTTGATTCCTTGTTGGGCGGTGGTGTGTGTGCAGGTGTGGAGAAGGAGGAGGAGGGCGGATAGAAAGGGGGTAGGGAATGATAGACTTCGCATTTTGGAATTGTGCTATGGTGCGCTCAGCTCGGTGCTGGCCATGAAGTTGACCAGTCGTTGAGGGTATGGGCAGTATTGGGTGTCGATGCCTTTCCTCTGAAGGGTACCGTAGCAGTAGGCTATGTATGGTCTACGTTTCCGGCGGGTTTTCGGAAACAGCGCTATCGAAATGTCTCTCGGAGCTCAACGCAGTGGAGATTGCGGACCAAGAGAGTACAAGTTTGAGTTCGGAGGGCAGCCACCGCCGCCGTTCGAGTGTCAGTCATTGCACCTGCTGCCATCGCTGTTGCCGATGGCCCTTTGGGTGGCACCTCTGCTGGATTCAATGCGAAACTTGTCGGAACATGAAACGCTCGGGCGGTGAACGCCGTGATTCGTTCCCACCGTGTTGTTTCACCTTGTTTTAAAACCACGTGAGGGGGCGCTATTTAAACGGATTGGTTTTTCACCTAGCGAGAACGGGAACAATCGTATTGCACAGAAGAGTCGTTGTCCAAGGATGTGTGAGTGTACAGTATATATGGTAGTCCAACTAAGGGATTTTGCGGACAGGAACCGGGAGTCTATGGATATCTAGGATAGTGAGGGGCGATGTCACGAAAGGACTGGGTTTTACGCCGGGTTGCTCAATACAGCCGGGAAACGAACGCCTGCCATGAAGAAATGCCTACACCGTCAAACTCTCCTTCCGCTCAGGACACCCCCAAACCGCCTTCCTCCACCCCTCCCCGTTCGCAAGGCACGCAAGAGGAAACACGCCCACCTCGCCCGTGCTCACATTCATCCCCGTCGCCCACGAATCCGGCCATGTGCGGTTCACAATCACCACATCGTCCGCCTTCAGCCCAATCTCATCGCTACGTATTGTCGACGCGGTGTGAGCGGAGGTGACGGAGTAGATCATGTTGGGGGTCTTGGGCAGGGTTGTGACGGGCCCACCAGGGTGTGATAGGATGAGGAGGTGGGTGGCGGATTCGGAGGTGTTGGGGAGGAGGGCGAGAGAATGTGGGTCCGGGTTTGTGTGGGGTTTGGTGGGGTGGGAGAGGGCGCGGGAACGACCTGGTTTTGCGCCCATGGGGGTCATGGGTGTTGTTGAGGTGATGTAAGGGAGGGAGTGAAGAGCGCGGCGTTTGCGGATACGCAAGATGATCAGGCCGACGAGGGTAAGTAGGAAGATGAGAGCGGAGATGCTGACGGCGACTGTGGTCGCGGTGTTGGATGTGGGTGGCGGGGCGCTAATCAGTGCGACATTTGTTGGTTGCACGCCTATGGGGTTGGTGGCTGCTGCTAGAGTGGTGGTCGGTATTGTCGCCACGGCCGTGACGGTGGTCAGCGAAGGGGCTTCCTTTGACCTTGTCACCGCTGCGGGCGCGCCGTTCAACAGCAGGCCGCTGGTATATACCGAGAACCTCCCCGTATTTGAGTTCCCACACGGCCATTGCCCAGATAATCCACACGTCTGCGAGCACTCTGCGGGATTTTGCGTGATCAGATTGTTTGTGGAGTCCGTTTCGGAGGAGCATCGACATGTCCCGTCCTGCAGGAGAATGTAGGGTGCTTGAGTGCGTGCGCAGGAGGCGGCGCAGTCTGTGATGACGGTGTCCCGGGTGGAAGTGGAAGGGAGGGGAATTGGGGCTCCAGGTAGGTTGCGGAGTGAGACGCAGCGGACATACTTCCAATTGGCGCCCAGCGGTGGAGGTTGCGCTGACATTCTGGGAACTCGTTGTCAGGGCGGCGAATGGTAAGGAATGGGATTAACAAGGGTATCTGGTGGATGCAGAAGCGCGGCTGGTGGCGGGAAGGAAACCGGCAACTACCACACTCTCACAGAAGCGTCTGCTATCGCTGCCTTCTCTCTATGTCGGCGTCCTAAACTCGGAGGGATCTGTCGGCCTGTCGTGAACGGCTTCTCACTCGGAAGGCGTAGATGCTTCGAGGGGTTCGAGTATAGGACTATGGGGAGGGGCTGGCCCGCAAAGCCAACCTGATGAGAGTCTGAGTTATAGATTGCAGATATATCAATTGTACTGTACGAGCGATGCCAGATATCCTAACGTCGTCGTCGTCGTTGTTCGTTCTTGCCCAGCCAAGAGAGTCGAGACCGGCCGCAGGTTTGTTGAGTTGTCGCCCGCAGCCACTTGCTTCCCATCCCACGCAGCCACAGAGGAGTCGACTGATGGGAACTGGCCGCTGCTTCTTCCAATTGACAGTTGTCGCCCTTGTCTCTCGCCTTCTGTCACATGACTCGCCTGTGAATTGAATGCAGTTAAAACCACTCTCTGATTCCAGGAGGCAGGCAGTCGCGCTCCGTGCGTCCCGGTAACAAGCCTGATCTGCCTGATGAATTACGGTATTAAACTTCGTGGCCCTCACAAGTTACAACAATCGACGCCGTCTCCGCAATTTGATTCCTCTCTAGTCCCCGCCCCAAACCCGATGGGCATTGCAGATTGCAATAGCAAGCACCATGCACTCGCCAAAGGCTCTACACTCGATCGTCACGCAGGTCGTGGACGTCAAAGGAATTCCAGCCAAGGGCGATGCATTAGGCAGCCCCACCGTGATTTCTCCCTTGCCCCAATACAGCGAGGTTGCAAGTCCATTAGGGCATCGAGACCTTGACTTCTCCCGCTTGACGTTCGGGGAGATGGAACAGCTGTACGATGGTGAGACTCGAAACGCATGCCCGTGCATATGCACCTATACGTTGTGTGTCTCATCCCTTTTTCTCGTCCTCTCATATCCACAGAAAAGCTCGCAGACATCGCCAAACCGGTCTCACTCTACGAAACAAAATCCCTGGCAGCCACTTCAGTCCTCCCCTCAGGTCTGACCTGGTCCTCCCATCCAACCTCTTTCACTGTCCGCATCACCTCTCTCTCCCTCGCCAAACCTCGGCAAGCGAACAACAATAACATCCATTTCCGGTTCGCGTTCCATCATGAAAAGAAGAAGTCTGCAGCTGCAAAGTACCCGGATGGCTTCGTAGGAGCGGAGTGGGAATTTGAGTGTAGCTACCATACACTGGTGTTTGATGCGTTGAAGGTGGATGTGTGGGAGAGTGGAGGCGGGATCTTTGGTGCGGAGAGGTGTTTAGGGAGGTGCTTTGTCAAGATGGCGAAGTTGGAGGAGGTTACGGGGAGGGTCCATGGGTGAGTTATGCACACCACACGAGTTTGGAAGATTCTTAGCAGTATGCGTTGACTAATTGAATGAACTCACTTCTAGAATATACGAATTGCAACAACGGAACGCACAATCCAGCCGCAAGGGGTCCGCCAAAGGACAGGACATTGGCACGATCGGCATTGAACTCCGTTTCAAGGGCGAGTCGGCAGGCGGCGACGACGACCACACCACCCTCAGCCGTTTTCCTACGACACCTGAGGGATACGACACCCTTCCACAGGATTCTGCCCACGGTGCCCTCGTCGACAAATGGATCGGGCACTCCCAGCAGGAGGAAGAGGAGGAGTACATGGACTCCTTCCGCGAAGCCCATGTCCAGGAGAGGAAGCTGCCCACGGGCCCCGAAACCAAGACATTCGCTGGCCGAGCGCGGTCGATTATCAGCATGCGAAGCACAATCACAGCCATCACCACCATGACAACAACCAGCACAAACACAACGGCTTCATCGAATAAGCGCCCTGAAAGTACGATGGCGGGCATGAAGGAGGCGTCGCAGCTGGCTTCGGCGTTGTTCGGCACCGGGTGGAGGTTGAACAAGTTGGAGATTGCGAGGGCGTGGTTGTTCTTGGGGAAGTATCATCGGGAGCGTTGTCCCAAGTAAGTTCATTTTACGGTTTAGCATTTCGTCCTCCATTTTTCGTCACCAGAGGCAATACTGAATGTATCACAATTTCCTCGCAGCCCAACGACGAACAATGTTGTAACCGCCCACCGCCAAATCCGGGTCGCCTGCTACTTCCTCAACTACGCCATGGCGGCCTACGGCAGTCTCATGCTCAACTTCTACGGCCGTGGCAAAGGCTACATCCGCGACACGCTCCGCCCGAAAATGGACTCGAAGTCCGCGCGAGAGCTTTTGGGCCTGAGGAAGGAGGATTTGCTGGTTTGGGACTTTGAGACGGAGCTGTTCAAGCCGCAGTTTTTCATTGCGAGGGATCCGAAGTTGAATGCGCTTGTTGTTACTGTTCGGGGGTCTTTGGTTTGTGTCGGCAACTGACTGCGGGAGGTACATCAACGAAGGAAGATCTTTTTTTCTGACTTCCGTCCCCTCTCCCCCTCAACAGAATATCAACGAGCTAATAGTCGACGTGTGCGGTGACTACACCTCCTTCTCACACGGCTACGCACACAAAGGCATGCTCCGCTGCGCCGAGTACCTCGAACGTAACTACCTCGCCCGTCTCAAAACCTGGGTGCAGCAATACCGCTGCTCCGCCATCTACGTCGTCGGCCACTCCATGGGCGGCGGGGTCGCATCCCTCTTCGCCATGATCCTCGCCTCCCACTCGGCTGAACTCACCGAGTTGAGTGGGAACTCACGGTTTAGAGTGAAGGGGTACTGTTTTGGCACGCCGGGGTTGGTGAACCCGGAGTTGAGCAGGGATTTTGAGGAGGTTTTGGAGACGTACGTGTTAGAGAACGATTTGATGGCGAGGTTGTCGTATGGGAGTGTGTGCGATTTTAGAGCGATGGTGGGGAAAGTGGCGGAGGTGAGGGGAATGAAGAAATTGAGTACGCAGGTAGGTCGTGCCTGCGTGATGTATTTCGTGCATTCGCATATACACAACCGCTTGCTGACTCTCGACATCTCAGAACCGCATGCGCCTCCTCTCCAACTACCACCATCAACTACGTGAAAGCGCCGAGAACCCCAAACTCCTCATTCCCGGCAAAGTCTTCTACATCTACCCCACTCCACCCAAACCGTCATCGAAATCCTCAAAACCGCAACCGTTAACAACCGGAAACCCCCTCATCGACGACCCGGCCCCTCACTACCTCGTCGAACGCACGGAACCGGAATATTTTTGTGATTTCATGTGGAAGGAGGAGTGTGTGGTGCAGCATCAGCCGCAGCGGTATTGGAAGGCCTTGAGGGCGGTGAGTTTCCCTTTTTTCTGAGCGTCTGCACGGATTTGGGTATTGACTTTTGGGATTCTCTTTTCTTGCAGGCCCATGATTATCTGCGGGAACATGAGAAGAATATCGCCAAGCTCAATTATTAAGCTTTTGTTCCATCGGACTACCAAGTTTCCCATGGCCCATCTGTGACATCCAGACCCGAGTTCTCTTACACAGTCAATTTCACCGGACATACAAATCTCTTCTTTCACGCATGATAGGGCGCATGAGAACATGCCCTACATAGCCACTAATCTTGTACATTTTCAGCTTTTTGTTTAATCCCCTTTCTGTTATACCCCGAGCCAGTGCTCATGATCGTTTTTTCATCAGGATGTAACCTGCCATATAGTTTAGACATGGGGCCTGGCGCCCCTCTTCTTAGGCTTAGTCGTTTTTTTTTGCATATTTTCGGCGTAATGCATGACTTTGTTGGTGCCCCGTAATTGACGTCCATGGACCTCATCGAACAAGGACGGTTGCATCAAGGGAGAAATGTACGTATTGATCAGGGGTATTTGACAAGCGATGTTGGGAAGCAGTCATTCATCATGCACCAATTTGAGAATGTTCGAATGGGAAGCAGCTTACGTGAATAATAATGGCAGCCAATCAAATGAATCGCGAACGCGTTGCGGCTGCCTCTGGAGTCGTCTGGATGGAATGTGGGATACCCGGAGCTTATGTTTCAAACGAGAAGACGGGTGGATCCCAGCAGGGCAATAACCGTTTTGCCAAGTCAAACGCGCGGAATGGGCGGCACAGCAAGCGCAAAGTCGCAAAACATTTAGAACCTCTTAATCAATCGGGACAAGAAAGGCACTTCCCAAACTGATGAAACCTGCGCCGCTTGGGTCGTTCCTGATCTCTCCGACGTTTTCTGCTCACCCTTTTCCTTCATATCCGCAACAGACTGCCGCTTTTCCCACGCAAAGAAATCTTACCAACAAACCCTTCTCATACCCAGTATCTTGTCCTATGTCTTACCCCATTTGCTTCAACTCAAACGACAAGCACACCGTCATCAACAACCGCAAGAGCCGGTTGTCTGTCCTTCTGGTCTTCGATAGGCAAAAAACATCCGTTCTCTAAAGACCTGTGGAGTTGATTCCTTTCCCTTTACGCGCGCTCAACGGACTCGAACGTCAACGTCAATTCCACCTGCCTTCAATACCACCTCGGCTTACTATACTGGGCCTCGTCGTCTCGAAGTAAAGTGTCGTCGCGCGCGCCGGTTGCGTGTCGACTTCATTTCGTGTGCATTCATTGTTTTGGGAAAGCGGGAATTCGCCGCTCTTTCTTCGCTCAGTTACTCCGAGTCTCACGGCTATACCAGCTTCGGACGCAGTGAAGGGGTTTTTTAGCTACTGGCAAGCGAAAGGAAATATCGCTTGCGAAACACGACCTACGAGCTTTGCATATACCTGATTGTTCAGACTCCGAAGGTACGAGAGAACTGTCCGACCTAATGTCTCCAACCTCGTCACTCACTTTTTGTCGCAACTTTGAACTTTTAGTCATGACGACAGTCACCAATTCTGTCGGAAGCACCAGTATATTAACGGACGCGGCCCCATCCATGGCCCCTTCCCCTTCAAACGGCGCGAAAACTGCGTCGAGACCCGCTTCTCCTGCTGTAGGGAAACCACCGGTCGCGCCTGTCGTGGGAAATGGCTCTTCCCAGGTGACCGGCGGTATTGCTGCTCCGTTCAGGCCAGCAAGCGAGAAAGGGTAAGCATCATCATCTCCGGAAGAATGACTGCTTCAGCCCACGTTTCTGACGATGCCTCGCCCACTTGGTTGAAAAAGATCGTCCCCGTGCAGTACGCCACCCATGCGTCGTAACATTTTGTATCGCATCTTCCACTTGGATTCCGACGCGGAGTTCTTTGCAAACTCGCGCCGACCTGGAAGCGCCGGTGAGGCAGATTCGGAGGCGTCTGAAGATGACTCGCATCATGGCAGTTTAGATCGCGTGTTTGGGCGTCACAACAAGTCAGCCGAGTCCTCGCGCAAGGGTACACCTGGGCTTCCAAGGCGAGGCATCACGGTCCACGGATGTACCCCCGGCTCGTCTGCTTCTGATGACGGAAGCAGTTCGGACGCTGACGGTCATCATGCTCCCATCGCCCCCGTCCCGAAGCGCACCCCGTCTCGTTCCAATCTCGCGGACTGGTTCCATCTTCCACGGGATGCCAATCATGGCTCTTCGGATGATGGCAGTGGCTCCGATCCTGACCGTCCGGGTGTTCCCAAGCGCTCTGCCTCTCGATCCAGTATGCTCTCCGAATGGCTTCACGTCGGCCGCAAGAACAAAAGCGAGTCGGCGCCCACTAGCCCATGCATCACACCCGAAAAGGGCGTCGTTCCGAAAGAGGAAGCCTTACTGGCAAGTACTAAGGATGTGGACATCGAGTCCCGAATCGGCCAGTCCCACAACCTGTTCAAGGACATCATCATGCATGCTAAGAACAAGAAGCAGCACGCCGGTGCGGGCAAGGCTGCCGAAGCTTACCCCCACCTTGTGGCCGGCGCTTCAGGTGCTGTCGTCGCGGAAAAGCCCACGGCTGTGCCTATGACCAGGTCGCTGTCTGAGAACTCGCTGGCGAAGTATGGTCAGAAGCATGAGGTTCTGGGAAGAGGCGCTAATGCCGTCGTGAGACTTTGTTGTCCGGCGAATGGCGGGTCTAAAAAGCTCGCTGTCAAGGAGTTCCGAAAGCGGCGGAAGAACGAGACGCAGGTACGGGCCGCTGTTCCCTTGTGTTGTTCGTTGAGTTGGAGCAAGGACTGACTACTGACTTTCATTTGCATTGACATTCACAGAAAGAGTACATCAAAAAGCTCATTGCGGAATTCTGCATCAGTTCTACCCTTCACCACGAGAACGTCGTATCAACAGTAGACCTGATCCAGGATGAGGTATTATAGCAAGACTTATTGGGCATGCTTTGTACATCGTACTGACGCAGCTTCGTCCGCTTAGAAACATCACTGGTGTGTCGTTATGGAGTACTGTGCCGGAGGAGATCTTTTCGGCAGGATTCACTGCGGAACACTGAAGGAATCGGGTGAAGTCAACTGGTGAGTTGGCCGTCCTGTTTGCAGATTGTTCGAAGTTATGTGCTGACGCACGTTGTCTGGTCATTTGCAGCTACCTGAAGCAACTGGTTCAGGGAGTGCAGTATCTTCACTCGATGGGCGTTGCTCACCGTGATCTCAAGCCAGGTATGTCTTACCTTCCAGCTGAACGTGTCCCACTCGGCATGTACTCAACGGTCTCCGAAAACAGAAAACCTTCTCCTCGACAAAGCTGGCAAGATCCTCAAAATCACCGACTTTGGGGTCTCGGAAGTCTTTCGCAACCCCTTCTGCACTCTGGCGCGAAAAGCCAAGGGTCTCTGCGGCTCCGGACCTTACATCGCCCCTGAAGAGTTTGAGAGTGGGGAGTATGATTCCGAGAAGGTCGACGTGTGGTCTGTCGGTATCATCTAGTGAGTATTCTGCCACGAAACCTCTGTTGAGCAGTGGCTACCATGTATTGACCGGTGGTTTTCTTGTTTTCAGTTACGTGATGGTGTACAACTCCATCCCTTGGAAGGCCGCGACCATGAGCGATGCTCGTTACAAACACTTCGTAGAACACAAGGGTCAGTTTTGGCCATTCGATCGGATGCAGGCCGGTCCCAGGCGTTTGATGGTATGTGTGGGCTCCTTTGCAGATTGTCTTCTTTCTGTGTCGTGCATCATGGAGCTCATCGGGTACTTCTTCGTATATCTCTACAGTACCGCATCCTGGACCCCAACCCAGCGACGCGCATCACCATCAAGGAAATCGAAGAAGACGAATGGTTCAAATCCCTGAGCGTATGTCACGAGGACACCACCTCGGAGATGGCCGGACATCAGCATGTGGGCAACCCCAAACCGTTCAAATAACATATCCACAATATCCACATCGCCCGTTTCCGCGACCACTTCGGCACGCATCACCGCTGCAATGGACATTACCTCCGTCTCTAATTCTGCACGGTGGCTGCCGTCGTGTTTATAACCGCCTCATCAACAGACACTCGATCCGTACACGCGCAACGAACAAATATGACAAACGTCCGTGCGTACTGTAGATTTCCCTCTCTGGCCAGGACAGAGCGCGGATGTTCATTGGCCTCCTGTTTGTCGTAATGCCTCTCGCCGCCCCTTCCTTTCCGTTACATATTACTGTAGATAGATGAAAGATATATGGGGGTTTTCTTTGTTTATTGTATGCTATTTGGTTCCACTGTTCATTGCTTAAGGTTTTGTCATTGATGCTTGCTGGGCCCTGGCGGACTGATTTGGGGCACTTAGCCTCATTGTCCAAAGCCTCCTCCTCCTCGTATACATGTGCAGACACCCTTTTGATTTTCACTCTCCTCTACTCAGATCATCAGCCTCATGTTTTGGCTCATTCACTATGTGCAAAACTCTCCCAGGAAGAGGCCTTCGGACATGTCTGGAAAGCATGCAAAATCCATCGCCGTCATGGCGGAGGCTTCTGAACGCGACTTGTATGAAAGCGATATGCGGGCGCGCCGATAAACATTCGCGACTTTTTTCCAGGCCATCTCCGTCGGTCCAAACACACTTGTGGCTTGCCAAACGAAGGACGAAAACAACATAACCCTCAGCTCACCACGAACTCGTTCAGTAACCAACCTCCGCTCTTCATACTCCACGAAACTCCCCCAAGATGCCCCTATTCGACCCAGTCTACATCTCCCAGGATGTCCAGGCCCAGCTCAAAGAGGGCTTCATCGTGAGGCCGTTGGAGGCCTCTGACTACGAGAAGGGTATGTGTGGGTGGCATATGACTCGGGCTCTTTATCCTGTTTGTTCCCCATGTTGAGAGTTGCGGTATTTACGACACCTTTTGCAACGCACGCTTGTGTAACCTAGGTTTCTTGGACGCTTTATCGCAGTTGACGACGGTGGGGAAGATGAGCAAGGGGCAGTTTATGGGTATGTGGTCCTTTTGAGCAGGCGTGGCGATGATGGGAGAGATGAGAGGGGACGGGGCTTTTCTGTGGCATCACGGAACATGGTCATAATCGGTACATCTACCGTTTTGTAACGCAGAGCGCTACTCGTATTTGAAGGCGCACAACCACGAGTAAGTACTACTATGAAGCGGAGATCGCCATGCAACTGGAGCCTAGATTCCTTTTGTTCCGTTGTTCGCTGAGGCGTGTGACTGATGCTGTATCTTGTCCAGATACTTCACGATCGTCATCGAAGACACAAAGAAGCAGCTGATTGTCGGCGCGGGCACGATACTGGTTGAGCGCAAGTTTGTGCACATGAACGGGCTTGTCGGTCATATCGAAGGTGTGTATCCATCGCGGGATGTTTATCTCTAAAGTTTATGCGATAGATAGGATGTGATGATATGCACCGAGAGGGAGGGCCAGGACACCAGGAGTAGTGATTGTAGTTTCAATGACATCTTTTCCACCCTCGGTTTCCAGATATTGTCACCCGCTCTGATTACCGGGGCTTGAACCTCGGCAAGCTGTGAGTACGCTGCTTTCGCGAATCGAATCATCATGAATGGACGATGGCGCACGCGAGTGACCGACACAGCGGATCTGACGAACTGGGGCTATGCTTCTCATTTGACAGTGTGATTGAGACGCTCAAGCATATTGGAAAGATGACCGGCTGCTATAAGAGTAGGTTCTCGTTCACCGTTCCGGTTATGCTGTCTCAACAGGTGACTAACCTGCTCACTCTCACTTACTCAGTTATCTGTAAGTGCTTTGCGTCGAGTGACGGAGAACGGCACCTGGCCTCGCAACGGTCGGCCGCGTTGCTTGAGGCAGGAGAACTGGGAGATCCCGAACTCACGGCTTTATGTTTGCAGTGGACTGCAACGACAAGAACATTCCGTTCTACCAAAAATGTGGATTTGCGCATAAGGTACTTGTCTCCTTTGCATTGCGGTAGGGTTTGCGAAAGATTTTCGGTCATGTACCTAACCGCCCGCTTCCTCCTTCCACAACCGCCACCCCCCCTAACCCCAAAACTACCAACACGAAACAACAGGAATTCGAAATGGTTCTCTACATTGATGAAAACGACCCGGTAAAGACCCCCAAAGCCAAATTATAAGCAGCCACATGGGGGAAAAGCAACTAGCTGGGGTGTGATGCTGGCGACCCAAAGGTTGTTTTTGCGCTGTCCGTCAGAGTATAGCTTCGGTTGACCCCCTTTTTCTGATTCTCTTTTTTTACCTACCGGCAGCTCAAGGCGGCGGATTCGACAGAGTCGCCGACGACAACGACGACGATGCCAGCGGATCCTGCGGCCGCGGCGCCTCCTGCCGGCACAACCTCATGATTTGCGCGCGCTTTGAGCGTTTAGGTCCTTTCACCCACCCCACCTACCTTGCATTCCCCGCTACCGCATGTTCTCTGACACCATCTTCTTGGACTCAAACACCGTCATAAATCGTTACACGCACAAAACAAAGTATAGCATAAACCATAGCGAGTTTTTTTTTCATACAGGAAATCTTGGTAGAACAATTGGAGGCGCTTTACATACAGTATGTGTTTGGGGATGTATTCGAAAAACACTCGAGACATGAAGGTAAAGAGGGATGGGGGTATAACAATCGACAAGGGAGAGATCATGATTCCGTCCAGCTGGGAACATGTGGGGCTTGCACTTCCACCAAACCTGGGGCCGCCTCAAACAGAGACATTTCGTTGTTCTTGTTTGAGAGCTGCGAGGGGTAACGAAAAAGAACGACAGCGGAATGTGCGGGTGATTACAAAGGCTCGAACTGGCGGTGGGTATCCCTTTCTTGCGGGAGTAACATGTCGCGCGCGGACGGCAGAAGAAGGGGCTACGGTTCCGGCCAGGGTTGCGAGAAACACCTCCAATGTGTGGGTGGGTGTATGGGTACGCGCGGCGTACATCGAGGATTCGCAGGCGAGTTCTGATTGATGTGGCGAACACAGCGGATAGGCGACGGTCCCCGTACGTGGGTGAGCGTTTTCGAAATCAAAATCGATAAAAATGCATTGTTGATGTAGATCGAAACAAGGGAGGGATGCTTGCACAAGGAAAAGCTTATCCATGCGGGAGAGCCATCCGATGGCATTGCAAGTGCTGGCAGTGATTTCAGAGTATCTACCTTATTGCCAGGTATCCAAAGGTCGGCACGTGCGTGGGGAATGGAGGGAGGCATGCGGTGGTCGCTATCGCGGTCCGGAAAGGCGGTATGGTGCGGGTATGTGGAAAAAAGAGAGAAGGCATACGTTGTTTGCTTGGCAAGACCGAAAAGAAAGAAGGAGGAACACAGGCTAATGAATCGTTTCACGAAGGACAATGCTGAGGGTAGAAAGATCATGTTGGCGATCGTTCGCATTTAGGCGGTTGAGCTCTCGGATCCCGCCGCCGCGGGGTCGAGTTCAGCCGACATGCTGGTGGAGATAGTAGCGGATGGCTCGGCGGCCACCTCGGCGGAATCGACGGAAGCCTCGGCGGCGTGGTGAGCGGATGCCTCTGCGGACTCGTTAATAGACCCGTTGGCGGAGCCATCAGGAGTAGCGTCCAACTCGGCGGCAGGCACCTGAGTGTTCTCCAGCGCGTCAGAAACAGCAGCAGACTCGGGCGCCGCTACAGCCGCCACCTTCGGCAAAACATCCTCAGGCGGGTCAAGCTGCTGCTGCACAGTGGAGTCAACATGCTTTTCAATACTGACGGCGTTGATAGCAACTTTCAAATCGTCCAGTGAGACGACTTCCTCGTCTTCCGCAGGCGAGCTGATGAGCGGTCCAGGGTCACTCTCCTGAATCTCCACGGCAGCGGTTGCCCTGGAAACTGACTGCTCAATGATGGGGTCCAATTCAATAGACGGTGCTGATGCGGCAGGTTGCGTTTCAAGGCTGTCGCCGTCGGTGGTAGTGGCCGGGGTAACCGGTCGTGACCCGTGATGAGCGTCGAGGGCGCTGTCGATGAGGCGGTCGATGGCTTCAGCAACCGTGCGACCTCCGTCGTCTTCGAGAGAATGCTCTTCAGCGCTAGGTGAGATGATGGGCAGGTCCCAACCAGGTTCCTGCTTGATGCCGTTTTCGCCAGGAGTGGCAATGGGCTGGTCCCACCCAGATTCCTCCTTGACGACGTCTTCGCCAGGCAAGGGGATGGGCTGCTCCCTCCCACTTTCCATTTTGATGGGAACGTCGGGCTGTTGCTCCACTTTGATGCCGTCGTCGCGTTGTTGTAGCCAGCTACTCTCTCCATCTTCATCTTTGCTGTTACCAGAACCGCTGTTTTCCGTCTTGCGATTGCCAGTAGGTGCGTAAAACGCAACGAGCTTGTTCATTCCCTCCAATTTGACGCTCTGGCACTTCGTGATAGCTTGCGCAGCGCCTTCTCCACGCACGAACTCCATCAGGGCAGATGCACTAGTAGCGCCATCGGCAGGTCTCACAATCTCCACCTTCTGTATCTCGCCGCAAGACTCCAAAGCGTCATGGAGCATCTTTTCAGTGAGATCGGCAGGGAGATCCGTTAGCTGTACCTTGCGTTGGCGGGGGAACACGGCACCCAGAGCACGGGCAGCAACAGCCCTCGCCGCAGCCTCTGGATTGTCAAACACGACCAAAGCGCTCCGATGCTCGTCATCAGGTCCCTGAGGCTTCAACACGGCATGGTCCTTGACCTTCCCAAACCCAGTAAACTGATGCACCATCTGCTCGGGCGTCATCCACATGCTGGCAATGTAGATAGCTTGACGGTCGGGGCGTTCAAGCTTCTGTCGCGAGCTCCTCGCAACGGAAGCAAAGCTCCCGCGGCGGCCTGTGTCTCTGATAGGCGTCGAGGCCGCGTCCATGCGGTGGGCATAGTCGACGCGCAGGGGCTCGGCCATCCCAAAGACCTTCCTGGCGCGGATGTGTTCGAAGGCCGCTCGTGCTGCCTTTTCGGTATTGAACGAGACGAACGCGTATGCCCTCTTCTCGCGGGCGCGATTCACAATGTTCAAGCGTGTGATGGAGCCAAAGGACGCAAACATCTCATCCAGATCAACCTGTGAAGAACATTGGGTTAATTCCCAGCTTCGCCTCCCCTTATATTCCATGTTCTTTCTGCAGCCCCTTACCTTTTCAACAGTGCGCGGCAAATTAGCGAGATGCAAGCTTTTCATGTCAAGGTCCGGATTAGACGCGGTAGCGCCACCTGCGGTATTAGGAGCCGGTCGGCCACCCCTACCCAAGCTTCCAGTTGAGTAAGCCGGGATGCGGAAATCAGTGTCATCAGCGGCACTGGCATCGAAACGAAGATCCAACTCCAGCGGGGTAGTCATATCAAAGAGCGTTTTTTTGCTCAACGCTTTCAGGGCTCGTTCTGCGCACCCAGTCTCTTCGTAGTCGACGAAAGCATACATGTCATGTTCAGATTTAGGGTTGACAATACCAACTGAAGAACATTGGCAAATTAGTCAGCCGGAAAACGTGGAAATATGAGGAACTGCGGATAATACAAACCATTGACAATATCACCAAACTCGGTAAATACTTGGATAAGCTCCCTTACGCGAACGCTTTTCGGAAAGCCGTAAATCAGGAGACCCGTAGCTTTGCTGGCGTCGGCAAGTTTTCCTCCTCTGCGAGACCTCCTTCGCTTCTGTAAAGTGGATGAGTGAGGATGAGTACCATCTTGCATTGATGATGCGGCGTCTAGATTTGCAAAGTCCTTACGGCCGATCTGTCCTGGGAGGCTGCGGGAACGGAGCCACTGGAGGAAGCTTTTTCTGGAGATTTCGGGAGTGGAGATGAGCCGCCCAGCGATTTGTTCACATCTTCGAGTTGGCGCGTGAAAAGCCTGCTTGGAGTCTTAGGAGGACCCTTGCGAGCATTATCATAACGCTGTCCGTCGTCATTTCGTGGGTGAGATGGCGAATCTCTGAAAGGTGACCCCTTCAGAGACGCGAATGAGTGACGACTTCCTGGATCGCGATCGTTCCTGGACGGGCGGTCCAAAGTCCCGCGGCGCTGACGCGGCGGTTTAGCGTCGGAAGGAGTTCTCGTTTCGTTAGTGTCCGGGAAGCCGTAGCGCAAGCCGTCCATGTCTTCATCGGGACGGGTGCGGATGCGATCGGCGAGGGTGAACTCGGATCTAGCTTTGCGCATCTCGTGGAAGCGGCCTCCGTCAGGGCGAGATGGAGAAGCGGCGTTCACATCCCATCCCAAATCCAGGCTGTGAGGTCCCAGATCATGCGGCATCAGATCCATGTTGCGATCCGGTGGTTGAGACATGAGTTCGCTGAGATTGATAACAGACTCGACGGCGGGAGCGGCATGCGGAGATGCAGAAGCGCCTAACAGTTCCTCGTGGAAGGATCGCTGTCTTTGTGCCGCATGGACATTTGGAGCCCGTGCTCCCCAGTCTGCGTTAGCAATGGGCTGCTGAGGTGGGGGACCCACTTGGTGACGTGATGGACCCACGTCCCAGCCGTTTGAGTTGGAATTGCGCCAGGTGTCGGTCTGAGAAGGACCCGGTGTGGCCCATGTGCCGTTGGAGATGTCCAAAGAAGAAACTGAGTTGGGTTGCCAGACATTTTCGCTAGACATCGTGGGGGGAAGTGTGGTATGCTGCGGCCGGGATCGTCCCCACTCAGCAGCTGGATCGGGCCGGATGCTGCTATATCCTGGAATCGCATCCCAGTCGTCCCGGGCCTGGGGAGTCGATGGCGCACCGAAGGAACCTTTGCGCATTCCCCATCCGTCATCTTGTCGGGGTTGAGGCTGGACCGGTGTCGTTTCTTGAACGGGTGGACGGGACCAGCCGTTGTTGACAGGCGGAGCGGCTCCCCATCCGCTGGCCAGTTTGCGGCTCTGTTGTTGTAAATTGCTGGGCGTACCCCAGTCAGGGTTGACTGAAGGTGTGGGCAGCGGGGCTGCTCCCCAGCCGGCGGCGGCTTGCGCTCGCGGAGGTGGTCCCCAAGACGTCTGATGGTTCATCTTCCTACACTTCGAAGGGGGTGAGGGTGAGAAAATTAGATGTATTCACTTTCGGCGTGCAGTGCATTCCGGAAAGCCCTAGCCAGAAGGCACCTCCGTTCGAGGCGACCGGCAGACATACCTGTCGGCTGCAGATCGCTACGGGTCTGAGTGGCAAGTGCTAATCTGGAGAAGCCGCAACAAACGCGTGTCCAATGTCAAATAAAGTTTACTCTGCGGGAACGGGAGAAGGACATGGAAACGACTGCGACGGGGCCTTGCGGCGAAAGCGCAAGTACAGTATCATACCTGCTCCTGCTTGTGAGCCTGGCTGTGGGAGTGAGCCAAACCTTGTCTGTTGTTTTGGGTGAGTGGGAAGGGATGGCTGCTCATCCAGGGGACGCTGCGGAAGACTCACCCGGCCTTGCAAAATCACACATCAACATTTGACCATCAACGGGTCGGGGACGGGGCTTCCCCCGCCGATTCACATATACTGTACATACACAATACACCCAACAGAGGTATTCCTCCCGGCAACAAGCCATGCAACGTTCATACATCCATCCAGGACCGCAAGCAGAGAGGTCTTCCTGACATCAGCAGCGATGCAGCAATAGGCGTCAAGTTCAAGCAACACGGAAATGTAAAGCGGAATGAAAGAGCGCGGGAATAAATGCAGATTAAGGCTCAGATATGACCTCACGTGACGTTCTTTTTCTCCTGAGTGAAGCGCAGTCGCCGTGACGTAAGGAAACCGAGAAACGCGCGGAATGCTTCAATGGCAAATGCCCTCGTTGTGAGGACGTGCGATTTGTGCGCTGGCGGGCGATCTCACTCGGACACAGACACCGCCCAACCTCCCCAACTTTCACAACCACACAACCAAGGCATCTCGGTATTCCGTCGCCATGATCCATGGGTCTGATGATTCTTACGGACGGCTGTGGACGAGCCTTGACAGAAATTGGAAATGGGCAAAAACCGTGGGGAAACCAGGCGAAGAGAGGTGGCAGCACTGGCGGGTGAGGATGACTTCGTAGTCGTTTGCCCGGCAGATGATGAGGGATGTGGACCTCCATACAACCAGTAGCTTTGATTGGGCAGAGTTTTTAGCGTCGTCCACGACCGACGAAGCCTCTGCATGCATGCTGGCATCTTTAGTCCGAGCGCAAAGCTAGCAGGAGAGATGCGAGATGGAGGATGTATGTGCACTGCGTGCATTTGAAAACCCATCGGAGGAAGCAGGTTGTCAGTCCATGGGGCAGTGTGCACTGTGTGAAGCGCACGGCGAGCGCAACGAAGCTTTATATTTACGCGTAAGGGTTTTCGCATTTGGACCCCTCCTGGACTTTCCCCTCCCCTCGCGTCCCTAGCGTTCCGTTCAGCCAGAGTGCACACTGCACACCCATCTCTCGCCATTGCAAGAGACCCCAGGCATCACAGACTCACCACACAGGGTCGTTCGCCGCTCACCGTACGCGTCGCACCTGGATACCTTTTCACGTCGCAATTACACGTCCAAGATCACCGCCGCCCGTGTCACTCGATAGTCGTGATCTTGCATCTTCTCGCGTTCGCTTCCATGCGTTGAGAGATAAACGGTGATTACCTAGGCAACCTTCTTTCAACCAGGAATAACTCAGCAGAATTGTCTTTCGGTGTCCCACGCCGAGTTGTCCGACCGTTTCCAAAACTTCGAGCAAAAGCGCGTTGAACACCTCCTGCCCGCACCAAAATCAAAGGTCCTCGGTTTTGATCCGTCCTCCGTGTTGAGGGCCATTTTTGGGCAGTTTTTTGGAATCTTTGATATCAAAACCGCATCGACGGTGTTCTGTATATAAACCCAAAGCCCATCCTCTATAATGGCCTCGGCGCCGTTCGCAGGAGGCCTCGCAGCTACCCACCACGATATGGAAGCCGCATCCGCCGCCGAACCCTTCGATAACACCGACACTAGTGCTACATCAGGGGATGAAGAAGACGATGTCAGCGGCGGTAGCAGCACCAGCAGTAAATTGAGCATGAAGGGATCGGACCGTGATCTCTCCATGACGAAGGCGGCGGCAGCGGCGGGAGGAAGCAATAAGAAGGCGGGAATGATGTTGGGGGTGGAAGGTAGGGCTCCGGATGCGTCGGATACGGGTGGTGGGCTTCTGGAGCCGGTCTCGCCTGGTCTTGGTGTTAGAGGGAAGAAGAGAGAGCGGAGAAAGATCAGTGGTTTCAAGCGAGGTATGTGAGGTTGCGTTTGATCGTGGCGAGAGGAACGGAGACATCGGCGGACGGCCTGGGGTATAGGACGGAAGCACGATAGACGGGAACAGCACTTGCTGCTGTTCACTTCTTTTCGCCGTGAAACATCATCATCCATGTATGCAAAAGCTGATGGAATACTCCCGACTATTCTTCACCATTACAATCAGAATCGCCATTAGCCTACCGCGAGTTCCTGACAGGACATCTAGATGCGACAGGTCGCGACTCGGTATACCCCTCTACCCACGAGAATGACAAAAAGAAACGAGGAGCAGAATGCCTGCGTGACGACGCGACTGAGTTGCAGATACTGATGAGCGCGCCTCGGGTTTCGCACATTGCTGCTTCCGTAGAGAACGTGCCGGTAAGATAGACTGGAGGGATACCTTGTAGAGCTTCCAAGCGTCCTGAAAGCCTTAACTCGTCTCTTACGTTCGCTATTCCATTACAGGAAGCACTCCATCACCCTGAGCCAAGCGAGATCACAAATTCACTGCCTGCCATCAAAGAAGACACTGAGAAGCCAGGCGAAAACGACACCATATCCCCAATGGATATCGAAATCACCCTCACGGCCGCTCCAACCGAAGAACACTCGGATGCCCCGCAAAATGACCACCACGATCGACGCGGGAGACGAACGCCCTCGCCGGTCCGTGGAGAGCCATCGACGCTACCCCCGTGCATTATCGACATTCCTCAGCCAAAGTTACATCGGTCGCCGTCACCTGTGCGGGCGATACCCCGGTCGAAGTTTCCGTTTCCGCTGCACCCGGTGCATGACGCGCAGGAGGCGTTTAGGAATCGGCATGGGGATGTTTTGGCGGTATGTATTGCTCTTTAGGGGGTTTGTGATATCGGTAGTTCTGAATCATGTATTCTCTGACCATCCGTCCCTCGAATACCACCATTACTTATCCGCCTCCTCCTTTCCAAATGCTAGACGCAAATCCGCGCCATCTTCAGCGCATCCACCCCTCCCGCTCTCAACGAGTCCCAATTCCAAGACGTCACAGTCGCCTGCCAAGCGCCGCGCTACTTCAACCGCGTTTTCTTCCACAGATGCGGCGGCAAACCGGGCGGAGTCGTCACCCTGGACGGGTTCGAGCGGTTCTGGAACACGCTGAGGAATTGTGCAGATGTGGAGGAGATGTGTTTTTGGATTTTGGGAGGTGGGAAGAGTATGCTTACTGAGGAGGATTTTGGGTTGTTAATTCAAGGTGAGTTTCGGGGTTTGTGTGGTGTCTGGAAACGTCGGAGGTTCTGGGAGTTGGTTGTCGTGCACTGGCGAATGGGACGTGCCTAACTGTTCGATTTGCCCTCTGCCGCAGATGTTGTGCACAATCATCCTGGACTCGAGTTTTTGAAAAGAATGGACGTCTTCCAGTTGCGATACGGTAAGGGGTTGGATAAATGATAACCCGATTGCTCCCAAGTAGACCGGGCTAACCAAATATGCACATTAGTGGAAACAATCATCGCGCGCATCTTCTACTCCAAAACCCGCAACACCAACCCCCGCATGTCCCTCCGCGAATTCCGCAAAGACCGCATCTACCACACCATCCTCAACCTCCAACAAACCGAAGACATCAACGCCTCCCGCGACGTCTTCTCCTACAAACACTTCTACGTCATCTACTGCAAATTCTGGGAACTCGACAGCGACCACGACCTCTTCATCATGGAGGACGCGCTCCGCCAGTACGAGAACGGGTGCCTGTCTCACTTGGCCGTCTCCCGTATTTTCTCGGGCGCCGGCCGCGGAATTGGGAAGTTTGACGCCATGTCGTACAAGGAGTTTATTAGGTTCATACTAGCCGTTGAGGATAAGGATACTCCGCAGGGCATTGAGTATTGGTTCAGGTGCCTGGATACGGATGGCGATGGGGTGTGGAGCTTGTGGGAGTTGAAGATGTTTTATGAGGAGCAGAGGGCTAGGATGAGAGAGTTTAGGATGGCCGATCCGTGGGATTGGGATGATTTCTCGTGTGCCATGTGAGTTGTGCGCTACTTACCTTCCCTAGTGTGCAGACACCAATGTAACTGTTTCCATCGCTTTTAGCCTCGATCTAGTCAACCCCGTCACTCCTGGCCAGATCCGTCTATCCGACCTCAAACGCTGCAAGTCCGCCGGCTTGGTCTTTGACATGCTATTTGATATCCGCAAGTATGATCTGTACCTTCGTCGCATCGACCCGAGCTTCAGAGAGTGGGACGATATGTATGTCGAGGACCGGGAGACGAAGGAGAAGGTTCTTTTAGAGTACGTGATGACCTGCGCATCATCCGGTCCGGACTCCAATGGAGCATGACTGACATGAATCTACTACCTTTAGGGGCTGGGACAAGTTCGCAGAACGCGCCTACGAAGAGCTCGCCTACGATGACGAAGAAGACGAAGATATCCTCGACGAGGACGAGCTAGACGACGACGACCTAGACCTCGACCTGGACCTCGCCAACGAGCTTGACCCGAGTCTCGACCCTGAGATCGACTCCGGGTCTTCGGAAACATCCTCCGTAGGCGATGACGACCAGCAGCTGCATGAACATCACCTCCCGCAGAGAAGTACCCTGCGACACCGCGGGGGCCGGCTGAGTCACGGCACGGACAATGACGGAGTGCATGGGGCGACGGATATCGGTGTGGAGTTCACGCATGAGCTCACTACCGCGCCGATGAACGTCGACCACGGGTCTCATCCAAACGTGGTGTCCACGCCCACGAGGAACCCCCACCGTCTCGACCGGGCCACCACGCACCGCGTGCGAGGACAACAGGGACGGCGGCGGAGTCTAAGCGAAGATGTCGTTGACGGCGTCGACTTTATGGACCATGTGGATCCGTGGAACGAGGATGAAGATGATGTCGACCTTGCAGATGCGGACATCAATGAGGTTGCCGGCCTGCGTCGTCGCCATCGGCGCGTGCCTTCCGCAGACGGAGACGTTGCGGATGAGATGATGATGGGGATTGTCGAGGGCGCGGGTCTGGTTGCCCCTGTGGGCATGGAGGTCGATGAGCCTCGTGTCGAGGTCGCTGCGGAGACTACAACAGCCGGTGGTGAAGCTGAGGAGGCGGAGAGTGCTGGGCCCGTTGGAGAGGTGGACAGTGACGCGATGGTTATTGTGGAAGATTGCAGCCGACCTGGCGTCGAGGCTCTGTGAAGAAGGCATGTCAGCACAGAATCGGAATGGATGACCGACGGTTGGAAAGAGACGCTGAAATACGCATTTTGAGGACGCTTAATATATTGGACTGGGAGGGGCACCGCAGGTGGCACAGAGCTGCGTGGGAAACCGAACGCGGTTTTGACGGAAAGGACAAGACTAGGTGACGGATGGGATGGAGAACAAGTCGGCCAACGTGTGTCTGCGCACGCAAAGCCCTCCCATTCCTCTCTACCTCACCTGAAGGCAAATGTCTGAAGAAAGGTGTTGGGCTTAAGCGAGGGGGGGGGGGGGGGGTGTAGATTAGGGTCAACTCAGGATTTTGACATTTTTATTGAAGGACTTCGTCGCGGGAGAACAGTGTGAACGGGATATGGACTTCGGGACGGAGATATTCTATGCAACTATTGTCATTCATCCCGTATTCCATAAATTCCTGTGATAATGGTATAATAGTAAGGGAGTTGGATGCGTTTTGGATGTGACGGCTGAGGATTTGGCCTCAACTCTTTGCATCATCCTTGTGGGTCTGTGGGTGTCTCTGGAGCTGAGGCTTTGGGGAAAATAAGCCTGACCTTCCTTCGTCAAGGCCTTTCTGACAGGATCCTGTCAATGGAAAATGACGGTCTGACGGGGGCTTTTTCCGTCCTAATTGATTTATGGGACTTCTAATTGTGCTCTCCAGCTCCGCACTTGATTCAATGAATCAAAATAATGAGTTTCGATGGTGGGTTCGAAGGGGCATGACGGATTGACTCGGAGGATGTCACAACCTTGTCGAGCGGGGGATGCTCTCCACAAACAAGTGACCCCTCGTCAACGGGTCCTCTTTTGATTATGCCAAGCCCGTTCCTTTGGCTGTGATTTCGCTAGATAGTAGATAGGGAAACTTGACCTTTGCCGAGCGACGCCAAGAAACCCGCAATTCTGCTCTCTCGGCCTAGTGCTTTCCGCAGAATTTAAAAGGCGACCAACGCTCCTACCGAGACTCAATCGATCTGCCTTCTGTCAAAACCGCACCACCTTCACAACGATAGCCTGAAACAAGCAAACATGGTCGGTCCTTGGCAACCTGGCTGCCACTACAACCCCGGCGACGTCGTCGATTATCGCGGCTGTCACTACCGCATCGCTCAGGTGAGACACCATGCAGCTCGGAAGGGAGCCTGGAAACTATGGGCTGATTCGTTGCTGCTTCACAAAAACTCCAGCCTCATCGCTCGCAACCCGACTGGGCTCCCGACTGCGCGCCTGCTCTTTGGCAGCGAATGAACGGTAATCAGCATCACCAGCCCCAGCATGGGCACCATGGTCCTCCTCAGCATCATATGGGTCATCCTCAGCAGCCGGTTCGGGCAGATGCTCCGATTCCCAATCAGCTCGCTGCGCCTGCCGCCGCCCCTCAACCCACTGCTGCAGCTTCGCCCCAGCCGACTCCTCCCCAGCCAGCTCCCCCGCCACCCGAAACGCAGCAGCAGCGGAAGGAACAGCAGCCGCTTGGCTATGCGGAGGCTAATAAGCAGTATGAACAGCAGCAACAGCAAGCCAGCGAAAAGATCGAAGTCGTCCCAGCCAACAGCACTGATCCTCGCAAGCAATCTTACCAAGGCTTCGACATTGGCGGCCTCCACATTTCTGATGATCAGCTCAAAGCCGGAGGAGGGATCCTTGGTACGGCCGCTGCTATTGGTCTCGGTGCCTTTGCATGGGACAAGTACAAGGACTCCAAGGACAATAAGGCCGAGCAGCAGTGGGGTTACAGGTATGATATATTTTGATTGCGTCGAGCAGCAGGTAACGCTAATAATAAATGCGAACCCCTTAGTAACTGGGAGCAAGATGCACGTCGCCGTCAGGGCGAGTACCTTGAAGCCATCAAGAACAATGCTCCGCTGCCGCCCGTCTGCTGGGTGCTCACAAATGGAAACAGCATCCCAGCTGGGGCTTTGAAAGGCGGCCAAGAAGCCAACGGTACTCCTCTGTACATCGCTCGCGCGTTCCACGAGAATTCCGTTCAGATTGGTAAAGCGTCGGCTGATCTCCGTGATGGCGCCCATATTCCCTATGGAGGTAAGTGCACCTGATACTGGCAGTTACGGCGGGAGTCTGACCTACCCATTATTCCATAGGCAAAGAAATTGCTGTGTTCAACTATGAAATTCTCCTCGGTCTCGAAAACGCTGTCAAATGGGTTGATGGCGAGGGACCCCTGAAGAACAAAGGCGAGAAGCTTGTCGAAGGTGGCCGAGAGGCTGATGGCAAGCCTTTGTACATTGCTCAAGCGCACATCAAAGGAAGCGTTCAGCCTGGAAAAGTGGGCGAGCATTTGTCCAAGTGCTGTGTTGCCTACGGTACGTCATTATCATCTGATAGGCGATGGGGAAAGCCACGTCATACGCTCGGAGTTCTGGTTTGAATATAGACCGCATTTATCGAATAGGAAACGATGAGAAGGAAGAGAAGCATTATCGATACCTTTGCTACGCGTGAAAGTTCTGTTCAGTAATTTAGGGGCTCTCTTGTGAGTTGGAGTTGTCTGTTTTCTCGGCGGTATGGGTTGTGCTTATGTTTCGTTTAGCGTTACCATCTATGTTGATTAAATCTTGTAAATGTTTCCCGCTACCATCTATCTTGATCAAATCTTGTGAACGTTTCCTTCTCTGAATGAGTTCAGCCGCTTCCACATTTATTGCACCCAAAGGATTTCAACGTCATGTCGCGACCACGAGTAATACAATCAGCGAGACGAATAAGAGTTACAGTATAGCAGAAGCCTAGTTGGTATACGTAGTGAGTGTGTATTTAGAGTGTGCATTCGTAACAGCGGGAAGAAAGCTGGGCAGGGTCGTTGACAGGGCCCATGCAGATCGCCCTTGTGCTGTCAATCCACTTCCACGCGCAGCTCCGTTGGGGAAGTCGGAAACGTTTATCTCGTCTTTGATGGCCGCAGGTGATCTCGACTTGACTGAACGGATTTGGTACCGTTGGCTATTCGCCTCCCGTCCACTTGAAAACGAGCTTCGAATCCAGACTCTCCATATTTAGAAAGCGTCCCTGCGCAGCTAGCGTCTGGCCGCATCTTCCCGTCAACTTTTGGCACTCCGACGACGCTCAGTACCGCCCGCTATGCGGTTAGCTTCAAGAGCCGGCCTGATTGCCTGCCTCTTTCTCCTCTTGTCCGTATGCTTACCAGCGGTCTTTGCCGGCGCAGACTATTACCGCATACTGGGCATTGAACGGGCCGCTTCAAAGGTACGCACGTCCGCGGCCTCACGATTGGGAGGTCGACCAGGATGCTGACTCCATACAATAAATACGACAGAGGGATATCAAGAAAGCGTATAGGGACAAGTCCAAAAAGTATCACCCGGACAAGAACCCGGGAGATAAAGTTGCGGAGGACAAGTTTGTTGAGCTGTCACAAGGTGTGTGCATCGTAGATCAACGACCGTGGTGTCCGTTCTCGAACATCACGAGAGAGGGAGACCAGCGCGGGCTCCCGGCCTCCGAGCAAACATCTAAATCAAACCAACTTTCCCTAGCCTACGAAGTGCTGAGTGATGATGAGAAGCGTAGGATCTACGACCAATACGGAGAGGAAGGTCTGAAGAACAGCGGGGGAAATCAATTCCATAATCCTTTCGATATCTTTGCGCAGTAAGTTGTAACGAACATTGAGCACTTCATTCATGGTATGTAAGTCACTGACGGTATATGTGCTTCAGGTTCGGCGGTTTCGGTGGAGGATTTGGTGGATTCGGCGGACATCGTAAGTCCTTGGCTCTCCAGGACTGCACGCGACGCACGACAGGGGTCTAACGAGATTCACACAGATCATGCTCAGCGGCCTAAAGGTCCCGAAGTCAACATGGACCTTGCGGTCTCTTTAGAGGAGCTCTTCCTTGGAAAATCTTTGGAGGTAAGGTCTTCAGATTTGAGCATAGGGTAACTACAATGTCAGCACAGATGGCATAACCCAACCACCATGAACAGATCGAAATCAATAAGCAAGTCATCTGCCCAACGTGTCGAGGCAGCGGAGCAAAGAATGCAAATGACGTGACGAATTGTCACTCGTGCGGTGGATCTGGAGTGAAGATCGTCAGACAAATGCTTGGCCCAGGAATGTATACGCAGATGCAGACACAGTGAGTAGCGTACACCGATGGACGTCTTCTCCGCCCGAAACACTCCTTTTCTCATCGGCGGTGCTCTACTCTATTCCAATAGCTGTGAAGTATGTCAAGGCAAAGGCAAAGTCATCAAACACAAGTGTCCAGCCTGCGCAGGCGCCAAAGTGAAACGCGGGTCCCACCAGCTCTCCGTCGCTATCGAGCGTGGCATGTCGGACGGTCAGCGCATCGTTATGGAACAGGAGTCCGACGAGTCACCCGACATCACACCCGGAGATCTTGTCTTCACCATCCGATCCATTCCACACCCGATTTTCACTCGGAAGGGCGACAACCTGTATCTGAAGGAAACGATATCTCTCCACGAAGCCCTACTCGGCTTCACAAGAAAGGTGCCTCACTTGGATGGAAATGTCATTACCATCGAGAGGGAGGGTGTAACGCAACCCGGTATGTTTTTGTTACCTACCCAATGGACAAGCTTGACTTGGTAGGGTTGATAAAGCTCACCCACATCTACTGCAGGTTTTGTCCAAACCGTCAAGGGACAAGGCATGCCCACCCACGAATTCCCTAGCGAGCGTGGGGTTTTGTTCGTGGAATATGCTGTGGTATTACCGGACAAGCTTTCCACGGACCAGACTGAACGTGAGTTCCTGCATCGCTTTGAATTAACCATTTGTGATCATCCGCTGACCTTCTCCCTCCGGATCTACAGTGGTAAAGAAACTACTCGCATAGGCGATCAAAATTGGCGATCCGCTCGGTCTTCCAACCCTGGCACGTCGTAGTTCGATATTATGTATTTAAGACTGCGTCGCTTGGTTCCAGCCAGTCATTACGGCTTCGAACGCGCTGCTCCATCGAAGGCACACGATCAGTACATAGCAGTGCAGGGATATTACTTGTATTTACGCTACATATACGTGACATAGAAGCATCAAATGCACAAATAAGGGGGCAAAAAAAGGCAGATTTGCTAAGATAGTGCTAAACTGAATGATGATATTCCTCGAAATAGACTTCTTCCTGGCTGGGGCAATAGGACTGAGCGCCAGTCGCCACACCGTGGGCTCTTCCTTCCAGCCTTGCACTGAACCAGCGATGACTGTTGATACGGCGGTAATTCAGGCTGTTCCCCATTTGCTCCAAAACCCATTCCAATACCCACGACCAATGGCATTCAAAGCTTTTAGTTGACATACTGAGAGAAGCGTGAAGGGTTCAATTATGCAAGCTTAGAGCGTTCCTTGCTTGCCTGATGTTATTCCTCAACAAGTCGCAAGACCAGTCACTGTTGCGATAGAGGTCGACAGAGGTGGACAAATCCAAAGAAATCAAAGAAGTCTCCAAAGTCTCCAGCTTCTCGTGTGCACGATCGAGTTTCTCGGCATGTTCGACGCTTGTGCCGCCCAGCGTTGCTAATCCCTCCAATGCTTCCTTGGCAGTCATAATCGCGTTTGCCACATCAGTGCGAACGCCGGCGGCCTCCGAGAGATAGAGATCCTTAAATTTCGGACTGGCATCCCGCTGTTCCATAAGCGTTCCGGCTACATGCAGGTCTCGTTGCTGAGCCGAGATTGTCTCGCGCCTCTCGATGATGTGCTTACGAGCCCGATGGAGGAGGTCACGAATGCGGCATTCGCAGAAGCTTCCAAGATTTATCTGCATCTCGGGCGCATCGTCATCCTTTTCCTTCTCCTGATCCGGCTGCTCCTGAGACTCCCCGTCCTCCGCCTCATCATTGTTCCATTCCTCTGCGCTTTTCCCTGATATATCATTCCGCTGTAATACACAAACGTTCTCGATTGTCCAGTTGGGAATCAGCCCGGACAAGTTCAGAGTGAGCGCCTCCCGGGAATTGTTCATAAGGATTCGCCGGATGCCGATGTCGCGGTGAACGTTCATTAACCTCTGCAAACTCGGACCTGGCTTCGTCCGACAATCGGATATCACCAAAACTTCGTCTCCCATACGCTTCAGTAGACGAAATAGATGTGGTTCGCAGCCTGCAAAAGTTCGTTCCAAAGTAGTGCCAGTGCTTTGCTGCAAGCATTGTCGAATGAACTCCAGATCTTTCATCAGGTTCTGAGAGAACCACCGTGATTCAGCGATTTCACCTAGAGCCCTAAGACTATCTTTGTCGAGCAACGACGGATGTGAAAGCAGCAGGCATGTTAACAACTCGATAAGCCTTGCGAGGAGTCCACGCTGCGCTGCAACCTCGATTGCCCCGAAGAGCCTCCCCAACGGGCCCCATTTAGCACGACTCAGTATTGCCGACAGGTTTTGACAAAGCGGTTCCAGTGTTTCACGAAAGAGTTTTTCGTAGTCCCAGTTGAATTTTTCCTTAAGGAAATAACCCCAGCGTCGTTCCTGCCCTCGGATCGCCAGAAGAAAAAGTCGAGTGGGTAGCACACAGCATGCGCGGCCGAGGGCTTCACCAGAAGTAGGGTAGCGATGACCTTTTCCATCAGGTCTACAAATGCCTGGCCATCAATGAAGTTGCCGGGATCCGATCCGTACGTTGTGAACCTAAATATGTCGTTGCAAACTCTACCAGACTACATCGTTCGTACGTGAGTGGTCATTGGTTTGATTGATGATGGACGAGGGGCACTCACCCTTTCCGAAAAGCGGTATATTTCCGAATAACGTCGGTTCCACCGGACCCATGGCACCGCCTGTGCTTTGTCGTTCGTGTTCAGCCATCGGAAAGAGTGCCAAAGGTAAAATGCTTGTGCGTTTGGAGAACCCCTTTCGGGTTTAGTCATGGATGCCAGTGCGTTGATTTTCGGGGCGCTGAAGCTGTGTTCGTAAAGCAAGAGAGCGCGGGATACGGTGGACAAATTCCGTAAGAGGGCTGCTTCATCAGTCAACGCCTTGTGATCTTCCAAGAGCGCTTTCACTGCTGGAGTCTGGAAATTATTGTAAACGACGGTCGGATCCACGCGCCAAGGCAGCACTGGATACAGCAGAGCCGAAACCAGGTGTAGCTCGATCAATTCTCTATAGGTCGTCGGCTTGCAAAACCCCGCTCGTTGAAAGGCTCTGAGCAGTTCAAGAAATGCAACGTTTTCAGCGAACATCTTGCGTGTTCGATCACATGTAAGCTGCCGCTGCCTCTGACTCGCCAGAGTTGTATTACCGCCAACGGACGGTGTGGCTGGCGTAGAAGTCAGCTCAGATAATTTCGTACGTCAAACTTAGTCTCTCGGCAAGTTTGACCATATGGTTCCGCAGCCACTGATTCGCAAGTTTGGCGAAATTGGAGATGGTCGTGTGCTCAACGTCGGCCGTCAAGAGACGGTTATCAAGCATTTGAAAGATTGCGGGGTAAATGCGGCAAAGATCCGGATTCTGCGGATTGCTCCTAATGCCGAAAAAGTGCTGACTTTGTGAGCGGAGTTGGCCAAATTTCCTGGAGTGCTCCAACTCCAGGATGAGGGTTGTCACACATCGAATTAGAAGCCCGGTATGCGGCACAACGTGCGCCCACTGTGCGTCCACGATAAGGCTAGATACAGCCCGGACGAGGGAAAACAGAGCGAGTGCCGCGATGCCGTTGTCCTCTTTCCATCTTTCCTGGATGCGTTCGAAGTGGCCCTCATTTGCGATGATCTGTCCCAGAGTGGCCTCTTCGAATTCTTGCGGAACGACCGAGGAGACCTCCCGAGCAACGGAAAGCAGTTGTTCGTCAGATTTTGCGCGTTCTGGTGCGAAAATCTTCAGAAAACTGTAACATCGAGCGCCCCAGAGAATCAAGTCGCGCGCCTCGTTCAAACGCGATTGAACGTCGGATGTGTTTGTAAAGCGGTCAGTCCGCAACGCATCCAAAGCCTTCTTCCAGAGTCTCTGCCGTACGAAGGTATGGGCGGCGGCCTCGACGTGACCAAGCTCAAGGTGGAGAGTCGCAAGCTGATCCCAGTATCCGTATCGCTGATGCAACAAATGGTTAAGGTGTTTGCTCAATCGGGATACACAAACCACGGGGTTTACCTCATAAAATTTTCGTTTCGACTCGCTCTCTGACATGTTCTCCACCATCTTAGCAACCATCGAGAAAGCCTTCTTGGTATGGTAACGTACGGCAAATCGGTGGCTTATGTCAGTCTTTAACTTCTTCGGGCATTTCGCAGACTTGGAGAGCCGAAGGAAATCCTCCACAAGCTCTCCTCTCAGACATGTCCGCATGGCATTTTCTAGATCGCCGTCTTCTTCAAAAGCATGCACCGCGCGTATCCATTTCTTCGCATCGAAATAGGACTGACCAGCGTCGGTCAGAAGATCGACTTTTTCAAACTTGCTGGCCGCGTCCAGGAATTTGGCGTTCGCTGCAGGGACGTCGCCAAGTCCTGCAGCTCGGAGGCCTTCGGCATAAGTCCTCTTCGCTATGCAAACGTCCACCTCTCGTGTATTGCGTGCATTTCGGAAAGATCTGAGAGCTTGGTCCAACATGTCTTTCTGTTTGAAAAAATGGCCACGGCTATTCCACTCGTCGACAGAACTTCTGCGAGCCAACGTGGCGTTGCTGGCATCCTCGGCGGTAATATAGGAAAGTGGGACACCAGAACGTTCCCAATAATCAAGCATGATCTCCCTTTTTTCCTTGCTCTGGTCGAAGAACCATAACCTTTTCTTCGCGCGCGTGACGGCCACATACAGGGTTTTGAGCTCGCATAACAGCGCGTGGTGCTGCCGTTCGTCAAACTCGGGCGCTTTGACGGGGCCCTTGCTCATTTGCCCGCCGATTCCGAGAAGGACACGCCAACTTCGAAAAGTGGAATCCTCGAAAAAGTTGAACAAGAGGACATCTTGGAACTCCAATCCTTTGGCTTCGATAATATCAAGAATCAACGTGTCAGGGAGAAGGGTTTCCACCAGCTTCCTCGATTTCTCGGTCCTCAAAATCACCACTTGCTCGGCCCCGAGAACGGCATCTTGATCGCCGGTCTGCTGCTCATTTTTCCCAAACAAAGCCCATCGCAGGCGTTCGGGCGATGTTTCTCGAAGGAATACGGGGATCGCACCTGCACACAGCGCGCTCTCCCTTTTTAACTTGTCAATCCTATACGGGAACAGCTTCACCAAGAGATCAACAATGCTGCTCCCAACATCCAAGATCCCCCAAGCTTCACGATCGTTCACAGGCTAGGCCTGTTCACCGCCTTTTAGATCAATATCTCCTTGTTTGGATTATCCAAAATCCCCGTATGCGTCTATAATTACGTTGGATAGTTTTGCGTCAAGGAATGTATCGGGAAGGCGTCGGACATTCTGCCGCGATTATTGCCATGTGCTGAAGCTTTGTGGGAAGATGCCGTCGGTTGCTTGCGAAGAAAATGTGGTATGTAATCATTGAATAGAATATGCCGCAAGGTTTCGAACCGGAAGCCCACACCCGAAGTGATTGTTTGGGCAGTATCGCCCGCAAAACAGAACCCATCAGGATTTCGACATAGATATTTGAGCAAGGTTAGTTGCGCTTCGGTCAGATCTTGGACCTCGTCGACGTACATATAATCGACTTCTGTTGCCTTCAGCTTACGGATCAGTTCTTCCCCTTCATGGTCTTTCAGCTTGTGCCCTTGCAACTGTTGGTATATAAACGCCACAGCATCGTGAAGGTCGTAGTGGCGGCGTTCTCTCTTTATATTCTCGTAGGTTTTGTAGCTGTCATATACACTCTGCCGTTCTTCGGTACTGGCGGTGGAACTTCTCGAATTAGCCAGCTCAAGGTAAGCGCCTTCTGAAAGAACCCGAGCTGGCTCAAGAAGCGCTGCGCCGGACCCTTTGATGACGGAGGTGTATTCCGTCCAGAGGAATGCAGCGGAAAACCTTTTCGTCACTTGAGAACTCAAGTGCGGGTAATAGAAGAGCTCGAATTTTCCGAAGTCCATTTCTTTGGCGGGGATGGAAGTGCTGTTAGTACGAGATACCAGGCTTTCCAGATCTCTCGCGGCTTCCTGCATGCGTGGTTGGAAGAATGAAGACGGCGTCACATTGTCAAGTTCGAGTAGGCACTGGCGAAACGTTTTGAAGGAAACTGCTTCGTTCAAGCTATCCGACCAATCGCAGTCTTCATAAGACCCAAGGAGCCGAGCATAGTAGTCTTTCATGGTGTCGCAGAGCCGGGAGCTCACGGTGATCATAAGTTGACGCGGTATGCCATCATGATGTTCCGTCTCGAATATCTCGGGGTTTTCGAGGTATGGGACGTGGCGTCGACACATCTTGTAGAGACAGACCGTGGTCTTTCCCGTACCACTTCGTCCGATGATCAACATGTTATGTTCGTCAGAAACGACTGCTTCTTCCTCCGGGCTTAACCCCAAAGGCAGCTCGACGTTCGCCAGCCGCCCTTCCTTAAGCATTGCAATGTGTGTATTTGTCAGGTGATGCGATCGAACGTAGCTCATCAGGTCATCGAGCCCCTGCAGATCGAGTTCTGGACTGATCGTATCTGCGTCTGAGCGGAAAGCGGCGAAAGGGCGGCTGCCACGCCATTCCCGTTCAAATTCTCGCGGTAAATAGATCGTATGCTTCCCGTCGATGATCTTGAGCGGCGACCGGCATTGCTCTAGGATGTCCGGAGTCAAACGGTCTGTGAGACACTTGATTTTCTGGAGTTCCGGGCATCTGTGCGCCGAGTTGACAATAGCCCAGATCTTGATGACTTGGGTAAATTGGTTTTTCTTCGCATCCAAGTACAAACTCCAGAAAACTTGCAGATCTCCGACTCGTAAAGTTTTCAGAAAGCTATCGCCCTCTACTTTTCCCATCTCGCGAAGATTCCATTGACCACGGATTAGGCGCACAAGCGAGCGGATCAACTTCTCGTTGCGGTTATGCGCCTTTAAAAACTGCAGAGCAACGTTGCTGACTTGTAAGCTCCAAGGACAATCGCTTCCCATCGAAGGGAAGGTGTTGAATCCGTCCGAACCATTGCCGCCTTTTGCTGACCGTACGAGAACCTTCTGCAAAGTCTTGGCTCGCTCCCTTTTGTTGACGAGAGAAGCGAGCGCGACGTTCGAGGGTATGGTCGCAGGTCGCGGCTTGTCCCCCGCATCAAGCCCCTCCGCTTCCTCACGGCCTAACATGCTTTGAAAACCAGCTGGTGGGATGCAAGTTTGCCTTTGGTTGTTTTTGGCGAGCCAAGTTAGGACACGATAACGTACTGTGGCACCGTTGACGAAGACTGGGAGTTATTGTTGTGGGTGATTTTCGCTCAGGGGTGGTTGCTTCCGGTACAGGTACGTACTCATGGGAAAGTGCGCGTTTTTGAGAAACCGCCGACCTGAGACCGCCAGGTCGCCGAAATTGTGGAGATGCGGGACGGGCATCGGCGCAGGCCGGGGAAGATCGGGGGCATCTTGGAAGACAAGTGCAATTGACGCGTGCGGCCGTTTGCTCCCTCACAAAATGTGTGGAAGGTCACGATTCGTGAACAATTACAGTACTGTATTTTGAAGCATGTCTTGTCGCGGACATAGCCTACGGTCTCACCATTACCGTTTCAGAAAAAGGTCCTAGAAACAGACATGGCGACTACGGGTTGTAGTCAGTCGAGTACTCGCTCTGAGTGGAAGCCCGAAACTATGACACGACGCATATCATCCTATGTGAGGCCTAGGCTGCTGTTCAATGGTAGACTCCTTCACTGCCTCCGAACCCGGTAGGTACAGCACATGAATCCAAACGAACAAGGTCATGGATGGGGAAACGTCTTGTTGTTGATCACACGTATCAGTTCACCCATGATGTTGTGCATCGAAATCTGATATCGCATCAGCTCTCTGCATGAATGATCAAAGTCTGGTGAGAAGTCGCTGGTACTGCACCATATGCAAGAGCGTAAGGGATCACCCACCTCGGCGGAAGCTCACATAACTGCCCAGTCTTACTCTTCAACAAGTCCAGCACGGCGGCAAAGGTGATATCTTCGTCGTCCACAGCCTCTTCCGACTGGGGCGCTTCGAGCTGACGGATAGGCGTTTGGTTCGCATAGGCGTCCTGCGTGATTGTTGTATTCGGGCTTGCTTGGGCTGACGGCGTGGGTGTTTTCAGGCTGCCGGTAGTGTGCGATCCCTCCGAGGTGTAGTCGGCATGGCTTGGACGTGATGGCGGCCGAGCGCTTTCTTTCTCTTCGAATTCCATAGGTTCTGCTAGCTGTGACTGTGACCGGTCCAGCCCGTTATACATCTTGATGGGCATAACTACCGTGTCTCGGCGTTTCTCCTGCGGGTACACTGATCAGCTTCAATAAAATGGTTTGCCGACTTTCAAACGGTCGTACCATTTGCCGTGGTGTTAGGATGTTCTCCTCGTTACTCGCTGGTCTGCGCTTCTTGTCTGCGATCGGCACATAATCCACATCTACCGGGGCGTGGATGCGTCAGTGGAAGATACGTAGAACGGCCGTGATCATTGCACCTTACTTTTGTCATCTTGGCTGTTGTGATCTGAGAGAATGTTCGAATCGGAATGCGCGCGTTCTTGCCCGTCACTAGCCATCTTGTCCATCAGCATTTGGGCCCTCATATGTGACCCCTTGGCCGGAGAATCGTCCGGTCCTGTCGTGGACTTTTTCGCAATTGGTCAGTGATGGGCTCCGAAGACGACGGAGTGGGGTCGACATACATGTGTGGAAAGGTTGACCGCCAGAGCCTGCAAATACTCCTGTCCTTTGCAGTGGGCGGGAAGCATTCGTCGTATGTTGTCGATAAGTTTCATACACTTCCGTGCCTGAGCGTACTTTGCTTGCCGCTGGCCCAGGGGGCTCGGCTGCGCTCTTTGCAGCCCTGATATTCTAAACTTGTCTGCTAGCTGTTGTGCCACTGGTGCGACGAAAAAGTTCCGGTGAGGCCCGAGCTAAACCCTTACATTGCAGGTATGCTACTCACGTTCAACCACCGCATCCCTTTGCAGGAAGTCCCAAATCAGGTTGAGCCCAGCAGATAATGCCACCAGATCGTCATCTGATTGTTCCATACGTGCGTTGATGTATTGCACCACGTGTTCCCACACTTGACGTGCTTTACGGCTGAGCTGAGGACTTTATGATCAGCATACGAGGTGCGCTACCAAATGCCAGTTCGGGGCTCTCACCTGAGGAGATGCAGCGCACCGACTCCCGGAAAGCTGCAGAATCGAAAATATAATACGAAGATCCTCCATAGTCCAAGATGATGGCTCGCCATTCGCTCGTATTTGATTTAGGAAAATCGCGAGCGGCTTCTTATCGATATCGCGGAACGCCTGCCGAGGGTCCACAGGTCTATCAGGCGGTGAGCCATCCGGTCCGACTACGGTATAGAAGACCGCCATCAAGAATGCGTCGATCAGGCGAACATCGTTGCGTATCAGTTTCGCGACCGGTTCGACGGCTGTTTTCATGAACGTCTTTGTTGTTGGGTATCGGCTCAAATGCATCAAGAGGAATAGATACGTTCGAAAGCATTCCATGCGGATTGCTGAGCTTTTCTCGAATTGGAAGGTGCTCATCAGTGGGACTAGTACCAGACACGAGCGTTTGTAGTTGTTGATGTGATCTGGTGAAAGTACGCTGGCATGAGCTTTTGCCCAAGCAGACGGGCAGTGAGCGATGCGTAGTACCATGGACGGCAAAATTGGCAATCAATCGCCTCCAAGCCTTGTGAGCTTGGAGTCTTTTCCCCTCCACCTTGCTGTTGAAAGCGGCCTGATTTGATTCGAAGTAAGCTTGACCAGTTTTGCAGTTTCCGAACATATCATAACCCCGGTCGCCTTACCTCCAAAACTCGCAGCAACGCGTTAAGGAGCGGAGTCTTATGCAGTGCTGATCCAAACATCACAACGATGAAGCCCCACGCGGTCGGCATATAATCATCTTCTTCATGTTCCCGCAGCATGTCCAGTAATACAGGCAGAACTCTCTTTCCTAGAGCCTGAACAACAAAAACCTTCATCCCCTGCCCTGGTCCATTTTCACTGCCCCGCAACGAGCACACTGGGTACCTTTATATCGGCTTCGTTTTCAGAGCGTAGCGCGATGAAGACCTCGACCAGTTGGGGAAAAAAGTCTGTCGCTAGGACATATCTTCCTTCGGCGTTTGATAGTAATGATCTGAAAGCTATATATGGTTGCTTAGAATCTACACTGAGTGAAGAGTATTGAAGGTCGGCTGAGCCTACCTTTTGTGACCCAGACGTCGGCCATGGTCACTGCCAGCTTCGGGTCCTCCGCAAACGCCTCCTTGACGCTCTCGCATGCACCACGAACTGCGGCATCGTCCCGAGAGAGAGAGTCTACGAAAGCGGTGAGAGCAGAGGTGGAGGTATCGCCAATCATTATCGTTGCCGTTCTGATTCCGGGGGTCTGAGAAAGGGGGCCTGCTCATTCATGTCGACCGTCTTTGTGTCCGAAGGGCCCGGACGCGTTTCGCATGAGCTTTGGGTTTTTGGTCATAATCTCCGCTGACGGACACTTGAGAGCCGCTCAAGACCTACAGTACTGTAATCGAGTCCGTGACCTCGCTGCTTCGGTCAACCCTTCATGAGCGCAAGCAGGGTCAGCTTCTCGTCTACCTTTACCGAGAAACATCTTACGAATACTTTCTATCGCCTCCGTCGTCGACCTGACTTGGCCTAATACCCTGCATGGGAATTGAGCTGCACAACACCGCTTTGAAGGGTTGCCATCCATTCTCGAGGATTTCTCGGACGGGGTGGACAACGTAGACGCCGTAGAGCGCGGGCATGCTGTTTTCGACAGAACCAGAATCGTGAGGATTGATCCAGATGATATTGTCCGTCATCAAAGGCGAAAGGGACGATTGGTATTTTGCAAAGAGCATCTCATCTGGTTCATCTGGTGCACTCGAATCTATCTATCTCATCATTTGACCGAGAAGGATGCGCTAGATAGATATCTGGTATTCTGGGGTGCTGCGGCGGACTGTTCCTACAGGGAAGGGAGGTATCAGGGGCGGAGTTTGACTTCTGTTCTGGATTCCCAGTGGGATTCCGAACATTCCTGCCGCAGAAGGGCGAGAGGGGCTGAGCACTTTGCAGGCTGCGGCGTCATGCTCAGAGGCAGAAAAAAAAGGGGGAGCGAGCGACCCTTGATGAGGCTTCCTTTTAAGTCCACAGTCGTCTACTGCGTAAGGTGTCGGTTCCGCGAACCACGGCCTCACATTCCATCGCTCTTACAAGTTACAAGTAACAGTAACTTCTCTAACTTCTGCAAAAGTGTTCCATCATGTCAGTAATCCTCCACTTCTTGATGCCCTGCGATGCCTCATTAGTTCCTATGCTTGACGGGGTTCTGAAGTTGTTCAGCCGGAGATTGACATGGATATGATATTTGTGTTCACACTGTGGCAGTGAGTTGGCCGCAAGACCGACACCTACTGTAGGACTTGCCCCTTTGATTATTATTGGCGTATCATGTTCTATCCAGGTGTCACAACGACTGGGAAAAGGCGGTCTGTGCACATGCGTGACGATCCTCCGAGGTTACCGACGCCGGTCACAAACTCCGTTTTTGGAGCGGGCCTCAGCCCCTCCTTGATTTTCAAAGATCTCCGGCGTTGCCCGACCACCGAGTCCGCACGATCGGCCGTCAATCCTTTTGCCACAACGGCCAAGGAGCACTTGGACGCGTTTGCGAACCGTCATGAGAGAGATTGCCGCTCAAAAAAGGGCTGCCACAAAACGGCCGGGGGGTTTTGTGCGATAGCAAACTTTTGCGAGACGTGGCCTGGCCTTCAAGTTTTCCCCCACAGTGCACAGATAGTGTCTGGGACTGCCAAGTGGCATGCGTCTGAACAAGGGACGACGGGGACGGAAAGGGGCCTACTTGTATGGAATATGGAGGACGGGGGAAAGTTCCCTCGAAAAGGCTCATCCCGCCTGGTATAAAGCTGCCAGACCTGTTGTCTTCACCTCCTTCGGCTCTTCAAGCACATATATGTATACATGCTCAATCATTCGGCAGCTACGACTCAAGTCCAGAAACCGGCGCTGATTTTCTCAACAAAGTTAAATCACACATTAGCTTGCAATCACGATGTTTCGCCGTGGGTCTTTAGCAGTTGCGGCGCTCAACTTCGTGCGTGCGGCGTCGATTCTTAAAGGCGCCGATCTTGATGGAGAATTCAAAGTCGTCAGCGACAACTCTGGGGTAGTCGGTGGTATGTACAGATGTTTGCGCTGGAAGTTGATGGACGATCCATTATATAACACTTTCTTACGCTGATTGTCCGATGCCTAATCTCTTCTAGTGCACATGTCCCTTCTTCCGGGCAACAAGCTTCTTCTATCAGAACGTTTCCACGAAGTCCCATCTGAATGGCTCGGGCCGCGTTACCCAAACGGCGATGCCAACGTGATGTGGAACGGCAACCAAGACCAGATGCAGTGGGCAGCAACCGCAGACGTCTACAAGCCCAACAAGAACCTCGTGGGTGTTCCGCTGACGGACACCGCCGAGTTCGATATCAACACGAACAACTTCACGATGATTGCATACCCTGCCTTGAGTGGCGACGAAGGATACGCGTTCTGTAATGGAGCATCGCAAATGCCAGACGGTGGGATCATGGTCGTTGGAGGTGATCAGAAGTATGGAATGACACTGAGAGGTGTCAACTACACCAGGTAAGCTGCGACCGCACAATGCAACAACTTGACAAGCTGGCAACTCATGATATATTGGAGTGACGGTCGTCGTGACATTCGCGTATACAAGAATGGCGCATATACGAAGGTCGCCGAGATGAACTGGGTAAAACCAGACAAGACCTTCACCGGCCGATGGTATCCAACGGTAATCGGACTTCCCAACGAGAACATGATGATCATCGGTGGCCAGAAAATCTACTTTGAGCCTAACGAGCCTCGGGCGAACAATCCGACCTATGAGATATATCAGGGCCCGGGCCAAGTCGCTGCGCCTGTCAATGTGTCCATCCTGCAAAAGAGCTTCGTAAGTCATGAGTGGCACCGACGAAACACCATCTCTTTTTGACGATGTTCTAAATCTGCCATCTACTGCAGCCCATCAACATGTATCCCATCTCATACGTCATGCCAAAGACTGGAAATATCTTTGCTTTCGCCGGCAACCAGTCCGCGATTCTGGACATCGCCGCCAAATCTGAGACACCCCTTCCCCAGTTACCTAATGACAACATCTATCCTCGGAGCTTCCCTTTCGCCGGCACGAACTTCCTGCTACCTCTGACCAAAGCGAACAACTACACGATGACCATTTGGGTGTGTGGAGGAGTTGAGAAATCAACGGCAGCGGACGGCCCTGCGTGGTACTCCAATTGCTCCGGATGTAAAGGCGCCAGTCAGTGCTATCATATCGATCCTGAGAGCGATAACCCGCAATGGACCCCGGAAAACATGATCGAAGGTCGCTCGCAACCCATCGCCGTCAGCCTTCCTGGTGAGTTTCTCGTACGTGCATACATTCGTGGTATTAGCTTCTGAACCACCTCCCTGCTTTCAGACAGCACAATTGTAATTCTTAACGGCGGTGCCATCGGACATCAAGGAGGCAACGCTGGTATCCCAATCGGTGGAATATCGCCCACGAACCGCGCTATGATCTTTGATCCCAGCCAGCGAGACCCCGCCCTTCGCTGGCGGTTAGGTGCGACCGCAACGGTTCCGCGTCAATATCACGGTTCTGCGCTGCTTACGACGTATGGCTATGTGATTATTGGGGGAAGTGACGAGCAGAACTTTGGGAACACAGTAGCCGATTCTCGCAAGGACCCGTACGAGATGCGGCTTGAGGTCTATTACCCTTCGTACTTCAAAATCCCCAACCGTCCCGCACTCGATTTGACTAGAGCACCCGCAAGTGTTCATTACGGTCAGAAGTTCCTCGTGCAGTTCACCGATGATGTCGGAGCAAACATCTCTTCCGTGAACTTCATCAAATACGCCACCTCCACCCACACAATGAACAACGACCAACGCCTGGTTGAACTCAACATCGAGAAGTATGGCAAAAACAAGCTGCTCGTCACCACTCCTGCCAACTCCAGGATTGCCACGCCAGGGAATTACATGCTGTGGGCTATCGACAACCGCGGCGCGCCAGTAATGCAGGCGGCAACAATCAACCTTCGGGCTTCGAACGCTGGCACGGATGTGACGTGGGACGATGCGGACACGGTACAGCCCGCAGCTCCTCCATCGGCGCAGCCTGGTTGGGGAAGCACGAACCCGAACCCTGCCAACAGGACCAATAGCGATGCGTCAAACTCGGCAGGCAGAACAAGTCCTGTCAGTGTAACTACTCTGATGACTTTGCTGTTCTTGGGAAGTATGTTTATGTAGAGACATTCGCGACTAGTTGCATATTGGCGTAGGACATTTTCTGCTTGTATATATTCACTTTGCCTCTGGTAATTACATATCACCCCGATCTTTAATGTCCGTGTCAGCGGAAGCCTGGTGTTGGGGTAGATCTAAAGTTTACCGGTATGGGAATGTGTGATCACTACGGCTGCAACGCTCTCGTTGCGATGCGTGAAAATCAAGGATGGCGGAAGAAACACTTGTCATCTCAGGACGGTGGACCAACCGGAACCTCCGTCTTGAGCTCCCTGATCTAGAGGCCATTGCGCGCAATGCATGCCACCTTCACACTTATATGGGGAGAGAGTATGGGCGATGGCCCCATCAAAGAGAACGGCAGAGCGAGAACATCTGTGAGATAGCATCAGATAGGAGCGAAAGACATTGCTGTAATTTTGTTCCACATGATAGTTTCGGTTGAACTATGTCATCATCATGCGCGATATCATAGATGTTCTGCTCATTGACAGTCCCCTCAGTCCACCAGAGCGCAAAGCTCACAACGGGAGCTGCAGTGGGTACGTTGAGGTAGAGTAAACCAGTGATGTGTTTGCGATGGGAAAGCACAGACACGCATCCCAAGGTTGCGACAGACAGATTCCTGGTACCCTTCCCAACTGAACCCACTCTGACTCCCATGCGCATAACGCAACAACGCTGAACTCGAACCCATTTGGGCAATGTAACCAAAGGACCCGAGATCGCCTTGCGTTGTAGGGAACCAAGTCAGACGGAACCCACTGCCCCTCCTACCGGGTTGGAATATCCCAGAGGCGTAATCTTCAACAGGAGCGGAGAGCCCCGAAGGACTCTCAACGACTCCCCACTTCGTGTTGGGCAGAGGCTCTTCGTCTCATCATCCTTGGTGATATGTGCGGCTTTGTTAGAAAACAAAGCGAGGTACGATGAACTGCATAATATGATCCTGTAGTGGAAGAGAGATTGGTGAATACGAGGCCATATCGAAGGCGGATTTGAGCTGTGTGGTGCGTGAAGGTATGGGAGACCTACCTTATGAGTATCGTCGATATTTTTGAAAGAGGTGGATGCAAGAGGGTGCTTCCTTATATACCATTGGCGGGATTCTTGTGCGACGCGAGCGGAATGGGAAGAAAAGCCAAGTCACGTGATCCGATGTTCCTCGACCGACCTCCCAGTCAACCCTCTCAAGGAACTTGAGAGCCCTCTCTCGTATGGAGTGCATCGGTGAAAGAGGATTCGGGTCAAATGTGGCTGGAATCCCCTATGCGTGATATGTCTCGCCTCCGTGTCTCCTGAGTGAGTCGGGGGGAATACAAACCGCATCTATCCTAGTTTGCAGGGGCTGGCATTTTCTTGGCGGATCGGTGGCTTCCTATTCCTCTCTTTGTGAATGCACGATACGAGGGTACGCCCATTGAGTAATAGACGAAATATAGAGAGGTGAAATTTGTGCATTGTACGTCCGATCCCCAGTGGTCGGATCGCCCGCAGGCGAAGGCCGATTCAAAGTGATTGCGTCCACAGTCGGTGAGCTCCATCCTTCCGGAATACTACCTCTGATAAGGTCTGGCATTCATTGCCATATTAGACTTCACCGGGGCAGTCAGTTCCTGACGCCAAGCACAGCACCTGTGCTGTTCAATGGAGCCCGTTCGCACAAGCCTTTACCTTAAGGCTTTGTTTCGAAGAATTCAAGCTCCTGCCCGCGGACGCAAGGCATTGCCGGAGGCTCAAGGTACCGCCTCTAGGGGAAAAGTGTGAAGACTGCGGCGAACTGGAGTTTCATGCCTTTGCAAGCAGGAACGCTTCCTGCTTTGACGTGGACTTTTTCGAAAAGTAAAAGTTACGCTTTGGCGCTAAGATCAACTGTCAATTCACCGCGCTGTCGAATTGAGCGGAATGGAGGACCGCAATCCAGACGATTAAAAGCCCTGCACCCGAACAGCGAACCGACAACGATGCAGAGGCATATTTAGCTACTTTCCCCCCTCTACAGGGGATCTTGGAATCCCTGGTGCTATATCCGACGACCTAGAATCGCGCCGGAGGCGAATGGAGGTCCCGTCGGGACCATGCGGACATGGGTTGAAGGGTATAAATTCAAAGAGACTCAACGACGCTTTCGAGCATGTTGTGAACTAAGGAATTCCTCTTTCGACCCGTTGTACTGCAAGAGAAACTCAATCGAACGTTCAACCTCCACTTCACAAGAACCATGGGTCAACTTATAGAGGTACGCTTCCAGCATAGCGATTCTCCGCGGCGAGTATATATGTACAAAACCACTTTTCTTCCTTTCCGTCTGCGTATGCCTTACAGCCGCCGACTTCTCCGGCTGAAAGTTTACTGGAAGCTGCTATAACAATGTCAACCGGCGCCAACCATGTTCGTGAGGAACGTACGGCAGCTGCACCCGAAATCATCAACAAAGTCACATCCAACAACAATTCCACATCAAGTTCCCTCCAACCCAACGGACACGAGCCTCGAACCGTTTACGACTTACTCTTCACCTTGTCACCTGATGTCGACACGTTAACGGCACTGAAAAAGCAAATCGCAGTGCCCCACGACGGCACAGCGAAGCGCATTTTGGTGACCGGCGGATAGCGGGTTGGAGATTGTGGAGCACGATGTTATTCGTAAGTTCCAAAGGAGACGATGCCCTCTTTACTTGCCAGTTGTGGGTACTGATGCGGAGTTGTTCGCTGTAGATCCCTACTTCGCACAAGTGGACCAGGTATTCCCTCTCGCATGCCCCGCTTCACCGCCGCACTATCAGAAAGATCCCGTGAAGACCATAGAGACCTGCACGCTGGGCACGTTGAACATGCTCCGATTGGCCCAAAAAGCGAATGCTCGCTTCATGCTTGTCTCGACGTCGGAGATATACGGCGATCCGTTGGAGCATCCTCAAAAGGAAACTTACTGGGGTATGTGAGGGCATGATGTGTTGCTCTGGGTTCGCCTTTGTGTTACTGACTCAGCGGATTGCATGTTATCCCTCGTCTCAAAGGCAATTGCAACCCGGTATGTGATGGCTGCCATTCGTGGCCTCAAAATTGGAGCGAACGGCTAACATACGACATTTTTCGTCAGATCGGACCACGAGCCTGCTACGACGAAGGCAAACGTCTCGCTGAAACGCTCACCTATGCTTTCGCCACGGCCCGCTCCCTGCAAGTCCGTGTCGTGCGTCCCTTCAACACCTTTGGTCCGCGGATGAATCCCAATGATGGTCGAGTAGTGTCCAACTTCATCACCCAGGCACTACGCGGCGACGACCTCACAATCTACGGCGAGGGCGAGCAGACGCGCAGTTTCCAATACGTGCCCGACCTCGTTGACGGGTTTGTTGCGGTAATGGAGGGGGACTGCGCCGAGCCGATCAATCTAGGAAATCCGGAGGAGTATACAGTCCGGGAGCTGGCCGAGATGGTAAGGCGGTCGGTGAATGAGAAGGTGCGGATTGTGAATAAGGACGCGAACGTAGATGATCCCCAAAAACGAAAGCCGGATATTTCGCGGGCGAAGGAGAGGGTGGGGTGGCAGCCGAGGCATAGCTTTAAGTATGGGCTTGAGAAAACTGTGGAATTCTTTTAACGGCAGATGGCCAGAAGTTCGTAGACAGCTTAGATAAAAAATATATAGTATAAAGCGAGTAGTTCGCAAGCAGAAGAATATCGATAGAGACATCCTTCTCGTTGCACCAATGGACACGGATCTTCGTCGGACATCAAAAAGAATCTCTCAATGTTCAACCATACTTGCCAAACGATCCGAGCACAGACCCAAACAATCGCATTCACGGCAAGAGCGGTCAAGAAGAGAAGGTACTATTTTGGAAGCATCCAATCATATTCCAAAACGTATGTGCAGATATTTACAAGATACAGTGATATGGGACATTAATCGCTAATTAAGAGAAAACTACGACTAACGTTTTTAACGAGGAGAGGCCATGTGGGCGCCCATGGCGGGACCGGCCATGGGGGCGCGGTGGGGGTGGATAGCAGCGCTGGAGGATTCGCCTGACGCAGCAATACGCTGACCCTGGCTGTTGTAACCCTGCTTAGCACCGTTCACGGCGTGGTTGAGGTGGACCTTGGCGGAGTCCAACATGCCCGACGACTGCTTTGGCACGGGGTTGCCGTATGCGTCGGTCGTGCTGGCCATTGGTGCAGAGCGGCCGGCATCGGGGTGAAGGAGAGTTGCAACTTTCCCAACCGCGGATCCGACCATGTGGCCGGCCTTGTGGGAGATGGGAAGGCCGGAGTTCAGACCCTCTCCGGCGGGTTCGCTGGAAACGGTACCTTGCTGGGTATAACCATGGTGGTTGTGAGTGTCGGCGACGGAAGGGTTGGTGGAGTGCTGTACGTGGTGGGTGTTGGGGTGGTTGGGCTGGAGAGGGTTCTCGTTGGTGTTGTTACCGTAGACGGCAGGCTGGGATTGGGGAAGAGCGTGGTCGGCGTTGGCAGATCCGGTTTGGTAGGCAGTGGCAGACATTTCGAGATCTTGTGTTTTGGATTGGATTGGAAGAGTGTTGGGGATGTGAGTGCTTTGCAGCGAGTTGTGTTTGTGTAGTCAGTTTGTTTGTGTGTGTGCTTCAGTGAAGGCTGTTGGCTGGGAAAGGATGGCTGCGAGCATCCGTCCTTTTATAGAATTCTGGGGACGGAGGAGGACACCATCGCCAAGGGAGAGTCCCTCCCCTTGTGGCAGGAATCCCGCACAGCCTACATACGCATTACGACATAGACTCCGCCTGCCACCGACAGTCGAGGAAGCCGGAATCACAAGTTACAACCCACGTCACTTGCTGCGTCTGCTTCCTACCCCTTAGTCACCTAGTGGGTCGTCAGTCCACAACAATAACGCACAGCCGGGGGACATCACGACTTCATCACTAAGCCTTCGTACCGAAAAAAACGGACAACCATCCTCGCACCGTTCCCAACAGTGCCAACCCGCCAATATTCGCTCGCAGACTCCGAGTCGCAGCTCATTTCCCGTTGGCGTCCAACGCGATCTCAGCCATCAGAAGATCGCACACAAAAACGGTCATTCGTCATGAGGTTCCTTCTCGCATTCCTTCTCGCATTCCTTCTCGCAAGTTCCTTCGGCAGCAGGGTCGATCGTGGCAGCCGACACATGTTGCTTGGATGTTGGAAGACTACTACCACGCAGAGCCTCAATACGTAGCGGCCAGAAAATGTTGGGCATGACATCATGTAATACTGTCAATCGCGTTTTGCACAGCCACCCAACTGTCATTCCGTCAAATTTGCCAGACGATGTTCTGTGACGATTCCCAACGGAGGGCTCCTCAGGCTCCGTGCGTTTCTGTCTGATGATTACAGGATTCAATTCAGGACCAGTTAGAAAAATGGATGTGCCTGGGCAGAATATTCGTCGCCTGTTGCGAGCCACTGGCATTGCCGCCGTGTTTGGTACATATATGTACAATGTCCATGTGGGCAAACCACCCTCCAATGCGGGATACGGATGGGAGGACTTCGTCGTTCCACCCCGAAGACCTGCACATTCGATGCAGGAACGCATTGCAAAGTGCTCTGTACATGTGAATCCTTTTTCATCACAGCAGGGCACAAAAACATTTGTTGAGGCCCTAAGTTAACTCCTTGCATGCAGCTGTGACGGTTGTTGAATGATACCGAGCTGGACATGGGCACCTTTGTGGTCTGGATCAAACAAGAATCCAATTCATAGCCATCGCCTCGAGAGTCCGATAGTAGAAGCAATCTCACGATATTTATCGATGCCCTTTGCCATCATCAACTCTCCGCAGGACTCCCATGGCGGGTTCGTCTGAAGACTTTGCGGTTGGGTTGGGTCGTTTTGTCTGATGAGCACCGTCCCGCCTTTGGATTGACTCTTTGCATAAGTAGATGGGTGGGTGATCCTGGGCACGCTCGTGGCGACCAGCACCAGCCGAAGAACGGCAGCGCGTCGCTCTACAAACCTTTGCATCAGCAGAAACTGCCGGTTTCGCAGGTACTGCACAGTACAGTCCGTGAACTTGCGACGGTCTGATTGAGTTCGCTTTCTCGGCGCGCGTTCGTGTTTGCGTACGATTGCGCTTGCTGATGCCTTGCGTGTTTTCCGCTGTCTGCAAGACTTCCACCTTCTGAACAGGCAGTAGCCCATACACAACTGAAAAAGCACTTATACCGTATCTATCCATCGGCCTATCCTTAGAGCTGCATCCCCTCCGCCGTCGCTTATAGTGCAGGTTGGTCTCTCGTTCAGAAGGTTCTTGTTTGTTCAAGCGGAACCTCCATCTAGGTGGGCTGTGGTAACTCGGAGCTCACGTCCGTCGTTCGTGTTTCTTCCCATGCAGTTCGATAACAGCAAGAGGAAAGAGCCGCTGTGCAGGCCTTGAAACCCTCCGGACTTGGTAGTCTTTTCTGCAATTACCCGCTGCAGGACAAACCGGACGCCATCCCGTAAGTACCGGAACGCGACGTGTTCGAAGCATTTGCCTCGAAATCGCTTCCTGCTCCGATTACAACGCGTGCTGGCCTTCGTTGGTCTTACGCTCTGTTTTGCGTTTCTCTTCCTCCAGCAAAGGGACTTGTGGAACGCGTCCCTTTCGGCCGTAGCATAGTGGGGAGGACGTGATGAAGACGTTGTCCAAGGGTGAAGAAGGAATGTCTCGGTTAGACGCGAAACGGCAATACTATCAGCACGGCCAGGAAGATATAATGTCTGGACCCTCCGGGACGTCTTCAAGTCGCCTGAAGATTGTGCCAGAAAAGCTATCCTACGAGATTGACTCGTGGTCAAGTCATTCAGCTAGTTATCATCCGAAAAACATCGCAGTCAACAAACCACAGGATCAGTCGTCACGATGGTCCAGCGGGAGCAACAACCAGATGCAGCACATCACCATCAAGCTGGACAAATTGTCCATCGTGCATACCATCACCTTTGGAAAATACCATAAAGTGCACGTGTGCAATTTGAAGGAATTCAAAGTTTTTGGAGGGTTATCATCCAACAACATGATCGAGCTGCTTCATAGCGGCCTGCGGAATGACAGCGAACCGGAAACCTTTTCGTTGAAGCACAAAGCGAATGATGTGGTCTTTCCTTGTCAGTACATCAAGATTGTACCGCTGCTGGCCTGGGGTGCCAACTTCAACTTCAGCATTTGGTATGTGGAGCTTCGTGGAATTTGCCAGCCTGAGATTGTGGAAACGGCGCATCGGGACTACATAAATGTACGTTCGCATATGTCGCTCTGGAGCGTCCCCTTTCGTGTCTCACTAACAATTCTATGCAGTATCGGGAGAACGAAGTCATCCGATTATGTATGAAGCACTTCCGCCAACGGGCCCATAGAGAAACTTTCGAGTCGCTCCAAAAACGGACACGAATGCAGCTAGAGGATCCGCTGCTCACGGAACTGCATAATCAGCTGGTGGTGCATAGGAATTTTACTATGGCGGAGGAGCTGATACGCCAGGCCGTGGACCGAAATCTCTTCCAGGATTATATCAGCGAGTGCATGTACCGTCCTATCTGGAAAAAAATCACGCCGTCAAATACTGGTTAGTTTACGAATTTCTCTTGTGAGCCTCGAGACACGGGGATTGACACGGAATCTTCCGATCTCAGATGACGAGACGCCTTGTATGAGAGGAGGGCATCAAATGGCCATCGATCCAGATAGTGGCAAGGTGTATCTGTTCGGTGGTTGGGACGGTTCGAGAGATCTATCCGACTTCTGGGCTTTTGATCAGGATTCACGACGCTGGCAGTGCATTAGCTTGGACACGAGACGGTACTAGCGGTGTTGATCAAATATATGTGGAGAATGAATCAGGGGCTGATCCAATCTTCCACCAGACAAGGGGGTCCCGGTCCACGGTCTTGTCACAAAATCTGCTTCGACCCCAAAGCCAAACAGCTGTATACCTTGGGACGGTATGTCGATCCGGACAGCAGACCAAACGTCAACCTGGAAAGTGATTTCTGGAAGTTTGACGTGATCAACGCAACATGGACCCGTCTGAGCGTCAATACTGGGGTACGGAATTCTAAGCTCATAATACACTGCTAGGCCTATTCCCACTGACTTTTCCTTCCCAACAGGTTGAGGGTGGTCCGGAATTGATTTATGATCATCAAATGGTCGTTGATTCGGATACCCAGGTGCTCTATGTCTTCGGAGGTCGCACGATTGGCCCGGATCCAAATCAGATAGTATATTCTGGACTGTACGCCTACTCCATATTGCAACACCAATGGAGGCTAATCCGCACCGACACCTCGCAACCCGAACACTCGATACAACTGAAATCCCGTATCGGGCATTCAATGCTGCTCAACCCGCGCACCCGTGAACTCTACATATTCGCCGGCCAACGCAACAAAGACTACCTATCCGATTTCTACGTGTACGAGATCGACACCGACACCGTGCACGAGATATCCCGCGACTACAGCAAACAAGGTGGACCAGACGCTGGTTTCACCCAACGCGCGACGATCGACTCCGACCTCGGCGAGTTCTTTGTCCTCAGCGGCCTGATGCGCGAAAAGAACACGACGCAGGAGACGGTAAAGAACTCGTTCTGGGTGTATAATATCCGCAAGGACCGGTGGACGCGGGTGTACCAGAACGAGAACACAGGCAGCGCGTATTGGAACTCGATGGCGGATAAAGAGCCGTGTCCGCGATTTGCTCATCAGTTGGTGTACGACCCTAAGAGGAAGTGCCAGTTTTTGTTTGGAGGAAATCCTGGGGAGATGGGGAATCCGAATTTGCGTCTGGACGACTTTTGGGAGTTGTGGCTTGTCAGGTGCGTCTTGCGCGTGCTTTCTGGCCCTTTTGTCGAAGCGGCGGATTCGGGAAACGAAACAGAGACTGGTCGTTGAGAGGTGCAGGATCGATGTTCTAATCCCAAAACATGCAGGCCAAGCCCACAAGACGTCCTCCGCCGGGCCAAATTCCAAATCCGCCGCCAAAAATTCCGCGAAATGTGCGCTATGGGCGACCCACTCAATGCGCTCAAATTCCTGCAATCCGACGTTTCCGAAGTCGTCGACCACGAAGACGAGGAGGAGGGGCAGCGCTTCCGGGAACTCACTCAGTATCTGTTCAAATGGAAGGCTGGCGGGGTTGGGTCGTCGTCCAGCGGCGTCGCGGGCGGGAAATCATTCGGTGCTGGGGCATCGCAGCAGTCGCATGAGCAGGGAAGGGTCATTGGCGGTTTGGCTACCGGGCTGAATCCGGCTGTGAAACGTGATGATGTCCCAGAAAGCGCTTGTGAGTATAAGCATCATCGTTCACTTGCTGTTTGCGCATGGAGATGTAACACTGGCTGATTTCCTTGTTCCTGAATCCAGCCGCGGCAGACGATGACAACTACCGCTCCCGCACCGAGCTTTATGAGAAGCTCCTCGAATATTTCCCCGACAGCATGCGCGAACCGAAAGACAATCTAGTAGACTTGGTCCATATGGGATAGAGTGAAATGAGATAATGAAAGCACATCTGAGGAGAGTTGATCGCCGCCTGTCCTTCCTTTCCCGCCTCGAGAGTCGCAGCGAAAGGTCGTGAAAGGGCTGCATACACATAAACCCAATCCCTGCTCGGATCCCTTCTCATTGCGCTGATGTGGTGAGAAACATTGCGCTTGTCATCCCGTTGTTGTTTGCTATACGTACGTTTTTGCGCTCCCAACACGAAAGCAAGATATATGCCCCAAAATGTAATACAAACTCCTACGTTTCTCGTTGCGATGAAGGAACTTGGCAGGCTGACACTCTCCACTCTTTCTATTGCGAGGCATCAGTATGCGCTTGTAATGTATAAACTCTGATTACTCTGTAACTTTTATTCCAGCTACCATGACAGGATTACCCAAAATCTAGATTTCTTGTCTACGACTCAACCCTCTACTTCTATGTCGCTCGTTAAATACAGCGGCGCCCGCTTTTCCCAGTTTGCCTTGGCTACACTGGATGAAACACCCTGATGCATAGGGTGCTGGGACGTGCGCCCCTCACGATAGCGAAGCGCCGCAAATTGCGTGCCAAAACCCATATGCGAGCATCGGCTCACGCAGTTTTCGGCACAGACGCAACAGCAGCCAACGCCCTCTCTCTCTCCAACACAGCCTTTGCACTGTCTCCCATGCCATGTTCGCTGAACATCTGCCGCCATACAGTTTCCTCCATGTACGTTTGCCCTTCAGGCTGGCAGTTCCCGACGCACGAATACACGATAATCGTGCCCCAGTCGAGAGCGTCGGAGGTGAAGTGGTTAATATCAAGGACGTTGAGGAGTTGGGGCATCGCCTGTAAGGAGATGAGTTGTCAGCGGGTTCTAGCGTTGATCAAGAAGGAACAAGTGAATGTACCTGGAACTCGAAGACTCGTGGCCCATGGCAATGGGGACATGCGGGGATGTGCTCTGCCTGAGGCTTTCCGCTGTCGCTGACCCACAGAGGCTCCGGATCTTTACCGTCTTCGTACGATACCCTAGCATATCTGATTTGCATGTTCCAGAACGTAAGAAATCAGATGGTGCGTCTAGTTGTCGCGGCCATGAGCTCAAGTCCAGTGCCTTGAACGTACCGGATGACCTGCTCAGGCTCCCTCAACACTCGTTTTTGGAACTTCAAGAAAGCCTTGTCCACATCAACCTCCGTCTCCTCCATATCCTCAATGGCTTCAGAGCCTTCTATGGCCACATTGGCCAGCTTCGTCTCCAACGATTCACCCTCGTCATTCTCGTCCTCATCGCCAGCGCCAGCGCTGGGTTCCGGCTCATCCTCAGACACCAACTCGAATTCCGGAAAGAGGACCTTCGTTTGAGATGCAGTCGCTGGGTCTGCAGCATCACCGTTCGCGCTCTCACATCGGTGCTTATGCCCGCCCTCGTTCCAATCTACGACCTGATGCTCCTTGGAGCAGTATTGCGCTGCTTTGCATTTAGAGCACTTCTTGGGCCCGCTGAGACCGCAAATATTGCACAATGGCGCCGTCGGAGTCGGCACATGTGTGTCAGAGTCCTCGTCGAACGTGTAGACTTCGTTGACTTCTGGTAATTGACTTCGGTATGCTTTGAAACTAGCGGACAACTAGGATGAGGATCTCTTATCAAACCAAAAAATCAAGTAAGGCTTACCAGTCCTGCCACCGGTTCTTATGACAGGCTCCATTGCGACAACAAAAGACGTAGATAACGCGGTGGTATGCTTCTATTGGATGGTCCTCTGGAGTATAGAACTAAAATTGCCGCACGCAATGAATTCCTTGCTCCGCCTCTTCCCGCCTGACTGAAGTGAGTTGAAAGGTTGACCTACTTGAAGCAAGAGCACCATGGGTTTCTCACACACCCCGCAAGTGACATCGGTAGCTTTCAGCGGTGCGCTTTGGTTCAACCACATCTACGAGAGGCACCGGGACGAACAAGTGAGAGGAGAGCTCGAGACTCTGCACCTTTTTCTGCGAATGGTGACATACCGGCTTGCCCCCAATTTTGTTCGGGAAGTCGTCGAGGGTGAATGTGAGGACCCCGTCCTCGGGCTTTTCGGCGAAACCAAGCTGTACGGCGGACATGGCGGGTGTTGTGGGAGCGGGGCAGACAGGCGTAACCTGCTTCTGGACGTACGCAGTGACCCCAATGGGATTGAGCGAAAGAAAAAGCGGAGAAGGAAAATCGACTTCCAACGCGATCGATTTTCGCCCGTCAAACGCCCGTCATTTGTTGAACAGCGGTTCCTCCCCCAGAAAAGCAAACATCATTACGGCTCTTCATTCCAGCGCTGTCATTCAAAAAGCCGCAGTGAAATCGATACAGATGCAATGAATGTAGTTTGATACGACGATCCCTACACATCAATAGTATACACCATTTTCATAGCATACCGGCTGGAAATGTCTCTCTTCATGTGCACCCCACCCAAAAAAAATTCCAGCCACAGTCCACCTTCTGAGAGCCCCCTCTCCATGGTCTATACACCGGTTTTCTAATCCCAGTTGACCGCCTAGCATTTATTTATTGCTAGCTGATGTAGGAGAGGGTATACCACCGCCGTAACCGCAGCGATACGACAGCGAGACTCGAATGAAGGAGCGAGGCGGGCGCATCTAGGCTTGTCACTCAGTGGCAGGCATCGTCACACGAAAGACCGAGTCGCGTCGACTTGACGATGCTAAACCATCCTCGTAACATACGTCTCACAACAATGACCAGCAATGTGTGGGTGGAGACCTCTATGAGGCGTTGTCCATCTTCCGCATGATGGGGAAAAAACGTCTCCTGGAGCGCTGCCACGCGGCGAGTGGGGCATTCAGTGAAAATTGTCCAGTGCTGGCGGCAGCCATTCTTCGTTCACTGTATCGAGGGATGTAGTGGGCGGGCGATATAGTTCCGTGGTGGAAGACGGCGTCTCTGACCGAAAGCGGGACGTATTCATCCTATGCTGTCGCTGTGCGAACTGGAGAGGTTTGGTCCATCGGACTTGTCGGACTTGCACCTTGAGCTTCCGATGAAAAGGCGCCCACTTCAATCTCCATGTCGCCTCTATTGGGTGAGAGCCACTTTTCCAGCAATCGACCCATGAGGGTAATATCGATGGGTTTGCTGATATAATCGTCCATTCCGCAGGCGAGACATTTGTCCCGATCGCCAAGCAGCGCGTTCGCCGTGAGCGCTACGATAGGCGTTTTCTTTGTTGCTTCTGACAGTTTCAACAAGGCCGCTGCCTCGTACCCATCCAAAACAGGCATGTGAATATCCATGAAGACCTTATATAGAAGCACATGCACAATTAGGAATATGAACGGGACAAAACTCAGCGCAAATTTCCGGAGTACGTACGATATCAAAGGGTTTGCCTTCCTTGGCTGCAGCTACAGCCACGTCGACGGCTTTACGTCCGTTGGAAGCAATGACGACATTCTCGTACCCGATGTGCTTGAGGATCTTACGGACGATGCGTTGATTGATATCATTGTCCTCAGCCACAAGGATCCGTTTGGTTGTCAGAATGGAGGCTACGCCGTTCTGCAAGCTACCATCCGTGTTCTTGCCGTTGACTCCATTTGACCCTCCCATCAGTGAGCTTGTGCCTTTGTCGGCATTTGGCGCTCGCGATGCGGGGAAAGGCAGTTCTAAGAAGAAAGTCGAGCCTTCTCCGAGAGTGCTCTTGACGGTGAGGCTTCCACCCATCAAAATCGTAAGTTGTCGACTGATGGACAGGCCTAACCCCGTCCCCTGATATCGCTTCTTCGAGCTGAGATCCGCCTGCGAGAACGGCATGAAGAGCTTGCCGATGGTCTCCTCACTCATCCCTATGTGCCAAGAAGATTGTCAGCAAGATAAATCTCCAGACTTACAGAAATCAAATGGCAAAAGGTAGTACATGGATAGTGATACTAACCTATCCCAGTATCCTTCACGGTCACTGATATCTTTCCTGAATGCATTTTGGATTCGGCGACGGGGCTGCTAGGCTCCTGATTTTGTATGGGATCATACTCGATGTAAACGGTGATCGCTCCCTTTTCCGTAAACTTGATAAATATACAGTGTCAGTCAAAATTCTCAGTCCGGATGCATCAATTTGCATGTGCACAGTACCTTAAACGCATTGTCAATCAAGTTCACGACGATTTGACGGAAACGGACGGAATCGCCGAGAATGTACTTTGGAACCCCCATCCCCACCTCTAGATACATGTATGTATCTTTCGGCATGCGCAATTCATATCCTCGTACAATCTCCTCGATTGTCGGGATGGGCGAGAAGACCACCGGTAAGATCTGGATGCGTTGCGCCTCTATCTTTGAATAATCTAGAATATCATTGATGACCCGCAGCAGTGTGGTCCCAGATTCTGTCATCAAGGACAAAAGGTTCCGTTGCTCATCGTTTAGCGGTGTTTCGGCTAGTAGCGCGGCAGCTGCTAGAGATCCGTTCATCGGTGTCCGGATTTCGTGGCTCATGTTTGCAAGAAGATCGGACTTCAGTTTCGCAGACTCTTCATAGACAGCGACGAGCCGCTGCTCCGACATTTTTCTTTCTGTCAGGTCGCGCGTCACCTTCGCATACCTGGAACGAAAATGCTGCTATTAGACATCCTGGCATTTACCACCGAGCATGACTCCCTGCGACTGAAGGCGTCTCCAGAAAGCACGTACCCTATCAACACGCCGTCATCGTTGTGGACGGCCGTAATCAAGACACTGGCCCAAAAGCGAGAACCATCCTTTCTGACTCGCCAATATTCGTCTTCGGCGGTTCCTTCCGTTCGCGCTTTGTAAAGCTCATGATCTGGTTTCCCGCTAGCGATGTCTTCGGGTGTGTAAAATAGGCTGAAGTGCTTGCCCACTACTTCGTCCTCGCTGTACAGCTTCAAACGTCGAGCTCCCGGGTTCCAAGTCATAACATGGCCGCTGGAGTCGAGCATGAAAATAGCGTAGTCACGAATGCTGTTGACGAGCAACTGAAGAAGCTCGGCGGACTTGAATCTCTCGTCGAAACTCTTACTGTGAATCCTCCTCGTCTTGCTTTCGGACAGGTGATACATGATGGCTGGTTGATTGCCCCAAGTGGTGGGTCGAGCTTCGGTCGTCCAAGTCGACTCCCAAATATGCCCGTTAAGCGGGTCTTCCGAGCGACCTGTATGCGCAGAGCCTTCTTTCAGGCCGGTGGCGAGGGCTCTGTCCAAAATCCTCCTGAGATTGCGGGCGTTCTCTTCCTCTTTCAAGCGGCCGTGCTGGAACAAGCTTGTGCCGATTAGCTCCTCTCTAGTACTCGTAACTCCTTCCAAAGAGAGAACCGTCAAGAAGCCCTCTGTGGCTGCCAGAATTCGGTACTCGCTGTCCAACACGACGTACGCCGAGGGTAACTGGGCGAAGATGTGGTGTTCCATTGCAACGTTGGCGAGAAAGGGATGAAGGCTCGAATGTGAGCTTAGACCCGCCGGAGGGGAGGTTGGTGTTCTCTGAATAATAGAAGGGGAAATATCTCCCGTTTACCACGGACGGGCAAGGGCTGAAAGGGTTTGGCGAGCGCTGTGCCTCGAGCACCCCCACGCCAAAACAATACCCGTACGTGAAAGGGGAGTTGCGCGTAGGGAAAAAGGGCGGGCAACGACTGTTCTGCGGGGTCTGGGCCGTTATACCGGGAAACAACTTTGCAGGCACAGCCGTCTCTAACGTTATCGAAAGTAGGTCGCAGCAGAAGCCCGCCGGCGTCAAGCTCTGTGAGGGAGGGGATGGATAAGAAAAAACTCCGCCCTCACAATCCGAAGACAAGGGGTTTCTCTCCTTCCTTGCACAAGTCCGACGTTAGATACCGTAAATGGCTGTCTGCTGACTTTTTCTGATGTCCGCCCCTGTGAAAGAGGACGGGGATGAATGGCCCTAAGATATCCGCAGCGGAGTGACGGAGGGGACACATTGGAAATCGACGCAATCCGGGTCTACGGCTCAATGCAACAGTGGTATCACTGCATGACATATGGGTATGACGAGATGATTGCCAGAATCCAGCATCCAGGAAGTCCGGCATCGCGGTAACTCGCACCATTTCAACATATGTTTTGGTGGTATTTTGACAGGTGTGCGATGCATGTCTCGCTATTCACGGCGGGATTTGTCGGGCGATTGACCCTAGAAATGTTTGTCGTCGGCTCGGGTTTGTCGTCGTGCCGAGGCACTTTCCTTTGTTCTGATCGGAGTTGCTCTCGAACTTAGGTTGCAATCACATGACGTGCGTCGTTTGTGCATTTCATTGGTGCTACAAGTGTGGTTCTGAATGGGATAAAGTAAAGAAGAAATGCACCAGCAATCCACCTTGTGCCCTCTGGGACGAAGCCAACCTTCTCTTACGACGTGAACGTCCGCGTCGAGCGGTTGTGCCTGCTGCTGGTCAAGTACGTCAGAATGCTCGCCAACCGCCTCTGCCCGCAGCAAGGGATGTTGCCGTTCACGCATGTCAAAATGTTTTCCTACAACCTCGGGCCCCTGGAGAGCAAAGAACTGCGATAGCAGTCAATTGGAGAGATCGGCAAGAATTTACCGGTGTTAAAGAATGGATGCGCCCAGTCAATCCGGTGTTTCTACTGCAATGGCGGCGACTTCCAGACCTTGAGAGCTCTGAATGCACACCTGATAGACACTCGAGATCATCATGTCTACGGCTGTTGTGGGCTACCGGTCCGCCGGATCGAGGATTGGCAAGCACACAGACGAGGGATGCACGGGATTGCCGACCAGGAGCGGGACAGATATGCATACTTCTATTTTGGAAAATAGTGGACTATACTTCATTTTGTTGCATATGTCGTGTGAAAATGTGAGCAAGCTATATATACAGCAGCCTTGTGGGCTGTTGACTACCACAAGGCTGCTGTTGACTAGCCAGCGGCACTTTCGATTCAACTTCGATTTCGCTCACGCCCAGAGCAGCATGGAAACTTTGTTCGGGCATATGGGATGTAGTGGGCAATACGTCGACAGCGTTTCCCGGTACCCTCATTGTGCAGGTTTCGACGCATCTATCTTCTCTCCTCCTCGCTCAGATCTACTGTACAGTATGTGAACATAAAGCTGGATACACGCGTCCGAGCTTGGCCAGCCCCTTGCCCCAGCCGCCGCAGTTGCGCACGGACACTGACTCAATCACTGGTGTATCTAGGTTTATGTTCACATACTGTACATACATGTGTGAAATGACAGTCGAGCTGCGTGTCAGCGACGCGCCAACAAAATTCGACAACACGCCGCAAAGGTCGAAGAAAAAGCGGTTTAGCGGCCAAGGGACTTTGCTATCCTCGCCTGCCGAACAGGGCCGCTGCAGAAATCCTCACCTGCATGCTTAAAGACATTGCAGAAGACTGGGCTTAATCTTTCTATCGTGCGGATCTATTATGTTCATCAATCAAAATATACATGAGATGGCTCTTCTATGGACTACATATAAAGGGGCGAATTCAGTGCCCTAAAGCTACAGATATCCAAATACAGACTCTGAGTCTCTAGATCGGTTGAGTCTAAGCCAAGATGAAGGAAGCGACGCCAGCAGCGATTCCGACGGCGGCGGAGCCAGCAAGGTGGGATCCAGAGCTGGGGGTGGTCGAGCCTCCTGTGGCAGCGACACCGACACCGAGGGATCCAGCTGGGCAACTGGCCAACGTCTTTTGCGCGTCAGCGAGTGTGGGGTCGACAGTGGCCTTGGCGTAAGTGGGAAGGGAAGACGTGTCCTTCAGGGCATCGTATTCCTTGGCGGCGCAGGGAGTGCACATCTGCTTTGAGTCTTTGGCCTGCACGGCGGCGAGAAGGGCGATGGCGCAGTAGGTGTTGTTGTCCTTCACGCAAAAACCCTTGCGGGCGTAGGTGATGATGGCGGGAAGATCACCAGCCTGGAGGTTTTTGAAGCTAGAAGCGCCATCAGCGACCGAGGTAGGGTTCAACAGAGGGGTAGTGCCGCAGGCTGCGGTGACGGTGGATCCAAAGGTGGTGATGGCAGAGTTGCACTTGTCACTGCACATCAGGTCGAGGTCGGCCTGGTTGATGAGCTTGGACGCAAGGGCGTATGACTGGGCTTCGGTCGTTGGTGTTCGGGAGCCGCCCGCCGCGATGACAGCGGTGATTAAGTTCTGGAGACCACATGAGCTGATAAAGTCACCGCCGGAGAGCTGTTGGAGGAGCGTAGTCTCGCAAGTTGGGGGAAGAGCCGGGTTTAAGGGGGAGCCGGATTGCGCGCTGGCAACGGCAGCCGTGGCGATAAGGCTGATGGCGGTGAGCTTCATGGTTGCGAAGGTTCGAGTGGGCGAGAAGGTGGGTATGTGTGCGATGTGTGGGGTCTGGAGAGCGGGGGCCGACAACTAGCATCCCTTTTATACTCCTTTCGGCACATTCAAGCCCGGTCCACACGGTTCCACGGTCGTCGAGCCAAAGCGGCTCAAACCATAATACTGTAACATGAGAAGGTACATATGTATGTACATACTGTAACTCCACAACGCACTTAAAATTTCACGGTAAAGTACAGTATGTATGTACTGTTACGTATACAACATGCGCCGGCGGCTTCATCTGTGCTCTGCCACCGTTGGTAGTGAGTGCACCGCATGCTCCTCACGAAATCCCCCGACGAGGCGACGAGGATCGGAAAAGCCTCTACACGTTGTGAGGCTGCTCGAGGAGGCTGCTCGATGAGGCTGCAAATGGCCAATGTGGTTGCTCTTCTATACTGTACTGCATGTGCATACTTGTCTACGTACAGCGACCGACGGCCTTTTTCGAGCCGTAAATTGATTGGAAGGACAACGAGCCTCCGATACGGTTGTACTGACTCAAATGTACTGTACAGTAACATGCACTGCTGTTACATCCATACCGTTACATTACCTTTGGTGTGTCATGGTATGCCGCTTCGAAGTGAAAGCCCCTCGAGTGCAGTAGCTGTACTGTAGTATCATCACGTGCCTGGAATCTCCGTATGACACAGCGGTAGGAAACAGTGAGCAACATTCCATAACACCCCGCACGGACTGCCACTTTTTTCCCACACGCACATCCCGCTTGCTTTCGCATGCCCACCACAAGTTCCGCCTTCAACCACACCCGGAAATAGGGCTTCTCGCGTCTAACTCCCGTTCCCGAGGCTCAATATTCACATATATATATATATATATATGTATAGCGGTTAACCCGCTCCAAGAAAGACAAAGACTGAGGGAGAAGGTTTCTGGGGTTTTTAAATACAATAGGAACGCTTGATGGGACCCCACACTAGCTTTGAAAGAAAACTACTTTATATACAATAAGGACGGGAAGAAAGACGGTTCTGTTTTGCTTTTCATCTTATACGCCGTCGTTGTCCTCGTGGCATTCGGTGCATAGTCGGACGTTGCTTTCCGTGCGCGAACATTTCCAGCATATTACTCGGCCGCATTGCCTGGTTGTGTGAATGGGTGGGATTGAAGTTAGTTTAGTGGCCAGATAAGCTCGCTCGAGATGCAGTGCGTCTTACCTGCAATGATGCTTTCGCGTGAGCAGCGAGAACTTGGTGTTTTGGCATATCATGCACACAGTAGCCTGTTGCGTGGGATCATAATGGGTCAGAAATTGTGCCTCCAACCATAACGAAATCCATCTTATCAACCCCTCCTCACCTCCTCATCCGGAATCCACCCCCCACCATCGCCCTCGTCCTCAGCCGCCACGCTCGCCTTCCGCGGCACAACGGTCCCCCGTCTATTCCCCGGCGAAATAGCCAAATCAATCCCCTGCCACAACCTCCGAAACCCCCACTCCGTCAAGGAGTTCCCTCCGCCATGCGACGACGCCGTCGAAGATCTCCGTTTCCGCTGTGCGACCACATACGCCCGTCTAGACCGCGCGGCGCTGCGGACGGCGGCCACCCAGCTGTCGCGCTGGTCTGGGGATGCGAAAGCGACTTGGAGGTATTGCGTGGAGGTTTCGATGTCGACTAGGGGGCCGGCTTGGTCGTCGACGGGGGAGATTTGGATGTCGGTGAGGGGCATGACGGTTTGGCGGGAGTAGGCGTCTTTGAGGCTGTGCGTTTTGGCGCCTTTGATGGGTGTTCCGTATATTAGCATATCGCTAAGGAGGAAAATCTGATGGAAATAAAGAAGACGTCAGAGTGTGCTATGTAAGATACACTGAGGGGATCCCTTGTGTGTGCAACAATGACACCGATAGCCGGGCACCACAAAACTTACCCGTCGTGGCTCTTTCCGTGATTCGATAGAGCTGAGGGTGACTTTGTAGACGACGTCGTCTCGAAGAAGCGTCCTGTTTTCCCGCTTACCAGTTAATTCCTAGACGAAAGGGAGATCAAAAGTCAGCAACCTGCGGAGACCAAGTATCGCCCCCGCGACATCAGAAGGACTATCCCAACTGACCTTTCCAAGAAAGAAAAACTCAATCTCGGCCAGTTTATGCATATTCTCAAAGCTCTGAGCAGTCTCCGCAGCCCTCCGCCGTGATTGTTGTGTCGCCAATGCTTCCGCCTGTTCCTCCTGGTATTTCGACCGCAAATCCTGCAATGACGCCATGGAAGCCAACGAAGGACGTGTCTTTGGCTGCCGCCGTTTCAACGCAGGTGTTTTGTTGGCGCCCGGTAGCCCAATGGACCCGAAGCGTGCCGAGAATGACTGCTCCAACGCTGCCAGTTCCTCATCGTTTGCGCCATTGGCACTGGAGCTGGATATCATGGATGCCGTCGTACTCCGGCGTACTTTCGGTGCGGAATAGCTGTGTTTTGTGTTTGGCGGAGGCTCTTGGGCAGGAGGGCGGACCCGACGGTCTAAGGAGGCTGAAGAGGAAGATGACGATGCCGGTTGTGCGGCAGGGTGAGAATATCGATTTGTCGTCACTGATAGAGGTTTGCCACTTCTGGGTTTATGATTCAGATCCGACGGAGGGTCGAACGCCCCAAACGCCTGCAGAGCAGCATCGACATCCGGGTCACCCGTAAGCGCTGGATACCCATTACCGCTCCCTTCAGCAGCCGCCGCCGCAGCCGCCGCAGCTACGACAGACTGCCCCGACCTTGACGACGAGTTGCCGCCTACACGAAACACTCTCGGCTTCGCGGACTTCCGCTTCTCGTGCAAAATGTCATGCTGGGGCACAGGGTTGGAAATCTGGAACCGCTGCAAGGACGCTGCAGCTGCTGCCCCAACAGGTCGAGTATCCCGTCGCTTCCCAAACGCCTGATATAGAAAGTCGTACGACGAGGGAGCGGGGGTTGCGCCCTGGCCATTTGTTGGTGCTGCTGGCGCCGTGCCTGCCTTCGACGACCGTTTCCCGTCGGAAGCGACCATGGTCGCGACCTACACTCTTCTTGCCTCCAGACCTCGGCGGACAAGGGTATCGAGGGGGTGCGTGACCCTCTGTTTAGCGCAGCGTTATGAGAAGCTCGCCAACGTGGTATTCGAACTGTCAGCGAGCGCGAAATGCGGGTCACAATCGTTCAACCGTCAAGCCGTAGTTCGCTGGTAGGAAGGTTTCTTTTGGCACCGCGGCAGACTCCAAATCCGAGTGCTTCTCCTTAGCGAGTCCTGCTGTATACAGTGTGATTAACAAGTCTCTTTATCCGCTCTCTCTGCAGCTCTGCCCCCTGCCTTCCTGCGTGTGAATTTTGCAGCTCGCCCTTCTCGAAGTCTGCGCAATATCGGCGGTCACTCGACTCGCTCAATTTCAAGCGGGCGAATCGCGCGAACGCACCGTGGTTTGGAAGCCGTTACGGACGTGCGTAACACGTGCGTAACATGTGGGCGAACACAATCCATTCGAACCCGATTGTCCTTATGATGGGTTCTTACGTACGCGCGATCCTGAAACTTCCGCCACCTTGCTTTCTCACGATCAACAGAAGAGCGTTCCGACGATTATACTATCTTTGGCCACATGCGGACGGCAAACCCACTGCGGTCACTCGACGCTTTTTCAACAGAGCAGGTCTTTTTCGCCGGGTTCGAAAACGCTCAAGGATTATAGATCAAGGTCGTCCATACCCCTCGCCGCCGGCGGGCCAACGAAAGTCCAACGACAAAAACCACCATCGCCATGGGAGTCTGTGAAAATTGGCGTAATGACCGCCGACGACGAAGCACGACAACGATGAAGCGTCGAGCACCATCTTCTTCGTTCGGCTATATTGCGGCGGCTGCCATATCGATGTGGCAGTCGTCCACGTCCGTTCATGGACAAGCGACCGAAAGCATACCATCGATTTCCCAAACCGCCGTTCCTGTATCAGCATTGCAACCAGCATCCGTCGCACTTCCCATCACAGCCGACATCCAGATACCTTACGCATGGGGCCACGCTGCCCTTAACGTTGCTTCCACCAGTGAAGTCATTTTCGTAGGCGGCAGTAATTCGCCTAGTGCCAGCAGCTCAACGCCGCTCCCTGCACGCCCGACCCTCCTCCTAAATTCTACAACATCCTCTCTCGAGATAGCAACTCCCTCGGGAAACGTTCCTCCATCAGCAGGTCAAGCATGTACATACGTCGCTTCGGAACAAGCTGTTTTCTGTATAGGCGGATACCAGGGCATCGCACAAAATGTCGCACCGCGCAGCTCCAGGATACTGACGAGGCTGAGCTTGGAAGAGCAGAAATGGACGGAAGTCAATGTGCATGGACAGGGGTACACATCGATTGCCACTGGTTTCATCGCGCCAGAAGCTGAAATTGCCGACGCTGCCATGGTGGCAGTCGATCGCACATTGTTGGTCGTTGGGGGTCGCTCACAGTGCTTCCCGTGCGCACCGGTCGCGGGAGGATCGACCGTCGGTGCGGTGCGTGCTTCCATAGCTCCTCTCACATCGGGTGAGCAGGATCTGACGGTGCTTCACGACACTGCCGGCGGATTGTACGGACACTGCATGGTGTTGTCCGACTCCAACGTCCCGTACGCACTCTTCGGAACAACACCGGCAACAAACCGCTCGATCGGCGCTCCCACCGACACACTCATCCGTAGAATATCCTTGAAATCAGCAGACTCGGCCGGTTCGCTCGTCACGCCAATCATCCTCACCCAAACGGCTAACTTGACACTCCCCCCTCCACGTCTCCACGCCACCTGCGTGAAGGGAATCAACGACATAGTGTACGTCTTTGGCGGTGTTCATGCGCAAACCGGACAGACGCTTGCAGATTCGTGGGCGCTGTCTCTCCTTGACCTCGGCTGGACGCCGTTGTTGAATGCTGGAACTGTCCCAACGAGCCGAAGCCGCGCTGCTGGGTTCTACATCGCAAGCGAGGCCAAGTTTGCCGTTCACGGTGGCCTGCAGAGTGTTGCCACTGTAGACGCTGCATTGTACACCGCCAAAGCAAACATCGTGGCTGGAATCGTCACGTGGGAGCAGCAACCCATTTACGGCGTCGCGACGGTTGCAGGCCTGGGTGCCCTTGGAGAATTATTCGACAACGGCTCCGAAGAGGACGACTCGACTTTTCAGAACTGGTTAAAGATCGGTGTTCCGGTCGTGCTGGGTGTGATTTTCCTCATGCTTGTCATCTTGGCTTTCGTTGTCTACTGCACACGCAAGCGGGTACCGTTATCGAATCTAGAGGATGACAAAACGTTCGATAGCAACGTTTACCCATCGCCGAACTCCAACTTTCCTGCGTCCATTTCGACGTCGCCTGTCGGAAAGTTTCTTGCCACCCACGCGCTCGAACGCCAGGAATCGTCGGCTTCGACGATCTACCCCGCCGCGGACAGCGTCAAATCGGACACGGCGTATGAGCGCCGCGGAAATCTGGAGGAAGGACGTCAGGTCGGGATGGACGCACAGCCGATCCCACCCATCCGACGGTCCTCGCTAGCTGCGACGCAATCTAGCATGCGATCGCCGTCGTTGAGTTCGGAGGCTGTCAGGGCGCTCGAGATCGCATACGTCATGCCGCCAATGACGGCCGCCCTGGTTGCGAAGTTGGGTGCGTCGAGATTGCCCACGCAATCGCAGTTGCAACCGCAGGCGGCACGTGAGGATGCTCCCGAGTCGCCGTCTACCATCACGCCAATGGGCCTCACACCCGTTCCCCTGACACCCGGTGCTGCCACCGCCGCGGAACCAATCGACGACTCTGACTCCCCAGCATCCCTGGCCACCCCACCACCACTTCCCGTCTTGACACTCTCAGCCCTCACCGGAATCGACATCTCCAAACCCTTTTCAGCCTCCTACACATACAGTCCCAAACGCACCGACGAATGCCCAGTCACGATAGGCGACACGCTTACCCTGCGCAAAGTATACGGCGACGGCTGGGCCCTAGGCACCAATCTCACCCAAAAGCGAAACGGGTTCTTCCCCGCCAGCGTGCTCTCCCTTGACGATTGGACGTTCTCGACCCACACCGACAAACCCGTGGAGCTCATGTCCCCGCATCTGGCAGACAGCGTCGCGAGTCACCGGCACTCGCACCTCGGCGTGCCGGGCCACTCACAGTCGCGCGCCGATAGTGCGATTGACGCCAACAGGTCGTCGAAATCGCTGAGCTGGTTCGAGAAGGAGAACAGCAAAACGCATGGGGAAAAGACCGTGCCGCCGGCGCGGACGCAGGCGTTTAATGCGCCCGTTGTTGCGCCGCCGGTGGATTTGTTGAAGCAGCTTGAGGAGCTGGATTTGGCGTATTTGGAGGAGGTGGTTGAGTTGACGGCGTATTTTAGGTATAGGAAGAGGATCTTTATTGGTGGGGAGCAGTTGTAGGACATTTAGGGTAGAATACGAAGCCTCTTTCTTTGGTCGTGTCTATTGACATGTAGTTTTGCCTGCGAATGAAACAAGTCGATGCCTGCCTCATAAAGACGTCTTCTGGTTCAGTTAGTCCTTAGTATGCAAAGCGATTTGAAAGCCCGAGATTCCTCTCAGTCGCAGTTGAATGTTTGCTATGCTGACGATCTTGTTGAGATTCAAAGCAGCTGGCCTTATCCAGTAATCGTAACCGCATTGCTAGCGTTCCCCGTCCCAAGCGCATTGTTCGCTCTAACCCTATACAAATACGGCACTCCCCTAACGCTACTGCTATCCGTAAACAACGTCTTATTCTGCGGCACATTGTCCATCACCTGCGAGCCCACAACCGTCCACGTCGGCGTCGCAGCAGCGGCATCCGCGCGTTCGACGCTGTAACTGGACGCGCCTGCTGACCCGCGCCATGTGAGCGCTGGCGAGGTTGCGTTGAGCAATGTTGGCGGTACGGGAAGCGTGGCCGCTGGGATGGAGAAACCGGTTTGAGCGGCGATTTGTTGTGCGCCGGTCTTGACGGCGTTGATGACTTCCTGCTCGTCGGGTCCGAATCCCGGGGCGGCTGGGAAGCCTGGGAAATGGTACGATTGGTAATCGTGCGCTTCTTTGTGCGTGTACATTCCACCAGCGCTGCTATGGCCCCTCAGACTCCACACGAGGGCGCCTGCCAGCGCTTCTTGTTTGCGCACCACGTTGCCGATGACATCCTGGATCGAAGCGACGGCACTGAAACCGAACTCTCCGACGATGTACGCTTTGTTGTATGATGCGACAGTCACCGCATCGGAAGCGCTAGAATCCCCGTATCGCGGGTTCTCTACCCGATGAAGCACCTGAACAGCTATCCCAGCGCCGGCACCTGCCATGGCCCCCAACGCCACTATCGCCAAAAGGAGCTGCTTTAACCTCGTCGAACGCTTCACATCCGTCCCCTTCGCCTCTCTCACGACCTTAATTTTCCGTGGAGACCACACCAGCATGCAAAGCATGACCATCGCGATAATCAGAATCGCAGTCAGCACGGCCCACAGCGCCCATTCACCTGTCGTCGGCACGAAATTCCGATAGAAATGGTTCGAAAAGACATCTATATTTGGATCCGCGAGCACCTCCGCGTCCCACCCGTGCTTGAAGGACCCGTCCATTATCAAGTGCTGTGAGTCAAACGACCGGATATACGCGGCGATGTCTCTCGTCCAAGCCGCCGGCGTCTTTCCGTCATCGAGTTCGAGCTCGTTGCCCGTCTCCCACAACATGACCGTGCTATCATTGCGGTAAGGGATTCCATTGACGGTGTTGTTTCGTGTCAGCAGTTGCACGATGATGCTTTTGAAGGAAGATATCACGGCGGTATTTGTGAAGAAAGCCGATGTAGGCAGCGATGCATCCACAAGCTGAACGAAGCTGCTGATGCCGCCCCACCACTCCCAACGATCTATTAAGGGTATGATCACCTTGACATTCCTCTGTCTCGCCAATGCCAAAGCGCTGTCCAGTCCTCTCATCACAACCTCCTGCAACCCGATTTTCCCATCGGTTGCTGATTTCACAATATGTTTGGTGGCGGTCGCCGTTTCCGAAGGCATTTGCACGCTCAATGCGTACATGCGGACGACGCGGCTTCCCATTTGTTGGATGGAGGAGAGGAGATCGTCCTGCTCGAAGGGGGTTGGGACGACGAAGGATGGGTCATCTTGAAGGGAGAGCGTTGGGGTGTTGAAGGAGACGAAGCGGAGGGTGGTGTTGGTGGACGGATCGAAGAGGTTGGTGCCGCTGCGGATGATGAAGCCGGCGGCTGCGGATGCCATCTGAGGGTTGGGTCGAGTCGGCCAAGGTCGAACGGGTTGGAAAGAGAAAGACAAAAGTGCCACGCGCAGCCCTCCCATCGATCCCAGACAAAGCGCGTCCAAAAGCCCAGCAGACAAACGGTCATATTCCTTACGCGTTTTTGCAACCTTTTTTTAGACATTAGGCGTACCGATCGTCGATCTGAGCATCCCTACCGGCTGCTACCTCCTGCTTAACTGATGAAGCTCGGGCTGCATCAAAGACATACACAGGGACTCTCTGCGAAACTTCGAAGCCGACTATTGCAGCCAATCTCCGCACTCGACCCAGATTTCGACACCGCACTCCTCATATTTTTGACGGGCTCTTTCTCTCTCCGTCGATTGCGAAATATGTACTGTATGTGCTCCGGAAGGCTCCGTCCTCAAAGGCTCGGCCTACCCGGAGTGCCTACCAGGCCCCTACCATGATACCATAATAGCAATCCTACCGGTGCCTATGTGTACGCAACATTCGAATGTCGAATCCTGCAGCCCAACCTTGATTATAAAATCGGGAGGGGAAGCGGAACTTCCGCTCGTGTTCAACGGCCGCCCCGTTGCGTGAGTTACGGCTTGGGTGGCTGTGCAAGCGTTTTCATTTCCCGCGGATTCGGAACAATCACGACGCGCAAGCTTGTCAGTTTGTGTTACCGCCGGGACGCTAACTCCGAGTCCAGGCTTTCGGCGCTCCGGTGAATCTGTCAAGAACCGCCCCACCGGAATGCATTGCAAATCAATCTCTCACGTGGGAAGCAGCGTGGGAAGGGTTTTCGATCGCAGGAGCTTCTTGTTTCTGGGCACACTGTTTCTTGTCCATCGTCGGAGCGTTCGAAACATGTAAGGAGCGGTGATCTCCCACATAGATGATATGATAGCGGAGGCGGCGCGGCGGAACCAACACGCGTCCCACCGCCGCACTTTTCCCTGCGACGAACTCCCACCGGCGGCCAACGTACAGTACAGTAGATCTTTATAAAACCCACAGACGGCATACCCTCCCCCTCACATCCAGATTATTACAGCAAACAGAACCAATCCAAGCTTTCACTTCTCCAACACAACAACAACAATCAAAAATGACTGCCACTACCCTTTACGAGCTGTCCGTCAACGACAAGCGCAACCAGCCCTACGACCTCGCCGCCCTCAAGGGCAAGGTCGTCGTCGTCGTCAACGTGGCCTCCAAGTGCGGTTTCACACCCCAGGTCGGTGGTGGAATCCTTCTCTCTGCATATCTGCCCCTCTCCCTCCCCCAATGTTGGCCAACTATCTCACCTTTTTCTACCCCTCAACGCTTACAGTACAAGGGTCTCGAAGCCCTCTACCAGAAGTACAAGGACCAAGGCCTCGTCATCCTCGGTTTCCCCTGCGACCAGTTTGGCGGCCAAGCGCCCGGCTCCGCTGAGGAGGAGGCGTCCACCTGCCAACTCAACTTTGGGGTCACCTTCCCTATCCTCGAGAAGATCGAGGTCAACGGCGACAACGCGCACCCCGTCTACGTGTGGCTCAAGAGCCAGAAGAGCGGTCTGTTGGGCTTGAAGAGGATCAAGTGGAGTGAGTAGAATTTCGGACTTTCTCCCCAGCGCAATAATTGGATCACTAACCACGTTGCATTTGCAGACTTCGAGAAGTTTGTGGTCGACAAGGAGGGACGAGTCGTCGAACGTTACGCTTCCACCACCGAGCCCGCCTCTCTCGAGAAGACCATCGAGAAGCTCCTCGCTTAAGTTTACTCGAAATCCCGTAGCTTCAGGTGTATATATACCGCAGTGATGCAGCCACATCAGAGAGTTCGTCACTCCGCCATCCCTCATATCGTTAGTCTTTAGTTTCCTTTAATTCTCTTGCGGTGTATGCCCACGATAGAAACACGCCGTATCTTTACATAGCCTCCCTTCGCTTTTTGGCCTAAATAAATCAATCATACATACACACATCATCTCACGTTCGTATGTGCAAATCGCGTGGAGTGTCCGCAACGTCCCGTTCCCGAGCACCGCGTCTATCGCGACTCCTACTCTCAACGCTGCTCTCTCTACTCCTACTCCTAGTGCGGCTGCCGTTCCTGACTGGGGGAGTGTCAGGCTTTCCTCCATGAGCATCCGCCTTCTCCTTGACAACCACATCCGGTCGTGTGCTGCTTCGTTCGTCTCGATTGTCCCCTCCATGGTCTCTGCTCCCTCTTCGTCCGCCACGAATGGATTCCCTAAGGTCCCGGCGCGCGTCGAAGCGGTCGTCAGCTCGGTGGTATCTCGGACGGTCGTAGTCGCGGTAACCTCCACCTCGGTCATGATACCTGTCCTCCCGTCTGTCGTCCCGTCTAGGGTAAGCATCGTGCCTGTGGCCGTTATGTCCGAATTTCTGCTCGCAGGTTGCATATTGACGTGAGATCAAAGAGTCGATGTCAAACTGACGAGTAATGTCCAAAACGTACCACAGCACCCCTCCCTCTAATCACCCTTCCCTCCTTATCCGTCCGCTCCAGCGCCGCCATCGGTCTATCGCTGTTTGTGAACCTTGCAGAAGGCTTCTCATCCCTCATCAGCCAATTCGATGACGACTCTACGTCTTCCGGTGGAGCTATCCCAACAAATTCCTCTTCCTCCCCTGGCCGGACCTCTCCTTCCTCCTTCTCGGTCGAGGCCAACGCCTTTTTTGCTGCTTGCTTCTTCGACTTCTTGCTCTTCTTTTTATGCTTTCTACGCTTCCGTCTTTCGTCTTCCGATGATGAGGAGGAAGAGGAAGTTGACTCGGATCCAGATACAGAAGGCGAACGACCGCGAAGCTTCTTCTGCGATTTGCTTTTACTTTTCTTCCGATCGTCCTCGCTGTCCCTCTCTGAACTAGATGGCGACGGTGACCGTTTCCGCTTATCTTCCACCTTCGTTTCCAAAGACGACACCTTGCGTTTCGCCGCCACCACGCGTTCCAGTTCGCCGGAGTTAACAATGACGACTTTATCGTGCGGGCGGCTTTTGCGATCGACGGGCAGTGCTTCGATCTCCTTGACTATGTCTTGGCCGGCGAGACAGCGTCCAAAGACCACGTGTTTGCCGTCCAGATGCGGTGTTGGTACGCACGTTATGAAGAACTGGGATCCGTTTCTGTGAAGATAAGCGCACTGTGAGAACTCCGTCCACGATTGATGCGCCAGCGGTGGCCATCCTCAAGCTCCTTCCCTCTGACCACTCGCCCCTCTCTCCCCAGAGAACACACGAAAGCTCGCCTCGCTCGGAGAGGTTCAGCGTTGGCCATCCTCAAGCCTTCTCGCCTGATATCTCGCCCTCATCTTCCGCCCATTGCCTCGCACAGCACTCACGTATTAGGTCCCCGATTAGCCATCGAAAGCAAAAACTCGACATCATGTTTTCTCTCAAACGACTCATCGGCAAAAGTCCCACCATAAATACTCTCCCCACCCGTCCCATCGCCGGCAGTAAAATCGCCACCCTGTAGCATAAAGTCCTGCACTATCCGATGGAAGCTGCTGCCTTTGTAGTGCAGGGTTGCGCCTGAGGCTGTGCTGCGGCCACGTTCGCCTGTGCATAGTGCGCTGGGATGGGAGAGGGTTAGTTGCTTGCATGATCTAAGCGATTATGAGTCGAAAGACATACCGGAAATTCTCGGCGGTTTTGGGAACTTCGTCTGCGAAAAGCTCAAAGATCATGCGGCCGGCTGGGAATAACATGAGTGTGAGCGAGAGATACAGTATTTCACCAAGTCCAATTTCAACACTCCGCTGCGTACCTTTGCGACCAGCGATTTCAATGTCGAAAAAACATCTGGGGTTGTGTGATCTCGACATGATTGCGTCTTTTCGTAAGGCAGATCTCCGCTATTGCCCCGTTGCTTGGTATAGTCTATGCCCGCGCTATGCCGCTAGTGAGAAAGAGACAGGCCGGAGGCCAAAGTTACTACGTAAGATTCTGTAATGCTGTGCCGTTGTGCGTCGTCGGTGTCGTCGGTGTTCTCCGAGGGACCGACGCGCTGGGGTCCTTCCCCCCTTTCCAACAGCGGTGCGGTCATTCCTCAGAATCCTCACCCAGGGTCCCCCTTCCGCCAACCGCTTCACCTTCTAACCAAAACGTCCTCTCTCGGACGGAGGTTCAAGCTGTTCATAGGTCGCTGAGGCAGAGTCAGTAGTGCAGCATATACGGTATGTGCAGTTCTAGGTTGGCTCCGCGTGTGCGCTGCACTCTCTCACATCATGCGTGGCTTGCTTGCGTTCATTAGAAATGAAAGCGATAATGGGTCGCTCGAAACCCTCCCTCGCCGTTGTCCTCCTCTTTTCTCTCTCCGCATTCGCAGCAGCAATACCCCTCCACCACAACCCGCAACAACCCCTCGGTGCCTCGTCACCCCTCGCCGCAGTATCACCCATCTGCACTTGCGCTGACGCTTCTATCCCTCACTGCGCCAGTCTTTCCCTTGGCCACGGTGATAATTTCTGCATATGCTTGAGCGGGGCCTTTGCGATCTGTGGGGGGAAAGTTGAGCGTGAGCGTGAGCGTGGTGGGCTGGCCGTTGAGGAAGCCTTTAAAGTGGAGGCGAAGAACTCGAAACATGATGATACAATTGAACCGTTTACGCCGAGGTTTTGGTATACCCTCACGGCGACGATTGTATTGGTGCTTATCGGTGGAATCTTTGCTGGTGAGTTTGGGTTTGTGATATGCGGAGAGCCGGGAGGGAGGTTTGCGAGAAGGAGGGGGAGGGAAGGCGAGAGGACGTAATGCCAGCGACGGGCCGCGAGCAGGACGTCGTTCACTTGTCGGAAAGCAGGGGTCAATACTGACCCTGACTCATAAAATCACACAGGGTTGACAATCGGCATCATGAGTCTGGACACGACCAATCTCGAAATCCTTCGCAACAGCGGCACCGAACAGGAACAGCGTTACGCAGCCAAAATCGAGCCCGTGCGCAAACACGGTCACTGGGTGCTCACCACTCTGCTCCTCGGAAACGTGGTGATTAACGAGACGCTGCCTATCCTGTTTGACAGTCTGGTTGGAGGCGGGATCGCGGCCATTATCATCTCGACGGGGCTGGTCGTGCTGTTTGGAGAGATCATTCCGAATGCAATATGCGCACGGAATGGATTGGCTGTGGGTGCTGCTTTTGCGCCCCTGGTCAAAATGTGCATGTGGATCATGGCGCCGCTGTCGTGGCCGATTGCTAAGCTGCTTGATGCGCTACTTGGACACGAGGAGGGGACAATCTACGCTCGTGCCCGTGAGTATAGACTGAGATCGCTCCAATACTACCCATCATGCACCTCGGCATTGACCACTGAGCATCTTTATCACTATCGCAGAACTCAAGACGCTGATCCGCATCCACGAAGTGAACCAAGAAGGATCGAATGGCTCATGCGGAGACCTCATACACGACGAAGTGGGCATCATCTCGGCGGTCTTGGACTTGAAGGATAAGAGCGCAAAGCAGATAATGACACCGCTGGACGACGTGTTCATGATGGAGATCAATCAAGTTATCGACGTGCAGATGATCAAGGAGGTATGTACACTTGAAGCCTACAGGAAGTAAACGTAATCATGCTAATCTCCTACATTCCATCGATTCTCAGTTGATCAGTCGCGGCCACAGCCGAATCCCCGTCTACCAAGGCGACCGCTCGAACCTCATCGCAATTCTCCTCGCCAAGCGTCTGATCGGATACAACGTCGAAAAAGCAAAACGCATCAGCGACGTGCCATTAACGTATCTGCCCATTATTGATGGCGAAACAAATCTGTTTGATATGTTGAATTTCTTCCAGGAGGGCAGGAGGTAGGTGTTACGCCACCGCAGAGCAATAGAATGCCTGATTTCCTGACATTGACGTTCACTTTTCTTTTTGCGCAGTCATATGGCGGCGGTTGCCATGCGTGTGGATGGCAGCACGGAGCGGGAGGATGATGGGAAGGCTGAACGGGAGATTTTGGGCGTAATCACACTGGAGGATGTTATCGAGGAGCTTATTGGCGAGGTAAGGAGGGATGATGTCTCGAAGCCATTGTCTCCTCTTTCCTCGTCCTCACTCCCTCTCTCTCACCACGTAGGAAATCATCGATGAGACGGACGAGTATATTGACGTGCACAGCAAGATCCCCGTAAAACGCGCGCCAATAACTCAAAAGCTAGCCAAGCTGCTAGTAACGAACATCACACGGCGAAGTTCATCAACGTCGATGCCGGTCGTCAAGACTCCAGGCGGCACCTTGGGCATGGGAGTGGGCATGAACGGTGTGAAGCCTCTGCGACGGGGCTCAAACTCCGGTAAACATCAACATCGGATGGATGCGGAGGCATTACTCACGCCGCTCAATCCTCCTCGCCCAGACTCGGCTGCTGCAGCTGCTGGTGGTGCTAGTGGTGGTGCGAAGGGGCCCAACACGCCCAAATCAGTTGTTTTGGATACCGACTCGCCATCGACAACGACGACGACGTTTGGGGTGGAAGACAGCGTGGTGCCTGACTCTGTAGACTACTTCAGCGTGCCGATCGACGCGTCAACGCGAGACGAACGGTTACAGGATGCAGGGTGGACGATGACGCCGATGGTACCTGGCGACCGGCACTCGAGAAGCGTGCTTGTGCGCAAGAAGAGTCGCGGCGTGATGGGGACTGCGTCTGCGCCGAGCTCGATAGCGGGGAGTTCTGTGGCGGGCGACGAGCGGGAGCATGTGAATGGGGAGGACGAAACGATAGCGCGGAAGCAAGGGGGAGAGGATGAGACGACGCCGTTGTTGAAGACCGTGGGCGGCACGTCTTAACATTTGAACTGATTTGGTGGGGAGAATTTGGTCGACTGCTTGGAAACAATGGGCTGATTTCTTTCTCACACGTGGTCCCTTCCACCTCATTTTTTTGTATCTTATTGTACTTCTGGGATCTCATAGTGCTTTGTGAACAGCAGACGATGAGGCTCGTGAAGACTATTGATACGGATTATACTTTCTTACACGCATGGAAGAAAGCCACGCAGGCGTCTTTCCGATTGAGACGAGACGTGGAGGATGACGACGCGCCGGAAAGGAGAGCGAGGAGGAGGCCTTGGCGCTTGGCTTCCTTCAAACAGCTTCAAACCTTCAACATCGCCGCTGGTTTCCCACGCACTCCACTCTAAGATCTACATAGTGCTGACCCTATATTAACGTCCATAGAAGAACCGGACGACACTCGAAAAGCCAGCAACAGAGATTCGTCACAAGCTCCGTTTCCAGTTGTCTCGTCATGTCCGCCCTCACCTTCCACGATGCCGCCATCACAATCGTGCCGCTGAACGGCGGCCCTCCTTCCCAGTTCGGCCGAGGGACCCTGAGCGTCGAGCAGGACACCGTTGGCAACATCTTCCTCGTAGGTCCCGACTGGCGCCTGGCCCTCCCGGCCGATACCCAAGCCGACAAACCCCAGCCCGGAACATTCACAATCCACTTGCCTGCTGAGGCCCGCTTGAAACGTACTACGGACGGCTCCGAATATGTGTTCCCACCAGGCTCAGCGAACCTCCGCGTCGACTTCAATAACCCGGAACCGACCTCCCTTGCCGTGTTCGAGACCCTCTTCCTCGGTCCCGCCCCAGCCTACACGCCGTTCCCGCAACCTGGCGGCGCCGACGCGACGTACGGCCCAGCCACCGCAACCGACACCCACCACAAAAACAGTCTCGCCCTTGTCGATGAGAAGGGTGACGTCGTGGGGGTGGTCGCAGAGGGTGTGGACCTGAAGAACGCAGACGGCGGGGGACCAATTACATACGGCGACAACGAATCCGCTGTCATTGAGATTGATAGTTTGCCCGTCGTGGACCTGGATCAGCAGCACCGGGATGAGCGGGTCACGGTCAGGGTGAAGGTTATCCGGGACGCATCGTCGACGGTCGTCAAGACAGGGACCTATGTGTCCACCGGTCTGATTGTGGGATCTTCGGCGCTGGGGAAGGCTGTGAAGAGTGGAGCGAGTGCGTTGAAGACCATGATTCCTGTTGCTTCAACGCCATGGACGGTAAGGACAGGGAGGGAGCAAGGAACTTTTCTGTGTCATCACATTCATTATGATCGAAGTTGGCTCATCCTCGTCCTTTCGTCCAACAGCCCAGCCAAAGCACGAAAGACAACATCGACAAGTTCCACAAGGGCACCCAACAAACCGCTAACCTGACTCGCCGAGCCGCTGAAACCATCGCCGGAATCGCCGTCTCCGCGGGCCAAAAGGTAGCCCAATCCGCCACGAAAGCCGCCTCGCCCAACGGCGATTACCGCACCCACTCGGCTTCATGGGACCTGCTGAAGAACACCGTGCACGCCGTCAGCACCGTCCTGGATGCTGCGGCGGACGCGGGCAAGTCGCTGTACGCGGATACAGTTGAAGCCACCTCCGGCCTCGTTCAGCACCGCTATGGAACAGAAGCGGGCGACGCAGTGCGCACGAGCTTGGGGGCAGTGGGACACGTCGGGCTCATGTACTTTGATGCCAAGGGGATTGGTCGGCGCGCGTTCTTGAAAAAGGCCGCAAAGGGCGCCATCACGAACGTCAAGCTGAAGGATGGTCGTGTTGTCAGTCTGGGTGGTGCGAACAATGGGCCGACCATTGCTCATTCACCGACCCCTGGACCTAGTAGTAGCGGCGGGTATGCACCTGCATCGAAATCGAGTCAATCGCCGTTCGGGAAAAAGTGAGAGGATTTTACGCCCGGAATCACAACTTGTAGGACATAGGTAGAGGACGCTCCCTGTGATTAGTACAAATGTGGATAGACATTCCCAAAACTGATTCGCGTCCCCACACCCTTAAATGCCAAAATGGATAAGGAACTGAATCCTTCTCAGAAGTTATCCAACCCTTCGGGGCATTAGAGGAACACGGCTCCAATAAATATGGTTCCAAAATGCGACAGTCTGGGCGACAAAGTTTTGCCAGGCAGTGAAGAGAATCGCGCCAGTCCAGTGTCTACGGATCCGTGAGCCACGACCGAACAAGAGTCTGAATTCTTAAGTCTCCTTCTGCCGTCTATGCTCCCTCACGTCCTCCGACATCACCCTCGCCGACTCGCCGGGCCTCTCGCCCGGCGGCTGGGCGGGGCCACCCGAAAGCGGCTGCATCTCGTATGTTTGGGTGTCGACAGCGGCGGCCTCAGCGACGATTTTGGCGGCGAGGCGCGGCACGTCCACGTAGTCGGAGCCGTAGTGGGTGATGAGTTTAAGGCAGGCGCCCATGATTGCGATGCACATGGAGCTCATGAGGAATTTGTAGGAGGCCGAGTCTGATGTGGGATGGAACAATGTGAGTTTCTCGTGTGGGCACCGCTTTTACATGTTGCGAGCCGCGCGAAATACTCACATGAAGTAGTCAAGAAGATCAGCAAGATCATGAAGATGCTGCCCACAATACCAAGCGGTAGCTAAAAGACAAGGGGGGTCAATCCAGCACACATGCACAGCCATTCCCTTCGCAACCACACATTGCGAAGACTTCTCCGTCCTTCGCCGGCATTCAACACGAAAGAAAAGCCCATACCACGAGATACCGAATAGGCCGCTCTTGCTGCAAAAACGGCGAGACCACGGTCGGGTTCACCTCATATACTCCCAGCATGAGATTGAATGCATCCTGTAAAACGTTCCAGAGAGGATGCATGTGTAAGAAACAACGACAGTCGCTCACAAACCGCACAAATCGCCACCAGACGCGACAGATGCACACCTGCCGAGACCCATCAAGGAAATTGTTCTTGAAGTACCGAACAGCCGAGTTTCGGAAATCCTGCAGCGCGCCGGCCCGCGTGCGTTTCCCACCGCGCGTAAAGTCCGTTTTAAGGGCACCGGTGCCGCTGTATTGCCGGCTAACTTCGTCGGCGTTGTCGGCCCAGACTGCCACGCAACGACACCAATAAGTTCCTTTTGTCTTTCATCGAGGGTCGCATGATAAGGATGAGTAATCAGCCAGCAACTTTGATACATACTATGCTTGAAAACCCTTTCAAATTCCACAGCATCCTCCACCTTCCCACCAGGCGGCAAAATCCCTAGCTCCACAAACTGCTGCTTGAGCGAATTGCGAGCCAGCACGCTCTGCACTACATTGGTCCTGTCCAAGCAGTCCATGCAGTTGGTGCGCACGACCGAGTCTTGCTGCTTCAGTACGGCGCCTTTGGCGTCTTGCTTGAAGTAGCTGTTCCGTGAATGGACTGGTTGGTCAGCGTCATTTGCCCGAGTCGTAAAGGGAATGTGGTAGCAACTATTACCCTTGAGCTTCCAGCTCGGGCCGGATGTCCTCGAGGAGCACGGAGATGCGGTCCCATCGCATGTTTCGGCACTCGTGATGAAAGTCGAAATGGACGTATCTGTCGACGAGAGCTGTTCACTCCTGCTGTACCCCTCTCGAAGAGACGGGACTCTTTGTGTGGGAACTTACCTGATGCGTGGCTCATTCAGCCTTTGGATGGCACTCGCAAACGCTATCCCAAGCGGGTGCTCATATCCTTTCTTGTTGATCAAGTTCACCACGATCTGGCGGTTATACAACCGCAGCTGCTCATCGAAATGCTTCTTGAAAGACGCGGCCTACTGAAACGCGTCAATGATGCTACTGGCGCCAATCGCATTTCCAATGAAGCTGCCACTCTACCGTCTTCGGATCCGGCACAACTTCCAATTTCGGCTGGTATCTAATGTTTGCCGTCTGCTTCCAATAGAGCGGTATCGACCCACGCGTCTGCACATACGACGTCTTGTCCCCGGCTTCCGTGACAACAATCTGCTCAGTCTCAACGTAATTCGAAACGTTGCCGTTGTCGTCGACCCCGCGCGAATGGTATCGAGTTCCAGCTCGATGGTGTGATCGGCGCGTGATGAGACCGAATGTTAGGCGACGGTTGTTCACGGAGATGTCTTTGAGCTCTATGAATCCACACATGATGGGAAGAATAAAGTTGCTGAGGTCGTGGTCAGGTCGTGACGTGCTCATCTCTATCAGCCTCCTTTGCATATAGCGATTCCAGAAGAACCGCTCATCTGCTGTAGCCCAAAGAGGCCGCTCTTTGGCTGCCTGTTTGCTTGTTCGCTGTGCTGAGTTCGTGAGGTCAAAGGTGTACGAAAAGTAGAAGTAGCCGGCACCAAGAAGCGTGTCGAGCATGAAGACATAGTTGACATCGTCTTGAATCTGCTGCTCGGAGAGATGCAATCTACTTCGCTGGACTGGGATGGTCTTATGTCCAGTGAGCTTGTAGACCTCATGGCCGGATATCTTCCCAATCCTCTCACGCCCCGTGATAACAACAATATGGTCGCCGGCGTTCAACTTGATTACACCCAACAGCCCATGGATGCTGATGACTTCCTCCTGTCGCAGTGTCGGCGCTGGCGGGGCGTTCAGATTCAATGACCCATCGATGCGGTTAATCACCAAAGTCTCCCTTCGCACCGACGGGTTCTGATATACAGGCTCGAACGTGAACGTCTCGCTCGAGATGTACAGATTCAATGAACTGTAGACCATGTTGGGCGATGGTGCCTGCTGCACAACGGACCAGTTATGATCGTTCGCTGGAAGCGGTAAGGAGAATCCCGCCGCGTACGATGCAGTGGGTCTTCCAGCTGTTTGTGTAGCCGAGGCCCGCCTCCCGAAGCTTCGGGATGCGTGAATCTGAGAGCCCAACGTTCTGAAGAAACCGCAACGGCGAAACGGCGGGACCGCAGCCGGGCAATATGATAGTCTAGAACAAAGCCGCAGAAGGGACGACGCTACGTTGTGCGCCACGGTGAGCGCTGCTACACTCCGGTGTCGGAAGGACCCTCTGAGCGAAAGTGTTACTTTCTCAGCGATGGTGAACGAATACATACAGGAAGAAGACCTACATGAAGAACGGAGGCGTTCTTCCTCAATAGCAGAGCGTCTACGTGAAGGCCGAGTATATGGAAGCGCCAGGATGTGCTTGCTGACCTGCAAGGGCTTGCCGCTGAATTGTGAAGCCTTCCGAGTCTTCTGACGCCCGTCGCACCTCTGACGCTGGAAGGCAGGCAAGGTCAACATCAACGCGAGAGCCCCCACGCGTCTCCTTTCGCCTCTCACGTTGCACATGCACGTTTTGGCCTGCTCGCAACCGTTTCCCCCTCAACCTAAATTCAACTCAGCTGCCAGCGTCGGAGTTGCAGAGGATGGGTGAAGACGACATAGGCACTCGCTGGGTCTTCGGCTACGGCTCCCTGTGCTGGAAAGTAGGTAACTCGGTGATATCGCCCTCCTGCGTTATATGTCGCCTCGGAACATACAGAACAGCGGTGCTGAGCGTTCATTCCACTTTTCCAAATCAGACTTCCCATATGAAGCCCGCTTTCCCGGTTTCGTAAAGGGCTTCGTACGCCGGTTCTGGCAAGGAAGCACGGACCATCGCGGAACACCCGAAGCTCCCGGCCGCGTCGTGACACTGGTGCCTTTCGACGAATGGGAACGCTGTTATAAGGGCCATGATCCACACGGCCCCAAGCATGTCGACGACGCGGTATGTTGGGGTGTGGCGTACAAGATTGCGGCGGATAAAGTAGAGGAAGTCCTGGCGCATCTGGACCATCGCGAAAAGGATGGGTACGACTGCGTCACAACGCACGTCTATCATCCCACCGTCACGGATAAAGAAACCGGAAACCCACGCCCAGTTGTCAAGGCGAGGGTGTACATCGCGACCTCGAACAACGACAGCTTCTTGGGGCCGACTGAAGTTGAGAAACTGGCGCTCCAGATTGCAGTCACGGAAGGTCCAAGTGGCCACAATGCCGAATGTATGGAGACCCTTGGATTCGTTATCAACTCGCACTGTATCTGCCTGATGCTTACAGGGACCCCTCCTCTACAGATTTCTTGGGATTGAGCAGATCTATGCGGATACTAGCACCAGAAACACCAGACATGCACTTGAACGCATTGGAACCGCTAGTTATCGAACATTTGAAACGCTTGGGAACGCCGATTCCGCCCATCAATCCGGGTGATGAGGCCAAGTTCATGGAGCTCAATTCGCACTTGCACATTCTCTCAGAGCTTTTGCTGGTCGATGAGAATAAGCTTGCGGAGGAGAACTGAAGTGTAGCCGGGACTTGGTGAAAGAAGCGTACTGTCACACACTTGTAACCTAGTGAACTCTTAGCTGTGACGGTCTCAATTTTGGACATGAAGAAGCCGAATCTCATCTTTCGCATGTATGTAGACAATGAATGTCAAATAAAAACAAATGTTGTCGCGGGACGTCCGTAGCGCTTGCTCTCAGACAGGTGTCCTGGTTATGATATCTTACAGCAGCGCCTAATTGAGCGCCTAGGATAGTACACACGCTAGCTAAACATGCACAGCAGCTCTCCAATACATCCTCACTCCTATTCTGACGTTCTAATCTATGCGTCCAACCAATCAGCCAGAGGCGAACGTAGTTTGGACCATGCAATCACCTCCTTTACCTCTCCATTGATAAGCCACGGCATAACTTCACCATTATACAGTATCCGCACGTCCAACCCTTCCCCATCGCCCCCGTCATTACTCAAACTCTCTTCTTTCGGCTTCCACACCTCAATCACTAACATCGAAGCATATGGCGGCCACGCGTGTGCTGCCTGTTGCAACTTTAGTGTATGACTACCAGACGCAAGAACAGCAAGTAAACCCGACAGTGTCGTGTCGTGCGCGGAATAATGATGTATCCTCGTGTCAGACCGTCGCTTGCTCAGAATCTCGCGCACCAATGGCCCGATTCGCATCACGGACTCCTTCCGTCTGTCTCCCATCTGGGTATCATACTCCAACCGCAACCATTCATGCGCCAACCAGACGGTGCTCTCGACATCCCTGGCGATAAGACACGTGTCCTTTCCAGCCGCACAGGGAAGCTCGTACCCATGACATCCCCTAGTCTGCAACAAGTCGAACCAGCTCTCCAAAGAATACTCGTAGTCCGCCTGCACGGCATCGTTCATATGCGCCGCAAACTGGGTCGATAATTGGTGGTACGCAAGGAACGCCCTGTCGTGCGCTCGGGTCTTCCGATACAATGCTCGAAGATCCGCACTGCCCAACCTTAGACCCAGAGCATCAATCGGCCGCGGCCGGATCTCCAACGGCACGGGCTGCTGTTCCCCCACCGACGAAGCGTTCCCCACCGGAAACAACTCATTCACAAAGTACTGGGCAGACTGGACTGTCCGCCACACATCCGTGCTCCGGAACCTCGCCTCCTCCAAACCAGGCGTCTTCCCACCCTCCCACTCCACCCTCCCTGTCAAATACACCTCCCTCACAGCCCTCCCTACATCCTTCATCTGCTCGATCCCCCGGTACGTCAGCTGGCCGAGATTGCAGCGTCCTGCCCAATACTCCTTTTCGTCGTCATCGTCGCCTAGAGAGAGCGTTTTGAGGAACCCGCGCTCGGAGGGCGTGAGATGCGCGTACTCGGTGGGTGGGCAGGCGTTGACCCATGTGGGGGGTGAGTTGGGTGTGTCGGGGAATGGGAGGGCGGGGGTGCGGTCGCCGTGGCGGGTTATGATGTGGAGGGTTTGGAGGTTATGTGTTTTTGAGAGCTGTGGGTGGGAAGAGTGGAAGAAAGTACCGATGAGCGACGGTGTGTTGGACATACGGCTTTCTGCAAAGTCACCTACGCTTCGATATCCTTCGGCTCCCAAATATTTGGCCCGACAGTAGTCGTAGCCCTCCGGATACTCCTTCGGTCGCAGCAAGCTCCAACCATCTCCCGCACCGATGTCAACCGGTCCATCTCGCCGACGTGTCCGCCCGGTGTTGGCCCATATGATCAGGAACGCGGCGAAGCTACCGAAGATGAAACGCCGCCATGGGGAGGACGACGCCCGTGAAACGACACTCCTGGTCATGGTTTAATCGCCTAAAGGAGTTTTCGTGCCAAGCTATATTTTGATGCTGGGAACCTGAGAATACACGAAACGTTCTCACGTATGACCGCTGAGAGGCAACGCAAAGCCCGATGTATACCGTCAACCAAAGAACGTTTTATGCACCCTCAAAACCTCAAAATGTACAAGTTCCTATTACAAGTTCCTATTAGGAAGGACGGGAAAAAGGGGTCCCCGAATGTTGGGGAGGAACGCGGAAGGGTAAGGGCGACATACGCAGGGAAATTAACCGCAACTTTGCGACTACACTGTGACAGTAAACTTGGTATAGCAGAGAGGATAAGGGAAGAACCTCCAAATGGGGGGCAAAACTGAGACGAATAGTGGTGACCGCCAGGATCCTGACGTACGAAGCCGTTTGGTGATTGATGGGTTCAGACATCGCATGGGGTAGATATGACGGGCGGTTGGAATCTTTGTTCACAACTCGATCTCAACCACCCTGGCCCCTTGCCGAGTCATCTCCGCAACGTAATCATCCCCATCGACGCTCTCGTCCGTGTCGAGCGACTCAACCCGACTAGCAGGTCGAGTGTCCTGCGACTCGATCCGGCTGGTAGCCCGATGTTGAGAGAAGTTCACTGGAGGTAGCGAACGCGTGTCACTTGCAGCTGGACCCACCCGCACTTTACCAGTGGCGTCGTCAACGCGGGCGGAGAGGTTTGCTTCGGCGAGGATGCGTTGCGATGACGGTTCGATGCCTTGAGGCCGTAAGGAGGCAACAAGAGCTTGGTTTGCGGGGTTGCCGTCCAGGAGATTGCGGAGGGCGAGAATGGATTGCTCTTTGATGACTGTGCGAGAGAAGGGAATTTCCAAATAAGAATCCGAACCAAGGATGCGGCCTCCGCTGTCGGAGATAGCCCCAGTACTTACAGGGGTTGTCATCATCGATCGCACACTGGCTAAGCACGGCTTCAACGCCTCCAAACAATCTGAAAGCGTCTTGGACCTCTTTTGCCTCGTAACTCAAGTTTGATATGATCTTGATCACATCGCATTTGAGCATGAAGAACGGAGATTGGGTAGGCTCCTGCTGGGCGACCATGGGAGGTGTGGAGGGTGGAGTGGGTGATGAGGCGGTAGGCGTGCTCGCGTGAGAGCTGCTTTGACTCGACACGTTTTGACGGGTAGGAGGCAACGTTTTAATGGTTGAGCGCGGTTGTACGCTGTTCAGGAAGTGCATGAGGTCTACAGACAGGAGAGAGTCAGCAACTTGATTTGAATTGGGTGATCAAGCAATAATGCGGGGACCATACCTATTAACGATTTCCCAAGATGGGCATTCATAAGCTTAATCTTGGCATCCGGTCCGAGTTCCGACGCGACGCGACCTATGCAATGCAAAAGGAGAGCAATGCCCTCTAGGTCAAGCCCGAATACTGATCGCGGCGCTTCATTGATCACCGTCAGGTCCTTGACCTCTTCCAAGTTCCTACGCACGGCATCGACCGTCTTGCGTAGGACGACTACCAGAAGGACCAACGTATCGATCCCTAAATCGATTGGCATGACCGACGGTGGGGAATGGTCATGTGAGTCGCAGTGCGGCTGCGCATCAATCAGACCATCCAGGAGACGGAGGTATGTGATGTGCTGCTGGAACAGAACGTGCTTTCGATTCGGATCGCGCCCATGGCATAGTGCATGCATGATGTTGGGAGTCATATCGAGCTCAATCATGTTCCGGAAGATTGCGTAGACGTAGTCGAATGCGTTGCAGTTCACGGTTGCCAGCTGCTCGGCCTTGTCCAGGAGGACCTTGAGCAGATCGCGGCCGATGGCGGTTCCGATAACGTACATGCACCGGTCGCGACACATCATGGTGCAGTTCAAAATGCAAATCAGCACGTAGGTCAGTTGATGGACATCGGCAGTGTTGATTAGCTGCCTGTGTGAGATGGTGCAGATTAGTTGCGGATCGGACGGTATACGGTGCGACAATAATGCTTTGCGTACAGAAGAAGGTCGGACTCCGTGAAGTAGCGCGGCCAGAGCTTGTCTTGCACATCGGGATTGCCGGTCATCATGTTGGCCAACATTTGCGTTCCCATGCTGACGCATTTCGCCACTACAGGACGATCGAGTCAGCTTAATACTCACATCACATCAGTAGGCCACAGTCAACCAGTAACGTACCTCTTTCCCGCATGTTGATACAGCATCCCTTCTTCATGCACATCAGCCAGCTGCAGAGGTACGAGATGATCTCCTCCATTGGCTCATAGAAGCCTTGTTCCCAGGCATCCTGTTGGTTTGAGCGGACCTGGGCACAAAGGTTCCTGACGAGCTGGAAATGGGCTGTCGCGAGATCTACAGCACGCTCGGCACGCTTCGGGCAGGCCACTCCCGTCTTTCCAACTCCAAACACGCAGAAGAGATGGTTGCGCGTGAAGATCAGCGCTGTCCGCAGCGACTCCCACATATACGGAGTTTGAGCGATTTGTTGTCTGGTAGCAGAGACAGAGGAGGGAGGTGAGTACGCAGCACACAAACGCCATATGCGCACGTTGAATCATTTACCTCAGCTCCACGTCCTTTGCAAGCTCCTTCGCGACAGAGTCGACAACAGCTGTCGCCTCAGCAAGGTGCTCATAAGCTGGCGGTGCCGAGCATCCCGCGTTGATCCTCTCGAGAAGAGGCCTCCAAGCGGTCAATAGGCGGACCGCCAGTTCTGGTAATCCTTCCAGATCTTCCGGAGTGTACGTGCATGCCGTCGCCTTTATTGGCGCCGGCACCGGTGTGCATTGTTGTTGGTTTTCTGTCGCAGCGGAGCTGTCGTTGCTCCGTTGCTCCAAGTGTATCGTGTCTGTGCCCTCTACTCCTGATAAAGAAGGGGCCATACAGACCTCTTCAGCGGCCATTACGCCGAAGCGGCAAGAAGAAAAAACGTGGTGGCGGAAGACTCCGAGAGACTCCCAAACTGAATTTGGCGACGCAAGCCCTATACCAAGGATAGCCGGTATTGAGGTTGCTCGCAACTCTTGAAGCCACTGTCGAGAACGAGGGATCCAGTGTCACTGAGCGTGGAGTTGATGTCCCAGTGCGAACTCTGGGTACGGCGATAGAATTGGCACTCTTCCCTCTCAGACACGGAAAAATGCGCAATTGAGTCCGAAGTTCTGGCGTCGACAGCGAGTAAACGGGGGGACCTTGTCAAGAGACGCTTGTATAGATATGAGACCGTTGAAAGTGGATACTGCGGGCGGGGGTCGCTTGTTATTGTTGTCGCAGGGGCTATGTCGAACCTCCACCTCCAGTCGGGCTTTGCGCAAAAAGACGGGCTGCATTGGTAATCCATATTGTAATGATTATTGTACTGTACGGTACTCGGGAGTTCCGCGGCAGCTCTCGTCTCTCTTCAAATTCATAATTCACCACCATGAGGCAAGGATGACAATCACAACGATTGTTGGTGCTTTCCAGACCGAGTCCAGGCTGCCGGCTCAGTTGGAATGTCAGCTATTTCTCTGCACGGAACTGTCAAATTTTATTCACTCCTTTTCTCGACTGGAATACGGAAGAGGAAGTTCAAAATCAAATCGGAATCAGGCGTCCGATCAATGATAGAACGTACATACAGTCACCTCGCAAAACTCTGTACCCCCCCTGAAATAAATCAGCGACTGCCGCGACGCCAAATTCATGTGAGTGACCAATATTGATTTCAATTAGAGGGGGGGCACAGAATTTTGCGAGGTGACTGTACATACATACTCCATGTACCACGCACATTCGTGTATCGACTATCGAGTAAAATACTGGATATACTATATTAATCAGTGTGATGACAACAGGAGAACTATTGGCCGCTTCGGAGCGATGAGAAAGACCGGGCCATCGCACCAATGTGCTCATGCATGGTCGCCCGGCACTGGGCGTGGTGCCAAATCCACCCGATAGGGTAAGGGACGTAGGAGTTTTGATTGAGGGATTTGCCATATGCCATACGTGCCAATACGTGAGCACTTGCTGGCGTCTCCAAACCACATGGCTTTCGTCATCAGGCAGAGTTCAGCGATGGGTCATAATCCACCTGCTATAACGAACCTAGAATGAGCTGCAAGGAGTCGCGGAGTCGGGACCAGCGAACGGTTCGATAGCAGCCAAACCGAAAATATTACTAATCGGGATGCCTCGGTGGTGACAACGCCGACGCCGCCCAGGGGTAAACGCCGAAAATAATACGCCGAATCCTTAATCATTTGGATGGAAGCGTGTGCGGTGCAGCGTGCGAGCCCAATTCAGCTTTCCGCCCGACGATATCCTCATGTCGAATAGACGGTAAAGCACTCGATTTTGCAGTTCGGATCTTCCCAATCCTTCGCCGCGAGGTCTATCTGAATCCCTAGATTGTCATAAACAACGCAGCACTTCGGGTACTTCTCCTTGCTCGTGGGTTCATCAAGGAGCGCAACAATTTCCTGCCCCGTCAGATCCATCCGTAAACCGTAGGGTAACGGAAATACGTCTTCCAAGGCGTATCTCGAGTAGCCCGAAATGCCGTCGTTGTAGAGATGAATGGCAGCCAGGACAAGATCGCCCCCTGTCTGCTTCTCGTCGAAGCTGTAGCTTATGCCCAACGTGGTGTAGTTGTGGAAGAGAGTCCCTGGGAAGGTTTTTGTGCTGCAAGGGAAGCGCTGGTCCGGTGGATGAATCCGGTCCAGATGGTCGCGGAAGGCTTGGGAGTCGAGGCTGATGCCCAGCATAGTGGTCACATCTGGTGCTTGTGTAGATGCCGTTGACAACGCCATTGTCCCGACGACTGCTTTGGCTTGAAAGATCGTTTGTTGAGCGATGTTTTCCACTGCAGAGTGATGGACAGGAGGAGAAGTTGAAACTTGAAAGGCAGCTGAGCTGTTCCTTGGGAGCCTTGGGAAATCCTGATGTCACGTCACGTGCTCTCGAGGGGACGACCTGCAAACCAATTCAGCATGTCGCCCGAATTTGCTCTGAGATCATCACGCACTCATCGAGCGGAAGTGACAAGACCGAGTGCGAACCATCGCCGGACAACGTAGATGTCAAGAGTCAATCGCCCTCGCGGGTCCGGCCAGGTTTGTGGTGGTGGTGGTTCTGTTGGCGAGCCGCCGGCACTTGGGGACCCAAGTTGGGCCATGTCTATTTTTAGGTATCGCACGTGGAATGACGAAGCGTGCGAGACGAGGGCACGTTTTCAGGTTCATAGTCTCTCTAATGGAACGGGTTTGAACTGGGAAACGGCTGCGAAGCCCCGAATTCTGAGTCGAAATCTCACGCCTGAAATCTCGTGCAATACACTTCTTACGACCAAGTATATCCACAATGGCAGCCGAGCAGTATGAGGCTCGACAACGTCACACCGAGGCCGTCAGCTACCCGTTCCAACGCAGCCAGTCGGACCCCATGCTTTCCATGCCGCGGTCAGCGTACCCGCTATCCCCCTCCGACTTATTCTTGCCGCAATATCCCATACCGCCACCGTCACAGTTCGGAGGCAATAATAGTCAGCAGCAGATGAGCCATCTGTCGCTTTTAGGGTCCAGCCAACTACTACAATTTCGCAGCCAGGAATCGGCTGAGAATATGCAGGTTGACTCGCCGTTTTCGACGAACCATCCCAATCACCACCTTTTCGGAAGTGGGGGAACCGAATATGTTGATTATAGCAGTTCCGGATATCAAAATGCGGGATCACGAAAAGGGAGTAATGAGAGCATCAATTCCACTACGGGATTCAATGTGCATGCTTCAGGCTACCAGCCTTCTCCGACAGGGACTGGCCTACCATCTCTTCCGACCCCTGTGTTTAACACATTTGAGGATATCCTGGGAGCCCATTTTCAGCAACAGCAACAACAGAAGTATTTGCAGTATAAGAAACAGCAGCGGCAGAACAAGCAGCTGGAACAGCAGCAGCAGCAACAGCAGAACTCGCAAAAGCAGCCGACTTATTCCAGAGTATTTGTCAAACTATCCGAACCACCTCGGAGGAACGACGGGCAGCAAGGCCATCGCCTGGCGCCTTTGCCCACCCCGCCGTTTTCCGCGTCAAGCTCTACGCATAGCGGCGGGGATCCCTCCCATTATCGCCACCCGCCTACGCTGCCATACCCAACTTCGCCGGTAACCACAAACATGTACACCATCCATAGCGGTGGGCCTGGGCAGTATGGGGCTGTGTCAGAAGAAGAGGAGACGTTCGCCGGAAATGGCGATGAGCATCAAACCAGTTATCATCAAACCGGGTATGGGCAGGCCGGCGAAAATAACCCGCCGACAGACAATCTGACAGAAACTTATCACCCCGACGAACCGTCGTTCACTGAGCGGATGTTCCAATACGCCAATGCACCTTTGGGTGTACCTTTGAGTGATGCACCAGCGCACAATCCGCCTCACCGCGTGATGGACGACAACATCCCCCAACCCCAACCCAATCAGCGAGCCGCCAAAAGCGCCCCCCGGCACCAGCACCAACGCGCAATATCCTCTCCCATTCCCAAAACCTCTGTCCCGACGAGCCAACTTCCAGTCGCAAAGCAAGGGACGCCGACAGGCCCGCGCATATATCGCTGTTTCGTCAAGGATTGCACCAAGACGTACGGCACGGGCGCCGGGTTGCGGTACCACCTACGCAACTTCCACAAGATGGCGAGCATACCACGTCAACCGCCCGTCCGTGTTGCGCGGACCAAACCGGATTTCTACGCTTGCCCAAAATGCCCGAAGCAGTACAGCACTGCTGCAGGGTTGAGGTACCATAAGAAGACGTTTACGCACCCGGAGGATGTCGAAGGGATTGTGGCCCCGGCTCTTGCGAATGGGAGCCCGGCTGGGAGTGTGGGATTACCTGAGAGCGAGATTGGCGATTTCTCGGGCGAGGAGGATGTCGGATCGGAGTCGGCTGGGATGGAGGGAGTGGATGAATACGAGGACGATGGGATGGAGGTCGATGTGGAAGATGATTAGGGTGCTTGGCTCCACCATGGAGGTGGGATTGAACTTTCCGTAAAACAGTCCCATCTCGTGCCCTTCTTTCTCCCGTAGAACGGTATACATTTTTCTTGTCTTTTCGGCATTGTATTTTCCTCTTGTGAGTTTATGAACAATTTTGCATATCATTATTGAACGAGTATGTTCCCACGGTCCACTCGATCAGGTGTCCTGCCTGTTTCTGAACTAGATGATGGAGCTTCTGCGGCCTATGTTTGTAGAACTCCGACGGCTTTGCAACAAAGAGATTCCATTTCCGGTCCTCTGTGCACGCACACGGCAAACAGCATCAAATGATTACGGGTATAACATATATTTGCAGTTACATACAAAGAAGGTTCCTTTTTACATCCGCAGACCACCCGAACAATGCACACTCTCCTGCTCTGCACTACGTCCCTCCTGAGTACCATGCAGTCCCCTGTTCCCGTCCCTGATCCCAAGTGTTTGTCCGCGCCGCATCCCGGCTCTTCCTTGTCATTCCCTGAAGCACATGTTGGGAATGGCAGTGATTGCCGATATCTGAGTGATCAGGAAAGAACACATCGTAATCAGTAAATGCTTGAACATATATTCAGGCGGCGTGAACAGACACCATTCCACCGTGAAAGTGCATATGTACGTATCAGTGTAACTATGACTATATTGCTACCCTCTTCGCTCAAAGACGAACCAAGACGGTTGTCGAATTGAGAGCTCTGGATGCGTTGGAGTTTGTCATCAAGTACAGCAACTTTCACGGCGGTCGCGTCCACTGCTCGTCCACGGGAATAAGGATGGGAAGGGATATCGGGCTTACCTTGGATATGCGGCGATGGATTCCATCAACTTGAACGATAGAGCGCCTGCGACACTGAGGGTGAAGAAGGAGACTTATAATAAGCATAATGACACCACAGTCTTCCCAACTCACGAAGAGCGCGAAATAGCATCAGATATGTGATGTGTGTTGGTTAATCTACAGCGCCGCCGAACCCAGCCCGAGGACCAGATAAAGGCGGCTCAGCATTGCAGAACCTTGTCTCCTCCTGTGCAAGATATTGAGGGAGAAGGGCGAGCAGGGAGGACGGATCTTACCTTGTGTTGCGGATTGCTCGAGATGCAGAACCCAGGGAAGGTGCAGAAGAAAACCCCCGGAAATCTCCGACTCCGTTTATATCGACATGCGTGATCACGTGTTGCTCAAATCAATACGAAGTGCTGAGGAAGTTTGACACTTCCCCAAGATCCTTTGCGATGTCCAGAAAAAGACTTTGGATTCTACGGAAAAGATACGACTTTGTTGCAACTGGGAAAGTAACTTCGAATGGCATGCTAACGCAAAGGCCGGCATTTCAGCATCACTGGTTGGCGACACCACACACGATGACGGACGGAGCTGGCGAGAACGACCAACGAGCACCGATAACAAAGTCCTGCAAACCAACGATGCTGGACTTACCCGACGAGCTGATAGTGTTGGTGTTGGAATGGGTATCAACGCAGTGCCTAGGTCGCTTTCAGCGGGCGAGTAAAGGAATGCACTCCCTCGTCGTTAGCAACGAAACGACGCTTTACCGACGCTTACTTGAGCGATATCTTGCGAGTCTCGATGTTGTTCCCGCCGGGGGGGACGCAGTCAACAACACTCTAGGTTCAATCACTACGTGCCCTGGCCAATGGCGAATTTTACTGTCCGACGCACTCCTTTGGGGACGAAATTTGCCGCAAACAGTAACGAAACGATCCGCGCGATATGCTGTAGCACCAACGGTGGGCGACAAAGACTGCGAGAGCAGTGACGCACGGTCTTACATCGACGCGGTTCCCGGAGCTGGTGGAGAAATCGGGCTCACCGTCCGAATAATTGGGCCGAACTCCATATGCACATCTTGGGGGGGATTGCGTATTCAAAGTATAGATGGTGATGGAGAATGTAGGGGAAGCATATCGCGAAGCAGTAGCAACGCCACATTATGCGGTGACGGTCAGGGTGGGGCCATAGAGGAGCTTGGTCTCGCACAGCAAGACGATGATGTGTTTGCCGGCATGAACCCGAAATGGATCGATGACCACACTCCTTCCTCTGACACATTTAGCGGGTCAGGGCAGCTCATGGCGATTAATGAATGGAGTGAAGACTGGCAAGGCGGATATACCAGCATTTTTGAGACGTCTGAGTGCGTCCCTCGGAAACAGAATAGCAAAGAGCCCCTCCGGCTGGTCGCATGTTTTCGTGCCCTCGAAACAGCGCACATTGCAATCACGCACGGAAATCTATATGCCGCATGTACCGCATGGTGGACAATGCCGCATCCTGGAGACGCGAGCGAGCCGAAACCTGCGTTCATCCGCTTATTCAAGGTTCTGAACGATGCCGGAGCTACTCAGTCTGGAAAAACTCCCGAGTGGACCTTCGAACTACCCGCGCACCATCGCCCGCGGTCGCTTGCGCTGAGCGAAACGTATCTTGCGTGTGCAGTGGAAGCCGCCGCAGGATACCGTGTGATGGTGCTAGACGTTCGTACTGGCGCTCTACTCGGACAAGTTACCTCGTCCGTATCGGAATCGGGCGTATTCGACCGCGACGCCGGTGTACAGTCGATTCATCTTTTACGCAACGTGCTTCTCGTTCAAGCATCGGGAACCCTCCATGTCTATCTATTGATCCCGTCACCACCAATCACCAACCAACCCCGTGCGGTGCTGGCTCAACCTCTCGCGGCGGTCCAAACGGGCGATGTGGCGCCCATCCACGTCTTTAAGCTCCCAAGCAGTACGCCATCTGCAGTCCAGGATCAGGAACCTACCCTAATGGTGTGCGACTTCCAACACCCTGAGCGAGTATGCCTGCTGCAGCCTGCAAGTCTGAAGAAACGATGGGTTTCCGCTGCGCGGGTAGCTGGGGACTCTGGAATTTGGTGTTTGTACCGAGATGCCGACGGGTCAAAACCAAAGGCATTGAGTGAGCTTGGGTTAGTATGGAAGCGGATAGAGCCGAATCATGTTGATCGATAGAGGTTCATTGAGCGTGAGGGGATGAAACCTATTATCTTTTAGTGAAAGTTTGGAACGGCGTACATCATGGTTAATTTTGCTACATAGACACGTCGGAAGTCCTGTTTCTTGTATTCAGGCCGTTGCCTTCTTTCTCTCTTGCAAGCGCAAATGTGATAGAATTCCGGTTGTTTAGCTGCTTCTTTCTGCCATCTTCCGTTTTCGTTGTTGTAAAGGACGATCGTTTTGGCGATCTAAGGCGTTACCAGCAAATTGGGAACGCGCATGTGTGGCTTTTCGAGCCCTCCGGTTCCGATTATAGGATAGACAGAAATCTCCCCTATTTCCAACAGCAGCATAAACCTTACGGGCCTTCCAGCCCTTTCTAAAGCCCGTATACGATGTTCATATAGTGACAGCCGCTCGTCGCTCTTTGTGACGTCTTTCTCTCCAAGCAACCCGCTCCTTCTTTCATCACAGAAGGAAGAAAGTTTCCGTGTGATGAGACCGACGTTGCAGGCTGCCTCTGAGGATGCGGCCATTCCCGATCAGCCAACTGGAACCACTCTGAGCGTCGAAGGGGACGCCTCGAAGGCACAAGTGCGAACTGACAACAGCCAAGAGGCCAACCGTGCGAGTCCGAGCAGTCGCGGGGGGCCGACGCCCCCGGGATTGAACGGCTCTTCGAATGCCACTCGTCCCAGTCTGGTGAAAGGGAGCGCATGGACGCTATACCGCGTACTGTCAATATCCATTGTCAACCTGACCTTTTCCACCGCCCTCCTTGCGCTGTGGAGATTTATCGAGATCGAGTTACGGCGATACTATGGTTGCGTGGAAGTGTGTTATCTCCCATTCGGAGGCGGAGAAGCAGACATCCGAAAGTTCTCGCTCTGGGGTTATTTCGGCATTTTCTGGGTAGCGATCCTAACCACAAACTCGATCGATAATGTCCCATTATGGAGGCGGCTGGAACTGGGTAGATTCAGACGGACGGATCCTGGCGCGGGATTCCGAAGGTGCTGGAAGACGGTCGCCTACGTCGCAAGCAGGGTTCTCTGGCCCCTGTTGAGCCTTATACCCGTATGGTATACCCCCACGGCAGATTCGACTCTGGGTGTCATGATTGGAGTCAATGCGCTGGGGATGCTGTTCGTCGGTTCCATATTCTTATGGTACGATCAGCCGGTGAAAATGCGGTTCAAACATGCTATCGCTGCCACCATCGCCATGGCAGCAAGCTTTGGAGTGCTCCTGTTGGGGTATTGGACGATGATCAACACGGACCGGCTAAGCTATCTGGCGACCTTCATCGCTGGCGGAGTATACCCCGTCGTCAGAGTAGTGACGGTATCGCAGTTTGTAGAGATCTCTTCCAAGGCATATCACTGGTCTCTCGACGATCCTCGAGGAACTTCCCACTTCCTCGCATACTTGTCAGCGGCCGGTGCCGGCTTCAGCGTCCCAACGAAGGTTCGGATCCTTACCTTCGAGCGGTCTAGCCAATTCTGGGTGGCCGTCTTCTTCAGCATCTGCACGGAGATAGGAACAAGATTATGGCTCGTATATGTTATCATCTGCGTCCGACAGGGCGGAGAAGACACCGATGCGGAAAACTCCTGGTCCGATGAGGAAATGGCCTATCTGAGAACTTCCCGGATAAACTCTCCAATGGCGAGTACGGTAGATAAGAAGATGAAGAGCTGGCGTTCGAGCGATGTCGTTACGAGCGGCGACCCGAACGGTCGCCGGTCTGCGTTACAATCACGGCACATATCAGATGACGACTCGGCAAGCCATATCGAAAAAGCCTCTCATCCGACTAGAATCGTTGGTGTAGTCGAGAACACCAAACCAGGCACGATTCAGCAGGCCCTGTCGCTACTCCCATCAGCAAACCCTCAGCCGGATATTGGCCAGCGGGCCACGTCCGCAAGATCGCTGGAACAGTGCAATCCAAAGCAGTGCAAATCGCCAACGAACTGGCCATGGCTCATGGCCTCTCACCGTTGCGTACAGCATTTTCTCATCACCAAGTTCAATTTCGGCTATTTCCCTGATCCGCGGTGGCACGCCTTACAGATCGCTGGCATGACAATCGCCGAATACCTCTCGTTGGGCATGACCGTCGGGCTGCTGTACTTCCACTGGGACGCATCAGGGTCCTCCCAGTCGAGTTGGCTGGCAAATTTCACAAACTCCTATTCGAATAAGGTGTCGATGTTTCCCATCACGGGTCTGGAGCCAGCCGCGCAAGAGTATGCGGCACAGCAGTTACAAGCCTGGTGGACCCGTGGCTTGATCATGTTCTTCCTTCAGGTGGTTATGGATCTCCTGATGGGTCTTGTGCAACGAAAGCAGATGATCTTATGGGAGAGGCTGCCTCCGTTCAACGGCTCGGCATATGCGTCCGTCTTGGCGTTTCTCGGATGCACCATGTGCGCGTTCCTGACGGTTTATCGAGGATTGCTCACTTGAGGTTGATATCGGGGAGGGACCTTCGATACCTCTGGAATAAAGGACTTCTCCTCCAGGTTGCAGATATCAGTTTGGCCGCCTAATGTAATTTCATCACCATGTATACATATATACGAGAGACTATGCGGAATCTATCAGAAGGCGAAAATCGTTGTGTGAAAGACATTGTATCTCCGCACTGGAAGGCTACACCTAGAGCACCAGAGCCCTGCGTTGAGAATTCACAGGCCGCACCGGATGAGAGTCTGTGGAACGCGCCTGGGTCGTGAAGAGCTGTTCTTGCATGTTGAACGAGGACGGCCGTCCTCTCCTTGGCCTCAAGAGATAAGGAACCTCGGGGTGTCCGGCACATCGTTTCGCAGCTGCATTGGTATATGACGCCGACAGACATCCGTTTGGGCCCATTCCTGTGGCATCCACACTTGTGCGACCGATGTGTCACCGGCCCTCCTGCTCAGTGTATGAAGCGATAACATCAACCACGTTCTCAGCCGCGGAAGCGATGTCAGCCCCGTCGATGTGTTCCGTATAATGATGCAGGTTGGCCTATCGATCGTTGTTAGCCGACCACTTCCACCGCGTTGTTTTAAAGGGAGATCTAACCTTCCGTCTGTACAGTTTGTTGAACCGCCCGTTCAACCTTGTAAGACTATTCCGAATTCCACAATTGTTTGCCAGCGCCAACAGACATCGAGGCTGACAAGGAAATCAGTCAGGATCAGTGGACGGAAGTGACACGCCCACGCATGTCGAGAATCGCAGATACCTGGCCTAATGGGGGCACTGAACAGATGCCCGTCTTCCAGCTCTCCCGATTCCAAGATGCAAACTTGAGTTGCGATGATAGCTTATCGATGTTTCGCCGTATGTCGGAGATCTCCACATCCCCACGAGCCACCAAGGCACATGCTAAGTATCTGGACAATAGATGAGCGTCGGAATGCGTGGTGGTTTGCCACGGGGTAGGGGTATAACTCAGTTAGCTCACCGATGTGCCTTGGGATCAGCTTTGATAAGCTGACTATCTCTACTGAATGCGTCCAAAAACATTTGATCGACTCTGGACAGTGGAATCAGCAACCATCGTGCGGGCACACCCATTTTGCCAAAAACAACCCTACCTTCGAGGGGCTGCCGAGGAGTCAGTCAAAGTGTAGAGCGGTGTCATGCTTGACATGACGAACTTCAAACGTGGAAAAGGGACAAGGTTCGTCACGATGTCATTGATATCCACATTCATGCTTCCCTCGAATCTCATCGAGCTGAAAACGAGATCATCAGGAAGCCATCGTATTGGCAGACAAGACGCGAGAAAGCTGGCTCCATGCCCCACCTAGTCATGTTCATCAAGAGATTCGCCGCAATGTTATTCATCGCGTCGAATGGATGCGTTTTCCGCCCGCTCACTCCACACAAACCGCCCATCGCTTTATCCCCATTGTCCGTTAATGCCATCTTGCGTGTCCGGGCGCTTGCCCTCGTCTCCGTCTGTGAGACAACCTTCTCGTAGATATCCAGCAATGCATCGTTCTCGATGGGAAGAACGCAGTCGGCGGTGTCGATGAGTTTCGAGAGGGACAAGATACTGCCGTTCATGATGCGTCAGAATGTATCGAGTTTCCTAAGCTAAAGCTTCGTCATTGCGGATTGCACACCTGTTATACGGCGACGTCACTACATCATCATTTTCACTCGGCATCACCGTCGTGTAAAATCGATACACCTCCGAATATTCGTCCGCAAGCGTCTCACATATGAAGCTGCCCAGTCCACTGCCCGTTCCTCCACCAAGGGACCCCAACATGAAGAACGACTGCAAAGAGTCGCACCATTCCGCCTGCCTCCTTATGCCCTCCAATATCTCCTCGCGATACATAGGTCCGTACACACAGTTGCCGACCGCCCAATTGTTGCCACTGCCGGAGTTCGAGATCACAGCCTGGTCTGAGTCGAATAGTTCGCCAAGTGGGGACTTCCGGATTTGTCCAACGACCCCTTCCTCCATATCTACCATCAGACCACGGGCTTTCAGGCCCGTTATCCTCTTTTTACCATCACCAAGCGGTACATGGCTTCCGTACTTGTCAACGTTACGAAAAAAGGTCGATAGGGCGTCATCGTACACCCCTTTGCGGTTGTTGCGCGCGTGTTCCTGAAGAACCATGTCCCAGAAGCGGGAGCCTATCTGGTTCCCGCATTGTCCGACCTGGACAACGATGCTGTTGCTCATTGCTGTTCATGGCTTCGTCGTTCGAACTGAGCGGTGGGAAAAAGTCCCAACCCGTTTCCAAAGTGATGTGAGCAGCCAAGTTCGGACGCGTCGCGCTAGGGTTAAGTCTACAGGCTGAAAAACTTCGAGAACTTGCGTGCTCCTGGACGCACATCTGACGTGCTCAAGGCGTTCATTCATATTATACGACTAGCTTAGAACCTACATACACATATGCTATATACATATATAATGCGTGATGATATGATACACATTGCCACCGGAAGCGCAAACTAGCCCGCATGGATACATACATGCATAGCAGGCTCGCGGGGATGGAAGGCGTAGATCGCGCTCAGTAATCCGTGCTCCGCTGTGCGCAACGTCGGGCGTTGCGGTTGTAGTCTCGACGATCTTCTTTGCTGCCGAACCACATCTTGGTGGCTCTCATGTTGAGGTGCGTCGTTGGGTCGCCGGATGGATCTCGTTTGAACAGATTTACAAGCATGTCGAGGTATTCGCGAATGTTCTCGGCTCGTTCCACCCTGCACGACAAAAAGCCCTGTCAAGATGCTTGAAGGGTAGAACTCTCCAAGCTAGCAGCATAACCTATACCTGTAATAAGGGATGCCGTCCGGTGATATGTGCGGATGAAACATCTCCGTAGTGAACCGAATTCGAGGTTGCACGGTCGGAAAGTCATCATGGAATCTCATCTCAATGTTAAACATGCCGCCATCGTGTTGGGTCATCGGGAGGCCCATCGCCGTCAAGTCCCATGCGAAAGGATTGTCATTCCGCAGTTCCATTAGAAGGCACGAGTCGTACTCGTGTGATGCTTGAATCTGATCGAATTGACTCCTCAGATTGCTAGCAGATGTCGTTTCATTTGCGATCCAATCCTTCGAAAGTCTGCAGTCAAGCTGGAGGTGAGGCGCTGGTCGTTCGCAGAGACAGTCAAGGAATGCGGTATCCTTACGTCATCCATTCTTCAGGCTCTTTCAGTAATGCTTCCTGAATTTTGTCCAAGCGTTTCGTCAACGCCGTATACTGGAATGTTCCTGAGCGACATTGGTGTCAGTGCGGAGAACGAGAAGAATGTGCGACGCGATCAGAGGTCACCTTGGGCGCTATTGTTACCGAACTCAAACCTTGCTAGAACGAAGGCTGATCGTGGGGAAGAGATGGTTGAGTACACACAAAGGTAAATGGCAATCCTCGATCCCGAAGATCACCTGTTCCTTCTCTCTTGGTCGTCATTTCTCTTTGTGCCGTTTCCGAGTATATCTGCTTGTACCTTTTCGAAACAGGGAGAAGTGTGAGAGAGCATTCCTCGACGGTTGCATGTGCATAGCAGGACGTGAACTTACATCAAGAACATTCTTTTCGTTACGTCGAGGAACGGGCTGGTACTTCGGCATGTGCAAAATGGTCGGCTTATGCTGGTAGTTCCGTCTACTTTGATGTTATCGTTCTTCCAGCCCAGTGCTTCTTCCAGTCTATCACAAACAGAGACTCGTATCGTTTCTACAATCGAGACTCAGTACGCAACGAGCATTTCAACCGGTATGAGTTCCGACTCACCATGTTGCAGTTTTGCATTGTAATCGTCCAATATCTTTTCGTCCTTCTCCTCTTCATGATCCGGCTGTTATCCATCGCGTGATCAGTCCTGGCGTTCAATATCGTGAAGGCTTCGCATCAATGGAAGCACCTCATTTCGATACGGGAACTCGCTCAGCAGGGATTGTATCGAGACGAGAACAGAGAGGATGCCATGCGCTGCACTCCATTTCTCTCCCGACTCCTTCGCTTCCCAGGTGCCAAGAATGCTGAGGCACACTTTCCCGGTGCTGTAGATGTTTGGATTGAACCTAACCCGCGAGTTTGACGTAGTCATAGCTGTGACTTTCGGTGGTGCTTGTGGATAGTTGTCCCCGATATTGAAGACGAAGTCCTAGGAAGTGCACCAAGGTCAACTTTCGTCTCTCCCGTTCCTATAGCAGGATCTCTGTGCTTACAAACATTCCGAGTCTATGGACCAAACACAAAGGGGTTAGGTGATCTGGGCAAACACAGTGCCTCGCGGCGCAAGAGTCACTTACGCATAAGGAGTCTGAGTCGGCCCGGTGATGAGAGCGTGAACATGCTTGATATTACTATCGTCGTACCTGCAAGCAGACTGTGAGTCCTATGCGCCGCTTGGCAAGTTTGACGTCTCCCACCCACCAAAGAAAGTACTGGTTTTCGGGGCTTTTCTGGAATGTTGCAGGAAGAAACCCGTGGCTTAGGGTGGGCACAGCACGATCGACAACACAACGAAGGCCTGCCGGCTTACCTCTATGTCGTTCAACTCCTTCTGTATCCTCAGGATCGACGAGTTGCTCATTATGAATGGGCTCTGGTAGGGGACGCAGGATTGTGGAATGTTGAAACGGTCTGAAGTTCAGGATTCCCTTGACAGGGGCCTGTCAAAAGAGATGCCCCTGACACGCTCACGCCGTCAGCCCCAAAAATCCCCTCAAAAACGGTTTCACTTTCGAAGCACACATAAACATACCGATCTTTGTTGAATGTTCCAAGGAAGGGGCGAACAGCAGAATGACCACCCTCCCTCGTCACACCCGCTGCCTCCTTGCCCAGCTTCTCTCGCTACCGTCCCGATCCTACCGGTCTGCCACCTCAAATCGCGTCGAACACCTCTACGGCGCCGCCAGCGTTCTTCCCGCTCTGCAATCTGGCCGCCGAAAACTAAAGCGACTATATGTGAAGGACCGGGGCGGCAGCGAGTCGGCTCGCGGGAGGGGCCGAGGGTTTATAGAAGAACTCGGAGAGGATGACGGCGGCGGCGGTGTGTTGGCGAAGGCGTTGGCATGGGCGCGAAGGAGGGAACTTGTTGTGACCGAGGTGCCGGGGACGAGACTGGAGACGATGTCGGATAATAGACCGAATCAGGCAAGGAGGTGATGATACCTGATCGTGCTGTAGAGGCCAAGGAGGTGGATGAGATCTCATCTTTGAGCGTCAATATAGGGAATGGTATTGGCGGCCGCACCGTTAGAGGTCTCACAGATACGAACTTTGGGGAGGTTTGAGGAGTCGTCTGATGGCTCTGTCTCAAAGTACGTCACTTCAGCTCTCTAATACACATCTTGTCAGAAGAAATCTACTTACGGGCTGGCATCGCAGATACCCAGCCATTGTGACGAAACGGGAGATCATCCCACTGTCGTTCTCCGGCGTGCAGAGGCGACGGCGCTTTCCATTATGGCTAGGTATTGATGGGTACCGATGTAAAACCTCCGCGGACCGCATATATTGAATGTGCTTTTGGAATTTCAGCTTTGGATCAAGTTATGGATCCACAAAACCTCGGAGGCATCCTACGATCAGCTCATTTCTTCGGAGTAGATGGAGTCATTCTGACAGAACACGAAAGGTATGTCCCCTGATTCCCCTTCTCGCCACCGAGCAGCTGACACGGTAGTTCGTCCGCTGACCAGAACCGAAGTGCATCCTTTACTCCTACCGTATCGAAGGCCAGTTCCGGAGCAATGGAAGTCATGGAACTATATGTTACTCCGAGCCTGCCCAAATTCTTGGAGGTAACAGCTCCTCCGCTCTGATTCGTACTTCTCCCGGGGGCCACTCACCGGTCCGTATCAGACATCAGCAGAGAACGGTTGGCACATCTTCGGCACCGACATCAACAAACCCAACACGATATCCCTCTCCACATACGCCCGAGCCCGGACAGAGACGCCCGTTGACGAGCTACCGGTCTTACTCAACAGTCCAACAATCCTAGTACTGGGCAGTGAAGGCACCGGACTCCGCGCCGTAGTATCAAACGTATGTCACGATCATCTTGTCATTGGAGATTTCGCGGATGAGGACGACGACATCGGAAAAGCAGCCGACAGCAGAGTACGCGACACAGCTCCACCGGATTTATACACCGTAGATTCATTGAATGTATCTGTCGCGGCGGGCATCTTGTTACATACTCTAGTCACAAGCTAGCTTATCTAGTTTTAGCCCATGTCAAGGGTTGTTGAATAGGATAGGGCGCCGTGACGAAACACTGGCAGCATGCATATGTACAAAGCCCCAACAATAGATATTCCTGCCGGCGTTGGTTAGCCAAAAGTAAGGATGCCTGCTCCTTGATGCTCATACACAGACTGCGGGGTTGCTGATTGACTGCCGACATGGACGGTACATTAGCAATTCCTCTCCTCGGGCGGATGATACGGCACACCTGATAATAAATCCAAGCCTAGACGTTAGCGCCAACTGAGAAACCCAAGCAAAACGCAAGCCTACTTACCAAGCGCCTCGAATATCTCTTCCTCAGTCTTGCTCGCTATCCGAGTCCCGTCGGTGATTTTGGACCGTTTGGGTCCTCTTATGACGTTTGCGTATAATCCATGCTGAAGCGTAAGATTCGGGGTGAGAGGGGTGCGAGAACATTTTGGAGAACGAAACGCGGCCGGAAGAAGGCGAGCTACATTGTGATAAATGTCCATCGCCATACCTGAGAAAGCCGCATTCCTTTCGTCGAAGCCAGTAGCCGTATCGACCGATTGCTGCCAGCCATGCAAACAGCCTGATGAGTGCCAGCGACATATTGCAAACCCAACATAACCCTCAAACCATACAAGATATCGTTCCCAGTCCAATGCAACAACGACGATCCCAGCTCATCATACGGCACCGTCCAAACGTCCAGGCGGCGAGCGATTCCCGACCCCCCAGGTAGCTTGCAGATGCCCATGTAGGAGTGATTACCGCCGGCGTCAATGCTCCGGGATGTCAAGTCGCCTAATATGATATTCGTTTTTTCGCGGAGGTGTTTGAGGATCGCAGGTAGGATGGTTGTGTGTGATCTGTTATCTGGGTGGGTTACTGATGGGGGAGCCATTTAGTGTATGTTGGCTTCACACCATATGATGGTGCTCAAGAATAACACCTACCAATGACGTCCACATCCCCACACATAGCCTTTCCTCGCCGATACGACCCCATAATAAAACACTCAAATTGCTCATCCACTTCCCGACACGCCGTCTTCACATACTCCGCAATCGCCTCCGCTTCAGCCCTCGGCATCTTCTGCTGCAGATCGTCGTAATACTCCAACCCCAACAACTGATCGTGCGTCAAGCTGATCTGCGATCTCACGTCGTCCAGGGTTCGGCAGCCTTTGGTGTACCACGCCTGCGCGGTCTTGGCCCCACATCCGTGGATTTTTTGAAACATTTCGAGGATTGCGACATGTTGTGAGACGTGCTCCGCTTTGCGTAAGGTGCCTGTGGTGATGATTTCGTCAATCTATGGGAGTGGAGGTTAAAGGAGTCAGTTCCCCGTCGGATGGCGACGCCCCGATCTCCACTATAACATACCTTCTCTGCGATTTTGGCACCTATTCCGGTAATTTTCTTTGCCTCAGCGCCGCTCTGAATGACCTTCCCATGCCGTTTCAGGGCTTGTATTGCCTGTTTAATACGGTAGTGGGTAAAGATCCCTTCGACAACTTCAATAGAGCTTGCAAATCCGCCGCATATCCGCCATGTTACCTTCCGGTACGACAACACTCTGAAAGTGTCACCCTCCGCATCATGTTGCTTCATAACAACCTCTAACAAATCGGTCAACGCGACGTTCTTGTTGGTATCGTCCACATTCTTCCGTCCTTCTGGTTGCATGCACAGAAATGCTTTCTGATTTTTTGTCTACATGGATTGTCAGTACAACCGGACTAAGGGCTATTTGCCAAAAAGATGCCATGCCAACCTTTCTGCAAGATGCCTCCTCTTTTAACTTTTTCAGATCCTCATCCTCTGAGCTCGATGCCCCTTCTTCTCCCGAGCTGGCTTCGAGATCCGAAATCGCGATTGCACCTTCTTTGACCTGATCCATGATTTGATGCAAGAGATCTACGCCTGTCACTTCGTTTTCGTTCGAGTTTGGTTTGACCGAACCCTGTTTGTTGGCAAGAGGCGAAATGACCGGTTTACGTGGGGATGAAGCGGTCGGTACAATCTCGATGATCTCTGTTCCGTCGGTAGAAACATCGGTCTCGTAGTCCTTCTCTCGCTTAGCTACAGGGCTAGACGGTGATGGTGCCTCTCCCACTTGGATCTCGGGTATTTGAAAAGCCTTCAGATCCTGGACAGAACCAGCCTGCATCGGGATTCGGAAGTTGTCAGGGATTGCACTCGCAGGGAGATCGTGGTCATTGCCCAGATGTACCTTCACACTCTGCAAGAGCCATTCAGGGCTGACGACCTGTACACCATCTCCGAGCCGAGGTATCTTGAGTGCACGAAGCAGCCGAGACGGGGGGAGTCGGGTGATGAGGATAACGTTCTTTCCCGCTTTGTGGCTATCGCAGACGGTCCCACCCGATGCGACGAACTGACTCTTCAAACGTATTTGCTCCCGAATAGATATGCCTCCTGGCACCATGGAAGCGGAGAGACCGTGAAACAGGGTGTCGGAGGTCACATCTTCCTCTCCACTTGGAACCTCGATGACCTCCCGTTTCTTCGAAGGTAACTTCAACTTCGACGTTGTAATTCCGCCTGTCGTCGGAGCTTCCTGTTCCCGGTTCGCCGTGCGCGGTCGTTTGGGCGTTCTTTCCTTCCCTATGGCCTTCGTGTTCGGTGAGCGGGCGACTTTGACAGCTCCGTCATCCGAATACAGTGTCAAGTCTATCACAGCAGGGTCGCTATTGTTGAAGTCCGGCGTGACGTCCCTCCGCCTTTTGTGCTGCTGGCTTGACGACGGCTGAGACCCTTGAGGGCTGCGAGCCGAGCGGCCCGAGGTGTGCTGTCGAAAAAGGACCGAATCCATGGCGAGGAACCGAGCGACGGAATAGGTGGCAGGTCTCGAATGGCGATGCGGCGCACATTTGCGAAGACTTTGGCGGGCGAGAAAGCGCATGGTCGGACAACGGGGATGCTTTCGGACAAAAAGTGACAGAGTGACGAGTCACCCGGCTGTCCCAAGTTCCAAATGCAGCGCAGCTACTGTACATACATACATATATATACAGTATGGGACTATAAAGCTGCACATACCCGTCAGAGTTTGGCCGGCCCCCATAGACGCGACTCGCGACTGGCGGCTTCAAGCTGTGATAACCATGGTTGAAGCGGCCGCAATTGCGAGATCCCTTTTCCCAACATCTTCACCAACATCTTACCACATCCATCTTGACACCACACCAACACCTACACCAAAGCAGGAGCAACGGCATGGGGAGGCCTCTCACCCCACAGAAGAGGGCTGCCATCGTTGCACTGCATAAAGCAGGCCAGAATAAGTGTGCAATAGCGAGACTGGAAAGCGTGAGCCTCTCCGCTGTTCAGAGGACTATTAAGGTTTACGGCGAGCAGGACCCTGGCAACTCCAACTCCTACCAGTCAAAAAAACCATCTGGCCGACCAGCTAAGTATCAACCCTCTGAGGATGACTTGGAGCGTTTTCGCAGCTTAGTTCTTGCAAGCAGCGAGACATGAGCCAAGTCACTCTCAGTTCTTACAACTGAATTCACCGCTCTCAGAGGCATCAATGTTTACAAAAAGACGTTGTGCCGGTATCTTCGAATTCACTTGGACCTCCATTCGCGGTACGAAATTCGGAAACCGTTGTTAACGGATCGGCACCGGGCTGCCCGGCTTGCGTTTGCATTGGAGCATCAGCATTGGACACACACTGACTGGTCGAGGGTGGTTTGGACTGATGAAACATCATTCGAAATTGGGTGGGACCCAAAAATGCGATGCTGGCGCCTTCGAACTGAAGCTTTTCATCGAGATTGCGTACAGGTCACACAGACGAGCAGCTGCAAAACATTCATGTATTGGGGAGCCTTCATCGGGAATGCCATCGGTCCAATGAATGAAGTGGAGCGAGTTCAGCGTCCTGGTGAACACCGTAGGGGTATCAACTCAACTGCTTACGTGGCGCTTACGTGGCGCACTTGACAACTCACATGCTGCCCATGTGGCGTAATCTTGAGATTTTTATCCCTAATCCACTTTTTATGCAGGACAATGCTCCAATCCACACAAGTGCTGAAACTCGTCAGTTCTTTACTGAGCACGGCATTGAGGTTATGCCCTGGCCTGCGCAGAGTCCGGACCTCAACCCGATTGAGAACCTCTGAGCGATGATGAAGCGGGAGGTCTCCGCAGTCAATGCAACGGCAACGACAATAGAGCAGGTAGTGCAGCAGGTCTGGCCGACAATGGGTAGACATTTGGATAATCTAGTTGCGTCAATGCTGAGGCAGATGGCTGCGGTGATAGCTGCCAACGGGGGAAGCACAACGTATTAGGTCTATATATATAGATCTGATGCCGTGATTAAGGATGATGAGTCACGCTCTCAACGGCGGTCACTGACTTAATCGTGGGTATGTGCAGCTTTATGGTCCCATACTGTACAATACTTCCACGGCGTAAGACGTGTGATGGATCAGTCATTTTACTGTATTATATATAGGGAATTGCTAACAACGCTACCCGTGTTTGCTATCCAGGCTACCCTCTGCATCTGCAGATCATTTTGCAGATCATTTTTCTTCTCACTGCCGCACGCGTCCCGAGAGCATATAAGGCCAGGGGCTCACTTCCGAGCCCTCCAACCATTGCCGCTCACTCCCCCGAGTACTTTGCACACCTGGAAGTGAGCCACATACACACAAACCTCCATGGCTGAGGAACTCATTGAGTGAGCCTTTGACTTGATCTTTCAACGAAAAATTAACGACCTCCTTGCCCTCTTGCCCCACACAAGACAAGCCCAGACATACAACGGCAAGCAATATTACGCATTTTCCGACCTCCCTAAGCCATTGACAACAGCCCTTCGCGGTGGCGAACTTGACATCCACGTTGGTGTTCAGATTCGCACTCGTGGCATTTGTCAACGCTACACCCTTATCCCAAAAGACTTCATTGACTCGTTCGACGCAGACCCATCCACCGACTACGATTCCAGCGATGGCGAAAACAGTGCGTGCACCCAAGCCCACGCCTAATCATCCCAAGACATCTGGGAAGTCTCCACGTTTTCCCGTTCCTCCCGCGGGTGCCGCACGTCACCAGATCGTCAAGCAGAAGAAGCCCACGTGCATCATTACCAGCGACTCCAAAGATGAATCCCGCAACAGTATTGACAGAATCTGTTGTGGTCTCGACAACGACGCCGACAATGACAGCGACACGACTGACAACGACAACCAGGAAGCGCAGCCTTCGCTCCCCAAACCTACGCGCGCGCCCGCCACAAAGCCCAGGGTCAGACGCCGCGCTAAGGCTGCTGTAGCTGCCGTCCGCGAGATTCGAAACCTGCAGAATTCAACTGAGCTCCTTTTCCGCAAGTTGCCCTTCCAGCGTCTTGTCCGTGAGATCACGAACGACCTTTATGAAGAACCTACCGCTTTCAGGGTGCCGCATTGGGAGCTCTGCAGGAGGCAACAGAGATCTACCTTGTCGCATTGATGGAGGACACTAACCTGGCTGCTCTTCACGCAAAGCGTGGCACCAATAAGCCTGTGGACATGGTACACGTTTGCACTATCCGAAACGAAATTCCGCGTGTTGAGAAGGGGGTCAAGAGGTCTCGCAGTACCCCTGAGAACCAGACTAGTCTCCCGAACAACACTAGGATTTAGACTTTGTACTTGTGCTGTACTCTACATGTTTTACAATAGAAACTGGCTACTACTACTTTGCGAGCTATCCTGTGCGCCGCTGGCACGTTGCTTACATGTTCTGGCATCATGTCCACTCTCACGGCACAAACGGCACAGACGGGGGCGCTGCGTTTGACCAGAAAGACCGTTTTCCATGTGTTCGTGCAGGGAGAGGTCACGGGTGGTTGAAGTGATACGTTTGTCACGATTGGGGGCACCACGCGGGCGTCCCTTGCCCTGACGGATGATAGGGTCATGCAAGGCATAGTGCTGTGAGCCCATGGCACCTAGAACCTCCCGCAATCGATCTTGCTGGTGCGGAGCAAGACGTGGATAAGTTTCTTGTATCTGTGTCAACAGAGGCTGGACGGCAGGAGGACCAGGTGCCTGTGTGTCGAGGGTACCGTTCACAAGTGCGGTGAGGTGCCAATGCACATCAAAATCAGATACACATAGGCCCCTGCCGTTTTCAACTCGAGTGCGTGACGTGTGGCTGCAGGGTATGCCCATGGTCCCATGGTCGTGGTAAATGCACCTGAGTGTTATGGACGACGCGTCCAGACCATGCGCTTACCTCATGACAGCATCCCAACAGTCAGTCAATGTCAATTCCCTGTCAAAACCTGACATCTGCCAAACCTCGCAGCCGCACGCAGCCGCGCTACCCCACACCTGCCACTGCCTTCATTTCTCCACGCAGCCGCACGTAGCCACACCTCCCAACACTCGGCGCTTACAAACCCTTCTCCATACTTCCCCACGTACCCGCCCACAGCCTCAGCGTAGCCACCCCATCCCCAGTCTTCTGTTTCTATGCTTCCCCACCCTTGGCGCTTCTCTTGGCTTCCCTCTCATTCCGTACCCTTCTGCTTCCCCACGCTTCCCCAGCCTTCCCAGAAAAGCATAAATAGCCGCCTCCCCTGAGCTCCCCACTTCCTGATCCCCCAGCAGATCAACACCAGTTCTTCCTAGTCTTGTTCTAGTTCTTGTTTCGGTCTGAATACCATTACCTGTCAACAACCTGCACCACAAGTCGCCTCTATTTCCGTCGGCTCCGCCCATTCATAACACTGAGCACCGCTCATCCTTGGACTCCTTGATCATCCACAACGCACGTAGATGCTGCTGGTGTGCTTTAGCGAGAGCGACGGATGAGATGCGGTAGGTTACATCTTGGTAGAAAACATTGTTGAACTGAAATTGCATGCGGATCTGATCGGATGCATGTGCGGCCTTGATTTCGAGGCTTGTGTTTGTAAAGTACGTTGCAAGTCGCTTCTCCACATCCCGAAGATGGAGCGTTGACATGTTGAGGTACTTCTTGATGGTTGCATGACCGCCTTCAACCCGGGACGTGTTGACATTGCCATAATGGCGCACTTGATTTGTCCAGGCTGCAGTAAAACGCTCCTTGTATGGCAACCAGGTTTCGGTGAGGTATTGAATGGCCCCCGGGTATCCAGCGTACTGATTGTGGAGATAGTCCCATGCTTCAGCAAACCCATCAGGTGTAGTTGCGTTAATCACCTGCAATGCTTGCGTTAGTCATGGATAACATGTGCGCATTGAGAATATGTCCTTACCGCAGTCCAAAGCTTTAGGAAGCTGTCCCACTCCTCGCCTGCACCAAACACGGGCATGCACCTGGCAAGTACGTTCTTTTGAATGTGCCAGACACACAGAAGGTTTGCTGCGTGCGGAAACCTTGAAGGGATTGCATTCATCAATGCCTTCTCGCAATCCGTGAGCATGACCTTCACTAGATCAGGTGACGGCAAGAGTTTCAGGAGACACTCAAGTGCCCATGCATAGTCTGCCTCAAGTTCCTGTTTCCTGTTGGAGGAACCCGATGGCTATGGTGAACGTTTTCTTGAGCGAGGTCTCGCCGAGAATATGAAACATTGGCATCTTGAACTTGTCTGTCTTGTACGTGCAATCCATGAAGATCACGGTAGGATAGCGCTGGAGGAGGGCAATGCACTCAGGATGTGCGAAGAAGAGGTGCGTCAGGTTGTTGTCGGCACTGGCGCGGTATTCGGTATGGTAGGATCCACCCTGTAGCTGTTGGAGAAGCGACTGCAATGGGGTGCGGTGTAACGTCAGAGGAAACATAGACGATATTGGGCCCTTCTGAGAGGGCTGAGAGCAGTGTATTGTAGTGAAGAAAAAAGTAAGAAGCTCTTTGCAGCGGCTGCTCAACTGACAGCTTTATATATGGGCTGCCAGTGGGGCTTGCGTGGCTTCAGTGAGGCTTGGCGCCTTATGTAGTGTATCACCGAGAGCTCGGGTGGCCAGCCCGGGTCTCGGATCAAGTAGAAGTAAAGAGATATAATATGAAATATAAATTATGATGAGATATCCCTGACACCTCCCTCAGATCCTGAGGAGGGTGCCGAATGAATAAGAGGTGAACTACGAGGGATGTGTGAAGAAAGGGAGAGCTCATGTTCATTTTAAAGTGTTGACGCACTTGTTCATTTTATTGTGTTGACGCACTGTGTGATGTGTGTGTGTAAGGTCGGTTCTTGCGTCGCCGCGCGTGATGTGATGTGGTCTACATCGCTATTGTCAGCGGTGTGATTGATACTGAGCGGTTCTTGCGGCGTCGCGCGTGTGATGTGATATGAGATGCTCTATGCTGTTCGTCTCCGTATCCACAAAGATTGTGGATGAGCTTTTCGCCATCGTTTGCAGGCAGGCGTGTAGCGAAGTGCGGATTCGGGTTCCCAAGTAGGGTCAGGATAACCGAGCCATTTGACTAGAAGATTTCGTACGGCGCGTCGCTCGTCGATGATGTCTTCTACAACCCATTCAGGTTGTCCGCGTTCTTCGATTGGTGGAGGAGGTTGTGGAACTGCACGTTGCGGATATTGCTCTTCGCGATGTGGTCATAAAATATCGACGTGAAAGATGGGCCAGATGCCGCTGATCTTCGATGGTGATAAATCGAGTTCGTAGGTATCAGGATGTGCTCCCGGTGCAATGATTTTGAATGGTCCAATCCACGTAGCTGAGTATTGAAGTCCTCTTCGTGCGTCTACTTCTAGGTTGATTCCTTGTTGGTTCAGATTGACGAGGTCGCCAATTTTGTATGCGATTGGCGTTCAACCTTTGTCGTGTTGACGTGCGAATTGATCTTGCGATCTCTGAAGGTTTTCGCGTACAATACGGGCGATGTCTTCCTGCCCTTTCTTGAAGAGTTCGATTTCGTTTCGATCTACAGCTCGAAGTTTGAGTTCTTGTCCTTTGAGTGGAGGATTCCAACCCAGGAGGATTGGAGAGCGTCCAAGATCTACTTCGAATGGCGATAAATCTTCATATTCCTCCCTCGGAGCGGTGTTGTATGCGAATTCGATTAAAGGCAATAGTTTCTTCCAATTGCTTTTGTCGTAATTGAGGTATTGCTTCCAAATCCTTTTCAGGGTTTCGATAGCTCGCTCAACTTTGCCGTCAGTTTGCTGATGACGAGCCGTAGCGAATTCGTGTTTTACACCGAGGAGAACATCGAATGCGAGGAAGAAGTCGGGAAGTGCGCGAGGTTCGCGATCCGTAATGAAGACTTTTGGCGTACCGACATGTTTCCAAACATGATCTAGAAAGACTTGGGCTAGTTTGCGTCCAGTAATTGTCTTCTTAATTGGTGTCAGAATCACACGTCCGGAAAGGTAATCAATGCAGACGAGACAAGAGTTTGTTTCATCTACTTCGAAAATGTCGAATTCGATCGTGTGCCATCTTCCAAAAGGTATAGGAAGAGGTCGAAGAAATCCGTATTGACGATGACCAGGTTTGAATTGTCGACAGGATTTGCACGTTCCAACGTATTTGATGACGTCGGAGCGTACGGTAGGCCAGTAATAGTCCGTAAGAATTCTCGCGAGAGTCTTCTTAACACCGACATGTCCTCCGGTGGCAAGCTTGTCATGGAATTTCGGCAAAATCTTCAGGCGAATGTCTTTAGGAGAGTATAGACGGCCTTCGTGTCGTACTAATCCATTTTCGAACGTATAACGGAGTTCTTTCGAAGTTTTCTCGTGTTGGGACTTTCCAGAAATTTCATCGAGATAATCCGAATATGGATCTTTGCGTAGCGCTTTTTTCCGCTCTTCTTCTGAGCAAGTAGGTGAGTTTTGTGGATCGTCTGTCGTAGCGTTGGAGGAAGGTTCGTTGACAAGCATGTTGCTGATCTGCGTATGCATGTCGAGGCGTTGTTGACAATCTACACACCGAGGCGCATAGATTGGATTGCGGGAGAGCATGTCGGCGATATGATTCCATCGTCCAGGTAAATACTGGATATTGAAATCATACTCTTGTAGCTTTTCCACCCAATTGGCTTGTCTTCTGCTCAAATGGGGTTGCATTTGGATGAATTCGAGTCCCTTGTGATCGCTAAAACATCGGAAGTAACGACCGATGAGATATGGTCGATTGGCGACCAACATCTTGACAAGAGCTAATAGCTCCTGTTCGTGACTAGGATATCGAGTTTCTGCGTCCTTCATCTTTCTAGAAAAGAAGACCACAGGCCGGAGCCGGGGTAACTTCTTCCATTGTCCGAAGAGAGTAGGCAGATTTGTAGGGATCGTTTCATCGCGCGAAGGTTGTCCAATCGAGCCAGTGATAGCGTAGCCTGATGAGTCGGTATAGACGTAAATCGGCTTGGCTTCGTTGATGGTTGCTAGCGTAGGCGCATTGATCAACGCTTCTTTCAACTTTTGAAATGCCTCTTGTTACTCAGGACCCCATCGAAATTTGACTTTCGAAGGTTGAATACTTGATAGGGGCAGAGCAATGTCCGAATAACCTTGTACGAAGTCGAGGAAGTAGTTCGTGAACCCGAGAAAGCTTTGAACTCCTTTTGTTGACTTTGGAGTAGCCCAATCCTTGATAGCTTGGATTTTCGAGGGCGCGATGCGAACACCATGTCTTCCGACAATATGTCCACACCATTTGAGTTCTTCTTTAGCCCATACGCACTTTGAAGGCTTGATGAAAAGGGCGTGTTCTTCAAGTTTCTTCAGGATACAATCGACGTGTTCCCGATGTTCGGCTAAGGTCTTCGAGAAAATGAAGATGTCGTCCAGGTAGGTTGCGAGGAATTCGTCGTAATCTTTATGGAAGATCTTATTCATAAGACGTTGAAATGCAGCAGGTGCGTTGATAAGTCCGAACGGCATGACCAAATACTCAAAATGTTTGAAGCGAGTTCGTATTGCCGTTTTTTCCCGATCTTGTTTTCGTATAAGAAGACGATGGTATGCTTCTCGAATCTCGATAAGCGTAAACCATATACAACCTTGAATTTGATCCCTCATCTCACAAATATTGGGTAAAGGAGTGCGATCTTTCTTGGTGATGGCGTTGAGACCTTGGTAGTCCCAACAGATGCGCAATCCGCCATCTTTCTTTTTCGCAAAGACGACACTAGCTCCCCAGGGACTTGAGGAGTGTTGTATCCATCCTTTTTCGAGCATCGAGGTGATTTGTTTCTTAAGTTCAGCGAATTCTTCTTTATTCATATGCCGAAGAGGTTGCCAAACAGGTTCAGCACCTTCAGTGAGTTCGATCTTGAAATTATCTTCTCCGCGATCAGGGGGTAGACCTTCCAGTTCCTTGAAGAGCGTATTGACGTGTTTATTTAGGATATCCTTGAGATGTCCTGGATTTCCTTTAAGCTCTTGAGGAGCATCCGGGATTTCGTTAAGAGCAAGGCGACAGACTGTGTCTTTTTCAAACTTGTTCCGTCGCCAAGCCTTGTTAAATCGCTTGGAAGTCATTTCTATGACTCGAGGATTGCGAAGGGCATTAGCTTGGGCAATCCGAGATACATAATGAGGTGCGGCTTGTAGAGGACAAGTATCCACAGGTTTAATGATCCGAACAGGTCGAACGGGTCTTTTATCATAGACCGGATCTCGTTGAACATCGAAGTAAGGGTTGTTGTGTTTTGGGATATATTCGACGTCTTCCCAGTTTCTTGAAGTTCTTTCGCACTTGATGGTGACAGACTGCGGTGCGTTTGGTATAGGGCCATAATTGGTCCAGCGAAGGATAGGTAAGGTACTCATCGAGAATTGTTCAGCGTGATTAAAGAAACGCCAGAAACGCATTCCAATAATAACGTCATAAGCCAGATTACTGACTAGCCAGGGAAGCTGTCCAACTAAGAAAAGCGACTGAGATTCGAGATCCCATAGATCTAACTTTTCCGAAACGACCGTGTCGAGAATCATGTAGGATTCTTTGTCGGCCAGCCATATCTGCTTCAGTTCGATATGTTTCTTGGGAAATTTGTGCTTTTCGACAAATGTCTTGTCAAGGAATAACCCAGTTGCGCCGCTATCGAAAAGAACACGAGCAAACTTGTTTCCGATGCGACAATGAGAGACCCAGGGTCCAGCAGACAGTGGTTCAAAGGCAGGTTTATCGGTAGGATTGTATGTTGTAGGCCCAGCAGAGGGGCTCTATCCACCTTGGAAAAAACTCGAAGATTGATTGGTCGTAGTATTCGTAGTATTCGTAGAGTTGACGGCGTCATCGAGAATTTCCGTAATGCGTGACCCAGCATCAACCTGATTGGCTGAATCTTGTTGTTGATTAGGTTGGCGACTGCGCTGCGGAGTTTGAGCGCCACAACTGTGCCGTCGAAAACCACCGCGTCGGTTCTGGGTTTGCGAGCCTTGCTGTCGATTTTCAGGATTTGACCAGCATTCAACTCTCCAATGTCCCATTTTAATACAAAGGGGACAAGGAGTCATTGGACGTTGACGAGGAACGTGAGTAGTTTGCCATTGTCCACGTCGACAAAAGGGCTGTTGACGTTGGTAGGGAATTTGACCTGTAGTGAGACGACTCACTCCAGGAGGATAGTATGACGTACCGAGGGCATTGAGCCCAAAAGTCATATCATCTAAGTCTTGCTCGAATTCCGCAATTCAAGGATTGGTGTAAGGGGTGAATTGTCCGCCACGACCGCCGCCACGACTACCCCGACCGCGACTGGCTCCACGGCCGCCACGAGCACTGGTTGCCGAGGCAATCGGACGAGGTGTATTGGCTTAGTTGCCGTCAGTGAACCCATGAGCCACATGAGCACGACGGGCGGCAGTGATAGCTTCATCGAGAGTGATAGGGGTGTTGATGTTGGTAGTCTGCGAGACTACGAAGTTTGTAACGGCTTCAGCGAGATAATGACCGATTACCGTATTCTTGAGAAGACCGGCCTTGAAGTATCGAATCTGATCGATAAGGGGAATGGTGCCTTGATTGTTATCGAGACGATGAGCGGCTTCGAGCTCATTATTGGTCTCTTGAAACTCCTTGATATATTGTTTCGAGAGAGTCACCGAGCTTGAGACCGGAGAGCTTGAGCTCAATAGTATTACGCAAGTTGCAAGGATAGAAGTGAGCGACAAGAGCCGTTTCGAAAGCTGCCCAATTTGCGGGAGGTCCAGCGGCTTAAGTCGTATTGTACTACTTGAGAGCAGTACCCTTGAGGTAGGTAGTGAGCGTAGGAGCGTACTCTGCCATAGTAAAGGGTATGGCATTGGCAGCTCCGGTACCGTCTGTTCCAGCTGCTACAGCCGGGGCAGTGAGAGACTCGAGAACGTTGTGGTGAGACGTAACGGACTCTTCGATCTTTTTGGCAGCTTTGGCGCCATTGTATTCGACGAGCTTGTTCTTGTGAGCATCCATAAGAAGTCTGAAACATTCCGCTCGTTGGACGTCCTGCGTAACAGCACGCTCCCGAGTAGCGAAAGCAGCTGCGACAGCCGCAACTATAGCTTGAGTTTGTTGGTCCATTCTTGCTTGTGAACGAGTGTAAGGGCAACGTCCGGTAGAGGGGCGATGTTGACGAGGAATGTCTTGGTGATGCTAGCGGTAGGTGGTGCTACCATGTAACGTCAGAGGAAACGTAGACGATATTGGGCCCTTCTGAGAGGGCTGAGAGCAGTGTATTGTAGTGAAGAAAAAAGTAAGAAGCTCTTCGCAGCGGCCGCTTGACTGACAGCTTTATATATGGGCTGCCAGTGGGGCTTGCGTGGCTTCAGTGAGGCTTGGCGCCTTATGTAATGTATCACCGAGAGCTCGGGTGGCCAGCCCGGGTCTCGGATCAAGTAGAAGTAAAGAGATATAATATGACATATAAATGATGATGAGATATCCCCGACATGTGGCCATCCAATGCTTGTGTGCGGAGGGCTTGCTGCTCATTGTATATTGTCTTCTGGATGGCGGAGCACGGGTCCACATGCTGTCGTAAAGTGGTGACAACTTGGCGTAGCTGAACGTTTGCCTGAAGGAGCACATGTGTCATTCCTCTCTGGGAATCGGTGAGTCTCCGCAGAATTGGGTGGGCGGCAGGGTTGTGGGAGGGCTCGTGGTTATGTTCACCATGAACTACGGTCAGATGCCATTGATAATCCAGCGCTTTGTACGATCGGACTTATAGCTTGAACGGGCAATTGGTTCCCTGGGTTGACGTGTTCCTCAGGTGAACATCAAAATGTTGGGGAGATGGGCGTCGGGTTCCATGGCGGTCGCACACCAGATAGGTACTGACACCAGGGCGGGAGTTGATTTTGGTGACAGCGTAGCCTTGGGCAGAAGTGAATGCCTTTACGTTGTGCATACATTCCTCTAGCGTGCCATACAGGGGCTCGGTGGGTGGGGGAAGCATGTGTGCGTATGTGGCTCACTTCCTGCACGCGAAAATGCTCAAGAAAGGTAACTGGGGTGGAAGGTCACGTCAGAAGTGAGCCTCAATTTACCCATGGACCCAGGGGCACACCGACTGCAGTCGCCTTTTATATGTGGCAGAGGCGACGCGTCGCAATCAGACTGTCAAAAGCCACTGTCAAAAGCGCGGAGGGTAGCGTGGATAGCAAACACGGGTAGCGTCGTTAGCAATTCCCTATATATATACGCGTCTGGCAGGAATGGACAAAGAGGAAGGTCTTTTGGAAGCGCTATACGCAACTAAGAAATACTTCGGTCACCATTTGTGGATTGGGAAGCATTCAATGAAATCTTTGGAACCCGAAGACCCCGCCCATGGTCAAGGCCTGGGCCTGGACTTCAAAAAACCATCGTTTCAAAGCATCGATGCATGTGTTCAGTGGTGTCTCAGATACGGATGTCTTCCTATACATTGTAGCTGTTTTGCTGTAGTATGGTTCTAGTGCCGATAAAGCATCAAGTGCGGTCTCTGTTGATGTTGCAACGAGTTGGATTTGCGATCTCTGACGTACGCAAGGAACCCCAAGCGACTCAACGCAAACTTCCAAGGGCTGTGGTGTTGGCAGCGTGTCCACAGCGCATATCTGGAATATGGGTCAGACCGATTGATAGGTTCCAAGCACAGCGAGCATCGGGTTGATTTTCGATGACGATGAAATCGAAGCTCTCATCTGAACCTTCACATCCGACCAACGCCTTCCAGTCGACCGACATCACGCAACGGCCATCGCAAACGGCTGACTGGGGTTGTTTTTCGAAGATGTCGATGTACAATCAAGCTCCTTTGTAATTGTAGCGCACATTATCCATCTGCTCTATCAGCTGCCCTATATCCCGTCCCGCTTTACGCACATACAGCTGTGCCCCAACAACAAGTAAGGGTACGGCGTTGATCCATAAGGATATAGGCAGATACAGAATCGTCACTATAGGTTTGTTGCTGCTCCAGATGGCAATTAACGCTATCGGTAAGGGTATCAGAGTAACACCGATGCTGGGCCGAAGCCGTGATTGCAATAAAAGGTATTGAGAGGCTATTGTTGATCCCAACGCGATAATGTAGGAGAGCGTCGTGGTCGTGTCCTTGGACGTCAGAACACTGACCAGTAGCCTGCGGGTTCCGGTATATCAGACACTCCGCTGCTCGTAAGACAGTCGCTCAAACGTGCCCACTCACATTATCAAGGCAGGTATTCCGAGATATTTTGCCACCGAATCATACTGCCCCTGCGCTGCATCATTCTGGCTTCGTAATTGTTCAATTACATCTTCCTGTTCTTTTGGGGGCGTACTCGGAAAGTCAGGCGAATTCCTCTATGATGATCTCCGGGCCCTCAGCGCGTGAAGGAATCAGGAACCAGGAAACAGGCGACAGAATACATACGCTGCTCGTCCAACAAGTCACCTTCGGTGACCCTGGAGTCGTCCTGCTGTTGCTGAAAGGGTAGTCGTTTGTGCATGTTGCTGAGGAGTACTGTACTCGTCGCCGGGTCGTCAAGACTCAATTGTCAAGAGGGATGGCAGAGTCAGAGGGGTGATTTACTGTACAGTATGTGTCGCGCTGCGCATTTGGGAGTTCTTGCTGGCGCGAGACTCGCTCCATTCGCTCCTGTGTTTTCTGCTGGAAACTTGCTCCCCGAAAACCCAACATTGCTCGTCTCACTGTGCTCTCCGGTCAGCACGCTCACGCACTAAGCTAAACAACAGTGCACTTGCTCCCACTGTTGTGTCTTTGGTCTTCAGACAAATATTTAAGCTCTTACTAGCTCACAAGAACCTTTGAACAGCCCTCCCTGCAAAATATTAAAATGGTAGAGATCATTCGCACTTTTCGATTTATGGAAGGGACTTCCGCTAATATGCTTGACCGACCGGCTTGTAGGCCGCCCCTATCTCCACAACGGTGCCGGGTGCTGGTTTGACGGACGTCAAAGAGCTGACTAGGATGGAGCGAATTGGTGCGTACCAATGCCAGTTTGACCACAAGGTCAACTTCCATTTCGTTTTGGCGTTATGGCCCTTGTGAACTTATCAGAGGGATTTACGAATAACAGGCGCTCATTCTCACATTCGTGGTCTGGGACTGGACGATGCTCTGGAGGCACGCACGACTTCCCAGGGAATGGTTGGACAGCTGCAAGCCAGAAAAGCAGCCGGTGTGATTCTAGAAATGATTAAAGACGGAAAGATTGCGGGACGGGCGATCTTGATGGCTGGTGCACCTGGAACGGGAAAGACCGCTATTGCGATGGGTATGAGGATTTCGCCGGAGAGTTGGTAGAGGTGAAGAACGGTGATCTGAGACATGCAACCTCTGTAGGAATGGCTCAGGCGCTAGGAACGGACGTACCATTCACGATGTTGGCCGCGTCGGAGATCTTCTCGTTGGAAATGTCAAAGACGGAGGCGCTGACCCAGGCTTTCCGCAAGTCGATTGGAGTTAGGATCAAGGAGGAGACGGAGCTGATTGAAGGCGAGGTCGTGGAGATACAGGTGGACAGGTCCGCAACGGGAGCTGTAAGTTCGCCCGACGGGTGATTTGGATACCGCACTTCGAAGGGAACCCGCAGCTGAACATGAACGTGGTTTTCAGGGTGCTAAGACTGGAAAGTTGACGTTGAAAACGACGGATATGGAGACGATTTACGATCTCGGCCAGAAAATGATCGAGGCTCTGAACAAGGAGAAGGTTTCTGCCGGGTAAGTGCGACGCAAGCAATGCGACGCGCCGTCGCATGGTCTCTTGCTGACAAAGGACCTCAGGGATGTGATTACAATTGACAAGGCGAGCGGGAAAATCACAAAGCTGGGACGCTCGTTCTCGCGCGCAAAGGACTACGACGCCATGGGCTCAGATGTGAGTCGAGTGCTTTCCGCTGAGTGCATATCAGAACGCATGTGTTGAATGGAAGTCGGTTAAAGACCCGATTCGTTCAATGTCCGGAGGGAGAGCTTCAGAAGCGTAAAGAGCTGGTTCACACTGTGACTCTGCATGAAGTCGATGTGATCAACAGTCGGACGCAGGGATTCCTCGCTCTGTTCTCAGGTAAGATCTCGCATGTCATGCCGTCTCCGGCCCTGATAATGATCGACTGAATACTGCTGCGTCAATAGGTGACACGGGTGAGATCAAGGCCGAAGTCCGTGACCAGATCAACTCGAAGGTGGCTGAATGGAGGGAGGAGGGCAAGGCTGATATTGTTCCAGGGGTATGCACCCTACGCTGGTTAGCGAACATTCTTTACGCAGTTTCTAACGAAGCGCGACCTCTAGGTCCTATTTATTGACGAAGTCCACATGCTCGATATCGAGTGCTTCTCTTTCCTCAACCGTGCTCTCGAAGACGACATGTCGCCCGTCGTCATCATGGCGTCCAACCGCGGCATCACGAAGATCCGCGGCACGAACTACACATCGCCACACGGTATCCCCATCGACCTGCTCGACCGGCTGTTGATCATCAGCACGTCGCCATACAGCGAGAAGGAGGTCAAGCAGATTCTCAGCATTCGATGCGAGGAGGAAGATGTGGACATGACGGATGAGGCGAAGGATATACTGACAAAGATTGGGATGGAGACGAGTTTGCGTTATGCTATTCATTTGATTACCGCGGCGTCGCTGGTTGCGAGGAAACGGAAGGTATGTGGGATAGAACATGGAAAAGACCATGACACCCTTCTTGGCCTAACGCTGATGGCTGTTCCTCATCTGGAATCACTCAGGCAACGGAGGTAGACGTCGAGGACATCAAGCGCGTGTACACCTTATTTATGGATGAACGACGATCTGTGCAATGTAAGATTTCGTCCCACTGGATGTTTTTCGCGCCCGATCATGATCTGATTTCCCTTCCTACCCCCCAATAGACCTCAAGGAGTACCAGCAACAGTTCATGTTCAACGACTACCAAGATTCCACCGAGGCGGTTCAACCGATGGAGACGTAAAGCCCATCAAACGTCCTTCCCATGTGCTTATTGTAATGTAGTGATCGCTTGATATACTCGGGCGCACGGGCCTTATGAGACGCTCGTTCTTGTACAAATGATGAAACGATGAATATCTCGAAGCGGAACCTTGACGCGTATATCCTGCTTGAAGCCTGGAACGCAATTTTCGATGTTGGCAGCCCTGGACGCTTTCAGAATGGGTACTTTTCCTTTTCCTTATCCTTGTCACAGGGTGTGACTTCACTGCCGCGCCTGATGGAGCACGTCTAGACATATAGTAAACCCTGCCGTGCCACTTCCCATCTACGAACGGCCCCGAGATAGCGAGGCATTCGGAGTCTGCTGAAAGGAAGCACTCGGCGTCCGAAGCCTCTGACGTTTTGGACGGCTGATCCCTGAAAACGCGTCGACATCGCAGGGATCAATCGCCCTCCCGCGGCTTGACCGGAAAGCCACTGGGACCGTGGCTGCGTTTCTCCGATGGCACGCAAGCGACGTATAAAAGAAGCTTCGTCCATTGCCATTTGATCAGGACCAAACACACACAAGGTACGTCGTTTGACAGCCGTTGCCTTGGCACAATGCGTTGGTAACGACCAGAAGGTTCACAGTTTTCCGCGCGTCCACAGGCACCCAAAAACCAACTCAGAATGGCGAAAGTTGAGGAACCCAAAATGTCGGGAGGGTGGGCAAACAGCCCCGAGGACGAAGACGATGAGGACGACGAAGAAATCGAACGGGCGGAAGACGAGGCAAGCTCCCCGGGAGGCGTTGCCGACGCCACGCCGGGGGTGACAGTCGACAAGCGGGCCGTCAAGAACCGCGCCGCCGAAGCGGAGAAGGAGCTGGACAGCGACATAGCGGAGGCGCAGGACGCGCTCGAACTCTTCCTCAATTCCCGCTTCGCCGAAGCCGAACGCAGATTGAGCGCCAAAAATGGGCGGTCGTTGGTATGTTCCATTGGTTGTGAGTGTCACTTTTGTGCCGCTTCCATAGCTAACGAAATTAACACAGTACCACACCTTGGGGTACGCGACCATCTCGTACCTCCGCGCGCTCTTCACGTTCGATCCCTCCGATGTCCGCAAGGCCACAGAGTCGTTGCGCAATGCCGTGGAGATTGCCGCGATATACAAGAAAGAGACGAGCCTCGTTTCCTCGTTCACGAGCATGATGACGCGTTCCAAAGAAGGAAGCCACATCAAGCACATGACGAAACTACAGCGCCATGCCGAGCTGGTCCACGCCGAAGCGCATCTGGCCAAATCGATGTTGTCGCTGATCACCGACAGCAACATCATTGCGTTTGTCAGGGAGGGGTTGAACATCCGAGCCGCTTACAACTCGTATAAGAACTGCTACAAGTTCTTGCAGAGGACGTATGATGAGGAGGGTGGCGCGCAAGGTCTGGCCAAGGCTGGAATCGACGAGCATTTCGTGTCCGGAATCCTACTGGGCATCGGCGCCTTCAACCTATCGCTTTCGATGATGCCTGCGAAGGTGTTGCGGCTATTCGAACTGATCGGCTTCTCTGGCGACAGAGATTTCGGACTATCGCGACTGGAAATAGGCGGCGAATGGCCCATCCGGAACCGAGCAGGGATATACGACCATAAAGTCAAACCCGCAGCTCGTCCGAAATCGGCAACCAGGAAGTCCGATGAGGACATCGCAGCGAACAGCCAGACCGTCCCATTCGCCATGCCCCATGACTCTGGCAGTGGCGTGTCAGGTGTCCGCAAAGCGCTATGTGACCTCGTCTTGCTCGGCTACCACATCATCCTCTCCTCCCTCGTTCAATTACCCGACTGCGATATGGATTTCGCAAAGCAGATCCTGGCGTATAACTTGGAAAGGCACCCCAACAGTTTCATCTTCCTGGCCATGCGCGCCAGGGTTGCCCAGACCGAAGGCAATCCAGCCCAGGCTATCAGCGAGTACAAGCGGGTGATTGAGATTCAGAACGAGTGGAGGCAACTGGTGCATCTCTGTATTTGGGACTCAGCCACATGTTACGGAGCGCTCGGAAATTGGTCCGATGCGCATGACATGCACGAAACCTTGTTCAAGGAAAGCAAGTGGTCAAAGGCCATTTACAAGTACTTGCAAGCGATATCGCTGTACGCTCAGGATATCAACGGGGACAAGAAAGAACAAGTGGGCGAAATGTTGAAGGAGGTGCCTAAACTGACAAAGAAGATCGCGGGCAAGTCGATACCGATGGAGAAGTTTGTATCGCGAAAATGCCGGAAATGGCAGCTACAGGGCGGACGATTGTTTTTGCCGCACTTTGAGATGCTCTACATCATGAACGGGTTCGATATCATTCCACAATCCGAGCTGCCGAACTTCCTCGCCAGACTGGACAATGCGATCCAGGACCTGGAGACACAGGCGAAGCAGGCGGCCCCAACAGCCAAGCAGTCGAATATGCCGTATCCCACGTACTACGATGACCTCTGCCTCGTGCGCCTACTCAAAGGCGTCCTGACCCGCGAGTCCGCAACACCTCATTCGCAAACCCTCTTTCCCGTCACAACGCTCGCAAAACAACCTCCACCCACAGCCGACCAGCAACAAGCTCTTGACTACGCCGCAAGACAATTCGAGTACGTGGTCATGCACGCCGATAAGATACATCTCGACCACTGGATCGTGCCGTTTACGAGGTTGGAGGCGGGTAAATTATACGTGCGGTCGCGACAGTATGAGAAGGCGAGGAAGGAGTATACCGCCGCGTTGAGCGGAGGGTTTGCCGAGGACGAGGTGGGACACAACGGAGCGCCGAAGAAGTACAGCTTGGAAAATGCATTGCACTTCCGGGTGCATAACGCGATTGTGAAGCTGGACGCGCTGGAGAGGGTCTCTGGCGAATCGCGCTGATCTCGAGTCGGCGTTGGACACCTACTGTGACGGGCGAAGGATGGACGGTGCATAGAAGGGATTATCGGTCATTCGATCAGGTCGAAACAGATCTTATCCTTAGATTTCTTGGATGTCTACAGTTGTAGTAGTGACAATAATGCAACGATATTGTTTTGGGACACTGAAAGCATTGCGTGCATATGCTTAGCGAGAAGTCACCGAACTTCGGCTTTTAGTGGAAAACTGCCTGAATGTATTTCCTGCCTGCATGCAGTTTCTCATTATGGCGTCGCTCAACTCGTTGCGGCTGCAGGTTTAGGATCGCTTGCTTTTGAGTTCACGCTGTCCATCATAGCCCCTTGCTTGGCAAGTACATCCGGTGCCTCATTGCCTGGGATTCCGGTATGTGCCCGCACATGTCGCTATCGAGCTATCAATATGCTGACTCACCGCAATTCCCACATGGAAATGCGTTTCTCAACTCCGCTAACCGAAGGCACAAGTCCTTATTGCGCACATCCGTTCCCTCCCTCGTTATCCACCCATTCCATATCCACCCCTGCATCCACTCATCAAACTCCGGTCTCATATAGGACGAATCAGAAAAGATGATGACCGGCCGACAGGGCGGTGTGGGAGGCAGCATGATCTCCATCGCCCGAATCACCGCAAAACCTTCCGCGCGGTTGTTCGTTTGTACTGGGCCGGGCAGGCGGGCGCTCATGTTGCGGGGATCGGACGGGCCGAAGAAGATGCCTATCCCTGCACGGGCGTGGTGTGCCCCATTACCCAGACATGAACCGTCGGTGTAGATCAATATGGGGTCATTGTTGTCTCTTGGTGGACCTGGGGCCGACGGAAAGTGCGATTCGTCCGTTGGAACAGGGATTCGTCGAGGCCCAAGACGGCCGTAAGACAAGCTTGTAAATCGCTTGTTCGCGCGTCATGTCGACCTCGGAGTAAGTCCGAACAGTCCGAGGCGCAAGCCTCATCGCGCTCATGGCGTGAACACTCAAACCCCATGTGCGAACAAACTTTTTTTCTAACGCAGGGACTTCCAACTCGCGTGGGCAGCGCATTCGACTCCCGAGGAGGGTATGTGATTGGAAAAAGGAAACCAAGGAAAAAGTGACGAAAGTGGCCATCAACTATCGGACAGATAAAGCTACAGTATCTACATCTTGGGTGGGGACCAATTGTACTCCGCATCCCTCTTGAACCCATACTTCTCCACAAACTTGCTCAAGCTGGCGGGACCCCGGGAGCCGAACGGGTAGAGCTCGGGCTTGATCTTTTCGCCCTCAATCTTGTGCAACAAAGGCGTGAAGATCTTCCACGCGGCATCCAACTCGTCGTCACGGACGAAGTTCGCCTTGTCACCTTTTATCACGTCAAGGATCAGGCTTTCGTATGCGTCAGGGATCTTGACGTCTTGGTATCGGCGGGAGTAGGAAAGGTCCAGCTCAGATGTGATGGCCGTTGACGACAATCCAGGCTGCTTGTTGTTGAACTTCATGTAAACAGCTTCTTCGGGCTGGACGCGAACGACGAGCTCGTTGCGCGCTACGCCGGGGTAAATGTTGCCCGGCACGTCTTGGAATTGGATCCGGACCTCGGTCTTCTGTGCGTCGAGTGCTAGAAGGAGAGAAAGAAATAGGCGAATGCACTTGATGAGCACCATCGACTTTGCGTATCAAAGTTTTATCCAATCTTGACTAACCTTTGCCGCATTTGAGGATGAATGGCACGCCGTTCCAGCGTTCGTTTTTGATCTGAAACGCAGCGGCAGCGAAAGTGGGCGTAACGGAGTCCTTGGGGACACCCTCATCGTCCAAGTATCCCGCTTCCTTGCCGTCTTCGCTCTTGGTGTATTGTCCCAAGAGGACATTGTCCAGAGTCAAGGGTTCGATTGCGCGAAGAACCTTAACCTTTTCATCCCGAACGTGCTCTGCGTCCAAGGACTGGGGCTTGTCCATAGCTACGATGGACAAGATTTGCAACAAATGGTTTTGCATGATCTGGTGACAACGTTAAGTTTAGGTTTCGGACCGCTCAGGAAAATATGACAGAGAGTCACATACATCTCTGATGATTCCGAATTCGTCAAAGTAGCCTCCACGCCCCTGCGTCCCGATCGGCTCTTTGAACGTGATCTGTACATTGTCAATGTATTGCCGATTCCAGATTGCACCAAAAAAGATGTTGGCGAAGCTATCGGTTCGCAGTTGTGGGTTAGCTTCAATCAATTACATCAGTCGGGATTAAGCGGAAGGACATACCGAAGGATCATCAAGTTTTTGACCATTTCCTTCCCAAGATAGTGGTCGATCCGGTAAATCTGCAATGGTTTGATCGGATTAGGAGGCATTCAGCGATTCAAAGTGCCTCACAGGTGAACGAGCCTCTTCCTCTTGCCAATGTTGGGAAAGGGCCTGAGCAAGTTTGTCGGAAGATTCGGAGTCTTTTCCAAAGGGCTTTTCCACAATCAACCGGTTGTTGCCATCCTTTGCATAAACATGTTGCCTCAATCCTTCCGAGGCCGGAATGAACACGCTTGGCGGCAAAGCCATGTAGAACACCCGGTGCTTTGCACCGCTAGCGTTCTTTTGAATATTATCCACGGCCTCATTCAACTTCTTGAATGACTCGGCATCGTCGTATTTGCCCGAGACGTATGTGCAGCGACCCAGGAACTTTGTGAGGAAAGACTTTTCCTCATCGTTACTAGTCTTGATCTTTGACGAAACTCGTTTACGGAAGTCGTCTAGTTCAATATGGCTTCGTGCATAGCCAACAATGTCCGTGTTTTGCGGAACAAAGCCATTCTTATAGAGACCGAATAGTGCAGGGTAGGTCTTCTTGAAAGCCAGATCACCTATTCACATCCAAGGCACTTGTCAGTTTGAGGATGTGCTGGCAAGGGGCGAGACGCTGTCCAGGTGCATACCTGAGGCACCGAGCACTACACATCAATGGAAGAGAGGGATAAGTCAGTTCGAAGCCTGGAGCAGAGGCGGCCAAAGGAAGGGCGAAGGAAGAATACCGATGATGACGGTGCTGTCACTCTTTGAAGGGCTCAGAGGGCCGGCCATCTTGGGGGTCAAAACTGCAGAGGTGTTCACGCGTTGAGCTTCTGTTCAATAGGAACCTCGTAACCAGGACTTGCGACGGTAAGGAGAGAGAGCGAGGTTGGTGGAGTCGGCGGGTTTATAGTTTGCAGATGGAGTAGCAGATCTGACGACAGGACATGGACATGGACTACTTTTGTACTGTATTTGCGGCTGAGCCTCCCGTCCAATAACGCCCGCCTCCGGGGGAGAGTAGTGACTCTCTGATGCGGAGCAAGATATCCGACGCACGCACCGCTTCCGATATCACAGCGAACACGCTCTTCAAACACGCAACGTCACCTTTGTATTACAAACCCCCACTGTGTCGAACAGGTAAGTATATTCATATGCGGGTCACGTGCGCATTGGTGTAACGAGGCGTGCCCTCCCTCAAGGAGGAGCAGAGGAGGACAAGAGGAGAGGGCCAGGGGCGGAAAGAATAGGCTGACTGACTCACAGCCTACAGGCCGCACAAAAAAGCCGCATTGAAAAAACCTTCCGCCTTGCCTTGAACAACACCGAACTTACACGCTTTGAATGCTCTGACATCGTCCAGCCAAACCGTAGCGTCGCCGGCAGGGCATCGGCACTGACCTAGCAATGTTGGGCAACAACAACAATAACAATAATATCCGGAAGAGATATGACCACGCCGTCACTCTCGTGGGCTTCCCAATTTTCCAAGCAGAGGACCCGCTCTATAAGCTTTTCCGCTATAAACTGAAGGAACGGTATCCTCTCGCTGCCCAAATATATCAAAATCGTGGAGGTTCGCATCACTCGCCATATCTTCGCTATAATCAAACAGGGTTGTCTTTCTCTTACACAAGCGACTGACCTGTCTCCTCTCGAATAGGCGTATTGGCTTCCATTTATTATTACGACCTGCAGGACCTCGAGAAAGACCAGAAGTCTAACCCGCGAATCTGGAGTTTCACTCATGGCGGCCGAACTCATTCGATCAAGGATGTGACAAACTCCCGTAGGATTGGCAGGATCACCATCACTACGACTGCATCCACTAAAGCGATCTTGAATGCTCTCGACGTCCCGCAACCTCCTTTGGCGTGGATCGATGCCCGCCACCGTGATGGGAAATTCATTTATTTGCAAGAAGGCGCCGAGAGTTACCTCAAGGGATTCGGCGGAAAGGAGAGCGCCCAAATCGATGGCGTGGATTGTCCGATTAGAGTTGAGGTTTACAATAATGCTGAAGGTGGAGCCGCTGCAGGTGATAAGGAGAAGCAGAAGGAAGCGAAGAAGACCGAAGGGGCGAAGAAAGACGAATCCGGGGATAAGTCTACTAAAAGCGGAGAGACCGAACAGTCGGGGAAGACTGTGGAAGCCCCGCCACCGAGCACTAAGATAGATCGGCCTTGGAATGTAGTCGGCCTTCCAGCAGAAGCGAATAAGCAGCCCGCGAACTCTGCGTCCGCGAAAACTACCTCTGGCCCCAGCGAAGCCTCCGCTCGCTCGGCGTGGGATTTAATCACCCCATCCCGTGCGGTCAACGACGTTACCAGCGAGGCTGCATCTTTGGACAACCCTGAACGAACGCTTTCCACGCGATCTTCTGAGAGTTTCGGCAGATCCATCTGGAGTGTTCCTGACAACTTCCCGGGTCGAGCTGACACGATCAGCAGGAGCTCGCCGGATTTCCATTCTCCTCACGCGAAGGACGACGTGGGTCCCATTATTATGCCGGTAACCGCCGAGCCTTTCGACGAGGAGGATGGGCTGGATGAGTCCACCCCTCTTCCGATCGAAGTAGATGAGGAGAACGAAAGCAGAAACAAGCCGCAGCAAATCTTTAAGCAATACAGTAGCGTACCAACGACGCCAATGACCATGGGCATTCAGCCTCCATCGCAATTGAACCACAATTTGCAACAACAATTGAAAACTGCGCACTTGCTCCTAGCAGACTTGAACAATCATCGGTCCTCGTCGGAAGACGAAATGCAGCGTCTTCGTGACGCTGTGGCTGAAAAGTGTCGCGATCTGGACACGCTCCTGAACGAGCTTAACGACACCCGACGTGAACTCGCATCCACAAAGCAGAGGATGACCGATGTGGAGCAGCAGCTGCTCAAGAAAGATGGATACGAGCTTGCTTTGAAAGAAAGGATACAGGAGAGGGACGCGAGCGCGAGAGTAATTGAGGAGATTGGTAGGGAGGTCGAAGGGCAGAGATCGATGCTTGCCCAGGCTTTAGCGGGCAGAACAATAATAGGTTCGTCTTCATTCTTTCCCAGTGTCCGGCTCCTCATGAAGTAGGTAGGCTGGCTTACCGTAGCTTTACTCCTCACAGATACACTTTGCTTAAGCCTCATGAACGGAGGCCACACCTTCGCGCCGGAAGTCGCCAGGCCCGGCCCCGCAATCCCCAACTTTAGCGACATCCTCCAAAACTGCATGTGCGACACCTGCAGAGCGACGTTTCAAATGATGCACAGGTCCAAATTTCCTGGCCCGAACCCGAAACTCACCGTCGCGCAGCTCCGTTCGAGTTTGGCGGCCGCGTACGAACGATTCGACAGGATGGCCCGATTTCCTCCGGGCGGATGGAATCGACGAAAGAGCGAATCCGGAATCAATGGTGTGCGGACTGATGAACCCATGTTTGCCAATCTGGGCGATGTTGCCATGGAGGTGGCTCTGAATGCTTTGGCGGAGCTGGCGCCTGGCATTCTCGGATGGGCTTGATCGAGCTCGCTGGAGAATGTGGATCGGAATCAGCGAACTCCTTTCTGGGATTTCCTGGTAGTTTAAAAGCAGTGTAGCGAACGCAGAATGAAATAACGTCGAAACGGCGTAATATGTAGATCATGTGGAAAAGGTCGAGCAAACCTATAGTTTCTGATAACAAAAAACGACTATCAATTCAATGCACTTGAGAAATTCTGCGAAATTATCGTCGGGGATGCCCCATCTCTTGTTGCCGTGCTGGCAGTGGTGTCGGTGCGCGACACCAATGCACCCACATGGTGCATTCAATGCTTGACCTCCAGCACAGGGACCAGGAACAGTCGCACGATACACTTGTCCGTGCGTAGATCTCGGATGCTGAAACACGAAAGACTAGGCGCGAACGCCTCTTGGCACACTGCATGCGCGTTACCTTTCGCGTTTTGTGCTTACGAGATTGACGGGTTATTGACAGCAGGTGGCCAGGGATTCTACATCAATGGCCTATGCCTTCTCCATTTACTCAAGGACCACTGTGGTAGATTCGCGACCACAGGCTTCAGCTTGCCTACCTTCACTGGCGTCATAAGATTACAGGTCAAAGGTCAGGGCGGTATTTTGCTGTCAGCGAGGAGGCTGCTATCTTCCTGGTTTGATGATTACAAGTTGTACAATCTTAAATCATCGTCCTAAACTGTATAGGTAGTTGCTAACGACGCTACCCGTGTTGCTATCCACGCTACCTTTAAGCACACATACCCTAATTGTTAAGTGCCCAAGTTAGGGTTAGTGTTAGGTATGTTTAATGCACAAAAAGTCAAGATCGCGTCCGATATCGCCATAGATTAGTATTCACTTCTTCGCAAACGCGTCGTTTACATTGTAGGCCTACATACCGCTGGAAAAGCACTATGCTTTGAATCAGTGCCTAGAGCTTGTTGTGCAGCCTTGCTCTAGCGGGAAACTTCCCGAACGTTGAGACCTAGGGGACGCATAATGACGAGAGGGTGACTTTCACACGCGGGTGGCCGAGAGCCGGCCAGTGACGATCGGATCAAAACATGTCCTCAACACGCGTAAAGCGTGACATGCTTAGGAAATGGACTGCCGGGCAAACGCCAGATCCCGAACCACGTCGAGACCATGCACATGCAGCCCCCGACAGGAGATCAGACAAGGAAGGCAGGAGGCGAGGAGAAGCTGAATGGCTGGAGCGTTTAGTTTTATTTCCATATTTCCAGAGCACCGCAGCAACGGTAACAAAGATGGAGTATTTTTCGAGGTCGCGTGTGTACGAGGATTTGGGGACGAACACTTGCTTCCTACCCTCCCTACACATACATAGATTGAGCAAGTATTTTTCTCTTGCTCCTGCTAACTGTACGTTCGGTAGAACGCAAAATGCCTCGTCGGAGGAAGTCATAAGAGGGATGAAATTCTCAAATCAGTCAAAAACTTCCCGCTACTTCTCAAATCAGTCAAAAACCGTCGTTCATGGGCCGAAACGTGATTGCGAATACTTCATCCAGCTTTTTGGAGTGCAGACCCTATATATATATATCTGTATATATACTCGGCACTCAAGTGCCTGACCCAAGTTGGATGTGGATTTTGGGAAAGTTCCCACGAGGACCACGAGGAAGCCCCGCCACCTGCAGCACTTAAGGCGGTGCCAGTCTGCCAGAATCGGCTTCTGGTGACGCGTGCGGGCTCAGCGACATTCCAGAAGAATCAAATGGCAATAACCGCGGCTGGCTTATTGAGGCCACGCTGCAACGGCGAAAACTTTACCTCAACGACAACCCCGGAATCCCAGAAGAGCTGTTCTGCACATCCCAGCCTCAGCACTGCGGCCCAATATCATTCATACCACAGGAGCGACACCCGCTGCAGGAACACCTCCTTGAAGACTCAGAATTCTATTGTGAAGTTCCTGTCTTCACGTCTTTCGAACAAGTCAGCACTAGTCGGACCGTCGCTATCCGTGATCGCAGAGCACAGCACTTATTGGGAATTTTATTTCTCTGCTGAGCACAATACACCACGGGACGAAGGGCTCCTCACTTGTCGCGGACCTACGTTTTACGATCGTATAAATTATGTCTTCGGCCTCAACACCGCAAAAGATCAAGCTGAATAATCCTTCGGCAGCTGTCGCCGCAAAGAAGAAGCGGAAGAAGACAGGGTCCGGAAAGACAGCACCTGCGCCGAAAGCCAGCTCCTCGAAATCACCTGCTACCGACGACGAAGACAACTCCTCTGACGAATCTGACTATAGCGAGGAGGAAGAGGATGCTGAAGACTATTGCAAAGGAGGCTATCATCCCATTAACATTGGTGATTCTTTCAACGATGGCCGGTACACAATATTGCGGAAACTAGGATGGGGTCACTTCTCAACAGTATGGCTGGCACAAGACCACAAGTAAGCACCGCTGTCATGGTTGTTTGGAAGCCTCGCGTTCTTTGAGGGCCATGGTAGACAAGCAGCTGACAGGCTTTTATCAGGTTCAAACGGCCGGTTGCTCTGAAGATTGTGAAATCGGCACCGCATTACACAGAAACGGCTTTGGACGAGATCAAACTTTTGGACAAAGTAGTCTCGGCAAATCGAGATAATCCGGAGAGACGTTGCGTGGTTGAACTCTATGACTGGTTCAAACACCGCGGGCCCCACGGAACACGTGAGGAACATCATTTGTTGCGAAAGGTCTGCGTTTGTTTCGTGGTCATCTGATCTTTTTCCTTCCAGATGTGTGTATGGCATTCGAGGTGCTTGGGCCAAATTTGTTGACCTTGATAAGGCAATATCACCATCGCGGGCTCGACGTTGGGATTGTCCAGCGCATAACAAAACAAGTTTTGATGGGTTTGGACTACCTGCATCGGGAATGCGGCATAATACATACGGATCTGAAGCCTGAGGTGCGTCACATTTTCCATAAGTCAGATTATGACGCTCGATCATTGATTAACCCTTACGATGTTTTGCAGAATGTACTAATATGTGTAAATGTGGAAGAAACTCTGAAGAAACTCGGCATCGATTTGGAGAATCCTCCAAAAAGGAAGGAGGTGGATAGTTCCAAACGCACATCGAGAACCGGAAGTCCTTCGAATACGACCCCGACAATGACGCGGGCGCAAAGAAAAAAGGCCAGATATAGACAGAAGAAGCAAAAGGGAAAGAACTCGAGCACAGGAAATACACCACCGGAACCCATGGAATCCGTCGCGGGTCTGCAGACGCCCGAAGTCACCACGATACCACCAGCTCCAGTCGCCTATGCAAATGGAACGGATGGCAAAGAAGAAGTACCACAGTCGACAAACATGCTCTCGCCAGAGGCGTCAACGTAAGTTCGCCTTTTCTCCATGTTGATCTGGTATGGCTAGCTGTATGTCCTTACATCTTGAAGATCTTCTAGCGAGGCGCTAGGTAGAAACTTGAGCGACATCAGCATATCTGAGGCTTACGAGGCAAAAGCGGCAGCCAAAGATTTGCAAGAGCGGGAAGGGGAAGGTGTGTTCTCGGTAGGAAGGGAGAGGATATTTTGGTGAAGGAGACTCATTCCGGCTGTCTTCCCTGGCGGTTAGGCGAATTTCATCACAAAGGGAATGAGAGGGCAGGCGAGGAACCAACCCAGGAGCTGAGTGATTCAGAAAAGAAGCGGCGTCGTGAAGAGAAGCGGGATCTACGGAGAAAACAAGATGGACGCATCAAAGTGAGGAAGCTTTGTTTAACGTGCATTTTGATGGGTGAGTTGGAGGCTAACAACGATGAGCATAGGTGAAGATCGCTGATTTGGGGAACGCTTGCTGGGTGGACCACCACTTTACAAACGACATTCAAACACGGCAATACCGGTCCCCTGAGGCTATCTTGGGAGCCAACTACGACCGGAGTGCAGACATTTGGAGTTTGGGATGCATGGTATGTTTTCGTGAAACGGAGACGTATCTTGCAATCGAAAACGAGCAACTGATCATGTTGTGTGGCAGGTTTTCGAGTTGTTGACCGGCGACTATCTGTTCGATCCTCAAGCGGGGCAAAGGTATACCAAAGATGATGGTAAGTCTTCCCCTTCACTTTGTTCACTGTCCTGCGGAGGCTGGTGATGGCCATTTGATCAACGTGATACTCTGTCTACAGACCATATCGCTCAAATAATTGAGCTACTGGGCGAGTTTCCCAAGTCGCTCGCTTTGAGTGGGAAGTATTCCAGCGAGCTTTTCAACCGTAAAGGTGAGTTTTCCTGCTCTCGTCTTATTCCCATATCTTGCAACAGTGTCATGATGCATGCGTTCGTACCTTTGCAGGGCAATTGCGCCATATACACAAGCTTCGTTATTGGAAGCTGCCCGACGTTCTCCAAGACAAGTACCATTTTTCCAAAGAGGAAGCCGAGAACATAGGGGCGTTCATATTACCGATGATTGAGATTACTCCCGACAAGAGGTATGTACCAAGGATTTGAAGTCGTAACGCTTCGGAACGAGCGCATAACTGATTCCCTGTTCTCCGGTTCCCGCAGAGCAACCGCCGCAGACATGCTCAAAGCCTCTTGGCTCAGCAACGTCGACCTAACCGACGACGGCCAACCACCACACGTCCACCGCGGCTTCCCCGTACGCTCGAAAACGCCCAGCCTGTTCGGAAGCGAGGACGAGGCGGAATTCCTGGAAAATGTGCAGGAAGACGATGATGGGGATGACTTTGAGGGGATCATGGAGGCTGACGAGGACGAGGAGGACGATGATGATGATATGACGGAGGAAGGGGATGCGGAGGGGTCGGACGCTATGGATCAGGATGGGTTGCCGTGAGCACTTTTTCGCCGATCGTTTGCCGTTTCTTTCCGGCTTGGAGGCTCGGGAACAGTGAAAGCATGGCAGACCCCATTGGGCTTCTCGATTCACCACGTGCCACCGCCATCGTCCCGGTCCCTAGCTTTACCCATCGTCACGAACCATCCTTTTCTGAAAGAACACTCACGCACGCACTGGCTGTGGCTGCATGTCTCTTATATCTCCCCAACCTCACATCATAATCTTTTTTCCGTAGTTAATCTGCAAAACACCCCCCGCTATTCTGTACATGCTTATACAGCCCCCCATCTCCCATCGATTGCTACACATCGGACCGTTTTGCCTTACTTCCGCTCAATTCTTCATAAATAGATTTGCGCCTGTGTCTGGCTCGCTATTTACTTCTTGACCCGGAGCCTGATATGGAAGAGCAAAACTCTCTGGAATTCATTCACACACATCAAAAGTTTTCAAGCCCGACAATGTTTTCATTCTCGAAGATATGACCGTCTACATGAGGATCAATCTCTTCGACTACTGGACACGTATAGCGCATCCCAAGAACCCCTGCCCCCATATTCCTCCCACGTAAATACTGCCTATTATATACACCAAAATGGACCGATGCAAGCAAAGCAGAACGTTCAAAGCTATGACTGCAACTAGCCGCGCATCCGAGATCCCCAAGATAAACTAATACTTCTACTGTTGGGAGGGTAACCTTGGCCCGCTCGACGGGGGCTGTTGCTGTTGCTGTTGTTGATGCGGTCGCGACGCAGCACCTATCCCGTTGCCGGTAGGCGTCATCGTGGTAGACGGCGGGACATATAAGCTCGCTTTCGCGCCTGTGCTCAGTGAGTTGCTGAGGACGTTCGACGTTGACGGAGCGACAGAGAAACACGCGTTCCACATCGGTATTTGCGGGCTGTTCATCTGCTTCGGTGCATGTTGCTGAGACTGGGACTGCAGCTGCGGTGATCTCAATGACTGGAGATTCTGTTGAACTTGGCGTAGTCGTTGTGTTTGCTCCGTGACTGGGGCAGGCATCTGCTGGTTGGTGTTGATCTGCATGGGTCGGGACTGCTGGTGGGTTCGTGGCTGCTGGGACGTAAAGTTTCCTTGCGCAGCCACAGTCGGCATGACGTTCACCCATTGGCCCGTAGAAGGATGTGGTTGAAATCCGTCGGAATAGCTATGACGCTGCCCCGGCGCGAACCAAGTGCTCGATGCCCATGTCGCCGTCCCCATCGGGGCGGCAGAGTCCAAAGCCAGTGGAAGTCTAACATTGGCCAGAGCGGTGTTCGACTGACCCTTCTTGGCCGGCAAGTTTTCCACCCAAGTCGTCGCGAGGGTCTCCAGATCCTGCACCTTTCGCAGTGTCCAGTGCGAGATATGTCCCGTCCTAATCAGCGCGCGCAGTTTGGCACGGTATCCCTCCGGGTCCGACCTCAATAATGGGCAATTGGCATTGTCGGTGGCATGACTGTTGGCTCCGCACATGAAACAGCGCATGTCGACCGGGTTGAGGGAAGTCATCATCATAGGGGTCGGTACCGCCTGGTAAAACTGGTAGGGTAATCCCATTGTATGGGGGTCGCTATAGGATTTTGGTTGCGTATTGATCCCGGAGTTAAATGGGTATCCTGGAGGGTATGATGTGGCCGGGACTTGGATTGAGGTAAAGTTGCGCGGTGGTTGATAGCCCGGATTCATACTGGCGTTCGTATATACGGTATTTGGGCTAGAATATCCAGTAATGCTACCCGACGTTGCAGTGCTGATTGATGTTGGCATCAGTTTGGACGGCCGAGAGCTGCTCTCCGTCGGTTGTGTCGTGGATGGAGGGAAGACCGTGGCGTAATTCGTTGCCTGTGATGAGCTGGTCGGGATTTGAACTTGCGGCGTTGATGTGTTGGGGTTCAGGAATGGGGTTGCGGGGGAAGGTGGTTCAGTCGTCGTGCGGTTAGGTAACCCGACAGTATCGCTCTCCTCCACCGACTTAACAGAAATCGGTGAGACAGGTTTAAGGTTACCAACTGCTTCCGCCACGTTCGGTTTGAATTCTGACTTTACGCCGGCATATTTGGCAAAGGCTGTGGCGCCACCTTTCGTTGTGGCTTGCTTCATCCCTGTCGAAGTAGTGTTATGGGTGGGTATGATGGGAGTTCCGATTACAGGGGTCCCGCTCACAGGCGTCATCCCAGCCATCACCCGCTGTGATTCCGCCCGCTGAACCGCAGCGTGAAATGCCTGTGTGCCGGTCAAGGCAGCAGCAGTTGGCGTCTGGGGCGAAGACTGAGCAAGTTCCATGCGTTCGATCTGGCGTTCCAACTGCGCACGTTGTATTGGCAAAGGATACGCTCCTGGGAGGAGTGGTGCTGATGGCCCTCCTACAGAGACGGGGCCCGGCAAAGCTGGTCTCTGTGATTGCTGCTGCAGCACATCTCGCCTCACTGGTTGCATTGCCGGGATCGGAAACGGCGGTGCACGTCCCTGCCTCTTCAGAAACATGGCGACAATGTTCATCTTAGCGATAAACTGATTCCGCACTTCATCGGGCAGTATCGGTGGAGTGTGGACCGCCGCGACCAACTGATTCATCGCTTCGCGGAGGTACCTGACATTTTCGCGGACGCCACATCGGTCGATTGGATGCAGGTCGTGCTGGAAGCAGAGCCAGCACGCCGGTGCGATGGCCGTGGCCGTGTAGGCTTCCCGAATTGTAATCCGAGTACCGTCGGCTGCCACCGTTGGCACTGCTGCCGGAGCTGCGGAAGAAGGTGCCGTATTGTGGGGGGCCGCTTGTTGTTGTTGAAGCCGTGGCTGTTGCACAGGGACGGTGGGCACAAGCTGTCGCTCAGTCGCTGTCTTGACGGCAGCAGGTCTCCCACGTTGTGGCGCTGCGGGTGGAGGCACAGTCTCCGCGTCTGACATCCGCGATCGGCCCCGTTTCTTTTTGACAGGAGAGTGCAGCTCCTCCAGAACCATCTCGGCATCAGACACCTCCATCAAGTCGTCCTCATCCTCATCTTCCTCTTCTGCCTGAGGTGCGAACTCCGGATCGAGGGTAGGATCTTCATCCGGCACCTCCTGCTCTTCCAAAGAGGCTGCAGTTTCGGCATCCGCCTCCGTATCGAACGGCGACGCGGTATCGTCTCCATCGAAACCCAAAAACATCCGCTTGTTCATTCGTTTTGACTCCGCGTAGTCCACGTGCCGCCGTTTCCGCTTCGCTCGCCCATTAGGATGAAACTCCTGCTGGGGTATCCCCGAAGCCTTGCCCGTGTTATAGGCCAGAAGCCGTTCCCAGAACGCCCCAGCATCATCCTCCTCAACAGCTCCGTTCTCGCCAGTCGCGCCAACGCCACCGTCGTCTGCCAAGTCCACATCCGCCCCTGCATCGGCCTTTTCGTTGATCCAAAGCTTCGCAAAGGTACCCAGCTTTGCCGTCGCCGTATTTAATGCCGGATCTTCTGCATCCTTCTGTTTCTCTGCAAAGATGGCCGACCTGTCAAGCAGTCGATCGACCTCAACATCATCGTACTTGACCTGCTGAGCGTCAATCGCCTGCTCATCCTCCTCGAACAGAGCTTTGGCTCCATAACGAATGATAGACGACAGTTCCTCGGGGCTGGAATCCTTCTTTGCCATCTGCTCGATGATGAGATGATCGAGGACCAGTTTCTTCTTGCCTGCTTCCAGGATCTTCTCCTCCACGCATCGGCGCGTGAAAAATCTATACACAACGAGCGGCTTGTCCTGTCCGATGCGATGGGCACGAGCCATCGCTTGCAAATCTCGGTGCGGATTCCAGTCTGCGTCATATATGATGATGGTGTCAGCGGCGGTAAGGTTGATTCCTTCGGCGCCCGTGCGGGTGGTTAAGAGAAAGATGAAACAATCCTGATTGCGGTCGTTGAAACGGTCGATGATGCTTTGACGGATATTTAAAGCCGTCTCACCATCCTGATTACGGAAAGCATCCATCTGTCAGTCACGGGCAAGAGAAATACCTTATCAGAATCCGAAGTTCACAAACTTACCATTCGTACAAACGAATACCCCGCCCCGATCAAATAATCGTCCAGGATATCAAGATTCATCTTGAACTGCGAGAAAATCAAGATCCGATGGCCTTGGGCATTCAGCTTGGCCAACATCTTATGCAACAGAGCCAATTTCCCACTGGCTGCAATCATATGCTTCAATGTCTCCTCAGTCGACAGTCCCTCCGGCTCCACGTCCTGCAAGCAGTATGGGTGATTGCAGATTTTGCGCAGTTCCATCAGCACGTTTTGCAAGGAGCTGACACGCGCGTTATCTCTCCCGGAAGTCGAGATACCGATCTGCTTGAGAATTTGAGCATTTTTGGCCAGTACTCCTTTGTAGAGTTCCGTTTGGAGAGAAGTCAGGGATACGGGCAAGAGGATTTCCACTTTCGGTGGTAGTCCAAGATCAGCGGCATCCTTTGTCCGTCGCAGGAAGTAAGGAGCAAGAAGCTCATGTATTTCCTTCACTTTCTCATCCGTGAGCTCGTCGCTGTCATATTGCTTCTCCCACTCCGCAGGGTTTTTGAACTTTTTAGGATCCAAGAAACCGAGCAAGTTGAACAACTCGCGCACGTTGTTCTGCAGCGGCGTTCCCGTCAGGATAATCCTATGTTTGTTCCTTATGTTCTTCCGGAACGCCGAGAACGTTTTGGCCGCGTCGTTCTTCAGCCGATGTCCCTCGTCACAGATCAAGACCTCAAAGTCGATCTTTTTGAAGAAGGCGCTGTCCCTCATTAGGGACTCGTAATTGGCGAGCAAGACATGGAACCGCACATTCTTGCCGGGATCCCTGTCTTCATCATCGGGTCCAAAGATCATCATCTCCCTCAATTTCTCGCGTCCTTTCCCGTCCCCAGTGTAATGCACCAAAACGAGCTCCGGAGCCCACTTTGCAAATTCTGCCTTCCAATGGCCCAACGTCGAAGACGGCGCAGCGATGACGAAAGGAAACCGACGGTATTCGTGGTGCAAACAAGCAAGCATTGAGACGATTTGCACCGTTTTGCCCAACCCCATGTCGTCAGCTAGAATTGACGGCGTCTGCTTATGCCATTTGTAAATCAGCCAGTTCAACCCGTCGATTTGATATTTCTTCAGCTCGCCTCCGTGAATGAAAGATGGCTGCGTAATGTGCTCCTGGAAAGGCTTTTCGATGGGCTGCCGGCTATCAACGTCGCCAATCGCGTTCCGCCGCAGATACTCCTGGTACTTTTCTTGCAGTACTGGATACAAAGGGTCGTCTTCCGGAAATATGTCGTCCTGATAGCATTTATCGAAGGGTAGGCCTTTCCACTTAATGGTCACTGCATCGACGTTCGAAAACTCTTCTTCGCCGTCGGGGTCAACATACGTGGCATCGACTATGTACTCGATTTCCAATACGCCGGGCGGTAAGGCGTCCTCAACACTTTTCGGCCAGACTGGTTCTTCTCCCACCTCCGCGGCGGCGGCAATTTCCTTTTCGACTTTAGCCCAAAAGACACGGTATTTTGATTGCTCCGCCTTGCAATTTGAAAGCCAGCGTTCGGAGACCCTTTGAGAAAAGGAATAAAATCAAGTCACTCCGATAAGCTGACACAAGAAATAGCACTTACCAAGCACAGTGACGATAAGACCATTTTGCCCACTTGACATAATACTCGCGTTGGGGCGAGGTCTCGTCAACTTCGTCTGATTGCTCTTCGTCGACCTCCGCATCCCTATATGTGATTATAGATTCCCTGGAAAAAGGGATTGTCAGTGAAGATGGCAGGGATTCATGTCTGTAAAAATCGATCGGTAACTCACACCGAGTCGTTCCAGATCAGACAGTCAACGCAATGCCACATCCTCTCGAAATGTGACCTCGAGCCAGGGCCGGATGTAATCACGTCCCGGTCGCTGTCGTCCACGTCATCTTTGTAGACCTGCATCATACATTCGACATGTGCCAGGAAAGTGCACCGGTAGCATCGGAACAAGGGATATACTGGACCATTTTGGTCGTCTTCATCGATGGGGTACGGTGGCTCCTTGCAGATAGCGCAGACTTTCTCCTTCCTGCACGGTTGGCATTGCGACTTTGTGAGCATGGACTTATTGGAGCCTTCCACGCATGGTCGATGCCATGCATACGAGCAGGTGATGCAGTTGAGCAGTCGACCCAGGTCGCCGTCCAGGTCGGCATCGGGAGCCGCCTTTTTTCTGTTTCTCTTGTTGTCTTCGCCCTTGCCTGAAATGTGCGCAGCTTTAAGTTCTGATCCAAAAAAAGGAAAGAGCAGTAATATGACCTTGACCTACCACAGTTGTCACACCACTTCGCATGTCGACCATAAGTTTTTGGCACAACGGAATCTTCGTAATCATCCAGTCCGATTACTCCATCCCCGTCTTCGGCGATCTCTTCCAATTCGTCGTCGTCGTCTTCCTCCTCGTTAAGGGGCGACTTGCCTTTGGGGTCGTAGGACAGGTCGTTTTCATCGTCAGAAGCTTCGGCAACGTCCTTTGTTGACTCCGTATAGTCCTCTTCGTCGGCGGCGTCGTCCTTATCGACGGTTGCTGAGGACTTTGACTCTTTCGCAATGTCGTCCACGATCGCGGGAGGTTTCTGACTATTCTCTTTTGGGTTTGGAGGTGGTGAGTCCTCGTTGTCGGAGATCGCGATCATGTCGTAGACCTCCTCAGCATGCAGTTTATGGTTGTCCAAGTCCGCCAGAGGACCCTTGCGGGGCTTTTTCGAGAGTAGAGCTGTAGTGGCTTTTGTTGATAATAGTTCCTTCGTTCTTGCACTAGTAGGTTCTTCCCGTCGAAGTGGAGACACGCTGTTCTGGGAGTCGTGTTCCAGCACGACGGTAAGCATGCCCGCTCCTTGATCAGTAGTAGAAGTCGGCCACCAGCAAGTACATGAAGGTAAGTGGAGCTGCGGGAGCCAAATGAAGGGATTTGCTAGATTGCTGTTTGACAGCTTCGTAAAAGCGGAAAACCGGGAAGGCACGAAAACGAGCTATCGCGCACCATTCGATTACAGAAATCGGTAACTTGGAAGTTCCCAAAGCCGTCCCACCTCTAATCACCTGCTAATGTAATTGGAGCACAATCATAAACGCGACAATAAGGAAATATGTCATTCTTGTCCGAGTCGCCGAACCGCGTGTCCGAGAGCTATACCTGTTCCCCAAGCTGCACGGTCATAAGAAGACATTGCTTGCCTGGACATGGAGACCTGCTTGCCTCAACCGGGCCGTAGTAGCCTGAGTAGCCAGGCGCTGTAATTATGGGAGATTTGTGACAGCACCCAAGTGAACATGTGCCTGGTACATACATACATTATCGCAGCGGCATGCTGCGTGAACCCATAACTGCGAAATATAACGCCCTATTTGCCTAACGCTCCTGCTTCACATATTATAAAACCTTTACATGCCAGTATCTGCTGATCAGAATCAATAAGTAGAGCCTTAGCTTCCCATACTGTACAGCCGAGTAACAGCATCAACATCAGGCAAACATACCAGCTGACGTGTGATTTATCCTTGGCGCTCCCAGCTAGCCGGAACATTGCCCGACTCCAAACGTCGAGAGCCCCTCGGGACACCGGATCCGCATGATCCTCTGTCTCTCTAAAATAGTCTGTCGAATATGATTTTGGGCCATCGTTTTTTGTTCCCAGCCCAGGTTGACGAACGTGTGCTGGTCGCCGGCCAACCCAACCATGCTGAATCAGCCCGCCCATGCTCCATGTTCACAGCCAACGCGCGCAGCCGTACTGTACTGTACAGTCACCTCGCAAAACTCTGTACCCCCCCCTGAAATAAATCAGCGACTGCCGCGACGCCAAATTCACGTGAGTGACCAATATTGATTTCAATTAGAGGGGGGGTACAGAGTTTTGCGAGGTGACTGTACATACAACGCTCCATAGCAAGCCGCGTCATCTTTTAGTGCCTCGGCGTCTTCGACGATGTCTTCTAGTGCCTCTAGACTCTCTGGTTCCCCAACGCTGTCCGTCAAGCCCTGTACATCGGCTTCTACGCTACGTCTAGCTCGCTTGCTCGACCTCGTGTGCTCGCTTGCGTTGGTGCGAGGTTGAGAAACGGCAGAGATCACCTCCTTGGCAGAGATCATCTCATACGAGAGCGGCATCATCTCTGAAGCTTCAGAGGACGCAAAAAGTCGTCCAGCAGTAGATGGATTTTTTTTTAATAGAGCAGACTTTTGAGCGCTCAAGGTAAGTTGTTGAACGCGAGAGCAAAGACAGAGTACTATTGCGATGCACAAAGAAGTATATTGAAAATTCAGTATTATACAGCAAGCAAGCGTGCACAGGATTATCACAGGATAGGGGTTTGTGGAGGAAGTATCAGTTAGTGCTAACCCCTCTGGATTCCCTCTCGAGAGAGGTATGTGGGCTTGGGACTACCGTCGGCTCATTAGTTAGCCGATTGCAATCGTACAATCGCCTAACTTATTTGAAGAACAGCGAAAACCAAATGCACGTACCTTTATCATTTTCTGACAGCGCAATTCTCCACAATCCTCCACAATCCTCCACATAGTTCAATGGCGAAACCAGCATTCCACCCCGCCCGGCCGTCACGACCAAGGGAAAAGAGCGACGGTCCACACCGACTAGGAGAGAGCAAGTTTCCCGTTTCGATCTCCGCTCAGTCCCTGCTCTTCTTCCTTCCAAGCACCGAAGCCCGACCCAACGTGGTCAACTCCAAGGGTACAACGGATAGCCGGAAGTGGTGAAAAGCTGGTTGAAGAAAAGTTGAGAGGGAATGCGGATGAGGGTGCTCTTTTATATTCCCTTGCTTGCCTCGCGCGTTCGCTCGCTCGTTTGCCCCTGGGCCCGCGAAGGGACGAAAACTGCCGATTCTCAGCTTCTGTCCCCGCATATAGAACATCATGTCGAACACTGTCACAAGTGGCAACTTTTCCGCGGAATTATTCAACCGGCAGTATAGAGTGTCTCTGGGGCGGAGTTTTGGTGGATGACACGTTTTGGTGACCGACACACGCATCAACTCGCGTCATGTGACCGCACGGGAGCAGTTCATTGTGTTCATACTGCCAGGTACCTGTGTGGCAAGTGCCTCACAGATAAGTATCACCATTGGTTTTGAGTATGTATTTTACGCGTTGATTTTCGTCTCGGACATCTCGGACATTCGGACCCGCACGCCAACTCAAGTCACTCAACACCCAAACGCCATTTGTCAGACAAATAACGGTATCGAACGGTGATGCAAAGACGAAGGTCCAATTCTAGCGCCGGTTGTTCATGGTGAAGCTGGAATCCACTTCGCACAACATATCCCGCCAAAAAAAACAAACAGGTACATCCTACACATAGCCATTACGCTGCCAAGTGAACGTACTGCGGGAACGTATTTGTATGCCTCGGCTTGCATAGGACAGTGCTTGCCGGCGGACGTGGTATACATATCGGGGCGGAAGCAGGTTAGTTCGGCCGACAGCTCGTCCCTCACGCGGAAACGGAAAAAAAGAGGAACACGCTGGAGATCGCCGACCCAGCCTTCACATGGGGTTCCTGTGACAAGGGGCACATGTCGCGAAGATTATACCTGGAGCTGGCCAAAGCCTTCCGAACCGTCAACTTTCCCTCCGCCGCACCAACGACGCCAGAGTTTGTGAAGTCGTCGATTCCCCGTTTACGTCGCAATTTCAGTACGACCTTGTCAACAACGCAAGACAACGTTCCAATAAATCCGCGGAGAAGACAGAGGAGGCCATATGTGTGCTCGGACTGTCAGGCGGCGGCAGCGAATAAGACGGAAGCGCGGCGCGTTCGGAGAGATCCGCTGCCTACCTTGACATCTCGGAGAAACTACTCGCAGCAACCGTCTTCAGAGTATGTCGCCGTTCCGGATTCGAATGACGCCTTTACTAGGCAGGATACGAACGACCTGGTTCCAGCACATTACGAGAATGCAGGTCCCGCCCCATCCGAGCCACCTCCATCGTCAGATCTTCGAGACCCAAACCTAGCTACAAGTGTTGTTGCGGAAGCTGACGAACCAGCATATATTGCGCCGGAAGGCGAGGCGCCAGCAGTTAGCGAAGGATGGCGGCAGTTTATTGAGATATGCAGATGGTGGGAGACGCCCGTACCAGAGAACGTGCCAGAGAACGCGACGGTGGATGAAGGAAACCAGATCATTAAACAGCTACCGATGGAAAATCTCTCGGGAATCTTCGAAGTCCTCGCCGACCATCTGAGCAAAGGCCGGTCTGCGAACAAGCTCCGTACGGTAGCGGTCTTCTTGAAACAGAACGGTGTGACTTTGGAGCCTGCACAGTTGCAGGCATTGGTCCTCGCCCAACGCGTTTTGCGGAATTGGACGGAGACGATCGAGGCTTTTGGCGAGTTGCGGGGGAATGTCGACGCCACACATCACTGGACCGCACCTCAAGTTGCTGTTTCCGCTATGGTAGCACACATTCGATTGAGGAACAGCCAGCAGGCCCTGAAACTTTTGATGGATGCGTTGGCATGGGGCACCCTCCTGGACGTGTCTGCCTTCCGATCATTGCTGAGCGCGGCGATCAGCGTATCCGACAATAACCTGATCGCCAAGCTGTTCGATGAGATGGTGCAACGGGAGGTTCCATTGGACAACAGGTGCATTGCCATATTCGATCTTACGTTACGCGATGATAAGGAGAGGTGGACAAAGTTGCACATAGTCGCGCAAGGACGGGGCCAGCAAAACTTCGAACAGGATGGAGCTTTCCAGGAAGCGACGGTTGTGACGGCTAGTCGGCTTGGACATTTGGATCTGGCCTTCGAGCATCTCCAAAACCTGAAATCCATAACAGCTCATCGCGACGCGGAACTAGTCGCAGCCTATACGGCGTTGATTAGCGCGTGTTTACGCCAGGACACGGCAGGGAGCACCCCCGCAGGCACGGCGGAAGATCTATACCAGGAGATGAAACAGCTGGGTGTTAAGCCCTCCGTCCGAACAATGACCGTGCTGATGCACGGATTCTACCAACGCAAAGCTCTCCACAAAGTGCTCAAATACTTCGAAGAAATGATCGAACTGGAACTCGAGCCCGATATGTCCGTTTACAACATCATACTTCGAACCTGCGTACTAGCAGGAAATATCCGCAAGATGGAGGCATTCTACGCAAAACTGTGCGAAACCAAGTTCACACCGACACTGCCAGTGCTTACCAGCCTCATGGCTGGCTACGCTTGCCATCACATGCCGGAATCCGCCGTCGCGATTTTCGAAAAGCAACTACCGAAATTGGGCCTGAAGCCCGACATTCATTGCTTCAATGTCATCATTTTCGCGTACGGTTTAAGAGGCGACGTGACAAATTGCATCACCTGGTGGAACAGGATGCTAGGTGGAGGGTATACCCCGGATAAAGTAAGCTATACGAGTTTCCTGCGTGCCCTCTCGAGGAGCGGCAACTCGGATGTTGAGGGCCTGTATCAGCGTGTCTTTCCCTCGGAAGTTGATCCGGACAGCACGGCGTACGGTCTGCTTATAAGCGATCGCATCAGAAAAGGCGAATTGACCGCTGCACATCAGTTCTTGGAGGAGCTGCTCTCGAGCGGGATGAAGGTCACTGGGGCGTCGGCCGCCGAGTTGATGAAGGCGTATGAGCATCGCGGTGAGGCATACAACGCGGGCCAGGTTCTCAAAAGCTTCGTGGAGCGAGGTGGTATCATGGATGCCAACATGTACTCCGCCATGATGATCATGATGAATCCGCGAGAGCGGCCAGACGAGGTGCTCAAGACTTGGGACGAGATGAAGGAGAATGGAATCGAGCCTAACCGAGCCACGTTCCGATCGGTCATACATGCCTACGCCGCCAAATCGGACGTGCCGGCCATATGGGCTACGTTTGGGGACATGCAATTGCGGCTCGTCAGCGTCCATCGGAGGGATTGGGACCTGGTGCTTTGCCGGCTACTCGATATCTGCTACAAGGACTCAGCGGCCTTCCCCTACCTCGTCAATGCCTACCAATTGATGACGGACGAAGGAGAATTCCCAAGCGACCTGGTGTATCGCCGCTTCCTGATCGCCGCGGTCCGGGAGAAGGACAATTCCATATGCTTAAGGTTGATCCGAGACTGCATCGATTTCGGGTTCGGGCTCAAGTCCCAGCCGCAGACGCGGAAACTGGCGTACGCTTTCGCTGTCGATACCAAGGACCGTGAGCTGCTCATGGATCTCATTGATGTGACGATCGGGCTCGGCAAAATCGAGGAGGCTACGCCGGCGGTCAATCTCTTTCTCCGGGACCGGGATGCGGCTGGGTTGGTTCATTGTTGGTATAAGTTGGACCAGGGTCATGTCGCACAGCCTGAAACGTCGACGCGGCTCGTGCAACATTATAAACAGGCTGCGTCAGATGCCATGACGGTTTGGGATGGGGGCGTGGCAGCCACGGGAAATGAAGCGCTGTGGGGGGCGTATTTTACCGTGTGTGCTGCACACGGGTTCCGGGACGAGGCCCTGCATGCCTTCAAGGTTTTGCAAGATTTGCAGAATATTCCTCTCCTCGTCGAGGCCTGGGACAACGCCGCCGCCCGCCAACCTCGGCCGGCGACCGACTTTGAGAGAAGCACAGGGGCGCTCGCACCCAACAAAGATACCACCTCCTTGGTCACCGAACTTGCCGCCCAACTCCTCGACTACGTCTGCTCCCAACGCAACTCGCCCACTACCGGCCGCAACCTCTGGCGCCGCATGACCCGTCTCCGCCGGTATCCTTCCATCCAGCGCCCGCTCCCTGCCGACATTGTGGTTGCGTATATTCGCGGTCTGGCCCTGTGGGGCGATGACGTGGATGAGTTTATGCACCTCGCCACCAGTTTTTTGGGCGACGAGCCGGGTGCCGTGCAGGATCTGCCTAGGGTGGTGAAGGAGGTGCGGGAGCTGGTGGATTGGAAGTTTCCGGAGATTAGGCCTGAGGTGGAGAAATTTTGGAGTGAGAGGTTCGACAAGTTGCAGGGATAGATTCTCGTGTTTCTCTGTGCTTTTGTACTTGATGGTAATGGCTTGTCCAAGCACCTGCACATAATCTAATGATAAGAGCCGCCCAATTATGGAAAGGAAAGTGGAAAGCATTCTATTCGTTCTGAGAAGCCCGGCTATTGTGGCAGCATATGATACAAAGTTGGGGTGAAATGCTTGACGACCCCCAGCCAACAGATGTAGGAAGCTAAGCGAGGCGCCTACATCATTTCGTAACGGATATTTCATATACAGATAAACGGGGTATCATATGCATGCTTTCATTTTATGTTCAGTCTCAAGATTCGGCCCTACGGTGCATATAGATGCTGCGGTGGTGGAAAAGAGTATGGGCGTCCAGCCTTCTAATCGTGCCCGCCGTCGTTCTCACCCGCGGCCTCTGAAGTCTGGCCCTGATGGCCGTTTCCATCATCGCGCGCTACCTCCCCATGCTCCTGAGGCTGCGGTTGCAGATGTTGCTGGTGCGGGTGGGGCAAGGCCATACCCAGACCGGGGTGCTGTTGATGCTGGTATGGAAAAGACGGATAGGGCGCATAAAAGTAAGGATTGGCAAGCGGTGGCAGAGTGTTGTTTGCGTGCTCAGACCCTGCAGGCGTGTTGAGCGAATGGTGCGTGCTGAGGACCTGTTGGTAAAGGTGGTATCCCGCAGCCAGCATCGCCGGCGACGGAAGGATCTGCGCTGCTGGGATGCCATTCTCGGGTCTCGCGCCGTCGTCTTGTGTCGGTGCGGATTGGGTATGCGTATCTTCCTGGCCTGATGAGCCGGGTGCCTGCTGTTCCGAAGGCTGTAACATCGCCCCGACCATCATGCCATGGGCCGCGCGAAAATCAATGGGTATATGCGGCGGGAACTCCTGATGCTCGGGCGGCGGAATGGGTATTTGCTCTGGAGCGGGCACAGCCCCGGCATGCCCACCGGCGCCGGTGCGGCTGTGCATCTCCTTGTAGTGGCCTGGTGAGCGTCCTCTCACCACTAAGGGCGCGCTCTCGCTCGTTGCGATCCTGTTTCGTTCGCCGCCCTCATGTTCTGCAAACAACTCTGCGACGAGTACATGGTACTGCTGAGCAGATCGTCGCTTGCCATTGTTGGTCGTCGCCGCTTTGAACTGCAATCTGTCGAACGTGACCGTGTGAAACATGTCGACGTTGGCGCGACCGTAAGCGGACGGATTGTCTTGGGGTTGGCAATACTTTGGTTCAGGGACGAGTTGCGGACCATGAGCGCGTTTCGCTGTGAGTTGAACCAACTCGATTGGCCTTTGGCCGTTAGATGTGCGCGCGCTTATGCCGAGTAAGAATCCGGTGACGACCTGGAGTTTGTTCTCGACTGAAACCAGACAGGGCATCTCGAGACGGGCGCCAAAGAGATCCATGGCGGAGAAACCGATGCTAAGTTGGAAGTAGTTCCTACGGTAGCAGGTCCAGTCGCCGTCGGCCAGGAAAAAGCCACTTTCGATCCGGGGATGGATTCGTATGGCATACCTATGAATGACGTCGGTTAGACATGAGGTTCTTGCGATTGCCAGCTGAGTGCGACTTCAAACGACACGCACATCCTAGTTCGATCCATACTGTAAACAGGGCATATCGAGGCTGTCAGACGCCAATATGGCGTCGCTTCGGCCCATCGCTGTACCTCAACTGCTCCCGTATCCTGCTGCGCTGTCGAGGATCTAGACAGTCAAAGAGAAAGGTTATTACAGGTGCGCTGGATGTAAAATCAACGCATATCGAACCATACCCAGGAGACAGAATAGGGTTCACGGCAGGCAAACTTCCCCAAACGGCGCCAAAAGAAGGGAGAACGGTGTCCGCCGCCGCATTGTGCTCGTGCGGCTCATCTTGGGCGTCTTGTTGTGCTGCTTCTTGGGCTTCTACTCTTGCTTGTGCTGCTTGGGTTGGGTGGATAGTAGGTGAACCCGGCTCGTCGTCGTGGGTGTTATGGTTGCTGTCGTGCTGCGAGTGTTCCTGCGGTTCTGCGAAAGCCCCGTTCGCCACGTCGTTTGTCACGGTCGCGCCGTGCTGTGCGAGTGATGAATCATGCGCCTGCTGCTCTTCCTCTTCTTGTCCGGGCGTTCTTCCCACGCCTGCTTTAACTTCCGTTGCTTCACTCTGAGCATGCTCGTTCCAAGTAGGATCTCGCCCATTTGTCGTTCCCACCGGCTGCGTGGCCCTTTCCTGAGCAGCCGCGAGGTGGTGATCTTGCATGTGTCGTCCGACAGTGTGGACACCGTGGATATGTTTGTCCCTTCTGGCCGGCCCCCCTTGTGCTGATAGGGTGGGTGCTTGATGATAGTGGGGGGTGCGTGAGAACCTCTGCGTGTGTTTGTCCCTCGTCGTGCGACGCTGTGTTCTGTTCTCCAACAAGCGATACTCAGGACGGGGGCTGGCTGCTTGGGAACAACCGTCTTTTATGATTACGTAAGGCAAATTACCCAATTCTGGAATACACCCCAGTCTTGCCGAATCCCTCCAGTTTCCAGAACGCACTAACTACGTAACTACAAGCATGGCAAAAGGACGGAAAAGAACAGCTCCCTCCAAGGGACCCGCAACGGGGTCCGCCCCAGCAAAGGACTTGGACCCGAAAAAGGCGAAGGACAAGGGCGTTCAGAGCGAAATGCCCAAGAAGTACCGTCTCTTACTCGCCGTCCAGCAGCATAAGGAGAACAAGATGAAGAGCAGGAAGGAGGCTGGGAAGGGGAAGGATGGGAAAACTGGGGCTTCAAAGGTATGTTGGCTCTCCAGCCTCTTCTGTAGAATTCCTCAATAACGGGTATTTTCAAAAAAAAATACAGTTCGCAGAACGAAAAGTCGGCGAATCCCTCGCAGCCTACAACCGCCGCATAGACGACAGCGTCCGGTCCTCCGTCAACGCCGCCATCCAATCCACTTCCAAAACCCGCGCCAAAAAGAAGGCATGGCTGTCCACCCGCAAATCGGGCACCAAATCGGGCGGCGAAGGCGGCAAGAAGGGCGATGAAGACTCGGAGGATGAGCGGGAACGGATGAAGAGTGTGGATCATGTCAAGTTTGGGACCCAAGTTATGCAGCCGCCGAGTATCACGGCTGTGCCGAAGAAGAGGGGTGGAAATGTATGTTCGCTGGGATTCCGCTCGCTGGTGGTGCGATTCTTGGGAACTGACGCTCATTCCCTCGTTTTCCCACGACAGGCCGCAGCAATAGAAGCCCTCCGTAAACTAGAAGCCTCCAAAGCCGAAGTTGCCTCAGATGCCGCCGACTCCGACCCCGAACCAGCCCCAAAACAAAAGAGCCAACCGACCACCACCTCCGACGACCCCACAACAACAACAACCGTCGGCCGCAAACGCAAACTGAAAACACTACCCGAAGTCGAACGTATCGCCATCACCGACGCCCGGGCGAGGGTTATTGACCATTACCGCGCGATGATGGCGAAGAAGAAGTTGGAGGGTGGGGGCGGGCGGGAGAGGGAGGCGGGGAGCGATGGGGAAGGGATGGACGAGGATTGAGGGGAGTGTGATGGGGAAGTGAAGGAGCGCCGCGGGTTCATCGGCAATAAAGCCCGTGACTAAGACCAGTGGCGCTACCGGAACGGGGACGGAGACGGGAACTCACGACACATGGCCGGCTGAGATTGGGCGAATCAGGAAGACTTCACCGTCAGGAGCATTTTCATCATTTCGAGCGCCGAGAGATCGAATACACTTGGAAGGGCAATCATCAACGTTGCTTAGCCCACTCTATGTAGATATATACACATCAGAAGAGGTAGTGAAGTATGGCTAGTCGCGGGCGGCCGGGGGCACCTCGGAGGCACATTTGCGGCATCGCTATACAAGAGCGAAAGAGGTTCTCCGGTCGTCCCATTGAGTAGGAAACTCGCAGCGCAAGCATTTTTATGACGTGCGTGCGATATATCCCTTCGTTCCTCCTCTGATCGGTGAGAGTGATATAACTTAATTTACATAAGAAACTTTGCTTTTTGGTTTTTCCTCTTGAACCGCTCCTCCACCGTCGCATGCCGTAAACTGCCGTCCTTGTCTCGGAATACCACCTGTGCTTTCTGTTGGGGTCGAGGGAAGACTCATATCAGCGAATGTTTCTCGTCCCACAAACCGAAGTCAACAAACCTCAACATTGCTGGTATCGACAATCATATATTGGAACTTGCTCTTGAGGTTCTCGTCTTTGCTGATGATTTCTGGCTTTTTGCCCTTGCGTGGCTCAAGTTCGAAAACGTGGTCTGCCGCCTCGTCTAGTTTGCGTTGCAGGTTGGCGTATGGCTCTAATTGCATCAGTGCTGCCGCGTCCTACGTGAAATGCAAGGGACTGTATGTCAGACACCACATCCACCCTCCTCCCATGTTGAAGCGATCTGGAGCATAGTTCTTCCCCATACCTCAGGCAAGAAAGCCTCTTCCTCATCCATCATCCGGAAGAACGGCTGCAACCGCTTCGCCGGCGTCGCCCTCAACCGTTCCCTCGGCTTCTTCTGCCCATCCGCCGCACTCAACGTCTCCGCACCAAGCATCGCCTCCATGCCCCTCGTCAACCCCGTCTGCAGCGGTACTTTATCCTTCTCCATCTGCTGCTGTAGCGCTTTGAGACGGAGGATGGCTTGTACCCGAACAATGGAGAGACCGAACTTTTCAGCGAGGGCGCGCGGTGTCCAGGCGGATGGGTCGGAGAGGTATTTGGAGAAGATGTCGGTTCGGGTGGCGTCGCTGAGGGGGGATTTGGGCTTGAAGAAGGGGTTCATCGGGAAGGGCTGGAGAATGTAACCAATAAATCAATAAACCAACAATAAAATCAGCCCTCAAGCGTCAATCGTCAACCAACAACCCATCAACCCATCCAACCTTCATCCATCAACCATCAAGCCCGGGCCATCAGGAAAAAACAACAAGAACGACCGTTGGCTGGCGCTGACCGAAATGGGCCACGGGCGGACCCACGTCACGCTGCCGCTCACATAAAGGCGCCAGGTGCGGCCCCCCGCTTGAAAAGAACGACCGCTCGCTGCCGCTCACAGACATCGCGCCTGCGGCGCCGCTCCCTTCTCTCGCAAGGCGTTCACCTCCCCATCGCTCTCCCGAACGTACCGTCTTCTTGTTCCTACTAACAAAGTGGGCCGCCGCTGCGTCCCTGTACTCCTTCCCCTCCTCCTTCAACCACGCATCTGCCCTCTTCTTTGCAATCTGCTTCGGTGTTGGTGGGGTGTCCGCTTCAGCAGGTGTCCCAGGGGCTGCCTCTGCATGGCATGCCGCCGTTGACCGGAATCCTCGGTGGTTGGGGAAGAGGGTTCGTTTTGCTGCTGCTGTTGCAGCTGTTGCGAGGCTGCAGGTTGGCCGAAGCATTGTTGTGCTGGGTGGGAGTCTCGGTTGTTGAGTGGGTCGTTTGGTGAGCTTCTTCCGATGTCGAGATCGCTTGTGCAAACACATGGAAGTCTTGCCGGTGAGTCCGCCGTCTCGAAGGAGCGTTGCGTCACGTGACTTGCTCGAAGTTGACCAGAGAACGAACGCGGGGAACCGAGAGACGAGACTGTGGGCGAGACTCGCGAGTTGAGTCACCCACGTCACTTCCATGTCGCATCACAGGCTGTTCCCTAACTTCCCTTCCAAAGACGGGCGTTTTGCCCAACAAGCGCCCGGTCCACCCATTTTGGACGCTCCTTGGACCCATTCGTGCGCCGTGATCTCTTCCAAGTATACCGTCTCTTTCTCGCCCGAAACCAACCTATCACTTTGGACCTCATTCCAGGCCTCTTATTATTATACATAAACCCCCACTCACCTTCTCGATCGATATCCGTCCAGAGAGTGCAAGAGGTAAGCAGAAGTGGGTCCTCAAAAGGGGTGTATTCCCACGCAATTCCCACGACGGTGCCTGGCAAAAGAACACTGGTACCGACCGAGCTTCCTTGCTCATCTCTCCAACCTTGCTCCTCCACCCTCCAGTGTACCTACCCGCACCATGACCGAAACGTATGCCTGTCCTTGCCTGAACGTTAAGGTCACCATTGCTCGGTCGCCCGACCAGCCACCGGTCAACATTAGCGAAATCGTTTCCGTCGAGCACTTTCCTGTCACAAGTGGAATAAAAGCACAGCTGGGTCTGGGCGGTATCCGTGTGGTATGAGTGAATCAGTCTGCTAACGATCCGCCCATCCCGTCGAAAATTATCTAAAATCGCAGTACGTCCTTAGGCACATCCGTTACTCGTAAAACATACACTGCTCGAAAATGCGTGGTTGGAAGTACGATGCATGAACTGCTCGTGTGCTGCTTATTTCATCAGAGTCGATCCCGCTTCACATCACACTCTCTCGGATCTGGCAGCCCATAGTAGTCCCGACGGGTCGGTGATTTTGGGACACGATACTATTGTAAGTTGAGTGAGCGGATGAGGCCGAGCGATAGCGAGGAGAATGCGGACTGCGGCGAGCGGCGAGCGTTAGCGAAGCGCGAGCAGAGCGCGCCTCACCGCATTTCTTAGCGAGCCTTAGCGAGCGTCCAATCTTTGGCGAGCGAAGCGAGCCCCAAATTGCCCCACAGGCGCAATCCCCTCACCCACGTGTTTGTTGATGGGTGGTTGATGGTGCTGGTTGATATGTGATGAGTTGATTGATGTTGTTGATGGTTGTTCATCGTTAATGTCGCACGTACTCATCGCATCCATTCGCTTACTAGCATGGGGAAGGGATTCAAGAGGCAAAGGAGAAAGCGACGTACAGCGAATCCTGTCAGATTGTACTGACGACGAATCATGTAAAGGCCGAGCATTCACGTGAGTAGGAGACGTGGGAAAGTGCGTCAGCGAAGGGCTGGAGTCTAACCGAATCCTTTTCTCTAGCCGAGGAGTATGGCCTGTCAGATGCGTACAACACCCTGCAAGCCAGCATGAAGCGACACATGGAATCCCAACGGATAAAAATGGAAGAACGCATAGCTGCATACCGAAAAGAACAGCAGGCGCAACTAGACCGTGAGCATGAACGTGTGCGGCACGAAACCGAAATTCTTTGGGCACAGATTTGCGACTTGCACAAGGAGCGATTGCATAGACATTCGATGAGCTTGGTGGGAGGTTCTGGGCGAGGGGAGGGCAACGGAAGGGCGATGAGTCCGAATGGGCTGTTTATACCCGATAGCCAACCGATAACTGTTGGCTCGTTTTATCAGAGATCTGATATCACTTTACCGCCGCCGCCGATGTCTTCTTCCGTAGGGGGCCGACGGAGGAGCGGGATGGGAGGTGGATTGGGAATCGGACAGGCAGACCGTCGCAAATCCTCACCGGCTGTCACGCCATCTGGCACATCTCCGTCTCAAAACAAGACGCAGACGATGGATATACCACCTGAGGATGATGCTACTTCGGCGGGTGAAGGGGAAGCAGATGGGACACATGCGCGAAAGGTCCGATTTGGTCAGGTGTCGCTGACGGAGATCAACACGAACGGCATTGACAATGGCGATGAGATGGACGAGGATGAGTCGAGCTTGGCGTCCCCAGACGGCGATGGTACGTTGTACCGCCCACAAACGTTTTGTGTCTGAATGACTCGGCGAGTCCTGACATCATCCCTGCCTCCTCCCCACAGCCATCTTCGACCTAGACGGCTTCGAAGAACCCGCCAAACCCCGCTACGCCGATGCCATCATGTCCGAAGCCGACGACGACGACGACACCGACGTACTCCCAGACTCACCCACCCAAGCCCCCGAACCCTCCCCGCGCCCGCTATTCTCCTCCTCCCTCCCCATCCGGATCCCCTCCATGGGCGGCCGCAGCAGCAGCGGCGGCTTCAAACCCCCAGCCGCCATCGCCGAAGAACAATCGGAAATGGTAACAGAGACCAGTGAAGCGCAAGCGAGCGCGGTGGACTGGACGACCGACCCTATTGAGCGGCAGCAGCGGCAGATGTTGTTGCAGATGGGTGTTGACCCGGATGCGGAGGTAGATGAGGAGTCGTTTGTCGCGCCTCATATATTCACCGCGCGCACTTTCACGGAGGACTATTTGCTCGCGCAGCGGCCGCAGAAGAGTCGGAAGACCTCGTTTGCTATCTGAACGCTGCGTTCAAGCCGCCACTTGCACGTCCCTACGAGCCACCCACGGTGCCGGACGATACGGCGATCGCTTGTTTCCTTCTTTTGGGTGCTCCCTTGATTTTGTCAATCCTACGCTTTCGCCTTCAAGTGCCTCATCAGCTTGTACCCCGCCATTATGTATATCCAAACCTCGAGAAAGTTTTGAAACCACTGTATATACGCAGAGTGGTAGACACGTTTCCCAAGTTCGTGAAAGCGGGAATGTAAAAGGTTCAATTAATCTATTCTGCTTCCCCATCCTTCCGATTTTGTGCCGTTTCTTTGTTCCCCATCGTGTTTGCTACCTCTAGTTTAGTTTCCCATCAGCCTTTAATGTCTCAAATCTCCACCGTAGTATGAGAGAATACCCAATGGAAGCCATATATCGCAAAATAATCCATTCAAAACGTGTATATAATACAAAAGGGTGTGAAGAGAAAGTGTCTATATCAAATCGGATAGTATCGGATGGAACGGCAAATACCGAATCAATGCGCATGCCCGCCAAACCACTCATTAAGCCTCCAACGCCCCAAAGCACACAACCATGCCTCCAAAGAACGCGCTAGTCGCAATCGTTTTCCCCGAATACCTGTTCACCGTCGGCTGCAGCTCATGAATCAATATGCATGCCATGATCCCGCCCACACCCGCCAAACACCTACTCAGCAGCTGCGGCAACAAGTAACCATGCAACAACCAACCCCCCGCCACAACCCCCAACGGTTCCGCCAGCCCGTTGAGCAGCGTCCACCACAGCACGGAGGTGGTGTTGCCTGTTGCGGCGTAGAGGGGCACGGCAACGGTCATGCCTTCCGGGGTGTTGTGAATGAGGATTGCAACTGTGAGTTGAGTGCCAAGACGGAGGTCAGAGAGGGCCGCGAGGTAGACGCTGAGGCCTTCGGGGAGGTTGTGCATGGCGAACGCGACGAAGGTGATGAGGGAGGAACGGAGGAGGTCGCGGCGCTCTTTTGCTGATAGAGCTGGTTCTGTCGGTGTTGTTGTTAAAGAATCGGCTTTCTTGCCCTTGCTGTTGACGTTGTTCTTCCCACCTTTCTTCCCTGTCGGCGAATCCTTTGCCATCTTCTCATGCTCATGATCATGCCCATCCTCCTCATCATGGTCATGCGCCGGCATGATAACCTCCTCTAGCACCCCAAACACCGCGACCCCCGCAAAAAACGAGAACATCGCCTCCCGACTCCCAATACTCTCCACCGCCTCAGGTATCAGATCAAACAGGTGATATACATCATCACAGAACCGGAGTGCGGGAAGCTTTGTCGTCTCATGCAGAGCAGCCCTGCCACCATGAGTGGTGGCAGTACGCTGCGGTGGCTTGGGGGCAGACGTTGAAGCTTTCAATATTACCAGGTATCGTTGCCAATAGCTGGTATTGTCTATTCTGCCTTCTGAAAGAATCCTAACCTCCTCACCGGGTGCGGGCTTCGCCCGCTCCCTTTTTCTTCCCTTCGGGCCGGTCCCAAGCCACACGACCGAATATCCGAATATCCAGGATTGCAGCCGCTCCATCGTAACCGCCCTGGCATGTGGCCGCCGTCAATAGCGCAGCGGAACACCCCCATCGATGGGTATCGGGATAGTCGTTTCGTGGGTGAATAGCCGGGGCCTCGGAGTGGTGGGGCGGCGCATCCGACGCCCGCAGGGCGAAAGGAGCATCTCCAATCGACTAAAAAACGAGGGGTAACCGCTTTCCCCTTAGCCCCGCATCGCTTCCGACCCGCCCTCCACAGCACCTTCATCCACGCCCCCTTCTCCCTCTTCCTCCCCCTTCTTCTCTCCTTTTCCTCCACCATGGTCCGCGCCACTCCCGCCAAGAGGGCCCGCTTTCAACGGTTCAGGTCTCCCTCGGTCACCAACGTCGACACGGAGTCAGAGGGCTCAGCCTTCGTTCCTGAGGGGTCTCCCGAGCCGGCTACCGGCTCGCCGCGCCACTCGATCCACCGTCGTTGTTGTTCCACCCGTTGCCCATTCGACCACCGCTGCCCGCCACCCCCGCCACCCCCGCTGCCCCTGCTGCCACGTCGGCCGCCAAGGGTCGGGGCGGTACCATCACGGTGACGGTACCCGCGCCTCCCCCTGCAGCCTCCTCGTCGGCATCGTCCCCGACCAGCACCTCGCAGGGCAAGCGCCGAAGATTGGTGAGGACGCTCGGTTTACTCGACTTCGGACCGGAACGGGGCTGACCATGGTTTCGTATGCAGCCTTCGGATGATGACGAGGACGGGGGACTCATCTTCCGCCTCCAGCGCCTCGGGGATTGTCCCCGCCGCCTGCTGGGCGTGCCGTGTCCTTAGGCCCGGACACATGTTCCTTTCCAGTTGCCTCCACCAGATGTGCCGGGATTGCGTGTTTGAGGCTGCGGAGGAGGTAAGTCCGGTGGTGTTTTGACTCTACGTGCCTAATCGACGATAATTCCCAGCCCTAGTGCCGCCACATCCAATGCACCCGGGGGCGTAGCGCTTCCCATGTCGCTTATCCCTCGCAGGAATGTTGACCCTCGCAGTTCCTTTCCTAGGTTGGCTGTCCAGCGCTGTAGCCCTGTCATATTGAAAGGTTCCGTCTAACCGTCCGTTGTGGTGGACATGGATGCAGAACAAGTCGACACGGCCTCAAACGGGGCAGATCGGACCTCAAGCCGAGAACCGAGACGTGGATTTACCGGGTTCCAAAAACTCTGATCAGGAGCACGTGTCCCGTTAATAGTTTAATACTGTGCTGTCAAATTCGCATCTTCCATCGCTCTTCCATCGCTCTCGTCAAGGCAGTGCGAGTGAGTCCTGCTATGGAGCAAATCTCAAGTAGCTTGTTTGAGCTGTGGTGCATAAATGCACGAATGCGGCTTGGTTTGGAGCGCGGTTTCGAAAGGGATGTGGGGAACAGGAAAGAGTAGAGAGTGGAACGTGGATGCAATCGGCCCCGTTTGAAGATGCGTTCCTGGTAGCTGCCACCTCTCAACTCATTCTTGCAGCTGAGGGGGGGGGAAATGCGGACGGGGGCTGGAAGCGGGCGGAGAGAAAGATCCGCTCGTGTATTTTCAAAGTCAGGGGCGCCGTCGATCTTTTGACTGTCAGTTGCTTCCCCCGTTGGATGGCCCCTCGCCCGCTTCGAATCCAGTCCCCGCGATACAATTCACACACAGATGAAATGCAGCCCCTCTCAGAAGCCAGAGCACAAATACTCGCCACGAAATCATCCATCCGATACGCCAATCCATCTATCCATAGAATCCATCTATCCATTACAATACACACATCCACCATGCCGGAAGCCACTTGTCGCAAAGTCAAGTCGGAATCCGCAGACAGCAAGTCGCCTGAACGAAAACGTGCCAAGTCTGCATCTTCATTTGAAGCCGAGCTCACAGCTCACTGGAAGGGCAACGACACCGCATGGGCTCAGAAATTCATCGATGGCCTCAACCCAGTCGACACCGGCAAGCCTGAGCCTGCGAAGTGGACGGACACGGAAGCGGGGGCCCTCATCGCTTTAATGCTCCTCCATTCGGACAAAACGATGAAGGAGGTGGCTGGCCTATTCGTAGGCCTTGGAATCATGGTGACGAGGAAGACAGAAGCTCAGATTGTGACCAAGCAACGCAACTGGGGACACAAACAGAAAAAGAACACATGAAGCAAACGACATCCCATCCTCACGCAGCGACACGAACTGAAATGAACAAACCTCAACACAACGAAAAGTTCACAAAAACAAGACTATGAGCATCGAAGCATCACGGGTCGTTCGTAGAGCACAAAGCTAGTCTTCCAAAAGGGCAATCGTAAACCTGCCGCCAAATTGCACTTGATGTATATATGTAGCTTCAGGCCGCATTGGTAGCGGTTGAAATATCCAAGATGTACATTCCCTTGATGTTGTCGCAAGTTCGTAGTCCATAAAGTATCCTGGGTTGGTTGTATTTTGTCACATAACATATGTGTATCTGAATGATGAAACGTTTAGAGATGCTCTGTCGGGGATATCTCATACGTACAATGCTGTTCATAAAGCAAGACCGCTGTCAATTTGATTCACCGGCCCCCTGGACGCGCCTCTCCATATAGATCTACGCCTAGTATCTAGTGAATCCTCCTCTAGCTGCTATGACTGCCGCTATACGCCGGGGCATGCTCGACACAAGTTTTTCTAGTACATCTGGCTCGATATCCTGAAATGTCTGCTGTGCAATGGCCTCTAGCTGCTCTCGAGATCTCGCTCGGGCTGTATTCATCTTGTATTTGTTATTATATCATTCTACTTCTACGCGATCCGGTACTCGGGCAGCCGGGCTGGCCACCTGAGGTGCATAAAGATGGTGACCATCTTGGGAGGTTATCGTTTCTTCGAGTCTCTATGTAATTCAGCTACAGATCAGCAAAAGCTGGTGGAACGAGTTGTCGTGTTGCGAGGCAGTTGCTGCACTTTCCCAAATTCCGCTGTTGATGAAAAGCCTGACGCGGAACGAGGTGGACGCGCGATTGGCCAATTTATGGCCCCAAATCACACAATCCCCGCCCGCTCATCGAGAGCATAGCACAGAGATCACGTGAGCAGTCGCGGTGTGTTCCCCTCGCCCCAAAATGTGGTGGTGCCCACTGTTACTGCACGGGTTGCCGCAGCCCGGACGGATTCGGATGGGGGGTTCAAAGCTGATAAAAGGGGTCTGGCTGCTCAAGTCCCCCCCAACAACCCAAGCTTGATCTTCACAACTTCTTCCGTTGACCGACTTCACATAGCAACAATGGCAGACGAAACCTTCCTCTTCACCTCCGAGTCTGTTGGCGAGGGTCACCCCGACAAGATCTGCGACCAAGGTAAGCAAGCTCCGTGTCCCCTCCTGTCTTTCGTCTTACATGCAAGATCACGGTCCACGATGAGCTGAGCATTTCATTCTTGATCATCCTCATCAGTGTCCGACGCCATCCTCGATGCCTGCCTGGCTCAGGACCCCTTCTCCCGTGTTGCTTGCGAGACGGCCACCAAGACCGGTATGATCATGGTCCTCGGTGAGATCACCACCAAGGCCACCCTCGACTACCAGAAGATCATCCGTGAGACCGTGAAGAGGATCGGGTTCGACGACTCCAGCAAGGGTTTCGACTACAAGACTTGCAACGTCCTTGTCGCCATTGAGCAGCAGTCCCCCGAAATTGCCGGCGGTCTCGTCCAGCAGGGTGACGCCCTTGAGCACATCGGTGCTGGTGACCAGGGTATCATGTTCGGTTACGCTACCGACGAGACCCCCGAGTACATGCCCCTCACCATCATGCTCGCCCACAAGCTCAACTCCAAGATGGCTGAGTACCGTCGTTCCGGCGAGATGGGTTGGTTGCGCCCCGACTCCAAGACTCAAGTCACCGTCGAGTACAAGATGATCGACGGTGTCCCAGTGCCCCAGAAGGTCCACACCGTTGTCATCTCCACCCAGCACGCTCCCGAGGTCACCAACGAGCAGATCAAGGAAGAGCTGATGGAGAAAATTGTTAAGGTAGGTTGCCGACTCTGATTCTGGAAAGTATTTAGCCGAGGATCAAACTCACCAAAATCACTACCTTCTCTCAGGCTGTTATTCCTGCCAAGTACCTCGACGACCGCACCGTCTACCACTTGCAGCCCTCTGGCCGTTTCGTCATCGGTGGACCACAAGGTGACGCTGGTGTCACCGGTCGTAAGATCATTGTCGACACCTACGGAGGTTGGGGTGCCCACGGAGGAGGTGCTTTCTCCGGAAAGGATTGGTCCAAGGTCGACCGTTCTGCTGCATACACCGCCCGTTGGGTCGCAAAGTCCCTTGTCGCCGCTGGCCTCGCCCGCCGTGCCCTCGTCCAGCTTTCGTACGCCATCGGTGTCGCAGAACCCACCTCCATCTTCGTTGACACTTTCGGTACTGGAAAGAAGACCAACAGCGAGCTGTTGCAGATCATCAAGAACAACTTCGACCTTCGACCTGGAGTCATCGTCAAGGAGCTCGACCTTTTCAAGCCCATCTACGAGGAGTCTGCGCGTTACGGACACTTCGGTCGTGAACAATTCACATGGGAGCAGCCCAAGCAACTCAAGTTCTAAGGATAATTAGAGCATCTCATTACCCCGCTATCGCTTCTGTAGAAGGGACGGGTTATCATATACATCGGAGACCGGTCTGGGGCCTGGTTCTTCGTCAATGTGTTTATGTACAGAGTGACTTGACGTTTTCAACGTCGCCCCATAGTCACTTTTTAAGATATTTAGGAAGAGGATTAAGATAATTTTAGACTTCATGCGTCACGCATCATCTTCAATGTCCCGATCGTTTCGCTGGCGTAACCTATGCATCTTCCCACACAATTTGAAAGATTCGACGCAAACGAGAGGTCGTGTTGACGGTCCGTCGTTTTCGGATTCCTGAGGCACTTCGCAGAAGACACCGCTTCCCACGATAAGACATTTGCCCTGCCTTTGCATAAGGCGCTCGTAAGGACTCGGACGCTATCGCGGGTCGTATGATGAAGTTGCTGGGTTGTATGATGAAGTTGCTGCTGCTTGCATCAACGTATGAGAGAAACCGAGATGAGCGCTTATTATCCTTGCTCCCTTCCAACGTGTTTTGTGGAAGTGGCACACCAATGTCAAATTCTCAATTGAATTCTCTTCAAACGGCGCCACAATTGGTATCGACAGGCGGCGCCGGCGTTACATTTGGTATCGACAGTACCGGAGATCTGGCTAGCCAATCATTTGCGCATTGAGTCTCCGGGTGGCTTTTGGGCAGGTTAAACTTTCGATGACGTTATTTCCTCGGATCTTAAAGTTAGCCTTTAGGGGGCATCAATTTGCGCCGATCATCAGTTGGCAGCCGGTTACGTGCTGGATGGATAATAGATTGCGAACATTGGGACGGGCGGCGGGCTTTGGCTGCTGTGGAACTGGTCATACCGAATCCGTGGGATGTGACTGCGCGGGCGCGAGCCTCATCAGCGTTCTTTCCCATCGTCCGTGGGAAAAAGTGGTTGCACGTCCTTTTTCCTCCTCTCGCTGAACAGGGAAGGAAGGCATATAGTAACCTGGCGGAAACATATCGCACGGAATAATCTTGCAGGAGAGTTGACAAGTCTTGGTGAGGTTGTGAGAGTATTTGAAGAGTGAGCGAGCTCATCTCCGCTACGACGGGTGTACGACGGGAAAGCCACCGCTCCGCACTCCGCCCCGGACCACCCATTTTCCCACGCTTGGGATTCTCCAGATATACCACGAGCACTCGGCCGAAGACCTTTCCGACAGACGACCAGCAGCCATGGATGACCAAACCCTCACTATCAACTGGTCTCCGGCGCTCATTGTCGTTAGTTACATTGTCTCCACCGCCGGAGCATGGGTTGCCTTCGAGCTTATCAGGCTTAGGACGAGCGAGAAGGGATGGCTCAATTGGGCTCTCCTGCTTTTAGCATCCCTGGTCACAGGCGGTCTTGCTGTCTTTACAATGCATTTCGTTGGGATGACGGCGTTTGATCTTCACGGAGCGACCGCCGTCCCTATTTTCTTTTCCACTGGGGTACGTTTTCGATATGGTTGAGAGCGTGGGAAAATTTATGTACTGATGATTTACTCTCTTTATAGCTGACTCTTGGGTCGCTCTTCGAGCCGATCTTCTGCGTCTGCGTCGGAGTGTATGTTACCGGCACGCAGGAAAACCCCTCACCACTGCGTTTCGCCGCGGGCGGCGCCTTCGCTGCCCTCGGAATCACTCTGATGCACTTCACGGCCATGATAGCTATGAAAGTGAGGTTGGACTGGATACCATGGCTCGTCGCGCTTGCAACAGCCATTGCCTGGTTTGCCTCCACCACCGCATTCGTGCTTTTCTTCCGATTGCGCGCTCTATGGCAAAACAGCATCTGGAAGCAGCTGGGCTGCGCTTTGATCTTTGCTTTGGCGGTGTCGGCGATGCATTACACGTGCGTATGGGTGTTCCAGTCCCTCTCCTATAGATGCAATCACTGACGTTACTTCATTGTAGGGGTATGGCCGCAGCACGCTACGGCATTGACCCAAACTACCCGCCAGGTAGCCCCGCTCTCAGTGACGGAACCGTATCTGTGAACGATGTCGTCAACATTGGGCTCGCGTTCTGCGCATTGTGTGGAGTCCTCCTGGTTGGGCTTCTCGGCATGCGCTTCCGGACTCATTACTATGGCCTCGGTCGTATACATAAAGGACAGCTTACGTTAGCAGTGGTTCTCGTCAACTCGCGCGGCCAAATCTTGGTCGACACCGCCGGACATCTGCCTTCCCGTCTGGTCACGGGCGAATTCGATTTTGACAAGTGGAGCTCTCCCATTGCTCACCCCGCTCTGCTTTGGCTTCTCAAGATCTCCACCTGCTGGGACAAGTTCTCGCAGTTGAGTGCTGCTATCAAGAAGCATGGGAGCAGGGTGGCGACGCTGCTGGATGATGTGTTGAACACGCCTCCGTCGGTTCCGCGGCCGAAGAAAAGCAGCCAAGATGCACGCTTACCTTTCTTGAGGCTGTCCCTAGTGCAGGCGGTACGTAACTAACTCTATTGTTTCTCAGGATATATGAAAATCGGGTCCTCATTTCCTTTCACAGGTCACTGCGTTGTCTATTTCTATGAGCAGCTCCTTCGATCGCATGGGACTTCTGTATGATACAGTTTTGGAAGCAAGACACGGCAAGGTTGCGCTGTTGGTCGATCGCCTGGACAACCAGCGCAGTGAATACTTTGCGGCGAAGGGTTTCCGATGGGTACCTCGTGTGCATTGCGCTTTCCGTATCAGGGATATCACTCACACCTTTGTAACTTTATGCAGACCGATCCCAAGCGCGTGGGAGGACATCTTGCTGAACACCTTGGGGTGGCATCAACAGCTATCCGTAACATCGTCACCGATATCCCCAACTTTGTTCGCACCCGTCGACGACCTATACGATCAGGATTCCACGTCGCCCTACTCTCGATCATCCCGAAGATTGGCCATTTCCAGATTCTGGTTCCCACAAAGGACCGGTCGACCATCCCTTTGATGGAACTTTCGGAAGGGGCGTTCGATGCCTTTCGCAAGAACGCGCGTCGACTGAAGAGCTATTTACGGCCACTTCTGAGAGATATGGATCGCAACACCGTACAGGTCAACGATTACATTCTTGCATCTGAGATTATGGCCGCGATGACCCGCATTGGTGTCGGCATCGACTCAAGCGCACAAATTCCCTTGCGGTCTTTGAAAGTACCGACTGACGTCCTTACGCTGCGTCCGAAGCCCACTGGGGATGTCTTGGACTTTCTCAGAGAGCCGGGAACCCCATCGTCGGTGGCATACCGAGTTCAACATGATACCTGGGCCTCCTCTCCGTTCTTCGACAAAGCTAGTATGGGTTCGGACATCAACCTCCTACTTCTGACACAGATCCACACGGACGTCAGTAAGAAGTATAACCCTCCTTCCGGTTTCACCTACATCGACCTGTCCGTCTTCGAAGCGATGCACTACTCGAGGTGCTTTCCTGAGCGCTTCCACCACGCTATAGCGCTGGAGCTCGACGCTGAGTGGCAGAACAAGATTGCTCCTAGTTTAAAGAATTGGGAAAACGATGAAGTTAAGGCCGGGCATGAAGCAGATGCCGATGAAGCTCATCGTCAATCACTGGCTTCTGCGCGACACTCCATAGTCGACATGTACGCTGCCGCCGGGGCCGATAGGCAACGCAATCCGAGCCAAGAGCAGATCCCGGGCGAGGATAGTCACGCCGTCATCGATGTGGACCAGATACTCGCTGAAGGACCGCCCGGTGATGATGTTATGCCCGAAGAGATGGATAACTGGGTGCCGCCGTCGCCTCCTCGTGGTCAAGCGGGAAAGACGAAAGACCAGGGGATTATGGGCAAGCTCAAAGGGTTGTACAACAACGAGGGCCAACCGGCGGACCTCACCCAATCCACGTCGAATTTCTCGAACGAATCGTCCTCATCTTTCGAGCCACAGGCGACGCCGGTGTTCAGAGGCCACACGGGCAATACAACCGCGATCAATTCCGACAACAGTTTTAACGAACGAATCGAGATGGAGCGATACCTCAAAGGCTCCGGTGACCCCGCCGGCAACGATGCAAAACAGGTCTCGCGCCGGGCATGGCAGGCTCTCCGCTGGATCAAGTTGTACTTGAATAATGATACTATGCGGAACCACAGTTCTACGGCCCTCACCTCCGCCAACCCCACTGGCTCCGCCACCACCGCTGGCACCGCTCCAGGCGCTCCATATTGGAATGCGCAGTCACTGACTCCGCCCCCATCGCGACCACACCGGAACGTCCCATCGCCGTTGTCCATCAATACCCAAGCAGTACCAAACCCAGGGGACGCATATTCTCCCTCCACGTCGGCAGTCGATTTGCACAAAGCTTTGGAGGATCACAACATCGAGGTACAGAACAAGTTAGTAGAGGAGGAGGACGCCATACCTTCGCCAACGTCCACGACTGCGAGCATATTGCCAGGGTCTTTGACGCGCAATCACCGTGCTTGAGACCATACCCCGGCTTTCACCATGCATAGTGGTCGTGCATCGTGAAAACTACTCGTCTACGGCGTACATTCGGACTCTGAGCAGTTGGAGCAATTTCGAAAGTATCTTGTACTTATCGCAATTTGGCGTCCCAGGCCATCGCAGTCGGACATTCTCATTTCCTTCAGACTTTCTTGTACATATATGCTCGTCGACGTACCCGTTTGTCCACCTCTACCGTCAGTATCTAAATGTGAGGAGACATTTGTATTTTAGTCCAGTCCAGTACAATCTATGTACGTGTTTAATGTGTACTACTCGAATCGTGTCAGTAAGAACAAGTTATATACGCCGATGCAGAAGGGATGCTTGGTGTTTGATGCTACGTTGCAAGTTTGGTGACTTGCGTCACCATACCATGGTGCTAGTCTAGTAGGAGTCCGGTTCTCATCACATTCGGTCTGCGTAGTGGCGCTTCATAACCTAGAGGGAACGGGGGTGAGTAACGGCTGAATACGCGATACTATCCCCAACAAAATCTGCCCTACCTCCTCGGTGAATTGGTGGAAAGTCTGGTCAGCCGTCAGCTTGTGGTCGACGTTGGGCTATACACAGCGAGAATCGCCTTGCGTTATTATCGAGTTTCCTCAGAGTGAAATGGTGGACCCATAATCTCACCTGCATGAACACAGCGAACGTATTCCTGGCAATCACCATCCCCGATCCGGCCGGGATAGGAGCACCTTTCACAAGATGCGGCGTGGCAACCAACAAGCCCCGACTAGCAATCTGCGCCGCCTCACCAATCTGGAACGCAACCGCGTCCTTGGGGATCTTGACCTTAACGAACTTGCCCCCACGGGTCTTGATGTACAACCCGGACTGAGCGAGGTTCCTGCCCATCTGCGCGTTCTGCGCCGCAATGTTCGCGGCGTCGATCTCGGTGTATGTTCCTGCCTCGCTTTCGTCAACGTACATGGCGCTCGTGAGACCCGTCAGCATCGAGTGGTCGACGTGCAGACCACACCAGGAGTCTTCGGGTTGGGTAGAGTCCGCGGTCGTGGTGGCGGTTTCGGGCTTAGCGGGCTCTTCGATGGGGAAGTAGTGGAGGAGACGGGCTTTGACAGTGGTGGATTCTGCGATGGCACTTTCGAGGAAGTTCGCCGGGAGGTCGGGATGCTCTTTGGAGAGGTATTTGTCGCAGTGGCGGGCGACTAGCTGCCCAGTTTTGACGATCAGGCCTCCCAACTGGTGCGAAGTAGATTGAGATTAGAGGACTGAGATCAGGATGCGGTGCAGTCCTTGTGGGTATACCAGGCAAACTTACATCCATGAAAGCGTCCTTGAGTTCAGGCAGCTCTTCCGCCCAGACATTAGAACATCTGGTTCGGGTTCAGGAGCTTAGCAAGTTTGCTTCTTACTGCACATCCCCTTCACTGACACTCATGTCATTCATCAAGGCTCACCCATAGGCGGGAAACTTCTTCTTGTACTCCTCGTCAGCGTTTGGCACAACATCGTAGACGGGGTCTGAGAGGATGTACATCAGCGATAATGAGGTTTGACTTTTTTTGAAATCTGCAAATTAGACACTAACTGTTGTAGAGAGAACCCTTGGCGAAGTCTGCCTTGCCGTTCATGATCTCCTTCCCGTGTGACCTGCACATACCGGATAAGACGCCTCATTGAATATCCGAGAGTTTCTCCCGACTGGCGGCCTCACTCTACTCACCAACCAAACAGGTACGACGACTCTTCGTGCTCGGCCTTCTTCAACGCCTCCTGGGGCAGGTTGGCCAGTGCTGACGCCAACTTCAGGAGCTTCTCACGCTTTCCGACATAGCCCTGAAAGTGTTGAAAGGGTATATGAGAAGAACCATCTCTACATCGGCACTAAGCTCGCCTACTCCCATATCCGCCTCCTCGCCCCTTTTTCCCTACCGGAACATTAGTGACCACGCACGCACCGAGGCCTTCGGCTCCAAAAGCACTCTGCAGCTGAGTGGTCAAGTCGACCGAGTCTGAGACCAGGTCATTGTAGTCCAGCACGACCAGACTGTCGTGGACGGCCGGTGGCGGGAGGATAGTCTCTTGAGGGCCCAACATAACTGGTAAAAGAAATACAACGTGATTTTCAAGTAACTCAAAAACGGTATCTGAGGTCCCCTTGGAAAATAATGCTCCAAAGCAGGACAGGGAATTCAACCACTACGAAGGAATATATATGGCCAACATGGAGCGTCGGCACCTTGGCCCTTTCCTTTTCACTGTCGTGGAAGTGACCTCCGAGGCCATTCCCTTATTACGGGACACCAACAAAAACGCGTTTTTGAGCTCGTGACACTCTCCGACCGTCATTGACGGCCTGACAGTTTGCGAGCGCATAAACGCCGCACAATTCCAGGGATGTGCATACCGTATGCAGTGACGTTTGGTTCGTTTATTACGGCCGCCTTTGTTTCTACGGGCTATATCTCGTCTACATCTCGTCCTCAGAAACAGAAAGATCCTCTTCTGGGAAATCTCCGACTACTACACAGTCAGGCCAGACCAATACGCCATGCTTGTTAGGGCATGAGAAATATTTCACAACTTGTAGTACAGTGAAAGCGGAGAAGGCGTAAACATGTGCGAAGTCCATCTGATGAGCTTGTTGTCTGTCTAGCTTCGTAACGTAAACCTACCTTCCATCATGTTTTCCCAGTAGCTCGTCTCCACACCAACCCAGAACCCTGCTTTGAACTCCACATTGCCCACAACCCCGATAGTGCCTTTCATGCGCCTCGACAGGCCAGCAGCGACATCTTCCATGCTAACTTCTGGTGGTACTTCACATCTATCACTCACTTTCATTGATGGCGGTGTTTGGGGGTGTTCCGGCTCAATTGGACACCCTGCTTGTTCAGCAAACTTGCAACGTTTATTCCATTTGAGGAAAGCACCGTACCGAGTCTGATGGTTGATGTTGGCGTTGGGAACATGAGGGGAGAGAAATCTCATATAGGACCCGCCACATAACTGAACACACCGGTCCGTTTGTCATAATCAGCATCCGTGAATCCAAACTTCTCCACCTGGTATACATCGCTGAGTTCCGTGCCGCCGTCGTGGATTCAGATCTGTGACCTGCACCAGAAGCACATCAGCATCTCCGACTTCTGTCAGGAAACCAAATGAAATCCATGGGGCCATCTCCAACCTGCACCCTCAAGAAAACCTGCACTGGGCAGTACTTCATTTTTCTCATTATCCTCAATAGACAAACTAGTTGATCTGTCGACGTGTAAAAGCTGATTTTCATTGTCGCTGCGGTACGCCTGGTGTGGGTTCCAGCTGTTCCTGTCACGTTCTCGGTCAAGATGGACAAGATTCGCCATTGTGAGCCCACCTTCAAGTGCTCGACTGTGATGCTTTTGCAAACCGTCTCTCGGAGGCAGCGCCTCGCTTGCCAGCGAAGACGGTCACGATCGGATTTGGACGTCCAATGCAACCGCTTTTTGGTAGTCGTTCGTTGTTAGGGCGAGACGTGGCTAATAGGGCAGGCAATGCGTATCAAGTTGTGAAGATGCCGAGGGAAAACAACGTGTTCAATCACAGTAGCTTTGGCGAACTAACTCAACCTTATTCAAACCATGCTTGTTCAATGCCCTCAGCAATTAGTTCAGACGACGTGGCGCGGCGAAGCTTGCTCCTCGCTCTCACCTTTCAGATTCAGATAACTTCCGTGTGAAATTGCTTTTGAGTGGCTCGACAGAAAAGGTGGGGTTGCGTTGCAGGCATTTACGCGTTGGGTTCATGTTCATGCGCCGTCGGCTAAAAAGTTTTGGCTACGTTGTCCAGCAGTAGTTCGACTCATCAGACCCCGAACATATCGCTTCCAATCACGCGAAAGTTTACGCCTCGCTGATATCTGTCGCATAAGATGACGACTCCCACGGCAGGAGGAATCCCGGCCGACCGCGGGCCGGCTGTGGTGTTGCGTATATCACTTCCATCTCAGGATTGGCAGAAGGCAGTCAAAGCGTATACAAAGGAGTCAATATGGAAACTGAAACAGCATATCATGGAGAAGATGGCCAGCGGGATAGAAGACGCGTTGAATTACGGGATATTTGTGCCTGCGGACTCAAAGACGGGGAAGCAGGGGAAATTCCTCGATGAGAAGCGTGAGCTGGGCTCGTTTAGCCCGGAGAATAACGTATGTACGCCATTGTTCGTATCGTTTGCCTTTACGCTCGGAAATCGATATATCCTCACCATGTCTTTTCGTAGTGGCTGCTGGAGTTTGTACCGAAGCATCGAGTCTGGTCATCTTCAGCGGCTACCGATGCCGATGCGGCGCCCGGATCGCCGTCCATCAACAGCAAAAAGAAGCAGAAGAAATTCTTTGAGGATGTTCAGAAGGGAAATATTGACAAAGTCAAGGAGCGAGGCCAGAGAGGAATAGATCCAAATTTTTGGTCGGAAAGCGGAGGTAAGGGGGAAACGGCCCTGTGAAACGTATTCGTCTATTAGTCTCACATGGACTTGTCAACTGGTCAAACAGAATCTCCGTTGTCCGTGGCGGTCATGAACAATGACAAGGAAATGATCGGTGTGCTTCTGGAAAATGGCGCTATGTCGGATTACAGATTGGGAAAGAAAGATGGCTGGAAAACTCCACTGCACCTTGCGGCCTTGAACAATAAAGTCGTTGCTCTGCAAGTAAGTGACAGCACTAGGCTTTTCTGACGCGATCAAAGCTCTAACTACGTGTGCCATGTAGACGCTTATTTCGTATGGTGCATGGATAAACTGCCCAGACGGCGTTGGACTGACGCCGCTCTATTACGCAACCTTACATTTACATGCGGATGCCGTGCTGCGCTTGCTAGTAGCGCGGGCGGACACGGAGATTTTTGACGAATCTGGGAAAGGCCCTCTGCATATGGCATGTTTCCACAACCATGAGGCCATCGCATCCATTTTGATTGACCTGGGAGCAAATCTGAACGCCCCCAACGCCGTCGGGAACACGCCATTGCATGTATGCGCCACGCGAGATGCCAAAGACTGTGCGAGGTGGCTTCTGCTTCGAGGTTGCGAAAGGGAGTTGGTCAACAAAAGTGGGCAAACTGCAGCTCAATTGGCGGGGTTGAGCGGGAGTAGCGAAATCGGGGACCTGATCAAGAAGTGGACCGATGCGCAAGTGATCCCGCCGCCCCCGAAACCGGTGCAACCTGGGGAGGACTTGCAGCATGTGTTGGCTGCAGTCCCTGCGATTCCTAGAGCAGGAACCAGCACACACTCTCGAGCCGCGTCGACCGACGTTAACCATGATCCACGGAGGGTATCGATGCTTCCACCAGGAGACACGCTTCCGCGATCGGCATCGAAGCGAGAGTCTATGCTGCCCGGAAGCACGTTATCCCATGTGGCATCGGGCAACTCGACACCGATTGCAAAACGAGCTAGCACCGCGACAGGGAAGAAACCAAGGAAAAGCGTATTTTCGGGCGAGAAGTTTATCCCACCGCCGCCGACATCAGCTCGACCTCTGAGCGTGGTAGGCGGACCCGTGCCAGGAAGTACGAGACCGTCTTCGATAGGTAAAGAAAACGCCTCAAAGCGTACGAGTCTCGAAGCGGGTGTTGGACATAAAGTCTCTGAGACGCCCAGAGCGTCGGTGGCGCGCCCTCCCGACGCGCACGCATCAGCAGGAACCAACACACCAGCAAACCTTTCTGCACAATCATCGGCCGGCGATGTCAAAGCTGTACTCAACGGAACTGCGGCGGATAACAAAGCGGCTAACCGCCGATCGATAATGAACTTCATCCCAGCGCCTGCAGGCCCGCCACCAGCGCATCTCTTAGGGCTCGCGGCGGGGTCCAAACCGGCTGTGCCGTCCCCGCTGCAATTTGCAGCGCCGCCACCACCCAAGCTGGCACCACCAGCGCCAGCAAGCCTGCCGCCAGCACCTATATTACCACCGGGACCTCATTCGCGAGCGGCATCCTTAGACGTGTTGCAAGAGGTCGAACCGGCATCTGCTGTTGAAAAGCCGGAAGCTCCCGCCAGTGACGTTCCAGCGACGGACAAATCAACCACCGAATACGCCGCTATGCGCGCGCAAGCGCAGCACATCATCACTATGTTGCAAACCGCGCTGCATGGGGAAGAGGAGCATCTGGAGGTTGACCTGGAAATGCTGCTTGACGGGTTCGGGGCGCTGGAAAAGGCGCTGGTGGACACTGAGCTCAAATGTCGTGAATTGGAGCTGAAGCTGAGACAGGAGGGTGGTGCTGTTAGCTGATCACTGGCCAGGAACTCCTCTATTGTTTCCACATATGTGTGGTCCTGGGCGAGCTAAATATGTGTAGACACTACAGCATACACTGTCTTGCGGTTGCTGTCTGCGTCACATGATGGTCCTTCTGGCAAGCATCAGACTTCATGGTATCGAGTAATCTGCTCTTTTGAGAGCACATGGGTGTCCATTATACCTTCACTTCTTTTTGGAATGTTACGAATAGTTTAACAACGTCCTTGGATTAGAGCGGACATGAGGATTTTTTTTTGAAATACAACACGCCTTTTGAAGATGCATCTAAGAAAGCAACTTCATTTCAATCAATCAAGTCTCCTAACCGAACACAGGACTGAGGCGACCACAACTACACGATTTCTCTATGGGAAGCCAGATTCAGGCCCCTGTACATCGGAGGGAGGGATGGATCCACTACGTAATAGGTGCCTACATAGCTTCCGATATATGTAGGCTTGGCACACCAAATGCGCTCCATATACGCCTTTCAAATCCACGCATTCAGGACGCAGGGGTCGCAAGTGCTGGTTCCGCGGCATCCGACTGTCCCAGTTCCAGTGCTTCTATAGTTTCGCCATCCGTTTCTTCAATCTCGGATGGTTTCGTCGTTTCAGTACCGTGATTCGCCGTTGGGAAGGCATCCGCAGCTTTCGTCATGAGAGATATGTAGTCGATGCTCAGATTCAGAACCGCGGCTGAGTCAGAAGGTAAGTATCCTACAGATTGCACTGCGCAGTTATGTTGAAGACCGGCCAGAACCTTGCTGTGCTGCCAACTCGGTGCGAATGGCAACTAGATCCCGATCCACCTTGTCCAACTTTGACAGATTGTAAGTCCGTGATTCAGAAACTATGAGCCGGTAATCAGTTCAGCCACATACCTCCATCTGTTGCAACAAACATTGTTCTTGATACTCCGCAAGATCTATAGAAGCTGTCTGAGTACACTGCGGCAACGAAGTTCAGCAACGGTACCGCGGAACCTTGCAAAGCGTTGTTAGCAGCAAGCTCGTTCTCCTGTCGCTGGAAAGAGTATTCAAAAGAGTATCAGAGGTTAAACGCCATCATCATGGAAAGTGGGTCGCCGACTATCACTCACAGCACTGGCGCACTGATCCCTCAAATTTGCGAAATCTAACTGCATGACATCCTCAGACTGTGGCAATTCTCGCTGTCGAGCATTGAAGGCCATGCCTGTTGGCGCTCCTACCATAAATGTCATCAAACGGGCAATCAGATCTCCTGTGGTCTGCCACACAAGCACATACCTGAGTGAGACGACTCAACTGGCTCTCCACTTGAGAAACAGTCCGGTGCCCGATCTTTAAGGTTGCTACCGCTTTCTGTATCAGTGTAGGAGCACGATTCCCTTCCCCCGTTCCAATCGCTTTTGCTATGACGCAGATGTCCACCAAAATCACCATCAGTCTCAGGAGTAACTGAACTTCTCAATGACTTTTGTAAAACGGGCACGTCGAGCGCAGAAACATTTCGAGCTTGATGCGCGTGTGGGCTTTGTGGAAGATACTCATCTCTAGCTTTCGGAATTTGAACGGGTGACATGCGTGATTGTGAAGATTCCAAAGTTGCCTCATACGGGTCGCTTGTCATTGTCCGAGGTTGAACCGGCGTGAAGGGTTTCGTCGATGATGCATGAGGATTCACCCGCGTGGGAAGCTTGAGACCTGTGAACTTGCCCCTTGTTTCCGGTCTGGGCGAGGGGTAGACTACGCTCTGTTCATCAGAAGCCTTTTCGCCATTGCCTGCGGTGCCGGAAACATCGCTTTGACCGCTGTCAACTCCAGTGCGAACGACATTACGATTCGGAGTGGCGACAGGAGTCACCGGTACCGTTGGTTGACGAACGGAGGTCCGCCCTACAACGAATTTAATTAGCTCTAGCCGATAGTACCATGCTACCATAACCGAACCTGTAAGAGGTCGCATTTTAAAGAGCTTCAAGAAGAGCGTTAACCTTTGATTGTTCATGTTTTCAAAACCTGGCGCTTACTTTCGGGGTGACCGGCTTAGCTTGTTCAACATCATTCGCGGTATTTTGTTCAACAGGCATCTGCATACGCCCAGTTTCAGGGACGTTGTCTGAGTGCGACGAACATCGGATGGATGAGCAAGAAATCGAATGGCATGGCATCCAACGCCGAGATGCGTACCAGATTCACTGGGAGACTTGCTCGGGGCGCGCCTCAAAGACGGAATGGGCGTCGAAGCTTGACGCGGTGTTTGCGAAGGTTTGACAAGCACTTTCCCACGGTCAGCATCGACATTTTCAACCGGCGTCGAGCGAGTCTCCGAAGGTCCTGAAAAAGGTGTAGTAGGAGGCCTGAATCTTTTCAAAAGGGGCTTAGGCGCAGAAGCGAGCTTGTTTGGTTGAGCGAGCTGATGCTTCCTGGCTCCTCCAGTTTCGTAGACACTTTCCTGCTCCACGGTATGCTCACTGGTAAGCGTTTGGGCAGCGACATCCGGACTGGTACTCTTCAGCCCCAATAGGCAAACGCCTGCCAGCGGTTTGAAAAGGGCGGCGGACTGGCCTCTGTTAAGGCGCTTTCGAGGAGGGAGCAGGAGAGACGGTGCGGACGGTTCGTTGTTATTGCCCAGGATGGCATTGATGTCGAAGAAGGGTTGCGAATCCGAGGGCGAGGGACTGCGCTTCTTTCCTGCGATTTGGCTGTCTTCGCCCGTAGCTTCTCCCATATTGAAGGCGCTGTTTGTAATACAACGTGGTTGCTTCGGAAACCGTATACGATAGGGGATGCAGATCTGCGTGGGAAAAAGGTCAGAACGGAAGACGCGAACCGCTGACGTTGGATCGAAGTCAAAACCTCCCGCTCCTCGCGCGTCGCAGCTTCCATGTTTTCACTTTTTACAAGTCAGATTCGACCACCATATAACAAAACAGCACCAGATTTATCATGCACTTGCACGGGTATTTATTTACTCAAGAAGGTTCCAAGACTATATACGCACAAATCTAAGTACGTCCGCAAAAGAATCGCTCGGATTAGATGACAAAGGAGTAACCTAGACGGCACGTAGAGAAATCTACGATTCACCAAGAACGGCCGAAGCTAGGTAATAGGTCTGGGAAGTAGCTACAGGAATGTCAGTAAACTGATCCCCCGCCGCCATGAGGAAAGGAACCCCGATTGCGCGTTAATGGCCTACGACCTGTCATTCCAAGGGAATCGTGGGTTAAGTCGAGACTCGATGATGAAGGCTGCCCTGATCAGTCACTTACCGTATGCGAAACCGGCACTCGACATCGGCCTTTGCGCGTCGACAGGTGGGCCCATTGCGAGTTGAGCATATGGATTGTTCTGCCGAAGTCCAAATCCGGGGAGAGGTTGTTGAATGCTCCGAGATGATGCAAAGGTCTGTCGCATGGCGGTTCTGGGACGGCTGTTCCCCGCGCTGGTCCCCGGCCGACCTCCTCCTAGCTGGTTATTCATCATCCCAGACGTCGCCGCGGAGCGTGAAGGCGCCATCGAAGGAGCGGGCATGACGAAAGACGACGAATATGTGGGTCCCGATGGGTAGAAGGCCCCATCGGTCTGCATCGCGTTCATCGACCATTGATCTGGTTGCGGAGCCTGCATAGGATTCATCGGCTGTCTCGCATAGTTTGTTGAATTATGGACTGGTAGATCTGAGTACACCGGCTGCTGTGGGGCTTTAGAGGAGTTACGCCGTTGAGACGTCATGAAATCGGGCTGGGCTTGCTGCATATCCATAGGCTCCGGTCCGCCATGCGTCGAGCCCCAGTTCCCACTTCCACGGATTGAGTTCAACCTTGAACTCCCGTTCTGTCGTATTGTTGTATTGTCGCGGGCATTGGACGGAAGGCTCAGTCGTTGCGGTGGGTTTGGCGTTTGCACATTAGGCCGTCCACTTGGAGAACTGCAAACAGATCGACTACTGTAATCGGAGGCATGAGCTCCTGAGAGGACTCGAAAAGCTTCGATCCGCTTCTAACCTTTGAGGTCTTCCGGTGCTATTCTTCCCCGGCGTTCCACTGTGCGGACTGACATATGTGGCGGGAGTTTTCTGTCCTCCTCCGCTCTTGAGCCGATCCCGCTCCTCCTTGAGAAGCCGAATTTCCTGATCCTGTAGCCGCACTTCGTCCTTCGCCTTCTGCAGAGCTCTTGCTCCAGAAGTCAGAGTTTTCCCGGGAGCACGTCTACCAGAATCGCCTTGCCTACCTCGTCGCTTCTCGGTATTTTCGACTGTATTCCATGTTTTTTATTTTTAGGTGCCGCAGCAATTTCACAGCGTTCCCATTTTGAAACTGCTCTGATTCGTCAGAATGGCGCACTGGGGTCGCAGGTATTGTCAGTGTCACCTTACCTGCCAAACTTTGACTGCGTCCTCTAAATGTACTATCGCGGGAATAAAGATCCTCTCAACTTCCTCTGGCACCTGTGCGCTATGCGCTTCAGTTTCGAAGCCCATCGTCGTTCGAGATAGGCATCGAAACCCACCTCCGTTCTCAGCTCTACGACAGCCGTTTTCTGACCACATATTGGACACAGAAGCTCCGCCTGTGCGTCGTTCGACAATGCCGCGACGTTCTCGCTGTTTTCCTGTAGGAGGCAGCTATTGCATACGATATGAGCACAATTCGTAACGTAGTACGTCGTGGTGCCCGGTACGTCGTCGACAGCTCGGGGCACTCCACCCACTGGACACCGAAAAGCGTGTTCATGGGAAAAACATCTGCGGTGCGAAAAAGTCAATTGGCTGGTCGTCCAAAGGGAAGCTGGTGGCGTGCCCTACCTCCCGCAATGCAGCCAATGGAGATCGGCATCGTAAGCTGGATCTGGCGCGTCCGAGTCCTTTTGGGGCCGGCTACCGCTGACGTCCGTGATCCGGGAGTGCGCAGGCATGCCTGTCGGTTGTGTGAGAGGAGTTTCAGGCGTTTGGTTTGCAATGGCGATTCCGTGGGACCGTGGGAAAATGAGGCAAACTTGTCATCGCGAGCTGCGCTCAGCCAGACGCGCTCGTACTGTTAAGATCTTTTGGCCAGAATAGCAGGACGCAGTAGTACGCGGAGTCCGTTAACGTACAGATACATGTACGTACATACATATATACATACCATTCGTTAACCGCAATACTGAAATAGTGATTGAAGTACACCGCATTTAAATACGAACAGAAGCAAGTACAGAAACGAACGACGAACCCGCACTAATGAAGCATTTCTCCTAACATAACCGCCTATAAGTCGTAGCCAGGGATATCCTCAATCTTCATCGTCAAGATGTCCTTCAACGCCTTGTCGATGATCTCCACGCCGTGCATCAGATCATCCTCGCTGATGCACAATGGAGGAGCGAGACGGATGATGTTCTGATGGGTTGGTTTGGCCAGGAGACCGTAGTGCTTCAACAGGAGACACAAGTGCCATGCGGTCTTGTCGAACTTCGACTCGTCGATCACAATGGCGTTCAAGAGCCCGCGTCCGCGGACAAGGGATATCAGTGGCGACTTGAGGTCTTCGATGGCAGCGCGAAATTTGACTCCCAAATCGTAAGCACGCTCCGACAGCTTCTCTTCACGAATGACCTCCAGCGCGGCCATGGCGACTGCTGATCCGAGAGGGTTTCCTCCATATGTTGAGCCGTGCTCACCAGGCTGAATGCACAACATGATCTCCTTCGACGTCAGAACGGCCGAGACGGGGTAGACACCACCGGAAAGAGCCTTTCCGAGAATGAGGATGTCTGCCTTGATGTTTTCGTAGTCAATGGCGAGCAGCTTTCCTGTTCTTGCCAGACCGGTTTGGATCTCGTCGGCGATGAACAGCACGTTGTGCTTCTTACACAGCTCGTATGCCTTGGTAAGATAACCTTCGTCGGGAACGAAGATCCCCGCCTCTCCTTGAATCGGCTCAACGAGGAACGCGGCGGTGTACTTTCCGTGCGCCTCCAAAGCTTTCTCCAGGTCATCGATGTTGTTGTAGCGGACCGTGATCCCTTGTGGGGTGGTGCAGCTGATATTTGGGACGAAGGGACCAAAGTTCGTTGTGCTGTCGGGATCAGTAGACATGGAGATCACACCGAGGGTCCGACCATGGAAGTTGCCAGTTGCGGAAAGGATGAAGGCTTGCCCTTGTGGAATACCCTTTTTCATGTAACCCCACTTCCGCGCGAGCTTGAGCGCAGTTTCGACACCTTCAGCACCGGTGTTCATAGGGAGGACCATTTCGTAGCCGAAGTACTAGAAAAATGAGAAAGTGAGCAACGAGTTCCGGAGATTGAAAGGGATGCGGGATAGCGCGATCCTTACCTCAGTCATGTATTTTGCAAAGCGACCAAAAACGTCATTGTAGAACGCGCGGGAGCTCAGCGTCAGCTTCTGCGCCTGCTCCACAAGAGCTCCGACAATCTTTGGGTGGCAGTGACCCTGGTTGACAGCGGAGTATGCGCTCAGGAAGTCGAGGTACTGGCGACCCTCAGGGTCCCAAACGTATGCGCCTTTTCCCTCGCTGAACACGACTGGTACGGGGTGGTAGTTGTGTGCACCATACGTGTTCTCGAGCGCCATGACATCCTCTGAGGTGTAGGTGCAAAGTGGCTTCTTGGGGCGAGACGCCTCGCCGAGGACCGGGCGGGTTGGCTCGTCAGTGACGTGAGAAGACAGCATGGTGGGCGTGTTGGAAGTTATGATTGGGTTGTATTGGTTGCAAATGTATGCGAGATTTCAAGTTGCTTTTTGGTGGATAAGGTGTGGGGGAGAAATCCGAAAGGCAGGGACGCGCTTATATACATTTTGAAGGCAAGAATCCTTATTCGAAATGCGCATAACTCAGACCCTCACTTCAGACTCAGAGCGAGCGTTGCATCACGCGTCGATGTCAGGAGACCCATTCCACCACCTCCACCGACACGGCGTTCAAAAAAAGAAAAGACGGAGAAGGTAACCGGAAAAAAAAAGGGAGCCCGAACTTGGAAGTCACCGGGTGGCGATGTACGGAAACGTGGGCATCCACGGCCAGCAGGTCTCTGCTCTCCTGCGGTTTGGCCTCGCATCCAGGGGTCAATCACATCACAAAATCCTTGGAGGCTTCTATTCATAGCAACAGCGTCTGAAACTCTACGGAGATGCCCTTCATTTAGGCGGCCGGGATGGGAATAGAAGTTACCAAGATAGTTTTAACCAAAAATGGGACCTTCAATTTAAGTTCGCCCGGTCGCCGTCTCGGTGTAGGATGAAACCAACGCTGCGTCCGTACTACATACCTTAAAAGTGATGACTCAGCAGCTATACCCCACTTAAAAATGGAGCACGGCGGGGCACCCTTCTGCTGAAGTTCACAGGATGTGACCAGCACGGCGTCAAGACCTATCCGACTCGGAGTCCTCGATGCTCGTCTCCGGGCATTGCGCTGCTTGCAGGCTATCTGTCGAGCCGCTTTTGGAACGCGAGAAGGCGAGATGAGATGCATGGATTCTGGGAGCCGAGTGGAGTCACATTTACGGAGACAGTGCCGCGGGACACGGTAGAAGTCAGACAGAAACGGCAGCCCAAGGGACGGAGATGAGTGGCGGGTCACCGTCTCTGGCGACTAACACGGCTGAGGGAGCTTGGTTAAGTTGCTGGTTCCGGAAGCTGTGAACATTCCCATGGCACTGGAAACGACCACAAGCGTTTGCACAAGGCAACCAGGAACACTGTCTTACTGGTTGTTGCGACTCTAATTGCAGCGGTACGATATAGCCTGCCGCTGCCATAGCCGACAGGAGCATGTTACCACGAGCTGGACATGATCTACGGTAGCTGGGCATACCCTACGTTCCAGCAAACCGTCAGGGTGAACTCTAGGGTCTGGCCACCTATTGTACATGCCCATCTCCGCCTGCGCAGAGAACGCACTGGCGGCTTCAGGAATACCGCCGGGGCTTTATCAATGTCTAAGTCCACTTTGTTCCTTTGCGATCTGAACGGATCTGAGCTTTGAAACTATTCGGAACAGCGAAATCGACTCAGAGCGCTCGGGATGTCAATCCTTAACTCGCAGGATGATCTCGCAATTGAGTGCCTTTCGCTGGGCGTCTAGTGGACCACGGCAAAAGCCATCGCATTCTTTTCCTTGACAGCGGTGCCTATGAGGGCAGACTTTGTACCGTCGGGATGTATGGACACCGGCGGTTCGCCTAAGGCGGGGATGCTCTCCGCTTTGTATCAGATCTTCTTCACCTATGATTGGTCAGGACTGAAAGTGGCATCAACTGTACGGGATATGCACGACGGTTGAGTACCGTGGCTACTGCGGAAGAACCCCAACCTTATTCTCAGTCCGCTGCACGAATGTCAACGATGATTAGGTGAGCTACCTGCCGTTCCCTCCTGTGCGCCTCTCCCGCCGCGCTGCGGAAGGATGGACAAGTAGCCGCTTCCGCTGCACAAAGTCCCGGGACCAGGAGAAGGCTAGGTTGCATTCCAACCTGTCAGGCTCTTTCGCATGGAATGCCTCGTTGATGGCTAATCGCTAACATCAAAATCTACGCCCGGACCACAGAGATGCAATGCCGCAGCCAATGACTTTTATATAAATGCACTACACAAAGACTACGAATAATGTTAGGGATGCTGATGTTCGATGCGAAAAATGCAGGTCTCTGATGCGGGTCTCTAGGTCCACATCCATGCTAGAACCTCGCGGGGAAGATGATGGAAGAGATGATGCAAATCCCGAAGCATAAATATGTAGCTATCTACAGCAAAATTGTCGAGTACTAAGTCTCAATAAAAACATGTCGAGGATATATCGATGGATGCGGACCGAATCAAAATAGATCTCCTGGCCCTGCCATTGCGATCTCGTGGGCGTCATTGCTGAATGGTATCTCGTGCTGCAGGAAACGTACAGAAGTGATAGTGAGCCGGACAATCCCACAACTGACTGAAGTCCGGAATGCAAACACGTACCCCGTCATGACCATCTTCAAACTGTAAGACCTCAATGTAGTCATCTTCTGCAAGGTCAATAGCGCAAATGTCGTCTAGAAGGTTGTCAAACTCGTCTCGGCCTTCCCCGTTCACGTCGTCGATGAGTATGACACGGTCCTGTCCCATCATAATGTCTTCGTCAGAGTCTTCGACGTCGATCTCGAGCTCCGCCTGGAGGAGCATCTCGCGTTCCTCGCTAGGCAGGGAATCCAGGTACTGCATTCGGCGGACGATTTCTAACTGCTCTCTTCGTATCTGGGCGTCGAGCTGGTGGAAAGCGTCTCGTTTTAGCCTTTGAAGGCGCTGGCGATCTTTCGCCCCGATATTCCCATTTCTCCGCTTCTTGAAGGGGACTGTGGCCGTGCGAGGCCCATAATTTGATTTTCTCCTGTTGTTGTTGGTGTACACGGCGGCGTTTGTCTTGGCCTTCTGTTCAAGTGAGACAGATCAGAATGAGAATGACAATGAAGACATAGAGTAGACGGGCAGTCATAACAAACAGAGAGACAGCAAGTACGTACCGTGGTGGTTTTATGTACTCTTGCCAACTTGCTAATAGATACTTTTTTGGGGGGACCAGACTCTCTGGCTCTCCCGTCCGCACCAAGGTTTGTGGAAACCGGTGTCCCAGGGGCGACTAAAGGGTATCGTTTGAACTTTGCAAACCCATTCGTAGCAGGCGAACAACGTCGCATTGTTTTTGGCGAGGCGGTGAAGGTCAGACTGTGACAACGACCTCCATTGCAAGACCTTGGGGAGTTTCTCACACTCATTTTCGGAGAGGAATCAAATTCGAAAGGGAGAATCGTAGTGTTGATTCGTGAGTTGCGGTTTCTATGAGCTGCCGGTGTCGTAAGTGAGCGGCAGCTTCCGCAGAGTTCAGTCCTTCACGTAGGATGAACTTTCCTCAGCCGTGAGATTTGGAGTTCGCACCAAGACGTTATGCCGGCTACCAGCACTAACGTCGTCCAGTCAAGGCAGCGCAGGGATCGTGGCAGGTGCTCTCACTGTAATAGAGATTGGTCTCCGCTCTTCGAGTGGGTAGGTCGGTCAAAAGCCAAACACAAGGACTCGTAGCGGCGATAGATAAAGGGAGCGATCTGTCGTGGCGAAGCGAGGAATGCTGATACGTTTGTCGTTTTTCGTTCGTTTCCTGCAGACTGTATTTCTCTGACCTCGTGCCGTCTGCTCTATAACATGCGCAGACAGCGTTGGCAATATATATATATTTAAGATACTGTATAATGTAGAGTGGGACCAAAAAGGGGGTGCGTGTGGAGGGCTGTGTGGGATGGGAAGAGGGTGGAAACGTCGTTGGGCGGGGAGCGTTTTCTTGTTCTGTGAATCTGAAGAAGTCCTTGGGTCCTGTGGATGTGCGCCCTTGGATCATTTTCATCATCATTTGCCAACCATCCCCCGTCCGCCAAACAATTCGATTGATCCAAAGCCGTGGGACGCGGGAACCCGTCAAGCTGTCATTTCCTGCTTGCGACAACTACTACGTACATACGACAACTGGCATCTATGTACGTGCAATTGGGCTATCCACCCGAACGGCTTGAAATGTGATCTACGTAACAAAGAGGCGACCACATAGGGTGTTGCGAGTGCTATGAAGGTTTGCCTCGGCCGTATGGCGGCCGCTGGGGGCAATTGGAGCACCTGGTCGCACGTCCAGCAAAGAGAGGGGGTTATTGTTCCACTGTATGTTTTGCCAGCGTATTCCACTTCGAGAACGTGAAGATGTTCTACCTCGTTCATTGTCTGCACCATACTGCACTGTTATGGTCTCTACTCGATGTTTTGGGGCTTCTGTTCAGGTACAGCCAAATTGGATGCCGAAATGGAAAGAATAGAATCTGTTGACAGAAAAGGTTCAATGAACCAAAGGACTGTTTCTGCATGGCGTTTGGAACTGCAAAGAAGAGCATTTCTGCAGGCTCTATGTGGTAAATGGAATGTACGTGCTGATTGCACATCACTACGGTCGAAGCTTTGCCTCACATCCCCTTATTACGTGCAAATACCTATTGAATTTTCATTATGTATCACAAGTGACTTTCTAGTCGCATTCCAGCTCAAGATCTGCGCCAATCGCTTCCGGCCAATGCATACAGCATGTCCGTCCCGGCTGCATCACTGACGTCGTACGAGCATTCTTTTGGCTGTCACTCAGCACCACGCACAGCGAGTTGGTTTGAGAAGTCGCTGACAAAGGGGACCCCATATCAGCTCTCTGCTGGTAGCGGCAAGGTCCTTTTCCGTCTTGTGAACCCTTACTCTGGCTCCGCATTGCTAGAGAGAGCTCGTTCAAAGAATTGGACACCCTTACGGTCTCCACACCCCCAAACGGGGCCTCTCCTGCAGATTAGCCTCTGCTAGTCACCACATGAGATTGATTTCCCCTGCCTGGGGCCCCAGGGGAAAGAGGAGAAAGCTGTTCAACATATGAGAAGCGCGGTCGCGCGTGCTCGTCGTAACGCCTGTCGACTCGCACGACGCACTGCCAGTGTCCGTCCCGTTCGAGGAGGGTCTATGGTTCAATTCTGAAAGCGACGCTGGGAACGCAACAGAAGAGACTCTCACTCGACGATCTCGGTCTCCACAGTGGCACGATCTCATAGGGAGCGGGCGGGAAGGCCGCCCAGGGCACTCTGCACACCGACTGGGACGAAGACTTCTCACTGCGCACACCGAAGCTCTCGGGGCAATGCCGGACCATGCGCAGAGGGCGGGAAGGGGACGAGGAGCACAGGGGCCGAGCAACAATGATGGGGGACGGAACGGCACGGGTGGTTCGCGGATAGCAGGCCAGCATGTTTCCTACGGCTCGTCCAACTCACATGCCGGTCCCCCGATAAATGGAATTTCCCAACGATTCAGTGCACTGTACGAAGACGCCCTTCAAACGCTGCTTACTGCAACGGCCGAGGGTGGAGTGACGTCGATGGCCGGTAAGTGGATGTTCGTCGAAAATGTCGCATTCGCGGAGTGGCTGAAACCCACAATAGGCGTGTCAAGTTCCGCTCCAGGTGCCCTGCCTCCGCCTCCACACGTCGCGAGTATCCAGACCGTAAGTGGCCGACTCATAACAAAGGCATTTGTGGTGTCAGTCGAGGAAATTAAGAAACCAAAAGCAGAAGCACAGGTCTACAACCAACCTCAGGTGGGCATCAAACGGGGAGATGGCAAACATTCAGATGGTCAGACTCACATATCGTCTCCACTTCCAGGCACAGGCACGTGATGCTGGGCCTAGCGATTCTCCAATGCCTGAACGCCCGAGATCTCCGTCTTCGTACGATTCGAGGAAAGATTCCTCTCGTCCTGCGTCGACGAGTTACGGGGACAGACGAGAACGCGATGTCAGGGTCCACGAAAGAGCACATCCAGGCGCCTGCCAATCATCGACTATAGGGATTCACGAAAGGGCAAACCCGGTTGACTCCGGTCAGCTACGGCCCTCGCAACCTGCATCACAACCTAGCAGTAGAGAAGGTAGAACTCACGACATCTGGACTGCCCACAGAGAGAGAAGGCCATCCGATTCAACAACTTGGCGAGATGAAAGCCGAACTTTCAGCGCTTCGAATGCTGACAGGGAGCGAAGGTCCTCCGATACATCCGCTCGGCGAGATGATCGCCGAATCCCGGGTGCACCGACGGGGGAAAGAGAGAGAAAACTCTCCGGTCCATCAGCATGGGGATGTCATAGCCGAACTCCCAGCGCATCGTCTGCAGACAGGGGCAGAGGGACTTCATCATCGTGGCGAAATGGAAACTCTTCATCAACATGGCGAGATGAACAACGACCTTCAAACACATCTGTTGCGGACAGATGGAGAGGTGCTTCACGCAGCAAGGAAGAGAACGGACGAAATTATGGCACATTGACTGCGGACAGAGGGAGAAGGAGCTCCCTACCGATCAAAAATGAAGGATGGCGGAGTTACGGCACATCAGTTGTGAACAGAGGGAGGGAGATTTCTCCACCCACTAGGAGACAGGAACGAGCAACTTATAGTATATCGACTACGGACAGAAGGAGAGGGATTTCTCCACCATTCAGGGAAGAGGACAGGTCAGATCACTACACATCGATTGTGGACAGAGGGAGAGGGGGTCCCACCCCCATGAGAAGAGTGGGGATTCCAACGCTCAGCACCTCAACTCAGAGTTGCACTCACAAACCGGTCGGCGATGGTAGATCTAAACCTTCTCCTTCACAAACCTCCTTCTCCGTTCCCTCGAGAAAAAGGAAGGAACAAATCCATCGACAAGTTGATACCCCAAACGCACCGCCTGCCAAGATGCGGAGAGTTGAGCTTGGACCAATTGATACCCCAACCGCTCCGCCTCCCAAGATGCGGAAAGTTGAGCTTGAACATCCAGCACCTGCAAATGTTCGAAAGGCAGACGCTGCCCCGTTTCTGCCCGCGATCGACACCGATAAGTGTGCGAGAAATTACATACAGAGGCAATTGGATCTCCGGAAGTATGAGGCTATTCTCTCAAATCCTTTCAGTAGCATCATCTTTAGGAACTCAGAGGAGACGACGCGGGAAGGGGGACCGTCTCCTCACGTTGTTCCCCCATCTTCTACTGCGCAGCAACCAACCCAGGGAGTTGCTTCTTCAACCCCGCTGTCTACACAGTCTGCATGTGATTCCTTGACGCCAATGACGTTCTTGAGCACGCGAACGGCATCCTCAGCTCCTGTATCCAGGGTGCCCAACTTAGCAGCTACCAATCATTTTTCCGTCAAACCTGGGGCAACATCGTCGACGACGGCTCAGGATGTTTTTGGCGCGGGAGGAACATCGCGCCGCAGTTCAGTGATGCAAGAACTAGGTCCACCTATTTCCGGTAGCACGATATCGGTAGCGCAGCGAACCTCGCACGCGGGTCTTCGCGCAACGTACCTTGCTCAGTCTGGCCTGCCGGGGCCTCCAACCTCATCTGATGCCGGACTGGTCTCCAGGCCCATAAATTCAAATCGCGGTGAAGGCTCATCAGTACAATCGGGAAACATGAGCGTAACGCCGTCAACTACGGCCGCAGCTCCGCTAGTTTCCGGCGCATTTTGGAACTCATCTGTCCTTGAAGAAGGATTGGAAGCAACATGGAAAGTGCTTGGTAGCGACAAACCTCAGCCCGAAATCCCCAGGGGCTCACGGAGTGGGATTCTCGCTCCCGGACTTGCTCGACCTGAGACCCGCAATGAACAGCGGAATGGGCCGGTTCGTCGCGAAGATCCTCGGTCCAGAACGTCAAGTGGCTCCTCACGGAGTGGAGCTCTTGACCCTGAGCTCGCCCGGCCCTCTATATCCGGTGGCCTACGGAATGAGGCTATGGTAGGCCAAGTTCCGCGCCCGAACACTGTTGATGTCTCACGGAACGAACCAATCGTTCATCACGCAGTCCATCCCAAAGCCCCTAGCGGAGCGCGGAATACGGCAGTGACTCGCGACAATGCCCGTCCGCAAGCTTCTAATAGCTTACGGAATGCACCTGTCGTCCGTCAGGCTCATCATCCAGAAGCTTCCAATGGTGCACGAAATCCGCCCGCCGTCCACAAAAATGGTCGTGCAGCTCCCGCTGGCCCGCGAAATTTCGCAGCCGTCCCTCAAGTTGCTCGCCCTAAACCTGCCGATGCGGCGAGGCCTCGGTTGACCGTTTCTATGGCAGAGTCGACCTCCGGCAAAGCTTACTTGCAGGCGCATTCAGGGTCTCATTACATCTGCCATACCGTTCATGAACCACAGCGACCGATTGCGTCCCCGAAGTCATTTTCAGTTCCCATGGTCATGGAGGCTGTACCCACAACCAACTCGACGGCGCGAAGCGCTCCATCTCTCCCCAACGAGCGGGCCAATGCAGGTTCAAATCCACCTAATTTGGCGCATCCGAAACAGCGTGTTACGTTTGCGCCAAACAAGCCTGGACGACAGCGACCTGGAACCTCCGTTCCGTATAGCTGTCGACCTCAGAAACAAAAAGCTTTGCCTCTGTCACAGGTCCTGGCACACAGCATACAAGCTGCAGCAACGACTACCGCTTCCGGGCAGCGTCCGACGGCAGGGCCGGAAAAAATCCACACCATAGCACCGAGTGCGGAAAATGTGCACAAAGGTGTAAGCAACCGTTCAGCAAGGCCGTCACGTCCAGGTATCATGAGTACGAACAGCGGATGGATTGTCAAGGATGCTTCTCCAGTTGCCACATCCTCAACTTCTGCGAAGAGTAACGGTCTCGCTTTGGATAGACTCAGGAATTATAGCTCGCCAAGTTCGTCCAGCACGAGCTTCCTGCCTTCGGGCCTCAGAGACATGTCTCCACCTTCCGACAGTGAATCGAGTGCGATGCCACCGGGCGCAAACGGGGCTAGAACTGACCAAGGATCGACATCAGTCAAAGATGTAGGTCGGTCGGAAGGCGCAATTGCGTCACCGCAGGCTTCAAGCGGGGATGGGGTTCAGCCTGCAAGATCTCAGGAGCGCGCCACCTCGCCGAGTATTGCGCCTGCGGCCAGTAACGAAAGCATGCAGGTCAAATCCCGCACCCCCGCACCAAAGCAAGGCAAGCACAAACAACCTCCCCCGGGGCGGAAACCTGTCAAGGGCAAGACTCTCCCGGATGAACTTGATGATGCGGTTCGCGTGGCAGCCCGGCAAATGGAGGAGGCGTATGCGCGGCAAGTGCAGGAACGTCTGGCACCCATACAAGCGGTGCAACTCCAATGCCAGGAGGATTTGACGGATATTGCGTTGTCAGCAAGATCCGTTCAGCGAAGGTATTTACGTCCGGTTTTATGTATATTCGCGTTGCATCGACGCCGGTTAACACTCTTTCTCCTAGGGCGAATGACTTGCGTCTGCGGTTTTTGGAACTGGAGGAGAAACGGATCAAAGAAGGTGGATATACGTCCCACTAGATGTTGTCCTATTCTTTCATTAACAGCTGGCTTCTTCGGCCCAATATTCAGGAACGCATCCAGATCATGATGTTCGTGTGAAGGAGCTGGTGGCTGCAAGGGAAGCCAAACTGAAGGTCGCAGCAAACCGACTGCGTCTATCCATCATTAGTTTCCAAACTCAGTTCAAAGCCGCGGAGGACATTGCGGCTGCTGATTTCGTGGTATGTATTGTGTAGGTTTTTTTTTCTTGTACTCGGGCGCCGCTTGTTCATATTTGTTGTTCTCTAAAAGACTCGTCGGCGCACTGTCCGCAGAAAAATGCTTGTTTACCAAGCTGCTCAGAAGCAGCGCCTCATAGCGAACCACAACCGGTCACTCGTTCCGAATCCAGGTATTTCACACTAGGAGTAGAAAGCAAGGTTCGCATAGCATTTATTTGCCTTCCCCTTGCCAGTGCCGACCCTAGCTCTGACACCCAAACAAGTGTATGAAAAGCGACTGTCACGAACGGTCCAAGCATGGGAGTCTGCGCCGGATTGGCTTCAAAAACGTTTGAGCAGCAGTCGGAAGGAGATCCTGGCTGGCAGGGTACGTTTCCGAGCCCTATTGGATATCAGGTCAACTGTGGACCTTGGGCATCTAACTTCCGCCTCTAACATCGCTTTCCAGATGCATATACCCGCTTTCCCTCAGGGCTTGGAAGACCACGAAATCGACCAAGATCTGAGTTTCATCAGGATGCTGACTGCAGGATCGCAATCCGAATCTTCTCCGGGAAGCCAACATTTTGAACCATCCACCAGCAGTGAAATCATAAATATCTCTTCAACACCCGAGCCGATGGACATCGACACCCCTTCATTGCCATCCGATGCCATCAACCGTTGAATAATCTGTCCGTTTGGTCCCTCCCGTATATTATATGGTTGTAGCTTTTTGGTTGATCCTCTTTTCCTGCTTCTGTACATACATTGCCCATTTTGTTTCCTGACTCGTTCATCCCTGGCGTAATGTACATGTGTCTGACGGTGTAAAACATTGGCCGTTGTCCCCACAAAATCGTAGCGGATCGGGGCTTTATCCATAGCTGATTGAAGAACCGTGAGCAAGCATCAGATTACTTCAGGGAGTTGCAAGATCTGCCTGCATGCCAGCCGACCTAGCGATCTGCGGACGACCTTTTGACCGTCCTGAGCCTCGTGCACTCTGGGCGGACATTCTTTCGCGGTACCCTTCACAGGAACTCGATCCAGTGAGTACCGGCGGGTTTGACAGCGCGTAACCCGGAACTGTCAAAATCGCAGACATTGGACTGGAAAACCCCGACAAGAGGCAAAAAGCATTGACGATTTTGAGAGGTCGGACCCACTCTACATGGGGAATCTAGAGTAAAACTGCCATGGTATCCTATCAGCAGGTGGCATCACTGGCCCTCAAGCTTAGCACTCGGCCGGGAGAGGGATGTCTCGAACCCATTTACCGTCACTACATGTAGCTTGGGACTCGAGTGAGTTCGCCAACGTGTTCAGATACGGATGCGCTAAGGCTTGAGATGCTGTCATGCGTTCGGCCGGATCGTAGCGTAGCAGCTTTTCCACTAGATCCACCAACAACAAGTTCCCAGAGTACGCGGAGAACTGGCAAAGGGGCCCAAGTTGCGTGCGCTTTGTCCTATTGCCAAAAGGACATTGATGATGATGAGCGAACACGGACACGCCTGATTTGGAGTGACATTAGAACAAATGTCCGCCAAACCTTGAGAGTTCCACGACCTCTTGCATTCCTGTAGCCAAGCTGAAGTCATGTTTGTTCAAGTATTTACGAAGATCGGCGCCTCCAAGTATGTCGACAATGCGGCGAAGCTGTTCAACGTTACCCTCCCCACAGAAGAATACATTCACCTCAAACAACTGCATGTCACGCTTTCAGAACGATGTCCCTATGGTTGTTGCAGTGAAAGAAAACAGGAGCTCACCACCGCAGCCATGATGCATCCAAAGCTCCACATGTCGAAGGAACAGTCGTACTGGCGATTACCCAGCAGCACTTCAGGCGGTCGATAGACACCCGTTCCAATCTGAAGCTTGTAGCTGCCCTCAGGTACGTAAGACTCTGCCAGACCCCAGTCAATCAAATGTAGTTCCCGTGTCTTGGTGTTTATCAGGATGTTCTCTGCGAGCGCCGCAGTCAAAGAGGATAAGATTTACTAGGCTCTTCGTAACTGGTCTACATCACGCCTTACCGGGCTTAACATCGCGATGAATAATGTCTTTGGAGTGAGCAAACTCTAATGCCTTGCAGAGTTGATAGCTGTAGAAGCAACGATCTTCGGGAGTGAGCTTGCCCTCCATTGCTGCCCAATTTGTGATTGACACATTGTCGAACACCATGATGGGTAGGGACGACTATGCGGCAACAAGCGTTAGAAGAACACTCATACGCCAGTCCCGAAGGTCCAACGCACCATGCCGTCGATGAATGCACCATGAAACTCTAGGGAGTACAGAATCAGAGTTGCCACACAGGCGAAGCGGCCCTCAAAAGCCGGAGGTACTTACGTATGATGTTGGGCCCTCCCCGGAGCTTGTTCAGCATAAAGATTTCCCTCTTCACTTTCCCCGAGCAACCAGCTCGGATCGCTTTTAACGCGTAAGACTTCCGACCACTTCGGTGGAGTGCGGCGTAGACGATACTGCTGGCGCCATACCCGAGAATAGACGTTCTTCTGTACGCGGATCCATCACTATTCAAGGCAGGAGATCAGAGACGACAATATGGGGAGCACTGCAGAGTAGAGATGAGAGCGCCTACCACCAATTGACGATGCTCGATTGCCAATCAATCGACGGGGTTTCGAGGTCCGCTTTCTTCCTGGGACCCCATCCCTCTTGAGGCTCCCAGGTTGACGAAGTCAAAGTGGGATTGCTGAACGCCCTCCGAACGGGCTTGACGATATCTTCAGGGGAAATCTCTGCAGCTTGGAAAGTCCATGTGCTTTTCGCTTTGGTGGCGAGTGGAGATCCTTGCTTCTCCTTTGCGCGAGACATCTTGGGGGATGAGTCAGCACTTTTTGGGCAACCCCCAAACCGGGATATCAAATGCAAAAACATTCTGTTCAGGCGGGCAGAAATCCAATAGTTGTATGGTTAATTTGATGCCCTAGGGGTGGATCTCAGACACTGCGCTGGCTGAGGACTCTCGCCCTCCCTCCGGACGCATGTTGCGATAGATATACGTTGCAAGATGCATCCCGATACTTCATCTCGTGGCTCTGCGCAAGAGCTTCGTGCCAAAGGCTATCCTCTCGTCAACGATTGGAGGATTCTCCTTTGCTGCTAGGGCTGGTGTTCCAAGGTAGCATTGTTGACAAAGTCTACCGGAGCCAATGGCTTCCCCCAAAGATGATTTGAAGACAATCATAGGAAGAATAAGCAGCTGTATTGAAAAAATGATGAATACGGTGAGTGGGACCGCTTGGATCGATTACCTTATTGTGATGCGGACCCGGCCGGCACAGGAAAAGAAGGCCGAGCCGCCCTTGCGGAGAGTAACAAAGACAGCAGGCCCTTTCGCTTGCTTTCGGTTGCAGGGTTGATTCACTGAAAAGGGTAGGGAATGGGCGGCATTTCATGCCATTGACGGCAAAAATCGAATGCTGTTATTACCTAATGGCCTTTATCGCTGTCGAATTATTTTCGAATACGTGCACGACTCGGATGCTTAGTGTGAACCCGAAGAGAAGCATTCATGAGCCCAAAGAAGCATGCACATGTCCCGCAAAACAGATTAGCTTGACTGTATTGGTAACAAGAGCCGCTATTCATGAGCGTGCTTTGCGGATCTGGTTTTACTGCAACGGACCCGTAGGCGAAGAAACAGAAGATATTCATCTGCCTCGACATTTGCAATCATGACGTCGGGACAGAACCATGAGTCGCTGGTGCAAAACCTTCAATGCCATTTCAAATAGTACCACATGTGGGTTGCATTCAATCGGCAGATCCCACACGAAGCGCCTGGACTTGCGGCGTGCGGCCATTGACATCTTTCTCTGCTGCGGATCTAAGCAGTGTCCAACGGCAGATGCGATAATGATGGTAGTCGTCTGGTTCCGGGCTCATCTTTGCCGTGGCTGCTCGCATTTTCCCGTCTGTTCTCTGTGAAATTCAACGTATATCCCTTGGCGAAGTGAGTCGGCCGGGTACAATCAGAAACGCAAAGCGGAGTCAATACCTGGCCCTCTGGGATGCTGTATCCGTCTCCGCTTACATAGGACATCCTACAGGTTCCCTTCGACCCTCAGACTCTTTGATCGCGTCATTTGCACGGTATCATCGTTTCTGTAGCGAAGGCCGACGAATTGCGGATGGTGCATTGGTCGCAGGGGTTGCCGTTCGAGAGCTGAGGTGTTAGCACGAGACTGCGCTGAGTCTGAGAGTCTTTTCAGAAATGTGCGCAATTGTCCGGCTGGCTCATATATAGAATGTGGTTTTCAGGCGCATCTTCTTCAGCGGGCACCGGAATGTGACAGGGTCGTTCAGGTGTATGTGGCTCGCCGATCGGGAACTGCAGATCCAGACATTCCGGAGGCAAGTGGATCCCGATCGTCGATCGCAGTTTGGGTGGCCGGGCTACATGTTGTGCAAGATTCATCTCCCAGGACCCTTCGTGTTTGATGATACTGTATTAAGCTCAAGGTCAGGGCATTCATCCCACTCGCGGCAGATATGTCTCCAGCCACTGAAGACACTTTCAACACTCCGCCAGTGCGGGGAACTCCGACGTGCGTGCCAACCTCCGACGGTTCCGCCATGGGTATCAAGGGAAAAAAGTCACGGGCCTGACATATGCAAATCATTCTTGAAAGTTCTGAACCACTTTGGCCAGCATGCGAGGCGGAACCGAAAAGAGATTGCAATATTTCCTCGTATCTACATCAATTTACATTTTGACCAAGCATCGCAAGGGTACAGCAACGCCGTATTTCAGTCTATATAACCGCTATTTGTCTCTATCCCACAGCGAATCCGGCAGATCCGCTTCACCTCCACCACGTCCGCTACTTACGAAGGATGTTACGATGGGGGGTTTCGCGATTATCTGCGCTGATATCCCGACGCCGCCAAACATGTCTTCCAATGCGTCGTGTGCGCTCCGCTCATCGAAAGCCTCGGCCGGCGATGCACGAGCTTTCCTGTTCTGTTCACGACGCGGTGATGAGCGTGCTGGCGGGTTCACTGCCAGAAACTCTCCGCCCGCCGTGCGCGATTGACCTTGTGACGACGACGACGAGGTCGATCCCCTACCAGGTCTTTGTTTTCCGTGGCCTTGCTGCTGTTTCTGCTGTGTCCCGTAAGCGGGAGACTTAAGCGACTGGGATGCCTCGCTGGCATCATCATACTCGCCAAACAGATCGTCGTCATCGTCATAGGTCTCGGAGTAGTCCGTTGCCCGCGACTGAGGTCTAGGGGGCAACATAGGCGCGTCTTCCATGTACGAGGCAAAATAACTTCCAGTGGGGAACGTGCTCTCGGCGCGTTTATCGGGCACCGTCCATTCCGTTGCCTCATGAATAGCATGGGAGTTGATGGGATCTACGTCCATCTTCGTCGCATGAGCGTCTATGTTAGCGGGCAGAGGAGAATGCCGGAATAGCCCTTCGTCGGTAATGAGTGGGGATAGGATGAGATGGTCCGTCGTCGATGGTGACGAGGGGTCTATCCCATCGAGTGCTTTGAGGTAGTGGGTGGCATCGCGAACTTTGCGGAAGAAGCGATGCGGGCCTACAATGTCGTAGATCCCTGAGCGAAGGAAAGCATTCTTGCAGGATTCGCGGAGCTTGACGAAACAGACTTCCATGTTTCGATAGCTATAGTCTTCGACGATCTCCAGAAGTGTGAGAGTTGCGCTGCACGGAAACGATTAAGTTAGTCTGCCAGTTTCGATGGGGTCGTCATATCTTAAACGCGGAATTGGACGCGGAAACCCCTTACCTGGCATCTATTGCTGTTACTGCTCCAAAATCAAACACCACCGCTCTCACATGGCTGTACATCGGTGCCTCCTTGGACGCAGCTCCCAACCCCTCCTCTATGCTGCTAGGCTCTTGACTGGAAGCTCTAGATCGCCTCCTGCCCGCTAGAGCCCGTCTCGGCTCCTCTCCAGGATGGACACCTAAATCGCCGTACAGCTCTATCCGTTTTAATCGGTCTTTCAATTGTCCAGAGTTTCCGAAGAACAATCCTTCCTCGACCCTAATGATCAGAACGTCGTCGATGCGTTGGACTTTGTCCGAATCGCCGATGTTGCGGTATTTTATCTTTGTTCGGCCTGTGTGCGGATCGACCACTAGTATCCGACCCATGATAGCCAGGCGTGTCTGAGGATATGATGCAGACCTTAGTCTTCACCCGCAGACTCAAGTTCAGGGTTTCTGATCATACCTTTGTGGTGTGCTTGACAACCAGGAGTAAGGACACACCGACAGACAGAAGCGTTCCAGACTCGATGGACAGTAAGATCGTAGTGACAAAGGTCATCAACAACAATCCGAGGTCTTTCCACGCCCTCATCCGAATGATGAAATGCACGTCTTCCAGCTCCACAAGCTTGAGCGCTGCGACTACGATAATCGAGGAGCAGACAGCTTTCGGAAGATGCTCGAAGTAAGGCAGGAGCCATATAATAGTGCACAGGACGGCAGAGCCTGTCACGAAGCCGGCCATCTGTGTTTTCGCACCAGCAGTGTCATTGACTGCCGATCTCCCCAGTGAGCCAAAGGCTGGGAACGCTCCAAAGACACCGCCTATGATGTTTGAAACTCCAAAGGCGACGAGCTCCCGATTCGGTGAGACGGAGTAGTTGCGTTTGTTTGCGTAGGTTTTGGCTGCTACAATAGATTCCACAAACCCAATGACGGAGATCAGGATGGCGGAGAGCAGAACGGATTTTATCTTGTTTAAGCTCATAGGAGGAAACTTAGGGTAGTCGTACTTTGACGAATTCGACTGTGCGACGTTGAGGATCGCAACTCCAGAACAGTCCCACGAGAAGATTTTGGAGAGCGCTGTCGTGACGACCACGAGGACCAGGATCTCCGGGACGACTTGAAGCCAGCGCACTTTTCGATACTTGGCTTTGATGAGCTTCATTCCCAACAGGAATGTGATGCTGCAGCCGGACAGTACTGCCGTCAACATGTGTGTATGGCTAAGTTTTGAAAGTGTGTCCAGCAGTTTGTGTATAGGGGACTCGTTTTCTCCTGGCTTTTCTGAAGGCGGGCTCGGATCTACAGACCCGCACTGATTCTTTGGTGGTACGATTCCCAAGAGGGTCTCCGACATGTCGATCATGACGACAACGGCGACGGCGAGAACAAAACCGCGGAGGAGCGCACGGGAGAGCACCGAATCGAGAAACCCAAGCCTGAAGCATCCAAGCAGGAACGTGAATATCCCGACCATCAGCCCTAGCAAAGCAGCGATCCCGATTGCTTCTGCTTGTTGCGACGCTAGGACGTCTTCGTAACTTTGAATTCCATCACGCGGCGACCCCTTCGATGACGCGTAGTCTCTGATGGTTGCTCCAACCAGCATCGAGATCAAAGCTTCCGGACCCATTCCCAGTTGTCTCGAAGTCCCAAATAGCGCATATATGAACACCGGGATGCATGCTGTATAAAGTCCGTGCACTGGCGGAATCTTCACTAATGCTTGTGCGTACGACAGCCCCTGCGGGACCTATGTTGTAGGATGCTATTAGTTGGTTTGCCTGCCCCCGGCAAATTGCGAGCGTCGTCACGTACCAACAAGAAAGCAACAGTAATGCCCGCGATCACGTCCCCTTGCAAATACTGTAAATGATACTTTGGCAGCCATCCAAACACTGGTACGTAGTAGCGTAATCGAATCCGAAAGCGATGATATCTCGAATAGCTATCTAGAAAAACAAATCAATCAACGCCGGAAGGCTTTCGAAGCACGCTTTCCGCTGGGGCGTCGTCCCCAATCCGGAACTTACCTGAAAGCCGTCGTCCTGAAGCAAGGTTCGTTGTCGGAGTGTGCTGTGCGGCGTGATCAAACTCGCGGTCGTCCTCCGACAGCTCATATCCATCACTTCTCCAAGACACCTCGGACGCGAGCAGCGGTGAGGTCTCGAGTCTTCCCGAAGAAGGCCCTGGGATACCACGCAGCGGGGGGACATTAAGGGACCCGGCATCTGTGTGAATGGACATTGTTCTCGCTGCCTCTTCCACTCCAGGTGCTCCACTTCAACAAACTACCCTACAGTAGCTACGATAGCAGATATCTACCCTGCAATGGGTACTGCTCCAAAAGTCCCTCCCAACACCTCCACTGGCGGAGTTCACACAAAGCGTAACCGTGGTGGAGGAAGACGGTATGCGGGTTGACGCAAACAAGGTCTCTTCGTCCAAAACAGCTTATGATTGCACTATATTGTATCAGTCTGTATGCTTGAGCATCAGAAGCGATGGTTGATACCTTTCGGTCCTTTGCTACATATACTATGTACAACGTGCTAAAAAACAACACGCTCCGCTCGGGGCTCGGGCGTTACTAATCCTAATCCTAACCCGATTGCTAACGACGCTACCTCCACTTAACACTATAATAAGCGACATAAACTTGGTGACTTTTTGGGTAACTAACCTACCATAACAACACGCTCCGCTCGGGACGGCCTCCGGAGTGGGTGTTATTGATCCAAATCCTAACCCTAACCCTACACTGGGGCACTTAACAATTAGAGTATGTGTGCTTAAAGGTAGGGTCGCTAGCAACTACTGTACTGTACCTACTACGTACTGGAAATGGGAATGTTCGGCAATCATGTCAGACAACTGTTCGAAATGCTGGGCACGGTAAGTCGCTGTTAGGAATGGGCCCACCGGCGTTTTGCACAGCCACCCGGATCCCTATGCGATAAAGCGTGTCTGATAACGCACCTTGGTGAGTCATCGCCATGTTTCGGGCGAGAGAGCTGAGTCTTGCAGGAGGCAATCTCCTCGGGGGCCTCATCAATTGCCATCGACTCATCACCATCATCGCTCACCCATCAAGTTCTGGGTGGCACAGCCAATTGCATGTGCTGCCTCCATCTCATCACCTTCGCCCGCACTGCCCCTTGCAATTATCGTACCCCTTGGGAAAAACCTATAAGAGCAGACCAGCAGTTAGGGGCACCCCGTCAGATCTGAAAAACAACTCTGTTACCCATTGCTAGATCCCATAGACAGCACTTTATCTATCTCTCCCCCACCGCATACCGCATTCACCGCCACCATGAATCCCGCAAGACACGTCGTCAAGATGGCTGCGCTCCGCGCGACTGTGCCTAGATCATTTGCAAAGTCTGCGCCCATCGCTGGACAGACAAAAACTCTTGTCACTGCCTCCTGCTCTCAATCCGGAAAACAGCTGCGTGCCACCGCCGTCGCTCCTTCTATTTCTGCGGTAAGTAGTAGCGAATTGGGTCTGCGTGTTGGTATTAATGTGCAACCGGCTCGGTCTCACACTTTTTCCCATCCTAGAACACCACACAGCGGCGCGGCGTGAAGACTCTCGACTTTGGCGGAACAAAGGAAAAGGTCTACGAGCGTGCGGACTACCCCAAGGACAAGCTACACAAGATCTTCAAAAATGATACTTTCGCCGTCCTCGGTTACGGGACCCAAGGCTACGCTCAATCCTTGAACCTTCGCGACAACGGTTTGAAAGTCATTGTCGGAGTCCGCAAAGGTGGTCACTCGTGGGAACAAGCCAAGAAAGACGGCTGGAAGGAAGGAGAAACTCTCTTCTCTATCGAGGACGCGGCGAAGAAGGGTACCATCCTCATGTACCTTTTGTCTGACGCTGGCCAAAAGGAAGGATGGCCCGTGATCAAGCCTTACGTTACCAAGGGCAAGACTTTGTACTTCTCCCACGGCTTCAGCGTCATTTTCCACGACCAAACCGGCGTTGTTCCACCAAAAGACGTCGATGTCATCCTTGCAGCTCCCAAGGGATCCGGTGCCACCGTTCGCTCCTTGTTCTTGGAGGGACGAGGTATCAACTCCTCTGTCGCCATTTACCAGGACGTGTCTGGCCAAGCTCGCGAGCGTGCGTTCGCCATGGGAGTTGCCATTGGCTCGGGATACCTCTACGAGACCACTTTCGAGAAGGAAGTGCACTCTGATCTCGTCGGAGAGCGTGGTATCCTTATGGGTGCCATCCAAGGGGCGTTTGCCGCCCAATACGATGTCCTTCGCTCAAAAGGTCACAGCCCATCGGAAGCCTACAACGAGACGGTTGAGGAAGCCACACAATCCTTGTACCCTTTGATCGCCAAGAATGTAAGCAGAATCGTTGTGCCGTACTCAAAATTACATCCTTTGCTCACCGCTAACCTATCATCCTCATGGTCTAACAGGGAATGGACTGGATGTACGCCAACTGCAGTACTACCGCACGTCGAGGAGCCCTCGACTGGGCACCCAAGTTCTACGACGCGACGAAGCCTGTCTTTGAGGAGTTGTACGCCCGTGTGGAGGATGGCTCCGAAACCCGTCGTTCCTTGGAGGAAAACAGCCGACCTGACTACAGGGAGCGTTTGGAGGAGGAGTTGCGACAAATCAGGGAGAGCGAGATGTGGAGGGCAGGGAAGACCGTGCGAGGCTTGAGGCCTGAGAATGTCGGTAAATAGAGCGATTCGTAGGGTGAACTTGGAAAGTTCCTATATTTCCTTTTGCACATATTCGCATTCGCTGTACATATATTGATTTCCGGAATACGATATCTGCGACTGAATCTGACGTTCGTTCGACTTTGAGTAATTTCCACCTGCCCGTGTGGTCGCCCGCGGGAGATTAACTGCAAATGATGGCTCACCAGCAAGGTACGCACTTAGCATGCATGCGGTATATTTAGCTTTCCCGTTTCCCCTCCATTTGCCTCTTTCGGCCGATACGTTAGTAAGTTGCTTGTGAAATCGTTCAACCCCTGAACGCAGCCGTTTCGGGAGTACGGATACAATTTGAGTTTGTATAAGCGTACAGTTCGTACAGTATAGGTACTGTATATATTGCCGTGGGATGTCCACTCGTCATGTCGCTCCCACTCGGTTGATTGAAGAGTTCGCTTACGTACTAAGCCACCTGAATCCGAATCCTGTCAAATTTCAGCGAGGTCGCGCTGTCGGAGAACCCTTTTCCCATTTCCGACAGCCGAGAAAACGGGGCTTGCGGCCGCAACTGCGAGAAAGGTCGCTTCATCCATATAGCATAGGGTGTTGGTCGCCCAGACGGTGGAACTGCAAGGATGTCCATCGCCGCCGTCGCCCATCGGTAAGTCCTTTTCTATCAAGCTTTCGATACATCCTAGAATGAAACTCGTGCTAAAGATCCTTTATCACTCGTGTCCAGCCATGTCTTCGGCTTCAAAGGCGACGTCAACAACGCCATCGCCTACCTCGATGAGCAAACAGTCATATACCCAGCCGGACACAACTCCGTGCTGTACAACACAGAAAGCAAGCTGCAGCGGTTCATCCCCGTGACGGAAAAATGTGAGGCCATCACTGCTATGGCTATCTCTGCCAACAAGCGGTACATTGCTATCGCGGAGCGAGGGGAGAAGGCTTCTTGTGCGCTGTATGATTTGCATACGCTGAGAAGAAGGAAGACGCTTCAGAGTACGGATACGGAGAGCAAGGTATGTATCACTGGTAAATTGCCACTCACATCCGTTCTAATCCGATGAACATTTGTCACAGGATTTTGTATGCGTAGCATTCTCCGCGGATGCCAAATACATCCTGACCCAAACAGGCCCACCAGACTGGACACTCTACTACTGGTCCTGGGAAAAAGTCAAAGTGATGGCCTCGGTCAGGACTACATCCCAACAAGCCGACCGCGCGGCTACTCGGGGCGAGATAGCGGGCTCGGTGGCAACTCTGGCCGGAGGGAGTGGGAAGGAAGGAGGATTGGGGAGCGCCATCAATCAAGTCAGCTTCAACCCGTCGGATAACACGCAGCTGTGCGTTATTGGGAATGGGATCTTCAAGCTTTATAGATACTCGGAAGGGCTGTTGAAGCAGTTTTCGTTTCAGAAAGTGGAGCCGAAGGTTTGTATCACCCCCTATGCGAGATCTCGGGATGTAAAGTCTGATAACGCTTTCCCAAATCAGAACTACTTGTCCCACTGCTGGACCACCGAAGACCGGATCATCGTCGGCACCGAAGATGGCAAAATCATGATCTTCGAGCCGAACGGCGAACTAAAGACCGAGTTCAACCACGAACACGGTCCATCGGGTGCCCTCCGCTCCGTTAACACATTGCTTTCATATTCCAAGGGGTTCATCTGCGGTGGATCTCAGGGAAGCATCACTATCTACGACAGGAATGAGGAGGCGGGTACTGCACTTCCGCCGGCGCCGGGGCAGAGCGTGGCTGGGAAGGACATGTTCAGAAAGGTGAAGGAGCTGAAGCTGCATTCGGAGAATGCGAAAGTGGCCAATATGGCTCTGAGTCCGAGTGAGGACAACATGGTTGCTACGACAGAGAATAATCAGCTTTTTGCGTTGATGTTGGCGGGCACAGAAGTGAAGGTAGGGCAGTTGGCGTTACGACCCCTTTCAACCTGGTGATGGCTGTAACTGATGGCATGACATGCAAAGGGCGAAGAATCGAAATTCGAGATGTTCTCGCAGCCCTTCCACCACGGCCAAATAACAGGATGTGACACCTGTATCCGTAAACCACTGGTCGTGACTTGCTCCACCGATAGATCGGTTCGCGTATGGAACTACTTGGACTCGTCGTCGGAGCTCGTGAAATATTTCCCAGAGGAAGCTTTTTCAGTGGCCATTCATCCGAGTGGGCTTTATATCCTCGTTGGATTCAGTGATAAGCTGAGGCTGATGAACCTGCTTATCGACGATATCAGGACGTTCCGGGAGTTTACGATTCGCGGTTGTCGAGAGGTAGGGCAGATTCTTTTCCAGTAAACAGCCGCACTATCCTTTCATCTTTCCAATCATCACAACGTTCCACAGTGCCGGTTTTCCAACGGAGGACAATACTTCGCAGCCGTTCACGGGAATACGATCCAGATCTACTCCACTTGGAACTTCGAGAACCTCGGCAACCTGAAAGGCCACAACGGCAAGGTCAAATCACTCTTCTGGACCCAAGATGACGGTCGGATCGTGTCTGCTGGCATGGACGGTGCGATCTACGATTGGGCGCTGAGGGACCTGACGGGTAGCGGTGGTGGCGGCATCAAGCGTGAAGGCGAGAGCATTCTGAAGAGTTGCAACTACACATGTGCGATTGCCACTGCGGATGGGAGGAATATCTATGCTGTCGGAAGTGATAAGACTCTGAAGGTTAGACGAGCGAATGAGTGAGAAACGGCATACAATGCTGTGTCAGTCCTCATAGTAATTTCCATCTACAGGAAATCACGGATTCGCAAATTGTTCGAGAACAAGAGTCCGATGTCGTACTCACACAAGTGATCCTGTCGCAATCCGGCCGGATGATGTTTGTCGGTGAGTGCAGACCTCGCAAATTTCTACGATTTTTGGTGCCTTGTCTTGATGTGTTCGCATCCGCAGGCACGGCGAACGGAACGATCCGTTCAATAAAGTATCCACTTGGAAACGATAACGAGTTCCAGGAGCATCAAGCGCACTCGGCACCCGTAACGAAGCTTCGAGTCAGTTTCGATGATCAGTTTCTCTTTTCAACTTCAGAAGATGGCGCTCTTTATGTTTTCAAGATCTCTGATAAAGAAGGGAGAGGGTTGAAGCGGGACCGTGAAATTGTCTACGCCGATGAGGTACGCATTCGATCCTCCGTTCAGTGTGTGCTGAGATGATTACTAAGGCCGTTTGAATTCACAACAGATCTTGGTTACAAAAACAGATCTCGAGGAGAAAAACTCCACAATGGCAGAGCTCAAAACTCGTGTAGAAGAGCTCAAGATGGAGAACGAGTACCAGCTTCGTCTCAAAGACATGAACTTCAACGAAAAGATCAAGGAGGTCACCGAAAAGTTCATGCAGGAGATCGAGGCGCTCAAGATCACTAGCACCGTCTTGCGGACTGATAAAGAGAAGGAGGAGGTCCGCCATGAGGAGGAGATGGCCGAGGAATCGGAACGCCATGCGAGGGAGCTAAGCGAGCTGGAGACGCTGCATAATGCCAAGCTGATGGCCGAGTATGAGCGATACCAGGAGCTGCAGACACGGACGACGGAGTTGCAGACCCAATGGGAGAAGCAAATGAGGGATATGCAGGCGGCGAAGGATAAAGCTTTGGCGGAGCTGACGGGGCACTTTGAGGCCAAGGTTCGGGAAAAACAGGCCGAGATCGATCAGGTACGTTTCCATGATGTTCTAGTTCCAAACGATGTACACCATCAAGTGATTCTGGAAGGATCTGACGACATAATATCTTCGACTCTCAGCTTCAACAAGAACTCCACAATCAATATCTGGAATTCACCGAAACCACCCGGGAGACCGAGCAAGACGCCGACACCGAGATCCTCGAAATCAAGCATCGGTATGAGAAAAAGCTCAAAGAGGAGCGCGAGATCGGGTTACGTCTGAAAGGCGAGAACGGCATTATGCGGAAGAAGTTCAACACCCTCAGCTCAGAGATCGATGCGCACAAATCCGAGATCGGGAAGATGTATAACGAAGAAAAGAAGCTCCATGGGGTCATCAAGAGCTTGGAAAAGGATATCACCGGTCTCAAGAAGGAGGTGCGATCCGATTTCGCCGTTTCCATGGAAACACCCGTTTTACTTATCCAGTCGGCCTCGAATATTCAGATCCAAGAAAGAGACGAAACGATCCAGGACAAAGAGAAGCGTATTTATGATCTCAAGAAGAAGAACCAGGAACTTGAGAAGTTCAAGTTCGTCCTTGACTATAAGATCAAGGAGCTTAAGCGTCAAATCGAGCCGCGCGAGCAAGACATCCAGGGGATGACGCATCAGATCAAGGTGCGGCTCGAATCTTGGTTTGGTTTTGCACTTTGATCTCAAAGCGGTAGTCTCACGTACAGTTGTTGTTCGCTCCTGCAGGAAATGGATGTGGAACTCGAACACTACCACAAGGCAAACTCCAACCTGGAGCTTACCATCACCGATTTGAAACAAAAGCTTCGAGCGGCCGAGAAGGAGGTTGCAAAGGAGCACGCCAGGGTGAAAGCTTTCGCGGCGACCATCAAACGCTTCAAGGTGGATCTGAACGAGTGCGTGCAATATATTCAGGAGCCAAAGCTATTGAAGGTAGGTTCTCCAAAGTGTCATTGTACATATGTTCCCAAGCTGACGAGCGGCCATATCCACTATCAGACGCACGTGAAGAACCTCTATCAGAAGTACTGCTTGTCTTCCGAAGCCGAGGTGATCGGCGGCGATCCCACCGCGGCCGCAGGCGGTCCAAAGTCATCCGTCACAGATGTGCAACAGGAATACGCTCGCCAGCGCGAGCACCTCGAGCGTACCGTCGCCTCCCTCCGTCGTAAAGTCAGCAAAGATCAGAACATCCATCGCGCGGACAATGTTCGCATCATGGGTGAGAACGTTGCCCTCATCAAGGAAATCAACCAGCTGAGGAGAGATCTTAAGAGGACGAGGGCGCGGGAGAAGGCTGCTGAGATTGCGTTGAAGCATGAGCATTCGAAGGCGATATTACACCAAAGCGCTTCGCCTGAGCAGTCTGGCGACGAGCTGACTGAAGGTTTGTCGAACTTTGCAGGGGTTCCGACGCTCTGTAGAACCCAGCAAATGCTGACTCAGTGTCATTCTTTTCAGAGCTACGACTTCCCCCAGTGTCGTCTTCACCGGCACCACCTGCATTACCGCGACTGGAGCAACAACTGGCTGTGCCGACATAGACGACGTTCCCTCTTGTGGTATTTTTCTGAAGCTTCACCAGGCCGCTGTTATGACGCAGAGTTTCAAGCCTTCGACATGCGATTCGTACTCCCCTTCCATCTGCCACCATAGTCATAAGTCCCATCCTTTTGTAAATAGACTAGCGCCATTTCTAAGGCAAGTTTTGGACCAGTACGCCTACTGTCTCAAGTTCGATTGCTTTCGGTCATGGTTACAGTATCGCCGGTGGCTGCGTCCGCCTGAAATATGCCTGAGGTACATCCATTGGCTCCGCCAGGCACAAGCTTATGGGGACTTCAGCTCTTTGATTTCCACTCTAGGAGAACAACGGTGTGCCACGACCCGCAGGAAACAGCTTGTATTGTGAACTGATCCATGGGCGGCTTCGCCAAGTGGCGCAGTTCAATGGGAATCAGCCCACAAGACTCCTTCTTCAGATCTGAACCAACAGCATTGAGCTGATCGTACTTGTTCCAGCCGCACCCGAATAAACGTGTCCCATCACTGATCACCGTATGCCGGCTTCCACATGCCACCATCACCCGTCCAGGCGGAAGCTCCAGATCTATCGGCGTCGGTAGCGCATGGTTCAGCTCGTCGGCATCATCCCCGGGCTTGACGTCCGGGTTCTCGGCCAGCCCTAATTCACCGTGCGATGCAGATCCGAAAGTGTACACGTCCCCATCTCCGGAAACCACGGCCGAATGTGTATCTCCCGCTGACACTCCCAGGACCTTCACTCCCTGTAAAGCTTCAATCACTATCGGAGCTTTTCGTTCAGTTGTCTCGCGAAACCCGCCCCCTAGCTGACCGTGTAATCCATTCGCCCCCCAGCTGTATACATCTCCATTGGATGTGGTAGCTAAGAAGTGATGTAAGCCAGCAGATATGGTCGTATACGGGAATTGTGCGATAGAAGGGGCGATGATAGTTTGCAATGAGGGACTCCCGTGTCGCCAAGTACGGATTGTTCCAGACGCCGTAATAGATGCTGCCGTTGTAAATGTTGATGCTACATCGATGCAAGAGAACTCGAAGTCGACAAACTCGGCCTCTGGTGGACCGCCCTCACTTCCGACAAGAATTTCGTTGGCATCCTCCTCGGTTTTTCTTCGCTTGCGAGAAGGCTCTTCACCCTCACTTTCCTCTTGTCGTATCGTCATAAGACGTAGCCGTTGACCAACTATGACATACAAGGCATTCTCATCCGGCACTCCGTCAGAGTCGCGCGAAGGCACGACTTTCGCCAGACTCTCCCCATTTGTGATTGGAACTTTCACTCGGACAAAGGGCGCACTATTTTTCCCTCCCGTGAACGTGTTCGTGAGACCCCAGATGTAAATGAAGTTGTCCTTAGACCAGGCTATTGTGCACGAGAAAGTGGCAGCAATGCCGAGGTACAATGGATCCTTGGATGGAAGCTGGGTACCGACTGGGGCTGGCGTGAGTGTTCGAGCTCCGTCGGAGATGAGGGTTGCTAACTCAAGTGACCGTCCGCAACACTGCCCGAAGGCGTCGAAGCCAAAGGCGATTATCTGTTGCATCTGGTTCCAGTTCGTACGATATTACTGTGCGAGAGGCGCCCGACAGCGCTGGACTTGACTTGAGAGGTGTTACTAGCGGTTACGAACCGCTCGCGCGCCATGCCGAACAGTGGGGTATCCGAGGCCAGAATCTGCCATCTGCCTTCTGTCCTTCCGCCTGTTCCCTCATATAACTACGTACCGCACGCTATCTGCAAAGTCCTAAACGGACGTCGAAGACTTCATCCGAGCCAAACATCCTCAGAGTCAGCCAACGGCAAATCACTGTAATATTGGCTATATGTTTTTCACATTGGGAGCAGCAATCGAACCACTTTGGCGACATGAACACCTAAAATGAAACCTGAGAGCGCAAAGACTGCATCTAGAAGGAGAAAGGGAATGCCGTCGCTTCAATCCTAACCCAACGACTGCTGCGTGCGTACTGATGCCATGAGGCCCGAATTGGATGAGGGATTCCCATCTGGTTTTCCTGATATTCGCCCGTCCAGTATCCAAATGCTGATGATAGACGAAGAGAAGCGATCGTTATTTGTACTGTACAAGGCAAATTTCTATCTCCAGCAAAGAGTCCGTTTCATATTTATGTACAAACCGCATGACGTTCCACGCTGTTCAACTCCGGGAAGCTATCAATGCGTTGATCGAGCTTCAAGCGCTGATCGGAAAGCCTGGGCCGAAACGTTTGCTCTCCCTCTCTACCACGTGCTCCCTGCCTTAGAATACCATCTCAGTCACCGAGCGCACCCCGCCAATCACCGAGAGACAAGAGGAGCTGAGTTGGTGACAGGGCTTGTACTGACCCCGCATCGTTCTAATCTGCTTGGAAGACGTGCTTCCCTCGTTGTTGGAACTGAGTCATAGGCTTCCCACTGCCAACGACGCCCACTTTGGCCATAGGATCATCTGGAGTGGCGAAGATGCTCTGCTTCTTCTTCAGTGGTGGTTTGATGCCAGCAACACCGCCTCCCGTAGACTTCCTCTTCTTCTCTGCTCCAGACCCCGATGAGGACCCTCCTTTCGCAAATTGTAGCCATGCCTGCTGTTTCGACGACTGCTCCTGCTCCTTTTTCGTGGGCTGAGTAGGATCGCGGGGTTTGAAAGGCTTCTTCTTCTTTTTGATTGCGTCTGGATTGGTAGCTGCGATGGTGGCCTCCGTCACGGGAGCAGCGGGTCCTTCCACTTTTTTTGGTTTGGCGGCACGAGCGGCGTCCTCTATGGAGGTGGGAGGTTGCGCGGAATACCGGATATCGCTGCCTTTTACAGGTTCCGGTTTGTGGTAGCCAGCAAAGACGACGGTGTATGTATCGTCGTCAGCGTCCGGTACACCGTGCACAACAGCTTCGTAAAAGTTTCCATCTCCTTTGTACTTGGCGGACACTTGCGTGCCTACCTCCCACCGTACAGCCCCTGCTGCTGGTTGTGCGTTTCCTCCGCCCCCGCCGCGCTTCTTCTTTGACTCTTTGTTGCTGGTAGCAGGGGCCTCCTCCGCTATGCCTGCAAAGAGGGCTATGAGCTCTTTCAAGTCTGCTCGGAGCTTTCCCAGCTCTTGGTTGTCCGGGTCTTTTGCAAGCGCCTCGTCTACTTGATCTAACTTGAATTGATATTCCGCGAGTTCTTGAGTCATTGCGGGTGGTTTGCACAGGTAAAGGTGGCGGACTTTTGTGGACAAAACCTTAACGGCTGAGCCTCCAGAAATGTAGCGGTATAATGTGGATAGGGTGTCGGTCGTTCGGCTATCGTCCGAGTTGCTTCTCCTGTTGTCTTGTCAGTCGGCCGTTGTTCGGAAATGTCGAGAGTCGAAGCAGACTCGAAGTGGTTCTCTTTCCTCTCCCCTCAGCAGCTTTCCACGCGTTTCCGTCTTTCCGTCGATTCCCTTACGATAGCTACATGGTCTACACAGTACTCTACAGTATTACAAGACGTAGGAACCTAGGAAACTCTCAACAAGATACTCTTTTCCTTATTACGGTTTGTTCCACGGGATCTAGCCCTACCCTAGCCTCTCTCAAATCCTGAGGGGCTTGGCGGGAGACTACGCAAGATGGGAAGGGAAAGCTGCATGTACAGTATATTCAAATTTGGCCAGCCCATGATGTATGCGGCCCCTATTTACTTTTTTCAGATTCTCTACATCTACAGTACCTTCCCACCTCCTACATCTGCACCGATAGTGGAGGGAGTCGTTGAGAAAAATCCAATCCGGACGGCGCAGTCCGTGGGGGAAGAGGGTAGTCCATGGCGAATTGCACTATTCTCAGCTTTCTTGAAGAAGGACGGGACGATTCGGTTGCTGGCCGCTCTGACGGGATGGATTCACTCTCAGCAGCTGGTGGGGCTGGTGGAGTAGGAGAGGCGCGTTTGCCCAAATCCGACCACGACACAGCATCTTTGATGGGTGGCATTTGAGAGACCCAGACCGTCTCCTCCTCGGCGTGACGGTCTGTTCGTTCCACCTTTGCATGGGCACTGTGGGACCGCCATCGTGTAGACGGGTCCTTTCTATGTGCGATCCTGACTACCATCACGTCAGGTAGCCTCTGAACCGGGGGATTAGCGATTTTGCCATCCATTAGACTTGTCCGGTGATGTGATTTGGAGCCTTGTTTGGGATGGGCCGATCCATTCAAAAAGTCCGAGATTTCCTGCCTTCTTGATGGAGGAATCACACCAGGGTCACCAGCGGTGATTCTTTGTAACGACACGGATGCTGGAATCAGCCTTCCGCGGCCACCAGGACATGTCGAATCGAGGTGCGATAGCTGCTCAGTACAGGGCGGTTAATGCTGGTCTCGTCCAAAGATGAGATACGCTCACTCACCCGAGGTTTGCGATAATTTGGAGAATCTGGGTCCGGAGCGCTGCGAATGCCTCGAGAATGTGGTCGATTTGCCTCCTTCTTCAGATCTCGGGCAAATGCAGCTGAAGAAATAGGCCGCAAGGCTGAAGGAACAGGGATTCGAGCTTCCAGTTGGAAAGTGGAGACGGAAGAGATAGTTCTCTTGTTACCCCCTGACCTGATCCCTGCAAGACTTCGTCGGCGGATAGATTTTGTTGACACATCGGCGCCGAACTCATCTGCTTTCGGGGCCCTGAACACGGGCATTTGCCTATCCTCCGTCTCTCGTGGCTCCGATTCTGGCTCATCGCTGTCCTGTTCTGAATCTTCCAACGAGCTCAGGGCCATCAGCTCCTTTGTCGTTTCGACAGGATCATCGGCTTCCGTTTCTTTTGGTCGTTGCCCATTTTCGGATTCTCCGTCGGTCCACCCAGATACAGCCGCATCGCCGGCAAACAAATCATCCTCCTTGGCGATGCCCTGATTTGACGGGATATCAATCGCCTTCGCAGGCGGGCGGCGATACATGCTCCCATTCGCGCCACGATGAGCCTTCAATTTCGACTGAGCAGGTGATTCAGCAGTCGATGGGCTTTGACTCGTGCTAGCTGCCTTTGCGGGGTCTTTCGAGGCAAACTGTCGGTGGGTCCACATGAGTGATGCGAGAACTTCTGCGTTCCAAGTGGGATCTTCACCTCCCATCCTCAAAATATGATCGTATTGCGCATTGACATCAACTACCGAGATCTCGTACTCGAGACTCTCGCCTAATTCTTCCACATATTCGGTTGTAGTCCAACACTTGGGATCCCACTGTGGCTTTTTCTCTTCTTTTGGACTGTTGTCTTCCGATTTGCTCCTAACAAGATCCTTGATCAGCTTGATGAGAAGGCTGGAGTGTTCGGGCGGAGTCCTAACAGGACGTGCTGATGCATTCCGCTTGCTCTGCTTCGTCGACGGCCGAGATGCCTCTCGGGAGGCTGTCATGGAGCGCATGGGTGGTCGCAGAATATCGCCAGTGCAATCGGAGAGCACGATATTCTTCGTAGGCACGCTCTTCTTCGCCGTCATCTTACTCTCATACATCTGGGTCATACTGCGCCATGTCGCTACCCGAGATCTGTCTTCTTCCTCACGCATTCCGCGCCGAGTGACCTTTGATTCAACGTAGTAGTACTGAGGCTCATTTCGACTCCTGCCAGGGATGTGACAGACAAAAGCAGACCGCTGATACTGCCCTTCAGGTGTGAACGGAATCAAAGCGTTTGCTTGGACTTCATTGCCGAAAACAAATGGGGATCTTGCACGGTCGGCGAGATTGTACGTCTCTAACCTCCGCTCTAGATGATCATCTTCCCAGGGTTGCGGAGTTGAAGGCGTTGGCGATGCCCTTGGATGTTTGCGTTGCTGTCCCTGGACATAGACGCTATCTCCAATGCCGTTGGCGTGTGCCTCACCTTGATGCATACTATGTTCCTGATCTGAATCACCGGCTGCGGGATTCATGTGCATCCCATCCATCACCGCCCCATATCTCTGCCCACTACTCGACAATGAGCGACTACGCCGAGAGCCCTGCGCTCCCGGACAAGTGCTGGGCCGTCTCGGAGAGCGGGCCCGCCTGGCGCTGGAGCTTCGAGGAGATCTCATGGAACGTTCGCCATCGTGTCCGCCAGCGGCTATGTGGATGGTATGCACATGCACCTGCTGATTAGGGGTCGATCTTCCATCCTCCGATGGGACCTGGATTGGGAATCTTCGGTCTCCAGAGACTACTCTCGATCTCGAGAGATGAGCAGACCGATCGCTTGCATTTATTCCGTCTCCGGAGGATGCGTCCGTTGCGTTTTGTGTTAAAGCTCTCTTCTGATTCTTTTGTATGTCCAGAAGCAGCCGAAAACCGCCCATCTCGGGAACTGTGCACGGTCGATGAAATGAGTTCACCTACAGAACCCGTTCTTGAAATCATGTCCATGTACGAACCTTCATGTGACAGTTCTGGGGTCGCGCCGGTCGACTTTTGCACCTCTGGCCTGCGGGGGCCTGGTTCTATGTTGACGAACGTTATGTTGAAGTCCCCCAAGTCGTTGCTTTGGAGATTGTTCGAGGGCGGTATGTCTCTATTGTTGATCGCCGATGGAATTCGGGACCCCCTCTCCTTCGTCCCCGATTGTGCGCGCTGGTTCGTCGCAAGCATTGAAATGTCATCTTCCCAACTGACGGTCGTACCGCTCTTCGGGCGCTGCCTGCTGGTGACGGTCGCACCACTCTTCGGACGGTCCCTCCTTGTAAGAAAGATCAAATCGGTTGAAGGTGCCGCTGGTACACTTTCGGCTGAGTTCGGTCGTGCCGGTTCGTTGGAATGCAACTCGATATCGATTCCTCCGCTAGGCGGATGCCTCTTCTCCACGTGAGGAGCATCTGGTAGCCCGTCCAATACACCAGATGATGGAGAAGGGATTGAACCATCATCTTGACGTTGCGTTCCCTCATTGGCGGCCTTTGCGGGGATTTCCGGGAATGCAAAATTTGGACCTGCTGTCTTTGCTACCCAACGTCTTTTAGACTTCCACATCCTCCCCTTCGACGACAAACAATTCTTTTACCTTAGTAACTGGAGGTCGATCTACGAGTACGAGAGAGGTTGCCTTCAGTGTGTCCTCCATGTATGTATCTGGTACGGTCGCAGCAGCATTTGGCTCGGTGTTGCTTGCAGAGGCATGTCCGGGGATGGACCTCGGTTGCGCAGTCCCTCCAGTCGCAAACAGGCTGTGCTGACTTTTGCCATGCTCCTGCAAATCTGCATTCCCTTGGCTGTGTGCTTCATTGCTTTGTGTGGAGGCGACGTTCGAAGATATCGTGCTTTCCCCTTTGGTCCTTCCAGCGAGCATCGCCGCCTTGTCAGCCAGCAAGAAGGACTCCTCTCGAAGCATCTGATCAGCAGTCCGGACCCATCCCGGATATGTGTCGTAACTCTCGGGTGCTATGTCTTCTGTAGGCGCACGGAACTTCCCACTCCGGATACCATCAAGGTCAGGCCAAGCTGGCCGCCATGCTGCAAGTCTCAGAGGAAGACTAAGAAATAGTCATGTGCAAACAAAACGCGGCGTCAATACTATTCTCACCTTTGATGGGATCTGGAGATATCGGCAAATGTTGAATTTGCCATCTGCAAAGATCCTTGCATATCCTTAACGGAGTTTTCGAACTTCTCCTTCTCGAACACGAACTTCGGCTTTGCCGCCACTAGAGGAATGACGCTCACCGCAAGCCCTTGATCAACGCTCACTTGTAAGCCTTTACCGGGGGACGGAATCTTCTCTGAGGTTTTCAGATCCTGGTTCGCCGTGAGCTTCTCGACCGAGTGCTGTTTCTCTTCGTTGGACCTTCGTCTCTCCGGAGTTCTCGCAGTCGGGGCCTCGTTCAGTTTCTGGAGACTTCCCGATCCTGAGCCCTTCGGTAGGATAGCTTTCCTTGTTCCTTGGGATAGCAGTTCTCCAGGAAACGCTTGCGACTCCACTTCTTGCCATTGTGCTCCGGTTGGGCGCTTTCCACGAGGAAGCTTGCTGTTCTTGCCCGAGGTTTGTCCACCGCTGGTAGCCTCCAGCTTCTTGGACGTGAGCCAAGCAGGGGAAGCACCTTTCGTTTCTTTTACTGACCTCTTCATCTTTTGCGCATATTGCTCGATGGATCAGAATTCAGTTTTCGCTTTGATTCTGATCTGGGTATTTGACAGGTTGCCCTCAGGGCGGAGTACTCAATCCTTTTTGCACTCAAATCCTGTCATAACTTGCACGCGCCTTGACGCTGTGCGCCCGAGCAATCATAAGGGTCTCTGTCCAGTGTCGGCGTTGAACATGGTCGTCCTTGCTATCGCTCGGACTCGATGCTCAACCAGAGGCGCCTCCTCCGACGCCATGGCAACATCCCTTCGGTGTCGCCGGGCCTGTACATACTGTATATGTACGCTACTGGATGCACTGAGCCCTCAAAAGTCTGCCGTCAAGTCCCGACAAAGCAAAAAAGGAACACAGACATAAATGTCTGTCCTTGAGTCATGTGACGTAGGAGTGCAGATCATGTGATGCAAGCAACTACGAATTTCGTCGCCTTCCTTCGTCGTTGTTATTCCGTTCTTCGTACAGACGGACCACGCAACAAGAAGCAATACGATTATGGCGTCTGCAGTGGCAACGAACGGGGCGGTGGCCTCAGCGCCGAACGGTGTAATGGCCTTATATTGGGAGCTGGCCTCCGTCGACCCGGCCGTGCGTCAGACCGCTGCAGAGTCCCTGGTACGCTCGCTCAACACATTTCAGCAAGAGCACGACAGTACGCATACCACGAGACCGGCGGAACTGACAGAATCGAATCTAGAGGAGTTTTGCGCTCAGGACGTTGTGTATGGACTGAAACGTCTCTTGCGAGGATTGCCATCCTCAAGAGACGGGGCGAGGCAAGGATTTGCTGTAGCTCTCACCGAGGTAAGAGAACTTTCCTTTCTGCGTCCGATCAGTGATACAAACCCACATTATGCTGAAACGAAAACATTGCACAGCTCTTGCGCCAACTTGAATTCCTTACTGCAGGCACGATCTTAGCACTTCTGACAAAGTTAACTCAAACGGAGGGAGCGAAAGGACAGGAGGAGAGGGAGATTCTTTTCGGAAGGATATTCGGTCTGATGGCGATATGTCAGGCTGGGATGATCTCTCGCGCTTCGACAACAATTGAGGACGTTCAGACGATTGTGACAAGCCTGCTGAAATACGCCTCCAGCAAATCATACCTGAGGGAAACCTGTTTCTGCGTATTGATTACAATGTCAGAAGAGCTGACAGATGGCAAATTGGAAGAGGAGGCCATCGCCTTTATGATTCCGGCAGTTTTAAAGAACGGGGTAGAGGATGCTGAAGATCTGTGGTTCGCATTGGTAATGCAGTCGCGTTATCCCAAGTTTGACTGGGCCTCGGTGCTCCCAACATGGAAGCATGCTCAGCTTCTGCACCCGAAGAACCAGTCACAACTCATCGAGCTTTTGAAGCAGTCCACGCACACCAGTCCCCGCATTCACTCAGTATGGGATACCCTGCTGGATCTGCTCACCTCAGAATCCGCTGCCGGCAACACAGTGTCTCTGTCGGACATCTGGATCAATCTGGACGATGCACTGTACTCATCCACTCATGAGCGCAAGCATCTGGGTCTTAACCTGTTCCAACGAGTGTTGGCGCGCGCCAAGCCCACGGAGATCCCATTTGTGTTCACCCCGCAACTTCTCCGCACCCTTATCAACAACCTGTCGAAGCAAGACAACTATCTGCACAAAGTGGCCAAGCAAACCGCGACAGCATTGTCCAAATTGGCGCAGGAACGGAAGGAAATCGCCTTGCAGCTCGTTCTACAGCTAGTGGGCAAACACGGTCACCAGAGATTCGACGCCGTGACAAAAACGAAAACGGTGGAGTCCATCCTTGGCAGTCTCGAAGCTGCGGATATCATTTCCTACGTTCAGTACCTGGAAGACCTCTTCGTGGACCAAACCGAGGAAGCCGCAGCGGAGGTTCCCTACGTGGACTCACACAGACATTGGGTCTTGGATCAGATGTTGCAACTGGTTCGTAATGCAAAGGTGCCGAAGGAGGAGAAATGGGTGCAGTCTGTGGCGCGGTTCATCTGCCTCCACGCTTTCTTCGACGTGACCAAAGCCGATGCGAAAAATTCTTCCATCAAACCCGCTCAGCCTCCATTGTCGGAGGCAACAAGGACATTGTGCCAAGAGAAGCTTTTTGCGCTTCTTGGAGCGCTCGTCGCTTTGCAGCTGAAGAATGACGAGGGCAAACCATTGCACGCTGGATGCTTGAAAAATGGCGAGCTCTGGGCTCGTGATTTGCACGACTTTGTCCAGGCAATGCAGAAGAGCAAGCACGTCACCCTTGCCGTTGGAATTGATAACGAAGCGAAGGCGGCACTTGACAAGACAGCGAAGATTCTTTCAGAAATCCGCGTGGAGCTCAAGAAGTTGGATGGCGCACAAAACCGGGATTTGCAAGCTCAATACAAAGCTTTTGAGCTCATCCTGGTTCACGTGTCTCTCCAAGTGTACACTGACCCTGAGGAAACGGTCGGCGTGTTGACGGAATTGGAGAACTGCTATACCCTGCTGTTCAACTCCAAGAGAAAGGCGAGCAAGAAGCGCAAGAACGCTGACGATGATGAGGAAGAGCACGAGCCTGTTGAGGTCCTCCTTGATGTCTTGATCAGTTTCCTCGCCAAGCCCTCTGCTCTTCTGAGGACACTGTCGCAGGAAGTCTTCAAGGTGTTCTCCAGCAAATTGACCAAGAAGGCCCTGGACCTTATGTTCGATGTAAGTGTTCTAGAAGCGTGGGAGTTGCACGAATGATGGAAGAAAGACCGTCTAACCCTGTATGTCTTTCCAGGTGCTCACCGCGAAAGGAGGTGTTGCTGGAGCTCAGGAGCTCTTTGAGGATGAGGACGAAGGAGAGGATGACCACATGGACATCGACGGCCAGGAAAACGGGGAAGTTGCGGGCGAAAGCAGCGAAGAAGAAGATGACGATGAAGACGAGGAGGAGGGTGACGAGCAGGACAACCCCAAGGTTGATGAGGAACTTCGCCTGAAGATAAAGGACGCGTTAGGAAGCGCAGCTGTGGACGGCGATGCAGACGACTCGGACGAGGGCGAGTTTTTGGATGACGAGCAAATGGGCGAGTTCGACTCGAAACTTGCGGAGATCTTCAAGCAGCGGAAAGAAATCAAGAGCGCAAAGAAAGACCTCAAGCAGCAAGTGCTTCATTTCAAATTCCGAGTTGTGGATCTTTTCGACCTGTTCTTGCGGAAAGCTCCACAAAGCCCCTTGGTCGTTGAGATGATCATGCCGCTTCTGAAGCTGCTTACGGCCACTGCTCGGAGTGCTGACGATCAAGGGCTCCACGAGAAGCTCCACGCCTTAGTCAAGAACAGGCTATTCAAGCTGAAGGAGATCCCCACCGAGCCGTCCTTGGACGCCGACCGCGCAGCAGCAGTGCTCACCGAAGTCCACGAGTATGCACGAAAAGCAGCGGACTCTGATACAGTCAGTCTGTGCTCAGGAGCGAGTCTGCTGTTGGTGAAAATCTTGAGCCATTGCAAGGAACCTGTCGCTGCATCAGCGTTGACACCGAAGAAAACACCGAAGAAGAGGAAAGTGGAAGCGGACTCTGCTACAACCGTTAAGCCTCTCAGCCGCGTTGCCACAGCCTACGCAGAATCCCTGACGAACTTCATGGCCACAAAATCCCGTCTCAAACCTGTATTCTTCTTGGAACTTGTCAGTCGTTACCCGGCGTATGGCTGGGAATTGATGCCCAAGGTCGTCGAGCTGGCAGCTCCATCTGCCGGGGCAAAGGCGTACCCTCTCGGCCAGGCATACACCATAATTTTCCGGCTGGTCACGCAGATGCCTAAGAAGGACGAAGCTGAACGGATCGAGACCATCAGGCAGGTGTGGCCGAAGTTTGTGGATGATGCCATCGCGACGTTCAAAGAGGCCTTAGAGGAAGGAAACGCGAGGACCTTGAAGAAGGAGCGGACCAAGGCATTGGTGAAGGAGCTGGTAGCAATGGCGAGGAAGACTGTGCACCTCTTCAAGAAGGAGGAGGTATGTATCTGGCGTTGATGGCTGGACCTCAAGTGTGCAATTAGACTCACTGTACGCGTCTTTTTCCCGACAGATTGCATCCCTCTGGAAAGTACCTGATCTGCAAAAGCAACTCAATGTATTGTGTGACAACGAGAAGTTTGCAACTGGAGCATCGCTAAAGGGGCAAAGAGATCAGTTATTGAGTATACTGAAAGGGGAAAGTGGGAAGAAAAAGTGATAGCGAACGAAATGTTGGGGCTGTAGCTTTGTAGCGTCATTTATAGTTATTCATCACCAATTGTATTTAACCATCAACACGATCATATAGCATAGAAAATGGCAATGTGCGGGAGATATCTGGAAAATAGAGGTGTGCGCCGCTTGCAACAATTCCCATCGGTTTGATGGGGCTACGAGAGCCACTTGACTCATGCCACTTGGGTTGCTCCAATGATGCGACGATCTGGTCCTCCACGCCAGAACACACTGGTATGACCACGAATCTGCTCGTGTTGACGTCCGGTCTCTAGATAAATTTGGCTTCTGACTCGACATCCGGCCGTAGGCCACGCGGGGTTAGGCGAGGGCCCCTTGACCGCGGAGGATCGTTTGACAGTCTTTACATTGTTGGGCAGGTATCATGACCTGCCCACTTATCCCGTCTCATCCTTGACATGATGATATTTCGGCATCGTCTGAGATAAGGAGGATGTAAGAGGGGGCCTAGGCTTCGCGTCCACTGCCCCTGGGCACCGTCCAATACCCACCTCATGCAAATATTCCAAATGCTTAGCATGCAAACTGGCTTGCATCTTATTTGATTTCGTCATCTTCCTCGTCGCCAGCTGGCCTCCGAATATCACAGTATCATCCGGAATGACTTGATTTGGGAATGTCATGCATTTGACGCCTATTACGCAGTTGTCCCCTATGATTGTGCCTCTTTGGACCCGGGCTTTGGCGGAGCGATACGACTGATTAATCAAAGGTTAGGAAAAGTCGAAATGTTCAGAGAACTCACCCCCAATCTCTATTGTACACCCGTTTCCTATCTGTGCTGATTCTATATCTATCGTTCGCATCCCTCAGTTGTTGATACTTGTTTTTTCCCATAAGGACGTTCAATGTACCTACAGGCTCCGACCTCTATTATGTTGTTGTCGCCAATAAGAAGAGGGTTTGCCGTTCTGCGTTCCATGAAACCATCTATGAGTAAAAGACTTCGGCGGACACCGAACCCCCAGGCCTACTTGTTGACAATCTGCACATTCTCCTCGATTATGGTCCCGTTTCCAAGGACAATGCTCCCAGACGCTTCGTTTATCAGCCGACACTTCGGATGTATCACCGCATTTCTGCCGATTTCCACTAGACCTTTACATACGGAGCCGTCACAGATTGTAGGGGGCCTCGTGGCAGGGTCCGGCAGATTCGAAAGAGACATGGCGTAAAGTGGATACTGCAGCGATTCTAGACTGGGGTTTGCGACCTATCGCGACTTGGCCGGAAGGAAGATCAACGCAAGCCATGCAAGTTTCGGACATCCATTTAAGAGCTTTGTAGGACCCGCGTCCGAACTTGCCCTCCTCGTAAATTCGAACTCACTTCGAAAGGCATCAACAGACTTGGTCTCGAGTCGCACTGACCCCGGAACTTCACCAGTATATAACGACCGGCATACCTGAACCGTCCAGCGTCTTTTGATCCTCACGTCTCCCTGCCACCGACGCACGGCCCACCAATTCTATGACAAAGCCCAGGCCTGCACCTAAAGGGAAGAGCAAACGCAAGACAGAGTCCGAGGAAGAAGAGTACGAGACTTGCGATAGTCTGGACGGCTTTATCGAAGAGGAGTCTGCCTCTGAAGTTGGCGGGGACGAGTCGGACGGCTCCGAAGAGGGGCACGGCTTGGAGGACGGGGAGCGGAAAGCGACTGTGGACATTTATGCAGAATTTGGAGTCGAAAGGGATGCAAGCCAGGTAAGGATGTAAGCTCCAAGGGCTCCAATCGCCGTTCAAACCCCTCACTCGCTTACCTCCAACAGGATGTCATAAAGAAAGCCTATCGCAGACTGTGCTTGAAATACCACCCGGACAAGCTCAGCCGCTCCTCCGAAGACGAACGCATTGCAGCCACCCAGAAGTTCCAACAGATTGTGTCGTGGTATGAGGTGTTGTCAGATCCCGCAAAACGCGAGCACTATGACAGAACGGGCGAATACGAGATGGGCGAAGTCTTTGCGGGCAAAGGGGACGCTTCATGGGAGGAGTATTTCAGGCGATTGTATAGTCAAGTCACAGAGGAAAAGATTTTGGAGTTCGAGAAGACTTACAAAGGTGAGCTCAACATATTGAAGGCTTCGTGCACTCTCCGAAAGGTCGCTCATGGCGATTGCTCCCACGTTGTAGGATCAGAAGACGAAAGAGCTGATGTCCTCGCAGAGTATGAGAAGCACAAAGGAGACGTGTACAAAATTCTCGATTGCGTACCTGTCGCTACGTTCGACGACTTTGACCGATTCCGCGCCATCATTCAATCCGCAATCGATGCTGGGGATGCGAGGTCTTACAAAATCTTCACGATCGCCGACCCTAAAAGATACGCAAGGGAAAAGAAGAAAGCAGATGCGGAGGCAAAAGAGGCAGAGGAAGCATTGCGTGAAATCAGAGCTCGAAAAAGCAAGAAGGGCGGAAGCGCTAAGCATTCTGGCCACTCTGCTGACGCCGACGCCCATGTCAGCGATCCCTTGAAAATGATTGCAGTCAACAGCAAAAAGCGCATGGACTCGTTGTTGGAAAGCTTGCAGGCAAAGTACGCTCCCTCCAAAGGCAGCAAGAAAAAAGGAGTGAAAGAGGCTCCGTCGGAACTCTCAGACGCGGACTTTGAAGCCTTCCAGAAAAAGATGTTTGCCAACAAATCCAAAGGGAATGGGAGTGGTGGTTCCCCGGCAGTGGACTCGCCAAAGAAGGGGAGGAAAGCTCGGGACGACGAGGAGGCACCACAAGGCAAACGGCGAAGGCGCAACTGAAGGCTCATAGACGCATCTCGAAACCCCTATCTACATGATGGCCCCAAAATGTACATATTTTATTTAGCAATCAAAACAATTCTAATGGCCATGAAGCTATGGTGAAGTAAACAACTTCGTTCAATACGCCAAAAGTGTGCTACCTACTCAGCGGATACCCACAGCAACTCCTTGCTGAATGCGATCTGTGATTTGGCTCAGCACCATGCCCATTGTGCCGAGGTGTAACCTTTCAACTTGAACGGCCTATCGCACGAAAAGAGTGAGAGAGAATATGACCATCCTGTGTCCACGTGTAAACCCACCTGTTGCTCATCTTCGTCCAAGTCACCTAGTCCTTCGGTCCTAGCATCCAGGACGTCCAAAAGTGCATTGATCCTCTTTTGCAAAGGTTGGATGAACCGATTTGATGTTGTGATCAGATGATCTCCGTCCCAGACTCCAGTCTTCGAAGGGAAGACAGACAGGAGTAGTCAGCGCCACATTAGACGAAGACAACGCGCGTGAGGCACACTAACCACATTGGCAGCAGGCGCATCCCGCAATAGGATGTAAAGATAAAGATTCAGAACATGCATGAGTCCTGCAAAGCGCTCCACAAATGACTCTTCGTTATCGAAGATGGTGTCGGAGCTGTGGTCAATGGTGTCGGAGGTGGGGATAGTCGTGTACAGCGGTCCAGAGGGATCGAGGAGGACCGAGAGGAACGTCTGTCTAAGCGCTCGGCCAGAGAATACGGAGACCTGTTGAAATGTATATTGTGAGCACACGCCGGGCTCGAAAATGCGGCGGAGACACATTGCGAACACCCTTTCAGGCATACCTTTTGCGATCCAGCTCGATTCCAAGCCTCATGCACATTGTCCTTCAATACCGAAAGGGCGGCGACCTGTATATTCGCCATCGGCGCATCCACGATCATTTCAATGAGAATCTGAAACCGAGCCGTCTCGTTAAAGCACCACATGAAAGATTTGAACAGCGCGAAGCATTTGGGTCGGAGTGCCTGATCGGGGGTGCCGACCATAAAAGTGATGATCGTCTGAATAAAACGGATCGGCAGTCAGGTGAGTCCTAACGCTGTACCTAGTTCCGCTGGCCGTTGTGTCCGCACCTGAATGAAGATACGCCAACCCCGCAGCGCTCCATCGTCGTTATCGTCCGCGTAGAATACTGTTTCCCGTGGGACATCCTCCATGGCGATCTCGAATAGGGCCAAGCCACGCACGCCCATGTTTCTGGTTGGCGAGGCGAAGAAAGATGGTCAGCTGGCGCTGCCACGCAACGTAACGTCCTAGGATGGCGTACATACGCTTGCAGCAGGCTTTCAATGTGGGGTCTGAAGGCTTTCAGTAAGTCCACTCCTTTGATCCCGAGCTCAGGTGTTCGGCCATCTTGGGTTCCACCCTTCCGCTTTGCAATCAACGCGGCGACCATAATAGAACAGCCAAGCTGCGATGGAAAGGTACTTTCGAGTATTTCCGGTCCCAAGTCTCTGTCTGCACGAGAGTTGTGGGTGAGGTTCTTGAAATGCAATTGGCAACGCACTGGTTCCTCACAACGTACCGGGGAAGTACGTCTCACTCTGCAGCACCTCCGCGATGTCGATGTTCAGCGACGGGATGAGCGCCTTCAACGGCAGGAAAAAATCAATAGCAACCTCAGAACCGTTATCAGTCGAGCATGCACCTACCAGCGCACGATTGATAAGCGCTTCCGAGTCGCTTGTATTGGGAAGTCGGCCCAGACAGACTGCAAAGAGCTGAAGTAAGAGGCAGATAAGAGCGTGTCGTCGGTGGCGGCCTTCGTCGTCGCCAATGTTCTACGAATATCATGAGATGCGTGCTGCAAATCAGGCCAGTCGATGTGGGTTGACGAACGTTACTATCTGCGAGCCGGACCAGTCGCTCGACGACCTCCAAATGGCCATTAATGTACTGCACTCCCGATTGTTCTCTGCGAAGGTCTGCGGTGAGCACGATCACTTGTGATCAATGTCATCAACAGCTTACAATTCAGATGCTGCCCGGAAAGTGCTGATTAGGGTAAGATAGGCGGTCTCCAATTCCATGGCCAGCTTCTTCGACTTTCTTCTCTCGAGCGCTGCAAATGTTCGCTTGTTACGTCTCGACTGGAATCGTACTGCAGGTTGGAAATGCTTACCAGTTACCCACAGATCAGAGTAGGCCTTTATTATAGCAGCCATCTTAGCAAACTCTTCACCATCCCTTAACGTCTCCCACAGGTATTCTATGCTGAAGAGCGCCAGTTCGCGCGGCGAGGAACTCTCCCCCACCACTTTCAAGATCTGCTGGGCGGTGTTCGAGCAGAGCAATAGGACTTCATCAACGTTATCCTCCGGTACGTTCGACACTGTCCAAACTGGTTGATCAACTGCTTCAGATGAGGGCAGGATGAAACATCCTATATCCCGAGCTATTTCCCATCCGTATTCCTCTGCAAGCCGCTGAAGCACAAATGCACGGTGTGGAAGTGAGAAGACGCCCCTCTAACAGATTCGGAGGCACAAGCCTACCGTTGGTTGGCCGTCTTTGTCTTTTAGGAGATCTTGCAGTTTGAGGAGCATACACAAATGCACTTTGGCGGAAGTCTCAGACCGCAACAAACTCGATAAAGAGGAAAGCCATAGGGCATAGTCCTCAGCGGACCCCTCCTCTTCATTGTTGGCGTTCTGGAAAAGGCCATTTGATTTGAACAACGGGCAGTCAAGTGGACCATGGGTGTGGACAGGAATCTCCAGGGCTCACCAGCCGGGATGCCTGCAACCCGAGTTGCTCGACGGTGTCCATATCCAATCCTTGCGCTGTTCAGTTGAACTTCCTTTGCTCACGCCAAGGGGGGAATCGCCTGAAGCTGTAACTTCAAAATTCAGCAGTTTCTTGACATGCAACCCATGGACGAGCGTGTCACACTGGGAGTCAAAAGACCTCGGCCGCCATTCGCTCTCCTCCGTTCCCCACCTACCCCACCGACCCCAGATCACAGGCCACATACTCTTGCCCAAAATGCGAGTTCTTGCCCTCTTCACAGTCTTGCTGGCTTCCGTCTCGACGGCGGTCGCCTCAAAAGGCCCCAAGATTACCCACAAAGTCGCCTTCGATGTCACCCAGGGCGACGAGTCTTTGGGCCGAATCACGATCGGTATGTGATCTGGTCGCCACTGTAGACGGGAGTTTCCATATTGACCCGTCATGATAAGGTCTTTACGGCAAGACTGTCCCCAAGACCGTCGAGAACTTCCGCGCGCTTTGCACTGGCGAGGTGAGTTCCGTGCATGCCGCTATTGTCGACTGGCGAGCCTTGAACGCTGAAATGCCTTCCCCTTCTAGAAAGGCTTCGGTTACAAGGGTAGCAAGTTTCACCGGGTCATCAAGAACTTCATGATCCAAGTAAGCATCCTTCCCAAATACTATACTTTGACGTAGCCTGTCTAAAACGCTGACCGTGTTCATTTCAACAAAGGGTGGTGACTTCACCCGGGGTGACGGCACTGGTGGTACGTACATATTATCTCATCATCAAGCTCCGGTAGTCCAATGTGAGCTGCTTTCTGAGACTCGCCATTCTCCAGGCAAGTCCATCTACGGCGAGAAGTTCGCTGATGAGAACTTCAAGCTTCGCCACACCGGACCTGGTGTTCTCTCCATGGTACGCCCGATCGAGCTAGCCTGATTCGATATGAATGACTTTCTGATGTTTCTTGAACCTCCAGGCAAACGCTGGAAAGGACACCAACGGCTCTCAGTTCTTCCTCACAACCGTCACTACATCCTGGTTGGATGGCCGTCACGTTGTTTTCGTACGTGTTTCTTTTGCATTCGTGCCCGCGCTCCAATTGTTCGCGTTGGCGTTGGCGGCATTGACTAATCGGAATGCTGTCGAATGTAGGGAGCCGTTGTTGATGGTATGGACGTTGTGACCAAGATTGAGAACACCCCGACCAGGCCAGGTACGAAGTCGTTTGTGGAAGGCCTGGCTTATTGAGGGGTGGAAATTGACACATTTCCGCACTCAAAGGTGACAAGCCCAAAACCGACGTAGTCATCAGTGAATGTGTTGAGATTCCGGTTGAAGCGGTTGAGGGGGAAAAGACCGACTTGTAGATTGATTCCATCTGTTCTCTGATGCACTGTGTATGCGACATTAAATGATGGACTAGCAGTGAAGGCAGCCTTATTGCTTGCAGCCTTGGGGCCGCCGCTATGCGGAGGAGGGTATACCGTGGCGATACTCAGGATAAAAGGTTGGAGACGAAACCTATTTCCGTATTAGGCGAGACCACGAGGGTTATGATTGATTTATCACACACGTAAACTACCTATCTGCTACTGCGTATTCTGAATATTGACGGTGAGTTTTTGAACAGTCCCAACATTGAGCATGCTCATAATGGTTTCCATGTCCCCGCGGACAACCACCTCAGCGCTCTTAGCTGGCAGCTCCTTTGAGACGGAGACGGCAGCAACTTGGACCTGGGTGGCTTTCGGAGCGGAGAACCATGCGAGATTCGGTTTCGGCGCGGGGTCCAGGATGTTTCGGTTTGGCTACTGATGACACAAGGCCTGGCGTTTTCCTTGCGTCCTTCTTGAGTAGGGGCAAGAACACTTTCCACGGCAATGTGATGCGCACCTTCCATTCGGGCGTATGCAGCAAGACCAGCTGCACTTTGGTGACCCGTTGCCTTCATGATCCTACCCTGCGGAACACTGGCGTCCAAGAGAATTGTTGCTGCACTCGCTGGCATTGAGTGAGGGACGAGCTTTCGGTTCCGCCACTCATGGATTTGGGCTTGTTCGCAGGTCCTTCGGAGTCACGAGCCCATATTGTCTTTGCCCATATTCTGCGCAACTTACCACTTTCCAGTACCGGCAAAGTTTTTCGGAGTGTTGGCGCGGACGAAGAGCTGACAATTGGTCGTTTTTTGAGGTACATCTGAATCTCCACCGCCGGTCCCTTCCCGTTGACCGTCAGTGGCGTCATATTGACCCTCGCATCTTTCCCAACTTGCCCGCCTTCCACCCTGATTGTTCTTTTCAATTGGAAGAATACGGCGTTAGATAGACTCGCCATCGGCATAGACCACTCGCTCCAGTGCCATCACTGAATGCGCCTCCCCATCAAGCTCGATGAAGAAAAGAGTGACATATATCCAAGCCCGGTGACTCAAGCCAGCAGGAGTGTTGAGTCTGTTGACATTGAAGAAGTCCGTAGCCAAGAGAGCTCGAATCTCCTCATCGTCAAGGACAGAAGCCCGATCCGTCCCCGCTTTGCCTGCCTTCTGCGGCCGACGCATCTTCTGATCCCAGGACTGTCCGCACTCCCTCAGAGGCATCATCAGTCTGAACGTTGATGATCTTGTTTTTCGCTTCGCCCTTCTCTTTGAAGTGGCGGGTCATGGCATCGAACGCTGTCTCAAGGCTGCTATCCTTGAAGTCGTCGCCGGTTTGCAACCGCACACGGGCCGGGCCGCTCGCCAACACTTGGGTCACCTAATGGCTTGAGTACAGAGCCGAGCATGGCCATACTTATGATGAGGGCGAAGTGGAGCTTGAAGTGCACTTCTTGGTTGTCGCTACCAAGAACCAGCAACTGACAGCTTTCTGGACGGTTCAGGTTCTTGATGCTGTCCTTGATTTTCTTCCTCTCGGCGTTTGAAAGCTTTGCGAATTTCGCAATGCCCATGGGAATCTTGAGGGTTTGTTTTCGCTTTGCGCTGTCCACAGCCTTCAAAACCACTTCTGCAGCCCCCCCCCCCCCCCCCCCCCCCCCGGAACATTGGGACCCTCGATAGGCCTCCTCACCATCCCCGTCGCCTTTGAATGCTCTCCAACCTCCCAGTCTCCGCAGCCTCCGCAACCTCTCCAGCTAACTTCGCATGGTTGGAAGTCTGCACGAAGAGCTCCTGGTCCTCCAGCTCCTTCAGGTAAGCTTCAAACGAGTCTCGACGGCCTCTGTTGGAGCACGCAATTCCTTTGAAGCTTGCAATTGGTCATTTTCCTCGGCTTCTGCCGTCTCTTCCGCCATTGACTGAGCTAAGTCAGCCTCCTCTGCAGTGAGGGCAGGGAAATGTCGTCCTCGGAATCCATTTGCTGTGGAAACTCTCGAGCTTGCTGTGTTGAGCTGCGGTGGTTCGGAGATGCTGTTTCCTGGTTGTGCTGATTCTGAGTGTGAGATCGCTCTGAGCCTCGGACCGGCGACTTCATAGTCATAGTTGTGGGTGGGCAGAGGGTGGGAAAATATATGTAGGCCCGACTGAGGCTGACGTGGGACAGAGCAACGCTGTCAGGCGATTTTGGAGCCGAAAGCGCCGAGGTCGGAATAGCCTGACGTGCGTGATAAAGGGTGACATAAGGGAGCTGCACAGGTTCCCATTGAGCGATGAAGCACCGATACTTGCCGCACTTGCCGGACGTATCCTGGCTGGACTTGCGAGAGCTCTTGGGTATTCCACAAGGTATCATCTATTTACAGAGCGAAATGCTGGACGATGGCACTGGGTGGGCCCTCAATGGGGAAACTTCACTATACTGACGGAACATCGCAGCACGCCGGCGCAGAGAAGAACCCGAACAGGACAGGAAACGCATTGGCTGGGCCCTTGACGTGCCCCAGCCCCTCGTCAAATGCAAAGAGTGCGGCCGAATTGTGTACCGAGCTGCTTTCCTCGATCATTGGGGTATGTCGCCGAATTAAGGTGGCTCGCACGATGCCGAGGTGCCGGCAGGTCAGAACGCTTATTGTAGCTGGGATGTCTGTGTAGACGTTTGTAGTGCTCCAGAACCAGTACGCCAGATTGCGGTCGTCATGGACGGAACGAAACCAGACGGTTCGCCGGCGCCCTCCGCCCCTGGCACACCGTCTACGAAGAAGAGGAAACTGCCACCGGTTGGAACGCCAGTGGATGGTATGTCATATGCATTATACAGCGGCTCTGCAGTGTCACTTTCAGAGATTGGAACTCATACCGGTTTCTCAGACGGATCAGAAGCCGGCGATAGGGAGATACCTGCTAAAACCGCAAAGGTTGCTGTGCGGGCCACAGCTCAACAGAAAAAGGCTGCTGCCCAAAAGGAGGCTGCCCAAGCAAAGGCAAATGCTGCGAAAGCAAAAGGTATGGATGAGACACCTGAGACTTCAAGCGTACTGATGTCGAGAAGAGCCTGGGAGATGTGCTTGTTTCCGGAAACGATGAACTCAAATTTCGCGTTTATAGGAGTCCCCACATTGGATGCCGACATGGATAGGAACTGTGGGGTACAATTGGCGGATGGCACCAGGTGCATGCGTTCGATAACCTGCAAAATCCATACCGTCGGGCAAAAAAGGGCCGTAACGGGTCGGTCGCAACTGTATGATGTGTTGGTGGCTGAATGGCATCAAGTTCAGAAGGAAGAGAAGAAGAAAGAGAAAGGAAAAGGTGCTGTTTTGGGGTGGTTAGCCCGTCTTCATCTTGTTCGGGGGCGATGCCATGTCTTTTAAGACTTCTTGTTCACATCTGCCTTCGCCCCTCCTCCCATGTTTACCAGGCGACCTACGAGTTGGATCAGCAGCAAATTCACCACATACCCTCGCTCGCCCAAGCGGCGCCATCCCCGTTGCAAGCTCCTCGACCGCGCCGCTCGAACCACAAAGCCTCACCAAAGAACAAGAAGCAGATTACGTCTTCAACGCCATCCGTCTGTACCAGCCTCAGCCCTTAGCGCAGCCGCCTCATCATTCGCACGTCGAGAGCTTCAAGGCGTGGAAATACCATACGGCGTTGAAAGCGGCATTGGGGCGGCAATGAACCCCGTTCTGCAACTGACGCCATTGCCATTCTTCATTTTTGGAATTGATATCCCTTTATTTTCAAGTTTTTGGTACTGTCATCGTATGACTGAGTTAGACATAAGGAGTCGGCGACGTCATACTTACTCCGATGTACACATGCATCTTGCATTCCGCCATGCCATTGTGTGGCAGTCATGTAAATGTCTCATGTCTCCTCATAGAGTTTCACTGGTACTCAAAAAGCAGAAGAGACGCATCACTACAGCAATGTTCCGAAGTTCCTCAATGAGCGTATCATATTGTAGATTATGAGACACGCGAAGGGTGAAACCCCTTGACAGCCCTCCGGAATACGGCTGATATACGACGACAATCGTGGCTTCAGTGAATCCACAAGCGGGCGAGATCAATAAACATACAATGACAGCCGCAAGCGACGTGCATCCCGTCAGATGTCGATCCCCTGCCCCTCCAGATACTCCTTCAGCCTCTTCACGACTTCGATGAGATCCTTCTCGTTCAACCCTTGCACCGCCATTTCGACTATGCTCCCGACCGTGATTCCCTTGTACACCCCCACAAAGCTTCCAAAGTACATATAGCTGAACATCCCCATCAGGAACTGGCAATCCATCCTGTCTGTGATTCCACCGTGGCCCGGTATGGAGTCTCCGAAATCCTTGATGTTGAACGCGCGTTTAAATCCAGAGGCAAAGAAGCCTCCGAAGGGGGCAACGACCGAAGCGAAGATGGAAAGGGTGAGCGAGTGCAGCTGCATAGGGTACAGCGTGACCGTACGGAAAGGAACGCCGGCGAAGGGAAACAGGAAGCGCAGCAGACCCGAGAGCATCGGCGGGAAGCGGTAATCCGTAGACAGGAATACCGGGTTCGGCGTGCAGGATGCACCGGAAAATGAGTTGGTTTTGAAGTCGCGCATAGGACAGTACATGTACGGGAACTGCGATAGGAAAGCGGAGAAAAACCAACCGAAGATCACAGTCGTGAAAAGAGCGCCGAGGAATCCCTCCCAGGTCTTTTTCGGACTCAGCGCGATCAGAGGCGTGCGGCCGAAGAAAAATCCGAATACGTAGGCGGCGATGTCGTTCCAGATGACAAGCGCTGCTGGCAGGAGGAACCAGATGAGGCCTTCGAAGATGTTCTTGATGATGAAGTTGGATTGGCAGACCACAATGAGCAGAACCATGTGGGTCCATCCAAATTGGGAGAACTGGAACTTGTAATGGCCCTTTTTGAGGTTGATGACGAACATCACCACGCCCAAACAGTATAGGCAGAAACTGATAAAACGATGGTGGGATGCCAGCGGCATGAGGAAGGCGTCAACGAAGACGTAAGGCTTGAACCGTTCGATCAGAGTTTCGCCGTACAGAAAGTAGTTGGTCGAGAACAAGAAGTACCAATGTGCGAATCGATTCCATGGTAATCTCTTCTCCTTGGCAGGCGCGACTCCAATGGAAATGACTTCCTTATACACCAGCGTCTGCAACACCACGACCAGCATGATGACCCAGGCATGGCCAGCGAGTAACACACCGAAAAGCAGGCCAATCATAACAAAGGTCCATGTGGTGCGAACGAGTGCATTGGCCCATTTTTTGTTTTTGTTCTCGTCGACGAGGAGAGTGACGTTGCTGCTCGCGGCACTGCTGCCCGTGCCATTTCTGTGTTGCGCGTTGCCGTGACTGAGATAGCTGTTACTGCCTTGTGGGGTAGTGAGTTTCCCGGTCGTTGCGAAGGTGTTTTCTGCCTGGTGACTTGATCGGCGTGATTTGCTTTGTTCGTCGGTGAGAACCTTAGAACCGCGGTGGCGAGTCGACGCAGCGGTGAGGTACTGGGACGAGTCCTCAGGTAGAAGATCAGGGAGGGATTCTGCATTGCCGGTTTGATGCCCAGCCGCCTTCTTCTTCGTTTTGCCCATTTTCGCAGGTGATTCGTTGAATGTGAAGTGAAAGCGTGTATGATCTAGCGAAGGAGCTCTCGCAGCAGTGAAATGCCTTGCTATGTGTTAGTAAGGTTTGCGGTCCCACGCCTGATGGTACGGCGAGCGCAGACGAAAGTGAACTCGGTGGTTGTGGAGAAGGAGGTTCTCTGGGAGGAAACGGAGTGGTCGGTCAGCACTCAATCCTCCTGGGTCGAACACCATTTCGGGGGGAACTTCCGAGACTGCACTATGTACTTACTTATTTTGGTGGCGAACAATGAGACGGTGAGTCTACCAAAGTCGGCAAGTGGGTGGATGAACAATGGTGGCGGATGTGGTTGTGGTGATGAAAGTAAGCCACTGGGTGCACATTAGGATGACCCTGAGCCTTGAGGGGAGCTGAAATGCATTACGCGGCAGCAGACGCTGGCAGACGGAACCTCGTCATTTTCAGATTAGGGACTTTTCTGCATCCCCTCGGGCCTCCACCTTCGCATGTGAGATGCCCGGCGCCTGCCACCCGGCCCTGGGGCCGTCCACAAGTGCTCATTCTAGGCGCCGTCCTCAGGTGTTCATGCGTATGTCATAGTCCTATCCTATTAAGTGGGGTAGTATCCGTACGGCTTTGTGGCCAAATGCTGGCATTTGGGCATTGTGACAGGGCAGAATCCAACATTGCCCGACATAAAAGCATTAGCAGCGGGTGTTGTTGACGGTTATGAGCATGGTGCATCGCAACCATATCTCGTGGTACATATGTAGCTGCTCGATTCTGGAATATAAGGTCATACTGTTTTCCACTTTGAAAAGTCGTTTGGAAGGGCTGATGTGCCGCCTACAGCAATTTGGCATATATGCACGAAGGCATCCCGAAGCGCTCGGCGGGCCTCCTGAATGCACAGAAGTGATTTGCATGCCGGATGGATGAAAGGTGCATCAAATGGCAGCGTAACATTCAGTAGGCAGAAATGTGGGATCGGATAGTTATCCCTTACCGCCCGCGCATGAAGCTGCAACAGACTGAGGATGGAAATGAAGAAGTCGACTCAAAGTCAACATATGATTTCAAAGAAGTGTTACAAAGACAAAGAGTATTCACGGACGATACAAATGCTCCCAAAGTTACAACTACAGACTGCAATCGAACTAGTATAACAACAAGTATGCAATGGGGAATCCCAACAACGAAACGGAAGATACAAAATGCAAGAATGTTATCATGAAATATCTGCTGAAGGAACATTTGATGCACCCGAACCAAAGGTTCAAAAAAGTGCGACCTTCCGACTACGGGCTCAAGCGATCGGCGGGACACCAACCGGCGCGGTGTGCGCAGCAGTGCGCTTGCCAATGGGGCGCCAAGCGTAGAAAAGCTCAACGTTGAGTTGGGCCAGGTTGCGTCGCTCGCGAGCCGACGGCATTGCTGCTCGCCGGCGGGGCTTGGGGGCGGAAGGCGCGGTTTTTTGCTGCTTGGCAGGGCGATCGGGTGATGGTTGGGCCTCAATGTTGGTGAGGGACCCACGCTTGAGAACGGTGTCGCAGACCGGAGGCTTGGCAGCGAAGACAAAGGATCCGGCATGAGCTCGGGGATCGCAGGCGGCGAAGCCGAAGACGGGCAGGGCGGGAGGGGCTTTGTTGGCGCCGTCCATGCTGATGGCGCTGTCTCGGCGCATGGTCGCGGCAAGCATCTTCTCAGCGGGAACCGAGTTGGTCCAAGTCGAGGCTTGGAATAAGGAAGAGAAGTTCTGCTGAATGGTTGCAGTCATTGTTGGAACTTCTGTGATTTATGTTTTGATCAAATTGGTTGTGTTATGACAGAGAATTCCTATTACGGTGAGGAATGCTGTGTGATGGGATTTGATCAATGCTTTGAGGTTTGACGGAGGGGATGGAAGCCTCTGTCCGCTTTATATAGACGGCGAAGGAATCCGAATGATCGAGGGAAATCCACATAGTCCTCTTGAATCGTGCGGAATTTGTCAATACGAGAGACGTACACGCAAGGATCCACCAGGGCAGGAGCGATTAGGGCCAGGGTAATGTGGCGGCTCATTGGCGGGAAACCAGTGGGTGCAGACTATGACTCGGTTGCGTCAGATGCCCACGCTCCGAAATGAGGAAAAGCCCTGCTCACATGCTGAAAGTCACTGAAAAACTGCGAGCCGCGCTTTCAATGGACGAACAATCTGAGGTCGGGATAGTCTTACTGACCAGGGCTGGATAAATATATTGGTCCGTGAAGTGTGTAGAAAGTAAGCTTTGTTTTCAGTGACTGTGAAACGACCCTGAGATTGCAGCAACAAACAAATGGTTGACTAAGGTCTTATCACGGACGGGGTGCTGTGCACGTTCTAGCTTGAGATAAGCTTGGGAAAGAGTTGCGTTCGTCTAATGCCTACATGCGGGTCGTGGAAGTTTAAACTGCTGTCGGTTCGACGTCGGACTTGGTTACGTAACGGCCCAAACTCGCTGAGTCGGGCAGGTGAACTCACTCCCCGCCGTGGTTCTAGGGAGGGCGGATCCTTTCATTTCACTATGGAAATGGTAGCCTACTCAGCCGCATCATCACTAACGTCCCAGTAAACATTCCTGCTCCTCGAGTGTCTCGGTGTCTTACTGGGCCGTACTGTCAAAAAAAATGACAGGAAGTTTCAGGCCATCCAAGTGTTCGGTTCCCGGTCAAGGATGTTGCACTTTCGATTTCGGTTCTGCCAGCTATACGGGACTTTTGACCAAGTCGCCTAGTTGAACTCGGATAAAGTGAGATGCAACGGGAGGGCAGAATGTATGCGATGTAGGCAAGAACTTGCTACATCATTGATAGTGTTTTGAGACGGATGCTTGAGCAGGCTGCGACGTCACAATATCGCATTCGGTCCTCGCCGGGCCCCCAGAAGAATAACATCAGCGGGGCAAACGTGAATGTACGAAGTTCAGAGGCATATCGGTATATTCGAATCAAATTTACTCTACCATACACAAGAAGGTGCTGACACGGAAAGGGGTGCCAGAATCTGTATTTAGAGCGCATCCGTTGACTGCATGTAACCGGGGTATGATCTTACGCGAATTTTCCTTCTTCATTTGAATTTGAAGTTCTATCTGCGACGGGCCGATTGTGCTGCCGGGAAACCCTGGATAAGAGGAGGAGTGAAATAAGCAAGGCGGAAAAAGCTATCAAAACCGATAGGTACGACTTACCGCACGGTCCCGTGCAGGATTGTCAAATTGAGGGGGGTAACCACCACTGCGATCTTGACGTCCCAAAGAGGAAGGTCCTCTGTCATCGAGAAATTCTGCATCTCGAGGGGTTCGAGGGGCCTGGGTGAAGGTAAAAGAAGATGATCAGCCCGAATCCCAGCCCCAGACCGACGGCGCGACGATTGCGCGAACGACTCCTGGAAACTCACAGGTCGAGGATACGGCTCCATGCGAGCTTCACTGCGCCTCGCTGCAATATGCGATTCGTGCACCGGCCGGCCACTGTCAATAAAATCGCAATTAGTGTGAGCTGTGGGGATTCAGGACCGGCATATAACAGAAGCCGCGTCGGTCAACTGACCTTTCATTAGGCCATGGGCGGCCGTCTCTTTCCTTCGGTCGAGCAGTTTTATGATAACCCGCTTGGGCAGCCTCCCCAGCCGCTGGGAAAGTTCGAGGAGGAGTTCGCGGTCGCGCCGGCCCCGGAGGGGCGTGGGCATGGCCTCGATCCGCCCTTGAATCTGGTGTATAAGCAGGAGTCTGCGCACTCCGGGAGTGGTCGCGATATTCAGCAGGGTCTGGACGGGAGAGGCCCGGTCCACCTGACGGCTTGCGAGGACTCACTGTCGACTGCGCCGGAGGGTGGTAGGAATCCGACCGGCGTAAAGTTTCTTCTGCCGGGTGACGACGTTGAGATCGCATGTCTTCGACCGGCACAGGTAAAGGTCGCGGCGGACGGGTTTCGGACGCACTCAAGGGTCGCCCTCGTCTGTCATCGTCCCATTGCTGCTCTCGGTGACCTTGTTGAGAAGACTCACGCGGTCGCAGGTCTTGCGATGATGACTGACCGAGGTGCCGGCGCTCAGATTCTTTGGTGTGCGGTGGAATTTCTACGTTTCTTTGTGGATATGGTTGGGACCGACGGTTCTCCTCGAAGCGTGCGTTGCCGGAATACGACGGTACCCCGTCCCCACGATCGACGAACGGGATATCTGCGCGGCGATTGGGATCAGCGGGGTGGCTTGGAGCTGGTCGTGCGTGAGAAGGCGGAAGGCGCTCTTGTGGTGACATCGCTGCAGGTGGTATGTGCCGATTTGATTCGCGGTTAATCGGGTCGCTGGATCGTGGGTACTCGGCTTCTCGCACGTCCGGTCTTCCAGGTGGGTATGAAGTGCGGCGTGTGCTTTCAGGCGGATGCGCTGTCATCTTACCACGTTCCCAATTCGAGTCTCGCCGAGAGGGCGGGTGGTCGTCGCGAAAGCTCTCCCTACGCAAAGGCGGCTGCATTGGTCGAGACGGAGCTGGAGCACTGCCCGTATCCCGGGGAGGTACAGGTGCTCGCCCGGGCTCGCGTCTGTTTGCATCATCCCGAATAGCCCCGGTTGTCCCAGCCTCATCTCTTCCCCTTGCCGGATGTGCCCCCAGGGGGGTCTCGGTGGTAAGTGGAGACGGTTCGCTATGCAACGGCCTTGGCCGGCGTTCGGGAACTTCCGTAGCATTTGCCCCGGAGGAAGTGGCTCGCCTCCCACCGTCTCCACGTCTAGAACCTCGCGGGGGCCTCTCCCTCACTCGAGATTCTTGCGGCAGCGAGGTGCGCTGAGGATTGATCGCATTCTCAACGTAGCTGAGGCGCGATGGATGTACGGCAGGACCGACGGAAGGGGCGACATGGTGGTTGCTAGGCTCTCTTTCAGCCGCAAGGTTCACTCGGCGTGATGCTTCAGGGGTTGGGCGGGTATCAATTGGGTGCGGACGCCTACGAGACGTTTGAGATAAGTATAGGGCAAATAGCATCTCAATATGCTAGAAGCCATGCCACAATAACATACATGTCTTGAGCGACAGCGTGAGCATCGCTCACTTGAATACCCTCCATTGGCACATCAGCTTCGAGTTTGCGCACTGCTGGTCGCGAAGGGGCAAGGGCACAGTCGGCATCCAGGACCTTGCAAAGAATAACGCCCACATCTTTGGAGAGCTCCTGAAATCGAGATGTCAGAATAGCAAGCTCAGAGCTAAACAACTGCTCTGCCCGCGCAACTCACCTCCTTCATAGTGAGTTTGATGTTACTTCCTCCCTCGATTTGGCGCAATGCTTCGCGCACTTTTCCTTGGTGAACGTCCCCCCTGCATCAAAAACTCAATCAGCAACATGACTCGAGTGCAAGTTCGAAATCGCTAGACCCACGTTCGTATCCATTGCACGCCAAAGGATTTCGCTCCATCAGCGACGTCTCCACGTTTATCCGCTTTCGCCTCTGCTGTCATCAGACCATATCCTACGATAAGGGCATCAATATCTGATACGCGCCCGAATGGAAGGTCACATGAATATGTCCAACCTTGAAATCGTCTACTATTTTCCACCGTAAAGACGACGAGGATTTCATGACCGGACTGGATGCAAATCATTTCAGTATGCTGGGAGCACTCTGGCATTTTTTTCAAAACAATACCTGGAAAGCGCTGTTCAGTAACGAAGACTTCGCATCGCTAGCGGAGAAAGTGCCCTGAGACATTCAAAGTGAGACAGTGAGCATATCGGAAGCACGGGCGGGGAACGGGCGGGTAATGTATGTACCTCTTCCTGAGATTTCTTGACCGACTCGTAGTCCGGAGCCGATAACAAAAAGTATCTGCTGGTCTTCGCTCGAGCTCCCCCAGGTTCCTCTATGATTTCAAGCCTGATTTTGAGCGTGTGATCTCTCCTCGGAAGCAGCGACTTGACACCACGCACCCTGCATCCTTGATGTAACCGCTCCTCGCCCTTCCTTTGCACCGGGCGAGCCTCGAATTGCGTCGTCGTCCGCTTCGAGTCCGCGTTTCCGTTTGTCCCCGGCGTGCTGGTGTCCATGGGTATTGGCTGAACTGTCTTCAAATCTCGGACCTAATCGCTGGGTGATAGCAGAGGGCCGAGTGCCTCCACTCAATCCCTCTGCGCCTTCGGGCCCTCGTCTGCTTCGACGCACTTCTGTTCGAGCCTGACCACCGGAGCTGTTTTGATTGTCGACTACGGGCCGTGCAGCTAGCGGTATGGCTTCTGCATCAGCGAGTTCAATGCCCAATGCTCTCAATCGGTCGGGATGCACCATCGGGGCAGGAGGCCCAGTTGTTTGCGATGTAGACTTGCTGGTGAGCGCTGCCGAGTTCACCTGCTGTTGATGGGTGGGGTGATTATGGTGAGATCGTGCACCCTGCATCCCAAGTTTTGCCTCCTTCAAAAGGAAGCCGACTAGCCGCTGCCTCATCCGGTCCCCGGCCAAAGTGCTCCACCGCAAACATCAGCTCCAGGCTAGATTTGCACTCGCAACCCTTTGTCCAACGGTGAGCCCGCCCTTAACGGTTTTGAACTGTGCGCGCGCGCCGTATGACGTCCTCATTCCAATTAGGGATGCCGTCAGGTGTGCGAGAGGTGCGCTTCCGCCTAACCAATCCGACGCCGGTCGCTCCTTCCACATCCTAGCTTTCCAAGTAACATACGAGTCACGTTTGGCTCAGGGGAGGGGGGGAGCGACAGCATGGATGGTCCCACGGTAAGGTACACATCGTGTGCTAACCCGCCGGATCAGAGGCTCGCCCATCTCAAACGCGCACAAAGTCTCGATAACGAGACAATCGAGCTCTTCTTCCAAACAAGTGCGTTAACGAAGTATGTACCTTTTTTGCCAGGGTATCGTCAACGCCACGAGGATTAGGCTCGTCCTTTGATCGGGTGTCTCTCGGGTCGGATCGATTCGACAGCTCTCGCTCCGCGTCTCTGCTCACCGGTAGGTCGTTTCCGTATGCTGATCGTGCTCTCCTTAAATCATCTCGGGGATCTCGGATCCTCTCCGCTCGGTCAAAGGAGCGATGAGCACCCTCGTGACCTCGAGTGTTAGCAGGTGCCCGGATTTCGGGGCTGGAAGGCCCATCGCGTTTCAGATCGCTAGCTGACTGGTCCCTAGACGTACGCAAACGGGAATGGTCTTCACTCAGCGAATCACGGCGGCGCAGATCTGCTCCAGAGTTCCGACGTCGACTCGATCCCTCCGAAATTCGCCTGCTCTCCGGAAGATCGCCATGCCTACGCCGGTCTTCAACGAGTTTCTCCCGATCATATGATGCATGATCCCTTGCCAAGGCTGACGCCGGATCTGTGATGAGATTTTCTAGCTTCAGCGGACAGCTCACGCTTCCAAGATCTGACTACCCACGCTAACCTTGCGCATCTCCGGAAAGACGACGTGCCGACAATTGTGAATCTCTGATTTGCGTGGGTAGGTTCTCCGTAACCTCGCCTTCCCGATGTTTTCCATTCTGCAGCGCTCTCGAATCTCTTGCACTGAAGTTTTCATATATGCGTGACCTATCGCGAGTAACATCCTCTTGTCTGTTCGATGAACGGCGGTCACTGTACCGCTCCCGCATTTGCTCCCGCTCCTTGTTCTCGCTATCCCGGGGCCAGATCCTATCATCACGCTCGCGCTCGCGCGGGCGTTCCCGTTCTCTTTCTTGAGGTCTCCACGAATCAGGTTCATTCCGTCGCCTAGACTCACTTCCCGGTCCTTTCCTGTCGTCATCCTGAGGGCGCCACAAGTCGGGTTCTCTGGTGATTCTAACTTGCCGCGGAGCAGATGGCTCCTTTTCGAGCTCTGCGCGCCTTACGCCAGCCCGAGGATCACTCTGATCTGTCGACGGACGGGCTTCTCTCGAATCCAATTGCCGTTCAGGCTTGAAGGCTCGATCACGTTCTTTATTGAGATTGTCATTCGCGGACCCATCGGTGATTCGCTGATGATTGTCGTCGGACGATGGGGGAATTGATGATTCTTGTGGCTTAGAGACTGGCTCCTCTGCTGACTCGGATTGAACGGACGTTTTCTGATTTGGAGGATCCGTTGGCTCAAGTCTATTGCTGGAAGCGTCAGCGGCGGTTCTCCCTACCATAGTAGCTTCATACAGTTCACATACCTTTCACGGGGACTAGCAACCTCCGAATGTGCTTGCTTTGCATCGTTGTCCTCAAAGTCAAGCTCGTCATCCTCATTTCCCAAGATATCGTCCAAGATGTTGAACGAATCCATTGCCCGGAGATCACGTTCCTCCACCTGAACAAAGAAAGGCTTCGTTGAGCAAGGAAGCCAGTTTCCAAGAAGCAAGTGAAAACCAATGAGAGAGCGTGGCTTCTAGTATACAGGGAGAAAGAGGCCTCGAGGCTCGCAGGCAGGCTCGCAGGCAGTCAAAGCGCACTCACACGTTTGCAACGGAGGCTAGTGAACTCTTCTTTCCACAAACTTCCACGCCGGCGTCAGTCAGCCCACTGGTGTGGCGTACAACTTGGCTATGAGGAGTAAAATAGAGAGCGATCCACCTCAGCGTGTGGAGTATATATGTGGCGAGGACGAGCTGATGAGCGTGCGATGTCGCTCTTTTTCGCACTGAGGCAGAAACAGAGAAACCTGGCTGTCGTCCTTCTCACCGCGGAACCCATGAGCGCAGTCGGCCCAGCCGTGTTCCACAGTACATTAAGATCCATCCCGGATTCTGATCATTCGCGGCAGCAAAGGGCCCATCATCCTAAACATCGTTTTAGCACGCGTTTCCTAAATACTGCAGTCTACATGCGATAAATACAGGACAGTAATTGGCATATGAAACAGCTCCGGACGCTGCAATTTCCCGGATTGCCTTCAATATCAGCACAGCCCGTAGAGCTCTTGATTCCTCTATACCAGAAGGCTCTCTGCCACACCGCTTAGTTGGTCACTCGATATAGTCGCTGCAGCTAGATTCGGTCGCTCTGTTTTCGGGGCACATCTCTTGTTTTTCCAAGTTCAGAACCAGTGTCCTTCCTTGGCCGGGCCGACGGACACGATGGCAACACAATCAGTTTTACAGCCGCCTCCGGGTTCCGTCTTTGAGGACATTATCAAGCCAGACCAGGACGACCGCTCGTACAGATTGCTGACTTTGGACAACAAGCTCCAAGCTCTTCTGATCTCTGACCCGAACACCGACAAGTCTTCCGCCGCTTTAGATGTCCATGTTGGGCATCTTTGCGATCCTGACGACGTCGCGGGACTCGCTCACTTTTGCGAGCATTTGCGTGAGTTCTCAGTTCCGTTTGAATGGATGTCGGGATGGTGCATTAACAACTGTCCCCGAATATGAACGCGTTCGTCCAGTTTTCATGGTTTGTATACTTTTCCTGGGCCAAGAACTTTCCAAGACCTTGTCTAATTCTGCTTCAACTCTGTTTCACAGGGAACTGAGAAGGTACGCTAAGATCTTCCTCTTGTATTCTCGCCTTGCTATGCAACTTACGCTCTCCGATCACGCGCTACAGTACCCGGTAGAGAACGATTACAACCAGGTATCTTGGAGGTGGATCTTCATCTTAGTCCTTCCATTACGAGCCATCTTGACGCTCTTTGATGTATCAGTACCTGTCAGAGCATGGTGGACATTCGAACGCATTCACATCCGGTAGGTAGAACCACACTTGCACACGTCAAGCACTGCTGACGCGACATGGTGCACACGCTAATTTCTCATTTCTTTAGTGGAGAACACAAGTGAGTGGACGATTGCAGATACCCTTTAGAGCATTCAGCGGCTGAGGACCATGTTGCGCAGACTACTACTTTGAGGTCACCTCCGAACACTTCGAAGGAGCGCTGGATCGTTTCGCTCAATTTTTCATAACTCCTCTGTTTGCGGAGTCATGTACGGAGCGTGAGATGAACGCAGTGGACTCTGAGCATAAAAAGAATCTACAGTCCGACAACTGGCGCCTTTATCAGCTCGAAAAGGACCTCTCTTCTCCGGGGCACCCGTTTCGCAAATTTGGCACAGGTTTGTATGGCATTCTCGGGGATGACTGATCGATACGGGATCTGACCTACCATATTTGCAGGAAATCTGGAGACTCTGCGAGACATTCCACTGCAGAAGGGTCTAGATATTCGCAAAATCTTGTTAGATTTCCATAGCAAGTACTACAGCGCCAATATCATGAAGCTTGTCATTTTGGGAAAAGGTACTTAACGGATTCGGATCTTTGATGAGCAAATGACGTGACGCTCAACAATTTTATAGAGCCCCTGGATACATTGGCTGCTTGGACAACAAGCCGGTTTGCCGAAGTGAAGAACAAAGATATTGCCGTTCCATCGTTTACGGGTCATCCTCTGACACCTGTGGAACTGGGGGTGGGTACAGCATCCGCATGGATTCTTAACTTCGCTTACGCTGACGCCCCCTGCAGAAAGAAATTTTGATTAAACCAGTGAAAGAACTCCGGCATCTGGAACTCACATTCCCTTTCCCGGATACCCGAACGTATTATCGATCTCAGGTTCGTGTTCATGGTTATGATTTCCGAGTCAGCCGAATCATGACGAACAAGGTCTTCATGCCAGCCCAGCAAATACCTTGCGCATTTGATCGGACACGAAGGAGACGGGTCGATACTCTCCTTGTTGAAAAGCAAAGGTAGCCCTCCTGTTGCACACTCGCTTTGAGCTGCGGTCACTACTCATGCGACGGTTATCAGGGTGGGCAATTGCTCTTTCCGCTGGGGTATCCCACGGAGGAATCAATTTCGATTTCTTCAAGGTCTCTGTCGACTTGACATTAGCCGGCGTTGAGCACTACGAGGAGATCGTTCCCATCATCTTTCAATACATCGATATGGTGAAAAAGGACGGTGTTCAAGATTGGATTTTTCAAGAAGTGTGTATGGTGGAGAGCACCTGGAGACCTCTGTCTCGAATGTCATAGTCTGACCTTGACATTTCTCATAGTGCAAGCAACTTGCGACAATGTCCTTCCGTTTCAAGGAAAAGTCGCCTCCTTCTTCATACACATCGAGATTAGCGGGGCACATGCATGAATACCTGCCTGCTGACGTCCTTGCTGGTCCATACTTGCTCTACGACTACGATCCGGATAAGATCAAGATGTGCCTGGACTATCTGCGGAGGGACAACTTCAGGTGATATATAAGCATCATTGTTAGTATCAATGACGCGCTGGAAGGCTGACCTCTCGCGCACAGGCTCACACTCGTGTCCCCAGCACAAGACACAAAGGAGCCATTGACCTTTGAGAAAGCTCAGTGGTACGGCACTGAGTATGCCGTGAGAGATTTACCGGAAAATCTGCAAAAGGTGAGAGGCCGATATGCGATCTACACTTTTTTCATCGCTCTGATCACTTGACTCGGTTGTAGGCGCTTGCGAACAGCGGGGTAAATAATCCAGAGCTCCGCTTGCCGGCGCGAAATGAGTTTATCCCAGAGAAGTTCGACGTCCGGAAAAGCGAGAGAGAGGTAACGTATCCCTTAAGGCTTTCACCGTCAAGACGAATGTCTCATGAAGAAATGGACACGGGCAGCCATTACCACATGCGGAGATCATCAAGGACACCAGCCTCACGCGTATGTGGCATAAGAAGGATGACGTATTCTTGGTGCCGAAGGCCAACGTGTGGTTCCAGTTGAAGAGGTATACAGTTCACGGACAAGCCCACATTTGGAGGAGAGTCCGCTCATGCAGTTCTCTTCCTACTCTGACAGCCCTATGTCATATGTGACTCCTTTGGCATGCACCTTGACGAGAGTTTACACTGACCTGCTGAAAGACGCATTGAACGAGTTCTCCTACTACGCCGAAGTCGCAGGCCTTTCGTATGCTTTGGAGAACAACACGGACGGCATGGTGGTATGTAGGCTGCGACCAACGAAGTACTGTTCCAAGGATACCGCTAATCATTCACACATTCATATTTTCAGTTAATTCTTGGCGGCTACAACGACAAGCTTCCCATCTTACTGACGAAGATTGTGGAGAAGATGAAGAGTCTCAAAGTGGATCCATTACGCTTCAAGTTTATCTGCGAACAGGTGCGCTTGAGTGCTTAAGTGACATTGCCTTACCCGAGTTGTTGGCTGATTCCCATCTTTACATTTAGGTCTGTCGATCATACAAGAACTGGGCGATGGAGTCCCCCCATCAGCATGCCATGTATTACATCAGCCACCTCACGCAAGAGAAACTGTGGACCCATGAGGAAAAGTTGACAGAGCTCTATGGTCCGTGGCAAATGCTCAAGGAGTCAATTACACTTGCTTATGTTGACGCCCTATTTTATTCCAGGTATCAAGGCAGAGCACATTGAGGAGTTCTATCCACATCTCCTGAAGCACATGTATGTAGAAGGCCTTGCACATGGAAACATTGAGGCTGAGGTGCGTAGGAATTTTTGGTTGGATTTCTGATCACGTCGGACAATTCGCTAATCGCTTAACCATTGGATATGTTGCAGACGGCACTCAAGTTGGTGTCCATATTGGAGGATGCTTTCCAACCAAAGCCACTGCCTCACTTCCAGCGGTCTCAGACGCTTCGAACCCAATTGCTACCAACAGGTGGGAATACTCCGATGAGGCTGAGAATCTGAGCCCTGCGACTTACCCTATCATCGTCAGGGATATCATATGTGCACACTCGGGAAGTCCCCAACGCGGACAATCTCAATTCTGCTATTGAATACTACATTCAAGTCGGAGATTTCACGGACACCACGCTTCGTGCTCACTTGAGCCTGTTCAGCCAGATTGCCCATGAACCAGCTTTCGATCAGCTAAGGACGAAGGAGCAGCTTGGTGGGTTTAGCAACGATCTGTAACCATCGCAAGTACTGAGCTAGGCCGTATTAACTATGTTCTGAATCACAGGATACATGGTCTTCAGCGGCCTGCGTAAAAGCACCGGCGCTATGGGATTCCGCGTCATAATCCAAAGTGAAAAGGACCCCGCGTTCCTGGAGACGAGAATCAATGCATGGTTGGACAGCATGCGGGTAGGATGCGGACTGTGTGTGCTTATCGGTTCCGGCGCAGTTCTAACGGTTGTCGCAACAGCAAACTCTCTTGGACATGACTCCTGAAGAGTTCAAGAAACACCAGAACGCGTTGGCGGCGCGGTTGCTGGAAAAAGATAAGAACTTGGCGCAGGAGTCGCACCGGCTGTGGACACATGTATCCTCAAGATATTACAACTTTGAACAGCATGTTGAGGACGCTGCGCGGGTATGTGTGACTGTACCTGATCAATGACAGGCGCCGATTAGGAGTAATGACCGTTGTCCGGTTGTCTTACAGATTCACGAAGTTCAGCAAGCTGAGCTCGTCAACTTCTACGAGGAACACATCGCAGTCGGGTCTGCCTTCCGTCGTAAACTTAGTGTCCACGTCCGCAGCCAAAAGGCGGCGACCACCGAAGACCTGGACGAAGCGGTACAGAACGCAATCAAGGATGTCACGGGTGCGCCCAACACCGTCGTTATCAACGGTGAGGAGATGGCAGCGGACATCAAGGCCACTTGGGAGCTCAGCAAGGGCGCGTTCCCGAACAAGCCGGTCGAGGAATACAAGGTGAAGGAGTTGCAAGCAAAGACAAAGTTGTGAGATGTGCTCATGTCGTTGCTGGAATGAGATGAAACGCGGTCGATGAGCCTGCAGTACCCTACGAGGACATTTGGCGTAGGTAGCCTCTTTAGCAGAGGCCGGACTGGGTGGAGCTTCCATCCTTCTCCCTTCATGTCTATATATACTGGTTCGTTCGATCACACCCCAAAACATTCGGCTGTGAAGAAAATGCCGTTCTTTCGAAAAGCCACCAGGCATTCGAACTTGCCCAGAGCCACACAACCTTTTCATTTCAACTTATGATCAGGAACGTCTTTTCAAACAAAATGAGGAACTTCCGAGCCGAAACTATAGTTCTTTTTTTATCGAGAAAGGAAGTCTGGAAAGTGGATGATAGGCTTATCCTGTCCTACATTATTGGTTCCCAAGAGCCCAAGACTAACTTATAATAAGATTCGCAGCCAGATGCTGTGTTCATTACGACGTCATGGCATTCTGCTTGATTCTCAGACCACAGAGATATATCGGATCGCTGGAACAAACAACGTCGATTCCTTGCAGTAGACTTTCGACAGGTTGGGCAATTGTTGGTTACCAAATAAAGGTTCTTTCCTTTCCGGCAGTCTGGCAGTCGGAAGCTCAAGCTGGACATCCAATGGTCTACCAAGCTCCGTAGCCCGAAGATCTTCCGCCGATCCTTCCGATTTTCGACGGGGGCTCGGCGGGGCGAGAAAATGGGGAGGTTCAACGACCTGTAATAGGGATGCCGCGTTTTTTGGAAGGTCCTTCTAGCAGGATATTCCCGCAAAACCGTACTGTACTCAGAACTAACCCCTCTCGCTCTGCATGCCATTGTGGACTTTATGCGGCTCCCTCACCGCTGCCCCTCACTGCTGCTGCCTATTACACACTGATTTACTGGTCCCACCCTGATAGGTTTATCTTGTCCGCCGCCCCTGTTTCCTGTTATTATACCTGTGTATTTGTCAATCCGCCAGACTCGGCTCGTGTCCGGCGCGCTTCCTTACCAACTCATAACACCTCAGCATGTCGTTTCGCAAGAGGGACCTGCAGGCGGGAAGTGGATCCAACGGATGCGACAGCGACTCCAATTCGTCTCGAGATAGTGGAGGGGGTGGGCGTTCGTCCAATGATGGCTTCATGGGACAAGGGCGGAGCAGCAAAGCCCGCCAACGAAGCCCGCTGCCTTTCACTACAAAAGACAAAGAGGCGGAAGTCGAAGCGAAAGAAGCCACCGACCAAATGGGGTCTGTTTGCCCGGCTTTTGCGTTAGCCGCGGCAGACCCCTCGATGAGCTCTGACGAAGAGACCGGCGACCTTCCAATGGCCATGCCAGCGAACTTTAGCGTAGCGTCACAAAAGCGCGGAGGCCTCGCTGGGAGAAGCTTCTCTGAAGCCGATCCAAAAACAAGCAACATGGGACTGCCATCAGCCTCCTACAGCGTAGCATCGCAGAAGCGTGGGGGATTTGCGGGGAGGACCTTCTCCATGATAGGCGGGTCGTCATATTCCATCGGCACTAATCGGAGTAGCAATACGAGAAAGCCGCCAAAACGGAAGCCTTCACCTTTTATGGTCATTCCCGATGCCCCCCATGTCATTGCTGCGAGAGAGGCGTTGAAACCTAATGCGTCGAATAGCGTTGGCGAACTGGGTCCGAGACCCAGAGAGGGAAGCGTGTTCGATTTAGGAATCGCAACTAGCTTGGCTAGTATCGAAAGTGAAGCTCGTCCGGCGCGTGGAACTGTCGTTGACGAGATCAAGGTCGAAAACGGCGAAGTGTCGGACATGCCAGTCGCAACAATATCGCCAACGGAAGAGGGGTCATGGACGCTGAAACGAATATGCATCGAAGCGGCGACAATGCCGCTCTTGATGATGATTTCGCTGTTCACATATTGTCCGTTTTGCATAGCTGTGGTGGTGCAATCAACTGTGCAGGGACACGCTGTCAACACCGATAATTGGAAAGAGGAAGTTCATGGATGGTCATGGCTGATCGGGCTGACGGTCTTCGGCGGCTTACTCATATACCCTATCCGAGTCGCCGGTTGGCTCGGGAGCATCGAAAATGCCAGCGGCGACGGCATGTCTTTGAAAGTTGGAGGAGTCCTTGCCGCATTTTTATGCATACTCGTAGCGGTGCAGATTCTCACAGCTCAATACGCCTTTTTGAAACCGGGATTAGGCATCGTCACGTTTCCCGCAAACAAGAGCCTTGACCTGCTGCATTGGCGGAACATCCTTCCGCTCGTCTCTCCGTTGTTCGATTTCGTGCAATTCACATCCCTCGCATGGCGGACGAGACCTTCGGACTCATGGGTGTGCGCCTCTCCGCAACTTGGGAGGCTTATGCACATCCTTATTCGTGTATTCACGTTTCGTTTCGCTGCCATAACGTGCGCCTCTATCATGGCGGACGAATCTTCCGCCGCCGCTATGAAAGAAACATTAGGTGGCTTGAATGCAACCGTGGGGATCGACGAAATGCTCTTGTCAACAAATCCGGCGGAAGTGAATTTCGCTGGTGCTGGTGTTGCCTTCGGTTTCTGTACGATATATGCGCTTCTCCTAGGATACGCGATCGCAAAATTGCTGCAACCCGGACATTGGCTCTGCGGAATCGTGTTTGAGATCTTTGCGGGACTTGGTTACATGCCTATTGTCAGCAGACTTCTAGCGTTGCTTTCTTGCCGACCTTATGTAAGTTCATTCCCCGTACGCAACTTGCTCGTAGTCGAATGACTCATGATATCTCTCAGACCCTCTCCGACGGCAAGAAAATCCTGTATCTCGCTGATTCCGACAATAGCCTAGTTCGAACACAATGCTTCACCGGCGGCCACAAGAAATGGGGAGGAATGGCCCTCGCGGGCTTGCTGTTGTTTGGGCTGTCTGCGATTTTCGTGGGTTCATACAAAGGTTGGTGCACCCATACAAAGGTTGGTGCACGTAGTTTGTTGGTATAACCATGGATGCTAATCGAGTGTGGCGCTCCTAGCCGATAAGCATGTACGTCGATCGGCGGTAACGTTTATACCTCGTATCGTCGTCGTTCGACGTTTTATGACGTCCTTTCTATTGTGTGAGTTGTGGAGGAACTCGCCCATTGTTCACTGCGTACTTGGATTCCATTGGTTTCTCCCATCTAAACTGGTTCATTCCTCTGTACATAGTCATCAATCTCGTCCTACGCTACATTATCGAGGACGATGTGTACCTCTCCTACGCTACACAAGCCACCGGCATCATCATCTTGTCCGGCCTCATCTTTATCGACGTCTATTACAACTCTTGCACCTTCGATGAAATCCGCATTCTAGCGCTGGGATCCCATCTTGCGGGGCTATGGTCGTACATCGCCGTTCTGCTCGTGACCACGAAACGAGTGAGGGACGATACAGGCGCCTTGATGATGTTCGTCGGGTGGTTGGCTGTCCTCTGCAGTATCGGCATCAAAATGTACTTTGTTCGCCGGAAAAGCAAGGCAGACTTCGAAGCTCTCAAGAGTTATCCCCACGGCAACGGCGCCGAAGAAGGGAAAAGCGTAGGCTTCTCCAGCCAGACCATGGTGTTCAAGGTCGTCACTCTCCGTCGTCGGATCCAAGTCGCCATTGGCGCGGGATACGAGGACGAAGATATCGCCATCGCCGCCGCCCTGCATCGGGAGCGTCATCCCGAGGACTTCCAAGGGCAGGATGAAATAGAGGAGAAATTCTCGAGCGCCTTCGGTGAGGGGCCACCCGACGAGGTCAATAACATCCTTGTTTCTGCACCTGTGGACGAGACCGAGGCCAGCCCATCGTGGGAAGATGATGTGCTTACGCCCGCAGAGACGAAGAGAGTGTTTAGTTCAACAAATCTAGAGAATCTGGACCCTTGAAATATTCGTAACACCAGACATTTTTCCAGCCTCCTCATGTGCTTATCTTTTTGGACAATTTTTTAGACAGCGCACGTTTAATACATATATACATAGCTAGTGCTATCATACATCTATGCTAGCAATCGCGAGTCTACCTACGTACTTGGGATGCAGCTCATCGATCATCGAAAGCCCGCACTGACATCGGGATACACGTCAAACCGCCTCTGGGTAGTCACCGGAATCGCCTGCCGTGTGGAAGCGATCTTCCCCAAATCTACATCAGCATAGACAATATCCTCCTTCCCATCCGTCGTTCCAATCACCGCTCCCATGGGATCTACAACGGACGAGTGCCCGTATGCAATGTAGCCTGCACCGGCATCTCGTGCTGGTGAACATGCTGCGGTGTAGATCTGGTTATCGACCGCTCGAGCACGCAATAAGAGCTCCCAGTGCAAGGGGCCGGTCGTCATGTTGAATGCCCCTGGGTATATCATTGCCACGCAACCTTGGCGGGCAGCTATCATGGCGAGTTCTGGGAAACGGATGTCATAGCCTGGTGGTTTGAACGGTCAATTTGTCATCATCTTGCCATGACATGTAGCCGCAGAATCCAGTGCATGTGGCATCACAACTTACATATTCCAACACCAATCTTTCCAAATATGGTATCCACTACAGTCACTTTGTTGCCTGCACTCAACACCTCAGACTCCTTGAAAGTGATCCCTCCCGGTACCGAGATATCAAACAAATGCACTTTTCGATGCACTCCGATCCGTGCCCCTGTAGGATCCCACACCGTACAGGTGTTGAAAAAGCTGCCTTTCGACGGGCTTGATGTCGAACTAGGGGCCTGTTCTGGGAACGATCCTCCAATCAAATATACACCTGCATCTTTAGCCATGCTTTGCAAGGCTTGTGAGGACTCGCCGTCTAGGAGCTCGGCGTATTTGGGGAAATGGGACGTGCCGTATGGTGAGTTGAAGCACTCTGTATATATATCCATGAAACAGTTAGGAACGGTCGGTCGTACTGCCGAACCATGGTAAAGAGAGTAAACAGTAGGCAGAAACGTGATGCAGACCTGGCAAAACAACTACTTCAGCCCCATTCTTCTTGGCTTCCAACACCCTCGTCCTGGCGAGTGACAGGTTTGCTTGCTTGTTCGCGGTGACCAAGAGTTGCACTAAAGCGATCTTGAACGACCTCGCGGTGCTGGAGGCGGTGGCTGCCATTGCCGGTTCGATTCTCTGAAGAAAGGAAAGGTATCTTTATAGGGCTTGACAGTGGGTGTGAGGTACGAGGCCGTCACTGAGCGGTGCGTTTAGGAGATGAGACCGTAAAGAATTTTGGTAAGGAGCGAGAATGTCGGAGGACTTCCCCGCCTTCAAAGCGAGCATTCCCCTCATGCCCCCATGCCGATTGAGACCACGGCCTCGAACAAGCTTCGAACGAAACATAATTTATTCACATAAGAGCATAGGATATTAGGAAAGTAACAAAAAGCCAGCGGTCTCTAAGTGCCCATCGTCTTCCAGTCGCCCACTAGCAGCCCATTAGGTTCCCATCCCGGCTCCAGTCGATAGTGCCACATTTCCTACCCCATACCCCAACACCGAGACCACAATGGGTCGCCGCAAAAACTACATCTCAGACGACGGCGACAGCTCCGGAGACGACGAGCGTAGCAACGGACGCTACCCCAACGAAGAGCCTGGCGTCGCCAACGCTGATCTAGCAGAAGAAGCCGCGCTGTTCGCGAACCCGTATGGGCACGGTCGAAAAAGGCGGCGGGGGAAGGAGGATGCCATTTACGGCGTTTTCGGAGAGAGTGACGAGGAAGGGGATAAAGCGAGGTCTGGAGGGAGAAGTGGAGGTCGGGGCGGGAGGGGTGGGAGGTACGTGACGGGTGTGAACTTCGTTTCAGCGAAAGCTCCGCCATCACGCCGCCAGGACGACGAGGACGAGGATGAGGATAAGGACGAGGACGAGGATAACGAGGAGGGGAGGCGGCAAGAAGATGACGATGATCCGATGGACGTGGATGAAAAGCCATCGTTTGGTGCAGGCCTGGGATTCGCATCACATGGAGACGAGATGGAGGACGCGCGGCCAGGATTTGGGGCCGCCAACGGCTTTGGACTCGGTTTTGGTAGAGCGGGCCTGGGGGCATCGACGTCGAATGAACAGAATGCAGACACCGATGGATCGAGTACGGACTTTAGGCCAACTATGGGAAGCTTTCCAACTGCGTTCGGCAATCAGAAGAAGTCAAAAGCACGGACAGAAACTGCATCGCCAAGGTCATCGCCCACGCCTGCGTACAGGGCGCCTCGCCAACCGGTTGACAGAGACTTTGGAAGATTCGATACTTCTGGCATCGCTGCCAAGATGATGGCGAAGATGGGGTATAAGAGGGGAGAGGGTCTCGGAAAGTATGGAGAAGGAATAGCAGCCCCAATCGACGTGAAGCTGCGGCCGACACGAGCCGGACTGGGTCTGGTAGACGAACGAACCGATGCGATCAAGAAGGAACAGCGAGAGAAAGCCCTTCAGGAAGACGACAGCGATGAAGCAGACCGGACACCTGCTCCGAAGAAAGAGGTTCGCACGGGACAGTGGAAACAGAACGCGAGGAAGCCCAAAGTCGCTTACAAGAGCGCTCAAGAGCTGATAGCGGATCAGGAAGCGGTGCCAATCACCACGACGGGCGCCACGCAGGCGACCAAAATCCTGGATATGACGGGTCGGGAGGTGCGCGAGCTTGCCAACGTCTCGGAAGTAGCGTCAAGTAGCGCTGCATTTGACGTAACGGCCGCGAGATTGCCTGAGCTCCGCCACAATGTACGTCTGCTTGCGGATATGGCACAGCAAGACTTGCTGCAGATAGGTCGCCAACTACGGATAGAACAGACGAAGAGGAAGCAGTTGGAGAACCAACAGGAGAAGATCGCCCTGCATGTCGAAGCTGAGCGCAAACAAACCGTTCAGCTAAAAGCCGTGATGGAGATCGCCAATGAATGCCAAACGTATTCGAAGCAGTTTACGGTCAACTTCGAGACGGCAAACCTCGAGTCCCTGGTGGCGGCATTTTCGGGACCATTCCAAAAACTGCAGACGACGTATTTCGAGGAGTACAAGACGTATCGGCTGGATGAGCTGGTGGTTGCATCTTTGACGCCGATTGTAAAACGCCTGCTGGCGGATTGGCAGCCACTGTCCGATCCACGATACGGTTCCGATGCGTTCCGGGAATGGAAGCGGCTGCTCATTCTGCCATCCCCATCACACTATGTAAACGGCGGCCGAGGCGAGCCAGATATAGGCAGTGGGTGGATGAGTCCATATGAGAGCATGATGTACAACCTATGGCTCCCCAAAGTCCGGCAAGCCATCAACAACGAGTGGGATCCCAAACACCCGGACGCAGCCATTGCGTTAGTAGAAGCATGGCATCTTCCTCCAACGAGAAACAACGCGCCCGTCGACCTCGATGCGGATAACGACCCCTCTGTTCTTATACCTTCTTGGCTGTATCACAACATTCTCGAGCAGCTGATACTCCCAAAACTGGTGCGAGCGATCGATCAGTGGAATCCTGCTCAGGACCCGCTTCCGGTGTATACCTGGATTCATCCATGGTTACCGCACTTGGCGGATCATATGGAAGGCATTTTCACTACTATTCGGCACAAGTTTAATGTTTCGTGGAGGGATAGGAAGTGGACGCCGGCTGACCCGAGCGCGTTTGAAACGTTGCTTCCATGGCGAGAGGTAGGACATTCGGTTTTGCATGAAAGTCCCTATCCTAACATGTATACTCATGCCATGCACTTCCAGATCTTCCGGCCATCCGACATGGAGTCGCTGGTCATGAAAGCGATCCTTCCCAAACTGGTCGAGACGCTGCAAAAAGACTTCTCCGTCAACCCCGCCAACCAAGACCTAACACCGCTGCAGAACGTGCTAACATGGCGGCCATTCGTCCCCAACCACCTCTTCGTCCACCTCCTCGAAACCGAGTTCTTCCCCAAATGGCACTCGGTCCTCTGGACATGGCTCTGCAGCCCCGGCGTAAGCGGCGAGGAAATCACCATGTGGTACCGCAGCTGGAAAACACAGGTGTTCCCTCCCGATCTCGTGAAGGAGACCGGTATCGCTATTCAGTTCAAGGCTGGGTTGGACATGATGAACCGCAGCATTGAGATGGGTGGGGCGCGTGGACCCATGCCTGCGATGCCACCGCCGATCGCGTTCTTGTCCGAGACGGCCGCTGCGGGAGGGAGGGTCAGCGGCGGCGCAGGCGGGCGATCGCGGATGGGAGCACCCGGCATGTCTGCCATGGACTCCTTCAAGGATTACGTGGAGCGGGTTGCCAGCGAGCATGACTTGCTCTTTGCGCCAATCAACCGCGTGCATCCGACAACAGGGAAGGCGCTGTTCAGGTTGGCTCCTGCCTCGAAAGCGATCGCTGGGACCGGCGGGATCATTGGGTATATGGATGAAGGTGTGCTCTTCATCGAAGACGAGAATGGTGGATGGAAGCCGATTGGGGTGGAGGAAGCTATGAGTTTAGCGGCCAAGAAGAAGCGATAGACATCCCGGCGGCCTTACGTGTATCTATGTGTAAATAGTAATCGCAGCGGTGAGAGAGAGCATCCAGTAGCTCAACGTTGCCTCATGCGCAAATTCGTCTGCTTCATGTTAAGGGTCTCTGCGCAAATCTGGTTTCCTTAAGTCCAGACTGATAGACATCGCCCGTACCCAAAATGACAGGATGAACAGTATGACACCGGCGACGCTGGACATCTCCTCGAAACTCGAAATCGGCCATCCACCAGTTCGCCGCACGGAAGCGATATGCAAAATCAGATTTGGCACTCAACGCACAACACGTTGCTTATTTGTTTATTCCTCAAGAAAAGAATATATGGACAGGTAGAGGGGGTGAGAGGCGGGTGTGAGCGAGAGTAAATAATGGAGTAAACCATTTACGCCTCAGTGAGTTCGCGAACTGCATAGAGTCTGAAGTCAGCGATCGGTCGCATTTGATGAGAAGATGTGAGCAAGGGAAACTTACGACGACGAACAGTGCTGCGAACGGTGGCGGCGGCGGTGGTACCAACAGTCCATGCTCCACCGGCAAGAGTCTTCCTGCAGCCCTTGCACTTCCAGATACCGACAGCTTGCCTCTTGACAGCGTCCTAGCGTTTCAAAAGAGTCCGATGGTCAGTCCCAGTTCCGAACAACCGTTCCTCAGCGCCGCTATCATGCTTCTCGGTATTTCTCGTGAGCAGCCTCCTCCCGAGTACTAGACTCCTCCTAGGTCGATCTCGGAAACAGGACCGTGTCCGCTTTCCTGCTTCAACAAGGGACTGACAAACCGCGTGCGCTGCGTATTCGTAGTCGCCCGTTTCCTCCTAGTCGTCGCCTCTCTCAGGCTGATCCCTCTAATCCCCCCTCCGGCCGAGAGTCAAATGCAGGGATGCTAACCTTTCCGCAGAAAGTGCACGTGTACTTGGCGTGCTGGGTAATTTCCATCTTCTTCACCTGCTTACGCAGGGAGGCACCGTAACGGGTACCGTACTTTCCGGTCACTCCAACCTTCTTGGTGCGTTTCTGTTATGAGGGAATATCAAATGGATGCCGCATGTTAGTCGATGCATTCCCATGACCGTTGAATCGTGCCTTCTCCATGCGTCTGTCGTCCTCAATGATCACTCTGCCACAGTTGTCCCCTTCCTATCTACGGCGCTCGCCCCATATCCGGAATGGCATTCCCGTCGGCATGCTGCCACTCCGACATTACATGAGTCCATTCGGCATTCCCATGTCCCCTTCGTCGACCTAATCCAACATCGGCAAAAATCCATCCATCTCCCTGTTATCCTGCAATCGTCCTCCGCTGCTGCTGCTGCTGCTGTCGACACTTACGGCCATTTCTGCGACTCTTCCAGCGGATGGATGGAATGGATGGATGGATCGAGCAACCTCAAAGAAGGGGTTATTTGCTCCGTGTGGGTGAGGTCGGCCGGGTCCCTCGCCCAGCGCGATTCTGCATTCCAGGAACGCCACTGCAGAACACGCCAGTTGCAATGAGGAAAAATCCGTCGTTTAAAACGGTCACATGCTTTCTCCAGGATTTATATATTCTATTCTCGAGCAATCAGGCAAGGCTTGCTTCATTTGAAGCGGCATTTTCCGAACGACATTCCTGTGACGAAACGAAGCCCCACGACGGCGTAGCCTCTTTGCATAACCCACCGCAAGAACGACGCATAACGACCAGTTCATAGAAGGGGAACGCAGCATCAGCAACAATGACGTCCGCGGCGATAGCAAGCGATGCCTCGCACCACCACACAGCAACGTTGTCGAACACTCCGGCGACGCAACCACGGACCCATTTTGTCATAGGGACAAGACAGTCTCAGCTGGCCATGGTGCAAGCGGAAGCAGTGCTCGCAGCCCTGCAAAAGCAGCACCCAACCTACACATTCACAATCCACGGCATGACGACGAAAGGAGACAAAGTCCTCGACACAGCTCTGTCGAAAATCGGCAGCAAATCGCTGTTTACGAAAGAATTAGAAGTCGCACTGGCGAACGGGACGGTGGACTTGGTCGTGCACTCTTTGAAGGACCTGCAAACTGTTCTGCCTGAAGGGATGACTGTAGGAGCCATGACGGAGCGCGAGGACCCCCGAGACGCACTGGTCGTGTCGATAGCAGGCACCGCAAAGGGTTACATAACCATCGAGGACCTCCCAGACGGCAGCATCGTGGGATCCAGCTCCGTCCGTCGCATCGCACAGCTGAAGAGACGGTTCCCGAACTTGATCTTCCAAGACGTTCGTGGGAACTTGAACACGCGGTTGAGCAAGCTTGATGCGCCGCAGGGACCGTACACGGCTCTCCTGCTAGCGTATGCGGGCTTGCATCGGTTGGGATGGAACGATCGCATCTCGTATGTGCTGCCACCGGATACAATGCTACATGCGGTCGGACAAGGCGCGCTTGGGATCGAATGTAGGGAGGACGATGTGGATACCGTGCGGCTACTTGCACCGTTGGATCACTGGCAAACGAGGGTGCGGTGTACGGCTGAGCGGTCATTCATGCGATACCTAGAAGGCGGATGTAGTGTTCCTTTGGGAGTGTGGACAGAATTGGAACTCGATGAGGAAGGCGTACCGAAGCTGATACGTCTGAAGGGATCAGTCTCGAAGGTTGATGGGTCTATCGAGATCAGGGAAGAAGCTGAGGCGGGATTGACGGGTGAGAGGGTGGCGGATCTGGAGGCCGCAGAGGAACTCGGCAAGCGTGTAGGGGACATGGTCGTCGCGAAGGGCGCCCGCGACATTTTGGAAGACATCAAGCGCCGGAGAGTTGCCCCTCTCGATTAGCATCATCACATTAGTCGCAGAACGCGTATATATAGAGATCGCATCTGATTCACAACTCCTTTTAGATTATGTATCGCAATATCATACGGAGCCCATCTGACCCCACATACGACTGGCGATAATCTTGCTGACTCTGAGGAATCGCGGAATGGCGCGACAAAATACGCTCAATGCGAAGCGCATGCTCTGACTTGGTGGTGGCCTTCATGCAGCAGACGCCTGTGCGTCAGGCGGGGTCGGGAGACTGTGCGGCGTAATCAACGGCACAGTTACGCCGACAGATGTTCCATCCAGAGCCCACTTCCACGCGCGCCACCGAGGGTTACTGCGATCGGATACAAAATTCCAAACCGGCCTCTAAAACCCACTCTCCAACTCCTTCTGGTTTCTCCTCCTCACGTCGACGTCTCTATAATCTACTTCCCCTTCGGCGGCTCAGCATGATGCACCGCCGAGGGCGTCCACTTCCGCCCATGCGCGACCCTCGTCCACTTCGGCACCCAGTGAATGGGCTTGATGCCGTGCCTAAACCGTTTCGATTCAACCCAGTACTTTTGTAACGGTGTCAATTCGTGCTCGCGTGGGGCGCGGCGGGCTAGTTCCTGTTGCAGGGTTGGTCAATTCAGGGCGCTGTCTCAGGATTGGGCGGTTCCCTCCACGTCAAAGCGAAGAGACATACCATCGCTCGTAACTTCACTCCGCTCTCCACTAATGTCTCTACAACGGTATCCACTGCGCGCAATCGTAGTCTGTGTCGGTACTTCTGAGTATCTGTCAGCCGGAATCTCCGCTTCCTGGAAAGTTTCCAGAACTGTAAGAGAACAGCGGTCGGAAGCCGGTATTTACATGGAGCTGACGACCGCCAGCTAGAACCCCAGCACGGCATACCCGGTGCCCCCCACTCCGTTTCTCCAGCGGTCTCACACCTCGCTAAGCGCCTGAGGCTCTCCAAAGCGAATGATTCCCGACATCCCCGTTCTGCCCGCCCTCCTTCCGAGCCTTTTCACAGACAATAGTAGAATACATACCAGACAAGACCCCCCAGCGCCACTACTGTCGACCTGAAAGCACCGAACATCGTTCGTATATCTTATGTGGAGATGACAACTCGTTGGTTGTCGAGTTGTGCTGCAACTTGCTGTTGGTCTGGGTTCTACTCTGCGATCTACCGACCATTCGGAGCTGCGCCACACCCGCGCCACACCCAGTACGCGTTTGTCGGGTGTTCTCGCAGGCTGTTCTCAGACAGCTTGCCCTTCGTGCATGGCCCTGCTCCACTTGCCCACAACACTTCAACTTCAACTTCAACTTCAACCGAGTGTGCCTGTGAGAGTTAGCCTGTTCTATCGGGAAGGCTAGAAAGCTTTTTTGGTGCCTTTCGATTTACCATATATAGAGGGTCTTGTTTGACTGAAGCCGGGAGTTTCGGCGCGACGGGCCAATACGTACAGTACCTAAACACGGCTCATATTCGGTCAACTGTTCGATATAGTCTGATACGCGGTTCTCTCTCCGGACCCACCATTTCGCTGTCATGACCTTACCAGAAGGCAAAGTTCGCCGTGCAGCGAAACGCAAAGCCCTCTCCGCATGTGTGGCAGCTCGGCAAGTCGATAAATTCGAGGAAAGAACTCCCAACAACGACACAGTATCAGACCACCGGTCCTGGGAGTGTTGCGGGGCGGTCTTCCCCAGCGCAGCGGAGATCAATCGGCACGTACAGGCGCATCATCAGGACGAGTTGGAGAAGTTAGAGCTCGGGTTCCTCCGGGAGGACGAAGGTGCTGTTAGCGGCTGGAACGGGGAAGATGGGTCCCGAAAGCACGCAAAGACGAAAGATCAACGATTACCATATACCTCGCGACGAGCACCCAAAGGCCAGTCAGACTCCATAACCCTCCGATGCACCTGTCCGCCCTCAAGCGGCCTTGTTCTGCTCTTTTATCGATATACCCACATCAGGTCCCCGACGCGACTTGCCGAGGAATTCGAGCACCTTTGCGGGGCCCTGGACATGACCGGGAAGATCCGTGTATCTGCAGAGGGTATCAACATCACTGTTGCTGGGAAGACGAATGATGTGGAACGGTTCATTGGAACCGTGAGCGAGTGGGATGTCCTTGCTCGATGCGGGGTGGACAAAGGAGAAGATGGTGAGACGGAGGAGGTGGAGAGCAGAAGACGCATGTTCTTCAAACCCTCCGAGGGCTGTGAGCATGTGTTTGATGGACTAAGCGTCAAAGTGGTGGACGAAGTATGTCCATTTGGCGTCAAAGGGTGGTCTCCCAAAGGATTGATTGTAGAGGACACCAAGCACGGTGCGCACGAAGACGCGGATGGACCAACACCACCTGCCACATCTTCAGGTGCCGAATCTCTCCGTCCATCCGCCTTCCACTCCCTCCTCCAACACGCCCTGGCCAACCCAGAAACTCATCTCATTCTAGACACCCGCAACCACTACGAAACCGCGCTAGGCCACTTTCCCACCGCGCACCTACCCCCGATCCGAAAGTTCTCCTCGCTACCTGAATATATCACCACCAACTCAGAAACGCTGTTTCCCCGCGGGCGGGAGAAGCAGACTGTGCTTACGTATTGCACGGGAGGCGTGAGGTGCGAGAAGGCGGCAAGGTGGATTTGGGAGAATGTGGAGGGGGTGGACAAGGTGGTTATGTTGGAGGGTGGCATTCACAATTACCTGGAGTGGATTAAAGAGGCCGAGCGGAGTGGGACACAAACGAATGCTTCGGCAGACTCATCTTTGCCGCTGAACTCGAAGGACGAGAGTAAGACGGCCTCTACAGTATCGACGGACAGCAAACCCACAAGCCTATTCCTGGGCCATAACTATGTCTTTGACGCCCGCCAATCTCTCGGCTTGGATGCCGCTACGCCGATCACTCACTGCAAATACTGCGACACGGCCACGGCATCTCTTGGCAAGTGCGTTCGCCCCGGATGCCATTTGCTCGTCACTGTCTGTGAACATTGTCAGCAGAAGAGACTTCCTGCTGCGAGTGAATTCTCGCAAGACAGCTGCACTGAGGTGACCGCCGCCGACGGTGAAAAGTCCCAACGGCCGGTCATTTTTTGCTGTGATCTATGTGAAAGCATCGCTTCAGGGAGTCCGAAAGTACAATATGTGGACCCTGGGGCAACAGGCGTAGGTCCCATCCTCTGTCGATGTGAGCAGGTGCGAAGAAGCAAATGGAGGGCACCATAGCAGTACCCAGGGACGCACCTGACAAGGTTCAAGGTTACGGCACCAACTGGCTAGGAAGCTTGCGGTTTACAGTTTATTTTGGATCGGAATGCTATGCCTTCTAGAGTAAATAGTATGTAGAGGAGAGGATGCAACTTTCCAATGGGAATTGTCCCCATCGTTGCGGCGTTTTTTGGATATACAAGGGGGTGGTCGTGATTTGTAGCGCAGATGGAGATACAGACTCATAGCTACTCTCTACAACCTTCTCTTCTTCCTCGGCCTGCATCCACCATGCGCGAAAGGCGTCACATCCGTGATCATATTGATCTTCCACCCAGCGGCCACAATCGCTCTGAAAGCCTGATCCCTCCCTGGCCCAAAGCCAGAAAACTTCATGTGAATCCCTTCCTCCGTCGCCCGTTTCAAATCCACTCCGTGGTATTTCTTGTTCTTGTCCGAGTTCGATTTGGCATGCATTGGGAGCGCCAGAACTTTCTCAGCCAGGTGGGCTACAGTTTGGTACCCGGCATCGCTCGTGCCTCGGGCAGCCTTTCGCAATCCCAGATTGCCCGCGGTGGCAGTTGCCAGGATCAATCCCTTCGGATTCGTAAATGTTGCGTGGGTGTTGTTGCGATTCGCTAGGATATGCAATATGTAAGGCCCCGACTTCTCCTCCTCCTCCTTCCCCCCGGTTCGATCCGAACCATGAGGAATATCGCCCTTGGCTTTATCTTCCTCTTCAGCGTAAATGCCCAACAGCGCACTCGCTGCCTGCGCCCTCGGCCTAGCTGCAGCCGGCCCTCCTTTTTCCAAGATGTTTGACAGCGACTGGCCCGGGGCTTTAGCGCCGCTGGGGTTTGCGTCTCGCGCCCCCGCACCAGGTAGAGAGGCGCCTGCGGGCCACAGCCGGCTGCTTCTGTTTCCGCCGAGTACGCTGTTCAAGACTGAGTTTCGTTTGGGTGGCGGTGCGGCGCCAGTCGACGAGGGTGGCTTCGGACCGTTCGAAAGTGCGGAAGGTGGTTTTTGCGCGTTGGATGGATCCTTTGGCGTTGATCCGCCCAAAGGGAAGGAGGAGGAATCGCTTGCGAATCGACGGGGGATGGCGGGTGGGGAGAGGGACAGCTGTGGTTGGCACTTGAGGGAGGCGCATGGTCTACGAGAGTGTCCTGCGATTTGTCGCAGAAGTCGTGGTTGCGTTGACATTATGCCGACTTCTCCGAAACGACGTCCTGATATAGCGGCACTTTCAACGGCAAAGCAACAACCGTCTATTCACCACGTTCTCCAGAGCAGCCAAAGGGCGGATATCGTTTGTTCGTGCGGTCGTTGTCTGCGGCAGTCGACGACAGGCTTGGGCGATTGGGCACTTCGTCGGCAAGGGTTGCTGCTGGGTTGCTGGGAAGCTGCTTTCGCGCAAACCACGTGACTGCCAGACGTGCGCTCAGCAACGACTTCGACCCCAAAGGACGATCAACCGAACCTCCACCGAGCAAGGCCACCGAGTCCCTATATAAGCCTTACAGCCATGCCCATCGCAAGCATTGTCCGAGACAAGCTCACCAGGCTCCTGGTGTCAGAAACTGAAGTGTCGCGTCAAGCCCTCCGCCTTATCGCCAACGACCGTACCGGCAAGTACCCGAAAAACACTCAGCTGAGAGCCAGGATAGAGCTGCATAAGATGCCGAGATACTCACGACCGACGGCTGTGCATAACCGGTGTATAGAATCTGGAAGGACGAGGGTATGTGTCGGAGGAAATCTGTTGATGGCGGGACGTCGCAATTGCACGGGGTTAATTTCAGGGCCAGCAAAGACTTGAGACGTGCAGCTGTACTGGCTCCAGGAGGGACAAAAAAGGAAAGATGGGGAGGAGGAGGGGCGGAACAAGGCGATTGGGAACCGGGAGAGGAAAGGGGGATAAAGAGGACGGTTCTTGGTTGTGAGGCGGAGTTCCGCAATGAGACACTTGTATCGAAAGCCTAACGTTCTCCGTTTCGCTCTTTTGTCGTTCATGAATAACAGGGGCACGTAACGGATTTCAAAGTGAGTCGGATAGTATTTAGGGAAAAGGCTCTAGCGGGAGAGATACCGGGCGTGCGGAAATCGACGTGGTAGATATATACACCCGCTGTTTTGCCTGAAGGCGGAACCAGCACAAGCAAGGCAATAGGATACGATAGCGCCGGCGAACAGCTCCACCCGTAAGCGGTCTTTCAAAAATGAGAGAACGTCTAGTGTCAAACGAGGCACAAGCGAACGACGAAACTGCATACGATATGACAGCGCCAGCGAACAACCCCGCCCCGTAACCAGTCAACCCGTTTTCTTCGAGGAGGAAAGGATGAATGACATCCCCTGCGTTTAGCAGATTCTGTAGATAGACTTGTCACCAATATCATGACTGAACAAGGCGCTTCAAAAGCGCAACTGCTCAACGGCTATCCGAAATGCACGAGAGTGGCTTCTCGGTTGAAGGTCATCGATTGAACACTATCCGGTCCGAATTGCGAAAGTGACTTGCGAAAGTGAATGGCATTGTTCCACTGTTTTGATTCCCTGTGGACATCGGCGGGTCTTGAGCGAGCCCTGCACACAACTTAGTACCTTATCATTATCATGGAGGTAGTGCGGTCTTTCATGTGGGCCTCGCGGCAACCGCGGTACGTCTGACTAAAGGAGCCTGGGCGTACGGAAGACCGTAATAAAAAGCGTCGGCGCCATGACACCCTCCAGACAGAACACTCACTCACAATGGACCCTCCGACATGTCGCCAAATTGGTCGTCTTAGCCCCAATACGTTACATGCTAGGCTTTCTTGATGAAGCCCGCTTCACCGAGTACGTTCACGGCATCTGTACCTTCGCAATTCAGCGTCTGTATGGAAACCCACCCTACGGAGATTAAGAATCATACACAAGCCCTATATCTTGCTGCTCGGCCCCGTCCTTCATCACCATGACGAATCACAAATTTGCAAGGCCAATGACATCAACACACCGTCGCCAACATCGCCAGCACAGCTATGCGGTCAAGAACTCATTCCTGTAACCCGGAATGATGGACGCTGTCCTCAATCGGCACATGAATCCGCAACGCATCTTCCATCCCCAGTGGTATATCTAAACAGCTGCCTCTCACGTTGTGCTCATGGCGGCAGTTTGCTGGTGCGTCAAAAACTGTCGGTCGAGCGAGGCGCTGTCGCTTTTAAACGCGTGAGTCATGCATGATAACGCGTCAAACAGCACAGCACTTGGGCCCCCGCAATTTGTGAGATGCCCACTCTCTTTTTCCCCGTGAGATCTGCGCATTTTCCCATGCGCTTTGTGCTCAAAACGTCACGAAAGAGCTGAGGAAACGTTGTTTCGTGGGGTCCCGAAGCGTCAAAGTCATTCGCTGCTTTCTTGTCTGGTCCATGCGATTGGAGGAACTCGGTACGGCACCTTTTGGCAAACACTCTCCTCAAACCCACGCTTGGAAACGTCACCGGCGGTATAAAACCATGAACACTGCGCTGGAAGCATCCTCGCCGGAGCTTGAGCATTCTTTTGAAAGGTAGCTCCGACGTTTCTGCTGCGACCTCTCAATATCGAACTCACACTCGCTTCTAGCTACAGGGATACACCTCAGACTTCACCCAAGTCCGTTTATCCTGGTCTCGCCAACCTCTTTGATAGCGACGACTTTGCGCTTGAGCTTGCAAACTTTCAAATCGAATCTTATTCCTTAGAGCCCGCTTCGAAGCGCCGGTTGAAGGTCTTCAGCAACCTGGATCCCATCGAAGAGGACGAACAGGAGGCTGAACTAAGCCCATATCTGGACCCGACCAGTATCGATCTAAGCGCAGACAGCCTTGCCGAGACCGCCGAGGTTCCGTACTTGGATATCATGGACAGCATGAATGGTGTGGGACACGTAAAGGACATGGCTGCACCGACTGACTTATGCTCCAATCTTGAACGCGAGAAGATGATACATGAGTTCGCGACAACTGCAAGCATGGCCGTCATTACCCCTACCAAAACGGCCAAGGGCATCAATGGATTCAAAGGAAGCAATGGAGTTCGAGACGGCGGCCTTCAAACGAGGTTGCCAAACGCCACTCCTACGACGACGGCCAACGTTCTGGACATCGCACCTCCAGCCGACGGGGAACACTCAAGCGCGGATAACGGAATTTGCCCGCTTCCAATCCGCGCACCTCGCCTGCCTTCCAAGCCAGCCTCAAAACATACATTCCGCCCGCGCGTCTACTCCTCGCACTTCCCTCATCCCAAAGCTCCCACAACAGAGCAGGCCATCAAATCCATCCCCAATCTCCATTCCGCGCAGGATCTCATCGAATTTTGGAAGTATCCCGGTGAAGCCCACTCCGTCGAAACCAAAGACGGCTATATTCTCGGCCTATACCGAATCCCTAACCCACAACATGGATTCACGGCGTACACCGCACCCACGCCTTACAAACGACCACCAGTCATCATCTGGCACGGTTTGTGCATCAGCAGCAACGCGTTCTTATGTTCGCCCGGAGGCACTGATACCAATCTCGCGCTCTATCTTGCCAGCGAAGGCTTTGACGTGTGGCTCGCCAACAGCCGTGGGTCTCGCGCATCCCGCCGTCATGCAAAGATGCCCAGTCCAGACGAGATCATGTTTCATTCCAAATACTGGAAGTACGTAGGGATGGACGAAATGGCCAAATTCGATGTGCCCGCGGTGGTGGACTATGTAATTGCGGCTACCGGCTGGAAGAAAGTAGGCTACGTGGGATTCTCGCAAGGAACGGCGCAGATGTTCATGAGCTTGAGCATGAGTGAAGAAATGAACTCGAAGATAGCATTTTTCGCAGCGCTGGCACCTGCTATGAAGCCGAAAGGTATGCGTCGTCCCAGTTCCCCTTGCTTTTCCCTTATCAGATCTTTGCCAATCGCTAATGCCCATCGGTCAACGCAGAGATTGCTAACAGGGTCCTGACCCGTCTGACGAGCTACTCCCCATCCCTTCTTTTCGTTATGGGCTGCTGGTCAGCGCTCCCCACTGCAGAATGGCTTCGCGGTCGCCTCTTCAACAAGGGATATGCGCAAGTGATCCACAGCTCCCTGGAGGTGTTGATGGGGTGGAAGAACAATAAGTTCCCAAAGGAGTGGTGGCCTGCTCTGTATATGCACCTCTTTGCGGGAGGCAGTGTCCGTAACATCGTGGTATGTACAGCATTTCACAGGCGTCAAAATCACAGGCGCACGCAATTTCTCGTTAGGCCATCACTTATTCGGCATCTTCACCCAGCACTGGTTCCAGATCATAACCGAACAGAATTTCGCTCCATACGACCACGAGATCGCTCCGCACCACCTCCTTCCCTCCCACTCTTCCAGCCGCAGCAAACCCCCATCCCTGGCGGGCGCAACCCTGACCCACTCTATCCCAACTTTCGCCCCCACGCGCACCGGACCTTGCCCATACCCGACCCAGCATATCACGGTGCCTATGCGTCTGTTCTGTGGGACCGAGGATAACATTTCTGCTGAACCTGCAGTATTCAAACAATCACTTCCCGAGGCGCGGATTGAGACTGTGGAAGGATATGAACATATGGTAAGCAAACCTTTTCTCCGTACGGACACACACATTCGTTGATGGCATGCTGACTTCCCACTCGTGCATAGGACTTCATATGGGACGTCAACGCACGTACTCGAGTGTGGGAAACTGTTTTGGATGATTTGATCGGTTCGATGAAGGCGGTGGCGGACGATATGGGTTTATGATACGTTGCACATATGCCCGAGCAGGGACATCAGGAATGGGCATGACGTGACGTGACTATGGTAGCTCAGCGTAGCCGCGGACCAGCGGACTGTACGTAATAGCCTGAGCTTGATGCCTGGATCAAACTGTACGCATATGTACCAAGACAAAAGCTATGGCAAAGGATGTTGATATCGCTGGAATGTGAATGTTCACCGCAATGGTGCTGGAGGACAGGTCCATGTGCTAGCTTGCTATGTGGCACTATACGCGAAGCCTTTCTCAATCTATGTTTACTAGCATTCTATCATTTGGGCCCGTCTGATCACCAGATGGGCGTGATGGCGGCGCTGCATTGAGAAGCATTGGCGGTGACGTCGGTGTCGCTGTGGATATCCTAGATGTTGGAACTATGGCTGCAGCGGCTGCAGCGGCAGCGGCTTGTAGAGCTGCCTCCTTGGCTCTGTGAGCGCTTATTTCCTGAAGTTTGGTCTGCACGAGACTACCAGTACGGCGGGAAGGGGACGCGTGTCGCGCCGATGGATTCTGTTTTCACACGGATATGTCGATTAGCGACATCAGTATGCCAGCGCGAACGAATTGCCATGGGATCTTACATATTTGTCGGCGTCAGCCTTCTGTTTCTCCCGCAACGCGTTCCACATTTCTGGCCGAACAAACCACGACCCATACACGAGCTTCCCGCTCTCTGCGTCGGGTTGCCCTCCATCATTCTCCTTTATTTGCTTTCCCCATGATGCGCCGCCAAAACCTCGAAGACGTTCACGGCGGAAACGCCGCCCTCCTGGCCCGTTGGCAGGATCTGAGCTTGTGAACCCGGCGTTGGCTAAGGATTTGCACAGATTCTCCGGCGGATACGCGTCTCGTAGGATTCGGATTTTCTGGAGCCGCCCATCCGACCCAGATGCACCATTTCCATTCGCGTTTGCGGTAGCCTCAAGAAAATTAAGTGATTTGGGCTTACACGCTTCCAAAAGTGCGTCAAATTCACTGTACGCTCCATCACTCCCTGCTTCTCGGACTGCTTTCGACGGGTTGGTGATAATCGATCCTGTCTCAACATCGAAAATCGTCGGTGTGTCCAATGCCGCCTGCGCCCAATGCTTCAGATCATAAATCACCATCTGCATTTCCTCGAGGGTTTCCCGTGCATGAGGATGTGCATGCTGTGATGACTGTGGCTGTTGAGGAAGGGGATCCTCGTGGTCCATTTCGGTGTGCTGTTGACCACTAGGCGGGTCATTCGGAATCGTCAGCGCTGTCGACTGTCTCCGCGCGAGGTTATTCCTCCCACGAAAATCCAAAAAATGGGCATATTTTGCAGCTGGTGAGAGTTCGGGCACCTCCTTGCTCTTGGCTGCGGCGCGAGCAGCCTCCTCTGTGAATTGGGGGTGCTGCTTCAGTATTTTGCGCCCGTTGTGGCTGCCCATGCACTGCATACCTCGGTCCGCAATCTGATTCAGCCTCTCCCCATCCCCTACTATCTCGTGTTCAGAAATTGGGAAGTCTTCATATCGTGGTTTTGGCTCCTCGACGTTCGAGCTATGTGTGAAGATGGATAGCAGCCCTTCGCTCCCGAGCTCCTCCTTTGCTAGAAGTAGTGGTGAAACCTTCTCCTGCTCCACCACCCTCAGCAATGCAGCTCTCTGTTGTGGCGTAAGTCCGGGAAACTCGAGGCCGACTTTCTGTTCGAGTTGACCTGATATCGTGGCTACACGCTGACGTTTCTTCACCACGCGCGGGAATGCGAGATTGGGCCGCGCTGACAACGTCGGCGAGCTGCAATTCGACGAAGACGCTGACGAGGATGCCCGCGGCCTAGCTCCGTGCCGGTGGGAATGCCCGGCATGGTGGGGGTCGTGCGTTGCATAGGGAGGTTGGAACAGTGGTGGTTCGAAGGGATTTCGGGGATCTCGCACTGTGTACAGCTCTGAGAGTGGGAGGCTGGCACATCGGAAAGTGAGAAAGCGAAACCATCCATTAATAGATGGAAAATTGTGACATACGTTGGGGTATGGACGTTTCTCAAGGGCCATTCTCGAACGACGAACATGCTGCTGACTGCTCTTTGCGAGGTCTCTCTCCGTCTAGTTGTTTTACTCGTTTACTGACCTGGGCTTTACTTGCATTCCGACAATGTTGTAGCTTACGAAATGCTGAGTCACAGACATATCGCGCTGTCGAGATGACAATGGGAAGTGTCACTCCGGTTGACCTGCCTCGTTCTTCCTGATATGTAGTAAAAGACATTACGACATCGACCCTTGTCTCGAACGGAGCGTTAGTTAGCCGCGCAAACCGAGGAATATGAGAAGCTTAACCTTATTCCACAATCCCCTGCATTATGTCCTTTTCATTGCTTGTAATTTACGAAAAGGTGTATCATGGAACGAATAAAGCACAATACCCGTGCATGCCCCGTCGTCCAACACCTTCTCAGCAAAAGCGTTCATCCTTCCGAAGTGCATCGTCTCTTTCCGCATATTTCTTCTCTTCTGGAGTCATCCGGCGTTGGAATCAAACAATTTTCACCCTCTGGCTTGCACGCTCGTAGCGGGATTGGCGACGGTCGCCTTCCTAGAGCTTGCGTCGTTACGGACGGATCAAAATGTTGAGAAGCGCATTTCTGGCCTTTGCTTTCTGCATTTTGTCCTCGCCCAACGCGCTGTCTAGAAATGCCACACCTCGAATAGTCCGTAGTAGTGGAAATTCACCATTTGCACCGTCGACTACCGATGAAGCCCTCAGCGAATCAGATCAGCGAAACGAACTTCTGCGAACCCCAGAGCCATCCGTCCCACTGAACACGCTTCATCAAAGACAATCGTCTTTACCGACTCTTGTCTTTTCTTTCGTCGTGCCGAGTCTGGATCAAACCTTCGCCCCTCTCAAAGACCTTTTTCGCGTGGTCGTGGACGATCTGCAGGCGCAGGGAGTTCTGTCTGGGGCGAATATTCTTGTACAGCCGAACACTACGGGACAATCACGGACAGCTGTTGTGGGATCCATCGTGAATGTTGCTACAGTGGACCCGTCATTAGGGGTAATAGGTGCGAATCAAGACAGGGCCGTGCCCACTTTGGCAATGGATCAATGTTCGAGTCGCTCACTTTGACATATTGGCTATGCACTTGGCTATGCAATCGCAGATTTGTCACCATATCCGCTTGATGCGGCTTCATTAGCAAGTCTTTTCGCATTTCCCTTATGCGAACCGCGAGGTGAGATTGGACTTACCACTCAGCGTTCATGAACAGTGACCTAAGAGAATCGGATTCAGCGGACTTTCAAGAACTTTCTGATGCGGATACCTACACGACACTGTTCCGCACGACAACAGACGACTCTCTGCGCGATGCTCCGGTGTTGGACTTCGTAGCTGACCAAGGGTGGCCGCAAATCACAAATCTATACACAAGTAGTTCGAGAACAGTGAATGGGCATAAACACGTAACAAATCGTCTAACAGCTGCGTCCGATATCAGGTTTTGTGAACAGACGAATGAATGTTTCCGAGTCTGCTTCAAGCATCCCCGGTTCGACAGTCATCCTTAAGCGTACGACGAACGCCTCAGCACCGCCAGATTACAGTGATGCTCTAAAAAGGATTCGGAATCTGAACACAGGAATCCTCGATTGCGATGTCGACGGTTCAACGCTGCTGGCCTTTCTACAGCAAGCTAGGTACGCACTTAGCTTTCCGTAGTTTATCGCACAGTGCACCATAACCGCTTACTCACCGCCGGGACACAGATCTCAAAAGATGTTGGGCCCCAACTTCCTCTACATTATTCAGAGGGAAAGTTATTCGTTCATGCGTCGGCAAATCGCGGCTACAGACCTTGACTTAATCGAAGGGGCTATCATTGTCTCGGAGCCTGTTGGAAAAGGACCCGCGTACAGCTCCCTTATGGCACGTTGGAATACCAGCATCTTCCGGACCAAGTGAGCTGTGTACCTACTTGATGTTTTCACGGGTTTATTTTGCTCAATGTTCTCTCATATGTCTTTTAAGGTATCCTCTGCTACGAAATATCGCAACGCCGTCTGCTACATACCTGTACTCTGCTTCATGCCTCGATTTGATGTTAAGAGGTTATGATAGGGTACGTGCAATGTGGATCAAACCTTTGTTTCTTTCGTTGACATTGACCCGTGAAACACCTGCCCTGTAGGTGTTGCGGTCGAACTCATCATGGAGTTTGTCGACTCTAAGCGCCGGAGCTCGCGGGCTCCCATCTGGATCCTTGACCTATCCCGACTCCTTCTCGTTTCCAACGGTAGATACGGTGACCGGTAAAATTCTCTTCCACGGGAACAGTAGAATTGGGTATGAAGTGTGTCCACCGTTTGTGCTAGATTCCTGGTTCATGGAACGACTATTCTGATGATTGAACCCCTACTTTACAGGTTCTATGTATTTAGCTACGTGCTTGCGGGAAATCTCGTAGACTTCGCGACTTTGGAAAGTGGCAAGTCACTGAATTACACAGCTCCAATTATGTGGCGCGATGGGGCTGCAAAACCTTCAGGCTACATCACGACGTTCGAAGGTACGGGATCAATGAGATTCTTTGCTCCGGCAGTTTCATAACGACCCCTTTTCTTTCCGAAATCAGCCACCGACAGTTTTTGGATCAAAAGCATCCTGATACCAATATTGGTGGCGATTTGCGTTTTTATTCTGCTTGCGGGGCTATGGGTTGTGAGGCATCGGCATTTGAAAAAAAAGCGAGAGGCCCAGCCCTCAAAATTGGGTCAAAATGTAAGTGAGAGAACGGTGATTTACCGGTATCGGCGGGTCTAGCTAATCCTGTTTCTGCAGTTCCAAACGGTGGACATCAAAAGTCCGGCGCAGAAAGCGATTGAAATTTTGCAAGAGTTTCAGACGGACGGCAGAAAACGGAAACTGTCTGGCGCCGAGGTTGATTTCATCATAGAAGTATTGGGTTCGGGTGCAGCCTTCAACCCCAACATTGACCAGCTGGAGGATGTGGAAGGCGCGAGAGTGGACCATGAAACTCGGGCATGGGTGCTGGATTTGCTGGCAGCAACGCCTGGCCAACAACCGCCGCAACCGACACTGGCGGGAGGGCCAGGTTCCAATCGCGGTGGATCCTCAACGGCATCCGACACTCACGTCGCTGGTGTACTCGACACTCGGCGAAACAGTCAGAAAAATAAGAAAGTTAGCATAGCCTACACCTCGCGAAGAAGTGTTAACGATCCCAACAAGCAGCCCAATTCCATTGTGAGCACCCGAGAGGATATGCAGCAGGGCTCGGGATCTCTATCGATACACTCTAGGCACCATAGAAGTGGATCTCCGACCGCTGCGGATGGGTCAAGAAGCTTTCCTCGAGCCGGCACACCCGGTGCACCTGAAGATGAAGGATTCCACACATCATCAAAAACATCTCACAACGGGGTGATCCCCATGCTTCCAACCATCTCGTCAATGGAGGTTGTGAAGATCGAAGAGTACTTGAATCTCTGGTACAGATCATGGAACTTCGACATGGTGAGCAATCCGTCAGCTGCCTAATCGTTCCTCGCAGTTTCTTACTCATTGCCAACCACAGTTCAACTTCGCAGAGCTCACAAACGGGCACCCATTACTATACTCCGGTGTGCATCTTTTGGAAAACAATGAGGCTTTGCAGTGCCTCCAGCTGAATCCACAGACGTTCAGACACTGGCTGCTGGTAAACTCTTATTCTGCCCTATGGCTGTAAGCATCAAGATGGATTTACTGAGATCCCTTGTCTCGCCCCAGCTGATGGAGTCACAATATCATTCACATCCATATCACAACGCGGCACATGCAGCGGACGTCCTGCATGCTATCAATCAACTGCTGCTAGATGATCAACTGAAGACCCAATATACCCCGATTGAAGCTTTTGCCCTAATGTTGGGGGCCATTGGACACGACATAGATCACCCGGGATACAATAATGCTTTTCTCGTCAAAAGTCGACATCCTTGGGCTATACTATACTGGTATGGAATGGTGGTTCATTTGGAACGCCTCAGTTGCGTCTCTGACCGATGTTTCCTTTTGCAGCGATACAAGTGTTCTAGAGCTACATCATTGCGCGCACCTTTTCACCATGACTCTCGGCTCCCAGTGTGACATTTTCGCCGAGTTCTGTGCGGAAGAATACGATGAGATTCGAAAACTTGTCATCAAACTGATCTTGGCAACTGACATGGGAAAGGTATCATACTCGTCCCCAAAACCGTCGAGATGTAGGATTCCTAACCCGCATGTCCACCAACCAGCATTTTGAGTATATCAACAAGTTCAAGTCGAGGATATCAACCGGAACACTGACGTTCGGCATGGAACTCAATCCGGATAACAAGGTTGCGGTGGCAGAAATCGCCATGAAATGCTCGGACTTATGCAACCCTACGAAAATATTCCCACTCTCTAAAAAGTGGACCGACGCTGTCATGGAAGAGTTTTATCTCCAGGGTGACCGCGAACGGGAGCTGGGGTTGCCGGTCTCGCAGTTCATGGACCGCAACAATACCAACGTTCCCAAATGCCAGGTGCGGAACATCAGTCGCGAGTTCTGTCATCTTTCGATAGCCACTAACGAGTCTGTCTCCTGTTCGTAGATTGGTTTCATAGATTTCCTGGTTGCACCGCTGTTCGACAGCTGGAACACTTTCCGCAATCACGACGATAAGACGACAAGGCTTATCGTGGAGCTCGGGAAGAACCGTGGATCATGGGCAGCATTGGCAGCCCATCATACACCTCAGAGCTCTGTATTTGGGCAGTCGCAGTCGCGATTCACGGCAAGTCGTCAGCAGCTTCCTAGCACTCCGAGCATACCAAATCCTCCTAGTATGCAGGGGAGCGGAAGCATCAATCAGGCAGACCTGCCGCCACAGAGGTCGAACATCTTGGGATTAGGATCGAAACGCAACAGTGTGGTGGTTGATATCCCAACTGGCATACCGTCCATGTCGCGAGCCGGATCGCAATTTGCATCTTTGGCTCGGCGGATGTCGTCGTTCGAACTCTTGACCTCACGGTCGGAAGGCATAAAGGACAACGGACCCTTGCTGATAGAGCCCACTGACGTGAAAGTTGGCGGCGATGCCGTTTGATTGGCATCTCCCAAGTCCATTTTTGGAGGTTACCTTGCATTTACACTCGCCTTTCAGATGCTCTTGTAAATATGTGGCTATCATAAATATGTATATTGCGCTCAGACGAGGAAAAAACGAAACGAGAAGCAAGCAATTCTGGAGGGTGTCTGAGAAATGGCGTTCGGCTATCCCGGCGGTCACTCGTCGCGACATATCGCCCTGGGAACGTAATTTCCCGCAACACCCTTAATTCTAAGGGCGAATAAGCTTTGCCAACGGTGCGAAGGGAGTACTGTGTCCAGGTCTTTTGTAGGCTATTGTGGCCTTCTAGAAAACGCAAACCTGTCAAAATCGAGGTGGAGCTATGATCCATGAGCATGCGCGCTTAGGTAAACCGTCTGTATAAACTCCGCCAGCTAAGGTTTGTGATAAGACCCTCTATTTACTCGCATGGCGTCAAAATCAGAACAATAACAACTGTGCTTCACGCCGAAGGCAGAAAAGTCAGACCAACGACGGTCTGCTTTCCTATATATAGTTAGCCCTCAGAAAAAGCCGGCCAGCAGAACCTTTGATCTGAGCCGTCCGGAAGCGCAGTTTGAAGTGGGTGTTGCAGCGGCATCGGGAAAACCATATCGTTAGCAATTCGAAAAGATTTGAAGAGCTTCATAAGGGATTCGAAGCGAGATGGACAGCATCAGTAAATCCTTCAGTCGCCGATTCGGGACCAAGTCGATGGCGGAGACCGAGGGTCTCGGAAAGGTCAAGAAGCCATCGCTTCTGCCCCCACGCAACGGCGACACCTTATGGGAGAGGGCCACCAAATTCTACCTCATCCCAGAGGGAGATTTTATGCGTGTCTGGGAAGAGGTCATGGTGTTCGTTGCCATTGTCAATGCCATTCTGGTGTCCTTTATGGCCGCCTTTCAGTACCATTCGACTGCGGCTTGGGTCGTCAGCTATATCATCGACATCTTATTTGTTGCGGACATGTACATCAAGTTTCACATAGCTTACTTGGTGGGAGGTTTTTGGGTCGTCTTCCCGGCGGAAATGGCCTTGCACTACCTTCGGTCTTGGGAGTTCATCTTTGACGTGCTTATCAATTTCCCGGTCGATATCGTCGCATTTGCATACGTTGGCAAAAGCTACGGACAGACGAAGCTATCCTTGGTTCGTCTTTGGAAGTATCTGCGTACGGGTCGTATCATCATTTACTTCAGACGACAAGAGAGCAAGTTGCACGCAAGTTTCAGAACGCAAGTCGTGAAGTTCATCAGCTATCTCGTCGTCCTGACACACACCGTCGCCTGCATTTGGTTCACAATCGCGTGTTCGGGAGAAATTGATTGGCCGATGGATTTGACAACTTCCTGCAGTGTCGAGTCTTGGATGTTGAAATCTCGCGATATTGATTTTGTGGACTTGGGTTTGGGCGAGGTGTATATCGCATGTATATACTGGGCTGGTAAGTCCGGTTTGGCTTCCAAAACTCCGAAGAAATTGCCGCACTCTTACGCTCCTTGTTGAACAGTCATCACCATGACTACGGTCGGATTCGGGGATGTTCGCGCGAACAATGCCTCCGAACGAGTATTTGCAATGTTCACCGCCTTCTGCGGCATCATGTTCTACGGATACATCAACGGCACAATCACTTCCACTCTGTCCAACATGGATTCACGTAGGGTGGCCTACCAGCAGCGCCTCGATGCCGTCAAGCAGTACATGACGGACCGCGATATGGACCCGGACATGAAGGAGCGTGTGTTGATCTACTACGACTATGTTTGGGAGAGGAACAGGGGTATCGATGTTCGAGGACTATTTGTGGACATGCCCTCAACGTTCAAGCAGGAAGTAGCCTTGAGCTTGAATAACCAGATCATTGATAATGTATGTGTCTGATTCGTTTTTTTCGTCCGTCACTGTCGGTACTGATGAGAATCCCCCCAGGCCATCATTTTCAAAGAATGTTCCATCGGATTCCGTCGCATGATTGCAATTGACATGAAGCTCTTCCTCTTCACCGCAAACGAATACGTGGTTCATCGCGGAGATCTCGGATTGGAAATGTTCTTCATCACTCAGGGACGTATTGACATCTATGCGACCGAGGACCTGCGAAGGCCGACTGCGTCCTTAATTGAGGGTGCCTACTTTGGTAAGCTGAGGACGCATCTCATGAGGAAACTCAAACTCTGTGTTCTGATATCCTTGGACCCATTGTCAACAGGTGAATTCTGTGTTGTCTTGGGAAGTCGCCATGAGTACTCCGCTCGAGCGGTTTGCAACACGGATATTTACGTCTTCAGCAAAGATGATCTTGAGCACGCCTTCCAGGCATATCCCGAAGACCGTGAAGTTGTCGTTGCAGCAACCAAGAAACGCTACCAGGCGCATCTACAGGCCAAGCGGTCGCGAGGAGGTGCTGGCGCTACTAATCGCGGTATGATTTTGGACGAGCTGGAGGATCTCGAACAAGAATTTGGAGTGAAAGGGAGCGTCATGAAGACCGATACGCCCGTTCGTCTTGCTGGCGACAAGGCTCCCAGTTTGCGGGACCTCAGCCAAGCGCCTATAGGTTCGCGACCTCTTGATGAGGCGGACTTGGAGGGCGCGGTGATTCCGCTGGAAGATGATAACAAAAGAAAGGAGACCAAAATAAAGCCTGCCAATTCGGGAGCTGGATATGCGCTTATGGACAAAACTATGGCGAAAGCTTTGAGCCAGAGCAGCTTGAGTCCTGCGCGTAAGGCTATGGCCCGTAGCACGGTATGGAAATCGAGCTTGCGGCACATTTGTGGAGTTCAACGGTCTCTCACCTGTTTGTTGCCAACACATTTAGGCGAGTATCGTCGATATCGGCAAGAGCCGGCAAGAGCGAAAAGAAAGCACCGATTCCCGATCGGAGTCTTCTGCAGCTGGGGTGCGCTCCGGTTCGAGCAGGAATCAGTTAAGCGGCGCACCTCAGCGTGAGAGCGAGTCTCCTGCGCCGGACCACAATCCAACGGGGGCGCCCGATGGACCTGGAAATATGTGAGCGGGTGTTTGGGATGGGTGTTTGTGGTACGTCAATCATACAAACAACTTGGTTCTCTCCGGTATTCTAAACAAAGAATTAGCTTTTAGTTTTTCCTCGACTTTGGGTAAATCTTGGACATGTCTTGTGGACCTCAATATGATGGAGTAGCTCGTTCAATCCCATCTCGTGCTGAAGATCTTTATATACCCTCCAACAATAACCCTTTGGGATGGAGGATCCGCCACGCTTGAACCTGTCGATGGGACCATGTGTGAAAAGGACGGTGTTGACTATTGAGAAGCGAATATGTTGACCATGTTTTGAAAAGAAATAGTCAAAGAAAATTCAACTGTATACGTTTTCATTCATGAAGGAAACAAGCTTTACGTACTAAACGACTGAACATCACAATGTGGTATTGACAAAAGGTCTGACGTTTACGCCAACATTATCCTGCGCGGCTCCAGTCTACGCCAGTAGCAATAATGCGCGAGGAAGCAAGCCAGCAGAATCGGTCTTCGTCTCCCTTCTTAACCGAGTCCGACGCAAGTGAGGCAGCGTGCGGTCTCCCGTTCCTTCCGCTGGCGCTGACTGAATTTGTTGTAGGGTAGAACTTCGTCGCATTCCGTGCACTGTAACACTCTCATGCTTGTGTCGTTTCCGGCATAATAGTTTGTCTGTGGGATGATACATTAAGTCAGTCGGTGCTGTCCAACCCAACGAGGAGAAAATACTGACTCAGCTTACCTGGCCGACGGTGCAGCCTTTGCTGGTGACTGGAAATCAATTCGACACCGTTAGTTGCTGTCTCTTCCTCATAAATCTCGCTGCACATATCAAGAACTATACTTTTGTAGGTTTTGTCCTTGCCATAAAGACGGACCTCCAAATCCTGAAACGCGCTCCGAGGTTGCTCGCTGAAAAGGGACGATCGGAGAGATATCAGCGACTGTTTCGCTAACTGCTACGTGAACAAGAGAATAATGAAGGAACTTACCTGTGGCACGTCGTGCACCTGATGTGATCGAGATGGTGGGTACTCATGGTGTGCGACTGGTCGTTGCAACGTGGGGTTGAAGTATCAATTTCTGTTGTGAGCTGTCGAACGAAGATGCCGAGACAGATTCGTAAGTTGATTCGGCCTCGCTCGACTCTAAAACGTCGGTCTCCCTGCCCACTTTGAACCAGCTTGATGCTTACTGCGTTGTGGGGTGGTGCTCACCTTTTTTGAATAAACGATAGGGCAAGAACCAGCAACGAGGCATGTGGTCCCGAGGCAACGGGGGAGGATTCAAAGCTGTCAGTTGGACTGCAATTCGACAGCCTGGAAAGGGACGCGTTCAAATTTAGGTAATCCTGGAACAATCGCTTGAAATGCAGACAGAAACCCCAGTCATCGCCACAGGCACTTCGAAAATACAGGAATTATGATTGTTTTTCAGACAGATGAGGCAAATAATGTCGACAGCGACGTGGTCTATGATAGTAATCGGGGATGCAGGTCTTTGCTTGTTCCGCCGCGGAGCTGTCTTTCACTTCGTGCGAAGTGAAACTGTCCGTACTGTCCATGAAGTGAAACTGTCCGTACTGTCCATGAGCTTCAGAAACTAAATGAGCCCATACTTCCTAAACAGTTCAATGGCAAAACCTAAGCAGTGGTAACGGATTTGGCGAGATTCCTGGGCGAGTCTGGGTCGAAACCACGCTGTGTGGCCATGTAGTACGAGAGGATTTGGAGAGGCACGATGTTGATGATAGCCTGGAGCGCATCAACCGTGCGAGGGACGCGAACGGTTTGGAGTCCTTGGAAGTTTGCGGTGGTGTCGTCGTCATTGCAAATGACGACCGGCCGGCCGTAACGGGCTGTGATCTGCTTGAGGGCATTCTCGGAATCCTAAGAGAAAGCAAGGTCACTTTGACTATGTCTGACTAATATCCGGTTTGTCTGTGGAAAAGGGAACTCACCGAGTAGTGGCGATCTTTTGGCATAATGATGATGATGGGCATCTTTTCATCGATGAGAGCCAAAGGCCCGTGCTTCAGCTCGCCAGCGTTGATTCCCTCCGCGTGAACGTACGACACTTCCTTAATCTTCAAGGCACCTTCCAGGCAGGTGGCCGTCTGGAAACCGCGTCCAATCAGAATAAGGTTTGCAGGCTTGTCCGAACCAAACTCCTCAGCAGCGAGCTTCTTGAGCTCTGGCTCGAGAGCCAACGTCTTCTTGATGTCAGCGGAAAGGTTGAAGAGGCCATCGATGACCTCATTACGGCGAGCGAGCTTGGCGTAGTTGTCATCAGACAGTTGAAGCGCGATCATGGATAATGCGATGTATTGCGACGTGTATGCCTATAAAATCATGACGGAAGTTAGTAAAGCGCAACAGAAACAATACAGATCAACGACATACCTTGGTACTGGCGACACTGATCTCAGGACCAGCATTGATGTGGACACCGCAATGAGTCTCACGCGAGATTGTAGAACCAACGGTGTTGGTAACACCCAGGCACAGAGCCCCACGCTCCTTGCAGTATTGCAGAGCCAACAGTGTGTCTTTCGTCTCGCCAGACTGGGAAACGTAAATGCAGCAGTCATCACGGAAAACGGGCATCTGCTCGTCCAGGAATGTCGACGCAAGTTCCACAGACACGGGGAGCTCGGTCAATTCAGCAAAGAGCGAGCGCGTTGCAACGCAAGAATGGTAGGAAGTACCACAAGCGATGAATATGAGACGACGAGAGCGGCGAATGTTGGCCAGCTGAGAACGCAGACCACCGAGAACGACGCGGCGATCATCAAAGTTGATGCGTCCACGCATGGTGTTCACAACTGACTCGGTTTGCTCGAAAATCTCCTTGAGCATGAAGTGAGAGAAAGCACCCTTCTGAATCTGGGCAAGCTCCTGCTCCAGCGTCTGAATGGGACGCACAGACGACATGTGGTCGTCTCGGCGCAATCGGTGAATGTGAAGGTCTCCGTCACTGATGTGGGCAACATCGTCGTCCTCGAGGTACAACACCTTCTTCGTGTGCTCGATGATAGCAGATGCATCAGAGGCTAAAATGTACTCCACAGGCATGGGGACTCCCTCCTCTCCGAAGAAGCTTCGAGATTGGGTACGGCGAATCTTCGGGCGATCGGGAGAAAGCATGTTGCGGTCATCCTCGACTGGGACTTCGGTGTCAACGTCCACAAAGTCGACCTTGAGCTTCTTCGCCGTTTTTACACCGATAAGTAGAGGAGATCCGCGACGAGCAGCGACCATTTCGCCGGGGAAGTGGGAACTCTTAAAAATCAGTGCGAAAGCACCGTCCTAGAAGAGCAATTGCTTTGAGTATCGAAAGGCAAAAGTTCGTTGGAAAAAACGCCGCGAACCTACCAACTCCTTGCAAACGGCCTTGACGAGACCGGTGAAAGTCAGAGTTGACCCCATGGTGGTCTTCTGCGTGTCATAGATGTATTTGCAAAGCTTCGCAACACCTTCGGTGTCGGTGTCGGACTCAAACACGAATCCGAACTTTTCCAGGATGGTTCTGAGCTCCTTGTAGTTGGTAATGATGCCATTGTGAACGACGGTGAACTCGTTCTTGACGTCAGACCGATGAGGATGGCAGTTGCGGACGGAGGGGATACCGTGGGTAGCCCTGTGTACGATTTGAAGTTCGTAAATACCAGACCGTCCATAAACCCTTCATCAAGATAGCCACGATAGCCCGCTGAAGGAGAACGACGTAGCTACCCACCATCGCGTGTGCGCCATTCCGTTGTGAGACACGAACGTGCGTTCGGTGTCGAGACCCTTTTCCTTAGAAATTTTCTCACGGAGGGCGGCGACCTTGCCAACCTCACGGAAGATGAAGGATTCATCTTCGTTGTCACCGTCCACCACGAGACCTATTGGGGCCACGGCGGGGAAGCTGGGGTAAGCACATTGCTCAAACAGCAGGTAAGAGCCTCCGAAGTGCCCCCTACGTACCAGCCGAGTCATATCCACGGTATTCAAGTCGCGAGAGACCCACCAAGAGGGTGTCGAGGATGAACCTGCGGTCTCGCTCCACCAGGTAGTTGAAATATGCGAAGATTCCACACATGATGACAGAAGGGTCTTCAGATGCGAGGTTGGGAGTGAACCGGTGTGGCGGAGGCTACTGAAATGAGGAAGACTGCTGACGCGGGAAAATGGAGCTGATGGGATGTGAGCGGCTAGGATTCCGTTGTTTGCAGAAAGCTGCTCAGCAGCCAGCGAGCGCATCGACCCGCAGCAGGCAAGATAGGGATGTGGCGCATCCGCACTCCTATTGAGCGCGTTTCCCCTGTGCGCGCTTACGGCATCGTCAGAAGCGCGCGGCTTTGCCCAAATGCCCCGTGTCTCAGTTTGGCCAGACTTACCGTGCGCAAGAGAATCTGATTCAATGCACGGGTGGAACTGATAGTTGGCTGGTAGGATGGACTGCGGAAAGAACTGGCGCCGTTCAGATTGCGCTTTTGATTGGAAGGGAAGAACGACGTGATGCTGGAGATGAAGGAGAGCAGACCCATCCTCGTCCTGGCTTTTATGTTCCATAGGTGGGCAACTTCTCAGTATGTTTACACTCAGCGTCAGGCCAGAGGCAAGCAGGGCAGCTCTCCTGTGGGCCATCACTGCAAGGACGCCCGTGCATCTTTGCGACAGCGCCCCACCTTGCCACCGTGGAGTCCTACTGTACAACTGCTGGTGCAGGCGTTGTGGGGTAGCCGCACCGTGGAACACTTCTCACAAGAAGATAAGGTGGGATGGCCGTTCGCCGAAAACAATAAACCGAGAAAATTTCTGGCCTCCTGCGAGGGGAGCCTCCGTCGATCATCAAGTAGGGCTGTGCCCTGCTGCGCGGCCGCAATTCCGCCATCGCCCCCTCGTTGTTTAAGTCTGATGAGGCATGCCAGGAATTTGATGAAGGTCTTCCATGCTCCAGATTCAAACTCTGAGACTCGGCACAGCCTTTGCGCTCCGATCCACGGCGACATGGGGAGGGAGAACTGGTTGTGGACGGTATGCGGCGCGTTGTGGCCGTAAGATTACAAACTCCGTTCAGAAAAAAGTCAAAGTTTCTGGGCCTCATCGTTGACAGCACCGTCATCAGAAAGCCATCTGCCAGTTGGGAGGTACGGAACGCCGCCCGGGGTGTTCTGAGGGCTTGAATCTGCACATGGCCGGACGGAGGACTTCTCACCGCAGGATGCTCTCTAGATCTATAGTACATATGAAGTAGAATCTAGCCCGTCCGAAGCGACCTACGAAAGGCGACTCCCATTCCACTGTTCTTCATCGCAATGGGCATGCGCATGCACTCATTGTCTGCTTCAGATGCAGTTGGCCTGAATTTCGTTGGGCATTGGCCGCCGGGTTCCCCCAATGCGGGTGGTGGTTACGCGTCAAGCGCAACAGCGCGTCGGTTGTGAAGACCAATAATAAAGTAACGGATATCCCCCAATAACGGAGTAACGGAGAGTCTTTCACAACAGGCCGAAAAGCAGCAATCTTCCCCCGTACTTACATACACTCCACCGTGTCCCGGGAAGGCACTGACTTCCCTCGCGAGTCACATCGAACGTTGGCGCTCCCCACCATCACAGCCACTGAGAAGCGGACATAAAGAATGCTTCATGTCCTTGAGCGTCTCTATTGATATAGCGATCAACAGGCGCATACCACATCATTTCGCTTTCGCTTTCGCAGCTGTCCGTTCACTCCAGCCTAGTTCGAGCTTCCTGCGTCCGCTCCGTCATAATCACTCGCTGCGCTTCTGGCGTTATCCTCCGACTCCACTTCTCACCTCGCACCGACCCTTCGCGTCGCGTTCTGGTCATTCAGGACGCACTTTCGACACCGAGGCACCCTCAGCTCCGACGTCCCGTCAACCGCGAATGGCTAGTAATACTTCGCGTGGGGGGAACCCTAGCGCGGGTTCTGCGTCAGTCTCTGAAGTTCCCGTGGGGATAGACGGAAAGACATCTGCTATCAGCACCAGCATTGGTGCGCGCCAGGGAAGCATCAAAGAGAACATTGATGATGAGAGTTTCAGATGGAAGGAGACTCTGGAGAGGGTCATTGACTCGGTATCGCCGGTGCTGTACGTTTGCAGATTGTTAGACCCGTATTGAGCTTTCTGGCATGCTGCAGGTCGTTTCAATCAGATTCGTTGTAACCCGAAACTTCGACACATGGCAAGTCGGATCGTACACGGCGGTGAGCATCTACGCTCCAATTTGACCCATGAGGTTGAATCAACTTTGCTCAATTTGTGCATGTCGCTCTCAGACAGGCTTCATCGTCGACGTTGAAAAGGGACTTATTTTGACGAACAAGCATGTCGTGACAGGTAGGAGGTGAAGAAGGTCGTACAAGCCTTTCCTCGCACTTGTTTGAAACGCGTGGTGTTCGCAGATGCTCCATTTGTGGGCAAAGTCAGTTTCAAGAATTCGGAGGAAGTTGCTGCTTGGCCTGCATGGAGAGATCCCGTTCATGATTTCGGTAAGGCAAATGGAGCTAAGGGATCGTAAAAAATCCTGTTTTGGCTAACGCCACATTCTCCCGGACTCAGGATTCCTGCGTTTTGACAAATCTAAAGTCAAGTTCATGAAGCTGAGTGCCATTGCTCTGGAGCCCGATCAAGCAAGAGTGGGTCTCTCGGTCCGAGTTCCTGGGTCTGATGCCGGGGAGAAGTTGGCTGTGCTGTCCGGAATCATCGCTCGAATCGACCGACCCGCTGCAAATTACGGCACCGGCACATATTGCGATTTCAATACGTTCTATATCCAGGCGTCCGCCAACACTTCAGGAGGATCCAGTGGCTCGCCAGTCGTAGATATCGATGGGCGGGCAATTGCTTTGAACGCTGGAGGCTCTACACACGCGGCGTCCAGCTTTTTCTTACCCTTGCAAAGGGTTCATCGGGCTTTGGAGTTGCTGAGGCAGGACAAACCAATTCCTCGGGGAACACTCCAGGTTGAGTTCGTGCAAAAGCAATACGACGAGGTTCGCCGTCTTGGACTGCCAGTCGACTATGAAACGCGCTTCCGAACGCTTTCTCCTGAGCTGGGCGGTCTTCTGGCCGTCAAGAACACTATCCCGGGTGGGCCAGCTGATGGCCTTCTTTTTACTGGTGACCTGCTCATCAAGATCGGTGACAAATATGTGAACCACTTTGTGGACCTCGCCGAAGCCTTGGATGACGCCTCAGCTGTGTGGGATGAAAACAACTACATTCTCAGCGACGATAAGAAGCCAAAGCTTCGTCTTACGGTTTTCCGGAACAAAGCTTTTGTGCAAGTCGAAGTGAACGTTGACTCCTTGCACCGTATCACTCCAGACAGATATGTGGAGATTGGGGGATCCATCGTCCACCCCCTGAGCTTCCAGCTCGCGCGATCGTACCACCATGCGGTTGGCGGGGTTTTTGTTGCTGATGCAGGCCATATGCTGGGTGTGGCAGGCGTCCCTGCATACAGCATCGTCACCTCAGTAGCGCACAAGAAGACGCCCAACATCGACGCGTTCATCGAAGTGATGAAGAACTTGCCGTCGGGAAAACGCGTTCCTGTTAGGTACTACTCTTTGGCGAAGAAGAACGTGGACATCGTGAAAATCGCGGTAGTGGAGAACAAATGGGGAAGGTTCCGGATGGCGGTGAGGGATGGTAGGTTTCGGGTCTCTGTCTGGTGAAGCGAGTTAAAGTCTTTGGTCTTCATACCGTTGTCCTCGCAGATCCCGCTGGAATTTGGAGCTACACAGATCTACCATCAACAGGCACGCCGCTGAAACCAGTCCCACGGACGGCTTCATACGTGCACATCAATCCATCAAAGAACAAACACAGTAGAATTGCCAATACCGTGATGCCGTCCCTTTGTGTGGTTGAAACGCACTCTCCGTTCGGTATTGACGGTCACAACTCAAAATGGTCTGATGGAGTCGGGCTGGTGGTAGATCACAACATCGGTCTCGTCCTCGTCGACAGATCAACCGTGCCTACCTCCTTAGGCCGCCTATTTGTCACATTTGCGAACAACCTTGTTGCGCCTGCCAAAATCGCTTGGATGCACCCTATGCACAACATTGTGTTTGTGCGATACGACAAATCCTTCTTGTCTGCACAAGCCGCCGGCGAGCGTAGAGCTAGTCTGCCTCAACCACCTCTTCCCGTGAAGACCATCGAGTTCTCCCCGCTACCGGCAATGACTTCGGGCGACGAAATCCACCTGGTCACCATCAATGTTATAACACACATCCCGCGTGTGCAAACCACCCATGTCAAAGCTAAAGGCTACTTCATGTTCGGCGACACGTCTCCGCCCAAGCCACGCACCATGAACTGGGACGATGCCATCACTCTCCAAAAACCCATGTGCGAGGAAGCCGGCGTTCTGGTCGATGAAAATGGACGGGCAAGGGGATCCTGGCTTGTGTGCCCAGAGAGTAACAGTTATCTGGGTGTCGGCTTGGAACACAATGGCGAGATTCGCCAGATTTTGGACGCCTTGAGAGTGAGGGAGTCGCAAAGGACGTTTGATGACCCTGCTGGCGAAGGGTTGCCATTGCCTTTGCTGCGATGTGTGGATGTGGAGTTGACTGAGACTTACTTCTGGAAGGTAATTAGATCCTCTGATGTGTTACGCTAATGCAGTCTGTCTCACGTCTGTGTCCTTCATCTCGCAGGCACGTGAGCTTGGCTTATCCGAGCGATGGATCCACCGCATAACCATGGCGAGAGCTGAAGAACTGGGAAGCGATCTGGAAGACACGCCCGCCGAACTCCGGCCACTCGCAGAGACTGAAATTGGTGGAGTCGTTGGCGGCGACAAGTATACAGTGAGTTTAGCTTGTGTCTGCCAACTCGGCTAGCACAAACTTATTCTTACCTTTTCAGGTCATAACCGTTCGCCGCATTCCTGCCATTGCTGGCCGAGAGGATGACGAGACGAAACTCAAGGAGGGTGACCTCATCCTCGCTGTCGATGGCAAACCCATCACGTCCATGCGTGGGCCATTGATGGACATTGTCATACCCGGAAAGGAAGGGCCTGAGACACCTACGCCCGTGGATTTGACGATCCTGCGCGAGGGAGAAGAGAAAGTGCTGACGCTCCCGAGAATCTTGTTGTCTGGAACTCCAAGAGTCGATGTTGTCCAGGTGCGTTGCAGCACAAATTACAGCACAAGGCGATACTTGTCGCCACAACGGCTTCTAACGATATCGATGCTGCTGTAGTGGGGAGGAGCTATCTTCCAGATGCCTCATCGCAGCTTGTTCTTCCACGTCAAGCACATTCCTCGTGGCATCTATATTGCATTGCTATACTCGGGTAGTCCCGCTCAGCGGGATCACCTATCAGCGTGTTGGTTTGTTGTTGAAGTAGTGAGTACAGCGGGCCTCTCTTGTATCACCTCTTTCTTTCTGAAAGAACCGTCTGCACAACTCTGGAATGTTCATGCACTGTCTAATGATTACTTTCGCCTTGTTTTAGGACGGCCGCAAAATCGACACATTGGACGATTTCCTGGAAGTAGTCGAAGGCGCCGAGTGGCCGTCGCATGTCCCTCTCGTCAACCCGGTCACAGACGGGTGGAGAGAGGAAGACATTAAGACCATCGAAAATCAAACTGCGGCCGACAACGCGACCAGTATCCGAGCTTCGGAAAATGCGCTATATCCCACCAATCCTGCTACTGGCAGCATCATCAAATCCACAGTCTCGAGAAGCTTCAGGTTCAGACTGGTGAGCTTGGAGCAGGTACATAAGGTCGTGACCATCGACATGGATCTGGCGAGCAAGAACTATTGGCCGACTTGGCGGTGTGTGGTCAACGAATGATTAGGAGATGGAAGGAGCTTCTCAGCCTATCTATGTACACCTTTAAGATCCGATTTCGCGCGAGGGTTCTGGATATAATGGTCCAGTCCTAGGCTGGCGATGGACCGCAAGGGTATGCTTCGACTACAACCTCTTTTCTTCTCCATCCCTGCCCAGAGGGCTATTGTTTCGAATACATTTTTGGTCACCTCGACTGGACAACCGGAAGTTTCGAAATCAAGATATGCTTTGAAGCTTTGGCCCCATTCGCTAGCGCTGTGTATAAAGCGATGAACTTGGCGTTCTTACTCATGGGATGGCCTGCTAGGCAGACATGGGTCAGGAGCAGTACCACTCCACAGCGCATTCGACGGTAGATGTCAGCTGCTTGGTTCTGATGAAACGACTAGATGGGCCTAACAGAGGAAGCTACTGTGGTTCCACCTTCCCATGTCGTACGTGGTTCGAAGTGATAGTATATGATTTCAAGGCGCCGCGGAAGTCCCGCCGCATGAATTAGATTAGATTAGCTAGGTCACGGCAGAATATGCACCCACTTCTCCCATTCGCCACCAGCTTCGAAGCGACCCCCCCCGCCGCCGGTGTATCCCGTAGCCCCCACGTCCCCTTCAAACAGCGCACTGCTGCCGATCCTGCATATCGCCATCCGCCGCCGAAGCCATAGCGCCTGACGAAACATCCCCAATAACGTCGCGCCTTGTTTGACGCCCTCGCGGATGTGAGCGAGGAACGCAAAGAACTCAAGGGCGGCGAGCACGCGGTCCCGGCAGAAGCGGCAAATGGGGTTCCATGCTGCGTCTGTTGGTGGTATAAGGGTCCCGGATGATGGTGAGGATGAGAGATTATTGATTGATCCTCTGACGGACACCGGTTGGGGAGGAACAAAGCGAATCTTGAATTCGCAGTCACGTGTCAGGGTGCATGTGAGGCATTTGGCTTTTGGTGGAGGCTTGTTCTGATGTGACGACGTCCCGGACGCCGCATTGCGCGGTATGCCGACCTGGGCCTGATTGCCTGGGGAGTGTGGCGAAAGCGTCGAATTTGATGACCAATGGCGAGCGATATCACACCATCCTCGAATAACATTCTCCAAGAGTTTCCGTTTCCCGGAAGTACTCAGTCCTGCTGAGTGCTTGAAAAGTCCTCCAGACTCTTGCGAGTAGCTATAGAACAGGCATGGCTCAACATCTTCAGCCATGCACCGTTTAATGAAGTTGGTTGCGCCTGCGGCATTGCTGTTGACCGCAGAAGAGGACACGGCTTCCTTGACGTGATCTTGGAATTCTGAAAAAATGATGCCGTCGACGATGAGACTGGGATTCATCTGTTGCATCGCTAACGTAGGGTTCGACCCATACGGCGAACCGATGACGGAGCCTCGACGCGCGCTCGCTCGTCTCAACGAGCCCGTGTTTCCATATGCTCCACCACCCGTAAGGTTCGACAAAGACCCTAGAGGTGAGGTGGGGCTGAGCCCACTGAGTCCGGTGATGTTCGATACTGAATTAGATCTCAACTTTGCGTTCTCTAGAGCCCGCAAAGCAGTACGCATGGCGCGAAGTTCATCGTCACGCCGTTGGAAATTCTGTACAACCTCGCCAAGCTCTCCTCGAAGCTGCCGGTTGGATTGCTCCAACTCGTCCCTCATTTTCGCCTCGTCAACGACCATTCGATTTGCTTGATCGAATAATTGAGCCGTGAGTTCCTCGAGCTCTTGATCTAATATGTCTTTGCTCAATTGAATCCTCTCCCGCACGGTCCGCTCCTCCTCTAGCTGGTCAGCGAGATCATTGATGTCGCCTTTCAAAGCTTCAATCGTATTCTGGTGCTGATGCATCTTTAGCTGCATTTCTCTGCAATTACTACATCTACCACTCAAGGTTGGCGTGCTCGGCGCACTGGGTGCGCGTTGCGGATTGGTGGCTAAATCGCTTTCATCGTCTTCTGGTAATGAAGTCGCGGCATGGAAGAGAGCGGCGGCGGCCTTTTGAGCTGAGACGTGCCTTTCGTGGGCGGCCGACCTGCCCACTTTGGACGCCAGAGTAGGCGTTTGCGTTCCACTCACGAGCAGTTCTCCGGACGCACTCCGCCGATAAATCCCAACGTCTGAGGCGGATTGTCTTCTCGTTGACGTTCCTGGAGGACCCAGCATTTTCGCTTCATTTATTTCCGCAGTTGAATCGACGGATCCGCGTCCATGGCCTCCAGCCGGTGTTGTCGAGTCTGTGCTGGTCTCATCTCCCTCGACGTTCAGCCTAGGCAATTCTTCGTTCGATTTTGCCTTGCCTGGTATCATAGCCAAAACCGACGATTGAGCGTTCTTCAAGTAGTTCAGCGCCAATCTCATGCATTCCATCATCTGCACTTCGAAATTCGGGGGCATGCCGGCCGCTGTGGCCACCCTTTTGGCGGAAAAAGTGAAGCTGTCGAAATTCGATGCTGCCTGCAGCTGCTGCTTCTCAGCCATCTGGGCTGGAGTAGGCTGAATTTTGGACGGACTGCTGCTACTAATGTCGCTCATATTGTCCACAAACGACCGACCTCTGCCCTCAATCCCCAGTTGTGCCCCTTTAAAGTTCCCTCCGGGAGTCCCCGGTGGCATCGGGGTTTGAGATTGCGAGGAAGTCTCGCTCAGCGTGCCCCGATTCAGCCATTCTTCGTAACTCAGCATAGGTTTGCCCAGGAAGAGGATTGCTTCCTTGACGGCAAATTCGTAACGGTTGATTTTGATCCTCATCACATCAATCTGCTCATTCTTTTTCGTGATCGATTCACTGGCAATCTCCGTATCACGTCCATGTCGCTCGGTCATTCTCTGTGCGCGTACATTGGCATGTTAGCCGCGCCAGAAGCCACTTCAATTCTCGGATACCATTGCAACAGCATTCTGAGGCCACGTCAATACCTTGATATGGGCTTCCAAATCAGCGACTCTCTTTTCAAGTCCAAAGATTTTCTTGTCCTTCGTTGCGTCTTCTTCGACACTTGGTTTCCTCGCTACCTCTTCGGACCCATCATCGATTCCAGCGATTCGATCTTCCGAACGCATAGAGCTCGGTTCGGCATTTTCAGGTCCTGGCCTCGTGTCCGTTTCGCTAGTGTGTTTGTGAGGTTGCTCCATCGTGGCCATCCGATGGTCCCAAAGTGGTAGCTGTTTTACGCCCCTGACTCTCAAAAGCCAGAAGGGAGAGACGAAATTTCGATGTGACGGCAGTCAAAGGGTTATTTCACCAATCAAAACGCTCGGGTGATTTCAGGTTCTTCTCTATGATGAGGATGCTGAGCGCGATTGGTTTCGCGCGGGAACGACGTTGACGTGAAGTTGACGGTGAAGTCGATAATGGCGAATGGTGACGCCCTGGAACTGAGACTTTGCAACAGTGCTTCCTTCTCGAGATCGGCCGGGTGGTGAAATGACGCAGACCTTTAATCCCTTATCAGTAGGGAATTGCACCTCCCAAGGGGCTGCCCATTGGTTTGCGGTTCACCACTGACGAGCGTCCTTTTATGTCACTGCGGCGACGCGCTGTCGTATCCCTCGCGCACTGACCGTGCTTTCCGTCCGATTTCACGCACACGCCAACGAGCGATTGAACGACAGAACTTCATGTAATAGTTTCCGCAGGCGTCAGAACTTGACCGCCGGAAAGGCCGATATCCGTAGGTTCTCATCCGCCCGAAGCTCGAGTCTTTAGACAAACACAAAGGGCCCTTCCACATTCGAACGCATATGAGGAGAAATCTGTTATACCAATTGAGGATAGACAACAGGCTCTTGCGAAAGTGTAGGATCGTACTTCGTGGCTGGCGCTATCAAAAGCCGGTCACATTGAAGCACTTCACAGTATGCAGCTCTGTAAATGCAGCTGCTCTTTCTTATTGTCACAGATGCACCAACGCCGTGCTCATATGTGAGGGTTTTGAAGATGCGTCCTGCTAGGTTGTATACTGAAGTTCTTTTTCATAGGAAATATGTACACTTATGATATGAGATCGGCCAGGGTCTAGAAATGGCCATACGCCGGTGAAAAACGGCTCCATCTTTCCGTGGAGTTTGTATATAGTAGCAAGGAAGTGTTTTCCTCTTATTGTTCGTCGATTGGCTTATCATCATGTGGCCCTGAGCCTTCCATATACATCCTCAAACGCTTCGTTGAAGCACGGTAAATCACATTCAAACCACTCCGAGGGCCATTCTGAAGCCTCGATCAAACGAAACCTCCCGACTTTCCCAATTGCCGATCGAGCTCCTTTCCTTAGTTGGTGGACATCAACCTCCATCCCGTGCTCTTCAGCCATGAGCCACAGCACAGGAAGCGACATGGTCACTCGGCAGATCTCGTCGCCACCAGCTTCCTGCTTGTCTATGATCTTCTTGAAAATATGGAGCATGTTGTCGACAGGTAGTTCGGCACGCTGGAACGCGCGGAACAGCATCGGATAGCAGCATGGCTCAGTTTGGTGGAGTAGGCAATCGACAACGGAGGTCATAATGTCGCGTGGGTCGGATAAATCGAGAAAATCGCTCAATTTGGCATAGCAGAACACTGTTTTGACTGTGATGGCGAGGTCCGATGGGCGGTGGGTGTACAGGTAGAGTATAATGCGGCGCAGAACTTCAGGTTGATCGGTGATGTCAGCCGCGGCCACTTGGTAGAACAAAGTTTCGCTGCCATCCGCATTCTGCCTTTTCACAAACTCGGACAAACTGGCAAAGTACCCCGATTTTGCCCTAAGAATAGGCATGTGGAGATACATGTCACATCCACCCTCGAACATAAGCCTGGTGTCAGTTGTTTTGCGGTCGAGGAGTTTTGCAAGCCCTGACATCCGACTAGGAGGCTACAGAGAGATCGCAAAGTTAGGATTAGTGAGCTTTTATTCCATCCATAGACGCCATTCCCTCTATCAAGCTTGTGCCACTGTTACCTTGCTGTTACTACCCATGGTTCCAACAACGTCGCTGCCGCTCATAGGGGCCGCCCGATAATCGTCCATGCTGGCGTTCAGGTGCTGGCTGAAGTTCGGGCGGGTGGGCGGGTAGCGACACTCGCACTGGCCGTTTTCTCGTTGCATACCGGCTTTACCTACGGAAAACCAAACCCATAAGTATGGCTGAAGAATGAGCGAAGCGACAGGAGGTTGGTTGATGGGGTGATGCACGAGCGAAGTGATGAGGGGTTGGACGATGGGGATGGTTGAACAACATCCTGCTCGCTTTGCTTGCGGCGAGGATATTGGCCGATGTCTATTAAGAACGACCGGTCGCTGGCGCTTACAGTGAAGAGGGGCCTCGCTTCGGTCGCCGTTCGCTGTCGCTAACATGTACTACTCGCTTCGCTCGCTAGAGTTGTGCCTGAGCAGCGGGACTCACTCGCGAAGGCGTTCGCTCTGGTGGAACTCGCTACGCTGGGGCTCCCAGGGCAAACTAACCGTGCACTACGTTCTGCTCACCGCAGGCGATGCCAGGGGAGGGATATGTTGTTTGATCTCTGTCCTTACCCTTACGAGTTGCTTCCGGTGGCCTGTGAGGATTGAATCTCTGACGAAACAGGGTTCGATCTGCTTTCAAATGGTGGTTCGCTGTTTGCTGTTGGGTTGGGAGACGGATTCAAAAATGCGGGGCCAGACGGAAAGGACTGTGGTTTTCGGGGACGCCTGAAAATTCGTACACTGGCACTGGCATGTGCTCATTGACAGGTCCCGCGCTGTCGAATTCCCATCAAGTGCGCAGTGCATTCTCAACTCACAGACGTCGCAAGTTCTGGGTTCTCATGCAACTTAAGTATGCCTTTGACAACCATATATACAGAGAGCTCCGGCAGTTGAAATTCACCAGAAACTCTTTTCTCATAAATACACATGATAAAAATAAGAGTCCTCGAATTGGGACACAACGATGCCACAACCATTGCAAACAAATCCCCGCCGAACCTATCCTACTACTAGGGCAAGACAGAAAAGGATCTACTTTCACTCCCCCCTCATCGACTCAGGTATTCCTCCGACAGAAACAGCTAGCCCTCCCCTTCCTCCTCGTGGCCGCTATCTAAATGATTATGTCTCCACCTACTTCCACCGAGCCGTATAAAAGGTCAAACGCCTCGTTGAATCCCTCGGATGGGTACCCAAACCACTTCGAAGCCGGCTCCGTCAGGTAAAGCTTGACATTCTCCCCGATCGCGTTTCGAATCTCCATACGAATCTGCAGCGCATCATACTTCAAGCCGTGCTTGTTGGCCATGAGAACCCACAAGACCGGGAGACAGAGGGTGGGGACTTCGAACACGTCCAGGCATCGAGGTTCGAGACTTTCAGGGTAGGCGTCGAATTCCTTTGATTCCAGGAAGATCAGGGGCTTGGAGATGGCGAGCATAAGGTCAGCTTGGACCTCCGAGCGCTCGAAAGAGTCGACTAGTTTGGAGGCAAATTCCTTCCTGGAGGCTTTTGCGTGGTCAGAAAGACATTTGGTGATGAAGAATTTAAGGTCCAGTCCTTCGTTGAGGGCTAGAAAGTCGTCCAGTTTGACGAAGCAGAATGCGTTCTCCACTGTGAGATCCAAGTCCGCGAGTCGATGAGTGTATGAATAGAGGAAAAGGCGGCGGAGAAGGTCCGGCTCGTCCGTGATGTCTTCCGCCTTGACCTCGTAAGTGATGGAGGTGTTACGCGAACGACGAGTGGCTGTGCTGCCGTGCTTCCTGATCTCCTCAGCATGTTGCCATTCCTTGAAATCTGCTAAGCTAGCAAAATATCCAGAAGCAGCGCGAAGGACGCCCATGTGCAGGTGCATGTGGCGTCCGCCGGTGAATACGACCTTGGTGTCGGTAGTTCGTCGATCGAAGAATCTCTCCAAAGCCGATGCGGCATGTTGGTGTCGCTGCTTCCACAGAACCAAAGAACAGGCTCCAGTATCATGCATGCGTAAGTTCCAAAAGTGGTATCGGTTACCTCTTCAAAGGTCTCCATTGTAGCAGAGCTCTGTTGAGGGAAAATGCACAATGTTAGGAAAGCGTCCTGTGAAGCTACGACGATAAGGACGGCTAGCAGCAGTCCATCCTACAATGTCAGGAATCTAGATAAGTGGACGGGTGCTAATAAACAGAGCAGCTCGACTGCCTTTGACTGCACGGAAAGATGACTTTCAGATTGAAGGCGTTTGCTCGCTGAGGTCATTGACAGCAGCTGTCACATTGCAGGCTCTCTCCACATTCCTCCTTTTTTTTGCGCTTGTTTACCGTTAAGCCTTAATGACGTTTTTGGAGAAATGCCCTGTTATCCATCGGATTCGAAGGTATGTGCAACAGGAAGACTGCCAAGTAGGCTTTTTCGTCGGATTCGATGGTTTTCGCACGCCCATCAAGAAAGATATAGATAATAAATATGAGCATTCAGAGGTTGTCACAAGGTATCTACATTATCTACACCAGCGATCCCATTCTGCCCTTCCCGTACACGCCAATCCTCCCGTAGAGTAGAGCGAGGGGCCACCGGGACCATCCAATTTGAACATTATCAGCTGGTATCCATCGAGTTCGCGAAATTTCGGAGCTCCTGCGCGACCTTCCTCTCGATATCCGACGCAGCCGCCCCGTCCGCCGCTTGTATCACCCGGCTAGCTGCTATTATTTGTGCAGGCTTCCCGGCGTTTATCCACACGCGACCATTCAATCCTACTGCTGTCTCAAAAGAGAATGCCCCTGCTAGTGACGCAAAGATCGGGTTCTTCGAATCGAGCAGCCTGCATATGGAGAAGGAGCGTCAGAATATTCAAACGAAGGAACTTCCAATATTGGCGGTCACCGTGTCCTAACTTACATCCTAGCCGTCCTCAGCGAACAGCGCACGACATAACCCTTCTTGATCTCCCCATATCCGCCCGCCCGTCCAGTCTTGAGATCTATACATTCCAGTTCCGGGTCCATGTCCTTATTCGCAACGTTGACTCGTGCGTAGATCAATGTGCCCACTTCCAAATTTGGCCTATTCCTTTTTGTAGCTCCTTCAAAGGCGAGAATGGGAAGAATGGCTCGGTGCGCCGATCCAATGTCTACTGAGAAGGACTCGCCGTGTCGAGCTGCAATTGTTCCTAGGACTGAATCACCTACTGCTGGGACATACTACACGAAGAAAAAACGGTAATGAGCGAGAGTACCCTCCCAAACGACGTGTGAAAAGTCCCAAACACACATACCCGCTTCTGAGTGTTGTCCACCCACCACCTGTTCCCAGCCCCGTGATGCAGAAGCCCAGCCTTCACCGCCACGAGCTCTCCACCCTCCTGATGCAGACCAGGCCCCACTCGGACTTTCGTGGGTGTAACCCCGCTCGTTGCCTCGATATTGAGTGGTATCCTGTCGCCGGGAACGACAGGCCTGGGAACTTTCGAGTACGTTTCGGAACCGAGAGCCATGGCTGTTTGAGACTGGAGCAAATTGTTCGAAAAGTCGAGGCTCGCACTACAAGCACAGAGGTGATTCCAGAGTGTTTCGAGGCCAGGTTAGAAATCTGCCAACGTCAGGGTTGCGTTGCGCGGTTCAGTGTAGTCGATCTATCTAGGTTTACAGAGGATTCTGGGGTTTCTCTGCCAACTCGAAACGTCTTCGAAGCGCGCTGATGGCGCTGACCAGACCACTGGGATGAAATGACTTACGTTGTGCCAAGCTGCCAAGTTCGCCAGTCGCCAAGGAACATCCAGCCTCATCCAAGCCACAGCAGCCAAGCGATCTGATATCAATATCAACATCTACTTCAAACGTCAGGACGTACAGAGAATCAGCCGCACATATTTACGGTCGTTTAGGCGGTGGGAGCCCCTGGAACATCACATTCGTCGACCTCGCACGCCATCACACTTTTGACATCCTTCTTTTCGCTGAACGATGAACGATTCACGACCTCTTCCACCAGGGTAGGTGCAGCATCCATCGCCGACATCAGAGCTACCTTGGTCTCATTCTTCCCTTCCTAAATGTATACTTAGTTGGATAACCCAATGGGATGCCAACTACCAAAGATATTTCTTCGTCGGTAAGTTGTCGCGCGTTCTTGCTTAGACTATGCCTCAGAGTTCCGGTTTTAACATACATAACACATCATATCAGATACTAGCACCGGACAATCCTCGTGGAATGATCCCAGAGGTCCTCTTCCCAACGCTCCAAGCTCGCAATTGCCGCCTGCATACGGCGTTGGAGCCGCAGCTGGAGGACCACCAAACTACTCGCAGCAGGCACCTGCACAGAACTTTGCCCCTACGCCGGAGCAATACCAATCGTATCAGCAGCAACAGCAGCCCCCGCAGTATCAGCAGAATGTCCCGCCTGGCGGCTCTGACGATCGAGGCCTCGGAAAACTGGCTATGGGCGCAGCCGGGATCTACGCGTTATCAAGCGTTTTGAAGCCTCAACACGGTCATTCCGGAGGCGGCCTGGGTGGCCTGGGCGCCTTGCTGGGCGGGGGAGGCGGTCATGGAGGGGGTGGATATGGTGGCCACGGGTACGGCCATGGACCATCGCATGGTTCTAGCGGGTTCGGCGGCGGCGGTATGCTTCCCGGCATGGCGCTGGGTATGGGCGGAATGGCTCTCATGGGCGGGATGGGCGGCAGAAAGCACAAACGCTACGGAAGGAAGCACAAAGGATGGGGCAAGAGCAAGGGTTGGGGAAAGCACAAGGGATGGGGAATGGGAAAATGGAAAGGTGGGAAAGGATTTGGGAAATGGAAGTAGACGGACATGGTTCATTTGGTATTACGTCACCACCGAAAACTGGTCCATGCCTGATAAGGCAACGTGGGGTTTGGCAGCTTTGCCCCAAATTATTCTACGTGCAAACGACTAGTAGGCCCGAAATACGGCCTACAAACTACAATTCCCGCAAGATGGTGCCATGTGCGGCAGTTTTAGAGGATGGAAGCATCGCCTCTCGGAACCCCCACGTCAATCCCCTCAGGGCCACGCCCGACACCCAAAGCTACCCCGTCAGAAAAGCGAACATATCATCGTGCGAAATACGAGGCCCATATGAACGCTACCGAAAGAAAAATAGAGTTTGTCCCACGGCAGTTCGGATCCCGAGCTGCCTGCGTTTCAAGGTAAACCGAACACGCAGTATGTATGGATTAAGCGCGCGGACAAGGATAAGCGGACGCATCGTCGCGATCGACCTTGGCATCAAAAAATTGATGGTCGCCGAACGGCCAGCCAGGGAACATAAAGCTGTGCCTCTTCCAGTTCCATGTGGGAAGTGGTTCATGGCGGTATCATTGTGGCAAATCGCTTGGTTCCAAGGAAAGACAGAAGGGGATCGTCCTTCGATCCAAAGTTTCGACCATCCCATACGCTCTCCTGTGCGTATGCTTCAGTGATGCGACAGAATAGTATAGCATGTCCATCCCGTTCGGATATGTCTTCGATTTCGCATAAAAGATGCGCGACGGTGCCCTGAATGGCGATCAGTGGCGGATCTTCATCCTCTGTCGGCTCCCATTCTAGTTTCGTGTAGTTAATTTTGCAGATGGGTATTGCAAACTCTTCGAATTTGTCCTTGACCTTCCCCGAGCATGATCCAATGGAAAGCACCAGCTCCTCGGATCGTAGCGTCGGAACATTCAGCACTATGCAAATAAGCATAATCGTTTGGATTTAATATTGCGTCCATCGTAAAAACTCCAGTTGAACTAGTTGTAAAGTTTCGTACCAAAAGTGTTCGTATGCTGCAGGAGAGACCAAGTATGGCGATTCAAGTTCATCGAACTGACAAAATGACCCTGGTTATCGATCGCCGTCAACCAGGATATCGTCATGACATTCCTCGCCCAAGTTCCCAGCCCATCGCCAGCCTCCCCTGTCGTCTCGGTCGTGGTCGCTTCCAGTGGAACTCGCGCGCTTACGGTCAGCAGACACACGGGGTTGGGATAGAGCAGCCTTGAGAGCATGTGCTTTTGCACCGCTATGGCTTTTGTCGCAGTTGAGGGATTGATGAGGGTCGGTTGTGCCATTGTGTTGCCGTTCCAGAAAGCGTTCCAGGAAAAGCATCGAGTCCGGAACGCGTCCGAATGCGACCGCTGCCATTGACGTTTGATTTGACGTTCCCCTTCAAATTCACAGCCTGTTCAGAACCCACAGATAGCCCCAGAAGTCGTCCTCCAGAAGAAAACCTACGATCTTGTAACAACTCCAGCATGAAGCGCGTGCTGATACTCATAGCGGCGCTCCTATCGCTCGCTTCGGTCGCCGCGAAAGCAGGCAACCATGTGGTTGATCTCACGGACTCCGACCTGGACTCAGAATTGGAAGGACGGGAGTGGGTTGTCGAATTGTAAGTTTGGTCAAGACCCCTTTAGAATCACTTTTCCGTTCAAAGGGGGGAAATGCACTTTAGGAGGGACGAGCCGAGGTTTCTCACTTCATACCGCAACCTCCTGTAGTTACGCGAAATGGTGCGGGGCTTGCCAGCGGTTCACCTCCGAATACGAAAACGCAGCCGCCCAGCTCCACAAGGAACGCCCTGAACTGAGCCTCGGTCGTGTGGATGTAGATGCGAATCCAGTGGCATCTGCTAGGTTTATGATATCACGGTAGCGTTTCACTTCTCCATAATGGCACGTAGAAGCTCTGAAACTGATTCCCTGATGACGTCTATAGGTTACCGACAATTTATCATGTTCTGAATAAGACGGCACGGCCTATGGAAGTTCGACGAACGGCTGCTGATGTGGTGGAATATCTGACTGAAGAACGGTGGCGGTCGGTGGAGCCCTTGAACGCTTGGTATTCACCCTTCTCTGTGGGCGGCCACATTCTGGGGACGAGTAAGTGGGATACGGGGGGTACGGCCGGATGGCCATGCATTCATTCTCACCGCATACATCTATAGTTGGAGGGCTTGGATCTCACCTGGTCAACTTTGCGCAAACATTGCGGACTCTGAGGTTTGGACACCCAACAGTCATGATTGAACTGATATGTATGGGTTTACTCATGCATTTCTGTCGAAAACCCAGGGTCGAGCAATGGGCATATATTGGCGCCGGGGGCTTCGTGGTAAGCTACACATATCACCGCATGTGTATGCAACTGCTGGACGGTACTCATCAATATCTTCTTATCTGCAGCTCATCTTACTCCTGGGTCGCCTGTTCGCCGACACACCCACACCAGGACCTCCACGACGCGAAACGAAGAAGTCGAAGTGAGGCGTAATCGAATGTACATGAACAGGAATGTGGGCTCCGAGCGTTGCTTACCGACGGGATGAGCTGAAAAAAAAGCAGTCCACCTCGAATGTTTTATCCATACGTACTCGGTCTGTTACACGAAAACGTTATTATATGTATGTAGGAGCCCAGTGCTGCTGGGGGGGGGGGGGGGGGGAAATCATATTTGCCACGTACAGTATAAGCTTTTAAAGAGGTTCGCGGTCACGGACGGAGCCCTGAGTCATGCATGACGCGCCAAATGGAAGGTGACGTCATGTTCTCCTCGCGTCTCCAGAATCCCGACTCCAAAGGTCTGCGATTTTTTGGGTGGGACTGCACCCTAGGAGGAAAAAGGTTTTCGGGTCTGGCAAGGCCCTGCATTGAGTCGCTTGCAAAAGCTCCCCACTCCATAGATAGCTAACTCTGGACAAACTCAGAAACACGGAAACAATGTCGGAATCAGGAGAAGCCGGTTACAGGGGAACCCGGGAGCAGGAGAAGCCTGTGAGGCCGGCCGGTGGGCTCCTCAACCAACTGTTAACCGACAACCGAGCCCGCGCACGGCAGAGGCCGGCTCGTCAGGACAGAACCGTCGGTCCTCGGCACTATCGAAAGGACATTATGGTTGATTCGGACGGGAATATCGATGATCGGGAGAAACTTATCGCTGCCCTCGAAGGCCTCGATGGAGACTGCGAAGAAGTTCGAGAAACGAAACATGGCGAAAACTCGAAAACGCATTCCTTGGTACCCAGGCCTTATGTGCATAAAACCACCGGGCTCGCACTGGTCCGCACGAACTACTACATTCGAAAATCCAGCAACCGAGAAACGAGACCGATGGAGAAACAAAAGCCGTTCCAAGCCCTCAATGCCAAGTTCCATGCGCAGAGCTACGTGAAGAACATCCGCCAGCTGCCGAAGAACAAGCACTTTGTCATGTTCTTTGTCTGGATCGACTTGCTGGTTGACTGCTTGATGTGCATTGCGTACATCGATCAGATATCCGTGTCTGCCCCTCTCACGGATGTCTCGCCATCATGGCTGTTCTTTTCGCGCCCGAGATGGTTGTGGGTTGCATTAGTGGTGTGCAGCGTGTACAACCTGGGATCCTTCTTGACGCGCATTGTCGGCACGGCAGAGAAACGAAAAGCGCTGTTCTCCGTGGAGCCATTACTCGACCTGTTGACGGCTGTGCCATTCATAGTGAGCTTGTTTCTCCCCAATGGTATGCATGGTCTGGTGCGTTTGTACCTTCCCTTCCCTGGTGCATTGAACTCATGAACTACACCTCCTATTCTCAGGCCAAAACCTTTACGTGCCATACTTCTTACGGGTTTGGTACGTCCGTTGGCGTGCTCTCCGAGTGCTAGGAGCACACGCTTCCATCGATTCAGATAGCGGCGCCGTGGCGATCAATCCCGTTCGGCAACAGTTGACAAACCTTTTCGTTCTCATTCTGGCGCTCCTCTTCTCGATGATGTGCGCGTTCCAGTGGGCTGAGCTGGCCTTCGCCGGTACAACCTACACAGCCATCGACGTTCTGTATTTCTCATTCGTGACCGCTTCCACCATCGGTTATGGAGATATATCACCGTCTCACTGGGTATCGAGGCTGATTACGATTGCCTTCATTGTGCTTATCCTCACACTGATTCCCGGTCTCATCGGCGACTTCTTGGAGGCGTGGCGACTGAATCAGGACAGTAGTAAGACCTATGTACCTGGCCGGAATCAGCATATTATTCTCATCGGGAACTTTACCAACGCCAATCGTGTTCAAGACCTTCTAAACGGTTTCCTTGACATACGAAACAACAACTCAACCGACACGCACCTCATTTTAGTTGGCTCAAAGGAAGCGCCGCGAGCGGTCGAATCTCTGTTGACCCTCCCCTTCTACAAATCATGCACGACCTATATTCAGGGAACGCCGTTGAATGAAAGCGATTTTAGACGGATGAAATCGAAAGACGCCGCCGCGGCTTTCGTTCTCGCACATCGAAACGCGACCGATTGGTTCGAGGAGGACCAACACACCACCTTGGCGGCGTGGTCCTTCCATATCCATAACCCAAAAGTACCATTGTACGCCGAAGTTCTCCTTCCCGAAACCGCCGCCTTCCAACAGATGGCGCGGGTCGTCATCTGCGTCGATCAAATCAAACAAGTTCTGATTGCCTATAACTCGCTCTATCCCGGAATGTCGACCTTGATCCTGAACCTCATCTTCCAATCAAACCCTTCCACTCAGTGCGTCTATCCTTGGGAGTTCCAGTACTCGGACGGCCTCGCCAATGAGATCTACACTGATACTGCAAACCCTATATTCGTGGGTCGCAGTTTTACGTGGGTCTCGTGGTATCTGTACGTGGAGTTTCAGGTCACTCTTTTCGCCATCAGCCCGGAACCTTCGTCAGCTACCGATGCGGTCCCAGAACACGGGCGAAACACCCTACCGTCGTGGAACAACGAGCGCGAGTACGCTGCCGGTTCTTTACTGTTGAACCCTGGACGGAACTACAAGATCCAGAAAGGCGATGTATGTTATTACATTGCCAATGTTCGAGAAGAAGTCGACAGAATAGGGAGAATGACCGCGGAGAACTTGCGGAACTCCTTGAGACAGTATGGGATCCGTGACGAGTGCCTCGATGTGACGGTCAATATCGACCCGCCAGGCAACGAGGAACGCAAAAGCCAAGCCAATACGCGGCTGAATCAACCGTCCGCAGCTACGCTCACGGCGCCGAGTTACAACATCATCAATGCTTCGGACGATGAAAGCGACGAAGACGACCGGAACGGTGCCATGAGAATGAGGAAAACATCCCATGCGAGCAACCAGCCTGCCACTGCCACTGTATTGAACGGCCCTCCAACTCCACCAGCTCCACCATTGGATGACTGCCACCCAGACCCCATGGTACAGATCAAGCAGGAGACCTTCCAAGGCCGACCTGAAGCACCTTACACCGCAACCGCATCCGAGCAACCACCCGTTTGCCATCTTCTCCGAATTCAACGAACGAATGTATCTGAGTGCCTGGTGGACGACGCCACACACTTGAGGGATCATATCATCGTGTGCGCCGGCGAGCAACCACTCTTCCGCTTCCTCTGCACCCTCCGGTCTGTCTCCCTATCGTCACAGCATATCCGCGACATCCTCATCGTCGGGCCAAAGAAGCCCTCAGACCAGGAGTTCAGCCATAACCTCGCCGTGTTCCCAGGAATATACTACATGGTAGCCGACTGTCGCCGCCGCGACGACATGCTCCGCACCGGCATCGAGTATGCGCGAACGATCTGCATCCTCTCCAAGCCGGAAAACGCGTTCGCCAACAACCCGGCGCAGAGCCGGTCTTCGGACACAACCTCTGACGACCTCACCACGTCCTTCGCCGACAGCGCGGCCGTGATGACGACCCACGTTGTCCACCAGATCCTGGCATCGTGCGGTGTGCCCGTAAACACCCACGCGCAGGACATAGTAGGCGGAGGCGAAAACGGCGATGAATCGCAAGGCATCGTCGGACCCGTGAAGCAGCTACACGAGAACCAGCAACAAGACGCGGCGGAGGAGACCCAGCAAGACGACACAATCAAAATGGGCGAGGAGATCGAGATTACCGAGTTGCACTCCAAACCCGTGCGGGAGACGCCGTATGTGACTCTCGTCACGGAGTTGTTGGATCGGAAAAATATCCGTTTCCTGCATGCTTTGCAATCCGCCGCGCCTATCATCGACCACCTGCATTCACCCGTGTATGCGGCCGGGTACACCGTCGTGTCTGCCCTCCTGGACAATTTCGTGTATGCGGTGTATCAGAACCCAGCCATCATCGACATCGTCAAAGCCTTCTGCGGCGATTACAACCCCAGCAATCTCTCCGAGCCCTTCACCCCATCGGCCTCACAGAACGGCGGCAGCCCAACCCCAGAATCCGAACCCGACCTCTCCGCCTCCCAACGCAGTTTCCTCAAATTCACACCCATCCCCAACGCATTCAAGGGAAAAACGTACGGCGAGCTCTACCGCCACCTCGCGTTTGAGGCCGACACGGAGAAACATGCGAATGGGGCTGCGGTGCCTGATGCGGATCATAGCAGTATCCCTGTGGGGCTGCTCAGGCCGCCGAACCAGGCGCTGGGTAATTCCTTGCCTTTCGTTTATACCAACCCGGTTCCGTCGCTTGTGCTGCTGCGGGGCGATCAGGTTGCGGTGTTGAGGAATTAGGACTAGCCAATATCTGCATCGGCCGGATGTTTTGGCGAGAGGAGTATCTATTATCATTTAATGCCCCCGAAAACTGTCTCTTTCTGCAACATTAATTTTGGCTGGACGTAAGAATACATGTTTGTTCGTGTGTATCATACATATGTGTATAGTTTTGATGTAAAATATGTGTCCAACGAGTGGTTTAGAAGAGCGTTTGAGCGTTGCCCGTTGAAGCGCTGCGACTTGCAAGGACACAAGTGTGCGATGATGAGATTTAGAAAAGGACTACGACGGTTCTATGACAGGCTAAGTCTACATATACAGACGCCGTTCAATTCAAGCCCAAAGTCTTCTTAACTTCCTGCACCAACTCCTCGCGCCTAACAATCGTCTCCAACTCCTGCGCATCCCCGCCCATCTCCCCACTCTTCACAATCCTCCTCAGCTTCAATATCCCCTGCTCAATCTCCTGCTTGCCAACAATAACCGCCAACGGGATCTGCTCCTTGTGACAGGCCTCAAACTGCACCGTCAGGTTGCGCGGCTTGACCTTGAACATGGTCTCGGCAGGGACATTGGCGTCCCACAGCTCTGTGCAGATGCGTAAGCGGTCGGCGAGGAACCCTTCGCCGGCACCGATGACGTAGACTTGTGTGGCAGTGGATTTGATGTCGGCGGCTTTGCGTTGTTGGGAGAGGATGGCGAAGACGCGCTCAACGCCGATGCTGACGCCGACACAAGGGATCTTCTTGTTGCCGGAGAACATGCCGACGAGATCGTCGTATCGACCACCGGCGGCGACGGAGCCGACGCCGACTGGTTCGCCGTCTGTAAACAGTGAGGTTAGCATACCGTCGTCAGAACTCCCACGTCCGGGCAAGACATGACGCTTACTCTGCATTGTTGGTGAGTCAGTAATGACAGCCTCGTAAATGACACCCGTGTAGTAGTCCAGTCCTCGTGCAAGACTGAGGTCAAAGGAGACGCGGGGCAGTACGTCCAAAACTTCCAGGTATCCCAGCAGAGTCCTCATCTCAGCGATACCAGTCCTTGCATTGGCGTTGCCCGTCAGCTTCTCGTCAGCCTCCAGAGTGTCGCAGAGCTCCTTGGCGCCTAACGGACGAATGACATAGTTACAATGTGAATACAAATTTCTAATCGTCTCTGGCCGATTCAAACGATTCTCCTCCCATACCTTTCAGCTTCACGTACTGTCCTATCCGGTCAGCCACGTCTTCTGCCAGACCCTTCTCCTCCACCATCTCCTTCTTGACATCCGTCCATGACATCTTATCCAGCTTGTCAACAGCAGAAGATATCGTGCGGATCTTGTCCGCAGGCACCCCGCAGACTTCAAACATGCCATCCAGAATCTTTCGGTGGTTGATCTTGATGGTAAAGTTTCCAATGTTCAACCCTGACAGGATCTCTGACATGACGCGCACAGCCTCGGCATCAGGCACCATGGAGTCGTAGACACCGGCAATGTCGAAATCGCATTGGTAGAACTCTCGCATGCGACCCCTGTTCATCGCGGGCTGATCTCTTCGGTAAACTTTCGCAATGTGGTACCTCTTCAAATTGGACACTCCGTTCTCCGCCAAGTACCGTGCAAAGGGAACGGTAAGGTCATATCTCAGTGAGCACTTTTCGCCTCCCTGGTCTTCCAGATCATAGATCAACTTGCTGTCCTCCCCGTATTTCCCAGAGAGGATCTCCTTCAGTTCGAAGACCGGGGTGTCAATGGTGACGGCTCCGTGGCGTTTGAATATTTTGATCACTGCTGAGAAAATGTGTTCGCGGATCGCCATGTCCTTCTCGTTGTAGTCTTTCGTTCCCTACGATCAGAAAATGATTGTCAGATGGTGATGAATGAGGCGGAGCAAAGATATCAATGGATTGCTTGGTGGTTGGATGGTCGGATGGTTGAACCATACCCTGCTTGCTTCGCTCGCGACAAGGAGGTTGGACTGGGTGGTTGAGGGGAGTATTGCGCATTTGTCGCAATGTGGTGCTCGCTTTGCTCGCCAAGATCTGACGCTCGCTGGAGCCGTGGTAAAGGGGTATTGCGGCTTTGGCGCAAGAACTCGCTCCGCTCGCGCTCGTTAACGCTCGCAAATGCGTTCGCTCGTGAACATACCTTCGGCGTCTTAAGGGTAAAAGTCTTTACTTCGTCGTCAGCAGACTTTCCTTGCTCTGGTGCTGTTGCTGGTAGCTGTTGTTGTTGTTGTTGTTGTTGTTGTTGTTGTTGTTGTTGTTGCCCTGCATTCTCAGCAGCAGGGTTGTTCTCTCCTCCCTTCTTTTTTGGTGGCAACAGCTCTGTCTTCTTTTTAGAGATCTCCTTCAGTTCCTCGATCCCCTTCATCTCAGCGTCCTTGTCCTTATTCTTCTTTGCCTCTTTGATGCGTACACGGCACGCCTCCTCGAGAGTTTTGAGCTCAGCTAGTGCGGCGGCCTTCGTTGCTGGATCGGCCGTCATCTTGGCGTGAGCAGTGGAAGTGTGACGGGACGGTGTTGTGACTTTGAAGGGCGAAAGTGGGCGGGTGGGATATGCCAGGCCGGATGAAGCAAGCAAGGGAAGTGTAGTGGGAGTACGAAGGCGAGTAGGTACCAAGTTGCGACGAAGGAGACGTAGGGCGGCAGTCCTGTTGGGCATAAATGAGAGGGCAGCTTTTAGGGGTCCGACTGCCAAAATGGGCACTCCGCATGGACAGAGTGCAGGGGGGGGAAGGAGCAAGACCCCGTTGACGGAAGTGGCTTGGCGCTGTGACTCACCCAATGACTCACTGTGACTCACCAAAAAAACGGCCGGCGTGCGTGCGGTCGCTTTTGCCTTTCTCCCCTCACGTCGTGAACTTGGAAGTCGGCAAGGCATCAACCCACTCTCGCCAACGACCTCTCAAACTACCCCTTATCGGTGCTCTCTGTAACGGACGACACTCTCTCACCGAAATGGAGGCGCTACGTATACAGGCCCTCCTGTTAACCGTCTGCGCAGGACTCGCTCTTCTGACTCCACCGCCAACGGTCGACGCACAAGCGTTGGCGTACTTCCGCTCTGAAAAGTATGTTTTCGGCAACTTGCCGCTAGCAACGGTAACGGCCCTGGGACTGGAAAACAACGGCTTGATGGTGACGGGAAAAGCGCCAGGGAACCAAACTCAGAACCAAGTATGGATAAGTTACACAAATGCGTCTGCGCCGTTCTTCTGGGCGTGGACGGGCAACGATACCGCCCAATACTCAGCCATGGGCGTGAAGCACGTCTCGCATCAAACCAACGAAAACTTGTTGTTCCTAGCCCGGGATACTGGGATTGAGGTCCTTACCTACTGGTGGTTGAGCCCTCGCCAAACTCCCGACCCGAACCACCCGCCAAGAGTGGTTCCGTTGAACGGCACATCAGGCGCCCTCACCTCACTCACGTCGGTGGACGCTGCAGGCGGCGTCTTTGGGAGCGAAAGCGGCCGATTATGGTGGATTCCAGTCGTCCGTCCACTAAGTGCCGACCCACCAGACGCTGGCAGCAACCTCACGCTTGTCCGCCAATTTGGTGGAACCATTCAATCGCTTTGGGCTTCCGAGACGACCGGCAGCCTGTACGTGGCCGAATGGTTCAACTCATCAAACAACATCCACAAATATCCAATGTCGCGTGATCCAAAGGACATTCCAGCTACCTCAGTCCCACTCATCTCACTCAACTCCACCTCGTATCCCAATCCACCCGCCGACCGGCCCGTCGTCGCATCGATAGCAGCCCACCCAGTAACCGGCGATATCTACGTAGCGCTGCAGGGAGCTGGCGGCGTACTGGTGTACGATCAGACGGGGAAATTGTGGGGTCAGATTGTGACCACGTTCATCAATGTGGTGGCCTTGGAGATGGATAATGATGGAACGGCGTTGTATATAGGTGGGGACGATGGGGCGGGGCAAGCCAAGGTGGATTCGCTGAATCTAAAATCGCTGGGCTTGAAGGATAAGGGGGTCGCTGCGCTCGCTCACAGCGGCGGCGAGTCGAGGGTGCCGTTATCAAGCCCTATTGTGGTTCTGCAGATTCTCAGCGCGGCAATATATGCGTGGGCTCTGTGATTCCGCCACACTAGCACCATTTTGGATGTTCCCTCGGGTCTTTCTACGTAGTTCTCTTATTATTATTCGCTCGTAAGATATGTACATCGTACAATTCCCATGTAATAACAACCCTCAGTAGTATCAAGCACATTTTAGGCGCAAGTTTGCAATTTCGGCACAGCATTTGAGGATGTCATCGCAACACTTTTGGTGTACCATCTGCGTCTCTGCCCAAATTCCTGGCCGAACCCACCGTCGGCAAGCCCGTCTACTACTTCTAACCTGCAGGACGGCTACCTCTAATCTATGTAAAAGGGTCCAAACTACACTGAATGCCAATCTCCTTCCTCCCCGGCTGCAACCCTCTCGGAAACAACCGCCGCGCAACATCACGAACCGCCCCCTCCCTCTCCATCATCTCCCGAATCTGACTCTTCACCACCTCCTCACCCATCATCCCCTCCTTAAGACTCCGATACTGCATCTCAAGCTCCTCAGCCATCAGCTCTTGGTCCCGCCTGAGCACGGCGACCCGCGCAGCATGCGTACTCTGCAAATTCTCAACCTGCGCCTCATACTGCGCCGTCACATCGGCCATCATCCTATCCAACAAACACGCCTCAGGCTCCTCCGAGTCGTCAGATGTGGTCGACGCAGCGCTGGAGGATCCACCACTCTCATCCGTTCCCAGCGTCGCCGTATCCTCAAATAATACACTCGACGCAGCCGACATCCCATAATCCCGCAAGCCCACCCCGCCCCCCATCGCCGGAAACCTGCTCGAGACCTGCTGCCTCGCCGACCGGCGACCCGCGCTCACCCCCCCAGGTCCATGACGAGACAATCGCGACTCGCCCTGTGCGATGGCTCGGTCGGCGGTGCGTTTCCGCGGCGGCCCGTGCTGCCGGTCTTCGGTGAGAGCTTTGACGCGGTTGATGTCTTCCATGATCAGCGCAATTTTTTCTTCGCGTTGGCGGACGGCGCGCTGGAGGAGGAGGATTGTGTCGTCGTTTTTGAGGCGGTCGTCGGTTATGTGTGCTGTGAGCTGGTTGAGTTGCTCTCCGTTTAGCATAGAATCCTGAACATTTCACAAACAAATGCGCACACGTTCCACATACCTCACTCTCATAAACCCCATGACGACGCATTAAAACGTTTTTCCTCGCCAGATTGCCCCTCAATTTCGAAATCGCTGCCGTACGCCGATGACACTCGCGTTTGAGCTCATATATATGCGCATTCATGTCTTTCACTTGCGCTATGTGCATTTCTGTCATGATTCCGGTGACCTCGTCCCTATTCTTCTACTCGGGAAAAAGCGGATGGCGATGTGTTCACACCCGCACCATTCTTTCATCCAGTAGATTGTAGGTACTCTTACTTACCTGAGCATCGTACAGATGTGCAACAACAGCATCTGCGAATCGCTCCCTATATGCTCTGCGCACCCGGTCGACCCCGCGTCTCTGCAGCTCGTGAATGTAGCCTGCGCGGCCATCGAAGAAAGCAGTCACGTCGCGATTTGCGGACCGTATCGCCGTGCGGTATGTCTCGTCGAGCACTTGGCGGGAAATACCCATCGCCTAAAACATTCGCACGGACGTCAACGATCCGCGCCCCATCACTACACTGATCAGAAAAATGGCCCCCACCAAACCTTCAAACCACCCATACCTTTGTCAAATCCTGAAATCTCCTCTCCGCCTTCTTCACCTCCCCCACCGCCCCCTCCTCCGTCTGCGTCGGCCGACTCGCCCTAAACAACCTCACATACTCCGTCGTGATATTCCAACATCTCGCCGCAACCTCCTCCAATAATTGAGCCTCCGTCAGCGCCCGTTGCCGTGATACTAAAATACGCTGCGGCGCTTCGGCATCGTGTTCCTCGACCGCGATGGACGCCGATTTGCCCCGGCTGGCTGCTGCGGGGGAATGGTCCACGGGTTTGAGGTCGAAGACGTTGGCGAAGAGTTTGAGGACTTTTGTCTCTTTTAGGTCTGTTTTGGGATCCATTTTTGCGGGTGGGTTGGAGGGTGGGGATGTGCATACGATGGCGGAAATCGACACGGGGGATTTTGACTTTTGGACTGTCATTCATCATGTACCAAAGGTCTTCACCGCGCGCTTGCATGTATCATCGGTCTTCACTTCGGAACTAATTTCAGCAACTCCAGATATTTTCACAACAGCAGAGTATCAGAGTCAACTAAAGACTTCGCATAGAGTTCGATGAGATAGGATGTTTTCGCACAAAGGTCCAATTTTGTCCAAGTAGGGTATGCCCATACGGAATATTTACAGCGAATAAGATATCCAATCCACAGACTTCCAAGATCAAAATACTTAATAGGGGAGGCAAAGGCGTCTATATGCTACTCCTACTTTGATGGGGACTGAGCCGCTCTATTCATCTTCAGAACAGCAGTTGCGAGTCCCGAGAAGATTGATCTCTGCTCAATCAGTCATTCGAGAACTTGTTCCCGAACTCCCCGTCGAGGTGCAGATCTCAATGTTCAGCCGTGCCGTCATGTCGAATAGTTCAACCTCGTCCTCGTACCTGAGGAAGGAATCAGTGATGAGGTGTTCCCAAAACATTGCGCGTTTGCCCCTCAAGTATACCTTCTCTTCTTTTCAACCTCCATCTGGAGCCTCATCTCTCGTTCTTCGACAGCGTTTAAGTTGCTCAGCAGATGCCTAGATTCGGCCGATTCTGATGATGACACAAATGTCGATTCCCCCCGTCCATGCTGGCCGTCGTTCATTTGCTCTGGATGTCCGTCGGTGGTCTCAGGGCCCCTTCCTCTGGAGAGCGCACGGCCGGTCAAAGTCAGGTATGGTGGAAGATCCTCTACATTCCGCGGATCACCAACAAGTGCGGCGAGGAGCGGTTAGTGGGATCGAAACACCAATGTGAACTTGTTGACATACCATCTCCCGGGCGACACATGTTCGTGGTGTGAGCCGCAGGCTGCCTACGTTCATTTACGGCAGTGCGAAGCTCCAACAAGGCAGCGATGTGCTCTCTAGCGTAGGTGATCGCATACTGGTATTCGCGGCTGTGTGTCAGGCGGATTCGTCAATGCGAGTGCCGTCGAGTGGGTCACGAACTTTGCCGAACGTACAGGATGCACTCCTCTTCGAGCGCCAAACTAAACGGATCTGTGGATACGGTGGAAAGCTTCCGATTGCTCATAAAGTTGCGAAGCCTGCAGGAGGTGCATTCGTTCAAGCCGAGTGCTCGAAACGGATACCTAGTCCACGCCCACCCTACCGATGAATATGAACCATCTGCACCTCAATTTTCGCCTGTAGCACCCCAACAGCATCGCGTGCGTCCTCGACCTTCTTTTTGGAGGCAGTCACTTCTTGTTCGACTGTCAAGGTTGCAAAGAGATGGCGTGGGAAAATTGTACGAAACAAAAGCAAACGGCCAATCCTATACTCACGATCTTGCAACTTCTGCTTCAGCGACGGCAAGTCGCGAGTGGCAAGAGGACCACTTACAGCTAGCGCTCGTCCAAAGTCCATATTTGAGTGACTTGCTGGTTGAAAGGGGATCGGAACAGGTAGGAACAATGTTAAGGCCATATTATGACCGTGGTCAGCCCCAGGGGTCAGCCCCCAAAAGTGAGAAAGAGTGAGAAGGAGATGAGAACGCGTTCCGTTTTTCCCAACGGATTTCACGAAGGTCTTTCTAAATGAAAACGCTGTCTGTCGGAGCTCAGCATCAACGCCTTCCTACAGCTCAGCCATGAGCCAGATTCTGGAGCCTGTAGGCGTTTTAGAAACAGCTCAAAACTTGATCAGCAACGGGCTAGCGTCGTCCGCCGAACTTTTGGTACGTCTTGTCTGATTCCACACCGCGCTTACGGCGATGATCTCGCGTATTGCTTTTCAACCAAATGGAAGCGACCAGTCAACTCATCACACCCTCTGCAGCTCAACAGCTTCCTCTCGCTTTCCCCATCGAAAACGCATAACGATGAAGGGCACCTGGTGCAGGCGCAGGCTTCAGTTTTGCTGGCTGACTCGCTCGTGGAGGGCGGCGAATATCCAAGAGCGTTGGTATGTGGAGTAGGCTTGGAAGTTCGGCACAGCTCAGCACGGCAGGACAGGGGCTCACGCATAGGAATGTTCAGAAACTATACGAGACAGGTTACCGAGCGCTGTGCAACAGTAGAAACTTCTCAGACGCCCATAGACAGTTTGTGTACGGAGTGAAAGAAAAGCAAGCATATTGCCATGCGCGCACTGGCCAGCTTTTGGACGCGATAGATGAGATGGAAAAGGTACCGGTGGCCTATCTGACCGTTAAAGCCTGCAAGACTCTCGCGTCGTGGTATGAGGAGACTCTTCGCTTCGAGTAAGTACGCCAGCGGTTTGAGGAACCATGCAACTAGCCACACGTACTGATATTCTTGATCCTTTGTAGTCAGGCAAGACAAACATATTTAAATCTATTGCGGTTAGTTACAGCTGTGATCTGGATGTTATGAATGTCTGACGACCTTGCGCGGTACTGATGTCAAATGTCTCGTAGCAAAGAACCGCTGGCTCTCGAGGCAATGATGGGAGCATTACGACATGGCCACATGCTAGAAGACTTGGCCCAATGCTTGCCTCCATCGCCATGTGGGGACTGGTTGAATCGATACATGTTGTGCTATGTGGCGATACGGAGCCATCAATACGAAGGTTAGTGATAACTGGTTAGAGCCAGATTGCCTCCCTTCGACATTGACCCGATGAACCCTCAGAGGCATTGCTCGAACTTGGGCGGTTGCAAAATGAAGCGCCAATGAATGTTGATGTCATGCTGGCCATGGCAGACTGCTTATTCAAGAGTGGGGAGACAATGAAGGCACACTATCAATATAAACAAGTAAGTACGACTAGCAAGGGGGTGGATCATGTCGTGGATTATTCACGATGCTTCGTCATGCAGATAATGAAACGTGACCATGACGTGGTCAAGCAGATGGATAGATACGCACTGATTCTGAAGCAGAGAGGCGATCGAGAGCAGTTGAAAAAGTACGTCGCCAGCCACGACCTTGCCGTTGGCCTTCATTCTCTGTTCGCCCAGGTACTGACGGACTTGGCAGGCATGCAAGGACAATGTCGCGGAAGAATCCTACGAGACCAGAGTCATGGCTGGCCATGGCATGCTGCAGCGAAATGCAGGGCGATATGGACACGGCTCTCAGCTTCGTCGATAGGGCACTGGAATGTAATCGGACGTACGCGGAAGCGTGGTTGATGAAAGGTAGGCCTGAGGGATATATCTCCTCGTTCGCCCACAGTACTAACTGCATGTTGTCTATTTCAGCATCACTGTTGACCGCTGCTGGAAAGTTTGATGAGGCACTACCAGCCTATAAGCGCGCGCAAGCTTACGATGAAACGATAACGAGCTTTGAAGGTATGGCTCAGTCTGGAATAGCGATATGCAGTAATTGTATGAACTTGACACCGCTCTGGCTCCCAACAGGACAAGTGGAATGCCATTTACAACAAGCTTCACCAATCGAAGCCCACTTAGCAGCGCGAGACGCCGCCGTCCGTATGCCACGGCATCCCAAAGCACGAATACTAGTTGGAGGTGTACTGAAAGCCAAAGGCGATCCGGAGAGCAAAAAGCGAGCAAAGAAAATGTTTGAAGAAGCGTATAGACTCAATCCGCTATGCACCGAGGCGGTGTTGGCGCTGGTGACCACTTTGGAGGAAGAGGAGAATTGGGAGCGGGCGATTGAGATGTGAGTTTTGCAGCCTCTCGCTGGTGTGCGTGCCACGCCTGATGTCGCGTGCTGACGACCTGTTCTTTCGGCTTTTTCCGAAACCAGGCTCAAAGAACACTCTGGGCATATACAAATGGCAACGCTGCACCATCGCTTAGCTGAAATCTATGTCACACGAAAGAACTTCGATGAAGCAATGGACCAGTATAACATAGCTCTGAGGTAACGTAACGCACCCCAACAACGTCAATGGCCTTCAGATTTCAGAGGCGCTTTCTCACATGAAACCAACAGAATCGACCCACAATTCGAGCCAGCGCTGCGAGGCAACAAACGCCTCCACCGCATACTCGCATCAGGCGGACATACAGATCTCGGCGCGACAGACGAGGAAGACATCGATGAACAGGTCGATGAATTATCCAATGGAGACGATTAAAAGACAGGAGAATGAGAAAAAGCTTCTGCAATTTTATTGGGAACGGAAAAGAGGGAATAACTATCGCTGATGCATGGGTAAAGAGGGGAACGCTGAGAACGGGGGTGGCTGTTTTGTGACAACCTATATATATATATCCCACGAACCACAAGATGCAAATATACAACGATACGAAATTGAGCAGATATACTCAGTGAAGCGAACGATCGATAGTGATGGCAGTAGTCGTGACGCGTCATGTCGACGAAAAGCGCCTTCCAGGTTGGGTGACTGGGAGTGTCAAGTATGGATATCACTACGATGACGTTGCTTGGGTGGATGACTACGAGTATATTGCGCGGGAAGTTCTGGAGGGTACCGGCGCCAGCTGGCCGTGAACTTGTGCGCATCTGAAACTGGGAAAATGTCGGCAACGATGCGATGCTGTGGCGGTGGGGGTTGCCGACGACTGGGGTTCCAGACTATGCGTCGCCGTCGAGATACTCTTCCGTGTCTGGGTCGTTTACCTCCCCTGGACCGACGGGAGCAAGGTGGTGGCCTCGTCGCATGTCGGAACGGATGTGAAGCTTGATACCTTGACGCGCAAGACACTTTGCCAATTGTGATGATTCTGAGAAAGGGACCATGCATGCAAGTCAGTGTGAGCCCAAATACCACTATTGTTGATCTCTGCAAGCCAACGGCCCTTCTATCGTACCTGTCATTCCTGGGAAGGTCTTTGGAGGATAAACCGAGATGACCTCCGACACGGCGAATGCCATGGCCTGTGAGGCATCCTTCGACATGTCATACAGGGAGAACTTGAGGATATATTGGCCAGACGTCCGTATAGATAGATCCGGGAACTGCATCGGAGTGTAAGTCGAAGGTCAGTCGAGGACGCGTCATGTAAGCCCACACACACACAGACTCCAACTTACAGTGAAGAACAATGCCCTGGTTCCATCGATGTCGGTGAGAACATGGCAAGGACTAACCAAGCTCCCAACTAGTGCGGATACGTATCCTGTCGGTGCCGTGGGTGCGGGATGTGCACTCGCGGGATCCGCATTTTGAGACTGGTCGGACTTTTTGGCGACCGCAACTGATCCTGGATTCAGGACGACACTCCTCTCTTCCGTTCCGTCGGCCGACCACAACGCGGCGTGGCACACGAGCGATGTTGCTTGCTTATAACTGAGGTTGATTTCGCCAAAGCACCCAGTGTGAGTAAGCCATGACAACGCGTTGGAAAACGAACGAAGCCACAGAGAGCGAACTTACTTCAGGACGGCATGGTCCCCGTCTCTTCTGACTAGTTGCAATATGGGCGCTGGATCTACTGGCCGGTAGTCCTTCGTCCCAAAGCCGCACATGCGAGCCCGGTTGGGTTGCTGTCGGATGATTAATTCATTGGTTCTGAGAAACAAGACGCTCTGTTAGTCGGATGTATGCGTGAAAGAAAATAATGGCAAGCGCGTCCCAATACAAAGGGGAATAGGGAAAGAAAAGACTTACATATGCCGCTCGGTTGACTTCCGCCTTGGAGTTAGGGCGGGGACAGCCGTAGGCTGGCCTTCCAAGGGTTCGACTTTCGCAGGTAACTCCACGGGTGGTTGCATATGGGTCTCTTTCCGCGGAGGACTTGACGAACGAGACGGGGAAAGAATCTTGAAATGAGTTGTTGCTTGGAGGGCACGATGGTGCACCAGAGAACTATTCGATAACCAGCGTGTTTGTCGAGACAGTAAAAGCAACCTTCACTATGCCGATAGTATGGCCGTCAGGAGAACTCAGGCTTTGCGTGACCGTTACTTGAGTACACCACCGTCAGCGTAATACAGTGAGAACGACGGTGGCGTTTAAGAGTGGAAGAGCTCGTTCCGTGGTTGAACCGTCCGTCTTCTTCTGTGCTTGCTTTGCGTTGGGGGGGTAAATTCTCGCTTGCCGGCCTGGTTGCGAAACCTGCGCGAAGGTGTTGGGCTGGGTCTTGCAAGACGCTCAACGGTAGACGGGGTGGGTGAAGGGCGGGCGTGCGCGGACGGGACGGGACGAGTCACCCCGGCGAGTCTTGCAGAAGCTTGCGAGCGAACCACGGGGTTGGGGGGTGGGATATTGAAGTGAGCGATACGTTAAGACGGTGCAGCAACAGAAGACAATAGTAATACCGACAGTTCTGGGCTTACCCGTAGCACTGGACACTCCGGAAGCGATATCGAGGGAGGAGTGGTGCAAGGCAGAGGAGGGTTGTTTCCAGGGTGCAACGCAGAGGATCTGCCTATGTGCCCGCGGTGCTGGAAACGGCTCAGCCAGAACTTGGAAGCTTTGCCGCTCCAGACGCCGCTTTGGTTTGCCTCCCCCCATTCTTCCCACGAATCCAGAGGCGGCGCCCCATGCAGATCCTGCGTCTTCCACGCACTCGGATTCATCCTCGGCTTCCACCCAAGATTTCATAGAAGCGCGTCGGCGTCTTTGTTGGGCCCACCTTGTGCCACCCTTTGTCATGCTCGTATGGGCGAGTCCAGCTTGGACTGTCGAGACGGACACTGGATCATACGATTCCTACCAGACGCCATAGAGACGGTCTGGGTGCGTTTGGGACGAATGCCAGAGTTCACACTTGCAGATCATAGTGTCAAAAAACGGCAACCCTCCGCTCGTTTCTTCCAGGCTCGGGTTGGCGACCTCGAAGCTGTCGAGCAAACTCTGATTTCATGAATGACGTGGGTTAAAAGAGTTCGACGGAGGATACCATCGGCACTGAGATTCGAGGGTAAGACGGCTAGCATTTTTTTTACCAGCTGCTCGGCATCCACGCGACTCGGCGTTGTGGTGTTCAAACTTCACCGTCCCACGGCAAATTTGACGCGTACGCGTGAAAACTGTTTTATGAAGAAAATGCCCGGCCCAACGCATCGATCACGAGCCTCTCGAAACCCACTCGGAAGCACTGCCGAAAAAGGAAATCCCAAAAAAGGGGGCACGCCCACGATCCATGCTACCCCAAATCCGGGCATGCGCCAGCGAATCGCCGCCCCGACAAATGGCTGCAGGTAATGATGTCTGGCCCCGACCAGCTCATATAGACCTACAACGGATCTCGCTCGGATCCGGGAATCCGACACTTCTGGTGGCGGACTGACGGGAGACAGGACGGCAACGCTGTTTCCTGAACCTGGGTTCAATGCGTCATTGCTATCCCCTTTTCATCAAGCCGAAGGATGTACTGTACAGTACATACTGTACATAGATTGGCGTGCAGTATGTCACAAAAGAGCGTCTACCCAGGGAACTATTGTCCATCGGCCAAGGGTTGCTACGATACCCTGATCTATCTCGTATACAGTTCTGATATCGCTGCTATTTCGACTTGCGTCTGGAAGCCCTGGTTTCCTCATCCTTGGATCGACTACTGGCTGCGTCTATGTTGTGCGAGGAGCGCGCGAGGCCATGCTGTTCGCGAGTGGTTGCTTTTATCGCCAATACCGCTTTGACGGTTGGAGGCGCCGTCAAAGTCGAGGACGGGTGCATATCGGTCGCAGGCGGTTCGGAAGGAATTGGAGGGACATGGGAGGCGATTCCAGCTTCTGGCGAGACATTTGATGTGGATATGCTGGACTCAGTTACGGTATGATACGGGGAAGTTCCCCAATGTCCAGCCGCATCACCGGAGTTTGGCCGAGTTTGCGAATGATTCCTTTTAAGTTTCTCCTCCTGCGTCGCCTGAGTGACGCTGTACTGCGTCGACTCCTTCGTCTCTTTGTTGGAATTGATGGGCAGATGCTCTTCGACTGTCGCTCGAATGGTATGCACGTTCTCTTCTCGTCTCGATGGAATGTCTGATGTCGCGTGGCTCAAATTCTGCGACGGCGCTTCTTTGGCCTCCGTGGTGGTCTCCTGCTGATTGGGGTGCACAGGTAGATGGTCGTGGACTGTCTGCCGAATGCTATGCACGTTCTCCTCTCGTCTTGAGACTTCGTCTATCGGCTCGTCAACTTCCGGCCGTCCGCTGATGCCTTGCGAATGGCCACCTGGTTGTTTTATCTCAGAGTGCGTCTCTTTTGTCAAAGATGACTTATCTTCTTTAACAGTACGAGATGGCGGCTGCCGGTAAAGCTGTGGCGGATCTAAAGATGTTTGTGACCTTTCCCGCCGGTTCATCGCCGCTTTCAACTCATCGCATCGTGCGCTTAGCTCCCTAGTCTTGTCGCGGACAGAGCCTTCCACGTCTCTCAGACGCTCGAACGTCATCTCAAGTGCATCGTTGACATGCCGTGTGCGTTCTCGAATCAATGGCTCTATCAGCGTCTGCGCGGTCGCCGTCACGCGAACCAGAGTATTTCGCCGCTCCTCTTCAAATTCGTTTTGCAAAGAGTGAATCGCCCCCGACACGGAGGTGTTCATGCGAGTAGAGAACGCGCGTAGGTTGTCATCCCATTCGCGGCGTGAGTCCTCCGTCCGGGCAGCCATTCGGTCGTCCGTCTTTTGCAATATGCGTGACTGCAGAGCGTCCATGCGCATCGCTATCAGCCGTTCCATCTCTTGCAAGCTGCTGTGAGTGGGTAGCGCCGCGATGCTGTTCTGCAGGTCTGCCAGGTGGTTGATGACTTCGAGCTCGCGTTTCTGCATTCCCACCATTGATACATGTAGGGAGTCTGCTTTGTTCGAGGCGGCTTGTTGCGTCTGCTCAAGCTGCCGTGCTCGATCTGATAGTGAAGCCAGCTGTTTATGCAGCTTATTTGCATTCTCCGTGGAGGTTGTGTGGTGAGCCTGGACCTGCTTCAGCTCAGCTTCAAAACAGCTTTGAGCTTTATCCTGGGCAGCAAATTTTTCGTTGAAGGACGACTGCAGCGCAGACATTCCCTTCTCGACCTGTCTGCTCACCACATCCTCGATCGCTGACCGTGTCGTACGTGCTGCAAGTTCCTGCTTGAGTGCCTCGAACGTGCGGTCTAACTGCAATGTCTTGACGCGAATCTTTTCCCGCATTTCCTCGGCTACCTCCGCAGCCGCCGCCGATGCTTTCTTCAAAGTCTCCGCATTCAATTGCTCCATTTCGCCCCGCAACGCCGTGTCTCGTACTTCCGCACCATCCCGCAGCTGCTCTGCAGTGGTTTGAAGACTTGCAAGTTGTCGGCCGACGGATTCCGTATTCTGCGCGATAGCTTTATCCACGGTCCTGCAATGAGCATTTATACTACCCAGTTGTGCTTCGACGTCCTGCAGTATACGTGTTTTGACATCGTACACAGATTGACTGGCAGCCTCAGCCTGCTCCTGCAGCTTTTTCTGCAACTGGTCATCCAGCTTGCTTATTTGAGAGTGGAGTGAGGTGAAAGCCTTGGACGTGTCAGTCGAGAAGTGGAGCCGTTGATTTATCTCCGCCCGCAAAACCTTCTCGGCAGCATCGATCTGCTGGTGATTTAGTCTCGAAGCTTCCTCCAGAGGCGCCATCCTCGCTTTCAAATACCCCAGCTCGGCCAGGCTGTACGAGGCTTGAGCATTCACCATGCCCTCCAAGCGCTCAATTGTTTGCGCAATAGTTGACTGAAACTGTGCCGACATCTCCTTTTGGCCAGTCCGGCTTTCCTGAAAGCCTGCTTCTACCCGTAGCCCCAGGTCCGTGACCCCTCCGACTGCCGCGGCAACATCCTTCTCAACGGCTCGCGTCAGACTGATTCCATGCGATACTGCTTTCTCCCAATCCGCCCGGTCGGCCTCGTTCGCGTGGACGATGCTGGTTCGCATACTCTCTAGAGAAGCAGCAGAGTTGTACTCGCTCTCTGAGATGAGCTTTCGCATCTCGCTAAACATGGCACTGGCTGCCTGATCCCGAAGCCGTGCCTCGTTCTCAATCCGCCTTTCCAGATCTTGAGCAGCAGCGATCATCTTTTGCTCTACGGAGTTCATCCGAGCATTTACTACATTATGAACCTCGTCGATGGCCGCGTCGTGGGCTTTCGCTAAGCGCATGGCATCTATCCCTATCTGGGATTCCTGATGCAGATCCAATGCCCGGAATCGTAAATTCTGACCCTGTTCAGTTGTCTGAACCTGGAGCGCTTCAACCTGATAGCGCAAACGCGCCATCTGCTCCATTACCGCACGGTATCTATCCGACTCCTCATGTCGCAATATCGTGTCCTGCCTGTCATGCTGGCTTGAATATTGATCCACAAGTCCGCGGACGGACGACGTCATGATGTGCTCCAGCTTGCTCGCAACTGCGGCCTCAACGTCTCGTGCACGACGGTCAGCATCCGCTGCTATCCGCCCGGCGTTGTGTGCTGCGCCCTGTGCAGCCGACAAGAGGTTGGCGAACGCATCAACTTTTGCGCTGAGGCTTGCAATGACACTCTTTCCAGCTTGCAGGTCCGACTCTAACGACATGCGCAGGCGGCGCTCGTTCTGCAGCTGCCCTATTTCGTCATTTGTTTTGAGCACCAGCGAAGTCGTTCTGGGAGAGCCTTCAGCCCTTGATGCGTATGCGGACGAAAAATCTGGCGGGTGCGTAGAGATGGGCGGAAGAGGTGACTTCGGAGGAATGGTATGTTTGCTGTGCTGCTCCCGCTCAGAGTCAGGTTCAGCTCGCGGCGCCAGCGCCGGCTGTTCTGGCCCATTTGATTGAGGATTCTGTCGGACTCCAAATCCGTAGGCTTTATGGAAGCTATCGATATCATTTTGTTTCTGGCGAACCTTTCTAGTATGCGATGCACCATGGTCAGTCATTGTATATCCGGATCAAGAGCAACAACGGATCTCTGCTTACACCTTTCTTTTTGCTCCTGCTGCTGGGCTCGTAAGTAATCCTTCAGTTCGCGGTCCTTTTCATTGCGAGCGCGCTGCCGCTCGTCGATATCGTTCCAGCTGAATGACATTTTGTACAGTATGTTGATCTGAGCACAACTGCAATTTGGGACGCCACATGCAGGTGAATTTTTCGTCATTCGGCTCAAATTGACAGCTCACGTAACTCTAACAGGAAAGCGACAGCGTGGCTTAAGGGTCGGAAACCAACGGCACTCACTCTGCGCCCACTGCTATTCATTTCTGTGTAATAAATTGAGTCATGAATCTTAATGACTGCCAATTTGCCACATGCTGACTGTCCTGCCCTTGAAGGTTTGTCGGTACGTAATTAGTGGTACATCACACCGCATGCAAGCTGTTGTGCGGCATTTGCGTACCGCGGATGAGTCAGGTCCCAAGACCCAGGAGCCGTCGAATGTGTGCCAGGTCCATGTATCCATAGTACTCCACACCGGAGTATACACACCGGAGTGCGGTGAGAACTTATCATAGAAGCGAGGTGAAAATAGACATCGATGTAGAGCTACCACAACCTACACGGTGAAGTTCTCGGCAGCTCAATTGACCCCAAGGTCCTCGCGCACAAATTACGGGTTTCCCGCCTGGAGACGCGCTTACCGAGGCTTTGTGGCAACCTTGGGCGAATTGCCAAAATTGTGCAGGCCTGGGGGTGTTGTCGGGATCAGTTGAACTGTCGAGGACTCTATACTGTTTCGACCGTAGGGGAAATGTTTATTAAAGAACCTCGGGATGCTTTCCCCCATCCATCGAGGAGCATGCCGCCGCATAGACCTGCAATCGCACCAGATTCCTGATTCTGCAGATTTCGTCGACTCCAAGGATGCGAGGGATTTCTAACATCCTCGGCCTGGCTATTGCCATAGCAGTTTTAGCCGTGCAACACGCTGTGCAGGCTGCGCCAACGCCAGCTGTCGCTGCTGGCATTCCGCTTGCATTCACACCCCCTTTGCGTGCTGAAGGAAGGGATTTCGTGGATGCAGAGAATCGTGTCGTCATCTTGAGAGGGTTCAATGTTGCAGGTATGATGAACTTTGTCAATTGGGTTTCCGAATGGTCCGTACCAGAGTCGCTGAACTTTGCTTCTCACTTGCACAGGCCGAGCCAAAATTCCTCCTTTCCGCTCGATTACAGATCCTTCCCAACTGGATCCGCTCCCAAAATGGGGCGTCAATGCCGTACGATTGCTTTTCACTTGGGAGGCCTATGAAGGAGGAGGTCCAGGAAAAATAGACGATGGATACATGCAATGTGAGCGAACTGCAAGTTTTCATTAGTCCATTAGAAGACGCACAATTGAGAGCGGATGGACAAACCCGTCAACAGACTACTTGAGCTTGATTGACGAGCTGTACAAGCGCGGGATCGCTACTATCGTCGATCTACATCAAGACTCGTGAGTGACCATCCCAAAGTGAATGGTGCGCAAAGGATGGACACTCAAAAGGTCGATTGACGGCGCGTCTCTTTCTTTTCAACAGATATTCACGTTGGATAAACGGAGGCTGCGGAGATGGTTTCCCAGAATGGACGAACGGCCCGGATATCACCAAAAAGCAGCCGAAGAACGACAAATCTTGCTCATCATGGGGCTCAGCACAATACTTGGACGGGAACTTCCACAGTGCATGGTATGCCAAGGAAGGAATGTTGGGCTCGGTAACGAGGGCCCGCAAGAAATGAGGCTGAACGCGGATCTCTCACACAGGGATTCGTTCTGGAAGAACAAGTATGGCGCAAGGAGCGCATTCCTGGCCATGTTGAAGCGAGTCGCAACCGCAACCGCGCACCGTCCGGGAGTTATTGGCTTCGACCTCATCAACGAGCCCACCGGTGACGAAATTCCGCAGTTTGTACCCTTCTATCGTGATGCCGCGGCCGTTGTCCGCGCGATACATCCGACAACGTTGCTGTTCCTCGAGCCAGCGGGATTGACAGCTAGTGGATTGACCGGGTCGAAGTTGAATGGAGACGGGCTTCGCGATTTGACCAACATTGTCTATGCGCCACATTTCTGTGAGTATCTCGCATGCTGTTTATCTCCTTGCGCAATATAACATCCTAAACTGATCCTCTCCGTGTCCAGATGATCCCACTGCCACAGCGGGGATTTGGCTAGGCGTTCAGCCGGGCCCAACCGTCAAGCGCTATCAGCAAGAGGCCGCGAAATGGGGTCCCACCATCGCCGTCTCAAATTCAAGCTCCGTCGTCGCCGCCGGGGGCGTGCCCATGCTGGTGGGCGAATTTGGGGCTCCGGAAGCCAGCGCCAACTACATCCGAGCGTTTTACGACGGTCTTGACGCCAATTTTGCTAGCGCAATGCAATGGCAATTCGAACCTTTGTGGGATGCGGTTAACAAGGACGGGTGGAATGTCGAGGACTTTAGCGTGTTTGCGTTGAACAAGACCCGCCGGAATTTCGTTCCACGTCCCTATTTGCAGGCTGTGACTGGGATCCCCATTCTTTTCACCATCAGTGGAACTACGATCTCCGTTCAATGGACACAGAAACAAGCAACAAGCGAAACCCTCATTCACGTTCCTAATCTCTCGGCTAGCGCTACGGTCACTTCCACCGGGGCTGTGGCAGCTCAGTGTACGGTCGACGTTGCGGCGCTGAAGGTGCGTTGCAAGTCAACGGGAACGGGCAAGATCGCCATCAGCATCCAAACGAAGTAGCCCGACACATACCGCAGTTCACTGCAAAGATGTTCCAGACCTGCTTTAGACCGGCATTCGAATAGTCGTTAGTTTACATACATTAGCTGCAATGTTCCTCCTACCATCAAAGCGGCTAGCTACCTGTGTACCGAAGTTTCTGGAATCAACATTCTCTGGAACTGATGCAAAGATTGACAGCCGACTTTGGCAAGAACTCCGTGCAGAAGAAGTCCATGCGGGGTCCACAGGTGCTTGTGCCTTGCGGGGCAAGCCAAGCGTAGTCGGTGATCATTACGGAGCAGCTAAGGGGAGAAATGTTCTACCAGTGTCTACGGGGGAGATCGAGAACAACAAAGGTCCAGATCTGGATGTGGAAGACTACCTGGGCAATCCTTCGGCTCCCATCCCCCAAGGGCTAGATAGGGACGGGTTCACCGATGGACTCACAAAACCGTTGGCGAACAAGGTGGAGTTCGGTAACCATTTCAATAATGGCAAGTTGCCGATAGGCGAGGACGCCAACAGAGGTGCAGCAATCCGGGTCAGGGAGGATTCATCGGTTGAGGGACGGCTAAACGGCTCGCTCAGACGCGACAATCCTAACAACGACGGGTTAGCCATCGAGTCTCAATTACGAGCAGATGCCGGACAGATTGGCGCCCGACCCATGGTGCAGCGAACGCAACCTTTGCAGGTTGTCACGGATAGGATGCCGGTTGTAATCAAGACGAAGAACGTCGAGGCTGTGAATCCACGCTTGGATCCCACCACACGTATAACTACCGATCTTTACCCGTGGATCAAAGAGAAGTCCTGAGAATGCTAGCGTCTACACCGGGTGATGCTTATCCCTTCTGCCGAGCGTTTTGATCTGACTCAATGCGTTCGCTTTTGATATCATTTCTATATATATATGTACCAGTAGATTCGGCGAAGCCATGTTTGAAACCATCAGCGACAGGGTAATTCTAGTGATTGGGTGTGTACGTTCGACGCTGAGTCGGTTCCTCCACGACTAGTATCCCGGAGGAAGTCGTGGGATCCACCTCCCCGCGTGGATCTTCATCCGGTACCCTAATCGACTATCGGCCCGCGGGAATCCACGGCTTGGTACCACGTAGGTGGATGCTGGATGTACCGTGGTGCCGGCAATTGGAGCCGGTCGTCCATAGGCAGATACCTCGGGTATCTATTCTCCGAGTATAACTGGGTCCTCGCCGGCAGTGATATCCGGCCGCCCGGTCCCGGCTAGCCGCCGGGTCCCACGCCATGGTCACCCCGACCAATGGTGACGCCTATGGTGTCCCCGTGGTATGGAGGTCCGGGGCCGGTACGTGCTGCGCCTACCCACCGGTCGGCGACCTGTCCCCGCGTGGGATCGGTGTCATAGGTACCCGTGGGACCCGGTGACGGCTCGTGGGATCGTAGACCCACCCAGACGACGATACCGGACCACGTCCATCGGGTCCGGTCGGGAATCGGGCGGCCTCCGATCCAGGTTCCCTACGGATCGCAGGGAATATTACCTGAGGTCCAAGGACGACAGGAACGGTAGGGTGGCCGACTGGCTGCCCTACTCGTGCCTCTCCAGTCTTCACACACGCAAGCGTGATTCCGAGGCACTTACAAGTAAGTACCGGACTGGTAAAACAATTAGTAAAACAATTAGTAACTGGTAACATGAAAAGACGGTGATTATTGCGCACCAGATTGCGGGTGGCAGCAAATGTTTGCCCACAATAAGAATTTCTGCCAAAACAGGCTTCTTGGGCCGAAAAGAGGGCTAATGGAAACCCTCTATTGGGCTGGGCTGTCCGGCACGCTCACTTGGAGTATCAGCGTGTGATGACGTTAGAGGGAGCGAGGGTGGGGGTGATGTGAGAAGGTTGGTCCGAATTCGTGGGGTGAGCAAACGACGTCGTAGGTGGAGCTGGACGGGAGAGAGAAGGGACATCTGGGCTTGGGATGTCGTGCTAGGGGGAGTAAGTGTGCTGCTGCCGGCTGTTGCGATGTGTCGTTAGTGGGAAAGAAAAAGTGTAAAGAATCTACTAACAGATTCACGGGTAGGGGGGCGGCGAACGGAACAAGACAGGGAAACGGACCCCATGGACTCATCTGCCATTCGTACAGCTGTACATTCCATCCCAAGTGTTACTGTACATCCCACAAAAACAAAAGCGTATATGACAAAGGGCTCCCCCTAAAAGACTTGCAAAACATCCCACATCCCATCCCCATCCTACCCACCACCCTAAAACCCATACTTTGCCCTCGTAGCCGCCTTTGTAACCCTTTTCTGCGCCGCCGCCTCCGCAAGCGCATCCTGCCTCGCCCTTGCATCCACCGCGAGGGCCATGATGGTATGTTTGCGTTTCCCCGCCTTACTCACACCACCTCCGTGACCAACTGCTGTGGAGGACCGTTTGGAGGTGTCGGGGGTCCAGTGGGTGTCGATGAGGGAGGATTGGGTTATTTCTGTGATGTTGATTTCGTGGGAGGAGGTGGAGGGGGTTGAGAGGGCGCGGAGGGCGTCGTGGGGGAGGTTGGAGGGGAGGTTTGGGAATGGGTGGGGGCCGGAGGGGTATGTTTCTGGCGGGTAGGATTCTACCCCGTATACTTCCGGGGTGTAAGCATATTGAGCGGAGGCGGAGTAGGCGTATTGGGCGGATGCGGAGGGGGTGGTGTATGTGTAGTCTGCTGATGCGGATGCCGTTGGTTCGTCTTCTGTGTAGGTTGGTGTTGGGTTTGCTGTTCGGAGGGATGTGTGAGTGAGTTTGAGGGTCAGCGAGGGGATTGGAGGGGAGAATGTTACGTACATAGTGTGAAGAACTCGTCCGCGCCGATTTCATCCTCGTCATCGACTGGATCGTTGCTTGGAGGCAGCGGTTTGTTTATCGTCCCACTTCCACCAGTTGCACCCATGGGCTTGCTCTTATTCTTCTTCGAAAGGGTATATGGTACCATGGGTGTTGATGCGAGGGGAGCCGTGCGTGGTACTCCTGACGCTGACGCTGACGCCGCCCCTGTTTCGGGTGGAATCCCAACATCACCTCCTCCGGCACTCTTCTTTGGCGGCGGTAATCTACTGAAGAGATCTGATACAGCTGACGACGCGGGCTTTCCCTCTCCCACTCCCTTCCCTCCCTTCGTGTCGTCATCCTCATCCTCGTCATCCCCAACACGAGGCAGGTCAACATAAATCTTCACCCTCTTCCCTCGTTTCGCGTCGCGGTCTGCAGAGTCGGCGTTTGGTCGTTTTGGTGGGTTGGTGGTGGAGGAGGAGGACGCTGAGCGGGGCGGCGGGAGAGCTGCGAATAGGTTTTTGGATGGTTGTGGTGGAAGTGCGTTCGTTTGGCGTGAGGATGGAGGAGGGAGGTTTGCGAAGAGGGAGGCTGGTGGTGGTTTGGACGAGGATGGTTGCTGTTGTTGTTGTGGTAACTCAGGAGTGGGGATATTGTTTGGTTCCGAGTCTGCGTCTGAGTCGGATGAGGAGCCGTAGTCTAGCGGGACGAGGGACATTGTGAGCGAGGGAGGGGGGAAGGTATGTACTAGATCTAGAGTGTAATAGCACACGGGTGTTATTCCAGACCAGTGCTATTCCAACCTGGAATCACCCTGCTGCATAATGCGACAAACGCGCTTCCAATCAAGTTGACCAGGTTTTGGAAGGTCGGATGCGAAGTCCTGACAGATCCTGCAGAGCCACGATATATACGCTGTAGTATAGACTGCTTATAGGAGTAGTTATCTTCATTGCGATCATCCACGCAATATGAACGTAGACTCCATTTTCAAGGTTGACTAAGGGCTAACCATGTTGCCATGAGTGAAACGGTTTGCTGACTTCCGCTTTTTTTGGATGGGAACTAGGTCCCGGCACCGCCTACAAACTTCACGAAGAAGCGCAAGCTGCCGTCAACCCCAGACGTGTCCTCACTCAAAAAGTTCAAACCCGATAATGATGAGGAGGACTACCGGGCGGGTTGGGGACCGGGGAAACTCAACACACCGTCTACCGGCCCCGAAAATGGCGCCGCGCCTGAGGACGACGAAGACGTGAGGTTCTATGGCGAAGGGCTGGACGCTGAACAGAAGAAGATCTGGGATATAGTCGACGCCGGTGAAGAGGTGACTTTCGCTTCCTGTCCTTATGAGCTAGCGTTTCGGGAAGTGCTGACATTCGTCTGAACCCGAAGCTTCCGGAAACGATTGATGTGCCGCAACTGAAGCGAATGGTACTGAAGCTCGAGAAGATCGTAAACAAGAACCAGGAGTTCCGAATGAAATATGCAAATGACCCGATTAAGTGTGTTTTGGCTAAACCTTGATTCTCTCCTTGTTCACTTCATTGATCGGTCCAATCAGGTTCATAGAATCCGAAGCAGATCTTGACGAGGAACTGAAAAACATGCAAGCCGCTAGTGCATCCCCGGAAATCTACTCAACTCTAGTCGACCTTGGAACCCACGCTACGGTTTTGAGCTTGCTATCGCACGAGAACACGGACATCTCGATTGCAGCGGTGGAGCTTTTAAACGAGTTGACAGATGAAGATCTCGTTGCAGAAGCGTCAGAAGAAGCTGAGGAGGGGATGAAAGTGTTGGTCAAAGGTCTCATTGATAATGATGCCTTATCGCTGCTGGTACACAACCTACAGCGTTTAAATGAAGAGCAAACGGAAGATAAGCAAGGCGTTTTCAACACGTTGTCCGTGATCGAGAACTTCATCGCCGTGGACCCCGCCTTGTCAGAAAAGGTCGTTGCCGAGACAACGTTGCTGAATTACATTCTTCAGCGAATCCGCACGAAAGTATTCGACTCCAACCGGCAGTATGCCACCGAACTTTTGGCCATTCTTTTACAAAGATCACGAGCCAACCGCTTGAAGCTGGGAGAATTAGGCGGCGTAGACGTTCTTTTGCAAGTTCTTTCTGCTTACAAAAGAAAGGACCCAAAAGATCCGGACGAGATAGAACTCCTGGAGAATGTATTCGACGCATTATGCGCGGTGCTGGCCGAACCCGAAGGGAAGGAGCATTTCCTCGAAGGCGAGGGAATGGAGCTGATGCTGTTGATGGTCAAAGAGAAGAAACTGGCACGCATGCGTGCTTTCAAAGTTTTGTCTCATGCCATGCTTGGGGCCGATGGAGCGAAGTGTTGCGCCCATTTCGTTGAGATTTTCGGACTGCGGACGTTATTCCCAGCGTTAATGCGCAAAGGTGTCAAGCAGTACAAGAAGACCTACAAAGCCTTCTCGGAAACGGAAGAAGACGAATACTTGGTGACCATCATGGCGTCGCTATTGAAGAACTTGACACAACTCGATCTGCGTGAACGCTTTATCCTCAAGTTTGTGGGATCGGATATTGAGAAAGTTGATCGGCTCATGGATATGCATTTGCAATACTACGCCAGAGTTGCGGCGGCCGATGCCACCATTGCGGAGAGGCAACGATCCCGCGAGGATGAGGACCTGGACGAAGATGAATTGGAGGCGGCGAAGGAAGAGGATTTCCTAGACAAGTTGACGGCCGGCTTCTTTACACTTCAGCTGTTGGACTTCGTTATTGCTTTTGTTTGTTTCGAAGATGCTTCCGGCGAGGTATGTGTCTAACCACTTCTCTACCAGTTCAAACCACACGCCTCCATGTGCTGAATCCATTCGATTGCAGGTGCGGAAAAAGGTAACATCGCGTCTGGAAGGCGCTGGGCAATCCATCGAAACAATAAAGAGCGTACTCAAAGGTGCGTCGCTGTCACTTGTTGTCGGCTGTGCTCACACTTACTCATCAGTCTTCCTCTGTCAACAGAATATGCCAACAACGTGGGAGAGTCGTCATCACCGAAACCGGCAGAGCCGTCCTCTACTGAGTCCGCTGCTGATGCAACGGAATCGTCAGATGCATACGCTCAGCGGGAGCGTGCCATGATAATAGGGGTCATGGAAGCATTATAGTCCATAGAAACTCCATCGCAGTAGCATGATCTGAATGGCTTACGGTCACACACTTTCAAACTTTATTTCAAAATCGAACTGAATATCGTCAACCACACTTGTGGCGAAGAAAAAATCAAAACAAAAACAAGAACATGCTCTCCATAATCCGTCAACTTCATACAATCCTTTCCAAGTCACGATATGTTTTCCTTAGACGCACTTCTTGACAGCGACTTCCTTGCACCTGTTCTTGCCCGAACCAGAGCAGCGAGTCTCACAAGAGACTCCCGGAGCGACCAGAACGATCGAGTCGGCAACAGTATTACGCCACTGGCTGGCCAAGTCGGAGTTTTTCTGGCTCGCCTTGTATCCGTAGGGGCAAGCGCACACGTTCTTCTTGTTCACACGCACGCAAGCAGCCGTGTCATCACAGGCAGCAACGTTGCCGTCGGGTTGGCAGGTGGGGCATTGGAGGGCGAGAGGGGTGGGGCTCACGAGAGGCGAAGAGGTTCTGCTGGCGGGAGTGACCGCGCGAGTCGACGTTGCGGGCTTGGATGTAGCGGGCTTGGCCGTGGCGGGCTTCGATGTAGCGGGCTTAGACGTGGCGGGCTTGGATGTACCCTGCGGAGCAGTAGCCTCAGTGGTCGCCGCAGGGCGCGTGGCGACGACGGTCGAGGTGGCTTGGATAGTTGCAGGCTTGGTCAAAGCGAACGTGGAGCTTCCAATGATAACCGAGGATGCGGCAGGTTCAGCTGGAGCCTCACTAGTGGCCTCGACGGCATTGGTGCTTTGTGCTGGCTCAACTACGACGGCCTCGGTGGTGGTTTCGGGAGCAGCGGCCGCAGTGGTCTCTCCAGCGGAAGCCGCCTCGGATGTCTCCCCGGGTACCGCAACGGAGCCAACGGTAGCGGGACCGGGGCGAACGATGGTGGTCTGCGGAACGGGGTTAATGATTACAGCTTCGGTGGTAACCTCAGCTTCAGGGATGCTGGTCGCTTCGGCAGCGGGGGGAAGACTAAGGGGACAGAAATGCGTTTGTCAAGAAGAGTCATAATGTGACCGGTTTTCGGCAAGATGGACTTACTACGTTGCAGTCAAAGGAATTTCCGCTCCGTTTGTAAGAACCGCGTCCGTGGGAATGATCTGAAGAGTGGTTCCTTCCTCGGCAGCAGCGGTCGTAGGCTCAGGTTGCTCGATAACGACAACGGTAGTTGCGACAGCCACAGGCTCCGTTTCTTCAGGAGAGGAGCCTTCGGTGGTGGAAGCAAAGACGGGGTTGACGATGATCTCGGTGGTCGTCCCAGGAGCCGGAATCACCTCGGTTGTCTGAGCTGGTACTTCCTCGTTCACCACTGTGGTCTCTTCAGATGCAGGAGCTGAGAGAGTCGCGGGAATAGGTCCGATGGTGGCGATCGGGAAGGCGGCAGGTGCAGTAGTGTCTTCAGAAGCGACCTCTTCAGTGGTAGTAGGTGCAGGCTCAACGATGACGATGACTGTAGCGGAGGCAGCAGGTTCGTCGCCGCCGGCAGCAGCGGTGGTTGCGGGTGCAGGTTCGAGGAGCGTCAAGGTGATGGCACCAGGGATCTGAACGATAGATGTGCCTACAGCAGGTGAACCCTGTTCTCCGGCGGTCGAGGTAGAAGGAGCATCCACGATGACGAGAGTCGTCTCCACAGCGGGTGGAGCGCCGTCGGTGGCGGTGACAGTGTTGTAAAAGACGATCGTGGTGTCCTGATCGACCGGGATGGTTGCAGAAATCTCAGGAATATAAACGCCATTGGTTGCAGCGGGCTCAATGAAGGTAAGCGTGGTGGCACCGGGTTGAGACGGCACTTCGGGGGCGGATGTCTCCTCGGCAGCGGCCGTATTTTCAGCGGTGAAGAGCGGGAGGGTGAAGACAGGCACTTCGGCGGAAGCGGTGGGCTCGCTGGTGAAAGGCTCTACGGGGATAGTAAACACAGGCTCTTCGGCGGCAGCCGTTGAAGCCGCGGCAATGATGCTCGAAGCACTTGTGAGGGAAATGTTCGGTTAACTACGAATGCATACATACTTCCGTCGAACGAGCGACGATAACTTACACCTGAGCCGCGTCAGAAATAGCTTCAGTGAAAGCAGCTGCCGCGCTGGAGGCGACCTCAGTGAATTCAGCAGCGGCGGACGACTCGATAGCAGCAGCCTGAGTTTCAGCAGCGGCAACGATGCTGGTTGCCTCAGCAAAGGCGCTCGATTCACTGGTAGTGAAAGTGTTTACTTAAGTTGACTGCGACACCTGGTAGAAAGAAGCGGTCAGACAGCGATGCAGAGTCACGTACATGGCAGCGGCAGCGGAGACTGCCTCAGTGAATGCAGCAGCCGCAGTGGAAGCGACCGCAGCTTCGTCGGTAACCGCGGCGGCCGCGATGCTTGAAGCACTATTTATGGAAGATGTGTGAGTTGAATGAAGTGCTAGCAGCGCCTTTGCGTCTGACTTACGCTGCAGCAGCACTGGAGACTGCTTCGGTGTAGGCAGCGGCGGCGGATGATTCGATGGCAGCAACTTGAGTGGCGGCCGCAGCAACATCGCTGGTGGCTGCCGCAAGAGCGCTCGCTTCACTGGTGACAAACAATGATTTCAGCGTCTGTGCATATAGTATCAGCAAAGCTGCGTCCAGATACATGAGACTCACATGGCAGCTGCGGTGGAAACGGCCTCGGTGTAAATGGCAGCCGCGCTCGCGACTACCTCGGTGTACTGTGCGGCCGCTGTAGATTCAGCAGCTGCAATCTCGGTAGAAGCGGCTGCGGCAATCTCGGTGAGAGCAGCAGCAATTGCGGACGACACTTCAGCATCTGCAGTGGACAATGCAGCAGCAGCAGCCGAAGACGCAGCGGCAGCAATGGATTGCGTTTCCAGTACAGCACTGTCAAAAACCCCACATAACGGGCACGCGAATAAGGCACATGCTAAATCAAAACAAGGATAAGCTTCACGCAACTTACGCGTTTGTGGTAGCAGCGACTCCGCCAGCTGGTGCAGCCGTGGGTGCGGCAGGAGACGTGGAGCTAAGCGAAAGAAGTGGAGTACAATGAGTTGGTTCATTTGAAGACACTCAAGAAAGGTGGCGCAACTTTGACTCACGAGGCCACTGGCGTGCTAGAGCTGGAGGTGGATGCCTCCCTCTTACACACATTGAGTGTGTTGACATGGACCTCAGCTAAAGGCCAGCAGGAAGTCGATCAGCTATGTTGAAGATGATAAAGAGTGACCGTCGTAAAGAGTGGGATACGTACAACAGCGCCTCGAGCTACAGACAGTGTTGCAAACAGTGCCGGGTGATACGTACACACGGCTGCTGCCACGGCTGACTCGCCAGTGGGTGGCAGTGTTGCCGTTGCGAGCACTAGCCTACATCATATTCACGATGTGTGAGGATGTGGACAGATGGAGCATATAATGTTTGGTCGTCGCCCACATACCTTGAATCCATCTCTGCAGGCACAGAAGCCTTTCTCGCCAAGGCTCCTGACACCGGGAGAGATGCAGGTTGTAGTCGCATCACATCGGTTCAAGCCCGAAGCGGGGTCGCAGTCGGGGCAAGTAGCCTGACGGGGCGTCAAGGCAGGGGCGGCCAACACCGATTGAACTGCACATGCACAGGAGTATAGACAGATGAGACCTCAGCCTTGAAGCTCCGTGTACTCTGCATTTCAGAACTCACCAGTGCAGACGGCTACAAGCAGAGAAAAGAACTTCATGATGCTACCAGCGATGCGAATTTGCGGCTACTTAGATTCTGAATACTAGGTATGAACAGATTTCAAGTGAACTTTTCGATCAACGATAAGTCACCGTGAGCCAAAATGTGTTAGGGAACCAGAAACAGTGAGGGGGGGATGGGACGAGCCTCCCGTTTTATATGCGCCCTCTCATACACTCATTTCAAAAGCTTGCACTGGTTCGGGGCTCGAGGGTAGCATTCATTGAGGCGCGGGATGCGCAAAAGTGAAGTATGCTTCGTTCGAGCTGTCAACTTTATATCAACTCTTCCTTGGCCCTCTGATGGCGGAGTTGGAACTTGATGGCTTATGTAATCAGCTTTCGGGCATTTCGACAGGCGAATTAACGTCATTGGTGCTTTCTCTCTATACTCGAACGTCGTGCATTTGTGACGAGGTGCTTATTCGGGACAATCGTTCGATCGAAAATGTCTGGCCGGTGCATTCGCCGCTTTTTTTTGGCGAAGCGGAGTTGCTTCTATTGGTGCAGGATGAAAGCAAGGGATGGTTGAGAGGCGTTAGATGTCCTGCCGCTCTCAGCTCACAACCACGCACTCGGTTGTTTGCCCGTTACAATGAGCCCGGAAGGAACAGCTCAGCAGGGCTCCTTAGTAGAATGCACATACACATTCTTCCGAAGGAGGAACAATATAATCTACCACGTCAGGCCTTACTGTAAACCCCCACGTTCAGAGCGACTTGATGAAGGGGGCGAGGCATTGGTGGAATTTTTTGCAGTCAGAATAAATTGTACCCCTGACATACAGACATACAGGGACAGGTTCGGAAGTCCGTCCCGGCAGGCTCGTCTTTGGATCGTGACAGCATGTGACGTCCAAAAATGAAATCCTCGTTGTTCATCACACATCGATGCAGGTATTACTGATACCTAATCGCTTCGAAGGCCCGCGAAGATAAAGCAAAGGTAAGCCTACCTACACTACATCATGCCACTAGATGCGTGATGTTTCCAAAATATCCACAACCTACATGCCCCCAAACAAAGGCGTAAATACAGGTGGGAGACTACTCTAAGGCAAGACCATTGCTATGCAAATTGTCCAAGCCGGAGGTTGACAGGTGAGCGAGTGGAGGTAAGGACCCAAGTCTTGTGGACATCCTGTTGAGCTACGCCATCGACAGAGCTACGGCTTAATCTTAAAGTTCAGCACGTACCGAAAGTCGATGAGAACGGGGCCCCCAACAATTTGCATTGAAGAAATCTCGATGCATGCACTGCAGTGAATGATGCCAGATCATTCATTGTCCGAACGACTGCGAGTTATGTACCTGCACGTCTAGAACGTTTTTTCGATTCCTGAGTACTTGCAGGGCTAGCTTTCGCTTCCGCTGATACGCTCACCGACTTGTCAACGTATGGTTTCCGTTTCCGCGGTGTCTCATCATCTTGTGGTGTGGAAGTCGTGCCATTTCCTCCATTTGATGCACCCTTCTCTTGCAGAATCGGTGCTTTGATAGTATCAATCACCTTCGACACCCCATTCGAGAGCTTTGGAGCGATATGATCGGCGTACGTTGCCAGTTTGTGTCGGGGATATCTCATATTCGTCTTGTATTTGTGATTATATCTTTCTACTTCTACGCGATCCGGTACTCGAGCTGGCCACCCAAGCACTCGGTGATACATTACCTTAGGCCTATTGTGCGCGAGATCGGAAGTAGCCAACGGAGGTCAGATCGTACTAGTATAGTCTATTCTGGTTGTTTATAGAAAAAGGGTAAGTTTGTGGGTTGGGCCATGGCCGTGGCCGTCCTCCCCCCCCCCCCCCCCCCACCCCCCGCCTCACCCCCCCCCCCCAGAGGCGTCGCGTCAAACGCGGGAGGGGACGGCCACGGCCCCCGGACGCCATGGACGGCTCGACCTTCGCTAAGACGGTGAACATGGTATGCTCACGGATTCCACATGCGCATGCAGCCTGTTGACATTCCCAGAAAAGACCGCTGATGTATTCAACGCAATGTTCTCTCTACAATGATTTGCCAACTGAACGGAGGCTTGAGAACATCGCACCGTTCGTAAGTGGTCGATTGAGGCGACAGTAGATCGTCAAATTGCGAAGGCTTTTACAGTGTCGGATTCACGTTGGCCAAGTCCCTTTCACCCGCTAGACTGGACGAATCATGCATAAAGGTACCCGTCCCTGGTAAAAGTAGAGGTATGGACGGAATAGATTGACTCTACAACTATCGCTTGGAGGCAGTCTGTGCCTTTTCGGCTCTCATTGAAATTGAAGCCTAAGATGAGTCTGAATGTAAATCTACATGCACTTAGCATCTAATAAGCTCCATGATAGGCCTGAAGGCACGCCTTGAGAAGGATGGCAAGCACCGTTGAACATGCTGTCAGTTGCTGTCAATGAAGACAGGCGAGCGTGTTCTCCAGTCCCTCCGTGGCGAAGCAAGAGCGCCGTAATGGTGATGATGCGCCCAACTTCTCCAACTTGCAACTTCGGCAGTGCCAAGGTTCCAAACTTACGTTGCTCATCGCACATCTGTATCGCACATATATTAGCAGCCTCAGTAGCGCAGGAGACGACGACGTTTATTATAATATCTCGCTATATACCCTCCTGCACCGTCCGACATCTCATAGAGTATCTGTCACCACCGCTCGCCCCGTAATCTGAGCACGGTACACTTATCTGCGAGCGTAAAACACAATGCCACCTCCTCCACCTCCGGCACCTCCACCGCCAGCTGCATCGGCTGCGCCCCCAGCACCAAAGCCCACCGACTTGCTAAAGTCCATAGAGAAGGGAACGAGGCTAAAGAAGGTGCAGACAAATGATCGGAGTTCTCCAATTGTAGATGGTGAGTGCGTTTTTCCAGCAAGCGAATGCGGACCAGGGAGGTCTTAAGAGTGCCATAGCACTCTTAGGTTCATCTATCCGCACAGAGGGCCGTCGCGCCAGGTCGTGATACCATCAACTAACATTTCTTCCTCTCGGGAATTGCGTTATAGCGGGAAAGCCGACAGGTGGCGGTGGTCCTGGCGGCGCAAGATCGCCCCCGATGCCTAGACCTCCAGGTGCCGGCGCCTCAAGTGGTGGAGGTGCAGGTCCACAGTTGGGAGGTCTGTTTGCAGGCGGGATGCCAAAGCTTCGTTCCACCGGTGGCAGAGGCGGAGGGGACTCAGGTGAGATCGCGATAGGGAGGGATTTGGTGGAGACATAGATGTGGAGAAGGAGCTGACCACATATTGTCCAATTTAGCGCCTGAGCCATCCGTTCCGAAACCACCGAAGCCATCCAATGACTTTACAACTGCCATCGGTTCCCATATGCTGAACAAACAAGGACCTCCTCCGACCCCTTCCAGGCCGGGTCTGCCGTCAAAATCAACCTCTCCTCCAAGCATTCCTCGTTCGAGCATCGTTCCACCAACTCCTCCTAGGTCATCAGAACCTCCTCCACTTGCTGCTCGAGGTGTTCCGGCTCCGCCGTCACGTGGAGGCCCACCACCGGTTCCAGACCGCTCGAATCCGCCACCACCAGCTGCCGCGGCCCCTCCGCCGACCCCTTCTCGACCGCCCACTATAGGGAAAAGTGGCCCACCACCTGCGCCTCCAAGGTCAGGACCCTCATCTGCACCTGGCAGCGCAGCTGGATCACTGCGTGGCCCACCTCCAGCCCCACCTTCTCGAGGGTCGGTCAAAGACGCTTTCGAAAAGCCTGCTCCTCCCACGTTCAGCCGTGCAATCCCACCACCCCCAGGAGGATTCGGCGGACTGAAACCCACCGGAGGACTCAATGGAGCTGGGTTTGGCGGCCCAAGACCGTCCGGCTCAACGGGGAATATTGCCTCATTTGATCGAAGGGAAAGCGACCCGTCGCGCTCACAAACAGAAACCATCGGAAGATGGACATTCAGGACAGATCTGCCACCTCCGCGGCAATACGCAGGCGGAGCCTCGGAGGCTAATGCCCTCCCAACTAGATTACCCCCAGCCGCTGGAAGCCCGTCCCTGGGAAGGCGCCCACCTCCTCCACCACCTCCCGCCAGCCGAAGAGGAAGTGCGGTTCGACCTCCACCACCGCCGGTGAGGAGCAGAGAGGGGTCGGTGGGACAGGCTGCCGAAATCACGAAATACGCAGATGACACGCTGCCGAGATTGGAAGCTTCGTTAGAGAGAGCCAAAGCAGACGAGGATTACATGCTCTGCGCCAACTTGAAGAAATACATCACAGTAAGTCCCTTGTTCTGTGCGCGACGCCAGCTGATGCCAATTTGCTCATATTTGACTATCGCGTTTATTAGACTCTCACAGATCTGAAAAAGCGGGCAACGTCCGGAGGTTCGGTCGTGCTGATTCTCGATGAATATCGTACTCTGAAAACCAATCTAGAATCGCTTCTCTGATAATCTTTGAAAGAAATAAACGCGGCGAATGGGTCATATGAATTTTTGATTATGATTATGCATAAATCCACATACACTCATGCAACCCCAGGAGACATGCCGGGTCACTTATCAGACGCCCGGTCAAAGGTTTATGTTTCTTTGCATTTACAAGGCCTTTATCGACAAGATTTACACGTTGGAATGGACATGAGAGCGTAGTGCGGGCTCTCTGAATACAAAGGAAAGGTGGAAGAGCTAGTATGGGCTCTTTGAATACAAAACGCAAGGCTCGTTCGCGGCTCGTTTGGTCGATCCTACAGCAAATCATTCCAGTAAAACGCGACCAACGCGGCGCCGAATGCAATCGCCGCCCGGCCCAGCCCCACATTCGCTGTCCGATGACCACTTGAGGTGTTGGCCGACGGAGGAGGTGTCGCAGACGCATCGGTAGGCGCAGGAAGGTTGGCCGACGTGATAATGGGGACGGTGCTATTGCCGGCCGGAAGCGGTCCCACGGTCGGGGTAGGCGATATCGTCGGAGTTTGCTTGTAGGGCAGGTTCTGGGCCTGGACGGCGGCGATGAAATCCGTTTCGAGTTTGTTGAGGGCGTCGGTCAGGGGTTGCACGCTGTTAGTGGCGTTGGCTGAGGGGAGGAGGTCCATAACCGTCTGCGATTGGATCAAGGGAAAGGTACAGTACAAAAGTAGGTTAGCACTCACATTAAGGGCAACGCATTGAAAGCTCCGTTCATCAAACTGTGCCGTTGTGACATACCTGAATAGCATCATCAAGCTTAGCAGGGTCCACCCACTGGTTTCCCTTGATCAAACCGACCACTCTTGCGAACGGCAACCGAACGTCGCTCGACATAGGCAACCCCGTCGCGTTCCACGCAGCCTCCAAAGCCCTGACGTCCTCGCCGAAGGGAGGGTCGAAGAGACGCGGTTCGTAGGTTGGAGACGCGGTGGAGTTGGACTTGACGGTTTCAACTGGGGCGGCTTTGTCTGTAGGGGTTGCTGGAGCTGCCGTTGCGAGCGATAGGCTGCAGGCTAAGAAGCAGAGGGTGAGGAGGGTACTCGGAAAGAAGCGTTCGAGGCGCATGATGGGATTATTTGAGTTGTTGGACGTAAGTTTGGTGGTAATCTAGGTAAAGAATATGCTCTTCAAAAATGAGAGTATGTAAACCTTTGGAAGTATGGAGTTGGTCGTTGACAAGAGTGTCGGAGCTGGGAGCAACGACCCCGGCCGCTTTTTATACCCGCCCGAAGTCCCGCGCGCGCGCTTTCAGAGCAGCCTCAACCAATGCCAAGGGTGCAAGGCCAAATGTCCGTCATCCATCAACGTAAGCCAACATCTTCCTTCCTTTGGTCGCGAGACCTCCGGGTACGATAAGGGGTTCTAAAAAAACCAAAGCGAATTGTGGAAAGAGGGGTTTCGCGTCCGTCACGTCAGCAAAGCATGCGCGTCTCCAGGGATTTTATGGGTGGCACAGTAACTTCATTTGTTAATTGCGTGTGTTGAGATTTTCCCAGGCTTTTCAGCATGAGGCTTTTTGCTCTTTTTCCCACGCTCGCAACATCCTATCGGAGTACCATTGCACTTTGGAACTCAAGTACCAGCCAAGACAAGAATGTGGCCTCAGTGCACAAAACCTGGGGAAGAGGCCGGGAGGGGCCTGCCTTTGATGCCCCGCTCGACATCCCGACAAGGCGGCTTGTCCAAGCCCTCTTTCTTCAACGCGCCATCTTACAGATCGACTCGGGGTCATGAGCACAGCGACTCCGGAAGTGCCAGCAGCTTCTCTCCGCGATCAAATAGGGATGCGTATCCAACACCCTCCTCGTCGAACCAGATGGTTTTTTCGCCGCCGACGGCCGGTACAGCCCCGACATTCCTAACAACGGCGTCGGAGCGGTCGGTCTTCAACGACTTTAACGCGTTTGGAAGGCCTAAAGTCAAGGCGTCGAAGTTCCTCGATTCCAACTGCAGTCTTTGGGCTTCGGGGTAACGTTTTGGGTCGGCTTTGTTCACGTGTGGATGGGACTCATCTCATATAATTCGTGGGAATTGATCAGAAATGAGCACAACCTGCAACCTCCGATGGCCCCACCGCAAGCTGAGCCGATGGATCTATTTACAGGAGACATTGAGCGTGACATTTTGCTCGATGCAGGTATGACCCTCAAGTTTCCCTCAGGTGAGGATCGATCTGGAAGCTTACTCCGATGTACTTGGAGGCCGATATGGCGACCCTCGGTACTCGGGCTTTGGCTCGTGCATGCCGAGAGATCCTTATTCAGAGCAGATTGCTGAGGTATGAGCCTTTCAGTTTATGCGTTCTGTGAATGTCCTCTCACATGCTACTCTCTCGGCAGGTACCTTACCAACTCACGGAATGGGACTCGGAAGCGCCACCGGAAGAACCAGAGGATCACCACTTCCGGCGCACTCCAAATTTTGGGACTACATCTGAAATGGAGAACCGCTTTATGGCTCCACCAGTGCAGCAGCAATGTGCCTTTCCACTGCTGCCTTCACGACAGGCCCTCAAGGAGTTCGTTCCCAAGACCGTCGTCAAACCTCCCGCCGTTCCCAAGGGCGGCAATGATGGACTGACGGTTAATGGCATCCGCTTGAGGCGTGTTGCTGATCTGCGTATGTATACCTTCCGTCATACGATCAGACCATGTACTCTGTCTTGACTTTGTTACGTAGCGGACAAGTTTCGTAGTCTATTCAAGTTCCCGTACTTCAACGCTGTCCAATCGGAGTGCTACGATAAAGTATTTTTTTTTCCGTGAGAATGCGCGTTTCTGGTCTGAACCCTCAACCCTCACCATCAACCCTCTTCAGGCCTTCTGCACGGACGAAAACCTAGTCGTTAGCGGTAAGATTCGGAATGCATTACCGTACTATAAAACGTAGACACTCATCTTATATTTACTTTCGTCCGACACAGCTCCAACGGGATCTGGAAAAACGTGCATCATGGAGCTCGGTAAGCACCTCAGCGCTCCCAAATCCATTCAAATGACGAAGGCTCACGATCCTTGAAGCTGTACTCCATCTACTGTCACGGCCGGATGGCGAGAACGCGAAGGTGGTCTATATGGCTCCGACGAAGGTAAAAATGGGGCTTGTTTGGCCTTCGTCCATATCCGAGTGATCATCGCATTTTGTCGTAGGCTTTGTGTAGCGAGCGAGTTCGAGATTGGCAGCAAAAGTTTCGAACCCTTGGGATCACGTGTAAGAAAGTTGCATGGTTCATGTGACTCCGCTTCGGCGGTGACTTCAATTCCATCACAGGCAATGAACTTACGGGGGACAGTGACAATCTTCGAACATGCGAGATACAGCAGAGCAATATCATGTAGGGAATGCTCTGTAGTGTCCTCGATAAAAAGGCAGCGACTGATCTTCCGTAGTGTGACAACCCCTGAAAAGTGGGACTCGATGACCCGGAAGTGGTAAGATCCCCGTCAAAAGCACTCACTCGTAGTCCAGCGAACGCTAACAACACATTGATAGGCGCGACTATAAGAACCTGATGAGCCTCCTCCGTCTTATCATGGTGAGGCGAGTTCCGTGGTCGTCTCGTAGAACAGCAGAGGAGCTGAATGGTGGTTTGCAGATCGACGAATGCCACACGTTAAACGAACCTGGCCGCGGAGCAACCTTAGAGGTTGTGGTGAGCCGAATGAAGACTGTCAATGCGGAGCTTCGGCGTCAAGGAGGTCCAAATGGCCAATTGGTGTTGGAGATCCGCTTTCTAGCTGTCTCAGCGACGGTCCCGAACATCATGGACATTGCTGAGTGGTTGAAATCTGCTCATGGCACGCCAGCACAAGTCAGGCGAGTATTGGACATCAGCTTCCCTTGGTTGTTGTGCAGGAATGCTTACTTTCTCTGCAGGGTATTTGGCGAAGAGTTTCGACCCGTGCAGCTTCGGAAAGAGGTTCTGGGCTTCTTTGCAAAGTCAGCCAACTATTTCCAGTTCGAAGCAAGTTTGGATTACAAGTAGGTCTTTTCGCATCTGTGCATTGGCGGGGAGTGACTCAGACTGTGTTTTGCGCCCCTAGATTGATGGAGGTCATCGAGCGATTTTCAGCCAAGAAACCAAGTCTAGTGGTGCGCCCGCAAGCAATGCAGTCGCGATTGTCTTATTCTTCATTCGATTGACCTGTTTTTCTATCCTAGTTCTGTTCCACGCGAAAATCTGTTACCACATGTGCCGAACGACTTGCTAAGGAATGTGTAGAGTTATGCTCCGGATCAAATGGATATGGGCCAATGCACCCATTTGTCAAGACCCGAAACCTATCAGACACTCTGAGGGGAATCAAGAACAGAATCACCGACAGGAAGCTAGCCGGTATGATTGATGGCTTTGAGCTTGGAAGCATGGCGCCAACTCATATTTGGCATGCAGAGCTCGTCGTCCATGGGATTGGTTTTCATCATGGCGGCCTCTCCACGCAAGATCGACAGCTTATCGAGTCCTCCTTCTTGCAAGGGCATATTAGCGTCGTTTGTATGTTACTCATGTTGGGTAAGCACCGGATGATGAGCAATCGCTCACGCAGGAAATTACAGGTGCTACGTCCACCCTAGCGGTCGGGGTCAATCTGCCGGCGCACGTAGTCATCATCAAAGGCACTATGCAGTATGTCAATAACAATTATGTCAAGTACTCCGAGCTGGATCTTTTGCAGATGTTGGGACGTGCTGGACGGCCACAGGTACGGGAAGCTCAATTGGCACATATGATTCCCTGCTGACACTGCGTAGTTTGATGATAGCGGGGTTGCTGTCATCATGACGATGAACAACGAAGTGCCGACGTACCAGGCGATGGTGACAGGGAAACAAGTCATTGAAAGCAGGTTAGCAGTGTCTGAGAATGAGAGTGGATGATTTTGCATTGACAACACCGTTTTCAGCTTGCACGAGAATCTTATCGAGCATCTCAACTCGGAAGTGGTACTCAATGCGATCAAAAGCGTTCAGTCTGCCAAAGAATGGTCAGTGACAACCGTGGCTTTCTTGTCCGTCCCTTTTCGATCTAACATCATCGAACAGGCTTCAATCATCTTTCCTATACGGTATGAGTCGCAATATGTGCATGAACTTCACCGCATCTTTGATCGCCTTTGTGAACAGTGCGAATGCGAAAGAATCCTGCCTACTACAAGTTGAAGAACTGCTCCAACGTCGAGGGGAAACTCTCAGCGGAGAAACGTCTAGAATGTGGGTATGAAACCTGCTCACTTATGTTAATCGCAACTAAAACGTTCCGTATAGCCATATGCCTCAGAGACATCGAGCTGTTGGACAAGCACTCCCTGATCACCTTATCCAGATCGACCCAGCATCTACAGACAACAGGTGCCGTGCACATGATCCCAGATTTCAATATGTTTGGTACCTTAACAATATCGCTTTCCAGAATACGGCCAGGCTATGGCAAAGTACTACATCAAGTACCAGACAGCAGTTACAATTCTCAGCATGAAAGAAAAGGGGACGTTGAAGGATGCAGTAAGTCTATGTGATGCACATTCAATGAGATGTCGACTCCGTCGCTTATAAGGGTTCATCACAAGCTGGAAACACTATGCAAGGCAGAAGAGTTCAGCGACATACGCTTCCGCGGTGATAAAGCGATTTTCAACGCAGTCAACAAGAATCCCGCGATAAGGTACGGTTTCATTGCAAACTTTCAGTTAATCGGTGCTAAACTACATCACCTGTGGGCTACAGGTTTCCAGTCAAAGGCAAGGTTACCACCGGAGACCAGAAAGTCAATCTCTTGATACAGGTATGCTCATGTCGCTTCTTCCCTGACCGTCGTCAAGAACCTCACTAAACCAGTAAGGTCTGCAGTGCAGATTGGCATGCATATCGTTGAGCGACCAGAAAACGTCACATACGCTGAACATGGAACAAGCTGCAATCATAAGTGGGGGAAGCAGAATTGCTCGATGTATGTGACATTGCAGTTTTTTCGGCAATACATGTGCTCATCTCAGTTCTTTAACAGTTATGGTTGATGTCTTCAAGGCCAAAGGGGACGTAGTCTCGCTACGAAGCGCCACGGATCTGTAGGTCGCTCACAGTCTAATCCTAATACCGACTCCATTCTCATCTTGCCCATCCAGATCCCGGTGCTTGGCGGCAAAAACATGGGAGAATTCTCCCCTGCTTTTACAGCAGATCGAGTCGGTTGGACCGGCAATCGCTAGAATGCTTTCAACCGCAGGCATATCCTCATTTGGGCAGTTGGAGAAGACAGATCCCCGACAGATTGAATATGTAAGGAGTTGGCCGAGTTCTCAGACTGATCGCACGTCTCATGCTCTCATCTTCCAGGTGTCGAGTCGGAACCCACCTTTTGGCAACAAGGTACCTGGTTACGACCTTCCCTGAAGTCACTGGGATTGCTTAATTCATCGAACCGTTCGCTAGATCCTTGAAGCGGCCCGGGCCTTACCGAAGCTAAAATTGGAAATCACACAGGTAAGGCTTCCAGTATTCCATGTGCATTTTGAGATTGTCTCATTGCAATCAACCGGGAGTAGTTCAAAGACATGTCGCGGCCCACCGAGATTGAGCTGTACGTGAACGTCAGTCTTCTCAACGCAGAAGTGGTAAAGGTCTACGGAAAGAAGGGACCACTGCAAGTCGCCTTCCTCGCCGCGACGTCCGACGGCAATTTGATAGACCATCGTCGACTCTCGTAAGTAGTGCATCTACTTGCATCGCTGCATTCGATATGCTCTCTCATCAGCGAACAACAGATTGAAGAAAGTGAAAGACGGGGAGTCTTTCCGAGTTCGGGTGCAACTGGATAATGCTAGACAGCGGATTTCGTGCTCTTTGTTGCCTGAAGACTATGGTTGATACATGAATATCCTGAGTATATCGGCGTGATTGCTGATGGTACCTTCCAGTCGGTTTAGATGTGAACAAGGAGATCGTTCCTGACGTGAAAGAGGTGCACTTTCGTAATCTCCGACTGGCGAAATCGAGCGCGGACAGATTTCCACCTCGAGGGAGAGGTCAAGAGAAGGTGGGTTTCTTCATTTGTGCTGTCATCACCGTGTACTCGCCCTAACTGGAGCGGTCATTCGTTCTTCCCAACTTCAGCGCAAACTGCCGGAGTCGAGCAGCTTCCTGACTGACGAAGATGACTTCGGAGATGATTTTGACTTGGACCAGTCCGGCATCTATGAGCTCATGGACAATGCGGCCTCGACCTCGACTGATGTCACTCCCACGTGTGCTCCCGGACTGCAGAAGAAAGTTGCCGGTGCCGTTCCTCGTCCTCTGGATTTTCCGGATAGTGAGGGTAACCAGATGCCAAAGCGTTCACAGATGAGATTGACGGTGCTCAACGTTCGTGGCGTATAGATGAGGACGAGGACAGCATTCCGCCACTTGCCCCCTTGTTCCCTTTCGCCGATGAGGTTCTGTCAAGCCACAAAATAAAAAAGACCGCCCCGGACAAGAAGCCGTTCACCAAGGATAGCGGCAGCAGTACGAACCTAGCTCCAGGAAATGTTACTTGTGGTCACAAGTGCAAAGATAAGAGCAGGTACTCATTTGTATCTCCTACGCGTTTGCCAGGCACTGTTAGCAGAGACCAATTTTTCATTCATCTAGTTGCGCGCATGAATGCTGCAAGATCGGTGTGTCGGCCAAAATAGCCAGGAGGCGGAAGGAACCTTCGATGCCATTGTCGAAGCATGCTCTCACATCCCAAAGGACCTCAGATGAAAGGATTTCGAGCTTGGACGGGGATGATGGACTGATATTGCCTTCTGAGAAGTCATACCAGAGGGCTGGCGCTCTTTCAGCTGCTCACAACGGTAACGTCTCACCCCAGTCTTGAGCACCGTTTCGCCAAGCTCGAACTTACATGTGTTTTAGGAAGCACACAAGACCGCAGTGGAGATGCGCAAATCTCCTCTCGGCGCAGCTTTGCGGTATCAGATGATGAAAGTCAAGGAGAGGACGACCCCAATGAGAATGATCCATACAATTTTGCGAACGTCGACAAAGCGCCAAAAAGGAAACGTGTTGCCCAATTTCTCGATTTGGAATCAGGAGGGGACGCCGACGCTCATGCATCTGACTACGATGCTGAGTACGAGGGCGAGTTCGACGGCTGGCTGGTTGATGATGACGAAGACGTCAATGAGGATGTCGTTGGCGGCGTCGGGACTCACGATAGTTCAGAAGACATTTTCCTGCGCGAGGAGCGCGACCTGATGAATTTGCACTGCGAAGATATGGGACAAGGGGCTAAACGCCGCCGCGTCTGTGGTGATGAGGACGATGGACAAGGTACGAGGTAGATCAATTCCGGCAGTTTGCTACGTTGAACACTTGCTGATCCGTGGAACGGCTTTACCAGAAGTAACATCCAGTAAGTAGGTTGATGGCAGGACAGCATTTGGCGTGTTCACTATATTTCTTTTTTTCAGCAAACTTTGGGTTAAGCACATCGCAGTCACAATCAATGGTGACCTTCGACGAGAGCCAGTATGAAGAGGTGAGTTCTGTTATTCGCCAATGCCACATCGTAGTCGATTTGATCAATGAAAGGGGCCAGCCCGACATCCTTTTGCAGCGATCTAGCATGGCGCTCACAACAGGCCGTTCGGACCAGGGCAACCGTGATCAGGGCCGTCGGGTTGTTCAGTTTTCGGACATGGGCGCGAATAAGCTCAAAGCCGCTTCTGATGTGAAACCTGGTTCCGCAGCACAAAAAAATGCAGAAACGCAGGGTGGGAACCGTACTGTAAGTGACTGTAATCCCTGCCTTTTGATCAAATCCCGACACCTGAACTCTCTTCTCGACTAGCACCAGACGGACGACATGTTGCAAGTTCGCGCATCCTTAAGTCAATGGATCAGTGGACTACGGGCTGAGGACCATACAAAGCCGGATCGGCCGGTGCCACCGGAGGAAACGACGATAACAAGCCCGCAAGGAGCGACGGCGGGACATGAGACCAACCCCGATGGGGCCAAAACCGGGTACGTAGACATTCGGAGAAGCCGGTTTTCGTGGACTTCATCCCTAACGGTACATGCTACATGCATCTAAAAAGGCCTGAAGCTACCATGACGCAGCAATTCAGTGTTCGTGACATTTTTGCAGACTTGTTTTGATGGGGACCTATTATTCTGACGGTCAGGCGTACGTCTTGTTTATGAAACCTATCTACCTTCTCTTCATCATGACATGGCAAACAGTAAAGAACTTCGGTGCCCCCCGATTGGATTCCATGTTGTGTTTTATTCTTCTTTGAGTCAAGGCGAAGGAAGACATCCCTGTGCCACAACCGAACGATCGTCAGCCCTTATCTTTTTCGCGGCCCGCTGATCAGGGATTGTGGCTTCAAATTCACCGTATGAATGCAAGAAGCTTGAGGCTGAATTTAAAGTGCAGACGCAATCAATCACCCTGTTGAAGGTGGCAGACAATAGGCGCGCAACCAAACCAGAAGTCAGCTTCAACCCCGGAAGAGGTGTCATCAGGGCAGAAGGATTACCGTATTTTTGGCGGGCAATAAATCGCAACCGACTTACCTTCAGGCAATGTACATGTGACATGCGAATAAAGGCGAAGGAGATTAGGCGAGCAAACAACGCTTAGCAGATGTCCGAAGGACACTGATGAGCTGGGCTTTACTGAGGTCCTTGCATATAAATGCCATGCGTGTCCTGGAGCCCTCCGTTTTCCGCAACGTTTCCTTGCGGTCTCGATTTACAGGCACTTGATCAACACAACCTTACTTCTCATCCCAGCCTCCACCCTACAACCCTGACACACCAGTATTGAACACACTCATCGTACCCACCCCTGCTTACTGGACCACCTGCTCTTCTGCGTCTACTTAGTTGGTCAACCATCGCCCGACGCATTCGTTGAGGCTGCCTCGTACATCATTTGGACCTTTGAAAGGAATAGGAACACGGTACACCATTTTGTGTATTTCTTCCGGCCAACATCATCAACATTTCCATATTCCAAGTGTTGACAGCAAACCGAACGCGGTGTCAATTTTTTCGCCACCTCGTCACTTGACGCCAGCCCCCGGCACAAGCGCACGTCATCTTTGCGTGTTAAGTTGCAAGCAAGCCCTGCGTTCCGCCGCATTTGGCGCCACCGTTGCCCCGTTAGCAGTCCTGCCATAACGCAGTAGATCTTCGCCATACCTCAAGCCTCAGGGCAGATATCTTAGCAACCTCCTTGAACCCGTATCTACCATCAAGTTGCAATTGATACCGCCCATACTGCATTAGCCACACCCTGTACGGACCAGTGACCGCCGAGCAGCACGTCCAAGTAGAACTCAGTGATCCCGACCCGACTCCCTGCCTGCGATCGCCCCCCACGTCCGGAATACCCGCCCAACCAACAACAACAGGAGGACCGCCGCAATTGACAGGACGATTTGGTCACGCCGTTTCCCCTTTGGTACGCAGTTCGCTGTCACCCGAGGCCTACATATTTACAGTACTTATTGGCTCTCATCAAGCACCCCCGCCCCCTCCCCCCCCCCCCCACCTCCACAACAAAATTCCCACCAGCAAAGGAAGGCTGCACTAAAAATCCCTTCCTTACGCCAATAACCATACCCGCACCCAGGCACAGTACAGCGCAATCGTACAGACCCCTACCATTCAAGGACGACTCGCCGTTCGCATTTCTACGCCGTATACTCTCATAAAGCTTCGGCCGGCAGCGGTACAAGCAACGCAAAAGATACCAATTACTTTTTGAATCGATATCATGTCGTCTTCTTACAAGTTCCAACCGGAGGAGCCCACCGCCAAAAGCAACAGTGGCCTCTCCATTGCCACCTCCTCCCCTATTGACATAAACACTAGCAACTCAGGAAGCGGCGCACTGGCCACTGCCGAGCCTCACTCGCTGACCGAAAGCCCACCCTCCACTCCTCTCTCGGCTACCGCTCCCGCTGGCGACGAAGGTGAACATCGCACCCGCCGTCGCCGTGGCTCCATGCAGTACCCTTTCACGGCCGATATGCCCGAGGACGACGACCTCCTCTCCTCCTCTCCTCCCACCAGGAACAGGACCATGAGCATGTACGCGGTTCATGTTGTATGAACACGGCTGCATGACGGCGATTCCCGGGGAGCAAAATCTAGATACGCTACTTTCGATGGGAAGGTGTTCGCTTCGGATAGTAGCCCCAAGGGGTCGACGCGTCTTTGGTCGAGATTAGATGTCTTCCATTTCACCCGGCCTCATTTGCTATTCCATTCTGCATTTGCATGTGTCAGATCGAAGTTCTTCCCTCAAGTTTTTTTTGGTGCTCGAGTCGGATTCATTGTAGCCATCCCGCTCTTTTTGTGATCTTTTGGTTACCTGTGGCCTTGATTTGCTTCAATTTCAATTTTTTTGGAATGAGGCTGTGCTCTCCTTTTTTCGTCCTCCAATTTTGCTGTATATATTGTTTTCCAATGAGAAGTGCTTTTGAACGGAACAACATCGCGATTGGTCAAATGTCGTGATATCCTTCCATTTTTATGTAGATCAAATATGTACAGTCTGTCTTAAAGTCGTTGAAGAGACCAGTCAGCGACTCGCTTCGCCTGTTGTTGGAAGAGGAGCCACGAGCTTCAGAATCCACACCCTGTTCTCCGTCGCCGGCAGGGGGGGCGAAGCTGGATCGGCAATCTTCAAGCCACCGTTCAGAGTGATTTTGTAGCAACTTTCCAGCGCAATAGGTTGTGAAAACGGTGGATCAGGAGTGTAATCACGTTTCTCAGATATCGCATCCGTCGCTGAAGCGACTGGGGGCGCTAGTGTCGCTTCCTGCTTCTTCTTGCCTTTCTTCGAGGTATCACCCAAAGGTGCAGCCGCCGCACCACCCGTCGCGGGAGGAACCGGTGAACCCGCCGCATGTATCGCAGCGCTGCCCTTCCGAAGAGCCTGGTTGGTGTTAAGTTCACGTGAGGCATCCCTAGTTAGCCCTCTGGGTATGACCTTTTCAACTCGAACGCGCACCGCACGTGTAGCGCCAGACTCCACAGTGCCTTCCGTAACGTCGAGCTTGAGGACGTACTGATCAGTCCCTGGTTGAACTGGTGGGGTCTCGATTGGTTCGATCTCGTGGTATATTCCGAGCTGGGAGATGTAATCGAGCGTCTCTTCATGTTTGTCGATGACAAAGTCCGCCGGTACGGAGGGCGAAGCCGCTGCGTTTCCGCCTCGTTTGGATTTTGCTCCCCTCCCTCCTTTCTCCTTCTCTTTGTCCTTCTCTTTGCCAGCTGATTTACCACCTGCGGCAGCTTCGCCGTCAGCTCCTTCTGCGGTGTTTGGCGTTGCTGATGGCGGCTTCATGTTCACGATGTTGATCTCACGAGGCTCAAGAACCCATCCGCTCTCCACCCGTTGCCATTTGCAGGTAACAACACCATATCTCGTCCATTCGTGTTGAACAGGACGCAAATCGTCCAACTCCTGCTTCAGTTTGAAGATCCCACCAGTCTCATCGCCGCCTCCCATATCGCCTTCCGATCCAAACTGTTCTCCGCTGGCATAAGCGTCCTGCCCGCTGGATTCCCCTTCTCGGGACCGCAGGTTTCGTGACAGATTTGGTGATGGTGGTGGGACGGTGAGGCCAGAGCGTGCATATTCGTCTTCTTCATCCTCAACGTCAGATTCGGAGGATCGTTCTGCCTCCCCATCAGGATCGTCCCTAACGGTGCTCAGGCTGGCACGAGCGGTAGTCCTGCCGTCGCCAATTTCAAATTCACGAACAGTTTCTGCAAAGACCAATGGTGGGATGTCCCATTCCACATCTTTCAATTCGGCGGGTTGAACGTCGTAGCCTACAACCGCGGTCGTGGTGTCCCAGCATCGACCGACCATACGAATCGTATGCAGTGTCTTTGTGCCATCACCAACATCCGCAGTGCCGTCGACGAGGCCAGGGCATACAACACGGATTCTTGATGAATAATGATCGCTCTCGAATCTCGGCGCAAATTGGATTGGAATTTCGTGACTGGCGCCCGGCTCAAGATTCGACACGGACGGTGTGGTGGTCGTGAAAGCAAGATAATGCAGTTGTGGCAATTCTTTCTCCGCTGGCGGCACCTCATCTATGGCCGAAACAGGAATGGCCTCGCTCTTCTTCTTGCTGCCCTTTTCCTTACCACCTTTGGCTGGACGGGCTGGTTCCAGAGCAACGGCTTCCGGGGCCGTCGGTGGTAGTTTGATCTCTACTGGAGCCATCTCTTCCGCGGCTGCCAGAGCCAGTGCATCTTGCAACTCAGCCTCGTCGGGATCGATAGCGATTTGGAATGAGACTGGTACCGTTCCAGCGTTCCGGATTTTCAGCATTTGCGTCGCTTGATCGCCGAGACATAAGTCTGCAAATCGAATCAACGGCTCCGAATCGAGCGCTTTCGGAGACGAGGTTTCCGTGGTCAACTCGGTTGGAGAATCGGTAGGTAGATCTACCCATGCCAATCGTGGCACAACACATTCGCCACGCACATACACATGCACCCTGGTGGTGGGAGAGCTTAGTTCCCACCTGGTCAAAGACACTTGTCCTTCGGTCATGGGTATGTATGCAATCTCGACTTTTCCGGCAGTCCCGGCAGGAATGTGCGTGACTTCCTGTAAGGGTTCGAAAACGGAAGCGGAACGACTGATGGACCTATCATCACTGCCGGTGATGATTGATGCTGCCCAGTTTGCGCAAGGCTTCAGCTTGATATCGATTCCCGATCCTCCGATATGCAGGTTTTTCAAGGGGATGGACAGAACCTGAAGCACTCCGCGTGGAACCTGGCCAAAGTCCAGGAAGCCTGGCGGAGCCTCAAAGACACCTATGTCAGGAGCTTGGCCATCCAGCATGATAGAGGGTGTCATACGGACTGTCGCATCTGACGAAATTGGCAAAGGCGGCAGTTGATGCGTGAAATCTGGACTGACGACTTGACATGTCACTTCAAGCCAGATGGTCGTTTCTACAGTTTGTACATCTGGTACTGAGTCGCTGCTAGCTTGGTTGTCTGCTTTTGGATGAGCGACCCTTCGTCTTCGCGAAATGTGACACGGTATGGAAAGTTGCACCAAATGCGACTCCATCGGCGCCTCAGACACCGGGGTACCACTGATGCTCGCCGTCATAACAGCGCTGGACTCCTCCGCGGTGGAGTCTGCAGCTGGGTGCGAGCCTCGTCGATTCCCACCATTGCTATGAGGTTGTGACGGTGGCGCTAGCAGCGTGATTGCGTCCGTCGAGCTGCCCTTCCTCGAAAGCCGCTCCTTTGCACGAGGCTTCCCATGATATGGTGGCGATGTTGGTGGACGTAAGCCTCCCTCCTGCGGTGAAGTCGCTCGATGACTTGCTTCCTCTTCCGTCTGCATGATGGTCAGACTCTTCCTTGCGCCAGCCCTGCTAGGCCGCCTACTACCATTTGTCGGCGACCGGGCTGTCGGCTGGTTGGCGGCGACCGCAGTCCTGATGAGGGGATGGACAGCGATTCGAAAATCGGTCCGTCCTTGACGCAGTTGTCCTTCGCTCGGTTCGATTTGGATCAAGCAACGTTCATCTATGATACTATCGATGGGTTGCAGTGCCTTGTGCTCTCCAAATCGGTAGGTTACTAGATCCTCGCCATCTCCGTTGTTCGGACTTTGGGTGTCGGATCCTTCACTCTCGGTCGGAATCTCGTTCAATCTCAATGCCCCGCCTTTAGCCCGTCGCTTGGCAGCCTCCTTTTTCGCTCTTAAAAGGCCTAGCCGCCTCATTTCGGTCAAAGTAAGCTCGCGAAAGAGTGCGGCCTTCACGGAGCTTGAGCTGCCGAACGCTATAGGTGCGAATTCCACATGGCCGCCCGCGACGGTGTTGTCCTGATCGCTTGTACATTCCTCTGCGAAGCGGATGACGGGTCTGGTAGCTCTGGCCATGCATGATACTCGAATGCGCGTCTCGTCTTCGTCTTTCCTGTTTCTGCGCCAGGGATGTCCAGCGGTCTCTTGATTGGATGTGTCGCTTTCAAGCTTTGCGGCATCATCGTCTTTTGTGCTCAGACTTTTGGCGCCATTTGTAATGAAGTCTGCCCAGAAACGTAATTCGCTCTTTGCGTCGACGCTGTTCCGTATTGCAGATGGTCGGAATGTCAGGCGCACTTCGATGATCTCTGCTGGCTGCAGTTTGAAACTATGCCCTTCCGACAACGTCGAATGCGAATGCCAACGTGGCACCGTCCCTTCGGCTTGGTGCTCCGCCGAGCCACCATCGTGCTGCCTAACAAGCTCTACGGTCATCATTTCAGGATGCGATGGCACCACTTTGAAATCCCGTTCGAACCAGGAGGAATTGCACACTGCCACTGTCCGGACGGCACCGTTTGTATCGAACACCGAACATGCTCCAAAATCGAGTTTCCGCGGCTCGACCACCATGTCCCCGCTTGTGGCGGTGCCTCGTATGTGCGTTCGCACCATGTATTCGATTCCTTCGAAATCATATTTCAAGGTTACAGGTATGTTGAACGGGCGCGGTGCGCAACTCAGAGCGGCGAATGCTGATTGCTTTTCCTGGAATGTAGCGGCAGTGCTCAAACGTTGCTTGTCGGCGGCTGAGAGTGTGGCTAGAGCCTCAGGAATCGGCGTTACTCGCATCCTCAGCCAAAACTTCTGACTGCAGGGCTGTAGGAAAGCAACGTCTGGCATGATATCAACGCGGAGCAACCCGTCTGCGGTCACCCATGTGCGTACGTCACGACCTTCCACCGTCCCCGCCGGCTGTGGTTTGTTGCTCTTTTCATGCAGACTGGCGCCTTCCATCACATGAACTCGTACTCCAACGCGCCCATGGTTTCGTAACTCGAGCCCTGATCGTGTGCTGTGCCCAGCAACGCACGTACCGACGTCGAGTACTGCGGGATTGGCCTCCACAGGTGGGGCGATAATGGATGCGGTAAGCGAGAATGTCTGGTCAGGAAGCTCCGACAGGATGCTACCGAGTTCTTGTGTCATGGTGGTATTCACGCTGTCTGATGTACCAACGGCGCTCCGTTTTAGCGGCGTGAAAGACGCAATGAAGGTGGTAATGTAATTCCCTGGCTTCGCCGACAGAGGCGGCGTCAGAGTGACCTGCGCCCATCCAGACGCATATCCCGGCACAACAAGACTTTCAGGCGCGATGCTGAATAGCTCATCGCCCACAGAAGGCTCGTCTTCGTATTCAGGGTCGTGGCTACCCGCATCGCCGCGACTATCTTCTTCCGCCGCGATCACAGAGCGCACTAGCCGCTTGCAGCTAACGTGCTGGAATTCCACCAGCGCGTCCACGATCCCTTCATTCTGAATCTCGATGCGTGCTGTCGCAGTGGATCCAACCAAGCATTGCTTGTTGAATGTCCCCGGTGCAACAACAATCTTTGGCGCACACTTTCCTCGACGAACGAAGACAGGTATGCAAAACCGGTTGCCAATCTCAGCTTCAAACCAAATCTTCCCGCTCACTTCTCCATAAGACGCATCATTGCTTGGGGAAGATCCATTCAAGCTGTCTGCAGTTCGCGCGCGTACGATGCGCAAACGATGTGGGTCGAATCGTACCACAAGTCCTACGGTCCTTCCGGGAGAGAGGCGTCCGGGTAGTGTTACTGGACCTGTCTCCGCAGTTGCCCAATTCACTGAGATACCCTGATCAATCAGCTCATCATCGAGAGGCAGAAGCTTGAGGGCGTTCCTCATTGTACACGTGTTTGTCAACGCGATGTGCACTTTACGCAAACCTGCATCATTTCCGCTGACAGAATCGTCCGTTAGCGGCTGACAATCGTAGTCTTTGAATTCAGCAATTGCCGGTACCGGCGTGAACGGTAGTTTGGGCGTAAGGCCCGGGGCGGCCTTCTTTTTCTTGACATGGTTCGGTGGTGGAAGACGACGATGAGATGCACGCAATTCTTTTCCTTCGGCTGCTGAAGGTAGCTGATGAAGCTCGTCGCCTGTTTTGTTGGAGTCAAGACCGACAGAAGGAGCATTGGCATCGATGAAGCCTGGTGAAGTTGCCTTTGTGGTTGGAAGCGCCGGGAGTGGTGGTTCGATTTGCGGTGTGCCAAGAGAGCCCGTCCATGGCACTCCGTCGATCTCCGTCACTCGCTCTGACTTGATCCAGTCAACATTCTTCCCTGCGCTCTTATGGCGTCTCGATCGCCTTTCCCTCTGACTGCCTGGAGGATCGGCAGAGCTCCGTTTCTCCAGGATGACTGCCATCGCCATCACCACATGCACAACCCACGCCTCCTTGTCGCCCGCATTGACATTTACAGCCCCTGGCGACAATGCATCTGCGTCCGCTAGACCTCCACAGGCATACCAGCGAGATTCCAAAGCTGCGTTTCTACGCCGCAACGCACGCTCCTCGGATTCTCGTCTCCTGCGGCGGTTTTCATCATCCACTACTTTGCCAAGAATAGATGCTGCCCGGGCATCTCTCTCCTGGTTCCGACGGAAGAGCTCCCGTTCGGCGCCGGATATCTTGACTTGCAGGTTCGACAATATTGATGACGCGCCTGACTGTATGGAAGCTGCATCATCATCAAAGTCCGTGGCGATATGTCTCGCACGTCGAGTTGCTTTGCGAATACTAGCCGCTGCTTGGGCGACCATATGCAACTTCTCTCCAATTGCTGCCCGCTTGTCCTGCCTACCAGATTTTCGTTCCGCCTTCTTCCGTCTGAAGTAATTGACTGCAGCTTCCCCTCTTTCGCGTATTCGTTGTCGTTGCTCATCTGTTAGCGCATCAGTCGACTTTTCTGCCACAGATTCGCCGTCGTTTGCCCATCCACGGTGATGCCTGTGTTTCCGCCCTTTGTGAGAAAGGCCTGAGCCCCACTCGACCGTTGGGCCCCGTCGAATCTGGTTGACCGGTTTTTTGACGATACGCACTGCTGCGAATCTGCGGTCTCGCTTCGGACCCGCCCGGTCGGCCGCGAGTATTGCTGAAATATAGCATTGCTGAGCGTGAACCAGATTGGCTCTCAAAACGTCACAGCTTTGAGATGCCGCCTGCGCGATGTCTTTGGCATGGTTGTATTGGGCGGTGAGGCGTTTGTATTCAGGGAAAAGGGCCAGCAACGGGTGATGAGGGATGGTAAATGCGTCCAACGAATGGAGTGTTTCGTCGTATTGATTGTCATCTGCTTCCTTTGCCGCCGGGTACGGAAGTGGAATTTCTTTTGCTTCAACGCCTCCTGTTTGCGGTCGCTGGTGAGCTAAACCCTTGTACCCATGTCGAGTGTGATTGGGAGGATCACAAGTCGGCCCCTGTTTGTCGACTTGCCGTTGCGATTTTCTTTCCGCGAACCTGCTGATACTCTGCTGTAGTTCACGTATCGTGTTAAGGGTCTTTGTCAGAGCCGCCTATACACATACAGAAATGAGCGGAGTTCCATGATTAGGTTGCTATCTCTTTTTTTCGGAAATCTGAAGTAACGGCGAAAGCAACGACATACCCGGTCAGTAACGAGTGCCCTCTCGTACTCGGCCAGTTTCATCGCCCATGAAATCACGGTTTCATCTCTCAACACAGCTTCAATTCCTGGGTATGTGATCCCAGTCTCGAACAATCTGGCCTCCTCTAGTGCAAATCCTTCTCGTGGGATCCCTTTCACGCTGCTGATCGAATGTAAAGCGGGGGGCAAATCTGGAAAGATGCTGCGGAGAAAGGACGTATCTCCTTCGTCAAATTGTTCCGCTCCCGCCTCACTATCGTTTTCTTCGTGCCTTGCTTGCTGAGCATCATAGGTGAAGTGATCGTTCAAGTATCCATTGCTCTCGAAATCGCTCTGGAGCTCCGGATATGCCACGCTATTTCTCGTATGCGCAATCTCGACGGCCCACGGTGTGATCCCTAACACACCAGCTCCTCGCTCTGCATTTGCTGCACGGCGGAAGTAATGAAGATCCTCCTGATCAAGGAGCTCGGTCTGGGGAAGATGACCCGGGTCTTTCGGGTGGGAAAAGGTGGCATTCAGACTCATGACGGCGGTGGCTTCCGGATGTAGCTACGACGCCGATCTTGATGGGAGGTCGGCTATGAGGGAAGGTATGGAGATGGAGTTTGCAGAACACTGTATAATGTGTCGCTTCCGTCGCATCAACGAAGAGTAGTAGGACGGAGAGGAAAGTAAGAATCTAAAAAGTTGCGATGATTGACCTCTGTGCGGTGTCGAATTTTGTCAGAGTTCTCCGACCAATTTATTTGTGACGCGGCGTTTGCACGTGACGGCGCCAACAAGTTCAATCCCCTGAACCGGGTGAAAGTCAACGAGCCGGTCGCTTCCGTGTGAAGGGTTGTGCATTACCTGCCGGAATCAGCAACTTTGCAACGACAGAATGAGCGGCATCGTCAACATCAACTCGGCTAACGTGAGTATCGCTCAGGGTATTGCTCAGAGCCTCGTGCTCGGTGTTTTGCGGTTTGGGAAAGCACGAGGATTCGCAACTGCTTCCCACAAAGTACTAATTTCGACCCTAAATCGCAGTTGCTCCGCCTGGGAGCTTTGGGCGCAGGCGTTTTCTATGGCTACGCTCACAAGCAAAGCTTGACCGCTTTTGTGCACAAGCGTTCCGAAGAGCGTGCCCGTCTCCACAACTTGGACTTGGTCGACGAGGCCAAGATTGCGTTTGAGGCTCAGGAGTCGAGGGAGACCGCCGCACGTGCTAAGAAGGCTGGATGTAAGTAGACCTGAGTTGATGTTGGACTCGAGGGGAAGGAAGAAATGCCTTTGCACGACTTGAAGTAGCTTGGGAGTCGCTTGTGTCATATCCTTAGACTAACTTATCCTCCCATCTCATAGTGGCTACCATCGACAACGACTCTTGGAGATACGACGCTGAGCGCTACATGAACTTCTTGCTCTCTGAAACCGAAGCGGAAGCACCAAAGCCTAAGAAGAAGTAGAGAGATTGTAAAAGCTTGTAGCGATAACCATGGATATGCACAACAATACATGAGGAGTACTCGACGAAATGAGAGAAAGCCACATGTTGCCTCAGGATAATCTGATCGTAGAGGAAGTTGAAATTTCGCAAACTGGCAGATGGCGAGGTTTCGACTATAGAGCATGGGACGAGAGCTTTGCATAGAGCGGGGACATTGTCGTTATTCAGTGGCAACGAGATCGAATACGACAACTTCCGAGATTCTGAAGGGTGATGCACAAGCAACTCCGAGGTTCGTCTCTCGGTGTGCAGCGAGGACACGCATTCCATTTGATCTTCTCCGGCAGGGTTCCGCAATGCCTGTGTGGAAATTTCAGGGCCATGCAGTGTATTTTACGCTCTATGGATAGATACATTTGGGTACACAATATGCTTCTCCGACTCACAACAAACCTCCGTACCTACACAACGACGAAAGCAAAGGTCAGACTGCGCAGTACCGTGCGATATCGAGCGATTTCGAGAAATCGGAGAGGAAACATACCCGAACGTGGCCTTTATGCTGTTCCAGTAGTAGTTTGTCCAGTTCTTCTCAGTAGAGTCTTTCTCACCGATAGGCACATCTTTCTGAGTCAATTTCAAAACCGTGTTGTCACGCCCCTCCGTCAGGTCCAGGGTGACGATAGAATGATGTTCCGCTGGCCACTGCTTTTGACGCCACTTCCAGACGATCTTCTTCCCGACAACTACTTCCTCCAGGCTCCCCGAAACATTTCCGTCAAATAACCTAAAAGTTGATCCGACTTCTCGCCCAATTTCAGCGTTGCCGCGAGACCACGCCTGCACTCTTTGCTTGTCCAATAGGGTTTCGAACACATCCCGAGCGGAGGCGACGAATTCAATCGTCTGCGTAATGGTCGTTAAACCACCGACTACCTTTGTGGTGCTGGTGGACTTGGTCTCCGTCGGAGCCACGGGTTTTGGCTGGTATGTCTTCAGGACAGGGTGGCCCTTCATCTCGTCGGCCGATATGTACACGTCTTTCACGTGGGCTATGACGTGAGAGGATAGAGAAGGTCAATGCTGTACCGCAAGTTACAGATGCCAGGGCCACTGGCTTACCCTCCAGGAGATCCTTCGAGAAGGAGCTGAGCTTAGCGCGGATCTCGTTCGTCAACTCCTTACGAACAGCATCTTTGATGGGCTCCTTCTCCCGGGTGTCGTTGTCCATCGAGATATCGAACTGCAAGCAAAACACGTTTAGATCTCTGGATCACATCGCAATATCAACCAAGATCACCCAAAACCTACCACCAGGTCATCCAAGTCGGTGTCATGCATGAATTCCGGAAGCACAATCTTGCCCGCAGCGCTCAACCCGTCAAAGTCGCCAACCCAGCCAAGCGTGATGGCCACGTCGAAGATCGTTATCACCTTCCCCTTCCGTTGGTTGACGTCGACATCTCCGGTCACCTCACGGACCTCTTCGACGGACACGTTGACGTTGCCCTTTGAGGCCTTGACGCCGGTGAGCCGACCAGTTATGTAAGTTTTGGCCCATGGAAGACAGTTCTTTTCCACCCAGTGCCTGTGATGGAAGGGGTCAGCTATCGATTAAGCGGAGATACGAGGCAGGAAAGGGTGAATACCAGTTGTTGACGTTCTTCCAGTTTGTGTCTTCCTGCGTCATTGTGGGAGTAGAGTACTCAGACGTAGCTGCTGCTTTGATGATTGGATTGCTACCTCAAGGGTGTGCTTATGTGGTTGCGTCTGTCGCGTATAAGTACTGTACAAGCCAACGAATGATCCTGTGCTGAAGTTGCGAGCTAAAGTATCCGCGGTTTTGGACCTTATGGAAACTCTTAGAAAATCACAGGAAAGTTCCTTCGTTTTCCATGTCCGAACTGTTACCCCTGCGCGCCACGCACAGTCATCCCAACTTTGACCCTGAAAGCAAGGCCATCCACAGCTTTGAGCGTTGCGCTTTGCCCCGCCCCAATTCGTGGTGGCCCTCGTTGCAACCTTGATGTCTGGGACGGGCGCATGCACATCTTGACAAGATTGACTGAAGACGCCCGGCTGGATCTCGCTGCCCATATGGTTATGCAAGCAGAGGACATGATGGCTCATAGAGAGCGGAAAGGGTGGATCTTAAGGGTCAAAAGAAAGACTGGCGAGAAGCTGAGAAACTTCGCGATCTGGTCACATCAAGGCAACAGCACAACGTGGGGCCGCGAAAAACCGGGGAAAGCTCACTCAGTCACCGCTGCAAACCGGCTTCCATAGGAGGGGGGAAACTAAACAAAGCAGGTAAGAGTCGACGACTGAGCCTAAGGCGCGCGGCCCAATTTTTTTCTTTCTTCTTGAGGGTTGCCATAAGGCGGCAGCGGGGTTGGATGTCGTTGCTCATGCGATGGCGCACGGCAAGGGCTTCGTGTTGATAATGGCATACCGGCCGGCCAATAATCTCTTCTGAGTACCTTCAGCTGATTCACTGCGAGTTCTTCGACCATTTTTCCGACCAAGCATTTGCCGCTGCACTTGAGCCACTCGGGCGTAAAACCCGGTCCTTGCCGGCGCTTTCCCGACGTAACGGCCCGCAAGGATGGTGTTCCCCGGTTTGGTAGCACCCGTCAAGCATATCCTCTCTTAGTCCATAGACCTAAGACCCAAGACCCCAACCCAAGAAATTTGCGACTCCTCTATGTCCGCGACAATTAGATGTTCGATGGAAGCAGCGCTGGGGATGCTAGCGTTTACGGCGTTTGCAGCAGGACTCCTCGATTCCGCGATGGCATGAAATATGAAATTGACTCGGCTTCAAGATTCGGTTTACCGCGAATCGTACTGTATTCTAAATGCATCCGCCGCTAGGAAATCGGTAGAGGTCCGATGACACCCTTGCTCACAAAGCCTCACTCAGGGTCATCTCTAGTCGCCCATCACGATTTCCTCAAAGCATCAATCACACGCTCCCCAGTCGTCCAGGTGCGTCTTCAGGCGCGTCTTCCCATAACCATTGCCTTGTTCAGGTCGCAGCGGGTTTTCGTCATTGCCTTATGGGTATCGCTGAGGTCCTCCTTTATTGCCTTTTTCGAGTTGTTCATATCCTCGTTCAGTTGGTCACGTCTTCATTCAGCACCTTGGCGATATCCTCCGATAATTTCGAGCCATTCCGATGTTGCACTCCCAAGATAAGTCCCGTAAGCCTTCCGACCCCCAAGGCCTTTCTCCACCACATTTTCTTAGTGCTCCTATCCTTCAACGGCTCGCTTGCGACCGACCCATCTATGCTCACTGCGAGGGGACTGGACAGTGGGCGTAGTGGGGTCGGGCGGGGAGGTGGAAGACGTGCCTTGTGGCGACATGTCCAAGCAGGAAGGAGAGAGGAAAAAAGCTTTCACGGTGAAGCGATACCGGTAGGGCGCCCCGCAGGTTTGCCACACCTGTACGGTATATACAGTAGTAGGTACACATGTTAGGTGGTAGCGAGTGGAGAGCCTGAAATTCGAAGGCCGAGATGGGGAGATATTCCAAACGCAAGTGGCGCAGCGAATCCGTCGCAAGCGTTACCGAGCGCCAGGACCTGGGGTTCCCATGCTTACCTAACGGTTTTGGGTGCTTGTCTCTGGTCCCTCCGCTTTCGCTCCCTCTGCGACTTTTTTGTCGCCATGTGCTCAGCTTGGGAAAACCTCGCCCATTACAGAGGAAACTCGTTATCCACATTGAGCTTGAAACTTCGACTCCCTCCGAAGAAAACCACTCAGTATGTCGGAAACCATGGTGGTACCCGGCGGAGCTTTCGGCAAGCAGCTCGCGAATTCTGGTAATGTTTAACTCAGTGCCTTCGTCGTCCGTCAAAAAGTGTGTTTTGGAGCCTAATGTTATACTTCAGATAAGAAAGTCCGAGACCGTGCTGTCAGAGGACTCCAAAAGTGGCTGATAAGCAACGAAGAACTCACGGACTTGCAGCTCTTAAAATTGTGGAAGGGTCTTTTCTACTGTAAGCTCAGCCACAGGAAGAATTTCCCAAAGGAGACGTTCTGACTACCCACGTCTTTGCAGGTTTCTGGATGTCAGACAAGCCAATGATTCAGGAGCATCTTGCCGACAAGCTGGCAGCGGTTGTTATGAAGTTGCCGGAAGGAAACGGTCTGCGATACATGAAAGCTTTTTGGACGATAATGATCAAGGAGTGGCACGGAATAGACAGGCTGCGGTAAGTCTGAGGGAAGCAGCAGTATCGAGGAGCCAGGAGATAACGGCTAAACGAAACTTTGGATGCAGATTGGACAAGTTTTATATGCTATTGCGGAAGTTCCACTTTTACGGCTTCCGTTACCTACAGACGAAGGAGTGGGAGCAAAGTGTCGTCGAGCAATACCTTAACCTTTTGATTAAAGGTCCTTTGAGGTATGGAGGAGATGAAGGAGACGCACAATGGGAAGCAGAGCCTCAACAAATGGTGTATTCTAGGCCAAACGATTTGAAGGTGCCTGACGGACTCCGATACCATACATCGGAAGTTTACCTGGATGAACTGCGAAAGGCTGTCAGCTCTGAGGTAAGCTTGAGCTCCGGGGCGCATTTGAACTGAGAGAGTATCTGAAGTCTCCATAGCCATCAAAGGAGACGAAAGTGCAGCTTTTGCAACCATTCTTCGTCAACCTCGCATCGAGTGCAAGCGACACGGTATTCTCTCGCATTCAGGACAACATCTTCAAGTCGATTTTGAAGCAGGCACTTAGTGGTGCGTGCGTCGGACTGCGAAACGTGCAAGGCTTAGGAAAATACTAACGAGTGACCCAACTATCTCGTAGAGGAGGCATCAGTGGAGAGCGAGAAGTCTGCGGGATGGAGGTTTGACGAGGTGGAAGTCGGTCGACGTTTGCTGGCCATATCGGAGAGCACCGACACCATCATCAAAAACCGCTCCAAAGTCGAGAAGCTTTTCAAGGAATATGCGTCTGCACTTGACAAATCTATTGTGTGGACGACAGCAGAGGGGAAGACTAGCAGCAAAAAGAAGGGAAAGACTGCTCGTCTTGCGGATAAGCCGCTGATTCTGCGAGCTCGAAAAGTTGATGAGAACGATATGCAGGTAGACTCCGCAGATGAGACACCTGTCTCGACAGCTACGGCGACCGAGGCGTCATCTCCCCAGAAGAAGCGTAAAGCTACCAGCGACTCCGAAACGGAGCCTGCAGCAAAGACGAAGCGAAACAACAACAAGAAGAGGAAAACGTCGCAGGCATCAGAGGCAGAGGTCGAAGCAGCACAGGTTGATGCGTCGCAGGACTCTATGGTCGAGGAGGCCAACGGCGCGGATACAGTGCAAGTGACGAACACTCATGTCGAGATTTCACAAGAGACAGGTGGGCAAGATGGTTCGGGCTCTTTGAGATAGAGGAGCAGAAGTGTTGATACAACTTCGTCGTTTTAGTGGAAACACCAAAAACGCCGAAGGGGAAGGGGAAGAAAAGCGAGGCCAAGACTGTTCCGTCGAAGAGGCTAGAGGTATGCGGTGCAACTTCTCTGGCATGTGGCAACGGGCGGGACTGATGGCCTACCATATGACAGCAATTCGTTAAGGCACCGGACAGCGACCCGACACACAAGAAGTCGGTGCTGTTCGTATTAGATAAGAACGAGGTTAAAGGTATGGCTTTCGCATACCTACGTGATACGCTACGGTCATGGACACAAAGCGTTAACCACCTTTCTCCACATAGAGTTCCGGAGACGCGAACCAGTAGCGGACGAAGGCACACCGACCCGCAAAACAGAAGTTGACGCAAAGAAAGTCCTCAAACCCGCACCACCACCCATGCTCGCTGAAGAACTTGAGCGCCTGATAAAGAGCGCCGACACTGCCGATGTGAAGGCAGCTGAGCTTGGCAGGCTGGCTATGGAGAGCGCCATGGAGAGCGCCATGGAGGGTGCTGTCTCTACGTCTTCGTTCACCGTGACCACCACCAAGACAACGACTCCGTCGAAGAACAACAAGAAGTCGGCAGGTGGCAGATCGACCGCGACCCCCAAGAGCAATGGAAAGAAAAAGACGCCAAAGGGCTCAGCCAAGAAGAGACCGATTGCCGCCGATTTCATGTAGATAATTTCGGTATGGATCGATTTTCCCTCCCAGAAATTGCCACCTGTATGTGGCCTCCTCCCATTGCAAAGGCAGTACTTATTTAGAGCTATTTCCATTTTGTAACTTAAATGCCGGCTACTCCCAATTCATGTATCTAAGCTTTCCTATATAGCGTGAGATCTTCATATGGCGGTGTGAAATAGATACGAGATTGACTCTCCATTGTGGTTCCTCCGAATGGCCTCTGCTAGCACCCCACTGATATCGATGACCCGTAGTTTCTTCGAGGCCTTTTGTTTCGAGGCCAAGGGGTACGTGTTTGTTACGATCACCTGAGAATCCAACGATATAGAGTTACGAGGTCCTTTTCGAGTAGCATCGACAATCCATCGGAACTCGAACTCCGTCCGTACCTCATCAACAGCCTCACAATCATCAATCTCCTGCATCGCATTCCCGGAAAGAATTCCATGCGTCGCAATGATCCTCACAGTCGACGCTTTGCAGCGCTTCAGATGTTCCGCCGCGTCCAAAAAGGAATGAGTTCCGTCAATGATATCATCCTGCACACAAAGGGAGATCCCGGATCTTCAGCTTTCCAAGTCGTGTTGCGCGATGAAAGCGCCTCCGTGGTTTCAAGAACGCACCAAAACAAAACAATCTCTTCCGTTGACGTCTCCTACGAGCGTCAATCTGTTCTCTCGTCCTTCGTCATCTAAGACCGCAGTTCCTTTCGACGACTGGTGTATGTGATATCGCTCGCGATGTATCAAGGCGAAATCGGTTTGTAGCTTGTCTGCTAATGCTGTCACTCTGCGAAACGATGTTTAGACGTGGCTGTATCCTGGGAACCTTTCCCCGTCCCCCTACCTCTTGACACCTCCAGCGTTCTTGGAAATCACGACCGAGTCCTGGTAGTTCGGATAGTTCGCCTTGATGTACTGTGCAATGCATGGTTCGGCAACGAGGTTATCTATCGTGGTTTTGAAGAAGCCTTGCACTTGAGTGGAATGCAGGTCCATTGTGATGACGTGATCTACTCCGGCGGTTGCGAGCATGTTTGCGACGACTAGGGGAAAGAGTTGGAATCAGTGAAGCGCTGTGCGTCAACCTTTTTGGACCTAGTTGTGCTCACGTTTAGCGGTTATGGCTCCCCGCGCCTTCTTCTTCTTCGACTGCTTGTTGTATGGGAAATATGGCACGCTGCATATAAAACCTGCATCAGCCAATTGCACTCCCCTGTATGTCAGCAAGTTCTCCGTAAATACACAGCCGTAATCCTCTTAGCACTCGCAATCTTGCACGCGTTTATCATAATCAGCAGCTCCATCAGATGGTCGTTGATATGCATAGACCCAGACTGGATCAGATAAACATCCTCGTCACGGACAGAGACGCCAATCTCCACCGCCGTTTCAGCGTTGGAGAACCGTTTCGTAACCGCAGGCGCGGCTGGACATCCTAGTCGGTCGAGAATGAGGGCTGCGAGATCGGGGTGCGAGGAGCCCGTGAAGATTTTGACCTGGACATGAGGGAGGGAGGTATTAATATAAGGAGCATACTCTCGAACGACGAAAAGTGGGACTTGTCACCCTTACCTTGCGCATGTTTCGAAATTTTGGTCGGGAGTCGTCTTCCGCTGGTGGGTCGTCTCGCACGGAAGGCTCCAAAGTCGCACTGACGGGGGTCTCTAGGGAATCCACACTTGCGTGTGTCGAGCGTAAAGAAGGGTGGGGGTATGAATTCTCAGCGTAAGTGTGTCCTATGGGAAAACCCTATGGCCTATGGCTAACTGGAGGGGAAGTTGAGCAACACGGTGGGCCAAAAGCAGGGCCAAAAGCGCAGGCTGTGCTGAGCACAAGCGTGCTGCCAGCGCGTTGATTCAGATGATTCCCTAGCTCTCCCTTTTCATAACTCTACTCACATTTCTTTGCAACACTATAACAATAATGACTGTGGGGTTCATGGGCGAGTAACTAAATGCGAACCATTGTCTACGTGTGGCTAAACGGCGGACCATCATCAAAAGTCTAACGCTACAAAGGTCTGCGATCGTCGGTGGGTTTCGGGCGACTGTCCCAAAAACGGCTTGGATGCCTCCAGTTGGCTATACGAATACTTCTCTGCAGTACGCAATGCCGAGCAGCGGTGGCCCCGTGTACATTGCAAACCAAAAGAAACCGTTGCCCTGTGTGACATAACATGTTAATGAGTGTGCTGGGTTGTCATTGGCGGTTCTGCGAATGTCATAACTTACCCATCGTGGATGCTTCTTCAACTTGGACCACCTCGACACGTAAATCAGTGGAATCTGCAGCATCTGCATGATAAACAGGTACATCCGCAACCTCTTCGAGAGAACGACCATGACAACTTCATGCAGACAACTGGACAAGAAGAACGTAAGGAAAGTCGCATTGTTCTTCGACAGCTTGTACTGCGAGATGGATTCGAGGTAGACGTGGCGGAGGAGGAACTCGTGGACGGGTTTGTTCCATTTGCGCGCATATTCGTCAAACGTGACGCTGTTCCACCAGTCGTCGTAGAACTGGCGATCTGCGAATCGTGTCATTTCGGCGAACCAGCATAACACGCACTGTTGCGAAGGCATGTCATCAAAATTCATGAAGAGAGAACATGAAGTCAACATGAATACACGACTTACCTCGAAAATCAGATAGAAGATCATCATGTATGCAACCATGAACGGAATGAGCAGTTGCGTCAAGCTCTCGACAAAAGTGATCGATCCCATGTTCATCAACACAGGATATATCAAATGTTCGATTGTGATGTAAAGGCACATGCACACGCCAAGGAACCCGGCCGTCTTCTCGAAAACATACCACGGACGAATTCTGCAATGAGGAGGGTCAGGCCATTGTCGCTGCGAACCACATGTTCCTAGAAGTCGAGCCGTTTTGAACACACCTGTTGGTACGAGGATACTCCAGTTCGTACACTAACGTCGGTACTAAGAGATAGTCGATGAAGTTGTAGAAAGTGACATTCTTGGGGAACTCCGTGTTTCCCTTCCGTAGCTCCACCTGCGTTTCCTGGGCTTTCTCTTTGCATTCCTCCCATTCCTTGTTGCTCGGCGCAAGTTCGGAAGAGGCATCATTCAATTTCTTCATTGAACCCGCCAGCTCGTCCATCCTCCTCTTGTACTGCTGCACCTTCGTCCACTTGTGCAGCATCTCAGCGTTGTATGACATATACGAATGCTGCTTCAGTAACATCGCCATTGTGTGGATGGTGAATGACCCTTTCTGCGTCCAACTCCAATTGTCACGGTTGTACACCCAATACAGTGCGATACCGAACCAGATGGTCTGGTAAGTGTGCTGGATGGCGCGTGCAACCACTCGTGGCGTGAGCGAGCCTTTTGCAAAGACGCTTCGGATAGAGACCAAGAATTTTGTAAAGAAGAAGACGGAGAACAAGCTCATGATGAGGACTATTTCGGAGAAGAGGAAGTCCCAGCTCTGTTGCGGCAGGAGTGAGTTGCAAATGTTGGCATTAGCAATGAAAGTCTCAAGCTGGATTTAGAAAATCATTGTGGTTGTACCTCCGAGAACATCTGCGTCGCAAGATGGGTCCCGATGAACTGGCCATCATTCTTCCAGTTGTTGAAAAGATTCAAGCTCATATACGCGGCCATTGTCATCCATACGAGCGTAAAAAATCCTCGAAACGAGTTCTGACTTTCTTGAAGCGTCTCCCAGTCCATCAACGACGGACGAGCCGAGAAAGAGTTTGCACGAACCCTGCCCGCAGGTCGTGCGGCAGGAACCGAGAGGTTGTCCCCTTGCTTCTGATTCGCATCCCCGCTGACACCATTTGCGTGAGCCTCCTTATGCAGCGGTGTAGGGGTTCCCGGCGGAGATCGGCGGGTTATCAAGTCCCCTTCGTCGGTAGACGCTGTTTCCAGGTAGGGGCCATTTTGCAGGGCCACATCTGCGGGATCTTTGAACTTTGCGTTGTTCACTACCCCGCGTATCGGTTTTGCCGCGGACATTGGACGACTCGACGTCTGCTGCGTTGCCTACTAGGTTTCCTTTACGAAGTTGGAGCCCCTTTGAGAAACGTGATGAATACACCGTTTTGCAGACTTTTCTTGCTCGCGACACCAGTTCCGCCTATGGACAGCTCAAGCGCTAACACTCCGTGGAGCAAATAGCTGAGACTCAGCCAATTACGCTGCGACTACTGCCGAAGTAGTCGTTTCTTGGCAACCGTCGGACGTGGATGGTTTCTCAGATTCTCTCCGGATGCCAGAGACCCCAAAACCCTTCGAATGACATCGCCCGCTTATTTCTTAAGTGGCCACGCGACAGTCATCCCAGAGATACCAGAATCTCGGACAGTGGGTCTCATTTGGCAAGTTGTTGGATGCCGGTACCGCCTCCGTCCACGTCCAAGCCCCCGCATGCATGGCGCAATTCACAGCTGCTGGAAGACATCACCAATGCAGATTTGAAGTTGAAACCGTAGTCATCGCTCGACGCCGCAGACTGGGATCCCAGTGCCGCTTCCATTACTCCTGAACTTGCTTTCCGTCGATGTCTGCAAGGAGGGACAGTTCTCCGCCGCCATGCGTCTGCGAAAGACCGTCGGCCGGCGCCGCCGGCGCTGCCGTTGTGAACAGTTCTCACCCGAGCATAAGATCTCCCACAAGCGGAATGAGCACGACCTCGTCAATTGCAACGCTCTCACATGTGGAGCGACAACAGAAGATCCCTGAGAAGACTTTCTACAAACGGGTCCTGCCCAGCACGTGCACGCCGTTCAACTCTTCAAAGGGTCGAGCATTGTTTTCCGAGGCCCTGACAGAGGGATACATGGAGACGTATTTCTCCCTGTCGCTGCAGTTTCTTACTCAGGCGGAACCTGCTTTTTGTGGCCTGTCCACTCTCTGTATGATCCTCAATACTCTTGAGAGTGAGTTCTGACACATTTCTGGGGCACTCCACTCCGTTAAGTGCGCTAACATGATGACTGATCTGGTTCCAGTGGATCCCGGAAGGCAGTGGAGAGGGAGTGTGTGGAGATGGTACGATGAATCTATGTTGGACTGCTGTCGGCCATTAGAGCATGTCCTTAAGAGCGGGATTACACTCCCCGAGTTTGTGTGCTTAGCTCGATGTAACGGGCTCAAGGCGACCATGAGCCGAGCGGATAAGGCGTAAGAGATGAAAGCCGGTCGCTTTGCATGGATTATCGGAACTTATGTGTCAACTTGCAGGACGAAGGAAGCGTTCTTGATGGCTTTGAAGCAGACTTCTCGGGAGCCAAGCGAGTTCATGGTGGTGTCTTACGACCGCGGAACACTGCAGCAAACGGGCAGCGGTCACTTTAGTCCGGTGGGCGGATACAACGAAAAGGAAAATATGGTGCTGATTCTGGATGTTGCCAGATTCAAGGTAGTGAAGAGTACGAGATGATACGCTACCGCGCTGTACTGATCCCATCTGATTTCTCGACAGTATCCCGCTTATTGGGTGTCATTCGACCTTCTATGGTATGGGTACATTATAACAGACGTACCTGATTTGTGACGCCTAATTTCTATTCCAACCAGGGAATCTCTGCAGCCAAAGGACAGTGCAACCAACAAGCCTAGGGGTTATATAACTTTGACCAAAGGCAAAAGGTCTTATGTTCAGTCGGCTCTTAGTCAGCTGGCTGTCAACCGGGAGTCTTGGCCACGTCTGTCGAGGATACTGTTCTCGGAGCTCCCACGACGCTTTGCCGCAAGTCCACCCAACAGCCCCGCGGACTTCATCAACGTCGTGCTGGAGTCAATACCAGACGTTTACGATTCTGTGGTGGAAAACAGGATGCCTTTGTTTGTAACGCCAAGTCCCATCCCCGTGTCGGATGGAGACGGATGTTCCAAGGATGATGATGATGAGGAAGACCCCGTCGCGGCGTTCGAAAAGTACATGGCCGGCTTGGATGAATTGCTGCTATCGCTTGCGCAAACTGAGCTCTACAAACTGGTGGAATCCTCAATGGCAACGCAGCGAAAAGCCAAGCGGAGGATAGAAAACGCCAATCTCGCCGCCGAAAAGCTCTCGGACCTGGTCAATGGACGTGTAACGGCCCTGACGGACGAACTTGGCGGCGAGAATTCCGCACCCCCCAGTTCGCCCCGATACCACTCGAGTCGAAGGGGATCGGTCGTGCAGTCGCAGCTTCTCCTATCTTTCCGCCCAACGCCGCTGTCGTCCCCCGCCATATCTGCAGTAGACCTGCTCCCGCAAAACCATCCCGTCAAGGACTTCACTGCATTTCTCACCATGTTTCTGTTTGCGCTGTTCTCCTATAAACCATTCCATGAGGACCTTCCGGACGTGTTGGATGAGAGCATAGACAGCCTGCCCACCGCTCCTATTCAGACTGCCGCCCCCGCTCCTGCTATCCCAGCACGCCCTTACCGTCGAAGAGAGTCGATGGCTGTGCGAGTACGAGAAGTAGTTAATCTGGATGTGGCTGGCGTGCAGGACCCGACATTACGGAAGGAAGTGGCTTTCTTGAGGTCGCAGATAGCTGCGTTGACGGAGCTTGTTGATTCGGACACTCAGCCGACGAATGGGGTTCTGACTAAGGTTCCCGAAGCTCCGGATGTTCCAAACTCGAACGGCACTGCTGGAGCACAGGCCATTCCGCCATCACCTGGATCGGTTGTCGACGTATCGCCACCTGTGTCAGTCTGATACCTGGACGCCTAGCGTACGCGAACCGCTTCTTCTTGCGCGAAGATGGGATATTACGGGTATTGGCTAACTTCGCTGCCATTACGAGCCAGGCATCCGCTCTCCATCAAAGTGCATCTAGATTGACGTACTCGAACATATCTCGAAAATGTCGCTGAGACGGACTCTTTTTCTTGTATGTACAGGACGAGTGGTAAGAAGGAAATAATCGAGAAAATACGCCGGATTCTGAGAGAACATGGAGCCTATTTCGGCTTGCAAAATCTGCGAAAATGGCCCTTGTAATGGCCAACGTTCACGGTTCATGGCCAAGGGCCAACTGTGCAGGCCAATGATACATTTGAGTAACTGCCTATGTACCGTATGAAGGCCGAACATCGAGACTCCCACTCTACCTTGTTTTTTGCCCAAAAATTTAATCCGGACGGTTCGCTCTCCTTGAACTTCCTCATCGATCCACCTCACGCGTTTCGGGGAAGTTTCCGTTCGTTGCGGGGAGGTGGGTAGTTGTACGTGCTGTACACTGGAACAAGAGGGGCAAGAGGGGTTGGAAAGGGCTCGACGGGGTGTCGCACGGGTCAGTGAAGCTTGTGGTGATGTAGAATTCGCGATAGATGGCGGACGGTTATTGGGCGGATCCCCATTCGACGTGGAATCTGGACGTGATGATCCATCATCGCCGATGCTTTCCAAAACCATCCACAAGTCAGTCGATGACCCCCTTCTCATCGCCACAGGAGGAGACGGCACAATAGCAGCTGCCTGTCTCGAGGACGGCACTTCGGGCACGCCCGCCCAAAAATTGTCGTCTTCGCTGCATGATTCATCACAGAATTGCGCCGGCTCTTTGTTGGTGAATGTCGGAGTGGCAGCATCTATTACGTGCGACTGAGGCGTCGGTGTGATGGCCGTTCTGTCGCTTTGCGGGTTGAGAGTGTCTGCGGTTGGATGCGTCGACCTTTTGGCGCGATCGCTAAATGCGGTCCAGATATGGGGACATCCAAACATTTTCGGAAAATACCGTCAGTTTCAATGCTTACAGTAGTATATGGACTCTTCAATAGCCTGGGGATATGTGCATTGGCCTGTCCGTGCAGAAGTGCAGGCCTTGATGAGCGTTTGAAGTTCTCTGCACTGAGAAGCCAAGATGACCTACGAAGCTCTCGACTGCTTGGAGGGAAAACGAAAGTGGTATTTCCAGGTGTCTCTTTCATTCTATGGGTGTTGTTTGTGAGCAGCGAGCGGTCAAGTGCTTGGACCCTTTCTTCCAAAGTGATCAAATGTGTGGTGAACTCCGAGTTTCCTGCCCTCCAATGGGCTCCATACTCGAAGGTCGGATGGGGCGATGTGTCATGCCTGTAAAACTATTCAAACCTCCAGGGACCGATTGCGAACACAAATAGAACATGCTGTGCTACGACATGCGGATCCTCCGGTTAGGATCGGCGGTGTACAGAAGCACAGCCTGTGACTGCCAGCAATAAAACGGAAGTCGGTACCCGAAATGGGCAAATGTATAGACTATGTACAAAAGGTCGTGGCAGGCTGGCAGTATATCGAAAGAGTCCGAACTCAAAATGCACATATAAGGACGTACTCCTCCATCCTTCTAAAAATCCTGATCTTCCGCGGAGACGGGGATGGTTCGGGGTTTGATGTCCCCTCGACCTGGAGAAAGTGCAGGACGCCTTACAAAGTTAGCCAGCATCGGGACGCAGACTTCTCCACCTCCACTTTCCACTCCCATAACTGTGGTGTTGTAGCTCCGAACACGGTACCGAACTTCATGTGCAATCCCACTGGTGTGCAGCAACAGCCGTGAACAGTACGGCGTTCCTGCAGGCGCTGACCGTCTCATGGAAGCCATGGACTTTGCGAGGCCTCGAATCACAGGCCGATATTCCCACGACCCCTATGCTGCCACCGGCCGGGAACCGCTGCTCCTCCCGAGTCCCCACCCAAATCACCGCCTTCTCCTCAAGTTGCCAAAAGCCTTTCCGGACAGCGGTCAACCATCGATCCATGAGTCATGCCACTTCCAAAGCAACCTCGTCCCATGGTGTCACCACCCCCCCAGCGTTCGTCACCACTAGACCGTCGGCGTTGTTCTCTAATTGCGCTTCGATCACGAGAATCCCCGCTTTTCCACCAATGTCCACCTCTCCACCAGGGGCTGCACTGCGTCAATCGAGAACTCAAATGTATTAAGCTAGGGTCGTAAGGACATGCCCCTCGAAGTCATCATTCCATCCGGTGAGATATACGAAAGGAAGACGACTAGCTTAAAGGTTGAGCTTGGTGCGGCGCCAGTGACGACGCTTCGCGTTGTATCTGGAGCGGAAGGTAACGTTAGAAAATCTTCCAAGGCTTAACCAGCGGGTTTTCAGAATGGAGGGCATACCGGATTTTGTTATCCGTGCGCAAGCGAATCCAGTTAGGAATGGGGCGGTTTTGCTTCTGCTTCTTGCCCAGAATGCGCTTCACCTTGAAAGACTTGTTGGACGGCTAAGCGAGAGAGAGAGAGGAAGACATCGTGAGTCGCACGTTTTGGTTCCAGTTCCACATCGAGTCCACGTTGGCAGCCGTTGCCCCGATTTGACATTCGACATTCGGTCGGGCAGCCATTCCCCAGTGCAATGTGCCCGTTTCCGTGTCGCTGCTCCCTCGCTGTCGATCTACCACTGGTCTCCCACGGGGGTTTCCAAGCTTTGTCGTTCGAATCTTGTCGGTCATAGGTCCGATTACCCACGTCGAAATGCCTCCCCATCAGTGGGCAGTCCTCATCCATCCATCCATCCATTCTCAACCAAGCATCCATTCATCCATCGGTCCTTCCCTCCGAATGTTGCCAGCCCCACCACCATCGCCGGTCGTGGTTATCCGTCCGCGCTGTTGTGCTCACCATCTTGTCCTATATGTGGCTGACCAAGTATGAGTTGATATTCGCCCGAATGCGTCGCTGGCTTCGTCAATCGCCTACTGCCATTCAATCTTCACAGTTGAATTAAAGATATCTTTGGCCACGTGTCTTTAGTTAAAATCACACCGACGCGTTGAGGTAATCATTAGTGACATCTTTCCGCTCCAGCCCCCTCCGTCAAATTCCGTTCCGCACTCATCGCCTGTTCATCTGCGGTACGAGATCCTCTTGGTGGAACTCCGTAAATCGAATTTAAGCTCTGAGTTGACAAGGACGTGCATTGTTCCACTCTCCAAGAGACTGGATCTCGGTGGGGTTGTCGAGACTAACCAAGTGCTATATCGATCGAGGCCGAATCGTCCGTCCCTTCGAAGGAATGTGAAGTTGTCCCCATCCCTGGGACCTCCAACCACATATACTTTCTTTCTGAGGGCTACACCGCGTAATATCCCCCACTGCTGCATGTTGTAGAAAGTAACACACACGTACCGAGGCAGTCCCCTAGAACAACGTGGTGCATGCCGTATTCCGCTGCCAGACGAATGCGCTGCTAATTATCAAGGTCGAGTTTCTGACCTACAGTCACTTGTTCTCCTTGCTGCTGCAAACTACCTTTTTTCGCTGCATGCTGTGGGGTCGATGCTGATGTGCCGTGAAGAAGTTTCCTGAAAAGTCCTCAATCGCAAAAGCCGGCAGCGCATTCTCTCCGCCGTTCCTCATGACGCAGATCGAGCCTCTGGGGCTCGCGATTCCTTTTGCTGAACGTTCGACGCCCAATCAGTCTTCGGCGCTACATGATGTTTTGTGTCGTCATGAGTTGGACCGCAATATGCGCAGGACATCTTCTGCTGGCGATATTCCGAGAACTTGGAAGGGGAATCTTGGCGCTGCATCGCACGACATCCTCAACATGCGCCGGGGAAGCGCAGCGTCTACTGGAACTACAGGCACTTCGAGAACGGGGACTAGTAGTCTATATAGCACGAAAGACAGCGACCCGACGGAAGTGGCATCGCATCTCGCGATGAAACATAGCGCTCTCATGAATGGCGTTTTTCCGTCTGCGACGATAAAACCTTCCTCGCCTGCCACAGCAGAATATGAGGAAACCTCGACACCATCTCCTTCAAATCGCAGCCCCGCGACGAGTCCACCGACCCCCAAAGCGTCCTATACTCCAGGGAAGAAACCTTTACGTTCAGTTCTACGAAGGCCATCGTCACCAACTGCATACTCAAATCCCATAAACTCGACATGTCCGCCAGATGGCGCATTCATTCCCGGCTTGCACACCTCCGTTATCGATCATAATTACTCCTTCCCCGCAGCGCCAAGAAGTGTGCCAAATCTTCGCAACACAGGCGGCACACCACCGGCGCCCGCAGAATCGAGCAGCTCCCGCGAAACAGCCATCGGATCCTCAAAGCAAAAGCTTCGCAAGGCTAGTGCCCCAGAGACGAGGGAACGGGATCTTGTTGCGGTGGATGACAGGATGAAGGGTCGTCCAAGGAGTGCAGGCGCTCGACGATCCATCGATGAGGAAATCGACGTGGAACCAAGGGTTTCTTTCAGCGTAGAGGCGGGGCTTTCCACATCCAGCGGTGCTGATTCTAATGTTTCTGAAGGACATTTGAGAGCGTTCTCGGCATTTATGGGCCAAACACGAAAGCATAGTGGTGGAGATGCAGCACCTGAGCAGATGACAGCGGAGGAAGTACGGGGAATGCGTATTTTTCTGGAGCAGTGCCACAAACGGCGCGGATACAAGGGGGGAAACACCAACTCTATAGGATCCGACGACGACATCCAACACCGGCAATATAGCTCCCCGCCAACAAAGCCTAGTTCAAAAGAAAAGCCGAGAGAATCGGAAAGGACAGACCACGGGGAAGGTCCGTCTTTGCCCAAGCGCAAGAGAGCGAAATCGTCGAGCGCCACTTACACTACCACCAAACAAACCCATATATCAAACATGAGCATCTTCAAGCCGCCCTCGGGTTCTGGCTCACCAAATGACGCATTTGCAGTGACTGTTGTTGCGGAGCATCTGAACAGCAGCGCACGCAGCAACGCTGAAGACGGTGAAAGAAGTACCCGTGCGATATCGAATGCATCGCACGACTCTGAGGATATGGACGAACCGCAGATAATCACGCCTCCGCGAAAATCGAGCAGCTCGATCAAATACCGAAAGCTTTATTTGAATACAGCTATGTTAGATCCAGAGGTCGTTGATAGTGCTGCCACTGTCGCCGAATTGCAATCAACATGGAGACCAGGTCGAGGTCGGTCTCCATCCAATTCGCATACCTCGAATGGGTCAAGCGGCAGTCGGCGGCCCTCCGACGCTTCCGCAAAGAATGTTCGTTCACCTTGGCTGAAATCAGTGAGGCTGCCACCGCGGTGGCTGTCATTACGGAATGCTATGGCATTCACCAACGTACTCATTATTACGGTCGCAATCGTCATCATCTCCGCTGTCAGCTTCGTGCTGAGCAAGGATACTGCACAGAAAGCGCTCGACACTCTCGGGACCGTTACGCTGAAATCCATGGCTCTAGCGGTCGCTGGCGTTTTTGGGCGAGCCGAAGAGAAGAATGTGGACACGGCCACAGCGGTATCCTTGTGGGGGATGAGACCGGATTCGCTTGTGTGTACCGCGTTTTTCTGGGCATCAATACGCGGACAATCTCGGTGGAGCGGGGATCAGTTTTATCTGGTGGACACCAAAGGTGCATTCTGCGGGGTCCTCGTGTCATCCGTCGAAGATTTCGAAACCTTCACGATGATAGGATTGGATGACAACGCCCCAACTCCCTTCATACTCCGGCAGGCAAATGGGACAGCCCCTGCGCCTCGCTACTCGTATCAGATCGGAACAGATGCAAACAAGTACTGCCCGAATCTCGTAACCACGGCATGCGTAGAAAAAGCGCTAGACACCGTAAATCGCACCGCGGACTTGTATGACCCCACTCAGAGACCGTTTTACCGCATGGCGATGGAAAGCGATCAACCTAGTTGGACGGGAGTGTACAACCTGGGATCTGGGGATGGATACGGAATCACGAATGTCCTCCCAGTCAGGCAGAGAAACGTGCCGTCGGGGGGAGGACAGCTACCAGCAGACCCAGACACTCTTTTGAACATCGTCGCTGTAGATATGCATCTGGAGTCGATATCAGCATACTTGAGTCAATGGCTTTCGGCATTGTTACGCAGTTTCGACCCACAGCATAGCGACCTCCTTTATGATGGTTCCGATTATACCCAACAAACCCTACAATATCTGATTGCCGAAATCAACACAGAATCAATTTTGGCGTCCTCGTGTCCCGGACTTACTGGTACCACGCCAGACGATCCCCCGGCTCTGTTTTCATCACTCACAGGAAATCCGTGTCTCGGAAATGTCGCACATACCGTTGGACTACTGTCAGCTCTCCCCACGTCAAACGTTCTTGACGAGCAGGGCTTATCCATTCTATCGACCCCCATACGGTTGTGGTCCGAGTCGACGCTAACCATCGCTGCCCGATTCACGCCACGATCCGGTATTCAATGGGCCATTGTGATTGTAATACCGGGCGTCTATTTCAACATCAAACTCGGCCAAATGTACACACTTACGATACCGCTGACCGCCGCGCTAGTACTTGTTGCTGCCGCTTTGAGTAGCTTTCTGATAACACGTGCCATCGGTCTACCTCTGAAACGAGCGGCCGAGAAGATGATGAGAATAGCAGATCTCAATTTTGACGAAGACATGGTCGATCAGGAAAGCTCGAGCGACGATGACGAGCCCGAGGAGGTTCGCTCCGGCAGACGGTGGAGTTTCCCAAGTCTAGGTCGATTCTCGCGGTCACCGTCGAGCGTCGACAACGCCGCTGAAGAAGATCCCGACTCGACTACCGTTGCGCGAAGATCCTTCTTCCTGCCACCAACAATGGGAGGTTCAAAAAACAAGCGTGGCAAGCGGCGCGGGTCCGTGGCTTCCAACAAAAGCCCAAACTCGCGGCAATTCATGCTGAAGGAGATCCAGCTATTGAACACCGCCATGGACGCGATGACTTCGGGCCTCAAAAGTTTCAGCAAATACGTGCCACTCGACGTCGTTGCTCTCCTTGTAAAAATGAAGCGCGAAGCCGTTTTAGGAGTTGACGAAATGAGTCTGAGTATATTTTTCTCGGATATTGCAAACTTTACAACGATTGCGGAGAGTATGAGCCCCCAACAGCTTGTGCTTGTGATGAGGTGATTGTTCAGGTTCCGATGAGCCTTTCCCGGCCAACCACTGACTACATCTTTGGCTTCTAGTGAATACTTGAGTGAGATGTCCAGCATCATTCTTGAGAGCCAAGGCATCGTGGACAAGTTTATTGGAGATGTGAGTCCAGCGTCTTATTTCCTTTTTAACTTTTTTGTCGTCTAATGTTGTGCATCACTCATGACTCAGGCCGTGATGGCATTCTGGAATGCGCCATTATACCTGGAAGAGCATGCCATAGTAGCTTGCGATGCTGCACTGAAATCACAAGAGCGCTTAAGCGAAATGAGAGCAGGTAAACGGTCAGACTTCACCTGTAGCTTTTTCGCTGATGACTGAGCCAGGTCCTACTTGGCAGATTGGCTGGAGAAAGGATATCCAGAGATACGCGCTCGAATCGGTTTAAACACCGGTCCTGCGCTGGTGGGAAATCTAGGCTCGCCGACTCGTCTCAACTACACATGCCTCGGCGATACCGTAAATCTCGCATCTCGACTGGAAGAACTCAACAAACGATATCATACGTCCATCATCGTCTCCGACGCGGTTCGTGATCAAGTACACGAATACTTCGTCCTACGACCTTTGGATTACGTTGCCGTGAAGGGGAAGACGGTGGCAAAAAAGTGCTTCGAACTTGTTGATTCCATTGAGGGATGTGATCCGGCGGTCTCGCGGCGAATGGTACTGTACGAAAAGGCATTCGATTATTACTGCCAAGGGGAATTCGAACAAGCAAAACATCTCTTCGAGTCATATTTAGTCGACGTACCATGGGATGTTCCAGCAACCATGCACCTAGAGCAGTGCATGCGGTTGGAAGAGGAAGGTGTGCCATCGAATTGGAGTCCGGTGGTGGTTTTGGATGAAAAATAACGTCGGACATATTTGCATTTGCAATTTTTTGGGACTTTGACTGGCTGTACATAACTCCACTGAATCATATTATCATATTACATCGCATATTTTCATATCCGAAAATGTCGCGAGAGCCTCCCCTATAGCGCTTATGTTCACATCGTGGTCCACGTTATTTACATGCTCATATACAAGCGGCGAAATGTTGCAATGGGGGAGTCAGAATCAGTCTGTGTTCAGCAAGAGACACACCCCTTGCAGAACCCAATGACTGATATGATCGCTGGTGCTCAGATCTGCGTCGAAGACCCATCCAATACCACTCGCATTTCGTCTCTGCTGCGTCGTGTACACTGGTGTTCGGAAGGTATTGACCAGTTTCAACCGATGAGTCTCTATCGGAATAATTCGCAGGATTGGAAGACTGGCTAGAAGTCGCCCGCCGGTTTCCAAACGGACAAGACAGTTCTTCTCCGTGTCCCAACCGGCACCCTCCAAATATAGACCTTGGATGTAGCAGCCTGATGGAGGTCGTTCCGGGATTTCTTTGGGATCCTTGTACTGCGTCACTTGTGTGTACAAGGTTGAGCGATCGAGAGACCATCCATTTTTACGGCAAGTTGTTTGCACCAAAGCTGTAATGTACGCTTCGGGCACGTGTAAACCAGAAAGCCACATCACCACTGGCTCTCCGTTTTTGATCCAATCGGAATATTGCTGGTGGCGTCTTTCGAAATGTCCCATCCACCCGCCTAACCCTTTCTCGGTCTGAGGCGCTAGTGATCGCCACATGCCGGGGAGCAATCCATTGAAAAGCGAGTTCGCAAGCTCGTCTAACTTTGCGCTCATCCCGATCTCTCCCTTCAAAGCTCGAGCAAGGTCTTTCAGTGAGGAAGTCATTCTCTCCACGAGAGTATTCCATCTTTCCAGCTCTTGAAGGAGGACGACTTGCGTTGGAGATGGAACTCCAATGGCTTTAGCAATACGTGTTATATCGAAGGCCACTGGAAGTTTGGCTTGTATGTCCTTGGCAATATTCGCGATGAAGTCCTCTCGACTTATCCCTCCGGCACCTTCTGCCGTGCGAGGTTGCAATGAGATTAATTGCATCCACATGTCCTTTACGGCGGTGGTAAGGTATCCGATTTCGGCGTCCGGATGAAGGCCAAATACATCTGGCGCGTTGGTGAGGGGAAGGCCCTCAATGTAGGTCAGGTAATCGTCACGCGTGCCATGTTTGGGCACCTTATATTGCACTTGCGAATTGGCGTAGAAGAAGAAAGGCTGGAAAGTATCGAAGAGGAAGTCCCCAAGATATTCGTCCAAGTACGTCATGAGGACCCGCCTATCGTAGTCGTCCGTCACGCGACCACCGTAAATCGTTTCTCCCACCAGGTACCGCAACGTTGTCCATGGGATCTTCCCGGCTTCCTTAGCTGTGGCCGTTTTGTTGAGATAGGTTTGTAAAATAGTCATGGATACGCGGAAGTCTGATTCGTTGAAATCATATCGAACATTCCACCCTATTTTGCCATATTTCCCTCGCTCCTGAACGACAGCATGGAAGAATGCAAGGACGTAAACCAACGGCCTGAAAGTTTCGTGGAAGCAGTCTTGCAGAACGTCTTCCGTCAGCTTGTAATAACTGCTTCGAATGTTCAGTTTCAAGCCATTCGGCGGTTCGGTTACCACCTTGAGCGAGCGTTGCAGGATGCCGATTGGGAACTGAGGCGTCGGCTCCGTGGTTAACCATAGCCGGAAGTCTACATGCGGCTTTTCGATTTTCTCCAGCACCTTTTCCAACGTTCGCAGCCATGCTACGAGTAGGTGACAGTTTTGCAGCATTAGCCATTGCCCGCGTGTTACCGCTGTTTCCAACAATTGCAGAGCAATTGGTGCTTGCCCTTGACCGAGCGACAAGAATTTGAGCTTGTTTCCTCCGAACCCCTTCGCCTCCGCCAATTTTTGTAAATCACTCTGAGGGTCGGCTCCAGGACTGAGGATGAAAACGACCGGGCTCGTCGGTGTCGATTGCTCGAAGATGTTTTGATAGTTGATCACCGGGGGCATCACATACTTCTCCCCCATATTCTCAATGACGAAGCTCGTAACGGCGTTGTACACACGGTCGGTTCGGAAACATCTAAGAACGCAGAGTTTTTGAAATGCTGTGAGGCGGGACGAGTAGCGCATGGGGAATTCGGCGTTCTCAGGGGCATCTAGGCGAACCCAAGATCTCCAATCGAGTTCGTTACTTCGGACGTCATCAGGTAGAGAGGCGAAGTTGGAGTTGATTGAAGAGAGGCGTAATAGGTCCTTCCACCCCTGATCCGTCAGCCACGCAAACGGCTTTGCAATTGCTGGTTGCTCTAAAGAAATGTCTCCTTTCAAGAAGAAGTTGAGCTCTGCCGCATCCAGTAGTCCCTCGGCTTCCAGCAACTTCATGCTCATTTGATATGAGAACATGAGCTTGTGACGTTCGAACAGACCAGTGCATGCATAGTTGTATACAGCATACTTCAGCGTGTCCATGATTTTTGCTAGCCTTTTCGAAAGATTGGCGTCGGGCTTGCTACGATGTAAGGAGGCAGAGAACACCTCCAAGAAAGCGGCCAAGGAATATTCGTACATCGGATTGATCGTTGACAGACCAGCCAAAACGAAGAAGAGCACCGCCCCGCATTTTGCAGCTGGCCTGTATGCATCTCGAGATACTTCGACTTCGGCAGAGGTCTGTGTGGCCAACACAACCTTCTGTCCGATTTCAGTGGCTTTCGATTTGGTCTCCTCCAACGTGCGAATCAACTCGATGTTGTCGAGCATAAGACCAGTGGAAGAGGCCAGTTCGCGTAACAGAGTGTCTTCCAGTTCCTTCAGAAGTCCCTTGTTTTGACTCATCTCAGCTATGAGACGCTCTCTCTGTTCCTCAAGTTCCCTGCGCTCGTGGCCGACGACAACATTGAGCAGTTGATCGCTCAGACCTTTGAACGTAACGCTGTAATTGATTATGATCGCAGATCCGAACATTTTCGGAGTATACACCGGATTGGGCAAACGGGACGTCAAGTACAAACGGAAGTTTGGATCATAGTCAACCTCTTTGTCACCGAGGACAATGAATCGCCGTGCTCCTTGAGCCTTGATGTTTTTCTCCAGGAGGTTGTCGATAACAGGGTCGATGTATTCATCGACGTCCTCGAATAAGAATGGAAACCCATACGTCACTGCCATTTCCAAATGCTTGAGGAAATCTGGATCACTGAAAGACGAAATCTTCAGATTGTTTGGTCCCTCCTTTCTCTTGATCCAATTGAGAGCCTGCTGCTGCGGGTCAATGCATAGCGGGAAGCGAGACGCTTTTGTTGTCAAGATGCCGTTCTGTATGGACAGTTCATCAGCAGGCAGGCCTTCTTGACTCCATTTGCTCATCTCTACGTCCGTAACGAGAAGACCTTCGATTCGGAAATTGTCACTGAGCGGCACTTTTTTCGATGAGACGTCAACCATCCATCGTTTGTACATCAGTTCGTGCCGTAATTCCCAATTGAAAGCGCCGGTATAGCTGAGGAAACCGGAGACCAGCAAACAGTCACCAACAAGCTGAATACGCTGCGCTTTTAGTGACTCCAGATCTTTCGCCCATCTGATCCTCTCGGATCCAAGACCGGAAATGAGCTTATCTGCTGCCTGAAGTCGTCGTTCCATGATTTCCGCCATTTTCTGGAGCTCCAATTGCTCCTCCTTGGCCTTTTGAAACTGCTCTTGCAATGACCCTAACTGCTCATTGAGGCGTTTTAGTTCTCGGGTAATCTTCTCGAACTCGTTTTTGGAAAGGGCAAGATTTTTCTCAAGCGTTGCAACGGCCGCTCGTTTTGGTGCAATTGTCTTGGCTACGCTGCAGTAACCCATGACTGCCAAAACAAACTTCAGCAGCCCCGCGCCAGCTGCCGAAATTTCAGTCATCCGCTGCAGTGAGACGTCCATCTCCTTGAGGATCCCCTTTACGGCCTTAGTTTGCGTCGACGTAATGCCATCGACATCTAGGGCCTGTAATGAGGATTTGAAATCGGTGGCAGACATCATGGCTTTCGCGCTTTTCCAAGAAATGTCTTTGATTCCCTTTATAACGCAAATACACTCGCACACCTTCTGCACTTCTTTGGGTGGTTTGGCGAAAGATCGGATCTCCGTGATTTCAGACGATGACAGATTTTGCAGAGCAATGCGCGCCTCTTCTAGAGCAGGCAGAGCTTCCTCTAGCGCGACTTCGGCTTCTTCCTTATCCTTTGCAATTTGCGTATTTTGTGCATCGAGCTCGACCTCTTTCTTCTGGGCAAGATCCTTTTTCTCCTCAGCTTGTTTCGTGCTGCTTGTGATGACCTCCAGAAGCTTGTTACACGCCTCGGTCTTCTCTTTCACGGCAATATTCTGCTCTGCCAACTGGACATTCAGCACATCCAGCTGTCGACTGGATTCTTCCAGTTTACCGAGACCTGATTCCAAACGAGTGCATGATCGGGAGTTTGACTCCCGATTTTCCTGCAGTAATCGATTGTACGTATTGACATAGTCGAGGTAGTTCTTCGGGGTGACGTAGTTTGCGCGTCTGTATTTCTGTAAGAACTCGGCACTCATCTCCCCGACAGAAAGATGCACGGCCACCATGTGCTGCACGATGGCAGGTCGGTGCTCTGGTGGCACTAAATCCTCCCTCAAAAAAGCGTCTGCCACCGACAACAAGGCCTGCTCTGGCCATGGTGGGAACCAATCGATCATCGTGTTGTTGACAATGCCGGGGAAAGATCGACATCTCTCTCTTAGCCTATCGCCTTGGGGCGACATGCAAAGCACGACATGGAGATTGTCCGAACATTTACTCACGAAATACTGCCAGAGACTTTCTTTTGTCTGAGAGACCCCATGTTTCGCTGCCTCATCGCGGATGGACCCCAGTAGCGCTTCCTTCTCGTCGTCCTCGTATAGAGCAGGTACCATACCCGTGGTCAACATGTTGTTGATGAGCTCCAGGAAGCTCTCCTGGACCACGTGAGCATCCGTAAATAAGAATACGGTTTTCGTACCCGCCCCAAGCTGCGAGTATAAGGCTTTCAAAGATTCGCGGAACTCCGTCTCTCCGTATCCTCGTGTCAAAGCGATTTCAAACACGCTGCATCCGGCAGCAAATGCAGCGAGTTTGGTCAGTGACTGTTTGCCGGAGCCTCCCACTCCGACAAGTAGCGCGTGACCTCTCCTCAGTCGAATCACTCTCTGAATTCTTGTAACGTGCTCCAAGGCATCCTCAAAAAGCACAAGGTTCATCTTGTTGAATCTGTCATTGTACTCTTCCAGTATCTCTTGGAAGATAGACTTGACCGCAGTGAAATCGAGGAGATCTTCATACAGGCGAGCGGCCTCTTCATGAAGTGCATGCCGAAAATCACCAAATAAGCTCGGGTTTCGAGTCGCATATTCCTCGCAAGACTCAAAGTTGTCTAAGATCAAGCGATTGATCATCTTGTTGACGTAAGTGCGGTCGGTATCGTTGACGAGTCGGTCGTTGAAAACCCGTAGAACCTCGTTTCGCCATAACCGTACAAAGTGCTTCCCTTCGGTGAAATGATCTGGGGTTGCTAAGCACAGGCCTTCGTATACTCGCGATATGTCTCGTAAATTGAAGATATAGTGAAATTTGCTGGGGGTTGGTAGCAGACTTTTCACAATCTCTGAATATAACTTCAACGTGATTGGAGTGAGCTTGTTGGCAACCACTTGTATCTCTTCAGAGAAAGGCGCGACATGTCCTTGCAGAATTCCGGAGTAGATGCGGTGGAGACTAGCTTCTTTCGGGAAAGTGATGTTGAAGACACAAAACAAAGAAGCAAAGCGGATGTCGATGTCGTTTCGGCCACCACCCGGGGTGCCCATTGAACTGATGAATTGAACATCTTTCAAGTTTTTCCAGTTGAGCTCCTTTCCTCTGTCGTAAAGACCTCCGCGCTCTATCAACAGTTTGAGAAGCGCAATAGGCTGCTGGGTGCCGTACGTGTCTTTTGCCGGCATGTTTAAGTCATCAACGAAAACGATCATTCGCCTGTTGGCCGGAGGGCCATACGTGTCTTTCGTACGTTTCTCCACGTTTGCTTCCAGATTCTTCTGCACATCCAGAGAACTCGTCCGAGAAGAGAAGTTGATGTTGAGGACGAAGTTCTTGTCTGCTGGTAATTGCCGAAGAAACTTCTGTAGCGTGACGGTTTTGGAGGTGCCAACTTCACCAACAAAGAGTACCGGCCGTTTCAAGGCAACGAGCTCCTCCAGAAGCCACGAGTGCCGCACAGTATCCATTGTTGGGACGAGAATCTCGTGAAACGCTTGCGACCGATTGTGCTCATAAGCGGGAACGTAGCTGCTCCATGACATCCATTGAAGCTCACTTACATCGAAGCGATAATCGAAGAGAGATTTGTCATTGCCAGGAAGCTGGCCGGCCGCTATGGCGGCCGCTGTGTGCACAAGAGGCAACTCTGATAGTTTCTTGACCCCCTCGGAAAACTTGTTTCGATCTTCCTCAACCAGACTGGCCCCGACCGACCATATAACAGACTGAATGAAGAGCCCTTCCAGCACGGCTTCTTGAGCGAATAGTTTGCTATCAGTAAGCTGGACATCCAACATAGCGCAGAGTTGCGAAGTCATTGCTAGTGATGTCACAGGAATCACTCTTTTCAAGGTTTCCGCCACGAAGCCTCCAAACGTCCCTTCCAACACATATTCAATGCAAGCTGGGACATACTTGTTGAAGAGCTGCGTGAGTAAGGTGCTCTCGGCTGTGTTGGGTCGTGCATTGACCCAGCGCTCAAAGTAGGGCCGATATCCCAGATTCTTGGGATCCATATAGACCATTCCGCATCGAGACACTGTGGCCGGACTCGCGTACTGCAGATCTCCCACTTCGAAAAGCAGAGCGGCGTGCTTCTGAAGGCGTATGCGTTCTCCATTGGGTAGCGTAAGTAATCTGTTGTCATCCATCACAGAGTTCATATTTTCCACCCAAACCGCGTCCACGTCCCCATCAAAGACGATGTATTTCCTTTCTTTCTTGTCCGTCGGCTTGTTCACCTCGCGGAAAATATTCGAGAGCAATCCGTCAGTCCAGTCTCTTGTGACAGGATCCAACACACCATACAACTCGGCGACGGTCACCGCTTTCGCGTTCAACGTGTAAAGCTTGGTGGCTAGCCCAAGCTTCGTTTGCGCCTTCGCAAGGGTGTCAATCACAACAGATTTTCCTCCCCCTGCTGGGCCGACCACCATCGAGGTGTGCCTTGTGAGCATCGTCTCGTAAAGCTGCACAACCTTGTCTACTTGCTCGGCGACCATAACATAGTTATTTTCCGCAAGTACCTCTTCTACGGCATCGTTGAAATTGGGGTATCGCACTCGCGGGCAATCCAGTCCAGGGAATAGATCAGTGATTAGACCCAGAAACAACGGCACGTCATCGAACACGAATTTCGGCAAGTTCATGTCGCGCAACGCCCGCATCAGGACTACATCCTCGTTCAAGTTTGGGGAACCTCTCTTCAGAGAGCCAGCCATTACCAGAACCGATTTCAAAGCCCTCAATCCAAAGTCGTAATGATGTTGCTTCGACAGTTGACCTTTGGCCAGCTTATAAAGAACCACCATCTTTTTTGCAAGGCTTTTTGCGAGGGTAAACCCTTCAGAGAATAGCATGATCTCGCAGATCAACTCCAAATCAGGTACTGCCATGACTACGGGCCGGAAGAGTGCCTTCAGATTATCGGGCAACTCCGTACGTCCAGCGTATCCAGGGTTCATCGTGATGAAAATACCGGTCCTCCTGTCCAGAACAATCTCGTTTCCCTCGAATTGAAATCTTTTCAGATTCGAAACCAGAGCATTCTGAATTGTCTTGATCTGCGCCGAGATGACAGATAGTACAGCAAGCTCAATGCGATTGAACTCATCAAAGCATCCCCAAGCACCGGTCTGCACCAGGCCAGCAAAAATCTTTCCCATCGCCTGGTAGTCCATTCCTTCTCCACAGTTTGTAACCATACAAAGCAAGCCAAGAGCCTTCGCCAGGTCTTTGACTGTCTCCGTTTTCCCTGTCCCAGCAGGTCCAGCCGGAGCTCCTCCCAGCTTCATGGATAGGGCCTGGGTGAGCGTCAAGTAGCATCTATCCGTTAAAGGGGTGATCACCAATCGGCCGTTCAAACCCATGTATTCGTAACCATAGTCGAAAACGCCGTTACATTGCTTGACTTGTAGTTCATCTACGGATTTATCCCAGTAGAACCGGAGCTGAGATTCCCATTCAAACTCGTTCTCGTCCATGATCGAGTCGCGCACAAATCGGTCAACGATGTCCCGCGCATGAACGTCGATGATTATCTGAGAGTTGAGCTTCTTTCGATCGTTTCCACTAAGATCGGAACGGACCTTCACGACAAGATTGTCCAATTGCTCGCCCAATCTTTTCGAGTACGCTTTCATCGCAAGCTTGTTTCCCGCCTTGATTTTTTGGAAGACGTCTTCCACTTCCCAGGTCCACCAGACTTGGGAGCCCGCAAGAGCCACCATGCCCTGATACTTCAGGATCCAGTCAAGCCTGTCCATGTCTGGGTAATAATAGACGGCCTCTTTGTGAATGGTTCGGTTTGATTTCTTCATCTCTGCTTCCACGAGACTCATCCATTCCTCCACCCTTCCTTCAACAGGGATGATGCGGCGATAATCGAGATTCTCCCCTTCGGAAGACGACATGCCCATGACAGCCTTCTCGTTCTTACCCGTCCCGAAATTCAGCTTCAAGACGTTGTCGAACATTTTGATGATATGCTCTTGAACGTTTTTTGGATCGTGGCTGCCCAGAATAGACAAGAGCTCCTCATCTGAGATGAAAAAGAACCTAGGAAATGCGTTTCGCTTCGATTCCAGATAGTCCGATAAAGACTTTTGACAACCTTCCAAATCGTTTGAAAGCCCTTGAAGCAATGGGAGCCGACCTTCTGCCTTGCAAGCCTCCAGCACTTGAGGATGCTTTGCTGTATCGGCCATCAGCTTCTTGAAGGTCTTGTCGATGCGGTCAAAACGAGCAGCTTCTTCTGGAAGTTGCATTCGAATGTCACCTGAACCTATGAAGATGGATTCCAGATACATCCAACGCCTTTGAACAACCATCCATACTTCCAGGACTTCCCCAATGTGAGAAAGCACCTTTTCCCATTCTTGTACGGCGGGTAAGAACGCGGCCACGAAGCGAGATGCGCCCATGGACTGCAAGGACATGGCATTATCGTCGAGGGTCAGAATAATGTCGTCGATTGCTCCCAGAATAAATCCCCGATCTTCGGTGCCCTTCGTATACTTGACGATCGTGAATTTGAGGTTTTTCCATGTGTTCTCAACCTCCTTGATCCCATTTTCGATGCTCAGTTCCTTCATTGCACCGGCAACAATCTCTCCGATTGCAGTGGCGTGTTCGTGCAGGTTCATGCCGAAAAGCTTCTCCAGCGTAAAAGTTTCAGGATTCATATCGAAGGTTTTGCCGGTGATCTCCATCAGCTTTTTCCAATGACGCTGGCGCAATGCCTCGTTCTTCAGGTCAGCAAAGAGTGGGATGGAATCCTTGAAAGTCACAATCTTCTCGGCGACCACATTGTATGGAGCCAGTTGCTTCAATTCTTTAGGCAATTTTTTCAGCCGCAAGGCGAATGTTTCCATCCCCTTGGTCAAGATGCTCACATCGAGGTTTGCCCACAATGTCGTTGACCATGAAGAGATTGCTTCTTTCACCTCCGTGTAAAGAGTGTAAATTTTGTCCAGCTCCTTCACTTCGGTTTCGAGCTCGTGAAGCTCCGGATACGAAGTTATGATGAGGTTAAACAACTTCTCACCACGAACAAGGTCTTCTTTCCGTGTATGGAAGGTGGCAATTGCTTCTTTTGCCCCTTGTAGGAGCTCCAAGCCGCGATCCATATCGGAAGTCACCGCGCCAGGACCGTTGATCATGAAATCGTCTTTGAATTTTCTCAAATCCGCACGGAAGCTCCTCACTTGCTCTTCAGTAGCATCGGTGAACTTCTGCTTGACGGCGACGAGCCCGTCATCGACTTCTTTCGCCCGAACCAGCATGTATTTCCATGTTTCCGGTAAGGACCTCCCCGCTTCCATTTCCGCTGGATTCGTTTGGATACCGTACATTTCCAGAGTACGATACGCTTCCATGACGTTTCGATACTGTATTTCCACATCTTCCGAGGCAGCTCTGATATCCGCGAGGACATTCAACACAAATGTAAGATCGTCTAATGTTTGCGGGTCGGTCTGCAATTCCTCTTCATATTTGGCGATCTTCTCTTGCACCTGAGTGAGTCCAGTCAAAGCGAGAGTATTCAGATGTTTCCCTGATGGAAAAGTCAGTATCATCGTTCACTCATCGATTGTAATGGCTCTTCGAGTACAGACCTATAGATTCAATCCACCCTTGAGCCTCTTGATGAATGGCTGCTTGCAGCGGCAGCGAACTGATTCGGATGAAATCGAGGTCCTTGACACTGGGATGGGAATCCACATCGGAAGCTAGTTTCGAGTAAAAGGCCAGCTTCTCATCATAACTAATGACGGAGGGTTTCTTTTGGGCAAATTTCTCCAAAGTAATAACCTTCGAAACGACCAAAGATTAGCAGACAAAAAATATCGAGTAGATATAGCTCTCCTAACCTTGTCAACTTTCCACAGTGGGCGATACTTTCGCCACGAGTCCAGCCATGCATTGAGGCTGCCAAAGGTGCGCGTAATGCTTGAATTGAGAGACCCAATCATTGCGATGATGCTCTGATTCGCGATAATGTCCGAATGAAAGCTGAAGATGATAGGCTCCTCGTCTTCTGCTGCCTTCTGGGGTGGGGTCAAAATACATGTCCCGTTCATCCATCGATAGAACATTTTCGTTGAATCCACAATGGAGCGTGCCAGTTTGACCATCATTTTGTAGATTTCCCCGGAAAGAGGCGAGATGACGATCTCCGGGGCGGATAGGGAGGCGTTCACTTTGAAAAGCGGTGCGGTCCGTCGCGCCCTGCCCATAGCGGTGATGCCTACTAAGGCTCCTATCTTTTTGGCCTTCCGGTTGGGGGAAGTTGTCAACAAGCTCTCCAATATTTGCATGTTGTTCAGTACCATCTGTTAAAATCCCACCGTTAGCATAGCATAGCGCCTGACATCCTATTGACACTCCCGCTTACATAGTTCAAAGCCATGAAAATCTTTCGCTCCCAGTGTGCATAATACTCCTTGAGAGCTTTGCTTTTCCCCGTATTCGTTCCAGCCACTAAGGATTCCATTTTTATGAGCAAGGGTCCGACACTCGCGTACTTGAGCGCGACAGTCTCTAGCACATTGGTCCGATTTTTATGTTCGAAGTCGAAAAACTCCTAGAGGTTGTCCAAGTTTTGAGCAGAAGGATGGAGCCACTCGCAGAATGCATACAGCAACTCACGTGGGCGTCCATAATCTCCTCGGTCGGTGGTTCTCTGATAAGCGTCGCCTTGGAGATCAGGTTGATGGCGCTGGAAATGTTGGCTGATGTTTTTCTGACTTGATTCACCATGGAGGTGAACTTGTTGATTTCCTAATCGATAGATCACATTAGAATAGCTTTCATCGCTGCCAAGACTTCGTTGACTGCCGTACCGTATTGCATCGATGAATGAACTCCGGTATGCCGAGCGAGTTCCAGTTCAGTCGCGTGAACCCGGGCTTCATCACCCGCTTGAGCTCCGTAATGTGCGCATAGAGAAGCTTTCGCTCCGCACCGTCGAGAACATCAAGAATGGCATTGTAGCTATTCAGCATGCTGTTCAGGTTCTCAACATACGTATGGTATTTATCTTCCTACAGAGAACGGATGCGTCAGCCAAACAAGTGGAGTCTCAAGGACATGAAGAGCAGGAAGACTCACTTGCAAAGCAACATTCAGTGCAGCTTCAGGAACGACTAGCCCCATTTTGTCCAAGTACTTGGTTTCCCGAATGCAATCTCGCAGCTCTGGGCGGAAATTGACAAACACCCTTTCCGCACTATCACCCTTGCCTCCCATATCCGGTCCGGTTATCGCAAGAGTATTGCCATGGCCGCCGCCGAGGTAGGCATTGGATCCGACCACCTTATAGAGGATGTGCGATTTCAAGTATTGCAAGGAGTTGGCCTCCACCGACACACACCATTGTGCATAAAGCTAAGATCCGGGTGTCAGTTCATTAACGAGATGCAAATCAGTTTCTGGATGGCAAGGCGCATACCTGCTCTTCGTAAGTGCGCATAGCCTTTGCAACGCCCAGGTACTTCTTCGTGACGGCCCTTCCCTGCTCACTGACAAGCATCTCTGTAGGTAGGTTTGTTAATTTCAAATGTCCTCGAATTGAGATGCTCCATCTTCCTCACCTTGCAGCGATTGAAACCGGACAATCGTCTTCTTGATCCGGGCGAACAGGCTTCTAGACCAGGCGATCGCCCCAGCCACTCTTGGTTGGTTTTTTGTGCACGGAGGATTGTCTCTAAGTGATTGGAAAAGGCAGAGTCAGCCATGACGTGATCTCATGTCGGCAAAGCAATATACAGAAACGTACTTATGGTTGCGGAAGATTTCATCAATGATGTCGACTTCACGTGCATATTGATCAAGAATTTCGTACCACTTGCCCATCAACTGGGCATTTATGGATTCTCTCGACTTGATGTTCTTGATGTTTTGCAGCAAGTCAAATGCACCCTCGGCAGATCTCAACTTCTTGAAGCTCGCGTCGATGAATTGTCGCGCCATATCTTCAATCTGGAGGATCTGCTCCCGGAATCTCGTCATTAGCAGTTCCCATGCGTTCTGGTGTGGTTTGGAGAATACGTCAAAGGGTGCCGATTCGAAAGGAACCACAAGATTCTCAACGCGCTTGATGACCTCGTCGATCTGTTGAGGATCGCCGGTTACAGCTTTTAGCTCTGGCCCAAAGATGCTGTAAAACTGCTCCATAACTTCCGCAATTTTGAATAGATCAGCGCAGCGAAGAGCCATGTAGTCGGTCTGCTCAAACAATCGCTTGCGGTCGAATTCCCACCGCTGATCCCGGCCCGACTGCTCGATGCGCTCTCGAACCGCAAAGTAGGTTCGTCTCCAGCTCTCTAGTAACTCCTTCGCATCGACGATCTTTGTTTTGGCATCCGCAGGAGGCTCTCGGAATATTTTGTGGATGTCCACCACGTGCGCTACTTTGTTGGCGAGCTCCCACGCTATTCTTCCCATCAGAGGCACCATCCGCTCATCCCGGTTGTAATGCCTAGATATAATCCACACCATGCGAATAGCATTCAGAAGACTTGGCAAAGAGTCCTGAACACTGGTAAGGCTCCCCGTGAGAATATTTTTGAAGTGCCGCTCGAGGGTCGACAAAAACTTCACATTGTCCTTTGCTTCAGTGTAAAACTTCGTGAGCTCCTGCAGTTGGAAATCGAGAGTCGACGATCCAGGCGATTGTGCTTTGGCCAGGATTTGTTGGATTTTATGCACAATCGGCATATTGAGCTGTTCATGGAGCGTGGACAGTGCGGCATTGCGATCCCGCCAAAATTCGATCTCTGCCAACGGACCCTGAAATCAAATCGTCAATGTGGGTATTGCAAATTAATCTTCATAGGAGGTGCATACCTCTCCGATTGGAGTTTTCTTGGCTTCCTTCGCAAGCGAGATCGTGACTGTTTCTATCCACTCATCTGCGAGGCTTTCCAATGAGGCCACCAGCTTTGTGTCTTTGGACGCCTCGGTAACGTCCTCTAGGCCCTCCAGGGATCCCAGCTCCTCCGGGATTTTCAATCTCGTCTCGCTGGCGACTTGTTGCACAGTGTGTGATATTTGACTAGCAAATTTCTGCAATCCGGAGATGAATTCGGATCTAGCCCCCAATCCAGGCGCAGTTGCGTGCTGCTCGCCAGCGACTCCTGGCGCATCCGCCTGGCTGAGAAGTGGGAGATACACTTCCGAAAGAACATGTTCAAGCATCAGCAATGCATGCGCAGAAAAGTGGCCAATCTCCAGCCATGACGAAAGACTGTGTTCCGCATCTAAGAGATCAACATCAGTCAGCACGCAATTTTTGGGTTTGGTACGGCAATTCTGTGCCCTTCACCTTCAGGACTGGATGGGATGGGAATAGCACCAGGCTTATTCCTCAAAAAGTATACCGAGTTCACCTCCGTTAACTGATCAGGACATTCCTGTGTGCACATGAACAGACGATACGCTTCGCGCACTGGCGTCGAGCTCGGTGGCTCCGCTGGTTTATCGGTGCTCTGCGTTGGGGCACTTTGCTCGAGAGTCTGCTCCTCGGAAGGTATATCGGCCGCAATCCCATCATTTATGGGTTGTGGTTCCTGCGTTCACAGCTTGAGTCAGCGGATCTCGCATTGCTTTGGTCCCCCAATGTAACTCACCTCCGTTGCAGCCTGCGATGGTGCCGTTTCGGGATCTAACCACAGTAACGTTCAGCGAAACAACATCCCTTTTGAATCCATTTCTGACGAGAATCCTTACCTGAAATTGCATCGGTAAGCTCGCCAGCTGGTGCTTCCACCGCCTCCCCAGTGCTGGCATCCTCAGCAGTACTCGTAACGTTTTCACCATCCGTCGTAGATGCATCTGCGGGCAATTCATCTTTCGGCGTATAGCTCTCAGCCCAGACCATAAGAGCGGAGGCATGATCGCCCTTCCTGACACGATCTTCGAGAAAGTCCATGATAATTTGCAGGTTCTCTCTATTGTTGTGCTCCAAGCAATCCCAGAACAGATCCTGCGCAGGACCGCCTGGTCCGGGCTGCGGCTTTTCGAATTCGATCATCAAACCAGAGTGCAGCTTTTTGCGAATCCAGCATAGCCGCTCGTCTGCTTTCGGGTCGGCAGGCAGAGTGCTGGAAATATACGACGAGACGGCAGTAGGCCCCGTCGTGGCCGTGGCCGCGCCGGTGCGCGGCCTTGAGTTCGTCATTACAATAAGACAAGGAGTCGTCTACACAGCAAGTAGTTTTCAGTAGGTTGCTACCAGCGCAAAGAAAGGGTGAGTGCAACGACTGTCGCTGAGTATTGGCGGAAACGTTGGCCTGGATCTGGACAAAGGCCGAGTACTGCCAAAAGAACTCCGCTGCAGTGTGCACACGCGTTCTTGACTTAATAGCCCTAGGTTTAACTGACCCGTCACGTGACCGCGAAATCGATCCGCATCCAAATGCTGGATGCTAACCCTTTTGCGCTTGCACATTCTGCAACTTGTGTAGATTCTGAGGACATACAGAGGACTGTTCCGAATACAATATGAGCAGGAGAACGACGCTTTTCGTCGCTGGAATCAGCGGCCGCACTCGTGCAAAGGATCTTGCTTACGAATTTGAAAGGCAAGTGTCGAGCCTCTGTGTAGTTCCTCCCGTGACCCGTATGTCTAACCGAGAACCGATCTCCTTCCAGATATGGGCGACTAGGCAAGTTTCGAGCCTCTGTGTTCTTTCTCCCGTAATCCGCGAGAAGTATGTCTAACCAAGAACCGATCTCCTTCCATATCTTCCCGCCTCCCTTCCATCTTCCATATCGATCGTACGAACACCAGTGCGCTGTGATATTCCTGCTCCCAGGGGAGCGAACTCAAACCCGTAAGTTTATTGAGCGCTCACCGTTGGCAACTTATCAGCACAGATTCCACGTTCGACTGGTAACCCCAACTGTCCCACTCCGACTAACGCCGGCAATTTGATTTTACCCGACTCCATATGCAATTAGTTATGCATTTGTTGAATTTGAGGATCCTAGAGATGCTGAGGATGCTTACTATGAAATGCAAGGGCGAAAAGTTGACGGCTACCCTTTGAACGTTCAGGTACGATTTCCGATCAGCAAAGCGTATCGGATTAAGACTCGGTCGTCTTACCGCTATTTTCGAACGAATTCACAGTGGGCTAAGAACACTCCCGGTCGTGGATGGCGGTATGAGGGTGGACGTGGTGGTTCCCCCCCTCCTCGCCGAGGGCGTTCCCGGTCTCCTCGTCGCAGGTCTCCTCCCAGGTCTCCTATCCGGGAGTCCCGAGACCGGGACGTTGTTGCCAAGCGCGAGGAAAGGGATGGTAATGAGAACGGAAGTCGGCATGCGGAGCCTGTTGACAGGGAGGACAATGGAAGGCACTCTCCAGGAACTGGCCGCCGTAGTCTCTCTCCGCGTCCGGATTTTGAGGAACGGGGCCGCTCACCAAGCCCACAAGCTTGAATGTACCAGGAGCAATTGGTGAACAATGCCGAGAGTACGGTATGAGAGGCGTTGGTCGTCGTGAGGGGTAGAACCTCATTAAGCATGGGTGTTACGGAACAGGCAGTATATTTCATACTTAGTCGATCAACTATGTGGGCCCATACTCCGTGGATGCCAGATCTCGTTAAGCTCGCAGTGTAATAAATCATTTGATCGAATTGTGCATGATCCGGACAAGCCGGCGGCAAAGAAGCGGCTCAACATTGCGAAGAGAGGTCGAGTTTGAGCTTTGGCGAAACCAGATTGATGGACTTATGGTAGCATTTGAAGCGTGCGGTGAATCGATTGTGAAAAGACATCTGGCTTTTACCGCTGATGTACTGATATGCGAACTGGCGCACTCCTGCATACTGTATCATATAGTATGCATGGTGTCCTCGGCAAAATGCAAATCATAAACCCAAGCCGGAATCGCTGGCTTCAAGCATATGCTCTTCTCAGACTGGGTAAGACATGTCTGCCCAGACTTCATAGCCCATACTAAAAGTCTCAATTACTATCGGCCAAAAAAAGAGCGGAGGGCACCGCCTGAGTGAGTATATGATGTAAGGGCTCACAGCATGTAAAGCATACCGGCCACGCGCCCGGCAAAGCAAGCCCGAAAATACGGTAATGCGAACGCTGTATAAGGGGGTCATCAGTGTGGACAAGTTTGGTATTAGGGTTAAGGAGATTCCAAATTCCAGGACGTGCTACCTTCGAGGCTCGACTGCCTTGTCCCGAAAACCCGTGTCCAGGTAAATGATGAGGTATATGTAGGAGCGTTTTAAACCATTTGCAATAACGACAGATATCATGGAAAAGGGCCTCCTGAAAGCACGAGCCAACGTGGCCTCTTTGAATATGGGGCATGACGTCAACGCTGCAAAGCCATGAAGGGGCTTGGGACTCGCCGGCTCGCAATCCAAGCCTTGCAAACTTGATCTTTGCAGTGGAGGATGCATGGGGGTTTGGTTAGCCCCCGTAATAAGCATGCCCTGGCCCCCCATATGCAGCGCCGCATGCGGACAAGCTGGGAGCCAAAGTTGACGTATGAACAACATCATCCGACGGCCGCAAGGGAACGCCAATTATCCCTCCCGACTCGGTCGTTTTCAGTTTTCTCGTGATTCCCGCCCGTCAGTGTCGTCGTCCTACAGGACAGGGTGAAAGTTGACGTGTCCCCAATAACGATGACGGAGCCACACATCCTGGGGCGCACACAATGACGCTGTCCGTTGACCGATGATGACAACACCCGCACCACAGAGCCTTCGAGACTGGCCTTCCTCGGCACACAGGCCTCTTGCGCTGCGTATAAAAGCAGGCCAGGGTTCTCGGAAAACCCGCTACTACAACACACATACACCAAAACCAATACCCGACGCTCTTTCCGCAACTCTTTCACGTTCACCTCACCCAAACCAACACATCTCAAAATGCCTTCCACTCGCTCTGTCATCTACGCTCTTGCCGCCACTGGCTGCGTTGCCACCCAAGCCAACGCTTTCTGGCTCATCCCCGGCACTAGCAAGTCTCACGAAGATGTCGCCCCTGTTGCGCCATCAGCAACGGAACGCTTTCGCCTTGCACTGCAAGACAAGTACAACCACATCGCATACAGCGCTTCCAAGGGCGCCGACGCAGTCACAAACTCCCACCCCGTCGCGACCGCCAAGGCCACCGCTGATGACGTGCAGAACTCTGGTGTCGTGAACGAGCTCCTCCGTGCTTTCGATGAGATCGCCTCCGATGTCGGTTACACCACCACCCTCGCCAAGGAGACCCTTTCCCGCGGCATCTACCTGAAGCAGGACGAGGACCAGTACGTGTTGGCCATGGACGTCCCCGGCCTTCACACCCGTGAGGTTGAGGTCATTTCCAACAAGGGTACCCTTCGCATCAAGGGTGAGCGCAAGTGCCCCAACGTCCCCGGAACCACCAAGCCCAGCCCTCTCTGCATTCCCCGCTTCTACGACGCCTCTTTCAGCTTCCCCTCCGACGCCGATGAGGAGAACGCCGACGCCAAGCTCGACGCCGGTGTCGTTTCCGTCTTTGTCCCCAAGCTCAAGGGCGAGTCCCGTGGTTTCGGCCGTGTGTTGAAGTTGAGCGGCGAGGCCGCCGAATGGGTTTACGAGGGCACTGGTGCCAAAACCGTTGTTGACAGGACCTCTGAAGCAGCCAACAACGCAGCCGATAGCGCTCGCTATGCAGCAAACGCCGCTGCGGCATCAGCAGCTTCGGCCTACTCCACAGCTACAGACGCAGCTGGTCGGGTGGTCGACACCGTCGTCGGTTCCGTCAAGAACGCTGGCAACGCTGCCCAGATTGCAGCTGAAGAGGCGACCGCATCCGTCGCCTCCGCTGCCTCCAAGGCAACGAACGTCGCCGCTGCCAACGCCAAGGCCGCATCCGCATCCGTCGCATCGGCTGCCTCCAAGGCAACTAACGTCGCCGCTGCCAACGCCAAGGCCGCATCCGCATCCGCCGCATCGGCTGCCTCCAAGGCAACTAACGTCGCCGCTGCCAACGCCAAGGCCGCATCCGCGTCGGTAAAGTCCGCCGGCGCCAAGGCAACCAACGTTGCTGCCGAAGCTGAGGGCAAGGGTTTCGTCGACCGTATCCACGAGCAATACGTGCAGCCCATCAAGGACCGTATGTACTCTCCCGGAAGCGCCGAGGGCAAGATCGAAGTCAAGGAGGAGTTGTAAACGGTTACCTCGTCGGCATTCTCCCATCTTCGCGCACATCATCATGCTTAGTTAGCTCCCCCGCCTATCCAATACCCTACCCATTTCACACACGAAATGATTCCCCCCCCTACCTGTATATTTTCGTTTTTGCTTCTGTTTTTATATCGCACTCATGATATCTTGGATATCGTTGACACATTAATACATTTTTGATGAGTTTCAAACAATCGCATCGTCGTTCGGGCCCTATTCTCTTATGTGCGTGCATGGTTTCAGGTGAGGGGCATGATTGTGGTGACGAGCGATCGGCTCGTGGACCTTTTGAGAGAAGCAGGAAGTGTCCGTAACTCGGGATGCCCTCATCAATTCGCTCCCAGTTGCCAGTCCGGTTGTAAGTGCTTCTGTAAGACGCAGAAGGGACCAGGAATGCGACGCGTTTCGAGTATAAAATGGATATGGATACGCGTTCTATAGGGATAGCCACCGATGAAGCCCCGAGACTCCGATTTCTCATGAATTAGCATGTCCTCTTTTGGACTGTATTGGAATCTGGATGCGACCGTGCGGGATGTGAACAAGTTTCACTCCAGTCACAGACATGCTTATCAACTATTATGATTTGGGATAAACGAGTGGGAGAACAGATGTCCGTTGCGAATCGTTATTGTTGAAAAGTAAGACGAGAAAAGCCCATCTACATCTACACATGGATACGCCATATCGGTGAGACTCAACACTGCGTCCTCTATCGCTCACGCACGAAACAAGCATGCTGGTACGTCCTTAACATCAATAGTGTCATACAAAGGCCACTTCAAGTTAACCTTCTCCCAATCCAGCTCCTTCCACTCCTTCTTGATCTTCTTCAACACCTCCCGCCCCAACACACTATTTCCCGCCGCGCTCAGATGAATCCCATCACTCAGCATCTCGCTAGCCACGTCCACATCATACACCACCTCCTCGCTGCCCTTGTTTGTCGATTTGCCGCCGAAACATGTGCTGGCCCACGTATCCAGCACCGGTACCTGCGTCTCGCGCGCGACCTCGATGCATGCGTCCCGGTATCGCCGTGTCTCTTTGACCGTGTGGTTGCTGATCGCTGCGGGGCCCCATCTTTCGACGAGATACTGGGCCCACTTGGCCTCATGGACTACGGGAGGGGATATGAGCAGGATGCGGGTGGTTGAGGAGAAGGCGCGGATTGTTTGAATGATTTGTTTGAGGTTCGAACGGTAGTCTTCTACGGTAACGTGCTGGTTGTTGGAACCCTTGAGTGCGGAATCGTTTGCGCCTAGCAAAATGATGACCAGCGCCAGTTTTGAGGGATTCAACGGCGCCAAAACCGACGGGAGGATGTGCTTGGCCCATTCGGTGTTATAGCCACTGTAGCCGCGGTTAAGGATATCATGCTTCCGAGCATAGGCGTTGGCCACGATTGAGCCCCAGCCGGAATTGAGCGGGTCGAGCGAGAACTGGGTCAGCGAGTCACCGAAAAGTACAATCTTGTCCGGGTCGCCCTCGGCGGAGATGGACGGAGTTGGGACGTTGTTCGTCGACATTGCTGGGAGTGACAGTTGAGTGGCCTCTAAAGTCTAGTTGATCTGGTAGGGCTAGAAGCGATGCTGTGAGAGTTTTTATGCGATGCGGAAGTCCACAGAGTTGTAGTCGGATGTGCCGCAGTGAACGAAGGAGAAAGAAGCGCAAAGACGCAATTCACATGGATGTCATGTTCGAGGGACAAGGCCTGGGACAAGGCGGGCGTCAAGACGCGGATTGCACGCGCGACAGACGCCAGACGCAAATAGGAGACGGTCAGGCCCATGCAGACGGTTGTCCAATAATGAGCTTCCACCAGATGGACAGGACGCAAGATGGACCGGAACACTCTCGTTGAATACGAGGATATAGTCTTCAGACGTACAGTACGATACGGCATACACATGCTTTTTCTACTACGTACATATATCACACGTACATTTGCATATACACACAAACAATCTACAAGCCTGCTAACACCCCGGGCAAAAGATACATACATAAAAGCGGCCAATACGTCGGCCAGTGAGATAAAAGATGCAATACACCTTGAGAAGAGCATAGCTCACGCCGGTGTTCCGATGCCGCATGGTAGTATTTCCATGATGACATGCAGATTCGTCCATAAGGCCAAGATTACAACGTCGTTGAGAGATCAGAGGGAAGCTCGCGCCAGCGCGACTCCTCTCCGTGCCTCCATATATACAGAAACTTCTTCGTCATCCTTTCCTCTCCAGCGTTCCAAAGAGCGCCCCTAGCGTCAATCTCTTATCCTCAAGCAAAGCAGCACTCTGAACTCCCTGCGTGTCAGGGCCTTTCGGCACTCCAAAGCGCGATGTGGGTGAGATCTGAGCCGCGGCGGCGGGCATCGGCACGGGCGGGTGCACAAACGGCAGTGTATCCTTCTCGACCGGCGGTGGGATGGTCGTGCGTGGCGGTGGTTCTTGCGGTGGAGTTCTTAGGGAGGCGGTGTGATGGGAGATGGAGCGAGGTGGAGCCGTCGGTGGTGGAGTTGGGGTATGTGCTGGGTCTGCCGGGTTTGCAGATGGCGATTGGGATTGGTCGTGGGAGCCATCTGCAGAATCTGGTTCCGGACACGCTGTGTAGACAGAGGCCATGCTGAGTCGGTTTGGATCATGGTGGTATTGCGCATCCGTGTTTGCGTCCTCGCTCGTCCTCATGACCGGGTACGGATACGAGTAGCGTACAAGCCCATGTTGAGCATCCACGCCGTAGTTCTGGTTCCGTTGAAACGTGTGGATGGTGGAGCCGTCGCTCGACATGGCGCCTTCCTCCGTGGACATACTGCGATACTTATACAGCATGAGCAGCTCATCTTCCGAGCATGTCGATAATCTCAACAGACCACCTGGATGATTCACAACGCTCTCGGCCACACTGCGGGCTTCCTTTCCGTTGGGACTGACGTGCATCGGCCAGATATCCGAGAGCCGTATCACGTTATGCAGCGTCGTGGGCTTCTTGTGGTCCCTAGATTGGTCCGCTCGTTTTTTCTCACTTTTGCTGTCAGAGTCCTGTCCTCTTTTCCACAAGCACCAACATACGCCGATAATTGCGAAGCACAGCAGGCCTGCTAGGGATGCAGAGACCGCGAGAAACGCCGTTCTATGCTTCCTAAAGATGCTGGATAGCGACAGGGACTGGGTGGTCGCGAAGCCCAATGAAATAGACGATGCGTCGGGGACCCATGTTGCTTGCACCGTATCGTAGATGTAGATCGTAGGGTCCGTGAGTAACAACGACTGTAAATTTGTGAAGTTCGCTCTGGCGCTTCCGAAGGCTGTTGCGCCGCCGGTGATGACCATATACGAGCCAATGACAGTGGCAGAATGGTAAGAGCGAGCTGAGGGCGCAATCGTTTGAGAGGAGATGATCGCATAAGGTGATGGGCTTGGTGTAGCACTGGATGCGACCGTTTGTGAGGGGACGGAAGCCTGCGGAGATGGGCTTGGTGGAGCACTGGATGCGAGGGTTTGCGAAGGCGTGGTGGCATCAATAGATGGGCTCGGTATACCACTGGGTTCAACCGTTTGTGATGGCGTGCTGGCACGAGGAGATGGGCTTGCTGTAGCACTGGCCGTAGCGGAGAGAATAGTCGACGAATTGGTCACCGATGTGTTCACAGCGGCGGCCAGACGCTCTACGGGCATACCAATCGCCGGCCCGGTCGTCGTCGCATCGGATGGCTTGACCGGGCTCACAGCCCAAACTCTTGCCCACTTCCACGTCCGGGAATCAAGCACCCACAGATCACCCAACAAGTTCCCTTCCGCATTCTCCCCACCAAACACGTACACTTTTCCACCTACACCGACGCACGACATGCCGCTCCTCGCACCGGGAGCGGCGGCACGAAACCACCCGGTGGCTTCTGTCCATATATCCTTTTTGACATCATAGACCCATGAATCTGGCAGCGGTTGCCCACTCATGTCTCTCCCACCCAGTAACAGCAGTAGGTTATCGGAGATTGACGCGAGACAAGAAGATTCCCTCGCCGCAGGTCGCCGCGCGAACAAGCCCGTGAAGCTCAACTGCGTGGCGGCGAACGGCTCGGATGCTGATGCTGAGAGGTCTATTGACCAGAAATCGGATTGAAAGCCTGTCGCGCCCACGCCGCCAAAGACGTAGATGTGTTCGTTGAGGTAGGTCGATGCATGGGCGTGACGAAGTGGTATCGTGGTCAGACGTTGAGGCTGCCATTGCATCTGCGACGGGTCGAATAGCCCGAGCCCCGGAATGAAGGCACTTGTACTGGATCCATCTGCCACCGTCAGTCCGCCTGTGCATCAAGTGAGATGAACGCGTTGTAAGCAAAGCAATACCAAAGGAGACATACCAAAGCAGCAGTGGAGACATACCGAAGCAAATCACTCTCCCGCCGCGCCGGTCAAACTCACACGTTTGACCCGTCGCGTTCATTCGGTTGGGATCAGGTATTGGCGTTGCGACCTCCGCCATGTGAAGCGACGCGTAGTCCATAGTTGTGACGCCGGTAGTTATCGCTTCTGCGGCTTTCCTGCGATCCTCACCTGTCGAGGAAAGGTAGATTAAGCAGTGATTCTCGAATCTCGATATTCTACTGCACACACGGATCAGCTGCTTACCATCCTTCCGATCGCCACCGGCATCCGCAGACCCGGCATCGCCCCCAATAATCAGCACTTTATCATCCACCGCCACAAGCGAGCCCTTCATGCGCGCATAACTCGTCTGTGGCAAGTTCGGCCCGGTCCCGGCTGGTAATGGTGGAGCAAAGGGAAGAGACGGGTCGGTGGGTGATGGCGCGGCGTCCAGTTCCGGGAGACCGAGAAGGAGTGTTGCGACTATGATCGTTAGGGAATGGTTGGGGCGGCGCATTGCGGTTGATGTGCTTATGTGGGAACGAGATGGGTTGAGATATGTGCTTTGAAGAATAACGACGCGCTTGGGGTTGCCGCTCGAACAAAAAATGGCATTGGCCTCCTCACGGAAGCTAGTCGTAGGCGGGAAGATGCTTGACCCTTAGTTGCTGGATCTGAAGGCTAGCCTGAATCCGATGGAGAGATGGTATTGTTTGTTCACGATGTTTGGCGCGTACGGTTCGACCAACAGCAGTTCTACTTTCTTTGCTCATGCACTGAAACTTTTCGCGCGCGAAAAAACCAGTCCAAACGACAGATGCTGGGTCAAAGAAATATGCACAAGCAAGAGAAGTCGGTGAGAACCTCAGTTCCAAGAAGTGCAGCGCATGAGCGGGAAAGGTCTTTTCTCGAACTATAGTTCGGACATATGTCTTTTCGCTTTGACTGACAGCGCGTGCTCGAGAGAGGAATGGCTTATCGACGGGGTTCCCTAGTTGTGGAAGACCTTCTTTCGTTCCAAAAGCACGCGTCAGGAAAAAGAAGGTTGGAAGCCCTTATGTCAGCACGCGTTTTGACGCCCTTTTCCCTCTGTTGTGCATCCCCCTTTCCAATTCAAGATGGGTGAAGCACCAGAGAGAGTCGCTTGCATGCACATCACAGAACTTTGACAGCCAAAGTGCTCTGAAATGGCATATCCTTGATCTGGATTTGAAGGTGTGCATATAAGACCCAAAGTAGTCCGAATCAGCAACATGGCACGAGTACGGAAGACACTCGTGTAAAGGCGTCGATATGTATATTTGTAGAGGTGTGAGGTGACGCCAATGTGAAGGCACGACGTCGGCCTATCAGCTGAGTCTCGAACGGCGAACTGCGGACTACATGCATCGACCATCGATGCTTCAAAATGGGATCAAACCCTTCGAGCAGATGACATGATCTATTCGCCAAGCCAACCGAAATGCTATCTACAAGAAAATAACGCCTACAAACTCTCAATGCTTCTCAGACCACAGCTGCTTCTGTCGCATGTGTGCCTTCAACCGGATACTTTGAATCTTGATGAACCCCTCGGAATCGGCATGGTTGAACCCGCCAGATTCGTCCATGGAAGCAATCTTGGAGTCGTATAACGAGTTTGGTGACGTTCGGCCTTCGATGATTACGTTGCCTTTGTAAAGTTTCACTGGAAATGGAAAGATTCTAATCAGTTTACTCCATGCTTGGTGCCGCAAATGCTCCAATGGCTTCAGGATCCCTTACGGTTTACGACGCCATTGACCGCCTTCTGAGACTGATCGATTGACGCTGTCAGGAACTCGCGCTCAGACGAGAACCAGAGACCATTGTAGAGAACTTCCGCCAATCGCGTGCCCGCTTGGTCTTTCAGGCGACGCAATTCACGGTCCAGGGTCAAGCCTTCCAGGTCAACGTGTGCTGCACGCAGGATGGTTCCTCCAGGAGTCTCGTAGCATCTGCACGTAGAAAAGATATCAGTCTTACGCTGTATCGTACTTCATGGGAATATTTCGATGCTTACCCTCGCGACTTGATACCAATGAATCGATTCTCCACAATGTCAACGCGTCCAATTCCGTGCTTTCGTCCGAGAGCGTTCAGGTACAAGAACAGCTCCAGAGAATCCGTTTGTGCTGTGTCCCGTTCATGGTCAGTATATTGGCCAGTTGGAGTACGGTCCGATGTTACAACTGCCTCACATGTCTGCCCATCTGTTATGTTCTCCACTTTGACCGGTTCACCGTTTACGAAATGGATTGCCTGCAACCCCACATAGCTTCAATATCTGCATGCGTATATCAGTTTCAGAGCCAAACGACACTTACGATTCGCTCCGGTGCATCGGGTGCGTCTTCTGGGTCCACAGTCAGTTTCCACATGTCCTTTGGCGGTGTAACGGAAGGGTCTTCTAGGATGCCGGCCTCGAACGAAATGTGGTACAGGTTTTCATCCGTAGACCATGGCTTCGCGGCGGTTTGGAAAACGGGGATTCCCTTCTCTTGCGCATAGTCTAGCAGCGCGGGCCTTCCCGGGAAACGTTCGAAGAATTCTGTAAGGAGAACAGATTGCGTGAGCTTTTATATAGGTCAGCCGGTTGATGCAACACCGCGCAAACCTGGGTTTCGCCAAGGAGCAATGACCTTGATGTCGGGATGAAGCGCATAGTAGCCCAGTTCGAATCGCACTTGGTCGTTTCCTTTGCCGGTGCATCCGTGCGATACATACTCACAGCCCTCACGGACCGCAATCTCAATCTGCTTTTTGCAAATCACGGGTCGGGCCAGTGCTGTGCCGAGCAGATAAACTCCCTGGAATGTGATGTTAGCTAAAGCACAGAATGACACGCAAATGAATGACTATCTCTTACCTCGTACAGACTGTTCGCCTTCACGTGCGCCCAGATGAGGTTGTCAACAAACTCTTTGCGCACGTCCTAAAGATACGGCGTTAGCCTCCTTCACGCCCAAAACAACCTATGGTCTCCTCTTTGAAAGTGTACCTCAATGAAAACCTGGGAAGCTCCAATCTTCAAGGCTTTCTCTTTAGCAGCCTCAAAGTCCTCCTCCTGTCCCACATTGGCCATAAACGCAAGGACCTCGTATCCCTGGAAGAACGCACAGGGTAAGGCCAGTTGTTAGTGTCAGTCAAATTGACGGCTTCCAGCAGAATGCCTTTCCATACCTGCTCGATAAGCCATGCGAGAATGCAGGAGGTGTCGAGACCTCCGGAGTATGCAAGAAGCACTTTGCCTTTGCCTGTTTTTGCCATTCTGAATATGTGATCTAGGCGGTGGGGTTTTCGCTAATGTTGGGAAAATGCCTTTGACGACAGTGGTTTTTTTTTGACGGGTTTGCGGGAATGCTGAGAACGGAACGCTGTGGAAGATGTATGGCCTGGGGAAATTCAAGTCCTGCCAAGTCTTATGGGTGCTTTTCTTCGGGCCTGCCCTGGACGGATAGCTTCATGGAAGACCCTTGTTTTGGCAAGCGTCTTATATTACTGCTTCGGGGGTCATATCATTTTGCGCTGGATCGAGTCTGGACCAGTTGAAATTGAAACGGCGCATGCAAGATGGGCTTATCTCTGGCGGGGACTGTGGGAACGCGTTGAGTCACTGCCCTGACTCAGAGCCAAAAAATGCAAGTATCCGCGGCGCCGAACCATCTCCACGGGCTGATCATCAACCGGCCAACAGTGCACCGACAAGAAGAACCGTAATGAACATTACCGAGACACTTGATTATGAGCAAATGAATTCTATGCTGTTCCTCCTTCATCTGCTCCCCGCAAGGAGCCAACTGGGCAAACTATCAACTTCCAGAATGAAAAGCAGTGGCCTGTCTGGCCATATATGCACACTGTACGAGCTAGACCGCCGAAGATAATGCATAGGCTCGCCCAAACCCCGTAAAGAGGAGGTTACTGAGAGGAATCCATCCCCACAAATAATCCCTGAAATTCGTGCAGTGCGGATTGGAAAGATTCAGAAAATGCCATTGGTGTCTATGATACAGTTGCGATCGTCAGCGTGATACTTCCTCAATCGGCTCCACTTTGGTATTCGACGGCTCCACTTTCGTATTCGACCCTACATTCCCTCCAGCTTCCAGGCGCACATGTACCTCCACACCTCCTTGCTCTCCTCCATCAACCTCCAAAACCAGATGGACGCCATCCCATCTCCATCCGTTTGCCGCATCAGCGGGCTCGACCATCACGCGAACGCAACCCCGGTCGGCCCAGGGACCTCTTAGTGGGACATAGATCACGGTGTCTTTCTTGGAAGGTTGCGCGACAAAGTCCAATTCGAAGGCTGATGTGGCCGTGGACGCGCTCCGGAATGTCGATTGTCTCGATACGGTTCGCGTAGTGCTCTTTACGGACGACTGTCTTGTCGCCGGGCGTGATGACGAAGGGGTTTGCGATGCTACTATGGAAGCTGCTGGGCGAGGTGGTGGTGGGATGTACGAAACCCGTGTCGGCGTCCCGCTCACCAAGAACGCGTGAGGTCGTATTGCGGCCAACCCCGCTCGTGCCCCTTCCCAGTCATTCCCCGCATCGTCTTTCGAATATAATGATAAATCCTCGTCGTTCCATTGATCGCCCCATTGGTGGCAATTATCAGGGCAGTAGTTCCACAGTGTAAAATGCAGCAAATTGGATTCCATGGCAGCCAAATTGGCGTCCAACGCCAAGTGATGATTTTTATAATCTCCCGTGATATAAGCGACGCGGTTGTTGAGGTCGAATGGAATACCAAACTCGCCAATGAGAGTGGGTATCTGATCCCCAAGCCTCTCCGTCGTCGCCTTCTTGATCCACGAGAGTTGCAGGGCAAAATTTTTGCGGATACCGTTATAACCAAAACTGAGAGAGGATAGCAGCGTCTTGTACATCCCAAACTTCCAACCGACGTAATCGAGGGTGAAAAAGCTCGTGAAGCTCTTTTTGATGAGGGTCATCCCATCGTACCAGTGGGGCGCATTTATGAATCGGCCGGCGATATCGCTATCCGCACCCTCCCAATCGAAGGGAGGTGGTCGGTGATTGACCGGTGGGTCAAGGAAAATGATGGCTGATGGGTGGGCCCCTCGTAATGCTTTCGTAAAGTCGCGGACGAAGGGTTTCCAGAACGTCAGGGTCCAGTCGTCAATGATATCGCCGCTGACTGGATCGCGTGCAAAGTAGTCTGGTCGCAGAAGCTTCCCTGTCTCGGGGTCCCAAACGCCATGATCGGCCCAAATGCAGGTTTTCCCTTCCCGCCATGCCCGCACTTTGGACTCGTTTATCGTAACTGAGCCAACCTTCCCCGGGCCATTCCATTTGAAGTCACAGTCGGCTACTGTGACGGTTGCGCCGTTGCCTGCGAGCATACCCTCAAAGGGCGAGGGCGTTGGGCCCAGCTTGAGTTCCCATTCTCTTGGCACTTTGCCACAATGCGCAATGCCGATGTATCCACAGGCTGGTTCGTTCAGCGTGTCGTATCCGACAACAACATTGTCTAACAAATCTCCTTCTGACTTCAATCGTTCCGCTAAAACAACATACGACTGGAAGTAATGCCGCTGGAGATACGTCTGGATGTTCTCTCCGTCGACTAAACATTTTGGCGCAAACGTCTTCCCGGCGAAGAAGAGAGTGAACATGGTCGCTGCTGCAAGCTTGTTGTAATTGGTTGACCATATCATGCGCGGAACGGCGGTGACATCTGGATACGTGTTTTGCGAAATGCAGGCTCCCGAGGGCGCAAGATTCTCCAATTCGAATCCTGCAAGCTCCAATGTCCATCCCGGTGCGCCACTTCCGCCCGTAAAACGGGACCATACATCCTGATGAGGATCAATCAAGCATTTGAATCGATACTCTTTTGCTTTCCGGAGCACTGCCACCAGATAATCGAAATACTCCTCGTCATATTCTCCGGGGCCTTTGTGCTCAATGGCTTCCCAGGTGACAATAAACCTGAGGAACATGAAGCCCCACGCAGCTAGCCTTCCAAAGTGCTCGTCCGCGTCTTCTAAAGGAAACGGCCTCCCAACAAAGCTGACGTTCCGATGATCAAAGAAGCCTTCGGTTGTATGCGTTGTGATGTAGGGCTTGAAAGGCATTTTTGAAGCTCCGCTGAGGTTGATACCACGAAGGAGGACGTTGCGGCCCAGGCCATCGAGGATGAGGCCGTCATGAATCTCAAGCGGGGTATCGGCGTAAGAGGCAATGGGCGACGCTTCTGGTGGGTGATCCTGCTGCTTCTCGGCCTCCCGGAGCAGTGGCTTGACGGGTGAAGATTGTTTGGCGGCGTCCGGTTCGTAAGTTTCACCCATTGAAGATGGCATGTGCGTGTGCGGGCTTTGCGAGGGTAGGCCCAGATCTAGGTGCACTGAAAGCTTCCTGTGGCACTCGATTCAACAATAAGAAGCTTCTCCAATCAGGCTGTTACTTACGGTGGGAATTGGCTAAAGCGGACAGGTATACATGGCCAGAACAGGGCTGCAAGCTTGGCGCTTGACAATTGAACGCAAACAAACAAAGGGCAGCTCCGGCAAGAGGGCAAGCAAGACTCACGCGATTGTGCTCACGTCACGCCTGTCCTCTTGATACCCCGCTCTCTCTTCCAACTGAATCTGAAGTACCTAGATCTACACTGCCATCTATGTATTATAGACGATTCGGTTCTACATAATGTACGGGTGAAATATGCTGCGAATTCCGCAATTGGATTTCATTCGCCTTCATCGGGCGAGCCATTACCAAATTTCCCGACTTTCTCGGCTCGTAATTTGGCCGCTAATGCGAGACCTTCTCGTTGCTTCCGCTCCTTCCTTTCCTCCTTCGTCTCAATCGTCGCCTTCGCATCCGTCGATAAAGCCTCCATTCCCGGTTCCGAAAAAGCGGCAGTGATGCCTGCCTTGAATTTATCGATTGTCTGCTGGTTCTTCGCGAACTTTGCGTTGGCTAAAACACTGAGGAATTCCACATGTGCCTTGGACGCAAACAGATGGACTGTTCCATTGGCATTCGGCCGATCGTCGCTGCCAGCCGCTTCTGGTACGTCCAACCAGCCCAGAACCGCGTCAATCTTCAGGCTCCCACGTATTTGTACCATCCGATTCTGAATGCCACTGTTCGCAAAGCCGCACGCCAATGCCACGGTCAGTAGAGCATCGGCAGCTTCTCGTGTTCGGGCAAGTACGTGCAATATGAATGGTTCGAACTTGAAGTAAATGATGGGCACATTGATGTCATGTGGCGTGGACGTCGTGAATCGCAATGAGCAATCCTCCTCCTTGTGGTTTGGGAAGAGCATTGACCAAAGCTTGTCGGACGCTTCAGCCGACCCTTCAGAACTGATGATCGTTGGTAAAGGATCATGTGTCACACTCAACCAGGTGCCGCCTTTCGTAACCTTCTCTGCTGTTCCCGGTGCAGCATCGACATAGACCGCAACTCGTCCAGAGCAGCTTGAGGTCGTTACTAAATCAGTACTGGAAGAACGTCAGAAATCGCACAACAAAGGAAAAAGTCAGACCGATCTGCCCGTAGGGTTAGTTTGTGCCCCTTTGTGCCAGCACATTTCTCTAACGTTGATAGAAAGCAACATACCACTCATTTATGACGTTCAATAGAGGAATAACGGGCGTATCTATGCTGCCTTTTGGCGATTTGTCTATTGTATACGCGAGGATATCTTTCTTCCGCTGGTCAAAGCTTTCCTCCTTGAGCCCCATTCTCATTAGCGGCTTCCCTGCTCTACGACCCTGTCTTGAGACTATTTTTGCTGCACTTGTCACAGCGGATGCCATTGAGAAGCCTAAATGTTGCAGGTTGCAGCCTGGCTTTTGGAGGACCTCGATCAAATTTAAAGGTTCAAGAGTCACGTGGCGCACTCGTTCGCCGTTTTCTGGGCAAGTCAGGGGCAAGTGACTTCTGAGGTTTTGACATTTGTCGTCTTCATATACAATTCTCAGAACGCAGATACCTTTACGAGCGCACCACCGCTGAAATGGCACAAGGAAAATTCAAGAAGGCCTCCGCCGGCCCGTCGTCAGTCTTGGCAAAAAAGCACCAGAAGAAGGAGCTCACTGGGCCAAAGAAGCGTGAAGGTGCGTTTGCAATGCCATTGACCACCACCGACTGTCAGAGTCTCTAGAAACTGATTATTCTTCTCAGGCAAAGCTATCGCACCAAAACACCGAGCACTCATCAGTCAGAAGACCTTGCAAAAAAAACTCTCGGCAAAATCGATAGTGCAGACGGAGCGTCTCATGGCCGCTCGCGCTGGAGCCACGGGAAAGCTGACGATAATGAAGAAGTTGGGGGAGCAGGCTAAAGCAGAGTTGGACAAGGCCAAGGCAAAGAAGTAGACGGATCGATGAGAAGTTTCGTTCACTGGTCGTGGCGCCGTATTGGTTAGCACTTGTCCCGGGACTTCAAGCCGGGCACTTTTTGGAGCATCTAGTCACAGTTCGTAAGCAATATTGTACATACTATTCCCCAAATATCATTCCGACAGTACGAGATATCGGGGCGTGAAGTTCAAGTCTGTGGTGCGCCCATTTGGTCCCCCTTCGACCCGAATGGCACCTCAGGGATGGGTTGTGTGTCTGTGATTGTCATTCAGGTATATCAAGGACCTCCAATCCTTCCGTGCACGTCCAATTGCTCATAAGACGTCCCATGGGTGCTATCTGGAGTGTCTGCATCATTTCGCATCTTGGATCGTCAGATCTTGCATTCCCTGCAACTCGTCCTCAATTCCTCCGGGGTGAATCTCCGTCAAATGAGGCGATTTGTCGGCCTGGTCCACATTCGGCAATGTTGGCGGGTGACTCGTTCTGCATGGTTGAAAGCATGAGTATCATGCCGTTTAGTGTAATCCAGAAGGAACACTTACACTCTTGGCGACAATGGCTGATTGAGTGACAGTTTCCTGTCTTGCTCCGGATTCGGCTTTTGACGCAAAGCCCTCTGCGTCGCCAGCTCCTTGATGATCAACTCTGCGAAACTGATATATCAGCGGCGCAGTTCATCTTTGTATAGGTTTCTCCCCAAATCTACCTTTGATAGACGGAATATCATCTGCATCCTCGAACGAGAAATCAAACATCTGCGGGTGTGTTGGTTCATCATCTTCCATATGGTAGCTTCGCAAGTACGGGTGGCGTAGCCCTTGGTCCGCCGTGATGCGTTGGGTGGGTGAGTATGCAAGAAGACGATCGATCAGGTCGATCCCCTCAGAAGGTGCGGTTGTAAAGATTTGATCCAGCTGTCGCTTTGGACGCTTCCTCCACGAATTTATGAGCTTGTACACCTGTTGGAGTAGTACATATGTGAGCAATAATCATCTTCTCTCTGGGGTCCCTTTCAGACAGTACCTTTGGAGAGCAAAGCCCCATAGCCGCCAAGTCTGGCGGCGTACCCATCATATCGAAGATCGTCTCAAGCTGATTCACAAAGTCCCTTCCTTTGAACAGCACTTTCCCGACATACAGCTCGCCGAAGATGCATCCAACAGACCACATATCCAGCGACATGTCGTAATGACGTGGGGATAAGATGACCTCGGGCGCGCGATAGTAACGAGTCGCGACGTATTCAGTTTGATAAAGGTGTGCATTGCTGGTGGGACGGCCACGTGCGAGACCGAAATCGCAAATCCGGAGGGAGCAGTCGCTGTTGACGAGAAGGTTTCCTGCGGAATGCAAATCCTCCCGTAAGGATCATCACATAAGTGCAGAAGGGCCGTCCTCTCTGATTGATACCCGGCTTCAGATCCCTGTGCACGATTCCCGCGGAGTGCATCCATTTCAACCCTCTCAAGATCTGATATATGAAGTATTGGCGATGCTGCTCGGACAGCACTTGGCCGGATTTGACAATCTGTGCGAGGTCCGCCTCCATCAACCCCTCAACGAGATACAGCTCGTTGATGTATGACGGATCAGTCGTGTTTGCTTCCGCTTCTATGAACTCCGCGACCTTTTATAGTAGGATCAGTAAGGGAAACGACCTGCTGGTATCGAAAAGAGGCTTTTACAAACATTGTCGTTTCCGTTGAGATGCCGAACAAGCAACAACTCCCTCAAAGCTCGCTTTGCCAGAATCAACTCATCGAAATTCCGTGCCCCGATTTTCTTGATGGCTACTTTCGCTTCCGTCTCCCGATTCTTCGCCACCCATACCGTTCCATAAGCGCCCTTTCCGATGATCTTTTGAAACGAGTATTTAACGGAAATGGGATGGGCGAGCGAAGGGACGCTGGTTGAGCGTGGGAGGCCTGCCGAGTCTGTCATTATAAGCGAATTTCCTTCAGTTCCAGTGATCACAGGAATACAAGGTTCGGAGGGGAATGAATATGCGCCGTAGCAAAGATACGAGGATACGCACCCAAAAAGCCTTTAACTCATTCAGACCGCCAATGATTACCTAAGTTTTGACAGCGTGATTGGAAGCCCGTCAGTTTCCAAATTCTCTCGCCATTTACTTGCCATCAATAATGCTAATTTCTTTCCTCGATTCCTCTCAATGGGGAAAGCATGTTTCAGTGACGTTTGCGTCAGATCTAGGTTAAGATGCGCGACCTCCCAAGTGTCCCGTCTTGGATGAGCAAACCGCCGAACATCAACGAAGTGAAATACGATAGACCCCATCAGAATGCTTGAAGCCCGGAAGAGGTTTCACCTCCAAGATGCGCCGAGGTTGGCAACGAAAGTCTGGTGCTGGCGTCATAAGCGCTCATTAGCGCTCTCCAGCGCACGTCCTCTTCCATAGCAAGCTCGGCGCAATGGTTGAATGTTCCGCATCGTTAAGAGACTTCCTGATTTGGCGGATGCTTCGTGGGTTTGCCTTCTTCCAAGCCGGTCACACTATGACGCTCGCTCAATATTTTCACACATCGATTCGAGTTCCGAACATGCCGCCGAAGACTCGTGCAAGCCCAAGGAATTAATTGAAACTGCTATGATAATTGCGCTCGAATGCCACCTTGTCCGAGGAGGGAAATTTCATATGTCTATCTACTATCTATATCACAGACGTTTCCACATTATCTGAAGAGTGCTCTCAGATCTGATTCCCCATCTCCATCCACAAAGTGCGCACGTGATCAGACAATTGTTTGTTACGCCGCGATGTTTCTCAGAAGGGAGAACATGCCCAGAGGACAGCGATCCTGATTGTTATGTCACGAGGAGTCCTGCCGTTGTTCGTGTCATACTAAGGCCCTACAATTTCCCCATTGCCACAAGAGGCATCACTTCAGTCAAATCGTGCCACTTCGAAGCCAAAGGAATCGGCACATCCTCGAAAATGCCCGCAATCCCGAGGATGGCAAGTGTCATAATCCCTGCCGAAACAAGCAGAGCAGTTGTCCAGGTTCCAGGGTTGACTCGTTTTCGCATCAACTTCATGCTCGAGAGAGCTTGCTGGATACCGAAGGCCGTGTGATAGATCCCAGCTGTTCCCAATATGATGTAATATGGATAGAACAAGGGAGCGGTCCAGTCGGCCCGGAGTGAATGGGTTACAAAAGTCAAATCGATGATGGACGTGTCGGGCAAGACTGTGGAAAGGTATTGTAAGTTTCTTTTACCAATATTCGCTGAGGCAAAAGAAAAACCCGTTCCAACCTTTCAAAGGGGTAATTCGTGTCGCCAGAACGTGGACGCCCACCAATGCGGTAAGGACATAGCCGCTCAGGCGATGGAACTGCAATTCCCGTTGTGCTGCTGTCTGTGCGGGTTTTTTCACAACTTCTTCAGCTGCGTTTGTCCGCTCCATCTTCTCCGCGCTATTCTCCAGCTTATCCTTCTCGAGGCGCGAATTGAGTTTTTTGATGTTCCTCGTGCGAATGACGACCCTTGCTAAGCTGCTTCCAATGTGGACTACTAGTGACGCACCAACTACGAGCGGCTCGACAACAGGGTTCTGGTAGACTGGTCCATTTCGTCAACTTGACATTCCAATTAAGAAGAGAGTGCACCACAGGTGAACTTAACTTACAGACTCGGGACGCAAATAAGGCTGTATCGGCAAGGGAAAAGCTGAAGCTGGCTAATAAATGTCCACCAAGATGCAAGGCAGAGAAAGAAGAGAAAGCAAGGCCAGAGACCTGCCAATTTGGCGTTTATAAGCACATAAGTCAAGTATGCAGCGATGAATGAGCAAGCAAAGATAAGGAGACGCACCTGCTGAACTCTGGCCAGGGTTCGGTCGACCGTACGTAGGTCCATTGCAGATGCAAGCCCGACGGGAATATACTGTATGTACGTAGTTGGGCTCTTGGTTTGTTTCCAAGTCGAACCGTTTGGTGATCGACAACTCACCATCACGAGTCGCGCTGTCGATTTCCTTGTGGGTCGGAATCCATGGAATCCGACCCTGTCAACTTGATTTCTCTCATCCTCGAACGGCTTTTTGCTCGGCTCGACATTGGGTTTACCGCACTCTGGCCGACATGACGATTCCCACTTTGAGCTCTCCATACACTCAAGCACATAAGTTTCAGATTCGTTCTACATGCACAGCAAGGAAAGACGAAAGGGACATAATCGGAGTGTTGGAAGTCTTCACTCTCATTCCGTATTCTCACCCATGCTGTTTTGGGCAGCATTCCAGAACCGCGTGTAACCCCAAACCGTGACATAAGCACCTGCTCCCACAGCGTTTTTGATCAGGGAATCGTAAGCTTGCCTGGTCCCATTCGTTGCTTAGGCTCAACACATGTGCAGCGCCCTTCCCGGAGGCTCTCCAAGGTAAAGTCTACGCATTGTTTCAGGTTGTTGTTTGGATGAACTGGACGGTCGCTGACGCTAAAGTCAGGACTTGGCACCGACCTCCTAGAGCCTGCCAGCTGTTGAGGTGGTAAAAGATTGTGGGATGGGGAGCTCCCTTGTAAGCAGGAGACATGATTCTCAACACAAACTCTGGATAGATGCCAGTCAATGTCAATGGGACGCCCAGTTGGTTTTCCAAGCGGAAGCGGTGAGGAGCTCCTTTCCCGACCATTGCACATGTTACATGCAGAACTCGAACATGCCATGCACGAAACGAGCAAGAGACAAGATCAAGCGCGAGGCATGAATTGATCATATCCTCTTTGTAGCTCATTCTTCCTCTCGATTTCCACCGGGTGCCAGTGTCAAGGTTGACGCCGCTTATCCTTCTGGGATGGCGCGCGCATCTTCATCTCCCTGAGCGTTGCATCTCTATGTAATCCGTGCGTTCAGTTCAGGCCCCCAACGATCTTGGTCGTGATGCTTTCGGGAGCGACCGCCAGAAATGCGGAAAGTTCCCATGATGCGCTGCTGAGTCTGCGCACTGAATGAAGAGGCCCTCCGAATTTGCTTGCGAGAATGGGGTTGGCGTCAGGGTTATTTATCAACATGCTTGATCAATCGTCCAATAGTGTCAAAACCGGTCAAAACTGGTGCCGATTTTTGCCTGCGCTTTCTTTTTTGCGCTTGCCAGTGACAACATTTTGCCTCAGACATGAATTCGAAGCGGAAATCGAAGGCATGTGATGGTTGCCACTGCCGTCTTTTCTCCACTGATCCTATCTCCTAAATACATAGAACTGCTGCATCCGTGGAGGTGCAGGCAGAGAGCTGGTTGCGTGCGTGACCTTGTTCTTGACGCGGCATTTGGTCTGCGCCTCCTGGGAGTCCTGGATGTGCATGTCCTCCAAGTTCTCACGCCAGTTAGGACCGAGCGGACATGGATGTGACGACTCCTCCTCGGACAACGAACTTCGAAGTCACGCCATTTCCCCCCATCCCACTTCCCAAGACCACGTCCATCACCCGGCTCCCTTACATATACAGTACACGGCACGCAGAGACAATCCCAGCACACTGCCTACCCACCAACAGACGGACAACAGTGCAACAGCTAGCTGCAACATACTGTGTTCGCAGCGTCGTCTCAAGGCACACTCCATGCTCCAAACATAACCTCTTCCACCGCGTCAGCGATAGTGACCTGCAAGATGATAATCGCCGTAACCTTCCCCGCGGCCAGCTCCCGCGACAGTTACTCGTTTAAAGTGCAGTCTCCCAACTTGGCCTTCCGCGCCCAGCTTCAGCGCACGCTACGAAGGAAGCGTGCACTCAATGCATCACTCGACAGTGAGAGCGAGGCCGGGTCGGACAGCACTTGCGGCAACGAATTGGACAGCAGCGGGGATGAACCGGCTGCAGTGGTTGCGGATACGGATACCGGCAAGGATAACAGCTCCGCAGAACGCAGCTCGGGTGAAGATAGCGACAGTGCTACAGTACCTCCCACTACGGAGCCCGGCGAAGCAGACTCTCGGAAATCACCAACCAGGTCGACTAAGCCCTTTGTGAGAACGAGCGGGCCAAAAAAGAAGAGCCCTGTTCGCTCTCCTTCCGCTACAAAGGGAAAGGCCCAATTGGCTCTCAGCCCTTCCCTCACGGGGAAGAGTGGTTCGGTGTCGAAAGTCACGAAGAAAAGCCCCACCCGCCAGTTCCGCCCCAACAAGTCTGATCCCAAGAAAAGGAACCGGACTCAGAATGGAAAGAGAAGAGAGCCTGCGAAGGCCCCGGGGCTGGGCATTCCATCTAATGACCCTTCTCGTTCGGATGAGGCACATCTTGCCAGAGGTAATACTTCGTGCCGCTGGGGAAAGCGCTCATACCGCATCCAGGTGGCTGATCTTTTTCTGACACATTTTCTGATCATGTAGACCCGGCGTGTTGGCGAAACTCGATAATACGACGCGTGGAATTCTCTCTAGCTGAGTCAGAGGTGCGATGCACGCTGACAGACGACACTACATACAAGTGGCCGCTCGATAGGCATTGTCAAGGGCGTATCGAGAAAGCGATTCCCACCACTTCTGCTCCCGCCGAGCAACGATGTGACTGCTCGCCAAGCCCAGTAGGCCATGCCGCAGGCCGCAAGTGGCAGTGGAAACAAGCTGTCTTCCCAGAGAGCGACGATGGGCAGCAAATGGCCATGTGCTGTGAAGCCGCCGCAAAACAAGCTGACGCGAGGACAGCGCGTACCAACACTGAGCTCGTAGATTGCTTCCAGAGATTTGTCAGCCCAAAATTGAACAATTTACTCCCTGGAACCCTTCGCGAATGTAAGTTGATAGTGGGATACTTGCCTGCCAGATGTACATTCTGTCATAAGCCGTGAGGAGGTTGGCCTTCAGTCCAAACTCGACTCGTTCCAAAGTTTCTTCACGCTGGCGTGCAATCCTCTCATGCCTTTCCTTTTCCCTTTTCTCGCAGTCGTTGTACATAGTCAGATCAATCGCGCCAAACGCCGTCTCGAAGCTTTGAAGGCGCCGCATATCCCTTGTGAAGCGGGTTTCACAGAAAAGCTGCTTCGCTTGCAGAACGCGTTAGCTGACATCCTCCTATCGCACGCCCTCGACATCGTCAAAGGCTCTGTCTGGTGGGTGCCGCTAGAGTACAAAAGGGCGCACCACCCGCACGGCAAATTGGAGGGTCCCGACGCGAACGAACCCAGGCCTGATGTCGAGCTGGACACCATACTGTTCGATCTGCAAAGCCTGGCAGATAGAGTCCCTTCAGGCTTTGCTCAGGCGTGGCCAAAGGACCCCCCTATAAGGCTGCTCAGGATTCTGCATCGTATGGCATGTCGAGCGAAATGGGATGTGAAGGTGCAGATTCAGAAACTGAAGACAAAGCAAGCAGAGCTCGGTCAGTCGATCGATACGGACGAGTCCGACCACTCCGAATCAGCATGGGACGCAAAACGTCGCAACCAGCCAGTCACTGACGTCACGGTGGCAGAAAGCCAACTGGCAACCTTGAATATGATGCAGGACTGCTTTTTCCAACGCCTCCAATCCCGAGAAGGGGAGACGGAGGAGGTCCGAGAGCTACAGGGGGAGTCCGCACCACCTGCTCAACGCCTCGACGAACGGGAGACCCGTCACCTTCGCATGTTAATGCGCGACGCCGGTGTGCGCCGGGAGTCTGGCAAATCCGTCGTACGCGTCAATCACATGGAACTGCACAAAATCGTTCTTCGCCTGCGAAAAGGGCCCATCCCGTTCCTTCAGTGTAGCGTCAAGACGGATACGCCTGAAGACAAGGACTTTTGGGAACAGTTGGTGGAGCTGTATGGCCTTGTGGCTTTGCATATATTTACTATTGAGCGGTCGGCGGAGTGGATGCAGGGGCTTGCAAAAGTAGGTCCTTTGCTTTTTCACAATGCCATCATGCACAAGTAATCACCGTGATTGGCCTCCCTACGTAGGAAATTGCGTCACTGGAAAAACGCCTCGTCGTGATCAACGAAGAGAACGCCAAGGCTCGTGAGCGCGAGGCCCAGCTCATCGTAGAGAAACGAAAACGCGTTTTGGCGGCTTCCTCGTCTAGTAACGCATTCTCGCCCCACCTCCCGCCCGCCATTCATCAGATTGCCGTGCCCGCGGAACCAGCACCACTGTTGTTGCCACCGGTCATGCTGGAAGTCAGCGAAACTCCCCCAAGCGAAGGTCTTCTACCTGTCCAGAGGGTTCCGCTTGCGAAAGATACCGCGGAAGGGCTTAGCGAAACTGCCTCATCTGCCACAAGCGCTATCGAGGTGATGGCGACCCTCGAAGCCTTGTCCAAAGCGGAGATTCCCATTACCACAAGTCTGCCTGCAGGGTGTGAAACTATGAAGACGGTCCCGCCATCAACTCTGATGAACGGTGAAGGCGGAGCAGAATGTATCTGTATCTCCGACACACTGGATGCTACCCGCGCTGATAGCATGCCGTCAACGCCACGTGTGGAAAACCCGAATATCCCGATCCCGACGGAAACAACAGGTATCGCTCCACAAGGGCAGCTCGGGAAGATACCCAACGTGCTTACTGATGAAACGGATGCTGATAAGCAATCAGCGAGCGCGTTCGACAACGATCAATGGTGGCATGATCTGATCAGCCGCGGCCGGGCTATCCGCCTAGCGAATGAGGAGAGCGGAAGATGGAAAACAGAGGAAGTAGGGAGCATCGGCAGTGAAATATCAACGGGAGTGTTGGCAGAAGGTGGAATCAGGGATATGGAGACCGACGCGTGCACGTTGCCGTCCTTGGGAAGCGGTCAGGGCCCAGCCTATGATGAAGTGTCTCATCCCATGGATGTGACCACCGACGTTACCTCCGAGCCCTTATTGGGAGGCGAGAAACGGGCCGTTGAAGCAACGTCCGAGCCGATGACTCCATGCCACAGTATGGAGGCACCAGGCGAGTCAATCGCGAAGTCCGCAGAGGGACATGATACTCTTAGCCCGGAGGCCGAATTAGTGAATGGAGGAAGTATTAGCCGACAGACTCCGAGAGCTGTGGGAGTGTTGGATACTCGCGGCCCGCAAAGCTCGTCTAAAAAGGCGCTGTATGAGCGATCTTCTATCCGCCGTCGTTCGCTTGGGGCGCGAACCCACCCTGGGCTGGAGAAACCGCGTTTTTCCGATTCCTACCGTGGCAACACTGCCGGCACCGAAGCAGATGATGAGATGGATTTTGATGATTCCGGTAGTCCTCACAGCGTTCGCCAAGGCGGTGAGTCAGAGCCGGCGGGAAACGCGTCCCCAGCATCGGTATCTCTGCAGCCTCTGGCGCTGGCGACCAAACACGTACGGCTCGATGAGGGGGAAAGCGGGGGCGAGCCGGCGCCTAAGAAGAGGCGCTACGAGAACGCTGCAGGCGCCCGTTTTCCGTCCGGTGACAGAAGCGGCACACCCCCCACCGCCTCGACTCGCAGCAGCGTGGTGGGCGGAAAGTTGAAGGCGTCACCGCCTCGCCGCTATACGAGACATTCTACGACTATTGGGAGCTCACACGGGTCTAAATCTGCGTCTTCGCCGCCTCGCTCTGCTCGCCATCACCTTATTATCGGCGGGTCGGCTGGTATCGGCGGAGGAATCGCCAGGGACGGTGGCATCGCCGCTGGGAGTGGTGATACCGTCCACGGCATGATCGTTCAGGACGACGCCGAAGAGCCGGGGCATCACCCCGATGCCGAGCATTACAGAATGCATCAATTGCAACAACAGCAGTTGCAACCACCTGGGCCCCGAGTGACGGATTACTATCCCATTGTGAAGATCATTAATTAAGACGAGGCGCGGATTGGGTCTAGCGGTTGCGAGGACAGGACAAGAAGCGGATATGGACGATACTGTGAATTAGGGAGGGTGAATGAATGCGAAAGGAATAAGGAGGGACTGTTTTTTTGGATCCCCTCAACCCACGCCCGACAGACACCTCACGCGGGAGTGAAGGTCTGCGGTGTTAAGCGTGCGGTAGAGCTGGGTTTGCGTTTATGTTTGAAGACCCGGTGATGGAGAGAGTGTGGGATACCTGTGGGAATACCCATCATCAAACGTGGATAATATCGTAAATAATATTGTCTCCATCCATGGCCGATGTCCCAAATGACTCAATGAGAAATGACTGGTCAGCTCTGAAGCCAAGGAATAGTTGCGCAAGGCAAGCATACGAGCGGTAGCGGTCGCCTCGCCAACAGTAGGCGATCTGGTTTCGAGCCACTGATGGTGACAACTGCTTTGCGCATCACTGACAGGCCATTATCGTAAACTGTGCTTTCCTCATTCCGACAGTTACCATCAGATTTGAGATTAAACTATAGTCGATCCTTTCTATATGTATATGATATAAGTTACAGTAAACTCGCGAATCTACTATTGTACGGTTTCGGATTTGCTAGGCACGCCTGGTGGTTGAGTGTATGCAGGTCGCAATTCCAGATCTTTCGATTGGAGATCTCGCACCTGATTCAGCATCTTGTCAATCACATCCAACGACCATTCCATGTTAGTCAACTGCGGCGAACGGGGAGTTTTCGCCTGCGGGGTGCTATATACGGATGTCGGCCGAGATCCCTCGGAAATGGAAGATCCTTTATTTCTGGTGATGGTGCTGGCATCGACGACGTGGATATTATTGGCGAGCTGGAACTTCTTGATCTGTCCTTCCTGTTCGACGGGACTATTCATGGGCAAGATCATCGCCTTCGCTTCCAATGGTGAGGCTACCTGCAGCTTGAATATTGGCGATAACGGCATGGATGGTAACGATTGGGAGAATCGCAATTTTGACGAGTTCATCTCCCGCGGTCCTTTCGGGCGTCCATTTCGCGGCCTCTGAAGCTGCACCGGTGCGTACGGTAATGTCACTTCAGGTGATTTATCGGCCGGCGCAGGATTCAGACCTAAGATGTTGGAAGCGGAGAGCGAGAACCGTCTGCTTTGGTTCGCGAGACCCTTTGCGATCTTCTGTTTGCGTAGTGACGGGAACATGGCTTCGACGGTTGTTTCGTGGATGTTAGACTTTGGTCGGGTTGAGATCGGCTTAGCGCACATCAAGTCTTTATTTATGCTCTGGAAACCTTTCGCCGGTAAACATACTTGCTTCCCTGATCGCGGCCTCCTCCGCCACGGTAAACATAAACTATTTTTAGCAGGTCGACCGTTCCGAAACTAGTTGAAACTTCAGACGCTACACTGTTGCCACTGAAAGCTCGTCATGTGAAAGCCTGCGGCATCACTCAAGAGAGTCGAAGCGGTCACAGCTGAAGGGAACCGTGACTACTACGTATGGAGTTAGGAACCACATTCAAAGAGATCGACTCGAAAAAATTCAAATTCCAAAATCATATGTATTGTACTTGTAACTGTAGTAACTGTACACGTACAACTTATGTGGAACATTCTCAGAAACTTTAAAAACCTTGTTACACGGGAGACAAAAAACGACGCACAATGATGTCACTGTCATGTTCGAAATATCGGACCCTGCTGCTGCCTCAGCCTGCCTCTGCACTCAACTCAATTGAACCGCTCTCAGATTCAGAAAATATATAAGACCTTCTCGGCTTCGAGGATTCCCCGGACCAACACAGCTCGATCATAGGTCTTTTACTGGAAATTACTGCGAAGATGCCAGCAAGAACAACCGAGCGCACGCCTCTCGTCGGGAGCCGCAACGCAAACGGCCGGCAGACTCCGAACGAGGCGCCTCAAGACTCGCCAGAGTTCTTGAAATACCGAAAGAGAGTATTGGTGTTACTCGTCTCTGCTTATACAGTATGTTACATAGCCGTCTGGACGATCATGACTAAGAGCATTCGCTAATCGGAGCGCATTGTTGTCTTTGGTTAGGCCTACTATTTCTGCAAAACAAATCTTCCTCTGGCCATCCCGTACCTGGAGAAAGATGAGGGGCTCAAAAGGACGGATATCAACATTGTGCTGACTTCCGGATACGTGATGTACTTGATTGGAAAGTAGGTGTAGTCGTTGAATGTTCGCACGACAGATCGAGTGACGATTGCCATTTGTTAAGCTTTCCCTTTTATGCCACCAGGTTCCTCTCAGGATATTGCAATGACCAGTTTGGTGGGAGATGGACATTGATAGGAGGCCTCGTCGGATCCGTCATCAGTAGCATTCTTTTCACGCTCAAAACGAACGTGCCGTACTTCGCTGTTATCCGCGCCAGCAACCAGATCTTCTCGAGTGTGGGCTGGGGCGGATGCGTCAAGATTGTCCGGGGATGGTACCCACCAAGCCAGGCTGCACATGCCATTGCGATTGCCTCACTGGGCGAAACACTTGGCGACGCTGTCGTCCGCTTGACCCTTGGTTCGGCGCTGCTCGCTGGTTTGGCCTGGCAGACGATGTTTCTGATCTCGGCTGCCGTCGCGGCCGCCATTCTGATTCCCTCGTGGTTCATGCCTGGGACTCCTGAGGATAAGGGGCTTGAGGCGCCGGTGGAGAAGGAGAAGGAGGAGCAAGAGAATATGGAAAGCCGTTCCATATTCAAGGATGGAGATGATGGGATTTCCGCCATCCTCAAGAGCGGCAGGGTCTGGTTGCTGTCGATGGAGTTGCTTGTCGTCATTTTGGTAAGGACGCTCTCAAAACGGAGATTCTGCTATCTACTGGCACCTAAATTTCTCTCCTTGCCCGACAGGTCCGCGAGTCCTTTGCGAGCTTCGTCTCCTCTTTGATCGCTGCGGAGCTTGACCTCTCCGCCGCGCAAGCTAGTATCTACTCGGCCATTTTCCCGGCTATGGGTGCCGTATCAAGTATCGGAGGAGGAATGCTTCTCGACCGAGCGACGCCCGGCCGCCGAGGCTTGATCCCACTGGTCTCCTTTGTTGGCTTAACCCTGGCTCTCATTGGCATGTGGGCCGTTACACCATCGAGCGCCGGTCAATCTGGAAGTACATTCGACGCTTTCATAGAAGCCGCGAAGGACAGCAGCCACACAGACACCAAGCAGATTGTCTTGCTGATAGGAATGATCGGGTTGGTTGCGCTGTTCCTATACGCGCCGAAGGTTATCATTGACGGCGCATTTGTAATGGACTTGGCGGGAGGCGCCGACAAAGTCGGGAAGGTTACCGCTTTCGTCACGGGTGTGGGATATATTGGTGGATGTTTGTCGCCTACTGTGTCTGGCTCACTCGCCGATGTGAAGGGCTGGCCGGTTGCCATCCTGTTGATGGCGGGGCTCAGCGGTTTTGTTACCCTGATTAGTGCTGTATACTGGTGGGCGGACTTGAAGGAGTTGAGGCGAGGAGATGCATCCGATGAGGAAAGGGATTGACTTAGGACCGAATCCGCTGAATCGATCCGTCGAGTGGACAACGAACGATCTGTCATGTATTTAATATCGACAATTTGTGGTGTCTCCATTTTTGCAACGGTCGCTTTTCGTTGAATGATTGCTTCTTGGCCATTCCAAATGGGAAAGTCCTGGCCATTGACAACGTTGCAGGGATGTGGACGCGAGCGCAAGGCGGCGCAAGAACGGTCCCTTTCGAGTCACTCGAACGCATCAATGCCAATGGGAAGATAACGACCTCTGGAGTGTCCTCACATACACATCATATTAGTGTCATGTGGGTGAAGTAGGTTCGGCCCATTGCATAGCTTTTCCTTTCCCTCATCGACGAGCATATCTCGCACTCACACCCACGACCGCCCAGTGAACAAAGAGAGGAGCCTGCAGAGTGCGAACGCGTATTGCGCGTCCTCGTCTCAAACGCGTACGAGATCGGACACAGCTCCGGGTCCTGCATGTCCGAACCAGAAGTCGATAGCGGGGAAAACTCTTCCGCACCTTGCTTTCAACACCTACAGAGAGCCGCCGTAGTAGATTGAGTTTGAGAATATCGCTGGCCTGGTTTCTCGGAGCTCGCTTGACAGTCTCTCAGTATTGGTGAGGAGACTTATATTTTACGGGAGTCCGGAGGAGTGATTCGCTCGAGGAGTTCTTGTTCGGGAAGGTTATCAGCTTTCAAACGACTCTAGAATGCTTCACGAGCTTCTCCTCGCACTCTCTGGCCATCCTGGAGATGTCTTCGTTCCATCCCCGCCAGAAGCTCCAACCACATATGCGGTAGCCGAGGACTTCCCATTTCTCCATCCCGCCGAACGCACCGCTCTCAACCGCCTGGCAACTCTCGGGTTTCAATACGCCTACATTCGAGACTATGTAGACGAACAGAAGAAGCAGGTGTGGGGTGCGACGCTGGGAAATCGGGCGTCGAATCCAACAGCCGCCCCCAATACGGGATTCTACAGGCTGGCACTGTGTTCGGGGTTGGACGAGGTGCTAGATGAATATACGGCGGCTATTGTGAAGACTGAGCGGAAAGTTCTATCGCAGCTGGATCTGGATACGGATGGAGGTAAGACTCCCGTTAGCTATTTGACCGCCGCTTTTGGGAAGGTAAGGCATGAGTTTGAATATGGAGGGCGTTGGTCGTTCGGAGCTTTACGGAAGGGAAAGTGTGGAGTTTCGAGCGGGAATATTGATGTGACATTGTACTCAATATATCATAATAGTATCAAATACTTTTGCCGCACATTGTGAAGCTGGTTGAGACCATGAGAAACGATCCAAGTGCCTATCATGGGGCAAGAGTGCTGAACCTGCTGCATAAACGCTGTTATAGTGGATTGACCGAAGTGCGAAGAGCAATGATTAGGTGCGTCGGATTTCGCTGTATCATCTGAGCCAGGACAACACACATTGACTGGATTCAGTCCTCCTCCAGTCTTTTCAAAGTGTGTATGGCTGTGTTCTACAAGCAGCTCGTGTCTTGGATGTTATACGGCATTTTGCATGACCCGCATCGGGAGTTCTTCGTGACAAGCGGACATCCTTCCGGACAAATGGTAGGTGCTAGTTGTTCAAGCGGTGGAATGAAGGCAAACGCACCCACACGCTCGCAACACCAGAACTGGGCGGAGGATGGCTTTGACGTCCAGCTGGATGCCGAACACACGCAATGGTAAATTTGGGAAGCACCTACACTCCAGACAGGCATATCCTGACCAACTACATCCCAGGCAGTCTCGGTACAAGTTGGATCACACATTGACACTGGACTTCGTCCCTGTCAAGCTCGCCGAGGCGATTCTCTTCGTTGGAAAAGCGCTGGTCACAATCAAACAATCGAGCCAACTAGAAGGTACAGCCATTCGTCCGGAAGTCCTGTACTGATGCACTCACTTGCTAATAAATGAAGTCTCTCGCAGCTATGGATGCAGCATCGACTTTGGTTGAGCACGCCGACTCTTTCTCTGCCCTTGCGGACGATGCCGAGTTCCAGCCATTACCATTCGAAATCGCCATCGGCAAGGTGAAAAAGGAGGTCGCGGCGATTCTGTGGGATGTAGTGGTGATGGACGAGCATCTAACGCGACACCTACATGTACGCGATCCGTCGTCGCAAGGGAATGGCTTCAAAAGTTCCTTTTGACATTAATGTTTCTGCATAGGCTATCAAAAACACCTACGAGCTGGGCTTTGGTGACTTGTGGATGGCATTCATCGAAGAGTGCTCGAAACTGAAAGCAAACGCCGTAACTCGGTTATCCCGAGTGACCGAACATGGTGAGATCACCCACCGCGAATCCCAAGCCCGGTTTCTCGCACTCAGCTAATGCTTCGGGCTTCCTAGAACTTAACTCCACCTTCAGATCTTTGCTGCGACAACGAGGCGGAGCCGATGTTGATCTGTACAGCACACATTTTCGCTTCAAAGTCGTGCTTGATAGAACAGGTAAGACTGTCTTGCGTGCATCTCTTCCCTCGATCGCCGAGTCTTCTCACACGAAGCATATCCTGGAAGACGAGCCAGACGGAGGGCTTTCCGCAATACATGTGGAGAGTTTCTTGGGGTTGGAGGTTAAGCTAGACTATGTCGTCAAATGGCCGCTCGATCTGATATTTGTGCAGGAAGACATCACAAGGTACGATAATCTTTTGCAATGCTTCAATCATCTTTATCTGTGGCAATGGGGAAATTTATGCATCCTCCGCACGCAGATACAACATCGTCTTCGCGTTCTTGTTACAGCTCAAAAGCACGCACATGCGCGTGCAACGAGTTTGTTCCTCAATCAGCCAATCCGTACGTGGCGCAGACCGGGTAGCGAGGAGCGGTCAAGATAGAAGCGATTCAAGGTCTTTAGACCTACCACGGGAGATATGGCGGCTGAGGGCGATGATGCTGTTTTTCCTGGATTGTCTGTGGTCTTACATCCAGGTATGTTGCATTTTGACCCAAGTGGTTGGTACATCGCTAAAAGTGGTTATTCAATCTCGCAGATGGATGTACTGGAATCGAACCACCAAATCCTACTGCAACGAGTAACACGAAAGCAACAGGTTGAGCATGACGATCCGCCCCCAGATTCCGATGACGCACAGCCAACCGCCCGGCCTTCCACATCTTCCAGGCCCACTGCGATCGGTGGCTTAGTAGGCCACGCCGAACCCACCTCACAACCAAGCTCCCCACACCGGTCCAGCCGCTCTGCCACACCACATCAATCCACTCGCACAGGCGACACTATCCACCCCGACTTTGAAGACATCCAAGCCGCACACAAAGCACATATCGACGCCGTCATGCGGGGGTGCTTTCTTGACCCGATCATGATGCGGTTGGTGGGCAAGACGATCCAGCAAGTGTTGGAGCTGTGCCAGAGTTTCTGTGGGATGGTTGATCGGGCTTTGAGTGAGGGGTTGGATGATTTTGAAAGGGGTGGAACGGGACGTGGGGCGGGTATGATGGCCGAATTGATTGAGGGGATGGCTCAGGTTAAACAGGTAACGGAGAGTTGACTCGTGTTGGAGTTCGCAGCGTCGGAAGTTTGCGATATCTAATTGACTATATCGTTGTTCTGCACTCTAGGACTTTGAAGCACACACATCCTTCCTGTTCCGGATGTTTTCGGGAGTGGAAGGGAGGACGCCACATGCTCAGACACTGTCTCAGCTCCTGCTACGATTGGACTACAATAAGTGGTTTAGTCTATCACTAGGAGAGCTCGGGATGGCCTGATGGTCCACAATTCGAATAGATTGTACATATGTGACATACGTCTTTGAAACTACGCCATTATGGCAACGGAACGCCGCCGACGATTATGGCAAATACTACACTGAACATACACCGAAAGAGCATCATGTTCACTGCAACTCGTAATCAGCCCAACGTACCGATCTGGTCCGCCACCAATAGTAGAACACAGAATACGGCCAGAGTGCCGTGATACGCCCACTGCTGTTCTTGTACCAACTCTGGCAATGGCCCAGCTGCCATACTTTATCTTTCGTGCCGCCGTCCATCTCTGCTTCGAACGCTTTGAGGGCGGAGGGGCGCACGGTGAGGGTGGCTGCGGAACTGAGGATTTGCTTTTTCAGGAGTTGAGTTATATGGTTCATTTGACATCTGTTGTAAAAGGAAGAATGGGATTGTCAGATGGCTCCCGCTGGAAACGGCGATGCGAAAGCGATGCCACGGAAAACGAGATGCTCACTCGATCATGGTGATGACGCTCGAATGCCCTAGACCGGTGTGCGGGCCCATCAAGAAGTACAGATTCGGGAACTCGCTGACCGTCATTCCCAAATACGCTTCCAGACTATCCGACCACCGGCGCTGTAGTGTCAACCCGTCTTTGCCGATCACCTCCACCCCATTGAACGACTCCTGGACCAGGAATCCCGTGGCCACGACAATAACGTCCAGATCGTGACGCTCTTTATCCGAGGTCATGATCCCATTCGGGGTGATCTCGACAATGGATTCCGTTACGAGGCGAGTACTTGGGTGTCGCATGGCGGGGAGATAGGCATCTGAGACGACGATGCGTTTGCATCCGGGATCGTAATCGGGCGTTAGCTTGGCGCGCAGGGCATCATCGGGGATCTCTTGTTTGAGATAGCTGCGGAGCATGTGGGAGAGCAGGCGGGCGATCGGGCTGCCTGATTTGAAGGCGTTGTACCAGAGGATATCTCTCTGGAAAAAAAGATTCAGTATGGACCGCCGGGCTATCTGTGGAAAACAAGAACGGAAGGTCTTACCCTGACGTAAAGGCAGAACCGCCAGAATCTCTGCAAGAATGGCACATATCTAAACATGAACTTGAGAATCCCCGAATGACGAAAGTTGTTACGCGGGGAGATCCAGCTCGCAGTTCGCTGGAACACCGTGAGCTTATCCACAATCGGTGCCAGCTCCGGCACGACCTGCGCACCACTGGCTCCGTTCCCGATGACGGCGACTCGTTTCCCTTTCAGATCAACCTTGTTGTCCCACTCGGCTGTGTGCATCAGCTTTCCTTTGAAGTCTTTAAATCCGGGGATCTCGGGATAGTGGGGCCGGTGGAGAGGGCCTACGGCGCCGATGACGACATTCGCCGTGGTTTCCTCCAACCGTACGTTGCCGGCTTTGTCCTTGATCTTCAAAGAAAGGTGCCAGACATTCTTCCTCCCGTCCCACGCCAGTTTGACAACCTCCGTCCCGAACTGCACATGATCCGTCAATCCGCGATCTTTTACGACCGTTCGCAAGTACTGGTGTATCTCGGGCTGGGACGCGTACGCCTCTGTCCAGTCGGGCTTTTGCTGGAAACTGCAAACGGAGCGGCTCTTCAGTCACCTCCTCCCACTTATGGAGGACTCAACAGTTCAGCTCCTCACCTGAACGAGTACAGATGCGACTCGACGTCGCAAGCGCATCCCGGATATGTGTTGAGGTGCCATGTACCACCAACGTCATACGACTTTTCATATATCGTGAAATTTGACAACTTCAGCTGTTCCTTGAGCTTCACACCTGCGCATACCCCTCCAAACCTACGAATATGCCCAGCTTGACATCAGCTATTATTGAAGCATGGCTGAAACACCGTGCAGCTAGATGACTGCCGAGTCCCAACTCACCCCGCGCCGATGACTGCAACTTTGAAGTCCATTCCCTTTTCGAGCCGTTTCTCCTTGGTGAGTTCGATGCGGGCGCGAGGGGCGCGTTCTCTGTGTCATCGCGCCTTTTATGTGACTGGCTGTGGCATGCCTCAATAACCCCACCACCATGTGAGCCCCGCGGGGTTCATACAAGTTGATACAACGCAGGCTTGCCGCTTCCGAGTTTTTCGGAGGTCAGCCGTGGGCGTACCCCACAAGCAAACCAGATCATTCGCATGTGAATTCAGGATCAGACGGCCAGCCCAACGGCCGTTGGAACCACCGTTGGAACCGAGAATTCAATAAGTCACGCGACCTGATTACCTAATTCTAGCGAAGATTATTTCGATGTCCGACGCGCTTCCCCTTTTCTGGGTGTCTAGTGACCCTTCTTCTCTCGGGCCCCAGCGCGTGTTCTTTTCGTGCCTTCACTTCAGATTCAGAACTCAGAAAAAGGCAACGCTTCCCTCTTCGCCAGCTTGCATCTAGCGTCAGAATCCAGCACGCAGATCCGACCTACGCCCTCCCGTACGTACTCCCTACCCTACGTGAAAGCTGCGGGCAAGATTGCGTGGGTGAACGAACGTGTGCTGACGCGACAACCTTTGCCCTCCCTTCCTTCCATTTAGATTTTGAATCTTGGATCTTCAACGAACAAAGATGCGCGAGATTGTCCACCTCCAGACCGGCCAGTGTGGTAACCAGGTAAGTAGATGCGGCTCGCTGCGTCGAATATCAGCGGCATGAGGAGCGGAGCGTTTACGCGTGGGAAACAACCTCGAAGCATTCATTCACGATCCACGATTCTCTTTCAGATTGGTGCCAAATTTTGGGAAGTCATCTCAGACGAGCACGGTATCGACCCTACCGGTACCTATCACGGCGATTCCGACCTCCAGCTCGAGCGCATCAACGTTTACTTCAATGAAGCGACGGGAGGAAAGTACGTGCCTCGTGCCGTGCTGGTTGATTTAGAACCCGGTACTATGGACTCCGTTCGGGCTGGGCCGTTTGGTCAACTCTTCCGTCCCGTGAGTACCGACTGAGAGCCTGTTTGTACGCCACCGTCGGTCGCCACAGGCAACCTTCTCACATCTTGGTACCTTCTCAGGACAACTTCGTCTTTGGCCAGTCTGGAGCCGGTAACAACTGGGCCAAGGGACATTACACTGAAGGCGCCGAGCTAGTGGACTCTGTCCTCGACGTAGTCCGCAAGGAAGCCGAATCTTGCGATTGTCTTCAAGGTTTCCAGATCACCCATTCCCTCGGCGGAGGCACGGGAGCTGGTATGGGTACCTTGTTGATTTCTAAAATCCGTGAGGAGTATCCCGATCGGTAAGTACTCTCGAACTGAATGACGGCACCATCGTATTCTGCAACGCCAGAGTGGCGATAGAACATGGTTGCTAATTCGCGTTCCATATTCTAGTATGATGTGCACATTCTCCGTTGTGCCTTCTCCCAAGGTCTCCGACACCGTCGTTGAGCCTTACAATGCCACACTTTCGGTGCATCAATTGGTGGAGAATTCCGATGAGACTTTCTGCATCGACAACGAGGCTTTGTACGACATTTGCTTTCGTACCCTCAAATTGACGACCCCTACCTACGGAGATCTCAACCATCTCGTGTCGGCCGTTATGAGCGGTATCACTACCTGCTTGCGTTTCCCTGGTCAATTGAGTAAGTAGAGACACATCCCCACTGGCGAGTCCGGTGCCCTCATTGATGTGGGATACTAACTCCCTTCTCTTCTAGACGCCGATCTCCGCAAACTGGCCGTCAACATGGTTCCCTTCCCCCGTCTGCACTTCTTCATGGTCGGCTTCGCTCCGCTGACATCACGAGGATCCCAGCAGTACCGTGCGCTCACCGTTCCGGAGCTCACTCAGCAAATGTTCGATGCAAAAAACATGATGGCGGCTTCTGATCCCCGTCACGGTCGCTACCTCACAGTTGCGGCAATGTTCCGTGGACGCATGTCTATGAAGGAAGTCGACGAGCAGATGCTGAATGTGCAGAACAAGAACTCCAGCTACTTTGTGGAGTGGATCCCGAACAACGTCAAGACTGCGGTTTGTGACATCCCTCCCAAGGGCTTGAAGATGGCAGTCACGTTCGTCGGCAACTCTACGGCGATCCAAGAGCTGTTCAAGCGGATTTCCGATCAGTTCACGGCCATGTTCCGTCGGAAAGCCTTCTTGCACTGGTACACGGGCGAAGGGATGGACGAGATGGAGTTCACCGAGGCCGAGTCCAACATGAACGATCTTGTGTCGGAGTACCAACAGTACCAAGACGCGACGGCAGAAGAAGAAGGCGAATTCGATGAAGAGGAGGGAGAGGCGGAGGCAGAAGCGTGAGTTTGAGGAGAAAGTCGCGCAACCGTCGCGTGACTGTATCGATCTCCCGTATTCTGGCTTTTGAGACTTGTTGTTTGTGATGGATGCCGGACGTTCTTTGGGACGTTTCTTCCCTTCTTTCGTATTCGTGTTCGTTGTGATGTTTTATTTGTGTGCCGCGTTTCGAGGCGCGAACAGCCTTTCCGTCCTTATTGGTAAACCAAAAACTGTAATCTAAAAAACTTATGGAAACGCTTCTTCCGACGTTGATGGGGGCTCAAGCTGGTATCTAACGATGGGTTTCTTTTGAAGATCTTCTCTATCGATCGGAGAAGAGGGTGCCCGGTGCTGAGGACAGAAGGTTTCTGCTTTTCCATCGGGTTGACCGGTTCGTTGAAAGATTGTGACACTGACTAGGAATAGGGAATGATGATGTCACTTTGTATGTCCACCGTTTCCGCGCGTTGTTTGAGACGCGCTGGCCACATGAGCATTGAGGAGCAGATTGAGGAGGGTGCAATTCGAGCACGTCACATTCCAACGACTTCGCCAGGGCTCCTCGAGAAAAACGAAAAAGGGCTTGCAAACCGGGCTGGCGTGACGAACCTGGCCTCGTTTGCTATAAAAGGCCGTTCAGCGGACCTCGCCCCTCAGCGCTTTCACCCCGCAATCAATCGCAGCAGCAACAGCCCACAATGGCCCACCCAACACTCCTCCGTCTGGGAAACACCCTCGTCTACATCTTCTTCCTCTCCTCGTCTCTGTACGATGTCGCTGGTCCGGACAGCGGCAGCATCGGCTACGGCAAGCACCAGACGTATCTGACTCCTGCGCCGTTTGCGTTTGCGATCTGGGGTTTGATCCACTTTTTGTTCTTTGGATTTGTTGTTTGGCAGGTTAGTTTTTGGAAGAGTGTTCAGCAGTTCATTGGTTCCTTTTCGTAGCCGATATCAACTCTTTGATTTCTTGCAACAGTGGTTTGCCCCCAAGGAAGAGAGCGACGAGATCGTTGTCAACGGCTACGGAAGCTGGTTCATCATCGCCGGTCTCCTCACATCGCTCTGGCACAACAACTGGGAGTCAGGCCACCTCGTCATCAGCTTGATCATCCTCCTATTCGCCTCCGGATCCGTCACCTCCATCTACTACCAGCTCCAATCCCGCCCCGCCAAAACTCCCATCGAGCACCTGTTCGTTCACGCCCCCGTCTCCCTCTTCCACGGCTGGCTCGTCTTCATCACATGGCTTAACATCTTTGCCATCTTCACCAAGGTCGCTGACCCGGCCCACCCCAATCTCCTGCACCGCATCCTCGTCTTCCTTGTGCTGTTGAAGCTGGCGTTCACCGCTATGGGATACACGGAGCTGAAGAACAACGCTCACGGCGACATTGCTGGGGCGTTCGCCATCACATGGGCGTTGATCGCCGTCGGCGTTGGGCAGGAGAGCAAGTTCATCACAATCTCTGCTCTTGTCCTCGCTGGATGGTCCACCGTGTATGCGCTCAAACCCCAGGTTTTCAAGAAGAGCGCCATCACATCCGAGCGTCAGCCTTTGTTGGGCGCTCCCGGCAACGTCGTTTAAAGGACGTTGATTTGACGTAGCAGCACCGTCAGTGGTGCTAGAGTGCATCCCCCAAGTCGTATTTCTGTATCATCGCCTGTGTGGTGTAGTCGCCTTTCCCTTCATTTTTTTGGGCGTAGTTTTACCCATCCCTCCGTCGCCGATAGCATTTCTGTATATGTAGCAAAGTATATTTGTTTGTGAATGAATATGATACAACCATGTTTGAAGAAAAAAGGCAGTGCCACTGGCATGATGTGTTCTTTTGTGTGATTGAGTTTGTTTGTGTTGTTTATGAGAACGGTGAATTCACGTTTTGTCCGAAAGTGAACTTTCGCTCGTTTGACCAGGACTCTAGAACCCCCGTTCTCACATCGAAGGCGAAGACAAAGTTGTCTCCCCGTAAAATTCCAGTAGCGAAAACGCAAGCCGCCATTTCTCGCTTGCAGTAGCCCTCTTTGAGCAAGGCGTTGTTGTGTGATTGGCGGTCAGGACATCAACGACCCAGAACACTTCCGGGTCGGACCCTTTTCTCTTCTAGCGACGCGTCCGATCTTGGGAATCTCGGAGTTTGGCTCTGCAGAACGATACCGATTGCAAACGAGAGGCAAGCGAAGATGTCATCCACAGGCAACGAGGGTAACGGGCCTCAGGTACGACTCTATATGCGCAAAGTACAAGACTTCCATTGAAGTGATTGACGATTGTTCGCCTTACAGGCGGCGAAACCGGAGGGACCGGCAGCAACTGGCATCCCAACACCAATGAGGTTGAAGCCACCCAGCCGAATCCAGGCCATGATTATTAAGCCGATAGCGCTCCCTGGAGCAGGAGTTGGGGCTGGGGTGATAGCGGCGAGTGCGGAAGCGGACCCTAAGGTGATTTTTATCGCAGACTTACCATATATGACCGACGAGTACTGACGTTTTCCCCGTATGTGTATTTCGCCGAACTTTTTACCTTTGAACTGAATGTTGCGTCTCTTCTGTATTTGCGCCTGGTATGTACCCCTCCCCTCCATTGTTCCCACCGCACTAAGGAACGTTCACCCAAGCCCGAAGATTTCAAAGTTCACACAACCTCTCTCAAGCGCAAGCCCGAACCATCTGTGCCGACCCGCAACACCAGGCCACGCACCGCCGTTGACACGACGTCCAAGACGACCACCACCCGCGTTGCGCCTGCGAGAACGACGTTGGCGGCGCGAGCTGGAGCGGGTACGCGGTCTGCTTCTGGTGGTGCGACGAAAGCGGTTGTAGGGACGAGGAGTGGGATTGCAAAGGCGACGATTGTGGCGAGACCCGCGGTGCGAGCGGCGGGTGTGAAGAGTGTGAGTGCGAAAACGGCGACCGCGGCGAAGGTGACCCCACCGGCTGAGGAGGCGAAGGCGGCGGCGGCGGCTGCAAAAAAGACAAAAAGGCCTGCGTGGGATGTTAAGGTGGGAAGACTGGAAGCTCTGTCGGCGCAGATCTGTGATGGATTGAAACTGATTTGGATATGGTCTTGCTCGCATAGGGACGATTGCAAGATTTGGAAGAGAACCATTATGCAACCCAGTCGCAGTTGGAGGACTCGAAAACGAGGTTAGAAGATGTCACAGAGGAGCTCATGCAGAGCCGTAGCCAAGGTATACGTCAGTGATTTTCTTATGAGCAGGGTTTATGCAGCCTGTATTAATGTTTCGCCACAGTGGATGAATTACTGCAGTTCCGAGACAGCTTGAAAGTGGAGGTCGCCGTGAAAGAAAAGGAGAATCACAATTACGCCCAGCAGTTATCAGATTTGAAGGATCAATTGAAGGTACTGCTCCATTGGAAACATGGGGCGAGGAAGGGAGATTGACGATCCATGGGTTGATAGGACGCACAACGAAAACACGATGACGAGAAACACGACCTAACGACAAAGCATGCTCGGGAATTGGACAACCTACGACACGAATTAGACTCCCTCAAACGCTCCCACGAAACCATCTCCAGCGAACTGAAGGGCGCCAAAGAAGAAAATGTGACGCTACGAACAACGATATCCACCCAATCAACACTGAGCGTAAACATGGAATCCGAGATGAGGGCGAACAAACTGAGACTAGAACAAACGGAGGAGACGGTTAGGGTCCGGGATGCCACGATTGCTAGATTGGAAAAGGAGCTGGAGGAGGCTGGCATCGCTGTGCTGAATCTGGAGGGCAAAGTGAGGGAGGAGGAGACGATAAGGAGGAAGCTGCATAACACTGTGCAGGAGTTGAAGGGCAATATCAGGGTGTTTTGTAGAGTGCGGCCGCCGTTGCGTGAGTTAGGACAGCTTTGCGTTCTGGGGTATTGTCGAAAAGCGACTGACGGCGTTTTCGATGCAGCTGCTGAAATCGAGGAGAAGAAGGAGGATGTTCTCACACATATCAGCTTTGAGGACAGTGACGATCAAGTCATTGAGCTGAAGCAGACTTCGGTGAGTATCATCTTGCCTCACCTTTTTCAATCGACAATGGACTAACGCGTACCCAATCTCCATAGGAATCAGCATCTGGTCAGAAAATGGTCGCAAAATCGTACCCATTCTCGTTCGACCGCGTCTTTCAACCTGGCACCAAGCAACTGGCCGTCTTTGACGAAATCTCGCAACTCGTGCAATCGGCGCTGGATGGATACAATGTGTGCATCTTTGCGTATGGTCAGACAGGCAGTGGCAAGACATTCACGTAAGCAGCCATCTTTCTCTTCTCCTTGCGCGGCAGATCACTAAGTCTTTTGTGGGAACATCAAAACAGAATGGAAGGCCCAACCAACGCCGCTGAAGATTCCGAAGACCTCGGCATGATCCCTCGCGCGGTCCACCAGATCTTCGACACGGCGACGAAGCTCAAAGAGAAAGGATGGACTTACGACATGGAAGCGCAGTTTTTGGAAATCTACAATGAGAGCATACGCGACCTGCTGGGCAGCGCCGGTGCGGAGGGCAAGCATGAGATTAAGCATCATCCGGTTACGGGGAAGACGTCGGTTACTGATGCTAGCACGGGTGAGTTTGCGCTAGGGAACGCATAGTCAATCCAACCACCTCACTGAACTGAATGATGTTCCTAGTACTGGTAACGACTCCGGCGGAAGTGCACAAGGTGTTGCGAAAGGCGTCCCAGAATCGTGCAGTCGCGTCCACTAATTGCAATGAGCGCTCTTCTCGGAGTCATAGGTATGTTTCAGCAGACTGATCCCATAGCCGGTGCTCACTTTCGCTCGAAAGCAAGACCAACCAAAACATCTACCATTTTCGAAACTCCAGCGTGTTCACCCTCCGCCTCACCGGCACCAACAGCCTCACCTCCGAGACCTCATCCGGCATCCTCAACTTGATTGACCTAGCCGGCTCCGAGCGCCTCTCCTCGTCCGGATCGACCGGCGACCGCCTGAAAGAGACGCAGGCCATCAACAAGAGTCTCAGCTGCCTCGGCGATGTGATCTATGCGCTTGCGAATGGCGATAAACACGTGCCGTATCGGAATAGCAAGTTGACGTATTTGTTGCAGGGGAGTCTTGGTACGTAGTCTCCTTTTTTGATGTTTTTTGGTTTTCAGTAGTGGGGAATGCTGACGACCCAAGCGTTTTTTTTTTTAAATTCATAGGAGGAAACTCGAAGACGCTGATGTTTGTGAACGTCTCGCCGCTGGCGGGAAGTTTCCAGGAAACGCTGTGCTCTCTCAGATTTGCGACTAAGGTGCGTTTGTGGGAAAGTTGGTGGATGCCAACATCTGGCGGTCCTCCGGTATCTCACCACCATCTTCTCGTACTCGCAGGTCAACTCGTGCCAAATAGGGACGGCAAAGAAGATGATCAAATGAACGGAGGTTGAGGGACGTTGGAAACATTTGTATGGAGCGATAATGAATATTTGGGACACTATCGACTCCGGCCTTGGTCTTTTGAACAAGGGTTATCGTGGCTTTCGCCATGGTTATGTTTTGTAGAGACCACTTCTTTCGCTAGACTCAGAACGGGTTGTGTTTTCGTAATGATGAGACGTGGCAGTCATATTATAATGTGAGACAAGCAAATGGTGACGGCTAAAAGTACATACAAGGAAAAAACGTTGTCTATATAAGTGGTGAATTTCTAGATCACAGGAAAAGGGTGGAATGAGAGGAGTGTACGCCGTTCCTGTTATGCGAGACGTTGCAGAGAAGGGCCAAAAATTTGTTGCGTGGTATGATGTGAGGATGATTAGGGGATGGATGGGGCCGGAACTGAAGGTAAAAGGATCATGTCAATGCGGTAGGCTCAGACGTGATAGGTTGACGGTGCCAGTCGCTTAATATGCCATGACCAATAGAGCAAGCATCACGGCCACACCGGTCGCGGCAAGACCCTCTACAACGGGGCGGTCACCGACAGCCGCATTCTGCTGCTGCGGCTGGAACGGTAAAGACAAGGAAGGTGTGGCGGTCGCTCCAGCCGTCCCAGTTGTGACACTTCCGCCCGTGGGTGTAGCGGGCTTCCTCGTCGTCGTAATGACATTCGACACGGTGGTAACAGCCACGGAGGTAGTGGCCGTCCCTACAGTCGTCGTCACCCAGCTGACGCTCTGCACGGTGGTCGTTACAACTACATCGGTCGTGACGGTCGCGGCTGGCGATTGCGATCCAAAGGTGACGGTCGTGAAGGGTTTGGGTGAGCCGACGGGCTCCGTGTGCATCGTTGCCGTGACGGCGTTGCCGAGCTGGGATGCGGCGTCCGAGAGGGGGGCGAAGGAGGGGTCGCCGGCTGGGATGGCTTCGTTTAGACGCTGTGGGATGCGGAAAGGTTTGTGAGATTGTGGATTATGTGGGAGTGGGAAGGGGAAAGGTTGATCTTACGTTGACGAGGTACTCGACTGCTCCGACATCGACGGGGCCGCGGCCGGCGGTGGAGGTGACGTCGTTTACGGCTTTGGTGAGCAGTGGGGAGGGGTTGGGTATGGTGTTGTCTGTGATGGAAGTAATCGGGATCTCTTGATCAGTTACTGAAATCAAGTCGGCCTTTTCCCACATTCCTAGCGGCGTCCAGGCGCCTGCGCCCAGCTCACTGAAATCAAACCAGATCTCCCCTTCCATACGGCCTCCATCGCTACCCAAGCATACTTTCGCAAAAGTTCCCACCTAACCCCATTCTCTTTGCTCCCGACGACCCTTCGCTACTCACAAGTCTCTTGCACGTGGTCCGAAAACGCCTTGAATTGGGCCTCGGACAAGTAAACGCCGACATTCCTCCCTATCGACACCAATGGCGGCAGAGCGACGGCGGTTTCAGCGTTTGCAAGCGTAGCGAGGACCAGGAGGAGGGCAGGGAGGGTTCGTGATACCCTCATTGCTTTAAGTTTGGGGGGGTATATGCGCCGTTCGTGGGATAGATGGTGATGGTTCGAGGTTTTTTCGACGACTGCTTTCTTGGAGGCCGACCTTCGTGGAGACGGGGGGGAGGCAATTGTACAGAGGTAGCAGCTCCGGACGTTTGCACCCAGGGTCTTTTGAGTTTTGTTCCCATGAGCTACAGTACAGTACCATACGCCACCCCAGAGACCTGACGGTTCTCCTCCGTTCCTGCGCAGAGCCGAGGTGGGGGCAAAAGCGACAACTGCGTGGGTGGAGTGAAATCAAAATTTGCACGCTGTCCAAACCACCACCCAATAGGCCCGCTGGTGGTGGAAGCGCAGCCGGTGAGATGAGTCTCAGATGACGGTGACGCGCTCGACGGCGACGAACATGCGCAGCCGGTAAACCAAGTTCAGAGCAATGTGGCGCGTGGCGGCTTGCATGTGGCGCTCAGCACGCACGCATGTTCAACCGGGGAACTCTCGAATATGCAATTTATCCGAATGTGACGTTTGCAACACGTCGGACCTTTCGGTCTCCGCTTGGGCCTTCCTTCTCACACATAAAGACTGGCTGGCGTTTCGCCCGGCCGCCCGCCGTCCAATGTCGCTTGCATAACCCCCCATAGATCCACCATCCTCGCAGAATACGATCGTCAATAATGACCAACTCCGACGAGAAACAGCCGGCCCAGGACGTGTCCCAAATGGAGCCCGCAGAACTCGACGTCGGGCCATCCCCGGCCAATGTTGCCAGCATGACGGCAACCGCCGCCCACGACAAGAAAGGCACAAGCAGCAGCTGGTTCTCGGGCTGGTTCGGCCCAAGTTTACCTGAGTACCCAGGGCCATACCCGGTCGGCATGCTGGATGTAGAGACGCCCGGTGTCGCGGAGAAGGGAACGAAGGGCGTCTTAGTGAGGTTCTACTACCCGACGACAAACTCCGCTGGGGAATCACATTGCCGTGCAAAGTGGCTGCCCAAAGCCACATTCTACTCCATCGGATACGGCAACTTCAGCAAACTGCCTACCTTTCTCGCGCTGGGCCTCGTGTATCCGGCGCTGGCGAATATCAAAACGTGGGGATGGTTGGACGCCCCGCTTCGGCCTGCGGGCGGAGAAGCTTCTTCTGATCAACCGCCGTTGCCAGCGCGCATGCCTCCAGTGATCTTCTGTCACGGCTTGGGTGGGATGCGGACAACCTACAGCACGTTCTGCGGAGGCCTCGCATCCGAGGGTTTCATCGTGGCCGCCATCGAGCACCGAGACGGCTCAGCAACCGTCGCCGCAAAGAACAACTACAAAGAAAAGATCATCTACCGCCCACCCAACACCAACGACAAGCTCCCCACCGAATCCGTTCCCGAATTCTGGTCCCGCTTCCGCGGCGGACAAATGGACCTAAAGGACGGCGAAGTCAAAGAAGTGATCCAGCTCTTCCGCGACCTGGACGCTGGAACGCCCGTCGAGAACCTCATGGCGACGTCCGCATGGGCCGATTTCACCAAAGCCGTCGCCGGCCGGTTCGATTTCGATAACTGGGTCATGGCCGGCCACTCCTTTGGCGCCGCCACGGCCCTTATGGCGATGCAGGACCCGTCTAACCCGTTCAAATGCGGGATCGCTATCGACCCTTTCATGTACGCTGTGAAAGATACCCCAGTCACCAAACCCTTCATCTCGATCCAATCTCAAAACTTCCACTGGAGAGATAACCTTGACCCTATCCGAAAGATGTTCCGCAGCCCGCAATGCTCGCCCAACTCGCGGTTCGGGCTGCTGAGAAACACTGCTCACCAGGACATCTCGGATTTCCCAGCCCTGTTCAGCGGCTTGTTCCGCATGATGAAGCTGGGCGGCGCGGCTGACCCGCGCGAGTCGTTGAGGCTGTACCATGCGTGGCATATGCAGTTCCTCAAGGAGAATCTGACGAATGTGGGGATCAAGTTTGGGGACTATCCTGGGTTTGAGAAGGGGGATAATGTGCAGCGGCCGGAGGCGGTTGCGGAGGGTGAAGGGACCTGGGATATCCTCTACAGGGATATCAAGAGTACTTGGTAGAATTGTCGTATGTAGATGGAGTCTAGGACGTTCTGTTGCTTTTTACATAGCTCCTTTTTTGGATTGTTCGGAGAGACGCATGTTATTTCAATATTACATAGAGGTTGCAGAGTGGCAAGGTGGCCCAAAATTGAGAAAGTGTCCGATGTAAATTACATGCCCTTGCTGAAACGGATGAAGAGAGAAAGTACAGCTACAGTAAGGTCCATACGCCGAGAAAGTACTATACGTCCATTGGAGCCTCCTCAATCAGACAAGATCAGATACCGAACACCGCGGCACCAGCAGCGGCAAGAGCAGGGAACACAACGCCAGCAACATTCACAGCCCCACTGTTCTTCGCGGTCCCGGTAGAGTTCCCAGGTGCGCTCGTAGCCGAAGGAGCAGCGGCCGTCGCCGAACCCGTTGCAGAGGCAGCTGCGGATGATGTTGCACTCGTGGTAGCGTTACCACCGGCAACGACGGCACCCGGCAGAGTGCAAATCGCCTTGGTGGGCTGGCCCTGATACATGTCTCCAGAGCAATCGGCTTTGACGGCTGTGCGTTTCGTGGTCGGGCATGTGGTGCACTGAGCGTCGTTGCAGAACTCCAACACGCCGCCGTCTGCCGTGCAGCTTGCTTTGAAGTACATACCGGGCTGAAAAATATAAAACCGATCAGAACCTTCTTGCAAGAACTCAATGATGCAGTAGGAAGAGCAAGCCTTACCTCCATAACATGGCACGCCCCATCAGCCGCCGCCGTAATCTGCGTGATCTGCACATTCCCACCCGTCACCACGGGACACGCACCCGCGACCTGCGCCGCCGAATACACATTCAACGTCAAATAGTTCGCCCCGGCAATCCCCACCCCAACTTCGGCCGCCGGGAAAAACGGCAACTCCGACACATCCTTGTTTACAGATACGCTCTCGCACTGCGTGGCCTCGGCGGATTTGACGCGGGCGTCGGTGGATTTGATCTCGCAGGCGGCGGTGAGGGGCTGGGTGGGGCCGGCGCAGGGTGCGTTGGGGGTGAAGACGTGTTCTTGGTAGCCGATGGTGCCGGTGCAGACGGTGTCGGTGAAGTAGACGCGGCGGTTCCATGCGCCTTGGGCGGCGGCGAGAGGGGCGAGGACGAGGACGAGGGCGGTTGTTGAGCGCATTTGGGCGGTTGTGATGGTGTGAGTTGGCAAGATGAAGTGGGGACCGCTGAGTTGTGCGTGGGAACTGGGGAGATGTCGGGCTTTTCTTTGCGTTTCCAAAGAGATCCGTTTGCGAGACTTTTCGAGGGAAAGCGGCCAGCCACGAAACTTAAACCTTGTGGAGGATAATAAATTCAGGAGAGTGCGGCGAACACGGGACTTAATTGCATACACTTATGCTCAGCAAGGGCACACTGTTTTTAAACAGGCACCTCGCTGGCTCCGAATGATATTCAACAGGGGCGCCCATGCTCAATAAAAATTCGCGCGCTGTCCTGCGCTTTTGCCAACCATATGTACCACAGGTCCACACTAGCACCATCTCCCAGCAGACAAAACCAAAATGATTGTTGGCGTGTTTGGCTCCCATTCCTCAACGGCGTCCATCTGGTCCGCCTGCACCAACCTTCGGTTGTATTCGCAAGACCCATCCCCGCGGTAGTACTCGCAGAGAAATTGCTGAAATAAGAGACGCACGGACGCACAAGAGCTAGTCATGGTCACCGGCACAGCCCACCATTCGTCAGTTCATTTCGCATGCTGACGATGGAACGCCTGCGGTTGCCACAGCCGCTGTGAGCCAATGCATATTTATGGAGGTGTTCTATCGCCATCCCCTCGCTCATTCCGCTCATCACCCACCTGATTCCCTCGTAACCCTTGCCAACCATGCGTATCACCGCCCTCGCCGCCGCCGTCCTCCTGGCCTCGACGTCCGTCGTGAACGCTCAGGGAGCTCTGGATCGTGCCAGCTCTGCTATGCAGACGGCGACCCAGGCTGCACCTAAGCCCTCGGCTACCGCTCCTGTGGAGAAGCCCGGTACCACCCACGAGCCTAAGGAGACGACATCCGTCGACAAGCCTGCTACTACCCACGCTCCTAAGGAAACGTCCAGCGTCGACAAACCCGCTACTACCCACGAGCATAAGGAGACGACAAGCGTTGACAAGCCCGCTACTACCCACGCTCCCAAGGAGACGACATCCGTTGACAAGCCCGCTACTACCCACGAGCCGGAGGTGCCGACCACCACCGACGACGAGCCTGAGGTGACCACCATCGACGACGAGCCGGCTCAAACTGCGGACCCCGAGCCGACCACCACGATCGACGACGAGCCGGCTCAAACTGCGGACCCCGAGCCGACCACCACCGACGACGAGCCTGAGGTGACCACCATCGACGACGAGCCGGCTCAAACTGCGGACCCCGAGCCGACCACCACGATCGACGACGAGCCGGCTCAAACTGCTGACCCCGAGCCGATCACCACGATCGACGACGAGCCGGCCCCGACCGACATCCCCGAGGTTAGTCACACTGAAGAGATCCCAGCTCCTGAGCCCACCGAGGACTGCACGGAGGAGCCTACTCCCGAGCCCACCACTGAGGAGTGCACGGAGGAGCCCACTCCCGAGCCCACCAGTGAGGAGTGCACGGAGGAGCCTACTCCCGAGCCCACCACTACCGAGGAGTGCACTGAGGAGCCTACTCCGGAGCCCACCACGACTGAGGAGTGCACCGAAGAGCCCACTGCCGAACCCACCACGACTGAGGAGTGCACGGAGGAGCCCACTGCCGAGCCCACTGAGGAACCCACAGCGGAGCCCACTGAGGAGCCCACTGAGGAGCCCAGTGCCGATCCCACTGAGGAGCCCACCGCCGAACCTACGGACATCCCCGTCCCGACCGACACCCCCATCGAAACGGTCACATCCACCTTCGACCCCGAAAACCCCATCACCTATACCTACACCTACACCGAGACTCCTATCGAGACCCCCATCGAGACCCCCATCAAGACCCCGATCGACACTCCCCTGCCCACCAGCGAGCCCACCCCCGACCCGGAACCCCCGGTCTCTGGCGCCACGGCCAAGGTCGCTGTCTCCGCCTTTGCGGTCATTGCCGCCCTTGCCTGCTTCTTCGCCTAAACCAACAATGAGTTTCTCCGGCCTCTCCGAGACACGGCGTACCGTATAGAACATACCACTTGTAGTTAGTCTGTAGCCTTTCATATTCCCCTGACACGACCTGTAACTTTTCTAGAATAACCTAGTAGGACTCTCTATACATAGAATCCCTCTTATACAGTACATAACATAACGTCACGCAATCCCCTGAACCTCCTCCTTTTGTATCGTGTACCCTGATATCGCAGAAATGTTCGAAATTGATTGCTTTGGAGCTGGTTCTCCGTTTCCCTCTTTCACATTCATCGCTGTTCGCTGCGGGAGGTCGCTGCGGGAGGGTTATCATATCTCTCTGTCTGGACGACTGATGCCCCCTGTAGGGTAAGACCACCTCGCAGTCATCAGTCCACTACCCAACCGTCGTCCTCTGGCCTGCAGTACTGTATGTGCCAGGGTAAAATGATTTGTGAGGGCAGTTGAGGGTTCGAACGTGGGCGGCGCCATTGCGATGGGTGATGTTGAATGTGGCGTGGGACCAAAACGACAGCAATTGCAAGACCGCGCGTTCTCGCGTCCAGCCTGAAATGATTCCTTGCCGTTATCACCAGGCGCGCGTTGCTTCAGGCTCGCGGGTCGCCCCTCCCCGTCCCAAAAAGGCAGCCCCTTCGACGGACGCAGAGAGACAGAAAGAGGTTGCTTGGGTAGACTCGGGGTTCTATCCCACGCAGTTCTGGAGCAGTGTCTGTCGAAGCGAACCCTCATTCTTGCTTTGCGTCGTCGGTCTGCTGTATCTTCCTTTGTCGCGGTCTGCGTGGCCAAAGAATTGCAGTGGAGAGGCTTGAACTAACTCGACGAGAAGCCCGCAACTTCAACGAAAGTCGGAAGGACCCTGTGCGTAGGTGTCGCCCTCAAGTTAAGAGATAGCAGGGTATTTGTCGCGACGCCATTCGCTGCCATTCGATTCTCCTAAGAAAACGGGAGAGCACTTGAAGGCGTCGAAAATGTACTATCCGGGAAACGGAAATCAACCAGGGTCCCTGCCCACATTACCACCGATCGGCATCCCAGGCCGGCACGGCCCACGAGGGCAGCCAGAGTATCCACCGGAGGCGCCGAACGGAGCACAACAACAACAACAACAACAGCGGCGACCACAGCAGCATCTTCCCCCGGAAGCGTTTCGATATGGCCATTCGCGGATGCTCCCTCCTCCCTTCCCAAGCCCGCACTTCGTTCACTCGGGTCCACCGCCTGATCATTCTACCTCGTATGGACATCTATCGGCAGCACCGAGCCCGGCCCGGCCGATGCAGCGGTCTGAAAATGCACTATTGCCACGAATGAAAGTGGATGGGAAGGGGTATGAACCCGAAGGGCGTGATAACGGTGGGGGCAGTTCTGGATACCTCCCACCTGGTGGGTGGAGTGAGAGAGAATGGCCAGGTAACTCGAACGCATATGTCGAATCGCCGATGGGCGCTCGGAGAGGATCTAGGCAAAGTGATCATGGACGAGACCCTAGAGATACCATGACATCTCGCGAGCTGTCGACATTGATGCATACGCAGCCTTCTGTGTCTTTTGATCCGCGGGATAGAGTGCAGCAGCCTGCCAATGGAAGATCGACGAGGGCAGAAATCGATGTCAGAAGGGGTGGGGAGTCGTCTGTTGCGAAACATGATTCTCAGCAGGCCCCACATCCCGTCTCGAGAGACTCACGGTACGCGCTGGAAAGCAGGCCGCCATCCAATTACGACAATAGCCACGGACGCCCGAGTGTCGGATCACACATCTCACATCCGCAGAGTACGGTGCCCACTTCACACCCATCCGAACAGCCAGGGACTAAATCATCTACGGACGGCGAAGCACGAGCATCGAATAAGGTCGTTGAATCATTACGACACGAGCCACGACAGCGCACTCGCACTTCGAATCTGAATGTTCCCGTCCTCCCCACACCTGTCGCAACTCCGAATGCCTCCCGACCCGGCACGCCAGGGCCGACGGTCGGCGCAAAAGTGTCCCCAGATTCACCGTGGGCCCCGAAACTCCCGCCGGCGATATTGCAGTCTCGTGCTCCGATCAGCAGAGATGAGTTTATGAAGGTTTTGGACGCGCATGTGGCGAAGGATGTTCCTGCCGTTGAGGCGCCTGATGCCGGCGCGAACTCGGTGGGAACGAAGAGGAAATGGGACGAGGTTGCTGGGCCTTCTTCAACCGTGGAGGAGCCTTTGATGTCGATCACTAGAAGAGGGGAGACGGAGGATGATGAGGAGTTCACTGAACGGTTAGAGAGATGGCTCCAAGGATCGAGAGAACGGCTCATATTATGTTGGTATAGCCCCTGTGCTGGGAGTGACTATCCTGGTATCTCGTAGTCGGGCATCTCTAATCATAGCTCGCATTTATCAGGCACAACGTCACTCCTGAACAGACATGTCAATAACCTACACACTAAGTTGCACGACACCCAGAATCTAACACAAGAAACATCCGACACCCTTGTCCTCATCCGCGCATACCTTGCCGCCGAGAAACGGGACAACCGCGACCTCCTCGAACGCAATCGAATCGTCAAAGGCCTCAACGACCGCATCATCGATCTTGAAACTCGTTTGCGGAAGTACACCGCCACCATCGTTCCTACATCATCAACCACCAAACCCTCATCGTCCGCCGATTCAAATCCCGCAACCACCGACACCCAAAAGACTGTAGAAAAACTTCAACGAGAAAACAACGCGGCATCGGACCGAATACAGGATCTGGAATCCGTGTATGCCGACCTTGTCCGTGAACGGCGCGAGGACGACATGAAGGCGCGGCAGGTGCTGAACGTGATTCTAGGCGGACGGGATTGGGGCGTCGATATCCGGGACGACCAGTGTATACACGAGATCTTAGATGCGTTAAGTGATAGGCCATAGCGGTGGATGGGCACACCTTTATGTAGCTGTTGAAGTCCAGCGCGTCGTACAGTCCCCTCACTTGGCTCCCATCATGATATTCATAATCCTGCGATCCCATCGGATCTCTCACACACACCTGTACCATAGCCCTCTTCATAGTGTCTTCCACGAATATGCCGGACATGCCCGAGATGACCCAACGCGTAGTTCAAAGCCACATACGCCACATCCCCTGCGCCACCCCAAATTCTGCAAATAAAAGCAACGTCCGCTCAGCAGCCTGGCTAGAAAAAATGCTTTACACGCACGCTCATTATCCATGGGGGCAGGGAAAACAAACACCGACTCTCTATTCCCGGGAAAGGCGAGGCTAGAACGATGTCTACGCTTATCTTAGCTGCCGGTTAATGGGCTCTCCTTTTTGGGGGGGCTCGACTTTGCCTGTGCGGTTATTTGGCGGAGATACACTCTTTTCCTTTTTGTTATGTTTGTCGGATGATCAGAGGGAGTTCGGGACGGACTTAGGGGCCTTCGATTGTATTCCTCGCGGGGGGAGCATGCTTGGATAGAATGGGGAAGGCAATTTCATCCCGGGGCATTCCGAACGCTGCTGCTCTGGAAGGCTGTGAACAAGTCGTAAACGGAGTTCCTCTGTACCGAGTTTGCTCGTATGGGGTCTTACAGTACTCTTCTCGACTGCCGGGTTATCTTAAAAGCTGACCATGGACGGTCGAGTGTTCAACGAGGCCGATCTGTTGTTTGTGGAAGCAAGCGTTATCGTGTCCAGTCGGAGGTCGCTTTTGCGCATAACAGGCTCTCGAGCCGCTCGCTTCTATTCCGAACAGATTGGGCTGGAGACTTGAGCCAACGTCTTTCACAGGTCTGTCACGTCCCGAGTGGCAGGTCAAGGCGGAGTTGGAGACCCTCTGTCACGATTACAGTGCGTGGGAACCTGCGTGGGAACCGCAAAGAAGCTTAACCATGGAGGCATTCACGAAATCCCTTGCACGGCGCCATCCAGGGTTCGCCGAGTTATGAGCCCCATTCTCAGCCTTGTGTACAACCGCAGGGACTGTTGAGGGCGCAACTCGTAGGGCTACAGTAGGGTTATAGTTTTGGCGTAGGGCTGTAGTTCTGCCTTCTCAAAGATTCCACAACTCGTCCACTGGTATACGCCATAATGAGGGCCGTCAGGATAGCCATCGTGGACGATAACCCGCTCATCAAGCAAATCATGGTGGTGAGTGACCTGTGCACGGGTGAAGCGAGAGGTTACTCGCGCGACGTGGCTGATAATCGTTTGTCTGCGAATGCTTGTTCGACAGAAAGCCATGGCCAAGCATCTTGCAATACAAGTCCAACCTGAGGACTTGTTCTCGGACGGCTTGTCTCTCTTGAAAGCGCTTTCGACCCATCGATACGATTTGATTTTGCTCGACATCGGTATGCGGCGAGGAACCACTTCTCATGCTCTTGGCACATTTTTATCTCAACAGCACTTTTCATTCGCAGATATGCCAGTACTTGATGGACTTCAAGCGACTTTCAAAATTCGAAACCCTGGCCAGCGGTCAGATTCTGCCTCAGTCCGAAGCGCCATCCGCGAAGGCCCAGTTACGCACAGCACAAAGTTGACATCCCAAGCCCGGCCAGTGACGCCGTCGCCAACAGTGAGACAGATGCGTTACGCCATGACGCAAGCCGGCGGAGATGGTTTATCGCAAGAGATCGAGGACTGGGCAGCTAATGTTTTGGATGCCAATCGGCGCACGCCTATCATTGCCATCACAGCAAACGGGTTTTTGGATGAACAAAGGCGGCATTGCTTGGCTGTGGGGATGAACGAGGTCCTATCGAAGCCGGTGTCACCAGAGACGCTCAAGAATGTCGTCCAGCGATATGTGGACGACGAAGACCGAGATTTCAATTTCGTGCACAACGAACCCCTCGGGCTCGTTCCCGAGGCCCCGGATTCGGCCGGATATGGGGCAGGTGCTCACAAAGCGAAACTCACACCTATATCCCTCAACGAGCCTGCTCTTGGCAAAGCACTGAATGAGCGCCTCGGGTCGGTTTCCTCATCGAAAAATCTTGCGCACGATACATCAGACTATCCCTCCGACCGTGCCCATAGTAAATGGGATACGGAAAGGGCTTCAATGTCCCTGCCGCGTGGGTTTAGGCAGAAGACCGAACCCTCTGAAAGCAAAACGCGGCAGCCCGCCAGCGCGAGGCTTTCGACCTTGGCGAAAGGGGAGCTGAGGTTGAAAGGGGAAAACTCAATATGGCGTTCGTGCGATGGGGAAGATGACGGTGATAGCCTCGCTTCCAAGCAGAAAACGAGGCCGAGCACCGCACAAAAGAAAGAAAACTCGTTATGGAGCGCCACGTCTGGTGAGAACCTCGACACGCGACCGCCGTCTGAAAGCCGGCGGCCAAGCCCGAAAAAGGGAGGCTCGCTTTGGAACGCTACGCAGTCCTCTCGACGTCCACGGGCCAACTCAAACGAAGACAGTGGAGGAATATGGGCTTCTGCAGATGAGGACAATCACTCTGATGATGGCAGGCGCGAAGGTAGTCTATGGGGGAGCGCGCCGGGGAGAGATCCAACCGACTATCCCCCGGAAGACCCAACCGACTACCCGACACCCCTACCATGTGACAAGAAACGTTTTGAGAACTCTGGCAATTCGGGACATTCAGGAGAGTCGGATCGGGATTCTCCAGAAACGTCGAAATGCGTCCGACCACCCACTACGGAACACGGTGCGGGTGGCACGATCCGTCGGGCGTCAAGCATAAATCGTCGACGTCCGGAGTCTGGCAAAGCAGTGGAAAGGGATGGGCAGGCCGCCCAATAACCGACTGCAGCACCAACGCTCACATTATGTATATAGATTCCCGCGCATTGTATCGAGCGTTTGCTTCTTTTTGGGATTATGGAATGCCCTGATACGAAATCATACCCTCGACCTCTTTGCAGGAAGGTTACAATGCGTTTTAAATCGGTACAACAGGAGATTGGAGAGTGGGGAAACCCCTGAATACTCGGATTCTCGGCTAGCGATGTACTGCCAGTGGACAGTCCGTCACTACCGCCGCTATACATACACGACCGCCTTTTCACTCCACCGAAGCATATATTCTTTCTTTTCCAGCTTCAAACTCGCTCGCCTCGACGCGAAACAAACGCGTTGCTGAATCCCAAACAACTTACCATGACATACGAGACGCGTGCACATACGCGCTTGATCCGACGGGCGCGCAGAGATGCACAATCTTTGTGCTCTCGCACGTTTTCTGGGCGTGTTGCGGGTTGCTGTGTCGGCGTAGGATTGATATGATTTCTTCTCCCATGGGTCCATCCAAATTCCGGAATGCATGGGTAGGCGGCGCTGCCCAGCTATAGATCCATCCTACAGTATGCAGGACGCGGAAGCCCCGATTCGCTCATGAGAGTCGTGGACCACATTGACGTTCTCCAAGCCCAGCGAATGCATCAAATGGTCACGCTAATTTTGAAGGCTCCGGCCAAGATCACCGGCGCATTTCATCAATTGTGTGAGACGAGCTGGGGCCCGTATGGCTACGTTACGGTTCGTCGTCGCAGTTCCGGCCTTCAGTACTCAGTAGTACAGTATATTTGGAAAGAAACACCAGGGATCACTCGTGCAACCCTGCAGACCCTGGTCACCGGATTCTGCGAACGTTTTTGGTTTGATTAGTACAGTACGACCTGCGAGGTTGTACATTGGGAATCTGAAGAGCGCGATATCCGATCATTTCGTACTTCGTCGAACGGCGGAGTCGAAGGAGGTTCCGTTTCTGCGATACACGTGGAAAGCCACCTTGCTGTACATCAGGAAACGTGCGGGAACGCCGACTCAGGGCCTCCAGTCGGCTATAAAAGGAACGACATTGCTTTGGACCCTGCCCTGGTGTCTTTGCCAGGACACACATTGCAAGATCTAGTGACATTACCCGACTCCTCATCCCCCGTCGCCCCACCATCAACCCACAAAATGAAGCTCTCCATCACCGCAACACTCGCCTCCCTGCTGGCCCTAGCATCCCACAGCACCGCCGCGCCGGCTCCGTCCGCAGCCGTCAGCGGCACCTTCTCCCTGCTCACCCTGAACGTTGCCGGTCTGCCCGCAATAATCTCGTCCGGTAATCCGTCGAAAAACACGGCGGCGATGGGTCAGCGGATTCGGAACTGGGATCATGTTCATGGTATGTGGGGTGCTGTTCATCTGTGATTCCGTTGGGTTGTTTTCGGTGATTAAACTTTGGTTTTGTGTGTTACGACGATCAGTGCAAGAAGATTTCAACTACCATGCGACGTTGTACGCGAATGACAACCACCCTTACCGGACCGCAACGAGGTACAGAATGGCCATCTACACACGCGTTACTTTGATCGTTCCGTTTACTCACTGATCTCACTGATTTCTTCATCCCTACGACTATTCCAGCGGCGGCGTCCCATTCGGCTCGGGCCTGAACACCGTCAGCAAGTACAACTGGGAAAAGTTCCAACGCATCAAATGGAGCAAATGCTACATCAACGAAGCCGATTGCCTCACTCCCAAAGGATTCACGTTCATGCGGCTGAAGCTGACACCCACCGCCGCCATTGACGTCTACGTGAGTTTGTTAAATCATTGATGGTCAGAAACATAGACCGACATAAGCCTCATCCCAAATCTCCTGCAGAACCTCCATATGGACGCCGGCAGCCAACCGGGCGACATCACCGCCCGCAACTCCAACTTCGCACAAGTCACGTCCTTCATCACCGCCAACTCCGCCGGAAACGCCGTCATCGTCATGGGCGACACCAACTCCCGTTACACCCGCGCCGGCGAAACCATCTCCCAATTCACCAAATCCAACAACCTCACCGACGCGTGGGTGCAGCATGCGCGGGGAGGTGTGGCGCCGCCTGTCGGGGACGCGGTCGTGTGCGGGACTGTGCCCGCGGCGGAGTGTGAGGTTGTGGATAAGATTCTGTATCGCAGTGGGGACAAGGTTACGCTGAACGCGCGTTCGTTTGCGTATCGCTATAATGAGTTCTTGGACGCGGAGGGGAAGATGTTGAGCGATCATTTTCCGCTGGAGGCTGTGATTGAGTACACTGTAGCTGCGTAGAGCGAGGTGGCGCATCCGACAGACGCAGCGGCGCCGGCAGGGCTGGCGTAGAGAGGGCAGGTAGACAATATGTAGTATATGTAGAGCTTGATCTCGTAGGATACGGCGTCGTCGAAGTGTAGAGATCAAACCTGCTTCTAGAAAGAATATACCTGATACCTGATTTCATTCAATATCATTTTTCTCACTTCAAGCGATGATCTGTCTTCAACATAAACAGCAGATGCATTACCGTTCCTCTGCGACAGAGTATATACAAATGTAGAGGACGGGTCAGGATTAAGTACACATACGCCAGACACACTAAGCTGAGGAATGAACAGGAACAACGGAACGCGGGCCAAAACCTCCACCGATATCAGACTACGAACTACATATGTGTGTGGTATAGGTGACGGAGACGCATGCACAGGGTAACATATACAGAACTACGTCTATTTGACTTCCGCAGTACACTCATCCACCGCATGCCCCTGCATCCCACAAAACCTACACGGATGCCTGCAATCCTTACTGACATGCCCTGCACCCATGCAATTCGCGCATTTGACATGCGACGCGTTGTTGCGTCGCCATGTCTTCGCCGCGTTGTTCGGGCCGTTGTTGGCATGGTGTGTGTCTGCCGCCGTGTTGTTGTTGCTGCCGTTTTCAGTCTGTTTTGGCGGGTGTTGTTGCTGAGATCGGGCTGACTTGTCAAGCATAGCGCGGAGGGAGAAGTTGTCCTTTGTGAGAGCGTCGATGCGTTGGAAGGCTTGTTGGTTGAGTGACATTAGTTCCTGTTGAAGGCGGTAGTTATCGGCTCGGAGGGCTTTGTTCTCTTCACGTAGGGCGATGAGTTCGCGGTCGCCCAGCTGTGACTGCATTTGAGGAGGTGGGGTACCGATAACGCCGGGATGGGATGGACCTCTGGCTGCCGGCATCGGGCTGAACTGTCCCATTGGGGGTGCGAAGGGCATGGGAGGGTGGTGTGGGCCGGGCATCCATGTCGGCTGGTGTGTGGGCAGACCCGGGGGTTGCGCGGAAGTGGCAGCTTGGAGAGCCATGTTCAGGATGGACGGTTCGAAAGAGTGGGAGTGGAGACGGATGGTGTCGGGGTTCGTGAGGTCGAGGTCGATTATGGGCTCGATGGGGATTGCGGGTTTTGGTCTTGTGCTTTCAGAGGTGCGCGTGGGCGAGGAATGAGACTCTTCGGTGTTAGGAGTGTCCTCTTTCACGCTATTGGCACTTTTTGTGTCATCATTCCCGTTCACGGCTTTGCTTCCAATGGTGCTTTCGGTTTCCTTCACGCGATTCACGTTCTTGGTATAATCCCTTACAGCTTGAGCCGCAAATGGAACATCGGCGCCATTTGCTTCCGCCGCTTCCCTCGCGGCAATAACGGGAGAAGGAGTTTTGCCATCATCCCCAGCCTCCTCCGGTTCCTTTGACGTCCCATCCGTCTTGCCAGCATCAAGCTCTTCCGTCGAGGCCTTCTTCTTCTTCTTTTTGTTTTTCTTCTTCTTCGCGTCCGTGGTGGCAGCAGAAGTATCTTCTTTCGTCCCTTGAGCAGCCATAGCAGCCAACACCGCAGCATCAGCAGCCAAAATAGTCTTCGCAGCCTCAATATCCCTGCGAGACCGAACCCCAATGCTCCTCCACGCCCCCTCTGAAAGACTTCTGTCCATCTCATCAAGCAAAACCGCAGCCACCGCGGTGCTAAAATCTGCGTGTCCCCGTTTCAGCGCGTCCTGATACTCTCGCAGAATGGTGCTGCGTTTCTCGGCGAGGTTCTGCATAGTAGGGTCTTTCCTCAGACTATCGTGATACGCCTCGATCGCCCGACGTTCGAGTCGTTGACCGGCTTCGAGGCACGGGGTTACGACGGTGAGGAACGCGATACGGATGTCCTTTGAGATGTTCGACTCGTTCAAGCGACCACTAAATGTCGCGCGTCGTTTACTGTTCTCCTGTTCAATATCCTTTATTCGGCGTTTGAAGTCTCGGTTGTTGCATTTCTCGATGCGGCCCCATATGTTTGCAGCGCTTTGGTCGCGGTATTCAGTGCGCAGGTCGTCCAGCTTGCACTGCATGGCAGAGCTCCATCGCAACTCCTCTTCGGAGAACTCTCGGATGAGGCCTGTTATCTGCTTCAAAAGTCCCTCCAGCATTGCTTTGAGTTTGATCTGCGATGTAGAGTCCACAACGTCTTTCGCTGTGGCGATTTCCTTTTGGCAGTCATCGATGAAGCGCTCGACAGATGTTTGTAGTTCTTTGATGGATGGCTGGCAGACGTCGTTCTCATATGCGAACAACGCTGTCTTTGTGTTCTCGAGGTATGTCTCGAACAAGGCATCGATTTCCGCGAGTGCGCCGGCCTCGTCGGGGCCGTTGGACTTCTTCGACTTCTTCTTCCACTTTTCGGTCTTTGCGGCCCAGAACTCCTCGAAGGGTCTGAGCTCGACAGCATGCTTCTTCTCAAATTTCGCTTTTCGCGAAGCAAAGTCCTCGGCCAGAAGCCGGCTCTGCAGGGTTTGCTGTTGCACGAATGAAGCGATGATACCGTGTGACGAACTCCAAGCGCTGTCCAAATCATCCTGGAGGATTTTTTCGAACGTGGAGTGATACCGCTCGAGAGTTTGGTTGAGAGCGTTTGCCTCTTCCTCGACCTTTATCGGTGGGCGGCATGCCTTATCGTCTGTCGTAGGAGGCACGCCCCCACACAGCAACAAGTCAAAGTGCTCGCTCTTCAACACAAAGCTTCGTCCCCCATCCTCCCTTGTCAGTGCGTAGGGAAGATGGTCGTATGACTTTTTGCCCTTCGCATCCACCTTCCGCATCTCCGTCGACACCTCCTCAAAGAGAGGCTCGAGGACGAGCTTTTCGTAACCAGTCAAAGTTGACGGTGGCGCCTGCGCTATCCATTGCTTTGCGACCTGCGCGATGTCCTCGGCGGCCGTTCGACCCGTAGTCCCGGTGCTATAAATCGCCTCTGCAATTCTCTCATGAACGAAATTGACATCTGGCCTGTTACTCTGTTCCGACTTGGGTATTTGATCAGCAACCTCGCCCGTCGCGTCCGTTTTCAAAATTCGCCTCCACCACTTGATCTGCCACGCCGTGGTAGTGGCGTCCTTCTTGCCATCGGGTTTCGCGACGACTATCTTGAGCTGTTCCCAGTCCAGCTTCACTTGAGTGACATGTTTCTTGCGTATCTTGTTGATAGTGTCGGTAGCGTTGCCGGGAGTGGGGAATGTCGCAGAGGTGGAGGCCGGCGCCGTGGAGGCCTGCTGAGCGAGCATGGTCGGCAAGGGGTTGGGAGGACGACGCCGCTAGAGTGGCAACGAGGTTCCGGGGGGCCGTGCGTGGTGGATCTCGCAGTCGTCGGTGGCAGAGTGTGGAGACTGGTGGGATTTGGGACAGCTGCCTTTGCCTCTGTTGCCTTCCTTCTCGCGCGTGAGAGAGGAGTTCGAGGCTTCCGGCTGACTCGACCCTTTCCGCTCAACTGGAGCATCTGTCGGAAACCACCCGCAACAGGAGCAGAGCGTCCTCCTCACAGCTCTCCCAACATCACTGGGATGGGCACTGTCCACCTCGCCGGCCTCCTCCTCGGCCTCCTCGCCTCGCTCACACTCCTCGCACCACCACCACTCCTCACCCTCCTCCTCGGAATCCTCACCGGCCTACTCCTATCAACAACCCAAACATGGGACACTATCCGCCTCCTCCTCTCGAAACTGCCCTTGGGAACATCATCAGCAACGACGACGGATGAACACGGTGGATACGCGTACGGGATGGATCACGCGTTACTCAATCTTCAACCCCCGGCAACGTTTTGGCTGAATATGGGGCTTTGGAAGGTAGTGTGACATTGACGATGAGGATGGCCGTGAGTAGAGTGAGCCGCGAGCGAAGCGAGTGATGGCGGTGGACTGGGTCGTAGGCTGAGGGTTTCGAGCGAACGGAGGATGCTTGAGGTTGGTTCGACCAGAGCGAACGCCTTATGGAACGAACCGCTAGCGGAGCGAGCCACGTTGCGCCAAAGGCGCAGAACTTCCCTAACTGCGGTTGTCAGCGAGCCTTAGCGACCTGCGATCGAAGGGAGCGATCTGGTTGGTTGATGGATGATCGGTTTGTTTACCGTCGATGGTTGATGGTTGATGGGTTGATGGGTTGATGGGTTGATGGGTTGATGGATTCATGGGTTGATGAGTTGATGGATTGTCGGTGGGGGGAGTAGGTCGATGGTGTATGTGGTAGATGGTTGACTGTCCATGTCGGTGATTTCTCACTAGTCGGTGGATAAAAGCGACTTTGTGGGAGCGTGCCGTGGTGAGTGCCCGACTTTTGCCGAGAGATCGCTAAACAATGAACATGATCGCTGAGTTTTCGCCATCTTCCCTCCCTCAGCGCTGGCACAAGTTGTCATCGACGGACTCGAACTGAAGGATGGGGACAGAGTCTTCGGTATGTCGCATAAAACGCGGACCAAGGTTCCCAGGTATCCGCAATACTCACCTAAACCACCACCCAACCCACACTCGTCACAGACTTCGGCTACGGCTGCGGCGACCAACTACTCCTCCTCCTCTCTCAACACCCACACACCATCGTCACCGGTGTCACCTCCGAATCAGCCCAAGCGCTCCTCGCCGCCTCCCGCCTCCCGCCCCACACCCCCACCACAGCCCTTTACATCGGCGACGCCGTCAACCCATCCTCCTGGCGTAAACCCGCCAACTCAAACATCCACCACGTGCCCAAGCCCGACCAAACCTACGACGCAATCCTATCCCTCGACTCCTGCTACCACTACACCACCCGCCTAAAATGGCTCCACCTCTGCCACCAAATGCTCAAACCCAACGGCCGGTTCAGCTGCACGGACCTCCAACTCGGTCCCGGCTACGCTCGCGCCGTCCAAAGCTCCAGAATATCAGATAAGGTCATGTTGTTGAAACTCCGCGCGGCGTTGTACCTCACCGGCGCACCCTGGGCCAATTTCCTAACTCCCCCGGCCTACATCGGTCAATATCATTCAGCGGGGTTTACGGATGTGGTGGTGGAGGATATTTCCGCAAACGTGTTTCCTGGGTTGGGGCGGTTTATCAAAGCGCATAGAGAGCGGATGGGTGGGGTTGTGGGGGAGGGGAAGTGGGGGCAGTATGAGATGGCGGGGAGGTTGTTTGGGTGGTTGTGGGAGGAGGGGCTTGTGAGGTTTGTGGTGGTTAGGGCTAGGAGGGGGTAGGGTAGTGTATGACATGATGGCGAGGGTAGGGCCTAGCATGTATGAAATGTATATACGTAGTTCTTCTGATTGTTCAAACGATGTACATACAGCGACCGTAAACGATGGCATCGCGCGGCGATTGTTTTTGACATGAACACACAAAGACGAAAATTATAGAGGTAACCTCCCGCCCATACCTGAATGATCTTCTCCTAACCTAAGCACGTTTCCAACCGTGGTGATACCCTAACCACGCGCGCAAAACCTCACCTCCCTCATGACCATTAGATCCCCTCCTGGTTTCTAACCCCACAGCTCCCTCAATAACCCCCCTTATAACTCGGCTGGTACTTCAAATTCACCCGTCTCGCGGGCGGTGGCGGCGGCGACGGCGGCGGCGCATTCCTATACCCATTCCTCTTCGACTCCCGCACCTGCGGCGGCGGACTCTCCCTCCTATAATCTTCTCTCCTCCTCCCACCCCGTTCACGCTCTCCCCGTTCACGCTCATCCCTTGAAGACCTGTACGTCGGCAACGGCGGGGGGCTGTATGGTCGAAACCCGCGATCGTAACGATGTGCGACAGGTGGAGAGCGGGATTTTCTTCGTGCGCGGAGGGGTGGAGGTGAAGGGGAGCGAGAGGGATATCGGCCGCGGGGTCTGGGGGGTAGTGCGTGACGTTTATTGTTATTGTACCTATCGCGCGACCTGGATCGTGAGCGGGACCGGGAATATGACCGTCGGCGGGATCCGCGGGGTGATCTTGACCGTGACCGAGACCGCGATCTCGAGTCTGAAATGGGTGAGTCTGCGAAGCGTTTGTGGACGGGTTGGCGGTGGTGTGGGGGGGATCGGCGCCGGTCGTGGTCGATGCGGCCTGTCTCCGGTGATTGACGGCGGGGTGGGCAGTATTTTGAGCCTTTTCGGTGTTGGGGGAAGGCTTGGACGAGTGCTGCGAGGGCGAAGGCTGATATGCCTTTGTTGCCTGTAATCAGGCGTTGTCGGCAGTCCTGAGTGAGAGAAGCACGTTAGTAATTGGTCGCTTCAGAGGGCGTTATTGGTCAGGGCACTCACGTCGCCAAAGTGACCCTTTGAAAAGCGCGAAGGGTTGTCAGTGAACATGCATGCTCCACATAGACTGCAGCAGCTTCACATACCTCCTGTCCGCAATTGTAGCAGTACACGGCCAGCTCTTTCGGGACCTGGTCACCCTTATACGGTGCAAAGACGTAATGCCGCCATTGCCACGGACATTGCTACAAAGGCCGTCAGTGATCGGTGAATGGACCGAATGGTGCCGCAATCAGTTGCCTCGCATCCTTACATATGGATGATGCTTGTCCGAATCACAATATTCACATATCGAGTAGTCTCTTCCGTTCGGGCAATCCTGCAGTCACGGAAGGCTTGATCAGAAAACACGGTTTCCCAAGCCATGTGAAACGTGCGACTGCGACATTTACGCTATTGATGTGGCCCCGGTGCATGCACTTGAAGCATAGGTTGTTCATTGGGCATCTGGCTGGATCGTGGTCCTCTCGACATAGGTAGCACGCCCTTTCCTGTAGAGGGTTGGTCAAGCGTTACGCGACAAATTCGAGAGCGCGGTCGGGTACGTGGTAGAATCCAACATTTTACCTTTTCTGGGCATTCTCGCATTATGTGTCCGTTCTTGCGACACATACGACAGAATGGCCCTGTGTTCTCCTCAAAGTATCGATTTTCCTACAAGTTCGAAGACAGAGGATGGCTGGATGGTCAGCAAAGTGAGGTTGCGAAGAAGTGTCCCAGCGTGGAAGTTTTGCGTCGGTTGATGACGCCAGGGTACTTCCGTTCTCGTGAGGTCGCCATGTGCCCGGTTCTCTGACGGCTAGATCCCGGCGTTGGTCCTTCTTTAGCAGCTGCCCCAACTCTCTAGCGGCGCCCATGCGGCCCCAGCACGAACTTCTTCTACGGCGCGTACGAACCTTTCGTCGTCCACCAACGTCCAAAAACACATCATCAATCGCAACAGCCTCCTTCTGAGCAGCCAGATCGTCAGCGCTCCGCATCTTCAGCACCTTGACCTCCAAAGTCTTCGGCGGTGGCGGTGGTTTGATTTGAGGTGTTTCCCCGTCCGAGATCTCCATATCCTCTACGTTTTCCTCCTCAACCTCATCGTCCGATATGACTTCGTGAACGACCGCGAGCGTTGTTAAATCATCTGGTAAGATATTTCCGTTCGTCGTTTTGTTATCCACATCTGCTGGATCTGGAGTGGGAAAACGCGTGAGCATTGTGTGTTGAAGGAAGCGCCCGCATGAAATTACGAGACAATACCGTCTTCATGCTCCAAGTGGAAGCTATGCGTGTAGTTGACATGCGACAGAGCAGCTTCCTCGTCCCCACTGTCCTGACTGCGTCCTCAAATTTTGCAGGGACAGGTGGAGGGTCCAATTGTGAAAGTTGAGGACCCTTCGGGAAATATGGCTGTCGACAATTACAAAGCGTAGTGTTTACCTTGCCAAGTCCCCCGCATCGGTATCGTCGGGGTCGTCGTTGTAAAGCTCGTCCTCGTATCTCCGCCGCTCGTCGTCTGAGTCGTAGTCGCCCATTGCGCTCAAATGCGGTTTGATGATCAGTCGAGAGTTGGAAAAGTCGGACGCCGATCCCGGCACAGCAAACTTGGGAATTTTGGGCTTTGACACAAGTCCCGTTCAGCTGGTTCTTCAGTTGCAATTTCAAATGCCGGGCACGTGATCGAATTGAATGCATCGAAATTGTCGTGAGCCCATTGCGCTCTGATTGGGTGATTCCTCCGCTTGAGTCACCGTTCGGATTGCGTGTGCGAACGAACCGACAACCCGATGCTGCATACGAATAGTAATTGCGGGAACGGGTGGCACAGCCATGCAAGAGCCCTCAATAGGAATGAGGAATCGCGTCCCGTCATGTCCCATCCCATAAGGAAAAGTGAGGGCATTCCGACAGGTGTTCCTTCTTATGATGGACGTCCCGGCGAACAGCAGAACCCAAACCGCACCCACCCCATTCCGACAACCGGCATCTGTTCCGTCACGAGCTATCCATATCTATTCCGGAGGACAGAAAGCCCTACTTATTCAGAGGAAGACACCAGAAACCTTCCCATATTCGAAGTCATATCGCCGCCCATATACAGTTTGAACAGCGACACATCCTACGAACTTCCCCAAACTCGGTCCTTTTGAATATCGAAAGAGTCTACTACCAATCGACAATGTTCTCCCGGAGGGCGCTTTCCGTTGACCCGACATGCCGCCGACTGGTCGCTAGAACGACCGACTCTCCAGCCGCAAACTCCGCACACAGGCGGCGGAAATTGCCGACGACGTCTTCCTCCTCCTTTCGAGTCGTTTGCACATCCAGTTGCGCACGCCAGCTGACAACGACGACGCCCAAGAAGGCATCTCATGCCCCACATCCCGCCCACAATGCAGCGCCATTCTGTTCTTCACTTCCGTACTCCCACGTCAACACTTTCACACCACCATCTCCGCCAACTTCCAACACGACATCGACTCCTCAGCAACGGCTACCACGGCCAAAAGGATATCAGTCTCCATCGCCAGCGGTCTCGAAAGCAAACTCACCAGCCGAGGACGTCCTGTCCAAAACATTCTACAGACGCGAACTACCTTCGAATCTCCACTCATTCACATCGGACGCCGGCCGCAAGCTCTTCAAAGAGTGCTTACAAACGGGAAACGCTGAGATCTATTTCAGTCTGAGCGGAAACTTCACCATGCAATCCGAGCCTGCCTATTGCGGGCTAGGTTCCTTGGCGATGGTCTTGAACGCGCTAGCTGTGGACCCAGGGCGGAGGTGGAAAGGTGTATGGCGGTGGTACTCCGACGACATGCTGGAATGCTGTGCGCCGAGAGAGCAGATCCGGGAGAAGGGGATGACTTTCCGGGAGTTCGCCTGCCTTGCCAGGTGCAATGGCCTGCGGGTCGTCGCGAAACGCGCAGATCAGGTCACCCGAGAAGAGTTTCTCGAGGATTTGAAGCAAGTCACCGCGAGCGAGGATACGCATATGGTCGTTTCTTTCTCGCGGGGCAAGCTCAACCAGACTGGTGACGGCCACTTCAGTCCAATCGGCGCATTCCACCCTGAGAAGAATCAAGCTCTGATTCTGGATACGGCGCGCTTCAAGTACCCATCGTACTTCTGCGATGCGAACTTGCTGTACGATGCCATGCATCCCATCGACAAGGAGACGGGGCTTCCACGCGGTTACTTCATCTTATCGAAAGGACAGGCAAAGCCACTATCGCTTTGCAAGATATCTTCGGAGAAGTACGACTGGCCGGCCTTGACGAAGCTCTTTACCAACGGCATTCCGCAGACACTATCGCTAATCAAGGACGCTGGAGGTGACGCCGATTCCCTGGCGGCCGTCTTCCGCCACATCCTGAGCAGCTTACCCGACGTCAAACTCATCTCGCTGCGTCAACCAGGAGTCGACTTGGCCGGGCCCACTTCCTCCCCATCCTCTAACGCTCCCTCAAATAGGGAAGCGACGAACTGCGGCCCCTCCCGCGACCTCGCCAGCATGCATGAATCCGAAATCCGCCGTCTCCTGCAAGAAGCCATCCTCAACCCCCTCTTTCCACACGTCCGCGCGGCTTTCGAATCCTCACCCACCCTGCACTCCGCCTACCTCACACCCACACCCACCGACCCCACCGCACCCGAAAAGACGCTGGCTCTCGCTACCATCTTCCTCCTCGCTGCTCCACGCGAGCTGTACGCGACCATCTCCCCTGACTTGTTCAGACAGTTAGCGGTCGCCCGCGATCGGACGAATCTTACACCGTTGTTAAGGGGGGAAGTGGAGCGGATATCGGAGCAGTTGGAGCTTATGTTGAATAGTTTTTGTAAATGTGGGAAGAGGGTGCAGGCCTGTGGGCGGGCGAGTGCGTTGTAAGCTGGATTGGGTGGCTGCGGCGATCTTCGTTTTGTACCATACATATTTCCCTGTCACGGACCTTTTTGTTCAAGATGATGATAATAGATACCTTTGCTTTCGCTCTTGAAGAGAGTGCACTGCATGCTCGCAGCTTCATTCGGGGCTCAAACGTTCTGTGAGCCTCTGTGGTGAAGAGACTGACATCCTTTGCCAGGAACGCGTTTTTGGCGCGTAGTCACGCGTTCAGAGCGTTCACAGCATTTTGCTTTCCGACCTCCCTTTTTCTCAAAACTTTTGGGTTTCGCGCGCAATTGAGGCTTATACAGGCCCTGCTTTGCAGGGTTCAGCTTTCATTGCATTATCGTAATATGGTATTGGGTTATTTACCAATACCACTGCACTTCCGACATCGCATAATTTTGTCTCGAGCATCACGCCTTGTGGTGGATCCTTCTGGGCCATTTTCTTGCGCTTTCCCCTTGCTTTTAGGCAGGCATGTAGTGACTGGGTCATGATGATATCATTTTTCGAAAGCTATGTTGGATGGGCCAGGTCCAGGGCCTTTTTTTCTGCAGACGGCTGTATAAAAGGCCGTATATCAAAGCGGTGTATAAAAGGCTGGTCCATCCCCCCCATTTCTTCAAAAACATCAGGACATTCGCAATACACCAACTCGTTAACAAACTATAACAAACCACCACATCACTTTCCAAAGAACAAACCATGTCCGCCAACACCGAATACCTCGACACCAACCGCGCTGACGTCCCAATCGTCTCAGCCGTACGTCCCTTACATCCCATCGCTCCCACCCAGTCACAAGCCTAACCCTCCCACTCTCCCCCACCTTACACACAGACCGGCGAAAAAGTAGCCGTCGTCGACGCGCCCACCCACCAAGCCCAAGCCCAACAATCCGAATCCGTCGCCTCGCTCCTCGCGCCCGCGGGTATCCCCGCCGCCTCGGTGCCGGGTCCGCACACGGTGCATATTGATCATGATGCGCCGCATAGTGCGGAGGAGAAGCCGAGTTTGCCCAGGCATGGGGGGTTCTGAGATAGTGGGGTTTTAGGACTGCAAAGACTCGTAGGCTGGGACATCGTGTGGGCTGGAGATGTCGTGCTATGTAATACATATTCAGTTTTGGGAAGGCCTGTGAATAAATTAACGTTTACGCTTGAGATACTGGGTATATCATCTGCAGTTTTGCGTCATGAACCATCGTCTATTGAGCCTGTGCATTTGCGACCATATCCAGCGCCAATGGAAGCATACTGTAGGTTTACAGGGATTCCTACACAATGTAGACGATTATTGTACTCCACCTATATATATATATACAGCTAATTACAGTACGTACAGCTTACAGAACAGATTTCAATACGGTGACTGGATGTTCTACGCCTAGATCTCCACTTTGTCTAAATCATAACAACCGGCCCACTCAGACTAATGTCTTCTACCCACCACCATCTCGACGAAAGATACCTCGCATACGCCGCATACAAAAGCACATCAGCCTCCTGACGTTGCCGGTACATTCCTCCCCCTGCCTTCACTTCATCTTCAGCATGTTTGCGTTCGTTCGAGACACCGCAACGAATCACGTCGACAAGATCCGACCCGATGCCGCTGAAACCCAAGTGAAGCGAGGACAAACGACGGTGAGAACGAATCAAAGCCGCAAGGTTCACACGTTCCCATTCGCAATCGACAACCGGAAGACATTCCCTCCCGCGTACATGCAGCGTCGACAGCTCCGGCCACACCGCCGCGGACGCCATCATGTTGAACGCCTTCGTCGAGACGTTGAACCCCTGCAGCCGCAGATGCTTGATACCTTTACAAAAATAGATAAGATCCTCCATGAACGTATCCGGCAAATCCAGCAGCGACCGCGAGCTAACCAACGACTCCATCGTCAACGCCTCCAACCTCGGCGCCTGGTGCGTCAACGACGCCGCGGTCTCGAGACAGATGCGATGTCCGAGGGTCGAGATGTTCCAGATCGACAGACGCTGCAGGTTGGGCAGGGCGACGTTGACGTAGGAGGGCAGGATGGCGGGGATGCCTTCGAGTTTGAGGACCGTCAGCGTTGAGGCGGTGTGGGTGAGGAGGGTAATGGGGAAGACGGGGGTGGAGAAGAGGTGGAGGTGGGTTAGGTTGGGGAGATGGAGGGGGATGAGGGAATCTGTGGGTTCTTCGGTGAGCTCGCTTGCGGAGCGGCAGCGCACGGTCAGTTCCTCGAGATGGCCGAGCCCGCTTGAGCCTGTGTCTTCTGACGGCGATACCAGGCCCGCCCATGCCGGCATCCCTTCCGCTGTCAAGGTGGCTGCGGGGCCAGTCACCTTCAGCCTTCGCAATTGCGGGAAAGATGTCACGATCCCCTTCATGTCTGCCAAACTCAAGCTCGGCGTCCCTTCCACCGGCGTAATCTTCAAATTTTCCAGCAGGTGCGTCCACCCCAGCATATTTCCAGCCTCTCTTTCCGCCAACGCCAATCTCGAAACCTCCGAGTGAGTGGATCTCGGCAGCTCCCGCAAACAACACCCGTTGAACTGAAGTGTTTTGAGACCTGTAAGTGCTCGGCAGATAACCCGAGTGAGCGGTAACCACCCATCGGCGTCGAACCAGACGCTGCAGCGGTATAGAACAAGACTTCGGATGTTGCGCAGTCCGTTGAGATGTGTCGCAATGTCTGCTACGAGCGCCGGTGGGGCATCCAACGTTTTCAATGTGAGAGCTTCCAGGTTAGGGCACCCGATCGCCAAGGATGGAAGCATCGTCGTCGGCAGGAACGCATAATCGATCTCCATCAGAAGCGTGCGCAGGTTGGGCAGCGCTGGGAGGGAGGCAACGCCAGTGTTAGGGCTTGGCGGGGCATAGGCGAGAAAGCTAGCAAAGTTGAGCAAAGCCGATGCCGACATTCCCGTGAGCTGAAGGTACTGCAGCGATATGGCCGACGGTCCTCTTCCCAAGACCGATGCCTGCAAGACCGACGGCCGGGCCCAGAAGCGAGGTTCCTCCATCTCCAGATGCTGGAGCTTTGTACAGTTTCTCAATATCCATGCTACATTCCGCTTCAGACCAGGTGCAGTCCACATCTGCTTTCGTAGCCTGTCCACTCTGTCAGACAATGGCCGGGAGCTCGCTGGTCCGTCCAACGTCGGCGGTTGTTCGGAGGGCTCTTGTCCTGTTTGAGGCTCCTCCACAGCATCCGACTCCATCCGTCCCGGTCTAACCACCAGCGTCGTCAACTGCGGGCAGTTATCAACCGCGCCTGGTACAATAGCCACACAGGAACAGGTGATTGTGCGGAGGGTCGAATGACCGGCAAACTGCCTCCCGACTATTTCGAGGTAGGATTCCGCTTCGTCCAAGGGTGTATTCCGTACAGGCTCGAGGTTGAGAGTCTCCAGAACTGGGTAAGACGCCAGTATCTGAGCGAGACCTAGACGGATCACGGCTTTCGAGCATTGCAGGGTTAGTTCCTACGAAAAAAGGAAAGATGTCAGCCAACAATTTTTGCGTCTTGCCCTGTTTCCTACGTTCACGTTCGTTACCCTTCTTTCCATTGCAGCGTTCCTGAACGAGCGGGAAACGCCCATGGCGACGCGGGATTGCCTAAACGAGACATACTGCAAGACCTGATATAGGAGCTCCAGAGGCAGGTCGTCGACACCTCTTCCTTTCCGGTCCACGAGCTGTCCCATGGCTTTGAATTTCGTCAACGATTCTTCAACCCTTGCTGGAGGTCCGTCTACATGTACAAATATATGGGCAATGAATAACTTGAAAGGTCTACCCAGAGCAAGAGGCTCGAGTCACTTCTGCAAAATCATCGCACGGCGCCTGAAAGAAAGGCTTTTGACAGGTCGGGAAAGGACCTGTCAGTTGCGGTCAGGGGTTGAAACGGTAAAAACGCGGTCGTCAGGCTGCTTACTCAATCATCTCCGACATTCCAAATTCCATCACAGAACCAACTTCCCGAAACCATAACCTTAATTGTTAGGACAGCCTCCGATGGGATTGGCTGGCGTACTAGACGTTGGCTGGCAACGCCCTACGCATACTGTATTATCTTTTCGCAATTCGATACATTTGCAGCAATCATGAAACTAGACGCATGGGTATTGCTCGTGATATCTCTGATCGCTCTGCACGGCAGTGTGACAGCAGGTACACATGGGATACTGCGTTAACTCGCGCAATTTAGAAGCCATCCTCTAATCCACACTCCTCAACCCCCATGTATCCAGACCCATGCTGCTACACAACCACCGTCGACGAACCCTCAACCACCAACGTCACCATCTACTGGCCCTCTGCATCCCTCGCCAAATTCCACTACACAGTCACCATCTCCTTCCCGGACACGTACCCGGTCGCCGCGTCGCAGCCCTTCAAAGCCCCGCTCGGCACCGTGACATGCACACAGACATCGCCAAACACTTACACGTGCTGGTCGGAGAGCAGTAAAGTGTTTTCCGCGACGTTTGATATGGTTCTACCGGGGGGCGTGACGACGCCGTCGGTGCCGACTGCGGCGGTGCGCGACGCGAAGGGCGTGTGGGGCGCGTGTGTGAGGCAGGCCGCGTGTCCTGCTGTCCCGGACGGTGATAGCGACGATTTGCTTGACTTTGGGCCATTGGGGCGGCGGCCGCGGTGGTTTGCGATTGTGTTGGCGGCCGCGGGGGGTGTGGGTGTTGGGGGGATCGCGTTTGGGGTGCTGTATGTGCGGAGCCAGCGGGCGGCGATCGCACCGGAATTGAGTGTTGCGCAGAGGCATGATGAGAAACATGGGGGGGTGGGGAGGGGGGTGGTTGGGGAGCAGGGGTTGAGGGAGATGGTGCCGACATTGAGGGCGGCGAAGTCGGAGGCGAGGTTTGGGCAGTTGGGGACTCTGGTTGGCCAGCTTGCGCAGAAGACTGGGGGTGAGGCTGGCTCGCCACATAATCAGATGTTCAGGCAGGCGGTTGTGCAGCCGCGGACGCTGGTGGGTGGTATCATCACTCAAGTGCAGAACGACGCGGAAGCTGCTGCTCAGAGCCCCAAAGGGGCAAGGAAACGGGCCAACACCACCCGGAACGACAAGATTGTAGAGGACATCGCCGACGCCACGTCGTCCCCCCAACGATCAAAAACAGCCAAAGGAAAGAGGAAAAACAGTCGTATGGGAGAAGACGTAGAATCCACCCCCGCCGACGCCAAAACATCCACCTTTCAAACCCCGCCTGTCCGCCGCCGGGGCAAATCGCAGGGGAATCATCACCACAGACCGGACCAGCTCTCCGCTTCTTCACCTGCACCTTCTACGCCCCAAGCCGGGAAAAGCCAGCCATCCACTCCAGATAGCTTACACTATACCCCCTTTGCAGAAACCGAGCTCGGGCGAGTACACAGCCAAACGCAACCTTCGAACGAGACCCTACAAAGGCACAAGGGCTCACGACCACGGGGGCAAAGTCGGCATAGCACAACATTAGATATACCCCTTACACCATCGCCATCAACCCCGGCCGCGGGTGTGGTTGGAACACCGGAAGCGACGCGCAAAAAGTCGGTGCGGAGGGCACAGGATTTCTACGTTTATAATGCTGTGAAGGGTGAACGTCCCGCGGGAACGCCCTAGGTGTTAGGAACTTTTATGGGTAGATTCGCTTATAGCTCTCTGTTGCCTGGTTTTGATGGTTGCTGCTTGATAATCCTCATGCCCTCCATCCATGTAAATGCACAATCCTATCTCAGACCAACTCTTTATCGTTCCCGTTTCCAAAGCCCTCACACAACCCCACCAGCCCGTCTCCTCCCCTCCGTCAACGCCTCCCACCTCCCCCTCATCTCCCCGTCCCACCTCCTCCTCCCCTCCCTCAACATTTCCAGCTCAACCCCCAGCTCCGGATCCACAGCCTCAACGGCACTATCGTCCCCCGTCGCGATGCGCACGATGGCCGACTCGCGCAGCAGGGCGGCTGCGACGTCGATCTCGGCGTGGTGCAGGGTGGACAAGAGCGTGTAGTACGTGGCGCGGAGGTGGGGAAGGCAGTCGCAGGTTTGGGGGGATGATCCTGTTTCGTGCGTATGGGGCGATTTCGGGAGCGTGGTTGCGTTGCACTGCCCATTGGCTGATACTGCTCCATCCCCGCCCTCGGTCGCAGAACCCGACCCGCGACTGCTGCTTTTGCGCCGGGAGGCGACAAACTGGGCGTAGAGGTTGTCGGTGTGAGCGAGGCCGGTGAAGTATTCGACGAGCTCGGGGACGCTGAGCTGTTCGGGGGCTCGGGTGTACGGTGTTGACATGTGGGTAGCGTTTGTTTTGTGTGGGATGTTTTCGATGCCTCGGCCTGGATTGGGTTTCTGACAGTTCTGGATGACTGTCATTTTTGTTGTGAAGGTCACTGGTCGCGTCAAAAACTGGCGAAAAAACGTCTACCAAAACAGAATCTCATTTCCACTCTTTCCTCTCTACCAAAAAAGACCATCTATATACATGAAAACCCATGCGCACCAAAACTTCGCTCCGAGGCCCCAGGGTTTCACTCTAATTAACCCCCCCAAAGAAAATCATTGAATACAATAACCAAAAGCTAAATCACGGCAACCTCCTCCTCGCACCCCCCACATCAACAACCCCAACCGACACCGTCCGTTTATGACTCCTCACCCACTCCTTATCTACTTCACCCCCCGATTCCGCTGCTTTGGCCGCGGTCACAGGCGGGGTGGTGGTTTGCGGATGAGAGAACTCTTCCGCGGACGCGATTACCGCGCTGCGCCAGGCGTGGTAGACGACTGCGGGTGTGAGTCCATTGTAGTTTGTGGCGTTCCGAGGGGTATCAGTGTGGGCGCGGGTTGGGGTGGGGCGGGTGGGTGGGGATGGTCGGTTTGATTTTGGTGATGGGGGGTTGGTGGGGGTGGGGGTGGGCATCAAATTTGTCGATGTGGGGTCAACGCGTTTGACGTTGTAAGATGTGTGCTGGTGTCGTGTAGGCGCCGGCTGGTGCGTGATCACCGCCGACCGCCGTTCCGCAAACCTGTCTAGGCTCCCGTGCGGGTTCGATCTCGCTTGTGCAAAGATGTTCGAGTCCCTATCCTCCGTCACATCTGTAGGTGGTGGACGGACCACCTGCCCGCCCCGTCTCCCCTTCGCCTCCGTGGCAACCTCCCGCGACTCCTTGCGCAACGGATACCCAGCCCCCGGCCCCGCCACCGAACTCGTAACTCGCTCAAGCACCCTCAACCCCCTCTGCGCCTCCTGCGCCTTCAACAGATCCATCGCGAGCTCGTCCAGCTGATTCATCAAATGCGGCGGCAATTCGCTGATCGTGCGTCCGTGTCGTCTTTCAGGTGTGGATGATGACATGACGGTGATTTTGGGCGCGTCGAGCGGGGTGTAGATGATGGAGGGGGAGTGCAGGTCGGCGTCGGAGAATGAGGGGGATAAGGGTATGGTGGTGCGTGGGTCTGCGGGGGAGTCCAATTCTGCGTCTATGTAGTGGGGGAATTCCGGGTCCATGGCGTTTTCTGTAGTGGTCTGTGCGGTTGGGAAGATATCGTTCGGTTGCGTGGATTTCAATAGATGCGAGGGTGGAGGAACGGAAGGTGGTGCCGGTATCGTGACACGAAGACTTTTAGGTCTCCCTGCCCGTTGCTGACCCTTAGACGACGATTCCGACATAATATCCAAAGTACGATTCTGCATCTGACTCCCAGTCGCGGGAGGTGCTCGCGGGGACGCAGACGAAGGCTCAGGAGCCGCCTGCCGCGGTGGTTCGACGAAATCGATATGTCGGCGGACGCGCCCGATCGTGTCTTTCCAGAACTCCCCTGAAATACCGGTTCCTTCATCTGTTTCCCGATGGCGCGGTAAAGCCGCAGCATCCTCGTCGGCGGTCTTATTGCGATGCCGGGCCAATCTCCACATTCCGAGCAGGACGAATAGCCACCTCTCGAGATCCTCGTTCCGCTTTGCTCGCAGGACATAGTTCCTGCCTTCCATGGTTCGTATTACAAACACCCTGGTGGTTCCGTACCATTTTGGCGGGTTGGCTTCCGGATCTGTGACTGCTGGGCTGGTGGTTGGGACTACCTCCGGCATGCTAGCGTTAGCATATTTTCGCCCGTTTTTGGTCTGTTTGATCAAGCTGATACTGGCGATGCTGCTGATGTGGATTGTCCATTTCGGGACATGGACGCGCTGGTTTCCGGTCCGTGGCTCCCCGAAATCTCGTGATGAATCTGCCAAGAGAGGACTGTGCGGTAATGGTATGACATCTCCATTGTCGCCGGAAATGTAAGTCGGAGCGGTTGGCGAGACCGAGTCCATAGGGAATTTCCCTTTCTTATTGCTCAAACAGGTCAGCAATTGCCCATCGAAACGCAGTAACTAAAAAGATCAACATATTTAATCAGTCCACTAAGACACCTGTGGCGGCAGCCCGCAGAAGACATTGCTCTTACCCTCCATTGCCATCGTTTATTCCTGCCCAACTTGTAGAGATATCCCGAAAAGATGGGCGCAAGGGCATGTGAAGGAAACAAAATGTCCATTGGGTTCCTAGGTATAGCAGAGACCGTGTCTGTGGCGGCTGAAGCGGACCCAATTGGCGCCCTGGCCGCCTCAAAGCTTTTCGAAGTGGATCGCTGAAGAGTGCTCATGTAATCGGACAGCCGTCTCCCGGTGGAGGACCCTTTCAAAGCCACGAATGTTTCCCCAGCGTTTGAGCCCTTTTCCTGTTCTGTCCGCCTCGGTTTTTGTTGAGTGCCCTGCTTCACGGCAGGCGGTTGCATCACGGCAGGCGGCTGACGGGAAGGCGAATCTCGTTGTTGTACATCAGCAGCGACGGCGGTCGGTCGGTAGGGTGTTGTGATCTCCGCAACTGACGGTTTGTAAGCTTGGGCCCCCATTTGAACCACATGTCGCGGAATCTGTTGCTCGTGAGAGTGCCCTGACTCGGAAACCGCCCCCAAAGAAACAGCCATAGACGTGTCTGAGACGGCCTCAATGGCGGTTGCAGACTCCTGATGATAAGGCCCCCGGTTCGTCAGGTCGTTTGCGGACTTGCTGGCCTCCTTCAAAGGAAGATTTGCATCCTTCAGTATATCTCCATGATGAGATCCAGTTTCGCCTATGTGATTACTGGAGACACTAGCAGAGCTGGTGCGAGATCGCGAGCGTTTGTTTGCAGCACTTCGCATCGACCGCCTATTCCCCGCACCTGGGCGCTCCAGTGAAGGGGTCTCTGAAAAGCGGGCATCTCGCTCCTTTTGTGCATCGCGTTGACGGTCGAGAGAATTAAGCATTTGCACATTCATAGAACTCCTCGGCTCGGAAACGAAATCCGAAGGGGCGGACATGATGGATGAACTGGACATGATATCCGATATTGCGAACGAGTCTCTCAATGGCGTTGTCATTGCTGCGCTGATTTCCAAATAGAGTGGCGAGGAGACTAGCTCCTTCATTAGATGATTATTGTCTCGCTTCGGGCGAGCCGACTGCGTTTCCATTCTGGGCGTTGTTGCTCTTGTGCCCGAGTGATACTAGTCTACGAGACACGGATGGATGAGTACGACGTTGATGTGGTAAGAGATTCTCGTTGAGGCGCTTACAGAATGGACGGGGGGCCGATTCAAGAATCCGGCTGACCTTCTCGAGCGTGGGGAAAAAGGCGTGTAAACGGTCCGAGACGAGGCTAATGGAGCAGCAGCAACCTGGGCAGCGTCTGACTGAACCAATTAGGCTCCGTTTTCCATCAGGAGCTGGTGAGCGTATGCAGCGGGCGAGGCTTCTGCCGGACACTAAGTATACGTATATGCACCCGAGTGGGGGCAATGTTATGGCGTTGAGGCGGTTTGGAGCGCATGGATCGCTGGGGGGGAGGAGGACTCGGAGGAGGGCAGCCCCGTCCAAAAGTGAAACGGGCTGAAGCTTAATAATTAAATTCCGGCGGGGGCCCCCCAGCCTGCCTCTCCTGCCTGCCTGCCTGCCTGTGGAGGGACGGACGGAGGGAGCGAGGGGAGGGAGCGAACGCGTGGTGAAACAATCAGCACATGCAATGCGCACGGAGTGACGAGAGAGTGAGTCAGACGCGTTCTGACAATAAACCACGCCGTGTTCTGCTGTGGGCTACGATATCCCCCATTTGAAGTTCAGAAGTTCCAAACCCCCGCGACAGCCGAGCCGGCCATCGGTAATATATATATTCTATATATATACGATGGTCTAGTGAATCTTTCGTCCCTTCCTTCCGGCATGGCGGCAGGACTGTTGGAAAAAGTGGGAACAGGATCCAGCTGTTGCGAACCGGCGATGCATGCAGTATGACGCCAGTCGTTTTCTTTTGTTTTTGATGTACATACGTCGATGGAGTCGCAAGTGAGAAGCAACTCGTGCGGCCTTTCCTTCCGCCTGCCCGACGTGCATGTTACAGTACGATCAGAGAACATATCCATGTCCCACAAGGGGTCTTTTCCCCACACACCACACGATTTGGATCATTCCACTTTGCATCCATGATCGTGGAAAGTTCGTTTGGGTGATCGGGGTAGCTCAAGAGTCAGGAGTCAAGTGCACCCGCATTTCTTGGCGGAGTTTCCTCTGGCCGATGTCACCTGCAAAGTCTCAAATCCTTCTCACGGGCCATGTGTACGGAGTGGTCTATGTAGTGTCTTCCACGCGGCAGACCGAGCAAAAGCGGCACACCCAAATATATGTGTTCTAGCAAACTTTTCTTGCCGCAATGCCCGCCAACCTCCTCTAGCGGAGAGTAATGCCTTCCGCGAATCCCTCCATAGCATGCATCGTAAACGGAACTCCCAACAAAGTAGAGCTCAACGCCCGACCTTCTGCTGGAACGGCTACCGAAAAGTGGTGAACCAATTGTTGGTTTCCTGTCGAAAGTCCCCCCGGTGTTGATCATGATCGCTGATCTTGGTTGGGCACACAGACGCGTTGTGTTCGAAAAACGGACGATCCACCATGGAACCATCCATGATCCGGTCGAAAATTCCATTCTTCACGTTTCTGGTTGGCGTCCTTCCCGAATCCTCTTCCGAACATTTCGAATGCATCGCCGACTCGCCGCCGACTCCTCGGGACCGTCTTGAAGACTCGGACCCGAAGAGTGACGCCAAGCGCCGATCTTTTTCGCGAGCATGGGTTGTTCGTGCTACGGTGAAATGCTGTTCACTATTCACGGCGGGATTGGCGAGATGTGGCAAGCCTAGCCCGAAAGCACGCAATAATGGCATGGCGGTGATTTGTCACTCAGAAAAGGTCGCCGGTATCTCCATGTCCAGATTCCCGCCTGCGTATCGAGAATGCCGTCGGTACTTACTCGGGACTCATTTCGCGTTGGTGTTCATACCGCATTCACATACGTAGGTACATACATATGGAGTAGGAGCGTTGGCGTTCGAATGTCGCACCTCTGATCGAAAGGAATTGATCACTTTCTATCTTGTCCCCCGATCATTCCGCGTGGGTCACGGCGTGTCTTCCACCCTACGAATGTTCGACGATTCCTCCAACGTGCGCGAAGAGGCGGCTTCTTCCACGCCTTTGGGGCATTTGCGTGTGCCGTATCTTGGCCAGAGGATATCTGCCAGACTAGTGTGGTGGGTGAAGACTACTCTCCGCGGGGCAGCCGGACGTACGCCATAGACCGCCTCTTCCTGATCGCTTGATCAACGCCGTCTTGTGAGGGTGTGTCTGATCGCAGTCTTGTTTTCCTCTGTCCTCGCGTACCCCTCTCTCCTCTCTGCCTTCTGGTTCTGCAGAGGAGCGTCTCAGACCTTGGGCAGCGTTGGAAAGGTCTTTCATGAGGCTCGACAGCAATAGAAAATGGTTGGGATTTCGGGTATAAAAAGCGGGGGTCCATCGCCCTTCTCCCCCCCTTCTCATCACCCACCAAACAACAGCTTCTCCAACATCTCGAGCCGGTCTCCTGATTCTTAGCCTCCAGCCTCTGCTTCTTCTCTTCTCAACTCATCGCCATGAAGTTCTCGCTCATTGCCTGTGCCGTCTTGGCCTCCTCCGTGCTCGCAGCACCCGCCGTTTCTCCCCCGAAGCCCGGCCAGGCCATCCCAGCTGTCACTCTCCCCATCCAGAAGCACGCTGTTGAGGGCTCCAAGATTGACCGCGCAAGGAACAACGCGAAGGCCCAAATCTCCAAGTGGGGCGCGCGCACTCACCCCAGCCTCGTTGGAGGAAACGCTCCCTTGACCAACGATGCCAACGAACTCTACTGGGCCCCCGTCAAGGTCGGATCCCAGTCGTTCACCGTCGACCTCGACACCGGTTCCTCTGACTTCTGGCTTCGTGGCGCCGACTGCACCTCCAACGACGGAAGCTGCGGGAACGGCCAACGGGGTGTGGATGTGAGCGAGTTCTCCGACACCGGCCTCACCTACGACGACGGGTACGGCTCTGGTTCCGCTTCCGGTGAGATCTACCAGGGAACCTACACCCTCGCTGGTCTGACCGCCAAGAACGCCTACTTCGGTGTGTCCACCTCCGAAACCGGGTTCACCGACCCCGCCGACGGTCTCTTCGGTCTCGGATTTGCCGCCCTCTCCAACATCGGCTCTTCCACCAACGGAAAGGCTCCCATCGACGAGCTCAAGGTCACCTCCTTCGGATTCTACCTTTCCAACGCCGCCGACGGTGACAACGGCGAGGTCACCTTCCAAGGCTCCGACTCCCGCAAATACACCGGTTCCTTCAGCTACCTCCCATTGAACGCCCGGACCTACTGGCAATTCTCCCTCTCCGGCGCGTCCATCAGCGTCGGTGGCAGGAACATCCGCTTCAGCGTCGCCAACGGCATCGCCGACACCGGCACAACCCTCATCATCGTCGGAGACTCTGAGGCCTCCGCCATCTACAAGGCCATCGGCGCCGACTCCCAGGGTAACATCAACTGCAACGTCGCCAGAACCGGCCCCAACGTCACCTTCAACCTCGGCGGCAAGAGCTTCGTCATCCCTCCCAGCGTCTACGTCTTCAACGACGGCCAGGGCTCCTGCATCTCTGGCATCATGGGCGGTGCTGGTCAAGCCGGTGTTGTCATCTTCGGTGATGTGTTCACTCGCCAATACTACACTCTCTTCGACGTTACCAACAGGCGCGTTGGTTTCGCCCTCGCCCGCCACCCTTAGGTACCCCCCGGACAGCAGTGCGATCGTCTCGGATGGCCCGGGCGGTCTGAGAGCACACGGTGGATGCTGTTGTTTACATATCCATAACTTTCTTCCACGATATATGTATACCTCTGTATATTAGACCTTTATTTGCCTTCCCATCCCTGTTTATATTTTGGCCGCGGCCTACCTGATTTTTTTTGCTACCTATACTGTATCAAGAGTGAATTGTATACAACACACCTCTTCGGAGAAATATTTTATCAACTCGAAACGTTCTTTCCTGACCCCCGGCACCCCTCTGGAAATATCTGGACCCAATTGATATGGTTCACGTGAATTCTATCTGGAATGTCCATGTGTCGGGAACGCAGATTTTGTTCTTAAAATAATACGTACCCTCCGTGGAAACTGAAAGTACGTATCAGGGCAGGTCATCTTACAGTCCGCAATAACAAGCCTGAGCTCCAGAAATGACAGTGAATTCGAAGTTTGACAGCGCGATCTTTGGCAGTCCGACCTTTGCCTTCCAAAAGCCTGCCGCGAACAAATGCTCAAAAAAACCCGACACCATTTGCATTTTACGGTAAAACAGTTATGGAAAACATTATATCATTATCTTGCAACTAAGTACCAAGTAAGAAACTTTAAAGTACGCCAGGGCACCGGTTCAGAACCTTTCATCCGTCCATCCATCGAAGGCCTGACGAAGCATTATTCTACTCCTTTCCGACATTGTCCAGCAGTGTGGTAAGGTGCTGCTTACGGTAGAACCTCAAGCTCGGGTTCTTATGAATGAAGTAGGCCACCCACAACTTCCTCGCCAGCCTCTTACGTCCGACGGTGCTCTTGCGGGCTCCGACGGTGTGAACCTCGTACGCCTTGGCGCTGTGGCGGCTGTACTCGGGACCGGATTCCAGGTCGCCGCGACGGGAACTGACGGACGTCATCTCCTTTTCGTCGACCTTCATCAGCAGGGCAAGGAAAGCGTTCTTGACGGGGTTCTTATATACGTAGGAGGCGTACACGTATTGCGTATACGCGCCGTAGCCGGAGAATGCGGAGAGGTATCCGTGCACGGTTTGAGTGTCCATGCGACCCATGTAGAAGAAGGTGGAGAGGATGGAGATGACGAAGCGAAACAGGAACGAGTTGAGCGCGGATGCGGCGTTGGAGAACCTGGATTGATGCCAATTCACGTCAGTATGAACTCCGTGTATGACAGACAGCTCCTTGGACCAGCATGAGACCACTTACATGACGATGAACTCCCAGACGTAGAAACCGGACTTGAATTTCATGTGGATGCCATCGACAGTGAAAGCTTTCAGGACAACCCAGTTCTGGAACCTTCCCCAAACGATGTTGACCACAATGGCGGTGACGAGAATCCATAGCTTCTCGTTCTCACGCAGCCATTTGCGGGCGACAGAAGAGTAGGAGAGGATAGCCGCACCCCAGAAAATGAAGAGCAACACCAGGAAGAAGACGGCGAAGAAACTGACGGCTCCGAGCACTAAATGCGATTTGTCAGTTTGCGGCATACATCTCAAAGTCAACGTTTCGGTCCATTGGGATGCTCTACTCACAGATGAAAGCAACCAAGCGACCAGTGATACGTGCTAAAGAGTTCACGTTAGCCGAAACCGCTTGCGCTTTGGTGAAGCCGGCCGGGTATTTTCCTTGAGCGAAGGCCTTGGTGCGGGCTTTGGCATCCTCGGAGGTGGCGCGGAGATTGGTCAAAACGCTCAACAAGGTGACGACGATGCCGATGGCTGAGGCGGCTTCCAATAGCTTCATCAGAGTCCTGGCGAAGCTTACGTACCTACCAACGATCCGGGAGGTTGATATTCTGACCACGTAACAACATCTCTCGAGGATATCCGGAACACTTACGAGTTGTTTGTCAGGGAAAGATAGTTCGGGTCAGAGTCAGCGGGCTTAGCCGGGTAGAACTTTCCGGCACGGTCGACCATCTCTACGAGAAGGGTAAACCGGGACGCCTGGCATCCCAGGTCTTCCTTGAAACTGTTGACGAGGCTCACGTATTCGATCATCGTGACCCAGATGGCCCAGCCGGCGAGAATCCACAGGATGCGGAAACGGCTGTCCATCTCGCGGTATGGCTTCAGGAGCAAGGTGTGGAATGGGGCGAGAATCTTGGCAACGAGGCTCTTGCTTGGGCCTTCGGGCTTCTTCTCGTCCTTCTTCTTGCCGAAGCTCTTCAGGTTGTCGAGCAGACTGGGTTCAGGCAGGCGCATCTTGCGCGCGGTCACAATGTCGAGTTCGCGCTTCTTTTGCTCGCTGTTGTTAAGGAGTTCCCTGACGTAGGCAAAGTCCTTCTCGAAAGACATCTTCAGAGGTCCAGCAACGCCGGATTGGTCGACATGGTAGTCGACATGTCCCAGAGCCAGAGCCTTTTTCAGGAACCAGCAGACGAGGAGAAGCTCAGCGAGAACAACGGGCATGTTCTCAGCGATTTGGAAGAAGGTGGTTGACCCGTCGGTGGGCAAATTTCCGACAAAGGCAGATTCGTAAAAGGCTGCGACGGCGACCATCAGAGTGAAGAACTCGAACAGGAGGCGGCAGAAGGTCGCCCAGACACCGAGGAGAGCGGCACTGCGGCGCTGGAAGCGCTGGACTTGGTGGAATGCAACAAATTCCGCGAAGTAAAATGCTCCGACCAGGCAGAGGAAAGGAATCAGGAGGATGGGGTACGCGACTACGGCGTAGCCTTTGAGGTGCACGAATGTCTTGTACGACTTGATGATGTAGAACGCAGTACTATAGGTACGAACGGAGAATGAGTTGGATGTGAAGATTCAGAGCAGCGACGATCGCAGGGCACATACCTGAGCATGCTCATGAACATAAGGCCGAGGACCCAAGAGTTCTCGCTGGTCCAGGGATACACCAAGTTCAAAGGAGTAAACTGAGCCAGTTTGTTCTGGCGACCCCATAGCAAAGCAATCGGGATGCAGATGGAGTTTACCAGACAGACGATGATGAGCACGTAGTAGCTGATCAAAAAGTTGTCGGACATTCCCACGAGGGACTTGCTCTTGAACTGGGATATTATTACGGAGATTGGCGAAAAGCAGACACCCTGACGAGTCTCGGCATCGAAGTACGCCATATCGACCCCGTATCCAACGCGCATGGACCTGGTTCCTGCAGGAACGGTATAACCGGATTTGTCTCCATCGATGTTTGTGAAAACCTTGTCGGAATGCTGTTGATGCGTTTTGGGCCGTTTGTTAGCCGCAGCTGGATAGCTCAAGCGGTCAATAATGAGGCTAGTCATGAACATACCAGTTCATTCCCATGGGCATCCAAAAACTCGGTCATGAGGATAGTGCTGTATCCGTCGAACTCGCTACCGGACTTGACGAGGGCGCGTTGGAATCCGGCATCAATTTGGGATGCGTTTGCCGCAAGGTCGATTGTTTGAATCAAGGTGAATTGCACAGTGGAGATGTTGACGCCAGGGTTCAACACCTCAAATGAGTCGTAGTCGGGTCCGATCATACCATCTTCACAACGAGGGCCTGCATCGTCTGCTTCGGGCGCAGGTCCACCAGCTGCGACCGCTGCTTCAATTTCGGCCTGTTTCTTGAGCGCCGCAGGGGTCAATAGCGCGTAAGCGGAGTTGTACAACCAAGGGTGATTTGGCTGCCATTTGCTATGGAGATCGGCCGGAATTCCTCCCTTCGTTTGAAAAGCCGTGACTTCCTCAGGTGTGAATTGGTGCTTCTCTACTTTTTCGGAGGCAACGTTGAAAGGGTATAGCGCGAAATCGGTGTCGATAAGGAGCTCTTCTTCGCCAGTCAGACGCCCCGCGCAATTCGTCGAAGAGAGGAGCACGGCCTCGGCGATGGTGTCGAGACTTTGCTGCGGAGCTCCAAGTTGTTGGGCGGCTGTAAGGCTCGCCAGACCGGCCCACACCACAGTTACAAGGCCGAATGCGCGCATTGTCGGTGCTCAAAGGAATTACACGGCGAACGGGGTAGCGCTTGAGAGGACGAGGTGGGACCGCCGGGAGGGCGATTCTTTATATGAATTCTCGCCTTCTACCAAAGGATGCTTCTTGCGGCCCTTTCCACCGTTTTTCTTCCCCGCCATCGTGAGTTGCCTATTGCAAGAATCGAGGCATGTGCTCCATGGGCCCTCATTTCTGTTCGCATACAGTATGATGGTCTCAGAATCACGGCAAGAGCCGGAAGGTCGCCAAGTTACTACAGCTCACCGCAAGGGTGCTTCTGCGGGAGACATCGTTCTGCGCGGGCGAGGCTCTGAGCGTTGCCTGCGATCAAATCGTGGACGTCGCGAGGTGCCGGTGGGTGAGACGAAAAAGGAGTAGAAAGCTCCATAGAGTCAAGGTAACTTGGCTTCTGCGCACTACACTGATCGGGGATGGTCGAGGGGGCCTGATGAAAAGAAGCCTCTTCATCTTCCAAGGACAATTCTGTGGTTGGATGGTATGAGGAACTCGCTGGTTTGCAGGCAGCAGAAGCAAGGAGGCTTTGTTCTATAGTGTGAAAGCCTTTTGTCTAATAAACGAAAGAAAGATCTACGAACTCTGTTAAATAGATCGGAGGCTCGCTGGCATGCGATGATAATAGACTGAAGGAAAACGTTACTATCGAAAGGGACCCTGCGTACGATATGCTGTCAAAAAGGGTCTTTTTTTCGGCCACACACAGGCATGGAGGCTTCTTGCCTGGCCCACCGAGCCTCCGAAGTGGAATTCATGATTTTGTAGCACGCATGGCGGAAATTGACAGCATCGGGAACTGTCAATGATGGGAACCAGGGTTCAAGGGGATGGCTCCCCGTTACTGGAACACGGTACGTGCTTCCTAGGTTCTGAGGTTCTGGCGCTGTACGAGCGCACGGAGCACCCATCAGCAAAGAAGTTCTTCGAACCGCTTGCAGTAACATTCCATTACGGTAACTATACTCCTCGCATAGCGACATCCTTCCACTAACCTGGATGTGTTGTCAGATATGTTGATTGAACTGGGGGGTTGAGGCAATCTTGCTGCCGCTCAATTGTTGCTTGTTTATGGAGCAGACGTCAAAGGCCCACCTCTGCCTCCCGGTCGTCGGCAAACGATGTCTAGATCGGTGGCGGGCACTCTGATGTTTTCACGTTCCTGTTGGAACGAAAAGCCTCGGTCAAGCATCCTTGTCCTTTGGAAATCGCTATTGGAAGTCACGAGGGGTTGCATTGGGCGACCAAATTCTCGCCATGGGCGCTCCGCTCAACTGGAAGGCCATAAGCAAGGCGATCTACATATCACTCAGTTTCTTCCGGCTTGTTGTGCTGCATCCAGATGCAAGCGTACTTTGGAAGACAAGCGATATCGGAGGGTGGATGAAGTAGTGGCGTGTGTATCGGGCACCGACTGGAACATTGATGCATTCTGGATTCTGCAGGAGGAGTTGGGATTCGACTTGCGGGAATACAGGGGATTCATTCTCAATAACGCCGGGAGGCATCTGGAAGTCGTGACGCGATACCTTGATAGTCTGGCCGATGCTCTTCGAAGGATGGGAACCGACTTGCGGCAATGCAAGGATTTGATGTTCCGTGGTATTTGGCCCTCGTACAGCGATACCTTTGGAGTCTGGCTAATTGCGGTTAAGCTCGCGGGAATTCATGGATATGATATTCACAGTAACGCTGGGGGGCGTTCGGACCCCGTCCCGCAAAGCAACCTTGATAGTCTGAGTGACGGAGCTTGAGATGACGGTGGAAGGGTGGAAACGGGTCATAGTACCCAGATTTAGTATACTGTACGAGGACACACATGCAAATACAGATTTTCGAGCTGAGAGTGTGTTGGGAGCGTGGGTCCCGGTCAAGAGGAGTCCTTAGTACTAAAGTGTCGAGATCGGGATGCCCACTCGCGGCCGAAGTCTGACCGTGTTCTCATGTGCCTGCCGGGAGAGCTCTCGCTCGCAGCTTTTGGCTCTTTTGGTTCATCAGCGTGCAGATTCGGTGCTTTTGTGACAGGCGAAGAACCATCAGCTATGGCATCTATTATCCGTCCGCGGGTGCTGCACGGCGCTGTCGCAACATATCGAAACACAATGTCTTGCCCGACGCCAGTGCGAAGTGCGATACTCGTTCTCGGGTCGCCGTGCCAGGGACATTCTGGAACGAGGCTTTATGCCTCGTTTACCAAGCGGTGCTGCATTTCGAACGCCTCTACGATGTCTTCGGGCTTCCTTCTACCCTCGAGAGCAAATGGAAAACCTTATTACGCCTTGCCCGCGTTCTCTGTCAGGCCCATTGTCCGGTGTGCGACAACGTCTTCCACCAACCCGGAAGAGAACGAAGATCCCGCCACTGCTGCGAAAAGGAGAGCGGCCGAAGCGAAGTATAGGCGCCGACGGGAATTCTGGATGCGTTTGCGGTTCGAAACTCTGGATACCATATATCGAAGTGAGTTTTCTGCACTGGTCGTCATTTGTCAGCTGTTCACCTCGTCCTAATCTTTGGTTTTGCCCTGCTAGTCACACATGCAATACAGTCCCTCGGCTACGTGGCCGTTCTCATAGGAGGGCTTGGTGTACTCGGCGGATCCTTTTACTATCTATCTTTGGATATCGTAGACCAGACTGAAGCATGGTCCATCTACGAAGCCACGGCAGCTCTTATTGCTGACGATGCACGCGTGCGGGCGCTGGTGGGGGATGACGCAGAGGTGATGGCGGACCCCACGGCTGGGAAAGGTCGACGACGATTGGGGTCGGATTCACTGAGCCATAATGTGATACAAGATGCGGATGGGAAGCTGACGCTTTGTATGCGGTTTTATGTTGTGGGGGCAAGAGGGACTGCTTCGGTTCATGTCGAGCTTGTACCGGTATGGGGCATTTACTTCGGTTCGGAAGTTGTCACGTCTGCGCTTTTGCTAAGAATCCTGACTCCCACCACACAGACAACCGGCGACACAGCAGACGTCTCGGCTGCATCTCCTGCTTTGAACTCTGGCAGCCGAAAATGGAGGCATCAACTGATCCAAGTCATTCCGGCATATAAGAAAGGACGGACGGTCACTATCGTTGACACTCGGCCAGTTCATGTAATACAGCCCGAGGAGGTGAAGAAGACTGGACTATTCGGATTCGCGGCGCGAGCCGCTGGTAGTCGGCGATCTGCATAGGCACGAATCATTGCGAGAAAGCGTGACTAGGCGTAGCGACGCAGGCGTAGGATCTCGTAGGCATCCAGAGGCGCTCTGATGCTGACAAAGGCCGAGCTAGTAACGGCAATCCACCCACCCCTCAAAAACTGAATGTCCGGTATCTTGTAGAATAGCATAGCATACTGTAGCACTTCCCGGCGCATACATAACCAACTTCTTGAACTCGAAGTGTCAACATCATCGCTATAATACATGGGCATAAGGCCAAGGGGAGCTGGGAAGTCAAAGGCCGCGGAAGCTTCTTGTTGTTCGCCGGTGTGTGAAAGTGTACTGTCTGTGTTCGCGCGTCCTCGGTAATTGGCATAATGAACGGCCACTCACGTCCGCCGGGGCCCCCTTGAACTTGCGCCGGAATTCCTGGAACCCCACGGCTTCCACAGCCATTCTACGGTACCCGACTGATCAGCATAGGCCTGAGTTCGCCTTCTGAAGTGTCGTAACCAGCCGCTCTCTGAATTCGAAGCCAAGCTCTCAGAAGTGTTTCCAGCCACCACTAGGCATTTCACACCCGCTGCCAAAACTACAGCGCGGGCTCCTGTAGAGAGCTACTCGACGAAACTTACCGGCCACCGTTCGCTTGAGACAGGACATCAGGATCAGAAGACAAGGGGTGACGATAGAGACAGCTGGCCGGCCTTGGGGTCCCCCGTGTGAGCGAGCTTCAGTGACAAGCATGTCGCATAACTATCCAGGTCAAGAGGAGTTGCGCTACCCTCTGTCATACGGCAACCCGCAGCAACAGCAGCAGAGCAACCCTTCGGCGTATCAATACCATCCAGCTGAGAATAGATATGGGAATCCGGTGCACACAGCGGAGCAGCAGTATGACGTGGACTTCAACGGAGATGTGGACTTGGATATGATTCTCGGTCTGTTGAACGAGAACTCACCCACCACAGTACGACGCGCCGGACAGGCTGCCGCCGCCGCTGCCGCCGACGGAACGCTTTCCAATCCGAATGTATCGCCAGATGCTGCTAGCGGTGTGCCGTCTGGGCAATTCTACAGTTCGGCATATCCCGGTTCAGCTGGCGGACACTCGTCGACCAACGTAGTCGGATCCCTGTTGAGAGAGGCTGGATACCGTGATCCTGGGGACCCGTCCGTAGATTCTATTCGCAAAGCGGTGCTGATGGGAACGTTGCCTTCGGACGATGCCGGCCCAGGAACGAGTCAGCAATGGATGGAAAACAATCGAGATAGTGGCTTTTATGGCGCCGACTTTGGACCGACGCCTGCCAGTCTTGGGTTTGATACCCAAGATCCTCCCGCTGGCCCACATATGAGGCAACAACCACCAGCGGTACGCGAGAGATCGAATGCCCCGCTGAACCAGCATCAGCACGACCCATCTGGGAATCCTCGGAACGGGCTCCCCCCATTATCCATGCGGAATACGCAGGTTAGTAAGACCTTTCGTTTATCCAGATGGCCGAGCACCACTAAAGTCACTTTTTCAGATGGGAGGTCTTCCGACACCGGCCTATTCCGCTGATACCTACGGACCGCCATTACATATGCAACAGAGGGAACCGGAACATGTACCCTACTCATCGACGATGGGGTATGGATATCCGCCGAACTACTCTCGCCCGATCGCTAAGCCGAATACCCGCAGAAAGGCGTGTGGTAAGCTATCGTGGACGCGGTGTTTGTTATTCCGAGCAAACCACCGCAGTCAGGTCAATGACCATCTTCATGTATCACCGGACTGACAGAGCCATGCCGACGAAAGAAGCTCCGATGTGACGGCAACAGACCCGAATGCTCCACTTGTGCCGCATCAACACAAGGTCGCACGTGCGTCTACGCCTCCGTGGTGCCAACAAAAGGAGATCCGTTCGCAGACGCTCAGGATTCGGAGGAAATCATGCTGAAGAGGCGTCTTGCAGACATGCAAGGGTTGGCGGAGAGGGTGGAAGCGTTAGAAGCATCGTTGGCTGCTGCACGCAACAAGAACCATCAATCCGGGAATGAGGACTGCATGTCTGGATCGGTGTCGCCGAATTCGTTGACCTCAAATAGTACGCGCATGGGTGTGTATGACTCGGTTGAAACATCGAACGAGCCAACGTTTCTGAATAAGTCATCATTTACCAGTCAATAACGGAGCGGACGGTGCCACACCGCTCCAAATACAATCCATGTCGGAGGAGGAAGCTTATCAAAGTCCAAGCATCGTTCTGGTGGAGGATCGTGAGGCGAAAGCATGGCTGGGACAGTTCATCCATCAATTCGATCAGCTCTGTGTGGACCCGCAAACGGAGGAGCAGCTAGAAAGCGTGTCGAGTCTGGCGCCTAGGCCCCAGCTCGATATGCTGCCGGATCCGCAGGAACTGTATATCAACAATGATTTGCTGGATTTGTACTTCCGGTGAGTGTAGGGCTTCGCTGTGTGTAAAGCTACGGTGGTACGATGGCTAATGCGAACCTCCTCGTTGATGTATGGACTCTCTAGCTATTCATCATGCATGATCCCATACCCAGTCATTCACCCGGGAACCCTCCGTAAAAACATGGCCAACACCCCTCCAATGCTCCTCTACGCCATCTACGCCAATACTTGCCCCTACTCCACCGACACCAAAACCCGCAACACCGTCAACGCCTTCTACCGCCGCGCACGCAGCCTCATCCTCGCCAATCTCGAAAACCCATCCATTGTCGTGCTGCAGTGCCTGCATCTGCTGAGCACCGCGTCGATTATCAAAGGGTCGTTGGATACGGCCTGGACGCTGATGAGCATGGCGTGTCGGATGGCGCATTACTTGCATTTGGATCAGGATCCTGAGGAACTGGGGTATACGGATTGGGTCGAGATTGAGACCAGGAGGAGGCTTTGGTGGGCTATCTATGTTATGGATGCGTAAGTTGGGGGTAGGGGTATGGCGGTTGATGATGGCGCAAGTTACTGACAAGACGTTGTTTGTTCGGGCTGCAGAATCAGGAGCTCAGCGCAGATGCGATCAAGTTACTTCCAGCGTAGAAAAGCGTACACTGTCAAATCGCCTTGCTCCGAAGGGCGGTGGGAGTTTTCGGACAGTGCAGGAAACCTGCCCATTCACTTACAGGGCATCAAGGACCATAACTACATTGCGTCGTGGACGAGCTTTGCGCCAATATATGCAAAGGTATGTGACGTGTGAGACACGGCAACAGGTTTGTGCGAATCTTGCTGACAGGCTGACATGTTTCCACAGGCGGTAACATACAACTATTCCGCGCTAGCCACCGGCGTCGATCTCACCGTCTACGACGACCGCGCCATGTCCCTCATCGGCGAGATCGAACACTGGTACCGCCGATGTCCACCCACCGTCCAGTCCGTCCCGTTCGCCAACTCGTTCACCACGAACCCTCTCTCCTCCACCTCCGCAATACCCTACCACGCCGTCAACATCTACTTTTCCAAAATCGCCACCATATGCGCCATCCAACGCCCGCGCCTCATCGCCGCCCTCACCAACAACTTCAAAGACCCACAGGCGGCCGATACCATCGAGACCGCGAAACGGGCCGCGGAAGCCGTTGCGCATCTCGCAGGCCGCTTACTTGACGCCCCCAACCCCTCCGAACGCGACGAAGGCATCACCTGCCACGCGCAACACGTCTCCATCATCCCCTCCATGGGCATCCTCGAAGCCGGGTTCATCCTGATCATGATGTCCGCCTACGAAGCGTCCAAACGCAACCGGGTGGAGTTCGAAACAGCGCAAAAAGGGTTGAGTGATATCGTCCGCATGTTGAGAGCGTTTGGGAGACCGTATTCGCCGCAGTTGGCAATGGCGCATGTCCTGGCGAAGGTGAATGAGCGGATATTGGCGCAGTTGAAGGGGAAGAAACGGTTGAACGAGAATGAGGGTGCGGGGACCGGTGCGAGGCCAACGTTTGTGATTGCGGACGCGAGTGCGCAGAGGCAGCAGAAAATTGGATTGGGTGCGGAGATGGAACGTGGGTTGCCGGTGCCGGTGATGAATGGGAGGAAGAATGTTGCGGCTGGCGGGTGGGAGGGGGCGTCGGTGGGGAGTCACCATCAGCAGGGATTGAGAGGGCCGACGTATCCCCCGCAGGTGGATGCCCGCCAGTATGGGCTTCATCAGTATCACTGATGATGCAGGAGAGGTGACAGACCTGTGGGAAATGTGTGGGGACTCCCGTTGGATGGGGATACTTATGGTACGGCATTGTAATTTTTTACTTGAAAATCTTTTTTGGGTTTGGCGAAGGGACTAGGTTTGCTGGTGTACATCTTCACTCCCGGTTTGGGCGTGCGATTATAATATGTAAATATCAAAATCTTGTATCTTTTCGTGTGAAATCTCTCATGCCTGCCAATAGATTTTCCTTGTTGATATTTACAGATACAGCATTACGACCCCTGCTACCCAGTACCGAAGCTAGGACTATGTTTCACGGATCATGCTTGAACAACGATCCTCGGCGCCTCCACCACCACATCCTCCTCGTCCTTCCCCCACTTATCGTCCTTCAGGTACTTCGGCACAACCGTATTCCGCAAATACTCGATGTCGATTTGCATCTGCAGACAAAGCAAAATAAATCAATCTCCCATTGATGTCGACGGACAGATTAGCAACTCACATGTGCCCCAGTGATCTTATCAAACACCAATTGACCCTTCTTGTCCATCTCCTGCAGGCCGAGCCAGTCTTGCTTGTAGAGCGGCTGGTCGTGCAGCGGGATGAGGGAGCCGGTGGCGTTCCAGTAGGCGAACCACTATGGAAGGAGAGGGTGATGTGAGTGGCATCTCAGCGTGGTGTGTGCATGTCGTCCATCGACCATCCAAAACACGCCATCCTGCTCGCTCCGCTCGCGTTGACCCTCCACTGGCACCCTTACCGAAGTCTCCTTTGGCACAACCGTCTGATCCGACTCAAACATAATCAACACCAGCTTATTCAAGCTCATCAAATTCTTCTTATACCCTTCATTCTTAACCCCTTTCTCATTATTCAAATCCGGCAAGAAGATGTTCTTTTCCAAATACGCCTCCTCATTCTTCATATCCTTATAATACTGCGCCTGCACGACCCGACGCTGCACCCAGTGCAGGTAAGCGCCTTTCAGCAGCAAGGCGCGGGCGAGTGTGCATGTGGCGTCGTGCTCGTCTTTACAGCCCGGCCATTCGCTGACGCCGGCGTGCTGGGACCCGAATGTGAGGAGGTTGTGCACCGCGGGGTCGTTGCAGCGTTCTACATATGAGCGAAAGAACTGACCGCCTTGGGAGAAGCCGATGGCGTTGAAGCCGGCGCGGAGGTTGGGGTCTGCCCGGAGCTCTTCGCATACGCGTTCGACGTGGTCTTTCACTACGCCGAAAAAGCCAGCTCGGCGGTCTTCTTCCTCGTTGTCGCCGATCATTATTGAGCGGACGTAGACGCCGGGTAGCTCTTCTTCTAGGAAGGCTTTGACGGCGCCCATAGACTCGGGGTTACAGCAGCTGTCGCCCATTCCGTGCCAGAGGACTATGGGGCGGTGAGGTGCCGGTGGTGCTAAAGGACGGGACAATAGGAGGCAATTACTTGTTTAGCAAGTGCGCAAAGTGGGTGTGACTTATAAACCGATACACTTACCAGCAAGGACGACGGAGCATAGCAGTGTGATGGCGCACACAACGAAGAGAGTGGGTGATCTCGACGAGACCATCTTGAGTGGTGAAACAAAGTGCAGCGCAATGCACCTGTGGGAAAGGCTAGGGACTGCGAGCAGACTGCGACAAGCGAGCGAGACAGAGGCAGGTACGTTTTGAGTATGTGCGGAAGCCCTCGCTGTTCTGCGATGAAGGTGAAGGGGGGGGAATTGGGTGAAGGCCTCGATGACTGTGACGGGACGACGCGGAATTCGACAGCGCGCGGTACCCGGTCAATCCCCTGCTGGGTCCTGCTGGTTGGCGTGTTGCTCTCCTGCTCCTCAGGAACCACATTACGAACCCCTCTCCTGTTCTATTATTGTACGCCATTACAAAAAGTGCCTTCTCCGTGGAATTCCAACGGTCGGCGATCATGGGCTTTTGCCGGCAGTAACCATAAACCGGTCCGCCGTCTAGGGCTTCAGTACCTCCATCATAGTTTTGAAATTCTTGAACGAATGCCGCTGGAATTGCAATTTGGGGTGGTGCAGCGCCTTGTGTAGCAAATTAAGCCAGGACAGGGTAGCTTGCACCTTGTCAATTTTATAGCTGACTCCCGATTGCCGATAAGCGGCATCGGGATCTCGAGAGTTGATTACGGAGCAGGTGAAGCACTCTATGGGTAGTGTGGGAGTCAGCGATTGGGGTAGTGGACATTACTGTACTGGCGTGAAAAACGTACCGAATCCTTGTATGCGAGCGTCGTACGCCCTTTTGCGTTCTGCTCCCTGTCGGGATCGTCCCTATATGCTCACCTGACTCGTGCTGCGAAGGGACCCCTAGGTAGATTAAACCATTTCGTTGCCCTAGGCCATATGAGAGTCCTCTATTTGATCGCCCGCCCAATGCGGACCATCCCTTGAAGTTGGCCCAGTGCGGGTCTGTGTCACACGATAGCTGGCTTTTGTATTCATCGCCGTCGGTCTCAAGCCTTCCATACTGAAGCTTGCCCATCAGCAGGGTGACAGGCGTAAAGCTGAACAGCTCTGTCGTGATGTCAAAGCTGATAGGCGCAAAGTAGTGACCGATTCCATGCTTCGCTTGTAAACAAAGGAGGGGAGATGCCTCTCTGTAGATGTGGTCAAATCCTTCATACTTGTAAGGGAGCGTACGGATGAGGTGGGTATCGACGACGACGGATGGAAATAGCCGGTCGCACACGGCCTTTAAATTTATGGAGCGAGAGATAGGTCGTAGCCTGAGTGGGGTTAGATGACAACCAGCTTCAAGAAGTTTGAGACAATAGCAATATGCTGCACGCACACACACCCACCTCCAAACCGAGTTCCAGTCGAGCACGCGAGCCTCAAAGACGAGGTCGAGGGTGATGTGAATGGGTAAGGGGTAAGCGACCCTGGTGCTGGTTTCTCTCTCTATATATATGTACGCCCCCTGTCCTCGAGCATGTGCATGTAACTATGTCGCTCTTCACGATCCTGTCTTGGTGCTTTTCTCAAGAACGAGAACCCTTTCTGGGGGCAAGATGCGAGAGCTCCGACTGACAGGCTTCGCGACGCGTTCTCCGTGGCTTGCTATTTGATGTGGGGTTTGGACGTTGACGAAGTCCAGGGAACGGATTTATAGGACTCTTCAGCTCACTCCTAACCAGACAATCCATGAGGCAGCGGGCATGGCCTCAAATCCGAGGAGGTCCCCCCGGCGAGAGCGGAAACTAGAAACGGGCCCCGCCTTCCGTTCAAGGAGGACGACGACCGTAGACGCCTCCTCCGAAGATCACCACCTCGGCAATCCGGAGGAGGATATTGCAAAGTCACATCAGGATAAGCCTGGAGGTCTCCGAGTAAACGGAGAACTGGCTCTATGCGCACAGAACATGCGTGCTCTGGGGCTGACGCGCGTGGTCGAGCGATTCGCGGACGAGGTTGCGAGATACCTGGAACTGCCTGACGAGTTGAAACCGCTGGTACTGGACTTTGGACGAGTTACCGAACCTCCGTCAAAAGACGCAGTCGAACGGACAAGTGCTCTCCGTGCTGTATATCAGTGCTTGCGGTCATATGAGGCGTTCAACACCATCGATATCATATCGAAGACGTTCGAGACCCTAGACCAGCTCGGAGACCGGCTGAAGGAAACGAAAGAGACTTGGCAGTCGTTGCGGGACACGGATTGGCGGACATTCGTGCCGGAGGACCTCGACAGTTCTTGTATCCTCCATTCATCATCACACGAGACAACCGCACGGAGGATTCAATGGGCCAGCGCTGGACGCTTGGGATGGTGGGACGACGAAGACGGGAATCCGAACTCTTTGCATGACGATCTGGAAGATGTGGTATACATGCCGCGCTCGATTCGGGCATTCCGACATAAGCATACGGGACAATATATTCGCATCTTCTGCGTGGCGGACGGACATGGTGGGCGGTGTGCGGCGGCATGGTTTGCAGAACGGGTCCCTGGTGTGGTGATGGGCGTGTGTGATTCGCGGACTTGCTGGGATTTATCGCAACCGGCAGATGAGCAATATCTGCGGGAACAGCTCACAAACGCAATCATGGGCCTAGACGACGCCTTTTGCGAGATTCGGAAACAGGAATACATGCATGCACAAACACTCGTCAACCGCGGAAACGGAACCGACTTGCAGATTTCTGATGACGGATGCACGCTCAGCGTCCTCATCCTCTTCGCAGACAGCCATCTCGTAACCGCCCACGTTGGCGACTCGCGTATCGTCATCGCCAAAGAATCAACCAGTGACGACGCACCATGCACCCTCATCCACACGACAATGGACCACAGCGTCTCCCATCCCATCCGAGCCCAGTACATCGCGCAACAAGGCGGCGTATTCCGGATCAGCAAACGACACCCGGAAGTCAAACTACCCGCTTCATCCCTCGTTCCCGCAAATCAGCCACCATCATCAGTCCCCCTATCCCACATCGACGCCCTCGCCACCGCCCGCGTCTTCCGCCCCCAATCCTTCATCAACCCTTACGGCTTCCCCATCAAACACATGGGCATGGGAGACGCGATGGGCGACGTTGTCATGAAAGTCGAGCCGAGGCTGTTCATGGGTCGGGCGGATGTGGATGTCGTACGACTTGACCCGGGATGCGGATATGTGGTTGTGATGGCGACGGATGGGCTGTGGGCGGTGTTGGGGGATGCGGCTGGGGCGAAAGCCGCTTCTGTCGATGTAAGGACGGAGGCGCAGACGAGGCGCGTGGTTGAGGAGTGGCCACGGTTTGCGGAGGGTCGCGAAGCAGCTTCAGCGATGCGAGCGCTCAAGGATGACCAGATGGGTGCTGTGGGTTGCAAAGACGCCGTTGCGGTGAAGTCCTTTGCTCAGGCCCTTTGTGATCGGCACCAAGGACCGTTGAAAGCCCTGTTTATCGACGAGGACTCGAAAAACTCCTCCACACGGAAACTGTGGGACGATATCGCGGTCGTGGTCATTTCCATCGAACCTGCTGAAGCCGCCTCCCAGTCTCAACCCACTACATCCACCGAAAGTACCAATGCACTGCCCTCCCAACCGGGAGGAGACACGGTTACAGTCGTTATCCCTCAACGCGCTGCCTCGAGCGCCAACGCTCGACCTGAGTCGAGTGTTGCAGACCGTATCATGGCGAGACGGCGATAGGGAGCAGATTGGAGATTTGTAAATCGTATAGATCTTTTTGGACCTATTTTCTCATAGCAGATGTGTATTGGTGTGGATGTTACATATGTATGTACAGTGAGGGAATCCTTTCAAACCCGTGTCTCACTCGACACGTTCCCAATACAAACAAACGCCCAACCGCACGGCATTCCCAAAAAGTTCATTCCCTCACCTCCCCGCTATCTAAAACTCCCTTGCCTCGAGAACAACCCCGCCAACCCCATCCCCTTCTCCTCCGTCCCTCCCTTCTTCCGTTTCGCTTTCCGATCCCCCGCATCACTCTCACTCGCTCTTTTCGCAATCGGCGGCTTGCCCCCACCATCACCATCACCACCTGCACCATCAACGGGTGCTGTAGGGCCGCCGCCTATACGGAACCCGGTATTTCCTCTCCGTGTGCCGTCTGAGCGGATGTGGGTGGGGTTGCCGAAGCCGGAGATTGCGGAGTGGGAGCGGTTGAAGGGTGTGGGTTTGGCTTTCGAGGTTGTGGATGTGGTGTTTGATTTGGCGGTGCTGGTGGAGTCGGTGGAGAGGAAGGCGCGTTTGCGGAAGATGCGGGCTGAGTCGAGTGTTCGTGTGATCTACGAAAAGAGACGTACGGATGCTTGAGCAGGAATATCACCCTCCTGCCACACTCTATCATGTCGTTTCATTTCCTATCAACACGTACCTTGCCAAACTGTTCACTCCTCCCACCAACCAACCCGCCGACTCGCGCCCTCTTCCGCTCCATCATCAGCATCAGCACATCAACGCCTTGCCGATCTACCTCCATCGCCCCATCGCTTGCAGCATCATCTGAATGCATGGTTGTATCGGCTGTAGCCACCGCCCGCGGGCCCGCACGCTTATCTCCAGTCGTCTGCTCAGCATGGCCATCGCCCTCAGAATCGCTGTCAGGCACAACTACAGCGCGTCGAAGTCGCGGTCGCCGAATAGCGCCTTCCTCAGGCGATGGGGGGACATCGCCATCCTCCTCCTCGACGCCGTCGTCGTCAATCATAGAAGAGCGCTGGGACGTGTCGTTTGATTTGGTGCTTTTGTAAAGTGGCCATGACGCGAAGCGAGGTAGTGATCTCTGCTTCGGCTGTGCACCGGGTAAAGTAGATATCAGCATTCACACACGCAAAGCATTCACACGCGCGACGGACAGCGAAGAAACTCACCTCAGAAGCATTGCCCACCTCCGCATCGCCTTCCTCCGCCCTACTCCCCCTCCGCCTCCCAAACCTGACCCCAAGCTTCTTCTCCGCCACCTCCTCATCACTACTCAAAAATCCTTCCTTAACGGCACACCCATTATCAAAGCATTTCGCAAACGCCGACGTCGCCGGGTTAGCCGCCAATGCGCTCAGATCCCCCTTCTCTTCCTCCCCCTCCTCTCCATCACCACCATTGAACGCATGCCGTCCCCGAATTTTGGCCAAAAGCGCTTCATCATCCTCATCGCTATCATCATCCAGAAACCCTTCCCCACCCTGTCGTCTCCGTCTCGCCTTCCGTTTGCGGAGGTTTCCCGTCGTTACATCATTCAACAGCTCCGTGATCCCCTTCTCATGTTCGCTCTGCGCTTGCTGGCGGTGAAGTTCTAGAACGTCTTCGAAGCCTTCAACGTCCGATTCGTCGCTGACGACTAGGCCGTCGAGATCGGCGTCGAGGGTAAGGTGGTCGTCTGGGTCGTCGGCGCCGCCGAGGCCGAAGAAGGCGTCTTCTTCTTCCTGGGCTTCTGAGTCGATGAAGGCGTTGCCGGGACGGGGACGTTCGGCGGCCCAGGCTGCGAGGTGGCGGGAGGGTTGCGGGCGTTGGTCTTTTTGTGGTGCGCTTTCGTCGTTTTGGGACCCGTTGGGTGCTGATGACTGCGTGTTTCCTGCACCATCCTGATCATCATCCGATTCCGAGGAGGTATCATCGTCATCCTCGTCATCAACAACCTGCGGCGGCACAATCGTAACAACAGGCGGCCGTACAACCGAGGAGTGCCTATCACCCTTGCCGCGCTCTCCCGCATCATCGCTAGCCCCAGTCTCCTCATCATCAGAATCATCCCTCAACAACTCGGCAAAAGAGTCGTCCATATCCTCCATTCCCGTCTTCAATGCCTCAACCAAACCTCCCGCGCCCACAGCCGCCGGCTCATGCACCATCTCCACATCCTGATCTACTTCCAACGCCGCATCCATGTCAGGGTCGCCAAACCCGCCAGAGAGCATATCTAACAACTGTGTGTTTGACTGTTCGTCCCCGTCCTCGTTGATGCCCGCGATAGAGCGTAGCGGGCCGATCTGTGCAAGTGAGCTAGGCGGCATGTCTGCCGACTCCTCCATAGGCATATGACGTGCGTCGTGAGTGACTGGTTGTGGTACAGCAGATGCGGACGCCGCCGCCTGCGACACACCACCCTCGCTTCCGCCAGTGTTGAAGTACGCCGCAATACCCTTGGGCTTGCTTCCCGTTTTGCTCTGCATCCTCCCGACACGTTTATTCTCTGGGACCACAAACGCCATCTTTGGCGGCGATGCCGTGTTTATAACTTGTAGAGGTTGCGTTTGCGACTCGGACTGTGTTTGCGTGTCATCGATTGAGAACAAGCTAAGAAGTGCGGATAGGTTAGCCACTGCTGCCTAGAAAATCAGCAGCTCCGTCTACCAGCATTGCCAAACGTACTCTGGCGGATCCATGTCTAACGAATAGCTGTACTGTAGGCTGATAGGGGCGGGTAAACGGACCGATTGCGTGTATTCGCTTGGTGGTTTTGGTTCTAATGTGATGTCCTGCAAGCGGTATCGACTAAGATAAGATAATGGGTCGGAAAACATGCCATAGGTTGAGATTTACCTCATTGTCATCGAATCCATCATTGTCCTATGAAACAAAATGCTATGTGAGCGACCCTAAGCCTAGACGTGCATCTACCTCACTCGAGTCTCCTTACTTACCTCATCATCCTCGTCCTCCCCAACCCTCACGCGTTCACTCGGCATCTTCCGTCGCTCACGATCCCGATCCAGCGCATCATCATCATCACTATCATCCTGCTCCGGCTTACTGAACAGTACCGCAAACGGCGTCCGGTCCAAATCCGAGAATAACCTCCGCACAAGCGGCCGCCCATGTTCCCCGTTCTCGTTTTTCCGTTCATTGTCAGTCTCGTCGCCATTGGTGTCTGCGGGCGGTTCCTGCGATCCGACGTGCATCTCCACGATATCATCCTCATCATGGTCTGCATCCGCATCCGTCTTTCTTTCACCGTCCGTTTTGGGTCCAGCTTCAACCTTGACAGCATGCCGCTCAGCCTTCTTCTCCTCCCTTCGCTTCTTCCTCGCCTCCTCAGCAGCCCGCGCAGCCTCCTCCTCCATCACACGCCTCTGCCTCGCCAACACCTGATTCTTATGCATCAGTTCCCGATTCAGCAAAGCCTTCTTGGTCGGTTTCGCAGCGTACGCAAACGGGTTGTGCTTCTGCCCTTCCTCTTTGATGTTGGGCTCGGCGAGGACGTCAATGATTTCTAACGCGTCGGCGTCATCTTCGTCGTCGACGCTAAGGGCCGCGTCGTCGTCAGCCAGCTCGATGTTCATCATTAGTTGACGGCTGAGGGCAGCGTTGGCCTTTTGCATGTCGGCGAATTCCGACCGACTGACGACTTTGTCGGATTTCAAAGGGAGGTTTTTGCGGGGTGAGGGGCGTGCGGGGCTTTCGGTCTTGATTGTGGTCGCCTCAGCGGGATTCGGTACTGCTGCAGTCACCATGCCGCCGGGAGATGTCACCTCAGGCACAGATTCCACGCGCCCTGGCTTGCGCACGATGCCGCGCGACGCGAGAAAATTGTCCATGGTGAACTTCCCTTGCCGTTTCGGTAGCTCAATCTCCGCGCCTACAAGGGATACCCAGCACACTCAGTCCTCTGCAAGTTACAGTGTACATGGCCTCGAAGGGTACTCACTCCGCAGTAAAGCCTCAGTTTGCTTCTTGAGCTCCAATTTCTCTTTCTGGTTCAAGGACTAAGAAAGGAGCATAAGCGACGGTCTCCAAACGGAACTGGAAGTCCCTTGGGCATCCATGACTCAGATTCAATCCTACCTTCTTTAATCGTTTCTTCGGCGCTGAGATTGGGACACTAGGTTCCTCGTCAAGTAAATTCCCGTCCGAGTCCCGCATACCATCGTCCTCCTCATCTCCGTCTGACGCAGCCGCGGCATCATCGCCGCTGAGCTCTTCGAAAAGGCCCTCAGGCAACTGTGCGTGCGCGTCTATCTGATCTTCCGCTGGGACGGCGTGAGGTTCTTCAACGGGTCCCTCGTCACCACTCAATTCGCTGTTACGCGCCCCTCTCTGGCTTTGCTCAAGCTTTTCCCGTTCTCGCGCCGCCATCGCCCTTAGTTTCTCTCGAATCAGATCTTTGCGCTGCACATCGCTAACATTCGTCTCAGGTGGCGCTTCCGTCTCTTCTTGCCCTTCAGGTTCCTCATCATCCTGTAAACCCGACGCAGCAATTCGACGTTTCATAGCACCCACTCGTCCACGCTTTCTGGAGTACGATGGCACATCTTCGTCTTCGTAGTCGCCATCGCCATTGTCTGATGGACTGAGCACACCGCCGGCATGGTCCATGTTATTAGTCGCAACCGCGTTCTCTGTACTCAGGGGCCTTTCAGCCGACGCCACATCTTTGCGAACCTCCGGATCAGCGAAATCAAAGTCATCCAAATCAGGGAACGAGCGCTCAACCGTAGGGGTTCGCTCGTCATGTTTGGATCGATTACTACCGTAAGTTCGCAGCGCTTTTCGGAGGTCCGGTATCGCTGAGGTGGGATTCACTTCCGCTGGGATTGGGACTGCATCGGCTGCCGGCGGGGATTGTGCGGTTGTCTGACTTGCGGACGGCAGTATCTGGGTTGCGTCGTCGTCTTCGGAGGGGCGGTCGGAGTTCATTTTGGGGATGACTGGTTTCACGATTTCGGGTATACAGAGAGTTGTTCAATACCGACCAGTTGCATGGAATACACGAGGACTTTCTGGAGTTCCACAGCAGAGCGGAGCAGTTGCGAAGGAGGAAGCTGGTTTGCATTCACCCAACGCAATTACGGACCCGCTCGGAAGTTCTCCGCGGAGGCTTGATACACAGCGACTTCTGGAACCAGGCACTAGAGTTGAAATGAAGCCTTATCCTAGGAAGTGAATTGCTGCTTTCTAGCCGGAGACGGTACGGGAACTTCTGGGGAGTGCTTCCTTTTCTTGCTATCCGTTTGGACGACGCAGCGAGGGACTTTGAACGAGCGGGCGTACGCGGTGTCCGGATGGAAATCGGACATGCGCCTTCGGACATCCATCCGGACGCGTCTCCTGTGCGGCTTTCCTTCCATCACGTCACTCCTTCCCTCCAGATCTCATGCGGTTATCTCCAATCCTGGCCTTTCTGGGCACTCACACAGGCCCTCGCTGGGTACAGTACATCGTCAGAACCCTGACGCCTGCTTTCCAGGAGAAACAGAGGAAACAGGGACCTTCCTCTTAAAGTCGCTGCCCATGCGCTGATGAATGCCAGTGAGGATATAACTTCTTTGATGAAGCGTCAAGGTCAATGTCTCAACTCCTACGAGCTGGCTAGCCCGAAGGGTTTGATGCCGCGCGGATGAGTACGCAATGGACGCCCACTCATCAAAGGCATAGGCATAAAGCTATGTCCGGAACCATTAGCGAAGTTGGGCTATTGCATGCATCCATACTATGACGATGCTTGCACTGAAAAGCGCCCGCCCTGGAACCTGAGATGGATGAGCGAAAGAGAATAGTTGGTACCGGTAAGTCGATGCCAACGAGGATAACGGTGAATAGAACATGCCATAACGACGTAGATACATAGTGAGACGGAAGTGGGGATCAAGGAAAATGACGGGGCTAGAATCAAAATGACACATTGGGAGAGGAGTTCGGAAAACGGGTGTGGATAACAAGAAAATGGGTGCGGATAACACATTTGTGTGCACAAATTGCAAGGTAACCGACATGTAGAAGCGGGGGATGGTCAAGGTGATCGGCCGGAGATGACATACCGTAGTTCCGACACTGGTGCGTCTAACATCTACTTACATTTTATAAAGAAGTTTAATGCCACACCGTTGTGGATTTTCCATACTAAATGATTCACCCCCATGGGATCAGAACGACGGGACATGGGAGGGGCAAACGAAAAACGGATGTGGATAACATGAGAACGGGTGCGTTTAACATCTGGATGCTAATTAGAATGCGGGCATGGTATGCGTTAAACCCTCACACCGGTCCTCTGCACCGCTCTTCTGATATGTGGAATAAGTAAGAATGTGGTGTTGTTTGGGGTGATGTGGTGCTACCGTACGTAGTACCCTGCAAGGCGCATGCAGTACAGATCCGTGAGAAGAAAAAGAGGAAAGAGGAAAGCGGGGAAGCTAGCTCGATTGACAGGCGGTTAGGGTTAGACGCGCCGACTCCGAGGACTTGTTTGCATTCTGTGTTGTCAGAGCTCGCCTGCACTTTTTGGGCGCATTTCGTTGCTCAGGACAGCGCCTCAAAGCATGTATTGCCAGTACATCCACGCCTTGCTTTGTCCTTACCTACCTACCGACGTCTGCAACACTCTCAGCAGATCCCTCTACGCACAAGGGACTTCCGGCTCTTTCGTCTTGGGTCAACTGCTGACTTTAGTTATCTTCATTGCCGTCCCGGTTGCGCTTACCCTCTTGCTGAGAACTTTGCGGGCTTGGGTGTACGAACAAAAGCAGGCCCGTGTATCGAGGAGTAAAGAGCGAGTGCAGCTGACATCAGAGGAGACACCTGACCCTCCAACCCAACAAATTGCTGACGAGACTACCCAGCTAATTGCACAAGGTTGGACGTCGGTTTGCCTTCTCATTCGAGGCGTCCCTAAGCTGACCCTTTTCTCACCAGTAGAACTCGAAGCGCAAAGACCCATGGAGAGGATAGCGCCGATATTGATGCGGGAGACCGCCTCCCAGCAGCACAAAACGCTGTCAAACAAAGGCTACCAACACATCACGGCAGGTCTAGATCTCGACGAGGCTGGGGACAAGGGAGGAGCGTTGAGCCAGTACCGCACGGGCGTAAAACATTTCAGGGAGGCTTTGAATCTACACCTCCCGTCGCCAAATGAGAGGTTTGTGGAGGAAGAAGAATAATGGAGTGTGTCGGGAGTGGTCATTGATAGAGGACGTGTTTCTCAGGGAAAAGGCAGAACCGTTGAATATTAAGATGCGCAAGAATCTGGCAACGATTGAGCACCGGATACTGGAGCTAGAATCTTCTTCAGATGGTGCGCAAACACTGCATTCGCACTACCCTAAAGAGAGTTGACCCTAACACGCGGACGGTCTAGTGCTAGATACGTCCTTCAAATCGAAGCTCAGCCCACCTGTTCCGCGGGCTAACGTGTCGAAGCCCGGTGCTTCCAACGGAAAGGCGATAACTCGCCCAGGATCAGCAGGGTTGGGTAAGAAGGCAGCCAACCCTGCGGCAGCGGTAAGACGCATTTTGAGACGATGCGTATCAGCACCACAACCCTGATGGGCTCATTTGCAGGCAAACAAAGCGGCGGGAGGGCCAAAGGCTTCGAATCTAAAGAACGTTGACAAAGCTATGGCGGACCGGATACTGAACGAGGTGGTTGTGGATAAGCCATCTGTGACTTGGGCAGATGTCGGTAAGTCTTCCCTTTCACGCTTGGCGAGCTGCGCTGCAATTTGAAGTGACGAATACGGTAGTTGGACTGGACGGAGCAAAGCGGGCTTTGCAAGAGATTGTCATATTACCTACCCTGCGACCGGAGCTCTTCACGGGTTTGCGGGCTCCTGCGAAAGGTGCGTCCATTGATTTTTTGTCACTTGGGCTAATATAAATGGACATTGACCTTGTCCTATTTTCAAATTGCAGGGGTACTGCTATTCGGGCCACCTGGTACGGGAAAGACGATGCTGGCAAAAGTAAGCCCGGCTGTCTGTGTACAGGGCAAGCCCGAGATCGCGCATCACTCACTCTGATTGCATCCAGGCTGTAGCCTACGAGTCCAAAGCGACATTCTTCTCCATCAGCGCATCAACTCTCACATCCAAATTCGTAAGTTCCACCTTGTCACAACTTAAACACATTAGTCTGTATTGATATTCATTGGTAGGGATGATGTGTCTAGGTTGGCGAAGGGGAAAAGATGGTGCGTTGCCTCTTCCAAATAGCTCGGCAGTTGCAACCCGCCGTCATTTTCATCGGTGAGTGAATGATGCGCGATCAGTCTGCGTGCATACTTACCGTCGCCAACACGCCCCTGACAATACACACAAACCCAGACGAAATCGACTCAATCCTAACCGAACGCAGAGAATCCGAACACGAAGCCTCGCGCCGCCTCAAAACCGAATTCCTCCTCCAATTCGACGGTTTAGGCACCAACGCCGACGACCGGCTACTCGTCCTCGCCGCAACGAACCGGCCGCAGGAGCTGGACGAAGCGGCGTTACGACGACTTGTGAAGCGGATATATATACCGTTACCGGAGATTGAGACGAGAGGCGCCCTGTTTGAGGCGTTGTTGAGGGATCATCGGCATGCGTTGTCGAGGGCGGATTTGGGGAAGTTGTTGAGGGCGACGGAAGGTGAGGGCTGTGAAACGTGGTTGCAATGGAAGGTTGAAATGGGAGATGATCTCATGCATCACGACCGGTCTAGGGTATTCCGGAAGCGATATCACAGCGCTTGGTAAGTGAAACAACGTTGCGCAGGTCTATAAACGTACTTCTCCACTCTGACGCAACCTCTACTCCTTCCTCTCCTCTTCGTAAACAGCACGAGAAGCCTCCCTCGGCCCCATCCGCGAGCTCGGCGCAAAGCTAATGTCCACAAAAGCCGAGGATATCCGACCCATACAGCTGAAAGACTTTATCGCGGCACTGCGCACGATCCGACCCTCCGTGTCGCCTGCGAGCATTGCGCAGTTTGAGGAGTGGAATCGGAGTATGGGGACTCATGGGTCGTGAAGCAACTGTGCGTGGATGGGGAGTTTTATGGTGACCTTGTTGACGCGACCAAGCGGAGCACACTGTGGGGGTATCCTCAAAAATGTGGAGGACGAAGAGTGTGAGAGTTTGAACACTGCCTGCGTGGTGCAGTTCGATTCACGAGGTCTGCGGCGTACTCCACCACTTCCGATCACGGATGCCACTTTCACCCGTCGACAAAATGGGTAGCTGCACTACTCTCTAGCATTGCCCAACTCATCTGTAGGCGCAAAATGGACGCTAGACCATCACTTCATGCGTATTGGATTGTATACCCGCCGCACGAGGAACAGCTAAACCATGCGGTCCTTTAAGCAACGCAACGGGAAGGGGTGTCTACACTACATACTAGCAACCCTGTACATAGCTACCTTGGGGGATCGCCACCTCGTGAGGTCGCTGATGCTATGTAGGCTATACTCAGAATTCACAATTTTGAAAGCAAATCGCAGCTGAGGTGTGTGTATGAGAGGGGCGTGGTACAGTAGCTATTGTAATGCGGAACAGATGAAAGTGATTTATTGAAGTAGTCGGAGATGGAGTCTGTGTATTAGGGGCATTGGCGAAATGAAGTCGTGGTGAGGTGATTTTTACTGGGGCAACGGGATGCCAGAGTATTCACCGAGGCCTAATGCCAGGTTGATGTTCTGCGATTGAGAGACAGGAGAAACGTCAGTGAGACATATGAACCGCGTGATGACATAAAAGGTTTCTGCGAATACCCACCTGAACAGCCTGCGTCGCAGCCCCTTTCAACAAATTATCAATCGTCGCCACAACCACCACCCTCCTTCCCCCGGAATGCACCTTGAAACCCCCAATCTCCACATAATGCCGTCCAGCAATGTGCTTAACCTCCGGGACCTCCCCGCCACCCAACACCCTCACCAGCTTCTCATCCCTATACGCCTGCCTAAAAATCTCCTCAACATCCCTCGCCTCCATGCGCTTGTTGAGTGGGATAGAGACCGTAAGCGAGATCCCCTGGAAATGCTGCGCGACATGCGGGATGAACGCGGTGGAGATCCCGCCGAGATGGTGGCCGATCTCGCGCTCGTGGATGTGGTCGGTGAGCGCGTAGGGGATGAGGTTGTCGCGGAGGTTGTTGATGTCGTTTTTGGGGGAGGGGTAGGTGCCTGCGCCGCTGTAGCCGGAGACACCGAAGACGGTGGGTGGGGCGTGCGGGTCGAGGTGGGGGAGGAGCGGGGCGATGGCGAGTTGCGAGCCGGTGGCGTAGCAGCCGGGGTTGGAGACTTTGCGAGCTTGGAGGAGTTTGGTGCGGTTGGAGTTGAGTTCTGGGAGGCCGTATGTCCAGTCGGGACTGAAGCGGTAGTCGGCGCTGAGGTCGAGGATGAGAGGGTGTGGGGACGATGATGATGTGGACGACGAGGGGATTAAGGCGTTGACGAATGGCTTGCACACGCCGTTGGGGAGGGCCATGATCCAGCAATCGACATCTTCTTTACGGGGCAGGTCGGCGGGCGACAGGTTGGTGTAGATGACTTCCGAGCGTTTGTAGTGCTCGCACGGCTTGCCTACCAATTCGCGGGATGACACGTACGCTAGCTCCGCTGATGGGTGGTTGTCGATGAGCTTGATGAGCTCTTGGCCGGTGTATCCGCGAGCGCCGATAAGTCCAATCCGCGTCTTTGCGGATGAAGCAGAGGTCGGTGCAATCGTTGCCCGCGCTGGTCGGGTGGTGGAGTAAGTGCGCACGCCACCAATGTTTGCGTAGCTTGGCCCGACTCCTCCTTCCCATGCGGACGCGATGTTTGATGAAGTAGGGCCGATGGGAGACGGGCTCCCTTTGGAGAACGCCTTGAGATGCCCTTGCACATCCTCCAAGTTCTGGATGCCATACCAAAACAACGTCCTGTCCTCGAACGAGTAGCTTCCATCTGCCCGTTCAAAGTACCACGTCTTGTTCGAATCGTCCTTTGCGGACATCCACGTCAGATTCGGGAAGTCCTTCTTAATCATTTGCCACACATTGTCCGTGACGTTGTTGAGCACCGCCGTTTTGTTGGCCACAAACTTCTCCAGGAAAGGGATGCCATTGTCGCCTTGCGGGCGGGCCACGACAGCGAACAGATCAAATGCGGCATCACTGTAGATCTGCACGTCCCGCTCCGCAAGACCCTGCAAGTACTTTGCGATGGATGTGTTGCCTTGCAAGACGTCCGGGTCGTTGTCTTCCAGGAGGCTCCTCAGCCTGTCAGAGTCCAACTTGGAGACATCGTTGGTGCGGCTCACGCGGTGGCCGCGACGGATGAGGGTCCCTGCTCCGCTATGTGTGAAGAGCTCTTTGTGTAAATGTTCGGCAGAGATGATGGAGACTGAGGATGAGCGCGGAAGGTGCATAAGAAGATCGTGGATCTCGCGAATCTTCAACTTCGTTCCGTACTTCACCCATGACTGCTTCATGAGATCATCGTACTCCTGCGGTAGGGAAAGGAAGGTCAGGTGGAACCTCCGGACATCGAAGATCAAAACACCATCAGGCGTACCTCATCGAGATTGATGATGTCGATCTTCTTCTTGGTTTCCCCATGGAACAAACCACCCTTTTCGTTCAAGTACACGATCTTGAGCGGCTCCAGGACGCGTGCTAGCTCTCCAGCCGCTACATCCGCATTGATGTTGAGGATTTGGCCAGACGGGGTCTCGCCCAGACTGGTCAAGATCGGCAACGCTCCTGCTTGAATGGAGCTCTCCACCAGCTCCTTGTTGACGCTCCTAATCTTGCCGACGTATTTGTACTTGTCCTTGTCCAAGTAGTCCGCCGTGAAGACACCCCCGTTGATGGGCCGCGCACGGGTACCAAGCTTTTCCAACGCTTCTACCAGCCTCAAATTTTCCTCTTGGAATACCCTTCGCGCAATCTCCAACGTCTTTGCGTCGGTGATGCGGATTCCCTCAATGTAGTCTGGCTCAACTCCCGCCTTCTCCAACAAATCGTTCAACTGTGGTCCAGCCCCGTGGATCACGATGGGGTAGAGTCCCACACGGTGAAGGAATGTAAGCGATGAAGCCAAGGTGTCGAGATCATCGGTAAGAACGGCCCCGCCGACTTTGATGACGGCGAATTGATGCGATTCCACACTGGAGAAGTGTCGAAGGTATTGTTCAACCTCCTTGCGGGATCCAATGTTGTACAGCAGCTTTACAATCGTTTCCTGTTTAACATGTGCATCCAGATTGTCAGAAAAACCATCGCAATCGAAGCAAGGCCTGCTCGAAGTCCCAGCACTCTACGGCGAGTCTTTTTCGCACCATCGACCTCAAGACGTCGGAGGTTAAACCATGAAGTATACCTTTTCTGCAACGTTTGCGTGGCTATTGAATGAGGCCGTGTTGACATAGCTACGACGAGAGGCCGGCACTATTCTGGCGGCTGCCTGCACTAGGCGAACTGGTCCAGTCACTGCCCTCCGGTGGCATCCTAGCCGCAAGGTCGCTCGCAACACCGACATCCAGGTTCTAATTATATTAGAAAAGGTTCTGCCTGGGAGAAGAGTGAACTTCAGCACCAGTGGTGAGCAGGGGAAGCAAGGCCAAGCTGTAACCCTATATCACTTCAATTTACCTTGTATCAGAGAACGACAAGCAATGCAAGTCCTGCGAAGGCCGACCACGGCAAGATGAGGGCGCGTTTTCGAGAAAGGAACAAGAATGAGACCCTGCTTGAGTGCACCCGCAACGATAAGGCGGACGCAGAACGTAGACGTGAGGACCTTATATATTCGGTGGCTTCAGATTGAGTGCTCCAAGAGGGGTGGATGGGCACTTTGGGTAGCGACTGACGGGATGGCAGAATGTTTTCTTTCTGCTGTCAAAATGGTGATGATGTGACTCAGCCTTGGCCGCAATCTCTTTCGCGGGTTTTTGATCATCTTGCATCGCCTTGCATCGCCTCAAGCCTTGCATGCTCACACATCATCTTGGTAATGGCAAACCAATCTTGGCATCCATTCTGCAGCAGGAGCTCACTAAACGACACTGAGTCATGTTTCAATTGATGGAGGTCGTTTGACTTGAGGATATTTGCATAAGTGCTTGAGAGGAAACAAGCAAGATGGGCGCTCAGATCCAACTTTTGCAGCTAGTCAATTGGCAACACTTCAACTCCGCTCCAGATCTTCACCAACTTCCTCGTTTCGAAGGCTCCCGGGCTGTTAGGATGTTTGATGTTGAGTTTGCGGGTAGGGACGCTCTTCTTGGCCGTGACTGGGTTTGAGGGATTTGGCTGTTGCACGTCTCGAGGACTCTGAGACGAAGCTCAAAACTGTCGAAGTTACTGTCGACGCGTTTACCAACAACGGAAACTCCGCAAACCCCTCATGCTTCTCCAACCGCCAAACCAACTACGCCATGAACTACGTTTCACCGTACGGCCAACGCCACCGATCCTCCTACTTCCAAATAACCATCAGGAATTCTCCCCAGGTATGTACGTCGCAATTCTGAAAGCTTTTCCAATAGCCAGAGGGTTGTGCAGCAGCAACGTCAGACGTGTATGTCGATCCCTCCACGTTGTGTTAGGCTATGAGCCAACGGTGAAGTTCGCTGCACACCTAATTCGGGTCGGAACCAGCCGCAGGGGACATTCGCGAATGCGACTCTTCTGCGGTATGCGTTGTAATCCTACGAAGGATCTCGGAGCTGAGCGTGCTGGCGTGAGATGATTTGAACGACCCAGCATTTAGCGAACGTATATGAGTTTTTGAAATTGTTATCATTGGATTATCCTTCCGCCAATGCGTCCAGCAACCGTTTCCAATAACTCGAAAGGGGTGGAACCAATGCATTCAGATCGTCGTTCTGGCGAATCCTGAGAGGAGGCAGTCTGGGTGGGGCTCCCACATATGATGGAACCAGAAGGGCACGTGACAAAGTATGTATGTAGTTTAATCACGTAAATGTGTCGCTTTCAAAACGTCACCAAGTGTAAAGGAAGTGTACTACGTGGAGTGGCAACATCAAGCCCCAAATGCCCTCTTGGTTGTGAAGGGCATCTCTAGAGGTATCTGTCCCAACCTTTCCTGCCGAAACCGGACGATAGATTTTTGGAGGCGCGCCGTACAACATCACTGTGGCGTCCATCTCCCTTCGATTAAGAGCTTCTTTGCCTTGCGAGAGCAGACGAACTTGAACTTCCAGCATCAAAGTTTTGAGGCATATCTTCTGTCATGGAGCATATCCGAGTGACAAAGGTCGGTGGTGGTGCCTTTGTCTCGCATCTACTTGACTTCGTCTTGAGCTGATGCTGACTCCTCCATAACCAGGTGCCCGGAGTCAAAGCGGAGAAGGGGCGAAAGTCATATTTTGGAACTCTGCATCTTCTGGCGCATCATATTCTCTTTTGCCCAGAGAAAGTAGACACGGAAATCTGGGTGCGCACTTTGTCGGAAGTTTCCTGAGAATGGCACGCGTGGGAAATCTCGGCTCATACGAGCATCTGGGGCCTAGATCAGTTACTCGACCATCCAGTCCGTTGATAGAAAAGAACCTACGCGGCATGGTCTTCATCCGCTGTGCATTACATGTCGCAACTTTGCCTATCTCAAGCTGTTTGTTCCCCATGATCGGGACGCGACGGATGTTTTTGCAAGCTTGCAGAAACTCATGAATATCGGTAAGCTGCAATCGATACAGGTCATCCTTGGACATACACGGAATCTGATAGGCCATTTCTCGCGCCGTGTCAGCATGCTTAGAGCAGCTCTATGCTTTCTCATACCAACCCGTCAAACCATACTCTCAACCGGCGCGATGGAGGCGGTACGATACCAAAAAGGAGTTTATGCGTCAAGGGATGGGAACGAAGACAGATCAATGGAGGTTTACATCGGTTAACGAGGACTATGAAGTGCGAAGATGTACTCCCAAGAGCCTAGATTACAAGCCCGATGTTGTTGACACGTTTTCTCGCAGTTTTGCCCCACTTACCCGCGCATAATGGTCGTTCCATCCAAAATCAGCGACAATGTGCTTCGTTACACTTCCAAATTCCGGAGTAAAGGAAGGATACCCACTCTGAGTTACTTACATCGGAGCAACATGGTAAAGTTAACTAGTGAGAAGTGGTTTCCGGCGGTGTTCCTGCGCTCACTGGGTCTATCCGCAGGTCTCCATAACAAGATCGAGTCAACCAATGGTGGGGCTCAAGCAGAACCGGTCTATTCAGGACGAAAAATTAGTCGAGGCAATGTTCGCGAGCGCTCCACATGCTGAGTGCGCCGGAAGTAATCTCATCATCGACGCTCGACCTACCGCCAATGCCATGGCTCAGACAGCGCTGGGAGCTGGGACAGAAAGCACCGACAATTACAAAGGCTGCAAGATAGTGTACCTCGGAATAGACAATATTCATGTTGTACGGGACAGCATGCTAAAGGTCATGGAAGGTAAACGCTGATTGCAGTTGCTGCAGCATCTGGCTCTACTTATCTGATCTGAATCTATGATTTTTGTTTCAAGCTATGAGCTCTGTCGAGAGCGGACCGGTACCTCAAGCGCTATTGCACAAAACGGGATGGCTCAAGCATATCCGCCATATCTTAGACGGCGCTTTCACCATCGTTAGAGATGTGCACTTGCACAACAGCCATGTCCTTGTCCATTGCAGGTGGGTACAGCACGTCTGTCCAATCTAGGCATTTGTCACTGTTTACTAACTCTGTTATCGAACTAGCGATGGATGGGACAGGACAGCGCAACTCTGTTCACTGGCTGAGATTTGCCTGGATCCGTATTTCCGTACTATCGAAGGGTTGGCGGTGCTGATCGAAAAGGAGTGGGTGTCGTTTGGACACAAATTCCAGGACCGTTGCGGGCATCTTTCGCGCGATCCATCACAGTCGTCGGACCGGAACTCTGTGGGTGCACAATTCCAAGCCGCAAGGCGAAATGTATCCAACTCGATCACGTCCGCCGCGAAAAGCTTCCTGTCAAAGAACCAAATCAACATTGGAGGATTAAGTTTTGGCAGTGCCGGGCATTCACCGCTTGGAGAAACACAGCTGAGCCGCCCAGGATCGGGCGGGAATAGCAATTTCGGGAGGTCATCTACATCTGGGACTGCGCGCATGTTCTCTGCAGATTCAAGCAGTGAATTACCGCAACCGCAGCCGCCCTCGGCGGCACAGCAGCTAAATAGCGTGGACATAGCCGTACCAAATCACGTTGCTCCGCGCGAAGTGTCACCCGTGTTTACGCAATTCCTGGACTGCGTATACCAGCTGTGGACGCAGTTTCCGACTCACTTCCAGTACTCCGAGCGTCTCCTGTCTTTTCTCCATCTCCACGTCTATGCCTGTCAATTTGGAAACTTCCTCTTCAACTGCGAACGCGAGCAAAACAACTATCGGGCTCCAGGAAACCGACCGATTGAAGAAGCCACCTTCTCGATATGGGATCACATTGACGGCAATATCGACGAATTCCTGAATCCCCATTACGTTTCTCCTGAGGAACGCGCAGATCAGGCGCCGATAGGCGCTGGTGGCGGGACAGGGAGCTCGAATCCCAGCATACCGGGCACACCCGGCTCGGTCAGCGATGACGGACAGATCCTGTATCCCAGCACCGCGAACTTAAAGTATTGGGCAGGCCTATGCTTGCGCGAAGAAGATATCAAAGTAGGAGGGGATCTGGTGGATACCGAATTGCGGTTGGAGGATATTGATGCGTTCACGGATCCGTCCTTTGATGATGCCGCTGAAGCGACTGTGCAAAGCAGCATTGTTGTTCCGGACTCGTCTTCTATCGCTATAGAGACATCGGTGCTGAGCTCCTTGGCTGTTGACGGCGCCGTTCCCCTTTCCCCAATACGGAACGCGGCACCGCAAGAGGCCAGACTCGTCATTGAACCGGGCGTGGACACTGAACCGCCCGCGGACATGACGGGTGAAGAGACGGAGCAGGTCGTTTTGACGTCTAAAAACGCGCCTGGAGAGCAGGTGGAGCTCTTGGCAGATGCGATACGGTCTGAATTGGAGCTGGACCCGGGACATGCAGTATCGAATCACGATGACGGAGGTGACAAAGCTGCAGCGACGAAAGCCCCAACTCCCTTACCGGAGCTGCCTGAAGAACCCCCAAAACCACCAGCAAAGGATCTACCACACCCGCTGTGGGATCCGTTGACTGGGTGACCACTGGCCTTCACTGGCATTGAGCCTCACAAGTGCCAGTGTCATCCCGCCGCGCAGGCAGTCCGCCGAACTGAACGCGTTCATATCTACATCTCGGTTCCAACCCACTTTTTCATATCGCCCATTTGTTAGATTTCTGTAACTAGTATCACTACGTCTAGGCCACCGCATATATGCTCCATGCCTACTATTACATCGCATTATTTCGAAGTTTCATGATTTATGCACAAGCCCGTTTGTTGTAAAGCTGCCCCTGAGAGGAAACCTTTAGAGGATACGAAAAACGCGCGCGTACAGGTGCTTACGTAGTTGTCGGTCTTTTGGAGCAAATTGTCGACTCGCAATCACATCCAAGCCTAAGACGGAGGAGCAACTTGTCAATACGTTCTCGGGCTGTCCTGATCAGGAGGAAGAAAATAGTTCTGTTCTGAATTCGTAGCCTATCCGAACCCTGATACTTCCCACATGTCCGTCGAAACAGGTACCGAGGAATGATGTCTTGTTACCGATCGACGCCGTTTGATACTGGATCAATAACAATCTATTATGCATACATGACAGTCCAAATCCGCACCGCCGCTGCCTCTGAGCAGAGCGAGGATGCGCAGGATGTTGACAGCCAAGTCCGTGACCTCAAGCGAGAACTAAAGGAGTGGGAACGGGCTTTCGCGGCCAAGGCCGGGAGAAAGCCGGAGAAGCCCGATATCCTAGCGGATAAGACGATAGGTGAGGCAGCAAAGTATTGCCCATGATTGGAGAGTTTGCTTAAATCGTGAATGGATGATTGGTAGCTAAGCGATACAAAACGTACATCAAGCTCAAGAACACTGTGGAAGGCGGCGGGAAGGATGCATCAGAGTCGGGTAGTGCCAGATCATCTGTGGTCAAGATAGCGCGGTCCCGTGCACCAGCCGACAATAACGAGGTGAACGATGGCGCCAAGTCTGATGACGAGGAACCTGCGCCGAAGCCGCCAAAGAAGGCCTTAGATGCTACTAGGAAGGGTTCGAGGCTAGCGCAAGCTCAATCAGCAGAGTCGACGGTCGATGATGATGATAATACACCCGAGCAGCCGGCTCAACGGGAAGCTGCGGCTCCACGAAAATCGAGCATGGCCAACAAAGCAGTCTATTTCGAGGAGACTGTGGTTTCTTCGCTGGAACCCAATGTGTCGCCTATATCGGACGTAAGGAACAGCGATACGTCGTCCGTATCGACAGCCAATGCCGCGGAAGCACGTCCATGGGGCGCCAACGCCGCGCTCCCCGACAACTTCAAGTTGCGAAACACCATCGCGTCGGGGCCCATTTCCACCGCGACGCTGTCGGTGGAGAGACCGAGCACGGCCGGGAGAGAGCGGGGGTCGACGGTGGGTGAGAACAGCCGACCGGATGTGAGTGGGGCCAGGCCTGCAAGCAGCGCCGGTCGTGATGCCAGCGAGGATGACGCGGAGATGTCAGAGTTCGTGGATTTCATGAACAGGAAAAAGGAGTTGGAGACCCTCACGGCGGCCAAACCCGCCGGTGCGGTGTCCGCAGCCGCGGCGTTGTCCCGTTTGTTGGCACAGCATACAAACAGCCGGCCTTCCAGTGCTTCTGGCGAGCCCCGACTCGTCACTCCGATCATCACCTCCATCACGGTCCAGGCTCCAAAACCTCCGGTGACCCCGCACTCTGCCCTCCCAACATCGCCGCCTCCGGAGCCATTGACGGCCGCGCAACTCCGCGAGTTGTCGAAACCGTATGACCCGACAGCGTCCCAGGACGACGACGATGCCGAGCCAGATACGCCGTTGCACGCGGTGCCGCAGAGGACAGCGCCACGAAAGGGCAGTGACAGCAAAAGTCCTGTCCCGCCCGTCCGTGGCAAGTTGGCTTTCACGGACCCTTCTGAGCCGACAGAAGATGTCAAACCATCGAAAGCTGTGGACGAAACGCCAAAGCCACCAGAACGGACTTCAAGGAAGGGGTCTGCGAAAGCGGAGCCGAAGCCTCCTCAGCCGCCAGCGGAGGACGAGGAGGAGGAAGACGAGCGGGATGTCATTGCTCCCCTCGCGCCTGCCGCCAACGCAACACAGACGATGTGCTTTGGTGCGGATGCCATTGGAGTCGCGACAAATCCAAGTATCATTGGCGTCAAGATCTTCTAGTAAGGCTGATGCGCACTCCACCATTTCACCTTCAATATCGTCTAACATTCGTCTTATTTCCTTTAGCAGGATACCGCCAGAATACATCCTGCGATGCAAACTCTATCGCAAGAAGAATCTGCTGGACAAGGCCCACCCCACGTTCTTCCTGTATAATCAAGCGGACGAGAGCTTCCTGCTCGCTGCCAGGAAACGCAAAAAGTCCAAGAGCGTCAACTACGTGATTTCGACCAGTCAGCTCGACATGAGCAAGGATTCGAAACATTACGTTGCTAAGCTGAAGTATGTGACCGCTCGATTTCATGTGCGATTCCATTTCGTTGCCGCAGACTAACCAGCTGTGACCTCCTCGCAGGGCGAACTTCCAGCGCACAAACTTTCTGCTCCATGATGCACGGTCGTATAATCCGAAATCGGACAACAAAGGCTTCAAGGAGCTCGCCTGCTTCAGCTACGTGAGTCTTCTTTTTATTCCTCCGAGTTTTGACATTCGGAACGCGTCAGAGCTAACGGACCAGATCCCGCCGCAGACCAAGACGGTGTTACCCCGTGAAATGTCGATAGCGATTCCATCTCCCAAGATCCCGGAGCTCTCCGTAAGTCCACATGTGCTTCCCGCCACATATCCGTTACGCATAACTCACTTCATTATGTAATCGACATAGGAACACTACAGCAAAGACATCATGGCAGACGTCAAATCCCAGAACACTGAAAAACTATGCTTCCTCCGCAACAAGCCGCCTCGCTGGAACGAGGCGACCCAATCCCACTGTCTCAATTTTGGTGGACGGGTGACGCAGCCTTCCATCAAGAACTTCCAGCTTATCGGGCCTGAAAACGGTAAGCAAAGCGATGCGTGAATCATTCATTCCCACGACGACATTTGACACAGACTTTTTTTCGATGCATAGAAAACTTCGTCGTGATGCAGTTCGGACGATGCGGTCCTGATTACTTCACACTCGATGCACGGTACCCCATGACCCCCCTTGAGGCCTTCGCCGTTGCGCTGACGACGTTCGATGCCTATGACAATGCGTAGCTGCAGGGACAACTATTGCGTCGGCAGTTCCTGTTCTTTTTTCCAACTGACTCCTTCTTGCTAGTTTCTACTTGCTTTTGCTTGATGGTTTTCTTGTTGCCCTTTCATGTAAAATCCAAACTTCTGAGTGTCTGTCTGCAGTTCTGAGAACGTTTTGCGGGAAATGGATATGGCCACTGCGATGTGGCGCATCAAATGAGGAGCGAACAGACGCTCAGATTAACACAAGCGATTTCAGGATCCCGGCATTTCCCCCCACAAGGCGTTAATCGGATTTCCAAAATCATCTACAGGTGACAAGTATCCTGCAGCGCAAGACATCATTCTAAGGAAGGCGGGGCAGCGCCCGGCACTTCTGTGGGATGTGACGGCTGGGGCACGATCGGCGCTACGGAGGTGAAGCTGTCTACCAACCAGTGATCCGCCGTGGACGAATTTGGTGCATCCGGCGGAAATGCCAATGCCCGTCCGAGATCCAGCTTCACAGCATCAGGTGGGAATGAAGGGGTGCTATGATCCTGAAGTGGCACATCCGGTTGAAAAGGGACTTGATGTGTTGGCATTTGCGGTGGAACCGCATAATGATCCTCCAACCGAGGCGCGATAACCTGGTATGTTACGTCCGGCAGACTTTCTGGTTGAAAGGTGCCAAGTTCCGGCTCACTCACAGGCGGCGCAGGTGGCGGGTCAGGCCAGACCTTGTATAGATTCTCCTGATACCGATCAGACTGCATGAACCCATTCTTGGAGAAATGTATCCCGCAGGCGTTGCAGAATGTGTTCTTGCCCAGTGGTCCCCGACGGATCGTAGGCGTATGTGGGCCATCTAGACCGCACCAATAGCATCGCCAGCTATGACGTGGTTCTGAAAGTGCCAAACATCAGCAATATGCACATTGTTCCAAACAACGAGACGAGGGGCGCCGTAGGGATGCTGGCGATCAGGGCTTACCACTCGTTTCAGCCGTGCCATCCTCATTCCCAACCTTGACAACGTCCTGCGCTCCAAGCCCATCTGTGTCCCTATCATCTAGGGCTTGCATCTCTTTGATGATCTGTATAGTTTTCCGCATCATCTCCATTTGCCTCTGCTGCAGCTCCGGGTCGAACGCAGGTGGAATGCGCGGTGCGCTTTGCTTCGGGGGTGAGATCCGCTCCGCCGCTGCCACATTTGGGGACGAAACTGCCACAGGAGGAGCTACTAGCGGGTTGCCTACTGACCTTTGTGTGACCGAGTCAGCAAACTGCGGAGCTCGAATGGGTGTTGGGGGTAATGAAGTCTGAGGGGCAAACGCGTATGAGGTAGGGAAAGACGGCACCGTATACGGCACGCTTGGTGGAGGGACATATGGTCTGAAGTTATACATGCTCAGACCAGAATATGCCGGTAGGGAAGAAGGTGGGATTGATGCAGTAGATGTTGCAAACGGATAAGGATATTGTTGATGTGTGTAATTTGATTCCATAGAATACAAAGGGTGTGACGCCACGGGCGCTACTGGGGTGAAATTTTGCATTTGCGTTCCAGAATGCGATGGATGCGGAGTGTATGCTTGCTGCGGTACTGACGTCGAATTGACATGAGGTTGCACTGCATGTTGCGGCACGTCAGGAACATCCGCAGATGCATATCGTTGAATAGGCGCCGGGGCGGGAGACGCAGCATAGCGCTCGCGCGTGGGTGCTGGAGTAGGTTCTGGGCCGGGCGAAGCAGCGTATTCATTAAGATTGCTGCCGCGCAGAGGCGGTCGATTGGAAGCATATATCGAGTTCGTAGCGCGAGAGGGCCGGTCACGGAAGCCAGTTGATTGCGGGGTATCAGACCGCTGGGGATACGGCGTTGTCGCGGCAGTTGACGTATTGCGACCGAGTGTTTGACGGTGCTGTCTCCTCAAACGGCTGTTTCGGAAATGAGAATAAAGTGAGCGACGGAACATCGACGTGCCAAAAGGGCAATGCCACACATACCGAGTATTGCGCTCCTTCTCCTTGACGATCCTTTCGATATCTTCCTCGGTCAGCTCTCGTAGCTCCGGTTCCCATTCATCCTCCACATTCTCAGCTCGAAAGGGTCGGCCACGGAGAGGCGGCGCGGGTGTAGCATCGTTGTAGTTCATTCGAGCAAAGCACACCTGTTCGCGTATAGCATGTGCGATCACAGGCACAAACTCCCCTCCCACCCCCAAATCGGACGCTAGTTGTTTCGCAAAGTCCTCCGGCGTCATGGACGACGTCGAAAACAAAGGCCATTCGAACTGATCTGTCAAGTGGAGTGTTCCTACGTTCAGATCCAGCTGTGAAATGTCGAGAATCAGTATCATCGGTCAGGCTCCCAAATTCAGACCTATCGCAAGTGTACCTTGACAGCAATCCTCAGTTCCCCATACGCAGTCTCATCGTTCTCGTCAACCTTGATCCTAGGCTTCCCTTCTGCATCAGGGTCTTCCTCCGCTGCGACGCCATAGTTTTGCACCTGTCTTCGGATCTCCTCAGCGATGAGGGGAACAAACTGGTGGGCGTACGGTGAATCGAAATCATCCGCCAAAAGCGTCGCGAACTGCTCTGGCGTTATCAGTGTCTCTGGAGGGACACAAATCACCTCGGTTAGACATCTGGAGGCCTTCCTCAAGCCGGCGTTCCGCATCGCATCGCTGAACCACTACGGCATACCGTTAAGATTCCAAGTAAATTGGTCCCGTAACTTCACTCCTTCGACTTCCAAATCCAGCCGAATAGGCACAAGCTGCACCGTTCTCCTTGCCAAATCATGTAGCTGCTCCTTGTTGCTAATGGGTTCAACGCATAAGTTTCATCACCTCCTGACCATAGCTCCGATCGTACATCTTCCAAGCTGCCCTCATGAACTCACAAGTAGTAGTGCCGTGATCCTTTCGCCCTAGAGTGCGGATCGTTTCTATACTTGAAGTCACCCAGATACTCGCGCCGTGCAAGAGCCGCCCTCTGCTGCTGTGCCTGTAGCTCGAAGTCGTCGCTGTCGCCCATATCCGATAGAACTGCAAGACGGAACCGAACCGTTAGCCGTATGAAAAGACTTCGAAAGTCGTCGCTACGTTCAGATCAGGCTCGGATTCTCTCATATGCCACAAAATGCAGTTGATATCCCGCAGAGCAACAAACATTACAGCTGCGTTGTACATACCATAAGCCGACTGAGAGTACATATTGCGCGCCATGGTTGCAAGCTCCCGTTAGATAAATGTAGACAAGTCGTAAGGGCGCGTCCGGTGGAATGAGGTCGGCGCCGGCAACGTGAACGACTGCGAAGCTACACCGAAAAGGAAACGCAGATCCACGTCAGAGCCTCTATATGTACCGTTCTGGCCAATTCGTCTTATGTGCGTATCGCACGCAGGGTTGTTTTGAATTTGTCTTGGACGGACTCGGACGAATGCAGGCCAAGCGCAGACGGAACGCGTCTTGACTCTTCAACCTCGCACACCTAAAAATCGGAGAAAGGTGGCCAATGCTTCCTAGACTCCTATGCCTGCTTGCGCACAAGAAGCCGTTTGATCTCAAATTGACCGGCATCACTGTTTTGCAGCTTCAATGCATTGCACTATTCTAGCGACATTAATGAAGTTCGTGTTGGAAGTTGGGGTACGTTCTGCTTCAAGTGGCCGGTAGTCTTGCGCGCCTAAGGTTCTCTGAGGCTACGATGTCCAGGTGTCCCAGACCGCCTTTTGCAAAGGGTTCATCAACATGCTGTCGCAGTCAGAGGGCCGAGATTAAGGGAGCGGAAGAACGATGGAGTATTCGCAAGGAGTGAGTTTTCTTGAGGAGGTGTTTGGTATCGCCAAGCAGCTGTTGCGTATTCATGTCTCAAATCCCCAAATTCGCCTTGTCCAAACCCCCACAATGGATAGCAAGTTCGTCGAAGCTCGCTCAGCACTCTGAATGTCATATGAAAACGATTCCGGACGGAAGACGCATACCAGTTCCCCACATATTGAGCCCCAGACATCCCCATACAGCCCCACGCCGCGCTGATCCAAGATGTGAGTCCAAGTTCGACGGCAACCGCGCCTCCCTAGGGTTTGCCAGATTCCACGTCGCATCCCGCTCCCATGACTCCCTTTCCCCGCCTCCATCCACCATCTGCCCTGCTGAAAGATCCATGTCGCCAAAGCCTTCTGCTCCCACAATAGACGCTCCACAATCGACGAAGCAGCTGTACACGGACCGCTGATGATTTTGCACTTAATATTTTACAGGCGCACAAACATCCGGTCCACACAAAATTGGTATCGCACCACTCCCAACTTAACGGGAGGTGGCCTTAGGCTTGGGTGCGGCACCCTTGGCAGCTTGCTTGCTGAACTTGGGCTTGGGCTGAGCAGCGCGGGTGGCAGAGGACTGAAAGACAGAAAGAATAAGTGATCCCATTACATTATAATCCTCTCGAAACTCCGATCAACAAACCTTGGCCTTCTCGGTCTTCCTCTTCTGCTCGTCGGCCTGCTTCTTCTCCTTGGCCTGACGGAGAGCTTGTTGACGCTGGGCGGCACGGACCTCGGGCTTCTGGGCACGCTTGGCCTTGATGGCGTCCAAAGAGGCACCAACGACGGCACGCTGGGCCTTGACGGTACGGCGGGTCTTCTTCTTGGTGACCTCTTCAGTGATACCCTTCTTGTGGAGACGACGGAAGACAACGGTCCAGTCAAGCTTGGACGGCTTCAATCGCTGCAAGAAGTAGGACTCGCACTTTCCGTTGATAAAACGGTAGACCTATGCATCAAAACGCGAATGCCCTTCAGTCAATATCCAGTTTTGCGCCGTTCTCCCACAGCTCGACTATTTAACGTACGCGGCTGTCACCCTTGACGAAGATCTTCCCGTGACCGGGATAGATCTTGAAACCCGAGAAGTTGCAGAGCTCGGTCCTGAAGAAGATGCGGGGAATTATTGTGAGTAATTCGAATTGTGAGATCCGGTGTGAATAGAATTCCAGGACAATTCACAGTTCCACAGTCAAAAAGATTCCCTAAGCGACCGCATGTCTGCTCCGTCTCTCCTTGTGCTTCCCCCCTTCGCCGACACCGTCCGGTCGTATCCAAAATCCTCGCATGCTACAATCATAGGTTCATTCCCGGCGTGTCGCAATTCTACCCACGCCTTCCGGCGATATTCCCAACTCCTATAGCATTCGTCCGCATATTTTCTTCAAACAGTAGCGTGGCGATGAGGCATGTCGGCAATGTTGCGGTCGTTCGGTTCGAAATGGTACTGCCTCTCGCTCGTCGACTCCTCCATCGATCCATCCATCGTCGAAAGTCATTCATCCATCCATCCATCCATCCGAACGCTGCTGGCCTCCCTGCTTCCGACATGTAGGTTGTCCACGCCGCTTCTTTACCTCATGGTGGAATGGTGCTGGTCGATGTGTCGTCGCCGTTAGCTACTGTCCTACCCCGAGTCACTCAGACCCCGATGTTGATGCATTGTTACAGCTCGATTATAATTAGCGTATTTAAATCACGTGGAAAGCGCGTTCGAACGTTGACTGGGGGCATAAGGGAGGCTCCCGTCATGGATCTGGAGAGTTGCGACGGACCTTGGAGATTACCTGTGGAGGTCAGCCCTGCGTTGTTCGATGCTGTCGGTCTTACGTCGTCGTAGTTGTTCAAGCTTCCGTCCGCAATGCTACCCAAATCGCGTTCGCCGTTGGTCGCCCCCTGCAACCTCCGCCACCCATCCCGTCGCATCATCGCGAATCCCCAATGCAGTTCACCAAGTCGCCTTTTGGGCACAACAGGTCGCCTTTTCAACTGGCAATCCTCGCTAAGGCGACAGACACGGTATTCGCGTCGTCCGAAATATCAGTGGAACCTTCATTCGCGCTGAATAAGCCCTGTCATCGGCCTGAGGTCTTTGTCTCACCACTGTGGTTGTGCACGGGGATGAGTGAGGGAATCGGAATCGCGCTCGACGACACCTTCACAACTTAGAAGCTTCGCGCGAACCGTTTCTTCGCCCTACTTACCTAGCCGTGCGCACAGTCCTCCTCTATTGACGTCAGCCTGCAGAAGCACCCCAGAAACACTCCACAGAAACACCCTACCACCATGACTTCCGCGCTCGCCGGGCGGTCACGATAAGTGGCTCACGGGACGTGGATTGGCCGAATTGCTGTAAGATGACGTCCCCACCCTGAGTGGCTCAGAGGTTGCGGATTCGATGTTGGAGGATGATTCGGGTCCAATGAGGTGGGGAGGATGACTCGGAGGCGATGGTCAGTTGCGCGGCCTGCTGCTCCCTTTCGCGCATGTGACCGACGACTACACAGCGATGAAAGCAGGCGGAGAGCTTCGGCCCGAAGCCGAATTCCAGAGAACTAGGCGCTTTCATCCCCCTTTGCGGATATGCTGAGTCACACGTGCACCAGAATCCCCAGAAAAACGAAAGAATCGTCAAATGTGCTGGAGTCGATGGGACGATATGATCGTGCCCCCCATAAGCCAATCCCCCCATAAGCCAATTGGCTGATGGGGTGCACTGTCATAGTCGATTGTCCCAAGGGACGCGCCAATTCCTCATCGACAACGGAGACGATTGATGAGAATGACTTGGGTGAGGATGAGGATGCAGTAGGAGACTCGGATGAGAATGCGGAGGGTGAAGAGAATGAGGATGCAGTGTAGATGGATGGAGAGGATGGGGATCAGTCATCGACTCCTTTACGCAGGAAGACGAGGTTGTGCTTCTGAGCGGGGATGGGTGCGACGCCCGCGGAGGCACTGCAGCGGTCTTCACCAGCCCCACCGTCAAGAACTTGATGGGACTGATTCGCTGGGGCACCAGGAAAGGAAAGAGGCAGGAATCATTACACACGTTGGAGTCGAGAGGACGGTTACCCCAAGGCATGCGCAATATCTTCTTGACAACAGGTACGCGCCGAACACCATGCGGCATAAGCATATGCACTCTCCGATATCACATTACCTTCAGAAACCGCTTTGTTTTACCAATTATGCCAAAACGTGTTGGCGGTTCTCAAGGGTAGCTCACTGAACCGGGCAGTGTCAGCCGCCATTGAGCTTTTTCGGCTGGCGATAGGCAGGGGAACGCCGCTCGCAGCCACCTACACTGAATTGACAAAGAGGCATTCCGGATCGAAAGGACGGCGTCCGGAAAGCATTGCGCCTCGGGCCCAAGAACCCTTGAACGCGCCCGGAGCATCACCACGGCAAAGTATGAGCGACTCACTCGCGCAACCGCCTACCTCATCATGGCCACCCAGCATCCCCGAAGATAACGACTACTGCCAGCTAACCTGCTCTTGCAGACAGACGCAATCTTTTGTTACAATGTCCTCGTAGCCCAGTAGTGGTCTCACCGTCAATTCGCCGCGGGGGTCGCATGGAGGACGCAGATTGGCAACGGCTGGAACTCGATTTCAATACGATGGGAGCTTCGGCTGGACTGGTCGCCTGGGAATGACGGTGAGGACAAGGCGAGGACGCTGTCGTGCCGGATGAGGCAGAGGGATTGGTTGAGCAGGGGTATGAGGACGAGCAAGCGGACCAGAGATGGCCGTGTATCGAAAGACTTGCTCGGATATGGATATGGATACTGCTCAAATCCGTATCCAGTATCCGCAGATAGAAAGGTCTTGTCCATTCCCATACACAAACAGTAGACGAAAACTATGCGACATCGTACGGTGTCAACCACAAATTCCCAATTTGCGATATTGATAAGCCATAACCGTTGAGGTTCACGAACGCCGTGCGGTGGCTCATAATGGGTACTTCCCGGATTACAGCCACATTCCAGGAAGCCCGATACCCGCCCAGCTCCCTGGGTGCGCTCGCCTGCCGGAATAGAGGCACCGAGACTCGGGGTCATTTATCAATCGGAGAACCTCCGAAGAGCCAAACTCACACGGCGGCCCCTGCGAGGATGGCTATAACGTCCTGATCCGTTGGGGCGGAGAAGTAGAGTCACTTGTCCAAGCCCTTGGCATAGCCGTATCTCACTTCCCGAGGTTCAGAGCCGGAACTCCTACCGGAAAACGCTTCTGGTGGAACCCGCAGGAAAGTCTAAAAGCGAGAGCTCAGAGCAAGATCATAGCATGACCAGCAACAGATCCGATTTCAATTTGGAGCTCTCCGATTAGAACAATATGCAGAATCCAAGGTGACGTACGCCTAGGTAGCTACATACACACAGTGAAGGTAATACAAGTAACTATGTGCAAAAGACAACCAACGTTTGCTGCCATTGAGGATAGATCAGATGTTATTCAAGATCCCGGGTTGGATAGATTCCAATTTCTGGCTCAGCTCCGCCCACAACTTCTTCTGAGCGGCCACGCCTTCAGGCCTCGTAACCATCGGAGCCACGCTGCGAATCGGACGGAAGTATTAAGCGTCACAGCGCATGATGACAACACGGCAACTGGAAACCTACGGTGTGATGCGGCAATTGCTCAAGTACTGCCCATGGCTTTCCAGGCCGGCGTGGGCGGCATGAACAAGGGTCCGGGACCCGTATTCCGTCGATCGCGCCAGCGCGGCTTTGAGCAAGGTTACGCCCATACCAGTGATGCCACCAACTTTTACCAGCTCTGAGTGGCAAAGTCCAGGATTGAGGAAGTTGATGACCACGTTTGGCTTGTAGTCGGCGGGTTTATTGGCGATGACGTTCACCAGCTCACGCACAATGAAGACTTCTATGAGCTTCGATACGTTGTACCTGCAATCAACATCGTGAGGGGCTGCAGGTTGATTCTCGAACTTCAAGAGGATGCACCACTGACCTGTCCCACATTCTAGCGGTCTTCTCATCATTCAGTTTCTCAAAAATGTTGTCGGCCGCCTTTTCCGGGAAGCTGGTCATGAAGTGGACCTCCGACGATACGATAACCAGATGTGGAAGAATCCCAAACTTTTCAGCGGACTCCCTCAGTTTGGGGAGCACGAGAAGAGCCAATAAGAAGGTGCTGACAACATTGGTAGTGATGGTTGACTCGTCTTGCTCCGCAATTTTGAAATCGAAAGTAGATATCCCAGCGTTTTCGATGATGGCATCGAGCCGCGGCAGTTTTTCCACTCGACGGGCAAACGCTTTGACAGAGGCGTAGGACATCAAGTCAAGTTCCCATACTTCCACGTTCTTCTTTCCGCTAGACCGCTCGATGTCCTCCTTTGCAGCATTTCCTTTTGCTATTGTCCGAACTGCCAGAATGACTTTTGCAGCCCCCAATTTCGAGAAATAACGAGCGCATTCGAGACCCAACCCGACATTGGAACCAGTCACAATGACCGTCTTGCCTTCAGCACTCTCCTCCGGCTTAGGCAGTGAGGTGAAAAGCTGGCCGTAAACGAAACCCGGGAGAAAGCGTATGGTTTCCATGTTGTGTCGAACGGATCTGCGAGTTGGCCGTGGGAGGGATGGGCTAAGATGGGCGGAAGATGCGTTTCCTGCGGGCGCCGCAAGTTCACAAGTTCATTATACAGTAGGTTCGTCACTTGAGAATTGGATGTGATCGCGTGTGTCATCAAGCTGCCGAGCTGCGCCAGGTGAGGGCCTCGGTGTCAAAATACAAAGATACCAGGGTAAGGGATTCTGTCTTCGCCTTGCAAAACGGACACCAGGTTCCCCGACTGACACTGGCAAGCATCGTCTCGAACTCGCCATTGTAGTCGTCGAATTCGAACCAATACTTTGATTTTTCGCTTCCGTAAACTTCGTATGGCTGTAAAACAGCGATCGTACCAGTGTGCCGAGTCAGGGCGTGATACGAACGACAAGACCCTGCAATGGTCGCATGAGTCGATAACGTCCGGCGGGCACAGTCTCATTGGCGCAAACCGGGTATCATCGCGGGTTCTATTTCTTGATGACGATGTCCAGGCTTTTACCAAACTTGTGGCCGCACTCGCAATCGAACCTGCGAGGTTGAACATCATTCCGGGAGGGCCAGTTCGCCGCGCCAGGGCGCAGACATGGCTCGCACGAGTCTGCTCACCGGCTCACCGAGACAGCACCTGTACCCTATGCAGTACGAGCACCGGCATCCGATGCCGCGGATGCGGTGTGTATTTCCTGTTCATATTCGTGGTGAGGCATCGCAGGTGAACAAAGCTTGGCGTTAGAATTCAGCGTGACCTCGCAAGGTTGGCGGGTGTTGCGGGTCAGCTAAGTTCGCAGCTTGAGGGTTGGAAGCAAAGGATTTGGCGAATCAAGTCTGATAGGAACGATGACACTAGGAGGGTATCGTTTTGTGTTTGCGGATATGGGCAGCCGATACTTCTTGCGGCTCTCTCCTTCCTCGTTATTTTGCTGATCTTAAGCCTCAAACTTCGGGTGGCACACGCCACTGTCAAAACTTCTGAGGCGAATCCGTAGTGACCGCCGATGGTTGAACGAGGTTGCGGCTTGACCAGTGCGCGGCCTGGGATGCAACGCGGAGGAACCGCGGCTGTTGCGACCCATGATTTTGGCTCTGCTTCTGCATGTGATGTGCATGTGGTCGGGCTAAAGATTTGGGTCGGTATTCACCTCACCATGAGTCGGACTTGAAGCTTCTGCAATGCAGGCGCTCTGCCAGTTGATGCGGTGTGTAGGTAGTTGATGAGAAGGTAGGAAGGCTGCTTGGCCAAGAGAGAACCTCTGTTTGGCCCGCTAGGATTAGATTTGAGCTTTTGATCAAGCGATATCATGGCAAAGCAGTCGATCCAGGTCAGTTCTTTCCCCGGGTCTGGATGCTTCTGTGTTTCTAAGAAGGAAGCCTGAATTTTGGCCTCCGCCATCACCTCACTGTCAGCCTCGCTGTCGCTTTTGGTCTGCGACTTTCGCGCCGATGACAAGTCACAATGGAGCTCTTTGATATTTCATACGGTTTCTGTGAGGAACTCATTTGGAGCGTGGGACGCTCGTATTTTGATATATGGAGTTGGTACCTGCGACGGCTGCTGTGACGGTTGCAAGAAGCTGTGCAAGTACAAAGCTGTCGTCACATCAACTTGAAGTGATCACCGCCTTCTTCCTCCTCATTCTTTTCCCCAGTCCACATTTCAAAGCCTGATCTCACCCATCGTTGCCATCGCCGTTGCCGTCAAGTCCATTAGCCTTGAACTGTATTGGGTGGCTCGGCTGCTCTAGCCATTCCAGACCTTTGGCTCAACCTTCCAGCAACGATGCAGTTGAACGACAAGGCGGGTGTTGCAGAAGAACCTAATTTCCCTTTGGCTTTTAGAGTTGAAAATGGCCGTTGTTCAAATATCGCCACCCGCGAGACACATTTCCGGTGCTCGGGAACAAGGAAAGCTCCTGTTCTAAAAGTTAGGACCAAGTCATAACTCTTTCACACTGCTCGGCAGGTCTTCAGTACAAATGGGACGCGATGAACATATTGGGTCCGCCACCTTGCCACCGAGAAGAAAAGGTTTGCCCACGAAAGCATGCGAGGACGGAGATGGGAATGAATATGGCGGAGGGGACGGAAGTGGTCCGCTGGTGGAGGATAGGGAGCTCGAAAGCGGCCGCGTACATTCAGACAAATCGCCGCCGAATGAACGGAAGTCGGACCAGGCGGCTGCGGCACACCATCCTTTGTTATTGGGAACTTTGCGCACCCTCACGGGGCTGATTACCCTCGCAATACCGATCTCCCTGGCAGCTATCGGTTGCACCGCAACATGGCCACCTTTCGAGCAATTCTTCGTGCAACGCCTCGGCTGTCCGAATGACGATTGCAAGCTGCCGTATGGGGGAGGCTCGGCCGAAGTGAAGAAGCTTGCCGTGTACGGATTCTTTGGTATGTCCAGTTTCCGAGGCATGCACACATGTTACTGAATGGCTGGTTGCTGAATGGCTGGCGCGTAGGATGGTTCTTCATCATAGTCCTCTGCTGTAACTCATGGGATAATCCGATCTTGAAGGGGCGTGGCCCAACAAAAGACGAACTGGAAGCCGATCAGGGCGTCAACCTCAGTGGATGGATGCTGAGCAATGCGCCACAGCAGAGTCGCTCCCTCACTCCGAGATTCGTAGTATATGTATTTGCCAGGTTCTGCTGGGCGCTCTTCGACGTCATTCCCGTCTACTATGCTCCCACGGCGAACGCAAGCATTGGTCTGATCATTGCGACAAATGCCTTCTTCATCTTTTGGATTGGTTCCACGTTCCTATGGGGCCAGCATTCCCTGAAAGTCAGATTGAGATTAGCGCTCAACGGAACGGGAAACATGCTGGTGGGCTATCTTTTGTTCTATCTCGGCTTCTATATCACCCGAAACACGGGCCGGTTGCTATTGGTGGCTTCGGTGCTTACAGGGCTCGTCTACCCCGTCGCGAAACTTGTCGGTCTTACGTATGTCGTGGAGTCGGCGAAGATAGCATATAGCTGGAAATTGGAGGACGTGCTCGGGGGTGGGGCATCACATCTCCTCGGGTTCGCTTGCAATTTTAATGCGGGGTACGGTGGTGAGTGTCAGTCCGACGTTCCTCTTGCATAGTGGGTGCAAGCGCTGACCGATGCAATTTTTCTTCACATACAAAAGTTCCCTCCAAAGTAAGGATTGTCACATTTGCCACCGAACTAGAGTTCTGGACGGCAATGGTGTTGACGATATTTTCAGAGGTTGGACTCCGGCTGGGAATGGTATACATGAACGCTTGTTTCAGAGCTACGGGAGACGAGCAGCCGCAGCAGTTGGAGCCGCTGCAGAGCCCGGTGATGAGCGATGCTGACCAAGGAGAGAGTGCAGAAACGCAAGGAAGGGATAGAACAGACGCGGGCAATGGGTCCAAGGAGTTTCCTTCAAAACAGCTCCGGTCTACCCTGGGGAAGGGACAACGGAATGGGCCTCCGAAACGGACTACCGAATTCAGGCAAGAGCAACAAGTATACAAATCCGGGTTATTGACGGAAGCTTTGGCGCCGGATGGCCATCAAAGTCCCACAACGGCTATTGCCGGCGCATTTGAGGGGCCATCAGCTGTCATTCCCGCATTCCCGCCACCACCATCCCAAAGCTCACCGAAACCAAAACCATCCCCGACGCCACCACATTCACCAAAACGACCGACGTTGTCGCCTTCACATCGTTCCGTCAAACGTGGTCTTCTGTGCCGCCTAGACGAGCACATGCGTTACCATATCGTACAACGCATCAAAAACCCCGAGTTCCGGAGCCCGATGTGGTTCTCGTTGCACCTAGGCGCCCTCGCTCTGGGCGAATACATTTCGCTCGGTCTCACGTTTGGGCTGATCTACTTTCACGGCGACTCTGTTGGCCTTTTCCTCGTCGACAAACGCCTGCCATCCTCACAAGACTCGATATCTCCATCAACATCCATAGAGGGTTCATCGTTCAAGACGTCGTGGCAAGTACGGATGGTCATTTACTTCGTCCTGGAGCTCCTCATGGACGCGGGGTTGATTGTGCTGCAGCGCAAACAAGGCATATTGTGGGAACACCTACCCCCGTTCAACGCGATCGCGTATGTGTCGGGGTGGGCGTTTATGGGATGTACGATGTGTGCGTTCTTGACTGTGTATAAAGGATTATTGGAGACGTAAATGGCGGCCCGGTGGGAAGGTGTATGAGGAATTTTGCCTCGATGCATCAAAATGCAGCATACTATACGGGGTCTTTCTGATCTGGTATCTTCGTCGGCCTTTCAAAGAAATTTGCTCAGTCTAAGCGACGCAAACGAAAATGAAAAAAGAGGGAGTGACAGCGCCGGGCAACGCGCTGTCGAATTGGCAAATTTTGGGTGCAAAGGAAACGTTTCATGGGCACAGCGAGCTCCGGGTGAGCCTCCGTCGTCCGACCACAAGGATCAGGGATCGCTGATCCTGCGGGGCTGGGGACCTGGGGTTCGACCGTTTTTGAAGGCTGTGTGTGTGCAAACTTCAAGAGACCGACCTCAGGCGGGAGAGACGGGAAAAGCGTAGGCCCACATTGGAACGCACCTTCGACGACAAGCTGACTCCAAGTTCACACTTAGACCGCAGCCCCACGTTGAAACGGCCCGCTGTCTAGACAACACCACGAGAATCGAGCGAGAGGACTGCCCATTTTCACCTCACCTGCACGGTAGAATCAAGCGAAACTCCCCCCATTCAGTCCTAGGACAATCGCCGGGATCAGCGTAAAATGACCGGACCGTCGTCGCTGCTCTTAGCTGCTGCCACCTCCGCTGCTGTGTCCTCGCTCGCCGCTGCCAGCCCTGGACCAGGTCGCAATGTGACCATTCAGACCAAACTCTCGAAACGTGACCAGGCATGCCCTCAATCGACGGGATTCAATTTTGAGGCTATGGACGGCGACCTCGGAGGTGAGTCTTCCCACGGCGAGTGGGGCCAGGCAGAAGGAACGGTGTCAAGGGTGTCGGAGCTCGGGGCTTCCGGTTCTCTCATTCTCATTCACACTTACCAATATGCATCCCCCACTAGACGACTTCCTGGTAGCGAAAGCAGGTCCTGCGGTCGAGACCGGTAAGGACGCCTGTTCATGTGCGACTCTATGCAATGGCTCGCCTGCATGCGACTTCTTTGTCTGGGTAAGTTGACCCACTTGACCGTTTGCTGTTGCTGTTGCTGCTGTTTCGCCTCACTCTGGCGTCTGCTCTCTTGCAGCGCAGGGATGTGGTTCAGTGATCTTTTACTGACATCTCATATTCCTCCATTGCGAACCGCCAGACACCCACACCGTCCGCGTGCTTTATCAAACCACTGGTGACAAATCCCAGCTTTGTGACTGTTTTCGTCAACGCTCCTGGGCAGACTCGCCCTGGCGTCCTTGCCGATACCGCCAACTCCCCTCTCGCCGTTGGAGTTGTTCCTACGCCTAACATTGCGACTTTACAAGGATGCATCGACATGTGCCGCGCAATGCCTCGCGATCAATGCAGCATCATTAGCTTCGATAGCACTAACAACGCATGCTATCCCAAAAAGACACCAAGCCGCGTCGCCGGAAAACTGGTAGGATACAGATCGTCGCAAGTAGGTGCGACTACTTCGACACAAAGACCTCCTGTTCCTGCAACGACAACGAGCCCGGTTCCTACGACCGGAACGGGATCGAACGCTGGCACCGGCTCCAACGGTGGTGCGGGCTCGACGGCCGGTAGTGGAACGGACGAGAAGGGGAAGGCAAACAACAGCGGCAGCAAGTCGGGCGGGTCAGACGACCTGCTTAACGCCGGAGGAGGCAGCTCCAGCAAGGTGCCTCTCATAGGAGGAATCGCTGGTGCGGCTGTTATTGCTATCATCGCTGCCATCGTTCTCTATTTCTATCGGAAACAAACCAAGACTAGCGCTGCCGGCCAGACGGTGGCCGCATACTCAAACGGCAGCGCGCCATCTAGTCCAGCCGGAGCGGACACCGCCGGTGGGAGCACCCAAGCGATGGCATCCATTTCAGCTGGATCAGGAGCGTCAGCTGCACCTGGAGCTGCCGCAAACACCACTGGTGCTACGACTAGCGCGGGCGCTGGCGTAGCAGCAGCCACAGCAGGCGCCGCCGCCGTTGCTGCAACTCGACCGTCTACGTCAAAAGGCGCGTCACAACCCCCGCGTCTTTCGGACGTAGCAGCCTACAATCATCACTTGTCTTACCTTCCTGGCCAGACAGTGCTTCCTCATGCTGACCCGCACTACCACGACGAGCTCGCCATCCAACACGATCACGCCGCGGCCTCATCAGCAGCAGCTGCAGCATACGGGCTGCCGTATCACCGTCAGTCACAGCCTTATCCGGCTCCCGCGTCCCCTTATACACCTGGGGTTCCTTCCGGATATGCCTATGATCCATACGCGTACGCTGCTGGTGCCCCACAATCGCCGCATGGGTACGCATACCACCCGGCTCCCGCAGACTCATCCTCAGGCTTTTACCCATCGTACCCGCCCGGTCCCGCCGGACAACATGAATCATACTACGCAAACAGTCCCTCGGCGCATTACGGCTACATCCCCAACCACCCAGCGCACCACCAACCTACGGACGGGTCGTCTTCGTTTCCCCACGATGATGACGGTATCCCAGCTTACGAGACGCTATCCGCAGATCAGCTGAACGCTCCCACTGTGCACAGGCCCAATCAGTCGCCCGGCGCCACGGCCGGGGGCCCCGCCTCATCAACGCTGGAACCGCAATATTCCAGAGACTCCAAGACTCTTTACAGGAATGACAACTAATCAGAGAAGAGCAGACTTGGAGCTACCTCGTCCATCCCAATAGTATAGCTCGCTCTCCTTCGACAGACTTTCTCTCTGGCGTAAGAGTGATTTGGATTTTTTCAAAGTCCTATATGTGTTGTCGCATCCTGGCGTATTTGTTCATCTAAACCCCCACCCTCCCTACAAGACGTCTATTGTAGAAACGTCTCCTATTGTATCTCTTCGTTTAAGCACACCCAAGTTCTTGCGTTTTCCCACGAAGGAAATAGTCCCATCTCACATGCGAAAGGAACTGCGCGTAGTGTCCATGTCGATGTCCGTTGGATGTCGCGTTTTCGGACAAACCTCGCGTTTTCCCGCTAGCCTTTTTTTCACTCGCACTCAACCCGTTCGTCTGCCAGTCGGAACCCTCGAAACATACTGCAACACAAAGCATACAGTGCCCTCACCTTCCGACACTATCATACATTCCCTCCCTGGTGGCTGACGCTCCTCCCCAATGGACAAATTCGTCGTCCGCACCAAACGGCTGAACGCAACCACACCACCGGGCACCCCACCAAACAAAAAACCCGCCCTGTCAACCGCTGACCTCCTCAAACCTTCCGCCGCCAATCGGGCAACGTTCAAGACCCAGCACTACACAAACCCGGCCCGCGGCCACCAGGATGGGAGTGGCGGTGATAGGGAGAAGGCGAGATCGTATATGGCCGCTAGGAAGGCAAAACTACATGCGCAGGGTCCGGAGGCTGTAAGCGGAATGTTCAAGGGGTGTTGCTTTTACGTGAATGGTGGGTACGGTTGATCCAAGTTGGGCTTGTCTAAAGCTGTTCTTTCGTGAGTGCGGAGGAATACAAAGACCCCACCCGGAGACAACACCTCCAGTCCTTTTCGGGATTGACGGATGTTTGCTTGGAGCTCTATATATACACAGTCTAGAACGGCATGTAGACAGCTCGGTTCACGCCCCTCAGACGTTCTTACGGCATTTTCGTTTCATTGCATCCCACAGGATACCAAAATGGCGTCTCGGATCTGGATCTCCGGGCCCTCATACAACGACATGGGGGCACCCTCTCGATCACGCTAGGCATGCGGACAGTGACGCACATGGTGTGCACGGCATTAGCCGGCGGAAAGACGCAAAAGCTCCTGGCTGGCCGGAAGCCAACAACACTCAGGATCGTTCGTCCTGAATGGGTGTTGGATTCCGTGAAGGAGGGAAGGAGGTTGCCAGAACGTGGATATGGGGTGATAGGGGCCGAAGACGGTATGTATACTGGTTACACATCTGGACAACGCATAGATATCACTCTTGAGCTGTGTAGTCTTCCTCGCGGGACCATGTTTAGGAAGTCTGACATGAAGATCGCTTTCGGTACTCTTGCACAGGAACAGGCATAGGAATGAATATTGGCTCATCACACGACTAGTAACATTACCGCATACGGGCCACAGCACTTTCTAGATCATCCCGCGGCGACATACAGTACTACGCCAATGTCGCGGAGACGAGTTTTTTGGCGCCTTTCAGCAGGTTATACCCGCAGCCCAATTGAGCATGTGGAAAGATTTTTGGTACGGAGAGAAAGTGGAGGATTCGCCTGTGGAATTCGGATTGCGCACTGAAACGATCGGTGATACTACTCGATCGATTAGACCAAGGCGTTCTCGCCAACAGCATCCCCACCCAAAGCAGCTGAGGGTGGAATGCGAAGGAATACTGTACATGTAGACTCCGGAATACCCAGGCACGGCCGAACGGTCTTGCGAGCGGATGAGACCAGCGAGAGGGTGCTGGGTTGGCAGCGCGTGCCATCCAGGAGAACTCACAGATTTTCTTCCAGACAGTAGGGTACCAAAGAATACTGTACTATACTGTACATACATAGAAGTTACAGAACAAGCGCAATACTCCCGAAAACGCTGACAAATCACCAACGCGATCCCATTTTTTTTTTTGCACACGCAACGTGGAACTCCTTCGGAGGCCTGCACAAGTGAGATTTACCAATGTGCGGAGCACTCGCCGATTGTCACGTTTCTGCTTAGTATGAGGAGATGATGCTCCAACCCCATGGGTAACCAACCACCCCGTGATTTCCTAGTACCTACTCCTGAGACAAGTCACAAGGTCCATCGTTTTTTCTTCATCATCTGAGAAGCAGGTCGCGCCCGGACATTCGCCGCGATCGGGAAGCATTGGCAGGAAGTGCAAGGAACATCCTGCCTCGAAGCGAGCACGACTTCGGATAACAGGCCTCCTGGCCTCAGGGATGGTCGCAGCAAGACCCACCCACTCGCTGGCCATATGACGGTAATCAATTGTCCACTAACGGTCACGGACCCACGGTGCCAGCGGTGCCGGCCTGCCGTCCGACAGGTCCCAGAAAGAACGCTCTCAGGTTTCCACGTCCCCGGTTGATAGTCTGAATCATACTGTATCATGTACAGTACACACACGTTCTGTTGAATGGAAGTGCTTCAAATCGATCAAGGGTCGTCTCTCGAGGCTTTGGAGTTTGGACTCAGGTTTATGTAACGTCATTCATCAGGAGTTTTTTTTTCTGACTAGACTCCGGCTACATTTTGAGTGTCGTGATCCTTGATCTCGTCGTGTACGGTGATCATTGTACACGGTGACTCGGAAGTTCCAAGTGCCGAATGCGTGCGACCGTCGTAACATACTGTACTATGTGTACATTATATATATATAGTCTAGGCGGCATGGACCACCTCGAAGCCCGGTCGCTCGTTCTACAGTAGGCGCACGCAGTTGTAACGCTTGGAAAACGTGATGGAAACAACAGCGGGTTCCGATTCCCGAACGCGTCCAAAGAGATTTGTGTGAGATCACTGATTGTTCGTCGACCGAAAACGTGTGTGAGTGTGCTACCCAGTGGCCTTCGCAATGTGTACCAGGCCATACCTTCCTGCACCTCGGCGGAGGTTTGGAGGGCCGCCTTGGGGGATTTCGACGGCGGTTGGAAGCAGGATGAGCGAGACCGTCTTGAAGTCTGAACGTATAAAAATCGGCGTGTCGGAGGGCGTCCTCGGCTCTTTCCTTCACGAAACTACCAATATCGTCGCAACTCATAAAGCAGCATCGATCCCACAAACTTCGTCATGAAGAACATTGCTATTGCGCTCGGTGCGGTCGCTTGGTCGGTTGCCGTCGGCGTTAGCGCTGCCCCGGTGTCTTCTTTGGTGCCCGGAAAGTGGTTTGATCGCGTATTGACTGTGGTACGTGGTCCAGTCGGGAGAAGAGCAAAGTGTTATTCATCGTGCGACATGTACCATCGCTGACACTGGTTCGCAGGTTTTTGAAAACACGGACTACGACGCCGCCGTCACCAACTTCAGCCCACTCACGCAGCTTGCCGGGGGCCGACTCCTCACGAACTACGACGCTCTCTTCCACCCGTCGCAGCCGAACTACCTCGCTCTGCTCACGGGTGACCGCTCTGCGTGGTTGGACTCGAACGTCAACGTTAACAAGAAGAACCTTGTTGACCTGCTGGAAGCCGGCGGCATCTCGTGGAAGACGTACCAGGAGCTATACCCCGGTAACTGCTTCGCAGGCGCAACCTCCGGCAAATATGCAAGGAAGCACAACCCGTTCATTTCGATGGACAATGTGAGGAACAACCCCACCAGGTGTGCCAAGATCGTCGAGGCTGGACAGTTCCAGAAGGACCTGGACGCTGGGACTTTGCCTCAGTTCATGTTCTATACGGTATGTGATGATACCTCTCAGGCTCTTGGGGACGTCCAAGCATAGGATGCCGCATTGGGCCATGTAAACCTCTACCCAATCTAATGTTTCCCGAATTCCCATCTCCTCCTCCGTCACGTAGCCTGACCTGAACAACGACGGACACGACACAAGCCCCGAGACGGCCGCTGCTTTCGCGACGAAGTTCCTGGGCCCTCTTCTGAAGAACCCTACCTTCATGAAGAACACGTTGGTTGTCGTTACCTGGGACGAACGCGAGTCATTCTTCGGTCGCAACCAGGTTGCCACATTCCTTCTCGGGCCCGTCGTGGCCAACACTGGAGGCGTGAGCGGCGGCCAGGATAACACGAAATACACCCACTACTCGCTGCTGAGGACGTGGGAGGACAACTGGAGCCTCGGCAACCTGGGTACCAACGATGTTAAAGCCCAACCCTTTTTGGGTCTGGCCAGGTCTGCAAAGTAGGAGTGTGGACGATAGATTGGAATGGGGCTTGTCTTGTTCCTAAGTAGAAGTTCGTTGTTTGCAAGTCATACACGTAAATTTCCTTTCGGGGATGTCAATGTACTAGTAAAGTGATTATACCCATTTCTTGCTTTCATTCGTACAGTGCACAGCGTCGCCTAGATCCGATCTATGAACTCCTCTCCATAACTGCCAAATTGTGCTTTCTCTGAAAGCAATTCTGCAACGTATTGGGTACGATGTCTAGAAATGTTACATATGACATATCGCTACGGAAATCCAAACTAGGCTACGGAGAAGCTCGAATCTATGCAAATATAAGACCGCTTTCCTTACGCCGTCCGCTTCGCGCCTACAGCAAGCCTATCCGCATTATCAACAGCTTTCCGCGCATTATCACGATACATCACAAAATGGCCCTGCAATAACGCCGGACTCAAAGAACTCTCTTCTTCTTCCTCGCCGACAGCCCTCACCAAGCCCGCTTTTTCTACAAACCGCGTGGCCAGGGCAACTTCCCCGGGGTAGAACCGCAGGAACATATGCTCGGCTTGATGTGCGTCCACGTTGCCGAGGTAGACTTGCACGTCGACGCGCCCGGGGCGGATGAGGGCTGGGTCGAGGCGGTCTATGTGATTGGTGGTCATGAAGATGATGCGCTCTTCGGAGGAAGTGACGCCGTCGAGTGCGTTGAGGAGGCCGGAGAAGGTCACCATGGATTGGAAGCTAGTGAATGATTGAGACAGAGAGAAAATGCATAAGTAAGATGGTGACGGCAGAGGAGTTTAATAGAACGGGTGTGGAAGCTGGAATGGGTCCACTTGACTTACCCCTGTTTGTCCGTTTGCGCGCGATTCGCAAATGCAGCGTCCACATCTTCCAACAGGATAATACTCCGTGGTGGACAATGGTTGAGCAGATGGCTCAGCCGGTCATCGGTCATACCCCGCTCGCTGAGGTTCATGACGCAGATGTTGTACTCGAGCTCGCCTGCAAGGGCTTGTATGAAGCTAGTTTTGCCCGTCCCAGGCGGTCCGTAGAGCAGGTATCCTCTCCTATATGGTATTCCTGGGTGGATAGATTCTGTTCAGAACTCTTGCATTACGCCCAGTCGAGTGTGTCTGTGAATCACGCATCCTCACCTCGGTCAAAATACCACTTTCCACCGGTCATAAACGATTTCACGTCATGCAAGATCGTATCTGAGATTCCGTCCGCAAGGACGACCGACGCCAGCGGCCGTCGCTTCCTCGGGTTCCCAAACGGCCTCCAATCTGGTCCGTAGCTCGTGTAAACGACTGTCTTGCCTTCCTCCTTGGCAAGCGCGTTTGTCTTGGCCTCCTCCAACATCTTATGAAACAGTTTCCGGTCACGGCTTAGCGTTGTCAGCGTTATCGTTTCCCAGGGAGTGCCGGACTTCAGATCAATCATGTTGCGCTCGCGTTGTCGCTCCACCTATGGAAAGCCGTGATGCTTCGTATTAGCACTTCCTGCTCGGCCCTCAGCACATCCAGCATTCCCAACCCGCCGGTCATCCTGCGCACCTGTATCCATGCCCCCTCGTACCGTATGTAATGCCTTCCAGGCCCGGGCACCAACGCAAAAGTACTCGCAACGCTCCCGTTATCCCTCCGCACAAACGACGTTTCCACGCTCAACTGATGCGCGTTCCGCCGTGCACCATGATGGCTCATCCACTGCAGGAACCATGCGTAGCTGGTGTCTTTGCTGGGTATTTCCAGGGTGACGAGGAGCCGCCGCCGGGCAAACGTCACTCCGTGCACCGCGCCCTGTTTAAGGAGCGCTAGCCCTGCTGTTACGCCTATAAGACCAAATCTTCAGGAGACCATATAAGAAACAAATCAGTTCCTCCGCCGCTGTAACGTATATGCACTGTTTTTCGAAGCGTACCCGGCCGAAAAATAGGGGTTGTTGGTGAATGCGTCGAAGAGCGTGGGACTAGCTCCCGGGACTGCTCCGGCGGCCGCGCTTCCTGTTCCAGCGGCTGCTGTTCCTCCAGCCACTGGAGCGGCGGTCGGTAGCGGGAGGACCATTTCGGTGTGGCGAAAGTAAGGTGTTCTGGTTCTTCGGAAACGGCGTCCGTGCGTAGCGTATGTATGCGCAATTCCCAGTTGCGAGCAACGACTTCCGACGGACGCGCTTGACGCTCCGAGTTCCCTGCGACAGTGCCCTTTGGAAAACCCCATCGCCTTTCCGCACCCTGCCCTCCCTCCGTCTCGCTTCGCCTCAAGTACTGTACAGTACATACAGTACCTCCGCACGCAGCAGCTATCGGCGGGCAAGAGACAGAGGTCTCCTGCATTCCTGCTCCTCGTTCATGACCACCCAAAGCTCCTCGGAGCCACCAGGGGCAACCACAGCATCACCCACAGCACGCACGTCACCACCAGACACCATCACGACGGACGGCCTGAACGAGATCAAGCCCGAACCGCTGAGCGGGCCCGGGCCCGACTCCTTCGATAAGCTCGCTCTCGTCGCCTCACCGACTGCTCTGTCCGACAACGGCAACCCTCTGCATGATGACGCTGAGAATAAGGACGACGACGACGACGAGGATGAGACCGCGCCTCAAGACCGGTTGTTCGAGGACGCGTTGGAGCGGCATTTGAATCATCTGCTCATGTTTGCGGCGGCTGTGCAGGGCGTGCAGGAGGAGAATCAGAATGATCTGTGGTTGACGGGTGCCTTGTGAGTTGGGGAAAGAAGAGCTGTGAAGGACTTGGGTTTTTGCTTCGAACAACTCGGTGATTGAACTACCTACTTTTTTTTTCCAGAAATCAGCTGGCCGACGGACTAGGAGAGCTGGCTGGACTGTCGGAATCAATCGGGCATGAGCTACCATGGGCACTGACCGAGTAAGTTTCCCATCCGTCCTTAGCATATCGCGTTGCTCGCCATCTTCGCCACCCATTTGGGTTTCTGGCTTACGCTTTGCTTCTCCCCAATCAGACAAACGGACGCAGGCGGCAACCCAATCGACACAATGCACGAATGGGCCAAAGCCCTCCTCGACAAGAACGCTAACATTGCTGGACGACTGCAAGGCATCGGGGCATTGAGGGACGAGCTGCGCAAGATGCAGCAAGACGCGGACGTGGGTGCTCCAACGGCTGTGAACGCGATGCCCGTGGGGATAGCTAACGGCGATACGACTGATCGGCATGACGGATGACGATGCGGGGGGTGGGAGTGGAAAGACGGAAGAGGGGGAGACTTGCGGGAACGGCGTAGCACAGTCGACGTCGGGGCACGCCAAACGGCGACCATATCCTCCTCTCTTTGGGCGGCAACGGAACGGATATCTGTTTCTCTACGCCTCCTCCACCGATGCACGTGATGAATCACCGTTGCGTTCAGAGCATGGGGTGGCGGAGGAGATAGGTGTTGGAGCCTTGGAGAGTGAATGGGCCGGGGTTGGGGGCGATGATGCAGGTTGTGGTGGGGGTGAGGGCGCTTTGGGGAGCAAGAGGACGCGAAATGGGGCGCTGGCAAACGGGGCAGTATGAGGCGGTCGCGTCCCGCACTCGATAGGATATGCCTTCATACAGTATCTTCAACGGGCCCCCCACATACGTTCGACACCTACCACGATACAGGCACGGTCTCACCCTCACGTCACGCACACATCCCCGCATCCACAACCAGCCCAACGAACCTCACAGGCCATTCTCATCCCCGGGAAACGTATTCCCACCCCCCGCGAGACCCACGCAAAGCCGGAGCCTGCGGACCGCGGCATCACAGCACCTCCCAAGCATCAAGCCCCTTCCTCCCGCAGTAAACGCAAAAGTCGAGCGAGGCCCACCCCGCACCCCGATCCCCATCCTCGGACATTGTCCACCAGGGCTGCCTGGTATCAGTCTTGGGCAACCGGCGATGCAGCGGAAGGGGAAGGCGGACACGTACAGGACCCATGTCTGCACAACCCTCCTCACCACCCACTCCCCGCATGGTAACACCCGCTCCGAATCCACCGTCCACCCCGCAAATAACACAACACAACACAACACACGCATTCTCCCCAACTCGGCAGAAAAACACCCGCACAAACGTACGGAACGACACATAACGTGATTTCACAGAACCAATGTGACACCCCCTCTTTCTGGCAAAGGATAAAATGAATGAAATGAATATCACCCAATGATGTTTTGGTGGGGGGCGTTATGTACAGTTACGAAAAAAAGACAGTTTCGCCGCAAGTTCCCCCGTCTTGCCCATTTCCAGTTCCCTCTGCGCGGATTCAACCCGGTGTGTCGCGCGGGCAGGGGTAGGGGAATATACAGTATAGACAGTATAAACACGCAAACTGAAAGGGGGTGTGCCGCGCGCTCCCTTCGCTCCGGTCATGCACCCGCATCCATTCCGATTCGGACGTCTGACGGGGGGGGGGGGGGGGGGGGGGGGGTATGGGTATGGGTATGGGTATATATGCGGGGGGGAATCACGATATCCCCATCGCTCCGCGGGTCTGCATGGGGGTACACGCTTCCAGTTCGGCGTCCTCCTGCGGCTCGGCCTCGGCGGCCTCGCCCAGCACGCCCTTCAGCACGCCGCCGACCACGCCCCTGCCCACGCCCACGACGCGGCCGACGATGCCCGCAAACCGCTCGTCCTTCCCCCGCCGCGCGTCCACCACGCCGCGGATGCCCTGCAGAGCCTCCGCGCGGTCCCGGTGCGAGTCCGCGAGCTGGTGCGTGAGGCGGGTGAGGTCCGTGCGCAGACGGAGGGTCGTGCGGCGCGAGGGGCGCGGGTGGCGTGTTGTTGTTGTTGTTGTTGGTACTGCTGCCGGGGGGTGGGATGCGAGGGCGGTGGTGGGGGAAATGAGGGCGGCGGTCTCGGGGTTGCGGAGCACCGCGTCGTCGGCTTCTTCGCCCCTGCCCAGGCCGTATGCGAGCTCCATGGGGTCGAGTTGGAAGTCGAGGTCGAGGCCGAGGGAGGTTGCGTCTGTGGAGGTGCGGCGGATGGCGGTGGGTTGTGGGTGTGGGTGTTGTGTCGGTGGTGGTGGTGGGGCTGGTGGTGGGATTGTGTTTGATGGTGTGATTGTTGAAGGCGGGCGCGGGGGCAGGCCGAGGTTTGTGCCTGTGGCGAATTTGGCGCCGGAGGAGGGGCGGCGGTCGCGGAGGTTGTGCGGTTGTGTTGGTTGGGCGGGCACGGTGCTGGTGCTGGTGGTGGGGTCGAGTGGCGAGAGGGAGCGTTTGCGTTTGTTACCAGCTGCCGCAGTATCTTCAGCCAGCGCCGCGAATGCTGCTGGCACGGTCTTATCGTCACCCGCTCCTCCTCCATCATCCACCTCCATCTTCTCCCCTGCGCCCTCCTTGCTTTCTCCCCCATCGCCAGCCATTCGTCCCACAGGCGGGGGGTCAATAACCATAGCGTCATCATCCACCTTCTCCACCTCCCCCGTTTTCTCCTTCTCATCCCTCTTCTCCTCCCCCTTCTCAACCCTAACCCCAACACTACTCCCCCTCCTCCTCTCTGTAATCCCTGCACCCGCACCCGCACCCTCCCCTCCAACGCTACTCCTCCTCCTAACCCGCATATCCCTCCACCTCTCCCCAACCCGCTCCTCATACCGCCGCACGCTATCCTCCAACCCCCTCGCCTCCTCGCTCAACACGCCCATCCGGTGTTTCTTGAGCTTGAGTTCCTCGAGCTCGCGGTGAGCGCCGGAGAGACGGCGGCGGGCTGTCTCGACAAGGGCGCGGTGCGCGGTGTGTGGGTTGGTGAAGCGCGGGGTGGGGTGGGGGGATGTGGGGAGGAGGGTTGATAGGACTATTAAAAGAAAAGTGAGAGTGGGTGGGGGGGGGGGGGGGGGGTTTGATTAGAATCCTCGTATGACGTGAGTTTGCGATACGGGGTGAATAAATCGTACTTACTCTTCTCGGCCCTCTCCCCATAAAACGCATCCAAACACCTCATCGTCTGCTCATGCAACGCCTTCTCCGCCGGCGTCGGGCTCGGCTCGCGTTCCAGGTCGTCCACCTCCGAATCCGACGGCTCGCCTGCTACCGCCACGGTCGGCGGCGCAGACAACGATTCTACCGCGTCGTCGTCGTCATCACTGCTTCCCGCCCCATCCTCGTCCGCAACCTCCGCATTGTAAAGCATAGCAACCAACCGCGGGTCCCCCTTGGCGAGATCCAACGGCGTCACCCGTTTCCAATTCCCCACATCCCACTCCGCGCCCAACCCGAGCAGGATCCTGACCAAGCCCCTGTTCCGCGCTCTACACGCGTAATGCAGCGCCGTGTTCCCATTCCCATCCTGCGCGTTCACCACCTTCGGTATCAGCTCCCTCGCTTCCTCGTACTCGCTCTTGAGCGCCTCCGCAAGGTGGGTGAGGTAATAATGCGCGGCGGCCCACAGGTCCCGGCGACGCGCGGCGCGGCAGACGTGGTGGAAGACGGTGCGGTGGTGGGGGTCGGTGAGGTAGACGGTGGAGGACAGTAAAGGGGCGATTTGAGAAAAGGTTTGGTGGTTGTAGGGGGCGAGGTGGTAGACGGCGCGCATGAGCGGGGTGTCGTAGGTTTTGCGCGGGGGGTGGAGGAGGGCTTGGGCGTCTTTTTCTTTTTCTTGTGGCTGGGGCGGGTCGAGGGTTTGGGCTACGCCAAAGGGATCCGCGCCGTGGTCTAGTAAGGCTTTAACTAACGCGACGCGCCCGGACGCCGTGGCTAGATGCAAGAGCGTCAGCCCGTTCTTGCTGTCAACGACCATGTTTACGTCCGGTTTGCTGATGAACCCCGGGTGCGGCTGGTTGGGGGGTACGGGCGCGGCGGGCGGCTGCATGCTCGCGATGATTTTGGCGGCGCCCGAGTCGGGGTAGAGAAAGAAGCTGGAGAGGACGTCGCGTTGGCGTTGGTGGAAGGCTAGGAGTTTTGCGCGGGTTTCGGGGTCCATTTCTGGTTTGGAGGGTGGTTGTTCTGCTTCCTCGATTGTGTTGGTGCGGGTGCGGTCGAAGGGGGTGGTTGTCGCGGTAGGGTTAGGATGGACCGACTCTGCTGCGGGTGTATCTTCGTTGTCGTGGGTGCCTGCTGTCTTTGGGGTATTGGCGCCAGACGGTCCAACGCTGTTGTTGAGATTGTTGTAGGCGTGCTGGGCCGCGATACTCAGGAGATTGATCATGGCTAGCTGTTGGTATGCTGAATGGACGTTCGACGAGGGGGGTCCAGGTTGTTGAGGAAGTAGCTGACCCGTGGGGTTGAGAGGGCCGCCACTGATAAATGCGGCCGCCGGTGTCGACGAACTACCTGCAGCATTGACATCCCCAGCACCACCCGCACGCGGAGTGGATGCATTGGACGACTGTGCAGTGTTAGCCGCCTGCAACAGCTGCTGCATCCCGATAGAACTGAACAACGAGCGCAGCTGTGCATCCATGTTTGCGCTGCTCATATTTGTGGGCGTTGCATGACCCGATAACTGTCGAGACATGCGAGCCGTGGCGGGGTAAGCTTCTTCCCATGCGATACTGCTCAAACCTCCAGAATGCTCGTCTATTGCGCCAAGATGGCGGCCGCCGTAAAGGGGGGGCGGTGGGTCCCCCTCTCCGAGTCTCCTAAGCACACCAAATGCAGCATGCGGGCTGCCTTCTCGACTTGTATAAGCGGATGCGCTACGAGAATGCAGACGAGATGGCGGTGCCGAGAGATTGTCAGGAAGGGAGATATGGTCGGGCAGTCCACCGCTGCCACTCGCATAGGAAGGGTATGCCCCGCTGAGGTAGCTCAAGAAATGGTCGTCGTCTGCTGCAGTTTGGGTGGGTGAACCGGGGTATGAGCCGGTTGGGTTCCTTTGCATGAGGATGTCGATGCGTCGTTTTTCACGTTGTGTTTCACGTTCTCGTTCCCGTTCTGGTAGTAACGAGCGCATGTTGGGTGGTTTTGGCCCAACAATCCCTGTCTCTGGGTCGAATTCAAACAACGGTTGAAGTGTCTTGTCCACGTTGTATCTGGGACGATGGATAAGCAAAGTGAATGAGCGAAGTAAAGTAGATGAGCGAAGTGAAAGTAGATGAGCGAAGCGAAGCCATCAACCTCCATCAACGCCATCAATCCATCATCCAGCAACAAAATGATACCCTGCTCGCTCCGCTCGCGAGAGGATGTTGGGTTGCGGTGGTCGGAGCGTAGCTCGCTGTCGCTCGCAAACCTCGCATGGCTCACGCCTGAAGCATTCCTGCGCCTCCGGCGCAGAGGGGGGCGCTCGCTGTCGCTCGACTTCTCCTCGCTTCGCTCGGAATCGCTCCTCCTCGCTCCTCCTCGCTCCGCTCGGAGTCGGACTCACCTCCCAGCAAGACTTTTTCCGATATGCAAGGGAATCCAAGTCCCTTGAAACTTCCCATAACCTCCTTGAATCTTCTCGTGTTCGCCGGGCAAAATCTCTCTTTCCAAAATCTTTGTGCGCTTTGGCTTACTGAACCCAGCGACTTTGAGTATCTGAGTTGCGTTCATGTACGAGTCACCCATTCTGCGCATGACGGGGGTATCGCCGCACATCATTTCGTATACGGGGACGCCGGAGTAGATTGCAGAGTAGATGGGCGAGCCGGAAGCCTCGAGAGGGCCGAGGTGGAATAGGGCGTGGTCGTTGTCGTGGACGGAGAGGGAGGTGTAGTCTTCTTTGATGTCTGTGTAGTAAGGGGTGTGGGGCTGGGGTGGTGTTGGCGGTGGTGGTGGTGGTGGTTGTTGTTGTTGTTGTTGGTGGTGGTGGTGGGAGGAGGAGCTACTGGGTGCTGCCGCAGGGTCCATGTTGACTGAGTGTGTGTGAAGATGCCAAGTGTGTGTGTGTGTGCCTGACGCTTTTTTGACTGTGCGAAGGGAGGGGGGGGAAGATGAGGAGCGGTGGGGGATAGGAGAGTGGGTCTCTCCGGTTGGGTTGGGTTGGTTTGTAGGCAGAGGGACAATAAGCGGGGGGGACGAGGGGGGTTGCAGTACATACGTAGGTGAGTGAGTGAGTGAGTGAGTCAGTTGAGTGGGCGGGGGGAGTGAGTGGGTGATGCCTCTCTTTACTCTTTTCGACAGCCCCACATGCCACTGTCATTCCCCCGTTCTCCCCCCCCTTCCAGATCCATCCAGAGAGATGTGTGGCGCACGGAGTGGCGTGTGCGTGGCTTGCTTGCTCCCCCCCATGGTCAGTCATGGCGAGAGAGGGGTGACGGCGAGACGCGCGTGGGCAATATATAGACCCTCGTCTCGGGGACAAGAGGACAGTGGGACGGACACCCACCCCATCTCGCACCTCCAACACCCCCCCCCCCCCCCTCCTTCCCCCCTAACTGCACACTCCCATAAGAGTCCCTCCAACCGTCGCACAATGACAACCGCAGACCCAGCCGCCCCCTCCTCTTCCTCCTCCTCCTCCTCCTCCACCAACCACCCAGCGCACGCCCTCCACGATGCCCTCGCCCTCCTCTCCGACCCCACCGCCACACCCGAGTCGCTATCAGCCGCCTTACAGACCATCCACCTCGCTCTCGAAGGTATAGCTCGTCCCCCACATCTTAACCGCCCCTGTATTGGTCCCCAAATTCTCACTGAATGGTCTCGCAAATAGGGAGGAACGCCCGCGATGTGACGGCTTTCATGCAGACGTACGACGTCACCCCCGCGCCGTTTGTGGCGCTGTTAGGACGGGCGACGACGGAGGATGCGGTGGGGATGGTTGCAAGGATTGTGGAGCGGTTGTTGGTGCCGCTTACGTTTGGGGAGGTTGTAAGGGATTATCAGGTTCGTGTTCCGATCCCAAAGTGATTCGCGTTTGCGACGAAGAGTTCGGTCGGTGACTGTTACTTTGATTCCCCCAGCCGCTGGTATTGCAAGGCCTGTCGAGCCCAAGCGGCAGCGCGCGGAAGCTCGCCCTTGCGGCGCTGGAGAAGGCTGCGGGGGATCCCAAGGATGTGGATGCGTTGGTATGTTTCTGCTACTCGGACGAAGGGATGGACGACAGATGTGGGGAGGATTTACGGACCATTCGGGTTTCTCCGTCTGTATATGTAGGTCCACTCGGAGTTCTTTGCACCGCTCCTCGAATGCATCGCCTTCCCGGACGTGGATGTCGCGTTACGGGTTCAGGCCCTCATCTTTGAGGTGACGCTCTCTTTCGCCTGTCTATCCTCGCCGCCCCCCCTCTCATCCCCCCCAATCCAACAGCTCGCCCTCACCCCTCCGGGCCTCGCATCCCTCACCGACCCCTCCACTGTCGCCCTCCTCACCCGCCTAACCCACCACACCACGGAAACAACCAAATTCCGCGTCTACGACCTCTGCGTCCGGATCGCGTCCACGTCCCCACAGGCCCTCGACGCGTGTCTCCGCGCAGGCGTGTTGAAAGATCTGCTGGAGGAGCTGCAGGTGGAGGGGGATGTGTTGGGACGGTTGAATGTCGTGCAGGTGTTCACTCGGGTGGGTGTATACGTGTGTCCACGGGGGCATTTCAAGTCGCATGGGCCATCGATATGCTGATAGTTTCCTCTCGTGGTTTTTAGTTCCTTGACACAGACCCAGGCGTAACGTTCATGGGAAACACCCCCGTCCTTTCGCAGCTCGCTTCCCTCCTCGACGGGGAGATGGAGGAGATCGATGACGTGCTCGTGGGATGCGCCGTGGTCAAGTTCTTTGCGGAGATGGCTGCGAAGAGGGTAAGTCTCTCTCTCTCACACACACACACACACTTCCCCCCCTGTCAAAACCGGTTGTCCGCGGACCACATAGTCACCCCACTAACACGATATAACCCTTCCAGCCATCAGAATTCCTCACCTTCGCCACCTCCCACCCCCTCCTCGCAACCCTCACCCGGCACCTCACCCCTTCCTCCCCCACCCAAACCGCCCTCCCCCTCGCCACCCTCACCCTGCTCGCCAACCTCGGCGCCACACCCGCCGGGCTCCTCCACCTCCACCGCGAACACGCCTTCCTCGACCACTACCTCGCCCTGGCCCCGCCCGCGACGGGGGAGCTCAAGCTGGCCGTCCTGCAAGCCGCCAGCTGTCTCGTCGGCTGCACACCCCCCCCCGACGCGGACGCCGGCGTCCTCACCGACCTCACCCACGCGATCTTCCTCCGCGTCCTCGCCGCGTCGCCGGAGGCCCCACCCCCGCATCTAGCGCGACTCCTCCCCTACGCCCGCTCCGCGTTCGTCGACCAGCGCGTCGCGGCCTGTGCGCTGTTTGCCGCCGCCGCCGCGCATGCGTGGGGCGTCACCGAGGCGAACGCCGATGCCGAGTTTGTGAGGTGGCTGCTGGAGAGGCAGGGGGAGGCGGAGACTGTCGTCAAGGTATGTTTAAAACCTTTCTTTGGGTGCTGTACACACTTCTACCCCGTGTGTCCACCGACGGTTGACCCCCTTTGGCATATGGTATGCGTAGGAATGGAAGTACGCGATCATCAAGCGACTGAACACGCACCCGCTCGCGGGGCAGCTGCTTGCGCCCGATCTGCGGGCACGCTTCGGGACGTATATTGCGCAGGGCCCGTTTTATAGGGCTGTTGAGCCTGTTGTTGCTTTTGGGGGGGCGTAATCATGGAGGGGTGTCCTGTATATTGGGAGCGGCAGTATGCGTTGATGGTGAATTCACAGATGGCGGTGGGGGGATGTAGTCTATGTAGGTTTTGTGTAGATACGGTATGGTGGATTCTATGATAGGGGATTTTGACCTCAGCAGTACGCCGTGGAAATGCTGAGGCTCAACGATGCTTTGGTGCTGTGATATGGGCCCTGCCGCCCAAGTGTGCCCCCCTCACCGGTCGATCTTTGCCAGTACGCAGCTTCCATCATTGTACGAGTTTCTCGCCCACTGGTGTTCAAAGAAATGAAAAAAACGTCAGCAACAGAATCCACGAAGAGCGGCTACGTTGTACTCAGGGTACTGTAGGCCGCACCAACTGCCCTCACAACACCACCACTTACTTTCCCAAAACTGCTCCTCCAGCACCGTCGCCTGCCTAAACGTATCACACAGCTGCTTGATCCTCTTCGTGTTCCCCTCAGGCACCATCTCCTCAAACAAGCTCTCCAACAGCTCCCTCCCCTCCCGCACAGCCGCCTGGAAATCCTCCTTCGCATAATTCTGGATCCACGGCCAGTAGATGTTCCCCTCTCTCTTCGTGTTGGGGTCGTTAGCGAGTCGCAGTCCGATCTCGCCGTAGCCGAGGAGGCAGGGGGCGAGGGCGACGCGCAGGTCGAGGCGGTCGCCGGACATGCCTTTTTCGAGGACGTAGCGGGTGTAGGCGAGGTTCGGGGTGGCTTCGGGGGTGGCTTCGAGGGTGGGGAGGGTGATGCCCCATTGTTCGCAGAACTGGGGTGTGTGTGTGGGGGGGGGGAGTGAAGTGAGTTGGGGGACGAGCTAGGGAACTGTGAAGGCCCGTGGAGGGTATTGACAATTTACCTTGACATGCATCTGACACTCATGCCCAATATGCACCACAATCTGCGCCGCCTTCACAATCTGCGCCATGTCATGCTCCCGATACGCAGCCAGCGCATTCGCCCGCGCGTAATGCTTCAGGAAGATATAGTCCTGGCGAATATAGTGCTTGAAGCTCTGGATGGGCAGTGTCCCGTCCGCGAGACCGAGAACGAAGGGGTGTTCGACGTATCGCCGCCATTCTTCGGGGCAGGTGGCGAGGAGGGTTTCGACGAATGAGCGTTTGGGTTTGACGGGGCCGTTGGAGGAGACGGTGAGGGGAGAGGGGGCGGAGGGAAAGTGGTTGAGCGGGCCTGCACCGTGCCCGATGGTGAAACTTGTGGAGAGGCCTTTGGAGACGAACTCGATGGCTTCTTTCACAGCCAGTGGCACTGAGAAGCGTGGATGAATTTCGCGTTACGACGACCGAAACTACAGATATCAACGGCGCAGAGACTTACCATCCATATTCTTCGCAAGCCCCGCCGTAATCGCAGCCGACAACGTGCATCCCGTCCCATGGGTAGCCTTCGTGTCCAAAAACGGATGCACAAACTCCACAAACTCCCGTCCATCATACAGCACATCAATCACATGCGCATCTTTCGCGCCAGCGAGTATGCTTGCCCCGCTCTTCGTCATCGGCAAATGTCCTCCCTTCACCAACACATACTTTGGTCCTAGGGCGTGTAAGGCCCTGGCGGCTGCTTTCATATCATCCAGCGACGTGACCTTCAGGCCTGATAGGGCCTCGGCTTCGGGGATGTTGGGGGTGACGACTTCGGCGATGGGGAGGAGGGTCGACCGGAGAGCTGTGACGGCGTTTTCGTTTAGGAGTCGGGCGCCGGAGGTGGATACCATCACGGGGTCTACTACGAGCCGGGTGATGCTGTATTGCTTGAAGATCTGGGCGACGGTTTCGATCGTCTCCACGTCGAAGAGCATTCCTGTTTCCCCCGGGTGTTGGTATCAGCTACGGAAGTAGAGTTGTATTAACAAAGCCACCTGCGATCATCATACCAGTCTTGGCAGCATCACACCCGATATCCTCCAGCACACTCTTAGTCTGTTCCAAGATGAAACTCGCAGGAACAGGCTGGACACCCTGCACCCCAACGGTGTTCTGGGCCGTCAGAGCGGTGAGTACCGATGTGCCATAAACCGAGAGAGTGTTGAAGGTCTTGAGGTCGGCCTGGATGCCGGCCCCGCCGCCGGAGTCAGACCCGGCGACGGTGAGCGCTCGGGGAACCCTTTTGCTGGTCGTCGTGTCTTCCATGGCGCACATGGCTCTGGGACGCGAGGCTGGTTTTCGCGAGGATGAGGGTTGCTGTTGACTGGCAGCCTGCAGGTCAAGTTGGTGAACAGCGCCAACGTCTGACAAACGCAATGCGCGCGCGTCGACAGAGCGCATCTTGTGAGCAACGTTCACATCTTCCCCAGTTCACTCCCCATTCCGTACTGCGACCCCGTCGGGACAGCAGGGTGCAGCATACGGGGGAGAACGACCACTGTGCTACGGGAAAAATGATATAGCCAGCTTGCAAAGAATATGCATAACCCACCTATGCGCGACGACCAGTCTACCGCCCTTTGATGGTTCCTACTCTGCTACTCTGAGAGAGGTGGACCCCTTAACAACAACAACCAAATGCGGAACCCCTATGCGCTTGTACTATATATGGTCCATCGGTGCTTGCTGCTGGAGCGCAATCCCTTTGGGGCGAAGCTTCTGCAAGCAAGTCGACCGACAAGTACACGAATTAATCCATGTGCGCTCCTCGAAATGCACGTGACCCCACGCCTTGTCCGCCATTTTATCTTTCGAACGGGTCTTTCCCAATTGCGAGTTCCGTTGCAGCAATTACCACCCAGACCCCCACGTTAGAGGATCTCGTACCGTACGCAAGTGACCCCGGCGAGCCTGCCCAGCTGTACCTCCTTCTCCCGTACATACGTCTTTGCAAAGCGCCACCCAGGGCCTCTCTGAGCCATGATGGGTGAGTTACGGGCGATTGCTTTTCCTGCCTCGCGAAGATCACACCCGTCGTCCATGTCGCGCTGGGCAAGGCCAGTAAATAGCGGACGGTCACTAACGCTATTCTCGAATTCAGCAGGTCCAAACGGCTATGACGACTACGATTCGAAGCCTCTGAGGAGTACTCTTGGGGAAGCTGGTGAGCATCCCCATAATTCGTAGATCTGGGCACACTTCCCTCTCGTGCCTTTCCCTGCTAACGCAAATTCTGCTATCAGAGGATGAATATGAGCGAGAGCGTCGCCGGGAGCGCAGAAGGGAGCGGGACCGGGGCGAAAAGAGACGGGAGAGGTCTCGGAGCCGCGATCGTCGCTCTTCGCGCCGGGACGATGAGCGCGACTACGACCGAGGGGATCGTGGGGATAGGGACGGCCGAAGGCATCGGGATAGTAGGGGAGACCGCGAGGACAGAAGGGGCAGTCGTGATCGGGACCGTGAGAGGAGGAGGTCTCGCAGTCGGGAACACCGTTCGCGGAAAAGCACTCGTAGTCCTAGCCCGCGAGGAGGCAGCTCCCGTCGTCATGCGAACGTGGAGCCGCTTCACTTGCGTCCGAAGAAACTCAACAACTGGGATGTGCCCCCGGCTGCGTTCCCGGGTATGTCGGCCGCCGATGTGAAGATGACCGGACACTTCCCACTTCCTGGACAACCTGGCCGGGTTGCCCCTGCTGCTTTCGGTGGATTTGAGATGTTTGGAATGAAGATGAGCCAAGGTGCCGCCGGACCGGTTGCCCAGAGTGCAAGTCTGGCCAGACAAGCCAGGCGGTTATATGTTGGCAATATTCCCTACGGCATCCAAGAGGTATTATTGAGTCCTACACCCCGCACAAACAATTGACTTACACCCTGGGACTTTTCAGGACACTCTGATGGAATTTTTCAACCAAACAATGGCTCAACTGAATATCACTACCTCTGCGGGAAACCCTTGCATCGCGGTGCAAATTAATCACGACAAAAACTATGCCTTTATTGAGGTACATTTGTTGTCCGTCAACTCAGCTGACGTCTACTGTCACAAGGCACTGATCGTTTGCGCTCTGTTCTAGTTCCGGTCAGCGGAGGAAGCCACTGCTGCAATGGCATTCGACGGTATCACATTCAGCGGACAATCTCTCAAAATCCGACGACCCAAAGACTATCAGCCCCCAGCGGGAGCGTCCGGCACACCCCCTCCCATCCACGTACCCGGTGTCGTGTCGACAAATGTACCTGATTCCCCGAACAAAATCTTCGTTGGAGGGCTGCCACCGTTCTTGAATGACGAGCAAGTTATGGAATTGTTGAAGTCGTTTGGAGAACTGAGGGCGTTTAATTTGGTAAAGGACAGCATTACGGGGTTGTCAAAGGTACGAGGGCTTTGATAGGGTTTATCTTATTTGATGAAGTACTGATCAAGGACCATCTTCCTTCAGGGCTTTGCATTCTGCGAGTACGTCGACCCAACCATCACGGACATTGCATGTCAAGGACTGAACGGGATGGATCTGAGTGACAAGAAGCTCGTTGTACAGCGCGCAAGCGTTGGATCCAACAAGCTTGGTGGTCCGGGAATGTTCCCTACGATCATGCCTCCCCAGCTCCTGGCCAACGCGGGTCCCGTAGAGCCGACAACTGTCATATTGCTGTTGAACATGGTAACTGTTGACGAGTTGAAGGACGATCAGGACTATGAAGGTGAGGACAGCATGTTTCAGAGTAGAGGTTGGAACGGACTGATATTGATCTGTTGACATTCTGGTGTTCAGAAATCAATGAGGATATCCGCGAGGAAGTCTCCAAATACGGAACTATCCGTAACCTTACTATCCCGCGTCCTGTGGAAGGCCAGGAAGTTGCTGGTCTCGGAAAGGTGAGCCAGCCTCCTTAAACGTCTTTCTTCCAGAACCACGTTCAAACTCATCCCGTCTAACCCCTTTTAGATCTTTGTGCATTTCGAAACCCTGGAAGAAAGCGCAGCAGCCCTCCGTGCCTTGGCAGGTCGGAAGTTCGCCGACCGTACCGTTGTCGCCGCTTACTACGATGAAGCGCAATACCTTGCTGGCGAATACTAGAAGCACATGCCTTGGTGTTTCTTCACAACGTCTGCAATAACAATGAGAGCTCTGCTGGGCGGGTCTGCGAAAGAGGGTCGTCCGGGTGGGGTTGGGTGAGGTTGGGGCCGCAACTATCGGATGTCCCGTGTGTCGATGCGGCATGACGTGCTCGTTGAGGAAGTTGTGTTGGGGTCCGAGTAGCTCGGATGTCGTTGGTCTATTGTATATAAATCTCCCGCGTTGCATTGGAATGGTTCTGAATATTAGTGCAGGTGCAAATGCAACCCTGGTTTTTGATTTCATTGAAGACTTCCGTTTGTGGAAGACACCACTGCTGGGGCAACTCCCCGCTCGTGCGCGTAGAGAGAGCATGGTGGATGGTGCGTCCTATCATATTTGAACTGCAAAGGGATGCACATCTGAGGGAGGTGGCGGCCTAGAGCTGCTCATACGCCCTATAGCCTTTGGGCAACGTTCTGCTCAACCGTCGACGCAAGTCTCCATCCACTGATGCGAGCTTCCACCATCATGCCATGCGCTTCAGACCCTTCAATCTCCCGCTCTTCAATCTCGAATCTCTTGTCCGCAATGAGCCAAAATTGAGTATTATTTCAGAATCCGGATACGGTCTCTTTCTCGTCGCGTATCTGCCTACTCCTCCTTCCCAAAAAAAAAAAACAGGCCAGCGTCTACTGAGATCGCCCTACTTGCCCTGGCCTTCGTGCCTCTTGCTCCTCCTTTTGTGCGGCCATTGGCATTTGCCAACTTGCGGCGGTTGGCCATTTCCCGGCCATAAACTGGCAGGCAGCGGCATGTTGCGATCTGCAGCAATCCATCGCTCGGATGGCGCACTGACTGCGGAGGATGGCTTCCCTCACAATCCCAGAGGGCGCATCTCGCCACACTCACTTCACTCGCCGTCGCCGGCTTCCCATTCGCACTGCCTCTAACCCCAAAATCACTCTCCAAAACTTCAAACCCTCACCACCAAAACCTCGCCCGTCAAGCATTCTCCACCGGATCCATCCCCTCATCATCACTCATCCTCCCCACCTCCTCATCCCCATAATCCAGCCCCGCCTCCTCCTGGAACCGCCAATCATGCTCCTGCCGCCTAAGCCCCACATCCCAATCATTCTCATCTTCCTCGGCATACGCGGGCGCATTCTCGGTGCGTTCTGACTCTTCGTCGGATTCTTCCGCACGACGAGCCGGTGAGGAGGCGTCCAGGAGCATGAACTCCTCGCCTTCAGTGGCGCAGTAGGAGGCTTCGAGATCGTGTATCGGTTGGGTGTTGGCTGTGTCGCCGTTGTCGAGGGTCATGAGGCCGCCGGCGGTGGTTGTGTCGTCTTCTATGTAGTCCTCGCCGTCGTTACGTTCTGCGAGGCTTGGTGGTAACGACCGCTCGTCAGCTTCGAATGCTGACGAGGACGTCAGAAGAGAGGATGCGGGGATGTCGGGGTGATGATCGGCGGACGGCGCGAGCGTACTGGGTGTACTCCATGAGTGGTGAGGGGTGGACAAGGGGGCGGCGCTGGCTAACGGCGACGTGGGAGCTGCCTTGAGGAGTTGTGGGAAGACTCCGGTGGTAGTAGCGGTGGGTTGAAAGGTGGACATCTTATTGAATGAGTGTGCTGAAATCTGCTAAATGTGGAGGCTGCTTTGGAGGTGGAAAACGGACGTCATGCTCACTGCCAAAGCGTCTCGCGGGCGTTTCCACCACCCGTGCACATGCAAGGCTCAGCAAGAACCCCATCACCACCCACACGACTTGGCTGAAAGGAACTGGGAGAAACTCCACCCCAACGTCCCCGTACGCCATGACTGAAAGCCAGGTTGTTCCTGTAGCGGACCCATCCCTCCTCGGCCTCCTCACCGACCCCACAACAACACCAGCACACACCCGTCTCCTCCCCCTAGCAGCAACAGCAGCGCTATGCACAGTCGGCTTCTACATCCTCACTAGATGGCTCAACCCAACTCCTAAAAGCAAAAGCAAAGTTACACCACGGCATAGGATCTACCGCGCCCAAACGCACCACGCCCGATATATCCCCGTTCGACACTCGTTCCGATATCCGCTTTTTTACTTTGGAGTTGATTTGGTGGAAGGGAACGATGGTGATCTAGGGGAGGATGGTGGTGGATGGTTTAGAAATGCGGTGGGGGCGCGATGGGTCGGATGGGGAAGAAAGGCGGTGTTTGCGATATGGGCGAAGGATCATTTGATGCAGGAGGAGGTCGTTGATGGTGAGGGTGGGAAGCGGATTGGGGAGTTGGGGAGGTTAAGATTGAAGCTGTTCAAGGTTTTACGGGATTTCGTAAGTACCACTGGCGAGATGGAAGGTGGATGATGGTGAGATAGAACGACTGCGGGCCGGAAGTCTACTGGAGAGCGAAGCGAGGTGCTAGCGTCAGTCAGCATTCCGGCGTCTGACGAGCGAAGCCAGCGCTACGGGGGACAGCGAGCATTCATGATGGTGGAGCGCCTCGCTCAATATCCCTATCGCGAGTGGAGCGAGCACCATAACATTTCCACATCCGCGGACCCAGCCGATTCGCTTGAGAGCGATGAACGCAACCTTCCTTCTCCTGCCCACGATTCTTCTTTCTCACTTCCTGCGACCGATGTGATCCTTGACTGAATGCACCTCTACCCACATCCCATGCATAGGAGGTTGATACAACCGACATAGGCCTAGTCGAATTCCTGACGACGCCGCGAGTCTTTGGATACAATTTCAACCCGCTGAGCGTGTACTACTGCTACGACAAAACGAACAACATCCGCGCAATCGTGTTGGAAGTGAATAACACCTTCAGCGAGCGGCACGTCTACGTTTGCGATCACCGTAATCAGATGGATACGAAAGTCGCTGGGTACGTACCAGGGGACATTGCTTCCCAAAAAACTATCCCAGAGATGCGGAAAACTTACAGTCCTTCATGTCTCCGACCAGCTACCCGCTCTCCTACACCCTAAACCGCTCCTTCCATGTCTCCCCTTTCAACAACCGAAGTGGCACGTACGAAGCGCACTTCACCGACCCATTGAGCGAAGGAGGAAAGATGGACATCCTCCTCAACATCAAGCGCTACACAGACGGCTCCACCACCCCATCAACCACCCCAGCAACACACTACCCGATTTGGCTAACTGCCCGAGTCTACGGCACATCCCACCCTCTAACTCGCACCGCCGCCGTCAGCCTCCTCCTCTCATACCCCCTCACAGCCTTCCTCACCGTCCCGCGGATCCTGCTCGAGGCCGCAAAACTGCGGTTCACGCATAAACTGACTGTATATCAGAAACCGGGACAGTACGCGGCCGCGCCGAGTGGGAAGGCGGTCAAATGGAGTAAACTGGGCGGGTTGAATGCGGCATGTGCGGAGTATGTGGGCATGTGGTTGAGGGACGTGTGCGCAAAGAAGGGCGTCAGCGTGGATGTCGTGCTTTGGGATGGGACGCAGCTGGGTGGAGTGACAACGTCGGGCGACTCATCAACACCAGCAATCACAATAAGAGCGATAACGCCTTCGTTTTTCACCACGCTTGCCGCCGCACCCACCGACATCGGTACCGCCCTCCTCTGCACATTCGTCCGTGGCGACTGGACCTGTACTTCCAATGAGTTACGTCTTTTTCTTTCCGCTTTGCGGAGAGCCACATCCCCATCGCCTTTGACGGCATCATCACATTTCCCACAATTACCCGGATTCACACCCCTCCCGCCACCATCCACCGCCCTGCTACGCGTCCAGATCGCATGGGGATTGGCGAAACTGCACGTTGCCCAGAAGCTGTTCAAGTCCGTGGCGAATTTCGCGGTCGACCCGTATGACGTCAGGACGAGGATTGAGGGGTATTGGGTGGGCGAGGGTGTCGCTGATGAAGAAGATGAGTATGAAGAGATTGAGAAACGCGCGTACGCGGTGGATGATGGGAGCCGCACCCGGAAGATCGAGAGCGCACGGATGCGTGTGTTTCTTCGATGTTTGGAATGAACGCGGGCGAGGACTGGGGCGAGATGATTCCTGGGGATGTACGGGATGAGGAGGGACTATATGTTGAAGCTACACGATGGACGGCGTAAAATTCAGACGTGTTTATGAGAACATGTTTCGCTGCGAGAGCTAACCCTCGCCACTTGCAACTACTGTACATACTATCACTTTTCCTATGCGATGCCATGCCCTATATACATATGCACTGATGCGACGACAGTTACAGTTGTTACCTATGATTCTGCCTGAATAGATTCTAAGCTTTGTTCTCGAACGTCGTCTTGCCTCCCTTGGTCGTGACGACATACAGGCCGCCGTTGTCGGGCGTCTCCTCGCCAGCCGCCCAACCGTACACCCTCCTGGATAGAAGGAAGTGAAAGCCGAGTACGCATAAGTCGTAGGTACTCTTGACACGGAACAGACGGTTGTACTCACTTGGCCACGGCGTCCAAAGGTGTCCATGAGGAGTGATCTGCATCCGGCATGAACTTGCGGTTCATCGGTGTGTCCAGCGTGACGCTTTGTGTATTGCTGTTGTCAGGTCCGGACAAATCAAACGGAACTGAAACAAACGAGTACCGCACTTACGGTAGGATCCTGTCAAGCCAAACCAGTATGAGAGATAGATCATCAAGTGACCAAACTGACCATAAACTTACGCGACAGCTTTCGCTCCAGTCGGGAGGCCACTTCCAGAGCCGGCCAGTGACTTGACGAGGTGATGAGTAGACGCTTTGGCGAGGCCGTACGCAATCTGCGGTTTCACATCAAGGGACATCAACGTTTGCGAACTCTACCTGGACCCGTCACCTTCGATCAAGATGTGTGCCTACCATCCCTACCACAAAACTGTCAGTTTCGAAAATAGTGCAATCCCTTGTCACCTCACATTTGACTCGACCTACCTGGTGTGCCATCCAAAGCCGCAGCCGCGCCAACCAATGTGACCAAACCGCCTCTACGAAGTCCGTTCCATGTTAGCATCACCTCAAAACATCTTCTACGCATGCACACATCATCCATAACCTACTCCTTCAAATGCTTCCCAGCCAACCTCGCCGCAATAACCGACGAATTGACACTCTGCCCCAGCATCGTCGCTACATTCTTATAGATTGCCTCATCCGCAAGGTTTCCGCCGGCCCACCCGCCAGCCGCATTCACCACCGTATCCAACTTCGGCGCATCAGCCCCCTTCCATACGTCCAGCACCTTTTTCTCAACGTCCAGTCCGGATTTTTCGAGGTCGGAGGCGGTGGAGATGTCGAGGATGACGTTGTGGGTGGCGTCGACGTTGGGTGTGAAATCGATGGAGGTCACTGTCTGCGGAATTGTGGGTTAGACGCAGGTAGAACGAGGAGGGGAAATTGCCATGGGCGACAATTCGCACCTACCCACTGTGATTTCCGGAACTGCCCAACCAGAGCGCGACCAAGTGCTCCGGCGCCGCCGTACACGAGTGCGTGTGCTGTCATGGTGTGTTTCCGTGTCGATTGTCAAATTTGGTTGATGTCGGTCGAGGTCATTGAAGTCGCAGTTGCTCAAGACGCGCCGTGCAAAGGCCCAAACGTGACCACTCCGCGCGTAGCCCAGAACCCTCTAACCCCAGCCCACACAGCTCGCACATCGCGCACATCGAGGCATTTTGACTTCCCTCGGAGTCGGTTGGCTAGTATCATCGATCTGCCACTCACCGCCCGCCCCACACATCGAAACAACCGGGGCAAGTGCACAGGGTCTCCAGCAGCGGCAGCTTCCAGTTTAATGACCGTCGCGTGGTCCTTCCGAGATGGAGCAATCCAGATCCAAATCGTATTTTGAGATAGGCCCCATCTGCGCACATGGCAGAATCCCGCTCTTTCGATCCCATCCGCACGGAAAAAAGGTGGGTGCGAGAACTGGAAGGGAACAAATTCGATAAAGGCCGCTCGCGGGAAATGGTTCGCTTGTCGTTCGGCGCCGCAGACGAGTGGTTTCTCGCCCGGCCGTCAATGAATCAAAGTGTAGGCAGTCAAGTGAGACTGTGGATAGCCACACTTATGATTGGAAAGCACATGAACCAAATGCAGTGCTATTTGAGGAAGCACCACGGTGCAAAAGCAAGGCCGGGTGCACATTTGAATCAATGCATAATCTTGATACCAGCGTCCGATCCCGCTTTCCTCCATGTTGCGCGAGGGCATAAAGGACATTGATACAGATTATATGCGATTCCATTATACATAACCAAAAACATGCCCCTTCATGCTAGCCAACATTTTTCGTCGATAAAGATGCACCACGATGGATCACGGGAAAAAAGAAGTAAACAGAAAGAGGGACAAATAGTATTGACATCGGAAAAGGGCCCTATTCCCCGTCTTCGCGAGGACACTCTCAAAGTGCCATTCGGATGGGTTGAGGGGAGGATGAAGGGTAATGAGAGGGAACGAAAAGGGAAGCGCCGATAACGGCATTATCTAATCACTGCTTCGGCTGCTGGTCATAGGGCGGCTGCTGGTCATAAGGCGGCTGCTCGTACGGTTGGGCGTTTCCGGTGGGCGTATAGAACTTTCCCTCATCCGATTCTGTTGGGCCTTCAGGCTCCGACAAATTTGGCGTGGCACCGGTCTTCTCCTTTGAGCGCTCGGTGGGGGCAGCACCGTTGTTGTTGTTGCTAAGCTCAGGCGACTGTGGCCGCGTCTCGTCTAGGGACGTGAACGGGTCGTTGTCTTCATCGGGGTCTAATGGAAAGACGTTGAGCCAAAATATCCCTGAATGGTTGAAATCCCACACAATGCTCATTTGACATCATTTACATACCTTCATGCTCTTGCGCTAACACCTCAATGGGCACGTGGACTTTCCCATAGATGTCCATGGTCGTGTTCTGATGGATCGCCTCACCAATAGTCTCAACGAGGTTGGTCACGAGCGGCGTGGCATACACATTACGGGCGTCCTTCGGGATCCACACATTGAGCGCGGCCAAGCGGCGGAGGGCGGGGTGCAGGAACACGCCCTCGAGCTCTTCGCCGTTGATGTTGGACGACACGGCGCTGACGGGCGACTGTGGTTTGCTGGTGGGCGAAAGCTGCTGGCGTGGGGACGTGACTTCTTCCGCGCTGGCGCCTGGGTGGATGCGGCCGGAACGAGGAGGCCGTTGGCGGATACTATCTGCTGTACCGGAGTGGTGTGTTGTGTTGGATTCGGCGCGCTCGTGGGGACGCGCGTATTCAGAGTCCACAACGACCTGGATCGCGGTGTTTCGCGCTGGCGACGCTTGAGTGACGCTGGACGTACGGGCGGGGGCGACGGGTTCCACTGAATCCACGTGGTGATTATCTTCCTCATCACTCTCCTCATTGGCGTCGCCAGGAGCTCGCGGTTCAATTGTCTTGTTCTTTCCTCCAACAGCGTCGCCACCGTGACCGCCGGCGGCCTTGGCAGCGGTACGTCCACCGTCAGCCTCCAACTTCATGAACTCGTTGTAAATCTCCTCGTCCATGCTGATTTCCCGCTCCCGTCCAATGTCCACGGCGGCCTTTGCGGGCACGTTGTTCATCAGGTTAGTGTACGGCGTTGCGTAGCCCGTGTGCATGGCGATGGTGACCAGAATAGACAGAGCGACCAGGGCTGTCTGCACCCAAGCGGTTTTCGTTATGAAAATGAAGATCATGACCAGTTCATGGAAGTAAAGCCCAATGAAGAGCTTCTTGGCAGCAATGTGCAAGTAGAAGCCTCCAGTTTGCAGGCGAGTCGCGTATACATATCTATCAAGGCATACCGTTAGTCGAACGAACCTCTCTTCTGGAAAATCTCACAAATGAAACTTACTGCATCTGGTAAGAATAGACGATGTACCACAGTCCAAAGTAAACAGTGCAAATGATAGCAATCATAGGAGCAAGTGTCATGTAAATGATGCCGATGGTAGCAATGAAGCTGTGGTTGGCGAGAGGTACACCACTCAAAAATAACTTGGGCTGCGAAAGCCTCCAGATGGCCCGAGGGGTCCCGCCGAGGAACTTGAGCATCAAGGGTTTCACGATGAGGTTGGCAATCTGCAAGATTTCACCCGCCGGACCACTGAGCGCCAACAAGGTAACGTAGTTGATGTAGAAGGTCGAGACGTTGGGTACAGTTGTAGCCAGCGTTTCCAAGACTTTCGAAGGGTTGTCCTTGAGTTGTTGAGCGGTGGCCGCGATGGACCCGGAGATGGTCATGACCAAGAAAATGTTGAAGAAAACGAATCCATAGTACTGAGTGAGAAGATTCTTCTCCTGAGCTGTCGTTGTCATGGCCCCAGAAAAGTTGGTGAAGACTAGATGAAGGTATTGAGAATGCAGTTGAGCACATGGAGAATTGTAGCCACTTAGGCATCGGGATGTTCAACAACAGACGAGACTAAGACTTACATCGCAGAATCACTGGCAGCAGAGAAAACAATACGGCGATTGCCACAGTAGGCAGGACACCCTGGAGGATACCCTTGACAGCAGAGGGAATATTCCCGATCCAATTCAGGAATGGTGCCAAGTTTGCAAGATTATCCAGTTGGGCAATACCCGCGAAAAACGCACAAATGACAGCCCAGAAGATGATCAGCGCTGAGAGGGCAGCGCTAGAGATGAGCCCTTTGACCATCCTAACTTCAGCGCGTTGTCCGAGGTTGTGCCAGAGAACATCTTCCATTTCGACAACGGCCTGTTTGTCAGCCATCAGGGTGGGGTTGCCGTGAAGGACGGTGGTCGCCACCACATGGGGTGTGTACAAATCCGAGAACACCACAAACGCAGCGCCGTCAACTTTTTCGCCAGCAGCCTTCCGTTTGCGTGCGATGCGATTTCCGTCATCCCCGTAGAGGAATCGTTTCATTTGATGCGTAGTGTCGTCGAGTACATCGATCTCCGGACCAAAGAGAATATACTTCTTCCGCTTAGGTCGGTGCTTCTGGAGGACATCGTCCGGAACGCTGTCCAATCCGGTGGCAGCAGCTCCTGTTCGGGCGTCAAATTCCGCTGACAACCCCTGCTTCTTTTGTTCGGCGGTCACAGATTTGTTAACGTTGGCCATGTAAGTTGTAGCGATCTTCTCGACTTTGTCGCGGAAAGAGATCTCCTCTTTGTGAACCTTGGCGAAATTTCCGATCTCTCTAACCAGCACCACGTGAACAACCTTGCCTGGCGCAATCCTCTCGAACAATTCGCGAAGGAGGCCCGTGTCGCGCAGATCGTGTGGAATGTCGCGGACTAGCAAGGTGTACCCAGAGAGGGAGTTCCTCTGTCTCTTGCTGAGCAAGAATTCGTGTCGCAACCAGGCAGCTTTTTGGAGCATGGTCACAATGATATAAAGGGTTCCAGCGACAAAGAGGAGGGACAAGATCAGAGTTGCCCACAGTCTGGCGCTTTGGTCCTGGCCAATGTTTGCAATTTGGATGGCGTTCAGTCCGCTTTTGTTTTGATTGCCCGTGCCGTAGATAGGGAACAAAAGAACCACACCCAGAATCGAGATGCCGAGGAACAGGCGGAACAGCGATCGCATGAAGAAGATCGCTCCAAAACTATCGGAACCACATCGTTTGATAACTTCGTCGTCGTTCATGGTTTTGGGCAAGAAAAGCCATTGGAAGGCACCATGCAAAGGCGGAGACTTGTTTCTGTCCGGTGAAGAGGGCAGACGATTGTTAGATTTCGGGATTGCACGTATCGACGGGGCACCCGCTCTAGATAACACTTTGCGAACTTTTGCTGATTCCATCCATTCGCGCACCGTCCACCCGCCCCGCGTCCCAGAAAGGAGAACTTACTTTTGGGGGACCAAAGAGCATCTTGGTGCATAAATTTTCGGAAACCTCGTCCTTAAAAATTCAAACGCGAGGTAAAACGCCAGAGCAGTAGCTCCGGAAATCACGAGTGTGGATATCCAAGCGCCAATGGACAAGTCCTGGAGCTTCTCCGTTGTTTTGTTCACGTCATCCTGGCTTGGCGGGGTCGACATGGTGACGGGTCACGGCTAGGAAATGGCGACAGGTTGGTATGCGCAAGCGAATGGGCGAGGTCGAGCTGGTGTGTCGAACACCTCACTCTGGAACGACAGAGAAAGAGAGAGGGATGATCCCACGAGGCTTTATTTATGTATAAGCTGCTTGGCGGACAAGCGGAGGGAGAGAGCGAAGAGCGGTGGTCCTGTGAAAGCGAAAGGAAAGGGCCAGACCCGTTTTGCCTCGTAAGGTTTTTTCGTCTCTGCCGGGTCTGGGGGGGGGGGGGGGGGTTTTCTGTCGCCTCTTGAAATCTTTTATGGAGACGGGTCTCGCGCGCGTTGGAGCTACTCCCGCCACCCCTCATCATGATGACAGCAACTTTTGCGCGTTTCCGCTGCTGCCGAGAGATGAACTTGCGCTGCTTGCTAGGGCCTGGATCTGGACATCGAATCCCCGATCCCTTCCTTCTTTCCCTCCTCCTTCTCCCAAAACTCTGAGAAGAATCGCTTGTCAAAACCGGCACTTTTGTCATGAGATTTCCGTTTACTGTGTTTGAATCCAGGTGCATATACCGATTCCGTGTCAGGAAGGGATATGAATGACGGTGAATGACAGTGAGAAAGCCGACGTCATCATGGCTTTCCCCTTGCCAATCCTCGGGAGATCATCTAACAGTTACCAAATAATCATAAGTGAAGCTTAAATGTACCGGACCCAAATCAAGCTATAGTATATAATATAAGAAATAATGGAACGAGGTATGTTATAGGTTCATCTGTTGTGCACGAGCCGAAACCAGGATTGAAGAAGGAACAGACAGTACCGCCGTGGGCGCGCGCATCGTGACTCATCGATCGATCATTGACGGCATGTGGCTGCAAATGAGGAAAGATTCGTTTTCCACCGGATGGTCTATAGTCTAGGGTATCACTTGAGGGTCTAAATCCTCCCAACTTAGGACACTCCGCTTCAACGCCTTCGTCCTCTGCAGCGTATTGCGGCAATGAAGTTGAAGGTAATCTCACTCTGCAAGAGGGTGCGGATCATCCCCCAACCCACCTCAGCTTGACTCCCTTGCTTCTCCACCGTGCCTGATCGCTAATGGACGCGGAGAGTAGTAGCACGCGGTCGCTGAACGTCAAGGCAGGCGTTGATCGGAACAAAGATCGCAGAAGGCAGGTAACATGCATCACAGTCTAAATGGGCAAGTTGCGCGCTGATCGAAGAGGCCATAGGTCAGAGGCACCTATGACCACGACCATAAAGGGTTCCCGGGATATCCCATTGCCTGCTAGGTCTCGTCTGAGACTCCACTTCAAACCCTCTCATCTGTAACTTGGCAAAAGTGGCCAAGATAGTCGACAAAAGCCCGGACCCATCAAAATTTGGCCATTCATCACATCAGCTGGTCGCGGATATAGGTAGCGGCAAAGTTGCATGTGCAACTGAGCCATCAACTCGGAGCAATCAACCATCGTCCCAGGCCTTCAAAAAGATCGAAGCTACCACCGTTGAGGGCCATTTACTTTTACGCCTCCTGCCCTGAACGAGCTGGATCCCACGAGGGCGCGAGATAGGCTCATGCTGCGTCTCACAGTCAAACGTCGTCCAGATCCACTCCACCCCGATATTGCGCCTCTGGAATCACCTGCGCAGTTGGTGAAGATGGCACATGCAACACATCAACGTACAGTACGTACTGGTTTGACTCGAAGGAAATTCTTTATTACGTAGAATGTCATGTACGCCGTATATCAAGACATGTTCTCATCCAAGCCGCCTTTCATTTGGAAATATGTACATGTACAGAACACGAACGAATATAGGTCGGCGGCAAGCTCTGAGTTCTGAAAGTCGTGCGCAACCCTGACAGTCGCATGCAAGAGCATCCCGAAGCGTCGGGAAGTTTGATGACTGCGAAGGGAGAGTCTCCATCGCTTGTGTGCTGGTGGGGCGGCGATGTAGCCATGTCCAGTGAGGGATGTGTTTTGCACACCTTGTCGGATAGTCGACGCTCAGTAACCTTTGCAGCCACCTTCCGTCGAAGCCCGCCCAGACCGTGCTCCGTTCGAGGCGATGTTCGATTACTGAGGAACCCACATCTAAACTGCGTCCTCCCAAATACGTTGCGAAAGGCCGCTACGACGAAGATGACGATGGGATGGGTGGTGCTCCCATGTCCAGCAAGCTCACGCTCCTGGGGAGCTGCGTGACGCGAACAAGATCGAATTTATGGCTGGCGACGGCGTAGTCCGCGTACATTGTAACGAAAGCGGCATGCTCCGCTTCCTCGATTTCTGGTGGGTCTGCCCTCATGATTTCCAACACGCCTCCCCCGTTGTAATTCGCCAGCTCTTGCATCCAAATTTCTTTGGCAACTTCTATATGCATTGCGTTCGCCAAACCTTCCTCCGCTGGTGGGGAATACCGAAGGGCATGCATAGGGTTGGGCTCACTCCATCTTGGAAGATGCATGGCGACGGCCCCTGAGTACCAATCCACATCGAGCGACAGGATTGTTTGTGGAAGATACCAAAGCTCTTGAGCGGCGGGGTCTCTGTGAATTGACACTCGAAGTTGATTGAGGAGAGGAAACTCCCGCCAACCGCATTCGGCGGCTTGCTTGAACATTTGGTGATCCGTGATTGTCACTGACCGTAGCGCATCAAATTGCGGTAGCGGTAGCCAATGGAACGAGCGATCAATCGGCTCAACCGCTTTTGCTTCAGAAGCGTAGATCCATACGAGTGCGATATTAAAGGTTTCCGTTGCCGGTGAGACTTTCGAACCACAATGATACAACCGTCCATCAAGATATCCCATGGTTTCTGAGAACAGCTTCCCATTTCTCCTAGACGTCGAGTGAAAGTGGACTTCCAGGCGCCTCGGCCGGGCGTCCATAACAAGGGACGCGAGTTTCACACAGTCCGCAGGGCTCCAATATTCGACCTTCACGGACCGGTTCTTGGTTCCCAGCCGAAAGTCAGTTATCCATCGAGAGCGCTCGGGATGCTTGCGGAGTGATGTGTACAGCGAATTCAGTCCTGGAGGGGTGTGAAGGTGAATGCCGGCGTACAGGGGCTGGAGTAGGGTCTCGTGCCACATTCGGGAGGCTCGCAGCATTTTGCTGCGTTCCTCTCCGCCGGCATAGTGCAAGATATGGGCTATAAGCTCTAAGGGCAAGGGCCGAGCCTTCCTGTCTTGCGGAGTCATCGTTTGTATTTGTCCAGATGGATCGTGGAGTAGATGATCAAACTAAGTACAGGTGTGACGAGCGACGTAGTCCATCAGCCTTCTCCGTACTGGCGGGGTACGCTGCCGGAGGCGGGGCAGGAGCTGACGAGACGGCCAGAGAGAAGGGCAAGCTGTCCAGTGTCGAGAGTGAAGAGTTTGCTCTCTGCTTGTTAAGTCGGTCGACACCATGCTACGTCTACTGTGCCCTCCCTCTAATTGAAATCAATGTCGGTCATTCAAGTGAATTTGGCGCTTCGGCAGTCGCTGATTTATTTCAAGAGGGGACACAGCTTTATGTCACTGACTGTGGATTAAAGTTACAAGCTCGGCAATCAAATGATCCAATTGACAGCGACAGGTTTCCGTTCCTCCAAAAGTGACCCAATCCGGTCACAGCACAGCACGGCACTTTGCTACATGCAGGTCCATCCACCATTCCTACTTGTTCAGAGTCGGCAGTCTGATATACAGTAAGCGCCTCGGTCGGGTCTGATAGTTGGCGCTCGTTGCACGCCATTCGACTTGAAGATTTCCAAAACTCTGAAGTCTCTTGCTTGTTCGCATGTCAAAACCTATAAGCCCCTTGCCACTGGCCAAGCAGCCACTTCCAGAGCAGTTTCTCCGCCGACAATCGACATCACAGCTCACCAAGCTCATCGAAGACAACTCCTCCGCCGGATCCTCCATCGCGTCGTCTTCATATCGCCGTGCGTCCCTCGCCGATAACCCAACAGGTTTTGGAGTCCCCCTTTCAAAGACAGCGTCTCGGTCGTCCGTGGGTGAAGTGAGCCAGAGACGTGCGAGTACACAGGATGCAGCTTCTGAACGCACGCCCCTTCTGGGCGGGGCTTTTATAGTCTCGAAAGCGTCGACCTTGCTGGATAGAGGGCCTCCAGGGAGTGCGAGCGCGCACGGTCGGCCCACTAACGGAAGTTCGGCCCGACAGCCACACCCGCCGGAGAGACTGCGATCGCAGACTTCGGTTGACAGCCTAAGTCGACCAGAGAGTCAAATCGATTTTTTCACGTCGGCACCTCCTGTTTTCCTGGACCAACTTTTTGAGCCAGAAGGCGGCGGGTTGTACTCCTCCGTCGGATCTCTTCATGTTCTCGGCACAGATGCACCGGCGTTCGTGGGTAGCGCCTCCTGGAGGCAGTCCAACCAAATGCGCCCATACGATTCAGACACGACGGTCTCCTCTGACGAGTCGCTGGGCGGCGGCAGCTCCGACGATGAGCATGAGATGTACGAGACTAGCAGCGACGAGACATTGAGCGCGGCTGGGTCCGAGGGAGAAGGGCCGCAACGTGGAGCAGAATGGTTCTACAGACGAAATGAACGGAAGGCTGGATTGACGCGCTCTACGCCAGGGACAATGAAGGATCTGTCGCTGAAGGATACACCTGATTCACCGCTTGACAACGAGCGAACGTATATGGATTTCTCTCACCTCGACGCGTTGTTCGTAGATCCGGAAGCGTACCTCCAGTCATCAGCGCTTTCGTTTGAAGGATCCACATTGCCTCCTGTGTGGAAGAAAGATGAGACAGCACTGGCAGACGATGTGTTCGTTCCCGAATACGTGTTCTACTCGCCTGCAACGGGTGTCGTTCGCGCAAAAAGGTTTCAAGACTTCGCAGGCGACGACGGCACGTGGTTACGACGGCAGGCCGAGGTCGGCACATTCTGGATCGATGTGCTCAACCCTACCGCTGAAGAATTGTTCCTCATCTCGAAAGTCTTCAGTATTCATCCGCTCACCATCGACGACATTGCCAACGACGACATGCAACGAGAGAAGTGCGACGCGTACCCGGATTACCTAGCTCTCACTATCCGTGTCATTGACACGCACAACTTTGATACGTCGGAAGAACTGAGTCCTGCGTTGCTATGGATCTTGATATACCCCCATTGCATCCTGACGTTTCATATGCAGCCTTTGTCGCATGTTTCGAAAACGATCCAGAGACTGGCTAAGCTGCATAACTTGACGGAGAAAAAGCTGAAGCTTCAGGTTGGAACGGAGTTCCAGACCGCGTGGATCGGTTATTTGGTAAGGACATCGGCTCGTTGCGCGCTTCGGAAACGACGCAATGTATTAGAAGCTGTGAAGCGGGCCTCCCATTTCTTTATACGTTCACTTACTAATATATGTACTGATCCCCTCAACAGCTCATCGACGAAATCCTCAGCGATCTCAACCCCATAATCCACCACATCAAACGCGAATCCGACGAACTCGACGAACAACTACTCGACGTCTGGGAAGACCAAGTCGAAAACTTCCGCGACCGCAACATGCTCATCCGCATCCACGAAGCCCGCAAGCAAAACGTCGTCATCCTCCGTCTCATGGTCGACAAGATCAACGTCCTCAAAGGCGTCATCAAAAAGGGATCTAGAGGCGTCGGACGCGGCAAGTTGCTGGGGAACGAATTGGAACTGTATTTTGATAGCCTGCTGGACCGCGCGCAGGCCGTCGCGCAGCAGCTGAAGACGTTTGAGGAGGCGTTGACGAGGATTCATTCGGAGTATTTGGAGGAGATTAGTTTGTGTTTGAATGCGGCGTCGAAAACTGCCGGGGATTTAACGAGGAAGATGACGGCTGTTGTTACGTTGTTGATTCCTGTTGGTGCTATTACGGGGATGATGGGGTATGTAGCGTGCAAGGCGAGGCTGTACTTACGTATCTTCCGCGTTAACCGTCCTTTCGTCCACAGCATTAACGTCACCGTCCCAGGACACCACCGGGACGACGGAGACGGCGACACAACAGCCTTCTGGTTCGCCACCGTGTTCATGCTTAGCCTTATCGTCAGCGGATACCACTTCGCCCGCAAGTGGCATTGGTTCTCGGATCCGACCTGAGGGTTCCCAGGCTGGAATATGAACGCGAGTACGGCGCCTGTCATATTGAGGGCGAACGGTGCGGAGGAAAGTCGGCGCAAGGGAAATATCCTTTTTTGGAAAATGTCCAGCCTTCTGGGACCTCGCTTGCGTTTGCCATCCCTCTCGAGAACTCGTCCGAACGACATGCTGCCGCCGCATCAACATCGGAAAACCACTTATCGCTATGCCCACCGTGATGATGGATTGGCCGATTACCGCGGCGTTGTCTCGCCAAATGAGATACGGTCATCGTCCCAGCTGTGATTTGAGGGCTACGGTTTGGCGGCACATCGCCATTGCCTCCATCCATGGCCAGTCCGTTGATTGGTCGACAGGGATGGTGGTGTCGTGGATTGAGGTTATGGTCGTCCAGCTTCTCATAAGGACGACCTCAGATCTCCACTAGTCTGCGACGTTGGCGCACGCACAAGCCGACCGTTGTAGATATGTATATACCCATTGGCGCAATATCGCGCAAAAGTGACGGATTCAAGCTCCGACGGCGGAGCGGCTTAAGCCAAAGCGGTATGAAAGCCCAGTGATACCCAAGGGAAAGATAATTGTGAAGATACGATGGAAAGCATAAAATGTGCGATCATGAGGGACTGTAATATTGTAAATACTGTATATTCGCGAAATTGGAGAAATAAAAGAGTATATGGTTTGTAAATGTGGACAGTGGTGGTAGTACAATCGGATGGAAGCAAACGTGTGTAGGACAATAAAGGTGAGGAAGTGTTTTCCCCGACCTGGAGTAAAAAATTTGTGTCAGCGAGACAGGGCGAGGTTACTCGGTCGGGCTCCTGAAAGCCAGCGCGAAGATGACAATCGAGATCGCAAACGTGAGCACGCCAAAGCCGAGGGGCACGTAAGGGTGGCGGGTGAAAGTGACGGCGAGGACGTGGACGACGGAAATGACCATGAACAGCCATTGCAGGCCTGCGGTGGCTTTGCTGGTGTTGAAGAGCAGTTCGGCGACGAGGACGGCGTTGGCGAGGGCGAGGATGAAGGTCATGCGGGCTACGCGTTCGGCGTTCTCGGCGCCGACGAACTGGGAAAGAAGAAAGATGTTTGTCTTTCGTCTACTTCGAAACAAACGAACCAGCATCACATGCGTTACTCACACTAACAGCACTAGCAAACCTGCCCTTGTGCGAGCCTGCGGTCGGAATCGTCCCGTCCGCATTGGTCGGGCTCGTCACGGCACCATCTCCCGGCAAGTGCTTCTTGACACGCACGACGTATGCGAACGTCCATGCCAGCGCCCATAGGATGAGGTGGATGAAGACTACCGCATACATCTGCTTGCGATAGTCGTAGTCGACCGGGTCATCGCGAGGATGCAATGAGGGGGATGCGGCGATGTACCTGTTGTTCCAATGAGTGGGTTCGTAGGAAGATTAATGTTAGTTTTTTCCGGCCTGTTAGTAGGGAACATCAACTCGCATATCAACACAACATACATCTTTGCTTGATGGAAGATGGAGGGAACTGATGCAAAAGTTTCGGTTCGGATGCAAGGCAGATGCAGGATGGCTTCCGGAGTTCCCTGGCGCTATGTGCGTACGAAGATACCGAATACAACAGTAGGGCAGAAGGCTTCCAGCGCCGTATAGAATATGCGAAAGATATACGAGTAGAACTAGAAGGGTTTCGTGGGTGACAAGGCGGGGTGTTGAGAGTTGAGATTATAAAGAGAGTTCCGAACGATCCATCTGCGGTGATGGCATCGGGCCCGGGCAGGAACACATGCAAAAGGAAAGGGATCGTCATTCCCATACGAACGGTGGCCCTCGTGACGCCAACATTTGCGAAGTCTTTTCGCCTGCGTAGCTTTCGGGGAGATAACTCCGCTGAAGTCCGTCGAAGGATAAGCTTGAGCGAATTCCGTGTCGTTCAGATCGGCGGGCCTTGGGTGTTCGTGCGCGCTGTCGAATTCGTTTCTTCATTTAAAACCTATCAGCTTGAGCACACTGAGCACGTGCGACCCAGGTGAGATTATTTAAAACGCAAGCAAGTCTGATATCGCACGGCTCAAACCGGCCAACACCACAGCAGACAATCGACCATTCCGCTTCCTCCCCTCGCTTGCCTCGACCTCATCTTTCCGCACATCCACCTCACACCGCAGCTTCGCAAGCATGTTCGCATCACGCCGTCTCGCAGTCTCGGCCGCGCGCACATCTCCCGTCCGTGCCGCTTTCGCACGCCAACAATCCACCGCCGCCGCTATCACCCCCGCCGCTCTGTCGCAAATCGAGACGTGAGTATTTTTGGAACCATTCCTGGGAAAGGAGAGATATGGCCGTTTCTCGCTTTCGTCGCTTTGAAAATATAGAAGGAGTCTTGGGGAAGAAGGACGCTCTGGGCTGGGATGTAGCACATTGGCGTGCACGCAACTCGTGGGAAGACGTAGGGAATTCACGTTCTCTCCGGATGCACGCTGGGCTTCGAGGAAGAGCGGAAGGAACCTTGGATAGACGCTGGCCGGTTTCCTCGACCTTTTCCAGGATAAAACCCGCAGATGCCTTGAACGATCGGTGATTAACTGATTCCCTTTTTGATTGCAGACGATGGGCAAAACTCCCAGAATGCGAACAGGGTGCGATAGCCGACTTCCTCGCTGAGAAGCAAAAGGGCGACTGGAAGAAGTTGACCCTTGAAGAGAAGCGTGCTGGTGGGTGTCTCATCGTCGCCCAGTGCCGTTTCCGATGCTAGACCGGCCGAATGGTTCCTAACCTTTGATTGCGGCATATCCTTTAGCTTACTTCATCGCATACGGTCCTTACGGCGCGAGGTCTCCTCATGACCCCGCCATGAAGTGGAAGGTTCTTCTCTGGTCTAGCACTTTCGTTGGTGTTTCACTTGGAATGTGGTTCTACTGGACCAAGGAAGGTATGTTAACAGGACGAAAATGAGGGGCTGCACGTTGTCCTCAGGGCAACCGAGACTCTTTGTTGGCATTTCCACTTTCGTTCATGGCAACTCACACAACTTCACTCCGCAGTTGTCCCCGAACTCCGCACGCACAGCCCCGAATGGAAGGCCGAGGAGGAGCGTCGCGCCATCGAGAACAAGCAGAACCCTTACACGGGTACCTACGCGCAGTACCGCCACGCCATCGACGGAAAGTCTCACTAGATGCAACCAAAAAAGTCGTTCCCCAAATTCCCATGACTTTTTTAATTATTACCAATGCCGAATTGAAAGAAATCGAACAAAACACAAATCTCGGCGGAGTAGTGATTGCTTGGAAGTGCCTGGTTTCGTTGCGGTGTTCAGATTTTTCGCATTGTGGATTTACCTTCCCCCTGGCTCCATGATTAAAGTTTGCGATGCCGGGCGTGGATTACCGTTCAGCGGGAGGTTTCGTCCCTTTGCGCTGCGCCTGATGATCTGACAGCTTTTCACGGTGGAGGTATGCACGTCTGTACGTGAGTGATTGAACCGTTCCGTAACCCGACATGCTGGACAGTGGGAGACTTTTGTTTCCCTTGAACCTCGATCGCAGTCGCCCATCGGACGTTTAATGTGTTCCGCTGCCCCAAGCTTGGGCGGATCTAAAGTGAGCAAAACGCTATAGCTTTTCGGACTCGAGCAGCGTCAAATGCCGTGCACTTCATCTGACTGATGGATCGAGTCTCTCCATGGTAAAAGAGTGTGCTTCATAGAGGCGTCAGGTACAGGCAGCGATTTGCAATAACGCGCTGGACGACTCTTCCGTCGTGCCAGAGAGCAAAAATCTCGGTGCTTCATCTCAGAATGCGTCTCAGTCCCGAAAAAGCGCAGCTCACAAACGTATGGATAAATAGCCCATCATCGCAGGACTGCACATCTCGAGTTCCGAATGTTTTGATTAGGAATATAGACACGTACTATGTACAGATGAGGCAGGACGAGATCATCTACGAAACCTATATAGTTTGTACTGCACAAACATGTAGCATGCGGATGCGAAGCCCCATATCGCACACCAGTCCTCCGACCTGCAGTGGGTTTGATACCACTCAAAAACCACCAATACTCGCTCCACAGCAGAGCCCACAGCATCCCAAAAATACCACGCAGCAATCTTTAAAACACATATTAAGCTCCCATGAAGTACATGCCCCACGTTCGCAACAGCAGAGAAAGCAGCCGCAGCAGTCGCAGCGGCAGTCCTCGTCCCGGTCGCTGTTCTGTGATTTGAGGTCGGTGTCGTTTGGAGAGACGATCGGGGCTGCTGTGAAGGGATATGGATGCTGGCCGGGAGGATATATCGCCGTGGGCGGGTATTGCGCCTGTCGGTGAGGCTTCGTCGCCAGCGACGTTGAGGATCTGGAAAAGTGAGACTTGTAGGGAGGCGGTGGGCTTTGCGGGTGTGAGAGTTGCGGGGCCGCTATTTCTGTTGGTTGGTTATACATATACGGTTCCGGAAAATGCGTTCTTGAAGTGTGTGCTGGAAGACCCTGTTGCCAATGCCTCGTATCTGGTGATTCCATTTCGACGAATGCTCCGAACTTGCCGATGACCGCTAATGCTGCTTGCTCTCGGACAACGCCAATACTGATGCTTGCTCTCTAGCGGTCAAGACTCGGCTCCCCCAACGAACCCCCGCTTTATAGGAGCCACGGCCCGCTTTACAGCGGCCGTCTCCGTACACGCCTCCCGTATCCAGTGTATGCTTACCTCCGATGACTGGCCACCACCAGACTGAACTATTGGCTTCTACAGAGCCTCAGAGTGAGTGGGTTTATTTGAAGTTGTGCTCCACCGCAGCGGGGCTGTGGAGAACCGCGCCCGTCGTTGACCGCTGTCAATCACACAGACTCTAAAGATGCTTCGATTTCGTGGACTTCTAGTTTGAACTTCACTTCGCAGAATCTGCAGCAACAACCGGACAGCACTCACTAAAGGCCAACAGACGGAATGGCTCCTACGACGGTCGCCAGCGGCATAGCAAAGTCTCTACTACTGCGGCGGCCAGTGTCCAACTGCATTTTTGCCCGCAATCGTGCTTCTATCACTACCGCTGCTTCGCTTCCAACCCGCTCCATGACAGCACAATCGTGCCCTTGATGGCAACCGGCGGCACAACGAACCCTCCCACATATACAGCTGGTCGGAGGGTCAGGGGTACGGAGGAAGATGAGGGAAAGAGATAGGGCTGGGGGCAGAATATCATGAGGTATGCTCTACGGGTCCGCGACGGTTGAAAGGAAAGCATCCCGCCATTGGCATCATTGTTCGGCCCCAGTAGACTCTGCGAGGTGGACAGACGACGTTTCACGGGCCAGGGCAACTCGTTGGCTATTCCATACTCGATCTGCGGAGCTTTGAAGTGAGATCAATGACGGGGATTCTCCGTCGCACTCTTCTGCTGATGTCCTACCTAGCTAGGAGACAGGACATATGTCTCAACCCTCGAAAGCATGTTCATTCGCCTCTGCTCAGACCGCAACATCACAGCCCGAACTTCTAATGACACAGGCGTGTGGGTCTCTGAACCAAAACGCAACGATGAGCAGAGATTTGCAGCTTTGGGGATAAAAGTCCGCCGGCGCATCACTAGTCACGGATTTGCATTGAACTGCAACACCGATTTGGAGTGGTACGAGTACATTGTGCCTTGTGGTTTGCCTGGGAAAGGTGCGACATCAGTGTCGGTTGAGACTGCGAGAGACAAGCGTTCCTTGTGATGCTGCCAGCTGTTTGGAGATCAACATCTTTCATCCCAATGCTTACAAACGTCCTTCACACTATGTAGATGTGACAACCGCGGAGGTGGTACCACACGCCCTCCGAGCTGTGAGCAAACCGTTCGATGCTACCGTGGCAGCTCTAGCTGAGGTCTCGCCAGAATTTGACTTTCATATTGATAGACTGCTTGCGGCAGCGACTACATGAGATGTTTGTACAAGAATACTTGTTCCGTTTGCGACATCTTACGCACCTATTTGAGGGCCTGCAATTGGCAATAACCTTTGCTATAGCGATCTGTCTGATGCGATTGGGTTGTTCGAGACCTGCAGTGCAGATGTTGAACAACCTAATCGCATCAAATCCGCTTCTCCCGATCCGAGCTATGGTCCTGTGGTGGTCAGAGGCGAGAACGGACCCCTGCTCCAAATGGATATGAGGGCAACAGGGTCCTAATTGTCGGTTGTGTGCGAGGAAAGGACAAAAGTTATATTGAGTACACAACCGAGGGCAGTCCCTCCATCTTATCGGTCTTGGGGCGTGGGAGGCTCCGACAAGAGGTGCGAAACAGCTATGTGCATATCACGGCAGGCACTATTCTGAAAGACGGTCCGTGTCAGTCTGGTCCTCCTTGAGACCAATGATTTCGGACACGATGGGAGCGCGTCGGATGTCCGCCTTCTTCTCTTTCTCCTTTCGCCAACGGCCTCCGGTGCGACAGACTTACGGCCGTGCCAGCATTGGGCTTGTGTACCCTGGTCCTATCCATTCTCTACATAGTCCTCTACACGGCTTCCAGCTGAGTGACGTCTACTCAACGGAGGTCCGAATATCACTCGTTAATACAACTTTCGCCAATATCAACTAAGGAGTCGCGTACGAGATCTTACCGCTGTTCACCGTGATTGCAGCTGCTGTTCACATCGACCTTTGGAATCTTCAGATCGCCCTTGGTTGTGCAGCATCGAATTGACCGTAGGACACCGGCAGCATCGAGAGCACTATCGGCCAGACTCGGAGTTTGCAACCTAATGACGCCTAAATCTCGGACCCCTCGCGCGGGCTCGCTCACGCCGCGCCCTCATAGAATCACCGCCATCCCTCTGTACCCATCAGCAGACGCGGAACCAGGGGAGGCAGGCCCGAGCAAGCCACTTTTCTCGTTTGCACTGCCGGAGCCAAGCGCGTTCGAATCACCAGTGCCGCCCAAATGCCGTATGACGCTGTTGGCACAGGCGGTCGCGAACAACACGAAGGCGGCCATGGCTACTGCGGCGGCAGCTCCCTTGCGTGATGCTATGGACATGACGGATGGAGCAGCGAATGTTGATTTGGTGGCTCCAGCCGCCGAGCCTTTGGCCGCAGATCGGGCCGGCAACACGGATGCACCTTCTGGGGCCCATGACGATAGAAACGAGCAGATCGATATGGAGGGAGAGGACGAATCGAAGCGCCAGGCGGAACGCGATCCCCAATACGAGTTCAACGCCCCTCAGTTTTTTGATTTTCATGACTTTAAAGACAATGCTAGTGAGACAGGCGCAGACACTTGGTTTGGTGAGTTCTTCGCGATCTTGGTTTTAAAACACATCGACGCATGACCCCGGATGTTCTCAACATGTGATTCATACAATTCTTAGACTCGCGGACTCTTTCACCAACAAGCACCATGCATTTTGGAGATGGGGACAGAGACGATTTTGATGACGATGAGGATGAAGAGTACTTTGCCGTACACGATGTTGCGACGCCGAAAGCCAGTCAATTGAATGCATATTTCCGAATGCCGAGTGCCCGGAAAGAGTCGCACGTGCCACAAGTGTAAGAGTGATGTTTTTGCTTCATCAAACCAAAGAGTAGCTCGCTGTCAATGCTAACGGGCCCACGCGTCGGAATTCTCGTCACAAAACAGACCATCTGAACTCCGACCCGTATCTGAATCTGCCGACGAACCTGCGCCGTCCGGAAAGACAGATCCTAACCCAATCCCCTTCAAAGCTAAAGCAAAAAAGCCCCAATCGACATTCGAAATGAACCTAGCAAAAGCAAAGGCAAAAGCCAGAGCATCAATGACTACGACAAATACATCACTTGCCAACGTCTCCGCGGCCGCAGGCCCTCAGCGAGCGCCACGACCGAGCGTTCCCACGTCATTTCGCGCACAGGCGCGAGCGCACTCCATCAGTGGCCATGGGCCGGAAAAAAATGCGTTGGCGCAACAGAAAGGACCGAGACCGCTGACGATCCCGAAGGAGTTTACTTTTGTGGCGAGGTTGAAGGCGAAGCAGAGCACATTGGGGATGAGGTCGCCTGGTGGAATACAGGTGCGTGCGGCTTACTTTCAGGGAAATTTCATATGTGGAAGCAGTCTAACACGCGGACCACAACGCAGAAAAAGAAAACATCCAAAATCAATGGCCTGACCATCCCCAGGCCCTTCAGACTGCACACGACCAACTTCCGGTCTACTCTCCAGAGCATGGGCAACGACTTGACGAATGCGCCTAAATCACCGTTTGTGCCGCTGGCGGTTCGCATTAAAACGTTTGAGAACCAGGTGCCGGATCGCTTCAGGCCGACGGGTCCGAAGGGAAAGAAGGAGGAGAAGAAGAGAAGTGTTTCGCATAGTGGGGTGAGTTTTCAGTTTGGATTGAGTTGTGTGCGAGCTGGCGGATGGTGGAAAACGGGGATAACGCTGACATCCTGTTCTTCTTGTGTGCAGCCCATATCTCCATGGCGAGGTCGGATGCGGACGACCAGGCCGCAATCGCCTTTCCTGTTGACCAAGCTGAGGACGAAGAGTCATACGTATGTTCTCGCGCACGAACGCCTTCCAGCTTTGAGAATGGAACCCCCCGTGACGGAATATCTGTTCTTTGCCCACAGCGTGCCCAGTCGAGAAGAACAAGAACTAGCTGAGCTCGCCAAATTCCAACCATTCAAAGCCAAACCCGCCGACCCTCACATCCTCCACGCCGACCGACCCCTAGGCGTGCCCACAGTCCCTCGCCCACTCCCGACCGTTCCCGAATCTCCCGCCATCAGCAAACCCCGCGCGCCTCAACCGCGTCCTCCATCGCCTCCGCGCATCATCGCCGCTCGCCCAGTCCCTAAAACGATCTATGAGAAACCGTTCGAGCCGCAGATTCAGCATAGGGTCATTGAACCGTCGAGCTTTGAGTTGCCGGGGGATGAGATTAGTCGACGCAAGAAGATGGAGTTTGAGGCGAGACAGAGGGAGGAGGAGATGAGGATGAGGGAGACAAAGGAGTTTAGAGCTCAGCCATTGCCGGTTGATGATATACCCATGGTAAGTTGCGTGGCAAGAAGAGCAGCGGCTGCGCAAGGAGGTAATTACATGAGGAGGGTTCTCACAAGCTTCTCTTCTCCCATTTTAGCGAGGAGCCGCCTACGTTCCACCCAAACCACCTACCGAACCCGCCCCATTCAACCTCGAAACCGAGTTCCGCGGCGCATTCGCCCGCATGACCCTCGAAGAGCGACAAGAAAAGCAACGCGAGGAAGAAGCCAAGCGGCGACAATTCAAAGCCCAGCCTTTACCGTTCTCCATCGACCACCCCTTCTTCCCGCAGCCGTCCAACAAACCGCTGACGAATGTCGAGGATGTGGTTTTGTCGACTGAGGAACGGGCTGAGGAAAGGAAGGCGTTTGATGAGGAGAGGAGGATAAGGGAGGCGGCTGAGGAGGAGATGCGGAGGAGGGCGGCGAAGGAGCAGGAGGTAAGGCGTTTGGATTGGCGTGGGAGGGAAATACAGGCTGCATGTGCCTCACGACCTCACACCTGACATCTCATTCCATTTCTACCATAGGAACGCGAAAAGCTCGAGATCGCCCAAGACCGCGCTCAACGCGTGCACAAAGCGCAACCGCCCCAATACGACCGCATCAAACCGCTCCTCATCAAACCCTCCGACCGCAAGCTCACAGACCCGCACTCGCCCTTCATCGGCGCCAAGCGCAAAAAGGCCTCCGCGGACATCAAAGTCGAGCGCGACCCCGCCGTCTTGGGCGCAGCGGATAATGAGTTTGATGGCGAGTATTATACGTATCATGGTGGTGGGGGCAGTCTGTTGCAGCAGAGGCTTTATGAGGTTGCGGAACGGTTGGAAAGGGGGGAGAGTGTTAGTGAGGATGAGGGGGACGATGCGGACGATGAGCGGACGTGAATGGGTGATATGGAGGGGGTGGGAAACGCTGCGTAGATGCAGCAAACTCGGTATCTGTTGTTTTGCCGGACGATGGGAACGTTATTAAAGGGGAGGGATCATTTTTTCTTGCGTTTATTGGTAGCGATATGATTTCCCGCTTTGGACCGTCGGACATGTCTTTCTTGATGTATGTATAACGGAGGGGAACAAGGGGTTTGGGATGACGAGCCCCCTTCTCGTCTTGGTAGTCTGAGGGTGTGAGTTGCACTGAGCGTACGATAATAACTTGAGCAAATGAAACATAGAAATTCGCTTGAACGTTACATGGATGGGCTTCGATCTCGAGGGGGGTGGTCGAAAAAACGTAGGATTTTGGATAGCGATTTCGTTGACGTGGAAAATCGACAGCGTGATTCAGACCTGTCAGTGGACCTCCTTCGCAGCGCATGTTCCCCGGTTCAGACGCCAAACTTCCACTGCAGAGAGGAAGCCCACGTGGGAAACAACGAGATCCCAGCGTTTTTTGTGATATTCATCCTGTGGTACATATATCCCCTCTTAGCTTTCGGTTCTCTCCTGTTGCCCCTTTCAGGTCCTCGTCGGTTCAAAAACCTGACGTGCCAATACTTCCGCCCCTGTCGCTCCTCACACCAGAAACAAGGCCACACACAATGAACCTACAGACTCTCATACCAGCCACGACCGTCTTCAGAAGCGGCACAAATACCCGCAACGATAACGGTGCTGCAGCTGGCCCTTCAAGCTCTAACGGCGGTGCCGGCGAGCAAGGACCGGTTGTTCCTCGCCATGTGGACGGCACGCCTGCGCATGAGTGGCAGATCAGTTGTTGGACTGATACATCTACTCGTAAGCATACCAGCATCTCTACTCTGTCAATAAGCATCCGTTTCTTGCGAGCGACCGGGAACTGTCCTGAAGATCTCCCTGCTTTTCTATTTTCGGCTGACGTACAGTTGCTTATGCCTTCCTGACGGCGACCTTGGTCTTGGGGGCTACCTTCTTAAGCGCGGCTTTCTTGGTGACCGCTTTTTTGGGGGCAGCCTTCTTAGTGACCGTTTTCTTCTTGGTCGCAGTGGCCTTCTTAGTCGTCGCTTTCTTCGCGGTGGGCTTTTTCTTGGTCGCAGTACTCTTCTTCGTAGCTGCCTTCTTCTTCGTCTTGGGCTTGAGCAGCTTCTTCGCGGTCCTCGCCTTTTTCTTCAATCGCAACGTAGGCTTCTTCTTCTTGATAACCTTCTTCTTCCTGCGCCCGACGGGCTTCTTGACGGCGTCTTTCGCAATCCTCTTGACCTCCTTGACGATCACGTCTTTTCCGGAGGTGCGATTATATTCGTCGCGTTCGGCTCGGTACTCCTTCAGCGCCTTCCGGTAGTCAGCTTCGAGTTTCTATTGTTTGACAGCGTGCTGCGGTTAGTCTCGGAAAGAAAGTGAATCCTGGCACAGTTATGGTCGGCTCACCCCCTTTTGTTCATCGGACAACTTGCTAAAAGCGGTCTTGAGGAGCTGGTTGGCCTCGGGCAACGAAAGATTGGCTAGGGAAGTTCCGAGAATCTCGCGCTGACGATCGGCCGTCAGAGCATGAGCCTGTTTTGTAAACAGGAACCACGGGTTCAGCGGCAGCTTGGGGGCGTCAATGTCTCTCAGCGGCTTCTTGACATAGGCGTCGGGATTCAGTTTCTTTTGCAAAAGGAATCTCTTCTCCTCGAGCACGATATCCGAAGCAGTGCGATTGGCAAGGTATTCTTTGACATCCCTATCGTACTGCTTTTTGTTTTCTGCGGCTCGACGCTCGTACGGCTGCAATTGTCAATTTGGCAAACGAAACGAGGCTTAGCATGAGCGAAGTGACAGAATCCACCAGCAGCCCCGCCAGTCGTTGTCGGTTCTAGCTTTAGACCGTTTATACATACCTCCTTTTCGCTCTGACTCAGAGCTCTCCATCGTTCACCGGCGAGGCGACCTAGTTCACCGATTCTGGCGCGGCTGTCCAAATGGGCCAAGGTTGGATAGAGCTCGTCCTTAAGCTCCAAAGCGAAGATCAGGTACGAGGAGTGAGCTTTCTTGGGCGGAACGCTTGCGGGCTTCCCGATAGCTCTCAGCTGCTTGCGGATATCTTTCTTCGCTTGCTCCGCTGTCGAAAGAAAGGTAAGTGAAGGCACTCCTTAGAGATCAAACAGGCAAGCAAAACGGTGACAGAGGGACAAGCGCTAGGCCTCAGTCTCATCCAATGTTATTGGAGCAGGTGTCGGCTTGCTAGGCCTGCCCACGACGAAGTTACTGACCTTTCGTGAGGGTCTGGGCTGGCACGAACGCCACTGGGGTCGCGTGCAGAGACCGTACCGCCGCTAGCCGCCAGATAGGCGCCGCTTTTGGGAGGGGGCCCCAGCGTTGCAAAAGGGTGAACATTGCGTTGATAGCTTTGATATCTAAAAGGGCGAGAGGTCAAGAAATGCCCATTTTCTCGGCTGACCAAAAACGTCCTTTTCACAGCGGAATAGCAACTAGTGCGACATCACACCTCACGATGATAGAGTACTTTATCAAGGAGGCCGGTGATGCGAACCTGACAGAGGTCACTCGGTATGTACGATACTTACTGTACGTCGAATGCTTGTTCCAATGCTGGTTCGATGCGGTGGAACGAAAGGTGAAGGGGGCAGGAGGCCTTTCGGACACGACTTGTTAAGGGTGTTTCAAAAGTTCGACAGCTGCGTTTTCGCGAAAGGCGTGCACACTCCACAGGTTCTCTCCGCAATCGCTCCACACTGGACCGGGTATTGAACGACGGGCCGAGATGAAACGATCGTTCTCGACTGCCAAACGTCCAAGGTTCACACACGTAAGACAAGGTCAGAAGCGCTCCACGCGTTGAGCTTAAGCTCAAAAGGACGGGAAAAAGAACACCTCTCTCCACCACCAGACAAACTGCGCAACGGCCGAAAGCAGACCTCCTCCTACAGACATGATAGGCGAGAAGGATGCAGAGAAGACGGGATCCACACCACATACCGGTCGTTTTGAAGGGCTGCCGAGATTGATATTCTTGTCCCTCGAGCGTTCATCAGTATTGGCCAAAAATCTGGGTGGTCGTTGACTTTTGGGTTCCACAAACAGGGCGCAGAACCAGTCGTAACTGAGTCGTAACCAAGTTCAAGGAGATTACAGAGGCGCGTTTCCTGCCCTGGTGGGAAGAGGGATGGCTCCGACTCTCATCATACAGTATGCATCGTCTGCCCCTCAATTTGTGCGAGGGATGGAAATTCTCCCCGGACCCACATAGTCATCTTGAGAGTCTCCGATCCACTTTTCATGTGCAGCATCTTCCTCTGAATTAAAGGGCTCAATTCATTTCCTATTGCGCTCCGAGGATGTCGAGAGCTCTCGAGTCCATATCGATCCCAAACTTCGCAGGCCGACGCGTGCATCAGGCATGACGTTTCCCGGGAGTGTCGGACGCGGAGTCTGCTTTCACGTCCAGGAACGGCGAGCAACTATACTATTTTGCGCCAAACGGTTTTAGAGGCGGAGCTACTTTCGCCTTTGCAAAGGAAGCGTGCATAGCCAGCAGGATAGCCTAACCCAGCAGCATATCACGCTGCAAATGCAGTTCTATCGAGCGGGCCCGTGTCCGAAAAAATAAAGTCCGAAACCACGTGACGGGACACGTGTGGGCTTTAACCCGCACGCTCGCCTGCTTTTGCTGCACGCTCGCATTTGACCTCGAGCTCGATGTTGCGAGAAGTCCAGGGAATGCTGTGAACCCTCTACGTAGACGAACAGCTTGGAACAACAGCAGCCGTGTGTGACGGAGCTTATAACGCAGCTGCTTTCATTGGGTGTCTATCGAACCTGGTCTTCGTTTCTCGGCGTCACGCCTGTACCGTGCTCTCAGGACCCACCAAAAAACGTTTGAGCGAGAATGAAGAGGAAGCACCAGTCGACGGTGGCTGCACCGAAGCAGCAGAGTGGCAGCAAGGTAGCGACCTTGGAAAAGGGAGCAGCGGTCTCGTCTCTGTTCAAGTCGGCGGAGGGCGGCAGTGCCGATGACGAGGACTACACTTTTGCTGACATTGTTGTTGACGACGACGACGAAAGCGAAGTTGGGGACAGCGATGATTCGGAAGCGGTAGAGGAGTTTGATCGCATCGAGAGCGCAAGTGAAGGCGAAGAGGAAGAAGTGGAAGAGGTTGTAGCGAAGAAGGCAACGCCGAAGAAGAAAGGCAAGGCTAGCGCGAGGAAAACACAAAGCGCGGGCAGTTCCGCTGGTGGGGACCACGAGGAGGATGAAGAAGTCACTGGAGCGAATGGTGCTTCGTCGGACCAGAGCCCAGAAGACGAGGATGACGACGATCTTGACGAAGACTTTGATGAAGACTTCGACGAGGAGGACGATGAGGACAGTGAAGACTTCGACGAGGAGGATCCGGACAACTGGCCGAGCTCGGACGAGGAGGAGGGGCTGGGGACTGATCGAAGTGTGCGGGTGCTGAGGAGGAAGAAGCCTTTCCCAGAAATCGACCCCATATATGACGCCGATGACTCCGACGAGGTGGGCATCATTTGGAGAGATTGAGGCAGTCGAAGGAACATTACCACTAACACCATGTTTCTTTGGCCCCTCAGGAAACTACTAACACGACGGGCAATGTTCCAAAAGAGTGGTACGATGAGTTTCCTCACGTTGGATACTCTATTGACGGCAAACCGATCATGCGGGGCGAGAAGGGAGATCAACTGGATAACTTCTTGAGTATCATGGACGATCCAAATGCGTGGAGATCCGCATACGATTCCATCGAAGACAAAAACGTTGTTTTGACGAAAGAGGAACTGGCTATCATCAAAAGGATTCAGTCTGGAGGTTTCCCAGATGCCGAGGAAGACCCTTACCAGCCAACGGTGGAATGGTTCTCAAGCCAGACCATGCAAACCGCTCTTTCGGCTGCACCCGAGCCTAAGCGCCGATTTGTACCGTCCAAATGGGAGGCTCAGCGCATCATGCATATTGTGCGTGCCATCAGGCAAGGGCGGATCGTTCCTGGCAAGAAGCCTGACAACAAGCCCAGCCTTCAGGATCGCATGTACGACATCTGGGGTGATGCAATTGACCCCATTGAACGTGGTATCATGCATATCTCTGCGCCAAAGGCTTCTTTGCCGGAACACGACGAGTCATACAACCCGCCACAGGAGTACATTCCGACAGAGAAGGAGGCTGCTGAATGGCGCGCATTGGACGCTCCCGACCGCCCACGAAACTTCCTACCGCGCAAGCACGATAATCTACGAAGCGTTCCTGGCTATGACAGGTTTATCCAGGAGCGTTTCGACAGGTGTTTGGATCTCTACCTCTGCCCGCGTATTGTGAAGAAGAAGCTGAACATCGACCCGGACTCCCTCATCCCTAAACTCCCCAACCCCCGCGACCTGAAACCGTTCCCATCCCAGCTCGCCATCACCTTCAAGGGCCACAGTGCTCGTGTACGCCATTTCTCGATGGACCCATCCGGGCAATGGCTGGCATCCGCGTCCGATGATTCTTCTGTAAAGTTGTGGGAAATTGTGTCGGGTCGCTGTGTATCTACGTGGAAGTTCGATGAGCCGGTCTCGATGGTTGCATGGAATCCCAACAAATCTGTAGCGCTTCTCGCTGTGTCGGTGAAAACCGATGTCCATTTCGTTGTCCCTCCACTAATAGCGGCACCCGCTGAAGCTATCGACGCAACGGAAGCCCTCGTCGCTCACCTGTGGACACTCCAAACACCGACAACAAACGCCGCTTGCAAATGGGTCAAGCCTGCCACCGCACCCGCAACCTCCACGCCCACCAAACCCCGTATCCTCACCACCCTCTCCTTCACCCACAACGTGACGCATCTCACATGGCACCGCAAAGGAGACTACCTGGCCACCGTAGCCGCCGACGCCCGCTCCTCCGCCGTCCTCATCCACCAACTATCCAAAAAACAAACCCAAAACCCCTTCTCGGCCTCCAAACGCTCCGCCACCTCCAACACCCTCGTCCAACGCGTCGTCTTCCACCCCTCCAAACCCATCTTCCTCGTCGCCACCCAGCGCGCCGTCCGCGTCTACAACCTCGGCACCCAGAAACTCGTCACGACGCTCATCCCATCAACGAAATGGATCTCCTCCCTCGCGGTGCACCCCGCGGGCGACAACGTGCTCGTTGGCACCTACGACAAGCGCGTGGCATGGTTTGACCTGGACCTCTCGTCGAAACCGTACAAGCAGCTGAGGTACCACGCGAAGGCGGTGCGTGATGTGGCGTTTGCGAATAGGTATCCGCTGTTTGCGTCGGCGGCGGATGATGGGAATGTGAATGTGTTCCATGGGATGGTGTATGCGGACTTGATGATGAATCCGTTGATTGTGCCGGTGAAGACTTTGAAAGCGCATGATGTCGTTGATGGTCTTGGTACGTATCTGTGTTTGTCCCGCAATCTCGGTCGCATCTTCTGAATGTCTTGGAACGAATGGCTCACCCCTCTCGTCCCTTGCAGGTGTCCTCCACGTTGAATTCCACCCCACACAACCATGGCTTCTGTCCTCCGGTGCCGACGGCACGCTCAAGCTCTTCTCTTAAACGAGCGCCCATATGAGACCCCGAACGTCGCTCCATCAGTTAACAGATCTCCTTGAATAGCAGCATCCCATCTGTTTAGCGAAGTAGCTAGATTGATAGCACACACCTCAATCCCGCGAGCATGTATACAGATTAGAGCAGTCACAACGGCGGTTCGTTGACGTTTTTGCGTACCACTTGCCATTTCACTTTGCATGTATCTATCTATCATTAATGGCGCTATTTTGAAGGGAAGCTTGGTGCCTTTGCACGGGGGGTTGTACGGAGGTAACTATGTACACAAAATGGGCATTGAGCTAGGCAGGGGGAAGCCCTATGTACAAGTATTGAACTGGTGGCACCCACGTTCGCGTACTCGGCAATGGGTTTGCAGGCGTCGCCGAGGACGTCTGCACGGATCGCTTCAAGGAGCTAGCTACCATTTCTCTTTGCAATGCACGGGACACAAGGGGAATGGTTCTGCCCCTTTGTCGTTGACATCGAATACGGAGCAGAGGGAGAAACGCCTTCATCGCCTGTCGTCGGCATTGCCGAACAAACAAACACAAATAGCTCAACCCTCGCCCTCTGTCGCCATCGCCCTCATGTCTCTTCATCCTCCTCCACCCGATCCTGCTGCACCTCCTTCGAATACATCCTCTTGCCCGACATTTCAAGTAGCGAGGATGCCACATCATCGTTGAGGATCGATTTCTTGGCAAGTTTCGGATCTATCAGGCGGTCGTCGACTTCTTTGGGTTTCACTAGGAATGCTTCGACTAAACGAGGCGAAGGGAAGGTTTTTTGAGTGGATGGCGCGTCGATAGCTAGCGTGAGAGCACATGTTAGTTACCGAAATCTATTTGGAACTCCTCTTTGGCGCTGAGCCGAGGGCTGTCGAAGGTGGAGGATCGTGGGGATGCTTTCGAATGTCCGTTTTCGAAAGTTGAGGAGATGTAGAGGCCGAAATAGTCCAGCTGGGTTTGCGAGGGATTCACGACCCGAATCAGCACAATGTGCTCCGCGCGACGGTTGCCACAGCAATACATTTTCGCCTCACCTGCCCTCCAAACCCGATCCCATTCGGGAAAGTCGCCGCTCCCGTATTGTAGTACTGATAATTCGCATTATACCCCGCCGGCGAAAACACCCCAATCTGCGGGCGCAACGTAAACACAAAAGTCCGCGAGTCGCCCACAAACTTGGGCCGCGGCACAAGCTCCTCAGCCGCAAACGCTCCAAACACATTCTGGTCTTTATCCCTAATTACGAACAAGACCGACCCCTGTTCCTGCACTTTTCCTGCGAACACGGTCCAGCTTGCGCCGTCTGTTTGGGTGGAGAAGAGACACGGCCATGATTTGGCGCCTTTGAACTCGGAGGCTAGGGAGGTGCAGAGGATGAAGCGGTCTTCGATTGTTAGGAGGGTTGATGTGAGCGCTGGGAGGGTGGTGGGGAGGGTTCCGAGGAAGGCGAATTGGAAAAGGTTCGTCCATAGTTCCTGGAGCAGCGATGATTGTGGGAACCATTGTTGGAAGGATGAAAGCGGCGGGATTTCCGCGTTTCTCGTCGGGGTGTCTTCAGATGAGAATATAGCGTCGGCGGCGGACTTATCGGATTTTGGGGCGAGACTTCCCAGTAGGTAGGTGACGAATCGTTCGGTCGGAGAATACACCTTCCCGTCGGCCCCGGCTTTTCCATCCTTCGCAAAGAGCCCCACTCCAGCCGCAATGTCTTCCACCAATCCCTTGGTGGTGACACCTGGGTTCACTTCTGCATAGGTGTTGACGAAAGTTTGCTTCTCCGAGGCATCCCCCAATAACAAAATCCTGGCAGCAGTCGCCAACCCGGTCATGGTGACGATCCCTTTCGTAGCCGTGCCAGACCGTGCAACAGCGAACTCGGCGACTGCTTTCCGTAAGCGCTCCGGGATGCTTTGGGATATAGCTGAAGATACTGATGCACTCGGTGCTTGAGGACTTCCCTCGTTCGCGGCGGAGGCTGAAGCATTTCGCAGCAGAGATAGTAAAACTTCACGTTCGGCTTCTGAGGCCCACTTGAGCGCGGCGGTCGGCGAAGTGGCAGACCCTGAGTGAGAGCTTGCGCTTTGCCCCATTCTGCTGCTTACTATCGCACTTCAAAGTGGGTAGGGTAGATCTTCGAGGCCGGTTGGGGTGGATGGTTTCCGTTCGAGCGTCGCCAGCCAAGCGGATGACGTCTCAAAGGACCGCGTTGCATGATCACGTAAGCACTCGACGGACGGCGTCGCTATCACGCGTCAATCTCCACGTCGCATCGTCGCTCGGATTGCTCCCCAGACACAGATGGCCGATTGCTGACCATACGAAGGCAGATTGCCTTGATAGCTAGCCAAAGTCTTCGCATTCATTCTCTCCATGAGATAAAGAGATCCCATCCTCGTGAACCCAGCACTTTAGAGTTTCATGAAATGCGCTAACGCGAAACATGTATTCGATCGATGACACCGATACATATGTCCCCTGTTGCGTGATGTCTACATTGCCAGCGCCATCCTGCCGTCCGTCCCCGGCAATGATCTGTATTCTCGCCGACCCTATGGTCCGCGATGAGGCAGTAGGTAATTACAGTCGGGGCTATTCCACTTGAGGGGCTCATGTCCCGTCCTTGCTTACAGCAGGAGCAGGACCCGCCACCGCCGCCCGGCCTTCAAGCACCGTCTTCAGCTCACTCATGAGCGTAGCTTGAACCTCACGGTCCGCTTTCACCTTTGCGTCGACAGCACGCTTCGTCTTTTGCGCTTTCAGTCGACTTTCTCGGCTGGTCTTCGCCTTCCCGCCCTCTCTCTCCCCCACACCTCCACTCGCCTCCCACACCCCAGCATCGCCATCACATAGCCCAACAACTTCAACCGCATCGTGCACAGCCAACTCCTCCCCTTCTTCAGCAGCAATTTGTTCACTGCTCTGCAGGCCCTGCCCACCAATTTTTACATCCACCGTCACCGGATCCAGCATCATCGCCACCGCATCCCGAGTCTCCGCCAACCCACTCCGCAGACGCTCCAAATCGTTGTCGAGCGTGGACAGCCGGGATGTAAATACGTCGATGGTTTGCTGTGTGGGTGGGTCGGTGGTGAGCTGGAGATCTTGGATGCAGACGAGGAGCTTCAGTTTCATTTGATGGAGGGTTTGGGAGAGGATTGTGGCGTGGGTGAGAAAGGGGGCGGTGGTTGAGGGTGGGGGTGGGTTGGAGGCAGCTTTTGCGTCGGCGGTTGGTGGGGCGGATGAGATCAGTCCTGTGGGAAGCGTCCGTGTGAGATGGCCCCGATGTGAATCCACCGAAAGAGGCGTGAAAGACTGCATTATACCTTCTTCCCTCTCCATCGTCTGTATGACAAGCGGGTATTCGTCCGCTATGACGCGTCCTACTTTCACCATCTCATCATCGATCGCGCTCCATTGCTCAGTCATGCCATCTTCGGTGGGACACCCCAGAAGAAGGGCAGCCAACACTTCTACCACGGTCTCCTCCAGCTCTTCGGCTTGCCCTTTGATTAGCGACAACGAGAGGACATCATTTGGCGCTACATAGCCGGGGATGCTGGATCCAACAGCAGGGTTGCCTTTCACATGTGAATGCAACTCCTGCAAAGCGGTAGAAGCAGCAGATAGTGAGACATGCAACGCTTGCCGGAGCTGTAACAGGCGCTTCGCAGTCGTTGCTTGCTCGATGCGCGTGATGGGGGGAAGGGTCTGAGATCTAAAGACAAGACATGAGTCGGTGCATAGGTGTGAGAATATATATGATGACTTACACATTGTACCCTCGGGCCACGAGTTCTACTTCTTGGATGAAGCGGATGGCTTTTCGTGATGCGGTATTAATGTTTGTTAGGCGACTTAGGAAGCTTTCGAGGTGGTCGAGTATGCGGTTGTGGAACGAGGTGATCCGTTGCCGATGCTGCCAACGAGAAGATTCAGTTAGACAAGCACAGCAACCGTTCGGTGTTTAGGCAATCTTCCATTACTCCCAGCGAGGCGTGACAGGATCGATTTGGTTGCCTACCCATGCATCCCACAATCCTCCAATACCCAGCCCCACAATACCGATCGTCATCGGCCACACCAAGTGTCGAACAGCTTTCCATCTCCGCGCATAGAAGCACCACGCGAAGCCGAAAATCATAGTGCCCAGAACCCCCAGCGCTCTTGACGAGACAACCATGCGCTTCCGGCCATGTTCGTGCCGCGTCGACACGGGTCCTCCTCGCCGATACCGCTCTTCGACCAAGAAGTCATATATCCGTTGCCTATATTCGTCCGATAGCGTCCTTGTTGATTTTCCAGAGTTTGACTTGCCGTTCGCCTACTAGCGGTGATCGAGTGAGAATCCGGTACGTGTGGGCTACATGTTGGCCGGCCAGAGCGCATCCCACACCTCCCCTTCCCAATCTCGTGCGCTTATGTTGCCGGGCTCATATGTAGAAGGCTGTGTATCGTCCGGTAACGCGATTTCCGAAGCATCTTGTTCTATAGAAGGAAGCGTCACTTCGCGGATGCGCCTTGGGGAATATGCTTCAAACCTCCTTACGGACCTTGAAAGTACGCAGCGAGGGGCGACCCGTCATAGACGACGAGCTCCTCAGTGAGCAAGCTGGAGTCTGGACCTGCAGCTGTCGTCGCGGACATTTGTTTTCCTGAGAAAGCGTCAATCCCACAACGCAGACAACGCGTCTGTCACTGGGTTGAGAAGCTCTGGAGTCTGAAGCAGAGTCTGAAGAAGCTTCTGCTTCCAAGTGGAACATCACAATTCCGGGTCTCGACAACAAACCCCGACGCTATTGTCACCCTCGCAACCGACAAGCAAAGCGGCACAGGGCAACCGGACATCCTCGCTTCAGTAGTTAGAGTAGAGATAGAGCGCATTCCTCCCACTCATCCCAAAAAACAGCACCACCAGAACTTCGACCATGGCCGTCGCAACCGAATCCGCGGACAAATGTCCTATAGATCACTCCCAGCACAGCAAAGCAGCAGCACCGCATCCCATCCCACCCACCTCCAGCGCCACCTCCTGCCCCGTCCCCCATACCACCAGCACCGCACCATTACAACAACCCAGCACTCCCGCAACCCCCTACGCCGGCCTCCAAGCCGAGTCATGCCCTTACTCCGCTGAACGGCAGGAACAGGAGCTACTAGCGGAGAAGAACAACATGCCGCCACTGAGTCAGCGGCCGAGCCCGGGGCAGAAGGAGCGGTTGAGCACGGACAGGGAGGAAAGTTCGATACCGATGGGGGGGAAGTTTGAGGGGAAGAATTGGGTTTATCCGAGTGAGCAGGTGTGTACGGACGATCGAGAATTTACTGAAGAGGACATGTAGATGGATGTGGTTGAATGGCTTGAGGGGAGGTCGGCCGCTTTTGCTGTGCGGACATCCCCTCTGTCGAGGGCTTCACAGTGGGAGCTACTTGCAGGATTGCACCGCCAGGGTTGGACTGTGTTCAAGATATGGTACGTCGGAGGCGAACACACATCTCACATCAAAAACACCCCTTGCCTCGACTCGTCTCATAGATGTTTTTCAACGCCATGCGCCGCAAAAACTGGACCCCGCAAGAGAAAGACATGGGCGTCGTCATCCCCATCCACAACGCCGTCAACGAACAATGCTGGCGTCAAATCCTTCTGTGGGAAAAACTCCATCAAACCTCCTGCGCCCAGCCCAAACTCGTCAAGTTCCAAGGCAAGCCCAAAGAATACACGCCCAAAGCACGTATACGCCAACTCATGGGGTATACATTACCGTTCGATCGGCATGATTGGACGGTGGATCGATGTGGGACGACGGTGGAGTATGTTATCGATTTTTATTCGGGAGCGCAGGAGGGGGGAGAGGGGAAGGCGAGCTTTTTCTTGGATGTGAGGCCGAAGATGTCGGTGGAGGGGGTGGTGGATAGGTTTAGGATGTGGTGGAGTACGGGGACGGGGTTGTGGTAGAGGCGTTGGGAGATAGGAAGAGACGTAGAACAACTTTGTATTGCGCTCTTTCACCGCCCCAATCATGTCGCATTGCGGCCTACGAACCAAAGACCCACCATCATCATCATCGTATAGCGCTTCGCCCCCAGCCGGTTCAAAACTACCCCTACCCACCCATCCATAACTTATCGCTTCTACTCTACTCTACAATAATCCCGTTCCCATTCCCATCCTTGACCCATCCATTCATCAATCAGAATCATTGTCAAACACAATCTTTTTCGCCTTCTTGTTCGCCTCCTCCATTGCCGCCGTCTGCGCCTCCTTCGCCTTCCGCTTCGCCTCCCACGACGGATGCAGCGGTTCCGCCTTCGTATTCCCCTTCGCCGGTGCTGCTGATTCCCCAGTGGCTGGTCGCTGGTATGAGTGATGTCGCACATCAGTCTTTGCGGCCGCCCCGCGAGAGGGTTTGAATGTGGCTTTCCGTTTCTCTTCGTAGTGCTCTGTGGTGGACTTTTTCCCGGAGAGGATGTGTTTTGCTTTTTTGCCGAATTGGCGTTCGGCTCGTCTGTGGTGAAGAGAGATGATCGATAAGGAACACGGGCGCCACAAAAACAGGGAGACTGAATACTTACGCCCTCCGCGCCTGCTGCCCCGGCCTATTCTTCTTCACAACCTCCTTCTTCAGCTTCTTATCGTTCTGTTCCCACGCATCGCTCTCGTCGCCGCTGAACGCTGCGTCGCTGCCGTACTCGGACATGCTGAAATCGTCCGAATCGTTCGCGGCGGCGTCTTCGTCGGCACTGTCGTCGCCGCCGCCGAGGGCGGTGACGAACGTCGAGGCGAGTTTCGGGCGTCTCTTTGCGGTGTCGCTGTCACTATCCCCATCGTCATCGTGGTCTTTCACACCTCTCTTCCTTTTCAGCGCCGTATCTGTCTTCGTTTTCGTCTTCGTGTTCTCCTTCGCCTGTTTCGCCAACTGCGATTTCTTCACCGCCCTCGCCCCCGTCGACGTCCGGCCTGTGATGATCACAAACAGGTCCTCGATCGCTTCTTTCACCGCGGCTTCGACGGGTGCAGCGGTGGCTATTCGCTGCTCCAGGGGGGTTAGTGAGCGTTGTGGGTCGGTCGATTTCGTGCGAGGGGTATGTGTTTCGCCGGCTGCGTCGGAGTCGGCCTCGGCTGCTCCTTCGACTCCGCCGCTACCGTCTCGTGTGTCCCAGTATCCTATCAGCCGGTCGGTGTCGGGTAATGTGCTCTTTTTGAGCGCTGATAGGAATGTGGATTGGAGGAGCGTTGCTGTATCTAGCGTCTATTCCAAAAAAGCGGCGAAAAGGACCTTCAGCCATAATCTCCGTTGATGGAATTCTGAACAGGTGGATACACACCTTCAGCGCATCAAGCTGCTCCTCAAACTTCCTCAACTGCCTCTCCCACTCCTCCTTCACCGCCTGCGCTTTTGCCGCTTTCTCCTCCTCGTCCTCTTCCTCTCCGTCATCCTTCGCTTTCGGTTTCTGCGGATTGTCCAGCTTATGTCGATAAAACCTAGCCTTCTTGAGCAAGGCGCGCAGGACGAATGCTTTACCCTTTTTGCCGGAGCGTTTTAGGGAGACTTGGATATGGTGCTGGGGAGAATGGAGTGTTCTCAGCGAAACTTTCGAGTGGGTCTATGATATAGAGCCCCAGGGGCCGTTTGAGACCTACTCACCAACTTCCGTCGCAGTTTGTCCGCCAGCTTGTCCCAGTCTGGTTCGTGAGGCTGGGTGGTTGTTGTTGCTGCATTGGACGCAGGTGTAGAAGCAACTTCCATTGGAACAGCTTCTGGTGGTGACATTCTCGATATGCGATACCAGGCCTGTTTATCAGAATACTGAATGGTGCTTCTGAGCCGGCCGACAACTAGATGGCCAAGTTGCACCCACGAGGTTTGCAAAGAAGGTTGTTGGGAAAAAACCGCAAATTGGAAGCAAGTTCAGCGCGTAGAGAGGCCTGTAACGGAACACAGCGCAAAAAGAGAAACCGACCCGTAGTGGGAATCGAACCTGCGCCTAGGCCTGCTGACGTGATCATCAACACGTCTCGCACGCGTTTCGAGAAGAATGGGTCGAAATATGTCCGCAATATTACTGTGCAAGCGAGCGACAATCCTTACAAGCTGCGACATTGCTCAAGTGATGCGCCGGCATTCGTACGCACACCGAGTTGCGAGGTCGGAATTACTGAACAGCCCAGTAGCGACCACTCCCACCAAAAACAACTCCAACAACCCATATTTCCGAGCAAAAGCAATCATTCCACCAATGCCCGCTCGTCATTCACAACAACAGCAAGGAATGGGCCCGTATAGGTACCTCATGACCCTGGCTCCCCCCCTCCCACCGTCATGAGGTACCTCTACGGCCTAACCCTCTCTCCCTCTTTACATTCTTCGTCCCGCTCTCAGCGCCATCTCGCACGGCCAGCTATCATACGCTCTCGAACACCATACACCTGTTGAGATGCATGTACAGCATACGAGGAATAGGGAATAATACGGGGGTGGTATTGCCTTGCCCGGCTTCGGGCTTGAGAAGTTGCGGGGGTTGTATGAAGGCGCGGGGGTGTGTTACGACCCGATGCTGTTCGAAAGTGTATGCGATAGGGCCGCCGTGAAGACGATGTGGCATTGATTTGACATACACTGGAGGAGGCGAAATCTTCCGGGACATGCGTACGATGACCTCCGAAGTACCGAAGCCCTTCAACATGTTCATCTACCAAGAACATAGTTCCCGCGACTGGCTATTCAACCCATCTTCCACCCCTAGTGTTCTAGCCGACAACTCGCGGGAGGGTTATTGTGGACCCGAGGGCGGGAACTACGAGAGATGTCCGATGTATTGGGAGCCGTTGAAAGGGGTTTTGCTTATGGGCGGTTTCTTCGGGGTCTTGGTGGGTGTGTTGGTTTTCACGGTGTTGGTAGTGTTTGTGAGGGGCATGCCTCGCCTCTGGGAGAGCTTTGCGAGATTGCGCGGATGGATATATGGAATCTAACGCCGGAAATGGGAGGGTTGAGGATATTCGACCCGTGCGAGAACTGCCGGGATGGGTGTTTGTAACCTATGGAGGGAGGGAGTTTGAGCATCTTCTGGCGAAACTAGCGAAAAAGCCTAGGAAGCATTTAGAGGACGTTTAAGTAGTCATATCTCACATTCTTCCGCTCTCTCGTAAATACCATGAAGCAAACGGCTTATAGTGACAAGTCGTACAATACGTCCACCATTCGACACCAACCAAACGTTTAGGAACCTGATACATAAACCATCCAGCAAGTTCCGCCCCGTCTCCCTCCTTCTGCACAACGCAAATCTGCAATAGCCCATCCACCCTTGCTCAGGCCTGAAGGTAAGCACATGCCCACCTCCCTCCAGTTGCAGATGAACAGTACCACGAACCCCTCGGCTATTAAGGCGTTGTACAATTCCATCACTTTCATTTGCATCGGACCGCTTTTGCAGGTACATTGGTTGGGGAGCTCGTTCCTGAACCGTCTATGGAGTCGGTGAAACAGGACGTACCGGAGGTGGACGTTAGCGTCCCGTTCACGGGTGAGGGGAATGACACGGATTTCGTAGAGCTGATGCATGGGTTCCGGGATCCGCAGGCGGGAGAGAAGTGAGTCCCGGAGTACGTGTGTATCTGTACCCGAACCCGCTGGCTCGGGCAGAGGCGAGAAAGTTCAACCGGAAGGGGCAGTGATCCCGGGCGGAGATGAGGACTGAGGAGGGCTTTGCTCCCTTCGCGTTGTCCGATTGATGTCCGAAACTTCGAACGAGAGCGTCACGCGAATCCTGTCACTCGCTCCCTTCTCCTTTCTTCCCGATTTTCTTCGCCCGGAAGGAAGGCCACGAGCGCCCACCAACAACCCCAGAGCAAGGCACTTATTTGAACTTAGAAAGCCTCTCTTCCTCCAAGCAATGGCCTCCACGGGTCTAGCGGCGCCCGCACGCTTCTCCGATGCCGGCACAATGAGTAGGCAGGAGCTGCGCGCAAGGCTGTTCGACACCCTGCGCTCCGCTGGCGTCGCTGACAAGCTAAAGGTGAGAAGGGCTTCCTTGCTACCCATCCTCCCACGTACACTCCGAAACTCACTCAAATACACTTTCCTATGCTTCAACAGTCTCAACTCCGCGCCAAAATAGTAGCAGAACTCAAAATGCGCGTCCACGCAAACCCGCCAAGCCTCCCACCCGCACACGGTCTCGCGCACCCAAAAGCATTCGGAAACCCGCTCTATGCAGATCCGTCCCTACAGCAACCCAGCGGCCGGCTGTTGTACCAGGTTCTGGATAATCTGGTGCAGGGGTATTTGAAGCATCGCGGGTTTGATTTCACGCTGTCGGTGTTTTTGCCGGAGAGTGGATTTGTTGGTTCGAGTTCGAGTGGGGTAATGTGAGGAGACAATTGCAAGGCAAACGGATGGATGTGCATGGGGGGCTTAACCAGGATTGAATTCCAGATATTGTCGGACGAGGATGTGATGCAGGCATTGCATCTGGACCAACGGACCCCATTCTATCGGCAACTACGCGACTTAATGGAGCAGCCCTCCAACCGTCTTCATGACCACAGCCGCACAGAAAACAAAGCAGCACTCCTAGTAAACCTCATCGCTAGCTTGGTTCGCCTCGGCGACCTCCAACCGGTCTCCCAGTCCACCCAAACCGACCATTCACCCCTCGATACCCTCGAATACCGCCTAAAAGACGCCGACAAACACGCGGAGATGAAATCCCAACACCAAACCAAACTGCACACCCTCGCCCTCGAAGAGCGGATGCTACGATACCAACAAGATCTGGACGCCCGAACGAACCGCGAGATGGAGCAGCGGCTGACGGAGTTTCGTGGCGTTGAGCTTGTGCAGATGCGGATGGAGGAACGAAAACGATATGAGGCGGAGATCAAGACTTTGCAGGCGGGATTTGAACGGCAGAAGGCGGAATTGCAGGAGAGGGTTTTCGTGGCGGTGGAGGAGGAGAGGATGAGGATGGCGGAACGTGAAAAGCAAATCACCGAACAAAACACTGCACTCCGTCAACGCCTCCTCGAAGAATCCAACATTGCCGTGATGAAAGAGACCACTCTCCGCACGCAGGCTGATCTTGCCGCGCAGCAGGTCCGGCTGGAGCGTGATGCTTTGCAGAGACGGTGTGACGAGGCGCAGAGGGAGGTGGAGAGTTTGAGGGGGTTGAGGGTTGTGTTTGAGGAGAGGGTTAAGGGGTAGGTGTGGGGCCTGCGTCGAGATGGTTGCCAGCTTTGATGACTGATACACTTTTTTTATGGTAGCTATGGCAAACACTCCAGTGAAGAACACCACCAAAACTCAACCACCATCGAAATCGAGCGTGCTAGACTCGATGGTAAACCCATCCCTCTCCCTCCCTCCCTTTCCAAATCCACCTCTCTAACTTTCTCACGAACCGCACGACAGCCGACCGCCGTCACCTCCAAGAAAAACTAGATCAACATAATCGCGAGATGATACATGCGAGAACAGACGCGGAGGACGCACGTAAGCAGCTTGCAGAGGCCAGGGAGCTTATCAGGGGCTTGCAGGTGCAGAAGGGTGGTGCGGTAGAGGAGGGGAAGGTTTTGGTAAGTTCTCTTGCGCTTCTTGGCGGGCGTGGATGTGTTGAGGCGAGACTGATTGAGCAATTACATGATTCCCGCATGGCCATGTAGACGGATCTACAACCGAACATGGTATCCCTTCGAGCCGAGCTGCAGAAAATCACGCGGTAAATTCTCTCCATCATCCATGTCTTTCACATCAGCGCCATTCTTATAAGTTCCATTCAATACAGAGAACACACGAAAGCCGAAAAGGCCGCATTACAGCGAAAAGAAGGTACTGCGCCTATTCAGATGTGTGGAAAGATATCCAGGATTGGATGACTGAGATAGTCAGACTTGATCGTAGAGGTGAAGAAAGAACTAGCAAAGTACCGCCGTTCCGAGCAACGGTGGCAAAGGGAGTGTCAGGGGTTGGTTATGAAGCTTGATGCGGAGGTATGTACCCAAGCAAGTCAACCCGCACCAGTGACATGACATGATTCAGAAAACAACTTTGCTGAACGTCTCGCACTTGGTAGATCAACCGCAACGAACACCTAACCCGCAAAAACGAAGAAAAAACCCTCACCGTGAAACAGATGCGCCGCGAGACAGCTGAGTTGAGGTTGTTGTTGCATCATACCCGTGAAGGTACGGTCTTTCCCCGACTTCACATGACCCATCCTGCGCACTGGATTCACCTCTGACCCTCGTGGGATGTCCACACAGCACTCGACAGCAAATCACTTCCGGACGCTTACCCGCCCATAACAACCACACTAATAAACCACCGCTCACACCCCGAAATCGACTCCTACGCTCTAGATTTCACCTACGACACGTTCCGCCCCCTAACAGCCCCCTCACTGACTTTTGATACGCATCGGGATCCGCACCGACGCGTGGTACCGAACGTCGAGGATGTCTTGACGAGGGCGTCGAGTCCACGGAGAGGGTTGAGTCCACAGAGAGGTGGTGGTGAAGGGGGTCGTTGGGGCGAGGCGTATGTACCGAGGTTGGATTCGGAGGTGGTGGCGAGGATTGACGCGGGGGCGTTGGGGTTGGTTGTTTTCGATGGGGGTGACGGGGGTGTGGGCAAGGGACTGGACGCGGTTGAGGGTGTGCGAGGCGGGAGTGATGCTGTGCGGGATGACGGGGGTGTGCGTGCGGCGACTGTGGCGCCGTCGTCTCGGCTTACGACAATGGATGCGGATGATGTGGGAGTGTCTCGTCTTGGCACAAGTTTGAAACAGTCTGCGGACATACGCAATCAGGAGGAAGACACTCAGCGTAGGAAACGGGAGGATGTGGCGCGCCGTGAGCGGGAGGAAGCCGCGGCTGCTGACCAACGTCGCAATGAAGCGGATGTCCACCAGAAGCAACGACAACAAGAACAAGAGCGCCAAGAACAAGAACTCGACCGCCAAAAACTCGAATCCGAAGCCGCAGCCCAAACCCTCGCCTTCGAAGCCCAAAGCCGTGCCGCAGAAGAAGCCGCCGCAAACGAAAGAGAGGAACGCACCCGTCTCGCCCTTGAAGCCGAAGCCGAACAAAAGCGGGCCCGCGAACAAGCCGAAGCAGAGAAAGAAGAACGCGACCGTCTATCCCGTCTCGCCCTCGAATCCGCGCAAATCGCCAAACGGCTCGCCCGACAACAGGAACTGGATGAGCTGGACCGGAAGGAAAGGGCGAGGGAGAGGGAGTGGGGGGAGAGGGAGAGGAGGGCTGCTGGGGGTGTTGGGGCTGTTGGGTCGGGTGGGCGGGGTAGTGCGGGGGGTGTTGGGCGTGGGGATGTGGAGGATAATCGTAGACAGGCCGGAGGGGACGATGCCACCACCCCCACGAAAGACGATCAACCACAACCGCAACCAATCCCCAAAGAATCAGAAACAGACCGCAAACTAGCCGAAGCAGAACAAGACCCGGATCTGCAGCGGTTTGTGGAGATGGTTAAGCGGCGGAGGGCGGAGAATGCTGCTGCTGCTGCTCCAGCTTCAGCTTCGGGTGACACTGGCGGTGGTGGTGGTGCGGCGGCGGCGGGTACGCAGAAGGAGAAAGCAGGCCCCTTATCGGCTGATATGGGTGGGGACACGAAACCAGTGGCATCGTCGTCGGTTAAGGGGCAGGTGGAAGATTTTATGAAAGCTATTGATGCGGTACGTTTCCCATACGGCGTGATCTCCATCGCAACGTCATTAACACCCTTCTTCATTCGCTAAATTATTCATGTAACCTGACAACAGTCCTCAGCCTCAGCCCTCCTCTCCAGCACCCGTTCCTCCATCTCCGGGCTTGGGTTTGGGGTGGGGGATACGGAGGATGAAGTCAGGTACGTACCCCTGGACCCACCAGTCTTTCTGTATTGTGAACCATATGTGTTAATTCGTTCTGCACTTTGCGTTCCAGCGCTCCGGTGTTTGATGAGACCTCCGATGATGAGGATCCGTGGTGAATATGTCGGCTTTTCGAGTATGGGTCGCGGAGCGGGGTTTCGGCACCGGCTGGCTTGTGTGCGTGTGTGCGCACATTATACCCTTCTTTTGGCTGGCCACATGGGGTGCGAGGCAGAACAGATGTGGAGAGAATGGACACGTTGGGACCTTGGCTTTGACGAATGTACCATACCGGTGTTGTGTAGGGTATCAAACCTTGTTGTATATTTTTATGTGTCATGTACCCATCTATCTATTCTATCTTAGAAGCATGTAAATTATGAACCCGACTCGATGTATACAATAATGACATACGGATACTGTAGTTGGTGATGATAACGACTCGTAAAACGTGTCGGCGAGCCCACCTCAACAGAAGTATCCGAAGAGCCAGTTGTCGAGATACCAAAAAGATTCCCCGAGCACGCAAAGCCCTAATCGACATACTTCAGTCCGGTGGGAATACGCGGCGGAGAACGGGTCGGCGGCGGCGGCGGTGCGACCTGGCTGCCGCGCTTCGGAGGTAGTGGTGATACTGGTTCCCCCGCAGATGGGGCAATTCGCACCCCACGCCGCATATCCGCCGGCACAATCTCCTCGGCCACCTTCACGGTCCTCTGCACAGGCACTGGTTGTTTGCGAGCGATATCCGCAGCCTTCAACAGCTCATCCAGCGAAGAAATATCTTCCCCAACCAACGGCGCACCCACGACGTCGCGCGAGGGGTTCCATTTCAGTTTCTCAGTCGCGGCAAAATGGTCCCAGAGCTCTGCCATCCCGAACACATGGCTTTTGCCGACGACTGCTACGATCGTTGGCCGCTCAACCCCGCGCTGCTCGACGCCTTCGGGAGTCAGAATCTTTGAAGCGATCGCCACGTCCCTTACGCAATTTCGTAACTGCTCAACCATCCCCGCGTTCCTAATCTCAAACCACCAAAAGTACGGGTTGGGGTAGAAGGATTTCCAGCATCGCATGTACATAGCATGATCCCGCACCGACGTCTGGTCCGCATTCGTCTCGGCGCCTACATCCCTCCGCCACCCAAAGGCGAGTTTCTGGATAATCCAAAACACCGCATTTCCCACCGCCGACGCCTTCCGCGAGGACGGGGGCAAAAGTCTATACCGCCGTATCAGTTTCTCAATGAGCTGTGAATGAGCCGGGTTATTACGAAGGACGTTCGGGTGGATGTCGATAGCGCGGACAATGGCAGAGTGGCGGAGGGCGGAGTGAATCGCTGCCGCCATTTCGAGGCCGTAATGGAGGTGGTCGGAGGAGAGATGGAGGGCGGGGTCGAGGCCAAGGCGGGAAAGGGTGTCATGGTCTTTTGGGGTGAGGTTGGCGAAGGCTGGCGAGGCGGAGGAGTTTGGGCCGGAGGGCGATATGATGGTTTGGACGCCTCGTAATCGAGGCGGTATCCGCATATCAACACCGCCTGAGAGAGGGTCATCGGAGGGGCGTAGTACTACGGCGGCTTTAGCGACGCAGAGGTCCATACGGCTCTTATCCGTCTCTATGCACACCGCCGCGGGTTTCACATGATCTATAACACTGTTGACGCGGTCTATGGAGGCGGGCGAGCTGTGGTGGATACCGACGAGGTGTATGCGAATGCCGGTCTGGTTGTGCAGAAGCGGGTGATTGAGTGAGAGGGCGGTCCAGTCTGCGCTGGCCGTTGCGTAGAAAGGGTGCGAGGTGTCGACGAGTCGGGCTTGCGAAGACCCGGCGGTGGCGTGGAAGCAGCGTTGCAAGATGGGACTGCGGCGGGCCGACCGCACGACGACGAGGGCGGCGTTGCCGACGGTGGTCTTCATTGCTAGTCAAGTCGGTAGCGGTGGAGGGATGAACGCCGGCTGTTTTCCAGGCCAACTCTGTCCTAACAAGTTTTGGGAGAAGTCTCACAACTCCACAAAGCGTCCCCTCTCTCCCTACAGAATCCACTTCACCTTTCGCCCAAACGATCTCACATCCGGGCAGCAGCAGCAAGGACCGCTTCGACTCACCCATCAGGAGCATATCGCCGCCGGCTGCTTGAGGAAGACTGTAGGAGCTGCCAACGCCGCCGTGAACGCTGCGTCAATTTCATCCGCGTTAAGTATATATCTTCTTGGAATTAAAGAAACTCCAGCATGGAAAATGCTGCTTATGGTACGTGATCTGGCCAACATTTGTGGATGGGGCCGCGGAACCCCCAGAACGGTTGGGAGCACTCATGATGGTATGTCGTGTGCATTTGGGCAAGGAGGGGCGAAGGCGTCAGTCGAACTCTCCATCACCCAAGCGAAGAGGACGTTTCCAGGATCGATCTCGCGATGAGGGAAGACATCCCTACGCCCGTACACAACCTGCTTCGGCAAGTGCCAACGACGCTGGAAGTGGGCAGCAACTGAAGAGGCGTCTACGCGGGCTTAACGATCTGATGGCCGCGATGGATAAGTGGGAAGCCAGAAATGGAAGGCATCTGCAAACGTATTCTTCCAGCCTATCTTCACCTCAAATCACGAGAACGTGCGGTTGGCAACGGTCAGCGTTTGCCCCTATCATCCGTGTGTTTGTTGAGGACGGCGTAGTTGGACGGACCGTTTGCCATCGCTTGCTTCACCATATGCAGTTTGGGGAAGGAGGCTATGCGGAAGCCGCTTATAATGGAGGGAGGGTGCAAACCACAGCATGCCAGAAGATTTTATGGCAGGGTCGGCCCTTACTGACTTGGTCTGATGATATTCCCATAGAAACTTGAACGATGGCTTGGTATCATAATCACCTCATTTAGACGCTCCGCTTGGGAATAGTATAACCAGTCTAGTTCTAATGAGGTCCTCAATTTGTTTCTAACCTTTTCCTCCCTCAAGCTGTGTGGGGGGATCGTTGCAATCCTGCGCTTCCGTCTCTGCCCAAGGCGGCTGATGTCCTACCGGAACTGGGATATCAGCAAGGAGTGAAGCCGCGTCCGCCCCAACCTAGCAACCGGCTGGGAGATACGTAGGCTTGCAGGTGTTCTCGATTGTGCCGAGGTAGTTGTCACATGTACAGTGCAACATAACATCCGTCAAGGTGGGCCGAATGCACGATCCACCGACAGTGGTTGTTGCCGGAACTTCATACATAACCTCCCACTTCCGGAAGTTATTGTATCCCGTGAGGCAGATATGCTTACCCTTCCCTGTTTGTGTTGCTCCATTGGCTGACTTTTAGAATCGTGACAGCCTTGAGTGCTGATGCACGGCGGGGGCTAATATCACTTGCAACGCAGCAAGCCGCTATGTTCAGATGCAATCTTCCTCCTTGCGTCTCATTTCACGGCGCACCATCCACCCCCTCAGGCGCACGCCCCACAGCCTCCAACGCCCGGTCGACGAATTCCCTAAAAACCTCGCTGTTCTGCAACGCATCTTCGTACGCTTTCTGCGGGTGTCATGTATACTGAATTGTTGCGAGCATGCCGCTTATTTGATGCATGAATGCCACCCGAAAGATAGACTTAGGATATAAACTCAATGCATACGCCGTCTCAACATTAAATTCATTCGCTGTCTGCATCTACAGTATATCTACGCCATTAACATGTCCAGAACCTCTACATCCCTCCACCTTCCCCCACTCACCTCCCCACAGCCTGCACCCCTCTCAGCACACCCACCGCCTCCCTCAACGCCTCCAGATCCTCCCTCATCTCCCAATTCCCCACAAAAACCCCATCAGCATCCAACGCCGCCTCACACACCATCCCAAGCTTTTCCTCGAAACACGTCGCGAAGGCGGCCGATTCGGCATGTGAGTGGGTTAGGTGGGAGAGGAAGGTTGGGAGGGGGGTGATGAGGGTGCGGAGGAAGGGGGTGTAATAGGTGGTGGTTGGGGATGGCACGGCGTGGATGGGGGATGTTGGGCATGGTGTTGGGAGAATGGTTACGGCGGAGGAGCAGGAGGAGGATGGGGAGACCGATGAGTTGATGGAGATGTTGGAGCGGTCTATTGGCGATGGGACGGTGATGATTACCGGGCGACTAGAAGTGCGTGAGCGGGCTGTGGAGCGACGGTGGTGGTGCGTGTTGGGTACCGCGGTCCTGTGCGGGGCGGGTCGTTGGCGATGCATGCCCGCCACGACAGCCATAGAATGCGCGTACCGCAGCAAATTGCTCACGGCCTCTCCGTTTGGATCTCCGCTCATTCCGCCATGTGCGGCATGTGTGCCCCCAACGCTGTCCGCAAACGCCAGCTCCGCGTACATCTCCTCCCCAGACGACGACGTATGCGACGCGGTAGTCATGGCAGGCCTATGTACATATACCTCGCCATTATCATTATCGTTCACCTCCATCTCATCCTCATCTCCCACCTCGGCCCACGCCGCCGCCGCAGCAGCCGCCGCCCTTTCCAACAACCCATCCAACGCCGCCATATCTATCCCATCCGTCGCAAGCACAACAGCGCCAAGCGACAACCCACTCTCATCACCCTGTTCCTGCTCTTCACCCTCACGAACTGCATCATACACGCCCTCAACTACGCGCCGTCCACGCACGACCGAGCCCGAGACTTCTATCGCGAGTTCGTCGCCCATCGTCAGCCTCGTCGGCGTCCTTCGGGAGTTGAGGGTGGTTGGCATGGGGATTACACCTTGGGAGTTTAAGTAAGTGGCGAATTGGGGCACGGGGCCTGGAGCGAGGTCGGCTGAGCGCCAGGAGCTTGCGGAGGAGGTGGGGCTGGTGGGAGATGTTGAGGCGTCGGTTGTTGTGGTTGTTGAGTTGGAGGTGTTCGAGAAGGTGCGGATGGGCCTTGCTGCCGACGGTGGAGGGAGTAGTTGGCCCATGGCTATGTGGTGGAAGGAACGATTTTGTATGGCTTCGAGAAGAGTCGTAACGTTCAGCACTGATAGAGAGTGATGCCTTGAAAGGCACGGGGAAGCCAAAGCTGGTTGTCACTGAAAGTGAAAAGCACAAGGTGGAGGCCCCGCACAAGGTCGCCATTAAGAGTCTCCGGCCAAGAACAAAAGCGCTCGTCGGCTCTTTTGCGGCCAGCGGAGCAAGACGGCGACACCTCAACTCGTGATGTCTACAATGGGGCGCGCTGTCGTTTGAGGGTTTGCGGCCGGTGTAGCCAAGAATAGAAAGACCAGAAGAAAGGCCAAAGCACATCGGAGTTGGAAGTCAGGACGCGTCACGGAAGGGTTATCTCTTTGGAATGTTCCAAGGGAGAAGTACCTTTTACCAAGGGTCAACTCTCGAGGTACCCTTGGACCTGGTACCAAGGGTCAACTCTCGAGCAACAAGCCCATGGATGGAACTTCATAATTTCTCAACGACGGGTAGCCCCTTTCGCATCCATCACTGTGCTCGTACTTCTTAGTTCATGTTCGCAGAGGACCATCACCACTCCACATCGAATCCCGTCACCATACGCCCAATGTGAGATGTGTAGGCTTTCTGACAGCAAGAGCCAACACAGCAACTGCTCGGCAACGCATATCAAAACTGGGGAATAAAGTGCGTCTCCTCGTGATTTAGAGAAGCGTTCAAGTGTGCTCATGAACCCCTGCGGAATACCTGCAAGGGAAAAAGGGTCGTCGCTGCCGTAAGGAGGGAAAGAGCACCCATGGGAACTCTTTGAGAGCAGGGATGAGCCCTGCAATGGGGTAATCGTTGACCAATACACAAAGCAGAATGTCAGGGATGAAGTCGGACTCCTTCTGTGCCTCACCGGGTCCACCAGGGATGAGCGACCTTCCCGAGAAAGATTACTGGCAAGAGAAGGTTCTTTCATACGGGTTCAATTCACATCGTGTCCGCTGCAAAAGCGTTGGGCTTCCCGATCAAGGGACGCTGTGCAGACAATGTCACAATATCTCAACGGTCCCTGTACATATTTCAGTTCTTCACAAGCATTTTGATCCCTTTTTTCCCGCCTGTTGGATTCTTTGATTCGTTCTCTTTTGCCCTGGCGGTAGATTGTCACGCTTGACGGTTGAATCGCAGCGACGCGTTTCCCTTGTGGAAGAATCGCAGCGACGCGTTTTCCCTGCGTGCATTCTTGTCCACATCACTTACGTAGAAAGGGGCCACGCCTGGGTCCGCCGCGAGAAGAAATCAACCCCCAACAGGTAAGCAGACACACGCAGAAGGCGAGGGAGGGTCGCAGCGGGGATAATCCCTGCGTGCATTCTTTTTTGCAGACACCCACACATCTACCAGCTCCCCTCCATGGATCCAGCCTGTTCCACCCGCCGTCAAGCCTGCATGCAGGCTCTGCGCAAGGTGCAAACGCGAGTCCAAAATCGTCTATAAAAGATACCTCGCTCGCCGTTCCCTTCTCACTTTTTCCTCAGCAACTGGCTTTCACTGAAGCACTCAGACAACACGGCATTGGGCCCGTGCCCTACCTAGTGGGGGTCCCTTGGGGGTCGATTAGTTACACCCGAGCACTTGCGGTATAGGTGCACCTCTCTGGTAATGGTTCTGCCTTCGGGGACCGGAGGAGAAGACGAGGACTTGTTTGTGTGCGGAGATCCATCATGTCAGATTCGTGCTTGCACGGGTCTGGCACGGTCCTTTCGCCGCTAGGTGTGAGCCACTTGCTTCTGTATTGCCTTCCGACAAGCACCTCCGAATCAAGCTCAAGATCCAAGCGTCACCTCCTCACTTCCAGGTATGTTCGAACAATCGACGTCGCACGTGCTGCTCTGATCATCGGCTCATACTTCCCTCTTCTTCGCCTCTTAGTCCCACGTCGCTCGCCATCGCCGGAATTTAGTGGTATAACGCTCTTCGTTGTGTGATCTGCTCATCATTCTTCTCTCCTCTTTTGTAGGCGGGAACCCATCTGGACAGCCTTCTCGCGGCGGTTCCTGTGAGTACTCAGCTTTCGCTGGGGAAACCAATGGTCCAGCAAGACGTCTACTCATTCTGTTGTAGTGCTCTCACATTGTATTCACCTACATATCTAAACCTACATATACAATCGCAATAATATACCTTTGAGGTGCTTCTCCAGCCCATTCGTGCCTCTCGTCGAGAGCCAACTTTCTGGCACTTGAAAAAGGTGTGCGTTAGTGTGTTAGAGGGTCCGGATGGGAACCAGGGTGGGAACGCTTGCTTTGGGATATTTGCCCGAGCGGTTCGGACGCGCGAGAGCGCTTCCATGTCCATTCCTGCTGCCTTAGTGTGGGCTTCTGCTCCATGTACAAAGTGTAATCCTAGCACGTACTCGATTTCCTGCGGAATAGGGCAGTAGAACCTACAAGGGCAGTGTGGAAGCCGGTCGGTGTCCACTTCATATTACGGTCATATTACGGTATAGCCTGGGGGGCACACATGTGCCTAGTTACTTGAACTGATGGACTGATTTCGCACTACTCTTCAAATATCGCCCCGGGATCCACGCATCAACCATATCCAAACAGGTCTCATAGACGGGACATACCAGCCGGCGGCCTTCGCGGGTCAATTCTCCTATAAATGCGGAAGAAGTCAGCTGGCTCGCCACCCAATCACGTATTTAGACTCGTCATTGAGCGAAGTGCTCATACGAATAAGGGCAAGCTCATCCGAGAGGCAGCGCTTGCCCCGAAACTGGACGCCCAAGAAAGGCTTTCTTGATGATGCTGCGCTCCTGCTCCACTTACAAGCGAACCAAAGTTGAATGTTGCCGAGCGTTACGCGTTACACCAATCAAGGGCTTCTTGTCTGGGTCTTACTCCCGACACGGGATATGTTATGACATCTCCTGGATGGAGGATGGAGCATGATTCGGCTCGTCGTGCGTGGGACTCCTAGCACCTGAAGTTATCTGGTGCGCTATCTGCAAAAGCGAGTAGATAGTGGAAAAGGTTGTTAGCAGAGACCGGGCAGTTCGCCGCCGGGGCATCTCCAGGGTCGACACGACCACCGTACGGACGAACGGTGCACCTCGCATCGGCAAATACCATTGCCGAGATTAGCCAGCAAGCAAGAAGTCACACGGCAGAACGGCAGCCATTGCGGCCGAGAGGGACCCATCCCCTGTACCTTGATGCCAGCGAGGATAGCGGGAAGTACGTCAAACACAGCAAGAACTACAACATGGACTGCCGTTTTGAAACCATAGACGACGCGCTGAGCGGCGTTGTTGCGGTCAGTTGTTAATGGGACTATCAATGGGAAGGGTTGTCAACAGAAAGAGCCGGGGTGTGAATGGGGTCGGAGCGGCGAGTGTTGATGACGGTCGAGAACCATGGAAAAAATCGGAGGCCGGATGGGGCTGCTCACCAACGATCCGGCTGTCTGGACCGGCATCAACGAGGGGACCCGTCCAGCAGGACTTCCGATGGGAGAATGAGAGAGGAGCTTGCATTTGATGGTAGTGTGGCAGGAACAAGAAAACATGGCAGGCTACCTTCTGGCGCGAGTGCATTTGGTTGGTTGGACCCAGGCGGCTTATGCCTCTGTTCATATTGCACCAGCAAAGAGGATTACCCCGCACTGGTATCTTTGCTCCATGTCATGAATTATTTCACCAGCTACATGCCCGAGGTCGGAAAGGATATGGAACACGCTAAACGGACCCCTTCTCTTCCACATCTCTGTAAAAGATCTGTAACGAGTCCTTCGCATGGCACCGCCCAATATACCGCTGGACAGCAATCAGCAAACGGACAACCAACGTTACACCCCAACACATGAACCGTGAGATTATGTCCTGGTTTCACATACATCGGTCCGGCCCGAATACATATACCCAATTCGCTGTAAAACCCGACAATAACCATCGCCGCCGCTGAGAATGGGATCCGAATCAGGTTTCTGTATTATGTATCCAAACTCAACGTGTAAGAATACATCCAAACCCCCCCGCCGCACCCCCTCCTACCCCCCACTCTCGACCCCAACCCCCTCCAACTCCTCCAAAACCCTCCGTGCAGTCCACCTCCCCCCCGGATCCACTGCTAAACACCCTTCAAGGATGCCCACAATCCTCTCCTCGACATACGCATCCCCCGCTAGAAACTTCACGGGAGGCCCTCCTTCATTCTTGTGATGTGATTGCGCTCGGGCGACGGTGAAGGCGGCGCGGAGGCCTTCGACCCCGACACCGCGTTGGAGCCCGGATTCGAAGAAGCCTTTGCGGGCGCCCATGAAGAGCTGGGTGGCGGTGCGGGCGAGGGGGAAGGGTTCAATTCCTGTGAGGAGTGTATACAGCGTCACACCTAACGAATATACGTCAACGGGAAATGAGTACGCCGCGTCGTCTGGATCCGCTTCGCTAGTCACATCCGCGGACTTCATTGAACTGCCCGAAGACCGGCCAAAGAGTTCGGGCGCGGTGTAAGCTGTTGTGCCGCGGCCGAGGCCGGAGTGGAGGGTTTGGGAGTCCGGAAAGGTTGGGGAGCCCGGGGTGATGGGGCCGTGGAGGTGTGGATCTTTTGGGTCGGTGGAGGTGGGTATGAGGAGTTTGAGGGTTGGGCGGGGTTGGGGTGGATTTGTGTTTGAGGCGGCTGGGGTTGTGGTGATTGAGAGGGTTGGGAGGGCGGGTGGGGTTGAGAGTTGTGCTGGGGCGGTGGTTTGTTTGTTTGAAGTGGCTGGATTGGACTCTGATGATGTTGGCGGTGCCTCTCGAGGCAGTGCTTCCGTGTCGGACATGGAGGTGTACGGTGGCGGCCCGTCACCGAACATGCCCATGGTCGCCTGCTGCTCTGGAACAAAGCAGGCGTTTCCGAAATCGGCTAACCGTACGTCCAGGAAGTCGGTAAGCTGCGGAATCACGGGATAGGGGTAAGTAACTCAATACTGACGTGCGTCATGCGTCAATTGGCAGATTTCCCTAGGCATACCAAAACATTGTGCGGCTTAATATCATGATGCACAATCCCCTCCGCATGCATACAGGCGATAGCGCTAGCAAGCTGCCGTGCCCATTTGACCCACAACCGTTTCCCAACACTCTGCTTGTTCCGCTGCACCCATTCCCACATGTCGCCTTTCGGGAGATATTCCAGCAAGATGAGCAGTCTGGGCGACGGGTCGATCGTTTTGGAATCTGATAAGGTGCGCTTTTTGGTTTGTGGGCGTGATTCCAAAGTCGGGTTCTCGGCCGAAGAAGCCAGCTGGGCTTTGACATTCGGGTTGTCAACGTCCGCCTCGTCTTTGACCCCAATCAACTTCACGATATTCGGATGCAACGGCGAAAGCTTGCGAAGAATGCAGACCTCCGAAAGCCCAACCGACTGTGACTCCAGGGTATTGTGCAGCCGTTTGACAGCGCAAGGGTGGAAGTTCCCAGATGAAGGTACGAGCGGATCTGAACTCTCCAGGTCCGGTAGGCCCGACTGTGGCGGCCGAGGTGAGGATGCAGGGAAGGGTGTTTTTTCGGGAGACGAGTCCGTTACGGTATAGTAGCCCAGATAGACCTGGGCGTATCGGCCCTCCCCGAGAAAATTGCGACGCGTGGGGAGGAAGGTGAGGTTGATGTTGTCCCACTTTGCGGGCGAGACAATGACCTGCGGCCTGTCTCGCGCCTTTCGCCGGCGAGCTTCTTCAGCGGCCGCTCGGAGTTTCGCTGATGGGGCTGGCGTTGCTTCCGATGAAGGAGATAGCAGTGCCGGTGATGTCAATGCTTCCGTGTCCGGGTCCACAGGTCGCTTCCGAACTGTGACAATGGGCGTCACCTTGAACTGACTCTCATCCAAGTCCACAAAGCCACGTCGGCCGGATGTATTCGCGTCGGTCAGGAAAACGGCCTCGTTGTCTATTGCCGGCGGCGATGCGATTGATGGCGTTACTGCTGGAGGGGTCGGAAGTGATAGCGGAACGGTCATGGATGAGCTGTAAGGGGATCCCTGACCGTAGTATGTCTTGCCAGTGGAAGGAGGCTGGGCATGTGGAGGTGGATAGTACTGATGCGGCGAGCGTGGTGACGTCCCCGCGTACGTGAGTTCGTCGCTATTGATTAGACGTCCCTGTCGAAGCGCGCTCAATTCGTTTGCGTCCATGTTTACCGCTGGTTTAGAGATGGTATGTGACATTTCAAAGATCGAGTTCTTGCTCCGTGGTGTGTCAGCTGGCGTGGAAGCTGAATTGGGCCGATTGCTTTGTGGAGTGGGCGCATCACGCTGCCGCTGTTTCGGAGTGTCTACTTGCGGCGAGAGCAAGCCATGAAATATGGAGCCCTCCCTGAAAGCCGAAGCAAATATGTCATTTTTCATCGTGCCCGGCGTCCCACTGGATTCTGCTTTCCGCTCCGCATCGTGGTACGGTGGAGGTGGGGGAGAAGTAGGGAGAGGCTCTGCGGGTTCGAGTCTCGCACTCTTCTCTTCTGAAAAGACAAAGTCCGCTGCTTCGTTCTGTTGCTTGCGGAAAGGCTCATACACTTGTTCAATCTCCACAAAAGCTCTGCGGGCGCCGGAGTTTGCGTCGAAGGTCGGGACAAAGGGAGGCGCCGGACTCGTGGACCGAAGAGCGGAGAGGTTGAGAGGCGATGGTTGAGGCAAGTTATGAGTAGAAGATGGTGTCTTGGCGGCGGTGCCGTCGGTCATCGTGCTTTGCACAATGTACACCCGTCAAGAGATCACGGCGGAGTGCCGACAGAACAAGCTGCGGACTGAAGGAACCCCTCCGGAAGGCGGACACAGCAGTAAGATAAGACCGCTCGGCCCTCTGCGAGAGTTGAAGGCGGGTGAGCTCAAGACCTAACCTGTTGAGCTGTTGCAATAACGACGGGCGAGCGAGGGATAGTGGTCCTGCAGTTTTCCGACCAAGAAAGAGCCTCCCGTTTCCGCACACGCGCCCAACAAAGTGCAGGGTAATTTGTGGCCCCATCGGCCGCCCGTTAGATTGTGCCATTTCCATCCCATTTCCATCCCGCGTGCAACAGCAACAGCCACTTCTGCACAGCCAGGACAGGACAGGACAGGGACGAAGTACATGGACCTGTGCATTGACACCGCTGAGGACGCAGAGTGGCGTGAGGACGTCGCCTTAGTCCTCGCGACCATGCGCCTCCCAGACGAAGGTTTGCTCTCGCCATCTTGCCAAATCTTCCACCGCTCAGCACAGTGTCATTCACTCCCAATTCCTCCCTAGATGCAGCGAACGAGTATCTGTCAGCCACTCTTGAAAGTCACTACGTACCTGAGCCCCATGACCCACCGCTGAGCTTTCTGGCCATCGTGAACTCTTTGCGCAGCATACTTCCAGCGCACGACGACGCGTCCATAGAACCCAGCGAGTTGTTTGACGACTTTTTAGATGAGGAATGGGACCTCAGCGGGAATTGCGTCCGCGTGGATGAGCAAGGAAACCCTGTTTGGTCGAGTGTGCTTCTGTTTTTGGAAAAAGTCGCTACAGACGCCCACGCTAAGGCAGCGGATAGCGCTGTTCAACAGCGGATTCGAGGTGAAGGTTTGGACGTAGCCGATTGTCCTTCGACTGCATAAAGCTTGCTCACTACGTATTTCAGAGCCGTCTTATGACGCAAGAGCGTTATACATTATGGACGAGCCACTTTTACCTGCGCAAACAACCATGACGAGTATTGTCCCAAAATTCAAGCCTTTGCCGACTGTCCAGCAGCTTGCTGGGCGTATGATTAGATTGGGAATCAAGGAAAAGGGTTTTGAAGAAGAAGGCGGGCAACTAGCTGAAGCCATGGGGCGGCAATTCAACGCGGCCTTGAGCGAGCCGTTTTTGGGAAGACCTTCCTCGGCTCGGCTCTTGTTGAGTATCGTTGATCCGTTTGACACAGTCTCCGATCCTTTCGCGGAAGATCGGTGGTTGGGAGAGCTGCTTACGGAGAACCTGAGTAAAAAGGTCGGCTGCATGTCGATTTATAGGTTTTTCCGTACAATCACTCATGCCCCAACAGATGGAAGCCTCCGAACCAATGGAAGCGCCAATCTTTGCTACCAGAAACGATCCCGAAAAGCTGCCGTCCCCAAAGTTTACGACTCCTCTGCCGGCGGAGTCACAGCTTATGCCAGATTGCTTGACAGAGGACGCGCCGTTGTCTGCGCTTGTCGAAGGTTTAGGGGCCGGGATCAGCTTTCTCAAAGGGCTGGAAGAAGAAGAGGACGACATGGCGGGGCGCGTGGTTCCTGACGGACTTTTGGCGGCACTCAGTGGTACGTATCAGTACCACCCGGCCTGACTGCAGAGCAACTGAGCGTAACCGTGGTCTGATATACCGGCAGAACCATTGATAGACGCCGCAGATGACGCGACAGTGCAAGCCACCATCGACCACGTATGCACAGCGACAACGGACGTAGACATAATGAGACGCATGGGAACAACAGATGAAGACGACGTGCCTAACCCCAGCAAGAAGAAGCGAAGGCTGAGACGCATCGAATCCCCCATTCTCTCTTTCGCAGATGAGCCCGATCTTTGCCCCAAACGCCGTCGGCAAAACGATTCGTTACCCGAGTTAACTTTGGACGCAGTTGTTAACGGGCAGTTTGGCGGAATGGATTACAAAAGTCTCGAAGAGCCCCAACAAAGTACGACCGATGGGGACGATCTAGCCGAAGACCTCTCCACCTTCTTCGACTTCGCCGGCGCGGCCTCCACCAAGCCCTACACCCCCATCCTCGATTCCCCCTGGGATGTCGCATCCACCAAACAACTTAGCATCCCCAACCTCCCCCACCCACCCCCCTTCCACCCTCGCCCGGACGCATGGACGAGTTTCCGGGCCCTGGTGCAAAAGACGTTGAAGTTGCGCCCGTTTGAGAATATGACCTCGACGGAGCTGGCGTTGATGCATTGGAACCCGATTGCGGCGATGATGAGGGCGATGGGGGTTGGGGATGATGAGGCGATTACTGTTGGCGGGATTGGGAGGGGCGTTTTGAGCGGGGCATTTGGGGTTGAGGATCACGAGGGGTTGAGAAGGGTGATTGTCGAGGCTTGTGAGGTGGAGGAGCTTAACCCTGGAGGTATGGCATGCACCTTTTCGGCGGCCATCGAGACAGTGTCGCTAACCGAATTTCATTAGATTACATGGAATTCGAGAGTACCTCCGTTAACGACGGGGACAGGCCTTCATCTCCAATCCAGGCCATGCGAACTCTCCGTGCTCTTAAACCCCCAAAGACCGCACCGGTGGGCCATCCTCCACCGCCCAATATAAGTTCAGCCCGCAACACTCCGCAGCGAACCATCCCGGTCGTCGATCTAGTCAACCCTCCGCCTAACAATTTACGTCCCGCCCACAACGCTCAGCAAGGAGCGGTACCCGTCATTGACCTACGATTCGATGAGCCCGGAGATCACATGATCAACCTCGGCCTCCGACGGCATAACGTAGACTCACCTATAGAAATCGAGGACGAGCCCGCATTCGAAATCCATTCAGTTGAGGAGATCCTCCCACCCCTACCTCTAGACAACCCGCGATCGACACGTGAGAATGCAATGGACGACCCCGCACAGAACTTGGAAGAAGTGCTAGCGAAATATAGGAAGCCGTTTTCGGTGAGGAGTTCTTTGGATCAGTTTTTGACGTTGAGGGGTCGGCCGCCAGGTATTTGGGAGTGGGGTTGTGGGTTTGTGGATGATTTGTGTCGATGCTGAGGGACTTGTATTAGCGGTTGTTACTGGGATTGTTGAACGCGTCGGGGCGCAGGCGGATAAAGCGGCGGAGAACAGAACTCCCACTAGTGGTAAGCAAACGGGCAAAAAACCAGACTCTTCGTCAGACACCTGAAATACCGCTCTCCACAGAAATGTTCCCAACGCCCACCGCCGTCAAATTCGCCCTTCCGCCCTTCGACAGCGAAAGCGCCACCCGCCACACTTATATCGCCGGCGAACGTATCCTGAAGAACAAGGATCTGGTCAGGGCTTTTGAGAAGACCTATGCGGTGGACTTGATTGAGCGGGATTTGGAGTGTGCTTCCGTGAGTGGCTTTGTATTATTGATGGGGTTGTGAATGGGGTCTGGATTTATCGCGTCGATTTGTCAACGCAGGAAGATGCAGCGCCTGGCGCCCGACTGGAAGCGGATTTGATCATCGATGAGAGAACCTGCGTCATGTATGAACAAATCATATCTGTCTGTCCTGAAACATCGGTGCCCTGACCTAACACCCTTCGAAAGTTTCTACCCACTCCCCCACCTCCCCCTCACAACCACTCACCTCCCCACCACGCCCACCCCCCACACCTCCCCCCTCACCGCCCTAGGCACCCTCGGCACCACCGAACTCGGCTCCCTTCTCCTCCGCTGCATCCTCCGCTTCACCCGCGTGCATCTCGTCCTGGAAGCTGGCCCACAGACAGGCGCGTATATGCTCACACCGCCTGTCGTGAATGCGCTGCAGTGGGTTGGCGCGTTTGCGGCAAGTTGTAGGAACTGGGCGGAGGTGAGGTGGGTTGTTAGTTTGGGGGCTGAGGAGAGTGCGTGGATCGCGAGGTGAGTGTTTTGCTCTGTTTGGTTTTTTTTCAATTGTACACACCCTAGATTTCGCACTGCTCATGTCTTCAGAAACATCGGCGACACGATCGCGGAATCCTACGACACACCGCCCAACTCTTCCACCACCCCAAAAGCCTGGCTCTCCCGCCCCGCCTACGAAACGCGCACCTGGCTCTCACATGAAGAATCCGCGCAAGAACGGTTCCTGCGCTCCTTCCCGACGCTCAACTCCTTCTCGGCGCAGATCGTGTTAACGATCATGACGCTGAGGGAGTTTATGCTGATGAGTGTCGAGGAGGTGGTGGAGAAGGTCGGGGTGTGGGTGCCGGAGAGGGGGTTGAGGGTGTTTTGGGAGATGGTTAACACCCAATTGGGGATTGGGGTGGAGTGAAGGGTTGGGAGGGCGGCGGAGTATGGGCATTTGTGATCAAACGAGCTTTGGACCTATTAAGATTAGGCGGCGTATTTCGCCGGATCAGGGCTAGGTAGATAGATCGGGCACTCACAATACGTCTGATGAAGATTGCATTTTGTATGTAAGATGCAGTATTGAGGGAATGAATTATGGGAGAAAAATTCGGTCGAAAGAACGGAAAGCCATCGTCTGGGGGTGTCTCATGAAAGTAGGAGGGCGGATACTATTTAAACAGGAGCGGGTAGGGGTGGGGATGGGAAGCGGTTGTGGGCAGGAGTCTCGCGCGGATGGGAAAGAAAATCATTGAAGGCGTCTGTCATGACAAACGAGAGGAGGCGCGGGCAAGACCAGCCAGCCCAAGCGGATGTCGCCACGCCCCCCGTCATGGATCTGCACGAGGATCGGACCATACTGCGCCGGAGGTGTTATTACGATATTCGTTGTGCTGTGTGCACGGGGCCCCAAAGGTTTATGCAGTTCATTCAATGGTGGACGGCGTAGCGCTCATCGGCAACCGGCCTGTCGCGGACTGTCGGCCGGCGCCCGTAAGACGGCTTAGGTCGTCCATTGAGCGGCTGGTTTTTGCGGGCTGCCTGTGAGGACGGGGGAAAGGGGTTTGGGATTGTAAGTTCATCTGTCCACAAACTACGAGGAAAGGCGCAGTGGCCGACTCATCCGCCATCCTCTCACATCACGCCCGAGACATCTGTCGAACCCCAATATGTTTTCAAAAACTAAAAGAAAGGCCACTCACCCCGTAAACAGCCCCTTCAACCCCCACCTCGCGCTCAACTTTGCAAAGATCGTCTGACTCTTACTCTTCGCCCTGCTCTGCCCGCCCGGCAGATACGCGCCGCCCTCCGCATAGCTACTCCCCTCCAGCACCCGTTTCAGCTCAAAGAAGTTGGCAAGCACATAATCCGCCTCTTCAGGCGGTAAGAAAAACAACTGCTCGTCCAGCTCGCGCTCGATCTTGTGGACCGATTTAGCGAGGTAGGCGTAGAAATTGGCCATGTCCATGTAGTCGCCCGAGCGCGAGCGGGGGAGTTTGCCGGGGAGGGTTGCGCGCGGGATGGTGGAGGCGGCGATGGTTGGGGTGGATGTGGGGGGGAGGTCGAGGTCGGCTTTGAGGGAGGGCATGGAGCGGGAGAGGGCTTTACGGAGGCCGCTGCTGGTGCGGGTGCTGGAGGTGCCGAGGGGTTTGGAGGAGGGGCTGAGGGTGGAGATGGGCCGGTCGGTTGTGGATTGGGGGCGGGAGGCGGAGGCGGGGTTTGTGCTCTGGGGAAAGAGTGATGTGAGTTAGATGGTAGGTGAAAGTCGTCTTGTAAGATCACTTCCTCCATCGTCTCCCCGCTGTACCTACCTTTTCCGAAACTTCCGGCGGCATAGAGCTAGCGAAGGTCAGATAATCTTTTATCTTTTCCCGGTTCTCTCGTAAGAAATGGTTTAGCGGCATCAGGTACTGCTCCTTGTTCCCGAAATCCACGTCGTTGCACATCGCCGTGAGGATCTTGCCGCAGAGAACAAGACCCCGGCGCGCGGCTGGAGAGACCCGCCCTTCGATCAGCCCGTATGTGTCGGGGGATGTTACCGCTGTGGATTTCGAGAAAGCAACATCAGTGATCCGTTTTCAAACCATATGCGAGAAAGGTCATACTTCCGCGCCCGTACCTGGTACGAAGAACCGCAAAAACAAGAACGATCCGACCACTTTTTCTGGAATGGACAAGTACCCCATAGACGTCCTCTGCGGCAATGGTATACGGGACGTAGACGTGGACATAGCCCTAGCCCGTCCATACAAAAACGTATCGGAAGCCCCTTTCGTGACGCGCGCCTTGCCAGGTCCGCCGGTACTCGCCGGCTCCACCGCCGACAACGGCGGCGACATCAACGCCCCCGCGCTATTCTGCTTCGACCAACTGGAGGCCATCTCCGCCTTCCGCGCTAGGATGTACGACGCTTTCTGCTGGTCGTACGTCCCTGTCGCTCCCGTGTTGATCGTCAGGCCCGTCTCTTTGCCTCCGCCCGACGGGGGCGCTAGTGGTATCGTCGTCCCTATCGTTGCCAACCCTCCCTCTTTGCCCGTGCTGTTGCTTCGCGAATGACTACCCGTCCTGTTGTTCTCTAGGTCTAGTGATTTTTCCACCCCGCTGCTCCGCCGACTGGATTTCAACGTCGCGCGTTTTCGTAGTATCGTGGATGCGCCACCATTTCCACTACCGCTGCTAGCTGATAACTGCTCCGCGCTCCCCCTCGGACTGCTAGTCTCGTCCCCGCCCTCGAGCGGCGAGCTGGTTATGCTCCCTTGGCTGGCCCGAGGCAGCAGCCGTCCGAAGAAGCGCAGAGGCGATGACGCCGTGTCCGTGTCTTTTAACGATTGTTTCCGACTCGGCGTGGATGTGCCCGGTGGCTTGGAGGCGAGATCGGTCCCCGAACTCATTTTGGAAATCGTTGCGTCGGCATTCGGCTTTGCGGATGTTGCGTCGGGATTCGATTTCGGGGATGGTGCTTCAGTACTCGGTCTGGGAGTTGTCGTTTCGGAATCACCTTGTGCTACGGCCGGCTCTTCGGATATCGCGGTCGGTGCGGGAACGGCATTGCCGTCATCCACGCCTTCGCTCTCTGCTGGCTCTTCAGTGACACTCGCCGACTTCCCCAGCGGCGACGCACTAAAAGACGACGCCGCTGGTTCACCACTCTCCTCCAATTCCACCGTTGACAACAACTTCGGCGTCGGTGGGGTAGGCGGCGCGGGCAGCACGCTCGTCACCATAGGCGACTGCATATGCACCGCCGCCAACAGCCCCTGCTCCTTGTGTATCTCCTCCACCGTCTCCCTCAGGTAGTGACACATTCGCCGCAGGGATCCGGGCATCAGTTCGCGCTTCTCGACTACGCTGGTGAGGACCCGTGAACATGCGCCTTTCAGCCGCGCTTCGTTTTCTGCTAGCTGGTCTTCTATTGCTGACGCGTCCATGTCTCGAGGGAACTTTTGGGGATCAATCTCGCAACCGTCGGCGTAGGGGAGCACGTCTCGTAATGGTTCGGTGAGTGACTGGCCCAGGTAGTGTAGACCTTCGTATCTTGCGAAGGCGTTCAAGAGCATAGTTGCCATGCTGGTTGAGGGATGAAGAGATGTCGTCAGTATGAGTAGATCGGAGCTGGGAACACCTAGCGACGTTGGGAATGCTACCTGTTGTCTCGTATTATGTCACTCAGATCTCGGTTCTTCACAACTGCGACGAGGAGAAAAGGACACATAGAAGTACTGTTCAGTATATATCCCTCTTCCCAGCCCTTCGATCGGTATACTTCTATGCAATCAATGCCAAAAAATGGTCTTCCATCATCACTCACTGTATCCCAATATCCGCGACCTCAATAACCGCTTCAAAAACGCCTCCGTCACCTCTGATCCCTGCTGCCGCAACAACGACAGCACCTCCAGCGAAACGCTGGCGGCCGTGTCTCCCACAAACGATACTTGACATATCAGCGCCAGCAGAGTGCAGTTGTTGTCTAGGAGGAGGTCCGCTATCCGACGGTCTTCTGAAACCGCCTGGAAGAAACATCCCCGGAAGCGTTAGGGGCTTGCCGCGTACGATAAATGAAAGGAGGGACTGGACAGATAACATACCCCCGGCTTATCTACAAGGTTCCCCAGACTCCTCCGTGTGAAATTGCTTCGCAACAGCGCGCTATGCTTGGTAGCCCCCATCCGGGCGGACCCGGTGGACGTCACTGGCGGTGCAGGAATGTTGGCGAGACCGAGGGACGGATCGATTGGAAAACTGGATGGGCGTGCTCGATTTGTTGTTGACGGCCCTCTCTGTCGAGCTGGTATTTAAGTCGTTCGATGGATTGCAACTACGATTGGGTCGATCCCGTACGGATGTCCAATCTGTCAAGCGGTGTGTCAGTCGCAGGTTGTCAATTGCGACTTGGAACGTTTTCAATCCGTCGCACGTGCAGAGAGAAGGAATTGATGAAGGATTTGGGTATCACACGTCAGTGGGTTGATCGCTGGTCGAACGTAACAATGGCAACTGGCAGAGTTGACGGGGTATTTCGAGCAGGCGAGATGCGAATGTATGGCTACTAGCCAAAATACAGGTATGCTAAACTACAGATATTCCTTGAGAGCACCGAAGGTCGTGAGCCAGGTACTTGCAAATGGCGGCGCGGTAGAGCGAGCTTTTGCGTTTGCGTTGCTGATTGATATCGGCAGTAAGGGTATGTGCGAGAAGGTCCTATGTAACCCAAGGCTTTTCTCACGTCCGCGTGAATTCTGGAATATCCCAAAAATGGAGTTTTGGTACAACGGTCTTTGGGATCTTAACAACGCCAGCTGACTTCAGCAAAGCCCGTCTTCAGAACCAGCCCCCATATGTGAACTGTCAGTCTTGACTGCCTTTAGCTGCATTTGTTCTGTGGAGGCTTGGGAACAATCAGTCATGAAAGTGTGCCCTTAATATGGGCTCACCTTGTCCCAAATGGCAGGGCTATTATTAGTGCCCCAGGTTTGCATTAGCGCATCCTCTTCGTTGTTTGCGTGTGGAGAGCCATGTGGGGACAAAAACCTTCGGCTGACAGCAGTGAATGCGCGTTCGGCGCATATTTCGACACCGCGTCGGCTTTCTTTGTCAGTTTGTCGTTGACACGTTGGACTTCAAGCACTTTTCAGTTGTGGGTTGGTAGTCTAACAAACCTCCGGATCGACTTGCATTCCTTTGTACAGTGCTCCTTTGCGGGGTGCCGACAGCTTTGCACTCCAGGCCAGGTTTGTGTCTCTCTCCACGCCTAGCCCTTTTCTGCTCAGAGCCCGGAACCACCCATACATACGGTAAACACCAAAAGTCTATGTACCTTCCGGCGTTTGATGTTCAAGAGACACTGACAAGTGATGAGGGTGCGGCATGCACCGAAACGAATTCCGATGTTGGACTGGTTAACGTGTAGAGCGTTCGATCAACGGGTAAGTGTCTGATGGAACGCAGGGTTGCCTAACATTATGGGGGATTTCGGCGGGTGCTCCACACTTGGCGGTGCAAGTGATCTGCATACAACTCAAAGGACGTCGCTTCAGTCGGGTGGCCATTTCAGTTGGACGACGAGTCTGGCGGATGGTTTGCACCCCCTTTGAAGAGTCTTCGGTTAGCTCCAAGAGAGTGAAGGTATGGACGGAGCTACCAACGTAGCGGGTGGGGCATCAAGTAGATGCAAGAGATACTATATTACAGAGTGGGGAATAATTTACATTTAAGAATGGGGAGGACGGCCGTCTATAGATGCCTTGACGGAACACGCCAAACGGACGGGTGAGCAATACGGACAGGCCATTCTACCTATCCAGCCCCTCTATCCGTGGAGAGAATCATAACCTCAGCTTCCTCTCCAATGCCCGCAACTCCTCGGGTGCTTCGTACAAGTGCCACTTCTTTTTGTAAATGCTTGGTATCTTCGCGCTCGCCGGTCCCTTTGGCCGACCCTGCCATGTAAGCTGCCCGAACACTTCACCGTGTGCTAGGTCCTGGAGGGTAGAAAGGGCATGGTGAGAAACAGTGTGAATTGTATTTAAATTTTCTCCCATGCTCGAAATGCCATCCTTCCAAGTTGCATTCCTTCGGTCCTGCCCCCGACTATTATCTTTCGAGGTCGGAGCCGAACCCCAATCGAGGAGCCGAACCCCAATCGAGGAGCATTTCCCATATCCGAACGCCGGCTCCAATTCTTGTGGGGGATAGCTTTCCCCTCATCCCGAATTTCACACCTCCGTCCTGCCATCGATAGCTTCGTTCGAGCCCACATTTTCCCTACAGGTGAAGTCCAAACCCAAGTCTTGCAGTGGATAGCTTTTGCAGCCAAGCTCGTTCCCCCAACATTCCGCTTCACTGGCGTACGCTCTTCGACTCCCAAGTAACCCCGGCCCGAGAGCCCTTTCTCCAAGAGCGCAGCCCCCGTCCAGGTCTGCAATAAGAAGTACTTTGGACCAGGCCCATTCGCAGAGCATTGCGCTTCACCCAGCCCGAACTTCGTCGTCCACCCCCATTGTGCAGCCCAGTCCAAAACCTCCTTATCCGACTAGCTCTCCCCTGGCCACCGCTCCCCACTCTTTCACGACCCCTACCTCCTCCAAAACGATGTTCTTCACGGTCCAATAAGCGTCGCTCCATCCGCGCTGGTACCATTCAGTCGGGGTGACTCGCAGGCCGGCGCCGCGGTTCGGTGCGTGGGCGATCAGCTCAATGAGGTTGCGGTGCTGGTTGGCGCGCTGCAGGAAGGCGGGGTGGTGGCCCCATAGCTCGCGGATGACGGTTGCCATTGTGGTCGTTTGGTATGATAGGGCGGGAGACGTAATGTCTGTTTTGGCCGGGAGTGTGTTGCGTCGTGGAAGTTTACTAATTAGAGGCCGAGTTGAGAGTTGAAATTGTCGAATACGCCTGGCCAACGCGCATCTCGTTGCTATCCGCACACCTTCGTTCATGCAATGACAACAGGAATACGGTAGAAGACGACGAGAGCGTGCAAGGACAGTGCACTATATAACTTAAACGAGCCACTCCATTGATTCTGCTATTACTGTACTTTGTGTCTTGCAGGAAACATACGCCGGCAGTCGTTGTTCATATTAAGAGGAACTAAAGCTCCTAACAAAACTACAACGAGTACACCCCTCCGTAGCGCTACACGGTATATATATGTTCTACTCTAAAAGGTATATCTATCGTCCGGTTCAGAATATCATTCTTCACAAAGTCTCGGCCTTCTTGAACGCCTCAGCGACCTCATCCGCAGTCAAGGGCTTCAGCTTGTCGCGCTCGCCGAGAGGTCCAACGCCCGTGCAAATCTCCTTGAAGCCCGTTTCGAGGTAGATTCCCTTAGCGCGCAGGTTGTCCGCATCGACCGTCAACGTCATCTGGTCAAGCTGGGTGGTTTCCTCCTCAGCGAACCACTTGCGGATAGTAGCAAGGAGCAACCGTCCGAGCCCTTTGCCGCGCTCGGCCTCTTCGATGCCGAGGAAGGCGATGTAGCAGGTGGGCATGTCGCCTTGACCTCTGACGCACGCGTACCCAACCAGCGCCGATGCTGGGGGTGGTGTTGTGGCGTCGGAGTCGGGGGTTTTCCTGTACACGCCAAAGTTCCAGATCACGGAGTCCTCTTTGAACTCGTGCAGAGGGTCTTTGAAGGTTTTGCCATGCAGGGCGCGTACGGCAGCGAGATCGTCCTTCTCATCGATCTTTATCTGGCGGACGAGGAAAGACTCTGCGGCGGCGGCGGCGGACGGAGATAGGGCTGGGCAGGGGACACCGCGCACGTCCTTGGCGTCCATTTGCATGCCAAAAGACATCTTGTCTGCAGGGGTGAAGCCCATGACCTTTAGAGCCTCGAGGACGTCTTGACTACGCATGTCGTAGTAGGTCCTGATGATGTTCATGACGGGAAGAGCCGCAACGGCCTGGTCAAAGGTCCATCGGCGGATCACGTTGTTGGGGTCCGCGACGTCGTATGAGACCCATGGTCCGTGAATCCAGCCTGTAGCACTCGCTTCGTTCACTTCGAACCCGACGACGGACAGGAGTTTGCCGCTATTTGTGCTCCTGGCTCCAAACCTATGTGGAAAGAACCGTTCAGTCCATGATGTACGACTTGAAGAGCCACTTTCTTCATCAAGCATTGTAATGGTACTCACCAGGTCTTGAAAGGATCAACTTCATATTGCACAAGGTCGTTCTTGATTCCCACGGCTGTCTCATCGACGTGCAAGCAGTACTGAGTCTTGCGGTCACTATTGCACTGGGCGGCGAATTCCAGAAACTCGTCGTAAGTCGCAGGTGTGCAGGTCTCGAAAACGAGGCTGGCGGGGGCTGGAACGGTCATGATTTGTTGATTTGTTGGAAGAATGATTGGGAAGGAAGATGGGACTGGTATGTGGGAAAAGGGAGGCAGTAAGTGGACAGCTGGCCCTTTTTATATGGTCGGCGGTTGGAAGGGAGAAGGGCTAGCTACATACGTACATACATACAGTACAGTACAGTACGGTGCAGCGACGGACAGTCCAGCGGCGGAGTTTTCTACCACAGGTTGACCATTTTCCATGATGGAAAGTCACCCTGTCCACAGGCGTGCCGCTCGTCCTGCCTGTTGTTTGCGCGTCCCCAATTTCCCAACGGTGTTCGTCCACAACTGCCCGCGGTGGGTTGCCCCAGGGCCCACTTCGGCTTCTCCACATGGGTAGCGGGAGCAGTTGTTCACCGGACGTCCTCCCAGTCGTCGTTGTGTGTGGGCTAGCAGGAGCACCAGCGGTTCCTTCAGCCTCCTACAGCGGTGCAGGATAGCCATTTCCCCCCGTTTTCTGCCCGTCCACAGCAAACTCATCACCCTCCGGAGTATCTGCAGTGCTAGGGTTTGGAGACCCCATTTCCTGGACGATTTTCCGGTTCGAGGGCAAGCTGCGGTTTAGTCACTGTTGCACGCCCCTACCGCTCATATACTCCCTCGTCTTCTCGGAGTCTCGGTGATAAATGTCAGTGCTATCTGGGGCATACGGAGGTGGATACATACCCTAAAGCTCCTGAGTTCAATGGACAGCGATCCTTCACTGGGTACAGGCTTGCGCGTAGAACAACGGCTGCTAATATCGGGTCCTTCCTGTCTTGCGTGCGCGGCAACCGAACCCTAATGTTTCGCGCTGCAGTTCTCTCAGATTTCCGCAATTTGTTGGCTGGTGATGGTCGCATCTATCTTGCTAGCCAGAACATCTTGATGAGGCTAAGCAAAAGCGGATGGCAATCTAACTTGGATGATGATTTTGAGAGATGCACGATAAGCTAAACCTGAGGATTAGCACTGCGAACACCGGGGGTTACGAGTCTCGGGCCATTATGTGCTTTTGAAACAGAGAAGCATTTGCAACGTCACAATCACATAAGTCCCACAAGTCGTCAAGACGCTGGAAGATCGACTCGTATATGTTGCGACACATCGTGTATGTTGCGACACAGAGCAGCTAAGCTTCGGGATACGCTTGCAGGATACCAGTCCTCTCGCCTCTCAAGCATCGCAGAACCTCTTGTATACAAGCATATTCCGCCAGACGTCCATGGCCCAACTCTCGAACTGTGAAATGCGTGTTGTAGATATCGAGTAGATAGCTATTGCAACATAAGACCTATTTACAGATAGAGATGCCAGCAGTCGAACTGCCCACCCAATGCCCGTCCCGTATCAACTAGCAAGCTGTCTCGGCCATTATCGAATGAAGTATGGCCTCGTGGTGAACGATTGGACATGACCTATCGCCGGTTGTCGTATAGTTGAGAGCTTTCCAGCATCCGTCCCGCCTCCAGTAACCTCCCTTCTACATAGCTCAGCTGTTTTCGACATCGTTGCCCTCAGATGGGCTTGATTTTGAAGTGGAGCGAAATCAGCGAGAACACTAAGCACTTCAGATCTTGGATCAGGTAGTAAAACACTCGTAGTCCCTCGGGGTCTTTGCTTTCCTGCACGTCAATCAATGATCCGATCTTTGCTGTCTGTTGGTCGGGATATAATGATCCTGAATGAGCCCCGTGTACATTGCGAGGGAAGGAATCACCACGAAGGACGCACCGTGAACGAAATGTGCTCGTTGCCCATCACAATTTCCAGCTCCTGTCGTCCAACGCGATCTGGCTGATGCCATAGCTTATCGTCTTCCCTGTTTGAGGCAGATTTGTCAGACTCAACCGTCCATCGAACCCTAGCCCTCCAATAACGTCCGCAAGCTCCCCAAGCATGAAAGCAGCTTCTCCATACTTCAAAATCTCGCTATCCGCAACAATCCTCTTCAGCTCCGTAAGTAAGGACGGGCTCACAAACACCTCCTTCCTGATAAGAGTGTCATTTTTGTAATTCGAAGAGTTCGCATATCGGAGCTTTCCGTCCGGCCGGAACTCGAATTCGAGGAACTCGTGACCGAATTTGCCGACGTGTCCGACGCTGTAGTGGGAAAGATGCGGCGTTAGAACGAGCTAGATGGTGGAACCACTGATCTCCGGTTTCTTTCAAATCGACGGGTGGATGGTGGAATGTGCGCTAAAGAGTCCTAGCAGACTCTCCGGCATCCAAACCCGAGCGAGCATCGTCTACTGGCCCTACTTACTAATATCGTACGTAGATTTCTTCTGTTCCTGTAGCTGTAGCCATGTTTACTGGTTTGCCGTAAGTTTGGCTGCACGCTGTTTCGAACTCTGCGAATACAGGCCAGGCGGACTTGGTTATCTATCCGATGTGACGAACCGTTAGGCAAGCGCGCGCCACGTCTGCGCCACCTTCCGGACAAGTCCCCCTTCTGGACATCCGTTTCACGTCACCGACAACTTCAGTTCGCACTCCATCTTGATCACCGAAAGAACAATCACAACTAACTCGACTACTCCAGATCTTCAGCTGGTGGGTTTCTTCAGAGTACAGAACCTACGTTGCTCGAATCCTTTTCGTACTCATATAGCAAATCCCCCCAGCCACCTTGAAATCACACTTCCAAAATGCTCAGAATCACCCGTTTGTCCACCGCTGCCCTGCGCCTTTCCACCAGGCGAGCGTCCAGCGTTCGCTTTCTCGCCGTGAGTTTCTGTCTCACCAGTCACTCTTTGGATGAGACTTTCCCTCAAATACTCACCGCAGTCTCTCGCAAAGACCCAAGCACCCTCGACCAACAGCACCAGCAAACCTGCCGCTTTCCCTGCTGCGACAGCTTTTGCCAACGAGACGAAGCCCAGCAAGGGTGATCTGGAGTTCAATCTGACTTCGTCCCACAAGGGGCTTGCTCAGGAGCCGTTCCCCAAGGAGGTGGCCGAGATTTTGCTCGCTCCTCTCCCTAACGCTGACATCGAGGTCAAGCCCGGTCCGTGCGAGATAACTCTTTAAGCAGAAATGAAAACCGATTGGTCGCGTGCATCCTGACTTGATCTCCCTTCAGATGGCATGATTTACCTGCCAGAGATTAAGTACCGCCGTATCCTGAACCGCGCATTTGGTCCCGGAGCTTGGGGGCTCATCCCTCGTGGCGATCACACCGTCACGAACAGGACCATCTCGAGGGAGTACGCCCTCTTCTGCAACGGCCGGTTCGTCGCTCAAGCTCGTGGGGAAAACGACTTCTTCTCTGAAGAAGGACTTGCCACCGCGTCGGAGGGAGTCAAATCCAATGCGTTGATGCGCTGCTGCAAAGATTTGGGTATCGGTGAGTTACCTCGTCCGCTTCTCTGTAGTTTGCTTCTCGCACTCGGTCTTATTCAATTTATTTTGCTTTCAGCTTCTGAGCTCTGGGACCCCGTATTCATTGAGGAATTCAAGAGAAACCACGCTGTACACGTCATGACGTCGAACGCCACTAGCCAAGCCAGGAAAATGCTCTGGCGCAGGAAGGATCGCAAATTCGCATACCCTGTCAAGGAAGAGACCGCGTCAAGTGGATCGTACACCAGGAAGAGCGCCTAAACGTGACAAGGAATCTTGGCGTTGTGCCTTCTTTATCTGGGGTCGTTCTTTGCAGGCGTAGTTGGCCGCAATCTCTTTTTTATGTATATATTTGGATGTCCCGAAACGGAAAGAGCAGGCCGGCGAATGTATGTAATTTGTATATAGCGCAGAACAGCATGTAGTTTTCCTGACGAGTGTCGCACACTTGGCAAGACCAACATGTAGCAGGCGGAACTGGATGGTTTACTTTCTTTCTCAATCGTCGTATATTCCATATATATTGGAAGCCGCTCTACTTTACATCGAACTCCCGAACCTTGGACGTCATCAATAATCCAATGATGAGGCCAAAGAGCCCAATAATCGACCCGAAAATCTCGATAATCAGAACCTTGACGAACAAGACTGGGTCGGCGGCATCTGCTATTGCGCAAGTGGATCCCGTGATGCCGACCGATATGCCGCAGAAAAGGTTCGCACATCCCACCGTCAAGCCACCCCAAAATAAAGCGTATCCTGTCATCAAAGTCCGGTTAGGATGCGAGGAAATGGGTAAACCCACATCAACGGAAGTTCTGCCACACCTGAATAATAAGCAGATTTAGGCCATGTTGCACCATCCGCTAATTCTGCATCGTTCAGTTTCGACGAGAAGACGATGGCGATAATGAGACCGTAGATGGCGACGACTTCACAAAAGATGATACTGCGGTGCGCAATAGAGTCAATGTTCCCAGCTTTGACTTGTGCTGTGCAAATGACGAGAGACTTTACCTGATAAGGTTCTTGGTCCTGATACGAGGAACTCGCACAGCGGCACCCAAAAGACTTGAACCAGTGGCATAAATTCCCCTGTTGCGAAAATGTCTTGAGTATGTTGGGCTTTGCCACGCAGAGTAGAAAATTTTCCCAGTGCCTCACCATGCAGCACCAATAACGCTCAACCCGACCGTCAGACTAGTTCCCAGCAACGCCCACATGTACGGCGAAGTCTCCGTCAAAAACTTCCCCACGTTGAACTGCTCCCCGTTCCCACTGAACAGCAAGTTCAAAAACACGATTGTGCCAAAGATGGTGGCGCCGTAGGCGATGTAAGCCTGTTTCGAGTAATAAAGCATCGTGACGTATTTGTTTTCCAATTTCGGTGGCGGCACGGCGTGAGGGTCTTCACTCTGCGAGGATGCGGCTACACGACGTTCGCCGTGATGGGTCCTAGCGTACGATGAGGAATAGGAGGGGATGTAGTCGGCGGTGGTACGCGAGCGAGGGGAACTGAAAGTGGATGTGGGCAGAAGCGGGTAGTCTTCTTCGTCTCCGGCGTCTTGAGCGCGGCCAAAGGGGTTGTTGCTTCCTGAACTCCGGCCTCGTCTCAACATGTGCCGACGGGGCGTGGGTGCGGAAATGTTGAGGAACCCTCTCCGCGAGCAGTTTATACCGTTGCTTACTCAAAGACGTCCCAGGGGAGGCATGCAGGCTTCACGATGACTTTGACTTGAAGCTTGACCTCTTGACTTGCGCTTTGGACGCCAATAGCGGTTACGTGTCAGACGGGTTTTTTCTGCGTTTCAATCTCCATTCCAACTGTCATCTTGCGACGTCATATGAAGACATTGATACAATAAGAAGGAAGGGGTTTGTACTTTAGAGCCCAGCATGGCACTTCAATAGGGACCCTTCGTTTCCCGGTCTCAACCATATTTCAGGTACTCGCTCGAGAGCGTTGAATTCAAAACCGACGCGCAAGCATGCCCGAACCATCTCTCGAATCCTTCTCCCAAAACTCCGCCGAAGTCGTCTACTGCCTCCTCGGCGCCCTCGCCCTCCAATCATGCTCCATCGCCATCCTCCGTCGATACCAGTACAACCGCGGCTGGTTACGGCTCCATGACGGGCGGTTCGTCGATATCCGCCAGCCGCGCGCGCGTCGACGGTCGAGTGTGGGGAGACGGGGCAGTACGTGGGGGCGAGACAGTGTACCGGGCACGCCGCCGAGCTTGACGAGGAGGAGGAGTATAGGTGGGGCTAACGGGAGCCCGTCACCCCGGAACCTGAGACGGCGGAGACGGAATAGTGTTGGGCCGGGAGGGAGTGGGTTGGGAGAGGTGGCGACCTATACGTCGGATGAGTCGGATGTGGACGATGATGAGATGTCGCAGCAGCCTGTTGTCGCGTTTTTGCTTTGCTCGATGGGATTGGCGTCGGCTTTGTCGGCGTTGTCTCTTCTTCCGATCACTGTAGCGTTCGTGAGGATGATGCCGCGGTCCCTGCTTGAGAGGTGAGTAAGCGCAAAATGTGGTTGTTGTAAAATAGCTGCGACCTGACGTCTCCTGCTCTTGCAGGTTCTGGAACTATTCATTCACGGCGTGCTCCATCTCCCTCTACGGCATCATGCCATACTGCTACCTCCTCCTCGAAGCCAATGGCCGAACCTGGTTCGCCCGGACGAAAGAATCCCTGCAAACCGCCGTCCTATTCTGGCTGCTAGGCGTCGGCTTCATCTACAGCACCACCCGAATCCTCGGCGTACAGGCGTTCATGGAGTCGCATCCGTACATGTCGGCTCTCAACATCCTCGTCAGCTTACCGTGCGGACTGGTGTGCGGATTTGCTACCCCGTACGGGGTATCCGAGATCTTTGGCATGACGAGCGCATACGCACTTCCCCTCAACCATCGGACACAGATAGCGAGTCAGATTACCGAATTGGAGTTTGAGATCATGGCCCTCGAGAACCAGCTTCACACCTCATCTTCATCTACGACAACCAACAACACCACGAGAAGAAAGTCTTCCATCTTCCCATCATCAACCCGCTCGCGCTCCTCATCACCAGCCCCGCGCAACAGCATCACCTCACCAGACGACCGCGCCCTCCGCACTCAAATCAAATCCCTAACCACCAAAATCGCCCTCCTCCGCAAAACCCAGGAGCTCAACCCTTTCATCCGCCTCCTCCTAGTCGGACTCTCCTACGGCATCTACATCACATGTTTCCTGTCAGTCATGCTCCGGATCCTGCTCAGTCTCGCAAACAACGTCCTGACCTCATCCAGTATCCGGCTATGGGGGTTCTCCACCGTAGATGTCAACGTGGTGGGTGAACCGCCACCGCTGTGGTGGGTATTGACCGAATTCCTCGGTTCGGCGTTCTTTACTGTCGCTACGGTGGTTGGGTTCTACGCGCTCGTTCCGCAGATCAAGTTGCGTCCGTATCGGACTACCGCGCGGCATTTGATTGCTAATGTCATGTTGTTGCTTGTTGTGGCGATAGCGCTGCCGCTTATTTGTAGGGCGTTGGGAGTTGCGGACACTGCTTTTGGGCCGTATGCGGAGGTGCCGTTGTTCAGTCAGCGGCCTTGGGCGATGGCGACTTACAAAGTAGTGATGCTTTGGCTTTTAGGGCTGCCGCGAACGCATGGGCGGTTACAGGCTGGAGCTAGGGGCCTTACACCTTCATCTTGAGTGGGGACGCCTCATCGGGTGGACGTATTGTATCATTTCTATGTATATCGGAATTCTGTAAAGCACGAAAAAACTAGGCCTACGCTACATCGCTGGGCACAGTTTCCACTGTGTAGTTCGCCTGCATATACTCTATGGCTTAGTCTGATTTGGCTGAGCAATGAAGGATAATATCTGTTCTGCGAACCAAGCGCTGTCTGCCGGATTGTTCACGCGCTCCTGTACTGCTTTCGCGACATCCTCGGAAAAGACGTTGGCGGCTTTCCTTGCTCTGAGAATGATCATTCATGTCAGTACCCTCAGTGCATAGTGTGCCGCCGGTCCATTACCTACTTGACGATTTCCATGACAACGCCGGGAACGAACTGAAAAGGACAAGTAAGTTGGCTCGGAGTCCTCCCATGGTGATATAACGCCCTTCATCCTCTCACCTCCGGATGCCCCTGCACGGTCAAGATCCGACCGTCCCGCCCAATCATCGCGTGCACAGGACACTTCTCGGTATATGCAAGGATCTCGAAGCCCGGTGGGACGGTGGCGACATGGTCTTGATGCATTTGTTGCAGTTTCTGATGTCGAGTTGTACGTGGAAGGTTGAGATACTCCACTATGGGACATCTTGCGCCGACCGCTTTCTTACCACGATCGTCTTGTCCGTGCCGAAGAGCTTCATCCCTCGCTCATTGAGCGACATCTCCGTCCACCCGACCTCCCAGCCCTTCGGATTCTTCACAACTGCGAAAACATGAACGGCACGCTGAGGATTGACTGCCCATCAAAACCATCTCAGGCGGGGCCACGCCTTCTTACCGCTTCCATCCAACGCCTGAGCTATGATCTGATGTCCGAAACATATCCCAACCAGCTTCGCGTCAGTTTTTTCACATATCTCAACCACGTAATCGCCTAAGCGTTTGATCCATGGGATAGTGTCCTTCTCATAGGCCGAGAACTCTGAAAGAGGGAGGAAGGAACAGCATCATTATCGGATTCTGGATGTGCGAAATAGGGCTTTGGTGGTGCAACGGGTTAGCCTTACTCGACCCGGTGAGAACGTAGGCATCGAAATCGGTGACATTTTCGGGATATTGTTCCAATGTCACATCGAAAGACGTCAATATAAAATCGATGGGTATTCTCATTTTTAAAGAGGTATGTGCCTAATAATCGGATACGGGTTAAAGCAGCGACATTGTCTTCGGCAGCTTCAAGAAGGTACTGACCTTCCTGAACAGCTCCTCAAAGAGCTTGGCTGCAGAGGTGGGACACAGCGAGAAAACGAGGTTAGCAGAGCGAACTCCAACGAGCCGTGTGATTCATCTTGCAGATGTACGTACGATAGTCCCCATAGTTCTCACATACGACTGCAAAGCGAGTGAGAGAATGGGAAATGAGCAAACGGTGACTGAACGTCATGACATCACGCCTGAGTTGCATCGAGCCATTGAGCCGCCCGCTGTCCTATCATACCTGGCAACGGCGTGTCGCAAACGAGCAGGGCAATCCTCAGCTGCTTCATTCTTCCCGGCGACCGTAGGGTTCTGAATGCAACTGTCCACGTCGGACTTCGACGGAGGAGTTTGAAAGAGCCAGCGTCACGCAGGGCGAGCAAGAGGAGCAAGACGCGTTACGGCTGGGGCTTCTTCCCACGGCGACGCTGCCCATTCCCACCCAATTGACAACACCGAACAGGACAAACCATACCCATCTTCATCCTGGCATCTTGCTCTGTTCTCCCGAGAGTACCTAGCTGAGGCGACGAAGCGAGAAGGACGCGTTTTCAGACCATCTGCGACGTGTCATTTGCAACACTGCCTGTCGCGTAGCGCTTTAGAACGGTGCGTTGGTGCAGACCTGCTTTTTGCGTTCGCCATTTCCAGTTTGCTAAACTTCAAACAGCAGTGCTCCCACAAATACCGGTAGTCGGCTTTGGAGACCCTCGGCCAGTCAGGTCATATCCACACTTCCAGCAATGCTCTCCGGCGGCTCGCCAGAAAGTCTGCCGGGCAGCTACCCTCGGTCGTCGTCAAAATCCTATGGCCCGCCCACCACCAACATGCCGTCAGGATATGCAGGGGGATTAGGGAAGCCCGGGACCCTCGGTGGTGGCATAACGATAGGGCCAGGGCAAGATACATTTGTGGGTGGGGTGGGACCGGGAGGGAGAAACACCGAAAAGGGCGTCGCGAACGTCTTGTTCAATATCAGCAAGAAGGAGACGATGACGCCGAGTAATGGGTTCAAGACGATGCAGAGAAGATTGCGCAATGGATTCAAGCTGGGACTGTGAGTTTGTTGTGCTGGTCGGATTGGGTCCATATGAAAGATGCAGGGTCTAATCTGTTATCAATGATATTAGCTTCAAGGAGGAGATGAGCGCCGCAAAGCTTGCGGATACGGATCTTCTAGTTTTTGGAGGGCCGAAAGAAAAGTTCACTACTGCAGAGGTATGTGAGGGTCCGTCACCAAATCGCTCGAAGCGCATATCGATTGACCCGTCTTCCAGTTCGCAGCGCTGAAAGCATATATGGACAATGGAGGTTCGATATTGTACTTAACGGGAGAGGGAGGGGAGGCAGCCCTGGAAACGAATTTCAACTACCTGCTGGAGGAGTACGGCATGATGGTCAATCCAGGTGCGCACAACTATGTGCCCCATGAATACGCATTAAGTTTTGCGCTTCGAACGCATTGGCTGACTCGGCGGCACGCCTCCCTCGGCAGATTCTGTAACGCGAACGGTGTACTACAAATATTACCACCCAAAAGAGGTCTATGTAGCGAACGGAGTGCTCAATCGCGAGATCAACCGAGCAGCGGGCAAGCGGGTGGGGGTGCTGGCAGAAGGGACAAACACCGTACCAGAAACTGGGAAGTTCAGTCCAAGGTGAGGTTACGTTCTTTGATCGAGTCATTGCCAACCTTGGGTCTGATTCAAGACGTCCAAAGCTCTTTGACATTCGTATATCCATTTGGCGCCACCCTCAACGTACAAAAACCGGCAATACCAATCTTATCGTCCGGTACCGTATCGTACCCGCTCAACCGGCCCGTGGGTGCGGCCTACGTAAATCCCGTAAGTTACCCTCAGAGTTCCCTCTTCGCCGTCACCACAGTCACTCAATGAAAAGCACGAAACAGAATGGGTCCGGAAAACTGGTGGTCGTGGCGTCCACGCAGATGTTCTCCGACACGTACATCGACAAGGAGGAAAACGGGAAACTGCTCGATGTCCTGATACAATTCTGCACATCAGGTACGCCCGCTCTGAATGCTGAACACAAACCGATCAGGTTACTAACTGTTCGTGAAGATAAGATTGTCCTCAATAGTATAGACGCCAACGAACCCGACGTAAGTCCCCACCTTTCCTTTCCACCCCATCTCGTACACAATCCTCATTCCTCGTAAACATCTCAGATCTCCGACTACCACTACCTCCCCGACACCGCCGAACTATCAACAACGCTACGGTCCTGCCTGCAGGAAAGCGAAGAGCTGCCAAAAGATTTCACGGCGTTATTCGATATGCAGCTGTTTCAGTTTGACGCCAAACTCGTGCCTGCGGCTGTGGAGATGTATGAGCAGCTGGGGTTGAAGAAGGAGCCGTTGACGTTGATACAGCCTCAGGTGAGACGGATGGTTTCGGACTACCAGCAAGCGTCTCGAAGCGCAGCTAATCTAGATTTGCACCCACACAGTTCGAAACCCCCCTCCTCCCCCTCACCCCCGCCACCTTCCCGCCCATGCTCGTCGACCTCCCCGCACCCTCTTTGGACCTCTTCGACCTCGACGACGCCTTTGCAAGCGACCGCGTGCGTCTCGCGCAGCTGACCAACAAGTGCACCGACGAGGATCTGGAGTACTATGTGCGGGAGTGCGGGGCGATATTGGGGGTGAATGAGCGGTTGGAGGCGGACAAAAGGGATGCGAAGCATGTGTTGGAGTTTGTCTTTAGGAGTGTGGTTGGGTGGAAGAAGTTGAATCAGGAGTAGGAGGCTCACGTTTTTGGACGGCTGGGCTGGGTTCTCCGCCGATAGTTTTGGGGTCCGCACTTTTTTTGTCGATTTTTTGGGCAAAACCGTACGCCACGTTACGTTTACGAAGGATAATCCCCATCCGTTTTGGTACCATGTTTCCGAAGCTCCATGGCTTGAAAATGTTACGCACCAGGACAGAGTCCGCAACGCTATGACAAAAATATCATAATTGAGAAACGAATGTAGCCTAAAACCACCGATTAAATTACTATATTCCACTGCTAATCCATACGCCATCCGAATACAACCTTACCACGTCCATCCAGCAGACGGGTCCCCAAGCCCGTACGCCACTCAACGTAGAGTCTACGCCGTGCGTCATCTAGCCAAGCACTCAATACCACCACCCACCAACGGTATGCAAAAGAATCTTCCCCGGCGAGATCTGTATACTCCCATTCGCAACCGTATAAAACCACGTCTTCTCCAATTTCGGCGTTTTCACACCGGCTTCCTTCCCCATATTCGCAACCGCAGCAGCAGCAGTGTCCTTCTTGGCGTCAGCGTCCTTCGACTGCTTAGACGTCCATTCCAAGAACCGCACGAGCAGCATCTCCCCGACTCCGCGGCTGTTGGTGTTTGTACCCCCGACGCCGGGGTTGGCGACACCGTCGTCTGGGCGCGGGAAGGTTTCTACTGTTGCGATGACGCTGCTCTTCTCGTCCGAGACGACGAGTTGGACGGCGATCTGGTTGTTCGCGACGGCCTGGTCGATGAGCTCCACGGCGGTTTTGTCGGTGCAGAGGTTGTATTCAGCTGGTAACCATTCGGAGCATTTTTGTGTTTTGCGGGGGAGGAGCGTGACAGGGTGCGAGGATGTGGATGGGTTGGAGAAGATTTCTTTCGCGGTATGGAACGCGAGGGGTTTGGATATGGCCGTCTTCTTGCCCAAAGCCGGGTTTCTCATCGCCGCTGCCAGCTCCTCCTTCTCGCGCGCGAACCCCCTCACCCACCCACGACAACTTTCGGCGTTGCTTTCCCCAACGCAATAGTGTGCGCGGCCGTCGTGGACGATCAGCAGACGGGTGTCGGCCCATGAGGGGAGTTGCCAGGGGGCCAGGACGGTGGAAATGCCCGGGGCGTGGATGGCGGAGTGGGAGTAGCAGCCTTCGGTGAGGGAGAGCCAGTCGGAGGGGTTGGCAAAGGTGGTGAGAAGGGCGGGGATGGAGGAGAGCGATTTGCAGTGTTTCCAGAGGGTGGTGATGTCGGACGGGGTGGGGCGCGGGTTGGTGGTGACGGACTTCTTGACGGGGGAAGGTTGGGTTGTGCGGTAGTTGTGTACGGTGAAGGAGCTGCGGAGGTACAGGCGCCAGGCGTCGCCTTCGTGGGCGGTGAAGAGGTCGGCGTCTTTGATGAGTTTGTTATCCATCCAGCGACTCAGGTCTCCGACCGCGGTGCCTACATCAATCCACCCCCACGAATCGCACCGGTCTGACGAGACTTGCTCGGCAAAGAGTGTGCCCCAAGCACCACGCAACTGGTCAATAACAGACCCACCGCGGCCCTCGAACGCGCGGAGTCGGCGCTCGAGAGTATCGCACTCCTGGTCATATCCTTCCCAACCCAATGCCAAATCTGCCGGCGGTTCCCGGCCCAGGGCCTTGCAGAGACGGTCGGTAGCCAATCCAGCGAATCCACGGTATGAGTAACTAGGGTGAATATGCGAAATATCGATGATCTTAACGTTCGGTCTCTGCATATCGTGAGGGAAAGACGCCTTTGTCGTGTTGTGCACAAACAGGTGAAGATCTGCATACGGCGCGTTCCTGGCAACGCTATCCACCAAAACGGTTGCGTAATCGGGGAACGCATCGTTCTGTCCTTCGTATGTCGCTATCAGGCAAAGAGGGGTCTTCTTCGGTTGCAAAGGCGAGACGCCCGATCCAGTAACCGCAAACGTGGGGTCCAGCAGGAACTCACGGATCCGCTCAGCAGCCCGCAGCTGGATAGACGCATTGTAATGCAAAGCGTGAGTTTGCCAGTATCGCGAAATGAGGTCCTTCATATTCGTAGCGGCCGATATGTAGAGCATAGCTTTAGCATCGACCGCTTCGTCGTATGCCCGGCGAGCGGCAAGATCCGCCATTTCCGCCTTTTCCGCCCATTCGTACACTCGCGACAGGGCGCGGCCGGTTATTCCCTTCGGGAGGCGACCGTTGAAGAAGGAGGATACTACTGGGACTAGTGCTGGGTCCACCCCTGACGGTCGGGGGAAGGTTGTTTTCGAGGGTGGTGGGAGGACAGCGGCGACGACGGGTGGGACTTTTGCGTCGACAGCGGCTGCGGCGGGTTCCTCTATCCCGTTCGCTGCGGCTATATCCTCCAACACCACATTCTCCTGCAATGCCTGTTCGAATGACGCCGAACTCCGACGGCCGGTAAGGAAGTAGAGCAGACAGAGTGCCGTGACGAGTCCGAATATAAATTTCGTCCTGAAGCGGAGACCCATCGAGAGGCCGGAGACCAACGGGAGGGGCATACTGTGCGAGGTGCAAAGACGGGCGAGGGCGGTGGTTTTCGGACCGATTGGTTCTATGAAATAATGAGGTTGTGGAAACACTAAGGCAGTCCAACGCATGGGGCGGCGGGGGGAGTCACTTTCCCCTCCAAGACCCCGGCCGAACGTTGATAGTGAGTGAGGTGGGGGGTGGCTCAACAACGATGCGGCGAATTAAGCGTATCGTTGCCAGCAAGACGGAAGGGCCCTGTGTTGCTGTTGAATCGTTGCGCTGGAAAAGGAAAGGCCGCAAAACGGCGAAACGCTGCTGTCAAACGCGTGGTGTGACTCACCATTGCACCCCAAACTCCGCTCCATAAGAGGCTTGTTTTGGGCAACTACCACTGCTCAGGGCAACCACAGTGCAAGACAGACATAGGGCATAGGGCAAAGTGGCACATGAAAGAACTGAGAGAGTACTCTTCCATATCTACACAGAATCATACACACATCAAGCAGGGACGGGGAAGGAGAGAAATAGGAAGACATGCAAAGAACACTCAAATACGGGAGGGGGGAATGGGATACGCCGATACGTCGTAAGCAGAATGAAAACGCAGGAGCAACATCACTCAAATAGACTCAGGATCTCGAAAGATGTCCAGGGGGGGTATCGTAAGAGCGGTGGTGAACGCATGGAGGGTATACGGTTTGGCTTGTCCACGAAGCGGCGGTGCGCACGATGTTTGCGGTCGTCCACCGTTGTCATGGTCGTGGTTGAGGGACATGCTCTCCGAAAGGACTGTCCGTTACCAGCCTCCATTAGCCGGAGCTTCGACCTCCCACACCAGCGGTCTCTCCCCGTCCTCTCCTGGGCCGCGCGGACTCAGTTTCTCGTACAGATCCGCAAACAGCTTATCCAGCATATCGTAGTCGGGCGTGTCGGTGAACTTCATTCCACGCGCATATTCGAGAAGTATTCTGAAGGCGTCGGGGAGACCGGATACCAATTCTGATATGTACGCTTGTTCTTTCATCGCTAGCGCTTTCTTCCAGCCGGCCCCAGGATTGTGGGCTCGGAGGTTGGACCATGGGAGACGTCTGGAAAATATAAAAAAGATGTCTCAGTAGAGTTTTCGACTTTTCTGCTTTCGACCCAAGCCTTACCCTTGCACCAACTCAATGAGGACATATGCTAGGGACTCAAGGTCATCCCTCCTCGAATGCTCTAATCCTCGATGTACGTTGAGCGACGCATATCGAGCGGTTCCAGTCTTGGATCGTTTGATATCGATCTTCTTGCCGGTGACGTGCTTTCCAGCTTCGTCTATGAACCACTTCGCCAAGCCGAAGTCTATCATGTATATTGTCGGCGACTGGCTGATGTCGTCGCCGGCACGGCCAACGCAGAACTGCCCCGATTTCTGAATGCATACAAACTTAGCACGCGAGCATCGGCTGAAATAGTTCGAAGCAGGGCAAACTCACCACGTCGCGAAAGACTATCCCTCGATCATGCAACGCCCTCAGCCTCCGCAACGTCTGCACCGCACAGTACACCACCGTCCGCAGCGGTAACCTCCCTCCAGGCGAGTCGAAGTGAAGGTCCTTCAACGTTGGTCCCAAACGCTCCATCACAATGATATGATACGGCCCCTCAATGCCTCCATACTTGATTTGTGGGAATCCTTCGACGTGTACGAATTCTTGATACATTCCATCTGAGTAAGGCAAGCGTGAGAATCCTGTGTATATTGGGGGAAGACGAATCGAATGTGCACTCACATTCGTGTTTGATCAACGGATAGGGTGCTGAGGCCAGTTCACGCTTGATGGCAACCTTTTCCTGGGTTATCACGTCCTCTCCTGCGAACACATCGCCGAAAGAGCCTGAACCGATTTTCCGCTGTTAAGGTGAACAAGCAGCCCTGGAGGTTAGCATTCCTCGACAATTTTCGACGCAACCTTGTAAGAAGCTTCAATGTAAACACTTACGGAAACGTCCCACCGATCAGCTATCCTCACAACCATACTCTTTTACCAGTTAAGCACAGTGACAGCCTTGCTTTGTAGGTAGGCGCAGCGAGAATACGAATTGACAGGAGTTAGGGAATGGAGCGGCAATTGCTCTACGAGACGGTATATCTATCGTACTGTGGTTCTCGAGAGCACTATGGAAAGGACTCGCACAGCAGGGAGCTGAGATATAGATCGGCTTCCAACCTCCGAAGGGAAGAATGAAGTGCCTTCCTGGGGTCTTAAAATAGCACTGGAGCGTTATTGAAAGGCGGGGGAGCGGGGCTCGTGGGAAACGCGTGAGGCAAGAGACTGTATGATCTTGGGCAGGCGGCAGCAGCCGCTATTTCTCATCGGCCTTGGGGGTCACATTTCACGCCGTTGCTTCACCCGGGGAGCACATAGCACTAACCAGGATGAGGACAACAGCAATACTGCCCAAGCGGGCCTCCATATGGCTCCTCCTGCTAGCCCTCTTCACCTTCTCGCCAGCGAGAGGCAGCGCAAACGTTCCTTCAGAAGAAGAGTACGTTGCCGTCGACAAGCTCGTCAAGCACCTCGAGCCATCCAAGTTTACGGAGACGGTAGCGACCGGGGCCCACTTGTTGTTCTTTGGGTCTAACTTCTGTGGACATTGCAGAGCGTGAGTATGGAGTGTCCTTGTTTTGCGCTGACGAGTTCCGATGGTGAAGATCGTCTAACCTATGTTTGTGGTAGGTACACACCGGTTTGGCATAAAGCTCAAGAACGTGTGGAGAAGCTTGGGCTGAAGATCAATATCGCCAAAGTGGAATGCACAGGCAGGCCGGAGAACGAGGGTATGTAAGAGGAATCTACAGTTAGGTCTGGAGGCGAATAAGTCGAAAGTAAGGCCTGGTTCCCCTAGATCTATGCCTGGACCAGAAGATTCTCAGCTACCCAACAGTCCGTCTCTTACACGACGGCAAAGTGCTCGAGGAGCCCCAGGATGTGCGTCAAATCGACAAGCTGAACGCCTACATTGATCAAGCGATCCTGAAAACCTCTACCGATGAATCGAAGCTGGAGGCGCTCAAAAACATTATTGGGCAGCGTGCGGAGTTGGACGAGAAAAAGACCAACCCGGATGGTCAGATGGTGCATCTGACCGAGGCAACCTTCAAATCGCTGACCAACAATGTACCATGGTTCGTCATGTTCCATGCGCCATGGTGTGGCCATTGTAAGCGACTGAAGCCCGTTTTCGAGGAACTCGCGCCGTTGATGAAGGGCCAGATCAACATCGGGGGTATCAACTGTGACGAGAACGGGAAGCTGTGTCGCGAACATGGGATCAAAGGATACCCCACCGTCAAGCTTCTCGATTTGCCGGGCACGGAGGTGGATTACAACGGAAAGCGTACGCTGGAAGCATTGAAAGAATACGTCCTGGAGCACATGGGGACGCAACCTTTCCACGTTGTGAAGTCCGGGGAGATCCCAAAGATTCTGAAGGACAACGAAGTGGCGTTCTTCCTTGCTTTAGGCGAGAAGTTCACTAAACACGCAGACGCCATCAAAGCCTACAAATCCGTAGCCTCCTCACTGCGCAGCGACGCCAAATTCTACATGACCATCGACCCAGCGGCGAACACTTTGCTGAAGGTCTCCGCCCACGGACCGCATCTGGTTGCCATGAAAGACCATGGGGCGACGGCCATTAAATACGTTGGTGATTATCACAACAACGACGATGGGCGTCGGTACTTGCGCAAATTCGTGTCCACCCACCGTCACCCGCGTGTCCTGACTTTGGATTCAGATACCCATAAAGAGATCTTTGAAGGGGACAATCTTGTTGTTATGGGTATCATGGACCCGTCGGATTCGCGCAAGCCGGACCTCCTCAAATCTCTCGGAGAGGCGTCGACTGCTCGCGGGAAGGCTGAGGCGAAGGATAAGGACTCGAAACCGGTTCTGTTTACCTGGTTGGATGGTGTGAAGTGGGATACCTACGTTGATGGTATTTACGGCGTATCTCGGGGAAAGTATCCGTATCTCATTGTTGTGGACTCGAAGGTACGGTGTGCATCAGTAGCTACTGGAGATTTCTGGTTTACTCAAGTTCCTTTATCGTAGGAGGACAAGTTCTACACGGTCCAAAAGTCCGGTCAGCCCATTGGCTTTGAGAAAGCCTCGGTCTTGTCAGCAATCGAGGACATCCTGGACGGCAAAGTGGAGGTATGCTAAAACCTCCATGAACTTCACAACTCGCTTTTCTCAACAGGATTTGTATGCTCAATCCACCCCTTCTGCCCTCATTTTCTCCACATCCGCAGCCAAAATACACATCGAACGTCCTCATTCGGTTAGGGCGCAAAGCTGTCACAGGGGTTGGCCACGCCGTGGTACGTTACTGCCTTTCATTACGTTGAGCCTCGCACAGTGGAGTCCTGTGTCTGATAATCCTTCCGTGCAGGCCGTAGCACGGGACAACTTCTTCCTCCTCTCATGTTTCGGTGTTGTTATGGCACTGGCTTACATTTTCGAAGCTATCCCGGGTATGCGCAAAGCGAGGCGTACTCCCAAAGGGGAGTAGATTGCGTTTACGTTTGGCAACATTCTGTTTTTGGCTCTTCACCTCGTCAAAGCGTATAGTCCCCACGATAGTCCCCCATTAGGCATAGCTTCATAGTACCGACTTACAGAGCATACCCAACGGTATGGATCCGATTCCCTGACGACAACCATTGCTTGTAAATTCCTACCCTGTCCTTTGGAACAACCTGCATGAACTTCGGTTCAATAGCACTTGAGTCATACTTTGGGTTGGGCCAGACTGAGTGCAGCGTTGGAAGCAGACTGTCTCTCCGGACCAACCGTAGACAGCACGCAGACGCTCCGCTCCCGACCGCACTCCTCAAGGGCATCCAAACAACCCATCAAATCGTTCTGAACATGTTGTATTCTGCAAAAGCCATCGTTTTGCATATAGTCTACGAAAAAAACTCTCGCTGGTATACAAAGAAAGGGTCCCATCATTCCATTCCTATCCGCTCTCGATGGGCTCTACCAGAATGGTCGCTCGAGTTCCCATGCGCTGTTGGTCAGGAACGCTGTCGGTGCCTCTACTTCGGCCTGCAAGGAGATGTTTGTTGAGTACGTGATTGGCGTTGGGGATTGAGTGTGTGAGTAACTTACCCTTTGGAAGTTGACGTTTCCGGTCAAGCGACTGTCCCGCTCCATCATGCGTCGGTCCCAGCGGTCGACGTTCCATCGTTTCGGCTGGAGTATGAAAGAGTTGAAGGGAATGTTCGTTAACGGTAATTCCCGGTGACGGATCCGACCACTTGATAGGCAGCTGGTTTCAAGTTGGAATCCACAGTCCTCAGTCGGTCCCTTCTCATCCGACGGTCCCCTTCCGTCCTCCATCTTCCCCGTCCCTTCGACTCCTGTGTAAAGTGTATGTGTCCGCAAAATACGAACCTTTCCGTAGTTCTCGTACTTCTGATATGCCGCCAGCCCAGACTTCATGACCCAGCCCATTCCCCCGATGAGGAGGAGCGGGAAGAGGGGCTCTATTGGGACGATCCACCGTTGGCCGGACATTGCTGTGAGATGTTGTTCGTGCGGACTGAGTTGAATGAATTGTACGAAAGCTGCTCTGAATCGGCCCTGAATGCTGCTGTCCGTTTGCCGTCTTCTTGAGGACGCGCTCGTTTCGACTTGTTGGCTTCACGATTGTATTTTTTGGAGGAAGGCCCTGGGAGATTGCGACAACTGTATCAGGCGACAAGGGCGCTACATACAGTACTTTGGTCTCCCTGAGATACCTCGTTGATCGAAAGCCACCAAGTCAACCTGTAAATCGACTACTGAACGAAAGGCTGTACCGTGCTCATTCCTTGCAACGACGTAGAATATGGAAACGCCAAGAGCGGCCAACCATCTTGAGGGCGGGAAGCTTCCTCCAATACCCCGCAAACCACCACAGCTAGGAGGAGATGCAAACGCCGCGCCCTCTTCCAACGCTGCTCCGTTAATCACATACAAGGCGCCCTCGAATAAAGAGCTCCCAGACATCACGACCCGCAAAGGTCCGGCGGAAGGAGCAGGAAAGGCCTCAGCTACCAACGGCGAAGGAGCGAAGAAAGCTGGTGGAAAGAAATCCGTATCCATTGACAATCTCCCCGCCGCAGCCCCAGCGCCAGCACCAACAGCGGTCCCGGTATCAACACACGGCCCGGCCCCCAAAACACGAAAGTTCAAACTAACCGAAGCGCAAACACGGGAGATCCGGGAAGCCTTTGATCTGTTTGACGAGGACGGGTCGGGGGAGATCACGGGCAAGGAGTGGCGGGTAGCGATGCGGGCGATGGGTTTTGAGTCGAATAGCGAGGATGTGAGGAGGATGTTGGATGAGATGGATGATGATGGGAGTGGGAGTGTTACGTTTGCGGAGTTCTTGAAGTTGATGGAGCGGAAGATGGTGAGTGGTGGTATGTTGTTCTTCGGGGGCCTTCATCGACCATCCATGGACTGAAAGCAATCCCGCCAGCTAGGCAGAGAAAGTCGCCCGCGAAGAGATGGTCAAACTCTTTCAATACTTTGTAAATCCCGCTCTTGGCGAAACCGGGGCATCCGGCGGGCGTGCGCTCATCAACGCACCAACCGCCGACAAACTGCTGCAGCAGCACGGAATCATCCCGCAGAGGATAGCCGCGAGCGATCTACGCACTATCGCTGCTGTTGTTGGGGAGCATTTGACGGAGGATGAGATTCGCGAGATGTTGGAGGAGGCGGATAGGGATGGGGATAAGGAGGTTACGGTGGAGGATTTTATTCATGTGATGAGGAAGACGGTAGGTTGCGCATCTCCGCATATCCTTTTGAAGTGATGACTGATGCAAACGTCTTTCCCAGACGCTATGGTAGACGCCATTTATTAAGACCGATGGTAGACAGGGGTGAGCGGCCAAGGTCCTTTTCATCAGATGGGCTCGGCGATCGCCTATTGATATGTATGCAGTTTTTGGACACCATGGTTTTGGGAGTTGTTTTTTGGCAGACTACCTATGAATCTATATATCTTCGTGATGTGTATGAGCACATGAATGTACATACATATTGAAGAACCAGCGCAGCTTGCTCGTGTCCTTGGGACTTCTTCCCGGACGCATTCTTCAAGGGGTACCTTCCAAAAGTGACGGGTAAACTTTCTTGAACGAGATTGTGGTTGACGCTCGCTACTTGTCTCCCTACGTGGTTAGCCAAGAATGGACGAAGCATGGACAGCGATGCCAACGGCATGTCGGTTTGTGTCCAGTATTTCTGTGCTTCCGCTCGCAGAAAGGAATGATGCGGACAGAGAAACGTGGACAGACACCATGGCAACGAAAATTGCTCAATAACGGCCATGGATGCATTAAAAACTGTACAGAAATGCTAAAAGTACTCATTACAATCGATAAGAGTCCAGGAAGGGGTTGTGGGTAAACTTGAGGACGGGGACCGTTTCCAATCCCCAGTGGCCTCGTTAGCGCCCTCAGCTATTTACTGGGCGCTGATCGCGGGCTGACCTCCCTGGTTAAGACGCTTGTTGGCAAGGTCCTTCTTGTCCTCGACATCGAAACGACGGAAGAGAGCGTAGAAGATGCACCCGGCGACGAAAGCGACGATCGCAACGGATGCGTACAACCAGGTAAGGTGGGGGTCCACGGCGAGAGGGGAGATGAAGATTCCAATCAGGGAGGCAACGGCGTTGGGGAACAAGGACAAGGCGCTGACGACGGCCTTGAGGTTCTTGGGCGCGTGGGTGTAGGAGTACTCGAGGGATCCGATACTGGCGAAGATCTCGGAAAGGGCGATCAGCGCGTACGGGATGATTTGCCACGCGACGGTCACCGAGTTCTCCTCGTTGTTGTAGATGGCGTTTTGGATGACGGCGGCCGCGACCATGGCGAGCGCGCCGAGGAAGAATCCGATTGTGATACGCAGCATGTATCCGAAGTGCATATTCCTCCGAGACAGAGCGGGGTAGATCAAGTAGTCGAAGATGGGAATGACGAGGACGAGGAGAAGGGGGTCGAGGATGTTGACCAAGTCGTTGTTCAACCAACCGGGGCGGTCCATAACACCGGCTTGCGAGATGAGGTTGTTCAACATTTGGTTGTAGGAAATCCTGAAGGAGAGTTTACAGTAAGTGTCGTGTAACATGATGCTCGTTCCGATCGAAGGTTCACAGGACATACCAGTAGAAGGACATGAGAGGGAAGATCGAGCACGCCTTCAATCCAGCACGCAGTTCGTCGGGGAAGGATGGTGACCATGTCCGGCGAGAAGCTAGTGAACGGAAAGAGGGGTTAGCGTCAAATCTTTACATATCGAATGGGAATTTCAAGAAATACAAACCTTCGGCTTGCGATTCACCCTCGATGGGTTTGGCGTACTCCAGGAATGCAAAGTTGGTGCCAGCCGGAACAGGGCGAGCTCCAGGGTGCGACCGACGGCGGACAAAGGCGTACCTGATGCACCTCCAGGCTTCGAGCAGCACGGATCCGCGAGGAGCGACGTGGATGTAGCGCTTGCGGCCGGACACGAAGACGCAGATGGACAAGAGGAACATGCAGGATGGGAGGAGGTATGCTTTCCAGAAAGCCTCACGCTCCAAGAAGACGCAGATGGTTTGGCCGAGCAAGGCGCCGATGTTGATAGCCCAGTAGAACCAGTTGTACAAGTGCTGCACGGTCAAATCGGGGTCGACAACGTATTTCTTTCCCTTCTTCTCAACTACGTAAGGCTCGGTAGGCACTTGATCGGCACACATCGGAGAGACTACGGACTTGATACCACCGGCACCCAGTCCAATAACGGTGATAGCAATCACGTAACCTGGGAAGGCAAACCCGGAGAACCTAGGCACCGCCTCATCGTAGCCGGTTGGCACGGACGTGGCCATCAGGAAAAGCCATCCGACCAGGTAGATGATACTGAATGACACGATCGTCCGGAATTTGCCGAGGTATTGGTCGGCACAGATGGCGCCGATGAGGGGAGTGAGATACGTGAAGAAGGTGAAGTAGTTGCTGAGAGCTGTGGCCGTGCTTTGGCCGCGGCCTAATGCACCGGGGACTGTGTCACTGGAGCCATCAATAGGCACAGGAGCCGTTGGGCCCTTGCTCACGTAGTTTTGGAAGGTGTTGGATGCGCCGTAGTACGCGAATCGTTCGCAGAACTCGTTCATGACAATGAGCCTATTGTACGGGTCAGATCAGTATGTGATGTCCATGCGCACGGCGAGAGCAGTTAGTCAACAAACGCACCAGGCAGCAACGGGAATAATTCCACTGATGTGAGGAAAGTGCCCAAAGAAGCCCTCGTTCTCGGGAATATGGACGGCTTGATCCATCTTGTCATCCTTGCTATACGTCGGAGTGGCCTCGTTCGGGTTGAACTCGTGGAGGGTCTTTTGGCTGACCGCTTGCGCTTTCGCAAGGTCGCGAAGGTCCTGTTCTTGGGACATGGTTGGAGCGCTAGAACGGTCGAGGTTGAAGCTATGTGATGCAGTAAGGTATGAGGTTGCCTTTGCGACGAACGATCAACGCTAAATGTCGCTAAAGGTCGCGGCCGTGCGGGATGTCGCCCGTCTTTTATATCTATAATGCATGCCCACAGCTGAAGTGGGAGCAGAGGGGAGGACGCCGATCGCCGTTGTGGGATCACCCGCCGCTGTGAGACACTCGCTGACTTTTGTGAGACGGGGGGGGGGGAAATCACGCGTAAACAAACAATCTTGACTGCTATCGCGGCTTGCGGGCTTATGCCCCCCACGCCACGAAAGTTTTGGCAGCGACGCCCCTTGACATGGATTCATCATCAGCAGAGACAGGGAGAACGACGCCCAATGCCCAGAACGCCCAAGTGATGAGATCAGAAGGGGACAGCGGGGGCAGGGGTCGGCCAGCCTCTGACCTTGAGCGTTGCGAGAGGCTTCCTGACACCGTTCCAGCACTGGCAGTTCCTTTGTGGCTTTTCGCGTAGCGCGCATGGTGACGCGCCGCAATTTACCCCAAGGGGCCAACTTGGGTGTTACACCCACACTTGGATTTAGAACATGAATTAATGGAAAATTCGCTTCGCGTTTCATCAACTTCTCCATCAGCACACAAACGCAACGATAAGATCCGTAACTTGATCCCTGACTGTCTGAGGTGTTATGGTCACACACGCTTAACGCCGGGACTTATCGTAGCATTATGCCCGTAAGAGCACCCAGGAACAACCGAGAAGGCGGGACCAACTGAATCCCGGTGTCCTTTAGTAATTCGGCAACAAGTGTCGATTTCACTCAACCTCTCTGTATTTCAATTGTCAATTTCAACCAACCTCTCTGTCTTGCCTGCATGCAGTGTTGATGGAACATAGCGGACTTCCACTTCACAGGTTAATTCAGTGCTACGTCCTGTACGAAGACCCGCCCCGTGGCGACCTGTCAGTGACCCACAGTCCTCGATGCAGCCCGCGAGCGTCTTCCGCGGCCGGCGGCAGGCCGCACGGCGAATATGTCCCGTATGCAGCGCGTGGGACTTGGTCTGGCCCTATATATGTAGTCCCACAGAAAATATTCGAAGAGAAGGGATTGGAGTTCGGGAGTGCAGACGCTTTCTGCGTGAGATTTTTTTCTACTAAATGGCTTGAGTTTCCATCCAGGTCAAGCCCCACTCGTGCAAAAATGGAATAAGGTTTATTCGGTCAAACCTAAACACTATTTTCAGCGCCACTACGAAATCAACGCTCTTGTCGCTGGACCAACGCCTTCTCTCGCAAAGACCGCAATTCCAAACCCCATCGGCGGTCAGTCGAGTCCTGCTCAAGATATCAGGACATCATGCGGCAGCGGGAACTGGTTTGACACGTTATGCCCTCGTCACACCAATTTTCTGGTACTTTTACACCGCACAAGATATTTACGTGTTTGTCCAACGGTTAGCTCTTGTCTTGGGTTGGGTTGCTTTGCCCTCGGATATCGTCTCGCATTCGGGCACTCGGGAAGATTGTGTTGTTGGCCGTGAGGGGTACGATGTTGCTGGCGCTGGACCGAATGGATGCGCAATCTTCGAAGTGACGATATCATCTACGACAAAGAAGACCTTTCAACAAAGCTGTGCACTCGGCGCTGGTCACCGACGCTCTAGAACTGTGTTATGTATACCGGGACAACCAGAAACATATGCCGTGTGAGGATAACGACAAATAATCCATTCCCACCAGTCGGGGTTTCGGTGCAAGTTCCAACCATTTCCCGTCGGTTTACTATTCATGGTGGAATGTATATCCGTACCAGTCACCTATCGTTCGAAGGATCGTCCTCCGTCTTGCCGCAAATATTGGATGTCGGGACTTCAACGTTCCTGCTGGAGTTCGACCTCGAGGGAGACTTGGCAACACATGTCTCGATACGCGCCTTGTTCATATTGCCGGGGGGGTAACGAGCGCGGATGCTCCGGTATTCATTGCCTTGGCCTTCCCGCGTGAGGTGTAAATCTACGAGCATTACCGAAGTGATGTCACATATGACTGGCGCTTCAATCCGACTCTGACTCAAGCACCCCTCATTGACTTGACAGCAAACGGGAAACATCTGCTCTTTTTGATGGAGGACGTAAAGCTTTTCAGTTGAAAGGATGGCGACAGTGGCACCGCGCTCGCCAAGCTCGATATTGTGGACCCCGCAATGACTACCCGCACGTTCGTTGTTCAGGGAGAAAAGGGTAAGGGCGAAGTGTGGGTGGCAACTGCCGATGGACGCGTGAAGTGGTTTATGCTCTGAGTGCCACCTGTTCCGATTGCATTGTTCGTAGAACTGCCTTAAGCGTACTGTTTGCTTGAGAGTATTGGACGGGAGTGTGATATAACGTAGATTTCCGTGTAGGACTTTAGTGAGTTCGTCGTTTCCCCTCCGAAAGCGTCCAATTCATATGTGTTTCAAAGCTGGCATAATCCATGTTCGCCTGTTCGATCTGCATGCGACAAGATTCGAATTTACCGTGGTGCGAATGTTAACACCAAATTGACGGCGCGCCTTACTGTCAGAACCGTCGGTATCAGCACCAGGTGCAGGGTGCCGGAAATCCCGCCAGTAATTACGACTCGACGAGATCAAAATAAATAAACGCCCTCTTGTCCCTTTGTAGTGGGGTCCCTTCGTCGTCAGGTGTATGATCGGGGCGCTGCACGCGGCCCCATCATGGTGACATCACAAGAGCGTACCAATTTGGATGTTTCTCCGGTCACCTGATCAAGTGAGATCATTAAGCTGATTTATCTGCAACTCTTTCTGTTGAGTATCACGTGAATCCATCCCATACTTATTAAACTTGGACGGGAATGAAATCGCGGCTGGACCTCCCCTTGTCGAAACCAATTCGACATCCTGCAGTTTATATCTAGAAAATGGCACATTCGAACGGACAGGGAGCAAGCGGAGGGGCCGCTGTAGAGGCCGCACAGCAGCCTCCACAACTCGAAGAGCTCGTGAAAGCTTCCATCAAGCGCACTCACGACATTTTCATTGCCAACTTCGGACTGCCTGCGCCTGTAGATCCTCCAAGGTAAGAACGGTGATCTGCTAGGAAGAAACCCTAGGAAGGTACTAAAGGCTCATATACTTTAGCCAGAGGATTAAGCTAGCGTCAAAGATTGTGGATGAGTGGGAGCAGGTGAAGGATTTACCAAAGGCGGTAGTGGAGGAATCCAAAGCGACGGCGACACGGGCAGCAGCTGCAGGGGCATCACAAGCGAAAGCCAAAGGGGCAGGGATTTCGGAAGCGTCAGATACAGCGGTACAAGACCTCATTGAAGCAGTTACTACGAATCAGGATCAACGGTATGGGGAATTGGTTGGTCGCGATATAAACGATGCAGATTTGTTTGGCTTACGGGCCATATCTCGCTCTTGGGTATACAGGAAGGGGGCGAATGGCGCATCAGGGGCGCTGACATTACGGAGTCAATCGAAGCCAATATCGCAGACATACCCTGCCGAATCTGCATCGGCGCTTGTGCGCATAAGAGAACCACGGAAGGTTCCGAAACCGAAATGGCATGCACCATGGAAGCTCATGCGCGTAGGTTCTGGGGCGGATCTTCCTTCGTGGGAAAAGAGCGGACGTTTGACATTGTGGTCGATGGTTTGCAGGTCATCGCAGGGCATCTGGGTTGGGTACGATCCGTGGCGGTGGAACCTGGAAATGAGTGGTTCGCGACAGGGGCAGGAGACCGGGTCATTAAGGTGCGCTTCGAGATGGATCCTTCTTGGCTGCATTCCGTACGCAGGAGGACTGACGAACGCCTGGATTTAGATTTGGGATCTTGCGTCGGGAACGCTGAAACTGACGTTAACCGGCCACATTTCGGCTGTGCGAGGTCTTGCCGTGTCTCCGAGGCATCCTTATTTATTCTCGGCAGGGGAGGACAAGATGGTCAAATGCTGGGATTTAGAGTACAACAAGGTTATCCGGCATTACCATGGCCATTTGAGTGGCGTGTATACCCTGGACCTGCACCCGACGCTGGACATCATGGTCACTGGTGGCCGAGATTCTTGTGCTCGGGTAAGGTCATCGACCGATTGATGAGAGCGAACATCAGGCAAATGCTCATCCAGATTTCAACATAGGTGTGGGACATGCGAACCAAAGCACAAATTTTCGGCTTGACAGGGCATGAATCGACAGTATCAGACGTGAAATGCCAAGAGGCGGATCCGCAAATCATCAGTGCCTCCATGGACTCCACCGTGAGGCTATGGGATTTGGCTGCAGGGAAGACCATGACGACACTCACACACCATAAGAAAGCCGTGAGGGCGCTCGCCGTGAACCCGAGCGAGTTTACATTTGCGAGTGCAAGTCCGGATAACATCAAGCAATGGAAATGCCCAGAGGGACAGTTCATGCAGAATCTGGAGGGGCACAATGCCATTGTGAATACGATGGCTTGTAACCGGGATGGTGTGCTCTTCTCAGGAGGTGCGTTCGTAGTTGCACACGGGCTTCACATGCTACGTCAAAGCAGCTCACTTATTGTGTGACCCTTAGGTGACAACGGCTCAATGTACTTCTGGGACTACAAAACCGGGTACAACTTCCAAACGGCCGAGTCGCTGGTCCAGCCGGGGTCGCTGGAGAGCGAAGCGGGTATCTTCTGCTCTACCTTTGACAAAACGGGGTCACGTTTGATCACCGGTGAAGCCGATAAGACGATCAAGATTTGGAAGGAGGATGAGAATGCGGTGAGTTCTGCCCCCTCTCCTGCACTGAAGTTGGCTTTAGTTTGTCCGCACGTGTTCTGATAATCTCCTTTCAATACAGACGCCAGAAACGCATCCGGTCAATTGGAAGCCGAAGTTGGGGCGGGGAGGCTTTTGAGCTGGCCGGTCTCGCCGCGAATCCCACCTGTATTTTCTTGTACATATTCATGATATACTTCTGTTCCGCGTGGAGGAACGAGAAGCTCGTTAAACACTGGGGTCTTGAAGGATGCGTGCATTTGTGCCGACACCTGAGCCACTGCACATGTGACATGGTTCCCGATTGAGGATACGCCCTATGGAGATGCATGATGGGACATCGGCATACTTCGGAGAGTATGCGGTGTATGTAATGGTATTATGAGCACTCAGAAATAGCGACAATTGCGGATGATCACTTCTTGGCCGGCGTCTTGGGGGCGAAGAAGTTAGCAAGTCCTTGACTGATGTCAGGCAACTCGAGCTGCGGAGTCGGTTCCACGGGTTCCTACAGATGCAGGTAAAGAGATTCAGTAAGGATGTCGCATTTCCATACGATATGAACGGATAGGATGAGTCTTACCTGCGCCGCCGCATCAGCCGCTGCTATATCTGCACCAGCCGCCGACAACTTTGGCAGAACGAACACCAGCAGCATGGATACTCCCGACATCAAAAGCATAGGATTTGAAAGGAGGGACATGAAGTTGAATGCCTCACGAGGCTAGAAAGTCGCCAACAAAACGATTCAGTATACCATTTCCCCAACAGAATAATCAACGACATATCAACTCACCACAAAGAAGTCGTACTTTCCCCTGGCCGGTAGGGAGAGGGGAGTCAACAATGGTGGGCCTGGCCGCTTCCAATCTGTGCCGGCTGGGGATACGTAGGCCATAATGCCGTTCGACGAGACTACGACTCGGACCTTTCATGGAATTCCTAGCGTTAGACGGACCTTGTGCACGCTACGACTTATTAATGCACACTGGACATGCACCTGGTCAAACGAGTAGAGATGCGAGACAACCCGGAGGATATGATTGCCTTCCGGGACGTCTGCACTGTTGAAGCCCGCATATCCGTTAGAATCCCTCGTCCCTCCCATAAGGCCAAAAGGGTGTTTCATATCCTCTCCACATACAATGAGAAGCTCCCGTCCAGGGTCACATATGTTGTCAACAGGCCTCCATCTATCGTAACTTTCGTATTTGGTCCGAGGGCTGATATGTCTGTCAGGCCGAGGGTTAGGTTGTCATGCCGTATCACTTGGACAAAATACCACTGCGTCAGCAGACAAACTGCCCTACACACCTGAAAGAATCTGGTTGGAGATAATCTGACCGGAAAGCGGTCGCCCGGCCTGCACATTTCCCACCAGGCTATTGTACAGTCGGACTGTCAGCAAATACTCCAAGGTGATCTTCAGCCAGACCAAGAGCAACGTTATGGCGAGTACTTACAGCAATGCGACGGCAAACAGCCAGGCCAGGGAAAAGTGCCGTATTGCGTTTACCATAGTTGGTATCAACGCCTCTGAATGCTTTGTGGGATGTTGGGGGGCGGGAACTCCGAAAGCACTGTGGGAAAGTGCAGCGGCCAGACGCTGGGCCACACGAGCAGGACAGCGCCATTTGACGCTTTTGACGCGTTCCCATCCACATGCCTTGCAGGACGGCTTCGCTGTGCGTCTTCTCGCTGCATAATGAAAGTATGGCAAACATCAAGCGGAGGCGAAAGAACGAGAGCGTGGTGCAAAATATCTTTGTATATCTTTGTTTTACCAATACGGATTATTGTAGTCCTGCCTTCATTACTTTCACTATAACATTGGTCGGGACGACTTTCAAAACACAGCGCAATCGCCCACAGCAACTCCGCAAACAACTGCCCATTCTCCCATCCAAACTCTTCCTCAATTTCCAGCTTGTCCATCATTCTCTTCAGCCCCTTCTCATTAATGTTCAGGTCATCATCATCCTCACTCTTCGTCTGAATCAGTCGCTCGCCATCACAATCCAGTGTCCGTAGGTAGCGGGATTCGTCGTTGTAGCTTAATGCGCATGTCGTTCCTCTTTGCCGGAGAAAGAATAGTGCGGATTTGATCTGCCAAGTGCTGTTCTCGGTAATAGTAAGTACACGACGGATGGCGAGCCGAAGGTCTTCTGTACAAAGTTTAATGGCTCATAGTGCGAATGTAGGTTTTCCGACGCTCCATTCACAACAATCCGTGCCGACCGCATTGCCGAACTCAAAGCGCCTGGAAAGCGCTCCTCGAGGTCGCTCCGAGCGTCCGAGCTATCCGCGAACATTAACTCCGGTAGTGCCACTTGATTTGGCTTGCCAAGACCACTGTCAGTTCCAGCAGAATCTCCTGGAACTCTCCATTCGGGAACCGGTTGACCTTGCAGTTCTGCTCCAGATCTCGAATCATAGATTCCAGCACTGCGTCCGTATCGATCCCATCGAAGCAGCGCCTGTCGCTCATCAATCGCAGCTGAGCATTGGCGGCTTCGTACGCGTCCTTCCGGAAGTAGAAAGAACATCCGTTTCCGTTGTTGTCTGCGCCCACCGGAAAAGCCGAACACATTGTCTGGATCAATTTCCATCTTTCCCGCCGCTTTGGCCTCCATCACCAGTTTGAAGCCAATGTAACTCCTGAAAAGCGTGCGTAAACAGGTCCCAAGTGTCTGCGTTGGAGAGATCCAGGTTTTGACTGGTCAGACCGAATCCTGTTTCTCCGTACTGCGTGCCCTCATCTGGATGGTTTATCGTAATAAAGGCGAACTCAACCGCGCGGAGATCTTCCCACTCTTCTAGGTTTATCGTCCGAAGGCGACGCCGAGCCCGGTTCACTCGTGGGCAAACTGTTCCCGTCTGCAGGGGTCCTGTGGTTTCTGATGGAGAGATGATTTTGCAACAGGTATAAGACGTCGTCTGGGAGGGAGGCGAGGGTCCGTAGGGTTGACATTTTCTTCGTTCTTGGCGATAGATGAGGATGCCCGAAGAGGTGAAAACCAGAAGATGGCGATGAGAAGCTCTTGACGCGTTTTGGTACTTCTCACGCTGCTTCCCCAGCTTCCCACCTCTGTTGGCACGCAAGTTACGTTTCTAAAACAACAGAAAAGCGGGCGCTGCACGAAACCATGGTCCAGAGAAGTAAGCTTCTTTCAACCCCCTCCCTAAAAGCGTTCGGAAAACTAACTGATTATCCGCAAAATACCTAGTCGATAAAGCCCTCCTGCGGAAGCGCGCAGAACACAACGACGGCGAACTCTCCTCTCTGCGGGAAGTAACGCTACATCAATACGATATTGAGAAGATTGAGAACCTCGATCTATATTGTCGTCATTTGGAAATCTTGTTTCTGCAGAATAACCAGATCTCCAAGATTGGTAAGGCCTGCGCGGCTCGTTGCATTGCCATCGAAGAACGCGCAAGTTGAACTCCGGCTCTCCGACAGAGAATGTGCATAAGTTGAAAGAACTGAAATACCTGCAACTTGCGCTCAACAACGTGTCCAAAATTGAGAATCTGGAAGGATGCGAATCGTTGGAGAAATTGGATCTGACGGTGAATTTTGTGGAAGATCCGTTGGATGTGGAGTCGTTGCAGGGGAATGAACATTTGCGAGAGCTGTACGCGGATTTTGCGTTGGAAGCAACCGAAATCGCAGCGCAGTCTTTATTGATGTTCTTGAAAAACTTGTAGACATCTTATGGGCAACCCATGCGCGAAGAAAGAAGGTTATCGGGAGTTTGTCATCACAGCTCTGCCACAACTACAGGTGCGAAAGAGAGCCGCATGGCGACCCCATACGCTAGCCTGAATGAAGACGAGCGCGTACCTGACATTTTTCTCCAGATGTTAGATGGACGTGAGATCACTCGAACAGAGAGGATAGAGGCCGCGCAGGTGTTTGAGGAGATCAGAGCGCGGTTCGTACGTGAACGAAGCGGCTCCAAAGCTGAGTCTGAGGGCTCCAAAGCTGAGTCTGAGGGGGTTGATGCGTCGGGTACTTCCGAAGTGAAGAAGGTGGAGGAGGCGCCTGATCAGCAGATCAATGCCGCACCAACGACCGGGCATGCTCAATCCTCGAAATCAAAGGTCGAGGATGTGAAGGAATTGCCGGAAAGCCATGGGAAGGGAATGGTGGGAGCCAGCGAAGAGGTGGTCGAAACCACAGAAGACGCGTAAGTCTTGCAGGCTCAAACGAGAAATGACATTCACATAGGAACTCCAACACCCGGGTGACTTTTGATTTGCAGACTAGAGAAGAAGCGCTGGAAATTCCAAAACGAGCCCGTACCACACACCCCCGCCACCCGCCTCGAAGCCGCCCGCGACCTCGCCGAAATGAAAGGCACCGCAATCGCAACCACCACCACCACCCCACCCACCCCACCGGTCCTCACAGCCCCCGACGGCCGCGTCCTCCAAAAAAACCAAGGCAAATGGACCTACCACTTCTCCACCACCCCCACAACCGTCACCCTCCACGTCGAGCTCTCCAAATTCCTCGATACCTCCCTCATCGACGTCGACGTGCATCCGACGTGGGTGCGGGTCACCGTCAAGGGCAAAGTACTGCAGCTGGTGATGGACGAGGAGGTGGAGACCGCGAATGTGATTTGCGAGCGGAGCACGGTGTCTGGGTGGTTGGCTGTCACGATGGCGAAGAAGTCTGCTGTGGGGGATATCGTGGAGTTGAGAAGGAGGGAGGCGGTGGAGAGGGAGAAGGAGGAGCGACGGAAGAGGGTTGAGAGGGAAAGGGAGGAGACGAAGAGGGTTGGGGAGAAGTTGTTGCTTAGTGGGAACGTGGCGAAGAAGGTGGATTATACCAAGATTGTGGAGGAGAATGCAAAGAAAGCTGGAGCGGGCGTCGCTTGGAATGGGATCTACGACCGGAACTTCACAGTAGCCCCGCCAGAGGTGCCTGAGGGGTTCCGGGATGATCCAGATGTCCCCCCTTTGTGTTGAGTATCGCGGGTTTTCGTAGATTCCCTGCGACGGCAGACCGGCCGGGTTACACCGCCGATGCAGTCGCTGAAAATCCGCCAGCCGGACTATTCTTTTTTGGCAAACACCTATTCCATGGACATTTTGGTAATCCGATGGTCGGTTTTTGGTGACTTGGGGACTACCTTGCATTGCACAACTGAGAAAGCACTCAATCCATCCGTGTGACTTCCACCGCAATTCAACCAAATCGGGTGATTTTTTGGACAACGTAAACAGAGAATGAGAAACTGATTGAAGTCGATGTGATGCATCTGTACATGAAATTGTATTGCATGAATGTCATACATTGGGTTCCAAAGAGAACGAATACAAGAGTCTGCCACACCCTTCCATGCTTCCAGAAAGGTTGACCGACAGAATCGCTTGCGAGACGTTCAGCAAGGGTTCACCATGGAGGCGGTTAGCAGTAACAGTCTGTGTTGTATCAAGTCATTACATACCTCAACTCCTCTCCGCTCCCCCCTTCAAATGCCCCATATAGTGCCCCTGTTCTCCCAGAGGGACACTCGAACTGCTCTAGTTGCGCGGGCGCGGTATCTCTGGCGTGCCTGGACTCCTCGTCCGAACCGACTCCTGGACTCCTCTTCCGAGCCGTCTCCTGACATGGGTTTCTTCTTCGTCACGACAGGAATTCATCCTCTTTAGCGATTCCTCACGCAGCGATAATGAATATTCCCCATGGGTATTCTATCCAGGATCGACCTCCCCAATCCACATGCACGTTTCGCAATCTCAAATAATGCCCGTCCGCTCGACGATAAATCGACTCTTTTCTTTGCACATGTCAACATTCCGCTGCGGCCCCGGGTTGACGCCGCCCCGAGCTAATCCAATCGCGCGGTTCCATACTCTTCGACGATCGATCTTTATAACAACTGTTGTACAATAAACACGCCTTCCAAACTCTTCTCCAAAGTATTCCAAACTCTTCTCGAAACATTCCTCTCGAGATTCCACAGGATTCCAAACTTCCTCCAAAGTATTCCACAAAAAGAAAATCTCCTCCATACTATTTCCATTTCCACTTTCCGCTCCTGACCCGGAGGCAGGACCGTCGAGGGGTATCCACGTTCCATATCATCCAAGGGTGCTACGCATTTCTGTACGTTTATGACCCCCAACGGAAGTCCCGTTCATGAAGTTAGACTTCAAGGATGACGCGCCGAAGAGTAAGGGCTGGGAGATCGTTTCCTGTAAGGGCTGTACTGGGGAGATCTTCGGCCTACAACGCAAACAGTAAGTGAGTACAGTAGATTCTGCGCAGCGGAAAGCGTGCATTAGGGATTACCAGCCGACGGCGGGGGAGAACGAGCACGGTCCCGGCCAAAGTCGTCACCAGCAGGGGGAGCACCGTCCGGTCCGTTTTCGCGTGGTGGGCGGGAAACATTTTTGATCTGGTCTTTCTTGTTCTGACCGATGTCCCAGTCGATTTTCAGACGGCGACCTTCGACCTGAGTGGTGTCGTATCTGATTCGTGAGAACAAAATGAGGAAAATTAGCGACGATGTTTAGATATTGCTTTCTAAGATCGAAAGTGCTTACTTATTCTTTGCATCTTCAGCGTCACGGCGGTCTTCATAGGTGACAAAAGCAAACCTGCGGTTGTGGAATGATCAGCAACCGGCACGCATATGCGTAATGGAGCTAAAAAGTTTCTCACCCTTTGTTTCGCCCGGTGAAACGGTCCTGTGGAACCGAGACGGAAACCAAGCGACCATAACGGTCGAAGAGGTCTTGGACTGGAGAGATTGGTTGATATGACGTTTGCTGACAGAGCTGAGGCTATCGCGTTTGCCAATCAGACGTACCATCTTCTTCCCGGAAGTTGTACGGCAGGTTACCGACATACAAGCACGTACTGGTGAGCCTCTCCTCTTCATTGCCTCTGCAGAACACCCGGTAACGTGAGTAAAACGCTCGGCTCAGAAACCTTGAACTGAGAAGGATCCTTACTTGATGACTTCATATCGCCTCCTGGGTGGGGGGCTACGGCGCCCGTAACCACCTCCGTAGCCACCGCCGCCTCCGTAACGACCGGGTGGGCCGCCGTAACCGCCGCCTCCGTAACGAGGAGGAGGAGGGCCACCATAGCCGCCACCACCGCCGTAACCACCTCCGCCGCGAGGAGGATAGGGACCTCTGTCATCGTAACCACGATCGTAGCCTCCGCCATAGCTGGGAGGACCACCGCGAGGCGGGCCGTAGCTGCCGTGGTGATCGTAAGATCCACCGCGAGGACCGTCGTAAGGTGCTGGAGCGCGGGAGTCGTAATAATCAGCAGGCGGGGCGGGCCGGCCGCCGCGGGGAGGAGAAACCGAACGACGACCGGGGCCTCCTCGTGGAGAAAGCGAGCGTCTGCCTGAGGGAGATCGACCGCGACCGGGCGGGCCAGGAGGAGGTGGTGGGACACCTGCACCGCCGCCAACCGCTTGGGAAGAGACGGCGGCCGAGCTACCGCTGTACGCCATCATCAACGATATCGTACTGAGAGTAAGGTTGCTGCTGGTCCTTTGGTGGAATTACACTGTACGGAATCCGTGGGAATAGATCCTTCAGAATTTGACTGCAGTGCGAGAAACCGTCCGGCAGAGCGCGAGTAGTCCGAAAGACGCCGAGAAAGTGACTTTTATCCGTGCAGCCACGTGACCACCGGGAAGGTCACGTGGATCCCTTTATAAAGCGTCGTCGTCGTCGGTCGCACCAGCGACGCGTCTGAACATCTCACCTTATTACCGGCGATGACGCTCGCCCCTTCCCCCTTCATGGGTGGGGGTGGGGAGTCTGGGGACGAACAGGGGGCGCCCGGTTGAGTCATGACCATCGGCACTGGGTGTTGCTGAGGGACTTCCCCCAATTGCCAAGGCTTGCACATATAAACAGACCTGGGCGGAACACCATCCCCCCAACTGTACCATCGGAATCTTCCTCCCGCTCCATCACTTCCACTCATTACCGACCACCCAGGGTCGTCACGCTTTACCGCCCCCTTCCTCATCTTCACTTTTCCTTAAACTCAAACTCATAACTCCGAGATGAGGTTCGCCGCGTTGATCACGTTGGCGACGGCCTCGCTCGTCACTGCTCTCCCGTCCAACTGGAAGCATCTGTTCCACAAGCAGTTCTCGTCTGGCTCCCAGCTCGCACTGGATCGCCCTGGCCAGGACACTGTGAATGCGTGGAACATCCATACCCTTGCGGAGTTTCCCAACTACACCCTTCGCGTGAAGGAGGAGGTTCGCCTTTGTGACCCTGACGTGAAGCAGGTATGGATTAGAGCTTGCGAATGGTGCATGACAGAGGTATTTGGGAGCTACAAAATATTGAATGGTTACCTCCCTCCTATTTCGCATTCTTAGTATGTCGGCTACGTTGACGTCGCTGGAAAGTCCGATGACAAGCACGTAAGTTCGCATGTCACTGTCAGTCACATCGCTTTCCCTTCTCTGGGCATCAACTGACATCCTTTTTTGCTGTATCATCACAGTTCTTCTTCTGGTTCTTCGAGTCGCGTCGTGATCCTGCCAAGGATCCCTTTGTTTTGTGGTTGAACGGCGGTCCAGGATGCTCATCTATGACCGGTCTCTTCATGGAGCTTGGCCCATGCCGAGTGGATACTGGAGGCAATGGCACCACAAACAACCCCGATTCCTGGAACAACGAGGCCAATTTGGTTTTCCTGGATCAACCGATCAATGTTGGCTTCTCTTACACGGATGGTGGAGACGAAGTGACCAACACGATTGATGCCGCCGACGATGTAAGAAGTTCAATCTATTCTCATTCATCCTGTCCTTCATTTTGTCGAGCATCGTCATCAACGTTGATCTCATTCTTCGTCGATAGGTCTACGCTTTCCTCCAACTATTCCTGTCCAAGTACAACAAGTACAAGGACCTCGACTTCCACGTGACTGGTGAATCTTACGCTGGACACTACGTCCCGGCCATCGGCGCCAAGATCGCTGAGGAGAACGAGGGTTTAAAGGGCAAGGGCAAGAAAACTGAGAAATTGGAAATCAAGCTCAAAGGATTGGCTATCGGCAACGGTTTGACCGACGTAAGTGGAAGGGGTGCCATTCTCCAAGACGTCCATTATCTGACCTAACAAGCATCTTGCGCTTCTATCCAGCCCTTGAACCAATACGAGGCGTACGCTGACATGGCCGCTGATGACAAATGTGAGCAAAAACTGTTCTTTCTTATTTCCCGCTGGATTCCTTCTTACCTTCTTTCTGTGATTTAGACGGCCCTATCTTGGACGAATCCGACATCGAAAGCATGCGTTCCAAATGGCCAACCTGCAAGTCCCTCATCAACTCGTGTTACAAGTACAACACCGCTCTTACTTGCGTTCCCGGAGCGATTTACTGCAACAACGCCATGATCCAGCCCTTCCAGAAGACTGGCCTCAACATCTACGACATTCGTCACAAGTGCGACCCCAGCAACCCTCTTTGCTACTCCATCCTTACGGACATTGAGTCCTACCTCAACCGGCCCGACATCCAGGAAATCCTTCAGGTCGACAGGCAATTCGAAGGATGCAAGCAGAACATCAACATGCGTTTCATGATGGCTGGCGACTGGATGCGTCCTTTCGTCCGCGTGATCCCTCCTTTGCTCGCCAAGGGTATCAAGGTCCTGATCTACGCCGGTGATGCCGACTTCATTTGTAACTGGATCGGAAACAAGGATTGGGCTCTCGCGTTGGAGTGGGATGGCGCCGAGGAGTTCCAGAAGGCCAAGGACATTCCTTGGATTTCCAAGTCGTCTGGAAAGCAGGCTGGTGAGATCAGGACCCACGATGGTTTCACCTTCCTTCGCGTGTACGAGGCTGGTCACATGGTAAGCTCAATATGTTCAGTACATTTTTGGCGATTGTCTTCCCCGGCACTCACAGTCCTCTCTTCCGATGACCAGGTTCCCTACGACCAACCCAAGCACAGTAGCGAAATGATCAACACCTTCATCAAGATCGCCAAGAAATGAAGGGTTGTAGTTGGTGGATAGGGACAATGTGTCGCAGAAGCCAAGTTACTCTGATTATACCGGTTTGTGTGTCGCACGAGGCACGAGCGGAGACCGCCCTGTCATGTAGTCTGGACTTCTTCGATCACGGGGAGGGGATTGTACGGCAGGACATTCTCCCATTGTCTTGTATTTGTGTTTCTGTATCAAGGTGTTTCATAGGTTTATCCCAAATCAGATTCCTTTACTTTCTTGCGTGTGAACCGAAGACCGCCAGACTGGATGGACGGAAAGTGAAGAGAGCTCAACGCTTGTTGCAGGAGACATGAAACCGGTCGACGGCGCACTCAAGCGCCGGTAATCAGTGTCCTTTTGCATCCTTTCACCTATCGCCCGTCCTGCTGGCTTGCTCTTGCAGCCCCTTTTGGAGGTACATACATCGGGACGTATTATCATTGTCTCATTGTCTGACGAGTTTGGTGAGCGTTCCGTATACAAAGAGGAGGACTTCCCCGGTCATCGCAAACTCCCGTTACCCAATCAAGTATATCTTACTTCTTGTTCGATTTGGATTGATCTCGAGTCTGCAGAGGCGTTTACGACGCGTATGATTCTTATGAGTTGTCTGACGCGTTCAAAACAACCGTCTGAGAGCCCAAGCTCCCATATATAAACGAGGCGGCCGTTCCTCACGTTCCTCAAACCTCCGACCCAGTCGACCCTCCAACGTTGAACGCATAGTCCGTTCATCCCAACCCCCCGTGATCCACATCCCCATTACCCACGCCACAGCTCCCCAAAAATGTCCTCAATGGACGCCCTCCTCCCCGCCCGCATCTCCCCGCGCATCACCATCCGCCATTTTCAACCCGGCGACGAACCGCGCCTCCTGCAAATCGCCAACAACCCCAACATCGCCCGCAACCTCACCACCATGTTCCCGCACCCCTACACACTCGCCGACGCCGAATTCTGGGTCGCTGCCAACCGGCTCAAAACATCGCCGGAGGATACGGGGCCGGCTGTACCTCGCCAACGGCATTTCTCATACGCGGTTGAGATTGATGGGCAATTGGGTGGGGCTGGCGGGTTTACCCTCCTGGGCGATTACCGCGCCCGGACGGCAGAGATCGGGTACTGGCTCGGTGAAGAGTACTGGGGCCAAGGGATCGCGACGGCGGTGGCGGCGTGGGTGGTGGAGAGTGTGAGGGCGACGCAGGGGGACGTGGTGAGGGTGGAGGCGGCGGTGTTTGAGGGGAATGAAGGGTCGAGGAGGGTTTTGGAGAAGTGTGGGTTTGTGAGGGAGGGGATTCAAAGGGCGGCGGGGTATAGGAAGGAGAGGGGTGTGTTTGATGTGTGGATGATGGCGTTGGTGTGGGACGATCGGGTTGAGGCGGAGAGGACGGAGGCGAGAGAATAGGCGCTGCTTGCAAGCCGATGCTGGTAAATCACCGAGGGAGCCTTCTGCCTACGGCCGCCGACGTTCGCTTTCCACCAGAAACCCTCAACTAGATCATAGAACATCACGGCGTATGTACCGTAGACCCCGGTGGGATACACTCCCGGAGTGTATTATCATCAAAAAATGTAGGCTTCCATAGACAACTAATCAAGATATTTCCAGCAATACATCAGAAGAAAGGACGACCGGCCGTCGCCTGCAGGGATTTGATGACATATTGCTTATGGATGTGTGCATGCTTTGGACGGAGGAAGGGCTGCCCTCGGCAAAAATTCATACGACTGTCAGCCTGATATGCCGAGAACAAAGCGTGAGGCCAAAGGATATAGCAGATGCAAGACATTCATTGTACCATGAGCGAGCATCTACAGTACATCAGAACAGACATGAGAGCTATGCAAAGAGGGCTATGGGAATGAGGATCTACGCTGCAGGAATCTACATACAGAACTCTTCCAGCGCGAGATGGAACTACATACATAAAAGCAATGTCACATCCAAATCAGCACGTATCAACCATTTCAAGCCGTGGCCACACCCGACTCCTTAACCCAAGCAGCAACCTTCTGCCCATCCCTCTTAACCCAGGCGCTCTTGTCACGAACACTCTCAAGACCCTGGTCGACAGGTCGCTTGATGGACTTAACCTCCTCGACGCGCTTCTCACGTGCCTTCTCGTCCTTCAGCTCCTTTCCAGCGATCCAGTCCTCGACAATCTGCGCGACGCCGTCACCAACTTGCGAGACGAAGCAGGCAACAAACATGTGGCCGAGGAGGGAGATGGTGGGCTTGTAGCGGGGGTAAAGGACCGCGTCCCACTTGGTGGTCGCGAATTGCCACAGCTTGGGGCGGACGGTGTGTGGGTTGGGGTTGTTGGAGGCGAGGTACCTGAGGGGTACGTAGGCCTCGTTGGAGCGGACGAGCTCGGTGTCGAGGAGGATCTCGTTCAGGAGACGGTCGACGAGCTTCTCGTCGCTGGTGGAGCCGAGGGCGCGGAGGGCGTAGAGGCGCTGGTCGGGCGCTTCGGCTTTCTTGTAGATGTTGAGGACGGATTCAAAGTCCTCGGCGGGCTGGGTGGAGTGGTATAGGACGATCTCGTACGCGATGCCGCGGATGTTTGGCGGGAGAGCAGACTCGTCACCACCAATGAAACGCTTGAAACGCTCTTGCAGGGCGGCAATTACACTGCAAGGGAAAAACGATTAGGATTCCCATTAATAGGGCAATTTCTGGGAACAACCGTGAATACCCACTCTTTGTCTCCGGCACGAGCAGCGCTCTCAATGACGAGAGTCCTCTTCATGGCGGTCAAGTGATCCTCCTTGGCAGGGTAGTCCAGACCAAGAGTCTTGAATTTGGGAGCAAAGATGGCGCGCTTGATGGCCTTGAGACCCTTGACCACTTCTTCGGGTTCCTTGTACCAGGCCGCGAGGACGGAGTCAATGCGGGACGCAACTTCCTTGAGGACACTGGCAATGAGGGAGAGGTTGGAAATCTGTTCTTCGTTCGAACAGCGTGAGGAAGGCCAATCTCACATGTAATTGTCTTCGGCTTCGAAGCTCTTCAGAAGTTCCAACGCTCCAAGGGTGCTTCCTTGACCAGAGAGCGCAAGAGCAAAGGCATCAGACAGGACACCCAACTTGTCCTCCGTGGTGAGAGCGTCGGGGGTTTTCTTGATGACAGCCCCGAGGTGGCGCAGCTGCTCCTCGTTCAGACGCACACGGTAGAAACCAGTGGTGTCGTAGTTAAGCTTCCAGAAAGCACCGTCCGCCTTGGAGTACGGGAAAGTGATGACAGCCTCCTTCTCGGCCAGGATGTGCTCGGTGGGTTTGCGGGAGCTCAAGTGGGTGGTGATCAACAACGGGATCCACCAAACGGTGCCTTCCTTGTCCTCAGCGGCAGAGAGATCGCCGGAAGACAAGAACCGGCTCTGCTTGAGCTTGAGGGTAACTTCGCCCTTGGCTTCGTCGAAGGACTCGCCTACAACGTGAACCAAGGGGTAGCCGACGTCGCGGGTCCATGGATGCATGAACGACGCGACATCGCGACCAGAGGCGGCATGAAGAGCCGCCCACAGGTCTCCAGTGGTGGCATTAGAAAGCTGGTGCTTCTTCAAGTAGTCACGAATACCCTTCTTGAAGGTCTCGGTGGACAGGTAAGCGTTCAACATCCGGATGACCGAGGCACCCTTGCAGTAGGAGATGGCATCGAAGATGTTGGAAATCTCGGCAGGGCTGTTGACATCGACATCAATGGGGTGACTGCTTCGCAGAGCGTCGAGGGACTTGCCGGAGGCGTAGTCGTCAACCAAGAACTGAGTCCACACCTTCCATTCTGGGAAGAGGTTGTCGGTGGCCATCCATCCGACGAAGGTGGCGAAACCCTCGTTCAACCACAACTCGGACCACCAGTCCATTGTGACCAGGTTTCCAAACCATTGGTGGGCAAGCTCGTGTCCAACGACGTAGGTGATTTGCTGCTTAGTTCCAGCGCTGGTCAACTTCTCGTCGTACAAAAGCAGGATCTCCCTGTAAGTGACCAGACCCCAGTTCTCCATAGCGCCAGCACTGAAGTCGGGGATGGCAATGAGGTCCATCTTGGGCAGTGGGTAAGCAATATCGAAGTATTCCGAGAAGAACTCGAGGGTGCGTGCGCAAACTTCGAGGGCAAAGTGACCCTTGTGCTTGTGTCCGGGGAGGGTGTAGACACGGCATACCAGAGGCTTGGCGTCAGCAGGAGATTTGGGGGTAGCGGTAGCCTCAATGTACTCGAGATCGCCAACAGCGAAAGCGAGAAGCTGTGGAGTAGAGAAGATCAGGGCATTGCTCTGGACTGGTACCCATGTTCCGGCCTGAACTCACGTAAGTGCTCATGATAGGAGTAGTGGCGAAGTGAACGGCCTTCTTCTCCTTGCCGTTGATCTCCACAATCTTCTCTTCCGTTTGGTTCATGTTCGAGAGCGCGGTCAAGTTCTTCTCGACATTCAAGATAACGTCAAAAGTGGCCTTGAGGTTGGGCTCATCCCAAGAAGGCAAAGCACGACGACAGTCCGTAGCCTCAAACTGGGAGACAACCATGTGCTTCTTCTCTCCGTTGTCCGCAGTGTAAGAAGAGCGGTAGAAACCGGCCATCTTGTCGTTATGGATACCAGTGTATTCGACGTGAAGAGTGGCGGTCGCTCCAGCCTCGATAGCAGTGGCGAATTCGAAGGTGACGGTCTCCGCCTTCTCATCAACGTTGATCTTGGTCGCCTTTTGCCTATTGTTTGAACGAAATGGTCAGAATTCAACGCGCCTGCTGTATGTACGAAATGGAACACCTAGGGCGTCCGCACATCGGCAAACTTACGTGTTCTCAGTCTTCATGTGAACAGAGGTCACGGAAGCAGACTTGAAAGTCAGCTCATTGGCATTGCAGACAATCTTGTCAATCTTCTCCTTGACATCGAGCCTATGTCCCGGTTAAAAGAGGTTCAAGGAGTCAGCGTTTGCGATGAGAACCGCACGAAGAGAAGCGACCATAGATCATGTGGGACTTGAAGGAAGGAATTGCAACTCACGTAATGTCGACGACACCGGCAAACTCAAAGGAGACGAGGTCGGGGGTGATCTCGACCTTGTAGTGGGAAGGCTTGACGGTAGCGGGCAAGATCTCCCTCTCGCCTGTGTTTCCGCTGCCGGCACCGCCCGCGGTGTGGTTGTGCATACACATTGTGACTTCGGACGATGAGCGAGGGTGAGCTGAAGATGGCTTGTCGTTGTTCGTGGCAGCGCCGGTGGTTGTTTTAGGACCCCTTGTGTTTTGTTGTGGGGCCGAAGTGGTGAAGCAAGCCGTCAGTCTCTTCAACATCGTCGTGAGAGAGCGTTGTTTGGATCCACCCGTTTGCGATAGGCTTGTCCACGAAGGTCCATGGCGAGTTCTTATCCGGCGGAACTCCCACGCAATTGCCGAATTGAATTGAGCCGAACGCGCCCTTCTCATCAGACTCTCTAATGTTAATAATTAAGGAGCAGCGTGACTGATGATGACCATCATCACGGCAGTCATCACGGTGAGACAAAGCCGCCCGCGCGTTATGGATCAATGCCCCCAATATGGCCGCATCCGTTCCCGTCCAGCTCAGAAACTTTCCCCAACATTGTCATCCCAAACGATCTCCCAAGCACGGCGCTCATTCTTCTCATAAACCACCCGCAGCACCAACGCAACAATGCCCGACTTTTTCGAATCCATGCAGCGTTCCTACGTCGACGTTCCCGTCGGTGCCAACGACTACATTGACGTGCAGGAGTTCTTGGAGGCCACCGAGTCGTTGACCAAGCTCTTTGGTACGTCAGTAGCAGCAGCATCTTGACGACGTGGGGAGGGATATGAGGAGGAACACTGTGAATGGCTATGGGGATAGTGGACCGTACTGTGCTTGAGATGTGGGGAAGGAGGGCAGGGCAGTGTACGCAGAAGATGGGAATTCCATCTTGAATTGACGCGACGTTGTTTGGGCGGAAGCATGTCATTACTAGGCTGCAACGTGCGATGTCTGTTCTCACCGACCCACCCTTTTCCTCCCTGCAGACTCTATGGGAGCTGCCTTTGGTCCCGTCAAGAGTGATCTCCTCGGCAATGTCGCCGTAAGCAAGAGCTCCTTCCTTACACAATAGGTTGTCCACACTCACCTCACCCGACCCATACAGAAACTCCGAACCCGGTACACCGAAAACCCCACCAAAAACAAGACCTTGCAAGAGCTCGTCATTACTGAGCGCGCCGAAGGAAAGAAGACGGCAACGGAGGGTCTGCTGTGGCTCAAGCGCGGGCTGGAGTTTACCTCCAAGGGTCTGAGGAGGAATCTGAACGACAAGAATGAGGAGTTGAACGTGTCTTTTACAAAGGCGTATGAGGAGACTTTGAGCAAGCACCATAGTTTCATGGTCAGGCCTGTTTTTTCGGTGAGTTACGTGGATAAACCGACCGAGTTTCATTCAGCGGCATGACATCCAGCGGATCTTCCCTCACTTTCTACAGCTGGCAATGAAAGCCTGCCCATACCGCAAAGAATTCTACGCCAAACTGGGCTCCGACGAAGCGAAGGTGCAGGCCGAAGAGGAAAAGTGGTTGGCCGCATTAGAAAGGATTGTAGCTATTTTGAACGCTTTTTACAAGCAGGGCGGCTACGAGAAGTTGTAGAGCGAACACTAAATTAGGAGAACATGCAGGCAGGCAGACATAAGCTTTGGACGAAGGTGAACTTATGGGATGAATAGATTGATAAGAAACATGAAAGACGTGGACCTCCTATTTCACACTTTGGCATATTGAAAACATGCACGGAATACGCCGCCTATTTCGCCACATGCCCGGACTGATTTCCTTGCGGCTCAAACTACGCTCAAAATAATTGAAAGGTCATCCATTGATCACGCGATTTAGAACCGGGAGCCCCCATCGGCCAAAACTCGCTGCGTGATCTCGCCTCTCCCGCTTCACTCCTGAGGTAGCAAACTCAACGCGCCCGACGCTTCCAGCTCGTCCGCAATATCAGCAAGCTCGATCCGGGTGGCTTCCAAAACGGAGTAGTGGAGGAGTCGTTCCAGCGACTCCCTCGAGAGCATTTGTAGGGCTTGGTTTAGAGGTAGTTTGCGGGTTGGCTGGATTACCGGGTGTTAGTACCTGCTGACTTTCGGTGACGCAAATCGAAAACAGAGGCAGCAATATATACCGGTGGTATCACCTCCAACTGCGAAGGATAGGCAGCCGGCGCCAGTTCCGCCACCGGAGCATCCTGCCTTTCCGCGTCGCCGTTATCGTGCCTAAAATCATCATCCAAAATCCCTTTCTTTTCCTCATCTTGCCCCCCCTCTTCCTCATCCACCACCTCTTCCTGCACCGCCGCCTCCTTCGCTTTGGCGTTCGCCCCCTTCCTACTTTGCCCCTTTTTCGTGGTCGACGGCGCTTTATCGCCGTTGCCTTCGTCCGCTTCTTTATCCCTCGACTCCCCGCTTGATATCTTCTTCGTTGCTCGTTTGTTTGGCGGGACCAATGCCGCTGATGACGATGTCTGCTCTGGTGCCTTCCTCGTGTTGTCCGCATCGCTATTATTTTCATTCTCAGATGGCAGGGACGTGCTAGCTCCTCGCTTGGCGTTTCGTCGGGGCCCTGGTGTCGTTTTCTCTGCCTGCGCCGGCACTACATCACCATTGCTCTGTTTACTCCCATTAGACCGACTCGCTTTCGCCGCTATTGCAGAATTGGCAGGCTTTGCTCTCCTCTTCGGAGGGGCTTCGGAATGAGATACAGAGTCATTACTGCTATCGATGTTCTCTTCCTCGCTGTTAGGCGAGGGAGTCTGCGCGGCTCGTGTTTTCAATTTCTTTCGATGATGTGGTGGCCCATCTGTTGCCGTTTCCGCCTTTTTCTCAGATGGGAAAGTATCCACTGATGGTGACTTTCTCTTTACGCTAGATTTTAGTTTCGGTGCGGTGGTGGGAGGCGGCTCCGCTGAGGGTGTGCGGGCTTTTGTTGTTGAAGTGCCCTTTTTGGACGATGTGGTGCTTGTTGGTGGAGCTTCCGGGGATGCTTCGGTTGAGATGACGGGTTTGATTGCGATGGTTACTGCTGTTTCGCCTCCCCATGTTCTCTTCACTATTGGTGTCAGACCTGCGGCAGGAAACGCATACGCTGTTAGCCAACTTGGAGTCCATGGCCTAAAGTGGCCGACGGGGCTACGAACTGTATGGCGATCCGTCGACGGCCGTCAACTGCGGCACCAGACACAGGAGCCCACATACCTTGAGCAGCGAACGATCGCCTCGTCTTCAGGATTGTCGACGGCGTGGACGCGTTCGTTCCCGAGTCCTTACCCGCCTGCCCGACCAAGTTCGAGCCCTTCGCCGGCGTGCTCTTCGGAGTGGCACCGTTGCTGCTGCCCGTCCCGTTGCCTGAGGTGCCTGTTGTAGTGCCCATGGTGCGGTGATGACTGTGTCGGAAGTGTGCAAACGTCGTGTGAAGGTTGCCACTTGTGGAGATTGATTCGAGCTGGCTCTCACCAACGTCACGACAGCTCGTCACGTGACAAGGCCTGCTTTTATTCTCTCCGCAGGATTGACAGCCCCTCAAACGTCAATGCGCAGCGCCGACCCCATCACAGTGTGTCACCCTGGCCTGGACGCGTTTCGCTCCCTTTTCCATGTGTGATGAGTTTTCAACCGTGAATCATATGCGTGTGAAATTAATTATCCTTTCATGGCTTACTTGAACACCACATAACTGGAAAGCCTCTGTTGCCAGCCGTCTGCCCGACGACGACGGACAGCTGCGTGCATGTGCAGCCATTGCGTTATTATATCGTACTGTCTATCGTATATCGGACTGAGGTGGCTTTAGTTAGTGTGTACTGTACATACTATCCGCGGCGAACGAAAAGGTTTTCGTTTTGTCGTTGTAGAAGCCTCCCGACATTGGGCGCCTGCTTTGCTTTTCGTTTTCTTGCCCCACCGTGTGAGCACTTTGGGTCCCTTGGTAAAGGGTTCAAAGAGCAGCATGGAATCTCTCCAGCACACGGTGGAGTTCTGGACTCCTCAGGAAGTCGCTTCGTGGCTGGAGATAACGGGACTGGAAAGGTGAGGTTTGCTTCATTTCGGTTCCTGTGTGGACCATTCCACAATTGAACACCTCTTTGGTTATGGCATTTGCAGATATTCCGAGGCTTTCATTGATAGCCACATTACGGGTGCTTCCCTCCTGGGCATCACACCGGAAGACCTTAGGTTTCTTGGTATAACAAATTTGCGGCATAGGGCTCAAATATTGAGTGCCGTGGCGGACTTGAAGGGAATGGACATTTCACCTGTTGTCCCGAAGGACCCCGGGTCTCTGTCAGCTAGCTTTGGGCACCAGCGGTCACCATCAAACGCAAGCGCTCGGTCAGCGAATGGGACCAGCAGTTATGGAAGTCTAGAGAGGCCAGTTCTTGCGGACATTCGGAACGCGGCGGGGAACACGACTTCCACGTCAGGTGCGGCACTGATACCGCCAAGGACGAAGAGCCATGCCGCATTCCCTGACGGATGGGACGCTTCGCATGGTGTTACGGTTTCGAAAGCCATCGTCTCGGAGAAGGAGAAGGAAACGATCACATTGCCGTTCAAACCTGTAGATCGTAATGCCCCACTGCCGCAAACACTCCGCGTCAACACCGCTTTTACGCCCTCTCCACCACTGAGTATCCCGACCCCACAAGTTGTTTTTCCCAGCCACCCCAACCTACCCCCAAGGGATGACTCCCTTCTCGATTTCAACTCCCCATTATCACCTAGCGACCCTCCGGACACGGATTATGCCTCGGAAACTGTACGATCACCTTTCACGCAGAGCGCATCTGATGTTTCCTCGCCTCCGGTGTATGTACAAGACATGCCCTCGCCTCCGCTCACTGTACAGGACGTTCCCTTATCCCCAGTCAACCCACGTGACGGTTTGTCTCGGTTTCGAAGCAACTCGAGCGGCATCTTGCGAAGACACCCAGCTATCCGAGACCACAGGGGAAGGTCGCCTGCGCCATCGGTTCCAAGTGACAAGAGTCAAGGACCAGTGCGCAGGCCACACCTTTCCATTGGCACCAACTTTGCTTCTCTGTCCAGTGCAAGCTCACCTCTCGTGCCGTCCCCCGGAACAGATGGCTCCGCAGAGACGTTATACTCAAATGACAGTCGCTTCGGGGCGGAGGACAGCGGAATCAGTAGTCCGAGGAGCGAAGGGCGGAGCGAAAATTTCCATTTCAATTCATTCGCGTCGGCGTCGTCTTTCCAGTCTCCTAACATCTATGAGGGCGGTGATCGATTCGAGTCATATCTGGAGGATACAGTCGCAGCTATGGAGGGCAAGTCGTCCTTGACACCTTCTGATCGCCGAGATACGGACCGAGGTTTGACTCCAGTTGAACTGAAAAGTTTTGTTTTCGAGCAATTCAACGCCCCGTTCTCGCCTGTGATGGGCTCATTCCCGCACGCTTCTGGTAGTCCAGGGGGTATGTTACGCACTTTCCCTCAGTTCACCGTTCCGCAAACGGTTTCACTAATGTGTGGTCTCTTCTGCAGAGGAGCCGGAGAAAGAGGGAGCACTTGGCGAAGACGGCTTCACCAACAATGTGGACTGGAACGTGGGTTACATCGAAAAGAAAGTGGACATTCGGCTGGCTCCCGCCGCCGATATTACGGCCACAAACGGTGAGATCTTCGACGGAGCGATATCTCAATTATCCTCGGATCCGACAGTTGTGACACCATCTTCCACGGCAGCTGTCCCGATGCCCAGCTTACAGCGCGATGGACACTACGAAGAACTGGGACATCACAACAGATCTGACTCGGACGCCCAGGAAGGGAGCGATCGAGAGGAATTCGGGAACCCCTTGCCGATATTCAAGAGCTCGTCAACGATCCCGCCACTAGGCCCAGAAGACCAGGACGGGTTCGGGTCGGATTGGGAAGTGGCATCTGTGGAGTCGGAGCCGGCCGCCAGTAGGTTTTCTGATCGGGAAGAGGACGGGGAAGAGGAAGAAGGGCCCCCGGAGTTTTTGGTCGCGCAGTATGCCATGCAAGGGATGGATCCATTCTTTGGAGAGCGTCCACCGACAGAAGCGATTTGCGATCATTTGGAAAATTTCTTCCCGGCTCTTTCCTCCGAGACGCCGGCGGGCGTCTCCAACGTGAGACGCGGTTCGTTGGCACAGACTCTGAAGCACACCGTTCGCGAAACTTTGAATCGCAAGAAGCTCGAACGGGTGGGCACTACTTCGTCTAGCTTTGGTAGGCGCCCTACTACGGTGCGGGTTACGACGCGAAAGGAGACCCTGGTGGCCTCCTCTGTAGCCACGGATTCGGTTTTCGCGGAATCGGAGTCGATAGCAACCAAAGAATCGGCATCACCTCACAATGTTGTGACGGAGAATGGCAATATCACACGGCAGTGGGAAGATCGAATTGCCGACATCCCGGAGGAAATCAGTGTCGTTACTGGAAAGAATGCTGACTGGGTCCCCGTATCCACGCCGCTGCCGCGCTCGCCTACCACGAGGTCAAGTATGTTTGGCGTAAGTGATGGAGAGGGGGACACGCTGGACCGGCCAATGGCTAGCCGGAGACGTTCCGAAAAACGTTTGCTGGGCAAGCCCGGGGTTCGGAGACAATCAATGGACGTGGCACTGGAAACATTGTCCCTCCAGCGACCCGGCAAGCCCATGGCGCGGGTCTGGACAACCCGTCGGGAAGCGTTATCGCTGCCCCATCGAAGTGCGCTTTCCATTTCACGAAAGTTCAGCAATGAACGAAATGCGGTTGCTACGACAGTAGGAGAGGCCGAGTCATCGATGAGGCGGGTCAAGAGTCAGGAGAATATGGAGTTCACCAAGCCTGGGGAGCTCATGAAGTCGATGTATGCCAAGAAGTATGGACTGGCCACCCTGGGGAGATCTGACGGTGGGAGAAGGGGTAGTCTACCTCTCATCTCAGAAGATCCACTAGCTCGTCTGCAGAGTAAACGACGGGCTTCCATTGCGGTTGCTCATGAGCCCTTAAAGTCCAATGTCGAGCCATCAGAGCGACCCGTAGACCCGTCCGCGATGGCGACGGAGGACAACGTCGTTGGGCCGATTGAAGTTTCTGAAGATGCATCGCATCTGGCGCAACCGGTCGACCTTCCTGCAGCGCCTCAACCCGAGCAACCTGAGGAGCTGCCGGTTGTAGATGCCAGTCCTCTTCCGACGGCCCCGATGCCCTCCGTCGCAGAAGCCGCTGAATCAGAGGATGCCCCATCTTCACATATCGCTACACTTCCCCGAGCCTTCACCATCGAGCCAGACACTCCACGGCGCGTGGAATGGATGTGTGGCCCATTGATTGGCAAAGGATCTTTCGCCAAGGTTTACTACGGGATCAAGGTGGACACAGGCGATATCATGGCGGTTAAGCAAGTCGAGATGATCAACATTCCGCGCAAAAAGGCCGGCGGCAAGAAGGATGCCAGGCGACGGATGGTCGATGCCCTCCACCAGGAGATTACTCTTCTGAAGGATCTGGACCACGAAAATGTCGTCAGATACCTCGGATATGACGTGCAGGGAAAGCATATCAATGTCTTCTTGGAATATGTTTCCGGTGGATCTATAGCTTCCGCAATCGCCACAATGGGACGCTTTGAAGAGCCGTTGGTCAGGAGTCTGACGTGCCAGATTTTGTGCGGATTGCAGTATCTGCACGAGCGGGCGATCATACACAGAGATATTAAAGGCGGGAACGTACTGTTGGATGAAAGTGGTGTTGCCAAGATCACCGACTTTGGCATATCCAAGAAGAATGGTGAGCGTCGGTCGTCGACCTTGTGGGGCTGCAACTGGTAGAGACTGAACTCGAACTATCCTGCGTAGAATACAAGCTCGCCTACCGTATGAATACCAAGATGTCTCTTCAAGGCTCCGTCCACTGGATGGCACCGGAGGTTGTCAAAGCCAAAGGGTACTCCGCCAAAGTCGACATCTGGAGTCTGGGATGTCTCGTTCTCGAGATGTTTACGGGATACAACCCTTGGAGGCAACTGGATGAATTGCAGACGGTGTGGAAACTGGGACGAGAGAACGCCCCGCCGATACCCGAGTGGTTGTCGCCTATGGCACAGGAGTTTTTGGCCAAATGCTTCACCATGTAGGTTTTCTGATCTGGCTCCGGTGGAGACTCGATGTCTAACACTCTTGCAATTATGGCAGTGACCCCGATCAACGCCCCACAGCGGCACAGTTACTCGATCACTCCTTCGCTGATGTCGACCCAGCAGATCTCGACTTCCGAGCCTACAAAGAGGCTGCTATCGCACAGAAACGCCTCGAGGAAGAAGCCGAGTCTTCTTATGACTCGGAAGATTACGAATCGGATGAGTTGGATGACGTACGGTACGCCGGTGGAGCGGGGCCCCGATTAACGTCCCGCGTGTCCATGCGCACCAACACTGTCCGGAGCTCCGCCAGCCGTCGCATGTTCAGCGTCAAGCGGAACTCGACCAAGAGATCTGTTTTTGTTGAGGTGCAAACCCAAGCGCAAACGAACAATGTCGAGCAAGCACCAACTCCTCAAGCAGAAGCAGCTTCGCAGCGAAAAACATCACCAGAGCCTTCCACAACCACAACCACAACCACCGCCAAGCCCATCAACATCCCTTCAAAGCCAAGCCCGCTTACCATGAACCAAACATCAGCAGGCCACAAGTCGCCAAATCCGTCATCCAGCCCCATGTCACCACATCTCCTGTCCTCAAGCCCACAGTCGCCAATCTCCAGTTCGCCAAAGAAGGGATCCGTCCCTAAACTCCTTGCGCGAGCTGGCATCTCCATGATGTCTTGAAGGATCTATGCATCCCTCTGTCGCGATTGGCCGGTTTTGATGCGAGGGCTTCACACCCTCGCAACGGCGTCAAGTTGGCCAAGTTTCCAGCGTGAGCCCTGTTCGCTCACGGTTTTCTCCATCCCTAGTACATATTTCTCCCCGTCTCCCATATTCTACATCATAGACACTCTAGCCATATTGTCGTGGCAGCTTCTCCATTATTTAGTCTACATTTTTTGGAATCCTCCTCTCGCGTACATACTACTCTTCAAATTTCATATCATCACATACAGGACTTGACGGTCTCAGCGGTCTTGAGGAGTTTTTATTCGCGCTCAACCCATCGTAGAGCTAGCGGTCAGGCATAACTCTCTGCAGATAACTGAATGGCTCCACACCAAGAATCCCGAGGCCGTCACGGAACGCATCATGGGAGTTGCTCTTCAGGAAGAGCAATGGGAGATGGTACGGTGGTTTACGAAATTAACTCGCGGTCCCCTGCCAATGGACTTCGCTACAAAATGGAGTGAGGACCGCGCCCGCCAGTATCAAGCATGACCCGTTCGACAAACTGCCACCGCCCCGAAGGTTCAAGATTGACGACGAGAGGTTCGTCGCCGAAGTCCACGGCACCGTCATGTCAATTCGTCGGTTTCTTATTCGGTCACGTGATGCCGTCATTGGATTCGCACTCTCGACTTGCTGTCTCGTCTCGGCAGGCGTTCCTCACTTGCGTCTGTCTGGACACCTGAGAGGGACGTAACCGGCGGCTTTCGGTCCCAAGTTGTTGCGATTTCCACTGTAGAGGCCTTGGAAAGGTTTTCGGAGCTTTAAGCTACCCGAATCAGTAGTGGAAGTTATCAAAATGGGCAAGGCAGCCAACAACAAGAAAAAAGCAGCTCGGCAGCGCCGGAATGACCCTACCGGGTTGAACAACGTTCCCGATGTCCAAACGGCTTCAGATGCACCGGCCACCACCCAGGCTGCGCCAATAGTAAAGAAGGTAAGCTCGTTTTCGTTCCTGAATCAAGGCAGGGACACGGTCTCATAGTCCGCACCCCATTCAGCTTGCTTCGGCCTCTTTGGACGACAGAGCATGGGCAGCAACGGCCTTGTCAAACCTGGTCCTCGATGCCCACACTCGGAGGAGTCTTCTCGCCGACGACATTATTGGCCAGCTACTTTCTGTCCTATCCACTGAAGGTCACGCCGAGGTGATCGTTGAGGTGTGCGGAGCCCTCCGAAACCTAGCTGTTGCTGGGGGAGAAGAAGTCTGCATGGAGCTCGGTCGTCGTAATGGGGTGGCCCCGCTGATGGGGTTGTTGGAAAAGGTGCAGACATGGATCTCGACACGGTTGGCTGACGCGGCAGTGATCGCGCAGGGAGGAACCGTACCTCAAATCGCGGACAAAGTAGAGGTGGAGAACAGGAGATACTGCTTCGACATTGCCGAGTCGGTTGTTCAGTTGTTGTGGTCGTTGTGCGAGGCGTCAGACCAGGTCGTCAAGTTCTTGACCCAGACGCAGGTCATTCCGTTTTTGATGGAGCTTGTGAAGCACGCGAATGACATTCCATGGAAGTTGGTGCAGGTCTCTGCACAATGCTTGCATACTCTCACGGATGAGAACCCTCAAACTCATTCGCTGTTTGAGCAACACCCCGATTACGCAGAAAAGTTGGCAGCTATCGCATCTGGATCTGAATCCGCTTTTGATACGTGGAATGAGAATCGAATGTTGCTCCGACCTTTGAGTGCAGGCATTCTGTACAACATTCGTGAGGCACCAATCGCGCAGACACCGGTCGCTAAGCAGGCTATCTATACTGCTATCTTTCGAGCAATCGAGTCTTGCTTAGGATGCGATATTCCCGCGGCGCAGGCTGCCGCGGTGGCGATCTCGAAAGCGATGGAAGAGACAGCGGCCAAATTGCCATCGGGAGACGCAAGCGACGGGAACGATGCGGGAGTGGACATCCAGGAGATTGTGAACCAGGAAAATGCCCGCATGGGTGTTTTGGAGGGTCACATGGAGACGGTGCAGCTCGCGTTGGAGTTGCTCGCCAATGTTGCTGTCGTCGAAGAGGGTCACGACGATTGGGCGGTGGAAGGGATGGACGGTGACGGTGAATCTGGAGATGAGATGGAGGACGACGATGAGGATGTGATGGAGATGATGGAGGCTGACATGGCCACTATCAAGGAGGACGAGGCGGGTGCACCAAATGGGACGGAGGCGCCCCTCGATCCTGTGTTGAACATGCTGCTTGGCGACTTCCCAGCGATATTCACCAGGGTTGTCCAGCTGATCGCTCCGCCGAAAGCCCTTGCGCCAGAAACATCATCCGATGGCCCCGTAGAAACAAACCTTACCGCCCAGCTCATCATCATCCAAACCCGAGCCCTTATCGCGCTCACCAACATCCTGTCAACTCCTCTCGCATCCCGTTTCCTCACCTCTTCCGCCATCACCAATGAACTCTGGGACCACCTCTTCATCGCCGCTCAGAGCAGTGGCCTAGGTACTGATGATTTCCACCAGGATGTGCTGGACGCCGCTTGGGGTGCCACATGGGCTGTCACAAGACACATGGACAGCTCGCCCGCGACGCGTATTACACCGTCGGAAACACATATCACCACCCTGCAGCAATCCTCTGCACAACACCTCGGATCCACGCCGATTCCAGACGCCGTTCGTCAAAAGGCCGCAAACATCCTCACCTTACTCGCCAAGCAGTCCCCGTCCATCCCCGTCACCACCCAGATCACCATCCACCTCCTCGTCCTCTTTGCGTCTACCCTGCAACAATCCTCAAGCACTCCTCAATCTCACGCAGCATCCGTCTCACTCGCGTCGGATATCTTAAACGGGTTCTACGACATCTTCCCCGACGCGCTGACGGACCCGACCGACTGTGTGTACGTCGCCAACAACATGAACGCTAAGCTGAAGGAGCTGATCCCGGCGTTCAGGACGGCGGTGAAAACCGTTGATAAGCGGAAGTTTAGGGAGGTTAGGGAACGGGCTGAGGAGGCGTTACTGAATATGAGGGCGTTTGTCGATTATAAGGAGAAGGAGAGGAGAAATATGCCTGTGCGAGCGTAGTCTGCGCTGCTATTCTGCATTGCAGAACGGCTGCGACACAGCCACACGATGTGATTTATTTTGTTTATAACCCCACTGTATTTATTACTGCAAAACACATACCACATGGCACGCATCACTTCATGACCCTCAAACGAATCTTACGAGTGAACAAGTCGACCGAAACATGTGACCTTAGTTAAACGTGTATAATAGTGTCATGGGGTAGGGTTACTGTCATGGGTTAGGGTTACACCCATGTCCTTCTTCGCTTCTTTGCCTTTCTTCCCTTTTTTCCCACGCATCTTTCGTTAGCGGACATTAGCAGAAAATCGAAAGAGTCGTATCGATGTATAAGTTCCGAGACACATCCGCTTCATGCATACGCTTTTGTGGATGAGCAACTTTGTATCTACAATTCTAGGGATCATACACAGCATCAACCATCGTCTACGCTAGAACCCGTCGGGCGGCCGCTAAATACGTCCGAGTTTCCGATTTGGACGGCCCAACTCGGACCTTTACATGCACCACGTTTGCTCGCAAGGAACACATCCACAACAATTGGCAGCATGCTACCTGCGCATCAACCTGTAGTCCGACGGGGCGAGGTATGCGTGTTGAACGTCGCGTTCCCCCAGGAATCAACACTCATACAGCGCATGCAATGTCTCAACCTCGAACGCACTTTGAAGCTATGCCCCCAAAAGCACATAGGTTGAAAGTCAGAAAGCTTGCAATGGGAATCAGGGCAACGAATGAATCATATCGCACCTGACTGACAATCTCTGCAACCTCTTTGGAGTTCTGCAAAGCTTTCTTGTCGATTGTGCATGTGCCGTCTCCCATGCTTAGGATCAGTGACGCCATGCGTTGTTTCATACGCTCTTTCTGAAGGCACAAATGGCGTTAGATATCGCACGAATATTGCCCGCTTTGGGGAACGAACGGAACCGCTGACTAACCTGCTCGCTGATTTGCGGGAACTTTTCGGCAGGGACGGTTTCCCGGAGGGGCGGCAGTGTCCTGGCCTGTCGGCAGAAAGTCCCTGAGTATTCCGTCACAGTCTCATCAGAGTGTTGCCCTACGCCTACGTGTACCCACCAAGGTTGTCAATGTCCTCCCAGACACAGGCACATCCTGAACGAGGCCCTGAACCCCATCTAAGAAATTCATCCAAGCGTCATCCCGCGACTGCAGGTACACGTCCAATCCGACATCCTGCGGCTCCGCGGTCCTCGCTGCCATGTCGAGCTGCCCGTCGACCAGATTCACAGTGATATTCTTCGCTTCCGGCCCAGCCACGCCATTCAGCCATGCAAACATGCTCCCAATCGCTTTGTTGACCATCGCCGCGCCAGCCTGCCACGACGGGCCCGATCCAGGGTAGAATAGGAGCTGGGCATGTGGGAACTGTAGGAAAGCTGTTGGCGGGTATTGTGTTCGTATTTCCGAGTTTGATGATGCGGAAGGGGAAGCGCGGGAGTGGTTTGAGTAGGATGGAGGGATCATTTTCGTTACGCTTGTGTGGTGAAGCGCAAAATGCAGAGTTCGTGTAGCGGATAACGTGAACTCCGGGACGAGGACGCGGTTGGAGTTAAGATATCCTGTGAGCAGACGGAAAGGCTACTAGCCTTTGATGAGTGAGCCTGGGCATCCAGCAGTTGAGGGATCAACAAACACGCAGCGTGCCATACATAACTAGATTCGAGGGCTCCCTTGCCAGTTCCGTCCTCTGTTGGTGCAAAATGCAGCAGGATGGGCGCCCCAGTGTCATCATCTTCAAAAGTACCGGACGTGCGTCAGACGCGGATTCTAAATACCACGAGGTCAAGCAGAAGCAGGAACTTGCACCTTTCACGTCGACAAGGGCTAGACTGGCCCACCCTGTGAAAAGGGCCTCACATTCATAGCGGCATCGCCTTTGTCTTCCCGCATACTGCTTGTCCGCTGTGCCAGCCTGCTCCCCCTGAGTTTCTCCTCCTAAGCTGTCGGCTGAGATTCTTGAAAGTAAAGAGAGCCAAGGCTGTGCTTGGAGAAAACGTGCGGGGTCCATTGCGCCCTCTATTCTCACTGCCTCGTCGTTAAAGGTGGTTTATCTCTCATGCACCTTTGCGAATTCTCGGCCCAGAATTCATGTCCGACCGCCGGCATGTCACTTGTGCGTGCGCAGTCAAGGCCCCCGACGCGCGCACGCAACGGACACGAGAACAGCTCCAGAAAGCCATCACGTCGTTGCTTCTGCATCTCTCTCGTTGACGCTTGCATATCGATCTGCCATATCTATGTACCCACTGACAGCTCGCTCCCTCCCTCCCCTCCTAAAACTCATCAAGTAGATCTCCTCAAGCGGTTGTGGCGAGAAACACGATGGCAGCACCTGCAAGTCCTCCGGACATTGCCAAGGTCACTGAAGCCTTGGCCGAACTCAAGAAGCTGGAGGTAGGGTTCATGTCGATAGTGAGACGGTCTGCTTCATTGCTTCCTGCCCCGGACGTAGGCGGCAAATTGTGGATGTGCTCCGGCCACGTAAAATGTCTCCACTGCGATAGATCCCTTCTTCCTCTTGTTTCCTCACTCCAGTTCATAAACTTATCAATAACTGTTCTGCATCTCCCTGTAGACAAGGGCAGCCGCTTTCAATGAACTAGCCCGTCAAGTCAACGCGGAGGAGGCAGCTTGCCTGAAGGAGATTGGGAAATGCAAAAAACTACTGAAGGAGCTCCAGGCAACGAGAAAGGCGGAGGCAGCGGCAAATGCATCACCAAAGTCGCGACTGAAGATAGCCATCCCGAATGGGAAGCCTGGCTCGGCAGAAGTTATCGCGCAACTGTGGGATGAGAAACTGGAACTTATCCGCAGAAAGATCCAGCATCTGGAGTTCCAGTTCCCTAAACCTGCACAGTAAGTATAGGCAACGGGCGAATGATGATAATATCGAGACAGTCTGCAAGAGTCCTTCACGAAGACTGTATTCTTCGTGCTTTTATATACTTTACCTTGGGATTTACTGATTATGGCTGGTTATAGCATCATCCTGCGCCTCGCTCTTGGCTCCTACGCGCCGGTATCATTGAAGCCGCTGCAACTACGGTTACAATACAAGCAAGAATATGAGATCTTCAAATTACGCTTTTCGCTCATCTTCCTCGCCTTCTCCGTCCTGGGTCTGGGAGTCATCAGAAACCGGGCCTTTGACGCCATATTTGGTTTCGCCATTCTCTACTACTACTGCACATGTATTCTACGTGAGCACATCTTGCTTGTCAACGGCAGCCGGATCCGATCCTGGTGGTTCGGGCATCACTACCTTTCCATCATCTTGAGTGGAGTTCTTCTGGTAGGGGTTGTCTTACAGCAAACTTCTGTCCAGAAACTTCGCCTTGTACCACTTGCTAAATCGACCTCATTGTCATTTTAAGATATGGCCATCCACTCCGGCGTACCGATCCTTCCGCACACCCTTTTTTGCCTTCGCCGGCTTCATGCAAGTCATGCAATATCTTCAATACCGATACCAACGATCCCGGCTGTACGTTCTCGTCACACTAGACCGGGCTCGGCCCATGGACACTGTAGCTGGAGATGGATTCTTTTCAGCATCAATGGAGCGCGAGTTCTTCCTCCTGGTCCCCTTTCTCGTCATCGGCCAGCTATGGCAGCTCTACAATGCGTACATTCTTTACGTCTTTTGGCACACTTCCGAGGGACAAGAAGGCTGGCAAGGCTTGGCTGCAGCAATCCTGTTCGCAATACTGGGAGTCGGGAACACGGTCACCACATTACGGACGTGGCGCGCGAAGAAGAAAGGGGCTTCCCTGCCAAGCTCCTTGATGCCGGGGAGCCCTCCTATAACCTCGCCACTCGCTTCCCCGACGTCTCCCACCTCAAGCGCACCGTTGAATGGGAACGGATCGGTTGCACCCTCTGCACCACAACCGGCAACTGCTGCGCAGGAGGAGTACCCTTTCCCAGCAGTCAAAAGCCAACACAAGCCGAACATTTCCAAGCTATCCGAACGATAGTTAGGCCTTCTCAACATAGCTACGCCAATACCGGTGTGCCCACTGCGCACTCATGAGACCGCTTCGAGCCACCTCCGCGTCGTACTATCCGTAGCATAGTGGCGGACTAGAGTGTCTCCGGAGCTATTCGCCATCCCCAACCTTCTGCCTTACATTCCGCAAGATAGTCTCTATCGTAGATGCTTATGATAGGATAACGGGCCATACTGTCACCATACATACAATAAATAGAAAATTTTGAAAGGTTGACACTACGGGTATAGCTGTCCTCCGTAGTACTTCCCGATGGCATTCTTGTGCTGCTAGATGTAAGTGGACCTTGCTGAAGCATCGGTGGGTACCAGAGGCCAGGACGGGACGACGACCTAGAACTATTCCAATTGCTGATGACACATCAGTTGTCCGAATCTTTTACGCGGCGTGTCCGACCGGCGGCCTTCCAACTTTTTTGCCGGGAACAGCGTTTTCGCACGGTCCTTCGCCGAAATATCATCGTTACGCCCCGGCCCACTCTGACCGCCACGCAATCATGTCTGACAAACGGGAGAGCGTCTCTCCGCCTACCGAAGAGGCTGAGAAGTCGTCTCGGAAAAGAAAGGCGTCAGATAACTCCGCGTCTGAAAGCCTCGACCCCGACGAACTGGTGCCAGTGAGTTGGGGAGGACAGCAAGTCAGTAACCTAGTATTATCCATACTGACTCCCTTTTCCCAGGTTTATCTCCGCATGCGGCCCTCTGACGGTGAGGAACGCTTTGTAAATGCTGTCAACGATAAGATGGTGGAGGTCTCCAGTGCGGAGGTTCGTGAGAGTCTCTGCGAAGGCTTGGACCTTGCATAAAAAGCGGTGCCCTGACGTTTCGATAGGCAGCACGGGTAACAAAAGTCAAGCTTGCAAAGACGGAAAACTACATGTTCTCGAAAGTATACGGCGAAAAAACGACCCAGGCCGACCTTTTTGCGGAAGTTGTAGGACCGATGGTTGACAGCGTTTTCAAGCCAGGGGGCTACACCGGAGTGGTATTGGCGTATGGAGCATCCAACAGTGGAAAGGTGGGAGTGGGACATACAACAGTCGAGAGGGAAGCCATGCTCAAACGGGTCAGCACATTTGACACGTCTATTTCACAGACGTTCACGGTCAATGGGACTAGCGAGAACCCGGGGTTGCTTGTGCGAACCATCGACTCAGTGCTGCAACGGATCGGTACGGCGCTATGTAGGAAGGAGATTAAACCGGCCCGGTGGAACGACGTCAAGACGCTGTCGCACGGGATCATCGAGACAGCGAAGAACACGATCCTGGGCGGGAAGGCGGAGTTCTGCCTCTTTCTATCGTTTGCTGAGGTTTATATGGAACAAATATATGATCTGTACAGCGAGCCGGCGGAGAAGGTGGCCGGTAGCGGAAAGGAGGCAGTATTTAAAAACAAAGCTGACAGTACGCGGCGAGTGGCACAAACGAAGGAAGATGCGAACGGCCGAAAGGTGTGGATCAAAGAGGGCAGGCGCTCGGGAAGCCGCATGCTCACCCGCTGCTTTGTTTGCAACAGTATCTGTACGCACAAAACGAGGTCCGCATCCGCAACAAAGCGGAAGCCGAACAAGCCATTGCGAGGATGCTCGAAAGCCGGCAAAACGTATCCACCAATATGAATAGTGCAAGCTCGCGGTCACATCTAATTGCGGTGGTGAAGGTTTTGCGGGTGCCACTGTCGGAAAGCGGAAGTCCTCAGGTAGTTATGTTTCTTCGGGTTGAGAGCGCGTGCTAGTGCATTTTGCTTACCGTGTACTCGCAGCTCGAGAATATCGAAACGAGTCGCATATCAATAGTTGATCTTGCTGGTTCGGAACGGTTGGGAATCTCCGGAGTCGAGGGCAAGGCTCACGGAGAGACGAAGAAGATTCATCAAGGTTTACATGTAAGACTGATCGTAAAGAAGGCGCAAATGCATGCGACAAATCTTACCTCCTCATGTATAGGCTCTCGCAAACTGTATCGAAATCATGAGGCAAAACCACGCACGGACTGGAAAGAAGTCCCACATTCCATGGCGCGATAGCAAATTGACGATGCTTTTGCAGCCTTACTTTGAGGCCGGACAACCAGTACGTGTACATCTTTCGTCAGTGCCCTGCCTATCGACACAATTGCTGACTTTTTGCAGGCTTTCATAATTAATGGTAGGTCCGAGGCGGGGCTCCTGCGTGAATGAGCATGCCGTTGTTGACGAACCGTCCCTAGTCAATCCCTCGATGATCTATCGGCGAGTAACGCTAGAGGTGTTCAGGTTTGCACAAAGAGCAGGCGCTCTGCGAAGCGAGCAAGCCATCGCACCATGTAGGGCATACCTCACTGCGCGTTTCACAATTTCTATGGCCGTCCCAGTGTTCACCCGTTGTTCTACAAATGCAGCGCAAGCGAACAGCCAGGTTACGGAGTTGATGAATCAGATCGAGGTCTTGCGCCAACAACTTTACGAGCAGCAGCTCAAACTTGTGGAGCAAGAAATGGAGATTCGAGAGTCCTGCGCTAAAGACATGAGCCGACGGCTACATGAGATCGAAGTGAAATACCAGGATCGCCGACAGCAGGCAGAGCTCTTCGAAGCGGAAAGACTTGAGAAGAAGCTGGATATGGCATCAGCTATGTTCAAAGGTGCCCACCAATGATGTTTGCAAAATCCTGTGTTGGCAAAGCCACAACTCAATGTTCCTGCTTTCCTTCGTCAGAGCAGATACAGAAGCTGCAAAGGCGGATTGCGGAGCAATCATCTTTGATCGAGAAACAGCGAAAGCAGATCGAGGGAAACTTAACGCAGGACACCGTCACTCAGGTGCTGCAGCAACAGGTATCGCCTTGCATATGGACCTGACCATCCATTTCTAGATTCACATGCTAAGCAGCCTTCATCCGAGTGCAGATAAGCTCCCTTCATGACGAGTTGAATGAGCAGGCGAAGAAATTGGACAAGGAGCGGAAGGAGAAGCTCGCATTACAGGAAGAAGTGGAAAGGCTTCGACTGAACGCAACTTCTAATGTTCAACCAGAAGTAGCTGAGGTGAGGGGAAATCGACACAATTCGCTGGATTCCCCACTCTGAGCCCAATCTCTTGACCAGACTCGACGAAATTGCGAAGCTGAGGCTGCAGAAATGGCTTCCCGAAGTCGCGACGAGGAACGGCGGATACAGGATGAAAGGCAACTGGATGTGCGTTCTTGCAATCTTCAAGACGTTTGAGCAGCAGCGTAAGACCTCCAATCTGACAATGTCATTTGCAGCTCAAGGCAACGATTGCGAACCAAGCGGCTCTGATCGAACAACTACAGAACGACGTCCGACGACTGAGCAAGCCGAAGCGCTCCAAGAAGAGTAGCAACACCTCCCAGACGAAGAAAGGTGGCGCGCCGGACGATACCCCACCCCCAGTTTCCGCGCCCGACCCGCCAATGGGGAGCGATATGAGGCCCACCTCCAGTGTTGAAGACCAAGTGATTCCTCCTGACGGGAACGCTTCTCTGCATGACTCCCCCATTGAGGAAGAGCTGGATAAGGAGAATGAGAAGACTGGGTCCACCCAGAGCCAAGAAGAGTTGGCAGCATCTCAATCCGGACGCGGAACAGGAAGTAACCCTGATTTGGGAAACGAGCCAAGCACGGAGGTGAGCCTCGCGCGGATTATGAATGTAGTGATTGCTTGAGCTCATCGCAGTCTTTTCCAGCCGAAACAGCCAGATGTAGACGTCAAATTGGAGGCGCCGGTGAAGAAAACGAGGTGGGTTGCCAGACCGATATCCTGATGGCCCCGATACTGGCTAATGGATGTACTTGACTTTCCTCGCCAGACGGCTGAAGGGCAAGAAAGCCGTTGCAATCGATGATGTGGAAACTCCGGCACGACGAAAGTCACAGAAGCGATACTCTTCCATAGTCCATAACTTGACACAAAGGGGCTAATCCGACCTTTTCGAGCTGGCATCGGCTGAACTCCAAACACATGTAAATACAACCATTGCATAACCGCCTAACTGTACAGCTATGATTTTCTGCCTAGCGAGCCTTATGAAACTCATGAAATCGATGTTTCCGGACGGTCCCTTGGATGTTCTGACCCATTCTTGAAAAAACGACGGTCCGCTTGAGAACGGGGTGCAGTCGCAAGCAGACCGTTGTCGCACATATGGGTCAGACGTATAGAAAGAGTTGCTCTTCCGCAGCTTAGTAGCCAGCATTACATCGCCTCCAAATGGAGACTTAAATGCAGGTTAATTGACCACGGGTTTCGTAAAGTTGTGCCGACGATGGGTAGGGCCGTTTCCGTTGGGCAATAGCCTCCTTTACATACCAAGCACGGTGGAAATGATAGCTGGTGCTGGACTGTAAGCCAGGCAGCTAGCACCACTTCTGATAGCCACATGCGCCCACGGCAGATCGACGATCGGCTATGCGGGACTCTGAAAGACCTGCGGTGGGCTTGCACGGAAACCAAGAGTGGAGCCTTTACGGATGCTACAGTAGAGGCAGATGGACTTCAAATTCAGTCAGACTGTCGAGAGGCAGTGAGCCGGAAAGCAGATGGGAGGCAAAAGATTTCTAGGAGAGGAAAAAAACCCCAAGGGCGAGGCCGGGCTGACTTCCGGTGATTACGCAAAGTATCAACAGCATGCTGTCAAGACGCTGCATTGAGCTTCTTTCCAGTTTCGTCGGAACTAAGTATTCCACTCTATTCGACAACATCCGGCGACTATGGCAAGTCCATCCAACGGTTCACGAGATGCCCGTAGGGTTTCACGGCATATCATCCAAGTTCACCAAGGTAAGAGCCAATGAAAGCCCGCATTCCCACAACCGCAAAAAATTGCCTTATGCTTCTCTTGCTTTCTCTTGATATATTGTAGCACGTCAATCAAGGCCTGCAGGCCCTATCGAAATAACTCTCTAAACACAGCATAATGGTACATAGCTATGGCCAAAATTGCAAATCTACTGATGAGGATAAGAGATGTAGTTGCTATGATGCAATGAATAGTTTAGTCACTTTTGAATCGCCGCTTGGAGTATACCCGAAGGGAGAATAATACGCCAATTGAGAGGAGCGTCAATGCTAGGCCGACTCCCAGTTGCATGCCTTGATATAAGGATGATTGGACTAGAAATACTCTCATTCGTACCCCACTGTCGGACGATCTGACAAAAAGAGTTTGTGAGTCAGCCATATGCAGGAGTATGCTAGCCTTGTGATGCAGAGCATGAGCTTACCCATAGTCTCGATATGTACTTTGCACCCAGGTGCCTTTGGCCGGGTCAACCACTCCGAATTGGGAGGTCCCGTAATTCATCTGTAGTCCAGTTCCGTATGCCCAATGGTATCTCGAGAAGCCCAGCACACATTGGCCTACGTAAGTCCCGTTGGGCTGTACGTTGTACCGCGCACATGCAAAGTCATCCTGCAAGCGAAACGATCGTTCAAAGGATGCAATCCGCCGAGCGTGGAGGCAAACATACTCACATCGCAATCGTTGTCATTCAGACATACGCCTGTCACATTCGTTGCCGTTCGGTCCGTCATGAATCTATTGATCACATACGCCAAGACACTAGTATCGTAATCAAAGATTCCTGCGTATGTCGATTCCTGCGTTATGTGGAACTTAGAGACTGCAGAGTGTGAGATATCAGTTTTCACGTTCCGTACGGGTTTGGCATAGTGGAACATACTCTCAGGATAGTAGGGCGTCAGCAGCGGGCATGAGAGGTTTTGCGTGAAGCAGAACATCATGTCAGAAATCTTCGAAAGAGTTAGCCGGCGTTTGCACCTCAAGCAGAGAGTTTACAACTTACAAGGCCGCAATCTGCTGTCACGTTTGGTTTTGTGATGTTGCCAATGGCGTTGGCATACAGGCTGCTAGCAGCCGCAGACGCCACTGCACACATTGCCGACACTGTGGAATCGTCCAAAGTCGTGGCATCATCGAACTCCGTATTGTAGAACCTGGTTTGATCAACTATTAGCATCTTGTTCGAAGCTGTGACCGACAGTCTCACTATTATCTAACTCACTGGTTGCTAAACGCATCTTTGTAATCGCTGATGACAACGGCCGGAATGCTCTTCCTCTTCAGGAAAGCCATCACACTTGAAGGTGGCAGTCTGTTATTTACGCCATTTTGCGCCGCTGCCTGGAGATTGACGGAAGTAACGGAGCTATTCCGATATGGCGCGGCGGGATACGTCCCCGCGAATGTAGCCGCCAAAGAGTTTGTGGCGGCATTTTGAGCGTCGACATGCATGTAAATATCTGCGCCGCCAGCCTGTGTTGCTCCAATCGTGTCGAACTCTACAATGCCTTCAATGTTGTCCCATTTGATTTTGTTGAAGTCAAGGTCGAAGTAACATGGATTTGAGCATTCGTTCCCTTTCACGGGACACGCACTTGTCGCGCCATTCTTCTCTTTGCATGTCACAGGTTGGATGATATCCTCCACGAAGCGCTCAGATCCTGCAAAGGCCCACGACTCGGCGTCAAAGAACGTAAAGATCAGATCTTTCACGAGTGGAGCGGTTGCATTTTGGAGGTGCTGAATCGAGTAATTCATCTTTAGCGAACTTCTCTTTCCAGACGATAACGGTCATGCAGCTCACCTTGCTTATGGCATCCGCAATCGCCATCACTGTGACCAGCCCAGTTTTCGAGGATTTGGCGCCGATTGAAAACACGGGAGACGATGAAAACAGACCCCAGTCGTTGATCATGGCGCGGCTGTCCATCTTGCTTGACACTATGATGATCGGTCTCCTATCGTCGGTCTTATTGATGTAGCTGGGCATGCTCGCCCAGACAGAGACACCTCCAACCGGTCTGCAGGTATCTATGACGAGAGAACTCAGGTTCCCAAGAATACATGCTCGGGATGCAAAAGTCGGTATCTACCTCGTCGCAGACACGTTTCGGTATTCTGTGCGCCATACATGAAGGCATCGAACTCCACCGCATACAGCGGGAAAGAGCTATAGCCGCTAGCTGCATTCGCTTGCAAGGCCTTCGTGACGAGTCAGTCGAGTCGATCGCGATCACCCTCCTGACCCCGGTACACAATCATGCAATCCATACCGTTTCGATGGGCGGGACACTCTGCGACGCATTCGCTACGTCCATGATCCCAAAGATGGGGAAATCGTACTCGTGATATGCTATCGAATTGCCCTATGAAAACTGAGTCCGTGTTCGATCCCTGGCTTCGATATCATTGTTCCACCTACATTCGGATTCCATTGATGCCATGAGCTGGGCGCATCACGTCCATACAAGCCATACTTGCAGTTCGGACATGTTTCATCAACTGAGAACGCCGACGGCCTTTGAAACCCAAGGCCGCTCTTAACCAGAATGATCCCAGCCAGTTTGCCAGATTGTCTGAGCTTGATAACGTTTGCTCTACCATAGATTGGAATCATTATCCATGCCTCTCCACGTTGATTGCAATCCACTGCGCTTACGGTATGAATACGCTGTAGGGCATGACAACGGCATATTTCCCTTTCGGGGCGTCGGTTATAAAAGAATCCAAGCCCGGTTGATCCTCAATCTTGTACAGAATCCCCGTTGTCGATGGCTGCGCTGCGATACCGATATCAGCTTCCTATAGCGCTCCTCTCGACTAGCTTCCACTCACTCTGACAGCCCACGCTCCCGTCTGAACTGAGATGCCGCAAGCAACCCGCGACAGGGACCCCTTGGTACATAATTTTTTCCAGGTAATCTGACTGGCCGCAGACGATGGTCCCTAGTCCTATATTTACGTCGACATGTTTATACAAGTCCCTAGTTGGGTTCAAAACGGCTAGCTCAAAACTAACCAAGAACTAAACTCAAGAACAGCATTTTCGCCGTAATGTAGCGACCGTGGCATGCATAACCCCTCGATCGCTTTGGTGTTCGGTCCGTCATTGTGAGTCCCACCTGCGCCTTCGCTACTGAATCGCTTCGGTCCGGCAACGCTGCCGCGGTCGCTTCCTTCACGAGTGGCCAAGAGAGAAGAATACGGATATCGGAGGCGCCATATGTGCGCGAATTGCCAAACTTGCCGCGCATGTCTTGCCGTGTCTTTTCGACAGTCGCGACTGGCGCTGTCACAACCCCCAACTCCCCCTTTGGCATAAAACCTCTACGTACAGCCAGTGTATATGCATTTTCCACAAACTTACACCGCAATGAGCGTCACCGAGGCAGCCTCCACCACCTCTCTGCTAAAAGAGCAGATACTGTTGCTCAAGGGGCAGATTGGCGAGAAAGACAAGGCTCTTTCTTCGCTAGAGGATCGACAGGTGGATTTGTGGTGATTGTTGAATGAGCCTTGCGTGATAGCCTGATAACCGAAATGCAACGCTGTATTTACAGCCCAAGCCAAATTCTGCTGGAAAGCCCGGAAACGGACCCGGTACCGGGGTGAGTCCGAGAGTGGCTCGGGAACGACAGAAGAAGGTACGGGAACTTCGGATGTCGCTCTCCATCTTCCGTAATAGCTTCCAATGCTGCGAGCATGAGACTGATTGCCGCGATGGGGCACCTGTTACAAATTCAGGCATATCAACTTGAACTACAGAAGCTCCGCCGAGAGATCCGCCATCTGCGATTTCAAAGGAACTCTCTAGCGGATCCCATCCTTGAGGTATTCGCAGAATTCAAATTGCGTGTACATGTAGAACGTTTTGCTCACCCGACTCCGTACTGCAAGATGGCGATCGTACCGAAGCTTGCTAGCCTCAACCCCAATGTCTCATCCCGCTTTCTCGGCTCTTCATCGACGAGCCATGGACCTCCCCGAGATGTGCGTCGCGAGGCGAAACTTCATTCCAGCAACGCACCCGCCTTCACAGCAAACCCAATGTTTGCGACCGGGAGCCATCCAGACAACGGATCCAGATGGTGGTGGTCTGAAGGGCCGAACTGTAGGTTCCACATGCGGGCGTTCGATATAATTGTAGATTTGAAGTTCACCGTAAAAACCCCTCTTTTCTCACAGCAGGCAAGCGGTGAAAAGTTTCCCAATCCTGCATCCCTGTTTCCGCCATCCCATCGTGCTGTTAAATCAATCCAGGCAGGAAGCTTGACTCGGAGATATCATAGACCATAGATATACCCAACTCGACCGATAGAACTCCGCTCCGAACCTATATCTCATAGTTGCTGCGTGCCACTATTGTGGATTGCGATGAAAACCTAAAGTTCCAAACCTCAGCCCCATCCCGTGATTACAACTGTCAATCTGATCCCAACGCGCTTGCGCCCAAACTTGGCAAACATCGTCGTTCTTCCGCGCTCCCCCTTCCTTTCGCTCCAACGGATAGGCAACCAACCATTCTACGTCCTTGCCTATTCTCGTGAGAACCGCAGTCAGACCTGAAAAGCCCTCGTTCTTCTGGAATATCACGCAGTATAGTTCACCGTACTTAGCTCGTCCGTGGGCTCAACTTGTCCTTCACTACTCTCGCAAACTCGTGCAGTATGAGGCCAATAGCAACAAATACCATCCTTCTTACGAACCTGCCCTCGGTATGCTTCAAAGATGACGGAGAGAAAGTCAAATCCCTGCTCTCTGGGTACGGGAACGTCAAGAGCGCTGTGCTGTTGAAGTCGTTTAGTCGCATATTAGGTGGGTGACGAACTTGCAGTGAACATTCACTGAACCTGCTTGAACTAACGTGTGGCGTTCGGTATATATAGCTGTTTTCCAGCGAACAGCAGACGCTCAGCATGCTCGTCGGGAGCTGCATTTGAATCCGATTTTAGGGCCGGACGTCAGGGTGTATTACGGCGAGGTGGGTTCTGCCTGGCTTCGCAGTCCCATTGACTGGAGCTGATGTTTGGCTTGCAGCATACCGATGATACACACCTCCTCGACCCTTCGGCTGGCACACACATCAATTATCTGCAGGTGCCGGAACTTGAACGCAACTTCCTACTGTCGCCTCCCGGATCTCCACCCGTGGACTGGGTACAAATACGAGAAGCCGGCCCAGCATCAGGTGGACACTCCCAGGCCCTTTTGAATGCGCTGAAAGAGTTGGAACATGATGATTTCATGTTGGAGATGGGCGCACGCGATGATGGGGAACAGGATGTGCCTTTATCGCCCGTCAGCGAGACATACGAGGAACATGCACTGAGCCCTGGCCGACAAATGCTGGTTTTCAAGCCGCCTTCGCTCTCGCTCAGCCCACCCGGAAGCTTTACAATGCCGGAATCGTTACCGGTGGTTATTGTTGAAGATACGGAGGAGTCGCAATCTTTCAATCTCAAATCCGAATCTTTACCGGTGCCGACCTTGGGAATTCCAGCAATTGTGGGACGACAGCACGGTGGATTGCCGAAAACAGCGATGCCACCGGCTCCGTCGAGATGAGATGGGACGAGACGCTGCACAGCCAGCATAGACGTCCCGCAAATCCTAACTTCGGCATGCAATTGCCGCCTTAGCAACAATTTTGGTATCGATATAATCACATGAGTTGATGTGGGAGCAGTAGCTAGCTAGTCTGTTCTTTCTCTCCCCAGCATGGCGGTAGGATCCGTTCACAACCTGCGGAATTCACACCACACCCCAAGAGACTGCGTACCGCCCTTCTATGTACTACGCCCTACTGAATGTTCCAAATACAGTCGCTTTGTAGGGTGCCACCGCGGCGGTCTAGTAAAGATAGTGATTGCAGAATTCTAGCGGCTATAGCTACCAGAGCACTTGGCCTCCTAAGTAGTACGCATGAATGATATGCTGGCGGTGAACTGAAAGTTCAAGAGCGCGCTTGTGAATGGTCTTGGTATGGTTCGGGTCTGCGGGTGAGAAGCGTCTTTGAGACGTCTTTGGACGTTTCCGTAACGGAAGCATAACGTCCCCCCAAGCTTCTACATGGTCTTTTGCGAGGGCCTTGCGTGGGTCCTTCCGTCCGACTAGGTCGCCTTCGCAGAAAATGAGGTCACCGCCGCCGGCGAGAAAACATTCCATGACTCCAGCCCATCCGATCCAGCGCTTCCCAGGTTATCGACGCAACACCGACAGCAACAGCGATCCGGACGCTTCTCCTCACATCCGGCTTGCCAAACGCCACGTATCCGAGAGCAGCGACCGCCACACCCACGACCGACCCGACAACCCATGGGGAGGCCTTTCTGCGTGATGGTGGTGGTTGCCAATCGACGTCCGCAGTCGACGACCCGCTACAACAGAAATCCCTATCGCCGCAGCACTGATTGGTTGTTTGGGCTGGTGTTGGTGGTGGCCGTGTGACGAAGGAGGTTCCCAGACTCAATTCCGTGCCGTCGCCGGCCCTCGCTTCTGGTTCCGTCTCAGTTTCAGCCTCGATCCGAACCATCTCACGCCCCTTTCGGACGAGCTTCGGGACACCCTTCGTGGCGCTTGCTGTGGCTGAGAGCTCAGTTGGCACGGGTGTGGAAGCATGGGTTCCGTCTGACCCATCGCCCCAGCGCTTCAATGTTCGAACGACTTCACCCATCAGACTCCACTTGCTAACGGACAGGATCCGCACAAGCGCTATCTTGCCCATGATGTGGCCTCCCGCAGGGACAAGCACCTGCATATACGCCTTATTGTGTCCAATAAAATTCTTCCCATCCCCGCTCCGATCTGTAATCAGAATCTCGTGGTAGGAGTTAAGCATGTCGGCCGTGGTTGTATACGATTCGAAAAGCTTGGTGAGCTTCCGCGACCTGTTCTTCACCACGTCAGTGCTGAGTCGAGGCAGGCGGGCAGCAGGCGTTCCCGGTCTCGGGTAGAATTGGGAAATATGCAGCACCGAAAACTTGTACTTTGCGCACAGCTCCAGTGTTTCCTCAAAATCGTCTTCAGATTCCGTTGGGAAACCGCATATAATATCGGTTGCGATCGTCACGCCTGGTACTCGCTCCCTCAGGATATCGACGACGCGCGAGAAGTCCTCTTTCGTGTACATTCGTCGCATGTCGTCCAAAACTTTATTGCTCGCCGCTTGTACCGGTACATGCAGGAATGAGTAGACACGGGGATGCCGTAAAATTTCCGCTATGTGTTCCAGGTGTTCCAAAATGTAGGGAGGATTCGTCATCCCGACTCTCAGCATTGTCGTCTGATTTGAATGCCTGTCCATCGCAACGACGATGCCTCGTAATAGGTCCACGATGGAGACACCTATATCGCGACCATACGCCCCGGTGTCTTCTGACGTCAGCCAGATCTCCTGAACGTCCTCGCTCATGACAGCCTCTACACGTGCGATGATCTCCTCCGGAGCGTAACTGCCCAAATCCCCTCGGGCATGCTTTGTCTTGCAATACGTGCACTGGTTGAGGCAGCCAGTGTTGATGGGAATGATTTCGATGTACGGATTCCGCCGCACTTTCGGTAAGTCCAATCTCGCACCACCCGCCTTTCTCTTCTTCCCGTCCTCGAGGTTCTTTCGCTCCTTGAACAGCCGTACGCTGTTGCCCTTTAGCGTTTCCTCCACGACTCCGACGACTTGGTCGATTTGCTGCACCCCAATGACGCTCAATCCTGCCCACTCATTCCCTTTCGGCTGGGCTTGTGGAACACAGCCCGCCACGACCACCTTCTTGCCCGCGTTTTTGCCTTTGCGAATGTCATTAACAAACGTCTGCTCGGACGGGCCTTTCACTGTACAGGAGTTGAGGAGCCATAAGTCTGCTTGGTCACGAAGAGAGTCCTCAAGCACAACTTGATATCCATCGGCGGCGAGTAGCCCTGCCATGTATTCCCCGTCGCTGTTGTTGTGACCTATATAGGGTAAGGAAGATCAGAATTCGTGCGGTCGTCCAGTTAAAGCCAACGGCAACGAGCCATTACCGCAGCCCCATGTTTTGACAAAAACAGTAGCTCTTCCGGGCAGAAAGTGATCATTCTCCGCAGGAAGAGGGGAGCTTTCCTGAACCACTTTCTTCTCGGCGTCGCCCGCAGTCGGAGTGCCTCTTTTGCGGAAAGATTTCACAGCAACGCTTCGGAAACTTTGTCGCACGTTCGTTTGACTCGCGAGTTCGGGATCGTTTCCTAACTCTTCAATGTCGTCTATTGCAGCTGGACTGCAATTGTCGACTTCGAGAGAAGAGGAGACTAGCATTGTTTTGCTGCGCTGTCTGCCGGCTTCTGCTGATGCTGCCGAAAGGACAGGGAAAAACAAGGCGGGGCGAAGCGTCTAAGAAAACAACCAAGGATGCCCGATATCTACTTGGCCGTAGAGGTGCTCAACGACCTTCTAGTTCTGAGCCGTGCGTTACGTGGGCACGGGACGGACTTATTCGTAAGCCTTCAAATGCTTTGCCACTACCCCACTGCAATGGGAGTCCCGGTTCTCAACGCGTAGAAAGCGAACGCAGAAGTTGGAACAGAAAACTTGACAATAATCCCGACGGCGTATCACGTGGAGAAAAGATTAATATGGCTTTAACGTGTCCGCGCTGACATAAGGCGTTACCCGGCAGTTTTCCGACGCGTTCCGATTCCACCGAAGTGTCTTCGGGATATCCCTAGATACTGTAGATGCCCGCTCACTCTCCTGCGGAAAAGACGTCCCTTTGAATACTAAGAGGACCGGTACCCCTGTCTCTCTTCAGCAGGAACAGATAGATACTCCTGTCGCTCTCCTGCCAAAAGAAAGGATGCATAATGCCTCTCCATTTGAAGCACATGTGTTCTTGAAAACAAGATTTCCCAGGACAAGATGGTCCTCGGGGGGGCTTTCATTATTATGGGCTTGTGACCCGCACACCGCCGCTCTACTTGCGTTGGTATATGAGGAACGACTGCTGCGCCAATGGCAGCACTTCACAATACTCTTCAATTAATACAGTATCTATGGTACGATATTGTCCGTCTATTCACCTATTGATCTCTGGCTATTGCACCCTTACATTTTGGCAGTATACTTTCCCCTCTTTCGAATCGAGGGTCCATAACTCCAAAAGAAGAAGGGAATGGGTATCAAACACACAGCTACCCCGCCGAAGACGCTGGTTGCCCACCCAATGCCGATGCGATGATAAAGGGGTGGTACGATCAGCGGAAAGGCGGCGGCCAGAGTGCTGCGCAGGAACGTGTTGGCAGCGATAGCACTGGCGCCCCACCTCTCGAACACGTCGATTAAGTAATTCAAAGCCGACTGGAAGATGGTGTAGTACCCGAGTCCCATCATTACGGCACCGAGGCACGGAAAAATCCAGTGGATGTGGGGAGAAGCGGTCCACCCGATGGTGAAGAGTCCTCCCGCAAAGATGAAAGATCCAAGCATCATTGGCGGTAGCCGTGCCTCGGGAACGGCCACATTGCCGTTTGTGACATACCGCTTGCGATAATATATCTGGTTCCAGACGTTGACTGCCGAGCCCAAGGAAATTCCCACCAGCAGTGCCAAGAAAGGTAGCGATCCTACGAACTGGTTCATTCCCCGTCCTTCTCCGAAAATGATCGGAAACGAAGCGAGGCACGCGTAGAAGACCCCGTAGATGAAGGAAGCGTAAAGGGCCACCAGGAAACATATTGGCGTGCATAGCATCTGAATAGGTCGCAATCCAAACTTTGTGAGAATATCTCGGAATGATACGGCTCGTCCTTCGAATTCTGCGCGCATGGTGGGGTTTCCGGTTGTGCGCCGCAGGGCTCGGGCCTTGTAAACCAAGAGAATCGAGGGATATGATTCGTCTATCAGGAGCACATCCAGCACAAAGATGCTTCCTTGTATGATCGCAGTTAACTAGAACGAAGACGACGCATTGTCAGCCGAGTCACCAGGGTGAATGCGAATGTGAACGCTCTCACGTATTCCGTCCAACGCCAATTAACCCCGTACGCGACGATTGCACCGCCCACGATGGGTGCAAAAACTGGTCCGCCCGCTACCGCCAGGGCGTAAGCGACGATTGCCGTTCCGCGCTGCGTAGGATGCCAGATGTCGGCAAAGACCCCTCCCGTACAAGTTATGGGCGAGGATCCGAAGAAACCGGTCAGAAATCTCGTGATGAGGAGAGTCTGTAAGTTCTGGGCTTGTGCGGTCCCGAGGGAACCGAGCATTGCCAGAAAGCAAGGAACCAACACAGCCCATTTTCGACCGTAATACTCGGAGACTGGCGCCCAAACAAGGGGTCCAAAGCCAAAACCGAGAAGTAGCAAACTTGTCCCGAGCAACGCAGTTTGTTGATCGACATGGAAAAGAGCGGATACCGTGGCGTTCGCTGGCGAGTATGCAGCGCTTGCATAGGTGGAGCTGAAAGTAGTTAGACCGTACAGGATGGTCGTCAGTGACTTCTTGGTGAAAGGCCAGTTGAGAGGGTGATACGGATCGTCAGGACCAGCGAAGTCAACAACGGTCCCAGCATCGCGTGGGGACAGGGACGCACAGGTGTCGTCGGGGTTTGCAGACTCGGAGAGTTTCGCACGCTTCAGCGCCGTTTGTGGCTGCTCGGGCATCCCCGTTCAAGGGGACCGACTGGTTATCAGTTTGTAGAGCGGTAGAGGAGCGGTCAAGGTTGGAAGATGGCTTGGACCTCTGGCGATCGGGTAAATAAGACGTACGATGGGGATGTGTGGGGTATTTGGCAAGATTACACTCAAAGGCGGAATGGAAGCACAACGGGGCCGGCATTCTATATATGAAGCGGATTGATGAAGGATGCGAACAAGCAGAAACGTGGAATGTTTTGCGCAATCCGTGAAGGCTGAAATATCATACCTACGAACACTCCAGGTCGTGGAAATCGCGCGTCGGCAACACTTCGCAGGCGTCGGGCGTCGGACGTCACTGGTGTACCGGAATATACGAACATTGGGAGAACATCGCAATACACTCTGACCTTGCCGCTCCATAAACACCTGTAATATGTGATCCTTTTCTGAATCCAGCCCAGCCGTCAGCCATCGGACTTTCCTTGTAATTGGAGCGTGTGAACAAGCAGGAACATGTGATGTTTGTCTGACTGAAACTGCACACCTTGGTATAATAATCCTACTATACACCCGTACGTGGCCCATTCTGAAAGTCTACGCAGCGCTCAGGTATTGAACCGGTGACGTTGGCGTTTGTTGTCCTGCATTCTTCCTCCACTTTGTCTCGAGTCCTCTTGCCACATTGACACTGAAAATGGGTAGATGTATGGGTTTATTCAAAGTCTTTTACATATGGGCTATTTTGCATCAACAGTGGTAGCCACTAGTCCAAAATGGGTGTCCCGTACATGAGCCTTCTCCAACGTACCACACCCGTTCCAATCCGCCTCCCCCTCATGTTGCCTAGGCCCCCATCCCAAAATTCCCACTTTCGACACCTTCACTGGATAAACACGGTGTCCTCCCCCCCCCTCCCCCCCCCCCCCCCTCCTGGCTTTTTCATATCTTTCACTTGAGCTCCTCACTATCCGCCGCCATCCTAGCCTTGATCGCGTCACGCACGTCCTTGATGGACATGGCGCCGTTCTTGATCCGTACAACCGTGCCCGCCATGTCCAGATCCGTAACCGTGCACCATTGGGGAACCACCTGTGCCAACAACCGAATGTGCGCCGCTGCTTCACCTACAGCAGAACAGATGTAAGAATTAGTGGATGATGGATGACATGAACGGTACGAATGTAACAGGGACTCACTCTCGGATAGAGACGCAGTTAGACTGTCGGCCATCTTCTTGGCAGTGTTGGCGAGGGGCATTACAGACTTGTTGGCCGAAGACATCATACTGTTGGAAAACATGGGAGAGGTAAATGTTTAGCACTTGAGCCGAAATCGTAGTCCCATGCATTTCCTGACCACACGGCGTACGTACAAGCTCAAAGCCTGGGCAAGATCTCCCAATCGCGCCATCATGGCCCTTTCGCGTATCTGGTCCGGGGAAGGCTTCTTCTCGTACATCGCCTTCTCAATCGCTTTGCGTTCCCGTTCTCGAATCTACGAAATGGTGGCCGAACTTGTAAGCGTGTGGTTCAGCAAAATCGAGACAATCACAACAAGGACATACCCGTGCCAAGATATCCGACGCTTTCGACCTCGGTTTCGTCGGTGGCTTGGGCATCACCGCTTCTCTAACTTCCTGTTTCGGCGTCTCGGGCGTTCCAGGCACCACGCCTATCATTCCCCCCACCTTGCCCAAGACCCGCGGTGGCGGGGTATCTACCCTTTCCATATTCCCCAAATCCATATCGGCGGGTCCATCGATGGGATGAGGCAGTCCAGTCCTAGTCTTGGAATCTCCCTGCGGCGTCACCGCCTCCTCTGTCGTCTTCGCGGCCGCTTCCATCTGCTTACGACTAGACGAGGCGATCGAGTTTCTAAAGTCCGGCAAGGATTCCTTCAACTCCGGCATATCCGCCTCCTCAATCTCCGGGACGGAATCCAGATCGAACCGTGGGTGCCAGCACATCAAGTCCTCGCCAGGGTGTCCTCTAGTGTTCACTCCTCGCACCGTGTCGGTCAGCGAGTCCAAAAATATCTATCATGGAAAGAAGAGGGAGACGATCTGAGTGATCTGGTATTTGAGGGTCACTGAGCAACAACTCGATACTCACATCATGCTGCACCCGCACAAGGCGCACAAGTCGACCGTGAAATTCCTTTCTCCGTTCGCCCATACTGCTCGCTGCAGCGTCTGCAGTCGCCCGCATCTTAACACTGTCCAGCGCAGATCGCGACGGGGCGGCCAGCGTCCCTCCCCGTATCACGGATGGGGATGTCAATGGTGACGATGTGGGTGTTGACGGTTGGGTAATGGACTCGGGCATGGGAACTTCGATGCACACGGAAGTGACACGCACGCCCTGGTCGATTGTCTGCACACTTTGATACGTGTATGCCTCAGGAAACACGTGTCGGATTTGAGCAAGATTGCGTATTTCAAAGTCACTGCAGTAAGCAGGTATAACGTTAGACCTCATACCCCAAAAGGGACGTCACACCTCGCTCACAAACAGGAGGAGTTTCCCTTACCGATGGCAAACGTTCTCGACGGCTTTCCTAATCTTGTGGTACACGCACTTCTGATCTCGACCTCGCATGAACATGACGGTGTACTCGAGCGCGTTAAACATTTTCTCCAGAGTTTCATATTTAGATGGCAGAAGAAGCTTCTTTCCGGGTATAATGAGGTGTCGATAACGTTGATGAGCAGGTAGCACCTTTGAAGTTGAGTTTGGTGCAAGAGTAGCGAGCGTAGAGCCCTTGAGTGAAGGTTTCGTTGGTGTTGTGGGTGCGCTGTGAACGATAACTGCTTTTGAGAGACGATTCTTCGGAAACGCAGAAGAACGAGCTCTGATGGGAACTTACGTCGATGGGGAACTGAGTTCCTTGGGGTCGTGAACCTCCGGTTGGTGTTCAGCACGCGGCGATGGAAGTATCGCAGAATCGAGAAGTGTCGATGGAGGCTTGGGTGTAGCGTCGATCTTGACGAAGCGAGGTGGTGCTGGTCGAGTAATCTTGTGTGTCGTTCGGTCCGCTGTCTCATATGGAGATTCCCTTGTTTCCCTTGAATAGGGTGTTGATGTGCCTTTGCTGGGAGGTGAGCTCTCTGATTCCCTAGCATCATTGTTGGATTCAATTCTCTGTTGCCAAGCAGGTGGAGCGACCATGTCAGAATCCAGGTCATAAATGTATGCATGAAGGAGTAAGGTTCAAACCTGAGGGGTTGTCCTCAACTTCCTAGTCTTCTCTCCCGTTTTGAGTCGTTTCCTATTTTCCGGAAGCTGACATGGTGTAGGATCCACTTCTTCTGCTCGACGCTGTTCCCATAAGAAGCGAAAAGCTTAATAACAAGCTTGCAGTGCAACCGCCACGACCTGAGAGCAAAGAAGCATACCTTTAGGCCGACATGAAACACCGACTCCTCTTGAACTTCTTTCGCCAGCGGCGATCCTGTATGCGTTGTAGTCGCCAATCGAATAGTATCTCCACGGCCTGCGCGTTTGCGGGCCGTGCTCTGGGCACCCTGTACTGGTGTCTTCCCTGACTGTAGCTGCTTGAATAGGACTCTTTTAGTGGAGCTGACCTAGTGCTATGCGACGAATGTGGAATCTACCTTAGCCCTAGACCGAGTGACCGACCCGCTCTTTTGCGACGGGAAAAAGCTCTGTAAGCTCGGCGTTGACGCCGTATGTGCTTTGGTCATGGCTATATCGTTGCCCAAAAGAAACACTATATGCTGGCGGGTCCTTATCACGGTCCTGCGGCTTTGGGACACTGGATCGGCCCCTCTGGTGTGCTTGCGGCCGAAATGTTCGGCTCAAAGCAACACACTGTACGCTCACTCACAACTACCGGGATTGGAACCCCGCTCGTGGCCTTTCCGTCGAGATCGTTCTTAAGATCGTATACACACAGCTCCGTTGGTGGTTTCCTGTATTGGCGCCGGTCGATGAGTCCGAACACCTCTTTTCGCGTTCGGAGCAAGGTCCCGCTACCTTTCGTCTGCCCCGTGATGGACCCGGTGGAGGTGCTGAGGGCTTCTAAGGGAGAACTGCGAGCGGATAAGAGCCCGGGTAGCCCGCAGACGACTACTACTATACACTACTTTCTGTTCGGGAGGATGCGTTTCCGGGAAGGGAACAAGGGTCCACCGTTCACGCGTGGGGGAAAGGAACACCGTCGGACGGACATTCACGCTTGTCCGAAAGCGGTCGGACGCAGTCGGACACGTCTCCCGTAGGAAATGTCTGGCCCTGTTGCAAGTTGGCTTTCCGCAAGCGACGTCGACAAGAAGGTTCGCAACATTCCTCCCGGACCTCCCCCTGCGCAACGTCCTGTCACCTCAAGCTTCCCTTGTACTATTCCATTTTCGTGGAGAGATAGGTCCTTCCCGTCATAGGAGTTTCCATTTATTACGCTCTTACCACCCCGCCTTCCCGTCAGGACCTATTACGCTCTTACCACCAGCCGCACAACGCTTCGGCTCGACGACCGAGACCACGTCCAAGAAGGCTCGCGCATCATATCTACCTCAGGGTGAAGAGCTCATCAGTCACCCGGCCTTTGTTTCCTGGTTTGCCAGAATGGTATCCGGAAACAGGCAGGCCGCCTGTCGCGGAAACCCTCGAGACAGTGACGGAGATATTCACCAATGGAACACCGATCGCAACGAGGCAGGCGATCTCATTTACATTGAAATTCCCCTTGGGGAGGCAGTAAGGGGATGGACTTCTCGCTACGAAGAAGAGCAATTGATAGGACTCCGTAGCTTGGTCTGTTGCGGGTGTCCGTGTAATGCAAATGCCGAAAGTCTTCGATGCCTCATTATATCTTGTGCAGGCATTGGGCTTACGGTCGACGCCATTGCCGGTTGCGGCTAGGGTGCCGTAGAAGCTATGGAGGCAGTTGGAGTGATCACCGTCCACGAGGTCGCCCACTACTTTGTCGACAAGACATCCACCCCTTTCTCTCTCGCCACGTGGTCTTCAGTGTCTCCCTTCTCTTCCATGATGATCAATACAGATATGACGAGGACATCGGCCCCCGCAGCATCTACGTAACAGGGCGCCCACGTCCTCGTCAATATCCGCGTTGATCACCATAGAATTCATCCCCCGGAATCGATCATACTCTTTACATCAACCTCGAGACCAGGCGACCATCTCGCCACGACGGCCGGAAGTTGTATGATTCAAGTCGAGCCTCTGTGGCCTACGCGCCGGAGTTTTATAGATTCTTTTCCTGCCGACCGTTCCTCGCACCCTTGCGTTTCAACTCTTCATCGGGCAGTCATACCAACCAACCTCTATATGGCGCACCCTGTCTTTTTGTGAACGTCCGGCATGCCTGCCCAAATACACTGTGCACATTTGTTCACCGATTGCTTCATTACGCACCCTCACCGTATCCATCCTTGTCATTCAGTTCCTATACAGTTTTGTCCATGGGCCATGTAGGATATCTTTGCCGTGCAAAGTGACCGAGCGACCGTGCACGTGAAATGTGCGAGACGTGTTTGCGATATGTTAAACCCGAATGATTTTGAGTGGTCTCTCCCGAGGAACCATATAGAGAAAGCGCGAAGTTCGAGAGAAAGAACAGGATTCTGAACATGCCTCGGCCGTGCGACTTACCGTTGCCCGTAGCCGTGAAGTCGCTCGGAGCAAGGCAGCCCTCGTTTCCATGTTAGCGGTCCATTCGCCATCTAATTAAAGTATGTACACGTGCACCGCTTGAATCCGCGATGGGCAAACCTTCCTATTATCCCTCGTGCTCATACGAGCGACTATCCACTTGATCTGGATTCGCATCATCACTACTGGAACGCAACTGACGTTTTCGAGCTTTCCACCTTGCCCCCACCACTGACAAAACCCGTCCCTGGTTTGTTGACGAGTAAGTTAGTACAGGAAGAGAAGCAAATCACATCGGAACTCAGTCAACGCACCTTCTCCATCAAGTTCCACGATATCCTTTATTTTGCACTTCTTTTCGCATATGTGACATTTCAGACTCGGTCGCACGAACTTGGCGCAACATCCTTTACAAAGGACATGCCCGCAGTTCTTCAGAACCACAATCTTCGACCCGTTTGTCAACGTCTTCAAGCAGGCCGGACAGACCAGCTGTGTCGGATCGCCTTTCGCGCTGGTGAACTTGGTCTCTATGAGTCGTTTGATACTGGAATAATATCCATCTGTTAGCGCGGGTCCTTGCATTGAGAGCACAATGGTACCTACGTCACTGGATGTGGAGTTTCTGTTGCTGTGCACATCGTCTCCAACTTCGGGGCGTGAACAATCTCGATCTTTGCATCCGGCGTCAGCGATGGGATCCAGAAACTAGGTAGCGATTTGCCTTTCGGGTCCACCTATGTAAACAATCGAAGCGGTGGTTAGATGTGGCCCCGGTGACACATGTGCTGCATAGTCTCCCTTACGCCAATCGTCTTTGTCTCCGGATTTGTCAACTTAGCCGTCTCCTCCGCCCTCGTCCGGTTCTCGTCTTTATCGTATTGATATACCACCCCATCTGCGGTATGCACCATCTTGTACACTTTCCCACTCATCAGCCTCTTGTCATCCCCTATCTCCACAAACGCCTTCATCGATGTCGGCAGGAACTGAGCTTCCGTTTGTTCGAATAATGCTATTTCCGCCTCTTTTGCTGCGTCTTTCGAGCTTTGACGTTCGGCCTGGATTCATAACCGTTAGACACGACGATTCGTCGCACTTTCGAGATAGCAGCGTTATACGCTGTGCGCACCTCCAATAAAGCCTGCTGCTCTTCGTATAGCTTTTGCTGCCGTGCAATATCTTTCTTCTGCGCAAGGATGTTTTCGTACATACATTCCTAGAGTAGCTAGTTTCAGCATATAAACATATATGGCTCCGCAAGTGATCCCAACTTACCTTGCAAGATAAATGCCCCTCAGGACTGCAATAGCGATCAGACCCTTCCGGTCAGCCCCAATTAGCGAAGACAATCGAACTGAAAGGACAGCATACCAGCATAGTGGTTCTCGCGCTCTTTGCAAGCATAAGAAACAGGCGTCAAAATTCCTCATAGAATCTCTTCCGAGTCTCTGCTTCGTCGTGCCATAGTTTAGTTTCGATTTTTCATAGTGCGTGAAGAACGCTAACGCTGTGTTGTTTTTCGAGTGTCTGCGTAGTGGAGGAAGAGGTTAGTAGGAGATATGGCAAAGTTGAATTGTGGCGACTTACCTGGACATCGTAATGGAGTCTCCGATCTTCGCTAATTGTTGAACGTCGGTTGGAAATCGGTTGGAAAGGCTGCTTTGGGAGGCTTTGGGCGTGACTACTGTAGGAATGGGTAACTCACGTCGTTTGTCACAGTCACCGCGGAAAGCATTCCTCCACTGCCCGTTTGCAAACAATTTCAACGAATCTCCCCACTCAGACAGCAACCCAACAACGCTCCTCTCTCAATTCAGCCATGCGTCTCTCAGTATCTTTCCTTGCGACCTTCTTCGCCTTCCTGGCGCTTTGCGCTTTCGCCCAGGCGGCCACACCAAACCAGTACAAGTTCACCGGCACCAAGACTGCGTCTGGTAAGTGTCAAGTTCTCACAACCCAGCAGGCACCCAAAGTACTTTCAGAGTTGCTCATACTTCTCTTGCAGATATCAAGCGCTATATCGTATCTTTCAAAGAGACTGCCACAACGACTAGCCTGGATGACCTTACCACCAAGGTGAAGGAGTTGGGAGGCGATATCATCAACCGGTATGTATGCAATAATCGCATATCTGTGTGTGCAGTTGTTGCATATTCGTGAGTGGACTGAGGTATCTGACGCTGTCCTATTTTACGATGGCTGCAGATTCAGCGTCATTCCCGCCATTGTTGTTGACCTCCCCGCCAAGCTCGCCACCGCCTTGGCCGCTATACCCGGAGTAGACTCGGTGGAAGAGGACCAGCCAGTAAATGCGATGCCCGGAAAGAAGAGGATGTGAAATGCCTATCAACGGTGCTCTTCCCATCCAATTGGAGCCTCAGCCCAATTTTGTTAAGGATCTAAAATCACTCGAAGTTTTTGTTGTGGCGGAAGGCTCCATGGCCATTAGTTTCTGGTCTGGAGCCAATTTTATCACGCCGATTTTGTACTTTGTGGTATTTTCTCACGGAACATTGGAGAAATAGGAATTTTGTTCAAGACATACTTTTCTTTTGAATCATCCATATGGCGGTCATAAGTACAAAATCCCCCAAAAAACCCCACTACGAGAAATATGTGCACATCAATCATCCGTCTCACCCCTACATACACGCCTCCCAAAAGCCTACCCTCATCTACAATCTAGAACGTATAGGTTCAAGCCTATATCTCATCTCCTTCAACTGTTTCGAACTCGGTTCCCAATTCTCAAACATCTTCATCAGGGCGTCCAGATCCTTTTGCAGATCTTCGTTCGCCTGGATGAACGGGTCATCGATCAGCCGGGCCATTATCCATGGCAGGTAGTAGGGATTTAGCCGCGTTGGGGCGCTTAGTGAACTCGAGACCATCATGTTTGAGCCCCAGGGCGCGCTGGGGGAGGCTGGGATGCTCCATGCCGGCTTGCCTCCCATTGCCCATGCGACAGCGAGCCTAATCGTAATCGATACCAAGTCAAGTCAGACATTTCATGGATGTGCCACGGGGGACCATCGAATCCTCCAAGACAAGCGAGCACTCACAAGTATGTGTTGATCTCTTCGTAAATGACGGAATGTCCCTGCGTCCCGAACAGGGTCCCCGTCAAGACATCGGAAAGATGAACGATAAGGTTGTGATCAGACACCCCAGCGTTCTGCAGCTTCAGCCCGAAAACCACGAGGTGACTCAAAAAGTCCGGTATGTAATCCGCGCCATCAATGTACAGCGCCCGATAGATGTTCGGGTGCCTGAAACCATGCATCACCGCTGAATACAGCTGCCAACAACCATTGAGGGTGAGTCGGACCGAAGGACCAATACGAACTGCCCCATGAGGATTGCTTACCGGCACCACTTGGTCATACCAACTCCCCACTGCAACTGCTCGGATCCCGTGTGCCAGTACGTATCGCATGGCTATTTGATACTTCTTCGCGATTTCCGTATTTGGGTCATTAAACTCGAACAGCTCCCTGGCGGCATCTGCCTCGAAGTACTTGACGATCATATTTGCCTTCAAGAAGGGGTGCGGGCCTGATATGATAGAGATGAGAGGTGAGCATATGAAACGGGAAAGCCGGACAAAGACGGCCGAGTCTCACCATGCGATATGCCCGCCATTGCCAAAAACGCCACCTTCTGCCGCGAGGGATCTACCCTCCCCTCTTTTATCAGGCGCGAGAGCAGTATCGTAGACACTGGAACGCCCTGACTATGAGCGGCCACAAAGACCATGTCCGCCTCGAGAAGCTTCTTCGCCCAACCCTTATCGGAATCCACCAACTGCCTATGTAGAATATCGACGCGCCGCTCGATCTTCCCTTCCCCTTCCAATGGCATCATCGTGATTGCGTCATCTGACAGCATGATGTTGTACTTTTCCGAGAAGTAGGCGCGCACTGCTAATGCCATTTTCTCGGCGAATCGGCCTGATGTGCCCGTTGGTTCACCGACAACTAAGGACGATGCAGATGTCAGAATCAGGTCGCCAACGCCGAAGCAAGTTCCGGTCTGCCTTTGCTTGATGTGTCCTACCTCGCTGCAGGAATCGCCCAGGAAACCATCCATGCACGCCGATGACCACAATTTTCTGAATCGTATGGGGCGTCCTGATCAAGCGCTCCAAGATACTCATCCGCCGCGGCTCATCCGTGGGTGACCGCGGCCACAACCAGCTCGTCGTCATATGTATTATGCGCTGCAAAAGCTGCTTTTGCGGACTTTCGGGAACCACGGTGTTGTCTGGCAGCATTTCTGCCTCGTATGATGGAAGGACCACATTGTGCCGCCTATATTTCACCGGTTCGGTTGCTGCCGCGGAACTGATGCTCCCGGATTTCGAGGGAGAGCCGGTGTAGTCGGCTGAAGATTTGGGGATGTGGGATGGAGAGGAAGGTTTGGCTGTCGGCTCGTTTGGTGGCCAGTCTGGTCCGGGCTTTGCGTCGAAAGGCAGCTGATCACCCGGCTCCAGAATTGTCGCCGGCCCTGTTATCGTTGACCCTCCAACACTGGCGCTGTCGGAAGTCAGAGGGACGGTCGCCTCTGACGCTGCCTCGTCGCCTTGTGGATTCTTCGGTGCCAGGCCATTCTCGCGAACGGACTTTGCGTCAGTTGTCGACCCTGCACTTTCAGACGGCACGTTCCCTTCCGTCGCAGGTTGCACCTCACCCTCCCCAGGCGCTAAAGAACCTGGCGCAGGCTGTTTCGTGAACGGGTGGAGCACCGTCTTCCAGACGTTGGACGAGTTTGGAGGCATGAATGGATGGTGGGCGGACGGAGTGAAGGAGAATTTGCGATGACGAGAACTCCTAAGACCTCTGTTGAAGAAACGAGTGCTGGTACACACGCAACGGCGGGTACATAGCATACGGAAGGATGAGGATGCGTGGGCTTCTTAGGAGGGCATTCTTGCCTCTCGCATAAGAACGTGCTTTGAAAATGCTGCCAGTTGATACTGCGTTTTGAACCTGAAGGAAAAGAGGAACGTGCAGTTCCTCCCGGCCTCCTCCAATTTGCGAGACTCGTGGTGGCGGACTTGCCCCTGTCGTCATCACTCTACCGCGCGTGATTTTTCCAAGTCCGCTCCCACCAAAATAATGACAGTTCTCACAAAGTTGCATCAAACAAATAGCCTAGACCCAATCAGCGTTTTCTCCCGAACCAGCATTTACTCATAATGCTCATATCATGGATGATGAAAATACTAGCATACAGTCCAGCGTTCCATCGGGACTTTGAGCCATTAGAATCACTTTGACGGGGGATGGTCAGTCGATTCGGTTTGCATCGCCGCGTATCCATGAGAAACAGCTGCGGAAGTGCTGTATACGGATCCCAGAGCAAAGGCCGCTGGTGGTTCCATATCGCTTCGAGATCTTTGAGATGAGGTGAGGAGATGCATTAACTCCGGGTAATTTTGTGATGGGTTGATGGGATGCGATTTCTTGTCGAGCAGACTGTGTACTCGCTTGAGGTGATTGATTACTCATGGGAGTGCATATCATAGTCGCCCCACGCTCTTTTCCCTCACCAAGTACTTGACACAACACTCTTTGGTCATTCTCCGGCAGAAAAGTGCTGCCACTCCCATTGGGTTGCAGGTGGCGGCAATGGGATTGGGTCCTCCCCACTCCCCTCCCCGGCCCCTCATCAACCTCCTCATCCGATAAAACCTCCTTAAAAGGCCTCGCCGCCCGCGCTCTCCTCGGCGCATTCTTCCTCTGCGGGGTTTCAACCTTGAGCGGGACACGGAGGGTAGTCGATATCAGCAAGTGTTCGTCCGGGAGTTCATCGGCACAGCATATCAGCAATACCCTAACCCTAACCCTAACCCTAACCCATTTTGGGTAACTAACAACAACACGCTCCGCTCGTGGTGGGTGGTACACGGGAGCGAGTCACCTCCGGCGGCCGCAGTGGCAGAACACATCACCGCCCCCCCCCCCCCCCCCCCCTCCCCCCGTCCAGGCCCGCCCGCCTCACTCCCTCAATTTCGAGTCCCCACTATTACTGGAACAATCCGCTCGCTCGCAGCAAAAGTTGCTTCTTTCTCGCCTGCTTGGAAGACACTTCATACGCCAATAGACTCATAAAGATAGTCAGTCGACAGACGCAAAACGACGGAACTTCCCACTTGGGCTTCACTGGGAACGAAAAAAGTGAGACTCTCCGCCATTTCCCTGTTCTCTTATCACAAAGTACTCGGCCTAACCGTTGCTCCAACAGCAGATCGAAAAGAACCAGCAATGAAGTTCTCGTCCGTGGCACTCTGGGCACTGCCCGCCCTGGCCACCGTAACCTCAGTGGTCTCCGGTAACTCTCTTGGTTGTGACATCTCCGACGAAAACTGTGTCGCCGCTTTCGGGAACTTGCATGCGCGACTGGGAAGCGACGGCACTGATGAGTTCGTCAAGGGTGCTAGCCTGAACCGACGGCAGAATCCTCCGACGCCAGTGCCGGATGTGCCCACGCCCGTCGAGGACCCCGTCTCGCCCGTCTCGCCCGTCCCGATTACGACGCCCCGCCCAGTTACGGAACCCGTAGTTACGAACCCTACCATCACGACCTTTTTCGATCCCAGTAGCGCTTTGTTCCCACGTACCACCACAACTCCAACCACTCCTCCATCCACCACTACAACCACCTCAAGCACTTCGCAGCGGGCTACCTCCACTGTGACATCCTCTTCCACGTCGCTTGTCGTCGCTACGTCAACGGACGCCAACGGCCAAACCGTCTATGTTACCAGCACCAAAATAACCATATCCACGAACGCTGTTGCGGACCCCAACGCCACGTCCGGCCAGACAAAGTCAGGTGTGGAGGCGTTCGGGAAAGGGAAGATTGTCGCGATCGCGGTCGGAGGCTCCTTGGCCGTGCTGGCCGCCGCCGTCGCCATCTTTACGTTCAGGAAGTTGGGTCTCAAACCATCGGACAGATTCCGTGACCGTCTGTTCAGGAATGAAACGGCTGGAGCTGGAGCTGGAGCGGGCGCCGCCGCTGCCCCTGCATCAACCACCATCAACAACCACATTAATCTTCCTGTAACCCCGCCACCACCATCGAACCGGTCCAACACACCCAACCCCTCAGGCACTCTGGACAAACCGTACACTGACAGCGGCTCGCGCACGGGCAGCGGTTCCAGCCCCCTGCCCGGCTCCGACGCCATGTCTCAAAGCCGCTACAGCGGAGTTCCCGCCGACCACCGCTTCAGCGGCGTCCCCACTGACCCACGCTTCAGCGGCCTACCCTACGGCGCACAGTACGGCGCGCCAGCCCAAGGCATGACGCACGAGTACGGATACCCCATCCAACCTCACCCACAGGGCCAATACGGTCCGGAGTACGGTCATGAATATGGTCATGAGTATGGCCAGGAGTACGGTCAGAACTACGAGCCTCACCGCCAAGGGGCTCCTGCGCAGGCGTATGGAAATCCACAACATCCTGCACATCACGGCTATTAGACATTCGGCGTACTCGGCTATCCAGTGGTCACTGAACGACATTTTAATATCTAGACACCCTGTTACAGTACATACACTGGTAGTGCTTTACCTGTATTTAGTGAAAGTTTTCGTAGTCGGTGTTTTTGTCTACCTCGCACCGGACTTTTTGTTTTGTACCCCTCCCCTCCCACAAAGTTTCTGATATACATACGTTGTGACATATCTATTTACATAGTTGTCTTCTTACATCACATACATCTCATCCAAGTTACGGTGTAGCCACGTAGCTTCGTTTTTGGGAAAGTGAACCAGTACCGGGTCGATCCATTTGTCTGTACAGTTTTTCCTATTTCCTCGTATCATTACAGGTCTACTATGCGCATTTAAAAGAAAAAAAGGAAGATGGCTAGTCCAGCCGCACAGCTCAGCCTGCGGCAAACTCATATCACACATAGAGAGAGAGTGAGGGATGATGAAGTTGCAGACAACGATGACTTGATGACTATACAGGAGAAAGGGAAAGGGAAAGAAAGCGCTAACGCCAAGTATGTAAAAGAAAAAGAAGGAAAGAGCAACACGCCAAAAGTTCGGTCAACAGCCGGGAAGATTCAGATACGATCACACGTCCTCGCTCTCAAGACTATCCGCCCGCTCGCCCTCCCACCCACACAACGTGCCCACATCGCCGTCCTCACTCTGATACGCGTCTTGCCGAACACGCAGGCATCGGACGGGAAACACGCCCTCAGCGACAATCTGGCGGTGTTTGCGCAGTTTGACCTGTGATCGGGTTGAGGTGGTTGTTATGGATGTTGAGGTGGTGGAGTTGGAGACTGACGAGGCAGTGGGGGTGGGTGACCGTTTGGAGGTGGGATTCGAGGAGACGTCCATGGTGTCGTCCTCATCTTCGGAGCTGTACTCGCTGCCGGGCAGGTCATCGTCGTCGCCACCGGTCAATACGGCACCTTTGCACCATCCGTCTTCCCACACGCGCCACACTGCTACCGTGTCCCCGCAGTGGACGGCAATCTCATCATCGCGCTGCGGGACATAACTCGATAGCGCAGTGTGGGTGTTCAGTCCTTGCGACGAAGTCGTCATCATCGAAGACGTGGATGCGAGGGTGCTCTGGGAGCTGGTGGTGGCTTGACGCAGTGGGGATGGGATGAAGGGCTTGTTCGGGACACAGGAGAAGGGTATACGGCTTGGTTTCAAGACTTGGTGGGGGTATCCTGTGCTGGGCGATTCTGTCCCGGCGACGGCTAGAGAGGCGACAGCTGCCGCCGTGGGTCGTGGCGCTGTTGATGGTTCGGCTGCGGCATTTCCAGTGGCGTCACTAGTTGAAGAAGTGGACGCAGCGGGTCCTTGGAGCTTCTGCCAATGCCGCCGCATCTCCTCCCGTTCGCGCAGATGCTGCATGTATAGTGGATCGTTCCTGAGGCTTTCGGCAGCGGGAGCCAGCACGAGAGGTGGTGGCCCTTGAGCGTCGGCAAAGCTATCCGTTCGCACTCGCGAGAAGGGATTGCTGATGAGTGACCGCACCGGGCTTGTTGCTGACGCTGCTGTTTCTGATCCTTGCCTTATACCGTTCAACGAATCCAGAAGCGAGAACTTGCTCATGCTCTGGACGGGTGGCGTAGGCTTCAGGGGTACGATTGGTGGAACGACCGGAGCAGGAGATGGAGACGCTGCGTTGCTGCTGATGGCCGGGATTGCTGTCCTGACTGGAGCGTCGGGTCTGGCAAAGATGGCCAAGTGAGGCATCGTTGGTCCCGTATCCGGTCGCAGTGATCCTGAGAGTGCCGAGTGGCCCGGCGATGGGGAGGGCCGCACCTGTGCCATCTCGGGATCTACATCGACCTTCTTGTGCGGTTCCTGTTCCGCGTGAACGACGGAGGCATCTTCGATCCGTGAACTGCGCCGTTTGTGGTTGAAGACGTTGCTGACTTTGCTGTTTCTCTTTGAATTCTCCTCGACGAAATGGATCTCACTTAGCATCGGTGGTGTGGAGGACACTGCACTTCGAGGTGATTGCGTACAACCCGGTTCCCGATCGTACGGCTTCCGGGCTCCCAGGAAGCGTCCAGCAGTGCCAGCCTTCCGCCGCCGTTGAGTGACCACGAGAGTCGTGGCTCCAGCAACGATCAAAAGACATGCGATAGTCCCACCCACACCGCCTCCGATCAATTTGGCTTTGGAGAAATCGGGCACTCCAGCGGATTGGGACGATGGATCCTCCGACGGCGACGGTACGATGATTCCACTATCGTTGCTTTTATCCCCGTTGGGCTTGCCATCCTTTCCATCATTCGAGTTGTTGGGCTTGGGCCGTTTCGGTATGGAAGTTGGTTTTGGCGAAAGCTTCCTCGTAGTCGTCGCTTGTAAAGCTTGAGCTGTGACGTTGAGAGACGGGTAAGACTGTATGGTCTTTGCCCAACGGTGAACCACATGCATACACATACCCTTGTTGATGTAAGCCTTCAGCCCACCGCATTTCAGCGAGTCCATCACCTGCAGAGTATCGCATTGACAAGTGAAGCAGAATCCGCTAGACGTCTGGACCGCGTCGCTACATGTCGTTTTCAAGTTCTGCAGACACTTCTTGTTTGCTGTGGAGGCAGCGGCTTTCACTTGACATTGGTTCGTGAGAATTTGGCAGCTGTCTAGTGTATCGTTCGCTAACGGCGCAGCCCCAGCGATCGAGGCAACACAGAGGACGAGGAAAGCCAATAGCAGGAGGGTCGGCGAGAGTACTCCGATGGCTCGTTTCTGGTCAGACATGAGTGCACCGGTTATGAGGTCTGATAAGGTTAACTTTCGAGCGTCGTGAGTTGGTGGGTTTCGGTGGAAACAGGAGTTGTGTAGTCATGCGCCGGAGGACCGCGGTTGCATTGTAACCCAGACCTAGACTGAACCTTCTGGCGCTTCTCGTTGTGTCACAGAGTCGGTGAGAACTTGGAAGTGGAGGAGTTAGTTTTCACATTCTCTCTCCATCGGGGGGGAAATATTCTTTCATACACTTACGCAGAAGAGTCGGCAGAGGTGGCTCGCGCAGTGGGACACTTTACTGCGGCAATTCTTTACACCTTGAAGGAATGCCTGAGGTTGCTGAGGGCTTGCACGTTTTGCTAGACGTCGGATTGGTGCCTCCACCTTCTTGCTGAACGGCACGCGAGACGCCTCCCTCCGAAAGCCAGCCCCCTTTTCTATCCTTGAAAATCCTGGTGGTGTGCCAGTGAGCCCTGATGGTGTTCAGCCCTGCTTGATTGTTGCTCGTGCTGCTCTTGCTCAACAGCACTTGCTCACTGCTGTGCTTGCCACGAGGTGCTTCCCGGTTTTACGAGTACGTAGGGTCGACGTACTGTAGTGGTACGTGGGAGGACTATGATGACAAGGTGACAACGCTGTGGTGTGGGGACGCACGGTGGCCTCTCGCGCTGGATCTGGAGCCTGTCACTGTGATCGTGTGAACCTTCCGTTGCCCTGCGAGTCTCTTGTGCAAGTTGTGAGTCCGTGGGAAAAGGAATAAGCGCGGGGAAGGAGGCCGGCGGTACTTGCGAAATTGCGAATGCCAGGTTGAAAGGCGCGCCGCTGGGCGTACAAGAAACTTCACCGCTGCCCAATCTAGGCCGCTTGGTACATACATACAACTTATGTACAAACCTTACACCTCCAACTCATTCCTCCGACCTCGACTTTGGAAGTTCGAAGAGATGCCTCGTATAGATCATAGATGCTCATAACTCTTTATCATCTCATCAGACTAATCATCTCGCAATCCTTGCTGTCTCCGCTAAAGAAACTGTAAGGAGGGGAGCTTTTGTTGCCCAGCAACCGTGGTCGTTTTAGGGATTTGGCGCCCGGCAAGCTTCATTTGATTTTAGCGGCCTGATCATACCCGCAACATTTCTCACAACAGCCAGCCATGGCAGCAGGCGCTTCCGACCTCTGAAAAAAATCGTGGAAAGGCCCCAACGAAAACGTTGTCCATTCCATTTTGTCTCATGTGGGGGATGGTTGGTTGATGTGCCAACTTGGGCACGCACAAAAAATGCGTGGGGCAATGGTAATAACGTGGAATCTTTTCGTCCCCGTGCTGTACTGTACCTACTATGTATGTACGTAAGCGATGGGGCTACGTCATCAACCTGTTCTCCGACGCGTTTCGCGATTGAAAATTGCAAGCGTGCAAGTCGACCAACGCATGTGACCCTCGCAATGCTTCCAACTACATATGCACATGCTCATCGCCAGTTTTGCTAGGCACAGGATGGTGGCGGAATCGCTCATGTGATGACGCTTCTTCCTCGCACATCTCAGGTTCGCAAAAGGGCTAAGGTTACGGCGCATGTCAATACACGTGCGTGTGGCAGATACCATATCAAGGAATCAAGGATTCGCGAAATTGAACGGAAGATGCCGCTCGGGCACGCAACGCTGCTCAACGATGCAAATGTGACCGCAGTTTCAAATCAGCCTTTCTTCTGTGCTGCACATGCATAAGCAGCGAGAGTCCGGAAGCATTTGCTCTCCTTCGGCTCCCCAGCCAACGTCATTGAAGCTTGGCACAGCGGCGCTTCCTCGGACCGAGACTGCTGCAGGATCGAAGGTGGTTTCACCTTGATCACGACGTGAACCAGCGACTGACTGCCACTTTCTGCTAGTTTTGTGCTTTATGCTTTGTGTGCATTGGTTGTCGATATGTTCCGGTGGTGGGTTACGCGCGCAAAATCCACTAAACTGCACCCTAGCCTCGGAGGGGCCGTCGATGGTCAGATCGTATACTGATGTAGTCTATTCTTGATTGTGTATCGAAAATGGTATAGAAAATGGGGAAGCAGCCGTCGCCTTCGCACTGGTCTTTTCTAAGCCTTTCCGTTGCCGCTTCTCCTCGAGCGTGGACCCTTCATTGCTGCACGGTCACCCACTGCGTACGGTGGTCGAGCTTCAAATTCGCGCAGGAAAGTGGTGAACGGTCTCGCACTCATACTCTAATTGTTAAGTGCCCCAGTTAGGGTTAGGGTTAGGATTAGGGTTCGTTACACCTAGCCCGAAGTCGGGAGCGGAGCGTGTTGTTATGGTAGGTTAGTTACCCACCAAGTTTATGTCGCTTATTATAGTGTTAAGTGGCTGAGAGTGAGTGCGAATAGAAGTGAGTGCGATTATCGGCTCTCGGGCGCCTGGCCGCTGCCTCAAGATCCCGCAACATTAGCGCGGATACATCTATCGAACGACGCTTTTGAAAGGACCGCCGGAAAAGCTAGGGACCCTTCTTGAAGAGCAACGCCGCATACTTCTTTAAAGCACTGCAGTCATGGCACTGGTAACCTTGCCGGCTTGTCATCCTCACTCCTCTCAGACACCAAGCTTAACATGATGACTGTGTAGGATTTGAAAAGCATACCAAAGGAGTTTGTCGCGACCGCCGACTTTCTGCGTAGCGGGGATGCGAAGCTGACGTTGAAACAGGGCACGCTTGATGGGAGGCGGGTGGATTTCTTCAAAGGTATGGGAAGGATATTGGGCGGTCGTGTGAGGAGGAAGGGGTGAAATAGGAGGAAGGGGTAGTGAAGAGGGGTCATCAAGGGCTCGGTGGGTACTGGAACCATTCAACTAATAGACGTCTATCAAATCCAGGCAAACACGCCGTAAACGCCCTTCTCCGCAAACCCTCCCCCAAACGCCCAACCGTAACCTCCCGCCCGACCGCCGAATCCCACCTCTCTGAACTCCACCGCAACGGCCTCTTTATCCAAGTGGACCGCTCCTCCAAACCCACAAAGCCCACCACCCCCGGCGGCGGGCCGCCCCCCATCCCGCTCCAACTCTCCCAGCCGCAAGCACCCTTCTCTCCGGATAATTACTACGCTTGGGTCTACGAGGGGTCGCAGCTCAAGGGCATATTGATTGGAACGGGCGTGTTGGCGGTTACGTTTGCGGGGGTGATGTTCCCGTTGTGGCCGGCGTCGTTGCGTCAGGGGGTGTATTACTTGTCGTTGGGGCTGTTGGGGCTGATGGGGCTGTTTATGGTGTTGGTGCTGTTTAGGATGGTGCTTTGGTTGGTGTTGAAGGCGGGGACGGGGAGGGATGGGTGGTTGTATCCGAATTTGTTTGCGGATGTGGGGGTTGTGGAGAGCTTTACACCGGTTTGGGGGTGAGTTGAGGATTTGGGGGTCTGGCCTCTTCATTTGTACAGTGACATTGACATCTTATCCCTCCACTTTGTCAGCTGGGAAGACGTCAAACCGAAAAAGAAGCGCTCAAAAGCGGTCAAGGAGGCGGTCGGCAGCGACGGGGACGGAGATGGGAATATCGACCATGAGGATTAGATTTCACACATCCCGAAGCCCGCGTTTACCCATCTACGGTCGCTATGTGGGATACATCCCCCCGAAAACGAAACCTCGTGAGAGAGACGTCGTATACGCACGAAAGAAGAAGAAGACTTGGAGGCGTATGGAAGCACGAGTTGGGGGAGTGCTGTGCCGAGAGCAAGAAAAAGGAAGCTCTGCAGGATTCTGGAAGCTCGAGTCGGTGGAGTGTTGTGCCGAGCGACGCGAGCTACTAGTTCTGCGGGTTAGGGTTAGAGTAGAAAAGACCAGTGCGAAGACGACGGCTTCGCACAGTAGCGGTACCCCCGTTTTCTATACCTTTTTCAATGGACGACCATTCTATATACGATCTGACCATCGTCGGCTACTTCCGATCTCGCGCACAACACAACTGTCATAAATCGATTTCCGGTGTCGAACGGCGACCACGCCCACTCTCAGACTCGTTGACAACAGGGGCACATGCAGTGCATCGTTTTAGTAGTTTTAGTCTCTGCGTAGCTTCGGATGTGCTAGAAATCAATCCATGTGGGCTTCCAAGAACTCCGTGCGAACCTACGCGTGAGTCTCCCTTTTGTGGAAAGCCGTTCCTGAGGAATCGCGACGAGGGAGATTGGAGTGGCGGCGCAATCGGGCGATATATCAAGCCCTTCTTGCCCCAACCTCCCGTGCACGGCCTTCCCACGAATCCCACCGACATAGCCTGCTGAATTGAAGTCCAATCCTTCCTTCCACCTCTCGTCCATACCCCACAACCCATTCCTCTCATATTAACCCCCAACCCCCACCCGCCCAAAATGACCTCCAGCCTAGCAAACGTCGAAGAATACTTCCGCATGAACATGGAAAAGAAACTCATGGTGTACGTCCTGCCTTACCCTTACCCTCCCCATCTGCTTTTCACCCCCATCCCCCCATCCCTCACCCACCAACCCCCCTCCCATCCCCGCAGCCGCGCCCCAGAACAAGAGGACCACGACCTAACCCCCGCCACAAAGCTCCTCGAAAAGCGGCGGGAGATGCAAGAGGTCGAAGATGGCCTCACCCACCAGAAGGAAGAGTTCGCCATAAAAATCCAAGGGCTGGCAATGAGGCGCGAGGAGTTGGCGAGGAAGGAGGGGAGGTTGCGGGAGAGTTTGGGAAAGTTTGATAAGTTTCTGAAGGTATGTGTCTGTCGGAGGGGACATACTGCACAGTGTTCTTTGGGGGGAATGCGTGTGTAATGTGGGGATGGGGTTACTGATGAGTGTGATTTTTTTTTTCAATTTCAGGAAAACGACGCAAAAAGAACCCGCGCCCAAAAAAAATCCCTTGACGAACGGAGAGTCCGCGAACAGAAGGAGGACGAGATCACCGTCCTCCGTACCAACATGGCCGAGTTGACCGACGTGCGGGAGAGGCAGGGGCGAAGTGTCGAGACCAGTCAGTAATCACCCTTAACATCACCCCATTCACACTTCCCCGGGGGCTCATCAACCAATTTTTTTCTTGTGATGCTAGATTTGGCATACCAACGTTATCTAGAACTCCTCCTCGAAACCGTCGAGGAGTTCAGCGAAGTCAAGGACATCATCGCGCGGTTCGACACCCTCGCCGCGACCAACAGCGCCCTCCTCGACCGTGCGCGCGAGGCGCAGGAACGCACCGAACGTGACCGCTCCGGGTTTGTTCATAGCACCGAGGTATGGGGTGCTAATGTGACAAAAAAAATGGTAGCTATCCTCGACGGGGGTAATGTTTGAGTGATTGATATTCGGTTTGGGCAGGAAAAGAACACAACAATCCTAAACCAAAACAACGAAATCGCAAAACTCCAATCCAAACTCGAACACCTCCAATCCCGCACAACGAAACTCCAATCCGAATGCGATCAGACTATCAACAACGCCACCCAGAAATCCCTCCTATTAGGCCAGATCAAAATGTACGTCAAAAGGAAAATCATATTTCTCTTGTTATCACACCCCTTGCCAGGGTTGTTGATGTCTGTCGATTTTCAATAGGGCAACGAATAATTTGTTCCAATTGGTGAAGAGCCACGTCAATAACCGGCTCGTGGCAACGGGGAGCACCGTGGTGCAGCTGGAGAAGATCCAGCAGTTTATTTTGGATTTGACGAATATTACGAGTGATATGGGGGGGAGGGGTGGTGGGGGAGGTGGGGGAGGGATGGGTGTTGTGTGAACCCTATTTTTTTATATGGGTGGGAGAGGGGAGGTTGTATATAGCGGGCCGAGAGGGAGGATGGTGGGTGGTAGATGTACATACATATGCAAATGTGATTGTGATTGTGCTCTGGACGAGGAACGTAGTCCTCTAGAGTCTATGGACGAGGAGGAGGTTGCTTAGTATCCCACCTCACCACCCACCGCACCAAGCACCTCCTCTCGACGCCGCATTTGCCGTTCAATTCGGATCGGTGTAACAAATATTTATGGGTTTACGGGTTTCCCTGGACATTACGTTCCTCTAGAGTCTATGGACGAGGAGGAGGTTGCTTAGTAACCTCCGAACGGAGTCCATTTGGCCACGCTTCCCATTGGCCACCATCTACCTACATAACGACACGCTCCGCTCGCTAGATGCCGCTCATATAGGAGTTTCCAGTTGCACGGAGGCTGCCTATTCTCAGGGCGTCAAAAGCGCCGCCCGCCAATTCCGGAAGTTCCGAAAACAGCCTGAAGTTCGGCTGCTGCCGGAAGAAGTAGCGTTGGCCGTTTCCAGGTAGTGGTTTCCGTCTCCTGCGGGAGGAACCAGTGCCTTTACGTGAAGATGTAGCTTCCCTGATGTAGCTTCCCCGGAAGATGGGCTGTCCAGCAGGCCATTATTCCAGTGCTACTGTACAAAGACGTGTGGACTGTACACATACAGAGTACTTTCTACCAGCCCGTTGAGTTGCTTGCTTCTCTGAGGAATGGGCGCCTTCAGGGTTGTCTTTGAGGTCTATGGTCCACTTGGGGGGGAGGTGTTCTTTGCGACGGCCAGAAGGGAGGAGAGGCAGTGAGGCACGTCACACCTTTTCGCAAGAGAGTGTTCCTCGTGTTCCTTCGTCCTCCCAGAAACACCCCGTGCAACCTGTTGGCAGACAGACCACCGCACAGCACTTCCTACTTACATACTTGCAGGCTATCGGTATCCCAGCTAGCGTCAGTGTCCTGAGCTCCATATGGCTGCATAGTCGTTGCCTTTCAAGCACTTGTGTCTCGTTTTCCAACTCATATCTTCACCCAAGGGTCCCAGAAGATGGCAGGCACAGGGTCCATCTTGCCCGACATCTTCCACCGTCTAGGTACCGAAAACCTCTTAGCCACCTTCCTCGCAGCCGCTGCAACCACCTCCACCCCCTCGCATCCCTCCACCAGTCCCGCCCAACCCAACGGCGACCGCGACTCCTGGATCCTCCTTGACGGCGAGCCTTCCGACCCAGCAAATGACGACTCCAAAGATCCGCGTTGGGCCGAACTCTTCCTCGAATACTTTGTAGTCGGTGGCGCAGAAGGCAACGACGATCTGCTGTTTTTCGTCAAACAGCTCCCGTTGCAGCAGACCAGTCAGGGATACTATGTCCCGCCAGCGGGGGGGGCGGCGCCGGCCGAGGACCCGATTTTAGTGAGGCGGAAAGTCGGGAAACAGATGCCGGCGCTGGATCATCTGGTGGATTGGAAGCAGACTTTCTTCTTGAATTTGATTGTGCAGCTGCCGTGTACTTTGACGGTGGCCGTGTGCAAGCGAGGGATGCCGGGGAGCCAGACGAGTTTCAGCGCCGGGAATGGGGCTGCGACGCCTTCTGGGACCAACGGCCCAATGTATGCGAGTCCGACGACGAGCGGAACACCCACTGTAACAACAACGAACGACGCAAATACCACCACCTCCTCCCCACCCTCAACAACAATAGAGTACCCCACCCCCACGCCCCCAAACAAACCACCCAAATCCAAAATGCTCGCCATCCAACGCATCTCCAAAACGGTCTACGCAGCCCCATACAAATCCCGTATGGACGTCAAAGACGCCTTCATGAATGAATGCTCCTTCCCGCTCGTCTACTACACTGTCAACGACTACGAGTCCCACGATCTGCATCTCTCCATCCGCCAGAACGAGTACCTCTGTGTCGAGTTGAGTGTTATGCTGCCTGATCCACAAGCGCCTGGGGACTCGAATGTGTGGACGTCCTCGCGAGGTACAGACGCGGTGGGGAACATCTCAGTAACCGACGACCCAGCCCCATTCCCCGTGCCCCCCAAGTGCGTCAAAACGGTCCTGTTCCAGGGCGCGGTGCCATACACATCTCTCCTCGACATCTTCCAACAAAAGGGGCTCGCTGCACGGAATCATATGCGGTTTGGCGGGTGGAAACGCGATAGTGGTGGGGCGGGACATGATATGGCGCCGGGAGGTGGGAACAATTCATCAGCAACCTCACTGAGCGAACGCACGGAATACATCATGATGCGCGGTCCACGCGGAAAGGGGCAGTGTCAGGTCGCTATCAAAGACGATCCTGTAGTCGAGTCAACAATCAACTTAAACACCCTATCATCACCCACGTCAACTACCCCAACAACACCACTCCCTACCCCCTCCGCCCCACAACCCGTCCCCACCCCACCCCTCTCCTACCCATCTTCCCCATCTTCCTCCTCGTCCCACCTCCCCCCCTCGGCGACCCTGGGAGCCTCCCCGTCGAATACCACCTCGAATATCTCCACATCACCATCCCCCCGGAAACAACCAACCCTCTCCGACCGTCTCCTCCGCTTCGGCAACACCGTGCGGTCGCAGATCGTTGCGGCCGCTGCGAGTGCGGGGATCGATAGTGGGAACGGTGTAGACAGTGGTGGGCCAGGGACAGGGGAGGGCAAGGTGGTGAGTCTGAGGTGCTCGATGACGTATGTGAATGTTCCGTGGATTAGTATTATCAGGTATGTTTTGAGGGGGTTTCCATTGCAGGGGGCGCCGTCGGCGGGTTGCTGTGGGTCCTCGGAACACTCACCTTCTCCTGAATAGCGACCTGGCAGCAGCAGACTTTGCTAAAGTCCCACCTCCCCCGGTACCCGCACCTGAATAAAAGGGAAACGCGCAACCCCTCACCCGTTCCGCAAGTTTCATATCACCTCTCCCTCGGATCGAGGGAGCAACTCTGCCTACCCCTACCCCTTTTGCTGGTTTCGTCGTCTACTGCTTCTTCGTTTTGCCGGGTTTGGGGCAACGAATGGTTTTGGTTGCCAGCGGTCCAATGCGGGAAGTATGGCATTGGATGTACGCGTGGTGGAGTATTTAGCTTTTTCTATGAACTATTTGTATATACAAGTCGTACAGTTTCCTTCGTTGTAGCAAGGGAAAGGGAATGTGGGACCCACCCCGACGCCCATTTTCACTAGATGAATTGCCTGCCGTCTTCCCCTGCGCTCGACTAGTGATGAAACATCAATCGGATCAATCTCACACCTGACTCCATCGATCAGAAGGGGAATGGGGTTAGCGAGCCTGATTGCCCTGATCCCGCCCGAGGAGAACATGCCAAGGAGAACATGCCATCTCCAGCGCCCGTTCCGTTGTTATGGTTGGTGCAATTCGCCCTCCGAAATCTCTCTTGATATTCCCTCAAATCCCTCAAATCCCACCACCTCACACCTACCGAAATCCGCCACCTCATTTCCACCCTCCTCCCGGACACACCCAAATGGACATTGTAACATACGCTGTCCTCATCACCGCCCACACCTGAGCCCGCCGACACCTTACCTTGGTTGAGAGGGGAGCAGAATCCCGCTCCCTTGTGGTAGATATGTAGAAAGGAGAGGGGGGTGCAGTACAGTGGTTGGGTACGTAGATAATTAGCTTAGACCCAAAGCCCACCCCTGTCCCTCCCTTCCCGATGGCACTCTGAACCGAGTTGCATGTTGAATCCGCGACTTTGTGCAAATGACCGGCGGTTGTGTGTCTTTGACGGTTGTTCTCATGTCGCGGTTATGACCGGGGTCCGCCCGTTTGATCCCGTGTTGGGTATTGGTGCTTCTCCTATTGTTTTCTGGAAGTTCACCCAAACAGCCGCCTCCGCCGACCGTCTACATGGCAAGCGCTAATCGCATCAACCAGCTGTCTTCTCACTTGAGCAGCAACCCACACGCAGCAGCCATGTCATCTGGAGGTAAGTTTAAAAGTCATCAAAAAAGTCATCAAGAGCGAGTTTCCACTTGTGGAGACAGCGAGAGCTGCTGGCGATCGCCGAGCACCCAGCAAACATCCCGAGCAAGCTGATATTGATATACTTGAACCTCAATCTTCCCAACAGACTCAGCATTCACGCACGTGACGCAGGCACCGCCAGACCCTATTCTGCACCTTTCCCACCTGCACTCGGAGGACACCTTCGAAAAGAGGATCAACGTCGGCGTCGGTGCTTACCGGGATGAAAATGGCAAGCCTTGGGTGTTGCCCGTCGTCCGGAAGGTAGGTTTTACCACCATGGTGATCCGCTTTCCGCTGGCCAGATGATTAAATCTCGGCTCGACGTCTTATCGCGAAACAGGCCGAGAAGCAGCTGATCCAAGACCCCAAGTTCGACCACGAATACCTCCCCATCGACGGGCTTAAGCCCTTCTACGAGGCCTCCGTGCGTCTGATTCTGGGCAAGGACAGCGCGGCCGTGAAGGAGAAGCGATATGTCGGCATCCAGACGATCAGTGGGAGTGGCGCTGTGAGGTTGGGAGGAGCGTTCCTGAACCGGTTCAGGAAAGCGAAGATTTACGTTTCTAACCCTACATGGGGTGAGTTTTGGAGCGAGGAATATGAGATTGGGGGAAGTTATGCTGAACGGGGACGTCGCCGTCAGGAAATCACCACGACATCTTTAAGGACGCTGAATTGGAGGTCCACACATACCCGTACTGGGACCCAAAGACGCGTGGGTTGGCATTGGAGGATATGCTGAAAAGTCTGAAGGTCGGTGATGCTCGTTTAGGTTGGGCCGCCCCCCGCGTAAGCTAAAATGTGTTCCACTCCCAGGACGCACCCAACGGCTCCATCATTGTCTTACATCCTTGCGCGCATAACCCTACCGGTGTGGACCCCACGCCCGAGCAGTGGAGACAAATCGCTGCGGTGCTGAAGGTACCTATCTTCATCAAAACATCACAAAGCTCGAGAGAGTCCTGATATTGAAGTCCCTCATCCCAAAAGGAAAAGTCCCACTTCCCCTTCTTCGACTGCGCCTACCAAGGCTTCGCCACCGGAGACCTCGACCGCGACGCCAGCGCCGTGCGGTACTTCGTTGAGCAGGGGTTCGAACTCCTCGTGTGTCAGTCCTACTCCAAGAACCTTGGTTTATACGGTTAGTGGGCCTTCATGCTCAGAAAGTGCACATGGAAAAGTCGAGATGGATCGAAATCTGATACCTGTTTGATCAGGCGAGCGTGCGGGATGTCTCACCGTGGTCCTCAAGTCCGCATCCGTGGTTCCACAAGTCCGCAGTCAGCTCGTTCGCCTGCAACGCGCCGCCATCTCGAGCCCACCGGCGTTTGGTGCCCGTGTCGCGTCCCTGATTCTGAACGACGAGACCATGTTCCGTGAATGGTAAGTTCCAGCCGAAAGTATGTCTTTCGAAGTTTGTGATGTTGCAAAAACATTGACCACTCAATTCCAACGATCTTTTTTTATATATCTAAATGAATAGGACCGAGCAACTGAAGATCATGTCCGGCCGCATTCAAACCATGCGCAAGCTGCTGCACGATGCCCTCATCGAGCTCAAGACCCCAGGGACTTGGAACCACATCACCGATCAGATCGGCATGTTCTGCTACACTGGCCTCTCCGGTACGTTGTTTATCAGCCTCTCATACCTCCATTTCCCGAAAACTAAATGGTCCCAATATCCCTTTTTGAAATCGCTGATACACCAGTCAAGCAAGTCGGCGTCATGAAAGAGAAGTACCACGTTTACCTCACCGACAACGGCCGTATCTCCGTCGCCGGCCTGAACCAGAGCAACGTTCGGACCTTTGCTGAGGCGCTCGACTGGGTTGTGCGTAACGTTAACTAACGCGTGCATGTGATGTTCAGCATTTTATCATACACCAATTTCCCCAAAAGGACATGAAAGGGAGACAACACGCTGTGCGAGGCATCTCGGATTGGGCACATGCACGGCGGCAGTAATAAACAGAGTTTCCATGTAGATAGAGGCCATTTTCTTGTTTTCCAACGTTTGCATCTATCTAGTGTCGCGCACCCCACCACCACCCTATTTCCGATACACTTTAGTCGTCGTGGTTTCCTGTTCATCAACAATGTATTGCTCTTACATGAATTGCGCGCGAAGCACAAAAAGCGACCGCAACCCCTATCTCCCAGAACCCTCCCATTGGCGTGCTATATCTTTCCGGTGTCCAACCAAAGCGGTACAATCCACAGAAGTTCGCCCAACCCAAACAGCAATGACAACAGCACAAAGAGAGTAGCAAAAAAATGAGATCTGCTTGTAAAATATTCTGAGGCCGCGAAGGGAAAATCGTATATACCCGAAACAAAATAAGAAAACACGCGCAAATGGATGCCGTGGCACAGAGGTTTTGCTCCTCCCTACATATACATTTGCCACGTTTGCGAGTAATCGTGTCGGCACCTTTCCCTGCTTCCCTCCGCCAGCCAAGTCTAAAAAAACGTAAGACGCCTTCTTCCTCCCACCCGCTCCTCCAACATAAAATCCGACACGTCTCGAGACACGAAATGATGCAGCCGGCACGCGAACCTCGGCAAATGAAAACCCCCTTCACAACCCGCGCAGAGCCCTCCAGTTGACGAAACAGCATATGAGTTGGCTGTGATGATTCCCAGCATCCCACCATCGACCCCCGACTCCGTCCCCACCACTAAGTTCCCTGTCAATCGCTCTCGTGGCGTCCAAAACAACCGAACATCCGCTTGTACCACTTCCGCTTCTTCCGGCGGCCGCCATCCGTCGCTTGGGCAGCTGCCTCGCCTGCCGTCGTTGTCGGGCCAATAGCGTGGTGTTGTGCGGCCGCTGCAGACGCTGCCACCGCCTGCGGTGGCGTTTCCAGATGGCCGGCCCCACCAGTGGTTTTGACTTGCTGCGCAGATGCACGCCCAGCAGCGGCGGTGGAGATCGAGGAGGCGGGGTCCGCCCGCGGAGAGCCCGCAACCGACGATCCTGCCGCGGTGCCGGCGGTCAGTGGGTTCTTATGAAGCGCAGCGGATGATTGGCGGGTCGCTGGGTCTACGGGGGGCTGCTTGACGATAGGCGGGATCTTCGCGTCATTCACCCGGGCGGCATTTTGAGACGAAACGAAGGAAGGGAAGTAGTGAATGCGGTTCATTAGGGCAGGAGACGAGTGCACGATCTTCCGCTCGTATCGCTGCCGCGCCTCCTCCTGTCGGACGCGGAGCGCACGTTCCTTTTCCACTCGCTCCTCCCTCTCCCTGCGTTCGTCTTCTCTCCGCTCCTCTTCACTCATGGTGGCACGGATTTCATCTCTACGGCGCTTCGCCGCGCGCTCCTGGTCAAGGACCTCAAGCCAATCGTAGAGCCCGTCATCCTCAAGCCCGTGTCGCTTCATAACTATATAATGCGAAGGAAATATTCGAAAGTCAGTTTCCTTTCAGACGACGAGGACCAGGCTCAAGAAGATGCTGAAGAGAAGACAATTACCCTGGTCGATCATGTCAATCATGCCTTCGTAATTAGGCTCTTCGTCGAAATTCATATTTCTTGCGTAGTCAAGTAGATATCCAAACTCTGGGGGGTTCGGATGGCCCAGAGCCTCGATGCTCACGGCCTGCTTCACTTCTCCGATTCGTTCGTACTTTTGCCTGTTCGAGTTCGCCCGCAACCCTTGCCAGGGGAGGTGGGAATTGAGAAGATAAAAAAAGACGTGGCATAACGCTTCGATGTCATCGCGACGGCCTTGCTCTATTGTAACATACAGATGAAGATGACGCAGATGTAAGTAAAAGACTCAACGACACAGCTGGCAACCGCCTCGACTTTTGAGTTCGAACATACCTCTGCCAAGATGTGTGTGAATCGACATGTATCGCGCGGTGCCTGACAAGGACTTTTTCTCCCTAAAAGGGATATGGATGTGCGTGCGAGGGTCGCGGTACTGTTTAACCATACCGTAGTCAACGAGATACAGTAGGGAGCATGGCGATGGGTGTTGGGGCGAGTGGTTCTGCACAATCGAGTACGGGTCTGGGGAACTGGGGTCGTCTGTTACTTTTTCGTTGAAACGTGGTATCCGCCCGATGAGAAAGTTATCCGGCTTAATATCCCGGTAGACGAGGTTCCCTTCATGCACTGTTTGCATTCGCCGAATCTGATGGGAGAGCAGAGAATTAGGATGTGCGACATTGAACGACAACGACATGAACTGATGAACAAAGATGCTCGATGGCCCAGATGGCTCCCCACGTTCTCCCACATACCATATTCTTAGCCAGCATGCACACAGTCTTCAGAGTAAAGTGCCGTCCGCAAAGGTCGAAGGCGTCCTCTAAACTGGGTCCGAGGAGTTCCAAGACCAGAACCGAATGGAGACCTTCTTGCCCAAAATAATAACATTTTGGAATACCAGCTGGATATTCCAAAGGAATGAAGGGGAAAGGAACGTGCGTCAGAAGGTGGTCGAGATAGCCGTGGGAACGAGTGGGTATGTGGTAAGGACTTTAGAGAAGACAGATACTTACGAAGCCCAACGAGCAGTTTGTATGTCCGGTATTCGTCACGGAGCTGTGGTGTTTCGGCCTTCCTCGGCTCGAACTTGATTGCGATCTGTTCGTTGGTCTTGAGGTTCGTCCCTGTGTGTACGGGAACAAAGGAGGAGCGTGAGACATGCAATGTCAAAAAGATTGGAAGTCACATGCACGTCAAAGGAGTGCACAACTACGGGAATTGGATTACCATACCCTCGTAGATGATACCAAAACTGCCTTCCCCAATTTTCTTGCCAACCTTGAAATGCCCCCCAACGACCGTCGGCCCCGATGATGTATAAGATTTTGTGGAGGACGAGCCCTGGTGGTGGTGCCGAGCTCGCGACGACTCGTGGCGATTGACGGCTGTCGCGGAGCCAGCCTGTCCTCCTGCAGCGGTAGCTTGAGGCGCGAGGCCATTTCCTGAAGCCGTGGACCCGTGAACGGCGCCGTTCGTGGGGACGCTCGATTGGTGGGCGTGGTTTTGCGTTTGACCTGGCGGCTGCAAAGCCGACCCGCCTTGGTCGTCACTCAAGTCTGGCATGAGCGACCTTTTTCGAGAGCGCTGCTGCTGGTGGTTCTGGTGGAGGTTTGGCGGTGGTGGAGCGGCGAGAGAGTCTGGCTGAGGGGTGGTGTTTTTCGTTGCAGCAGCGAACGAGCGGGGGTTGGCTGGGTCAGCAGGGAGCAGTTGTTGTTGTGGTGTTGGTCGTGGGGAGTCAAGTCTAGTAGGTCGGTTGGTGCTCTGCAGCGGCCGAGAGGCATTTCCTCGCAGACCAGCGGCTTCCCACACAGTAACAGTACATTTATGTCCGGTTCGCTTCAAGCTAACTCAAATTAAATAACGCGTGGGGCAAAACACCAAACAAGACTTCTGAACAAGACGCCGTTGGACCTCCGAACCGAAGCAGTTCTAGCAGTCCGTGGGTGCTCCCCTACTACTTCATCATCTACTACTGTACAACAGGGACACCGCCCACCAACACCGTTAGCTTCGCAGATACGATGCGCATCGCTGTCTGGGCCGTCCACTTTTCCATTTTGTCCCTCCTTGCCCGCTTCTTCTACGTCGTGCTGAACATAAGATATCCCCTTGATTACACCTATAACATCATACACCATCCCCACCCGATTGCTTGCCCTTGCCAAAATACGCTGCATCCTCTCCAAGGAGTTGATGCCTGGCTCGCTCGGGTCGTCCGAAAGTACATGTTGTCGTTGTTGTTGTTGCATGATTGACACCGTCAAGGAACAAGCAGAAGGTCGCCAGGAAGAGACGAAAGCAAGCACGTGACCTCTGTATTCCACGTATATATAGTGAGTGAGTGAGTGAGTGAGTGAGGGGGAGGAGGGTGACGTATGTATGTGAAGCCAGGAGCGAATGACGTGTTCTGCTCCACGCACGCGACTTGTTCCTGTGGCTTCCCGTCTCTCGCAGGCTCGCTGCTGCAATAAAAAGGCACCCACGCCCCCCCTCTCATCTCCCCAGAACACAACAAACCGGTCCATACGATCGCTCTGATCTCCAACTGCCTCACCACCCCCTACATACATAAGCACTAGTGTTTCACGCTTCTGCTAACTATACACACTCCACTATCCACACTTCACACCTCCACACACAAACAAAATGGCTGATCACGACCACGAGCACTACCACTACCACCGCGAGCGCACAGAGGTCAAGGAGACCGAAGATATCGACGACGACTTTGAGTGCGACGACGAGGGCTGTGTCAGCTACGGCACGGCTCACTCGCACGCCGGGAAACACGCACACCACGCTCACGCGCACCCGCACGGCAAGAAGTCGCCGGGGATCATTGCGGGTGTGAAGAGTTTTCTTTTGGGTCCGGCTGCGGACAAGGATGAATTTCTGGTTGAAAAGGAGGTCAAAGTCATTAGGACTCATACTTATGAGAAAGTACGTTGATTGCTTTGGATGAATGGAAAGAGAGTTGCGTGAATGGAGAGAAGGCAAGGGAGAGAAGGCGGAGGAGAGAGTGAGCTATCGAGCCGCCCATCAGTGCTTTTTGTGAGCGATGCAAGCATCACTGTATTTTCGGGGTCCAGTGCCCATAGTCCTCAGTGGTATCGGGCCTGTCCTGTAGAGCCTTGATCTGATGAAACCTTTTCCCAATTCTTAGGACGGACACCACGTTCACGATAAAGTCGTTGACGGCGGACACCGGATACACGACAAGGCAGACCGCATCGAAGACAATGTGCGAGAGGGCACTAAAAACCTCAAAAACCAGGCCGAGGATAGCGCGAAAAGATTGGGCAGCAAGGCGGAGCGTACCGCGAAGGACTTGAAGCGGAAAGCGGAGAACGCAGAGGCTGAAGTTGAGAAGAAGGTACGTCGATATTTTTGGTCTGTCTGAGGCTTTGAAATGACTGGAAACTAATCTCTCATTCCTCACAGGCTGAAGGCTTCTTGGGAAGCATCTGGTCCGGCATCAACAACGCCATCGGCGGTGGGCAGAGGAAGATCCACGAAGTCGAAGGCGAGGCAGAACACAAGTACAAAAAGGCAAAGCACGACGCTTCCAAGACGGCCGATGAGTACAAGGATAAAGCTGAACGCGTCAAGGGAGACGTGAAGTACCAAGCCGAGAGAATCAAGGGTCAAGCCAGTGACAAGTACGACGAAGTGGTGGACGCAGCCGAGCGCGCGAAAGCCGACGCAAAGTACCAGGCTGAAAAGGCAAAGGGCCACGTCAAGGAGCAGTACGGGGATGTAAAGGATAAGGCTGGCAAGAAGGTCAACCAGGTGAAGGGCAAGGCCGGAGAGGTCAAGGACAAAGCAAAGTCCGAGATTGCGGAAGCTGCTGACAGGATTGGTGCCGAGTACGCCAAGGCCAACAGGGAGGCTGCGAAGAAGTACCAGGATGCGCGAAAGGGTGTCGCGGAGGGTGTCAACAAAGTCCAGGAGACCGCTGACCAAGCGGCCAAGCGCGCCAAGGCCGCTGTTGACGAAACAGGCCGCCGCGTCAAGGACCATGCGGACAGGGCCGCTGGCGCTGTTGGCAAAGCGAAAGAGAATGTTAAGCAACGTGTTGAAGATGCCGCCGACTACGTACAGGAAGAGATCGACGAGACCACCGGTGCCATCAAACGCAAAGCCCACAACGTCAAGCAAGGGGTGAAAGACACCGCCCACAACGCCAAGCAAGGCGTGAAGGACACAGCCCACAATGTCAAGCAGGGCGTTAAGCACGCCGCCGATGATGTCCGCGATTCCGTCCACCACGGCATTGACAACGTCAAGACAGGTGCCGGCTCCATCTTCCACAGGGTCGAGCAGGCCGCCGAGTGCCTTGGTTGCGTCGGTCCCAGGACGCAAGGATACCACCAGAAGGGTCACCACCTTCACGCACAACCTTGGGGTGGCCACGACCTTGTCAGTCCCTACAACGCCAACCCTGTACCTGTTACTGCGTTCTACACTGCGCTCAGCACACTTTGGTTCTTGTGGCTTGCTAGGTATGTATCCTATTGTGCCTGTATGGGTTTAAGGGATGATTTTTAATTTCATTGTCTTCATTTCCGCTTTAACAGACGCGTGTGGCGCGCTCGCAACTATTCCAAAATCTACCTCGGTGACGGAACCTATGAGCTCGCCCATGAAGCAATGCGCGACGTCGTCGTCTCCGAAACCACCATCACACCCACCCGCGCCGAAAAGACCACCGCCACGATGCACGTTGAGGACGACCGCAAGGTCCCGAAGATCAAGCAGCTTCTCCGCGCCACCGAGGCTCGCCGCGCGTTCACGAATGTTGTCCCGCTGTACTTGATCCTCCTCGCCGCTTTGGAATTGGAGGGCGCGTACAGGCCGTTGCTGCATTTGCTGAGCGTGCTGTTGTTGGCTGGGAACATTGCACACACTGAGTGTAAGTACTCCATCAAGCGGAGGCTGACTCTCTTGTCGTTCATTATACTCACCAAGTCCCATTATTTCCTCAAACAGACGGCATTTTCAGCCCCAAAGGCCGCGGACCAGGCCGCGCTATCGGCTCAGCCCTCACCACGGGCGTCCTTCTCTTCGGAGCCATCAACGCCATCTACCTCGCTGTCAGCTGCCAGGGATGCCCTGTTGCGTGAAGAGAGCTCTCAGTGTGGAAACTGATTTCGCATGTCGTTTTTGTGTTTGTACATAACTGCAGATTCGGGGAGGGGCATTTGGCGGGCTGCAGCGTGGATGAAGCGGAGGATTTGACATGGGCACCGGGTGGGGCTTCGCACGCAGCACGCGCGATTTATGATGAGGATCGGTGGGGAAGTTGGCGCCTACTTATGCACGGCCTTTGCGTCGTGATCTTAGTATCCCCTAGCTTTTTTCTCTTAATAAGATGCCTGATTTCACGATGTCTGATGTGTGTTTCGCGGAGAGAAGGGCTCGGCTCATATGGAGCCGCATGAGGAGAGGCTGAGAGCGGGTGCGGCGAGCAAGAGTGCCGAAAAGGCTCTGACCCACATTCGGGATGGACCACCCGAGTAGAAAATCATTTATACAAAGAGTGTCTCGTTCGCAAGTCTATCTACACTATGATAACATTGCTAAACAACCCGGAACTATGTGTATGGACCAGATTCGATGCATTGTGTCGCGGCAGAAACGTTCGCGAGGGTATACAACATGTCAGGGGAACCGCCAAGGCGGACCGACTACTAGCTAATGGCGGGCTTTATTGTTAAGGGTATCAGCACTCTAGCTTGGGGTGGAGATATATCTCCATCAAGGCTTTGTATTCTTCCCAGGCATCGAAGGTATCGCTTTTCGTGCTGTGCCACCACCGACGCATCCAGAAACGCACAAAAACATGTCGGGTCAAGACGACTGCCCTCCGTCTGCGCCGCCGGGTTCTCAGTATCCCTCCCTCATCTGATCGCGTCATGGACACCATTTAGCGATGACCCGGCTCAAACTCTGCCTATCCGCGGGCTTCGTCAGGAAATCCGACATGCCGGCGTCCAGGCACCGCTGCTTGTTATGGTCCATCACGTCCGCGGTCACCGCGATGATGGGGACTTCGCGGTACCATTGTTTTCGCGCTCTCTTGTATGCTGATGATGAGAGGGGCGGTGGGTGGAGGTGGGTGTGGGATGATGAGGAGGACCCGCTGCTGGTGTGGGTCGGGAGGGGTGGTGTGGCGATTTGGGTGGCCGGTGTGGGGAGGGTGTCGGGTTTGAGTGGTGGTGATGTTGGCACGTCGGACGGTGACGGTGATGTGGGGGTGGGTGTGGCTGTGGAATCATCGTCATTGTCCTCATCGGCTTCTTCGCCCTGTTGACGGATCCGTCGACTGCATTCCCACCCGTCTAAGCCGTCGCCTAGATTGCAGTCCATGAGGATGATATCGTACGGGCGTGGGTTCTTGAACGATGCAGACGATTCCTCCAATTCTTGGACACATCTATTTGATGCCGGACTTTCATAATCGTCACCAAGAATCAGTGAAAGTGCTGCACACCCGGTGGCCGCGCCGGATATGGTATGTCCCATCAACGTCAACATCCTCGTGAGCAGTTTCAGATTCGTGGAGTTATCTTCGACAATGACGATTTTGAGCGGGCGCTGCCGGGCTATCGGGATGCCGGGGAGGGTAGGGAAGGACATTGTCATGGTCGTCGGCTTTCTTTGCTGAGATAGCGCGGGCATTGAAGCTGAGTGAGGTACATTGTGCATCATTGTGCGGGCATCCATCTGCGCTTGTAGGGTCAGGATCGGTGGGCTGTCCTGCGGCGTCGGTCCAACGATCTGATGCAACTCCCTCATGCTTTTCGAGGCTGCCTCCTTCGGTGGTGGTGGTGAGATCGCCAACGACCCATGCGACCGAGTAGGCGAGTCCATACTCCCATACAGCGACCGGTTCCGCGGTCTGGCCTCTTCATCCGACTCCCGTCGACTCCTCCGGCCATTCACATCGCGATGGCCGAACCGTACCACGAACGACAGCCGTGAGCCTTTCCCAACTTCGCTTTCCACATTGATCGACCCGTCCATCGCGTCTACGAGCCTCGAGACGAGGTAGAGACCCAATCCAGAGCTGTCGGAGGTCAATTGCTGGTTGGTGGAGAAGGGTTGGAAGAGCTTTGATACCAGCGTCGGGGACATGCCTACACCGGTATCCACGACGGCGACGTGCAGGACGTGCTGCCATTCTGGTGTCGACGTGTGACGCGCTTCCACTTCGATGGAGCCTGACGGCGTGCCTTTCACTGCATTGGATATCAGATTGTTGAGCACTTGCGCCAATCGCTTGGGATCACCCGCGATCTCATCCATGTCGTTTTCGCCCGTATGTATATGGATATGGAAATCGATTCCGTGGAGCTTCGCTGCAGGCGTCCAGAGGGTTTTCATATCGCTGAAGAACTCCTTCAGCGAGAACGTGACCGTTTCCACCTTGAATTTACCGGACTCTATCCGCTGCAGCTCCAGCAAATCCGAGATCAAGCTAAGCAGCGAACGACTACTACTCAAGATCGTCGAAATCAGCTCCTGCTGATTATCAGTCAAATGGGTATCAGCGAGCAGCTCCGACGCCGCGACCAGGCTGTGCAACGGAGTCCGCAGCTCGTGTGAGCAGCAGCTGAGCAAGAAGCGGGTAGCTTTCGAAGCCTCCAGAGCGGCTTGCTCGCGTATGTCCGCCTCTGCCTTCTGCTGCTGGGCAATCTTTCGATCGGAAATGTCCTGACATACACCGACAACGCCGTGCCCTGCCAGATCGGGCGAGAAGGTGATGTAAAGCCATCGCTCCTCGAACAACACTTCTAATGAGAGCGATTCATTTGACAGCGATGCCTCCGCTGCTTTGACCAATGCTGGGTAATCCTTGAACACCTCCACGTAGGATCTCCCAACCGTTTCCTGTTCAGGCAGGAACCGGCTCGCGAGAGCACCGCCCAATTTCCCTTCCACCAGCGTGAAGATCCCTTCAGAGTCCATGGACCAGACAAGCAACGCATTGGAGTGGAGGAGAGCGCTCAAGCGATTCCGCGTTTGCGCCAGAGCCACCATTGCTTGTCGTTGGTCATTGATATCCGTCAGCGTTCCAATGTACCGCATGACCACACCGTCCTTGTTACGGACTGGAACGGCCCGCGCGAGATGTGACCTCCATGCGCCATCCTTCCTTTTCACGCGGAACTCGGTCTCAAAGCGGCCTGAGGCGTTGATGGCGTCAGTCCAGGCAGTTGCGGTGGGCGTTACGTCGTCCGGATGTACGAATCTGGGTAGGATACCCGCCCAGTCCCATTGGCCTCGTTCGATGGGGCCGCAGCCCGTGTGCTCGTAGAACTTTTTGTTTAAATATGAAACCTTCCCTTCGGCGGACGTGGTGTATACGATTTCCGGGAACGCCTGAAGTAATATAATATCGGTAAGCTCACGTCATGCATGCTGCGTAACATCGCAAAAAACGCCGCGCAACTCACCTCAGCAATGAGCTTGAAGCCGTCCAGATCTGTTATGGTATCCAGAGCTCGTCTCAGCAGCTCGTTGTTCTCGCGCAGCTTCTGTTCCCTCTCGACCCTCTCGGAGATATCGTGCATGACCACGACAGCCCCAATCGTGTTCCCATCCGTATCCTGCAGTGCACGTCCAGAGCATGAGACAACAACCTTCGGCAAGCCATGCGGAGCAATGATTATCTCCTGTCCATGTAGTGGTTTCCCCTGATGCGCTCGAACGAGTGGGATCTCATCAGCAGGCAATGCCGTGCCATCGAGTCGGAACAGATCATAAGTACCAGCCCATTCCGACGAGTTCAAATCGTGTCGGACGTCCAAGCCATGGAAGGACTTGGAGACGTCGTTGAAGAGCGTGAGTTTCCCGTCCGCATCACACGCGACGACGCCAGCAGCGACATTTGAGAGCATGACGTTCAGTAGCTCGTTCGCTTTGAGCAGCTCGGCTTGGGTTTCCAATGTGTGCATCAGACGGGATAGCTGTTGCCCGACCAATCCGACGACACGCTGCGCTAGTTCATCAGTCGATCTTCGCTCGGTTGAGTAAAACTCAAAGACTCCCACGACGATGCCCCGCTGGAAGACCGGCACACCAAAACACGACGAGAACACGGATTCGAATGGCGTAGGTGCCCCTGTTCTGTCAACTGACATGTCCTCTAACCAAATTGACTTTGCGGCTCTAGCGGTGCGCTGTCCTATCGTGTTTATTCTTGCAGCATCTGCCTCCAGTAGTTTTGCTAGGGCCTCGGAGGCCCTCTCATTGTCTGATGTGACAGTTGTCACCGATGCTATGGATAGCTCCCCATTATCCCCTTTGGCGGAGCAGTAGCGGCCGACATCGAATTTAGTTGCCTCGCAGGTCCGCAGCAAACATGAGCGCAGTGTATCTGTTATGTCGGTGTTTGTCATGTCGTGGTCGCTCACCACGCTTAGCAAGTCAATCCTATTAGGGAGGCAACGAGGGAGACATCGCCGTGAGGATCGCGTTTCGACTGGGGTAGCACACACAAAACAACTTGAATACACTACCACATGGTGAATGGACTTCCAATTGCTGCACGAATATGGGGTAAGGAGAAGCCAGGTCGGATGTTGATGGGGCAGGGCCAAATTTCGACCGCCAATTCAAGTGCTCCCAGATTGTAGGTTTCTTTCCAAGAAAGCGTGCTGTACGGTGTTCCCTTCGTCTCCTTCGTAGCACGTCGAGACGAAGAAGCGGCGCAGATAGAGACTTGTACTGGGCGGAGTCCTGCTATATGTAGCCGCACCGGCTAAGCGGGGATGATGATGAGGGGGACGCTCGGCGAATGTACGTGTTCCACATGCAGGCCTGACCACTCAGGAAACAGACCGGTCTAGACCGAGTGATGGGTGCTGGTTTCTTGGAATGAGAGTCTCTTTCTTCCGACTTTGCTCTCGACTTTCGCTCGTTGTCTCGTTGAGCTCTCGTTGAGCGACGGCCCAAACTCTATAAGCTTTTGGACGGAGAACACCCACTCTCCGCTGGCCTCCGGGTGGGGGCGCCCGTCACTGTGAACACCCCGAGCGCGCTGGCACCGATTGTGGTGGTCGGCATTGTTGTTTCTCGTATTCGCGGATTCATGCGGTCCGAGGCAACGGCACGCATCGAACGAACTGTGGGTCGTCGACGTATGACATCACACTCGCACTCTTTACCACAATGTTGGACCTTGGACATAGACTTTGCGACGTGTACCGTCGGTTTGGATTTGAATGGTTTCAACAGCAGGTCAAGTCCCTGTGAGCTTCAACTGGCTTTCACCCTCGAGTTGGCAGGGCGTGTCTTGAAGCATTCCCCACCCACATCGCTCCCGCAGGTAATGTCAAAAGCCCGGCAGGCAGTGAAGAACTGAAGTCAATTGGGCCTCAGTCGTGAACAGCCACTACCGAAACAGGGGTCTTCAGAGAAGAAGTACTAGAACCGGGTTGCTGCCGGAACAAGTTCAATGCAATCAGGGTGACCAGGATTTCGTAAAATTGTGATTATGACGGTCAAACAGATCGCTCTCAGGAGTAATTCTCCATCCTTCCTCCACTAGCGGGATGGTTGTTTTCGCGATCCATCGACGCGAATGAATGTACTGTATTACAAAGAGCTCCCGGCAATGAGAATGCTGTTCCTGCGGAACTCATGTGCCGTGTTGCAATACGGTGAGAAGAAAGCAGACAGCGGTTGGCTGCATGCGGATACAATGAAGTATGTTGCCATGCCTTGAATTGGAGAGTGGCGAGCATTACATGGAATGGCGAGCGGATGAATTACGCTATCTGCCTCATGGGCATACGGCGATCCATGTTGCCTTGAGTCCATCCTCAGAGCTACAGTATGTTTGCATAGTAGGTTGTTCTGTGCAGAAGCATTAGCCTCATTTTGAGCTGAGCAAGTCGCCGTCGTTGATGGCAGCAAGAGTGGTCAGAGACTGCACCCTGTACACATCCAAAGGGGATGCGACAGCTACTCGTGCCCATGGTCGCGCGTTGCTAGCTCCCTGGGCACGTCAGAAGACGTGCCTCAGGATCGCGCCCCGCGAGCCAGGGGTTGCATATTGATATATGCTACCTTGGCACGAGTACTCTGAGAGGCCTGCCTCTTTTCGGCATCGAAGGGAAAACGAGGGTTCTGCGCGGTATGCCCTTGCATTCATATTTTTTTTGGCCACCCCAGCCCATTCGCATTTTTGCCATGTCCTCTAATCCCGATAAGGGATCCATACTCTGAGATGCCCGCCTTACTTAAGAATGGCAGCACGGCAAAAACCTCCTCGCCAGTGGCCACGCAATTTGCAGGTCTCGCACGCATATCTATCGCCAATGAGCATCACAGCCCAGTCACAATTTCGCCATGTCATCGCACGCGTTGAACCGAGTTCAAGCTTCTCGATAGGGTCCGCGCGGAGCAAATTTCAAAAACGCGAAAGTTCGCTTTGCCATGGGTTTCACCAACGACACTGCGGGTATCCGAGTTTTCGTCAAGACCCTTGGATCTTTTCCCCGGCGGGTCTGACGGCTAGTATCATACCGTATGTGTGATAAGATATGTGTTGAAGGAGCAAAGCCCCAGGTCAAGCGTCCGCGGGTCTCGAGTTCTCGACCCACCCGATGATTTTCGACCTGCATGGTGGAGTTACCACACTACATATCGATAGATATGTCATTGCGACGAGCCAAGCGGCTCAGCCCGAGCGCAGTGAGATCCAGGCATCTTTGGACGGGTCCTGCTGCTCCCTGTTGGGATGAGACAGTATGGCATCCCCCGTCTCACCCCAATCAGAGGTTCACAGACACACAGAATTTGCCTGGCACGGCCACAATGCAAATATCAGGCTAGAGTCCGCGACCCCGCATAGCTGCGTATCCGTGTTAGGGTCCCGTTCTTATCGTAAAATATGACGAACAATGGGCAGACACACAACATGCTCTCACACGGCACATGCGCACATCGGCGCTACTACTGTACTACATACCGACGATCTCATTGAGTCGCTTAATGGGATAACGGAGTGCCAGTTCCGTCGCTTGTCGATCGTTGGTAGTTGGCTCTTTTGCAAGGATGGAAAAAATTCGACAGTTGGGATTGAGGTCAAGCAACGTGAAGCAAGACACACGCAGGAGCCAGTGTTTTGAAACGGCGTGGAGGCATGGAGGCATGAAGCCAGCCACGCGTTTCACGTTGCGTTGCCTTTCGCAATGCCTCCTTTTTTTCTCTCTTTAGAAGTGAAGCTAGAACCTTGTTTACCCTAGGGTGCAATACCATCCGTTGGTGTCGCATTGGCGACCTCGTGTACCTGTTAGTAAACAGAAAAGGCAACAAAACTATCCCGCGGCGGTCATCGCCCATCGGACCCGGCCATCCGAGCTAAAAAATTCGAGAGTTGTGCCAATCACAACGTCCACAAGTCTCCCGCAGCGGAGTCAGGTTCAGGGATCCGACCGCTTGTTGATCCTATATTGCCTGATGTGCACCCGGTCCCTGGCGCTTGAGGAACACACCCTCGGTTCATACGGTGTCGGCCAAACCGGCATGCGTGTTGTTTATTCCACGCCGACAGTGGCGTGAAGAGTCTGAAGACCATGCAGCCGTGGATTCTGCGGTGACACAGAGAGCTACTTTTTGCGCGTTGGGAGCGAGCAGGGGGGAGGCAGGCTCACAATGTGTTCAACAATGCGCTGGTCTAGTTGCAAATCAGGGTTGAGACGAGACTGCCTGAACACTTGTATCACTTTACCTTGTTGTCACAGTTCCACTTAGCTGCGAGGGTTCCCCGTTTCGGCAGCTTCTCATAAAAGCGAGCCTCTGACGTAAAACAGCCGGTACTTAAGCCAGAACTGATTAGCGTTCCCCGCCCTTGACCCTTCCGTTCGCGAAGCACGTCCGGAAGACCCCAACACCCTTACACCATTGCCAACGCACACCCTACTCGTAGCCAACACAACCGACCAAGGACGATCACTACACACGCACCTCACCTCCTCTTCGTCGTCGAGAGTGAAACCGCGCAGAACGTAAGTTAACACCAATCGTCCGCTCAGGGATGGCCGACTGGTCGACAACCTGGGAAGGGAGACGAAGCTCAAGCAGCTCAAGCAACGTTTTGGGAGGCTGTGCCCTCCTTTCGTTGCTTGTCACCGATAAGCTTTGTCATATTGAGAGCGTATTTCGCACGCAAAGTGTGCTGTGGACGAGCGTCTAAAAGGCGGTCATTGTTGCTCATGACGACCCTTCCCACCGGTCTCCCCCGTTTCCCCTCGATTTGCCCCTTTCCCCGTAATTGGAATGGCGGTAAACGCGCCGCTTGGGACGATGGGAACGCAATGCAATCCCCCCCGGTTCTTCATGTTATGGAATCTGGACATGGGGGACTCAGCAATATGAGCGCTTCCCCGGCAGGCCTGACAGTAAGGGTTTCGCAGCAAAGCCATCCCCCGTGGGACAAGCTAATTGCAAATGCGATACCCAATTGACACATGTCAAATCAATGGCCCATTGACCGTGGGAGACGCACAGCCGTTGCTTTTATAGCTGGCTCCGTCGTCGCAGGGAAACCCAAACACCCACCCTTCCACTCCTTCCTCATTGTCTGGGCCGTCTGCGCTGTCGGTCGGACATACCTCTTATTGTGAACTCACCATTCGTCGTCCTTCCTTTTCCCAGCACTATTTACGATCACGTCATCAGAGCTCCCTTCCTTCTTCAGAAACGCTCAGCGCCTCTTTCCCACCGTCCGTCCGTTTGCCAATACCACATCGCATACGGCAAAGTCAAGAGGTTGCAAGACAAGAACTCGCCTGCTCGTCCCGTTTCCAGCTTTATTGCTTAACTCCGAGGGAAACTCCCGGAGAAGAGAGGCCAAACACGCAACGCCTACTCTTCTCTTCCCACGGATCTCTGGCCAACCCGTAGGCCAGGCAACGTAACTTTCCACAAGATAACGCAAAACACCAACACGATGCCGGCCATCGACGTGTCGATGCCCATGTCAATGGCTTGCACACCCACCTCTGCCGCCGATGGCTATCGACGGCGGTTTTCCATCATCGGTAGCCTGGGAAAGTCCATGGGTAACAGCATGGGACGATCCTACGGAAGCTTTGGTCGAGGAAGCATGACAAGAGACGGTCTCCTAGAGTAAGTTTTCCGTTGCGTTCGCAGCGCTTTGGTTGGCGATATGTGGCTCACTGTCAGTTCCCAAATCACTTTGTGCAGCGTGTACAACTTTCAATTCGGAGGCAGGTCACCAGGCGTTGCTGCCTCGCCGGGACATGATCTCCTGCACTTTGCGGGCCTGGAAGACAACTTCTGCAAGGACTTCTTCTGCTGCGGTGTAAACCTCGGAAACTTGCATGACCTGCTTCAACACTTCGAAGAGTGCCACGTGCGTGTCGAGTCCGATGTCGACGAAGATGAAGACTTGCCTTTCGAGTTTGAAAGCATGGACGACATGGACACGGACATGAGCGACGGTGACGGAACAACTGGCGGCTCACCACCGTCTGGCTTCAACGACATCTACCTTCATACTCAGCAGTATTCAACACAGCAAGCTGTCGGAGACATCCCTGCCATCGCACTAGCGGATATTTATGCGGAAGACTATCGGATAAGCAACCGATCCGGATCGAGCGCATCGGCCTTTGATACCTCGGTGATCCGAAAACGTATCGGCGGCGCTGGATCGTCATCCTCTCGTAACAAGAAAGGCAAGGCCATGTTGTCGCAGATATCAGAAACCAACCCTACTCTGCCATTCAGCGCTGACGGGCCAACGCATATGGTCACGGACATGGATATCGACGAGGCAGCACACGTTGAATCCCTGCCAACCCCAGTCACCCTGCCACAAGCCGGCTCTACTCAGACAACTACTTTTCCCACCCCTACAACCTCCCCATTATCCGCAACGACTCAATCTCAGCTGGCAACGGCGGCATCCCAAGCCATCGCCAATGCTATCGGACAGGGCAACAGTATCGTTTCGAACAGCTCTGTTCTTTCAAACTCCACTGCACAAACACCAAGCGTCACAATTACAAACTCAGGCTCGCCACCTACCCCAGCGGCCGACGAGGTCATGCTGATAGACGGAATGTCGATGCTGATAGACGGCGGTGCGAAGGACGATCGTCCGTACAAATGCAAGATTTCCGGTTGCGTGAAAGCCTACAAGAATCCCGGCGGTCTGAAATACCATATGCAGCACGGGCACTGCGAAGACACGGGCGATCCGGAAATGAACAACATCATCCACAAACCATATCAATGCACAGTGCCGGAATGCGGAAAAAGATACAAGAATCTCAATGGGCTAAAGGTGTGTATCTGATTTACACTTCTATGGTTTACGTCGGTTCAAAGCACTAATATGTGTCATTCCACAATCGTCAGTATCACATCGAGCACGCGCATCTCTCTCTTCTCGGTGCGTAAGAGAGGTGAATCGAACACCATTCATCATCCGCCCCACACATCATCACATACCATCCACATTCCATCCGACACACATCATCATCATAGACATATCTTTGTCTCCCCCCACCATCAGACGAGACTGCCTTCCCCTGAACCGGAATGCATGCAATGTAGAACGCCATTGTCTTCTACCTGCTTGCTCGTCACCCCTGCCATTCTTTTTTTTTGGACAGACCGCACGCTATCTATCATTTATCTTCCACCGATATCTGTTTGAATTCTCTATGTATTTGCAGTTGTTGCTTCGTTCTCAATGATTATGCGGTCTCTTATCTTTATATAAGTTTCGCGGTCTCTCTTTGTTTTGGTTCGGCTTCTTTCCCTTTCCTTGTTGATCACTTGTCTTTGCGGTGATGGATGTTGTACTATATCGAATGTTGGTAACTTGAAATTTAAGTATGTACGTCGTGGTTGCCTTCTTGAATTTGTTCCAGTCTCTCATCGAGTTTGGCGTCTGATGTGGCAGGCCCGTAGGACGCCGGCGGAGCGGGGCGACGTCGGACCTGCATGAATGATTCATGCGTTGCGGAGTCCGGACAGCACATCGAGAGGGGGAGAAGGGCTGGGAGGAGGGGCCAGGGACAAATAGAGCCAGTTTGTACGCGTTGACCGTCATCGAAATTGCGATTTTCCCACCAGCCTCGGTTTGTCACTTTGCGGAGTCTGGCCTGAACCCCTTTGCAAACGGTGGAGGTTCCCCTTTCACCGGCTGTTTATCACGGCAACGAAAGTTGGCATGGTTGCCGGCCGCCGGGTCTCTTCCTTTTTATCTTCAAGGAGTGGGGGTCAAGCCAAGGAGATGGCGTGAGCTGCATACTGCATGCGCTGTGTCCCGAATGCGCTTGACTTCCACCAATCGTTTGGTCATCTTCCCACGAACTTTCCTGTGAAATTCTTTTGACTTTTCCCATATTTGACTCGTAGAACAAAGGTTCTCCCGATAGAGTTCTCAGCGGCAGGCTTCCTACGAAACTCCCCAGTTAGGCACTTGGGAGCAACCTTTGGTCCCGGCCCGCACCAGTAAAGTCTTCTCAGCGACATACGAGATACCTTCCTGGAGGTCGACACCCAAAAGCATATTCCGCTTTGCATTCAGAAAGAAGAGCAACGCTTGAGGAAGGAAGCGATGAAGCACGTCAACCGTCGGCACCCAGCAAAGAACCGACCCACCGTCCAAGAGATTATGCAGAATTGGCGCGCTGTCCAGACCCCTCGCATTCTGGTCAACAACGGGACACCGCCGGAATCTCGTCGCAGTTCACAAGAAGGTGCGTTCAAGAATTTCCTATGGCGGGGCCGATAAGATTAAGCGTATTGCAAACCGGTTGCCGGTTTTTGTCTTCTTTCCTTTCCGTTTGCATGTTTGCCATTGCCTTTCGAATAACGCGTCATGACGTTCCACGCGGACGCAGATACGGACGAAAATCCCTTGTTCAACTGCACGCAATGGGAGTCGCCGCAGCAAGGTCACGCTATGCCTCCTCACCAGCAGTTTCCTCAACCGGGAAAGGATGCGTATACGAATGGGGAGGGTCAAGCCGGTCATAGCCACGCGTATGATGACCACCATCTTGGTTCTGAGCAGCCGGCGCCTGAAGGCGAAGGCGTTACGTCCTTTTTAGGGATCCCGGAACTGAATATGACCTCGCCATTCCTGACATTCAGCTCGCCGGTCAGTCCGGTTGTGGCAGCGGAGCTTGCCGCGGCTGCGGCGCAGAATGAATACGACAGGAATACAGAGCGTCAGCCAGCAAAAGGTGGGGCGGATGCGGCGGACCGAGAGCCACAGCAGGATATTCGACGAAGAGATGCTGTGTATGAAGAAGACGTGAACGACGACGCGCAGGGCTGCGCATGTCATTCGCACCCGGGACTGGTTCTGCTGGAGGCGGTGTATGCGATACCAGTACACGATGTCGTGAATGCACTGTATGGTCCTGATATGGACGCGTATCAGAATATCGGCGCTCGCCGGGGATGTGCTGGTAGGTTATCACCTTTACACTGGCGGGTTGGCGGCTGGAACTCGAAGGCTCATACAAAAATGGTCTGCAGATTTGATGGCGGAGGACTGGCACATGGACGAAGGAGGTCATTGGGCTTCGCGCTGCGTGTCATATCGTATGGTACAGGCTGGTAAGATTCATTGAAATCATGCAAGGGTCAACTGAGAGCAGTTTCAGGATCTGACACGATGTTGTTCGGCAGATGGACGCATAGCAAGGGAGGTCATCGAAGCGCAAAGCGTGCTGCAGGATGAACCCGATGCCATGGTGGTGGAGACTCGTTTCCACTATCCGGCAGATCCTCAACCTCTCGTAGTTCAACGATGTTGCATCACACTTGCGGATGTTGGTGGTCGCCGTGGTGCGAAAGTGAAGATCCATGCCGCGACCGAGAGAACCTTGGGTCGGCAAGGAAGAGGTATGCAAGACAATGACAGGAGTTGTACGGCGAAGCGTTGGCTGACCTTTCTCACGTTGCATTCATCAAGTAGATGAACGAGTCGAGCACGAATTGAGGGAGCAGCAGTACACCTGTCGCTATCTGGACGAGTACCTCATCAAGCTCGCCGCCAAACGGCGAGGGGAACGAATGCGACTTCACCGGAAATCTATGCAGGCGACAGCAACACGATCCTCCTCAACTTCATCAAACGCATCGCAAAACCCTCAACCGATTCGGTCGCGTTCAAATGATATCCTCCCGGCATCGCTTCTCACTTTCTCCGGGGGTGCCTCACAGCCGCACTCGCCATCTCTTGCGGCGCCCAGACGCTCAATGTCATCCTCGTCGGCATCTTCGGGCGGCTCCTCCGCGTCGTCCGGTGCTGCCCCTGCCGATGGCCAACAACCCGTCGTTCTTGCAGAAGGAGCGGCGACAATGGCACAGGACGCCATTATTCCCCGCAATCCTCTGAAAATCAGGGTGTTGCACGGTCCCAGGGCTATGTCTGGCAAACGCCGCGAATCCGTGGATGGAATCTCTTCTTCCCCACCCGTGTCGCGTGCCATGCCCGCCATGTTGCATTCCAACAAGAGTTGTCCTCAGCTCTCGAGCGCCATGCGCACTAATAGCGCTGCAACGCTAAATACCATCGGCACCACCGCCACCATCGATCGCAAACCTTACGGACCACGTCCTTTCGGCGGTCTCAGCGCTCTCGTCAACGACATCAAAGCCAAATTGAAGGCGAACGCCCCACAACCAAAAGCGGTAACTTGGGACGGCAAGAGATGGAAAGAAGCTCATCCTGTCATCGCTCAAAAGCTTTGCGAGACCGTGAGCACACCCGGGGCGTCGCCAGACTTATCCAATGCCGCCACACCATCAGGCGCTGCAACGCCTTACGCTCTCACTTCTAATCCCTCCAGCTCCAGCTTGTCGACCCCTTATTCGACCATCCCGCGTGACAGGGTGCTCAAGCGAGAGGGTGGCGCTGTCGCCTGCTGGGATGGGAAGCAGTTTGTGATTCACGAAGGGCGCGATGTTACCCAAGGCATGCCGAAAATGCCCTCTGAGGTTGTCTCCACCCCAACACAAGAGCATGAGGTTCCCCTGAATGTCATCGGGAGCCTGCACGGCGAGAAGCTCAAGCCCATCCCGGAGACCGACCTACAGAGATCGTATTCCTCCGAAACTTCTGAGGACGTCAGCACGGAATACACCGATGAAGTGGACGTGTACCGTCACGTACAACCTTTCCTGGCAGTGGCGCACGCAGATAGGCCCGCTCCAGCTGCAGAAGAGTCTACGTCCGAATATACAGACCCGTCTATGGACCTTACGCCCAAAACGGCCGCTGAAACCGCAGAATGGCGCGAAGCAGCCAAGAGGCGTATACAGAGTCAGTTACAAGCTCAGCATAGAGGGGTTGCAGCGGTGGTCGATAATGCTCCTCCGCCTATTGCTGCTTTGACGACTTTCCCGATGCCAGGAGAGCTAGCGAACGACTACAGTTTTCAAGTCGATGCCTCGTCAGAGGACACCCCTGTCCTGCATAGGCTGTTGCAGGATATCTCTTTCAGCGCTCAGTATTCGACGGATTTGCAGCAGCCGTCTCATGATCAGCAGATTGTATTCACACAGCAACAATCACAGCAGCACTCGCCAAGCCTTCAAGAAGCCAGCCTTCATGTGAAATTTGTGGACAACCTTGTCAAACCCGCTTCGTCTCCATCGGGACCATCACCCGGAACTCCGCTCACACTCGCACCCGAAGACACCCCTGAACCCACCCCATCTGCGGTATCATCAGAACAGGCCCCGTCACCACCTCGTTCCCTCACCACGACACTCCGCTCTCTCAACCGCAAAGCCGTCGCCGCCACCATCGCCGTCATGGCCTTCTCTTACTACCTCGGAATCGTCATACCCATCCTCCGCTTGACGTACTACCTCGTCTGCTGGATGTGGGGAATGAACCTCGTCCCGCTATCGATTGGTCTCGCATCGTTGGCATGGATTGCATGGGGTAGTTCATGACGAATTGGGAATCCGGCCCATCGAAAGTTACTCCCCTGGCATTCAAGGCTAGGATTCGTTTTTCTTGCTCTGCGCTTTTCCTCCTTCCTGATAGGCGTCCTGCTCCGTCTTTTACATGTACATTTTTGTTCGTTTCTGTAGTTTCTGCTGTACCCTCCCTTTCTTCATATCGCCTTCCCCTTTCTCCATCCTCTCTGTTCCTGGGACTTTGCACCCTTCGTTGCATTGACATTGTATAAAGTGTATACTCTCCTATGCGTCGTTGTCTTCCTCTGCAGTAATTTAGACCAGTTTGAACCATGACCATTATATCCATTATCGCGGACCAAATGAAGATAAGAAAATAGTGCATAGATGCGAAATGAACGAAAACGAGAACATGAGATCTTGACAAGGATATTGCGACACTCAACAGATTTGAACCATAAAAGGAGGCAATAGAACCAATGAATCACCCAAATCGAGCAAATAGACGAACACGAGGTCGAAAAGCAAATGACAAAAATGTAAGATTAAACTGGGGGAGGACAAAAGTACGAGCTGTAAAGTAATTCCAAAAATCTCGGAGGGTTTGTGTGTGGGGTCGTTTGCGTCCGCGCAGCGGCACGATCGCCCAGCGGCTCCTTTTCGCGTTGATGTTGCAAGGGCGTGGGTGGTTTATGTTGTGGGTAAGGGAGGACGAGCGGGGTGTGTTGAGGGAACAAAAGTGTACGGTTTTCACTCGTTGTCGCCCTCATCGCAAGAAAAGTACACGCTGGCGGCATCGTCCAACAGCGCTTTCTGTCTAAACGAGTCGTCCGCCGCAGCAGCAAAGAGTCGCATAACATCAAACTGCGACGTCAAAGGGTCGTCAACGTCCTCATCGCCATGCTGATGGTGGTGATGATCATGCTGGTCACGGTGTTCCTCAACCGCAGCACTGAACGATATCTGCCGTCCACCCAACGCCCTGTTCGACCTCTCGATACTGTTCTCCATCGTCCGCACCAGACTCTGCACATCATCCGCAGACGTGAACGCCGCCACAGCCGCCGCGCTCGGGTGCGGGTTGATGAGGACCGATCGGCGCCCGACGTCCGCGGTCTCTTCCCTCGCCTCGCGTAAACCCTCACATTCGACACGGAGCATCTCGAGCTCGAGGGTGGCTTCGCGGATCCAGGCGCGGTAGGCGATGATGGGGCCCGTTTGCACGTCCTGGATTGAGTCGCGGAGCTCTTGGACGGTTGGTTCGAGGATCGCGATGAGGGTGCTCAGGTGGGTTATGCGCGCCGTGAGGGCGGTGGTTACGGGGGAGGGTTGAGGTGTGCGGTTGGCGGCGAGGTTTGGGGAGGAGTTGTAAGGGGAGGTCTGCGAGGATGAGCTGAGGGAGGATGCGGTGCGGCGGTGGAGGTGTTGGGATGAGTGACCGAGGTGTTTGTTCTGTAGCCCGCCGGCGAGCGAGGAGGACGAGAGGAGGGGGCTGTCTTCGAGGACGGTGGTAGGGTCCGCGAGTAGAGGATCGATGTTGCTGGGGAAACCGACGTTGGCGTTGAGAAGGGTGTCGCGGATAGTCTGCAACATCATGGTGAATGCAGCGCGCTGGATGCGACGGGATGAGAGGTCATCGACCGTCACGCGCTGTTGTGAGTCGGATGAGTTGGTCCGCTGGAGACCGAAGCTGCTGCGACTTCCGTTTCGGTCTGTCAGCGTGGAGAAGAGAGACTCTCGTGATGATGTGGGTGCACCGCTGCCGTAGAGTGCGACTGTTCGTCGATTTGCCGCGCGGTCTGTCAATGGTAACGAAGGGTTGGAGGAAGACAATGGGAGACCAGACGATCCCATCGGCGTGCTCCATCGTTTCCCAGTTCCGCCGCCGCTGTTCGCACCCGACTCATCATCATCACAGTGACTTTGTGAGTGTATCTGTTTCCTATCGCACAGCTGCACGACCTCGCGCAAGAACTTGCGTTCAAATCGCAGTTGCGTGATTTGCTCGACACACGACTCGTACGAGAGCTCCTGCTCAGCGACGTCATCTATTAACGTGCGCAGTTTGTTGCGGAGGGATATAAACTCGGTTGTGAGCTGGTCGAAGCGGATCACTGATTGTGTTAGGGTGCGGTTTAGCGCGCTGACCGAGTTGGTGACCGGTGCGGAGTTGGTGCTTCCAGAGGGTGACGCCGTCGAGTTGCGGTAAAAGTGAGGGATATGGAATGGCGTGTTTGTGAATCTAAAAGGAGTAGTAGTGAGTGAGTGAAGCATTAACCATCGTCAACCATCAACAACCGTCACCATCAACCATCAACGAAGCATCAACCCAGCAACCATCCTCTTGAAAAGATGTTGCGCCTTTGGCGCAATGTGCTTGCTGAGGCTCGCTAGGAGTCGTGGTTAGCGGAATATAGCGCCTTTGGCGCAATGTGGCTCGCTCCGCTCGCGTGGGCGTTTCGGCTCATGCCTCGCCTGCCTCAAGTATCCCTGCGCCTCGCTACGCTCGGTCTCCCATATCGAGCCAAACCCTCGCTTCGCTCGGTCGCTATCGCTCGACCCCCACCTTCTCCCTCTCCAACGCTGGCCACTCGACTACATACCCATCATCATCATCAGAAGTGGTATAATTTCCAAGCTGTCGTTCATCCATGACTCCCGAAGAAGTAGTAGATGAAGCCGAAGACGAAGCGGATGAATGACTGACTCCAAATCCTTCGTCAGGCGAAAGCGGCGACTGTGGCTGAGAGGACTGGGACGAGCGGTGGTGGTGGTGGTGATGAGAAGTGTAGGAACCAAGCGCAGAACTATCAAAGTTGAGGTGCGGGCGAGCCTTATGCTTCCTGGTAGTTGCAGCTTTGGGGATGGTTGATGAAGCCGTAGTAGCAAAACGCTTGTGGTGGTTGTGCTTTTTGCTGCTAAAGTCGTATTCGTTCGCGAGGACGTGCTGTTCTGGTTCGGTTGTGTTCATCTCGTTGGTTGGTGGGTTGCGACACCTGATGGTGGAATGCTGCTTACTATCCGCTGTGGCGATTGGACGATGACTATGGGTTGCTACAAGTACTGTAGGTTTTCTCGTTATCGACGGTTGGTCTGATAGCCAACGATTGTTTTTTGTTGAAAGGCGGGCACTGTTGGCGCAACTGAGTGTTATAACACCTGTTTGTGGCGGGTCATTCCCCCTCGTGGTTTCTCAACACTTCCAAAAGCTTAAGTTGTCTTTCATGAAGGCACTCCGCAATGCCGGTTAGTGCGGGTAGTGTGGAGGCGCAGGGGGTCTGTTGGTTGAGGAGTGTTGCGTCGTAATTAGGCACAGCCTGTTTTCCGGAGGTTGTTTCTGGAGGATGTTTCTGGAGGATGTTTCTGGAGGCGGGCAGTAATATGTGCTCGCTCTGGGACAACGCCCGCCCCATTGTGACGAGCGTGATGACGGCCCGCGCTCCTCCGCCCTGTTGATTAGCGTCACTTCACATTGCAACTGCGATTTAGATTAGGATCGACCCCTCTTTCTCATCACTCATTCCCCCCCTCCTGACCTGATGCATCTCACTAGCCTCCAACCGGTGAAACGAAACACCGGTAACACGATGTCGCGGAGACGCCATTTAATTTTGCAGATCAACAACTCGCAACAAAAGCACGTGGGAAGAGGGGATTCTCGTTCTTCCTGCCGCTGAGGACAGACTGGCCGCTATGAATTTGAACTTGAGCTCCCAATCTTGAAGGCGATCGTATGGAATCTATGGATGAGGGAACTTTGAACTTTGAAGTGCTCATCAGAAGATCAGTTCAATACGGATGCTCCTTTGTTCCGCGCAGCGCACTGTTGGCCGCCGCCCATGTGGGACAAACAGCGCAGCCGGCTCCCGCTATCATCTCCATGTGACTTGCCTTACAACCTTCATGAGACATTTGGGGGCTTCCCCGGTTGGGCCTCAAGCTTCAAGGTTAACATTGACATGTGCAGTCTTGTATACATGTTTCAAGAATCATCACTCGAGGTTTCGAATGATAACTTTTTGAAGTTGAAGGATTCGCCGCTCTGCTCTCGCACCATAACTGGCGACGTGGGCAGCCGTTGTCAATCCTACGCACCCTAGCTTGACGCTTACGGTTCTTGAAGCAGTTTACTCACTGTATATGTCTCCTGCACTGCTCGAGTATAACCGCTGCCGGCTTGGCGATATTTCATGTACCGTCTCCTCATAGCATTCTTCGCAACGTCTCGTGAAATATCATGTAAACCTGGCCTTGAATCACATACGGTCTAGTTTCCGTTTAAGCCTGCTGTCAAGAGGCATATACTGTACGTTAATGAACTGACAGTTTCCCATGGCGCAATTTCGGGCTTTCTACAGTATATTGTGTGCAAACGCGGAGTCCTCGGACAGGAAAAGGTTTTCGTCCAGCTTCACCCATTTAAGCCGGCACAGAGTCCCTTCAAATTCCGCAGACCATAACAGGCTATTGAATGGAAAAGGGTATGTAGGAACGGGTCCGAGAACTGTTTCCACGCGCTGTCGAATTCCTGTCAATGTAGTGTAACCCTCGCGATAAGAGCCCAGCCTACCTCCGCCAACGTCCCTGCTGTGACGCATGGCGACACAAAGAATGTCGTTCTTTGTCGTCAGATTCGTCACTTTGGGGGGGCTTCGTTCCACATCGTCGGTCCGATAATCCATTTCCTTAGCGACATGTCTTTCCTGTGAACCTCGAGGGAACCCTCCCTTCACATTTCGTCGGTTTGACGTAATGTAGACTCACGCATAGTTTTTCCGATCACGCCTTTGGGCTGAGGTTGGAGACAGGGCAAGGGGAAAGCCACGCACGGGGGGGTCGGAAGGCCAATTGGTGGAGACTGGAGAGCTCGTATAAAACGGAACCTCGCTCTCTATCGGGAAGGTCGAGCCACTAGAAACCATTCCGAGCCATACACTCATAGCCATTACAATCCAAATAACAGAATTCATTCACCATGACGGGAACACACATCGTTGATGCTATTCTCAAGGATCATAAGGAGATCCAGGCTTACTATGAGGTAGGTTTGGGGATTGGGACCGAAGAAGCATGGATGGAACGTCGCGAAAGTGTGGCTCATATGATCACTGAGTCTCATTGATTCTCACATCCCATCAATCTTCCCGAATATCAAACTCCATAGCAATACCTAGCGAACACCGACAACCCCACCGAGCAAGAAAAATGGGCCAACCAACTCCGCTGGGAAATCGCGCGTCACTCCATCGGCGAAGAACTCATCGTCTACCCCGCCTACGAAAAGCACTTCCCCAACGGCAAAGCCCTCGCCGACAAAGACCGCGCCGAGCACCAGCAGGTCAAGAACGACCTCTACACCCTGCAGAGCCTGACGCCCGGCAAGGATGCGGACTTTGACCCGTTGATTGCGAAGATGATGAGGGAGTTGAGGGCGCATATCAAGCACGAGGAGGAGGAGGATTTGCCCAAGTTGCGCGCGGCGTTGTCGCAGAAGGATGCGGAGTATATGGGAAGGCAGTTTGAGACTACTAAGAACTTTGTTCCTACTCGGTATGTTCGTCTTGAGCTTCCCTTTATGTGTGGTAGATAAGGACGCTGACTATTTTCTACCTTCCTCACGCCATCCAGCTCCCACCCTTCCGCCCCCGACAAGCCCCCGTTCGAAACCCTCGCCGGCCTGCTTGCGGCACCGCTGGACAAGCTCCGCGACGCCTTTTCAAAATTCCCCACTACAGAGCAAGTCCAGGCTGTTGAGCCTTGAAATTGATATGCAGTTTCTTGCGACAGTATGAGGTTCACGCGTCGCTTTTTTTTTTGGGAGGGAAGAATCGGAGGAGGGAGGTCTGATCCCATCTTATAAGCGAGGAGAGATATGGAAGAGATTGCTGGGCATTTCTTTTTCACTTGTACAAAGTATACGCAAAAAAATCGTATGGAGCTCGTCTGACATGGTTGCATATACTGTACAGTTGATGTCGGATTTGTTTCGCAGAACCCAACGGGCATATCTGGCCATGCACATTGCCGTTGGGATGGATGACGAAGACGGAGTGGTAGCGAGTTTTGGGTGTATCTACTCGCATCATGGTGCCGTATTGTGCGGCCGTCCCAAACCGTTGTGAGGGCCGGAAGAGCCGCAATGCCGTGACGTGAGTTGGCCAACCCTCCGAGTTCAAACTTCAGAATTCACACTTGCGACGGTCGACACAACATCTCCGGCCCCGGCAAACCACACTCGCTCTATGCACACCAAGCTGCTCTATGGACTCCCTAGATAACCTAACCCCGGAACAGCGGGACACGCTGCAAACGTTCCAGGTATGGCTTTCCGCTCAGGGTGATCTTGTAACACTTCCGGGTTTGATATAACGACCTTTCCATCCCGCAGGCTGTCATCCACAATGAGGATATCGACACCGCCATCGCCACTCTCGTAGCACAGGACTGGAATTTGGAGGTTGGCCTCGTTGGTTATGGTGTGGCTTCGAAGTGCTGTTGAAGCTGATCTATGGGTGATGTGTGCAGAGAGCGGTCGCGAGCGCATTCGGCGATGAGTTGCCAACGCAGAGGGAGGTTCCGGAAGCTGAGGTTGCTCCGCCAGAAGACTTACAAACACAGCAAGGGCATCCGGATTTGGGGGTCCGGTCTCCGCGTCCAAAGGTATGGGACAGCAATCACTTTGACGCAACAACGCATAAACCCTCATCTTGACATTCTCGACCGCACGACGAATATTACGCAGATGCTTTCTGTCTGGGGATTGCTAGCGCTGCCGATCACACTACCTCTGAACATAGTATGGGTGCTACTCTCCTACGCAGGTAAGGTAATAGCCACCATCACCTGACGCGTCCGTTCGAAAGAGGTCTCACACAAACCCTTCACTCCTTCCAGCCAGTTTCCTACCAGCCGCCCTGCGACCAAGCCTCCTAACCCCAGCAGGCCCGCAAAGAACAGGCACACAGAGCTCAGATCCTCGCGCAGATGCCCACCGCTTCCTCCTGGATTTCGAGGATACGTATGGCAGGCAGCATCCTGAGTTTTTCCAGGGGACGTATACGCAGGCGTTGCAGAAGACGAAGACGGAGGTGCGGTATCTGGTCGTGTATCTGCATTCCGCGGAGCATGATGATACCGAGGAGTTTTGCAGGTATGCGTTCACACCGTCGGTACCAACAATATGGCTGCGGACGCAGCGCTTACGCGAGGAGGATTTCGCAGACAAACATTGTGCTCAGAGGACTTGATTTCTGCGTTGCAACGGAGGAATGTGATCTTTTGGGCCGGGGACGTCGGGACGGTCGAGGGTTACCAAGTCAGCCACATTCTCGCCGCAACTACCTACCCTTTCATTGCGGTCATCACACCAAACCAGACAAGGTTGGCTGTGGCTACGCGTTTAGAGGGTATGCAAAAGCCGGAACGAGCTGTGGGGACAGCAGTCGGCCGCGAAATGTGTTAACACTCCCACATTGACAGGTCCGACAAGCCCCTCTACTATCATTGACGCCTTGACGGCTGTCATCGAAATAACGGAGCCACATGTCGCGACTCTCCGCGCTGAGCGGGAATCGAGAGAACAATCTCGATCGATTCGCGAGCAGCAAGACGAGGCGTACCAGGCTTCTTTGCGGGCTGATAGAGAAAAGGTATCTTGCTTTGTTCTGTTGGGGGAGGAACCGGCTCGAGCTAACTGAACGTCATCTACAGCGCCGGAAAGCCGAAGAGGAAGCAGAGCGCACCCGCCTAGAAGAGGAAGCCGCGCGGAAAGAAGAAGAGGAGCGGGAGGCCTTTCTCGAGCGACGGAAACGGCGGCGAGAAGAACTCCTCGCCAACCTGCCTACCGAGCCAGCAGCCGACGCGCCCAACATCACAAAGCTGTCCATCCGCCTCCCCAGCGGCGACCGCGTCATTCGCCGGTTTGATGCTGACGATCTGGTTTCAAAGCTGTATGAGTTTGTCGAGACGCGGGATCTGGAGCCGCTTGAGGGCGAATTCTTGGTTGTGGGGACGTTTCCGAGGGAGGTGTATGACGATCTGGAGAAGAGTTTGAAGGAGGTTGGGTTGGTGCCCAGCGCGTCTTTGGTCGTGGAAGAGGCGTAAATAGCGTCTCACCCGTCTCTTGTTTATTCCTTTGAAGAATGAGTGCGTACATACCCCGCTAATGAACCCGACGGGCCGAAGTCGATGTAGACAGAGTATAACAGAAATACGTGCCGCTTGCGAGGAGCATGCTATCAAATCCATTGGGTGATTCATCAAAGTACACTGTTTGTTACGCCCACATAGTCTACTCTAGAATTAGATGCTACCTTGCCCGGGTCAGATCCAGCCGCGTTCAGAAACTTCCAACGGGGGCTCCACCGCGATAGGCACATGTATGTTCACATTCGGTAAAGCCGATTCAAGTTTCCTCTATTCCCTGGCGGTGGCGGCTACGTTGATCTCGTAGATTGATTAATCGTTCCAAGTCCTCTTGTACTCCAAATTGAGCGGCTTTCTCCCGCGGTGTCGCAGGTGCCTCAGCGAACCCCGGAATTTCGTCACCCCGTGGGGGCCCCATGCTTGTATAGGTAGCGAAGCTCATAATCGAAAGGAGCATCGGGATCCGCGCCTTCGTTTAATAAAACTCCATGATAGCCATTCAGTCGGGGTGCAATCAAGATGGGCGTATAGACGGAGGGCCTCGGTCGCCTGTCACGCCGTAGACAGTGACGGAAAACCATGCTCGCTGTCAATTCGAGAGGATTGCCCGTTTTACCCTAGCGTAGGTATTCACGTTGCTCCCAGGGCTCCTCCGGGGAGGAGGAAGAAAGGCGGACGCGCAAAAGAGGCTTTCACGCGTTACATAAGCAGCAATCCTACCGACTACTCCGACACTCCTTACTTCATAAATCCCCTCTCTGCTACCCCTTCTTTTTCCCACCCAGCAGAGAGATCGTCACTGCGCCACTCCCATTCTTCGTTTATAGGATGCACTCTGAACGACCTCTACCTACAGCTTTGTCAGGATATTACTTGTGGGAATAGGTTTAGCGAATCGCGGGGCATACGCAACCACTTAACCAAAACGTCTAGTTTCATTGACCAGTAGTGACCAAAAGGCAAGGCACCATGCCCTGAGGCGTGGACTTGCAGCCTGCGAAACATCAATGGGCTAGGCGGGTGAGCGTGAAAGTTAAAGGGGAGGCTCCGGCGCCGGCGCTGATGATCCTTTTGCCGAGGCTCGCTTTTCTTTGCCTTACTATTCTGAGTTTCATTGGCAACTACCGTTTCCACTAGATGGGAACTGTCGGTCTGTATTGTCGCAAGCCGCGTACAAGGCCAAAGACCGTTCTTCCGCTCCAGCGACTCTGCCAGATTGTTGCACGTTTGCCGCAGCTTCCCCAACACCTGGAGGTCCATATAATGGTTGCCGATGGTGAAGACCCCGTCCGCATCCGAGATGCGACAAATGAGTTCGGCGGGGCAAGTCGAACAGGGACGCTGAGGGAGGTCTTCCTGGGAGTGGGATAGCAGTCTCCGACAAGTGCTTTCTTTGACGTAGTGCTCCTTCACGGCGACCAAACTGCTAAGGCACCTTCCGGTTGCCTTATATCAACCTTGCATGTGGTGCCAGCGAGTCTTATCATCAGCGACGATGGGACTGGTGTGTGCCGCCGAGAAAGGTGCGTTGTTTCCAAACGTGACGCGTGCCATTCGTGCCTTCAGTTTGTTTCCAACTCACCCCGTATGGTTGGCGGTAGTGCCGCCGTATACCCATAAACGCATGGCCAGTCTTGTTCTTCCTCCTTCTCAGGTCCAATAGACATGGAAACAAAGAAGGGGTGAACGCAGCTTCGTTGTAGAATATCATATCCACGGCGTAGGACCAAATAGCAGTGTAGAAAGGCCTCGTTCTAATGGCGTATGCAAAAATGAACATCTTTCTCTAGTGTGATAAAAGGCTATGTTCTTCCAGACTGCGTCCATTCATCACGCGTCGTGATCACGCACGAACCGAATCCCCTCCACAAACAGCACCTCCGGCGGCCACTCACACAGCGGCAAAGCCGTATCCGATGCAGACCGCGACCTGTTCCCATTCCCGCTGTTCTCAGCATGACCAGCAGCCGACGCGGTCGAACCGGCGTGTTTCGCATTCTTCGCGTGCTGTTTGCCCAGCGAGTCGCGGTACATCTTTTGTTGTTGCAGGTGCCGCTCGCATTCTTCGCGGGGGACGTAGACGGTCCATTGCGGTTTGCGCGCGCCGCTGGTGCTGCTGCTGTGCCTAAAGACCGAGTGCGGTTTCGCGGTCGTAGTTCCGGACTCGGTCGAAGATACCGCCGGCTGGTCTCCGGGCGTGACGGGCGTCGTTGGCTCAACAACAGCGCCCGCAACAGGGTGTAATATGATACTATAATGATCCATCGCAAATCGAACATCCGTCGCCTTCCCCAGTACCGGATGATCATACGTCAATGACCAGTCCCTCGTCTCAGCCCCACCCGCGATCTCAGGACCGCCCAACGGTACCAAATGCCGCTGGAAAACCAACGCCCCGCCCTCCTCGGTCGTGTATTTCGACGCCGTCAGCACAGCTGCATTCGACGCCGCGATCCCGGAGACTGATTTCCGTTTCTGCATCTTTCCGTTTTGCCCTGACGATGTTGGCGGAGCCGGTGGCGGATTCGGTAAGGGAAGGACGGAGGTGAGCGTTAGGGAGGAGAAGGTTTGGAAGGCGGTTGTGGGAAAGGTGAGGGTGTAGTCATCGGTGACTTTGCCGGAGATGAGTGTGGACGTGGGTGTCGTGGTGGTGGGTGGGAGGGTGATGACAATCCGGTCGCCGTCATCCTCCATCGTGTAGGTGCCGATTGGAGTGGGTTCTTCAGCGGGTGGCCGTGGTGGTAGTGCCGGGGGATCCGACTCCTTCGGCGCTTGTGTTTGACTTGGAATCGCATCCGGTACCTCGATCGAGGCATCGGTCGACAATGATAGCAGCGAGGAAGTGGATCCATTAACGCTGCCTGCGCGCTTCTGACCCTGCTTCTCCTGCTCATCGTCGTTATGCGGGAAATAAGACAACCGTCCCTTCGTGGGGACGTAGTTCACATACGCTTTAGCAGCGTGCGTCAACAGAAGAGTTATGACCAGATAAGGATTATGCATCTTGTCCGTTACGGGATCGAGTCGTAACGATCCCATCCCTGATCCGAGATAAAGACCTTCGAGTGTCATCGGCCTATGACTGGTCGCGAACTTGGGCCGGGTAGTGCGTTTGTGGCCCTGTCGTGGCTGACCAGGAGTCGGGCCATGCGACTCTTTGGCGTCCTTGGGTTCCGGATTCGCAGACGTATCATGATGGGCGTGATCCGGCTTGTCATCGTCCAAACTGCCAAATCCATCCCTGACCATATCGTGGAATGTGTCCTTATGTGTAGCGTAGCCCGTCATCCCGCTTGTCGAAAACAGGGTGACGTAGAGTGCGCCCAAGTGCACTACGGCAGCGTAGATTCGGAACTCCCACGTAGCTCTCCGTTGTGCGCCACTTTGCTGCAAGACATAGTGTTGAACAATGCATTCTGAGAAACGCGTTGTGATGGGTGGGTTGGCCAATGTTAGAGATCCCGCTGCATGGGCAGTTTTGGCTACGACTTCTAGCGTGGGTATGACTTCATCGGAGGTTAAAGTTGTTGGTGCAGATGTTGCTTGGAGAAGGGGATGCCCGGCTGGTAAGGTGAAGGGTGGGAAGAAAATGGCGCACGCGGGATGGACAGGGCTGAGTGGTGAGATGACGGTGAGCTGTGATATTGATGGATTGCCTTGCTGGGCATCTGCTGCTGTTGACGGTGGCTGGGGGCCCGAAGCGAGACCCCAATTTGATGGCATGGGAAACGTGAACGGGCCCATTGGAACGGCGGATTGTGAGGACGCTGCTTGCGGTTGTGCTTGCTGCCCCGACTGATACCCGGTGATCTTCTTGATCCACAGCTGAACGCCGTCCAAGTCGACTTTCAACGCATCCGCCAAAGCCTGCCGCCAATCGATCGGAATCTCCACTGGAGGGGGGGAGGGCGATTTGATCACCGGCGCCGATTCACTGTCATTCGACGCATTCGACGCTTTGCATTTCCGTATGACGTCCAAAAACGCATCCAGGCCCGTCGCAAACTCCACCAAGTCGGTACAGTCATACACAATCAACAGCGTGGGGACAGCGTCGTCCGCCAGATTTCCAGTCGGTTGCCCCGCAGGATTCGAGCCCAGCTTCTGGACCAAACAGTAGCCCCGATACAGCCCTTTCGGCCCATCCCGCAACACAATCGTAAACCCCGCTCTCCGCAACGTTGGATCCTCCTCGCTTGCTGCAACAGCATTCCGCCCAGATCTGATATGCAGCACATCCCTCGTCAGCTCCACCCATCGTCTGTGCGCCGCGCAGGTGATGTGATCTAAGAGTTCCGAAGGGGTTGTTGTTGAGGGATAGCGTTGTAAGGCGGGTGAGATGGAGAGCCACGTTAGCGGGAAGCTTTGGATCGGGAGGAAGTGGATACGGCAGCTGGTGAGTGGCTTTTCGAGGTATGGTGGGGATGATTCCAGCTGGTGATTGCTATCGGTACGCTCTTGGAGATCTACAGGATCTTGTCCTAGCCCTTCCTGTCTCGACCACTTCGCTGGGCATGGAAATGTGAAATTGCCTATTTGGAGAGTGTCCAACGGAAGCCCAGCAGCGTCGACCGGCGCCTGCACCTGCTCACTGGAAGGGTTCGTAGACTCGGGTATATCACTGCTTTCGGGTGTCTCCAACTGTTGAACGGCAGCTGCTGGTAATTGTGCAATTCCCAGAGCGACAAGACGGGCGATCACCTCGTCGATGGTATAGTTCGGGGCACCTCCCATGGCTCCGACGTTAACTATGGGTGGCGAGGATCCCGTTGCGAATACTGGAGGCCGGAACTTCCCTTCCCGGGCGAGATCTAGCAGTCCGCTGTAGATATTCGGAGGAGCAACCTGAAGAAGTTTGGGCGTCGATCGACGTCGTTCCGTGACGAGGCGTGGCGCCATTCAATTTGCGGTCATTCCACCACCGGGGAGGTTAGGGTTACGACACATCAACTACTTGCGACGGAGCAGTCTGCTGCAATATCTTGGAACCCTCGGGGAACTAGGAGCCTTCTGCAGGTGGCAATAGTTTTCAACACGTAGGAAAAACACCGATCGAGAAGTCAGAGCGATCCACCCCATCTACTGCGATGGTTTTGTGCCGTTTTCTTGAGAGGAAAGACTTATCATTATTTCACTTTACTTCTCCTTTCTAAATGTAAGCACATCAACGTCTATTTGACAGAATGAAAAAATAAACGAATACCAACATGCGCTTCTCAACACATGACATGGGGTTGATGGGATGAAAATTCTACGATATACAGCAGCGGCGATAGAGACCACTAATTGGGATGCCAACATAGATGGATAATGAGATATATGATGCGAACCCGAGGCGTTCAACGCTCAGATGAAGAGGGCGGCGATGGCGGCAAAGACACCAGCAGCCAGGGACACCTGCTGGCCGGTCGCTCCGTTGTTGACGGAGATGGCGGTGGTGCTTGGGGATGGGGCGGCGGTCGCTCCGGGCGTCACAACGACGGTTGCCTGGGAGACGTTGATGGAGGTGGAGACCGCTGGGGCCGCGGTGGCTGTGGCGCTGGCAATGGCGCTAGAGGCGACGGTGGGGGGTGCCGTGCCGTTGAGGTAAGGGGACAGACCAAGGCACTGTCCGACGGTCTGGATCTTCAATGGGAAGTTCGGGGTCGCGCCGATAGCGTTGAGGACGGCGATGGAGATGGCCGTGGTGTTGGGTGTGATGTTGTGCTCCAGGGAGATGAAGCCGGGTTGGGCCTTGAACCAGCTCTGCACGAGTGGGACGGTGGTAGCGAGACCAGCGCTGCCAAGAGTGTCTCCGGTGTCGCGGTCACCTTGCCAGAGGATGTTCTTGTATCCAAGGGCGGCGATGATGGCGCGGACACGGTCGTCCTGGTCACCGTAGGGGGGACGGAAGAACGCGGGACGCACACCGATGGTGTTGACGATGAAAGCTTCGGTGTAGAGAATCTCGGCAACGATTTGCTCGTTGGTCTCGGACGTCATGGCGGTGTGCGTCCAAGTGTGGACACCGATCTCGTGGCCCGCGTCGTAAATTGCCTTCAGGGTAGCCGGGTTGTAGTAGGCGGGGGAACCGGCAACGAAGAAGGTAGCCTTCTGGTTGTTAAGCTTGGCGAGAGCGGCCAACAGGTCGTTGGAGTTGGGGCTGTCAGGTGCGGCAGTGGGTCCATCGTCGTAGGTGAGCTGAAGAGAAAGGTAACAGGAGTTTAGAAGACTGCCAGGTGTGCACCTTGTAGAATGCAATATGAATACTTACACCCCATGTGTTGGCCGCAGTGCAAGTAGCAAGATCCACAGCCCTCCTGCATCCGGTACCTCCGTAGCAGTTGGTAGCCTGACCAGCCGCACCGCCGGGGTAGACGACGGTGCCGTTAGCGTTGATAGTCGACCTGTTTAGGGCGAGGATGGCCGGAGGGACAGCAGCGGTCACCCGCTTCATACCCTCAACGACCAAAGGAGCCTGCAAAAGAGCGGGGATGTTGATGGTGCCCTTTGTTTGGTCCGGGTCCGGCCACGAGGTGGGCATGTTGGGGTAGTTGACACCAGCAGCGACGGGGGCGTTGGCAGGGAGAGGACCGGCAACATGCGCAGGTTTGGCCGGGGCGGCCGGGGTGCCGGTGGCCTGGGCATGGACGGCCACGGCCGTGCTGAAAACAGCGAGAGCGAGACGGGGGAACATTTTCGGTCGATTGAGGCTGTAGTAGGGGTGAGAAAAAAGTGTGAGAATGTGAATAACAAGGGTCCTCGTGCGTTGGCCAAGGGAGGGAGAAGCACAGGTTGTTGTCTTGGTGATAGCAACTGTGGTAGCATATCCTTTAGGGTACTCTAGCAGCAACTCACCTGAGAATGTTCTGACAAATGGTTGTGTGGGGAATGTTGCGGGGGGGTTTGGCACAGTCTCCCCGTTTTATATGGATTTGCAGTTCATTTATAGTAGCTGTGGGATGGGGGAGGGGGGGATAAGTTGACCGCGCCCTCGTGCATGGCGCATTGGCGTGTTTTGCGGGGTTGTGTTTTGGTGCCACAGGAGTGATGCCTTCCGTTGGCCCCTGATTACGACTGCCGTGATTTGCGACGAAATGATTAGCAAAAAGATTAGCGAGCATGGCTTTTTCTGGTGCCAAGAACGTTGCCCTCCTTATCCAGCCTGTCGGGTCCCAATGAAAAGCGCAGCGTCAGGGCCTCACAGCGGCCTTGTGCCATGTTCGAAAATCCACTGGCACAGCCCCTTGCTTCTTTTTCGCGTTCGCCTCCATCCCGTGCCAAATGCCCGGTCCGCGGGCTGCGAATTCGGAATGTTCTGCAATCCGGGCATCCCGGTATCCATATTCATCAGGGTAAACTCCGCTTGCCTGTCAATTAATCGCAATTCGATTCTTGTTGTGGTCATGTCGGTGTGGGCGTCGTTGCTGCCCCGATATCACATCCCCATTATCTCGATTATTTTTTTTCAAAGCCTTATCAAAGAACGGCAAGAGCGATGGACGCTGTACAGTAACATGGTGACGCCTTTTAGTAAGCCATTGAAATGACGCATCGTGACCGCTCTTGAGCGTGAATTGGCGTTCAGCCGGCGGCGACGATCCGACGGTCAGTCGAAGTTGTTGGTGTATGGCACTATGAGATACGAAGATTGCGAACGCCGGATGTCGCTTTTTCTTGTTGTACGGTTCCGGGCCGGTACAGTATAACATGGTATTCATTAATAAGTCCAAAACACAGAAGTCCATTAAACTATAAACAAAAGCACAAAATCCCGTGGGTAAACAAAAAACAAGTCCTGAAAATTGAACATCTCATAGAAGGTCCCTCAAACTACCTCCCCCCTCCCCGGGTATCTAAACCTAATAGCCATCGACGCCAACATACTTATCCCACCAACCGCAGCGAGGATGAAAAAAGACGCATTGGGCATATTGGCAGCGGTAGCGGTGAAGATGGCGCTGAAGAGTTTGATGACGGCCATGAAGGATGTGGAGAGGAGCAGGTCGTAGACGGAGTTGACCATGCCGTAGGCTTCTTTTGGGGTGAGTTCGAAGACGATGTTGCGGATTTGGAGGGCGGCGAGGGAGCCGATGCAGTTGATCGGGATGACTAGGGGTAAAAACGGGAGGGTGTATTGTAAGCCAAGTGAACCATACCAAGAGGGAAAGAACGTTCCCCGAAACTTACTTGCAAACAACATCCACGACCGATCAGCAAAGGCAAACAAAAGGGAGTGCACGATGCAAAACGCAAAGTAGACCCGCACTTGCGTCAACGCCAATCTCATATTAAAGATCTTGTTGCGTGGGTCCTCCTCATCCACCTCCTCCCCGTCGCTCGCCTCCTGCGGATTCCCCGCGCCCACCCCCGCCGGCAAAGGCGCATACTCCAGCTCCCCACTCATCCGCCTCCTCAACCACCGATCAACGAACCCCAAAACAACCACGTTCGCAATCGCCCCCAATGCGCTATGTTCCATCGTATAGACGCTGTTCTCCCACGTCGTCCATCCAAACACCTTGGCTGTGTAGAACGGTAACAGGAATGTGGGCACGTTCCGTTCCGTCGAGGAGGCGATGGCGGCGAAGACGACGAGAAGGGGGATGCGGCTGAGGTTCCTTTTGTAGGCAAGGAGGAGGTTGGTGAGGCGTTTGCACAGGGGTTCCCGGGCGGTGGGGGTGGTGGTGGGGTCGGCGATGTCCACGGGTTTGGTTTCGGGGACGAAGAGAATGTAGAATAGTGAGGTTATGATGGCGCCGACTGTCGACATAGCGAAGGCTAGCTCGAAGGATGAGGTATACTGCGGCGATATGAGTTGAAGGTGAGTTGATTGCAAGCAGGGACTGAGGTTGATGTGTGGACGAGAAAAGCATCGTCCTTTCTCACCTTGACGACTGCACCGCCGATAAATGTTCCCAGGAGCATCCCCACCATCGCGACTCCGTTCAATATGCCCAAGTTTCTAGATCTCTCATCCGCCTAATGTAAGAAGGCCTCGGATGAGTTTTCGGCGACTTCCAAGCAGATCGAAAGGTGGACACTAACCGGCGAGATGTCGGCAATCGAAGCTACGATCACCATGAGCGGCACCGCAACACCTCCACAGATCCCCAACGAGAACTTCCCCGCCGCCAGCACCACCAACCCAAACGTCTTGGACCTTAACACAAACATCTGGGACGCGCAGTCCAGAATCATGCCCAGCATCCACACCATCACGACCTTTTTGCGCCCATAGGTGTCTGACAGGTGACCTGCGATCAAGGTCGTTATGAGGGATGGGAGGACGACTAGTGTGACGAGGAGGGACCCGAACTCGGATGCGGGGCCCACGATGGCGGGTAAGGTGCAGTCGGTGGTTTCGGTGCCTTCCGTTGCGTAATAGTCATCTTTGAAACATTTTTCGAATGTGAGTACCTCTAGTCATGATGGGAAAAGGCAGATCTGACACATTGACGGACCGCAAAATCGCTTCATGATAGCCTGATCCAGCACCTGGCTAGAGATCGCAATAGCGAAATTGATGAGACCCGCAGTAATGGAAATGAGTGCCACAATCCTCTTGCTGTCTGGGTACGCATTTGCCGGTGGGTCTTTGTCCAAGTCCAGGAGCCGTTCTTGTTCAAGAAGGTGGCTGGTCTCCATTGGGCCGTCAACGTCGCCCATGTCTAGACCGGTTGTCGGGTGCCAACGCCCAACGGAAGGTGGCGGTTCACGGTGTGAAAGTCGCTCGTGCTCGCCAAGAGGGGCAGTCCCCGCCGAGTCCTCAGAGTATGGCATTGTGGGTGGGTGGTAATAGTGTGCTGTATTGTAGTTTGAAATTGCTTCTCCCAAATGCCACTCCCGCCTTATATACAGTACGCCGTTGCGTACTCCAACAAACGCAGTGGTAAGGGAAGGAAAGGAGTCTACAGTAAGACCAAGAAAGCACCCCCACGAGACAGAGGGTATCGACACTATCTATGTTATGTATGTACAGTACTATGTGCAGGGAGCGTGTGAAAAGGGCACGAAGGTTGTCGGTTGAGGTGTTCGTGGGAGGCCATGAAGCGCCAAGCAGAGCGTCGTGGGAGGACAGCGCGAGAACAAACGTCATCAGCCAAGTTCCAGCGCCCACCCATTGGGACCCAACCTTACTGTCACCCAACCCTACTGTCGTAGTAGGAAAGGCAACCGTCCGCTTATCGCACTTCGCACTGCGCAAATCATTCCTTTAATCTTGATCGCGAGCACGTGATGTACCGCTTTTAAAGACCTGGACTTCCTGAGAGCGGCCTTCCTGGTTCGCTGCCCAATGGAAGATCAAAACAGGCCGGGAGCTACAGTATCGACAGTAAGTTTGCGAGCCGGCGGGTTGGTTCAGCAAAGTACGCGTGGGCAGGTGCTGATGATGGTGGCGATCTTGGATGGTGGGAACGGTGGGAGTGGCATCGGTATGTGGCGGGCGCATCTGGGGTGAATGTGACCATACAAATGACTCCTACGGGATTCCATCGTTTGGGGGAGGATATAGCAAACCTGAAAAGTCCCGGAAACGACGTCGAGGGGAAGAAGATTTTATTAGCAACAGAGGCCCGCTCGCGGATGGATTCGACTGAACGACGCCATTCGGACGAAGTTGCGTATTTCACCATGGCTATTTTTTGAAGTCTTTAGGGAGCAGTGAAGGCCGGATTTAGAGAGAAGGCGGGAGATTGGGATTGCCCAATGAAGACAACAACGAACCATTGCTCCAATTCAACTTCAAATGACTTCACATTGAATACACTCTTGACATATCCGGGCTTACAGATTATGATTCGGTGAGCTTTTCTTCCTTGCCCGTGTACAATAATCTTTTCTTTTTTTTCCTGAATAAGGTGGCGCTAGTGACATGGAGCCGAAGCAAAATCCACAACGTTCGTCGCACTTTCAGAAGTTCAGGAACATCATGGTCGAAGGACAGAAGGAGGCAACAAAACGAGCACACTAGCAAACGTCTTATTTGCGAACAAAACTCTTATGGTACAAAGACATCAACAACATACAACATCGAGAAAAACGAAACGACAAATGTCTAGATGGGCAAACGGGACTACACTACGTTGACCACCATTCTTCATTACCAAGGTCTGCTTACTTCTAGAGTTAAAAACGGACGGAAGTGGGCGGTTAGGAAAATGTCGCGGCCGTGTGATGAAAACGAGATGTTACAGCTCACCATCGCTACTCGTGTCGACACGGTCAGCATATCTTAATGTGCAGCCCCACCGCCACCGCCAGCACCGAACGGGGCCCCGCCGCCACCGAAGAGACCGCCTCCGCCGGGAGCAAAGATGCCTGTGCCGCCACCAAATCCGTCGGGTCCAAAGTCTATGGCAGGGGCAGGAGCAGCACCACCGGGAGCAGCACCTCCGGGAGCAGCACCACCGGGTCCGCCTACGGGTGCGCCACCGGGTCCGCCAGGCCCACCTTCGGGTGCGGGAGGACCTCCGGGTCCAGGTGCAGGTCCGGGTCCACCAGGTCCACCGGGCCCCCCTTCAGGTGCAGGATGATCTCCGAAACCAGGTGCAGGTCCAGGTCCGTCAGGTCCGGCATGGGGAGCACCTCCATCGAATCCGCCGGGAGCACCACCAGGTCCACCGGGTCCGCCAGGCCCACCTTCGGGTGCAGGAGGACCTCCGGGTCCAGGTGCAGGATGATCTCCGGGTCCAGGTGCAGGATGATCTTCGGGTCCAGGCGCAGGATGATCTCCGGGTCCAGGTGCAGGTCCAGGTCCGCCAGGTCCGTCAGGGGGAGCAGCGCCGGAGCCGGGCATATGAGGAGCAGGAGCGGGGCCAGGGCCAGGAGCAGGAGGACCGCCTGCGTCAGGGCCGGGAGGTAGGGGAGGACCACCTGCGTCAGGACCGGGAGCTGGGGCGGGAGCAGGGGGAGCGCCTGCATCGGGGCCAGGGGCGGGAGGAGCATCGGGTGCGGGTGCCGGTGCTGGGATAGCGGGAGGAGGCGGAGGAGCATCGGCCGGAGGAGCTGGAGCGTCGGCGGAAGGAGCATCGGGCGGAGGAGCCGGAGCGTCGGCGGGAGGAGCATCGGGCGGTGGAGCTGGCGCGTCGGCGGGAGGAGCAGGAGCTGGAACGTCGGGAGCGGGAGTTCCAGCGGCTTGAATATGCGCCGTAACTGCTGCAATCGCCGCGTCATCCTTCTTGACATCGGCGTCCTCGGCTTTCTTGGTGGGCGTGGGCGTGGTAGTTACGGTCGCTGTGGTGCCTGCCATCGTCGCGGTCGTTGTGATTCTCTTCGGTTCGCCGGCGACGCCCGCGACGGGATATTGGGGGAGACCCTGCGATTGGAAGAATGAAGGAAGTCAGTCAGTCAGTCATCAGTAAAGGCGGACGTAGGGAAGCGAATCCACATGGACAGGTGGGTGCTCTCACCGAAACCGTGGTAGCCGCCAGGACGACTAACGCCGGGACGAGTATGAAGGTTGCGAACCGCATGGTGAAGTATCAAGCTTTCACCAGAATTCTTGCTCGTTGTTTGTTGGCCGCCGATCGGGGATACTGTTTTGAAGTTCCGCAGACGGAATGAGCGATGTGATGTGGTGTGCTGTTGGGAAGGGACAGATGGCTCGGGACCTCACCTTTTTATAAACCTGAGACCGAAGGATCTGGGCGAGGGAAAGGACGGCAAACTCGGGAATGAAGAGGGGCTGAGGCGCTGGCGGGTGGAGAGAGCAAGAAAACGTATAGGCATGGAGCGTGGAGAAGATCTGTGAAGTTCGCTCCGCAAATAGATCACCAACGAGCAATACCAAGATACGCTGGGCATTTCTCTCTCTTTTTTCCTCATGCCTTTTTTCGGATTGGGGATGTTCTTGCATGCGGCGATGCATGCGGCGATGATCTTGCTCTCCAGATTTTGATAGACCCAAAAGAAAATGAGAAAAGCCCCGTTTTTGCATGGCCTTGTGATTTCATTTCGAATGCATCGACTTGACGTATCATGTCAAATAGATGAGTGCATGTGGAGAGCAGATTGCAAAGTAATGTACTGTAGATGTCAAAAAAACAAGGCTGTGGGGGTCATTCAAGATTATGGGGGCAGGTACCGCTTCCTTTCTCGTTCGCCAAGACCGGTGATGTGCTCTCGGGCTGCTCCGCACTGGTACATAGGTGTCCAATCTTACCTGGAGGGGCAGGCGTCTGCAAAGGGAAGGGCAGAATTGAGCGGAGTGAGTGGGGGTATTGCCCAGGCATTTCGACAGCGCGATCTCGTCGAGTTCGACTGACTGCTTGCCCGTGGTTGAGAGATTTCGGCGATCTCGTTGAAAGTCTTCCGTCAAGGCACCCCGAAGAGGGAAGACCCCAACCGCATCGGAAGAAACAGAAATAGCATATCTGTTTTGCATACTGGCACAATATATTTCATCATTTACAACACTATACGTCTTTTTGTAAATCACAACAGTCGAACCGCAGCGTCTCCGCATGCTGCGAAACTAAGCTTCCCAACATCCCCATGTAAACGGTAAGAAGACACACAGCCGGAAAACCAAAGATATACAGGGAAAAACACACTAAGTACGCGGGATACATAACGAGTCACGTCAAGGTGGATGGCCGAAGGCGAGGTTATTTCAGGCGGCCGAAACGGAAACGGTGTTGGTTGCGGAGAATGGACGGTGGCGTATTTCACATACGTTGATGGTTCAAGCGCCGAGGATGTTGCGGACGCCTGTTGCGTAATCACCGTTGAGTGCGGCGGTCTTGACTTCCCATAGCATGACTCCACCTGGCATTAACAGAGATTGATAAGTCCACCGATGCCCACCGCAGCGGAAATAGTCGCACAAAGGCTCAACCTACCAAACCGCGCAGAATAGCTCGTCTTCCACGCCTTCACAATATTTGCAATACTCGGCGTCGTTGCACCCGCCGCCGTCAACGGGACGTAGCTGCTCGCGGACGCGGCTGATATCGATGCGGGTGCGCCGACGAGGAGGCCGACGTTGGGGTTGACGGAGACAGTGTTTGCCCAATTGTACCAGAAGGTGACGGCGTCGCTCCAGGCGGAGGTTGGGAAGGCTGAGTTGCCGCATCTGGGGGAGAGGAGAAAGTTGTGTGTGTGAGGTTATGCAAGGACGGAAGGATGGGATGTGGTGAGGAGACTTACGCATTGTTGTACCACTGAATGTTGAGCCAGTCGAAGTATCCCTTTGCGTATGCGGTGTTTTGCAGTACGTCGGGGAAGAAGCATTGTGGGGCAGCTAAAATGGAACGGAAGAGATGAGGATCGGAAACCCTTGGTTACGCGAAAGAGAGGAATAGCAACTCACCAGTGGCGTAGAATTTCCTTCCACTCGCATTCATCAGACTGGTAATCTTGGGCATGAAGATATCATACCCATAATCGCTCCCCCCCTCAACATCCAAGTCAAACCCATCGAGCACCACATCCTTTCCAAACGGCCTGTCGAACGTCGCATCCGTGCCGCCAAGGAACATATTCCACAACGCATTCGTAAACCGGTCGATATCCGCCGCATCTGTGAACCCCACCGACGCCAGCCCGCCGCCGAGGGATAGGATGACGACTTTCCCCAGGGCCTGGCATTTCTTGATGGCGGTGCCGACCTGCGGGCAGGAGAGGACGGTGCTGCCCGGAAAGGCTTCGCCGCAGTGGGAGGAGAGGTTGATGTCGATGGTGTTTTCGGTGTTGCGGAAGACGTTGGCGAAGGCGACGTTGATGACGTCGTAGGGGCCGTTGCAGTAGTCGTCGATTTCGAGTTCGTCGCCTGATGTGCCGCTGAGAGGGGGAAAATGGAAGTTAGGACGTTGCAATGAACGAATTTGGTAACGAGTAGAAATGTGCTTACAATGGCGTGTTTTGTCCCCAGTACCCAACCAAAAGCTTTCCAGCCTTGAGTTTGGCGAGAGCGGTAGCAGTGTTACCCGGGGTGGGTCCAGTCACGGGGGTAGCAACGGCCGACGGTGTAGTCCTTGGGGTAGAAGTCGTAGTGGGAGGCGTGCCAACGGACGGGCCATTATCAATCTGCGTAGCCGGTGCAGCAGTTGGTGTGGTGGCGGGAGCAGCCACCGGAGTCGACGGAACACTCGGGGTCGGTACAGCCACGGGCGTGTCGACAGGGATTTCAGACGGCGTGCTCACCGAATCTGACGAGCCTCCAACCATCTGCAACGCGAATTCGGGCGTCTCGAGATTAGCCGTCGTCAGCCCATCGTCCATATCCGCGCAGAATCCAGTGGTCTTGCTGCTTCCCGGCACGATCTTGTCGTTCCACTCGGCGGGTGTGACGGTGTATGTTTGACCGTCGCCGTCCGCGTCTTCGGTGTAGTCGCCGCTCCAGCTGTTCACAAGGTTTGCGCCGGTTGGTAGGGTGATGTGCAGGGTCCATGTGGAGGAGACGATGGTGGCGGGGTTGACGAGTTGGATGTGCGTGCAGAATCCTGTGTCCCAGATCTTTAGCGTGAAATCAACAGATCCTGTCCATGTGCTTTGACCTAGAATGAGATAGTTGTGCGATCAGCGTTTCATTCACGTGTACATATTCACATTTCACTCCGAAAGAGGAGCAGTTTCTCGTGCTCACCAGCCAGTCCAGTCGGCTGAAGAAAGTTCATCGCGACTTCACGCGTTATGCCCTGCCGATACACCCGCGATTCCCATCGGTTGGTGGCTGACTCTGGCGCGGCGAAGAATCGAGCAAACGGGCGCGCGAATGGCGACCGGAATGATGGAGCAGCGGACGCGTACGTTGCGCATAGCGCTAAAAGGAGTAGTGTCGTCGTGAACTGCATCTTGATAGCTCTTATGAGCGGTGGATAGATCAAAGTTTAGGGAAAGGACCTCAAGCGAAGATTGAGTGAACGGACGATAGGAGGATAGGCACGGTGTGTTCACGCTGCAATCTTGCTCGATGCAGAAAAATCTCAGAGAGGATGGGGAATGACCGCCGCTCTTTTATGCAGGGGTGCTTGGACACGAAGGTATGCAAGAAAAATGGAGGCAAAAGTGAACGATGTAGCGACGTGCTCTACTCCGAGCAAACCATGCATTGCGCGGGTATAGAAGGGCCACCATGCCAAGGACCCAAAAGAATCCCGCCCGCATCACGTTCTGGGTGCCCGCATCAGCAAAAAGATCTTTTCTGGTTGGGTAAGGATATCGCATCATAGTAGCCAGCTCGGTTTCCCTGTGCAGAAGCAGCCGGGGTCTGGATTCTGGCGGCAACTTTAAACCAAAGCTAAAGCTGAGTAAGCTGGGGCTACGTTTTAAGCTTACACTTGTTACCTTGGGAATGCTTCCGGCCGGGGCAGCATGTCGAGAAGAACTTTAACCTTGTGCAGTTACGAGTTGCTCGTAAGCTCGTTCGAAGGGGCCCCGGTCAACAGGATGGAACCTCAGAATCTCCGATTGTCCACGTCAGCTGGCGTTCCTCTCGTAAGCAGCTACCACGCGTTTTGACCCGAAACTCGACTTCAAACCAAAGGACCTAGACCTCCACAGTCACGAATGCATAGCAGTGCTCTGGCGAGGGAAGAAAAGTTCATTCTGAGTCCTGCACATGGCGGGAAAAACGCAAAGAGTCAACACTCATGCTCTCGCTCTCGCGATGGAGCCGACCATTTCAGCCTCCACCATCTCCGTGCGTTGAGCAGAGGCAGGTAAGAGTGTCGTCACTGGACCTCTCCACAGGTACGCATACGGCAGACATTTCAGGGCTAGGGATTGAATCGACGGATACGAGACTGGAAAGTGGGGATGGTTCAATGAGGATCATCAATGCTATCAGGGGAAGTCATGGAACCCAGGTGGAGAGAAGTCAGCAAGGTCCGCCGTCAGAGGTGGGACCGTCAAAAAAGACGAACGGCGTGCGGTCGGAATGCTAAGATAGGAGCGCAATCCCGCGAATCAGCGAAATCTGCAAAGCGATGAAAATGTCGAGGAAGGAATCCCATCAAGCAAAGCAAATGGCAATCAAATCGCCCCGCAAGCGACTGGCACTGGACGACGTCGCTTTCTGCAGCCTAGCTGTCATTTACGGATTGTTCATCGTCACCGCTCCGATTGCGTTGACTTTAGCGCTCAGCGAAGCTACTCATGCCATCTTGCACATCAAGGTTCTCTTCGGCCTGGGAACGCAGTACACGGCCAAGGAATTGGAAAGCCGTCGATACTATTTCATCAGCGATCTCTTCTCGGCGCTGCTGGCGTTCATCGTCATCAAAGATCAGGGGTTGGCTCCAAGTTCCATGTGGGAGAACGTGCTAGCGATGTTAGAGGCGGGCCATTTTCTGCTCCACTTGGTCTACATCACTTTGTGGGATAGTGATTGCTCGCTTGTGAAGAGGATTAGGGAATGGAGTGCCGAGCCGTCTCTCAGGTGTTGATGGGAAATGCAAGGGGTCTCGCATTGGGTTCAGAGCGTTGGGACGGCGTATGATGTTGTGACGCATCTAGCGTTGTGCAGTACTGTGTTTGCGAAGTATTTGCTGTATATGTAGCGAGTGGATCGGGGATATCTGGCCGTAGCTTCTATGAGTTCTTCGGAGAGGTTCATGAGCAATCTGAAAAGCAACGTCCACATTCCATCGAGACTGTGAGATTCCTGTGGATCGCGCATGTCCGATCGCAGCGCGTAATGAGCATGAGTCACGACGCGCTCCGAGTTCAATTCTCCGCTTCCCCAAGTGAGCCCTGTGTGTCCTCAAAAGGGCAACCTCGTTCGCTGCACCAACAACCCTCCCCAAGCCAGAGAACCAACTCCGAGTTGAGAGCCCTCCTCGTTCGAACCTCAGAACTCAAAAAAAGAAACTGCTTCGTCGTCGTCGTCATCCGCCCCCGCTCCTTATCACCTCCTTGCTCGGCATAACCATCTACTATGGTCGCGCTCTCCAACATCTACGAGCCGCTCCTCGACCAAGGCTACCTGCCCGACTTTATCACCCGCAGAGGTATCAGACACCTCCTGGGCCGCAAGGTTGCGCAAGTATCCGCTGTTACACCTGCTGAGAAGGAAGAATACATCAAGTCCTTGAAGGAAAAGGAAGCGATTGCGATAAACACGAAAGAAGCGAACGAGCAGCACTATGAGGTGCCTTCGGAGTTTTTTACTATGTGTTTGGGCAAGAACTTGAAGTATAGTTGTTGTCTGTTTGAGGATGGTGAGCGTCCGAGCGTAGGGAGGGTCTGTCTAGCGAGTTTGAGTGCGGCGAGGCCAAACGAAGCGAGGCCGAGCTTACTGGGCCGGAGGCCTTGGATTGCGGATCACACACCAGCTCAATATCCTTCTCGCGAGCGGCGCGAGCAGGGTATCGTTCAACCATCCGCTCCATGTTGGTTGAATTGTTGATGGTTGATGCGTTGATGGGCTGATGGGTGGAAGGTTGATATTCATCGGTCGATGGTAGATGGTCGATGGGTTGGATGGGTTGATGATGGTCGATGGGTCGATGGTTGACTAATCTTTGCTTCGGCAGGAGCCACAACGTTGGATGAGGCAGAGGACAAGATGTTGGAACTGTACATTGCACGCGCCGGGATGGAAGATGGGATGTCTGTCCTCGATGTCGGCTGTGGTTGGGGAAGCTTGTCTCTGTTCCTCGCAAAGGTATGGCATACACATGGAGACGTTCCATCAGCAGAAGTAGTAGTTTCCGATTGTTCTAAATCAACATTTTCGAAAACATCGACAGCGCTTCCCAAACTCGAAAATCACGGGCGTGTCCAATTCAGCCAGTCAACGCGAATGGATCATGAAGATGGCCGCTGAGCGAGGGTTGACCAACGTCGAGATCTTGACTGCTGACATGAACACCTTCGAGATGGACAGGACGTGAGTTTTGAAAATGCGATTCATCACCCATTGTCGAAAGCGCAACGGGGTCCTTATTATGATCCTCCCCACACGCCCAGCTTCGACCGAATCTTCTCCATCGAAATGTTCGAACACATGAAAAACTACTCCGCCCTCCTCCGCAAAATCTCCCACTGGATCACCCCCACCACAGGCCGTCTCTTCGTCCACGTCTTTGCACACCACTCCACCCCCTACGACTTCAAAACCCAAGATGACAACTCCTGGATGGCAAAGTACTTCTTCACGGGCGGGACCATGCCGTGCGAGGATCTGTTTACGTATTTCCAGGAGGATGTGGAGGTTGTGGAGCGGTGGACGGTGAATGGGAGGAATTATGCGAGGACGAGTGAGGAGTGGTTGAAGCTTTTGGATGGGAATAGGGAGAGGGCGATGAAGGTTCTCGAGGGGGGTTATGGGAGTGCGCAGGCGGCGAGGATGTGGTTTAATCGGTGGAGGGTGTTTTACCTTGCTGTTGCGGTGAGTTGGTCCTGTGGCCGTGGTGTCCTCCTGTGCTCATGTATTGGAGACTGATCTGGCTTGACCTGCTTTCAGGAAACGTTCGGCTACAACGACGGGAATGAATGGCCCGTCGTGCACTACCTGTTCAAACGCAGAGAGTAGATATGTAGACTGCTTGAGTTATTGCTACACCCCCTTGCTTATTCGCGGCGTACTATGAGATCACTCTTAGCAACATATACATAGTCTCCCACACCGCGATCCCCTTAACATAGAGACTGTCCCAAAAGAGCCATGTGGGACCAAGGTGCATGCTGTTGACCAAAAAGATTCCTCAGACCCAAAACGGGGTCCGTGATGACCCTTGAATACTTGCCCAAAAACGTTCATTCACACAGAAGGCGCATCAACACCCGCCTCAGGCACATCCTCCCCAACAATCTTCGCATCCTCTTCCCCCGCCGTCGAACACGTCGTCGCAGCACCGACAGCGGTGTGTGCGGCCGCTAAATGTGCATCAGTAGGGGCGTCATTGATGCTTCCGGGCTCATCAACCGTCCCGTCGCTACCTGCGAGTTTCAGCAGGAGCTCGGCGAAGAGGGAGTTTGCCCACGCGAACCTATTGATTCCATATGTGCGGTCAGTATGTTTGCATTTCACAACATCAACAAAGGAAAGCGCATCTCCTCTCCTCCCATCTTACCAAGGCCTCGTAAACTTCTGCACATCATCCATGAAAAAACTCTCATGCATAAACCCCGTCCCCGCCGTCGACTTGACCAGTATCTCCACACACGCCTGCACCTCCGGGTCCGAACCCAAATCCTCCGTCGCTGTCGTCAGTGCCTATGACGCCACGAGAGGCCATTCAACATGTTTGCGTCATCCATCTCAATACCCACGATTTGAAAATCCATACCTGAACAACAATCCCCATAGGCCAAATCCACCCAAGCCCCACATGCGGCCCCCCGACGCCCTTGCCCGCGCTGCCGGAGAAATAATAAGGGTTCGAGTCGGAAAGGATGAAGGTGCGCGTGCGGAGGTAGTCCGGGTCTGTGGCGGGGAGGAAGCCGAGGTAGGGGAGGGAGAGGAGGGAGGGAATGTTTGCGTCCTGTTACGTATGGGAGTGGGTGTGTGAGTGGTCGGGAAGGAAGAATGGATTATTGGGGGATGATGGCAACTTACATCCATGAACAACGCGTTGCCGAACCCATCAACCTCATACGCAAACACCTTCCCGAAACGGGGATGTTCCACCAGCGCATGTTTATATATCGCCTCTTTCACTTCGCTCGCGAGGCTGTTTGCTTCTTCCGCGAGGGATTTGTAACTTCTCGTTTGTGATGATGACGGGGTTGCAGAGTCGGCTTCGAGGGATGTGAGGAGTGCGGAGAGTTTCTGGAGCTCGACGACGGCCATGGCGTTGGCGGGGACGAGGAAGGGGTAGGTGGAGGCGTCGTCCGAGGGGCGAAAGGGGGATTTTATCAGGCCTGGAAGGATAAAGTCGAGGGAACGATGAGGATCTGGGTAGGAATCGTGATAAACGCGGCTCCTCATGGTACGCACCACATCGTTTAGCAGGCGGCCCCCTCCCATCCAACATCAACGTATCAATCGGCACATTCCCCACCCTCACAAACGAATAAGCCGGCTCTTCCAACTCCTCCAACGTGCCCCTCTGCTGCACCCTCATCACCCCCAACACCGCATCCACCGCCGTTGTCCACTCCCCATCCGCAAACGACGTGTCGCGCGTCACCTCGTAGTACCGGTTCGACAGCTTCAGGAAAGCGCACAGGCTGTCGAGCTCGTATTTGCCTTCCCAAGCTAGCGAGGAGAGTTTGGGGTGCACGAGGTCTTTGTCCCATTCGCCCCATTGGTGGCGGGATTTTTTGAAGGCGTTCGCGTAGATGTCGGTGTTTAGGCAGCGGGTTTGACGCGCTATGAGGCCGAGGAGCATGTGCCGGATGGGGGCCTGCGTTTTGGCGAGAGGGAGGTATGGGTTCACTTGGTTCGTCGAGTCTCTTAACCTACACAAGAAAAAAGCGAAAAAAAACAAGTCCGCCATCAGGATTCGAACTGCCCTCCAATGACTTTCGCTGAGAGACGAAATGTGCTGTTGGGTATCGACCGTCAACTCGCCTGCCTCAAGCATTCCTGCTCCTCGCTTCGCTCGGCGCAGTCCGCATTCGCTCCAGGTCGCAGGCTCCCTTGCGCGAATCAAGCGCTCGCTCACGCTCGCGGTACTCACCACATAGCCGGAATATCTCCCGTGATGACAAAAGTATCATCGCCTTGTCTATTGCCCCCCTCAATCTCCACCTCAGTATGGACCACCGTCGTATCCAGAGTATTGGGATAACAAAGTTCAAATAGATCGGCCAATTCACTCCTTCCCTTCTCCTCAAACACCCTTTTAACACGCTCAATAACATTCTCGACGGCGAGACTACTGAACTTGCGCTTATCGAGTGGAGGCCGCGAGGGTCGCAGCTTCGAGACCATATGGGATTGAAGTGCACTGTCTATGCTGTCGGAGGAGAGACCTGTAGGTGACTTTGGGTTGAAGGAGGTTGTGAAGGCCTGTGAGAAGGCGGCTTTGAGTTTGTCCATCGTGGTGCCGGGTGGGCGCGTTCTTTTGGATCTGAGGGAAGATGGGTGATAGATGGGGGTTGAGTGACACCGGGGCGAATGCGAAATGGGGTTGCAGGCAGGCTTGGAATCAGCCGGCGGGTGCGCTCGTTGTCGTTGTTGAGGTATGCGTTGCCGAGAGTTTCCTTTGTGTTCTGCGATGCTGCTGCAAGTGCAGGCACCTTGAGGCGAGGGGTGGTTTGGGGGTTACGCGGAAGGAGCTTGCTTGCCGCGTACTGTACAGTATACAAGGAGAGAAAAGACAGCAAATAAAGCGCATCTTGCCACGTGATGCATCGGGGTGTTTATATGCGCCGTCTGCTTTTCCGGTCTGGGGAGCGCCCACGTCACCACCCGTCGCCCACAGTGGTTGCTGGACCTGCCGTCTCGAGGCCCCATTCGTCCTATGAGGAGGAGGGTGATCTGCGTTTGCCAAAAGCTGTCGGAAATATCCAGCTACTGTATCTAAACGTCCACCTCTTTCGTTATCCAAGCACAACGCAGCAGGGTCTGTTCACAATGTCGTCGAAAGAACCGATAACCTCCATATCGGTTCCCACCGCCACCAACCAAACTGCTCCCACCCCGCACACCACCTACACCGTCTCTCTTCGCGGCACCAACGGCCGAACATGGACGACGAACAAACGATACTCGGAGTTTGCGGCCTTATTTGCGGCCCTCGTTGCTGACCTAGGTCAGCCGCCAGCAGGCATCGTTCTCCCGCCAAAGCACTTTTCGATATTTGGATCGACCATGACAGACCCGGTCAAGATTGAAGAGAGGCGGAGAGGCCTCGAGGCGTTCTTGAGAAGCATCCTGTACTGTAACGATCCAAAATGGAGACGGACGGGCGCGTGGATGAGCTTTTTGGGGATTGGAGGCGAAAGCGCCGACGCCGGGAGCGTCAACGGAACCCATTCCCGGACGTCTTCCATTGCCTCATCAACCTCCACGCTCCTCAATCCCAACACCTCCTTCACTCCCGCCGAATGGATGACCGAATACCACGCCCTCAAGTCGCTCACTAGGGACATTCGCGCCCATGTCACGACGCGAGATCGCTGTGCCGCTGCTGGCGACGTCCAAGGCGCTCAGAGCGCCGGCGTCGCAGGCAAACAGGGGTTGAGGGGCCTCGAGTCTCGAACGGACGCGTTAGAAAAGTCGTTAACCGTACATTCAACTACATCCTTACCATCAGAAAAGTTGGCAAAAGGAGAACTCATGCGTCGACAGGATCTGTTGGGAGGTTTGGTGGGAGAGATAGAGGGAATCGCGCGGTCTCTCTCGTCGTTCGCCATGTCATCGGCGGCCTCGAGTAGGAACCCACTTGTGGGTGATCCCAGCAGAGGCAATGCGGGCCTCACTCCACAACAAGCGCTCGATCGTCAGTCCCTCCTCTCCTCACCCTCCAGCTCCCGCCGCTTCGGCACGCATTCCGCATCAACGGCAACAGCGTCATCCGCAGATCCACAACAACTACTACTCCAACAAAAAGACATAATGACCACGCAAGACGACGCGCTGGACTCGCTATCAGGGATCATCAGGCGGCAGAAAGAAATCGGGGTCGCTATCGGCCACGAGCTGGATCTGCAGAATGGTCTGTTGGGTGAAGTGGATGAGCAGGTCGATAGGGTGCAGAGCCGGCTGAAAGGGACGGGGAAGAAGCTGGATAAGGTCCTGAAGGGCTGAACGCCGCGGTCGTCGGAAACTTTCGAACCAATTGTAATATACTAGTTTTGTCAATGGCTATTACACAGACAATAAGCATTAGATACAGAAATGTGGATAAAAATCGTCCCCGCCGCCTATTGAACGGGGTCAGTCTCATCAGCAATATCCCACAACCCCTGCCCTTTATTCCGTTTCCGGCTCACCGGCCGGTCACCCTCCGCTCCCGTCTCCCCACCCTCCTTCGACTCGGCCAGCGCCATCAACTGTTTAAGCCACTCCAGCAGCGCCAGCGCGCCTGTGGACGCGGGTGTGCGGGTGCCGCTTTTTGCGCTGCTTGGTTTGGGACTTGGTGGCCTCGTCATCTGGAACGAGCGGCAGATGATCTGGTGGGAGGGGAGAGGGAGTGGAATGCCAAAGATTTGGAGGAGTGTTGAACGTGTTTCTGGGGTGTACTCGGGGATCGGAAGCTGATGAACGGGATGGAGAGGCGAACGTTTCCAATTAGCATATTCCCTAACTGCATCATCCAGCCTCACAGACATTCCAAATACAAACCTCCTCATCAACCCCAAACAAGATCCTCACAGTCCCCAACACATTCGCCCAAATCTCCCCCGTCTCCACCTCGAACCCCTCCTCACCGTCGTCCCCATCACCCAACACCTCCAATTTCCGCATAATCCCGCCGACAGTCTGTAGTTTCGCACCCGGAACCGACATAACGTGCGCAATCAGCGACGCGCTTAAACCGCCTGATGTGCCGGAGCGGGAGGAGGAGGGTTTGGATCCGGGGGAGGTTTTCTTGCCCTTCGCGCTCCCGCCGCGGCGGGCCATGAATGTGAATACGCCGACGATGTCGGATTCTTTCACGTCTTTCGTCTTCCCATCTTCTCGCGTCGCAGTGTCAGCGGGCAACCACGTAAATGTCAACGCATCGCTCTTGACGCCCTCCGATGTGAACTGCGGAACACGCGTCGGTACATTTTCTATAACCGACACATTGCTATCGGTGACGCACATCTCTGCCGTGTACGCGTTGCTGTGGGATTGCTCGGCCATCAAAGCGTGCGCGCGGTGGAGACGGCTTGCGATGCTGAATTGATAGGGGTCGGGGGTACCCCGGATGAGGAAGGCATGGCGGTGGAGGGTGGTGATGTAGGTTATTAGATCGGTGGTTTTGAGCTTGGTGTCGGTTGGTGGTGGTGAGGCGGCAAGGCCGGCGCCGATTATCTCCGAGGGGAGGGTGGGTGATAGGAGGGAAACTGCGTTGCTCAGGCTGTCTGGTTGTGCCCCCGTCTGCGTCGCTGCCCAATGATGATACTCCCTCACTGTCAACCCCGCCGCCTCATGCACCTTCACATTCCCCCCCTCCACCACCAAACTCCCTCGCTCAACCCCCTCCCTAATAACCCCGCATCTCCCCGCCTGCGACCCCAACACCGCCACCGTCGTCCTCATATCCTCGTTTATCTGCCCCCTCGCGCGCTCCGCGTACAGCCGTAATAGACCCAGTAAGGTTTCCTGGAGCGGTTGGTGGCGGTACTCGCCCTCGGTGGTGAGGGCCTTGAGGAGGGTGGTGTAATTGGTGACGAGTGTTTCCCATGGTACGGGCTTCTGCAATCTTGCCGCGGCCGTCACGGTCGCTTTGGCTAATGCGAGGAAGGTGGTGCATGTGGAGGGGAGGTTGACGAGGTATTGGACTGACGTGCACGCGGTGTCGACGAGGTCTGCGGCTTGGGTGACGTCTCCTCCGGGAAGTTTGAGTATGGATAAGGCCCGCTTGGCTTGGATGACGGCTAGATGCGGGATGCTGCCGCTGTAGCCTGACGGGCGGGTCGTCGTGTACGCAGGGATACGTTTGAGATGCTCTTCAGCTTTCGTGTAGGCTTTGGTGATGCGGTTGAGGTCGTTCGATTCGATTGCGTCCAATGAATCGCCGAGGGCCTCCCAACCCCGTGCTAGGATTCGTTCACAGCCATACCGTGAGCCTGCGGTCGTTAGATCGTTCTCAAACTGTGTCAGCTTCTCAGCGAAGGCATCGTCCTCGGCGTTTGCCCCGGACGCCACGATGCTGTGCCGTTCGGCCGACAAGACCAGATTTGCGAATTCTAGTTTAAAGGGGGTTGAACTGAGCGATTTCGCGGATGTGATTGCTGATTCGCCGATTAGGATTACTGTTGTGAAGTTTCCGTCCATGAGTGATGTTGTGAGAATCTGATCGGTCGTGTGGAGTTGCCACCAGTGGTCTACGCGATGCGGGGAGAATTTGCTTGCCTGCTCGAGTGTTGTGATGATCGATGAGAAGCTGTGCATGGTGGAAGACGGTGGTGAGAGGTGAATCACATAAGGCCAACGTACGAAAAAAGCCTACCATTTCATGGCCATGCCAAGGTTCCATCTCAGGAGATGCACCTGTCCCGCTAACGACGCACATTCGACTAAAAGATGAAACCGAGCCCAATCATGCACCAACTTCTCGCTCGGATCGAGATCCGCCATCACTTTCGCCAAAACCGCATCAACACGAAACAGAACCGAGTTGAGTAAAGCCTGCGCATCCCGCTTCGTCGTCGTCTGCGCGGCGCCCGACGGAATATGCATGTTGATCGTCGACCCTGACCGTGTGAATGAATCACTCGACTCGGTCCCACCGCCGACAACCGAGCCGCGCCGGCCGTCCGTGGGCAGAGTCTCGATTTCTCCAATGGGAGGCAGGTTCTGATGCAACAACATGCTTAGTTTGCTGCCATTAACGGTGGGGTCATTCAGTCCCGCCAAATGCGCGAGTTTGATAAGGATCCTGCATCGACACATCTCATACTCTCTCAGCGTCTCCTGCCCCATGAAGAACGCGAGCTTGTCGGGTATGACATGGTCTGCGATATACCGCACCACGCGGAGGTTGACGACCCAGTCCAGCACATGAGCGGTCTCATCGAACCTGATTTCCGCGGGGAGCGCGGCGCCAGCCCCGCTCACGGGTGCTGTATAGAACATCTTGTCTTCGCTGAGGAGTGCGCGTCCGGACGCAATGGTGAGGATACAGTCCAGGCCGGCTGAGACTGCGCCCATCTGGATCAGCGCTTCGGATTTGAGTAGGAGGCTGGCGCAGGTGAGTGGGGAGGAGAGCAAGATGTTTTGGGCTAGGTGGTCGAGGAGGCAGGCGAGGGGGAGAGCCTCCCAGGGCCTTTCGGCGCGGATGAGTTCTTTGGCGAGGAATGTGAGCGATGTGGCCATTTCCCGCGGGTCTAGCCGTTGCGGATCGGAGAAAAGGTTGAGGTAGGGAAGGACGAAGGGTGGACTGTAGTGTGCGAGTAATAGAGGGTCGGTCGGGTGGGATGCGTGACCCCTCAGCAAGACCCCAAATAGCCTAGCCGCGAACGATGCCAGTGATAACCGTTTATCCAGATTGACGGTCAAATACGATGTCTGCACCATTTTGGTGGCTGACATGGCGGCCAGTGCAATATTCTTGAGCCCTCCAGCCCGCGCGACCATGGTCGCGAAATGGGCAGCGTGCTTCAGATCCCAGTCGTTCGCAGTACCCGCAAACAGCCGCACCCAATGCGTGACGACACGCTGGCTGCCGAAAACGGCGTCGATTGCTTTGGACCAGAACAGACAGGCTGATTCATGGTCATTCCGGGTGTGTAGTAGCTTTGCGTACTCGTAGCTGGTGATGGCTTCCATCGTCCGGCTGTGGACTTTCTTTGACACTTTGAGGGTCTGCTCGTACGCTTCAGCCGCTGCGACGTATAGATCACCGTATGCGTCGGATGTTGCGCCGGTGACGGCCATGGTCAGTTCGAGCTTGGCTGAGAGCCCGCGGGCAATCCAATGCAGGCGTGATGGACTCGAGTGAGACTGAGAGGACGCTAGCCATGTTGCGAGTTGATCAAAGACGGGCCCGGAGAAGGCGGCGTCACCGTAGAGTTGCTCAAAGCTCCTGGCAGCCGTCGCCAATACGGGCTTCAAGAAGGGCGCATAGACTCCTCGGAAGACTTGGTCGAATCTCAGCCCGAACTCCATGACGCGGTGATATTTAGAGGCAATATGCATCGCTTCGATCGCAAACAAGTTGATCGACGCAATCATCTGCAAATCTACAAGTGTGGTCTGGACTTCCCCGTGCTGATCCGACCAGCCGGCAACGTACTGATTTGAACAAAGTTCAGAGTAGGTTTGAAACGGTAAAGTGTGCCGCTGATTCTTCCCAGAGCGGAAGGTCGCTGTCACGGGCCGCGATGGATACATGAACGACCGTCCCGTCGAAGGCCGTGATGACGGCATACGAACGGCCTCTCCAACATCGGGCTCGTCGTCAGCATTGCGAATTCTCACATCCTGTAAGAAGTCAAGGAGACAGAGACCGATAATCCACCACGCCCTCCACATATGGTTTGTGCGGAAGTCGGCGCCGGTGAGGACTCCGCGCCTGAGAAGTCGCTGCTGCATGTTCCAAAGATGTTTGCAGCTGTCCAACACCTGGTGCCATTCCCCTACTCGCGATCCGATGACGACGGATTGAACGATGCCCTGGTAAGCGTCCATGATGAAGCGGAAATTGTCATTGGATATGGATGCCGCATCTGTCGTTCCAGCCTGTTTGGACGCCTTGGCATGAGCAATTTTCAGATCTGTGAGCAAGATACGTCCACACTTGCGAAGCTCGAACGGCTCGTCCCGAACATGTGCCTCCGGGCCAAAATCTTTCCCGACGGTATCCCTCGAAAAGTGCGCAAGACATGCCAGCCCATGTATCAGCGCCAAGCGGGACCGAGCAGGTGCCTCGTAGTTGATAATTAATCGTAACCGACGAGTATACCGGCGGTAGTGCCAGAAAGCACTCAAGGACTTGTCGAGAATCCGAGCGGCCCGTTCCACGTTGTCCCGATCGGCTGCAGGTATACCGGCCAGATACGCCTGGCGCTGTGCGTTACGCTGTCGCTTGCGGGCCAGAGCGTCATCTGCCCCGTCCGGTGCCGCGCCTCGAGACTTGGCCGAGTGCGCGCTTCCAGCGCGAGATCTGCTTTCTCGGCCGGGGGATTGCTCTCGTTTGCCTTGCGATTGTTCCCTTTCTCTTTGGCTGGCGGTGCTCCCGCGGGAGCCTGATGCGCTTGAAGCGGCTTTGTCGTCTCCTGGGGTCGATGGTATTTCCTTGATTTCTGGCGGCGCATGTTTACTAGCAGGCATCTCGCCTTCGTCATCAAATGGCGGTCTAGCATCAGCCACAGGCCCTTTAGGTTCACGGGATGCTCTCTCCTGAACCTTGGTGGGACCCGGTGGTTTGAGTGTTTCCCTATGAGTTAGAGTTAATGTATTAGTGCTTGGTGGCACCGTATGGATACTGTATGCAACTAATCGACTCTACTTTTGCGATTTCCGGCCCCTCTTCTTATCATCAACCTTTGCGATCGACAATCCAGCCGTCTTATCCGAAAACAAGCCTTTCTTCTTTTTCTTGCTCCACCAACCGTCCTTCTGCTTTTCGTCCTCCTCAGAGCTCATCAGCTGATCGAAATTCACAATGCAAAAGTTCCGCTTCTCAGTCCAATCTTCCGCATCTGAGCATATCCGAATCGCCGTGTCAATAAAATGGCCTGCCGCAAGACACCACGCGGCCGCGAAGGCCATCAACTCAACGAATCGTGGATTCTTGCGATAGCGAGCTAGATTCTCCATCGTCACGTCAGGTCCACTTTGGGTCAAAAGCATGTGAATCTCTCTCAGGGTCGTGGAGGCGGCATCCATGGCCTTACGCGCCGACGCTGCTTGCTGGGATGCAGGCCCACTGGCCTGCGTGGCAAGGTGCGCTTTTCCGATCTCCATGTCGAAGTACTCGCAAATGCTTTCGAGTCTCCTCGAATTGCTAAGATCGTATCCCGCTTTGAAGTTATGCGAGGCAGCAAGGAGCGCGTGGAAAAGGCATTCGGTCATTAGCGCTTTGCCTTTGCCCTTTTTCTTGCTGATGAAGCGCTTGACAGATTTGTGTGAGGATCCTAGCCATTCTTCTTCGAGGGAGTTGGAACTCATGATGCGCGCTTCGCAATCAACGCCCACGATTGAGCGAATGAGAGTAAGTGCTTCCTCGGCGACTTGCACGGCTTTTTGGATATCAGAAGTCCGTCGGCCTGCTAGTAAGCGTCGCGTAAGGTGGAATGCAACGAAAGAGTAGTGATCGCGAACTCCTTGGGCGCGATCGTTGCCAAGGATGGCGGAGCATCGTATGAATGTGCGGTGGCATGCGAGGAGAACTTGAGTGACAAACGGGAAAGGAGCCGGATCTTTCGGGCGCATTTGCAACTTCGTGGGATCGGCAACGTCATCACATTGAAGTAGAGGGACGAGTAGCTCATGGCACTTGAAAGATGATAAGAGCATCAATCTCTCGTCCCCAATACGGTCGGCAAGCTTTAAGGCAACGAGAAGCTCCCGACAGCTCCTCAATCGCAACATTTGCGCGCTCAAGGTATCCCTCGCGCCTTCCATATCTGAGTGCACAATGGCTTGCGTAGAGGCAAACGCCCGATCGATGCTTGCATATATGCTTTCAATATAGCCCCGAATGATTGCTGGTGCAGTTGCGTCTAGGTCGGTCTCGTGAAGTTTGAATACCTCCTCCTCCTGAAATCCAATACCAGTTTTTGGATCGGCTTCTATCGGGCGACGCAACCGATTATCAGGCGCAAGCCACAAGATGTATTGCTTGCTTAGCACCTTGTGAGCTCCATCTGCCACAGTGCTCCACTGCACTTCTTGCGCAATGCTGGAAAGTTGACCCCAGCATAGCAGCAATGGAAGTGGCAGACATGCGACGATAGGCTTGCTGGTCTCGCCCACACCCTTCCCGAGCATCTCCCCGTCTTCTCCGTATGCGCCAACGGCAAACACATAGCGTTCATTGGGCGTCAGCCCCGAAACGATCATTTCCAGATTTGTTGTAGTTCCTCGAGTAGGTAGAGGAGATCCGGTTCCAAGATAGGCTACATCCGCAACGGAGACGATTGCGACTTCGGAAGTCACTCTTCGGCAGAACACCTGATAAGTGTATGGAATTACGGGCTGCTTATTGTCATCCAACATATGTACCGGTCGGACTGTGATCGAAGTCGGTGACCTGCGCACGAAGATTGGCGGTGGACACCTCCAGAGGGCCGTGGTCGATGGCGGTACATCCTTCCGATTCAAATCAAGTAGCAGCCTTCGTTCATCTTGATGAACCCGGTGAAGCAGAGATGTTGCCTCTTGAAGCAGGTCATGCTTTGCGCTTCGGCTCAGGTTTGAGCCTTCCGAAGCGTGAGCCGCGCACAATAATGCCCTCAAGGCCAAGTTCTCCCGGCAGTACTTTTTTATGTCCTCCTCTTTCAGTGTCGTTAGAACTGGGTCCACCTGGAGGACCTTGTTTGTGAGGAGTGCATACTGACTTTCTTTCCGCCGTTGCTCCGCTTCTCGTGTATGATAGGAGAGCTTCATTCGGCAACGGAACAACCGACGGTAAACACTGACAGCCGCGCATGCTAGATTCCGTCTCGAGAATTGCAGTTTCTCGCTCCTCGTGAGAGGCGCTGTAGGATCGATCGAACTGTTAACCACCCTGATTAACTCCGCCGTGTCGGAAAGATGGGTGTTAGGGTGGAAGTTGAGGTTGCACGTGATGGCGGAGACGCTTTCGGCGCTTTCTCCCAGTCGATAGCGGGCGAAGTTGAGGACAGCCTCCATATCTTCCAGAACCTGAACCGCTTCCTCGAGGTCGCCCGTGCATTCGAGAACCAAGGCAAGTTTTCCAGCCACATCGATGAGGAGAAGGGAGTCCTCGAATGGCATTTCAGTCAGGACCGCGTGCAAGAAGCGAAGCAGGATGATGAGTAAACTATCCCCATTCAAGTTCTCGCATTGAGCTGCGTCCGCCACAGAATTGATGGAACGGAGCATAGGCTCCAGATACTCCCATAGAAGACGGGCGGTACCCACGAACAGCCCTGGAGCCCAGGTGACGAGCGAGTCACTCTCGATGCAATCGGCAAGGGCATCGAGCACAGCTATAGCGGCCGTATGCAATTCCGTCGAGATTTCGAAGCGCGAGCGATTCAGAGCCATCATCGATCTGCTGGAAGCCGGAACGTCTGCGCCGAAGGCCACCTTTCGATCGGCATGAGCTACGTTGTGGAAGTTGATGCAGGCAAGTCGCAGCACTAACTCCTTTGATGTCGCCATTTGATCAAGGTCTGAGCAACTGTTGCCAAAATGATCCTGCTGGAATGAATCGTCCAGGAGACGTCCAAGTACGCTGAAGCGCTGCCACTGATGCATCTCGTAAAGCTTCCGACAGTATGACATTAGGTCCTCAAAATTCAATCCAGTCCATCGATGGTGTACCATGATACGAGCGAGCTCTGCTGCTTGAGGTGGCTTTCCAAGGGTCAACTCTGTGGTAAATGCGGCCATCACCCGTGATGGTGTGAGAAATTCTTCGGAGTCGAGCAGAATAATTTCAAATCCAACATCCAGCAGGATCAGGAGAATTTGCTGGCGACGGTCAAAGTCCGTCGACAAGCGCTCGATTGCCTTCATATCGACCGTCGAAGATGATAGGGCGTGGAGTCCTTCGACAATGGCCCGAAATCTGTCCCTATCACCATGAAACGATGCCAGCATATACATGATGTCGAACATGATCTGTCTCCGGGCTTTGCCTTCTTCGGATTCATCAAGCTTTGGTGCCACAGGCTTGCCTTTCTTGCCAGTCGATCTGGCGGAAGCTGCTACCTGCTGCCGAGGCTTGGGCCGGCTGAGATCGTTGAATCCTTCACTGACAGTTCCTTCTGCTAGTGCACTGCCCTCATCGAACAATGAACCGGGACGCATCATGTTTCGACCCGGAGCATATCCTTGCTTTTTGATGAGTTGTCCCACGGCTCTTGTCGAGAGACTCCGAGCCAACTTCCGACCCCCTCCTCTTAGTTTGACCATCGAGTCGCCCTTATCTTCTGAATTTTCATCCCATGCATCACCTTGCCCCTTCATGAACAGACCAGCGATGCTTTGCTGCGACTGGCTAAGATTGAGGACCGAAGATCCCCGCAGGTGTTCCTGATCCTCTTGTCCTTTCCAGATCGCTGCCCCCCGGATCGGCGAGTCCTGAAAGAGTTTCCGCAGAGGCGTTCTTGTTCGCACAGATGTTCTGGGTCCGTCATCGGCAGCACTATCCTGTGTCACGCTCGGACGTTGCCGAAATCCCATAGCAGAACCTGGGGCGCTTGGTGCTTTTACAATAATTTCCACGGTCGCGATCTCCTTCCCCTTCCCATCGGCCATTGCTCGCACCTCACAACCGAACATTAACACATTCAGTCGAAACATTGAATGCGTAATCACGTCACGCCAATCTGCCGTCTTTGGGTCGTTCTCGTTCCCTTCTATGTCCTTGACGTTCGCCACGAGATCATGAATCTCTTTCATCTTTTCAACGTCCTTCATGACGCCGTCAATCAAGTCCAGTGCTTGGTCGTACCCATCGGTCCGCAGTAGGCAGTTGTATATCACGGTGTATTGGTCAACCCGCCAACCTAAATATCTCGGTTCTGAAAGTTCCGGTGATGTCTCAATGATTGTGACAGACTCGACTAACAAGTCAGCAATCTGTATAAATGCCGACGAATCAGTTGGGTCGGCTCAATTTTTTGCCCGAATACAGAAACGAAAGTAACGCACCTCCTCCAGCCAGTCTGCCTCGCGCAACCCGTCGCACATCTCCTTGATGATTTGTCCTGCCTTCCAAAGCAGGCTCGTAACCTCTTTACTGCTGCTCGACTTCACGCATTCTCGCATCACGCCCATGATATCCGAAAGCACCCGCAAGATACTGCTCACCATGTGAGAGTTCTTCAGGAACGTGTCGATACCTTTTAGTCGCTGAAGCTCGCACACCAGTTGTCCATACTTTGCTCGGAACATAAGCGCTTCAGGTGTTATAGCTTGAGAGGACGGTGCAGGTTGCGCATACCCTCGCTTTGCATCGGCGTCTGATGAAAGAGGAACCGGAAATAGTGCTGGTATCGACTTGAGCGGCTGCTCTTTGGTTGACTGCGGACGACTTCTACTCATCGGCGTCTCTGGCTTCTTGATGCTCTCCAGGAACCTATCAAAGCATGCAGCATTGGCCACTTGCCAGAAGTCTTCAATCTCCATGATGAGCTCCCCGGCTTCGACCATCCTAGTGTGCACATATTGCGGATCAACATGTGGCGTGAACATTTCCCAACACTTGGTCAGCTGTGTGGCGAGAAGCCGACGCCGCATGTTGGATGATGCATGAAGTGGGACCGTCGAAGGATCCGGCTTTTTGGATTTCTCGGACACCCTTTGACGGGATACCGATTGCTTTTCCTTCGGTTCGACCTCATTTCTGGCAGCGAACGCTCGGATGCGTCGGATGCATGCCCTGATCTCATTATCGAAAGTATGTAGAAGAGATGCTCTCTTCATGCGACCTAGAAGCGGATGAACAATTGAAGGCGGAGGCGCTAGCAAGTTAAGGAAGGTGTTGTTGGCGCCTTTGCTGAGCGGGAGAAGGGTCGACTGGACGATATTGCGATTCCTGTCATTGTAATCCGTAGCCAAGTGGCTATCGCAAAGACCCAAGTACGCCGAAGTTGCCATTTTGTGGCTTCCGTATGAAAAGCAGATCCCAGCTCTCACAAGGGGCTTTCACAGCAGTCACGGAAGGTCGGCTACGGGGACCCTGATCCTATGTGCGACAAAAAGCCACGAAAGTCCGAAAGTTTCGCGTCGGAGTTGGAACACGTAAGCGTACGCTTAAACATCTTCATTCGGGGTCTTGACATCGAACGGCGGACCCCTTCTGCAGAACACAGAAGGAAGCAGATATTCGTCGGTGTCTTGCAGCTTCTCCAACGCGAAGCGGATCTCGGTATTCTAGCCGGCAGATCCCCCATGACCATCATTTCGGCCTGATTGGAAAACATACTATTTGGAGCATTGGAAGCTTCCTTTTTGGAACATTCATTTGCATATAATGTAGGCTTAAAAACATTATACATACCATGGTCGCTTTACATACTTGCATTAAGAAACGTAGTAGCTGTGCAGTGGTCTAATCTAGCAGTGTCGCTTGTGCTGTGCGGGCCCGTGCTGAGGGCGCGTGTGCCAGCTTGTGCCTGCTCGCGCTGCATCAAAGTCTCATCAACTGGGGAAGTCTTAGGATGGGTGTGCTGGGGATTTAGTGGGTACGCCGAGACGACAGCAGCATCGGCTACGACAAATACAAGTGTGGGGCAGATTCGCTCCGAAAGGCGATGACAAAGTTGCTGCGAGCGGGGCACGCGCCGAGGAGGAGGAGGGGGCATTGGCTATCGCTGATCAATCTACTGGGAAAAGGCTGACACCGGAGGGTCTCGAGCAACTCACGTCAGAAAATATGCAGCGCTGGCAGAAGCGCCTGATGCCACCAAAAAGCAAGATGTTGTACATACCTCTGCTCGTGCGTGGTCGACCCGAGGCATGGGGGCCGAGGTGTTGGGTCCGTGCTGGTGCGATGGGGCACGAGCCGCGCCGACGCCGGCGGTGTCGCCGCTTGGGTGCACGCGTCAGAGGCGGGAAAGTCCATGTTCTTGCGGCAGGGGTTCGTCGAAATGGGCAAGCTGGTGTTGGACTTGGACAGATACGCCGTTACGGATGATGCGGGGAAACCATGGGGCACCTACACCTTCACCTATATGGTACGGCAGCCCATTGAGACAGGTGGGGAAGGCAGGTCGCCGTACATTTGAATGAGACATCAGGTATCGGGAGATGATCGTGGACGCGCCATATGGTGAAAAGTGGTTATTGTAGAATATACAGTCATATAGAACCGATTATGCACCGCTAATCACACCCTCGCCAAATATATACCTATTCGATCCCACTTCCCCGATCTTACTCCCAAAAACGTAGCGCTCGGTAACATCGCTCCCGGCAACCGTGCCCGTAGAAGTCGCCGGTGCTACCCATCATACTAGCCCCATCATATTGGGCAGTCCTGGGCCAGCCCAGCATTGCCCATGGTATACGCCGCATGTCACTTTGGTCGATCTGCTGCAAATCCCTGGGAAACAGTCTCCGACGCTTCCGTGATGCCGTATCGGATTCTCCGACTGGGAGATGGTCTTCGTGCTCACGAACGATGGCTGGAGGATAGCGGAGCTCAACCCCCCGTCAGAGGTGAGAAACGCTGAGCTCCACGGCCCCTTCCCGTGTGATCGATGATTCCTTAGGAGTCCGTTACTCAACATCCAGCTTGGCCTCTTCAACAGCTCGTTGTCTCGCAACATGAGCAGAGTGTTCAGGGTATTGCCCGGCTACTCTGGCTCGCAGCGCTCTACATATGGACGCAATGTCAATTCCTTTGTGATGCCTTCGCCAGAGGAAGAATAAGCGGCACACACCGTATCCGTCTGAAGACAACCTCCAAATCCGCGTGCATCGTCTTCATCATCTTTGTGTAGAGGGCTAGGGCGCTGACTGAGTGCGCGTATCTGGAAGCGGAGTGCCGGTTGAACCGTTCGAGGGTGAGAGAGGTATCCCGGAGGATGTTTACACTGGATATGGAGATATCGAGGAGTGGGGTGAGAAACGTCTGCGCGCTCGGGGTCACGCCGCTACCAGTGGCCGGCCGAAATTCCTTCCTCCCAGTTTCTCCTCAACTATCTATCCCACACAAGACCCTCAACATACGTAGTCTCCTGTGTCCTCACCATCGCAGCCATCTCTTCCGCATCAACAGTCGACGCCAGCGCCCGGGTGAAGTACTTGGAAGCGGAAATGTCTGCGTCGGAGCCAGCATCTTGGCTGGCCAGGCTGCTCGATGCGGAGACTGTGCGGGTGAGTTTGGTGTCGAGTGATGCAGGGAGTGGTGGTGGACGGCCGGGGGCTGGGTTGGGGGCACCTTTGGAAGACATTTCTGCCCTGAGGCGGTGGAGCTGATTGGGAAGATTGGGACGACTCCGTTCAATTTCCAAAGCCTGAAAGCTCTTGTCAAAACGCGTTGTGAACTTGTGGTGCCCATGCTCATATAGTCTCCCCGTTGGCAGTATTGGCCCCGCATCTGCGCGCTGTGGGACGGAACGTTCTGCGTGCACTTCAACAGACGCAGTAGAGACCGGAGGTTGCCCATATGGAGACCTCAACGAGCTTCGACCGGTGCGCTTCACATAATGTCAAAAGGTGTAGAGCCGGAACCAAGTTCTTTCTCGCGGCCGTCTCAGACGATCTAAGAAGATTCAGCATCAATAAACCCAATAAACCCAGCAGGCGCCAAAACCGATGTCCATGTGCACAAGCGTGGCTGATTGGTCAAGAGCCGCCTTCATCCCACGGACTAGGAGAGAAAGAGGTAATCAGCGAGGTCTATCGCCTGCAAATGAAACTGCTGGCCGGGGCTTTCGCGACGGCGCTCTAAAGAAGGACGAGGCGACGATTTTTGATGGCAGGAATGCGTAGAGAATCCTCGTGGATTTTGAATGAGGGCTAGGAGCAGCCCACGCATCGGCATCGGTGGCTATCAGGACGAGTATGTTCTCACGTACACGACGTACGGCATCAATGAGGAGACACTGGAACGCAGGCAGATTCACCGGCTCTGCAGATGGGTACTGGAGCGGATCAGCGTGGAAAACGATGGGTATAACCGTATACCTCAAGATCAATTCCTCGATTGCGCAGAAAGTGTGGGCCATCTCCAACCATAACGTCACTCTTCTCGAAAGACGTGCGTTACGACCCCCCCCCCCCCCCCCCCCCAACCAGCGAGCGAAAGAAAAAGGTAGCATCTTTTCGCGCTGTATGGGCAACTTAATCCAGGGCCTGCTCTGCCGGATGTCCCTCACAACCTCACAATGGGTTTCCATTGATGATGAGGCTCTACGGTTTACGCTGCCGAAGTTCGAACGAGGCTTATTCCACGAAAATTGAGGAGAGAAACATTTCGGTCCCATGATGGGCTTGGCAAATGATCGTCGTCGGCTTGCGCATGGATTATGACGGATATTTCCCGTAGACGGCATGCGATCGATATATGTTACCCCATTCCTGGTCGATGTCCAAATCAATTTTTGAGTGTTTTGTGGGGACACCTCCGCGAGATTGAATGCCTTGTGACTTCATCTCTTGCTAAGTCTTGCAGGCCGGGGTCCGGTGCTTCATGAATTGTGTCAGTTTGCCGCATGGCATTCGGGTGCATGTGCAGGGGTGTGGCCGTACATAGTACCGTACACAAGTAACACAACTTGCTGCGACGCTGCGGCGCCAACTTCGCTGACAATTGCAACCGAGCTCGCCAACACGCATGCCGCTGGGAGCATTGCACTGGCCAGGGGTACAGCACTGCATGTAACCCGCCAAACACAAGATTCTTTCTGTCTACGTAAGGACGTGGGGCCTACTAGGCATCAACGAGACTTCAACCCACTCCCTCAACTCCGGGTACTTACCTTATACATATACGTCGCCGCTGTAAATCGTTCCGCACTCGCCCCAGTCTTCTTTTCGGGATCAGAGCATAGTTCCTGACCGGTGTTGGCGAAGCGCTCTTGAGCGTCCGTTCAATATACCGAGCACACGACAGACTACACACCCTACCACCGAGAGCACCCTAACGGCGGGATGACGGCGCAGAGCGAATCTGTATGGCCTCCAGCCGCCGTATCGAGTGATAACGGTTTCAACCCAACCCATATGCAGACGACGAGCAGTTCTGCAAGTGGACCCACTCCGCCACCGGCGTCAAAGGGCAGACTTCAAGCCTGTGGTAAGTGTTCGTTTGTCGTGTAAGAGCGCCTGGCGGAAAAGCATCAACTCTCCTGTCTTCGATGATTGGCTACCTTCTCACGACCGCATCTTGCATGTGCAGACCGATGCCGACTTCGGAAACGAAAATGCAACGGAGGCCAGCCATATTGCAACAACTGTTCATTGGCAAGAAGCAAAGGCCAGCAAGGCATTGTATGTCAATATGCCGAGAAAAAGAAGCGACGAAAGCCACGCGTCCGCAACGAGCTGATGGCGCGATTAGAGGTGCTTGAAACGCTCCTTTTGCCGCTGCAAGGGAAAGATGAGCATCCTTTGGACGATAAGAGTCGAGCAGAGGCCAGGGCAGAGATAGCTGGCCTGTTGAAAGGCCTCAAGAAAAGGAATGCTCGCGAGCAGATTGAGGCGGAACAGGCCGAACACGACGAGGCTGTGGACACGGACAGCGAGGAAGACGGTGATCATGAGAGCGTTGGGAACGGAAGCATTGGGAATGGAAGCATTGTGTCAGGCGGTACAGCAGCCAGTGGTACTGGACCCTCGTCCTTTCCGATGGTTCAATCGCCATCCGTGATGTCCTCTAGTGGATCGGTGTTCTCTTCCTCGAACCTGTCCTTGAACGGTTCGATGTCAGCTTTGGCGCCGGTCACTACCCCCAACCTCCTTTCGGCGTTACCGGGTCATTACGACATCGAGCCCTTCGAACCGATCTCCTGGTCAGGATTGATATCGGATGATCTCATGGAGAGCATTCCAGATTTGTCCTACAGTGTCGCCCCCAATCATTTTGCTCAAGCTACCAACCCCCGTGCATCTATATCCCCGTCCATGGCTGTCACCGCGGCGCATATACCCGCCGATGCCCCGCATCTTTTCACACATCTCATCGCGCTGTACTTCGTCTCCATCAACACGTGCATGCCAATCTTCGATCTCGCCGAGTTCATGACGAATCTTACTCCCATCAACCGTCATCACCCTGCCGTGCTGTATGCCATCTACGCGTACGGCGCGCTCTTTTCACGCCATCCAGCTCTATACCAAGAACCGTACAAGACTCCGATGAATGCTGTAAACATGTTCATCGTTGAGGCCCTCAATCAGGTCGATGACTTGACAGATATTTGCGAAAGGTGCAGCGTGCTTGTCATGCTTTGCAAACTCTGCTACGGAATGGGTCGTCCCGCTCAAGCATATCAATTTTTCGGTATGTACTCGCGGTCTGACATCTCAACTTCTATGCATGTGGATATTTACTAATGAATTTGTGTCAAATTTTCAGGAAGCGCCGTACAAGCTGCGGAACGTGCAAAACTGGGATTTATTCAGAACTCGGACGAGAATCAGGCATTCACAATCTGGGGATCTTTACCTCGCGCAGATCTGCAGCACCACTCGCCCAAAACCCTCATCGCGACTTGGTGCCTGTGCTTCCAAGCCGACACCTTGTTGACCATGGGAGCAAACGCGAACCTGCTGATCGACGAGTCCCAGTACAGTCACATCCTGGCCATGATCAGCGATACTGAGAAACAAGCCCCCGTGAACCCGCCCGAGAGCTCAGCCGAAGCGGCCATCAAGCACTGGGCGACCTTCTTGGAGTCGTATTGCACGTACTCCATCCACGATTATCGTCCGGCGGCTTGGAGGCCCTCGTGGTACCTTTTGGAATCCCACTGCACGAAAACCAAACCTTGGGCCATGCAGATGATGTACTTCTCGAGACGCCTATACCGTTTCAACCGCGCGATGCCTTTCGAGGTTAGCCCTGTTGTTCGCACTGCGGCCGATATCGTCTTGAAGACGATCAAGCAAACGAACGGTAACAACATGCAGGAGCGCGAAGAGGAGCGTGCGAACTTGCACAATGCGCTCATTGAATGGTGGAACGCACTCCCAGCCACAGAACGTGCGTTTGACAACTTGGACGTATTTATGGATGGACGCGAAATGCCTCGCCTACCAAGCGTCACGCAACTCGCAAGTTTCCAGTTCTCTTTGCTGAATCTGTACTTCACCGGCCTGTTTTCCTGGCTCCACCACCGCGAAGGGATCGATCTTCAACATTACGACTCCACCTCAGAACCGTTGTACCCAACTGGCCCGCATTCGAATTCACCTCGCGTGACGTCGACCCATATCCTATTGCTTACGTTCCGCGCACACTTGTTCTTCATCCGCGCCATCTACGCCATGCATGGTTTCGCCAGCGTCTCCGAAGTCTTCCTGGCCCCGCCCGGCGGCGCCCTCGGAGCCGTTCCGCACACCACCATCGGGCCAAACTCGCCACCACCCCCACTCGTACTCATGCAGAACCCGCTCTGCGTGCAATCATGCTTCACCGTCTGCTTAGTGCATATCCGCCAAATCTCTCGCCTGCCGCCAGACAACCCGCAACGCAACGCCCTGCGCGAGGAATGCGTGTTTGCACTGACGAACGACATGCTGCCTATGTTTGTCAACGCCGGCCGTGTGTGGCCCGTGCTCAACGTGTTTGTTGACAGACTTCGGGACGCGATGCGCAGCTTGGTCCTTGGGGAACAGATCCCCACCAACATCGCTATGGACTCGGCGGCTATTGATGTCACGGGCATCACGAAGGAATTTCGGACGTCATTTAGTGTGTAGCGTGTAGCTGCGGGACGGGGAACTGATTTTAGGCATAGAATTTTAATGTGGGTTGGGGGGGGACTCTTGGGACGCTGTACTATAATACCAGGGAGCATAGCATCTTCCCTTCTACCTTCTGTCGTTATCAATCATGCATTCACTCGATTTCATCTCCAGACCTTGCTTCCATTTACGTTGGACGACTCACCCCCCTCACCCATCGAGTCGATTCTCCTTCCACAACCCGGCGCCCAGCCCTGTTCGTTGTCGGAATAGAAACGTGTCCAAAGAATACGAGTTGCTGAGTCCACAGTCGCTGAATGAGCGTTATGACGCGAAATTGAAGAGTTTCACCGAGGACAATTTTGATTGGAAGTACAAAAGTAATGATGTAGTCATCTACCTCTAAACGAAGTGAATGGGTGGCAAGTGAGTGAAAAAAACCCTGGCAGCCGGCGATTACGCCGCGAGTGGTGCAATGGTGATATCTATCTGATATCTATCTACAAACGCAGTCGCAGTGGTACAAAAAAGAATGTCTACAAGTATAAGGAGGGGTGTGAATATGAGTACTTCGTATACGCCGAGATCGGCAAAAATCGGGGGCGGGAGAAAAATCGGGGTCGGGGATAAGAATACGCCGGATGGAGACGGAAAACAAATTGGACGGAAGGTGGAATGGTGCAAGGGGTCTCATGCCGTCGGAGGTGGTTGCTGTGAGAGTCTTTCCGAAGGAGGTGGGTTGAAGACCCTAGGAGGGGGTATAACGCGGAGGCTGTTCGGACGGGTTTCCGGGTTCTCCGCCGACGAGCCAGCGTCTGCGGTTTGGAAATCGGTGGAGGCTTCAGGTTCAGGGAAGGCGACCTTGCTGGCGGCAGTGGACACGCGCTGGCCCACGCCCGAAGAGCTAGTGGTGCTCCTCTTTGTCGAGGAAAGTCGGTTCATGTCCATCTTTGCGAGGCAGAGTTGGCTTGAATCGCGTTTGGACACCGTCATCAGGACCGACAATTTGTGAGAGGGCAGAGGTGTGAGCGCTGATGTCCGGATTTTGCTGGCTACTTCATCCGGGAGTTGCACGCAGACGAGAGGGAATGCACCGGTTTCGCCGGTGGCTGCATTGGTGCCTAGACCCCATCCGTCGTCAAAGTTCTTCAACATCATGATAGTGCTGCCAGCGTGAAGAGGAAGCTCGTCAGAGAGGGCGGGGACGTAGGGGTGGACGACGGTGACGGGGACATTCAGGAACTCCATGGGTTCTTCGTGGGAGAGGTTCATCTCCGCCGGGTCCGCCGGCGAAGGTTGTGGTGATGATGATGATGAGGGGGCTTTGACGAATGGAACGGTCATCTGCGGAGTCACTACCGGTTCCTCCCAGGCTGCACGTGGCGCACCGCCGATACGATCAATAGGCGACTTTCTGGTATGACCTGGGAACGCAGGTACTGCCTGCGTCTGTTGCATTTGGGTCAAGAATCCAGGTGGTGCGGCGGGGCCAGAATAATCCGAGTTGTAAGCCATCGGAGGACCAGTGACGTTCGGAGACCACTGGGCTCGTCCTCGCGAGCTCACATTGTCCATGTTTGTTTCAATTCTAGGAAGTGGTGGCACGGGTGGTACAGTCTCCGTTTGGAAACCGTCCTCGACACCTGCATTGCTCGCGGATTGACGGTCCAGTCTTCGTCGACGATGCTGACGGCGTTTGTAGATACAACATCCGAACCCGATGACAGCGATGAAGAGTAACACACCCAGCGCGATGGCAGCGATGCCAATCGGACTCAAGACTGAAACCTTCTTGGCATTCACGGATTTATCCGAGTCAATGAAGCTCGCGCCAGTTGCAAGAGCGTCCAGAAGATTCTTGCAACAGGCATCTCCCGTGTTGGCTTGGCACTCTTGTTGCGCCAAGGCGGCGCTGAAATAACCTATGAAAAGAAGGTGGATGAGCGGTCGATTTTGACATATGGGCTTCCAGAACACCAACATACCACAGTTGTTGCTGGTCTCCCGTGGCACTCCTTTGAAGCAAGTGCTTTGGTCTTTCGAGCTTGCGAATGTGCAGTAATTGGGAATCGACGAGGTGAAAGCCGTGAACAGTCCGCCCAACAAATCGTCTCGTCTCTCCTTCAAGTTTACCGGTAACACCGTCTGACAAACGCTTGTATTGGTGAACACACCGTTCATGGTCATGAATGCTTTGTTGCATCGTTCGGCACAGAGCACTGTCGGATCGATACCGGTAGGTGCCGCAGCAGTTGGTTTACACTTTCCGCTAAGTAGAGTTTGTGCTACCAGTCCACTGCACCACACGGAGATCTGATATCTACAATTTCAAAGACAGTTAGTGAGGGTGCATTAGACCATTTTCATGAGGAGGGGTTATCGGAGTCTTACCTGTTATGCTGCACGGCTCCGTTAAGCAGATTGAGGTCTCCTGAACAAGCAAAGTTCTGCGGTGCAGTAGATATTTTCTTTGCTAGACCATCGCCGGTGTAACCCAAAATCGCAGCATTGAGGGCTGTTCGTCAAAAGTCATGACATATCAAAACGTTAGATGGTGGTCGCTCTTGGCGTGATACTTCTATTTGCAAAAAGGCTGGCCCCATACCTGCCACCGAGTCGATGCCGGAAGTCTTCGGAACGGGATAGCCAACGAAAGCTGGTCCGCAAATCGAATCAGCGTCCAAGTACAAACAAGCAGTCGTCGCATTCGCTTGCGCGGCGACTTGCTTGATCAGCCAGAGTGCCGTAAGACCCTTCACCGCCTGAGTCTTCATTTTGAGCGTCAACTTCGTGAAATGCCACGAGTGCTCACTGACGGCGTCGACTTCTGTGCCCGAAACGGTTCAGCAAGTTGCGAAGGTTCCTCTTCAACGTCCTTCTTTCGGCTCTCTCCGTTGCTTGATGAGAGTGTGGCAATCCCTGCGCCCCTCCGCTATAGTCTGGACCCAGCGAGTTCGACGGCCTGACTCTTGGGCCTCTGAACTTCGCTGATATCTGTGACACATGAGCAGGCCGAAATTATGATCCGATTTGCGGTCTATTGTATTACTAGCTGGATCCACCGTCGCAAGTTCCCGGGACTCTGGGACAGTTGGACTATAATTCATGGTGGCTGGCGCTGGCTGAGGCTGGGGGAACGACATGATCTTCTCAAAGTCGCAGAGAGAGCCGCCCGCCAGCCCCTAAGTCGTACAACGACCGCTGCATCAAGTGCAACCAATCCGCATTGGGAAACAAGGGATCTCCGGACCTCGCCGTCGCAGCTGGGGCTTGGCTTCTTCGCTTTTGTCTTCAGAGACCAACGGCACCAGCGGTTTCAACGGGATCCGCCCATTTTGCGTACGTTGTGGGCAGCGGTATAGCCCACGGGTACTACAAGGGTGCATATGGGCGCCTGGTAAGCGGAGCCTTTACCGAAAATGGTCGGCTCGGTGTCTCCGTACAGCGACATGCACGTTGTGTCTGTTGTATTCATCCAACCCTAACTCTGCAAGTCCATGTTTTTCACGGCGTTCAACTCTTTGACCAGCCCCAAAGTTCAAACACCACAAGACAACCCCGCAACGCACATACAGTACGTCCTGTACAGTACACAGCCCGCTAAAAGAGATCAGGGAACGAGCGACGCTCGATAGATCGCATCTATACTCCCCGCACTGAATGCAGTGATAATCCCAAGTCGTACGCTGATGGTAAGCCACTGTGGCCTTTGTACATCAACTCTACCAAATTCTCTAACGCTACTTACAGTATAGGCTAGAGACCACCCTTACAACCGACGAAACTCGACAGCCCTACCACACTGAAATATCCCCCCTGAATTAGGCGATTACTGGGCTGTACGTAGCAGGGCAATGGCGACGATTATGGAGGCCCGGTCCCTTTCTCACAACTTTTGCATGTCTTCCCATCGGTATGCAGACGGACAGAAAACGGGTTTGAACCCAACGACGGTCAACTTGAAATAAGGCGAGACGGTTCGCGGGTATAACCCCAGCTTTTTGCGAACGGAGACGTAGCCATGGCCGATCCGCATTACCAACAGCAGATGGGGAACGGCGCCCGACCAGTGAATGCCCAAAATTATTCCAACTTCTCGGATGATGAGGACGATGAACATCGAGTGGTCGAAACAGATCCGACCAGACGCTTTGAGCGGTATACACAATGTCTAGGAAGGGGAGCATACAAAGAAGTCTTCAAAGGATTTGATACGGAGGAGGGGGTCGAAATCGCTTGGAATCAGTTACGGGTCGATCACCTCTTGAAGCGTGAGGCCCATAGGGTTATGGATGAGATCCAAATCTTGCAAAGTCTGAGGAACGAGAACATTATCGTAAGTGTCTACGTTATTCCAGCACTGATTACAATGAAGGCTACCTTTCGCCAAAAGCCCGCATCTCATAATGTTGCGATCCCAGAATCTGTATCACTCGTGGATTGCAAGAGGCCATGACGGGAAGGAGAAAGTCTACTTTATCACGGAATTGATGACTTCTGGAACTTTGAAGAACTACATCAAGAAGTCGAAAGGACCCGTAAAGCCAAAAGTTCTGAAAAGCTGGTGCAAGCAGATCCTTTCAGGCCTGGACTATCTGCATTCCCGGGAACCCCCAATTATTCATAGGTAACGTCGCAACTATGTGAACATCTCTATTTAATTTTTCGTCTCACGCATCTCGTTCATCAGGGACTTGAAATGCGAAAATGTCTTCATCAATGGGAATAATGGGCAGGCAAAGATTGGGGATTTGGGATTAGCTGTAGTCAAGTCCAGAGATCACGTATCCTCTGTTCTTGGCACTCCGGAATTCATGGCACCGGAACTGTACGATGAGAGCTACGATGAAAAAGTCGATATTTACGCATTTGGAATGGTATGTACTCACAAGGACGTGGACTCGGTACGAAAAGCAGCACCTGAATATATTTTTTCGCAAATCAGATGGTCCTGGAGATTGTCACCAAACAATACCCATACAGCGAGTTGACGAATCAGGCTCAGATATATAAAAAGGTGACATCGGGGATAAAACCCGCTGGCCTTGCAACAATAGCGGATGACGACACCAGGCAATTCATCGACCTCTGCATATCATACAACCCGCGGGATCGTCCGACTGCAGCACAGCTTTTGACGCATCCGTTCGTGGCGTCTGTAGGGCCCGGGAGTCAGGGTGGAAGCGGAATCGATATAATGGTGTTGGAAAATCGGGTGGGAGTGGTCCCGGTTTTGGAGCATCGTGACAGTATCACGACAACGTCTTCCATGGAGAGTCCTGGGGCCACAGATACAGGCGCTGTGGCTAGCAGCTCGATAGAAAGTCGGTCGGGCCAGACTGCTCTTCCTCCCGGAATTGTGGAAGCGGTGCAAGTGGATGCGGCGTCCCACACGTACACCATCCACAAGCGTGGGATTTTACCTACCTCCACCGCGGCGCACCATTCTCCGAGCTCGGCTACGCCACACATGGCGTCCACATCTGGAACATTGTGCTCCGTCGAAGTGATCGAGCGCCTGTCGAACGGGCAAGTGGTCGTGAAGATGATATATGGACATTCGAGCCGCCCAACGCAGGAAATCAAGTTTCCGTTCACGTTCGGAGAGGATACCGCGGGTGAGGTGGTGGAGGAGATGGTCAAGGAGGGTATCATCTCCTTCGAGGACCGGACGCTTGCCACGGAACGTTTGGCAGCGGCTGTGAAGGTTGCTGCAGGTGGCAGCAGTACCACGAGTCTGGAGGCAGGACGGAGCGGAGACGCGTACCTTGGTGTCGCTGCAAGTCCACCATCCAGTCCTGCGACGTTCCCGCGATATAAGGCACCCGATACAGCCGATCTTACACGGGCGGTTTCGCTGCCAAGGTCGCGGGATCCCGGTCACCTCAATCCGTCCCCGCACGGATCCTCCATCGACCTTTCCGCGCTATCTGCAGCCTTTCCGATGGATGTGCTGGTGATGGCTCCGACAAATGGAATGCATGTTGAAGCCGTCGCACCCAATCCTGCCGCGCAACCAGCAGTGACCGCGCGTGGATCGGTTATTCCTGGGCGGACGGATTCGTTACGGCATGTGCCAGTGGGCATCACAAGGGCGGACTCTGCGCCGCAAGCATCACCAACAACGGGGGGCCCCTTGCAAAGTTCGCCGTTAACCCGGATGGCAGGGTTAGAAAGGGCATCGACCGCTATGTCCCATCCGATCGATCCTGAGCTGCAACGGAAGCTGTTGGAGCTGCAAGAGCTGAACCTCCGCGGGTTTGGGACATCCGCCACCACGTTACCGCGAAATCCATCATCGAATGGGCTTCTCAGCATTGCGCAACCGGGGACCTTCCCACGGACGGCTTCGCAACAGCAGCCAAATACGCATTCGCCAGGCAAGACCCAGCCAGGGGCACCGTCCCTTAGCTTGGGCCAGATGCATCATCAGCACCAGCAGCAGCAGCAGCAATACCAGCAACAAGCACATCCACCGCAGCAACATCAAAGCGCCACCATCCACCAACAACACCTCCAACGACCGCCGGGCGGGTCACCCGAGGGCCGTCCAGGCCTATCGCCCTCCTCCTCCACAACAACCGCATTCTCCGAGCATCGCCACGAATCTGACCCAACGGCATCACGACCGAGCACGTTTGCAACACTGCCGCGGTCGAGTCCGAAACGGGTTCCTGAGGCTGTAGCGTTGTGCACGCTGAACCGTCCCTCTCCGCCAAGGCAAACGCAAAGCACGCAGGATGTCGTTCGGGCCGTGGACATTCCAACGCCGATCTCATGTTCGCTGCCGTCTAGTAATGGGGGAGGTGCCTTCAACCTCATGGATTAGTGCGGATGGATTCCTGATGCTCTTGTCTGCAACATGTATCGTCGTGTGATGCACACGAAGGATTGGCATCACAGTGATCGTTGGACTGCTACCATCCTTCATATGCCTATCGCCGGCATCCACCACATTATTTTCAGGTATATATAGTTCAAACGACTCTGGCTCCTTCACGCGGTTTACCAAAAACCGCCCATGTACATTTGTATTTAGAACCCCTACGTAGCTACGTTACGAATAGAAAGACGCTGGTTTCGACAGCTGTTGCCATGCAACTAGCTTGAGCCTGAATAGACATGCGCATCCGATTCAAAACCCACTGCGGTATCTTTGTCCAGATTTTGCTTTGAAACGATCTGCCATCTCGGATGCTGTCGATAGCGGTCCTCTCGCTTTTGGCAACAACTTTCGCATGCAATGCCATGCGCTCGTAATAACGACATTTTTTTTCTCTCATTCCGAATATGCGGGCCCGCGGCCGGGACGTAGGTTGTTGCCTTTAGCGGGGTCTGCGCACGTTCACCCTCCACTCCGCCGGCAACTCATATGTGCGAAGTTGATGCTTGGTGTTGAAGATCTACAACCAATTCATAATTGCACTACTCAACAACGATTAACGAGGAGACGGGAAAGTGTGAAGATCCCCAGGTTTTCTTGCCTTCCCACGCGCTTGGCAATGATGCAGCGCTGTGACGCCTGCCAGACTGGAATCGCGCGAGCGCCTCCTTTTCCCACCTGCTTGCCCTGTGCCTCCCTCCATCTCACCTTACTCATGTTACTGCCTGCCGGACAGACCGTTGACACTCTAACACATATTCGCCATACTGCTTTTCACTCACGGTGTATCACGCAAACCCAACCCGACCATATCGCAGCTGCTAGTGGTGTCAAGAAAAGAGTTCATAAAGTCCCGCTCGACGGCCTCTCCAACAACGAACTCGGAACCCAATACTTGCGCCGCATTAACTCTCATCAAGTGAGGAGAGGCGCAACGTTCCGAGCTCTCCCTGTCCACAAACAATGCACCTCGCTGCGTTTCGCAGAACGACATGAACCCCTACATTAGGAAGCCAAACCCAGCTTACAGTAAACCGAACGCAACAGGAATCCCGCCGGCGGACGAACAAATCATCTCGGAGATCCTCTCCACGGAGAACTTTTACATACGGCTAGGCGTAGCAAGAGACGCACCAACGGAGCTCGTTAGGAGGGCATATCTGCGACGTAGCAAGGTGGGTGCTTGAATGGGGACTGAAAAGTGGAAGTGTCAAACGGGTTTTGACAGTTGCGTCAACAGGTGTGTCATCCCGATAGACAGAGCCACCCGCTCGCCAAGGAAGCTTGTAAGTTCACTTTGCTTTTGCTTCGCTCTGGCATATATATCCGAGACGGAACTCTTGCTCACATACGTCTCTTTCTTCCAGTTCAGCGTATGTGTCGAGAGAGCGATAGTTGACCGGATGGGTTTCCTGTCATGAAGGACAACCACTCACGGCCGTTTCATTATGCAGGTCTGAACGACGCTTATTCCACGATATCCGACCCAAACCATCGCCGGCAATATGATATGTATGTGACAACGAGCTTTCCGCACGGGTGATTTCACTGTGCTCTATGCTCAAAGGTGTACGTTTCTTTCTGCCTTAGGTACGGGAAACGAGTTAACGGTTCAGAACAAACATTTGCCGGTGAGCTATGAGAGATGAAAGAGTGATGTCGGTGGGAGCTCCTTACTAACGGATATTATTCAGACGCCTTGCAACAAGTCATTGATGAGTTCTTGGAGGGGCACTATGATACTCTGATGAGCATCATTGATCACATCCAAAGGTATGTGATCGAGCCCGCTTTGCTCTTACGGACCTGACGAGCTGGGCTAACCTGGATTGTCATCATAGTTTAAATCCTGAATTAAGAATCAGCAAGGAAGGCGCCAGGTAAACGTCGTTTGGTTAGACGTTTCCGGAAGCAAACCTTCCATGCTGACTCGTCGTCCCTGCTTATTGCAGACACGTCCTATCATCAATGCGAGACTTCTGCCTCTGGAGCGGCAAGTGCTGGAGCGCACTGAAGTTCGAAATCATTACGCTTTATGAGATCCACTCCGACATTCAATCCCTTTCGTACTTCGATGTGCGCGGGCGCCTTTGCAAGGCCGCAAGGTTATCGAAGGGGCTTATTTCTCTAATGGCCAAAATCGTTCCAGTGGGTGGATACCTGATTGAAGCCCAGATACCCATGGTTGAGCGAGTGGAAGTATATCTCTTCAGCAGCACCACTGTCTGCAGGTAGTCTGCTTATTAGTTTTCCCCATCCTCATATTATCGCCGGTTGGTTGCATACCCAGCTCTTTTCCTTCATTCGGCGCCCTTCTTAGCATGCTTTTCTTGTATATTTTGTCAAATTGAGCGTGAGCAACCTTGCATCTTCACACGTCTTGTTTTGTAGTCTTTCCTCGTCTTCACTCGCGCGTCAGTTTCCCCACGCACATCGTCCTTTTCGGACATTCGGCACAGGCACTCCATTTGCGTCTGGTTTTCCTGCCCTCAAACAAAACGCTTCCAACGCTCCTTCTTTACCCAAATTCCTCTTTGAACCTATTCCTTCACAGCCAAGGTTTGTCTGTCACTGCATCGTCTCGGTACAGGTAGCTTGCACTGCCTAGATCCCACAGTATCACCGCCTCCTGATATTTCTTTCCCACCAGCATTTGCAATTCCAACCAAAAGACCCGTCGACCATTCCATTTTCAGCTCCTCGCCGTTCCCAAGGAGCTCCATATATCCCTCCCCTATACCGTACGATGACCTCTGACCAAATGCCGTCCGAGCCCACTACTGGCGACGCCGAGCTTCAAGGAACCACTGCGTCTGAGACTGGAAAAGCGTCCGTGGAAAGCGACAGTACCAAGCGGCCAACGTCGGCAGGCGCCATCGCTAGCAGCAGCAAGTTTGACTATGTTTTCGACGATGCTGAGAACTCAGACGAGGCCGAGGGGTTTGAACACGATGACATACCTTCTGTTGCCGATGCATTGGGGATGATTGACGAGGCGGAGGGTCTCTTCAAGCAGAAGAACTATGAGGGTGCCGCGGAGTTGTCAAGCACTGCTGTGGCTACTTTGTAAGTATTGACTGTGCGTTGCTTCTTGTCTTGTCGAAGCTGAGCGGAGCGTCCGCAATGTCTGTCTGTCTGTCTGTCTGTCTGTCTGGGAATATCGCGTCAACAAACTAACAATCGACTTTTTCTATTCAGGTCAGCCACGTATGGAGACGGCGCTCCAGAATGCGCTGCGGCTCTACAGCTGTATGGCATGGCACTCTATCACGTCGCTGCGGAACGAGGCTCAATCTTCGCCGGGAAGGAGGAGCCAACTGTGCTGGATCCAGAAGCTGCCGAGGCGGCTGCCGCAGGTACTGGATGCGTTCATGTTTCCTGTACCGTTTCCCGACGCCGAGTGATATTCAAAATGGTCCACTTTAGCTCTGGCCGAGATGATGAAGAAAGGCGCCAGCCGATTCGTGTTCCAGGGCGATGGGGACGATGAAGTTCTCACATCGGAAGAGACGCCAAAGGGAAACGCCACCAATAGTGCGAGTGGCAGCTCAAGCAAAGCAGGTCCATCTGCAAGTACCGATGTCGGAGCCGATGATGCCGACAACATTGACGACCTGGAACTGGCCTACGAAATTCTCACAGTTGCTGCAACTGCCTACCTGGCATCTCCTTCTGACGACAACATGCCGAAGCTGGCTGAGGTGTATTTGTACCTGGGCCACTACCACCTGGAAAACGGTATTATTTTGCTGTAGGGAGATTACAATAGTTCTTCACTGACTGACGTTCTCCGACAGACCGTCCGGAAGAAGCGAGCGCTGAGTATGCCAAGTGTTTGGACCTCAAGCTGCACCATCTCAACTCCAGCCCTACCCGCACTCGCGAAATCGCCGCAGCTCGATACTTCTACAGCATCACACTTGAAGCAACAGGAAAGTACGATAGCGCGCGAGAACAAGTCCAGTTATCCATCGAAGCCGTACAAGAACGATTGGACGCTTTGAAACAGACGATGACCAACGGAGGCGTGCAGGCGGCGGGAAGCGATAAAGGCAAGGACAAGGCATCGTCCTCTGCGCATCTATCAGAAGTATCACCGGCAGAGGAGATTCAGGAACTCTCGGAATTGAAGCTGGATCTCGAAGCGAAATCGGAGGAGCTTGCCAACAAAAAAGCTCAGCTTGCCGAGGCATCCGCCATCCTCCGCTCAAATTTGGAAGGCGAATCGTCGTCGTCAGCCCCCAAGGCGGATGGAGCATCTACTCGCCCTGCATCGTCGGGTCCTGTGACAGATATCAGCAGCCTCGTCAAGAAGAGGAAAGCTAGTCCCGCAAGCACGCAAGATGCTGATGTATCCAAGAAATTGAAGACAGAAGAAACAACCGGCGAGAAATAGGAGAGGCCTATGGTTAATGACATAGCAGAGTCGCTTCCGGCAGAACTAGCATCGTTATTGTTTTAAGTATGTAGGACGAACTACCGCAACGAAGCTGGGTGAGGGGTGTTTCAACCAGTAGCGTCCGCGTTCGTACACTTCGAAAGCGCTTGGTACTGGCACCGTAAATATTATCCCGGCTACTCTTTACTATTTTGGACGGTAAAAAGTCACGGTATTACCATCCGGTTTACTCTCGTTTTGAGACGGCATTGGTGGAGTGGCAGGACAAAGTGCTGTACAGTACGCGTCGCGAACGCGTCGGCTTACGTTATGCCCATGTCCGCCACTTCCAGAACAACGTTCGCAAACACAAACCGTTGGATCGGGTAGACCTAGCACTGTGTTGCCATCTAACCGTATCCCCAACTCAACGACTTTTCTGCTGATGTCACCGCTAACGCCCTCCCCTAATAGATCTTCGTTACACCCAATATGAGGAACGACCGTCATGACTCAAGCATTGACTATGATGGCGGATGTACTGAGTACTGGCTCGGAAGCCTTCTTAACAAAACAACTCCAACAACGACCGCACGTTCATTGTCCCCAGCTTCGACAAGAGGGAGACGTACTCCGACACTAACACCATCTAAACCGTTCTCCTTGGTGGTTGCTCTCAAGAATTTGAAGATTACCACCGACACGACCGTTTCCACACACACACTACACCACCCTCCGCACCGTGCAGGCCAACTGGGTATAGGCTCCCTTGGCCGTCAAAACACAGACCCCAATGTGTCCAACCTCATCAAGTTCGTCGCGGAGTCTACCGGCTACACTAACCTCAACTTGACCGTTGCCGATCTCCCTGTCTTGAACATTTTCCATTAACATAGCGTGAGTCAAGACAGGGACGTATTCTGTTCAGTGGCCTTATGGTAGCCAGGCGCAGAAATTCTGATACCATTGCCGAGTCCTTGTGTTATATATTCCGGTGCCAGCGCGGGTTCATGCCCAAAACAGTCGTGGCTTCTATATATGAACTGCCAACATGTCGTGGCAGGTTCGGCCAACGTTAACCTCAAATCACTCCACCACCGTCTTAAAATGCTCTCCTACACTGGAACGCCTAAGTAGAACAGCCCAGAGAGGTGTGCCAGCAAAGGGAGCGCACCGAGGGCTTCCAGATCCAAATCAGCTCCATCAATTTGATGGTGGAGAGAGATGTCGTAGCGAGCGAAGCGAGCGCTCCCGGCTAGTACATAATGAATTGTATACTGTACATGCCTTGCAGCGAAGTCTGCCATCAACGAAGCGCCTATACCAAATCGTAGGAGCATTTGCATAAAGACCAGGGCAAGGCTCCTCGCCTGGTGCTCACAATCACCATCAACAAAATCAGCACACACGAGGGACTGTCCTCATATGGTCAAATCTACTATTCTTCGGGTCGTCGGTGACAGGCAATTTCGGTTGTAGCCGAGACCTTACGGCACCAAACTAATATTGTCCTCCAATGCGGGCATGCGTTGAAGACAGGTCGTCTATGACTTCCGAATTTCCAATTCAGAGACGGAGCTACAGAGCAGTATGTACGGTCACTGCTGCCTCAATTCTGGGTAGGGAGTCTGATGTATTGGACAGCCGACAGGTGGAAGGGTTCAGAGATTTATCCATCCGAGTTTAAGGACAATGGGAGATTTGTTTGACAGCACATGACCTCTTACAATGACGGCGATCGGGACACAAAAGTGACGGCCTAAGGTGACAGCGCGACTGATAACGACCTCCTAATATCAAAGCGGCCCCATTCAAGGGAAAGTCAGCGTTCTGGACCTGCCTGTGGACATGCACAACCTGCTGCGGCAGAGATCGCAGCATGCACATCGACCCGCAATTTTGAGATGAGTGTCCCAACCTTCCCCTGGGTCTGGGTCCATGGGACCGAGGGGCTCAAGCATGACGCACCGGACGCTGGTTCGACAGGCTGTGCGAAAGCAGCATTTTCAGTGGGATTCGCATGCAACCACGTCTGATGCCAGTGCTTTTTGTGACCGGAATTTGCGATAAAATCGTGACCTTCCTGATGTGTACAGACGACGCAGGCCGAGCATCATCTCGATGTATCGCACGTTGGCCGTATGGCAGTCCAGTAACGGCGGGTGACTACGGTGACTATGTTCGAGGGGTAAGGTGTACAATTCTATACTGGATGCCCCTTTAAAGGTGCAAAGGATCCCGCGCACCGGGCGGATCGGCCGGCTGTAAGATATCCCGCCGCTGTGGAAAAGAACCTCCCGACACATTCCAGTCTCCCGCTCAAAAAGAAAGAGATATACGGTGACGCCGTCCGCAGAAGCCCGCCTAAAAAAGTCCTTGTGCGGCTTTCAACAGCCCTCTGTGCTTTTTCGACTCCGACGTGCATGACGTTCACCTACGCCGCCAGCCGCCAGGCGTATAACCTATAGTAGATTCTATACGCTCTCCCCGATCCTTACGCACCTCGTCCTGGGGCTGACCAACCACCTCCGAGGGTTCTTTCTTGGCAGGGCACTGAAGTCAAGCCCCAAGTGGTCAAGCCTGCGCTTATTCCCGACTCTTTCCACCCGGCACTGCTGCTTTGTAGTGAAGCTTAAGCTTCAACCGTTTAGCAAGGCCACCGCACCAGGATATCGCGGTCACTCGCACGGTTGCCCCTCGCCACCAGCCCCGGCCTTCATCCTTCGCCATTAGCCGCATTTTAGCCTGAACGCTCTGCTTCACCGAGTCACCAGGTACGCAGCCGACGCTTATTCCTCGTCCACCTTGTGACGGCAGACTGCGTATGGGAAAAAACGCGTCCCAGCAAACACCAATATTTGTAAAAGGGTTCAGCAGCTCGTGGCCTTTGACTATTTGCTGTTACTTCGATGGTTTCCGGCGATCGTTTCCTTACCATATTGCATAGCTTCCCCGTTTTCGTTGAGGCGTAAACCCCGCATCGCGGATGCTAACCCATTTCGTATTTCTTCCAGCACAGCAACATCGCGGCACCCACTCACCACAACAACACCAGAACTTTCTCGTGTCCCCCAGGACTCTTTTTCGTCTTACTGCTCGCAACGCCTACCTCCCCTCGCTTCCCTTACCGTAATCGTCTAGAACATTTCCCTTCATACCGTGAGGCGTATCGTACTGTCGGAAGCCGCACGTACAAATCCCTCCCGAGTCTCCAAATATCGACCGTGTTCGCGCACAGCCACCACTATACATCAGGACCTGCGACCTTCCCCTTGCCTACGCCTGTACACTTCATCGCCGTCGTCAGTCGTAAGACCCATTGCCGATCGTCTTCGCCATCCAGCGCAATCCACTTGTCAACGTCGTTCCCCGATTTTCCCACGCATAGTGCGCGCGTTTTGCCCAATTTCCACCGATTTTCCCACGACTTGATCGTAGCTTCGCACGCACCCTAGCTCGCCGCCGACATACAAGATCGAGCGTTTCCCACGGTCTGCGACCCCAGCGAGGTTCATTGTTCGCCGTCCGCGTTGTCCGACACCCAAGCGCTGCCTCAGGTACTGATGCCCATCATGATGTCAAGTGGCGAACATCACGTCGACCCCGTTGAGAGAGTCACTCGCACGTTCAGGAAGCTGGCAGTCACAGATTCAGACGACGCCGAGGCGATACCCGAACAGTGTCAATCTGATGTCAGCACGTTCGAGCATGCAGGCTTCTCACCGTCTTGGTCCTCGGTCTTCGGTGCTGGCGCCGGGAAAGACTTGCGATCAGACCAGGCCTCCGGCGACATTGGCGGCTCACCGCGGGTGTCGTTGCAGCCTCTCAGTGCATCTATCAACGGAACGCCACCCAATGACATCGCTGTAGGAGCAGAATTTCATCCCGAGTCCGCGATTGATCATTCGGAAAAAGAAAATCAACATGACCCCTTCAACAACGAAAATGTCAAACCTCGTACAGACCAACGCCGCGGCGGAAAGCAAGGCTTCGGCGGCCATGCTCAGACCAACCAGAACAACAGTCGATCTTTCCCTCCAGTGCCGTACTACTACGACCAAGGCGCACAGGGACAGCCGGCGCTTCCGATGGGCTACTATCCGTATCCATACGTCGTGCAAGGATATCCCACTTCCGCTCCGTCTGCTTCCGACAGCGGCTCGGCTACACCCGTTCAGCGCAGTCAGCCATTGTCAACGATACCGGACGATAGGCAAAGGAGTATACCTGGCACCGAAGAACCCGGAGGAAATCAATTCGTGTCGTCAACCAATTCGTCGCACTCGTCAAGGCGGTCGACACCCAGAGTCCAGAATCAACAGTACCCGCAATACCAGCAACCATACTCGACCCCTCAGTTGGCGTATCCAGGAAACCCATACCCTGTTGGAGTACCAAATATGACGTTCCCACATCTGTCGTCTCCTCCAATGATGCCGCAGTACCCGTACGCGGCGCCGGGGCCGATGTATCCCGGACAGATGGCCATGTCGCCCGGCGGACCCAGTTCGATGCAGCCTGGGATGCCGATGCAGAATCAGGGTAGCGATATGGGAATGCAGATGGGTGTCGGAATGGGCAACCCTGGTATGCAGATGAGCCTGGGAGTTGATCAGTATACGGGAATGCCTATGCCGATGTATTCTCAGGTATGTGGATGCGGTAATGAACTCGTAACTTCCCCAGTGCTCGAGAACGGCAACAATAACCCGCTTTTTGCCACAGCAGGTCGTCCCAGTTTGTCGATACTTCCAGCAGGGTCGTTGTTGGGCCGGTGCAAACTGTCGTTTCAGCCACTATGTTGGCCTTGGACCTTACATCGCAGCGTACCCGGTGAGTTAGGCCTTTTTGACAGCGGCGCGGAGTTGATTACGTGATTGCCAATTTCTGACTTTCTTGCTCCTCACAGACTTCATCTGGAGGAACCGCATTCACAGCACACCCCGGATCGAACGGGATGCCTCTGCCGGTACCGCCCATGCCTATGCACATGCAGCAAAACCGTCAGCAACAGGGCATGTCCCAATCCACCACCAAAGAGAAGCCATGCCGCTACTTCGCGCAAGGCAAATGCTGGGCAGGATCGATGTGCCGGTACTCGCACGGCTGAACTCAACACCAGTTTTGGACTCGGACCCCGTCTTTTTGGGAATAAATAGGTCTAGTTGCGATCTCGGTTATGTTTTCCCCACCCTTTTGGAAGCCGTTGAGATCTGATTTTCAAGAAGTATCTTGGCGCGAAGGGCTGGTCCTTTCTTCGAGTCGGCGCTACTTGAGGATTCTCCTTTTCCCCTTGGTTTGTTCTCTTTCTGGTTGTACAAAAACTCTTGGAGCTAGCTTTTCCCCTTTCTCGGAACAGACTTTTGATGTATCTTCCCTTTAAAACCTCGTAGCACAGTATCTGTTCCCAATTATGTTCTGCGATCTTATTTTCTTGTAATCGCAATTTCCTTTTCCTATTCGCGTTGCTTTTTGGGCTGCAGAACAACTTGACATTTGGTTTTGCTCTATTACCATATCTATGTCCACCGAAGTCGATGTCAGATGTAGAGGCGCTCTCTGGTGGACGATGCCTTTTCAATCCATTTACACATGGAGGTGGATTTGGCAAGATATACCACACATGCGGCCATTCTCGACGTTTTTGTTGAGAACCGCTCCCTTCCATTCACATCCCGCATACACCAGAGGCCCTACGAACAACCATATCATGATGCAGCCCATCGTCTCCAGAATGGATCAAGCAACTCCAACTGTCAAGCAAGAAAGTCTCAGCCCTCCCAAAGTGGGTTTCAAAATTTCAATGGTATTCACAACTTGGACGGTTACAGTAGAGCATAAACAATTACAATGACATTCCATCAAGGCCCCAAAAAAGACCCAGCTGAGTTTCCTTCCTAAATAGGGCTTTCCCCCTCCCTTCGTACAAAATCGAGACCTCGTCCCGCCCATCACAATACATACAGGCACCAACCCTCAGTTGAGCAACAGATCGAAAGAAATCCCACCCACTAAGCTAGTTCGTGGTCGCCGAAGATGATGGCGTGATGCTTTTGGATTTCGCTTTTTCGTCTCGTTGCTTGTCGTCAGGTTTCAACACTCGTTCTTAGGAAACGAGTGCCGGGGTTGGTGCCGCGGCTAACACGGTAGACATCTCCCGATCGCGCGGAATGTGCCGGCGACGCAGTTGCGGATGCCGTTGACGATGCCCATGAAGCATGATGCGATTGCTGCGAAGATCGTATTTATTCCGTTGGCGATGCTGCTGCCTGATGGTCGAGAAAACGGAAGTGGATCAGCGGGTGTTCAATAGCGGAAGCACGTAATAGTCGGCCAGAAGTGCATCATATCTACTTACAGATGTTGCCTAGGCAGGAGAATACGGAACCCATGGTTTAGCGATGTTGCTGTGTGATATGCGCTAGATTCGCCTTGAGATTTGCAGTACGGTGGGACTGCGTTATGTGGTTGTGTGGTTGGTGTTGGAAGGTTGGTTTGCTTTTCGATGGAGAAGAAAGCAGGAGGGCTTTGGCGACACCCTGCACGCCTTTTATGTGGTGAGAAGAGCGCCCTTTCCCCTACATCCTAGGGCCAAGGGCAACAGGGGCAAATCCATCCGAATCATTCCCCTCCCGTTTTTTCTTGGCCTTGGTCGCCTTGCATTAGAAAGGCAACAACAAAAATGGGAATCTACCTCATCATGAGTCAGCCAATGACAGCATATCGGCCAAGAAAACTGTCGAATCTAGACCCTGACTCATGATGAGGTCATCCTATTGAGCCCGGCACCACGGAATCTTGGTCACGTTTTGCACCCGCGCGCGCGAAAAAGGATGCATGACGTAGCTTGGCCCTCCAGGCTCCGGGAAAGACACTCGCGGAGTTCGAAAACTGACGTCGCAAAACGCAAACGATACCGGGTGCGAAGGCACGGAAACGTCCGAAGTAGGCGCTGTGGCGAAAAAGGCCCCATTTTTCGTATATGGCTCAGACGGGTGGCATACTTTCCTTTCCATCGGACGGTACAAAAACAGAAGCAGGATCTCAAAGCAGAAGTTCTCATTGGTGCACAGGGCTCGACCGAAGGTTGTGGAGGTAGTCGCAGCCTCAACGCGAAAGTCCGTACGAGAAAGAACCGTGGACTCAAGCCTGCTTTTTCGACGCCTTCAAAGACGTAAGACTTGAATTGATCAGTGGCATGCCAGCCTCATTACGGTATGGCAAATGGGTTTAGCGATGCCACCCAAGTGAGGCAGCCTCGATTAGGAGTACTGTATATGTAGGAGATGCAGCACAAGGTGCAGGAACCATCGGAAACTGGAAACAGCGAGCTGGCTACGAGGAAGCATGTGTGAATATCGTAGAAAATATTTGGGAACCGTTGACGCATGCTTTCCTTTGATGACGGTCTCAAGTTTTTAGACCTGAATTTGAAGGTCAGTGGCATCGACTTCCGCTTCATTGCGGTATGACGGTTTGGTTTAGCATGCCACTCAAGAGATGCAGTAGTAGTGTGCGGAGGAGAAGGTGCAGGACAAAACAGCCACTGGCAACTTCGGGGGCGGCGGCTATAATATATACAAGGAAGCCTGTGCAGTCGCCTTGCGCATTTTTTCCCGGTGACATCCCGACATTGCTGGCGATGGCGTATGCGTTCGTTGTGCACCACGATTGTCTCTGCGATTTGCTTGAAAAACGAGACCATGACGCTGTGGCTTTCGGGCTTGGGGCCAACGCACAGCAGGAGCTAGCTGCAATCGAAAAAGAGATTAGGCCGCACTCTGCAATGTGCACATGCACATGCATGCCTTCGTCCCAATCCTTCAATCCATCAACGGGAGCTAAACCCAAGTCATGTTTCACATATCATTTCGTATTTCAAAGACAAAGCTCACATCACCACACAATCGCTTTTAAAATATCGCAGATAAGTATCTCCCCTCCTTCGCAGAAAGGAAAACAGAAAGAACAGCACATCGGGAGTGCATAAAGAATACAGTCAAACAAATCCCCGCCTACCACCCCTTTTTTTTGTCGTTTTCTAATTTTCTGTTTTTTTCTCCAAGTCTTCCATTTTGTTTCCAGCTCACAAACACCGATCTCAACATCATCCTCTCCAAAAAGAAAATTCCAATCCATATGCGTAATCCTTCATGCAGCAGTTTCGTAAAGCGCGAGCCTTGCACGAAGTTCGGCCATCTCCTTCATCAGCATTCCCTCCTTGGCGTCGCTTTCCTCCCGAAAAGCCTCCAACTCGGCTTTGGCCTGGTCACGTTCGGCTTCCACTTCCTTGACGTGCGTCTCCAGTTCCGAGAGACGTTCGAGCCTCTTTTGACGGGATCGACGAGCGGCTTCGGTATTCTTTTGACGCTTCATGTCCAGTTCAGCGAGGATGGCAGCGGCATCTGTCGGACGCTCCTTCCTCTTCCGGCCAGGGCCTGCAGAGGTACGAGGGCGTTCGGCGGGAGCTGCCGCGGCACCCATATCGGCGGCTTTGGCCTTCGGTACGGCAACAGGAGCCGTTTGAACGGTTTGCGTTTGAGCAAAGTTCTGCAGCTGCTGTTGAAGGTACTTGACGTCCAAACCGGTCGCCGCAGAAGCAGCGGCAAGAACAGTCGGGTTCAAAGCCAAAGATGCCGCCGTAGGTCCGATGCCACTCAAGAGGGGATGGGCAATCTCGACAGCGGGTGCGACAACCTCAACGGGAGCAGGCGCAGGCATGATCTGGTGGTTGATGATCTGGTTGTTGATTATCTGTTGCGCTGCCATCTGAGGCTGAAACATCCCTTGCTGCTTCGTCGGGGACATGAGCGAGGGGAACATGAGGCCGTCGTCTATGCCAGCCCACATGTCCGTCTGCACGGGTACTTCGAACTGAGGCGACGAGAAGTTGCTGGAGATGGAAGTGACGGGAGAGTCTTGCAACAATCCAGAGAACAAGGGAGAGTTGATGTCGTTGACGTCCGTGAAGGCCGGCGACATCGCAACCTCGCTCACAGGAGAGGAGGTGGCCATGATGAGCTCGTCGAGGAAGCGCTCGTCCGTCGCCCAATCAGCCGCGCCCATCGTGGGTTGATGGGAATTGGCTTGATAGGGCGATGTAGCGAACAAAGCCTCAGGAGCTGAGGTTATGAAGGGGAATGGAAACAGAAGAGTGAGATGGGGGACATATTGCGATGAGTATGGCCTTCGATTGAAGGAAATCCGTCATCACATACCTGCCAACAGCTGCTCGAAATCCAGGAAGGACTCGGTTTCCAAAACAGACATATTCAAGGTACTCATATGGAAAAAAATTGGATTGGGGATGATGATGAAAGAAGGCGTATCGTTCACAGATGGTTGAAGTGGAAGCGGATGGTCGGGGTCTTCAGACGTGTATCGTTCTATTTTTTTTTGTTGTTTTCGTATTTTTATTCCGATGTTTAGTTTGTTCTTGTATTTCCCTTCTGACGAAGTTGAGTGATCGAGATACTATTGATATCTGCGACTTATTGCGATTGCGTGGGAGCGGTGGCTAACGGACACTGTATCGTTGATTCTGTGGTTGACAACGAAGAGTTCAAGGGTGGTTGGGATCCATTTTGGGGGGGTTGCTGAGGAGCCATGTTGGCGAGGGTTGACGAGAGAGGTTGGGGGGCGAGATTGGGTTTGAGAGAGAGATGGGCGAACGGTTGTGCGCGAGGTTGAGAGTACGAGAGAGAGGGGGGTGCGTTTAGGCGGACATTGTTGCTAGGCTGTGGGTGTGTAGATTGTGTGTGTGTCTGAGATTTGGGGAAGCGGGGAAAACAGACGGGCTTGGAGGCATGGGCTTGGTTTTGTATTTCGGCGACTTTCGGACTGCGCGGGGGCGTGGTGATGGGAGAGATGGATGGCCCCATCGGCCCCCCCCCCCCCCTCCAGATCCACATGCATGTGCAATAATTGATGGGATATCAAATCAAGGGTCTGTTCCCGGTGGCACCGCGCCGAGTAACACCCCCATTCAAATTTCACTGATCAGGCATCGATCAAGAATGGCCTAACTACAAGCACCGCAAACAGATTAGCGACAAGGGGAAAGTCCAACTTCGGCCCAACTCGAGGCTTCCAAAAGGGCCAAACGCCGGTAGATATGATAAGGACAATTGGTGCCCCTTTGTCTCGTGGGGCCGTATAGGAATAAAAACCAAAAGCACGTCCGGGAGTCGGGACAGACTCGGAACTGTCCCTGCGCAGCGTGGATTCAAATTCAGGGAATTTATCTCATGAATCGTTTCACGGTTTCAAGCATCCGGTTCCCCCACCGAGGTCCGTTTTTTTAAGTTCGGTGGGGTCCAAAGGCAAAAAGCAGAAGGGAGCATCTTTTGGAGGCTCTTTCTCGTGTATTGTACTGTACACGGCACTACGTTTCAATTGTTTTACTACTGTAGGCAGATATCCGGGGCGAGCCTGGCAAGGAAGCGATGATTGAGTTATTATAGCATGAGCCACATGTCTCAACTGAATCGACCGAAGATATGTCTGACCGGGTCAAATTATATGTATGTATGTAGCTTTGTCGAGTTTACGGCTCCCAAAAGGAAATGGACCATCAAGAAATCGTCGAGGATTCAAGTCGCTTATACTCACCCTAGGAAGGCTACGAGATCGCACAGGCCCAACCTGTCCAGAGATGTCCTAGCGCCATTTTCCTCACCGAGCCACTTTCTGAATCCTTTCCCAATAGCATTTGCAACCATGTTTCATTAGTCCCGTCATCACCTGTCGGTTTCCGGCATTCATCCCACCACGTGTTGTTAGGCTGCTGGGCCGGGGTCAGCAGCGCTGGACATTGGTGGCTTCGTTCCAGTGCTGATTTATCCACTGCGGGTCCCCCGAAGAATTCCAGCTTCAGATGGGTCGTCCTCGGTTGGGTTGGACTGCCTTTCTTCTAAAGCAGGCTCTGCTTCTGCGTATCAGTTGGCGGTGGATCTTTCCGTACGTGCTCAATTCCTTCCTTGCTTCGTGAGACATATCGGTTGTCGGCGACAGACGAGAGAACCTTCAACTAACTCGATGGAAAGCCCGTGTGATCACACCGATGCGAACGAATGCCGGATGGTTTCGCTTGCCGCATACAGCGGCGGTTGTTGCATATGAAGTTGGGCACGCCCTAATATTAGGTAATCGCGTCATCATTTGCGCCAACGTGAGAACACGGCGGACGGTGAGCGGCCCAGACTGCTAGGGAGGCAGGCAGGAGGAAAATAGGCGATGGGATACAAGCCTCTCGTGCGTCCGTCCGTCCGTACTAAGGCCAGGCCGCCCAGAAAGAAAGAAGCTCGTCTCCTCCCACAGCCGCCCACCAGCCCTCATCACAAACAGAAAAACGACCTGCTCGTAGGCGCTTTCGTCGACGTCGCTACCGCTTAATCCCTCATCCTTACTCGCGGAGTGTCTTCGAGACCGATTTCGGAATCCATTTCGTGCTGGTCTCCCTCAGTCGCACGAAGCCAGCACCCACAAAAGGTAAGAGCTTCGATCTCCTTCTTGACGACAAAGGCGCTGTCAAACGGCTAGGCTACCCGAACGTCTACGGACGCGGACCAGCTCCCGACATCCTGCGTAGGCAGAGGCTGTCCAATCCACGGAATACCTGATGGCTAGGCATCAATACGGAGCCCAGTTCTGGATTAGGCTGCGTGAATTCGGGGTATGACCTGTCAAAAACAGGTCCTCGTAGGCGCTCTCTTTCCTTTTCTACACCGGACGAGGAGGGGAACAGGAGGCTCTCGAGGATTTGTACGGACGGAGGGGCGGTGGTCCTCAAGGTTCAATAAATGCACCTCGAGCGCGTCCCACCAGTCAACTAAGGCCATTTCTCTCTCGTATTTGTTGTTGGTCTAACAGAGGCACTGCAGTCCACTCAGACCTATCCTCCCCGTTGAGCATATATCAAGTCGAAATCTTTCGAAATGGCCGAGCTCCGCCGTAAACTGGTTATTGTTGGAGACGGTGCTTGCGGAAAGACGTGTCTGTTGATTGTCTTCTCTAAGGGTACATTCCCTGAGGTATGTGTTCAATCGTTCAGATCCCTGTGGTTGATGGATAGGAACCTTCGACGAGAATCACAACATCTTCTTTCAACAAAAGTCCGTAACAGTTCAGGTTTACTAACAACACCATCTTGATTTTTGTCAGGTGTATGTCCCCACTGTCTTTGAGAACTACGTCGCCGATGTGGAAGTAGATGGAAAGCGTGTAGAGCTGGCGCTCTGGGATACTGCTGGACAGGAAGATTACGACCGTCTACGACCATTGTCATATCCCGACTCCCACGTCATCCTCATCTGTTTCGCCATCGACTCCCCAGACTCCCTTGACAACGTGCAAGAGAAGGTATATGTTGCGCGCTTTGAAGACTGGCGTTGGGAATCAACCTTGTGGCAAAAGATCCCTAACTATTTTTGCAACTTTGCAGTGGATATCCGAGGTATTGCACTTCTGCGCAGGCCTTCCAATCATCTTGGTTGGATGCAAGAAGGATCTGAGAAACGACCCGAAAACCATCGAGGAGCTCCGCAAAACCCACCAATCCCCAGTTACTCAGGACGAGGTATTGCCGACAATTGCGTCGTCATTTAGAGTTGGACTAAATACTGAAATCGTGATTTCTTTTTTCATAGGGACACGCCGTCGCCCAGAAGATCTCCGCATGGAAGTACCTCGAATGCAGTGCTCGGACAAATGAGGGCGTAAGGGAGGTCTTTGAGCACGCCACGCGGGCGGCTCTCACCGTCTCCCGGAAGGTCGGGCGAAACAAGAAGCCCGGCTGCCAACTCCTCTAATCTGACCACCACCCAACCCACGAACCCTTTCCAACCCCAATCAAAATCAACCTATCATCGTATATTAGCACATGTTTCTCCTCCTCCGTCTTCGATCTTCAGCGCGCCACTATGCCCTCTCTGCCCTCCCCTCTTTCTTTGTTATCTCTCTTCAACAACAAAAACCTTTACCGCCGTTTCGCCAAATTCCGTTCACTACCTCGACTTCCGTCCCCGACTTGACCTCTTATTGACCGCCTCATTGCTTCCTGAGAAGGAAAAAGGGAGAGAGGGCAGAGTGGGGAACGGATACCATACCAGACGGTTTTCTCACGCCAGCGCGCAGAGTTTTTCTTTTCTTTGGTCGTTGCATTTTCGAAATCGCGCCGCCGAACCGCCCAAATCCTGAGTTATTCTCGAGCAGGAAGGATATTCTTGGAAGCTCGGAATTGGGCTTTCGATTCTTTGTCTGTTTTTCTTTGTCTTCCCCATTCCCCATTCCCCATTTGTTTGAGCGTCATATAGAGGGTTTTATTCCCGCCAGTACAGGAATCCCAAAAACCAAACAGTATTCGTTTTTACCTTGTTCAATCGAGATGCACCTCGCTCTACGCTGGGTTTCTTTATTTTTCTCGCTTTCTTTCCAACGTCGTCAACGGAATTTTTTACCCACTACCAGAAAAACATGCTCCTTGCTCTCGTACCAACTGTTCTTTGATTGTACCGTCTCATACACATCGTTATCAATCCACGGAATGTTCATAGAGTTCCCGATGGAGCGGTTTGAACCACTAAAGTCTGATTCAACATGTGCTTTCCAAGAATGTTGTCCCCAAATCATACGTTCCCACTTGAATGGCATTCTCAGCTTCCCATGGTGACGGCCGCACGAAACCGGGGCCATCCCCCCGTCTCAAACAACCGTCCACGTCGTCCGCTGATGCCGCACGACCGGCACCGCAATCTTCAACCCTTCCATCTCAATCAACGCCGCCATCGTAAGCGGCGCCACCGGCCGCTGGTTCGCATTCTTCTTCCTCGGCTTCTGCCCTGACCCGCTTGACCTGGGCCGCGCGGAGGACATCCGCGACCGTCTCGACGTGGCTGTGATGTTGGATGATCTGTATGTCGATGCAGATGGGTGGCGGGAGGATATGGGGGTTATTGAGGGGTCGATGAGACCTGAGTGAGGGCGGGATGTGGTGTGTGAGGAGGGGCGGGTGGAAGACGCCGTTGAGTGGGATCTCGAGTGGATGCTGGTTGTGTTGGCGTCGGATTTGGTGCTTGTTCGTTTGGATTGGAAATGCTCGGGCTCTTCCGAGTCGGAGTCTGAAATGAGGGATTCTGGGTCGTCTTCCGCATCGGCCTCCATCTCCTGTTCGGCGGCCGCATGCTCCGCATCTTCCTCCTCCTCTTCCTCCTCCTCATCATCCTCTATTGCCGGCTGCATAAGCGCAGGAGCTGATCGCGACCTTGGCGTTGACGGGCGCACCGGCCCAATCGCACTCGACGGCACTCCGGTCTGATCATCCAAAGCCGTGATGGGTCCCAGAGGTTGCCCAACACTCGGACGACCATAAGTTCCAGCGTTCTGACCCTGCGACATCTGGGCCATCCCCGCAGACTCATGCGGCTTCCCAGCAGACGCCATAATCGACATCCGTCGCTGGTCACGCATAAACACCGCAGACGCAGTCACAGCCCGTTGCCGAAAGTCGGCGGCTCCCGGTCCGGCACCTCCTCCACGCCGGCTGGCGCTTACGATGATTTCATTGATGCGGCGGACGTTCTCTGCTGCAAAACCGGGGATGGGGAGGAGTTCGTCTTCGGCTGGAGGCATCTTTTCCGGAACTGTAGTTTGTCCAAACTCGGTAGCTTCATCTCCGGCGACGACAGGTGTTTCCTGGTTGGCTGGCCTCTGATCATCATCGACACCATCTTCATCGGCTGCTTTCCCACGAGCTGACGGGTCAAGCCCACTATCAGCTGCTTGCCCATTCCCAGCGACATCAGCGAACAGCTGCATGTAGTTGTATTCCTCTCCACGTTTACCCGAGTCGACCCACACGCCCGTTGTCGGCAGTTGTCCGTCGTCGTCATATGATGGTGCGACGGTAGGCAACAGTCCTTTCAGCTGGAGCAGCTTCTGTGCCGTTTCTTTGTTGCGATGCACGTTTTCACTGGGTTCAGCAAGAGGGGTAAGCTTCCGTCCCGCCAATAGTCAGGCATAACACGCGGATCCAGGCACTTACAACATCCGGTTGAATCGGTAATGCGATCTGCGTGCAGCCGGCTATTTGACAAGAATAGTGCAATCAGAGCCCTGATCGAGTACAACCGACTCTGAAGTGCGAATCGTCACCGGAACCTACGTCCGACACTGCGTCACTGGTTGTATCCTCAAATATTGCCTTCGATTCCTGGGAGAGACTGATATCGCGAGATATGGAGGTCATCGTGGGAATGGGTATCGGCGGGAGTCCTTGGGCCGTCTTGGTCCTCGCGTGATGCTGATCAACCAAACCATAAAGGTTGGAAACCCAAATGCAGCATGTATTGACTTCAGTGGGAAAGAGTAGACCTACATGAATAAACTTCCTCGGTATTCTGCTCTTCCTCCTACTCTTCCTCCGACTTGCCAGTCCCGCAAAACCTTCTCTCGTCGGAGAGTTATTCCTCGCAAAGGTATTCTGCGATTCTGGTGTGGGGACGTTGACCGGATCCCGGAAAGCCAGCACGCCGGGGGTCAACAAGCGTCCGAATGAGCCACAGCTGGAGTTTGCTCGTTTCAGTTTGAAGAGGGCTTGATTGTGGTCGTGGTGGTGTTTGACATCTGCAGCGTCTACGTTGTACTGTCCACCGTGTGCTCGCCGCTTCTGTTCTTGGGCAAGGATCTCCCGGTACCATGCCGTGTCCTTCCATGTGGCAGGAATGCCGTGGCTCTCTGCATCTGAACGGACGAGGAATTGTTGGTGGATCTGGTCAATGGGAGAGTCAAGCGTTAGTCGAGAGTACGCAATGCCAGCCCTTCACATGGACCTATGAAGAATCCCCCTCTGAGGATATTCCAGCACATACCAATGCATCAGCCTCCTTCTTCTTCGCCACAGCTTTCTCATGAGCCTCTTGAAGCAGCGCACATTTGGACCTTGATTTCTCCAATCTCTGAGTAATCCAATGGTCAGCCCAACTCCGCGTCCTTCGATTAGGGCCCTCAATGATCCATCCTCCGCGAGCCCCACTCAAAGACATCTGACGCCGCCCTGCCAAAGACCACATCCGCACAACACACCTCCTCAAGCTCGATCCGCTTCTGTTCTCTAAACTCCCATCGTTTCCGCTCCAACAGCTGAATGATTGCGTCAGTCCGCCGATGTTCGTCCGGCTTCGATGGCGCCCTCGGCTTCTTCGCGTGCTTTCGATGGGGTGGCAAAGGCGCTATTGGTGCCGTTGGCGCTGCTAAGTTCGTTGTAGTTTCCTCTGGAATTTTTGCTCCGCGTGCTGTTTTTCGAGCTTTTACGTCGGATAAGGGGACTATCACAAACCTGCAATGCAAAATACGATTTAGAAAGCTCTGTGCGAGGTCGCCTATTCCATGGAGGACTTACTGCCTATATGCAATTTCGTGGTGAATAGGTCTTGTCATCGTGAGGATGTTAATCTTCGTCGCGTGGACAAGAGACGTCTTCTGAATTTGGGTCGTGTGGCTGCTCAGCTCTTTGAAGGTGTTTAGCAACAGTAAAGACCATCGTCTCCATGCATACCCCGAGCGGGGGTTTTCCTGGCGTGAACACGACAAAATGACAGGATGGGACTTCTCAAGAGCCCATCTGACAACTTCGTTCACGAGAAAACGACACCCAGCTTTGAGACAGGGGAGGCTCTATTAGGAAGCAAGTTTACGTGGGAACGTGGATATATACATATGGATGGAAGGTCCCGGAAGAAAAGATTACTATTGTAGCTCAATATCCCAAAAAAGCGATGTTTCGATTATACAAAGCAAAATCCATGTCTGTGGTTAGAAGAACCGTCGGATGCGATTTCTGCCGTCATCCGATGACTAGAATATCAGGAGACCAAGCTCATTGGCCCACCTGCCAATTCGTGTCTAGGGCATAGTTCTGCTGATTATACTCCCGCCGTTTCCGGGGGGTGGAACCAGAATCACAGCTTTTCTCGACCGTTTTTTGGTTCCATGAACGGGGGCTTTGCGTGTCATTGAGGTTGGTAGACGCCAGCCGTTGTCGTCGCCCCATCTCTCGCCGGCAGGCGACGGTAACGAGTTTCTTTTGCGGACCGGAGAGGGCTCCTACATGTTGCCACATCTTCTCGCCAGCAACCAAGTAGAGCTCGACCATGCAATATGTGGCCGCTCGTCGTAGACAAGAGCTGGACGAGTTAACGTACTATGCAAAGGAATGATGGTGAGCAACCGCCATGCGTACAAGACACGCGAAATTCTCCGATGACAAACCTCAAAGGCTATCGACCCGACGCGTGAGTAGAGTTCGTGTTGTGGGATGAGCCCATCAAGGCCGGGCAGCAATCTAGTAATGATGTCCAAAGCTAATTTCGAAAGTCCAGGCTCACTACCTCCAGTTCCGGAGCGTTGCGCGTCGAGTAATGCTAGGAGCACGCGGTAGACATCCTCCGGCTTCATCTGGCTGAGCAGCATTTCAAGAGCAGAATTGGCGCTCGCACAAATCTGATACATAGATGAGAGCACGTCAGTGATGCGGCCATTGACGCCGAAGGGCGTCAGCAGGTCTTCGTTTAGGCGCTGGTACCTCTTTCGATTCGCTGCACATGCTTCTTAGTAGCGCGTTCAGAATTCGGGATTGTGTGTCTGCCCCCAAGTTATCGTGCTTCTGTATAAGTCTTCCGAGCACAAGGAGACAGGTCTCCATCGCGAAATCATCCTAGGGAAGGAAACCAGTTGCAGCCGGAGAGCCCACATCTCTGCGAAAGGGTCGAAATACATACGCAGTCACGCCTCTGCAAGGCACCTAGCAGAGCTCCTAGCGTTTTGTCGAACGAATCATTCCAGAATGTTGATTCATCGAAGGTCGGCCCTTGCCTGCCCGACTCCGGCACATCCGAGTTGTCCACAATGCGGTATAGACGCCTCCAGTCGCTGATAGTCGCGCGGCCCTCTTGAATGCTATGCAAGATGTTGGGCATTTCCAATACGCGTGCCGATTTAGTCTTCTGCTCCGATAGCGGAGTCCCCCCTGTTGTGAGCACTTCGATAACGACAATATCGAGTCAATTCCGTGCCTGGGACTCCGAGTCCGACGTTCAATCACTCACAATTCTGGTTCGCTGCAAAACGATCGCCGGGAGTACCCATGCTATTGCCTGGCTTATTCGGGGATGGGGATACTGGCGGGCTCTTGCGTTTCCCTAAGGCGTCCGTCGCTGGAGATTGAAGCAATTCGGAAGTTGGCCCAGATTAGTTTCATCATTAAGAGTCTGATTGGAGCAATGGACATATATCTGTACACTTACAGACATGCAACTCCTTCTGTCCCTTCTCGGATAATGGTTGACGCGCCTGTGGGGGATACGTAGGAGAGGGCGCGGCTGCTTTGTATTCCGGACCTTTCGCTCTCGGCGTCGATTGATTTGCGGGCTGCTCGACATCTCGAGATCGCTCTTGGGATTGGCTGCTGTTGGACTCCTTCCCGTTGACAGATCCGCTCGCCTTATCCGATGAAATGACGCTGAAGCTGGAGTGACCATCATTGTCGACGAAGCCCGAGGGCATAGTTTCCTGCGCAGACAAAATCAGCAAGCTTCCTTTGAATATCCGTGAGGAAACCGACGAGTAACCTACATCCATGATGTCAGGCTCGTCACGGATATCAAGCAGCGACCCTTCAAAAGTCATATTCGTCATGTCCAAAAGAGTCTTATGCTCCACCATATCAATTCTACTCAGGTCCGCCACGTGAATGTCCGAGTCGCCTCCTTCAGGAACGGAGTTCACATCTTGCTGTTCCCTGTCTTCCGTTTCCGCAACATTCATCATATCGTTCCATTTTCGCACATTGCTCGCTGAGGTGATTTCCATGGCATCCACGATTTCTCGTGGTGTTTTGGATTTGCGAGTCGGTACGACAATCTCCACGGGAATATCTGTAACGGAGATTACGCTGGACCGTTGTTTGACAAGTCCCGACCGAGCTGTCACGACGCGTTTGATAGATGGCCTCGCCGACGATGGTGCGCTCGCTGTTTGAGCCCTGTCAATTGCCTTTCGGGTTGCTGCATCGAGAGTTTGATAGAGTCTATGGGGAGGAACAGTCAATCATTGTCACCGCGCAGTGTAACCGCGCAAGTTCTCTTCGATGTATGGATGGTACAGCTTACACTTCTGATCTGTTCAGCCAAGCTCCGCGATACACTGCGAAAGCTTCCCGACAAGTCTGTCGCACAGGCCCAGTCGCGTCTTGCAGGCCCTTCTTCAGTGCTTTCTCCAGATTTTCCAGACCTCCTGTGCGTTCCAATGTACTCTTGTTTTCAGGAGTAGACGACATCACTTCTAGCGTTGTCTTGACAAATGTCGCCCCAGCTGCCCTCACGGCACCATTTTTGTCCCCAAGAGCCGTCAAAAAGTATTGTGTAAACTTCGGCTGGTACGAAGCCGATGCGAGTACCACTTGGATAGCGTTGATGGCTGCGGTCGCCACGACTTTCTTTGCTTGATTGGTGATTTTGAGTAGATTGGACAGCAGCAGGTCGGCCAAAGGGTCCACATCCCGCCCCAGCTCCGAACACAAATCCTGGATGCCCGTGCAGGTGGTCAAAACGAGAGCAGTGCGTAAACTATGCACTGTTCGAGCGAGCGCCTCGGCGGCAGGGCGGAAGCACTGCACAAAGCCTGGGAACCCCTTCGCGTTCCCGCGGCACACAGAGCGCAGCTTTTGAATGGCAGCATCCCGTGCCTGCCAGTTCTCCTCAGTCTCCTTCCCTTCGAATATCGCAACGCAGGAGTTGATCTCGGCTTCAGCCTCTTTCAGCGAGTTCACGTTGGTGGGAGTTGGTGTCGGCGCTGTAGAGCCACCAGATGGTAACGCCGGGGGCGAAGATGCATGCATGTCTGTGTTCAGTACTTGCTGTCAACTAGAGTTTTCTCGGTTGACTTGATAGATTGCTGCAGTCGAACGGATGTAAGTAAGGTGGGAGGGAGGAATGAAAGCCTTCGTTGCCGCCCAAATGTTCTGTTGGAGAGGAAAGAAGCGAGCGCAGAAGGGTTTGAGCTTTCCGGACATGACATGAGCTGACTCAGCACCACAGAAGAAAGTCCGACCCTACGTGTGCGGCCAGGACTGTCGACCTTGCCCGTGAACGGCAACCCTACTAACCGTATCAACGCAAGATCACAAGGAGCTGTTCATCGCAGCTGGGACTTCATGCAGTAGAGGGAAACAGCCAAGTCTGATCCAACATATCAAGAGAAAGCCATCCATAATTCAATGGAAATCTATTCTAGCACTTAATGTTTCGACATTTACAGTTTCTCGAGTACGACTACCTTCAACCACCCTTATTCCTCAACAGATCATAACGATTACCCAGCCGACTATTAATCCACCCCGACTCCTGCTCTTCGTATCCTTTCTATAGCAGGGTCCCAAAAATGGAGGAATACACATAGCATAGAGTCCGGGGATGGGGAAATTTGGTACAGGAATTAAAAACGGAAGATATACCAGGAGTGTGCTGACAGATAAAGCACATAGGCTGAGGGAGGGTAGCTGAGGGCCTTCTTCCTATGTACCGTAGCATAATATCTCAGCTCCTTTTCTGCCCAAAAATATCAAAAATTCTAAAAAGAAACGAATCACAAGGGATCTCAGATCAAGACCTCAAAACCGCGGGTCGTGGTGTCCACGGGTCGAAATCATTGTGGTTATGGCGATGGCGAGTCTGCGCGAGGAGACGAGATGCTAGCGACCATGCCACCAAATCTTCGTGGGCTTCTTGTTTGTGAGCTGTAGTCGGTATCACCGTTTCTCATCGATAGGTCGTGTTCTTCGTCGCCTGGGCTATTGCTGCTGCTGCCCGTTTGTTGATTGGCCGCCTCTGCGGCATCGGCGAAGATCCGCTGAATGAGTGCAGCGCGCTCCTCTGGAGACATTCGCGAAATGTCGTCGTGCGCAGAGTCGTGCGCAGAGTCGGTTTGGCAGTGATAACCTTCGGCAGCCGAAGCAATGTCGCCGGGAGATTGATTATTCTCGCCGCAACGATCCAACCAAATCATGGAATGTTGCGATGCTTCCAGAGGAACATGCAATGGGATCTGCTCTTGGTCAACCTTTGCGGGCTCAGCGTACTTCAGCAATGGTTGCGAAACATTTTCGATGACCATTCCGGGCGATGGGCTGTTCGGTCGGGGAGTTGGCGGCTGGCACACCACCGTAGGCTGAGTCGATTGAGTGCTCTCTTCTCCATCGTCGCAAAGATCTACAACTTCAATATCCGGCTGGGGACTGCTCTTCGACCCAACCTTTGTCTTCTTTCGCATCTGGCTCATAGTTTCCGTGTACGGACCATGGGATCCATTGGATCGAATGATGCAACGTTCAGCTCCGGGATATGCCGCCAGATAATGCAGGAATGGCTCCGACACAATCAAGTCCTGATGTCCGCACGGAACAAATGTCGTCAGTGTGAGGCCAGTATATCAGAATCTCCAAGCTCAAGGATCGACGTCTTACAGATTTTTCTATGATGTCGCCGCACACTGAACATTTCCACTTCGGACTGAGTCGAGACATATTGGTGAAGGTCTGGCGGCATCAAGTTGAGTACACGAGCGGATCCGAGTCAACCAAGAACTCCATTACCTCCAAGTCAAAGCACTGCACGTGACGGCATTGTCGACCTTTCCCAGGAACAACGATTCTCCTCAAAGCAACTGGGCAGATGAGGTTCACTATTTCGTCCCCAATTTCAATGCAGTCATCGTTTTCAGGGTCAGAGGTGCCGCTTCGTTTTAGGCTTCCATCCTTTTCAGCGGATTGATCCCGGGCTAGCATGGGGTCGCATGCGACAGTTGGGGATGCAGAAATCGTTGACGCAGACCGTTTCGATACACCCACCGCTGGCGCTATCAGAGGGTACGGGGGTCGTACCGGAGCAGAATGTCGGCGCAGGAGGGATGGTACGGCTAACATATCAAAAGGGATTAGCCCTCTGCACCGGCATGAAAAGCGTCGGAGAGTGACCTACCGGAAGCACGCCCATTGGGATGCAGCTGCATTGTTCATTGCCAAACCAAGCAATGCGGTCAGAAAAACAACATTAAGCAGTATTGTTATAGGCAGGTCGTAGTACCTGAGGATCTAATCTTCGAAGGCAAATCATCGCAAAGCCGTTGGCAAAGTCCTCAGCATGCGACTCGATCGTGATCGTAATGTGTTTGTGGTCAAATTTCTCTTGATTCAAGGCCGGAAGAAGGTTTATTTGAACCCCGTTCGACATCCCATGCGCGGGCTGAATGTTGAGGAGAGATGGTTGAGCAAGATGGCTTCCATCATCAAAGCAGCTTAACAATTTGTCTTACCAATAATCGGGTACCATTCACGCATATCCTCATTTTGCATAGCATCACGTCCGTCGGAACGACTTCTCCGCCGGTGGCACGCCCGGGCTGAAACAGATATAACGCTACTGTCATGCCCTCATTGCTACGACTGCTTAGTACCCCTCGCCTGATGATCGTCGAGTCGACTGTAATTGTGAATTTGCGCTTGTCCCCATCCACTTGCATGCACCGCTTGTTGAGCATCTGAGAAGCGAGCTCAACAACGGGAGCCACCACCCCGACTTCGCCCTGTGATCTGACACGAGTGGCTTCGAACATTCGCTTCCATGCTGGAAGCACTATCAAAGACGGCCCAACATTGTTCTTTCCGTTTGGCGATGAGGAAAGATTCTTCGCAAAGGTCGGTCGGTCGATCGGGGAGACTGGTGGCTTGTTCGATGTGGAGACTTTGGTGACCTCTCCTTTCACAGTCGCGGATTTGCAGTCTGTCGACTTTGGGACAGAAAGACGTTTTGCGGAGGCTGGTGCGACGGTTGTAGCTCCGACGGTGTGAGCGGTACTCTTCAGGCACTGAGCGCGATTTCTATTATTGATCACAGCTGAATCGTTTGCGGTTATGACCCTATGCATAGCGTTGCGCGAGCCTTTTGGAACGGCGAAGCTGTTGCCGAGGTTGCTACCAGGCAGCGGTCGGTCCGCTACCCCTCTGTCGATAATCATTGGGAGTGCAGGCTCGAACCCAGGTCCATCGAACGGGGCATACGGTGGGTTCGGTGCAGCGTGATGGTGAGACGGGTATATTGGTGGAGGGTGACCTCCAGGACCATACATCCAAGGCTCTTCGCCAGGTAACAGGTCATGCGATGGTATGTCGTGAGGATCGTGAGGGAAAGGGTCGGCGTGGGTTGAGAAACGAGGGTGAACTGGTGGGAAGAATTCGTACGGCCCTCCGTAGAAGCTCATCTTGGACACAAGATCTTGCGTGTTGACGCGCTCTACAATCCAAAAAGCAGTTGCCGTTGGAGGATATTGGTAAGCTCTGCAACTCGGACGCTCTCGCCACCGAAGTCAGCACGTAAGTTTGTACGGGGCGAGGATCTCCGCAACGGTGACAGTAGTGGAGGTTTCACGCGTCGGTTATGAAAAGAAGGGACCAGACGGACGAAAGTTGCGAGTGGACAGGTGACACCTGCGCTACGTTTTTGAACAGTGCTTTTGTTGGCGAAAGCGTAGGAGACCGTACGGGGTCGCTTATCGTCGGGGAGCAACTTCTCTGGTGTTGCAAGTTCTGCAAGCAGTCCCGTCTGCTGGAGGACCTGAGAGACGAAGAAAGCAGAAGGTCGGGGTGAGCCTGACGGGAACGGGGGCAGTGACAAATTAGGCGCGACCGACGCGTTCTGGCCTCCTTTTCGCCCTCTTGTGAGTCGAAGCTGGGTCTGAGAATGAACAGACACTCATGGCGAATACCGCCAACACTGAAGATCAAGAGCTCGTGGATATCTCCGGAGTCGGCTCAACGACGTTCGCTGAACGGGTGGTCGGATCGCTATATCTATTTACCATATGCATGTACGGGATGGAAGCCTACCTTAAGTCGGTGTCCAATTCGAACGAGTGTTGTAATGTCGATCCCCTAAGGACGGCGATCACCGTAGATCCAAGTTGGCAGATCTGGCTGATGGATTCGGCTGTTCGCAAAGGCCTTCAAATCGCAAATGCTGGGGCAAAAAGCAGGGAAGCATGCAATGGTCTTTATATCTGGATCTGGATGTCCGGATATCTGGGGCGAGGAGGGGCCGCGACACGAAGGTTTGGCCCAGCCGGGCGAAAACATACCTGGAGTCGTGAGCCGTCCGACAGACATCAAGAACATTGGAACTGTCGGCGTGACCCACCGGGAAAGCCCGCGCAGCCTCAGAACCCTGAGATAATGAGAGTACGTATATGGGACATCCCCGGTAAGAACGTGTGATTTCCCCCTTCCATCTCACAATTCCCAGGGCACGCGTTCTTATATCGGAAAAGGGGTATCTCTCTCGGACGTCACGATGTGCAGACAAGCTGCATCGCAGGGGGCTCCACTATACTTACGTACTGGCCAGAAGAGTCTGGACCGATATTCAGCATATGCCATACATAAAGCGTAAACTCACTGCGTAACCCGCGACCGGCGACGACACCCCATAGCGAGCCGTTCACCGTACATGTACGGCCAACGGCGGTTCGGCAGAACGACCCTACAGTGTCGTCAATGACTTTCGGGAAAGCACTTGCTGTGATGGTTGCCTAACGAGACGAGCAATATTTACATTCTCCTAATGCTGGATATAGAGCAGTAGGGCAGGGTAAAAGCTTTGGATCTAACCGGCCTTGCTACAGATCTAGACGCCGTAGTAACCCTCGTAAACGAGCTTTCCGTAGTATGCGCTGCCCAATGTTCCCAGGAAAGCAAGCATAATGGGAACTGGCTTGCGTGTCCTTAACGCTCTAGGTCCCATAGAGCCCAACAAGAGCGCAGAGGTCACGGCAGCAAGCGGAGCGCCATACTCTGCGTTTTGTTGCAGAAGGTACCTGCCATTGATCAAATATTAGCAAGGCCGGTTGTAGCGTAACAAAGACCAGGCAGGACTGAAGGCATCGGTGTGTCGCATTTGACGTGGAACTCACCCAGATACAGAGTACAGAGCACCGAAGGCCAAACCAGCGATCAGAGAGGGGCGCGACCTAGTACGCGAGTAGCTGTTGGAGTTGAAGGTGAGCGGCTGTTGCTCTGTAAACTGCTTTTTCGGGTACCTTACCCGATGGCTCCGCCGATGGCACCTAGCGGAAAAGAGACGACTGGTTTAGCGCATGAGCTCGGACTCTCACGATGGGCGCGGGAGTGACTCTCCAAGTCCCTCAAGGACAAAGTACTTACAAAGGCCTCCCAGGGTGAATGCAGGGTGGTGGGACATGTTTCGTTATTTCTGTCTGGGAAATTGAATCTTCGTCGCAATTTGTCGAAATGCCTGGCGGAAGTTGGTTCTAGTTCGGAGCTGCCACGCGTTCGTTCGGGACTGGCCAGGTCCTGGGCCAGGTCGGGGCTTCGGAAGTCTCAACGCGATGCCCGCATCGGCCAAGTAGAAACCACCGAACGGCAGGTCAACCGAAGGGTCGCAATTCGCTGGCGGATCGGATCGAGTTGCACGCAGTTGAGACCCGCTGGTAGCTTCTTGAATAACATGGAATATAGTCCGCAAGTTTCTGGGTTCTCCGGGACGTCGGAAAACGCCTGTACGCAACCAACCCACACGCACACCAGTAGCCCGAATACAACAACGGAGAGGGCAGGAGGGGAGCGAGGCTGTCCAGTTTCCGTCGAATCGTCGAATCTTTTCGGCTCCTATAGCATACTGTTTTGAGCTCGAAGTGTGTCGTCTCCACGTTTTGTCGAGGAGTCTGGAAAGCTGCCATCACATTCATCCGCTTTCAAACGATATGAGGACCTTCCTCGAGGAGGGCTCGATAAGGTGCTTCGACAAGTCATCTAAACAATCTTGAAGTCGTCTTGAAACAGCATGTTACGGGTAGCATTGCGAGCGAAGACTAGCCAAAAAGCCATATCTGCGTCGGAAAGCCTTTTAGTGAAGGATCACAGCGAATCACCTCAGCACTCGGCTGTCATCTCTCTCACTTTGAAGCATACTGCCAACCAATGCTTTTGACGAATCATTCGCTCATGATGGAGCAACCAGATGTGCGGGTGAGGAGAGTACTTCGCAAATGCAAGCGTAGCGTTCTATGTAGGGCCGTCCGGAAATCAGGGCGACTGTGAAATGGGGCATGACATGACTGCACGTTTGCAGTCACCCTTGTTGACAATCCAAAAGCCGGGAGGAAGCCGGACTGTGCCAAGATCTGCGATGGGATCTATGCTGCGTTGTGAAGTTGTAAACTGGTGACAATGCATCGAATGAAACCACAGAGATGTGACATAGCTATCCACGCAGCAGGGTTATCCATGCACGTATTCAACGCTCAGCGTACTTTGACCTGAATTGTTGAGACGTGTACTACTTGCGTTGGTTACGGTAGTCCCCAGGAGCCCCGAAGGGGGTCGCGGATAATCGACCTTCGAACGCAGCATGACATCTCGCAATCCGTAAATTGACAGCGCGAAGGTGTGCATTTGGCGCTGGCGGAAAAAGAGCCCACGCGTTCTGAGTGACGCACGTTGACGCAAGAAACGGGGCTTTCCCTTCGCACCCTGAGGTTTTTCCAATGTCCCATGTTTTTTGCCACTCATAACCGTCCGGCGACCGATATTAAAAGCAGATGCCTCTCGTCCTTTCCTTTTCTCAGACACAGAAAATCGTCTATACCACTCCGTTGGATACTTCTTCAGACACATTAAACACACCCTCCACTTTCATCACCGCATAGTCAATCCCCTTATTCATTATGGCAACCCCAGCAGCAACTAGCGCAACCGCCGCATCCACCAAGTACGCCCCCCTCATCAGCAAAGTGCTTCGTCTCTACACCTCCCGCGACCCCAAAGAGCAGCAACAAATCATCGAAACCCACTATGCGCCGAACGCAACATTCGAAGACCCTCTGATGATTGTCCACGGCCCCACCAACATCATCTCCCAATTCCACGCCCTGCTTTCCTTCTTCTCCTCCATCGATGCCAACGAGACGCCCCTGAACTCCATCGGATCGTTGAAAGACACGCAGCCGCCGCAAGGCGAGAGTCTCGCGAACGGAGAATTGATCTCGGTGCCGAATACGCAGATCTACCGACGAGGGGAGCCGAGCAAGCCGAAGGAGATCCCGATTGAGGCTGTTACGCACATCACGGTGGATAAGACCTCGGGCAAGGTGCTTTACCACAAGGATGTGTGGTTAAACCACAAGTTTGAGAACCCGTCGTTGGTCAAAAAGGTTTCCGGTGCGAGTAGTTCGGCGATCTTCAAGCTTTTCAATGTTGGCGGATGAGAGCAATGATGCGGTGGGTTGGAACCCTTGGCCGGCGGATCTCTGCCATGCGTTGGATCTACTGTAGATCTAGAGGATTGCAGGTCGTGAGGGAGTGCCACTGATTGTGTCACAAAGCATGTAAATAGATACCGTTTGATTGAATACACATTTTCGACCTTAACACATTCATGTAACCATTCCGAAGTTTAACAAACCGCTGCAGCACATTCACTTCCTTGCAACACAGTGAGAAGTAGTATACAATCGAGTATCATTCTATGATGTACAACAAGGGGTAAATCTGAACGTGTCCAGCAGGGGACTAAGCGCAAAAAATCAAATCTAAGTACAGGTGTAAATGTAAGAGAACGGATGAGGAAGGGAGAAACAAAGAAAGGTGAACAGCTCCGTACATCAAAAGGGAGGAAAGCTTAATATGAACAAAAAGAGGTCGAAAGGACATGTGCGACGAGTGTATATGTACATATGCTACTGTGAAGTCAAATATCCGTATCCTGATTACGCCAGCTGAGAGAGCCCCAAAACGAAGGCGCCCACCGCAGCAACTACGCCGCTGAACGAGAGCTTTTCAGAGGAGGAGACGACACCGGTGTTCGATTCGCTAGATGTCGCCGTCGCAGTTGGGTAGGAAGAGTCGACCGTGGCGGACGGGGCCTCAATGACAACGGAAGCGTGGTCAGAGTTCTTCTTGTGGCATTTGCGGCGGGGGGTGGAAGGCTCAATGGTACCAGTTGGGAATGAGGTGTCGCTGGTGACGACGTCGATGTCCGAGGTTGGGACGGGAGCAGCAGTGGACGCGGCACCACCTTCAACAGTGGTGGGAGCGCTTCCGGAACCTCCAGACGCCGAGTTGAGGGTGACGACGTCCAGAATCTGCCACGGGTTGCCGGGGCCTCCAGAGGCAACGACGGCGTGAAGGGTGAGGGGTCCCTGGTCCGCAGCCGGCGCAGTCCAGGTGAAATCAACTTTCGTGCCCTTCGGCGTGGGGTTGGCGTGGGTGATGGTACTCTCCGGAGCGTCGTTGACGATCTTGGCACCAGTGCAGATATCGGCATTTTGCACACGGAAGTTTTCGGGAACCTTGAAGGCACCAACGTGCTTGCTGACTTCTCCCGCGCTCACATACATGAGAACTCCGACAACATTTTTATCACCTTGGATTGTAAACGTGAGCGGGGCTCCTGGGGTCTGGATGAGCGAGGCAAACAAGAAATGAGTATCGCTGTGCTTATAGAAGATGATAGCGCATCACAACTTGCTTGTGCCCTCCAGGACAACTGAAGAGCACCACGTCGCACAATCGCACGCAAACACTTACGTAGGTAGAAGCCGAGGTGGTGATTGTGTAGCCGGCAGCGGAAGGATCAGAGTGCGCTGCAGAGATGGCCGCCTGGTTGATGGCGCACTTCGGGGCACCGGTGGGAAGAGCTTGCGCAACACCCGCCAGAAGGACGGACAAGGACAAGAAAGAGGATAAGGAAGGCATGGTGAATCAACGAAATGCGCTTGAGTCTTTGAGAAAAAGGCGAAGCAGCTGTGGCAAGGAGGGTGAATTCGATTTTGGAACAGCTGGAATGAAATGGAGAGGGCTGGAAACGGAAACGGAAACGCAGGGCGGCGGGCTTCTTTTGTAAAGCGACGTCTCTCCGACTCTCTCGGCAGGCCAGCCCTGAGCTTCACGCAGAAGGTGCCCGCATAGTGCGCATATCCTGTTTCCGCCGTTTAGACCGTATCCGTTTTGAGTCAGATCCAGCACAGCAACGAGACAAAGACGACGAGATTGGGGCCTTTTGGGATAAGTCGAGTGGCGCGTCGGGGCCCCCAAACAGGGGAACATGAAACTTCAAATTCACTGATGATTATACCGATGCGGTACGCGTTGACTGCGCATTTTTTGTTGAAGAACACTCGACGCGTTACACTCGGAGCAAAACACACTCCGACAAGCAAACCTGAAGGATGGGTGTTAGCCAAAGGTACATAAGCGTTTAGAGACCGCTACCGCGTTTCCGGAGCTGGGTTACTGACAGTTTGTTTCCCACCGTCGATTTATATACCGAAAGTTGCGCGTCTTCTGCCGATTTCCACGCCCGGTGCCAGCGTATATGAGCAAGAGTTCGTTATTGTTCGGCATCGTCTGGCATATCTCCTCCATCAACATCGTTCCTACGTCCAGCTCTGCGAGGAGAACGACGACCCCGTCATCCCACTCCTATTGTTGCTACGACTTCGGGCCTCCCCAACCGAACTCGCTTGATCGAAGAACTCGCTACGTACTATATGGAAGATCCTGATGTAGAAGCTCTAGGTCAGGGGTCCGAATCCGCGATGAGCCACCGCCGGAGGACCGGCCAAAGATCGAGACCATGATAATCATTTAGTGCCGGATAGGTTCACCCGAAGCAGATGTGCATGGGAGGTCCCTCAGTCCTTCTGACGGACGATACTTTGAAGGTTTTGCATCCGAAGTACCTTTACGTTTGTGAACGGGCGAGCTCCTTTTTACGTTTGTGAACGGGCGAGCTCCTTCTTACAGAAAGGATTCTCACGTTTTGCACCACTTTGCAAGGCATACACTGTAGTGTTGAGACCACAGTGTCGAAGCTAAGTATGTACGCCCAAAGGATGTTCTCTCCGACACAAAGCGAACCCTCACAAGCGCATATGTTCAACGGAAGCTCTGATGTTTCGCAAACGTATGCATTTCGCAGTGTTACAACAAAGTATGAATTTGTATCCAAAAAGCCGGGGTTAGACCAACGTTCTCTATATAATAAGGGACACATTGTGAAAAGGAAACGAGGAAATCCAACGATCGACCAGATCGCAACGCAGTGCTCAAGATCCGACTAACTAAGTAAAGTCTCTGTACCGATGGTATTACGCGGGGTAGATGTGAACGGAGGGGTCGCGATGTGATTGCTGATGTGATGGGTGTTGTGGATTACGGGCGAGCGCTTCATGGAAGAGCGGCTTCAAGACCACGACGGACGTCTTCGATCAAGTCCTCAGCATCTTCGATTCCGACGGACAACCGGATCAAAGTGTCCGTAACTCCAACCTCTTGCCGTGCCTCGGGCGTCAGAGAGGCGTGTGTCATAACGGCCGGCAGCTCGGCCAGCGACTCGACTCCACCAAGGGATTCCGCAAGCGCAAAGATGCGCAATGTGGAAAGGAACCGGTTGGATGCGGGGAGGCCACCGCTCTTCAGGCGGAAGCTGACCATTCCACCGAATCCACGTTGCTGCTTCTTTGCGAGGGCGTGTTGCCGGTGGCTTTCAAGTCCTGGGTAGATGACCTCCTCAACTTTGTCGGATGCTTCCAGGAACCGCGCGACGGCGATCGCATTTTCCTCATGACGTTTCATCCCTGTAGAAAGTTATGTGAATATGTGATTCCATAGCAGAAGGCGAGAATCGGGCGATGTACTTACGAAGATGCAGTGTCTTCAAACCACGGTTGGCCAAGAAGCAGTCGAAGGCGCTAGGCACACCGCCGATGGAGTTTTGCAGGAACTTCAGCTCTTCGTTGTACTCGTCGCTGTTGGTGATAGCAACACCCATCACAACGTCAGAGTGTCCGTTGATGTACTTTGTGACGGAATGGACAACGATGTCGGCGCCGAGTTCAAGGGGATTTTGGAAGTATGGGCTCATGAATGTGTTGTCAACGACAAGGACGACGCCAGGTTGGGAGTGAGCGATTTCGGCGATAGCCTTGATATCGACCAATCGCAGTGTAGGGTTTGCTGGAACATCGTGATTACCGCGTTAGTGACAAATCCCAAATTGGTTCCAAGCCCTAAATCACAATTAAGCTTACTCGGTGTCTCAATCCACACCATCTTAGTGTTTGGCTTCAATGCCTTCTTCAACACATTGGGGTCGAAAAGATCCAGGAACTCAACCTCCACACCGTTGCGCTTGGCAACCTTTGTGAAGTAACGGAAGGTTCCACCGTACGTGTCGTTGACCGAAATAACGTGGCCACCTTGGCCCACCATGTTCAAAACGGTGGCCGTGGTGACGGAGCCCGAGGAAAACGCCAAAGCATATTTGCCCTTCTCCAGAGCGGCAACAGCCGTCTCGAAAGCCTGGCGAGTGGGGTTGCCGGACCGAGAGTAGTCGAAACCCCTATGCACGCCGGCAGCACTTTGCGCGAACGTGGTCGACAAGCTAATGGGTGGAATAACGGCACCGGTGATAGGGTCTGTAGCGGAAGCGGAAGATCAGCTGAAGCCCACCGGTAAGAACACCCTTCCGTTTCTAGAGACGCGACACATACCTGGCTCCTGGCCAGCGTGCACGGCAAGGGTGGCGAATTGTCCCGTCTTGGTCATGGTGGAGGTAGGTGGTTGGCACGAAGTAGAATTAAGTTTCTTTTGGGGATGCTGGAAGTGTGAGCTCGCCCAGGGCGGACTGTCGACTCCCTTGATATTTATATATGTCTATCCTCTTGCTCTATTGAGGCTGCCAGCGTCTCGGTGACCCCCCCAACGCAGTATTTTTAGCAAGGTGTTGGCAGTGGTGTTTTTTTTTTGGAGTCCGCCTGTGTGCTCAGCAGATGCACAAGGACGCGATTTCAAACCACACCTGAGACTGCTATGACTGCGCGCTCGCCCATCAGTCCCAGGTTGCGCAACCGTAATTGCGTCTTGCACAACCCTCCTGATTGGCCGTGACCGGCAACAACAACTTCTAAAGACATCCAAAACTTCCAAGGCGCAAAACCCCCGACTCCGCTGTGAATCCGCCGATAAATCCAGATCCAAATGGACCCGTTCAAGAGCAACGGGACCCCGGGCACACTGGCAGATCATAAAACCTTGCAGATCCGCTGAGTAACGTGGATTCAACGTGGGCCGTAAGTTGGTGACAAACGTCGTTGAGGCTCGATTGGAACGTGTGCTGAAGTCGAGGCGAAAGCTGTTCCGTTCTCGCGTCTCTGACCGCGGGGTCATGAGACAAAGTATGGTTGGGTGAAAGGACGGCAAGCGCAAGACGTGGAGGACGGTCCGGTGACTAAAGGAGACGGGCGTTCAGAAGAAAAGTGCATTAGTAATGAATGCGTTGTCGATGTCGGGTTTGTGGTCGGACGCCGCTTCAGAAGGACAAGGGGTCGGCAGAAGTTAGTAAACAGGCTAGGGGACTGTGTTCCCCAAACGAAACCTTTTACAGACTCACACAGGAACGGTGCGAACGAGCGCACCGCACTTAACAACACCGAAGATCACTTCGAGACTCACCCGTTTATGTTCAGCATGCAAACTCGTACCAGAGGACATACCGGCAACGGTCAGAGGTTAAGGCGGACAAAGGGCATACCGGCAACGGTCAGAGGCCGAGGGGGAAGAGCGGCGGAAGGATAGATGCCGAGGAGGGCACATGGCATAGAGACTAAAACCGCCATCGCCCCTCGAAGTTGAGGCCCAATCGAAGCAAGAAGTTCGAGGAGGACGAATGCGTACATTCTGAAGTAACGACCGAATCGGAGGATTAAACCGGTGCTCGGATGTCGCTCGCGCGTTTGCGACCGCGGTAATTTGGTCGAGCAAGTTATGACTGCAATTGATTCTGGCGGCTTTTTCTAAAGCTGCACGAGTTTGAGGGCGATTGCGGCCCTTGCGTCACACTTTCGGAGCACCGGATGGGAAACTTCTTCATTTCTGTGGACAGCAGACGCGGGACGCGGATGAACGGCGCTCCGGTGGACTCAACAGTGAGCAAAGCAATAAACCTGGATCTACTATCACGAGAGAGTGCACGATTGTTCACAATGAGAAGTTCTTGAGAGGGATGCTTGACACCAGCGCCTGGGCGGTCGCACTTTGTTGACGGAGTGAGATAAGGGAAGACATATAGGCTGGAGCTCAGAGATCAGTAAGGTCGCGGGAAGGCTTCGCCGACGACTGGGATGGACTTGAACTCATTCAAGCTAGAGGGCCCATATAGGCGAATGATCGACCCCCTGGACATGAAGAGGGCTCTCTTTGAAAGGGAAAGGAAGGACACCCACAGGCCCGCTCAGCAGCGGTGTACGCCACGGCGATAAGCGGACTCGGACGTGTTTGCGAGATTCTGGAGATGGCGACTCTGGTTCATCTGCGGCATTCGACCGGTTCATTGAAGAGACGAAGCTCCAAATCGAGGTGACTTTGACTGCTGGGCACTGTGTGGTCGTGATCAACCGAGCGTAAGCTGAAAAGTGTTCATCTTATTCCGTGCTGTTCCGGCGTTGAACAGCACTTCGGAGATGCGGCGTTGCTGAACATACATCCCGTAAATGTGACAACTGAGACTCGACCTCGCCAAGTTGTTGGAGGGCTGAAGGTAGCACTACATGTGCACATCAGGTTAGAATTTTTCGTAACTTTGATCATTCGGCGTTTCAACGTCAAATTTGGGTCTCCTTCAACTTCGGTTCATATGGTGGAGCGGTCATGTTTTTCTGTGCGGTCTGTGCGGACAGAAAGCCATGAAGGCGGAAACACCATACAGTTCGGTCCAGTGGTGAAGATTCCAAAAGAATGCTATTTCATGTATTTACAAAAGTGCAATTCCAGTCCTGCAATTTGCTATAGGCGAAGAGAGTCCCTACCGGTAGATGCTAGATGCTACTTCTAATCCCGTCTCTACCAAGCGATTTCTTGGCCATCGAACCCCCAGAACGTGCCAGTGTTTTCCGGTGTTGCCTTGTCGATGAGGGCTACTAGGCCTTTAACACTATCGGGCACCTTGACGGGCGCCTCTTTGAGGCCTGCCGCTGCCGCTCCAGTGTTGCCCATATCGGTGGCGACCCAACCTAAAATTGCGGAATGTACAGTAAGTTCGTGGCTTGGGAAACTGTGATAGTTCTCGCAGACCTTCCTACCTGGGTGAAGGGGTTGGATGCTGAAGTTATCCTTCTTGTTCTCGTACGCAAGCTTCCGGGTCAGGCTGTTGACCGCCGACTTTGAGGTATTGTATGCGATGGTAGGGAACTCGGCGGCCTGAGGGATCTCCGTGATGGATCCCAACAGACTGCTGATTACGAAGAATTTGCGAGTTTGCTTCGCCTTCAGAAGAGACGAGAACGCCTGCCATCCACGCAACGGGCCGAGAGTGTTTACCTCGAGCGTCTCACGGAACGCCTCGATGGAAACATTTGATCCGTAGCCATCCTTGGGTGAAGAGATGCCAGCGTTGATGACAACAACGTCCAAGCCGTTCACGACCTTCTTGATCTCCTCCGCAACTTTCTTGTGGTCTTCGTCAGATGTAGCTTCGAGCTTGAGGATGTGGACGTTGGTGTGCTGCTTTACGTAGGCTTGCAATTCCTCAGACTTTGCGGGGTTGCGGGCGGTGGCGAAGACGATAGTATTTGGCCTCTCGGCAAAGGCTTTGACGAGGCCCAGGCCTATACCTCGGTTGGCTCCAGTAACGAGAATCGCGGCGATTGAATCGCTGTTGACAGTCATGTTGAGTGGTTGAGATATCAGAAGGGCGGCTTGTTTAGAAAGGTGTAAGATGAAGCAAGTTGCTCGACGGATTGATGTTCGATTGATAATAGGGAGTCGGATGAAGCGTTGCTTTTATAGACGGCTGGAAAGTGCTGGGGAGCGTGAAAAGCCAACGTGCACGCCTCGGCCATATTTGTCAGCCCATCCCCCTTCTTGCATTCCCGTTCGTACGCATATACCTTACTCTCTCCACATACGTGATATTGCGCCTTCCCGACAAGTTTCGCCGCCGCCCGCCCTTGTGGCGGAACCCCATTGCTCGACGCGTTCCGCCTTTCCGAGTCCGACATATTTCGGTGATTTGTCATTACACCGCTTGATGAAGGGTTGAAGCGTGGGAAATGCTGGCCGTAATTTCAAGAAAAGGGATATGGAGGCGGACCTTTGGCTAACCTGACTTGCCTTCATTCGTGGCTTTCCAAATTCCACTGGAAGTGCAGCCTACCATTGCACAACTTCGTCCGTGCTGGTTGACATTCAAGGATGATTTGAAAGCCCTCCCATTTTATGGCTGGGTTTAGATGGTTCTGCACTTATGGTACAGCTTCCTCGAGGGCTGGGGGCGGGGGTATCGTCTGAACCGATTGCTGACCGGAATGCAACACTCAGACGCGTGCGATAGGAACGCATATGTGCAATGTCCAGCCATGTCCAGGCTGAACATCACGCGAAGGTTACAATGGCAGATCAGCCTCATTCTGAAAACGAAGTCCTCTCGTTATGGGCAGTGCCTGCCAATCCTCAACACTTGGCGGATGTCATCGCTTCGCTTGCGGAAGAGCTTGGAACGTCTAAGGTTGGTAGGCGGTGTGGTGGGAATGTGCGCATCACCTGAGAGCTCATTTACTGCACGTAGTTCGATCCGCATATTACAATTCTAGGAAGTATCCCAGTGCCGAAGGATGAAGTGCTTGAACTCACACTCAAAGTGGCGGCGGAGGCCCGGAGATTCAATGCAACCCTAGTACGTGTGGATGTACCGCCATACCTCGGGATGATGGGTTGCCGTGGGAGGATGTCACTAATAGAAGCCGACTCCCAACCCAGACCGAAGTCACCGGCCACGCCAGATTTTTCGAATGCATCACCGCAACACCTTCTCCCACGACCGAGCTGCGAACCTTACGCGCTGCAGCGGAGAAGATTTTCGAAGGACATTGTCAGTCCGTTCTACCATATCGCCCGCATCTAAGCCTGCTATATGGCGAGCTTGATGAGCCTGCTAAGGAGGCCGTCATTAAGCGGCTAAAGGAACAGACGGGCGTAGGGATTGGCGTTCTTGGTGAAGTGATCCCTATCGAACGTCTACAGATTTGGACGACGGGACGATCCGTGGAGGAGTGGGAGATGATTGGGGAGGCTTTACTAGATATGTAGTAGTAGTACCAAGAACAACGACTCTTTGTAACGCTCCGTAGGAGAATACACGGTACAGTGATTGAAGCGACAGGAGCCTGGACGAGGAAGTCTTCATCATAAGTTTTCAAGGAACTTCGAAGCCATGGATGAACAAATGGTATCAGGGACAGATCCGACAAGATGAATGTGTTCAAAAAATGATCTGATATTTGCACACAAAACAGCCAGGTGGTATATTACAAAAAATGTAAGGCCTCAGCCTAATAATGATGACATCAGGAAGACTAATCTACGCACGAGCCTTACGGTCGGCCTTGTAAGTGTAGAAGCGGTTGAAGAATGCTTGCACGAACATGGCAGCGAAGATGATACCAGCGACGGCATAGAAGAACTTGGGTCGGTCACCCTTGCCGGTGCTGGAACCGAGAGGAGTCTCGAAGAGAGCAGCGGCGACCAGGTTTCCGATACCAGTGCCCAACAACCACAAGGCAGCGCAAGAGGACTTGGAACGCTTGCCTACTTCAGTGTAGGTGAAGTTGAGACCGGAGATGGACACGAGCACTTCGCCGACCGTGATGAAGAAGTACGGAACGATGAACATAGCGGTGTGGGAGCCACGGTCCATGCACATGGTGACGTCCTTGCCGGCTTCCTTCCATGTCTCGTCGACACAGTTGTCATCGATCTTCTGCTGAATGACAGCCATGATGATGAACGAGATCCCAGCGAAGAACTGACCGACGACCATACGACGGAGGAGACCGAACTTGACACGCTTCTCGATGGCGGGGTAGAGGAAGTTGGCGAAGATCGGAGCAAGGATGATAATCCAGATAGGGTTGATCACCGCGTTGGTGGTCTCAGAGTTCAACCAGTTGGAGTGGTCCATCTGGTCGGAGGTGTCCTGCCATGAAGTTCCGTTCTGGTCGAAACCGAGCCAGAAGATGATGGAGGGAGAGATGACGAAGAGAACCTTCAACAAGTCGAAGAGCTCAATGATAACAGCGTCAGATTCGGTCTCGGAAGTGGCGATGCGAGCGCGTTCGTGGCTGAAGCCGTTGCGGAAGAGGTTAAGGGTGTACTTGAATGCAACACGGGCGAGGATGGCGGGGAAGAAGACACCGGCCGGTGGCACGACACGGTAGCAGAACTTTCCGAAAGCGAAGACACCTAACGCGATGGCGAAGGCAATAGCGCAGACGGCGAAAGCCCAAGAGTAGCAGTCTTTACCACCCTCGAGGCCGAAGCAGCTTTTCTCGGCGATCTTGGGCTGGATGAAACCGGAGACGATGGAACCGACGTTGATGGCCATGTAGAAGTAGTTGTAGAACTTGTTCAGGTTCTGCTTCTGAAAGCTCAGGAACTGATCACCACCGTGGGAGGAGACACAGGGCTTGATACCACCGGTACCGACGGAAATGAGGAACAATGCAGCGAGGGGAGCACCGGAGGGAATGAAGCCTCCCTCGGTGGCGGGGACGAGGCCGGGCCTCGAGGTAATGGTAAGCATGAGAAGACCGGCGAGGTAAACCACGGAGAGGATGACGATGGTCTTGTACTTGTCGAGGTAGGAGTCAGAAATGGCGGCGCCTCCGAGGGGGGTGAAATAGGTGAAGGCTTTCCAGATGTGCTGGATACTGTCGGTCTTAGCCTTGTCGAAACCGATCATTTTCTTGAGGAAAGGCTTGAGAATCGGGCTGATACCGTAGTAACAGAAACGCTCTCCCAATTCGTTGGGGATGATAAAGAAGAGAGCCCTGGGCATACGCTCGGGGGTCTCACGAAGCTTGGCGTCAATGGCGGCATTGATCTTGGCCTCACGCTCTTGGTGCTCGCGGTCAACGATGTCCTCTTCGAGGACCTCGCCCTGCTCGACGAAGGTGGAGATGTCCTTCTTCTCATCGTGAGGGACACTGGCTACTGCGACGTCAGCCATGATGAATGGGGTTACTGAGCGGTTGTTGACGAAGCGGGAGAAAGAGGTGAATCGACCAGCGATGAACTATTTGACACCTCAACGTGACCGACCAGCGGGACTGAGATGCTATTACAAGGGACTGCAGGGCAAAGGCGAGGGCGACAGCGAGCTCGTCCGCTTTATATGCTGGGGGTTTTGGGGTCGTGGATGGGTACGGTCACAGCCGGGGTACCATAGATCTTGCGCTTGTCCATTGGACTGTGGGATTGCGTGTTTGCCTGCTTATCTTTGCGGGCCTGCGCCTCCCGTGTGTGGCACTGTGAGCCAGCTGGTTGTACAACTTGAGCTCGTTATCATGGGATCTCCACAGTTTGAGTTTTGCGGTCGGAGGCTGCACCAGGTTGGGCACCAACCCCCATGGCCCCATGGGCTGTGGGATGGGGATGTGACCGACCGCCCTGACTGCCGCTCAATCCATTGACCCATGAATTTAGCTCTCACACCTTTAACATAATAAGCCTGATCTCGGAAGTCTTCGGCCAGCGTGACAACGTCCGCGCAGAAAAAAAGCGCGTTCGTCAGTGAGCTGAACAGGCGTGGACATTGAAACGACTGGGGAAAGATCCGCGCGTCAACGGAACGGAACACAGGGCGTCTGACGGGCCCGATTGAATTTGGGTTGAAATGAACGCGGGAGTCGCACACACTCCCGCCAAACAAATCCATAGGAACGAGCAGTCGGTGTAATCAACGCTGGCCGAAGATCAAGAGCACAAACACGAAACGAAGAAAAAGTTGCAGGCGGTATCGAAATAGGGTTCATTAATAAGGGCGATAATATGGTAGCTTGATCAGGGCGATCAACTTAGCTCAATTTGCGATGGACATAGCAAAATTCCGCCGGGCTGAATTTAAAGGTCAGGGGATGTGTAACCAAGGAGGCTGCTGCATGGTATGCAGTTAGTGGATCCGGTGGGAACTTGTGCGGAAAGGTGAAGGCACATCCTCGAAGGGATTTCAGGGGCAGCACGCACATAGACAGTACAGTACAGTACACCGTCTCTGGCCCTATCTGGACCATGGACCTGACCCTCAAAGGCATGTACTGTAGAACCAAAAATCGAAGCTAAATACAGGCTGAGAGAAGTCAATATTTGGTACTTCTTCCATTGCTATGACAGCCCGCATGCGTCGGGGCATGGATTCGATGAGGCGTTGAAAGGATGTTATCCCATTCTGCTTTGGCAATACGTTCAATTTCGGGAAGGCCTGATTTTCTATTTCTGTTTCAGCTATATATAAGTGTTCGGAATTTCGTACGCCTTATGAATTCTCCAGTTCGGGGCTAAGGAACAGAGGCACTGTTTTGGTGGGGCCGGGTGTCTTTCTAGGCCGGCTGGCTGTCTATCCACTGCTGCGGTGTGGTCCGGACAGAGCCCTTTCTTGGACTCTGGCTATGGTTCTACGGAACGGGTGGGAGTCAGTGGGTGTGGTGATCGCCTATCTATATATATATGTAACAAACAACTGGAGCGGGCATGGATTCGATGAGGCGTTGAAAGGACTGCAATACGGTCAATTTCGGAAAGGCCTGATTTTCTATTTCTGTTTCAACTACATATAAGGTTAGGCCTATCTATCATATCTATATATTTCATATATACTGTACATAGTCACAAACAACTGGCATTTGTAACGCAAACACATCCGAGAACGGCGTATGTTGATAGTTCTTCCCTACGCAGGACTTCCCCGTCGCTGCTACTTAAGAAGGGTGAGGTTTTCGGTTTCCCCCGGGCTTCACCACCGCAGAGTAGCACCACAATGTCTAACGTATCTGCCTCAATCACTTCCGGTTCTTTACCAGTCACTCTCCCTGCTTCGATTGTCCCTCCTTCCCCTTCCCCACCTGTCGCTCTCCCGTCGAGCAGCAACCCCATGGCACGTACGACGTTCCGAGTACTTACAGACGGCAAACCATTCAAGTCGGTCGCCGCCAGGCTCTTGGCTGCGCACGGCCTCTCCGTCGAAATGGAAAGGGTGGCCGAATACACCATAGTAAAGGTCGAAGGCCCAACGAGCGCTGTAAGAAGCGCTGTCGAAGAACTTCGCAGGTAGGTTTTCGCAACAGCTGCAGCTGTAATCAAAGCGATGAGCTAGCATACAATGGTAAAGCGTTCTCGTTATAGCTCCTTTTCCGACCTCCATTTCACCTTTGGGGTGATCGAGGAAGCTGCCGGCGACGAGATTATGACCGCCGCCCGGAACATGGTCTCGTCGCCGGCAGCTTCCTCGAAGAAGACCGCCAAGCACGGAAGCATCTTCCGGCACGGATCAAGCGGTAAGCTATTCCCTGAAGCAAATTGTGCAGTAACCCGTAGAACTCACACGGTGTGGCCTTTCTATAGGTGACATGGACCAAGCATATCTGGTGCAGCCTCCGCCGTCCTATGCGGCATCTGTCGGTCTCCTAGAGCGGATGTGGTCCTGGCCCAGCTACATCGGGAAGAGTGTGCCGGGCGGCCCCACCGTGCAGGCCGCTGTAACCGGGGCGGCGGTCGGACTTAGCTCGCTGGTTGGCGGCCCGGTGGCGGCCACTTCCATGGTCGGGCCGGCTGGAAGATGGGCTGGGCAATTTGCGGTGAATGCCGCCCGCCCCACCGTCGGTGAGTCGAAGGGGTCTCTGCAAGTTACTAACCGCATGAATAGGTAGCTTACCATTGAGTTTATATTTAGCCTTTGACGAACAGGCGACTCTGGCGGCGTGGCGCGCCTCAAAAGTGGTGGTCAGCGACCAGCTGGAACTTGCGCGCGAGCGCACGAAGCAGATGGGTGCAGAGGCCCAGGCCCGCATTGAAGAGGCTCGTGCTCGAATCGCCGAAGAAACGACAAAGCAGGCCGACTTGGCGCTGCAGCGGCTCCGCCTAGAAATGGAGCGCACGAAGCAGATGGAGAGGTACGCATTGAAGAGGCTCGTGCTGGAATCGCCGAAGAATCGACGAAGCAGCTCCGCCTAGAAATGGAGCGGGAGTCCCGTCGCCACATTTAAACCCTTATGTAATCCATACGTAATACACTTAAAAACACAACACAAAGAATAGATTCCCTCTCCTCTCTTTCACAAAATAGCAACCTGAAGATTGTCGCCGTTTTTGTCCATGTCTTAAACCGTGGGCAATTCCAGAAGACAAAATTGCACCGCCACTGCGTAGGTGTTCGTTGCATTTCCGTTGCATTTCCTTTCTTTTATTGACCGTTGCCTTCCAACATCTACTGTCAGCTTGCCTCATGGCTAGAAAGAAATGGTGTACAAACGTCCCGCTGTTGCCGGGTGCTGTTCAGAGGATTGTTTCGTGAGGTAAACGCAACCGGCACATATCGAGTTTTGTTTCTTGGTATCTTCAAACCATCTTGTGGTCATGATTCTGTTTGGGGTATTAATCAATGTCGCACAATCGCTCCTACGGGAACACAGCTGTTTGATGCCCAGCAGCCTAATAGGTTCCCTCCAAGGAGGACCATAGACTACACGGGCAATACGACAAACTTCGGTACGGCGGGATTCCAGGACTCTAGGGTGGAGACCTTTGGGGGCGACGAGACCGTGAGGGTGTACCTACCCCCCCCCCCCCCCCCCCCCCCACAGGCGCGCAGATTCTGACGATGAACGGGAACCAGACCGCGGGGCGGAAACGGAGACTCCATGAACAGGAACGTGTACAGCACGACGACGAGCGTAACATCGTTCACGGCCTCCACATACGTTTCCAACGGCGGGTTCAACTTTGTCTTCACAGAGTACACCCAGCAGGTCATTGTGGTGCGGCCAGACGGGACGACCACGGTGGCGGTTCGGCGGAAGCCAAAACGGCACCACCCAGTCCAAGTACTACGTGCACAACATCGTGTTCACGAAAGGCGCACCCAACATGGTGATCAAGATCAGCGGTGAAACGCTGCTCACGAATTCTATGGACTCGACGTCGGTCACTACGGACTCGTTTAACACACCGGGCGGAGGGGGAATTGGGAAGACGCTGTACGTTGGAGGAAACGTCGAACCCTGGGTGTAGTTGTCCAAGGAACTCAACGAGCCCTGAATTTGGTGAACACATCAACCGGCGGAGCGTCGTGGGAATTACACAGCACGACCACCGGAGACACTGTCGGAGCGGGGTACCTGTCGCTCTTGAACATCACTGGGGGCGGATCTTCTCCGGTGTTGTATGCGGCAAATGCGGATAACTCTGTTAAATTCTCATCGACGATCGACTCGACTTCGACCACAAGCGGCGCTCTTCAGGTTGTTGGGGGGCTCGGTGTTGCGAGAACAGTCGTGGCGAACAGGCTGGTCACTGCGGGTGGAGGTATCAAGTTGCGGACTGACACCTCGTTCTCCTCGTACGACTACTCCATCACCTACAACTACTCGGGCGACGCGTTGCATGTGCACATGTCGGGCGCGGCAGACTCATCGTCGAACCGGTTTCCAGTTCGGATACTACATGGGAGACGTCTTTGGGACATGGAACAGCCGGTTTGCGGTGAACATCTACACCGGAGACATTGCGAGCTCGGGTGCCCTTACCACAAATGCCACCGCAGGCAACGTGATAGGATACAACGGCAACTTGACCGCTTACAGCTCTCTAACGGCTCCCTTGACCATCTGCACCGGCGCAAACAACGCCATCGGAAATGTTTCCACCGTCCTACAATTGGCCACACAGGGTGTGGGGGGCTCGTCGGTAGCGGGCGTGGTCAACCTGAATCTCTCTAGGTACCCGACCTCTAGCGATCCCTCTCCAAGCAGAAGGACGTCGCTGGCGTATCCGCTTGTACCCGCGAGCCGCCGACGTCCTTCTGGTTGGAGAGGGATCGCTAGTGGACACTGCCGTCGCGAGGCTGTTTAAACTCGCAAATCCAAATAGCCTCGATGCGACGACGGTTGAGGAAAGCGACGATGACCCAATTGTACCGGCCGGAGACGCGGACGGCAAATTTGTCATTCACTCAACCCACCGCCCCTTCGTCGAGCGCAGAGTTCAGGATTCTTGTTGGACGTGCCCCCCTCCGCCTCATCCTCGCCCTCGCCCATGCGTCGACGAGCCGAAGTGATCGCAGCGTCTCCCGTAACTACCCAGCTGGCACGAGTGGGGTCAGCGCTCGCCGTGGTTGCAGGCAAGGGAAATTGGAATACCGCCCCGATGAAAGTCATTTTGAACGGCCAGCACGAGCGTACCGCGGTCCTACCTCCGTCAGTTCAAGGGAGGAAAGCCATGCGGACGGCAGTGGAACGGCTCGTAGATCTTGACGTCGAAGAAGAGCGGATAGTGGACGTATACGTCAGGATGCCCCCGGGGAAAGAAGGGTTTAACACGGCGCCCACCATCTTCACTCTCTATACCCGGGAGCAGATAAAAGATGGCTCCATTCTCTTCTCCTTCACCACCTCGAATCTCCATGCCCATGAAGAATTCGTGGAACAGAACTTGCCGGAATTTCTGGCGGCGGTCGCGGGTACCGGTACTCACACAGCGAGCGAGCATGGCTAACTCCACTTCGCGCCCCTCTCTAGCCTTCTCGCTCCTCACGAATACGTTGAGATTGAAACGCTGCGCCTGAAATACGATAAACGCAACGCCCATCAGATCATTTAGATGGAGGAGCTGGGCGCCAAAAAGCGCGAATTTTACATCATTGCAGCTCTCTCCTGCGTGATTGCCTTTCTCCTGGGATACAATGAACAGTATAACAATGAACAGTTGATCATGTTCTGGCGGGACAATCCCTTCAATTCAGCTATTGGTATTTCGACAGCGTGTACAGTCGGGAACAGTCCCGTCGTCACACCTGCACCGATCCGTGGCTTGAAACGGCGGCTGTTTTCAGAAGGACATGGAAATTCGCCTTCGCGTCTAATCACAAACCAAAATCACGTCTAAAATCACGCCAACCCAAAATACGCCCACAGGCTCCCATGATATGTAGGGCCAAACTGCAACTCGGAGTGTTAATTGCCCATTAGCAGGTGCCACGCCAAGACGTCTAAAAGCAGTGGAGCGGGAAGACGCCGCGCCCATAAGCAGGGTCTGCCACATCATATGGATTTCGATTCCACTTCCGTTCGGGTTCTCCAAGTATAGCCTAAGAGGGAGCCATTCAGTCCCGAACCACGTCCGAATACCTACAGTTGAAGAATGAAGACCAGCTTGCCTGCGGGCTTCGACTTCTTCGGGGCAACAGTGCCTGCTCAGATTAACTCGATTCGAGCCACTACCGCCGACAAACTGCCGTATGAGTTGGACTTGGAACTGCAAGAGTTCCTGAATCTGGAGCCGTCAGAACAGCAACAGCCGCAACAATACCCCGAAGCTTCGTCTCAGATTGACGTACCGACAGATCTGTACTCCATGCATCCGTCACCCGCATTCACCGAATCATTGACCACAAATGAAGAACCGCCTTCCTCGGCTCTCGGGCTGGATCTTCTCCCGTTCTTTCCGATGATGGATTCGCTCGAATACCCCTTCGGCATCAACGCAGAGTTCGTAGGGGAACCGCGAACCACCGCTGAGAGCAACGAATCTAACAACGCCGCTGATACAGTGTTGCCATTTGACCCGGAAGAGCAATTTGATATGAGCCAGCAGTTTGCCGACATTTTCAGCAGCGAACTTTCGGCTATGGATGCTAGCGCAGCTGGTGCCTTCTCGGAAGATTTTCCACCAAGCGTGTCCTCAGACGCAGATGCACATGAGCAAGCGAAGCCAGTTGCAGCTTCGGATAAAAACGACACCCGTGTGAACAAGAAGCGTAGGCGATTGTCAAGTTCCGCATCGGACGCGGAAGTGGAGCTTGACGCAGATGCAGGGCAGGAGAACGAGATTCGGCCAGCTGCCTCGGAGGCTCCCGCTAAGACCAAAAAGAAAGCCACGAAAGTAAAGAAGGACAAGTTCTCGTTGGATAACATTGGTTACAGCCTAGAAGATCTTCGGCAGTTCGTCGAAGAGCTAGAAGCTGACGAATCGATAACTCCGAAAGAGAAGCGTCAGCTGCGTAATAAACTCTCTGCGAGAAACTTCCGAGTGAGGAGGAAGGAGTACGTGACACAATTGGAGGATCAAGCGGAGATGCTTCGGAAGGAAACAGTCGAGTTGAAAGCACAACTCGCTGCGAAAGACAAGGAAACCGAAAACTTGCGCAGGGAGCTGAAGGAGGCAAGAGATCTCTCGAACACCCTGTTGATGTTCAGCCAACCGATACCCGCACCAACACCTGCACCATTTCACCGTGTGCAGGACTTTGGTCATAGCGCTCAGCGGCTTCAGGTGCATTCCGTGCATATGCCAGTCGAACCACCAACCAGCCAAGCGTTGGCAGCGGCACCGAAGCAGCCAGTCAATCCCATCCCGAACGAGTATGTTCATGCTGGCAAAGAAGCTGCGACATTCGTCGACTTTGTTGCTCGCATGCCGCTCAGCGCTCCTCAGCCGACAGCGGCCGGCGTGCTCCCCATCGCATCACAGCCAGCTTACACCACCAACATCCCGGCTCCCTGCCAACCGATTCGCCTTCCCACAAATCCGAAAGACAACCATCTCCTGGAGGTCATACCAAAGCCCCAGGCGCTCGTGCCCAGGCCAGAGGCACTCAACTTCTCGCCAAAGCCATACACTTCAGCAGCTCTCCCATTCTCGAAAGAAGATGTTGTCCGAGCGGCATGGGAATCCATCAAGCTTGGTCACCTGCAAACCGTGCCCGGTCTGGATGCGTCCGTTGATGCAGCTGCGTTCGCTACCGGCACTCTTCTCGTGAAGGAAGTGTTGGCTCTTGCCGTCATGGCTGCAAGCGGAATGGTTACCGTTGTGTGAATTGCATCATTCGAACCCACCGCTCTTTGCCCGGGCCTCCGGCTTCAATTTGCACCCTGTCGAACACTCCGCACAGGTCCTTCTTGAGAAAATCTCCAAAACAATTTTGAAACCTTTCCGTCATTCCTCATATGTTCATACTGTCTGTCCAATTATACCATCGTTCAATGTTTTCAATAGTCAGGCCGGTCATGGTGCGATTATGTTTGCAACCGAAGGCCCTCCGGGAGTCGCACTGCTCAATCATGAAAAGCAATGTCGAATGCCGGCAGAAGGTGGCGCAGCGGAGAAAAAAGTTGTTGGTTCAAAAGCTCCCCCTAACCCCCCTGTTCGCAATTTTCCTCCAACTGGAACATCGGCAACGAGTGCCAAGATCGGCGCTTTTCTCGGACAGATACCTCATACTCCAGCGACTGCCACGACGTAGCTGTCTTTTGTTGCGGGACTATGAAATGTCTGCTCGGTTTCCCTTTCCTCACCGACCGATTCCGAGAAAGGTTGTGCCCTAAGAGGTAGTGGTTTGTGGCACGGATAACTGCCATCGGCTTCCTCCGCTATGGTGCATGCGGTCAATCGACAGCGTTTGGTACATCTTCTCCATCCCCAGCACGATCTTTGTTTTCCGAGAGACCGCTATTTGAACAAGGTTGGTCGTTTGATCTTGGCCATGAACAAACTGCACGTTCAATGTCTCGGAAACTCTATCGTGTTGGGAAAACTGAGTCTTCCTTTCGCCCTTTGGGCGAAGGGGGATCATCGCTTCATCACTTTGTGGGCTTTTTTGCAGAGACCTCTTTGTTGAGGGCTTTGTGTTGTAAGATGACCATCATTCGAAGTGGGACATTTGTCTTTGAAATACACATCCATGCACCATGTACTGTATGTGGGTCTGTCTCTGGTCATCGGACCTTAGTGAAGATCCAGAATATGTAGGTGCAGAGCCCGCATCGTTTTAGGGGTGCGGGGCCTGGATGCGGGCACCGGACTATTTTCATAGCGGTTGTACAGTATTGTCAAGCAGGCTACATCCTAAAACCGGCATTATTGGAGATGCGCCTGTCATTGGATACCATCGAGAGGGTGCATCGAGAGGGTGGAGGATGGATGATTCTGAGAGGAATTCTTCGACCGGCCGATGCACAGTACATCGGCCGGGACACTGACTTAAACTCGAGGAGAGACCGCTTTATGTCCCCTGACTATACTATCCCGATTTGGTCTGTTCGTGGGATCCGTCAGCGAAGACCGTTGGACGAGAGAGGTCAAGGCCGAAAGTCCTCCTACGTTACAGTGTGATGTGCAATTTACCACCTCCTTCCGGTTGGTAAGTTGCCCTAGGTGCACAGGCAGTCCCGTGAATTGGGGGGCCCCTATGCCTTGTGGGGGGGGGGGGGGGGGGGGGGGGTCCGTGTATGGACTGATTGCGGCAATGATCCTGAGCAGGTTCTGAGCTCACTTCCACCTTGAAATCTATGGATGCAGAATACGGACCAGACGGATGCGCTTGAACTTTCCCCGTCCCATCCTTCAGATCCATGGCGCAAAGCTCTCCAAACATCCGTACAGACACCCAGCTCATCATATGAAAAATTGGTATATTTCGAAATGGCAACACTAATAAGCGAACGGTTCCTATATACTCTGCTTGCAGGTCGCAGCGCAGATCTGTCCGACAACGAAACTATTTACATGCACTCCCTACGCCGCCTAGCGCCCCGTCTAGGCGCAGCTGATGAACTTGTTGAAAAGGTCTCACAAAATTATCCAGAAGGTCCTCCCTCCTGTGAAGGTCCACATTCAACAGGCTGCTAAGAGACACGATCTACGTAAGACTTGGCTCGCCATCATTCCTTCCCATGATCATCCCAACCCCTATCCTTCATGCACGCCATCGACTTGGCATTCGTCAACAAGGCACGATCGTCTTCGAAGTCTTCGTAAAAATCAGCTCCAGATACACGGTGGATCGATTCCTTGTCGCGCGGACTAGGAGGGTCCTGCGATTGCCAGACATATGTCTTGCATAATCTTGGCGGAAGGATTGTCCGGTCTTCCGATGGGCGGAAGCAAGGGGCTGCCGGCCTCACAGGCTTGGTGCCGAGGGGTAGCGGGTGTGGGTCCTCGAGATCTTCGTGGCTTGCTCGCGCAGATGGGGAGATTGAGTGGGTGGGAGACGGTGGTGGAGGGCTTTGTGATCTAACTTGGAGTGCAGGATGGGATATTTGAGGGGACATGCGGATGTCGTCTTTTGCGACGCGGAGGGACTCCACATCCAGATCGACATGCGACTTGTTCGGGTCGTCGTGGGCGGCATTGTTGTGCGTAGACGCTGCCGAGTTTGACCGGCTGTGACCTCTGGTCAACGAGTGCAGCTTCTGGTCCACGTTCTCGTAAAAGCGTCGGATTCGGTAGGCGATGACACTGATGCCGTGTTTTCGCTGCATCTTCCTCTCCTTGTAACCTGGGCGATTTCTCACAATCCACCGCCAGGTGAAGAATCCGGTCAAGAGGAAGATCAAGCCGAACACCGCACACAACCCCATGATAAGGGCAATATAGGAGCCGCCTTTAGATTTCGGAGGAGCCTGGATGTCTGTGCCATTGCTAGGAGCGGCAGCGATTGTGAAAGTCGCACCCAGATATGAGGAATTATAGTCAGATTGCCATGTTGCCAGCACGTATGAGGATAAAGCGGTAAGATTTGAAGGTATCCGGAAGGCTTGCTGGAGGGCGGGAACGGCAACATTGCGAGCTAGGTATGAGTTGTCCGGCGGACTGATTTGATGTTGGGACTCCCATATCGATCGATTTCCAGGGAGGATGAAGAGGTCAAAGGTTTCTGGGGTGCCAGGGGCGGCGCTAGGAGCGGTGGAGTTGTCGACGGTCCACGACAGGAGAAGGTCCTGGCTAACGCTCACTTGACCTGGGGTGCTATCGAAGTTGCAGGGACCGTTGTCGGCAGAGCCGGTACAGGTGACCTTCAGTGAGGATATCTGAGCAGCTCGGGTGAGGGCCGGCAGGAAAGACAGCGAGAATGCAACCGTCGCAGCCAGCTTCGCAAAGTGTCGCCTACTTGACGCAGCGCTCCGAGCCATTTCAGGCCAGTTCCACCACTTGATCACTTCGGGAAAGGGGAGCTTTCGGTGGGCAGAATTGCGCTCAGGGTATCAGCTGAGGCCGGGGGAGGTTCGCGACGTCACACTCGTCGACGTAAAGGCGTCGCTGCGCTCGTTCTGAACCGTACGCGGCGACTGCGGTAGTGAATGTACTCGAGAGAAGGACCGGCAAGACCAGCCCAAGGGGTGACAGCAAGCTAGACGCAACAGGGTGCCAACGTCAGCCTAAGTTCACAGCCAGGGAAAGTAGGAATGCGAATGGTGACGTTTGCAGAGCGACGCGGGTGGTGCGCACTAACAAACGGGTTGCGAATGACAAAGTATCGGCAAGCTGAGGTGACTTTCTCCAAACAGCCAGCGCTTCTTATCTGAGTCTGGGGTTGGGAATGGGCTTGAGTGGTAGGCGTCAGAGGTATGTATGTATATGTAGAGTCTTCAGCTTGGGAGAGAAAACAAAGGCGAAAATTGGGCCCAAAAACGATCGTCCTGGTCGTGGTACGGTGCACCCAGCAGACGGAGGGCTCACAATCATCAATCTCAGAATAGCGATATGACGGCTCCTGGAGAGTCTGGAGACAAGGCTATGGCCGCCTGTGGCCGCCCCAAGGGGTCTTTCTGTGACGGAAATTCGCCAGGAGATCATTCGACGCGCCCAGACCCAAGGAATACAACTTCTTGTCAACACGTCACGTGGAGAACAGCGGTTTTCAATTGACCTCCTTTCTCTGTGCAATGCGATGGTGAAAGACCGCTATCCGCTGTATTTTATGTTAGATAGGAGTACGGTTCTTCAGAAGCGACAGAGACGGTACGACAAGAAATATGATTACGACAATTTCGGCTGAAAGTGATATGACATCGGGACGCAGAGGTCAGGTATACGATATGTTTAGATGAGGTCGAATAAATGACGGAATGAAAGCGGAATCTGTACTCTTTCGATCAGATGGATTGAATCGACGCATGCTGGCGGCCGACAGATGGTATTCCAGCGAGCGAACACAGGCTATCAACATCATCAAGCAGCTGCTGAGCGCGCTTGACGAGAGCACGCTTCTTGCTTCGCACGCCTTCCACTACTCGGTTGGCAACTCGCGCTACTTCCTGATCAATGGCGGCGTCCGACCCAGAAGAGTATGTGAACAGACCTAGTATAGGCCAAGATGAGGCACTTGAAAAATGCTGGGATGTTGCGGTGGACGTGGCATTATCCGCAACGTCGGCCGGGCGGACGGAATCGAGCTTCTCCAACACTTGTAACAGCAAGTTGTCGACGTCTCGCAGGCGACGGTCCACATCGGAAGAACTAAGAGTTTCGCAGGACGCGGAGGATGGCGAGCGCGATGATCGCGGTGCTTTAGATGTAGGGGATGGAGTTCGCGACGAAGCTCTGGGAAGCGATGCTGCTTTTGTCGGAGAGCTGATCGATGCAGATGTGCTCGTTCTCGACACCGCCGGTCGTTGTTGTGGCCCGGCCTTTGGGCTACTCGCAAGGCTCCCATCCGTCCCCTCCAGAACCTGTCTCACAACGTTCAATCTCGGCTGTATCGTTTTCTCCAAATCCGCCTCGATCGATTTGAGCGATTCCCACGCCTTTCGTTTCTGCTCGCGAAGAGCTCGCTTGGAAGCTACCGCATTGTGGTCCGCGATGAGGTACTGAAGGCCATACGAAACGACCACACCCGTTGCGACGGTGCAAGCCACACCGACAGCCAGCTTAAGAGCGAGGTTGAACCCACTCATATTGGTCTGTCGGCGAGGCAGCGGTTGTTCGGTTGTCGAAGCTGCTTTCGCCAAATAGATGTATGACGGAAGTTTCGACGACGTGATTGCACGGAAGCTGTGTTCGATATATTCGTGCTCAGGTTTCGAGCTTCGATGCTAGTAGCTGTGCTGAGGTCGCAACTTCCAGAGCTTCGAAAATCGAAAAGTTGTGGAGACTGTTGCAAGGTTTTGAACAATTGTGTGCCGAAGTGGGTATTGATAACGACTACTCTCTATATATATATTATACGTTCAGGTCCGTCCGTCGCTGTGTATAAAACCCATTCTGGTGGCAAAAGGCTGACAGAGTCTCCGGGATCTCGAAAGAGCGGTAGGATGTCTGCCCTTTCTTTTCGGTTGAGCGGGGTTTTTTCGTCGTCGCGACGTTGCAACCAAGTGGAGACAGACACGACGCACTCAAACGACATCATCAACGGCACGGTGAGTCACGCTCGGAAAGATCCGGAGATCGTGACGTCCAACCTTCAGGAATCAGAATCCTTTCGACAGTCCAACCACATTCCCAAGGACATCTCTGGAAATCGAAACCCTGCTACGTGGCGCTTCAGAAAGAGTTTTGGCAAGGTTTTACTGGATAGGGAGGGGCTCAGACGGGGAAGTACATACGTGTCTTCAAACGGAAACCGCAAATTCATACCGCGACGGCGTGGATCCAATTACGATGTCCCTATTTCCTGGGAGTGTACCTGGACTATGCTTGGCGAGTGGACGCCGATTTGCGTAGGAACGGCGAGAATGATCCGCCACAGCCGGACATCCTACGTGTTCTGCATAAAATGGTTGGATACCACTGTAGGTGCGTTCGGAAAGACCGAGGATTCGCAGCCCACCTGTCGGAGGTGGAGATATCACGCCGGTCGTGGGCGTTGGGAGCCGCCAGCTAAGCCGCGGCAGCTGATCAGCTTGAAGCGAAAGGGTGGAGATTGGAAGTGCGTAGGCGAAACAAGCTTTCCAGTGCGGTTACGAACCGGCATCCAATCGATTAGGTTGTGCAGCGAGCTATCACCACCTCCTTCTTCGTCCTTTTGTGTACTCGCAAAGGAGCGAAGTAGAGGGTGATGTCCCACACTGCATGATCCCGCGATAGTGTCGCCGATGCTCCCTAACTCGTGTGTTCATGAGAGCAAACAGAGTCAGCGGCGGGGAAGGTCTCGATGGCTGCTGCCGCACTTCCGTTTGGTTTTCATATCCTTGTCTCTGGTCGGTTGAACCATGATATTTACGAAACTATGAGAGAAAGCTTAGATGGCCAGCTTCATTTCCATAGGAGCAGAGATGCTTTACTCCCAGTTGCCCGCCTCATTTGGATTTGCTCTCACTCCTTGCCAGCAATGACAAATGTGTACCCACTGCAAATTTATGTACTTCTACAAGCGTCTCTTCAGATTTAGGACTTCTTGAAGAAGAATGCTTTTGTGATGAGTATATTGGTAACAAAAATCAGGTATGATAAAAATAGTGTACAATTATGGAGAGGACGATTCAGACGAAAGTCCAAGGTCGTCAGTCTCAAGGGAATTAAATGAGGCTAATCTACTATATAGATGGCGAGAGGAAACTCTCGGGGCTTGTGTATATGAGAAGCGAGCTTTAGTGAGCGACGGGGGCGTCAACGGAGGCGACGGGGACAGCGACAACGTTGTGGGACTTGGACACGCCTAGCTTGGCGAGGACAGGGGCGGTGAGCTTGTTGAGCTGCTCAATCAAGTTGTGAATTTGGGGAATGGAAGTCACGGATGACACGACTCCGTTGACCTTGGTAACCACAAATCCTGTGGTGGCGTTGGCAGTGCCGACGGCCCTCTCCTTGGTGTTGTGAACGATCTGATGAACGACAGAGTGTTTGTCAGTTTTTTATGTGCTGTGATACAGCTCAGATCATCCGAATAGCTTACCTCGTAGGTCTTCTCTCCAGCGTGGATGACGAAGGTCGGGACGTAGTTCTTGACGGTGCCGACGGGGTCAGCGTGGAGAGACTTGGCCTGGTCGACGGTTCCCTGAACAAGGTTGAGGATGGGGGAGGGGGTGTACGCGGTGACCGTGGTGGTGGCGCCGGTCACAACAACCTTTCCAAAGTCGATGGCCTCGTAGACCTTGCTGGAAGCTTTATTTGTTCACCAGATTGTCAGCCAATCATCCTAATATATGAGAGAGCAAGATAATCTGACTTACCGAAGTTGGTGGTAGCGTTGACAGTTCCAACGGCACGGTCCTTCGTTGACACGGCGGTGCCAACGGCGTAGTCCTTGGCGGCATAGGCGCGGTCGGTAGCAGACGTCGCGGTAGAAGCAGCGTAGTCCTTAGCGGCTACGGCGGTACCAAGAGCGTAATTTGCGACGTTCTACGAGGACAAGAAGCGAGATCAGAACCGGTCCCCTTCACCAAAAGCGATTCGAAGCTGTCGGAATGTGAGCCTCACCTTCGCAACCTGGGGAACGTAGGGGTCGACGACGGTAGCGACGCTCTGCACGGTAGAGGTCACGGTCTCAGTAGCGGTAGCAATAAGTCCAGCCATTTTGTTTGATGTTCTAGGTTGAGGGTTTGGAGAGTGTGGGAGTGGGATTGCGATTGCGAAAGGGTTTGCGGTGGGTTTGAAAGCGAGGGCGGGGGGCACGACCTGTCCCCTTCAAATACTATGGACCGCCTCCGGCCGTTCACAAGGACACGCACAAGGAAAGACGTTTTTGGGGGCCTGCGGCTCAGCAAAGGGAGAAAGCAAGTTCCACAACCTTTTCGCTGCTCCCGGCTATCTTCTTCCGTCATGCTCCTTCAAGTCTTGACGCGCCAGTCGTAATTATGAACAAAGGCTACAAATTCCCACATGCGTTTGCAAAGCGCCCACATGTGTTCAACGCGCTGAGAAGTGAGGGGAAGGCCCCGCCCGCTCATCATCAGCTATCAACAATCCATCTCCGGCTGAGCGAGGCTGCGGCTTGGAAAACTTCAAACCGGGAAAACCGGTTAGCGGGAAAAGAACGGGTGCCAGGTGCCTGGAAACACTTGCATTGCGGAAGCCGATCTACATATCGGGTCTGTCTGTCTATTATAATGATGTTGGGAATGTCTGTATGGGGGATGTACAACGAGAAGAAATAGGGAGAGCGGTTGTCCGAGTCGTTCAGCCAGACTGTTGCCACTGTGGTGGGTATTGGTCGTAAACCGCTCCAGATGGGACCGGATACCCATCGGATCTGGCGGTGGTACGGATCTGGCGGGTGATACGGGCCCGGAGACGAGGACGCTAATGTAACCGTCGCTGCGGGTTCCGCAGGGTTGTTGTGAGTGTTGTGTATCTTGGAGTGGGTGGGGGTATTGGGTGGGGTAGGCTTGTTGGGCTGCTGTAACTTGCTGATGGGGGTGGTAGGCGATTGCTTGATAGCGAAGGGCCGTATTGCAGTTGTTGTTCCTGGAGGTATACGAACTGCTGCAGCTGATGCGGATGATACGCGGTTGTTTGATACACATATACCTGTTACCTGCTGCTGCACATGTCCGTGTTGTTAGACGCCGACGGATATAGGTATGTGCGGCGGCGAGTGAGTGGGGTCATACTCGCCGGTAGTGTATCGTTGTTGTTGTTGTTGTTGTTGGAGGGTATCATGTGGATATCTCTCAGATGCCGGCAGACGTTATCAAAAGCACAGAACGGGCACACCCATTTGCCCCATAAACGCCGATGAAAACATTCCGGAGTCGTTGCGAAGGGGACGAACTCGTTTGCTATGTGTTCCTGAAAGTGGGACTCCATTTGGTGCAAACCTACGAGCCTACGCCCCAGAACAAATGATTATCACCAGAGTAGGCAGTCAGACAGAGGAAATTGCCCACAACAACATGGTAACCTGTACCAGAGAGCGCACTGGTAGCAGTAGACAACTGGCGTAGATCTAGACGGTGATGATCGCACCGCAGTCCAAAATCGCGCACTCTAGTTCTGGGCCACCTGAGGTGCTTTCGGACAAGAGCGAGTCACGCGTTCCAAGGGCACTTTTCGCACTTCCGCGACACGAAGCAGGACCGACGCAACATCGCTGACCGGCGTTCAAGGAGAGAATGACCGGCATCCAAACCTCAGTGGCTAAACGTCGGGCGGCCATCGTTGCCGGCTCGAAGGCAAGACGTAGGTGTATATTTATCTACACGATGCATGCATATTCGATGCGAAACCGCGGATGCGCTGAACTTCCCCCTGGCAGCATTGACCACGCCATACCTTGTGCTGTACAACCTGGCCTCCACTGGGGCGTGGATGTATCTGTTATGGAAGCTTGTCGCCCAGATTGTCGCCGACAATGGGCATCATGAAAGCGTGTACGGTGCAACAGGTGAAAAGCTCACAATCGTCCAAACCCTGGCGCTTCTGGAGGTGTGTATGTTCGGGAGGTTGGAAAACGCAAAGGCAGTATTTCGTCTGAGCCTCTTCCACTTTCTAGGTTGCCCACGCCGCCCTTGGTATGGATTGGGCTCGATTTGCGATTTGACTAGTTTGAAGGGTCTCACGCTTTTACATAGGCTTGGTGAAGGCGCCTGTCACCACCAGCGCAATACAAATCATAACCCGGCTGTTGATAGTTCGTGGCGTGCTCAACTTCGTGGGGCTTCCTCTGGTCCGTAGTCATCGAAAAGTTCCCTTACGGCTGTCGCGGGCATTGTGCTCACGACCTGTTGCACAATCTGTTGCAGCTACGCGAACACTGGGCTGTCTCCACCATGATCAGCGCATGGGCAATCGCTGACATTGTGCGATACATCTATTATGTGTTCAACATGGTGGGCAGCGTTCCTGGAATCTTGCAATGGGCTAGGTGAGCATACGTCGCTGCATTTGCGAGCTTGAAGAGCCCCATTTGCCAACGATATCTTCCTGTAGATACACATTGTTCTTTGTGCTCTACCCTATCGGGGCCGGCTCGGAGTGGATTCTGTTGATCAAATCTCTGCCCTACGTCAAAGCTATCGATGAACGGATTTACTACGCGTACATCGTTGTTGCGTGTTTGTACCCGCCAGGTAGGATCGGTGGATACATGGAACCACACAAAGCCTCTTACGTTTTGTTCTCTTTTGCAGGTCTCTACACAATGTATACTTACATGATGGCCCAGCGGAGGAAATACATCGGTGGTACTGATTGGGTCGACCGCTCAAAGAAGAGTCGATGATTCCCTGCGGTGTTGGTGATTTGATGTTGGCAGAAAGTCATACTACTCCCACCGGCCAAGGGCAACGTTCCTTAGCATAGTTTATTCAGATTTTTATAGCTTTTTGAATCGTCTGTAATGCTTGTAGGAGCCGGCGTAGTTCTCAGAATAATATCCAATGACGTGCGAAGACGTGCGAGAAGCAGCGAGGGGAGCGTTTGGCGCGCTTTGTCACTGATCCCTCTCCTCAACCAACGCGCCGATAAGGCACGACGAACATCACATACAAGCGGAGATTACTGAGAAACCCAAACGAAACCTTACCTATCGAAAGCAGCAACCTGTATACGTGTATCCCGCTCAAGCTGTTGGCTGTCAGTAAAGATTGCGATGGTAGACACGAATAAGTCGCCTCAAAAGCAGAGGGCGGAGGCGGGCACTGGCACTTCCGACCCTATGGCTGACGTGTACAACCAAAGCGAACTTCTCATAGGTCCGGAGACCCTTCATTTCCTCGTCTACGAGCACTTAGTTCACCATTGCTACAGCGCAACAGCGGAGGCGTTTGGGGACGCGTGTGGATTGGGCGATCCAGGCAAGCTCTTCGCCAAGCGCGCGAATACGTCGTCGAAGCTTGTGTCAGGGAAGAGGGTTCCGGGGCCGGGCAAGATAGGGTTGTTTGCGAGGGGAGAGCAGGGAGTGGACGGGGATCTCGGAGCAGTTGGACAGGCGGACATGGATGTCGACAACGCAATGGAAACCGACGAAACGAACGACGCTGAACCGATGGACATAGTTGGGGCTCCGCACCATAATTCAGATGAAGCAAATCATTCAACGTTCGGCATTGGGGGGATGGGAGGCGACGGCAGTTCTCTGAGCTCACGCGGCACGACGAGCGCAACTCCGCTACAAACGCTGCCGGATCGACAAGCCGTGTATCGGTTGATCGCAGATGGGAACATTGCAGAGGCGATCCAATATTGTCAGATGGCGTTCCCAGATGTGCTGATTGGCGGGTCTGTAGACAAAACAGAAGTAGAGTTTGAGCTGCAATGCCAAAGGTTCATTGAGCTGGTGAGGACAAGCGCTGTGGAGGCTATGGCGTTTGCGCAAGAAGGTAAGCGGCAGCACCACTCGGCCTGAGTGCATCATCTAACTTACTCCTCTCCTCAGAATTGGGCAAATTCGACCTGACCCGCCCAGATTACGCGGCGAAAGTGAACGACATCGTTGCCCTCATCGCCTATCCAGATCCACTGAAGTCTCCACTCGCAAAGTATCTCGCAGAAACACGGCGAATAGACGTTGCCACACTGGTGAATAGCTATATTCTAGGTATGCCGCACTCATTTCGGGAGTTATTTGCGATCTTGTCTTTAAAGTGTCCCAAACACCAGCGTCACATGGATACTCGCCCACAACCGCGATCGAGACACTGGCACGCCAAGCTACCGTTGTGCGCGAAATGCTGCATCAAGATGCCGATAAGGACTCTAAAAAGGCAAACAAAGTAGGTGCTTCATGCTGTGGTGCACATGATTTTGGCCTAAACGCTGAATACCGTCACCTCCCACAATCAGAGCCAGTATGGGAGATGGGATCTGTCCCTCTTAACCGGCGACGCTCGACCAGCATAGTATTACCGGCGAATGAGGAGACTACCGACGATCATGGCTGCAAAGCTGGGCGTCCTCCATCCCTGATCAATGGGGCGTGGAACGGACGATCATGCAGAGCGAATGCTGAAGTCTACGCATCCATGGACTATTCCCAAGATTCATTACTTCGTTGAAGCCTTAGCCACGGAAACCCACCCGTCTACGACGTCCACTTGTGGTTACCCTGTACATTCCATACCCCCATGTAGGCACCCATCCCAGTCCCAGCCACAACAGAATACGATCCCCCAACCTTCGATGTACTTCCCAATAGAATGTTGGACAGTCGCTTCAACGGCCTAGCTGCCCCGACGTCCGCCAAAATTTTTGGCCCTGATAGTCATCCGAGTATTACCGAGCCACCGGCGGAATTTGTCAAACCCAAATTTCCCCCGCGATTGAGCACCGCACGATATGCCCCTCCAGATCGCCCCTTGATGCATTTTCTCTCACTCCGAACTTCATTCGATCCACACCCAATGGCCAAAGAACACACAGGAATGTTTAAGCCATTCAGTTACAGCTTCTTCTGGTGGCGTTTATGCATGTTAATTGGTATAGCTATTCTCGATCGTTTCGGAACAGAGTCCTCAGCAATCTCCGTAAAACCAGGTATCGGAGAAACACCTATTTCTGCGTGACGGCGTCAGAACGATGCTCCCATTCGCATCGGTGATGTTTAGTGGTGGAAGTAATCGATAGGGTGCAGACGCTTGGGGAACTGTTAAAAGTGATATGAGGAAAAATGATGAACACCAGTTGCGGAGAAGTAATGTTCGAGAAAAATAGGTTCGTACCAAAGCGCCGTCATCGTTGTCGGTGGTGAAGTCGTATTCATCTGCAAACGGGGAGAAGACCCGTTAGTGGTTCGATCCATATCAATTTGCGGAGTTTCGTAGTATGGTACGCACCAGGGTAGTTAGCTGGGTCATCGATGGGGTTGTACACCGGGGGCCATTGCTCCTCCTCAACACCCTGCTCCACAGCTCCGGACGCCTCAGCGACGGTCACGTCCAACTCCGGCTTGGGAGGCGGAGCGGGGGCAGCGAAGGAGGTTGGAAGGTCCACCTTAGCTCCAGTCTGCAATTGTCAAATATCAATGTCTCCGTCCGAGATTCCAGCCACAGTCCAAATTCGAGAGTATCACATACATCCTTTGGTGGGGTGTAGGCCTTCAACTGCTGCAGGTAGATTTGCGAGATAATGTCGGCTGGAAGAAGATATCTTAAATTCGACGCATATACCGCTATAAAGCGTTCTAATACGTACCTTTGACCGAGGCGGTTTGCGCGAAACCGCGAGTAGCGGAGGGGGCGCTAATCTTCAGAGCGGGCTGATAGGGGTACACGTGAGAATTTAGTACATTGGTACGGGGACTGCAGTGAGTGCTGCCAAACCGCAGAGTTTCCCAAGGATCTTCCCCAGGTTCTACCCGCCATCTCTATGAACCCCCCGCCCGTCCCAAACTCCCAAATCCTTTGCAGAAGTTTTCACGAGCTCCCTTCCCGAAGCTTTCCTCTCAATTGCCGCCAAGTTCACTCTGATGTAGTGGTTCGGAAACAGTCGATCCAACTCCGAAATGCGAGCTTCTTTCTGCTGTGCGACGAAGAACCATCACGGTTCGAGACGCCAAAGAAACTTACCCTCACAAGAGCCGCACGGGCGATACGGAGAGAGTACATTGTGCTGCAGATGTCTTCTCGATAGCAAGTGCAGAACGGTTCGCGGATGTTCAAAGAGCTGCTGTGTGTTGTTCCGGCAGCATCCGACTTGTCTTGTGGCGCGCGAGTGGCGCAGGAGTGGCACAGCGCTCCTTTTCCCTCCCAGCGGCTATAAAAGCGGAGCCAGTGCCCCAAACTTCCACGAGCATCTCTCGATATTCCCAACTGTCGCGAAACTGAGTTTACAAGGTAAGCAAGCATTCGTACCCCTCTTCCTTCCCGAGATACCTCTTCCGCCTTCCGCGCCTGTCAGCCCGAACAGGATGGTTCAACCTCGCTCCAGCGATTGTGACCTCCTCTTCGGTTTCGGCTCCGCCCACAAAATCCTGATGAAAAAGCATATGGATGTCACAATGCGTCCTAGACTTCGGTCGTTGACGATACAACATATGTCTGCCTTCCTACTGATCCTTTGTGGGCAAAACGGGTTTCCCTGAGCCAGTGAACGTGGCGGTATGAACATAAACTAATTATTTTCTTGCCGTTCCTTCTTCTCTGTCTCTCCAGGCTGCATTGGCAACGAATCAAGCTGCTTCCCCTTCAAATTTCTTACGGTGACTTTGTCTCTATTGTCGTTGATGACGTTAAGCGCCGATATCTAATGGCCTGGGATGCAAGGCGACTTTCGTCATAGTGTCCCATCCCAATGGAGTTGGTGCAATGTTTCACGCACTTCGTTACGAGACCCCGGTTGCAATGATGACTCAAAGGGCTTATTGCCGCGGGAGTGTGACTGGGAGCCGTGTAATGCGGAGAACCCACCTGGTCCCTCTCGCTTTTGTGGTATAATCCTTGTCAAGAATGGCAGCGTCTGAGCAATCCTAATGTGTCATTCCGCGGCTGATCGTGGAGAGGAAGCACTAGCATATGCATATGAGTGTTTCCAAGTTTTTTCCGTATGATTGTATTGAAATAATACTATGAGATGCAATTATGATCTTCAACATCGAGACTATGCCCGGATGAGACTGAGCGGTGCGGTATTAGGGGATGTGGTTCAAAACTACATACAAAACGTTACAATAGTGCTTTGCGAAAGAGCTCGCGCAGATCAAAGGTTGTGCAGCGGGTCCGCCATTGCCTCGCTCCAAGGCCGAGGTGGTTTAGATGATGAGGTGGTGGATCGGGAATTGATCTCGGCGGCCGCAAAACTGTCAGGGTCAATGGACATGCTGCCATTTGCTGAGGCCGGTTCAGTGAGCGGTTGGCTGCGTCCACTGTCGCCACTCTGCGAGCTCAATCGACTCAGATTCCCGCTGAAGTTTCTCAAATGCGTAATGACGCTCTTGTTCTTTTTGGGTCGCCGCGTCTCCATCAATGGCGTGCCTTCCACTACCATAGTCAGCGATGAGGTGTCCGGGCCAGTCTTGGCTCGTACCGGCGTGGCGGGCAGTTCTGGTGGGTCTGCTGCCGGGGCGATAGTAGGCTCTCTAGTCAGTCCAATGATGCTCTTGCGATACATCGCCTTCCGGCTCTTGGGTGTCCCGGCGCTCATAGAACTGCTACTGGATGCATCGTCTGTCGTCGCAGCGGCAACCCGTCCCACTGCTCCTGCTGGCAAGGGTGGGTGTTGCTGTTTGCTGTTGCTGCCTAAACTGAATGCAAACGAACTCCGACGACGGAGGAGCATATCCCCAAAGCTTTGCATCCGTTTCACCTCTGCAGGTCGCGGCGTTCGATTGTCCAGCGTCCTTGTTGAGGACTCATCGATCGTGGGCGGCGTTGCTGCATCGATCCGACTTTGGGCCGTCGGCGTCTTTGGCCCTGGTCGGGGCAAGCGGGAGCGCGGGAGGGGGAGATCCGACATTGAATTCCAGAGCGAATTTCTGCGAAGAAGTTTCCGTTCCGGTGTAGGGCCTGCTGTGCTGGTGGTGGTGGGTATCCGGGGCTGGTTAGGAATCGAGTGGGGCCGCGGCGTTGTTGTGTTGTCAAGTGGCTCTGGTGCCGTCGATGGCGCACCCCCGAGGTCTTCCAATGTCATCTCCTGGTCGGCCATGGATTCGGCGTCGTTCGTCGCAACCGGAAAGTCGTCGCTACCCACGGATTTCTCAGGGAGGAAAGGAAGCACGGGCGTGGATTGCGAGTAATCGGCTGATCGAAGTGCACTTGGACCAAATGTTGACGCCCGCATTATGGGCCCGGAAATTTTAATTTCCTCTTCTTCCTCCACTGGTTCTTTTTCGTCATCCCTCATGCCAAATTGCTCATACAAAGGCTTCGAGCTATGTGTGCGCTTCAGAAGTAGGGACAAGCCGTGGATCCATAGTTCGTGGTCCGTCCAATTCGTTGGCACGATTTTGACTTCTCTATGCGGTGTAACGATCGAGATGGCGTGTTCAGGGCCTGGAGGATAGTTCCTGTAGTGATGGTCAGGCTCCTTCCATTTCAAAGAGACGATGAAGACTAAAATGACGATGTTCAACGGATTAGAATGATGCAACGATGGCACCTCTCAGTTCTCTTCCGAGTAAGCATACCTGTCTTGGTCTGCATCTTTTTTTTGCCTTGACTAGGCGGCTTTGGTGCCCAGTTTAGCCCACGAGAATAGGGGTTGACCCAAAAATAGCGAAGCTTGGGGTTCTTGTTATGCCTGTTGAACTTCTGGAACTGCAGGAAGCAATAAAACAATGATCAGACAACCATCCTCCACCATTTCCGGCCGTGTGAAATGGATATCTCGACGTACCCAGCTTCCGACCATGGTATGCGTCAACCCATGGATAGCCTTATCCCTTTTGTCCTTCTTCTCATCACGACTCATCTCTGATGTTTCGCTGAACACCGCGCTGCTTCCAAAGCTTGCCATGCTAGCAAGTTGCCGCGGGTCCCGCAACAAGTCTGCTATGCTGCGGTCTCCCTCCGACGCTTCTTCGTCATGCTGACCAGCCCGGCGGCGGGTCGGTGTTGTAGCATTGCTCCCTTTCGTGCGAAGCATGCTGGTGAAGCGACGCAGGCGAGTGACGGATTCGTTGGTAGGGGTGTCCTGAGATTCTGGTATAGAGAACACTCCATCTTCGTCATCCGAGTCGGAATCGCTGTCATGTGCGTCGAGCTCAACTTGGTTCAATGGCAGGTTCACATCTGTATCAATATTGCTCGGTGCAAGTGGTAGATGGACGTTCAGGTCCGACATTGGTAACTCCAGACGATCCAGGAGAGCCTCGTTTACGGATCCGACTCCAGGGTTGACGTCCCCTACTTCTCTGTTCTCCAAATCTGCTTCAGGCAATTGGGGCCTTCTCAGGGGGGACTCATTCTGCATTTCATCCAATTGGGGTCGCGTCGATGGAGGTAGAGGCCAAGGTAATGGCGACTCGCCGGTCGTGTAAAGCGGTGTACCCCAACGATTGAGTAGGCCGCGTTGCGCCGATGGAAGGTAACTTCCGCTAGGTGATGGGATTGCAAGTTTTGTTGGAACGGAGGCTGTACGAGCGTGTGGCTCTGCTGGATTCTCGAAGGGCGATTTGCCAGTACTGGGCATGGCCGGTTGCGATGTGGCTCGTGGGAGGGAGGTGACGGGCAGAACGAGCTCGCCAACATACACCACTCCGTCGGCAGAAGTGGCGTGATCTATCAAATTCGGCATTGACTCGTCAGATTGGCGATCCCTTGTCTTTGAAAGTTGCGTGATCCTCAGCGTAGTAGACTGTGGAGAGGTGTACTCTCCTAGGGGCTCGCGATCCTCTGCGTTTTGCACAGTCTGCATACCACTGTCCATGCAGAGCACAAAACTGGTGGTACGATCCAGGCATTCATCGAAAACGACCATCAGTTTCCCGGATGTATCTCTGACGGTGCGCGCAGGCCTGCCGACTTCCGCCGGCGCAGGTACTCGACGGACAGTGGCTGACGTCTCTATAGAAGATCGTCCGGCATCAGCTACCGGCGGCACGGTGTCTTCGCCGCGTAAAAGATCCGTTGCCGACGAACTTTGCGACTCTGCGGTCTGTTGACCGCTGATTATGAGGTCTATTTCAGCAGCCGCTGCTAGTGCATTTTCCTTCGGGGTTTCAGCGGATCGGTCTTCATAGGCAATCCTGTCCGGGGCGGACCATTCAAGACCTTGATCCGGATTGCTAGGCGCTGATGATGCGGAATGTTGCTTCTGCTTTGAAGATACTTCCGCCACGGTGATATCGGTAGCGCTGCTGAAGACGTCGTCTATCAGCGGGGGCTGGGCGACTGGTTCTGGCCTTTCTTCGGGCATGTCGTCGTCAGCTCTTTCAGACGATGTGGTCAAGTCGCTAATCGCAAGGTCAGATGTGGAACTCGCCAAGGGCTCGAGAGCGCTACTCGAAGCCTGGTCCGCCGCATCTCTCTCCTGGTCCGCAATTGCCGAAAACTCCTTCAACAGGTTGCGGGCTGTTGACGCCATTTTGGGAGATGCTCCCCATTGATCACCCGCTCTAATCCGCGAGCTTCGGAATGATCTTATGGAGGACGCTCCAGAACCTCTTCGTAGGCGTCTCACCGCCGCCAGTTTGCCTTTGACTTCCTCCAGCGTCGCATCAAGTGGCGTCCCTGAGCCGCTTCCACTTCCTTGCACACACTCGATAGCTTCCTGTGCTTCAGCAAGCAGTTTCAAGAGTTCATCCTTTTCTCTGAGAGTTTCTGCTATGGTGGTCTCCAAATCGCTAATCTGCTGATGGGCGTGCGCCAAAGAAGACGAAAGGGATTCCATGAAGAAGTTTGGTTTCGAGGGCGATCGTTCTGGACTGTCTGGATCTGATGTCGGTGTTTCAGACGCAACTTCCGTTTCTACTTGTGGCTCAGGCGTTGCATTCCCCGCAGCTTCGAAGATACTGGAATCTGACCGTGGGTACGATTGCTTTTCCAGTTCTCTGTAGATATCCGTACAGCGTCGCGCGAGAGCCGCCTTCTCACTCTCTAGGGTGGAAATTAAGTGCTGGGAGCGAGTTAGCTCTCCTTCGTATTTGGCCTTTGCATTATCGAAGGAGCCTTCTTTCTCGTCATTGGCGTTTCTCAGTGCTTCCAGTTCTTCGACTTTATCTCGGTATGCAAAATCGAGCTGTCGATAACTATATAGCATCCGGGAAGCATCTGCTTCACTCTTTGCTATCTGGTCCTTGAACTGCTGGTTCTGTAACTCCATGTCCCACAACTTTTCCTCTTGCTTGGCTGCATTGATTGAACTTCAACGTTAGTATACCGGAGGCGTAATGCGATAGTGTAAGAGAGCAAGTACGCACCAATTAGGTAAGAGTCTTTCTGATGTTGATTTTGCACCCCTTCTAGTTGTGCCTCCAATGTCGCAATCCTATCGTGTAACTCCACGTTCTGTTCTTGTGCGATTCCCAGATCATGGCGCAGTGCTCGGACTTGATATATCAAGTGATTGTCGATGTCGGAGGCCAGTTCAGTGTCGATGAAGGCAGCGGGCTTGGTAGCAAGTCGGCGCGGTGATTGAGGCTTATTGAATCCTTTCTTCGATACCCGCCGCGGCGATTGAGCTCGCCGCTGCAGAAGCGAATGGGACCTCTCTATTGATTCCATGGAGCTCCTCTTGCGCCGCGGCATCTCGGGACTATTGGATGGGGACAGTTTCCCCATAAAGTCCTTGAAGGAGGCAGACAGGGCGTCGGCATCCTGCTCTATATCCCGGAGCCTGTCTATCGACGTCCTTCTTCTGGAGGAGTCTGACTCTTCTCCTGCTGAAATGCCTTCAACCTCTTTCAGTCGGTTTCGAAGCTTCTCGTGGTCCTCCAGAAGCCTTTTCCCCACCGTGGCTGCCGTTATTAGCTGTGCCTCCGACTCTTCCAGTCGCTTCCTCAAGTCTTCGTTCTCGATTTTCAGCTTCTGCATCATTGCGGGAAGGATTGCGTTTCCCGCCCGAGGCTGCTCTTCAGAGAGTTTTGGCCGCCCGGCCAAACCACCCGTTCGACCTGACATGCCGCTTTAGCAAGGTCGTTATCTCTCAACCGGCCTCGGGAGACGGGAAGGCTGGGCTGACTGCGTCGATGTTGAGACTGTGGAGCACGTAGTAGATCAAGGCCGGAGTCGCGCTCCGAGGCAGATCTACACCGTATTCCGTCGTCCAAAGAGCCCGTGCTGAGCCCTGCTGCTGTGCCCACGGACTAAATACAAGCGACGGAAACTCTGCTTCGCACCAGCACCAGATAGCTGACAGAAGACTCCAACAGTGTGCCGTATGTATTCTACTTGAGCTACGTCTGACGTCCTCCGGTGAACGCTGTCGAAACAACGACGGCAAGGATGTCGAATTTCTTTTTTCCCACGCGTCTCTCAGGGGCCACCACCGCGTTCCGTCTGCGTACAACGGAGTCGACACAACCGTGACTTATGTATCATACGTATACATACAAGTTACATGACAAGTTCTAACGATGATAAAGCGCCGTGCTAGGGACCAATTGGGGTTACGGTAAGGTCTTAGGTGACCCACCCTCCATGGATAGTATTGTCATAGGTCTTGCTGCCAGATCTTGTCGTTGGCGGTGAGATCAAGCCACGCCAGGCCAGGTTCAACCGTTCAGTTCAAGTTGTTCAACGGCAGATATACTGTATTTGGGAAGAAGCCTCGTTTCCCTGCCTCGCACAACCAAGCAAACCTTGAACACAGATACAGTGTAGATACATAGATACCCCTGTACACACCATATTCAGGGTCTAGAGTGCTGATAGTTCTGAGGCTGTAGTTACGTAGCAAGCACTCTGGTGCGGTCGCTCTAGGGACCCGTTTCCAAATCGTGTCCTCGAAGATGATTTTGTGGCCCTCGTTAGGAACTCTCCTTAACTCTAACTCAAAGCGAGCCATTGCGGTCTTGACCATCTTCATTTCCAGGTGAGTTACAACACCAAGACGCTTACAGTTTAAGCTTATGTATTCTTGGGAACTCGAGTCTTCGGCGCGCGACCCGGCGTCCCTCCCACCCTGTCTCATTGACCATAAAACGCAACACCTCCTTTCCAGATCTGTTGGCTCAGTGCAACGCCTTCGACTCGTAAGGCAGACAATGACAAGGTCTAACCCGCGACCCGACGCAACAATGTGGACCTTCTTCTACGTCGTATTGACACTTGTGGCTGCTCGCGGTGTTTGGACTATCGGCGAGGGGCGCGGCTGGTGGAAGAAGGCTATCCGTGACGACAAGCCAGACCCAGACCGGAAGGCAGGGGACGCAGATACATCTGACGGGCCATCTAAGAACACCGATCGCACGTCGGCATCTTCTATAAGTGCTCGGAAGCCTGGGGTTAGAGCCCCATCAACACTGCCGAAACTTGGCCCTCCCGTCGAGTTAGCGGATTCATCGCCCAACGCGGGGGGAACTGATTCATTTCTGGCAAAAGAGAAAGGCACTACATTAGAAACCGAAACTGCCAAGAAATCCTTCGTTCGGAAAATGGCTATGAAGTACGAGGGGAGCATTCCGGACGGAGACGTGGGTGCATCCAGATCATCGGCCGATTCGGGCCTGCGAGGGGCATTTCAACCGGCGTGGGGCGTGCGTCAAAGAGCGATTTCAAAGGAGAGCATAGGGGTCGCTCAAGACGTCGGCTTGACGGCTTCTGATCGGACAGACGAGAGTAATGTTTCGAAGTCGACTAAAAAGGCGGCATCACTCAATGCAATCGAGAGGCATGGCATGAGTTCTACTCCTGCCACCAAGCCGGATGCACCGTCGAATTTGATTACAAACACCACGCTCTCGATCCCTCGGGACACCATAGCCGTCGATGCATTGACTGTTTCCCCAGTCTCAGAGAAATCATTACAAAGGGCCAGTAGTTCCGACGAGGAGAAGCTGGCATTGGCAAGCCAATCAACGCCGACAGAAGAAGGGACCCATAAACACAAGCAGGGGACAGAGCCAGATGGTGTTCATGGGCAGACATCTGGAAAACGGACGAGCGAACCAGCAATACCCACAATGAAAAGTGAGGACAGCATACGGTTGCCCGCTAGCAACGAAGGGACTACATGGGCATCCATCAGTTCGGAGTCTAGCATCGTGCCGTCATTGGTTCAGCCAGCGGCGCGGAAGGATCCTTTGGTCGGGTTCCAAAGGAACGACCCCTCCGAAGCATCATCTCTTCTGTCTGACTCACGTAAGCCCTCTGTACAGTCCCTTTTGGGAGAATCAAGCTTCGCAGAAGAGTTTTGGCAGGCCGTCGGGATAGAAGATCCCACTATCAGCGCAAGCGCAAGTCCTGAAATGGGACGGTCAACTCGACCCTCGAACGATGCGATAGCAGAGCCCAACGCGCTCACATCTGGCGACGAAGACTCTCCGTCGCAGAGGTCTCCCACCATTCAACGACATGTTTCGCAAAGACTGAGTGAGCGTAAAGACAGTGATCGATCAGTGAGGAAGGCTGCTTCTTTCAGCATGGACAGGCGGCCGACCCCCGGCTCTCGACAGAGCAGCTACAGACCTTTGCCCGTCGTTCCGCAAGTCTCTTCTCCCTTGATCGGCTCGTCGGAAAGCCGAGAAACGCCATCTCGTAGACACTCTGCTGGATATGGGAAGGAGCTCCCTTCACCAGCAGACCGCGACTTGGCCTTTGAGACGGATGCCGATGCCGAAAAGGACACCAGTTCCGATGTATCGCATGGAAGCGCAAAGACTCCAGATCTTCCGACAGTGCTGAACCTCAATAAGCGAGATCTCGCCGTCCTTCCACCTCTGTCAACGGATCATTGTGGCGCCTTGACCAAGCTGCTGCTTTCCCGGAATCGGTTGGCCTCGCTGCCATCGACATTATTCGAACAAATGCCCAATCTCAAGGTCTTGGATCTTTCCGATAACTGCCTAGGGCGAATTCCGGAAGGTTTGGATCGCCTTCCGAATCTGCTGGAGCTCAATGTTGCCAGCAATGGAATAGACCGAGTGGGTTCTGAGTTGGGCGTCTGTACAGGCCTGCGCATTCTATCGCTGGGGAAAAACAGACTGTACGAGGTCACACCTGAAGCGCTTGCGCCGTTGCTGCATCTCTGCTTTTTGGACCTGTCGTCAAACTTCATGCGGACAGTGCCGTTGATTCTGCACAAGCGCTTGCCAACCCTCAGGAGGCTGATTTTGGATGATAACCCGATCGAGCCATCGTTGTTGACACTTGTCAATCCGCTCTTGTCCCCATCAAAGCGGAAATCTTCCCGGGAATTGCAGTCTGGGAGGGTCAAGTCGATCATCTTAGGAGGCAGCCGGTTCAAAAAGGAAGGCTCGACAGTTGGTCAGGACGAGGATGATCTCTACGAGTACAGTCTCTGGGCGGATGAGGATAGAGAAAGCATGACGAGCTTTGATAGCGGCGTGGCGGATATGGGAATTTCGAGAATTCTGTCTCGCGCGCGAATGGACGATGGTATGTATCTGATGCAAGAATCTTACTCGCCACTTGCAATCTAACGTGACGTGCATGTCTGTAGGGCCAACTAGCCGAGAGTACACACAGCGTCCAGGCTCCGGCGAAAGCGACAGCCTTGGTCGCAGAAGCGAGAGCTTAGGCCGCCTGCACCCCACATCCGCATACGGTATCGCTCTACGCCGGCTTTTGAATCATTTGAGAGATGCATATGAGCTGGCACCAGTGGGACAGACGAAAGGGAGGGCATCGGCAGATGAACTTCAAGATGCTGAGCGAGCTGGACTAACCCCGGCGACTTCAGCCTTAATACCAACCGATGCACTAGCAACACCGGGCAGCGTCACCCGTGTCGAAGTCAATATACCCGCACCCCCGCCTACGTCGTCTCCGTCCCCGGAACGCCGCGGCCAGATAGCGAACGAGATAGTGGTCACGGAACGGACTTTTGTTCGTGAGCTGCAAGCGCTGATGGAGCTCTATGTTCGTCCGTTACGAGATCAGAACATCTTCTCCGAGAGCGAGATCCGTACCGTGTTCGGAAATGTGGATGACATCCTTGCACTACATGAATAGTACGTATGCAATGGCGTTTTGGAAAGGGACCTTAACGGTTTGCTAATTTCCGTCCCGGCTCCTAACAGCACACTGCTCCCGGCATTGGAAGAAGCTCTTGCGAGTGGTGCGCAACCACTTGGCTCTGTGTTCCAACGCCTCGGTTCTCAGCTTGCCCTCTACGAACCATACTATAACAATTTTGATACCGCGAACTCCTTCGTCACGCTACTCCTCACCATTGCCAATGCATCAGGCGGCTCGACCAACGCGAACTCCTCCCAGAAGAAGACGCTGTCTGATAAACGCAGACGCGAACTGAAGCCCATGGCCAAACAATACCGACAATTTGTAGCACGCGCAAAGGCCAACCCTTTACATGCGTCGCAAATCAGCCTACAAGCGTACCTCATATTGCCTGTTCAACGACTGCCTCGTTACAAGATGCTTTTGGATACTCTGTTGAAAGCCACGTCACCATCCGATGCCGACTACAGCGCTTGCCTGGAAGCCACGCGGATCGTCTCCCGGGTGGTTTCCAACTCCAACGAGAGTAAACGGCAATTCGAAGCCGTGCGCAACGGCACGTCGTTGCTAGGGAGGATACATGTCCCTGAGAACTCCCCAATGTCAGCGACATCTTCGCCACTGAGCATCTCATCTTCTTCCGAGAGTCCCACGGAACCTGGATCGGATCGTAAGATGCTGTTCAGCGGAGAAGTCCGCTTGGTCAAGTTCGTTGAGCGGGACGCCCCGCATGCGCTCAACATGCTCGCATTGATCGAGAAGGAGATCAAGAAAAAGGCCAAGAAGCGGGCGGAGTGCGAGCGTGTAGACAGATTACTTGAGTGGCGTGTTGGCAAAGTCTGGAAGAAGTTTGGAGCCGACGGTGACAATAGTAATTCAACGGCTGCGATAACCGCTAGCCCACAACATGCGCAACACTCAATCGACATATTTGCACCCGACTCCCCATCCCTGTCTGTCGAGACCCTCTCAGAACACGGCATCCAGCCCACCTCAGGTCTCGAATACGCACTGCACGTCATCGGTAGCCAGCTCTACTGGTGCACACGGAGACCAACCCATTCCTCATCCTCCTCAGCATCGTCCTCCCGGAACCGCCGCCGAACCCTGATCAGCGAAGAGATGGACCGCAGCCCAAGCGCCACAACCGCCTTCATCGAGCGCCAACAACAACAGCAAGCGGGTCTCCCCACAGCCTCGCCCGTCACACGCACGTCGCCACCGCTCGTCCGCCGATCGCAATCCGAAAGCGATTTCCGTCATCGCCCGCAGATCGAGGAGGTGCTCTCGGACGCGAGCAATGAGGCAGAGTTTGATCTTGTGCGAAGTCTGCGCGGGCCGGCGCTCACGGCGACGTTCTTGGGGAACGTGTCGGCTGTGCATGCGTTAGCGAGGGTGTGTGACGGGACGTGCGCCATGTACGTCGTCGGTGGGGAACGGGCGATCAGGGACCTGATCGCCGCAGTTGAGAAGGCAACCGTGCCGCCGACGGTTGTTGTGACGTTGTGAGACTTGAGCCACGCACTTTTTTTCACTGCATTTGCATTCTTCCCCCATTTCGGCCAGAAGGCCATCATTATCCATCACGTTTTTGAACACTTACCCCAATGGACCATCGTCCTCATCAATACCCCCACATATAGAAGACATTTCAAACCATTCCCCCCATCTGTATACACACATATTTACTTATACCTGGTCTATTCATTGCAATCATTAGTCAGTACGTCTGTTCTATCCGCGCGCACCGCCTATGAAATGTCATAACTAGCTAAGCCGGATTGTTTTTCCCCAGAGGCCCCCAGAGGGTTTCCCGCCGAGTGTCCCGATGGCCGACACACAGCAGTAACCCTCATCGTCGAAGAGATGCATATGCATCACAACTTGCTCTTCGACACAACCATCCCGCCCAGCCTCTTAGTGATGATCTCCTCCGCATCCGACACAATCTTCTCGCAAAGATCCTTGCACGGCGGACAATCATCAATCAGCCCAACAACCTGTCCCGCCGTCCATACGCCATATTCAGTATCGCCCTTCGTGAACACCTGTCTACCCCGTTGCCCCGAAACCAGATGCTGGATGTCCGAGAACTGTGCACCCCCTGGTCGCTTTTCGATGGAGAGAACCTCGGAAGATACGGCGTTTTTGAAAACGCGGGCGGTATTGTGCATGGTGCGGAACATGAGGTTGGTGTCCTTTTCGGTCGCTTTGATGATCGCGTCTTTCACGGATTGATGGACTGGAGCTTCCTGTGTGCACATGAAGCGGGTGCCTGTGGGTAAGAGGGAATCATTCATGAGCCCTTTTGTTTCATCTATGCATTGTGAGAGTGCCATCACATACCCATGTTGATACCCTCAGCTCCCAATGCCAACGCCGCGGCGAGTCCACGCCCATCACCAAATCCACCACTGGCGAGATATGGAACCTTGAGCGTCTTGGCTGCTTTGGCGAGAAGCACAAGACCGCCGATGTCGTCCTCTCCTGGATGGCCGGCGCACTCGAATCCATCGATCGAAAGGAAGTCCACACCAAGTTTTTGGGCGGACTATGAGATGGTGGAAGCTCACGTGAGACGCGACTCGCAACGTTGCAGCAAAATTTGGCAGAAACGTACCAATGCGTGTCTTATACTGGTGCATTTGTGGATGACCATGATGCGAGCCTCCTTGAACCGTTTAACGTGGGGACCAGGATTGTTGCCAGCCGTCTGAGGACAGAGGAAGATAAGGAAACGAACCGTAAGACAAGGGGTGTACAGATCAATGGCCATTTACCTCAACGACTTTGATTCCTTCCTGTATTATTGCCGTGACGTATTCTTCGTATGGGGGAGGGTTGATGGACGGCAGGAAGGTGATGTTCACTCCGAAAGGCTTCGAGGTCATCGTTCGGCACCTGGCGACTTCCTTCCGCAGAGCGTCCGGGGAAGGCTGGGTCAACGCGGTGAGCATACCCTACAAGAGAGAAAAAGGATGCAAGTGAGAAATTACCGTCCCCACTCTAACAGCTGCGCCATGTCGCCAAGCTACTCCATCGAGACGCATAGCGCTTGCGTCCCTCAACCACAACCTCCCCTAGAAAGTCCACCTGCTTCGCTCGCTTCCTCGTCGCCTCCTTCGCGTGGTACGTCTCCCAAGGCTGCCCGACTCTGCACCCGTAACCGAACATACCAATCCACCCGCGTTCGAGACTGCGCTAGCCATTTCGGCCGTGCCGACCCATTGCATTCCTCCCTGGACTATGGGATGCAATATGCCCAACGCCTTTGTCAATTTCGTTTGCAACGGCATTCTCGAAGATGGGAGGTGCTTTTTCGCAGCGGAGAATGTTGCGAGGCTGTTGGGCAACTGTGAGTGAGTTAACGATGATGCGACTCCGCTGAATCCCACGTCCCTGCCTTTAATACCTTCTGAGAGCGTACTGTACTTTTTAACGTTCCCACGACTGTGTGAGGGTTGGCAAACAAGCACAGCACAGCTGTATGAAAGGTTTGACGAGACGCAGCGCGCGTGATGTGAGCAACACGCGGAGCCCCCGCTTCCGTGGGTGAATTGCATTTCCATTCACACGAGGGAGTGCATTAAAATCGAAAGCCTTTTAAAACAGCACGTGATGACGGGAGTGACAAATCCGGGTCGCGTTTCAACCTGAACGCGAAACGAAAGAGCCCCTGGATTCGGATTCGAGGACTTCGCACCGCGCCCGCCCCGCTCTTTTTGCAAGGCAAAACTCTTTCCTCAACCGGATAGCTGATTCCCCATCATATACATTACCCCCAAAGCACTGTAACCAGCCCCGCTCTCGAACTTCAATCGGCTTCATACAGCAAACACCAGCAACAAAATGTCAAAACCAACCCGCAAACACAATATTCCAGCCCTCACAATGCCACACCTCTCCAAGGACAAGGCATCGCAACTAGCAGCCGCCGCCGAACCGAACTCGCCTAGTACGGCAAAGAGGACCATCACAAAAGCAATGACACACCTACGAGCACTGAAAATAAACCGTCGGCCATCGAGAGACGTGCAGCCTACGCCGATAAAGTCGCCGAAGAGTGCAGTGACGATTAGTATCAGTGTGTCCGAGAGGGCGGACCCGATGGTTGCGCAAGCCTGCGTGAGGATGAAGTATCTGGAGTCTCTGTTGGAGGAGCTGAGAGGATACTCTGGAGAAAAGCGCATTATGGCGGAGACGTATTTATTGAAGGTTGCGGAGAAGGTGCGTTTCGGCAAATGGATGGACATTGTGTTCGTGGCGGTGGACGGTTGACTTACGTGAACTCTTGCAGGAAATGAATCGGGCCAGCGACTACGCGAGCCGGAAAGCTGACGCCTTTGCAGCGAATATCTCAGCTCTACAGACCGCCGTTGTGCGTCTATCGTCGCCATTCTGCAACTCTAAGAAGCAACTATACGCCATCCGGCCGTTTCTTCGGACATTCCAACGACAGAGTGCATCCATGGCCCCCAAACGCGACAAGGGTTTCCCCGTCATGGATCCGATGTTCGATGAATACCTGGTAGACTTGAGGGAACAGGCGAAAAAGGTGGCTAAGAAGACGGGATCCGGCGACATAAGCGACTCGCTCAAAGTCTTTGTGAGGATGGAAACGGATTTTCGGTCCCTCCTGCACTTCATCGCAAAATCGATCTCTGACATCGACGAGCTTACCCGCAACCTGAATCATATATCCTCGGCAAATGGAGACGCAACACCAGCTCAACCCGCCTCAGGCTTCCTATCAGCCCTCCACCTCGCGCAGACCCTTTCCCTAGAAAGCAGAGCCATGATCGCCAAACTCGTCTCCGACCTCGTCCCAGATCTAGAAACGTACGAGTGTGCCGTGTGTCTCGCTACCCTCTACGAGCCAGTCCAGCTTCAAACCTGCAAGCACCGTTTCTGCAGCGAGTGTCTGCACCAGCATGAACGTTTCTCTGCGTTTTGGGCGTACCTGTACTGGATTGATGTTCAGTGCCCCATATGCAGAGGAAGCTATACCGGCCGATGCAAATTCCAGGACGTTGCTTTGAACAAGTATGCACTTTCTTGTTTGTCGTTCCTTCATCTCCTTGTGCCTTGTGACTTACCAACGCCCTCTTTCTATCAGCTTGATCAAAACGTACTTCCCACGCGAGCACAATGCGAAAGGCAGGACGGAGCTTCAGCGCAAACTCAGAAGGAAGTTTATCCTGCTGGTTAGGAAGAAGATAGTCTGGCGTGATACCTTTTGGGAGGGATGAAAGGATTGGCGTATGGCCTTGAAAACGCAACATGTAGATTGGACCTATTGCGCTGCTGTATATATGACAAAGGCGGAGCACTACCCTATTAATTAGGTGCCCGCGGAGGGTAGCAGTTGCCTACCTGTTGTTGTAGATAGTGGGATCAGGACCTCTGGCGTATGAAAAATAGATGGTGTGAGATGACTAATAACATGTTCGAAAGCATCGTTAGTTCAGCTGCGTGCTGTCCGCTAGATTCGCAAGTGTGGCCGCAAGCTCAACATCTCTCGCCCCGGAAAGCTCGGCATAAAGAAAATCTATATTATACAAGAAGCGATAAATCAAAAAGGAGAGAAAGCGAGCGCAATACAAATATAGCGCAGCCGAACGCTTCAGAAAGGGAGAGGGTGCAGAAATGGGCGCGCGAGGGAGGGATGGTGAGCGTGAGATGATGAGAGATGACGATGGGGATGCCCTACAAACTTCACGGTGAGGTGGCAGCTCTACGGTAGGTGTGTGGCTATGTCTACGCTCTTCCCTCGACGAATTCCCGGGTTCAATGAAGAGAGAAGCATTCTTGCATTCTCCTCGGTGTTTTCTTGTGAGGTTGGATGAAAAGTACCAGACGGCTTGTCGTTCGATTGAAATAAATTATTGCCCTGCGTTTGAAATGCATGTTAGGGCGGCCTTCCAGAAGCGGCTATGCGGGGTTCAAATAGAGACTAACCACGTCCACGGCCACGACCGCCGAATCCACCACGGCCCCTTGGTGCGCCTCCACCACGACCTCCACCGAAACCTCCGCCAAAACCACCACGGCCTCGTGGCGCGCCTCCACCACGACCACCTCCGAATCCACCACGGCCGCCCCGGGGTGCTCCTCGGCCACCCCCACGTCCTCCTCGCTTTTCTACCATTCCTTGTCGTCCCAATGGCTTAGCTGAAATATGAGATGTGTCAGAAAGAGAACGCTATTTGCGCATTGAAGTGTGCGCAAGTACGCGGTATAAGTGCAGTGCCGGCTTGAAAAACTCACATTTTGTGAAGGATTTTGGCTTCGGCAGGAACCTGTCCAGAGGCAGCAGCTTATCAGGCGCAATGTAGACCTTGTCTCCACCCTTAAAGCTGTTCGCCTGAACACCTTCTTGAAGCTTAACGGTGAAGAAGACTTCGTTCAGAGGCCCGAGAATTTCGTCGACTTTGCCGATTTGTGTCTTGTTCTCGAGGAAGATAGGAGCATTGAAGTAAGGGATTTTGGCCTGGGAGTCCAAACGGGAGCAGACGAGCTCGCCTTCGCAAGGGTGGATGAAGGCGCCCATTTCGACGACCGAGTCCGGGGGACCCTGTTGGAAGTTGTTGAATCCACCGCGACCTCCTCCGCGACCGCCTCCACCGCGCGGGGCTCCACGACCACGACCGCCTGCACCGAAACCACCCCGTCCGCGAGGTGCTCCTCTTCCGCTCATTGTGTGTTGTTCCGTGTTCGGTGTGGTGTCTGTATCAGCGGTGCTGCTACAAATGCCCGCTATGATACAGTACTTTTGTGCCAGGTTCTTTTTGCTCACTTAGAAGCTCACCGTTTGCCCTCCAAGCCAAGCCACACGCCGCGAGGTGGCGCGAAGTGGCGCATTTGATGATGATGTGAATAAAGCGCTTCCCATATACCGCGGCGCGGGGTCCGTCTCCAATGACTCTCCATTGATGAGCGTGACTCCCACACACGGCTATGAGAAATCGCGGATGGGTCACGACGCACGGACTTTTGAAATCCCATTGTTTTTCGTTTTTCGCACCTGCAACCCAAACACTGGCCTCCCCAATTTTCCCTCCACATCTCACCAGCAGCTAAAAGTAAGTTGCCCTGCCCCAAAGATAGAAACTGGAGAGCTGCCCTTGTCCACCTGGGGAGCCATATAAAGCTGCCCGGACCGCAGTTGCCTTTCTGGTGGACTTACTTATCGAGCTTCCTCCTATCAGAAACCAATAACACAATAATGACTGGCCACCCTGCTTTCGACCGGTGCAAGATCCTGGACAACATCCTCGACCACATTGGAGGAACTCCGTGTGTCCGATTGAACAGAGTCGTCAAAGATGCTGGCATAGAGTGTGAAATTGGTAAGACCTCCGCTCAGCTTTTTGGCCAGCATAGTGGACCTCTAACGGACCCCCCTATTTGAATAGTTGCTAAGTGTGAGTTCTTCAACGCGGGAGGATCCGTGAAGGACAGGATTGCCAAACGCATGGTTGAGGGTGCGGAGAAGGATGGCACGCTGAAGGTATGCTTGTGTGTTGAAACCTGCGACAGGATGCGGGAAAGTGGTATCTCACACACTCCTCCATTCTCCGCCATAGCCTGGCTTCACGCTGATCGAGCCCACTTCCGGAAACACCGGTATCGGACTCGCCCTTGCCGCGGCTGTCAAAGGTTACCGCGCCATCATCACCCTCCCTGAGAAGATGTCGCAGGAGAAGGTTGACGTGCTCAAGGCTTTGGGCGCTGAGATCATTCGTACACCCACCGAGGCTGCGTGGGACGCACCCGAGTCGCACATTGGTGTCGCTCGCAAATTGAACAAGGAGATCAAGGACTCCTTGATCCCCGACCAATACGGAAACCCCAACAACCCGCTCGCCCACTACTACGGCACTGCTGAGGAGATTATCGCTCAGTGCGATGGAAAGATCGACATGTTTGTTGCTTCTGCTGGAACCGGTGGTACCATTGCAGGTATTGCAAAGAAGCTGAAAGAGAAGTTCCCGGGATGCAAGGTTGTCGGTGTGGACCCCAACGGGTCTATCCTTGCGCTTCCTGAGACCCTCAACAAGGAAGGTGTTCACGGATACCAAGTTGAGGGCATCGGTTACGACTTCGTCCCCGAAGTCCTCGACAGGACGTACGTCGATGAGTGGATCAAGACTGACGACAAGGAGAGTTTCCTCATGGCCCGTCGGTTGATTCGTGAAGAAGGTCTCCTCTGCGGTGGATCCTCCGGTGCCGCCGTTGTCGGAGCGCTGAAGGCCGCCAAGTCCCTCAAGCCCGGCCAGCGTTGTGTCGTCCTCCTTGCGGACTCCATCCGTAACTACATGACCAAGCACCTAAACGACGACTGGATGCGCGAGCACGGCTACATTGACTCGAACACCGTAAAGAAGGAGCAGGAGCGTGTCTCCCAATGGGCTGGCGCGACCATCAAGGACCTCAAGCTGCCCACAGCCGTCACCGTTCCAGAAACGACCACCTGCCGCGAAGCGGTAAGCATCATGCACAGCAACGGTTTCGACCAGCTCCCCGTCACATCGTCGCCATCTGCCGATCAGCAACCCCACCTTGCCGGCCTTATCACCCTCGGTAACGTTCTGGCGAAGGTTGCCAGCAACCGGGTAACACTCGACGACCCAGTGGAGAAAGCTATGTTCCACTTCCAAAACACCAAGAAGTTCACAGAGGTCACCGTGGACACACCACTGGAGTCCCTATCAAAGTTCTTCGAGAAGCACTCCTCCGCCGTTGTGACGGAACGCGCCGACGGCCTGCCCAACGGTGGTGTAGGACAAGTAGTCAAGCACGTAGTCACCAAGGTGGATTTGTTGGGATACCTGCTGCAGTCGGCCAAGGTTGCCAATTAGAGAGCGTTGAGCGCATTTATAATCATTTCTGTGCTTAGGAGTTTTTATCCATTGGCTAGAGTGTACTTACCGCAGTTTAGTGTCACTTTTTTACGCAATACACATTCATTTTTGTTCAATACCAAATGTCATATCAGAGACGCACAACGAGAACTTTGATTTACCAATACGTTCAGATTCGTGTGCACATGAATTCTCATTCCGCCCCGACAACACATGCACAGAGACGGAGGAACCACAGGGCCAATATCCATTGATACGTAACAGGCGGAAGGTATACATATGAGAACCAGCGCGCTGACCCGTCAACCGGCCATCGCATAAAAACCAAAATTGTTGCGGGACGGGATAATGGAGGGGTTGTATGGGGGTGATGAGGGGAATAGAGGGTTGGAGACTTGGAGGGATGGGAAGTAAACGAACAACTACATACACCGATAGCGAAACCCAAAAAAATAGTATGGCGCGGAGGAACAAGGTGGGATTCGCAAACGACTCACTGGAGATACCGGACCCCTTCTTTCCGGCACTGCTTGGCACTGATGCGTATCAGGCTGGCGAGTTTCGACTTCTTCACGATCGAAACATTACTGTTCAGAGTGAGCTTCGAAAGCAGGCCGCCCAGGTCGTTGTTGTGGTAGTTATACTGCATGGCTTGGGTCATGAAGCTGTTGATTTCGGGAACAGATGTCATGTCGTCTTGCATGGAGCCGGCTCGCCAACGGCCGAGAACGCCCGTTGCCCAATTGTAGCGCATAGGTGCTAGGACGGTCTCGTTGGTGCGTTTGTCGTAGCCTCGAAGCTGTGAACATGAGAATGGAATACATTAGCGGATCTGTTGTGTGATTTCCGTTTCACTACCAACGATGTGGATCCAGAGGGTAAGCGATGACGTACCAAGACGCTGATTCTTCGCGTGTCCCACTCAATTTGGGTCGCGGGTGTGCCCGGTGGTCCAACAAACGCTGGCGCACCGGGAGGGATGAAGAAGCTCCATTCGAGCGAGAAGACATCGTTCTCTGCAGTTTGCTCATCAATGGCGATTTGCAGGAAATTCGACACCAAAACGGGGGGCATCGTTAGGAAATCGAGGAAGAAGAGGAGAAAAGGACGGAGGTCGGTTCCACGAGGTAGCCCGTTCAGCTGTGGATTTCCAAAACACACGCGACTATCAGAGAATTGCGCCGCGCACAGAAACGTTCTACAGCGATACGCACCTTTCTCGCCATCATATCAGCAAAGGCAACGAATTGCTCCTTGAAAGACGGCGGGGTACCACTCTGTTTTTCCACTCCAGGTGCACTCTCTTGTGCTTCGTCGGCGGACTCGAATGGCACTGCGGTGACTTCCCACTTGTTTGCAGGATTGACTTTCAGTACGATCGCTTTTGAGATGGTCCGTATGTTTGCTTTCATCAATGGCAAATCAACCGATGTCGTGGCAATGGGCCCCTTTTCAAACAGAGGATTGGTAAGTGTAAGCTCATGCTGACCGGCAGATACATCGATGCTCTCGGCTTCTACCTCGAGGGTTGGAGGGAATCGCCTCTGAGCCTCACTCTCCAACCAGAGGAGGAGTCCCACATTGTTCAGATGATTGTCGATGCTCGCAAACACCCGATCCAGTAAAACCGCGTCGAACATCAAACCAAAATGTACCGGTATGGCCGTCGTACCAATTGGTATCGACGGGTCTCGCACGAGTTTGCTGACGTTCTTGACCAGTCCGTTGAATAATGGGATCGGATCTAGGTCTTTGTAGACGTCCCGAGGGTCCTCGAGGAAGCGTCGATTGACCCCCCGTCTCGGTAACTGCACCGCGTCATAGAGGCCGAAGTGACTACTCCGTAACAGAACAAGCTCAACAGCATATCTCCCGGAATACAGGAGTTGAATACGCCGCAAATCAAGAAGCGTCAGGCAGACGGTGGGATCACCGACACCTTGAGCATCAAGAAGTGCGCCTCGCTTTGTTTGTAGTCTGTGCACTAACCGAAGAAGGGGCGCCATATGCCACAAAACCTAGAATAATTTTGCATGTTAGTATAAGAAACCTTCGTGGGGTTGTTGTTCCAACCGAAGCGCGTGCAATTACCAGGAAGGCAGTTGCGATATCTTTCTCGAGTCTGATGAATTCCAACCAAACCGGTTTTATCTGGCTTATCAACTCTGGAGGCACCAGCCTCATATTGGTCTCGTTCGCTAGCTGCTTCTCGCCCACCAGTGATGTAAACTCCCATTGCTGGTCATTCTGGCCGCCGATCGGTAGCGCCCCCGGATGTCCTGCATCTGGAGATGATTTTGCGAGGAGCTCAACTCGGAGACTTTTCTGATACGTGAACGATAATCGTCGGAAATCGAAGGGTTCGATTGTGACGCCAATCTGTTCCAGACGGCCTTTATCACGAGCTGCTTTCTGTGCAAGCAGCGCTACCGCAGCGTTCGATCGAAGTGTATCAAGCATGAGCTCCACGCAACTAGCTATGCTATCCTCCGTGTCAAAGGAGAAGTACAGAGCTTTCTGCTCTCGGTTGAAGGTCCAGAAGTCGCCGCTAACATCCTGTGTGGTAAACATGCTTGCAGGTATGGCACCGGCGATTCCACAGATTCCGATCACTCGCACACCGTAGGCGTCGCAAGGTTCTCCATCAGGGACCCTAGTGTTCGGCGCGGCGTTACTAGCGCTTTTGAAACCCTTCGAGCGTGATGGCTGCACGCTGATGTATAAATCGTCAAACATCGTTCGTGTATCCTCTCCATTGCGAGATAGGACGGCAGCGAGCTCGTCGCGACCAACGAGAAGTTTCAGACCGCGTCCAGCGACGCGGGACTCTTCATTAGCAAGCTCATCCGGGCTAATGTACTCATCGCCAGAGAGTGACACGTATTCGTAAGGTAAACCGCAGTGCCGTAGATTCTCGACCACTGTAGAATATACATGCTGGAGGCTGTGGGAAGCATCATATTTGAGCAAGAAACGCGATGATTGGGCAACCCAGTGTGAAACTTACCGGCACATTCTCTCGATAGACACGACAGTCTCCATATCTACACAGTCCCAGCAATATTGAAGATGTGCACGCCTATCAGCCGAAGCTCCGCTCGAAGACTGAGTGAGATCAGTTCCCATTGAATCATTCGACAACATGCTTTGCAGGGAGGTAGTAGAATCGCGCGATGTCGAGTTTGACCCCTCGTTGTGCATCAGATGGTCCGGCCATGTTCCGCGATATTCCTCGACGGAATCCCCTGAGAAGACCTCTGAAACCCTTATTGGTGTGATCCGTCGTATACGCCGGTTCATTTCCTTCTTCGCCCGACCAAGCCTTATCATGGCTTGACCGTCAGAACTGCTCATACCGATTGTTAAGGCTTCAAGGAGACAAGGAATCGCAACACGCATGAGCTTTACCTTGTTTCAATCAGCCACACACGATAAAGTGGCTCATTTTGTTGCCTGCTCCTCTCCCCTTGATGTGCAATCTCTTCAGGGATGTTCCAATGCTCGGGGATCCAATCCCGAGAGCTCGCTACAGCGATCAAAATCCAAGCCTCTTTCAAACCAGCGATGCGAATATATAACTTATTGATAGGTAGGGAAGGGTTGATCTTTGATTCCTCCGTAGGTTGCAGAGGCGACAGTGTTGTCGCTACCAATCCAAGACGTTGGCAAGCAAAAAGCAGTTCCTCGATGAGAGCTGCGCGTCGCATAAATGAGAAGATTTCAGGAGCTTCATTGGGCCCATCGTTCAATCGCTGCTCAAGGATCGGTAGGAATGGCATGTGGGAAGAAGTTTCTGGGCGACCCGTGTGTCTCAGTATTATCCGGCCGCTCCATGCATCGATGTTAACAATCGCGGTTGATGACTTGTTCATGCGAACTGATAGCCTCGCAACGCAGTGATCTGTATTCGCATCTGGCCTCCACTCGCTCAGGTCCACATCACCTTCGGCAAAAGTCGTAACTTTCAAGCTGCCGTGTACAGACTCACTGTCCGGTCGCTTTGCTTCGGTAACACGTGCCTCATCGGTGCATGTTTGGGTATATGATGGACGTTGTTCCGATGATGGCACAGAATGGACCATGGGATGCCACCTTTGCACTACATCCGAGGGTATAGCATTCCGTCTTTGCCTGGCTGCCGAATTCCATTGAACTGATCTCAGTCCGTGATTATTCGGCTTTCCTGTCACCATGTTCCGCAGCTGGTGGATGATGTACCGCGATTGCAACTGAGTGATGTTGTGAAGAAGTTCTCCAAGGTCGATCGAAGAGGGGTTCTGTGCACAATTGATCATTCGCATCGTCAACAACAAACAAGATCCGCCTTAAAGAAGCGGAAGGAATTACCCACCAATCTCAGCGGAAGGAGTTCCTTTGTCTCAGGATTCATGAAGTCTCGGATTTCCAGTTTCCCCTCAAGATTAGGGAGGACGCTGTGGCACCGTAGTTGAAGGTAGGTGCGAGGACGAGTTTGGGGGCCGAACATTTTGTATCGCATGTGCTCGGGGCTTAGATGTGCAAGCATGGTCCTTTTCCTCTTTTTCGCCCACCTCTCAAACAATAAGTTTGATGTAGGCTGATCGACCTTCACCTCCACTTCTAACACATAGTATTTATGCGGCGGCTCTACAAGGGAAACATATGTCATCGGCAAAGCACGAATTGGCGCACAATAGAAATGCAACTCACGATATCCTGCAGGAACGGTTTTCGGATCCGGTCCGGGGATAGGCATGTCCCAAAAGTGGACTTCGAATGCTTCTCGACCTTTCCCTTCCACCACTTTTAGGTAGTTCCGCCATCGATTCCTTGCAAGTGAATGCGCCTGAATGAGTCGAATGGTTAATCCGTGATAGTAGTTGGCATTCGAGAGATGCAAGAGCTGCGAACCTGTGCGGCAGCGATCCGAAATTGCAAGCGAGTCAAAAGGCTTTCGAGAAACTCGTATAAATAAAGAATTGGGAAAGGATTGTGAACCCATCGAATCTGCTTGAATCCTTTCTTTCCTCGGGATTTCTTCGACCGAGGTTTAGGATCCGCTAGAAGGTTTTCTCCATCGACGTCCATGGCGATCGCAGCCGAAGGGTCATGATTGAATGCACCACCTTCAAAGATACCATTCTCCGCCTGCGGCTTAGTGATTTCCACTTTCCGCTTCTTCTTCGGCCGCTTTGCCTCGTCGGTTGCATCCGTGTGCGAAAAGAGGTTTGCGCCTTTCTTATCGCTCGTTTCCCCTCCTGACTGCCGGAATTTGCCCACGTCTGCCGGAATCTGAGAATTCGCATTGCTTGGCAGTGAGGGACCCTTGGCGTTCCGCTTCTGGACCTGTTCCAGCAATACTTGAGCCCTTTGCAGAATGGTGAACTTCTGATGGTCTAGCAAGCCGGTGACCAGTCCTGCAAACAATCATCAGAATCTGCGAATCACTGCTTCGAATTGCACGGGTACGAACCAGAAGACGCGTCGGTCGATTGGACCAAGAATTCAAGCTCCACGATACGCCACGGAAGGTTCATGTCGCCGCCAGCAGGAGTCAAAGACAGCTGGAACATATCGTCCACGCGAAAGGTCACGCAACCTTTCTCTGCAACCCCACGAGCGTGTCAGCCCCATGCTTGTCCCAGTCCCCCTCCCGCGACCCCATTAAGTTAATGAATGCGTACCAACAACCATGTTACTCCGCATGGCATCGGGTACTATTTCCAATTCCAGCCGTTCATGTATGATGTCCTCCAGCTGTGTCAAAGTCTCAAGCGTCTCCTCTCTCGACAAGGGTTGTTTCGGAAGTGCATCCTACGAAATTGTAAGACAAATGACAGTCACGATACCGAACACGGAAGATTCCCTGGTAGTACCTTCATTACGGAGGGAAGCTGCGTGTAGGTCCTGTTCCGAATGATGTCGACCGCCGTTTGCATGTCAGGAGCTGGAGTTCTACAGTTCATAAGGGCGGTCGGTAAGCACTGAACCTTCGACAGACATCCTCTGAAACCTGTCATTCTGCTTACTCCACAAACTGCTTTAGGTGTGCCACCATAGCTTGTAAGCCGCGACCAGCGCCCTCTACACAGGCACTTTGGCGATCGAGATATCCGTGCATATTCTATCGACCGCCTATTTGAGTACGTGTAGTCCCATTTTGCCCCGTCGTGGGTGCTATTCATACCATCAACTTTTGCCAATCCTTGGCCTTTCGACTACAGCGCATAAGAACCAGCAGCTTCTTCATCTCGTGATGCTCCTCCATTGCCCAATCCAACAGCCCTCTCTGTCGCTTGTCTGGTACATCATGGGCAAGGCTGCGTCAAGGAGATGAAGTCAGTCCATCCACTTTCCAAAGCTCGACATTGGGCTGACCACGAAGAGGCTGCTAGAATGAGCGCCCCCGACCCCTGAAAGAGTCGTTCCCACTCACTCTTTGATGACGCGCTGCATATTGGAGTAGGATGCTTGAATCATCCGGCCAGCGATCACCTTCATCGGAATCGGATTCATTGGCATGTGCGGGAGTTCCGGCAGCGGTCGCACAGCATGCTTGCCATCCACCCCCGCAGCTTGAGCTGGTCCGCGTTCTCCCGCTGAAGCCGACGTCGAAGGCACTACCGCCCCAGCTGCGTGGCTTGCGCTGCTGTGCTCCATATTGCCGAATGCCACCCGACCTTTCACGAGACGCTTGGTCCTGACCTACTTCTCTCAGCAGGACATTCCCAGCAATAGGCAGGTCCAGGTCGCCTGAAAAAAGTTTCCCTTGCTGCACAACAAGCACTTGTGTCGAGCCCCCGTCGACTCAAATGTCCCACGCTATCGTCCTCAAAGGTCGAGAGAAAGTTCAAGACGACAAGCTCCTGAAGCCGCTCGTCTGCCCAAATGCTGTGGGAACCGCTGATCCTCCAGATAGAAAAGGTATAAGCCTTTTGCAGATGCTTGGCCAAGATGGCAGAACAATGTGGAAAGCAGGTCGAAGCAAGGCCCCGGCGATCATTGATTAAGGACTCCCCCATAAGCACATCAGGCCGAAATTATATCGACGTCTCAAAGGGATCACATAAAAGGATATAGTCCGCGGACTCCCCACGTGACTAGTGGCCCGCTCGGCTATGACGTTTATCCTTGCCGGCCGCCGATACGAGTATCAGATTTGATCTCGTCAAAACTTCGGCAGGGACTCGGACTCCAGAGAGCATCGCTCATCAATCCAGCAGGAAAGGTTGCAAATATGTCGACCATCATTAACAAGCCGTGGGATGCTCGCTACGCTGGGGCCGTACCTCACGATGCTTCATACTACTCCAAGTGTTTGCTCGGAGGTGTCCTTGCCTGCGGTCTCACGCACACCGCAATCAGTAAGTCTTTGTGAACTCACTCCAGTATGCAGATCGCAAGGCACGTATCTGACCTTCTCCCCCCTTCAGCTCCCATGGATGTGACGAGTAAGTGTCCCTTCCAGCCCTGCAGCGTGTGAGTTTGAGAACGGCGGATGTAGATGAACTGCCGGATGGCAAAGTGGCCAATCTCGGAGCGCCGGGCGCGGCGTCGCTCTAAGAAGGCGTAGCGGAAAGGAAACTGCTGGATCCCATGTTGAGCCGCATACCTTAAGTCTTTCACTAACTACTGTTCGAACATCCTTCACGTCAGAATGTAACATGCAAGTGAACCCCGCAAAGTACAGGGGCCTCATCTCCGGTCTTCGCACGATCATCGCTGAGGAAGGTGCCGCTGCTATCTGGAAGGGTTGGGCGCCCACGCTCATCGGCTACTCTGCCCAGGGCGCCTTCAAGTACGGTCTTTACGAATACTTCAAGGACACCTACTCTAACCTCCTTGGTAAGGAGGATGCGGAGAAATACAAGGGTCTCATTTGGTGTGCTGGTTCCGCCTCTGCCGAATTCTTCGCGGACGTTGCGCTTTGCCCTATGGAAATGGTCAAGGTCAAGGTTCAGACCTCCGTGCCTGGTACCTTCCCCACTGGTTTCGGCCCCGCGCTTGCGACCATGCGTGCCGACAGCGCCATCACTCGCTTCCCCTTCGGATCTTTGACTCCTCTCTGGTCTCGTCAAATCCCCTACACTGTCGCCAAATTCTTCTTCTTTGAGAAGGCTGTACAGTTCTTCTACTCGAACGTCTTCACCGCGCCAAAGGAGACCTACTCGAAGGGCACTCAGCTCGGCATCACGTTTGCGTCCGGATACTCCGCCGGTATCATTTGCGCCATCGTGTCTCACCCCGCCGATTCCCTCGTTTCTTTGATGTCCAAGCCCGCCAATAAGGGGAAGGGTCTTGGTCAAATTGCCTCGGAAACGGGACTTGCCAACTTGGCCACCAAAGGTCTGGGCACTCGTGTCCTCATGATCGGCACTCTCACAGGTAAGCTGACGTATCCTTGATGTCTGAATGTGAAAAGCGTCGTTATCTCTGGGCCTTTGCTAATGTGAGATCCATCTGACATCCAGGTCTGCAATGGTGGATTTATGACACGTTCAAGACCGTCATGGGAATGGGTACCAGCGGTGGAAAGTAAACGTAGACCTAGATGTAGCACAACTTGATACATACTCTAGACTACCCATATTTTCACGTACATTTGGTCCATTCCGTCGAGCTCATGCCATCTAATCACTCCGCAACTATACTGGACCAAGCTGGTCCTACGTGGTGTCTGAGATGCTTTCGATTAATTTACAAAGCTGTACATTTGATGCGGAGATGCGGTTCCATCCGAGACCCCACGACCGGCCGATGCCAATGTGCATAGGTCGTGCCAGACAGGGTACGATGGAAGAATATTTAGCAGTCGTCCATATCTATGCGCTCCCGGGTGCAGACTCGTCGGAAAGATTTCTCTTTTCGTACTGAGCCATTTTGTTCCTAATCTCTTCCTGGGCGTTTTTACTGTAAAAAAAAATCGGCGTTGGATAAGAAGTCTGACTCAATCCCCGAATTTGCCGGATTCCCAGATTGCATAAACCGGAACTTACGCCTTCGACATCTCCTCCTCATAAGCGCTGGAATCCTGAAGCTGAAGATCCTCCGCATCCACGAATTCCTTCGTAACCTTCTTATGCAGCCAAAACCTCATCTCCTCCTTTACTGGATCTTTGCCCATCTTTTCCGCCTCAGCCTGTATCTTGCCATCGCCGTCTGCCAACTTCAAGTTTGCCGCCTTTGCTTCCTCTTCGGCTTCCTCTTCGGCCAACATCTGCTGTTCCGCCAAAACCTCTGCCTCCCTTCGTTCCAGTGCTCGGTGGTAATCGATTTTCCCACGAGCGTCATAGAAAGCTGTCAGTGCCTTCTGATACGCGGCATGCCGCGTCAACCCTTGCTGATCCATCAGAAAAAGGGTGTGTTGGACAACACTAGAAGGTACCAAGCAGAGGATGGTTCGTTCAACACTTCTTCCGAAAACAAGACCGGGCGTAGACGAACTTCCCGCTTACCTCTCTCCTGTCGGGAAAGAACCATCCCCGAAAATGGTAGACCAATCCTTCACCCCTAGCGTCTCCTCAGTCTCAACCAGCGACCGCGGCCTCCTTAACTCCAGAGGATGCCACCTATAGAACGCTCTTCTGATCTCGTCTTCGGGGTATACAATGCGCGGTGGCCTCGTCACATATTTTGGCTTATAGTTCCTGTTCCCGCGCTTATAGAGATTGTGTTCGGTCGTAGAGAATGGCGTCGATGGTGATGCGGTGGTCGTGGGTTTGCGGAACTGGCCTTGCTGGGCCGGGATGATGCCGTTCGGCGTGAATTGGGCGCCAGGAAAGCGGAGGACTGCTTGGTACCATGCTGGTGTTTGTTTTATCCGTTCTGCGTCGACGAGACGAGTGACGTTCTGACAGAGCGTATATGCGTTGTTCCGTAATGGTGGAGCCATGCTGCCGTGCCTTCGTCCCGACGAGCGTTCTGTCAGGAATTGGCGATGTGCTTTCGTCGTTTCGCCAACGGGAGGATTCCCATACAATTCCCATAGCAACATTTTTAGTAGACGCACGTGCGCGGAATTAAATCTCGGGTCAACTCGCAAGCAGCCGTGGCTGGCAGGATGCACAGGCTGCTTGGTGAATTTACTTTGCGCTCAGACGTTCTTGCAATCCCCCCCCACGCAACTAACTCACGTACCTAGCAGCCATGTCTCGCCCGGTCCGTTACTTCAACCTCGCCGCAAGGCAGACCCTCTCCCGCAGGGGCGTCTCTACCCCCTCCGTCGACACCGCCGCCATCAAGAACCAGGCCCAGGGTGTCGTTGGAAAGGCTACCGGTGAGTTTTCGTGAGACTTCGCTGGATCGAGTCAATCAAGCACAGAGGGAATCGGCGCAGGACCTTTGTCTATTGGAAGGAAGCCTCTTGGGATGTGTTGCGTATGGATTTACGCCGGGGTTGTGTTCACTGGCTGACGCATGTTACCTTATTCTTCTTCCATAACTTTTCGCAATCGCCACGTTCGAAATCCAATACAAACCTCGCCACTCTACGACGATAATAGCTTTCGCTGAGCCCATCATCTACTACTCCCGCGTCAGTTTGGAATTCCTCCGCTCCGTCGCCCACCACCAGAAGGTGGCCATCCCCAGCATTGACAACGGCATCGTCGGTCTGTCCAACTTCTACGGCGCTTTCAAGACCGGTGCCTGGAAGAAGGTTACCCTGAGGGACGTTGGACAGTTGTCTCTCGAGGGAATCAAGATCGGTGGATTCTTCCTTGTTGGAGAGATGATTGGACGGGGAAGCGTTATCGGATACCAGATTCACGGTAACTTCCACACTTTTGGATTTCCGCAGTGCTGCGGTGATGGTATCTAACATTATTCTTTCCTCAAAGGTGCGGACAACCTCGACGGAGAGGGCGGTCACTAAAGAGTTTTGATGGACGGATCTCGAGAAAGCCAATCCATCTAGACTCAAAACAACTCAGCCGATCACCTCAGCATTTATCAAATATATACCGATAGGAATTAACTCTCCCCCCCACGATTGCGGTTGATGTCGATGGTTCTGGCGCGGCCGGCTGTGATGGCTGAGAATGCGTGCAGTGGGCTCGCGGGTTCCTTGGGATGCAACCTCTGGACGGGTGGGAGCTGAAAATGGAGAGTCGGCCAGTAGCTTAGGTACCACAATTTCCTATGGTGCGGAGAACGGCCGTGCCAGCCATGCACATTTATGACGACGAGTATCAGTTGCGTGGGTTTGCTGCATAGCAGCGGTCGGGAATCGCAATCAGGCGACACCTTCTGCAGGAGGGCGCCTATCTGCCTCTACTCTATCAGAACCCTATGCTATCAACTCGAACTTCGCCGGTAAGCACAGCTCCGACGTTATTCCCCTCACGAGTGCAAAGTTGGTATGTGTGCGCTTGTGACTAGTAATGGGATAGAAACGCGGTTAGAGAGTGTCCAGTGATGCGAATGAGCCACCCAGTCCACATACCTCACACCATCACGGATAGCGCGATGTAATCCTCCCACAGTGCAACTCGCAATAGCAGACCCATGTCCCTGAGCTACCGAAAAACGGCCAGTCGTGACATAACCAACAACCGCAGAAGCAGGTGGGAACTGCCCCAACCTATCCTTTGCCTGCTTCTCCAACCCCGCATCATCCCCATCGGGCCTCTTCTTCATGACACCCATCCAAAACTCATACTCCTCCTGCGTGGCCGAGTACACATATGCCCGATCACCAGGCACACCCTTCCGCAACATATCGATCCGCACGCGGACGAGCATGTCTCCCACCGTCTCCGGTGTAATCTCCGATAATGTGGGCAGATCCATTCCACGGCATTGTGCGATGCTTTTCCATTTGTCGATGAGGGATTTGCCGAGGGCGGTTATTGTTGCGCTGGAGGGCAGGGAGCGGCGGAGGTGTTCGACCATGCGCGGGCTTTGAATAGCGATGATGCCACGGGTGGTTGCTGTGGGTATACCGTTGAGGTCACTTGAGGGTGTTTGCCCGGTAAGGACGCTGATTTTCGATGGATCCCGAGTGATAGCGGGCTTCACTTCCGCTGCGCTGTCCTTCTTCCCTTCGACATCAGCAGCCGTCGCCTCTGTGCCCGGCTGTACTCCAACCCCTGCGCTGACCTCCTCAGGAGACTCATCCTCGTCCTCGCCACTCGCATTGCACAACTCCTCAAACGGTGACAAAAACGGGTACTCAATCCCAAGCTTCGCGAAATTAACCTTCTTCCCTGGCGGCGTCTTCAACCACAACTCAGCCTCCTTCAACCCCACCTTGGCCGCCCACGCCTCGCTCGCCGTCGTTTCCGGAAAATCATACGGAAAGCACGGCAAGCCCGTCTCATAATGCATCATATGCCGTTCACGCAGACCGCCCACGCGCGCACCGGCGTACACGAGGTTCTTCCAGATGGCCATGCCCCACCCGGCTGGGATGACGATGTCCCAGCCTGAGACGTATTCGCGAGAGTCTTTGCGGATGGCGGCGTCGGAGACTTGGGTTAGGCAGTTGCGTTGGAGGAGGAGGATGGGTACTCTGGCGTCTTCGGGGGTGGGGTCGAGTGGTGTTCCGGGAATGAGCGCCTGCGGGATTGTTGCGTCAGCTCCTATGCAAGGGTAAAAGACTGACGTAGGGACTCTTACCTCTGCTCTCCTGCGATTTATCGCCCCTTCGGTAACCTTTTGTGTCTTAAAGGCCTCTCGTACGCTCGAATCCCAGATACTGTTGTTTGCGACGCCCTCAGGCCAAGCCTGCAAGGTGCTTTCACATTCCGGCGTTCCAACAGGCACTTCCTTCCTGGGAGGCATCTTCGGGGGAAAGCTCAGCCTCGGGTCCACCACAGTCAGGCCCAATGCCACTCCTGGTGGGAGAGATGCAGGAGAATTCAGATCCGACAGATCTGCCCATGCTTTGTGCCCGGCTGCATTCAGCGTTGGTTGTGTATCATCAAGTCCCAGAATGTGATGTAATATGGCATTTGACCGCGGTCCTGTGATCTCGAAGCGGAGGAGCTCGCCGTAAAGCTCTTTGACTGCGACCGCAGGTTCGTCCGGCAGTAGTGCGGTTATGGCGTGATTGATGGTGGTGAGCGCGAGCTGATAGATGGCGGGATGCAGCCATATCCATAACTTTCGAGTAGCGGTTTGATTGCCAGAGACAGGCTGCCAGAGGAAGGTCGCTGGTCCAATAGGGGCAGCAGGATACGCCATGTAATCGTGCAGGAAAGTGGTTCCCTGTCGGTCGCCTTTCAAGTATCTCGCGCTGGCAACCGCGGGAAGGGTAGGATCGGTGATGGTAGTCAACAGCCGTTGCAAATGCTTTTCTTCCCCACAGAGCTCGACCACTTGAAAGTAAGACACATCCTGCATGAGGCATTGATGTCTCGCCGCTCTGAATCCAGCTCGGAAACTCTTATCATTCGGATGCTCCGAAATCTTCCAATTCCACAGATCCGCGATATGCATCCGTTTCGCATGCCAAATATGTGTCTCCAACCACCCCGTCTTCATAGGCTTGAGATCCTGCCTCCTCTTCTTCCTCCTTTTGCACCGAGTCAGTTTCCCAGCCTCCCCGAGTTTCTTCTGCGGTTGCGGGTCCTTCCCTATCTGAATAAGAGCTCGTTCGTGGAGTCGTCGGGGCAACCGCTTGACGTTGTGACTGGCGGCTCTCCGGCGCATGTGCCTCGGCACCGTTTGAAACACCCGCTGCACACCTGCGTGCTCGGTTGCATTCTCTAAGGCCTTTTCCAACGCGGATATCTCGAACGCGCGAGCTTCTGCAAATTCAACAACGCTTATGGTGCGAGGGGGCGGCCTGGAAGTAAGCGGTGGGCCGGCGGGTATATCGCCTGTTAGCTGAGCGGGCGAATCGGCGTTCTTCACCTCTTGAATATGCATTTGCTGACGAGCCTTCTTGCGCTCGCGTGCATTTAAGGTCGTTTCTGCGGGACGTTTGCCCTTGTTCGGTTTCCCATTCCCACCACCACTTCCATCCTGTTTCTTCTTGGTGGTCTCAGGTGTGGACTCGCCCGGAGTCTTCTCCTTGCGCTGTTGCCCGTCCATGGCTTCTGAGAAGCACTATGCGAGTGGAAATCACTGGGGCGGAAGGCGATTTTGCGAAGCAGCTCGTCGAGAACTTCCAAGCTTCTCAAAATCCCAAAAGCGCGTCCTCATGCTTTCAGTGAGAATGCTCCAACAACAGACGAACCATACAGTACTCTGTACAGTAGTTACTATTCAGGAGACTACAGGCAATCGCCAGGACTTGAATTCAACATAACCTAAAGGTCAGGGTAGGTGGCCGTCGAAACCCACAGGGCGCAATTTGCGTGAAGCAGCAGCCTTGAAGAGACGCAAAGGTGCAATCGGGAACTAGTTTTGGAGTGCATTTCCTTCAGCCGCATAGAGCCGGGGTGCAGCGACAACCATACAGGGCCAATACGAGGTAAGCATTGACCTAGACGGAGCGAGGAACGCTCGAACTCCGAAGACGTTGGATAGTTGGAAGGAAACCATGCGAACAGCGGAACTCTCAGGAACACATGTACTGGCATCACGCCTGACCGCAAAACCCATCTTGAAAGACCTTCCTGGACCACCATGCGTTGCGTTGGTCAGTGCCACCTCTCAAACAGATTCTGTTCCGTCTTTAAGCTGATTGGAGACCTCGAGGTGGGGCTTCAAACTCACGCCGAACTCGAAGGCGGGTGTGCCGTGAGCCGAACCATCACCAACATTTTGGAGGAGAATGTCGTTCAACCTTTATTGGTGTCTACCAGCGCTATCAACCTCGCTGCGGAGACCGTCAAGATGATCATGAAGATTGATGACATGTGAGTATAGCATTTCAGTTTTGCTTGTTTTGACAGTTTCCGCCGTGTTCTTCGCTGACCAACACCTTTCCTTTCGTTGCTTAGTGTTGCTGTACGATAAACTTAATACGAGGGAGACCTGCAGGAGATCCTGAGGCGCGCGGATCCGCGGGAGTGAGGAGTGACGGATGCTGGTGAGGGGGATTCTATGTAGTGGCAAGGGCTTTGAGCCTTGTCAGCGTCTTGTAATGTTTTTGTAAAAACCGGTAGCGTTGTAAATGTGAATAAACTTGACGATGAAAAGAAAGAGAAGCGAGGAGTAGAATAAGCAAATTCACCGGACCGAATTGAGATAACCCGGAAACGTGTCGAGGCCGTAACGCGAGACGATCGACTTGGATATCTCCCTCCAACAAAAGCTTGTCTCTGATGAGATCCACTTGACACACGAACAACTGGATGAGCGAGTAGGTAAACGGCCATGGTTTCGTTGGCTCCCACAGAAAGCAAGGCGACATTGCTTCATCTGGCTAGGGACATGCAGCTGAGGAAAAGAAGAAAAAACACAAAAGTCGCTTGGCTCAAAATGCGCCATTCGGATGTCCCTTGGCTGATCACACTTGGATGTGATGGATAGGAAAACAACGCGACAAGACGATGGCAAACCCGGGAAAGAGAAAGATGAAAAAAAAAATGTGACGAGAGTGGGGTTCGAACCCACGCCCCTTGCGGGATTACGGCCTAAACGTAACGTCGTAGACCACTTGACTATCTCGCCTTGCCAGCTCACGTAAGCTGGCCAACACTTAAAACGCAAGCCAGCCAGCCAGGCGCGCATGTCCTGATTCATCAGGGTGTCGTCATAAAACACAGGAATACGCCTTTGCCCGCGGCGTCATTCCTTCCTGCTTCTCGCCCGCTCTCACTCCCATCCTCCTCGTTTCTCATAAACACCTCCACTCCATCCTGCACCTCATCCACTCACTCAACCACTCGCAACAAACAAACTATCGTAATAGCTATAATGTCGACTCCGAAGAGAAAGCGTGCACAAGCACCGGCAGAGGTGGACGATGTCGTCCCTCCCGTAACCCTCCTAGTCAACGAAGATGCCCACTCCGACGGTACTCCCCCAACGAAGAGCAGAAAAAACGAAGATGGGGATCGAATTGCAACGAACAACGCCACGCCCGCCCCCGTCGCCGAGGAAGACGCACCGCTTGGCAAAGGCGCACAGTTAGCCTCCGATATGTGTGACTCGTCGAGAGTCGGCAAACTGCCTCCGAACCTGCGCGCTCCACCGACCGACCGACCAATCAGGATATATTCCGATGGGATATGGGATCTGTTTCATTTTGGGCATGCAAAGGCCTTGGAGCAGGCAAAGAAGATCTTCCCGAACGTGTATCTCATGGTTGGTGGTGAGTTAGCCGGCAGTCTATAGTACTCGATATAGGTCGGGTGGGATATGGTTGCAAAATGTTGACCCGGCGACGTCTTATCCTAGTTTGCAACGACAAGCTGACCCACGAGAAGAAAGGCAAAACCGTCATGACAGACATCGAGCGTTACGAATCACTCCGCCACTGCAAATGGGTCGATGAGGTCGTCCCAGACGCACCATGGGCTATCGACCAAGCATTCCTCGACAAGCATAAGATCGATTATGTCGCCCACGACGACATCCCGTATAAGAGCGTCGAAAGCGATGATGTGTATGCTTTCGTCAAGCAACAAGGGCGGTTCTTACCAACGGCGAGGACTGAGGGTGTCAGCACGAGCGATCTCATTACGCGTATCGTGAGGGACTATGACGCATACGTCAGAAGGAATCTGGAGCGAGGTGTTAGCCCGAAGGAATTGAACATTTCGTTCTTCAAGGTGCGATTAGGGGTTTCCGCGTCACATAAGACGCTGAACGGATCCTAACGTGAGCCACGACAGGAGAAGGAAATCCGAATGAAGTCCCGCCTCGGCAACATCAAGCAATCACTGCAAAACCGTCTACAACAGGAGGAGACGTCTATTAAGAAGAACTGGGCCGACACCAAGAGCGACTTACCTCCATACATGAAGGCCACGCTGGATTACTGGGACGACAGGAGCACCGAGCTCGTCAAGGGCTTCACAAGCCTCTTTGGACAGGAGGGAATAGTGAGTTCTCAGCGTTCTTGAAATCCCACAACCCATGCATCCGTTCCTAAACCCCTCACTCCGCAATCCCAGCCCCGTCTCTTCTTCGGTCGCAAACGCAATGGAGGCGACTCCCCGGGCTCACCCATGTCAGAGCGCCGCTTTCTTGGCTTCTTCCGCTCACGGTCCGCGTCTGTAGACGGTGAAGGGAGCGGAGAAGAGCACAACGACGATAGTGCCCGCAACAGTGAAGACGGCTCTCGCGATTCCACACCGGCCCGTGAGACTCCTAGCGAGGAGACGTGGCAGAAAGTATAGTCCGGTGGGCATGGCGATTATACCAGTGGATTCGCCTTACTGCAACGCATCTGTAGATGTATGATCCACGGCATCATCATTGCATACTCGATTTCTCGTTCGTTTTGGGTTTCGTTCCACTTTTGGGTGTATTCACTGGTCCCAACAATACATGTCACTTTTTTCACGCCGTGAAGGATGTGTCATTGAGGGCCTCAGGAGGGTGCCAAAATGTTTCCGGCCGAGGCCGCTGTGGCAGGCTGTACCATAACGCTGACGGCGCTGTCAAGCTTATATACTACGCCGCTGCCTAACCTCCTACATAACACCACATCATATATGACACCAGAGCACGCACTGCACCACCCACCACTATTTCTTGCCAAAGAAGCTCAGCAACGTCTTCTGCTGTCCCGCCCCACCCTTCTTGCCAGCTTTTGCCTTTGCGCTCGCTTTCTTCCCCTCCGTCGGAGAACTGGATCCTGCCTCAGCTTTTGATGCCACTGGTGCATGAGGGGGACCGTCCGATCTAGACCGTTTCATAGGTGGGCCTTTAACGTCGGGTTCTGATTCTGAGTATTCTTCCCAGTCGCTGTAGTCTTCCGTTTCTGGAGGGAGTAAGACGTCAGCGGTCTCCTCTGTTGATGCAAGTAACATGCTCCGTAGGGACATACTCATGTATTTTCCGTCTACCACGGTACGGGTCTTCTTGACTCGTCTCCTCTTCTTGACGCGTCGGGAGGGGGTTCCATCTGTTTCCCAACCGCATGAGCATCCGAGCAATGCGGAATAGTAAAACAGGTATCAAGTGTGTCCAACAAACCTTCTTGTCCCTGATCATCTGCCACCGACAGCATCTCCACCACGTCCTCAGGCTCTTCCTCTTTTAAGGGCGCAACCTTAGGCTCATCCACATCCATTTCATCATCACCTGCACCCGCTGCAAGTCGAGCCATTTCCCGTATCTGAGCAAGCTCGGAATCCGACTCGGCCCCTTCATCATCCTCGTTATCCGCGTCCGAATCAAACATCTTGGCGATACTGTCATGATCCTCAGCGCGTTTGACGGCGTCCGGGTCTGGTTGCACTTCCTTGAGTATACTTGATGCTGAACCCTGCTTTTTGATTGCCGACCCTTTCTTGGGCGCGCTCGATTTAGGTTCGGGTTTGGAAGGTGGGAGTTCCTTAGCGGCGTCTTTTACGGCTTTCTTTGCGTATGCGTCGAAGAACGTTGCTTTTGCTTTTACCTCGTTGGCAGTTGCAGACCTTCAAGAACGAGATATCAGGACGATTCTCGTGCTGTAAGCCGGCGCATAGGAAGACATACCCTTTACGCGTCAGAGGTGCCTTGGTGCCATTTGATGAGCTCACCCGCAGCTTTTGTTGACCCTTATTCGGAATGACCTCCGGCTCCTCATCCGCCTGTGATTTCAACATTGCCATAATATGAGAGTCCATTGGCGATCCTTAAACAGCGACTGTAAGTAGCTTGCCTTGGGGACGACCACAGGTTTTGTATCTGCTGGTGGTTTGACCTGTGCAGCAGGTTTCACGCCTTTCCGCCATTGCACGTCCGCATTCGTTATCACACGACAAGCTCTAGATGACGGCTCTGTTAACCGACCGATGCATTTCAGGTATGCAGCCAGGAAGCTTACTTCAACAGTTCAGGCGTGTCGCTCTTGGCTACTTCGAAATCCGTACTGAAAAGGGCATTCTTATCCTATGTGTACTTCCATCAGCTCGTGCACAGCTGAACGTGCATATTCGCCCGAGCCTACCTGTATCGGAGCCGGTTGCAGACTATAGCAATGGATTGTATACCGCCTGAATCGATCCTTTGCCTCTAATTGCAGAACGCGTGAGTACCTGGCAGGAGTTATCGAAGGCCGCAGGCTTCCCACCCACCTTCCAAACGCTCCTGAGAAACGACTTCGCATCGCAGCATTCCACTTTTCTTCTGCTCTCCCTGAAGATAGTAGTTTGCGTATATGCCGAGAGATGGTTGTGCTTGGTGGAAGTTGTATAACACTCTGCGAACGGTCGTATCAGTCGACGTTTCGTGCGCGACCGGATAGTGGGTGGTGGGGACCGCGTGAATAACGCTACGCTATACCTACTGTTTGGCCACATTGACGTCTATCTTCAGCTTGCGACTGAGCCACTTGTAGGTCACCTATTACAGCACACAGAGCCCCGTTAGTCTTTGCGGAAATGCCCGTCGACACAATTCTCGCCATTTCACACACATACCACTCGTTTCTCGTGTACGAGTGCTGTTTCCAGCGCCTCGAAATAGTTGTGTTCTGTCATCGTTGTAGACAGCACAAACTGAAACTACCCAAGCAGAGTATCCCTTATCGAGTGTTCCCAGAGAAAGATGTCGAGGGGCCTTGGTCCAAGATCACAAGTCACTCAGTTGTTGCGAACGGGAGTGCGAGGTGCTTCCGAAGCGTATTGCGCAAAAAGAAAGTCAACTCGTCAAAGGCTTTCACCTGGATATCGTGCCCCAGCTGTGGGAAGCACTGTGTCCGCCTTAATTCGTGCCAGTACGACGTTCAAATTCAGTGGGAAAGAGCTCAAAGCGAGTCCGAAAAAATTGGGAACACATCGAACGCGTCCGGCCCAGCGTCCGGCCAGAGGAGCCAGCGAGCGGGAGAAGAGCATTTTTGACCAGGGCTTCCCACCCAGCTTCCCACCAGGCCGCGAAACAAAAAACGTGCATTCGGCAGGCGCTAGCTGTGCACATGCACTTACGACACTCTCGCTGCCTGACTCTCGACCCCCGACGGCTCAGCGGCAGCGGCAAGCAGGGTGGGTCGGGACGGGGGCGCCTTTTCATAGGAATTGAGTTTGGAAGGAGAGTCAACACTCCGCCGAGGGCATTGCTGGGGGTTGGACGATGCAGGTTCTCGGGCGACTTGCACAATCGCCGCCGTCCCGCAACGCAGCACAGCTTATTGTAACCGAAGCGACCGGACGCCTTCCGCACCCTCGTCGAGCGGGTCAGCCCGGCTCCGGAAATATACCCAGGACATTGAACGGTGCTGCAATGCCTCGGGATGCAGCAAGCGGACAGTGTGGATCTGCACCAAGGCGGCGTTTGAATGACGCCGCAAGGTCCTTTTTTGTTTTCCTTGGCAGCCTGTCGAACGATTCCCTTGGGCACCGAAATGGCTGCAGGGGTAATAGGCCTTCCATGGCACCGTTCGGTCGGCGACATCACTCGTCCGTTGCTCACAAGCTAGCCGAACAAGAACCTGATGAAGACAGAACTACGGTTACCGAGAGCATGGCGGTACTGACGGCGAAGGGCCCAGCCAGCGTCATGAGGCTGGCACCGGTCGACGAAAGAGCTTTAGGAGTTGCGGACGATGAGAGGAGTACAACAGGGAAGCCACAGCAAACAGATACCCTTTGGGACCCCGGATTCTCGAAAGTAAATGGCACTGTCGCGGAGCCTTTAGAGACTGTTACGGGTGCGGTGCAAGCCGAGCAGAAAAATGAGAAGCGAAGACGAAGCGCCGCGCACACGAGTGCACGAAGCAAAGCTCCTCAGAGGACCTCTAGGACGAATTACATTCCTGGCGATATGCGCGAGAAAGATGAGCCACTAGGCTCGCTCTGGCCGACCGTGAAGGCAAAGGCAGCTGACGGGGACTTCGCCAGCGCGCTGAAAGTCCTTCCGAAAGCATACGAACGGGAGCCACTTTCATTTCCTGATTTCGAAGACCTGCTACGGTTAGCATCCGCTCGACCAGAAGGGACCGCATTAGCTGTTTTCATCTTGAAACATATCCGGAGAACGGATGATACCCTGGAACATATCGTGAATGCTTTTTATCAAGGCACTTTGGTGATTCCCTGGGGCTCCCGCGAGGCTGTAGGCCAGTTGATCGCATCTTTCCTCAAAGTGAAGCAATTTGAGGCAGCCATAGACGCCTTCCATCGCGCCAAGCTGGAGCGTGATGACTTTGTGGATGTGCGGCTTGTTCTGGATCTGTGCGACGCAGGTCTCTTCGAGGATGCGAAGATGATCTTCAACTTGATGGATCGCCAACATCTCAACAGAGAGAGCAATAGGCGCCTGTTTTTCGGCCTTTTCTCTGCTCTTCCGAAGTGTGGAACAAAACTCGATTTCTCCAGCACCTACGCAGAGATGAAAGCGCGGAACGTCGTATATACGAAGGAGCTTTACCAAACGGTCATCCGAGCCTGCCTCGCGTTCGGTGCCATCGAACGAGCAACAGCCACGTTCGAAGAGATGGTCGGATACCCATTTCAGCCTGATACGAACATCTATTGCGCTTTTATACGGGCATACACTCGACCGCCGCATGCAAACACCGCCCTGCTAATGATGTGGTACGATTCTATGGTGGTAGAGCACATCAAGCCGACGTTAAAAGCGTACACGAACATGCTAGCACATTTCGCGCGCGAAGGAAAATTGGAGAGCCTAGAAGCCGTGTGGGCGGACATGACGCATTTTGAAATCAAGCCGGACTTGCACGCGTACACCACGATGATGCTTGCGTACGCTCGTCAGGGCCAAGCGGGGTCTGCAGAACGATGGTTCAAGATGATGTTGGATGATCAGCATACGCCAGATTCCTATGCGTATAGCGCTCTGCTGATGGGCTATATCCAGGCGCAGAATTTGGAGGCTGCTCAGAGGCTGATGGCCGAGCTTGTCCGGCGGCAGGCAGAGGTGGACGAACAGAACAAGAGACTGGCTACCACGGACGCCGAGGCCGACATACAGGCTGCGAAGCAGACCAAGAGGAAGGAGCGGAGGCCGGACAAGGTCCCATCCCTCGTCAACACCAACACTTACAACATCCTGATCAAGGAGCTCATCCGCGTCGGCGACGTCCACGCAACACGATGGTACATCGAAGAAATGCGAAAATCCGGCATCGAACCCGACACCTACACCTGTCTCAGCGTCATGCAGGGCTACATCTCCACATCCAACATCCACGAAGGCCTCCAGATGTACCACGCCATGGTCGCGCAGGGCGTCGTGCCCAACAATCACATCTACTCCAAGCTGGTCAACATGCTGGGCCACGCGAAGGCGGCTTCGCAGGACATCCGCCATGTGATGGAGGACATGATCGCGCGCAGGGTGGAGCCGGATGTGTACACTTGGACAGCGATCATGTTTGCGTTTGGACGGGCGGGGGAGCCGGAGATGGCGATCAAAATCTGGGAACAGCTCCGGAATTTACGGGCTGAGGAGAATGCTGTCGGCGGCGAGAATGCGAAAGATGCCACGGTGGCGACGGACCCGATCGACTGCGCGCCGGTACTGATTGTCGACGACGTGTGTTTCCTGATGTTCCTGTATGCGGTTTTGGGGCTCTCTGAACGGTTGGGCGGCGTCAAGACGGAAGAAGGGTTGGAGTGGTTAAACCGGCTGCTGGACGAGACGCGGTGGTTGGTGGGGAACAATATGGTTTTCACGGGGAGGTCGTGGGATGTCCTGATCCGGAAGGTTGCTGGGCGTGGAGATGTGTTGGTCGCTGCAGAGATTGTGGAGATCGCGTTGAGAGCGTTATGTGATAGGGTGCGGAATGTGTCGCCGCCATTGAGAGCGGAGACCGAGATCATCATTGCCACATCCAACAACACAGACTCGCCACCCTCATTACAATCAGCGCCTGCAAGCGATACCCCAGCGGAGTCGCCTCCATCGGCGCAAAGTGAATCCATCGGCAAACTCGTTCAACAGATACGTCTCCAGCAATCCATCCGCACATTCGCATCCATCCGCGTCGCCCTCGACGCGGTTCTCGTCAACGCCTTGCCTCCCCTGGCTCGCTACGTACGGTGGGCTGGGCACTCCGCCAGAATTAAGGATCAGCTTATTCCCCTACTCGAGGTCTTGCGCACGGAGTTCTCGGACCTCGTCACTCCGGAACACCTGACTCTGTTTGACGAATCGCCTTAGCGTTCTGGTAGATGTAGATCTATACCCCTCCCTCTTCCTCCATGTTTGTTACCAGACAGGAGGTTTGGATAAACTCGACGTGTATATATGCAATTTGCCAATATCATACTGGCCTTGCCGACGACACTCTCATGCTAGCGTCGACTTGATGCATAGGGAGGACATTCATTGAACCAATATATAGATGACGGGCGCAAACTTTCTATAGTGATAAGATGCTCCATCAAAGCAGGAGCTTACATGGAGAAGTGGGTTGGCGATGATAATTGCCGATTACAAGCGCGAGAATATCCTAATGAAATGATGTGAAGACATCAGCTTGGGCCAGATTCAACCGTTAAACGGCCGGTTTGATTGGCTTCGGGCCCTTCTTTTTGCGAGGCTGCTGTCCATTGGGGTTCACGCCCCCGGGGATCGGCAACGCATTTTGCGCTGTAGGCGGTGGGGCCATACCAATTCCCAACTTGGGCGTGCCTGGCAGTGCTAGGGCCGGGGCTGCTAGGGCTTTCTTCGTCTTAGCCTTCTTCTGTGCCGCCTCGGGAGCCGCAACGGTGGCTGCATCGCCGGCTTTGCGCTTCTTGACCACGGCGGGTTGGACACCACTGCCTGGGGCCACTTGAGGAGCAACGGGTGCCTTTTTGATCTTTACCGGGGTTTTTGGCGGTGCGGGGGGGAGGGCGCTGGGTGCCTCGATTTTGCCGTTCTTCTTGGCGGTGGCCTTAGGCTTTACTATCTGTGAGACCGTTGTGGCGGCCGGGTGGTCGGCTTCCTCTTCCTCGCTGCCTTCCTCCTCTTCCTCCTCCTCTTCTACCTCGGCAATGACGGCGGGGGTTCCCTGTCTAGAAGCGGCGGCTTTGTCGGCCCGGTATTTTTCTTTCAGGATGTTCGCCTCGTCATTGTAAGGCTGCAATAGCAATGGACGTGTGAACTTGCCACAAAATACGAAAAGTTATCATAGAGCACATCTCAATCGTACCTTCTTTTCCTCATCCGTCATTCTCTGCCACAGCTTGGCGCCCTCCGTCGTAATGTCCTTCATGTGCGTCTGGGGATGCTGCGTGACGAGCTGGGCTCGAACCGAGTTCAAGAAGATCAAGTATCCCGCCGGGGGTCGTTTAATGTCGTTCTCGCTCTTTTGCCTCTTGGCTTTCTTGCCACTGGCGTCCGCAAAGTCCTTGTCCGTGACGAGAGACCGAGCGAAGATCAATTCAGGGAGATCATTGTTCATCCATTGACCGATCTCGCGGAGCCCTTCCGAGATTTTGGCGATGGAGGTGAAGAGCTGCAACGGGGAGGAGAGGTGGATATGGAGGTTTAGCAAACGGCGCGTCCAGACAGACTGAAAACGCTTGACTTTCGACTGGAAGCCCGCAATGATACATACATCAACACCGGCCTTGGACCTCAGGTACGCCTCACGAGCATCGGTATGCGCCTTCGGGATCTTAGGTTTGGGAGGCATCTTGCAAAAGATTCTATTGGAAGGTAACGCGAAAGCCAAAATAAGTCGGCGCGTCTCTCGAAGAAAGGGTTTACACTGGACAAGAGCAGATGTCGCAGAGATTCGAGGGAAATGTGTCTACACGGGACGTGCGGACTGTGGTAAAACGTACGAACCTATGAAGTGGCGGCGAATAGGTAGGGTTTGCCCGTCCGTAAGTGTCTTCCTGGCCAAAGGAGCCTGAGCGGGTTGGGAGGGTTGCTTCTTTAAGTCGGCCAGGCTAAGGATTCAAGTTTGCCGTTTTTTCTTTCAGACTCATTTCAGACTGCGACCCAATTGGCGCGGCGTGACCGCGTTTGCAAGTTTGCACAGGTAAGGAGAGCTAATCAAATGCGAAACAATGCGCATGACCTTGCTCTGACGGTTCTAGATTAGCAGCCAGATTAGTGAGCTTTTGGTTGCTAAGAAGCGCGTAAGATACCTGTACTGTATACTGTAATTCGTTACAGTTGGGTTTGCAACATCCGAGCTACGAGAAGAGGTCGCAATGTCCAAACACAAGGTACAAGAGCCAAAGAAGTACGTATGATACGTGCACTGACTTTCTTCAATATCAATGTGCTGACTTAGCTCTGTTGATATAATAGGTATGGGAACGACTGGGCTTTTCGATATGTATATCGGAACGATCTTCCCGTGGACCCGTTCGAGCCGAAGCTCTTAGACTATGGGAGTCCAAAAGACCGGCTGTTTAAATACGAGCCAGGGACAGACTCGCTGGAGGACAAATTTCTCTTTGAAGTGACGGGGCGGAATATCGAAAACGGCGTTGCCTGCGCTCCATTGGCGATGGGAACCTTGTCTGACGCGTTCTACACACCGAGGGGTACAGCGGGGCTCGGGGCGCAGAGAGAGACGGATATCGCTGCAGACGCTAATGCTGATTTCTGAATCAGAAAAGGCTAGGGTTCGACGACTCGAACCAGAAGATGAAGAACTACTGGCTCCACCGTCGGCAACTGCTACAGCGCGTCCATCGAATGCAGTAACGCCCAATGTGCTCTTCCTAAGGCAGAATAAGATCAGTATGTCGGGCGACGCGAAGACTTATGGGAGGACGAGACCGGTGACGACGGAGAGCAGGTACGACTTGAAGACCGGCTGCGACGAGCAAAATGTTAGGGCTTGAAATCTAATCGCACACTGCCTTCATAGAATTGGGCAATCGGTAATAGATGACACCAAGATCCATGATCAAGCACCACATACGACGGAAGGGAAGCTCCGCGCCATCCGACAGACGTTTGAAAGCGTCAAACGATTCACGACCGAGAACATCAAGCATCCCGGCGGGAAGGACCTCAAAGCAATGGAGATCTTTCCAATATTCCCAGACTTCACAGGGTCATGGCCTGATCCGCTCGTGCTCGCTGTATTTGACGCAGATCCGTTGGAAAAGGGAGTGGAAAACGGTAACAAAGAGGTACGGTATGCTTTCACATGTCAGAAAGTGCTCGGTCGGGAGAGCGCTGACCTAACCATGTTTCCATCAGATTGAGAAGGGGTCGGAGAAAGCTATTACCCTAGAGGAGGCGTTCCTTAAGCCACTAAAGAAGCCGGATCCGCCACATGAACCTTTCATGGGCTACTATCAACCAGAAAAGAAACTTGTCAACAAGATAAAAGACAAGAGGGAAAAGGCGGATATCTTCGGCAGGGATGAGGATGAGCTGGATACCGTAAGTGGCAGGCATACTTTCGGGCAGAGCCGCTTGAACAACGACTTACTACCATGCATGGGATATTTCTAGGAGTCATACGATTTCCCATTGGTCCGTGACTTCCAGTATCAAACAAAAGACGGCATATCCGATCAACTAGTCTTCAAAATCGACAATGAGCACCACGGAGTCTTCTTCAAGCGATTGCGGTCGCGAATCAACTTTAAGCGCCAGCGCGCAAAGGTATGTGCTAAACACCACGCCAAGCATTGTTTCCGACCTGAAAAACTGAAACGGATGTCACGTTTACTTTATAGCGGAAAGAGGAACAGGACCGTGAACAAAGTCAAATATCGAGGGACAGGCCAACTGTTTTGTCCATACGGAAACGGCCATTTACACCAGAGGAGAGGAGGACACGGAGGAAGGTCGTCAAAGATGAATTGGATCTGGAGGGATAGGTTTTCTCATGGCAAGGGTAGATCTTGGATCGGTAGCGAGACCCCTCTGTATATTCTTGTCACATAGTTCATAGCTGAAGTCACCTAATTCCGTTCATTCTTGCCCGTCCGGAAGACTTCGGCGGAGGATCCTGCGCCTTTGTTGGGTGTTCATGTAATGTTATAAGATCGTTCCCTAAATACCCTACGCTAGCTAGAAATGTACATGGACGCCGCGGAGACAAGATACAGGCAGAACTCGCTATAAGGCATAGTTCAGGAGACGACGCGGACATCCATCAAGGCAGCCATATCAAAGGTGGTAACCTCATCGGCGCTCGCTTCAGTGATCCATTCATCGTCCGGCGGCAATTCGAATCTCCCTAAAGCAATTTCACCTGTTTCGTAATCTTCATACTCCTCCGTGGGTTGAGGTGTGGGCTGCTTGACCACTTTCGGCTTCAGAGTGATGAGCGAGCGTTGTATGTCGAAGGCGATGATCGTCGCTTCCTGTTTTGAAGGAGGTATGCAAAGTCAGTCAGACCTGAGATATCGCCGCTTTCCAGAAAACAACAAAACTATACTTTGAAATCCGATATTTCCGGGCAGTACGACTCCGACATCTGCAGCACTTTATACGCGATAGTCTGGCCCGTCTTCGGCTTGCCGACCAACAGAGGCAGCGCATCATAGTCTACGGCGGCGGCCGCGTCGGGCTGCTGCAGACCAGTGTCAGCTTTTGCGCCATTTGCTGCCTCACGAGACACGCCGTCGGTACCATTTTTTGCTAGAGTTGTGCCGCCACGACCCTTTCCAGGGGTGCCTGCGGAGCCCAGCAATGTTCGGCTTTGGCTTCGTTTCCTCCCTTTCTTCGGTGTGGGGTTGTTGAAATCGTCCTCGAGAAAAACTTTGGTATGGATCGCGCGCGGTGGGGCCAGTGTCGCCTTTGCTGGTGGAAGGCCATTCGTACGCGTGCCATTAAGTGTGCCCGCTTTCGAAAGGCTTTTTGCGGGTTCGACAGGATTGCTAGTAGCAAGCTCCAGCTCGCCCACTCCTTCCTCTTCGTCCTGATCAGCTGCGTCCTCATCGTTATCGGCGAAAATCACATGCGTCCGCTCCACATTCAATAGCGTCCGCGTTTGCTTCCTCTTATGTCTCCCGAGTGATACAGGGGGCGCAATCACTTCATGTACCTGCGGGGCCGGAGTTTGCTTTGCCACTGCTGCTTTCTCTTTCGAACGAGGTGCGACCTTCTGATTCGCGGGAAGCTTCGGCGGTTTTAAAGGAACTACCTTGGCAATGATTGCCTTCACAGTGTCCAACGGGGGGGCAGCTGGGCGAGCTATCGAGTCCGCCGGGTGTTTTTTTCCAGACATCACGCTTTCCTCTATTTCCGAGTCATCATCTGAGGATTCTGATGTGGAATTGCGAGGACTCTCGGATGCCTCCGTTTCTGACTCCGAAGAGGAGGTCTCATCCGACTCGGCTGATGATGTGGTTTCATCATTGGACACTTCTTTGAGAGCAGCACTTCCAACTTCTCCGCTGATGATTCCGGACATTTCATCCCCAGACTCGGAAGATGTCTCCTCTTGTTCATCCTCTTCCTCTTCAGAGCTGCTACTACTCCCGATATCTCGCACCAAGTCCGTCAGAGCGTTTCTCAAGTGTTGTCTGCGCGCGGCATGGATCTCGTGCTGGGTATCATCTACTTCAACTGTCTTTTTCTTCTTTTGTGGCTCCTCAGGCGCAGGCTCCTCCTCCGACTGGTCGCCCCGACGCTTCCGTTTAGCTAGGTGACAGTCAAAGTCTAATCGTAAGTGTTCCAGGCTCAGCACAATCGACGATTGAAGCCCAAACTCACTCTTGATTGGAGGTAACTTTTCCTTCGCCGTTTCATCTCTAGGTACACGCCGAGACAAACTTACCCTATGGCAGAAAAACCGTCAGTGTATCGACATAAGAAGGTTTCTTCTCAGCCAAGTAACGTACGTTATCAAGTCACTGTCTCGAACGATGCCCTTCGTCAGGGACGTATGAATCAGCTCAAACCCTTCCACTTCCAGCTTGAGATCCGACGCGCGAATGGAAGGCCCCAAAGACAGTAGCGTGCAGATAGAGATGGCCACGTCTCTCACTGTCCCGTGCCCGTCGTTGGGAGTGATCTCGAACCAGCACTTATTGGTGGGCAGGGGCGGAAGCGTTTGGAGCTTCACCCGTGAACCGGAAACCGACATCGGTTGAAGCTATCTTGAATATAGGGCACGGTACTAGCAAAGAGTGAAGTTTAGAACTACAGTAGCAGAACAGTATATCATACAGCGATTCTGAAGTTACGCTGTCCCCAACTGACCTGTGAAAGGGAGGAAGTCCCAAAAACACTGTTGGTCAGCACCAGTCGCAGTAGCTTGCGGTTTGAAGCCAGAGGGCAGTGGTCAGTTCAATATTTCTTTAATCCGCGTTTTCGACCTCAGCGCAAGCAGAAATGACATTAACTAGTCATCACAACTCCACCGAGATAGGAGGTGATGACCCCCAGGAAGGACGCAAGTCCACTTCGGTCGCTTCCCCAACATACAGTCTGGTTCCAAGTCCTACGTCCAGGTGTGTACTGTATCTCCTGAGAGTCGCTGGGACTGACGCGAAAGACTTCTCGCACAGACAGGCGAAGGGGGAGATACGCCAAATTCTGGGCAAAGGCGTAGGGCTATATATTGGCCACAAGGCGGGTATATAGAGTGAACGACTTACGTTCCACTCGACGGCGTAATTCCTCCATGCGAGCTGGGCACTCAGCAAGTCGAACGATATCGATGTCCGAAACCCATCTATATATATAACGCGCGCGAAGAGAGGGGCGAGCGGATAGATTGCTCGAGATACTGGTGATACTGGTGACGAGCGCGCTCAGCACTGGATGAGAAATTGTGGCAAGGATCCGGATACCGTGACGAACTTCCGGATGTATCTGAATATGAGAAGAAGCTGGTTTTACTCCTTTCAGACCAGCATTAATCATCGAACTCGAATCGTGAAGGCTGGCTCCCGTGGCGGGGGCTGAACCACCCAGGTGGATGATGCTGAACTTGAGATGGCCAAATGCTGGTCTTCCAAGAAACGGCGAAGTACGCAACTCTAGCCAGATTATGTGGTCGGGTACCCGTGGGTTCTCTTACTTCGGAAATTTCCGAGCATACGCGAGGGCTGGACATCAGTCATCTTGAACGGGATCTTCGACCGGCAAGTCCACTTTCGACACCGGTTCTGTGCATGGAAGTGAACTCCAGGTGTATTCGCATCGCACGCCGGAAACCCCAGACCGCAGATCTAGAAGTGTGTGCGGGCTCTCGAGGCGGTCGCCTGGCATTTGCGTCACGGAACGAGGCTCCACCAACTCGGAAGGGCCGCCGCGGTTGAGTCGATTATGGAGATCGCTTCCTGTCGAGGCCCAGAAGTAGGCTCAGGTTTGCCGAAAACTGCAATGTGTCGATGAGCAAAACGAAAAACGAAAAACGAACCACTCCGCGAGGGTACAGATTATTGTGGAGAATGGGAGTATCGATCTCCCTGCCTCTCGCATGCTAGGCAGTGCGTGCTAAGCGAGCGCTCTGCCATTTGAGCTAATTCCCCGGGATATTCGGGTGTCGTCCATTTATGATTTGAATGTTGAAGGTGTAGCTTTGTGTATGTGCACGCGAAAAGTTTTGGGACGCATGCAGGGTTTGTGCGCAGCTATGGTGTCTCGCGCGCGCGCTTCATCACTCATACCCATGGGGACGCCAGCTGCACGAGAAGCGCGAAACCTAGGACCTCAATGGATAGTAAAGGAGAATAGGAGACTCTCACACTCTGCGAGAAGCGATGGGGATGGAACAAGCTAGGCCCTCGGAGGCTCCTCATATCCTGCGAGGTGGATCTAGAAGCAACAGGGCCAGCACAAGATTTTGATGCTCAATTTCGAAATCAAGAAAGCATTATAATATGATAGCGGCCTTTCGAATGTAAAATATACATATCAACATGATAATCATAAAAGCCTTCCATCAGGTTCTAAGTGCCAATCCACCTTGCGAACCTCGGATCTCGTTCTAGTCGCAGCCAAGTTCACGGGGTATCTCCCCGCGCTCCAAGCGTCGTTATGATTCTCTTATCCTGTGAGCGAGAGTCTGTAAACGTGCGACCAGCTCCCGTGCTTCTCCATCGTGCACAGTCACGAGGTACTTCTGGATGGCATCGTCGATGATCTGCACCGGGATATGTGTTGATGGATCTCCGGCCCCCGATTTTCGCTCCCGCAACCAATCGCTGATAAGCACAGCAATGTCTTCGAGGAGGAAGGTCAGCGCGCGAGGCGATGACCATGGCGGCAGCTGAGAAAACGAACGTGAACGAGTAAGCTTCATGTTCCATCCGTTCTGAGAAATCTTAGGAGTTGGGGCACCGAAAGCGCCTTTGCATACCTTTGCATCGAAGATTTCGTTGTAAGCGCGGAACAAGAGCGGGAAAGGGACTTTGACCTGACGGAATACTTTGACAGCCCAGCCGTGCTCGGGGGCCGGTCGATTCTGTTGGACCGCCTGGTAGCACTCCTGCTCAAGCTGGTTGACCAAGAAGGCTATTGGAAGGAAGACACTCAGACACATCGGAGTTGCCGGCATGGACGGAGGGATGGGCAGACTTACGTATGGGGAAGATGTTTTCATCGGAAATGAAGCGCCGTCCAATCTCACGGACTTTGTCTTGCAATACGGTGAAAACATCCCTGTTGGCTTCTATCGCGCTCTCTTTCGCTGGGAAATAGGTTTAGGGCTTCAGAACGACCATGGTCATGACATGATATAAACTCACTTTTACGTAGCAATTCGCTCCATATCTGCTCGGCGTGGAATCGGGGATTGTTCGTTTCGGAGACATGGATCATGTGCAGTTGGATCTCGTACAACTTGCAAGGCTTTGCGTAGTGGTTGAAGAGCTGATTGCAAATATCAGCACCCAAGCCTTGCAATTGACGTCGACACTCAATGCTTGCGAACTTACGTCGTTCATTGGCAAAAAGCATTCAGATAGTCTGTGAAGCGCTTCATCTGTCAATCCGACTTCTGTCCGTGTCACAACTGCCAGGAGCTCCGCCTGCACTTCAGCCACTGCAGCTTCCTCCAGGATGTCTTCCATCTCCTGTCGATTGATGTTCCGCTCGGTATTGAGAGCCGTACGCGCTTGCACAACCGCGAAGTTCAAGAAGGTCAAGCGGTCATGGAATGTAAGCCTGCGTAGAACGGTATACTTAGGTACATTTCCGCATTTTCGTATATCCTAAATGTATGAAGAACGTACCCAGCGGCGTCGGCCAGCATGCGGTACACGCGCGCCGCATCATAAAAGCGTTCGTTCTGGACATAATACCGTGCGAGCAATTCCATCATCCCAGGGTCCGCGGAGGCTTGGGTCAAGAACTTTTCGAGGTATGGGGTATGCAGCTAAGATGGATCATGGATTTGTGGGAGGAACTCGGCTGATGGAGGGAACAACTCCAAATCCACAGCTCACCTTAAGCAGCTCGTCGGTCTTATCTTGCTCGATGAGCCACTTGTAAAATGCCTCATGGAAGGAAACATCATCTGAATCAAGAGCTCTCTTGATGAGGTGAAACCGCGTCCTCGCCAAGTGGTCTCTACTATGTCTCTGCCCATATATGCCGCCGTTTTGGATTCCAGATACATCCAACGAGCCGATCGTCTGGAATATGATATCATAGGCGCGTCCTCTTCGAACCAAACCACTTTCTTGATATTCCTGTGTACCCATGAACATCAGATTGGCCCTTTCCGATTTCAGCAGGCCAGTTACAGACTTACCGTCTGCGGTAAGGCTTCCCCGTACCCGGCGTTATACCGCGAATTGCGTGCCTCCGCACCTTCGTTGACATCTTGCGCCCTTGCCCAGTTCAGAGTCAAGTCGATGATCCCTTCAAAGCACTCCATATCACGTAAATTCTCGTTGATCTCTTGGAGTTTGTTGAAAGGAATGTCAAGAATGACGCGGGTAAACAGGCTAAAATGAGAAACATAAGCACGCGGCATCAGCTTTACGCAAATGAGCACTGGCAAAATCACACCTTAATGCTTCGCTGAGCTTCATAGCCTGAATATCGGCACTAGGTTGATTGCGTGCCGATTGAATGCTTTCAATCCCTTTGTATAGAATGACATCGTTTTGTCGGCAGATGGACGGACATATGGTCTGTAACTGTTCTCCGATGATCTCCATATTCCTCTCTTCGGCGATCTCGCGGTCGATGTAAGCGGCCATCAAAGCTCTGATAGTCTCGAGACCCTTTTGCGTTGTGATTGCTGCTTCGTAAGTCAGACCATCCACATCTTCCTGTTGTGCTTTCGGCAACGGCTTGATGAGAGCGTCCAATTTGTTCTCCGCGAGCATGAGTACAAGAGAAACCGTCTCTGTGCTAATGCGGAGCAGCTCATCGAGATTATGCAACGACTCCTGTTCAGCTCTCCATGCTTCGCCTTCCACGGACTGAGGTCTACTTTCGGGCGTAGGCAGGGCGGTGAAGTTCTGCCGTTCCTTGAGGAAGGCGCCAAGGCTGTCCAGAGCGCTCAAGATGTCACTTAGCGTCTGTGGTGAAAAGTTGGAAGCGTAGCCCTTCTCTTTGACCACCACTTTGTTCTTCCAGACCGGCTTCAGTACCCGTGTCAGATAGAGTGCCAAGCCGTCATGCCTCCCGCTGTGTCTGATTTCCGGGGAATACATGGCATATCCCAAAGGTCCGCTACCATCGAAACCGCTGTTGAGCTGAGCCATGGAGGGTTGGCCACCAAAGTCATCAAACAGGCGACTCGCTGTTGATATGAGTAAGCCTTTACTGCCCACATGTTCTTGAAACAAGGTCTCAGATGCAGGATGCTGACATGCGACGGCTAAGCACATAGCACAAGCTTCCGCACTCCCGTAGACATGCAAGAACTCTTCGAATCCTCCGCCGGATCTCTGCTCCTCCGGTGTGATGATGTTCTCACACAAGATATCCAGCGGCCGGAGTTTCTTCAGTCGCCAAATCCCCTGATTTGTAAGGACGCGAAAGGATCGAGCGGGGCCTTCCAACTGCGTAGCGAGTTCGTTGAGTACGTTTCCAGCTTCCGGTCTCTTGCTAATCTTTGCAGTCGGCACAGTCGACCGGGTGGCCATCTCTGATATCTGCCAGATCTTCCCTTCTTGATCATGATATCCATAATTATCTATCCAAAATTTCGAAGCTTGCTGAGCTATGGCACCAGTATGTACTGCGACGCCGTACAACCTATCAACATCTTGGCTCATCGCAGAAGTGGCCAGAAGAAGTCCGCTGGCGTAGTACGATTCGTGCAACGAGAGACCCGGGCCCACGATCCTTTGCACCAATGGCAAAATATACACCAGCTCCAGGGTATTTGGTTCAGACGAGGGAGGTTGTCCATCCCAGCCGCTGCGATCGTTGCTCGAGTATACGGTAAAGAAAAGCCTGTCGCCACTGGTGGTAATAGCCACCATCTGAATCTTCTGCGACTCCGCGTTGGAGACGGGGTAAAGAGCTTGAATGGCAATTCCCTCATCGGTGCGAGACCCTGACGACAGGCGGCTCAAAGCATCAGACACAGATTTTACGCGGTGGAATGATTTGCCATCCCGGCCCAGATAAATAAGCTGAACGGTATTTCGAGATGTGACGGTGTAAAGGATTTTGCGCTCGAGATCGAGAGTCATCAAGTAGACTTGGTTTTGGAGACCGATGTCTCTCAGGAAAGTCGGAGCAACCATTGACAAGGCTGACGCAGAATGATTGATTAGCCGGATCCTCCTTGTAAACCATCCTTCCGTCGCCTGATACTGCAACTCCAATAGCTTTCCGCTCAGCGTGCGCAGAAAGATTCTCCCCTCTTTCGACCCCTCGATCTGCAGAATATGCTCGCTATCGGTAGGAATCGACAGATCAGTCCTGAAAATTGTCAATTCTGTCGACGGATTACCCTTTACGGCGAAAGCCACGCCAAGAATAATAATCTCCAGTCGAGTAGCAACAACAAGCAGGTAATCGATCTGTTCAAGAAAAACTCCTGGGGTGGGCCGCACAAGGCCTACACTACAGATCAGCTGCTCCTGATCATCGTAGCAAGAGGTGGCGTTCGGGCTGTTATCGTTGAAGTTCCACAGATACAGTTTCGAATCCATCGTTATCCACACTCGTTCGATTTCTGGGAACAGGCCCATAAAGGTTTTACACTGAACGGAATCGTACTGCTCGTAGACATAGTTGGGCAGAGACACGAAACCGTCGGCTCTCAAGTAGTTCTGGACTCCCGCAAGCGTTGTTGAGGCTTCTCTCAGCTGTTCATCGGAAAGTCTGACGAGAAGCTCCCAGAGATCAGGGTAACGGTCGCGCTGTAAATTCTCATCAAGCACCGCCGCGGCGTTTCGTAGACGATCATGCCGTTGAAGCAGAGTGGATTGCTGTTGTTGGCGATGCTGTTGTGGTTGAGTGATTTCGAAGTCTCGAGCGGGGAGACCATAGCCAGCAGCTTGTGGTGGTTGGCCCACCATCCCACCCCACGGACGCGCAAGATCGTCCAGGTTCCCGTACGGCATTCTACAAGCTGCCTAGAAACCGAAGTCGAACTAAACCAGTATCCGAGAAGCCCTGACGGAAGCAGTATTTCGAAGGCAACAATGCGCGCTCAAGTTGAAAATTGAGGCCAGAGTCGAAAGGAGCAGAAGGGCAAAGTGAGCAGTCGAGGGACTTAATACTGTAATTAAGGCATACCCCATATGTATATTTAGTTTCTCGTAAGCCCCATACACATTTCGACACCGGGCAAATCGATTCTCACAAGAGTTCAACACTTGCACGAATTGCTCTGTGAACTACCTACGCCGCTCTCCGCATCATCAGTCGCTTGGTGCAATCAGCTTTCGAAGAGAAGACTACCCTTCTTCAGGATACTCTGTGCAATGATGGCACCTATACGCAAAAAAGCTATGCCGCCAGGCTCTCACCAAGGCCCGGCGGAAGCCAGCAGTCGTCCGACCCAAGCGGTCTTGGGCGGGATCACATTCGCAGCGAGCCTTCCGCCAGGAGTTAAGAAGGGAACGCCTGTGCCAGAGCATATACCATTATCTACGACGGGAGCCGCACCACCCCCAGTCAAAAGAAGTGCGTCAAATGCGCACGGCGTAACAGTTGTGGTGGAACCGTCAACTGAGGTGGCAGACAACGACGAAACTTTCGTCACGCAAAAAGGAGGAAAGATGTGAGTTTTGACAGTTCCACAAGACAGGTGTTGAAAGAATACTCTGCTCACAGCACATGTCGCTGACAGAGACCTCATTCCTATATGCTGCGGGGGATCTGGTCTGATATAGCGTCCAAAATCCGCAGGTCACTTTACAAAATGAGGTGAGTGGCCATAGAAATGATCTAAATAATTCGTCCTCAAGTTGCTGAGCGTATCCATCTCAATTCAGCGGATGCCGTCCATGTTCGAGTCTCGTCGCACGCTTCAATCAACTCTGTTACTGCAAAAGAAGAAGGAAATGCAGGCCGTACAGCTGGAGCTGGAGAAAAGAAGGCTAGAGTTCGCCAAAAGAATGAGTGGATGCAAAGACCGACAGGAAGAACTTCGTTCCAAGGTACTATCCCGGACATTGGCACTATACTAGCGTAGCATCGTATTGACTTTACCGTTCTCATCTGTAGCAAAAGCAAATACGAGACCGGGTGAACAAGTTCGAGAGGTTCCTAAAAGAAAACGACGCAAAACGGCAACGTGCCAATCTCAAAGCCCAGACAGAGAAGAAATCTCGGGAGCAAAAGGTAAGCATTTTATACATAATTTGCAAGGAGCCTATGACATAGCAAACTCACATCATATGACAAACGAACCCTGCGTTCTTAGGAGCACGAACTACTTGGACTCCTCAAACAGTTAAATTTGGAGCAGATCAAGCATGGAAGCGTTTTGCACCTCATCAGTAGAGCACTCCTAGCTTTATGTCGATCTAATGATGGAAGAAGGCTGATCCGGCTACTGCAATTCACAGAGAAGTACGAGATCTATGAGGCGTATCTGCAGTCAGTTGTGGACGTCCTTCCCCCAGAGTACCTGGACGTCAATGAACCACATATCAACGACATCCTTATGCGCCACAAAACGCTAGTCGAAACAAATGATGATTTACGGCAGGCCGTTCAAAAATCGCAGGACGAGATCGAATCGGAGCAAACGAGGTTGGGCGAGCTGGTAAAGGTATGTATGCGACGGATCGCATCGTCCTTTTGCACCAAATCTGTGATCTAATACAAGCGCTTGTTTGCCCACGACACTCTCAGGAGAAGAACGATCTAATATTGGTGCAGAACTCCACCCTGGGCACGCAGCAGAAACGGCTAGATCAGCTGAAACAGGAATGTGCATACCTTGAGCAAAGGCTTGAAGAACGAGATAACACCGGCAAGGAGAGGGTACGCCGCATCTCCGGTTAAATTTGTTGTACGTTGGCACAGAAACACTTACATCCTATTACTCCAGATGCGTATGCTTAGCGAAACAAAACTTGCTATCAATAACATTTACGACCGCATCGGACTTCGGCCACATGCTGCGCTGGAAACGCCACCGGCGCAGGTGGTCATTACCCCACCTGGTGCTGCTCGCGGCCCAGATACACTGGTTCAACAGCAACAACAGCAACATGGAGGATTTGGAGCAGCGCTAGTTCCTCCACCACCGCCAGCCTTTCTTTCGAAAGACTACGTTGATAACTCAGCGAAAGCACTGGGCGAAAGGCTTCACGCAATACAAGATAGGGTGCTAGATTTGGGCCGTAAGTGTTATCGTCTGCTTACTGACTAAGATTCCCCGGTTAACCTGTCCGCAGATATCGCCCAGCGAACGGAACAGGCTATCCTCGGGCAAGACCATGCGGTGAAGGGAAAGAAGCAACCTGCGGGCACACCTAGCCCTATGATGGCGTCCATTTCCCAACCAGCGGAGGCTTCTGCCATCAAAACACATTAGTGTTTGAAACCCTGAGGCAGACGCTCGCTATGAACCTTGCAATTTGTGTATACAGCCGTCAAACGAAGCAGAGCCAAAACTCTACTCTGCAAAGAATTGTGTGAATATTTGTGCAGCACCGTTATTGTCGTTCATCAGACCCATCATGCGCATCTGAACGCTTTGCGCGCTTCCCAATGACATCGCTTTCCATCTATTTATTTACGGGCCTTCGATTTCAAGAATGACGAACTTGTATCACATCTCTTTGCTGGGACCATGGGGAGCGTTGCGCGGCCAACGGGTCCTGGCCTGTTATGATGTTGTAGTATGGAGATCGAGCCTAAAAATGCAAACACATATGTTTTCAGTCAACGGAAGATTGCAATGTGAGCGAATCATCAAGTCCGTACATTTGCGACATCATCTTGATGCTGGAACGTCTCAATCACAGCGCGGTGACCGGCTCTGTATCCACCGTATTGGTCTCCGTAGAGTTGTACTCCTGAGAATCGGCATTCTTAGTTTCGCGGAACTCTCTGAATGAATTGCACGCTGGCCTCTCCACCTGTAATGATATCATATCTGGCCTTGTTCTCTCCGTAACCAACCGCTGCAGGTGATCCTGGACGGAAGGTTCCTTCCGGAGCTGCTCTAATCCCAGCAGCTTCAGCGTTTGTACTGCGACCAGCGTTACCTCCCTCAACCTTCTGTGGCTGTGCCGGTCCCTTCTGAACTTCAGTCTTCTCAGTCGCAACAGTAGGCTTTCCCGACAAGTCGCCATTTGTCACGGTCAAATTCTGAGTGGGGTCCAAGGAAAGGCACCAGGAACATCTCCGTAAGCTTCAGTCCCAGCAGTGATACACGTGAACAAAGAATTCGCAGCAAGCTCACGTTTTTGAGGTGCCTACTAGGCAATTTGGGCAGCTGAACCTGCTTTCCGTTATGGTAGTTACTCATGCCCTTTACAATGACGCCCAACTTTCGATCCTTCTGCGCCCGAGACGACAACACTGCGGCGGCTCCAGCTTTGCAGGCCTTATCGTGCATGAGGTGGGTGCCCGCCTTCTTCTCCAAAAGTGACGATGCCCCTGGTTTCCCCCGGGACTGCAACTTGCCCGATAATGGATCCTTGTAGCTCTCCTTGTATTCGGTCATGAAGGGCTTGAAGATCGGGTGCCCGACGACGATACGATGCATTCGATTGACTTGCCGAGAATGTGATTCTTGAGTGCTTCTAAATGTGATACCGTATCTTCCGTTTTGGGGTCGCTTTTTGATATCTAGGTTCAACGTCCCAACTGAGGATATAATTGGTGAGCGTTTCCAATGCGATGCCCTATCTTCCGTTTGGAGTCGCTTTTTTGTAACGAGGTCCAGATTCCGAACGCTTTTCCAATGACAGGGAGGTCCAGGCGAACTCCGCTCTGTGTGGCTTGTGGTGTGTGCTTGTGGCTGGTACGTAGACATGTACAGTCTGTTGCCATAAAGCAGGTCGCGCCTGAAATTGAGTCACTGTCCTCGCGGCTGATCATGGTCCCGACTCCCTAATCACGGTATTAGGACCCCTAATCTAAATTTCGATCTGGGTTCCTAATCACGGTATTGGGACCTCTAATCTAAACTAGATCTGGGTTCCTAATATTTTGTAAGTCCCCCGTTTGCGGCAATGACAGCGGCCATGCGTCCAGGCATTGAACCAATAAGTCTCTCTAAATGAACATCCATTGTCTGCCAGACATTCTGCACAATCCCGTTCAGCGTTGCAAAGTTCAGCAAGCTCGTCTGCTAAGGGTTGATACTTAACTGGTCTGCTCCTGGGTTTTGTTGACTTGAATGCGTTGGGGTCGTCGCAATTTGCATTCTGGAACCTCCTCAGGGTTCTCTGAACGGTTCTGCAGGCACGGACTCTTGCTCTGCAATCTCTCTGGGTGTCTTGCCAGCGTTGCTCAACGCAACAATGGCTGCCCTCTTTTGGGGGGTGAGGGGTTTTGGCATTGTCGGTGTGGGAATGGGGAAGATGATCTCGCAATTGCGGCACTGTGAAGGGCTGTCCAGTGTGTCCGAAGCACCCGGCTACGGGCCGACTGTGCACGGCCAGGCGCGACCTGCTTTATGGCAACAGACTGTACATGTAAGCCAGGCCGGTGAATTCGACAGCGCGAACTCCGACAAGAGATTCTGGAAGTGGAAGTGGGGCTTTGAGCTTGACGGACTTTTTATCGAGCTTGTAGGCATTTTTCGGGCAAATCTATGGAAATGGGATGCAAAGGAAGAGAGGAAGGGCGTGGGGAAGGAGAATGCTTGTTCCTGAAGAATTTTGGAGGATAGGAGGGTTGACGGCAGGATACAAACCACTTGGTTAGAGTCTGTCCTTTAATGTGCAATGAGATATGGTTTAGCTAGACGGTGATGTCAGGAAGGCTTAGAGAGTATATAGTTCGACTACTTATTCTTTTGGTATGTCTCGTTTTCCGATGATGATATTTAAATGGAAACTGCTCTGATTGTGCCTGTGAGGACTACTTCTCCATGATTCTTCCTTAATACAAGTTGCCATCATCGGCGACGCCTCAGGCAGAGGTACAATGATGTGGATGGCAGATAACCACCACGGAAAATGGGATGGGGTGAAATCTAGACTACCGGTTACGGGAGAATGCGTCTGGTCTGCGGCCATCAATGCCAAACACCACCGAGCGCACAATCGAGAGGAAATTCTTGGTGCTCAGGACGTCCCGATTGTGCACTCTCATCCGTAGTCGTAGTGGTTGTCTTCTTCCAGGAATCTCAAATGGCGTCCAGTCTTGGTGATATATTCGGGGTTGGGGCAACCCACCAATCCATGGACGTATTCCATTCTTCCCTTTCTAGCTTGCCACAGCCGAGATGACAGCCGGCGTCGGATGTTTTTCTTCACACGCCCGTGGCAGTCTGGGCACACGGAAGACGTTCGATACTCATCTAGCAAGTAGCATGGGATGCTGTTTCTTGCAAAGAGTGTGCGGAATCTGATTTCCATGAAGATGAGTTAGCATATTAAAATACATAAAAAACAATGATGGTCACTCACCCCTTGGTCTTTGATTACTCCTGAAAGCGCATGGTTTTTCCAGCGTCGCTCCAATCACCCAAGATGACCGCAAAATGCTTTCCATACAGGCGTCGCATGTTCTTGATGAGCTTGCTCTCAGACTTTTGCCGCAGTGAGAACGCCTTGAATCTGCGAGCCACGTGAATCTCATCCTGGTAAAACTCATCCAGGGCGGGATCTGGGATATGGATGGATGTCAGCCCATGTGTTACCAAAGTTGAAAATCAAAGTTGAAGTGGAACATCATACCCGCATATTCGTAATCCACGATGAACGCTGAGACTGCCTCGATGTTCATGCTCTTGTGCGATGGAATATGTGATTCCATCTCAGCGATGCCGGCATTGATCTTTCGCTCTGTCATGTCTCTTTGAAAGTACCGAGACTTTGTCTCGACCGCCCGTTGATTGGATGTGTATCTGATAAATGCATTGTGAGGACGCCGCAGCGGAATGTCGAACGAAGGGGATGGTGGGGACGGAGGTGGGGACAGCGGCGACAGCGGCGACAGCGGGGACGGCGGGATAGCGGGGACGGCGGGATAGTGGGGACGACGGGATAGCGGGGACGGCGGGATAGCGGGGACGGTGGGATAGCGGGGACGGCGGGATAGCGGGGACGGCGGGATAGCGGGGACGGCGGGATAGCGGGGACAGCAGGGCAGTAGTAATCAGCTGAAACTTACCGAAATGGCCGCTCCTTGTTGATGTCTCGACAGAACAAGAGGTCACGCTTGCCCGGATCAATGCTGACGATGTTTGGAGCCTCCCGTAGTTCGGCGATGTGGTGCTCAAAATACAGCTGCTTGACTTCTTCCTGCATTTGGGCTTTGCTGCGCTTCCGGGCGCGATGGCCGTACTTGAGCCCTGGCTTCTTGAAGTGGATGGTAGCGGAATACCCGTTTGTGCTGATTGACCCATCAAATTTGAGACCAAGCTTCTTTCGATCCTTGAAGACCTTGTCCTGCAATCCGTCATTCAGCGAGGTGAGGTGATTGAAATAAGCGCAGAGGGATAGAGACTTACATTCACATTGAGAAACTGCCCCCACAGCTCCTGCTTGCGTTGATCGGTGAGTTTCCCCACGCGATGGCGGCTCAAGGCCAGGATATGAGTGGCTAGGATCATCGTGTCGATCCGAACAGATGACTGGATTCGAGATTTGCGCAGCGGGATAGCTGAAAACAGCCGCATTCTACGGCGCTCAAAGAGGCGCGAGAGCTCACAATAGGCACCTGTGATGAGGCAGGTGCGGACCATGATTAGACAAAGAGGAAGCCATGCGGGGGGGGGGGGGGGGGGCGGAAATATACTAACTCACCTAAATATGGCATTGCGTCCACCGCAAGGCTGTATGCAAGCGGTTCATCCTGGGGAGGAAACAGAGCCCATAACTCGTCGAGGATGGTCCGCTCAAGTCGTGTGAGGCGTGCAAGCTCCTCTTCGGTTGGAAACTCTTCAAATGTCGCATACTTTGTAAACTGACGGACACGCTGATAATAGCGTCACCGCTGCGCTCTCCGGAGATGCCGTTCCACTTGCTTCAAACCAAGCCTTTCATTGACGTAGCGCAGAAACATTTGCATGAAATGCTCTTGTACGTTAACTTTGAGGTTTGTGAAGATGCTCATAGCCGTGTACGCTGCGGTCTGTTGGCAATATCGCATGCGGATGGGGGCGAATCCGTGAACATCACAGTACTTTTGAACCCGTGGACGCAACTCTTGCGCGATGACTGGATTGCCGTTGTAGCCTGGATTGTTGAGCAGCTCAAACATCACACTGATGTGCTTGTCGGTGATGTCCGGGAAATCGTGTAGAGGATGATCAGCTGTGGTGGGGTGGGCAGATGTAGCAGTCAGGACATTGTTTTATGGGAAATATACAGTATAGTGTACCTCAAAAACTGACCAAGGTAGTACTTGATAAAGAAGGTGGTGTGGCGCGCAAGGACGTGAACATCAGCGATGAACGTTGTTAGGCGCTCCCTTTGCACTTGATTGTGATTATGGATTCTGTGAAGGGAAACCTTCGTGCTGGCATGCGTCTGCGGGCGGGGTCGTTGAGCTGGTGGTGGTGGCGGTGGTGGTGGTGGTGGCGGGGGCTCATACACCAGGGATCCCGGTGTGCTGGGAAAAAGGAAAGGGATGGGGGCGGGGAGGTTCAACGGACGCTGCAGACCCCTGTCCACGGGCGAAAGCCCTCGCTCCTGGCGCTGCTGCCCGTCTTCATCGCCGGAACTCTCGCCAACCATGTCTGCAATTGCTTGGGGCAAGTGGCGACGGACAGAAGGTGGGAGCTCGAATCGCGGGGGCTGCAGTGGTGTCTGCACAGCGGTTGGCGGATTTATGGGCAGCCGCGGGGTAACCGGAGTAACCTTCCTCCTCTTCCGCCGTGGTGTGGTTGCTCCCGTAAAGAAGCCACCCCACAGGTGCCCCTGGAGCACCTGGTGTGATGACATGATGGCTGTGCTGTGCCTTTTGCGTGCCTGCTAGAGATGAGGTGTTGCAGGTGATTGCCGTGATAGCTGTGTGTCAAGGAACTCACGTCAGTGCTGTGGTAATGAGGCTGAGAACGGTGAGGAATTGCGGTTGTTACCTGGTGGCGGTTGAAGGTGAAACCGGGGTTGCTTACTGCTCACAATTGCGTTGGGAAGGACGGGGGTTGGGAAGGAGGTTTGGTATGTAATTGGGGGCCATGATGAGGTGCAATCAAGAGCGTGAGGTGTGCGAAGAGTGAGGAAGAGTAGAGTGAGGAAGAGTAGAGTGAGGATTGTTCTTTACACGCGTGTAAAGGACGTGGGGTAGCTTCCAGGGCAGCTAGCTGGGCAGCTACCTGGGCGAGTGACGGCGAGTGACGGCTATGGCAGCAGCTACCTGGGCGAGTGACGGCGAGTGACGGCTATGGCAGCAGCTACCTGGGCGAGTGACGGCGAGTGACGGCTATGGCAGCAGCTACCTGGGCGAGTGACGGCGAGTGACGGCTATGGCAGCAAACTACAGTATGTCAAGTTGGGTCCGCCATGGCCCTCTAACAGCAGACCGTTGCGAATATGATCATAGTCTAGAGCCAGCATTGCGCAAGTAAAAAGGAGTTTTAAAGGAGCAAAGAGCAGACAGGCAGTACAATGATATGCTGGTGACCGGTGCTTATATAGCAATTCACATCTATGAAGCTATGAAGGGAGACATTGCTCGTCCGTCGTATAACTATGCCTGCCCTCCTTCCAAATCCCGTCGTTCTTACACCACTCGGAAGTGGCTTCGAAGCAAGGGTGTTCACCGCAAGACGAGTTGGCACAATGGGCCCAGTAGGAAGAGAAGATGTTGGAGCCTACATAGTTCTTATATTCATCCCGTTCGCCGATGTTCCACTGAACTATGTTGTCAAGGGAGGTTACTAGTGGTAAGGGCCCCTCCATCCCCTCATCCTGCATAAGCGCCCGTAAGGTGTCGTCGAGCGTCACGAATGAGTCGGTGATGAGGTCTCGTTCGGTTGCGTATGTCGTGAGGGCGGCCAAGGCTTCCCTCTCTGTGATGGTGCTATTGTGTGGTATACGGAGGAAGTCGCAGAACGCAGGTGACAAGAAACAAGGAGCGGCGGATAACGATGGGTGAGGATCCACTCGAAAAACACGTGGCGAAGAGGGGTTGGGTTGAGCCAGACTTCCATCAGTTCGATGCTGCTCATACGAACGCAGCGACGACTGATCATTTGAGTAAAAAGTAAGTCGAATCGTCGTATTTTCGCCTTGAACGCCTGGCAACGGTGTGTTTGAAGGATGTTGATTCGAGTCTCAAAGGGGAGATCGGCGTAGCTGGTCATCTTCGGATTCTTCTCAATGGCTGGAGGGTCAGCGGTTGCGTTGATATGCTAACCCCCCCCCCCCCTCCTATTGCGGGTACAGATCGTGGAAAAAGCATGGGGATCTATCAACCACGAAAAAAGGATTCCGTCAGTGTGGAGAAGTGGCGCGCGTTACAAGCCAAGTTACCGAAGATCGAGGCGCATTACATCTACTTCCTCAATAAGCTTTCCCCTTACCTCTTGTCTCGCATCAAAAAGCGGGCAAAGGAACTACGCGTGCCCAGCATTTCACAAGCGGAATTCGGCAACCTCGTTGCAGACGACTCCTTCGCCAGCAATATCACCGCCACATGGGACGACTTTGCCAATAAATTCCACCGCGATAACGACACATCGAAACTCACATATGGAATCTGGTTCCCGGTCTCGAACACAACGGGCAAGCTGAAAAGCAAAGCGGATGGATTTGCCTGTCATGGTGGAGTCTTTGTGAATGCAGACTATCGTGTATACGTGGACTTTGATGCGTGCGATGGCGTTGTCGAAATCGTTTGGCGAGGGCCTGAGGATGCACACGCAACCACGTCGTCCGTCAGAGGCCAAGACTCGAATCGCCTCGGGACCTCCGTTCAAATCAACGAGAAGCTGGCAAAATGAGTCGAACGGTTGTTGCGGGAGGAGGGTGTCGTTGCTGCCGGGCGCGTCCTTGGGCTTGCTGAGTCTTTAGAACGATTGCAGACATTAGAACGATTGCGCTGACCCATTCTGATTTGTACCGAATACCATAAACTCTACATATATAAAGTATGTGCGTTTTGAGAACGGTACGCCGGTCGTAGTGTTTTTACACCTACAAGTCGTATTTTTTACAGCAAAATCCGGGCCTGGGGAACCGACGACCTAAAAGGTCCGAACGTTTCCCCGACAAGCAAATGATGTGAAAACAGATAGATCAGAACAGTTGATCAACGGCCAAATTGGCCCGAATGTGCGGAGAAAAGGGAGTAAAAGCGATTGAGTGAAGTGAGCACGACGACCTAAAAGGTCCGAGCGGTGCGCAGAAAAGGGAGGTGAGAGTGCACAGTTCGAATAGGAAAAAATAGAACCGACGACCTAAAAGGTCCGAGCGGTTGTCTCTTGTCGACGCTTACTCGATGGTGTTTGGTGTTATTTTGTGTTTGGTGTATTAGTTTGGTGTTTGGTTGTCAAGCGGTGGCACGAGTTGCCGTTGCGGTTGCAGAACTGGTAGGATGGTTCCGCATTCTTTGCACTTCTTGCCATGTTGGGTGTGGCAGGTAATCTGACATCGTCCGTCCGGATGGCGGTTCCGGCAGAACAGTACATGTGGAGATCACCCTTTTCTTGGTTTCGCCCCTGATCATGCCTGAGTGGTACAAGACAACTCCCTGCGGTTTCTGTGGGATGAAGCTATTTTTGTCAATGACGACGTCCTGTTGGGAGGGACGGCAGAAATGGTGGTCGGTAAGTGTGCAGAGATGACGCTGAATCATTAAGATCTCACTGTAGTCTTCAAGTGGACAGTGGTGAAGAACGTGTCAGTGTCCGGTTTGACCGCTAGTTGCGTCTCAAAGCCTCTCGCAAGTGCCTGGAGAATGAGCTTGCGCTTGTTCGGCGTCGTGATTGATGTGCCATCATCGGTGTTGAGGCCGGCCTCCTTACAGGCTATCAACAACCGACCACTCAAGTGCTCTGCGAGTTTTAATGATGGCATGTTGATGAACCCCGATCGGCACCACGTCTGTCGAAGTGGGACATGGACTTTCCTATACGCAGCCAACACGTTAAGGAGTGCGAAGTGATCGCTCGTGTCGTCGATGAACTTCCGGCCTTGAGGGCCCGAGCCCCATACTTGCAGGGCTTCACCACGCTCAAGCGGATCATTTGGCCATTGCAGGACCGAGGCGCGCTGTTGCAATATTGCCGCCAGATCGCACATATGTCGTCCCACGCCCTTATCACAAGCGTGCCAAAGAGCAGTCGCCAGTTGAGGGTCAATGGGGAGTCTTGCCACCACAGCACCGACACGAGTGAGTTCCCCTGTCTCCTTCAGGACACCGATGCGTGTCAAAACATCGTTCCCGAGTTTCCATGATTCCGGCACTGTGCAGTGACAGGTATAAGGACAATTCCCTGGAAGGACCCAGATCTGTAAGAATGCTATACAACTCACCAGGTTGCTTGAACCAGGGCCAAGGAGCATCCCCCGCAACCCCGCGGTATCCGAATCCTCTGACGCAAAGGACAGCCGATTCGAGTCGCACTTGTTTGACCTCCGCTAAAGATATGTCAAGGAAGGGGCCAGAGATGTTATGAATGGGCGGAGCCGATGGAAATAGAGGCGACTTGTGGTGCAGGTTGTTGACAGGTAATGGTATTCAGACCGGAACAAGAACTAGAACAAGACTAGGAAGAACTGGTGTTGATCTGCTGGGGGATCAGGAAGTGGGGAGCTCAGGGGAGGCGGCTATTTATGTTTTTCTGGGAAGGCTGGGGAAGCGTGGGGAAGCAGAAGGGTACGGAATGAGAGGGAAGCCAAGAGAAGCGCCAAGGGTGGGGAAGCATAGAAACAGAAGACTGGGGATGGGGTGGCTACGCTGAGGCTGTGGGCGGGTACGTGGGGAAGTATGGAGAAGGGTTTGTAAGCGCCGAGTGTTGGGAGGTGTGGCTACGTGCGGCTGCGTGGAGAAATGAAGGCAGTGGCAGGTGTGGGGTAGCGCAGCTGCGTGCGGCTGCGAGGTTTGGCAGATGTCAGGTTTTGACAGGGAATTGACATTGACTGACTGTTGGGATGCTGTCATGAGGTAAGCGCATGGTATGGACGCGGCGTCCATAACAAGAGAAGTCTGCCATGCTGAAGCATGGCCAGTAGGCACCGGGACCAGTGCGACCAGTTCTTCCCGCGCGTTGTTCTGCATCCGCCCTGCTGATGAACTTGGTGCTAAGTTCGTGCAGGCCAGAGCGCGGGTCGAATACCATGATCTTGGCGGCACCGCAGTCAACCACATGGTCGATGCCCCCAACTGTGAGGGAGGTTTCCGCCACGTTTGTCGCCAAGACAACCTTCCTCTTTCCAGGCTGTGCTCCGATCACCCTTTGCTGCACTTCCGTAGGCATCCCGGCGTATAACTTGCCAAGTTTTACGTTTTCAGCGGGGTGGCCAGAGTATTCCATCCAGTTATCGAGATCGGCCTCCATGCGGTCAATGTCCTCACGTCCAGGTAGGAACACGAGGATACCTCCAGGAAGAGCTTGCGGTGGCCTAGGCTCGCCTTCCTGGTCGTTATCTTTGAACTTGAGTATTCTGATAACGTTTGCCAGGGCCCGGGCGTAATACGAGTCCTTCTCCGTCTTTTTCTTCGACAGGTCAAGACCCTCGTTATCATAGAGCCTCGCGATATTGTGGGGATCATGCCGTATCCGAACCACAGTTGCGCCGAAGAAATAGTCTTTGAACATGTCCAGTGCCCTCTGCATCGTCGCGCTCATTATCACGGTGATGAGAGGGTCTCCTCTATCCTTGCGCTTAGCGATTGCGAGTCTCAGTGTAGTCATGAGCATGTCCACGTGCAGGGTGCGGACATGGGCCTCATCAACCACAATTGCGGCATATTTCGAAAGGAGTGGGTCATTCTGGGCCTCGATGATGAGGATTTGCTCCGTAGCGAAGCAGAGCTTGGTGGTGCCCTTGGTGTAAGCGGTGTCAGGGCCCGTCTTGTAGCCCACCTCCTGGCCAACTGTCATGTCCATCACTTCTGTGACTCGATTGGCTGTCGCGATGGCCGCGACCACACGGGGTTGGCTGCACCCCGTAACCCTGCTTTCGCCCTTTTTAACGACACCGGCATCCCAGAGATACATAAGGATGAAATAGACGAACGCTGTCGTCTTTCCACTGCCCGTCGGACCCATCACTAGGAATTGAGTGATTCCCGCAGCCAGGTGCGCCAATAACTCATCCCTGTGATCGTAGGCTGGCAAGGTTTCCCAGCCCGATCGGGCCCGTGTGCGGTGGGTTGGGGTGTGCGGTTTCCCGTTGAATATGTTGGGCTCTTTCCTCTCCAGCATTTGCTGAGCTTCTGCGGTTGACATGCTGCTGCTGTTGCCTGGTAGTTGGTGTTGTTGTTATCGCTTGGTGGTTGGTGTGGTATGTGATTGGGGTTGGCGCTGGAGTTGAAGGTGATGTGCAGGAGTAGTAGGTAAGTGATGAGAGACCTCACAGTGAGAGATTTTCCCTTTGGGGGTGGTATAGGTAGGCTGTTGTGCGAAGCCGTCGCGTTTTTGAATATGTGAATCACGAAATATGTGATTCACAAAGTTATGCGCAAGCGCCTCCCATCCGTCCCCAAGCGCGTATACACCACAGTTGTTGGATCGACGATTCCAACGCGTTTCAGGAAAGCTACGAGGTGGATGGATGACGGATACGAAGGCACGTACTATACGTATAATATACTATACTCTCCCCCTATCACAACTAGGAGCTCGCATCTTTCGGCACAACCCCCTTCTGCACCCCCTTCTGCACCCCCTTCTGCACCTCCTCCTACGCCGACATCTCTGCACATCTCTGTTATCTGGTTGGTGGAATTAAGTACACGAGATTCGTGGGAGGCCATGATTGAAGGAAATTTGTACATTCTTAAAAAGAGGGAATGGGTGGTTTGAGGGGACGGAGGGTTTCGGGCTTCCGATGGACAAGTGAGCAAGAAGCGCTACAATGTGGTATGAGCGACTTGGTGTGGTATAGTTGGTGGGGTACATTCGCAACGACGATGCTGGTGATGGTATTTCGCAGGCATAATAGAAAGGCGGTAGCGTAGTAGCTGCATACGACCACAGACTTAAAATGGGCCAGGGAAAGACGACGCAGAACTCACGACGAGATCTTGAACTCTGCGGCAAGCAACACATGATCAGAGACGACGTTCGGATTTGGCATGGTATTTCACACACTCCAATCGCGTTCTCATCTTCTCCTCGCCGGTTGCATTATTGATTGACGGCGCTGAGAATCCGAAACGTTCCGTCTTCTCCTTGTTCCGACAAAGATATAATCGCAATTCTCCTGCACCGCATCATGCCAGGTGGTAAAGTACGTTGTGGGGTCAATGTAAGGGTGGTAGACGGAGGTGGGGCGGAAAGGACGGCGGACAACTTGAAGGAGCGGCTGGGAGGTGTCATTATTGTGTCGCCAGGGATTCAGCCGGTGGTGTGCCGGATCAAACGGTTGTAGGAAGGGATAGAACACCAGCCCAGCCAGCGGGCGTCGTCGTCTTCCTCATCCGATGATTCTGACGTGGAGTGTTTGGAAGGTGGGCGTCCACATCCGTTGCATCTCCGTCGGTGGACGTCCCGTCGTCACCGTTAGGAGCTCGAGAGCACGCCGTATCATGTGACATAATGCAGACGACTTCTCATCCGTGTCAGGGTGTCATGGAATGTCTGCCCGCGTTGAATTCACGAACCCGTTTTCTATATTTAGATTTTTCATCCTTTTTGAATCGTTTTGCACGCTGTAACACGCTTTTTATGTAGTACTGTAAAATGACACCAAAATCTATGATTTCAACCTTAACTCTTGCTGTCCTTGTCCTTGCCCACCTTGGCGAGTTTCTCGACGTTTAACAAAGCCTTCTCGAGTTGAGATGAGAGCGCCTCAACTCTGTCCCTCAGGGACGACACCCGCTCAGAGACATGTGGGGCGCGGACGTATAGGAGACGCCCGGCTTTTAACAGGCCCCATAAGCACGGAAAATTATAGCCACTCGCTGCGTTGATACGGCGAACGACCTCTCTCTCCAGCTCAGGGCTATACGCTTCTGTCAACGCCCAGCCAGCGAAAGCAACCAACTTCAGAACTTCCTGCGCCAGCCAATTGCCCATGGCCTTGCCTTTGCATTTGGGTATTTTTAGCGAGTGATATCGAAAGATTACAGACGCAAGTTGTATCTCTAACTGTTCCACTTTGTCTGGAATCCACTTCTTTAAGGTCGTCGCCTCAAAGACCACGTAATACGCCGAGCTTGCTTGGAGTGCTTGCTGGGCGGGGGTGCTGCCAAAAAGATCGTTGGACGATGAAGGGGGCGAGATTGGGACTGGATATGGCGCACTTGCCGCGCTGTTGAGCGAATTGATAGAGGTTTGCCATGTTGGGACACCAAAGGGTCGGAAATCTTCCGGGGCCGCAAGTCCACCATGCGCGGACCATGTTGGTGGCTTTGTGGCGTACATAAAAACATCTATCTCCCCAGAGGAAGTTCGCTGCAAACGCTTGGCATAATAGGCATCCAAGTGGCTCTGAACGTGGGAGGCGGGCAGCAAAGGTCGGCTAGCGTTAAAGTAGTCGTTCATGTCGCCAAAGCCGACAAGGAAAAAACGCCAGAGATTTCGTAGCACAATCCGTCGAGCTTCATTCTCAAAGCCAGCTGTCAGATCGGAGTGCACGGACGCGGCTTCCAAGTGGTCTGCGCGAAAAAAAAAGGCATTAACTTGACTGACCAGGTCGTGCACAGGACCTGCAGTTTGCTCTGTGGAAATTATTGCACAGCAAGGACCAGGAAACATTTCATGGACGCCGTGCTGAACTTACTTCGAGTTGCGTGCCGGGGATGAAGCAGGGTATATATATAAGTGCCCGCAACGAGACCCCATAAATCTGTTAGGTGTACCTGCTCCAGAGAGTAGAGCACCTCAGCGTCCCCGCCTGACTTATTCCATTCGTATGCAAGACTTTTTGTGAAGCCGTGGGCCTTTTGAATGCTCTCCAGCCAGGCCACAACAGCTTCATTGTTAGCGTCGGTAGGTAGTGCGGAGTCCTTGGGCATGTCGACTGCGGATTGTAACGATGGAGTAAAAGCAGCGGTCGTCGGGTTCTTATGGTCAAGGTCAGTGTTTGGAGTAGGGCTCCGTCCCGGACGCGTCCCATCCCGGACGTCCCGGTACCCGGTACCGGCCGGGCCGGGTGGCGGGCTGACACATATAAAGCCCGGCCCATCCCGGTCAGATCCCATGGGACGCCCGGGCCGGTACCCGGGCCGTGGTAAACCCGGCCCATCCCGGACGGGACGGACCCGTAGTTTGGAGGGGAGTATAACGTGTATTACTGTATGTATGGTTCTTTTTTTTTTTGTAGGCCAGTCACCGGGTGTGATTTTTGTTTTCTTTACCCGTTACCAAATTCTGGGCGGTTGAACTTGCTGATACCGACTGGCAGTACAGTCACTTCTTGTTTATTTCAACACCGTTGACCCTTGAAATAAGCGAAAGTTGAAATATCTGAAGTCCTCCTCATACTAAAGGGTATACAAACAGGTACGCAACTAAAACCTACGCTAAGCTGCACTCCCTAGGCTAACCCCATAACCTCCAACCCTTCCTCACTAAGAGTCTGGCGAGCAATGAACTCTTCAGTGTGCTCAAGCCTCGTGCTCTCAGTGTTGTCAAAGTCAATGTTACCCGAACCCTAACCCTAACCCTAACCCTCTGACCGTTAAAATAAGCGGAAGTTGAAGTAACCGGAATTGAAATAAACGAGACGTTACTGAAGTAGTAGGCTTGGGTTGAGGGATTCCCTTTTCTTTTTGTCCCCAAGTCGCCCCAATCCAATTTTTACCTTAACTTTACTTTGAGACTCGATTTTAGATTCACCTCCATTATTCCGATTACATTATTCTCCTGACCAACATGATGGCATACATCCCTCCACTCGCACCTGGCTTCTTCTCGTCAACATGGCACCGATACTACTCTACAATAGGAGATTGTTTACCCCTAACTTTTTCTGGTCAACTTGGTCCTCGAAGATGCCTTACGTTCCTTCCGTCACGAACAGTGACTGTCAACAAGGCAGGTCAAATTTCCTTTGTTTATCTATAGGGGCTCAGCCAAAATGGGGGCTCAGCCAAACTGTTGCCAATCCTTCTATGTTGATGTTCCTTCTCGCGACTGCGCTGGTGTTGATGGACACCTTGTTGAAGGACAGTCGACCAACTTGTAAGGCCGCCCGCATTGGACAAGCCAACCGCGCAACCCTCTCCCGCGAAGCCCCCCCAACAACCTTCTATATCCGTGACGCCAACGGCACCGACCTATTCATCTCCTGTCAGTTGGAAGCAAATCCTAAGCACAATGTCTGCCAAAGGACAGCCAGCCTACGAGCGCCAGCGGCGATCGCCGGTGGAGCGGGTAAGTGAAGTTGTTCTACATTCAGCACGTATCGCCAAAGTTTGGCTGTACACTCATCAATAAAATAGGCGCTGTTCCAACTTCTCTTCGCCATGACAAAAGGGGCAGAGTTTCCTCATTCGGTTTCGGTGCTGATCCAAGTTTTTGAGGATCTTCAGGTATCCGATGGTATCAATTCGAACCAAGTGAAAGGAAACATGATTAAGTTGTCGTTCCAGTTAATGGCATACTCGCTCAAGCATCATTTGGACGTTCCATACGCGCCACAATGGTTGGCGTCCATTTTACACCCGGCGGACTGGACGCGAGACAGCTGGGGAGTTTTCGTTCCGGTGTTCTGGCTTTGTTTCGCTGCTACGATGCTTACGACCGGCCTGATGGCATACGTCGCAGTGCAATTTCAAAGAGGATCGTTCAAATACGTTTGGGTCAGTCTCATCAAAAAAGGGGTTTTCTCGCGCGTATGCCCCTCCTCTTTGACTGATATGAACATCTCTTAGCCTCTTGCCCTTTTGCGCTATCTTTCCACTCTCCTGACTTCCTTGTTGTTTGAGCCTATGGTGACAATATTTCTCATTGCTCTGCAATGTATCGATTCTCCCGACGGCACCGGCAAAGTATTCTCCCAGTTTCGCACCGTTTCCTGTAATGGAGCCAACTTATCTGTACTTGCGCTTGGGGTGTTGGGCCTCGCCCTTCTCATCCCTCTCGGTCTCCTTATCACTTACGTTTTTGTTGAATGTTCACCGTCGAGCAAGTAAGTCTGACATATTTGGATCGCCGCGAGTCGCCTTGGGGACAATACTTACAGCATTCGGCGCTTCTGCAGGAACCCTCATGCAAAGGCGAACGGATATTGTGATCTGGTCTACCTGGTCGTAAAGGTACATTGTGAGGGCTTTCTTTTCTTTCTCGTTGCGTACTTGACCCTTTCCCTCCGTGCCAGGCATTGTTGGTCGTCATCGAGCACAACTCGACTGCTGACAAACCCTTGGTGGCTCAATTCTTCCTCCTTCCCATGCTGGTGTACTTTTACTGCCGTTATATGCCATATCTCTCTGAAGACTTTATGCGGTAAATTTTGTGTGTGCGCAAACCTGATTGTCTTCAAGTTACTGATTAATTCATATTGTACAGCCTGCGAGTCGGGATTTTCTTAGGGGCATTTCTATCCGCCATAATCAGCTACATCACATATCAGATAGGCGTCCACGATTCCCCGGCCCCGCTAGTGATGATCATTTTATCTGTCCCAATCGGGCTGGCCCTAGGGCGAGGACTTCTGATGTTTTCGAAGAACATCATTATCCGCCGGATTATGCGCAACTTGAAGATCAAGATGGAGCATGATTCTCAGGATGCAGAGAGTGGAAAGCTGGACCGTCCGAAGCGCCGTGGGTCGTTGATGAGATCGATGACAATAGATGAAAATAACGGAGTCGGAACAACTCCCCGACACAAAGGTTCAATCACCCTTGAGAATAGTTCCGGCAAGCTAACCGCACTCCATGCCGTGGGACATTTTCAAACGATAGCGGCAAGGAAGCTTGTGGAGCCGGCCCCTGTCTTCCATAGTGCTTTGGAGCCAGAAATTGCTTGTCGCTTTCTTCGGGGAGCTGTATGCGACTCTTCAGCGTTAGAGATCATGCATGCGGTGTTCCGTGAAGCGATCAGTCAATTCCCTACATCGGCGGTGAATCTTAGCTACACGTATTACCTTGCAACCTACGACCAAGGGAACCCCGCCGCGGCCATGCATTTGGAAGCCGCCAAAACTCTCTCGCCCCCGTTCGACGTTCGTTTCCGGATATTTGCGGAGGAGCGGGAGCATGAGCAGGAAACTCGAGCCGATGATCTCTCAACTAGGTTAGGCGAGTAATCCTCAAGTACGTCGGGCAAGGCTGTTCCTTACCAACTGCCGCTTCTCCCCACCACAGCGCTTTTGACGTGGCCAGCTATGTTGAATATAAAAGTCTCGAGCACCACGCAATAACATCGCACTTACGCTCTCTGATGTGTCTCAAAGTGTTCTGGCAAGGTCTCCTGTCCGACCAGGTCAACTCAAACACCGTCGCGGCATACCTGGACACCATGCACACGACACAAGGCAGTGCGTCATCCGCTTATAAGAAGTTGATAGAAAGATTTCCCTCATCCAAGCAGATTCTGCGTCTCTATGCGAAATACTTGCTCACAGTGGAAAACAATGCCGAGCTTTCTGCTCAACTCCTCAGTCAAGCAGAAGATATTGAGTTCCGTGAGCAAAGAGACGTTCGGCAGCGTCTCGAAGGACCTAATGGCATTCTACCCGCAGCCAATTCAGCAGGCTATCCCTCTCCACCCGCTGTCAACTATCCCGAAATCGCCGGATCTATGATGAGCGACAAGGGTACGACTGGGCGATTCCACCCAAGTCTCTCCAAGGTGATTGGCTCGACCGCCCACGAGTCCGTGGGCTTCGCCGGTGCTGCTTCGGGACGGAGCATGGAAATCTCGGACGATGAGGAGTCAGGCCGCGGGTACCAGAATGCCCGTGTGACACATTTTCCAGAAGAAGAGATCGAACCTCCGACGGCGAAAATAGCAAAAGTCTCGATCAAGCCTGAGGTTTCCAGCGCTGGGCTATCCTTAGCATCGTACAACGATGAAGCTGGAGGAGGACCAGAAGCGGAGGCCGTACCCCGTCACAAGGTTGGCGGGGCGCGCTCTACAACATCATCTGCCACATCCAACAAAGACATCCGAAAGATGAGGGCGGAGAAGATGCGCATGATGGAGAATCTCTCAACGCAAATTCGGCGTTATATTCTCTATGAGCGCTTGTGGCTTCTGGTTCTTTTGGGACTCATCATTGCGAACTACGACAGATCGCTGCAAATGTTTCAGGCCCCGGACACGTTTTTGAGCACTTTGCGAGTACGTACGGGACGTATGTTACAAATATGTTCGTAGCGATTACTAGTATCCCTCACTTCAGTCTCGTATTGTAGGAGGAAACGCGTGCGCGCAGGATATGCCTCTCGCAATCAATCCTAGTTCGGCAAATGTGGAGCGCTGGGAAGGCGGCCAGCAACAAAACTTTTCAGACTGCAAGAACGAGCTTGGCTGCCCAAGTCGATCGTCACACCCAAGTGGTGCTTCCGGTTTTATTTACCCAGGCCAACTCTTATCCAACCATCGTCACCGTTGTCCGCAACACTGAGGCAAGCTGGGGATCGGCGCGAGAGGTATTGGGGTTAAACCCGTACGAACTTGCCCGTCTCACGAAGACCAGCCTCGAACGCATTCTTCAATATGACTACACGCGTTTCGTCGACACAGCAACGATTGACCAGGATATAGAGATCCGATTCTGGTTCGATAATACCCTCGATGTATGAGCACGTCGTGTTCACCTTCTCCTTCTACTTCGACGTGAGGACTCACAACAGCCCATTTATAGATGTGCGATGCCTTTCACATGTTTACTGGCGATATGTACAAGGATTACAAAGCTCGCTCTTCCCAACAGACTATGATAATCGTTGGGTTGTTGGTGGTTGTGGTTGTGGTTCTCGTGGTTGCGGCCGTCCTTTTTTGGATGTCACTACACCACACCAAGGTTGAAGGCAGAAAATGGTTGAAAGTACTAAAGGGGATTCCGCGTTCTCATTTGCGCCATCTTACAATGGACCTTGAGGAAGAGATCGAAGAGCTTTTCGAACTCGAGGGCTTGGAAGATCGGGCGCAGACGGCGGCCACAAGGCATATGGAAACTCGTTTGTCCCATTGGCTGCTTCAAAGATACGCATCCGGATATGTAGTCTCAATCTTTGGATTGGCCGCATTGGCTGTGTGTCTGTTCGCTCCGCCATTGCTGTCGAGCTCGCAGATGGATGAGGTTCGTGATATGTGCGCCTCCTGTCTTATGACATGACTGACGAGCGCTTTGTCGCAGACGGCAACCTTGATTCTCGCTAGTAACCCGCGAAGATTTTACGGACAAGTAAGATTTTTGTGTAGCATTTCCATCAGCCCCGCAAAGCAATAACTGAATACATTTCTGCAGTCCATCAATTACCTAAGCCAGGTACCTCACTCTCTACTCCTGATCCAGTCTTCAGATGTTGACGCTTTGACGTAATGCCCCAATAGGAACTTGCAGCAAGCGACGCCAACACGTGGACGCCTTGGAAGTGAGAGCATTCGTCCCAATGCAGTCTTCTCGCGTTCTTTACTTGACTGCATTTGATTCACGTAGGGCACAAATCGAAGTTGAGAAACGGATTCAAACGTTGCGGGTATGTGTCCAGATTTTGCAGTCCTTCACATGCGCCGGCGGGGCATAGGTTGACAAGTCGGGTGCCGTACGGTCTAGACGTTGCACGAGATATGCATCAAAGGAGATGAGAATACCCCGTCGATATACGTTTTTCCTCAGCTCGACCCATATCTTCGGTGAGCAGACGAGTTCTCAGTGACAAGCGAGTCGCAGGGTATGGGATGACGGATGAATCTCTGACGCCCTTACGATTCAGCACGGGCGGCATCTGTTTGAGATCGACTGGTTGTGATAATCGGCCGTATAATGCTAGTTACGGTTTTACCAGGGATCTTGTAATGTCCGGAGCGACTTACCTCATCGATGTGCTGCTCATGGGGGTAGGAACTCGGGGGTGCGGAACTTGAATCTTGGACGGTGTAGTGACGGTAACCGCTTGTACACATTCTACCACAGGCGCGAAAGTACTTGGACACCAAAGACTTCACGGCGACCAATCCGGAACTGCGATTGGTCATGGCCATCGAGCCGGACATTGCGGACGGATTGGAAACCGTTGACGGACTTCTGCTCTCCATTGCTCGGGACGCTGCCGCCAAGTATCAAGCCATCGGACATGTGTTGTTCGCATTGACGTCGATATATTACGTCTGCTTCTGCGGCTACTTCCTGCTCCTCGTCATGAGGAACATCCAGGAGCAGATCAAGATGATGGTGCATGTTATTTTCTGGGTGCCACCCGAGATTGTCAGTGATGCTCCCAGGCTGCAGAACTTCATCGCAGCAGGAGGCATGGTTCACGTACCGGTCGAAAAACTTAAGGAAACCCCGGAGAAGAAGGCCTGAGATTGAGCGAAAGTCATTCGGAGAATTCGACGACAATCAGATAACATAGGAGACTCATACATATCATCCATTATACACATTGTATCGCCTTAAAAGTTAGTTCCTTACGGATCCCGTTTAGTTCGTTCCTTGCGGATTCGAAGTTGGCGGTACTGTCAAAACTCGCCGGTACCGTAGTGTAAAGATGCCGTTACCCAACAACGTGAAGCGAAATGCTGCCTCCGAAAGCCGAAAAACCCAATATCAACCCTGAGTTGGCTCATGATACCCTCGATCTTTGGGGACTCAACAACCCCCCTCAACCCGTCAACATCCAAACTCTTCCACCTCCCGCTCTCCATCCCATCCCTTATCCACTGAGCTGGATTGCACCCTTGTCCGGATTAGTCCTAGAGACAGCATCCATCCATTAGTCAGACTTTAACACTCTCGATATCCCATGCCTTATCTTTCGTTTATACTCTCTCGATGTCTCAACACTTGGTTACTCGCGCCTCTTCGGTTGTCAGACGGTTCCCTTTGTGTAAAGTAACTTGCCCATTTGTACGGTAAATTTATGCGCCCTTCACGCAACCATTGGACCAGTAGCGATGCTCGTTAGCCCAAGGGCGTACATCCCAGTCATAGTCACAGGCAATCTTTGCACAGAGCGTACATATCACGGGGCCGACACCAGGCAGAACGTTCTGTGAAGATCTACAAGGAGTGCAAAGGAAGGATGAGAGAGCAGGAAGTAAAAATATGGACATACCTTACGAACCAGCTTCTCACGTAGATGAGGATATCCAGAAGGGCCCTGCTGTCATCGCCGGCGGTATGGAAGACGTATGCGTTCAAGGGAAGGAGTTCCCCGACAACATGCCCGAGACTACGCAACGGGAACGCCATTGCTTCCGGATTTTCAAGATTGGTGACTTCCTCAAGTGGTCTGCCTTCTCTGGGAGGCCAGAGAAGTGCTGCTAATGGCAGCAGTTGCAAAAGTTCCACTGGTGGTCTGGGCACATCCTCTTCCGAAGGGTCTCGTCGCAGAAGTTCTTCGACCATGAGAAGAGAGTGATGTGGGTGTTGTCCAGGGTGTTGTCGGCAGTCGCACCCAAGTGGTTCAGGAAGACTTCCTCTGCTTCCCGAGCATTCCTTGGGTTCTGGTAGATATAGAGGTGGGAGACAGGTTCTTGGGGCGCGAGGCTGCCACCCATCCAACCTCATAAATCAGGGTGCTAGAGAGGGGTCCTTTTCCAAACTCGAAGTCGAAGGCAACCTCCAAGCTCTCCAAGCTGCCAGGCCCAGAACCGCGCAGAATTGCTGGCCATATAGTACCAGCCAACCGTTGGTGGGCGATGCCAGAGTGTGTTTCCAGGAATGATGCCATTCACATTGGAGAGTCTGGTAGGCGTTTTTCCATTGCACTCCTTGTTCGGCTCACTGTGGCTCCATTCCTAACGTGGGTGTACACAGACTTACCTTGCAGCCCGGCCAGACTCTCCAATGTGTAAGGTAGGGCATTGCGGACGGATTGGAAACCGTTGACGGACTTCTGCTCTACATTGCTCGGGACGCCTACCCGGCGCCGCCGGAGAGTGCCGCCGGAGCGCCATCGGCGCGACTGCGGGCGAGTATGATACGAGACCTTGGCACGGGTAGGAAGGAATGGTTAGTTTCTCCCAATCGCTGACACGTGGATCTCCAGCGCTCTGCATGCATATATAGCGGCGAACCGACGGGAAGGAACTTCGGGGTCTTTCGAGATGCCCTGTTCTGTGGATTCCGCCGGAGATATCAGCTCGACAACACCAACGTCAAGCTGAGCGAGAAAATGCTTTGTGAGACCTATTCATATCTGTCACGGCCTTTTCCTGCTCTTTTTCTGCTCCTAGCCATGGCCTTCTCTCAAGTGCGTTCTTCTCCCTGACTCGTACCGGCCATGATTGACCACCCCGAAGATGACTTTTTTTGATGCTGTCGTGAAGCGGAATGGCAAGATAAAAGAGTCTCGAAGGCATACAAACAATAGTAGTAAGTAGCGGAAGATTCCTTTTCCTCCTTTGTTCTTTTCACTCAGGGTCTTCGCTTGTCGATGATATCTTCTACAACTCATTCAGGTTGGCCACGTACTTCGATAGGTTCAGGAGGTTGTTCAACAGTACGTTGTGCAAAATGAAGACTTTACAGTCTTGATTCAGATGAGCGGTGGGTCCGGGTTGATATGTCTTCGCTCCGGTGTGCATGCATCGTGTGCTGGCTTTTCATTCCATTCACACCTTGAAGCTACCGTATAAGATGGATCTGAGCTACGGTTCACAAACGTCAGTAAAAACTTGTGGACGCCGTTGGGCGGCGAACGCGGCCTAATCTGCGTCCTTATGGGTCGACCCTACTTGAAATTGGATGAAGGTACGATAGTTGCCATACGATAGTTGCCATAATGTGATTTATGTAGTGGTCGAAGCAGAGAAGCAGCGGGTGCGTAATCCCCAAGTGAAAAAGCTATAAACACAGTTTGGAATGTCCTAAAATAAATCCTTCAAACTCATCCCAGCCCAGCTCATCCCTAACATCGTCGCGGGGAACTTCAGATGTTCTTGTCGCATCAGCTATCCTCGTGTGGCAAATGGAATTGCAAACTCTGCATCCCGAGTGCCGGGGACATTGATATTCGACGCTCCCGATCCCTTTTTCCTCCAACTTTTGCGTTCCTGCCAGTGAGGAAGTAGGTCTCCATCTCCCCTTTGCCTTTCACGTAGACTGTTCCACGGGGAGTGAACATAAAGCGTGTCTTTATGCGATCGTAGACGGCTTGCGTTACTTGAATGCTCTCGTCTACTCCTGTGGATTCCATCCGAGATGCCACATTTACAGTGTCGCCCCATACGTCGAAAGTGAACTAAGGAAAAGGAGCAAGTCATTAGAAACTATTTTCAGATTTGAATGATGGGATGTTCCTTACTGTTTTCGTGCCGATCAACCCACACACTGCAGGTCCGACTAGCGTAGATTCAGATACAAATCAGCAGACTGCTTTCAAAATACCAAGCGTCATGTAACGACCATACCGTGTATCCCGGTTCGTAAACCAAAACTTTGTCCAGATCGAGCATTGAACGCCCGTACCACATCCTATAGCATTAAAAAAATTTCCATGATGCGAGCACTCTTCGGCGCATAGCTGTGATGAATAACAACGTACCAGAAGATCTAATGCAAAGTCACACAAGCGTTCCAAATGATACTCCGGCACTTCCGCTATCGGCTCTGCCATTGCCATGTACTTGGTTCCTGTTCAGAGAGGATCAATTTCCGCAGGGAGTCGGGCCTTGTTCACAAATTCTCAAAACCTTGCCTATAGTTTTGATCTTTTCAACACTCCGCGTCCGCGCCAGCGCATCTATATCGCAGATAATGTCGTTGAGTGTCCAAATGTTCTCGATTTCCGTCGCGTCCGCCTGTGACACAACTGCGAGTTTCGAAACGTTTAGCGACATTTTGCGACATCAGTACCAAGAAAGTACTTCGACGTCACTACCCACCGTTGGAAATGAAGCAGAAGAGAATGGACACTTCCTCCTTGTCATCAGCGATACGGAGAGCTGGGTTGTCTTTGAGTCTTTGCACAACGTTTAGCGGCAGGATATTGAGAAGCATTCGCTCCGCCGCTGCCTGTGTCGACTTGGTTTCCGCATAGTCCCGTTCAGTCTGCAGCTTCACGTAGAAATTCATCCGACTGATAATATCAAAGGTTCTGTTGGCGCGAATCGCGACGGCGACGATTAAGCCCACTCCCGTTATAAGGTAGGTCTGGCTCTCTCGTGACGCAATGACAATGATATAAATGGCGGAGGCAATCAAGATGAATATGTTCAAGTAGAACATTCTTATCCCAGGATGCACAATGCACGTCACGAGTGTGAGCATCATGGCTCCGTTATGATAGACGATAACGCTAGGGTCCCATGATCCGAAGTGGATAGCGATGGTGATTAGCAGCAGAAACGCGAGAAGAATTGCTGATGTATTCGGCCGAAGCCAACCCCACTTGTCGGCAACTCTTGGGGCTTTGCCTGGCATTCGGGGAGATGCATCGCTTATCGATTGACGATCCGGTCTTTGCTGATCCAATATTCCCGCAACGTGCTCGCGACCATACTCTGGATTGGGGCGCCTCCCAATCTCTTCGGCTGAACTCATCCAAAGCGCGCTGCCTAGTCGGTCGCCCTTGTCCATTATAACGATAGTTTGTTGCCGAAGAGGTAAGTTGATTTGATGCAACACGATGATGATGGAAAGCATCACAAGACCGACAGCGCCTTCGATCGCAAATGTTGTGTGGCTCGATATAGATCGGAACACGGCGATGTGCATTCCCAGCAGGCAGAGGTAAAGGATGAAAACGACACAAGAGGATACGATGGTAGCACCTGGCCAATTTCGGACATGGCTGTCACGGTAGCTTTCTTCCATAGTTGGGTCACGAAACGTGCCTACCACAATTCCTGTCAGTTACCTTCATCCACACCAAGCCCCACTGTCCTATTCAGCGAGGAAGGGACGAGTAATGCTTACTTTGCCAAAACCTGATACTCCGCGCAAAGTTTTTCATCATTCCTCCGATGTTGTTTTTATTCCTCGTATGAGGAGAATGCCGCATTCCAGGCGCGCCTATCTCCGTAAACATAAGAGCTCCGGATGCTCCTATGGCTTGACGCACGGCAGCGGCCGTCACTGCCTCTCCACTGCCATCCCTTTTGCTTCTCCCTAGTGGGTCCAAACTTTCCCGCACTCTGAGCCGGGAGGCCAGCTGTTCCAGATTCTCGTCATTGCTCTCGAGGACAAGCATGTCATACGTCGGAATCTCCTTCCCGAAAGCCGTGATGGTTTGTGCAGGACTGAAAGAGAACGTCGAGTGATTATGAAGGAGGGCGTATGTAGCGTAAGAAAGATGCGGTATTCCTGGTTTGCCGCTTTGTTCGATATATGAGGCAATGTCTACGTCCTTTGACCAGATGTCTATCATCGGGACAAGAAAGATTTGCAAGATGTGAGATAACCATCTGGCTGATCTGCATAGAACGGCAGGTGCCGGGAATCATACCATATTTGAATTTCCACAGACCCATAACTCCCCCGATAACAGTTCCAGTATGTATCCCAATTCTCAATTTCAAAGTCCGTCCCACATGGGCGCTAATCCGTTTTGTTGTTGTGAGCATGATGAGCGCTACTGCACAAATCTTTTCGGCTTGATTTGCAATGTCTGCCTCGCTCGTCAACTGTTCTGGCACACCGCCAGCAACTTGTATGCAGTCACCAATGGTTTTTATCTGCAGAAATCCTAGTGTTAGGCAAATATAAGGTCCAATCGGATGTGAGTAGGTACTAACCGTTTCCAGTCCAAACTCGCTGACAACAGCATCGAACTCCGAGAATAATTCACTGAGAACCTCGACCTAAGAGCGGCAGAATGAACACCAAGCCCTCGGCAAAAACCCAACAAGAGCAAGCTCACCAGCGTGTCTGCAGTGATACTCGAAGAGAATTCGGTGAACCTTCGGAAAAGACAGGGGATGTTCATATTTTCGCAAGGCAGATAATGTACATAATTGCGGCGGATCCCATACATACCCGACCAAATCCGCAAACATGATAGTGACTCCATGTAATTCAAGGAAAGTTTCATGCGTGCTGAGAATCAGTCTGTCGGAAACTCTCCCTTGGAGATTATGCAGAGTCTCGATGACTTTAGCGGGTAAGATCATCGACAGAAGGTATTCGCTTTGCTCCCGTGCGGCAAACAGGCGCTCCTGATTCCGATAGGCGACCCGATACTTGATGAAGGCTTTCCGAAGATGTACCTCGCCAGCGTACCGGAAATATAGGCATACAATGGCGGTTCCAACATAGAGTAGGGCGCTTCCGATAATTCTTTCTGACGGTCCATCATCGTTGGAATGAGAGCCGACTTCAATTCCGACCTGACCCGCAGTGATGACGAAAAGAATCGCAGCAAGCTGATAAAACGGGATTGGACCGAACACGCTGACACAAGTCTGCACGAAGATGATACGGCTGACTGTGAACAGCTGGATGAATGTGAGGCCCTGTAGAGAAGGAAGGCTCGATCAGCTTCAATCAAGAAGGTTTGCGCTGAAGAGAAACACACCTCATCTTCCGGGCCATCTTCTGGAGAGAGGAACAAGGTTTGTGCGGAGACATTCAGGGCATTCAGCGCTTGCAGGATGCTGATGCTCCACATAAATCTGTACCACCAAGTCTCCCAGCTCATTCGCATGGTCCACATGAAACCGAAAAGGCATACTCCGGCGGTGATCATGCTTCCGATGTGGATAGTTGGCAGTGTGGTGGTGTAGAAGCACCATTCCAAGATTGCCCAACCAACATTGAAGATGCAAAGTAGACCTAAGGCACTTTGTTCGAAAGGCTTCATCCACAAATGGAATAGCCACACACGATAAAGGGACTCGACGGGTAGTGGAAAGAGTAGTCTCCAATCAGTCAATGGGCTCTCCTATTTATTAGAGGTCAGTGGAGATCCTTTTCAAGAAACAGGCAAAATCAAAGGAGTCAAACGCACGTGTAAAGGCTGAAAGAAGGCCTCGAGGATACCACGGGGCGGTTTCTTGACCATCTCGGGATGGGAATTAGCTTCCGATAGACCTTGGAAGGCGGGATGTGGCGACCCAGAGCCTTTCCGTGAGCCCCCTTGAAACCGAGCAAAAACCCTAGATGTCTTTCTTTCCGAGTTTGCCGCCGGCATATACTTTTCCGGGACCATCCCGCCGGTTTCGAAGTTCAGCGACGATGCGCTCAGATCCGGAGGTTCGACCCGGACTGGTGGCATCACAGGAGCGGTCGGGTTTCTGCTCAGAGAATGGTGAATCACGGGTAAGGAACCGGTATCCCAGGACTCGGGCGCCTTTTGCGTCTCAGTTCTACGAGCAGTATCGCATTCTGCCACATCCTTGTCAGCCCCATGCACTTGAGACGGGACAAGCATAACCTCTTGAGTCGTACAGTCGGTCTGATCGTTGGAAGCTGACAGGTCCCGTTTTGAAGTTAAGGGCCGCGGGCTTAAGGGCTCCCCTTTCCCTTCCAACCTCTTCGTACCCTCCGAAACCACCCGTCTTCGAAAGGTCTTCAAGGCCTCAGAGGATGGAATGCTTGTTAGCCGGTCGTTCGAGCTCTTTGTTTGCTGCTCCGATGAGCGTCCATTCCGACTGTCGCATGCCGCATCCGCACGTCTGCGATTGCTCCCCTTTGAAAGCGTTGGTGGCCCTGGGTCTACTTTTATCCCCACCATCTCCGGTTTGTCAAAGGGGACTGGAGGCGTGGAAGGGATGCTTCCGAACTCGGTGATCGGTCCAGGCCCAATGCTACCATGCGGAGATTGAGCGCCGCGGTTCGACGCAGCGGAGGTAGAAAAGTAGTCTTCAATCCGGTCATTCAACGGTCTGCTGTATTGAATGACAGACCCCGACGGTGTCAAGGCAGTAGGAAAGCGCCGCGACTGTCCATGAAATGGCACGTTCCGCTGTGTGCGGGCAAATAATCCTTGCATAGTGGAGTGCAAATAGTCGGTTGACGCCCCCGGGTCATACTTCGGCTCCTCCGGCTCTTTCCTTCCATCCAATAACAAGCTTTTCATTTGACGAAGAGAATTTGCTTCGGCATGGATTGTGGCAGTTCCATCTTGTGCAAATGGATCCTCTGGTGCACGTTTCGCAGCTTCGGCACTTCCCATTTGATTTGAGCTGCCCATCCATCGTTTTGACCGCTGTGCCTCTTTCTGCAATTGCGACGAACTCTCTCTCGAGATTTGTCGATCGCTGTGCTGACCGAATGTCGCACTGCGTGGCCGTTTTACCTGCTTACGCGGACTCGTGCGGTTGCCAGCAGACCCATCCTCCGAAACATCTGAGAGACCCGCCTCTTCGACGCTCTCAGCAGATGTTTCTTTCTTAGTGACCCATTGACCCGTCCGTATCAATCGTAGCCAAATCGATGAAGAAGGTGACAAGGCCACTCCTTGTCTGGTGGACGGTGGGGTTTCCCCGGCGGCTGGCATATCGATGGTCACATAGTCTACGTTGCCCATGTTCAGGGACGTGGGGACACTCGGTGTGCTGCTCGCAAGGTGCAACTACCGACAACAGAATCGAGTAAGCATCGGCGTTCTCACAAAGCAGCTGCGACCCTGACAGTACTTACCCTCGGGTCGGTTGCCATTGATACCGAAAGGCCGTCATCAGAACGTTCTTTCTTCTGCGTTGAGGATTCAATCGAGCTGGCCTTAACGGAGCCGGAGGAAGAAGCGCCAGGGCGCATCGCTCCACTTGAAAGCTGCGATGAAAACCGAGTTGAAGGCGACGGCAGCGCTTGGAAGGACGGGGTGGAATCAGAATGATCCTGAGACTGATTTATTGGTGGCACGCAGGAGGATGGCGATCTCGAGACTTCGCTGCGAATGGGCAACCCAAGCATGGAGGAATTCTCCCGGCGTGCCGCTTCTTTGACCTGCTGATCGTATAATGCCAATGCCTCGGGATCGATATCGATGATACTATCGTAATCGTCGCTGCCTTCCGTCAGTGGAATCTGCGATTCGTTGAGGAACTGGTTGAACGTTGGGTTACTTTCCACTTGGGACTCTGTCAGGAATTCGTTTAACGTCGGTTGAACTCTCTGGGCGCTACTGTCTGGCGATGCGGTCAATATCTCAGCCATCATCGGCCGGACTTGCGACGATCTCGGGCTCGTGCGTATGGATGTTGAAGAATTGTTGGCCTTCCCGCCATGACTCGGACCGGCCCACATCAAGACAACGGCGCACACGATGTATCCGTGGCCAAATATTCTGATGAAAGGCAATCTACTATTCCCGAAGAAGGTGACAGGTTTATTCCAGATGGGTGTATTATTGGCTCAATGCTTGCCTCGTTCGATCGGTCTGCCAGGATCGAGTAGCGAAACTAGGCCGGGCAGTACTTCCACAATAAGGCTTCACACCCGCTCTAGACACTCTACTCTGTGCAGAACCGCTTGGATGTTCCACGCCCCGTCAGTTTGGCAGAATTTGGAAGACTTGTAGCCTATGCTGTAAGCAAAAGCTTGTCCGATCAAACCCTCCGGGTTCGGCTGCTTCGAATGTTTGAGGCTGCCGGACAATGCGTTCATTCTGGAAGGCTGCCTGAATCATCCAGCTGCAAATGACCCGCCACTTGGGGCACATTCTCTCCACCTCTTAGTTCCCTCCATTCAAATAACGTAAACCATATCTTAACTGAATTAGAACCGGACTAATCCAAAAGGTGCTTTGGGTGGGATGAGGGGATCTCCCGTGGACCTTACATCGCAGCGTACCCGGTGAGTTACGCCTTTTTGACAGCGGCGCGGAGTTGATTACGTGATTGCCAATTTCTGACTTCTTGCTCCTCACAGACTTCATCTGGAGGAACCGCATTCCAAAGCACACCCCGGATCGACTAGTGTATGTGCCCAACATCAATGTCTTGAACTTCTTGTATGATCCGTAGGTTTTATACGGCTCACATAATATAAACTGTTATAATCGGAAATTCATCCTCCACGACGCCAACCGACGAAGAAGACGCTCGCAGAAGCACATCATTGTGGGCATACCTCAAACTTTATTGCTTATTTCGCAATGACAAGGCCCACACAATGCGAAGAAGGAAAGACTTATATTCGAAAGCACAGCAAAAATGATACAGTGAGAACGGCACTCCTTCAAATCATTGAACCATCTATAAGGGAAACTCGATGCTTCTCGCTCAAACGAGGGCAATCCCACCCTCCTCAGTAGCCGCCGGCTAAGCATAATGCTTAAAGCACATCACCGGAACACAAAAATAAGAAACACTCCTAAGCAAAACGAAATATTCACTACATCCAATCCGAGCTCCTTGTGGTACTCGTCACAGGCCCTCCGGGATGCGAGTGCGGTGGGGGTGAAACCTGACCGGCAGTAACACCCGAGGGCTGGACGGGTTGCGGTTGTACTCCCAACGGCAGGGTCTGGCCTACGTTGGACTGTAATGTACCGCCTACTATTCTGTTGTTATTGGGAGTCGCCTGCTGCTGCTGCTGTTGGCCTGCAAGCTGGAAGTCACATCGGCTTAGAACACGAGTAAGGGCGCGCAATTTACACTGAGATGTACTTACGTAGGCACTGGCATCTTCGGGATTGACAGGTTTAGGGCCTCTCTGAGGATCTCGCACAGGTGTCTGCACCGGAGCTCCTAGCACATCGCCACCGGCGGGTGGTATCATACCCGGCACAGGTACACCCTGATACGGATACGGCATGCCGGGCGGGACCTGACCTTGATTTCCGGGGTATGGTCCTCCATAATACCCAGGCGGCGCACCGTAATGCGGGATAGGAGGTCCAGGGTAAGGCTTTTCCATACCGTGAGCATGACTAGATCCGTGCTCCCCTCCGTGGGCTGTTGGGCTTGGGCGGACAGCTGGAAAAAATCGGATGACAAGGGGAAATGGCCGATAGCGTGAGAATTCTGTGTACACACACTTTCCAAAAGCAACGACGCTTACCTGCACCAGGAACTGAGGGATGATGACCGTAGTAGGGAACGTTTGCACCAGCGGCAGGGCCAGCCGCATGCTCCCCAGGAGGTTGCGCTGAAGCTGGAGCGGCCGCCCTGGGACTAGGGTCTTCATATCCATGAGAACTTCCGACGTAAGGTCCAGTTGCAGGTCCCGGGCCGGCCCCATAGCCATGATGACGGTAATCACGGTGGTGCCACTCCATCATCTGCCCGTCGTGCTCCCGAGAATTGTACATGTGCGGAGGCGGTGGATATACGGGACGCTGGCCAGGGTTGTACACTGACGGATACGCTCCATCTTGATCAGGGGCACCGTGATGACCAGGAGGACCTTGAGGGTACGGGACGTTGGGATCGTAGTGCGGCAGAGGTGGATATCCGTGAGGCGGCATTGACGACTGATAAGGATCTCCATGGCCGTGCCAAACTTTAGGTGGCATTCCCGACATGGGCCCGTAGGGATGCGGATAGGGATGGGAAGCATCGTGCGGCATATGGTAATGGCGCGGGTCATGATGTCCCATAGGGCCCATCGGTCGGTTCGGGTCATAGCCGCGATCGTACCCAGGGTACATTTGTTGGTTGGCACCACTCTTATCACCGGCGTCCTGGAACAAAACGAAGAGTATATGAGATTGCAGAGTTACGGATCTCCCTCTGCTTTGAATGACATCAGACTACCGTTGATGCCTTGGCTCCAGTGCGTCTCTTTTGCGCGGCATCAGAACGACCCTCGTCAGAGTATCCGGACTCAGAATCTTTGTCACTGCGGTCAGCACTTCCACGGCGGCTCTTCTTGCGGCTGCGCTTCTTGTTTGCATTATCACCGCTGTCGTACTCATCATTGGCTCCTTTTTTCCCGCGACCCCTATTGAAAGCCAAGAAAGTTAGAACCAGGAAGTGCATTATTATCGGATTCAACTCGACATTTACTTTCTCATCCTCAGCTCCTTCCTGATCCTAATCTTCAAACCTTGCTCGGCAAACGTCCTCGACAAGAAGGTGGACTCTGCATCATGAAAGAATGTGAACCCAAGTCAGGCAGGGAGCCTATGATATGGGAGTCGCGCCCGTGACATACCTTCCATTCCAGGAAACTTCTTCGCTGGATATACGTTGAAGACGTCAGAGCAAATGGAGGAGCAGTGATAGATCTCGGTGTTGATGATTTCGAACAGAGAGAACTAGAGTCCATTTGCCAAAGATCAGAAACATGTAATGTTCATGCAATGTTCATAGAAGCGCATACCTTCAGGCGGTACGTCCCTTCCATGCGGACTGACAAGTCGGGGAAGACAAAAAAAGCACCGTCCTTATTGTCCAAATCCTTCAGCCGGTACAACGATGACACGATGGAACCCGTTGTCGATCGCGTTTTGCCGTCGCGGAGTAGATGAAGTTCCTCCTCGCTTTCAGGGGAAATAAGCGACGCGTACATGAAATAGTATGGATTGTAAAGGTACGAGCTGGAAGGAAAAGGGACGAAAGATCGTAAGGTCAGATGCGATTCGACGGGATTGATGAAATGCACGAATGCAGCTTACTTCTCGTCCGTAAAGGATGTATTCTGGATCTCGAGTTGCTATGATATGAAGGAGATGGTTGGAAGGGTTGGGAGGGTTGTTACAACAACAGCATGGTCAACGACTGCCCCAGCATCATGAGAACAGCCACTTACAATGATCGGCGGTGGGTCCAGAGGACGCCGGTCAACTTTCTCCCCAAACCCACACATCCGCGAATGCTTCGGCTGTTGTCTTAATTTCAGGTTGTAGTTTCTATCAGGACGAGACTTAGTTAGCAGTTGCGATCGGCAAGAACCTGCAGAGTGCAGGCATTGGATACCCAACTCACCTATTGGCACGTTGACGCGGGCTTTGGCTGAGGGTGATGAACTGGTATGGGTTGCTATCCGCATTACTGCCAGCGGAAGCCGGCTGCGCGCTGGACGCAGACATGGTGCCCCCTCAGTGATTCAGTGAAAGTGACAAGAGGTGGGGGGGGAATGGGATTGGACTTGAACTTCAGATGTCCGGCCGTGAAGATCTTGAAGCACACACACGACGAACAAAAGGGGTTCCTGAATTTCACCCCTGCAAACAAGGAAAACGACACGTATGTGAGCCCTGGGTTCAGCGCCCTATTTCCGAATTCCCAAATCCTAATCTGGCACTGCTCTCGCGGCCGTGTTGAAAAACACGGACAAGAGATGTAAGTGCAGACGACTTCAGGACTAGCACAACGCACGTAGACGACTTGCGCACGTCGAAGGGTTCTGTGAAAATAACATAGCACGTACCGCGGTATTGCTTTATCCACCTCTGTCTTGGTTCTGGGGCGGGGGCTGGGAACGGGGCAGGGGAAAACACACACCAGCAAGCAGAAAAGCAGACAGGCCGGTGGTAGGTCGGTAAAGCCTCTACGACCGGGTAGCGTTTGGCCCGAAGACGTCGGTATTTGGGGCGGTCGGCGTTGGGAACCGAAGCAGCTGACTATTTCCTTGCATGGGATGTGACGGGAAACAAGGTAGCGCAAAGCCGTGGTAAATTTATAAACGACGGTTGATCCCAAACACCCACAAAGCGGGTTATTAAGAAAACTGAGGGGCGCTCCCCAGATCCCAGACACCGATTGAAATGGGAAGAGAGGCACAAATCCGTGGGCAGACAATACGCGGCGCATAAACAAAAATATCAAATGGCCGAGCCAATCCATGATGAGAAGAGGGTATCGTAATTTAAATCCAACCGGCCCATCCCGATCCCAGAGCGGAGGTCCCTGGCTTACGAGAAACATGACGTTGCCGGAAACAGTTAGGGAAATTGGCACGGATCGCTGTTTACTTATTTACGACAGCAGTGACAACCAGGACGAAGGAGACAAAGGACTTGTACGGCAAACCCCACGGCAATGCGTGAAACGGACGGCTCCGTATCAGCCTCGACAGCCGGCGGACGTAAGACCGTGAAGCTCACCTGCATTCCATGTAGCACGCAATGCACCCACCATCTCGACTGCGACTCGTCTCGTGGGAAGTTTCGTGGAGTTCACTACGACCCGCATCTTGCCGAAGTATACGCCCATGAAGAGGGCTGCATCCCATCTAGCGTGTCGCTGAACCGACAAAGCCCGGTCTACTTGCCGTGGCGGTTCCGTCCCAGATCCTCACGCGAATACCGGGAACACCAACGCGAGGTGTATTCCAGTGTGTCGAAGAAAAAGACGCTTGACCACTGGTGGCAGCATTCAACAATTCGAAAAACTTTCTCGAAAACAACGACGGTGGTCACGAAGAATGGGCAAAAAACCAGCGTGAGCAAACATTCCGCGGTTGCGACAACGAAGACGGGAAACGTATGGAAGGTGCATCATATGTGCACATTGGCCATCTCAGGGCCTGATTGTGAGATCATTGTCATCGATCAAGAGAGAGACGCACGATTAGCGTCCGTCGTCAAGAAGGTGTCGGGGGAGGCGAAACGGTGAGCAACTCAGAGCCAAACGCGTAGCTAAAAACGTGGGATGGGTACAGCATCTGAGCCGTTGCCATACTTAGGCTTGAGAGAGGCGATCTCGTGGAATACCTGTTGCAGGTTGTGCGAGATGTCTTTGGAGACTATGGCTTGGAAAACGGTCCTACCATGTTCGAATGCGAGGCAAAGTTGTTGGAAACCATGGTCGGGTAGGTTTCGCATACCACAGATGTCCAATCGGTGATTGACGAGGATTTGGGTCGGTTCAGACCCATGGCTGATATTCGCATGAAAGGCAGGGTCACAACTTTGTCTTGTTATGCTCAGTGCCAAATGGCCTCTGTCGACACAAGGCTTTACTTTTCAAAGTGCTCGCAGACGTCGTCGGACTGAGTTGCGCATTGGTAACGGGTTACAGGTAAGCTCGCGAATTTAGTAGTGGCGTAAGCCCGATCCTAACTGGAACCGGTCGGATGTCCTAGCAATGTTGCGCGGCACCAGTAAGTTGAATTGGTCTCCGACACATCCTGTGAAGCTCAAAGCGACCGGCATTTTTCCGCCCAGGTGGAACATTATTACGTTATCGGAGTCGATAGCCGCATCGAACTCGCCATCGAGTTCAGATAAACCGGAAAGCCATGACGAGACCTACCTCATTGACCCCACTTCTCCATACTTCACGTGGACGCGGCATGGGAGCGGTCGGGCAAAAGGGTATCGGACGTCGACTGAGGTGTCGTTTGGACATTTGGGTTTCACGCAGGTTCGTAGTTTGTTTTGCGGGATATGTCAGACCGGTGCTGATGTTTTAGAGGTGGTTCAGAAAAAAGAGGGACTTCTGTGAACAGATTGAGAACCTTGATGTTCTGGCATGGTGTAATCTTCAGCCTTAAGTTTCACAGGGACTTCCATGTTGCTCGCAACGCAGGTGCAATTTGCGACGTGACCCCTGCTCAGTGTTGATCATCCGGGAGCCTTCTCAACTCCACTACACCATCGTCGTCATTAAATGTAGTTGGAAACATCTTGTATGGGACGTTTATATATACAAATGGAAACGGGGCTATGTACAGAAGGGGCAAGAAGGATGTTTTTACAAGGCCTATGCTACGGTAGCCAGACGGCGGACGCAAAGTATGTACATCACTATGAATGGGAAGGTGCAGGAGTATGTACACATAGGTAGGAGGAATGTTCAGGTTCAGCATCCCCGAATAGAGCGATCCCGAGAAATCATATGGGAGTGGAGGTAAAGAGAACGACAACCATCAAAGCGACAACATAGCTGTACCATTCGACCGGTTGCGCTACCATGCGTCCGGCTGCACTCTGGATGAGGACGGTGGGCGACGCTGCTGGGGTAGACCTCGACACTGCTGCAGAGGTGGTGGATGCTCGCACTGATGATTTGGACGGGGTGGGGTCCGGAGCCGTGGGAGGCGCTGATGCGGATGGCTCGACAACAACCACCGTGCTTCTGGTGACTGCCGCGGGAGGCGCTGAGGTGGTCGAGCTTGCTGGAGGAGGGACGCTTATTTGTGGGACTGCCGGTGAGGTTACTTGTGGGGGGGCCGGGGCGGGAGCAGGTGCGGGAGCAGGTGCTGTTATAGGTAAGAAGAGGGGTAGTCGGCACGTATTCCCTTTCGATTGCATGTACAAAGGAAGCTCATCTCTAAAATGTCCGCCTTACCTGGATTAACGTCCTTCGCAGCTACCACTTGGAACGCTGCGCTCGTCACCTCATCAGCTCTGCAACCGTCATCCACGCGGCATCCCGCGCTCGAGACGCTCAAATGCACCACGAACGATCCTCTCGTCGCGGCCGCCGGGCTCACGCCATATTTCCCTGAGCGCAAATCAGCGATCTTGAGTGTTCCAGACAGCGGCGCTCCATCAGCGCCAACACATTTGATACCATCGCCCCCAGTCGTGCCAGCGGCTTGGAACTCGCAGGCAGTGATGTCGGTGGCTTCATCGAAGCGTGGATCCGTGTCGACCTTAAAGGGGGTGACTTGACCAGCTGCGACATTCGTGCCTATGGTCACAATGATTCCGAAAGCACTCGGGTCGTTCGCTGGGCTTGATAGCTTTGCTGAGGACACCTGCTTCGGAGCGATGGTGAATGCATCTCCCACGACCTGGTTGCTAGCACATGAAAGACCCGCACACGTCGCACCCGCTGTTCCAATGGCGACGCGGTAGCTGCCTGGGGGTAGACTGGGAGGAAGCACAGCGGTCACCCTTCCACTGCTGAGATCAGCTGCGTCGAAAGAAGTACCGCCTCCACACCCGCTGACGCGACGGTTCGCGGCGTCAAGTACAGCACAGAAGGTGAATGTTGCTGGACTTGACCTTCCGTCCGCACTGGCAAAGATAGGCACATTTTGGCCGGGTGAAACAGTAGACAATGGGCCAGGATTATCGATTTTGAGAGCGCCGGCGTTCGACGAAAGCAGGAGCAGGCTCAGTCCGAGGGCGAAGCGGTTCAGCATCGTTCAAAGGTTTCTTTATGAAATATAAAGGAAAGGCGATGCGCTATGGTCTTCGTCGTATATCGGGTCCGCCTTTCTATGTCGTGTGCAATTATAATGTGAATGGGATGAACAGACGAGTTTCGTTTTCAGGACGAGTACTGTTATGACCGCAGGTACTTAAGGCTGCGGCATGGCTGGATGTCCGTTCACTGATGAGGCTGGCATCCCAGGACAATGTTCGCAATGCCTTCTGCGCAGGGTCAACTTATTGCAGTGTCCCAGGTTGTCAAGTTGCTGAGCTCACTCCGTCATACGCGTTGCCGAAACAAATGGGGCATTGGCTGCGCAGCCTCGATGGAGTTCAAACAATCGCAAACAAGGAGGGCTTTCTCAGTTCCATGTTGGACTTGCGTGCTTCCGTAATGTATACAATACAGTACGTAAGCTTCCGCCGGTTTCGCATCTTCGCCACCGCACCGAACCATGGTCCATTACCATCATCGTGGGTCTCACATCCAAAAACATATGGTATCGTACCTTTCCTAAGGAAGTTGGGAAGTGATCGGTGTTTTGCAAGGCCCCTGTCCGAAAATTGTTGTCCGAACGGAGACGGAGATTGAGGACGGAGATTCGAATCTCCGTCACGCCGTCAACGGTAGAAAGGTAAAATCAACCCCATATCCGTCTTCCGCGTCGGCACCAATTGACGTTGTCCGTCCGCATGACTGCTGTGAGGAAGTTTAGTGTTGAAAGCGAACACTTTTTTGTCTCCGGGAGGTGTTTTAGACCTTACTCCCGTCCCCAGAACTTGGTAGCTCTCGAGGCGGGATTTCCAGGTGGATCCCGCGAGGATCAAGTCTTACTCGAATTCTTGGGCTTCTCGTGAGATATCCTGGGCCTGGGGGTAGCCATTACTCTATGTCTGGCTCTCGGTAGACCGCCCTGTTTATCCTTATAATGCGCTTTGAAATGACTCGGAAACGTTCAACAATTTGGATTTTATACGCGCTGTCTCGGTGGTCTCATAAACACACGTCCAGTTCACCGCCTCCGACGACAATTCTCTCCCCTGCTGGGTTGTCTCAGAGCAGACTCGTCGTATCTCAGTCGGGACCCTCGGCAATCGTCCTTATAGCATCGTCGTCTGGCTTTTGGAGCCTTCTAGCCCATTTCTTTCTTCGGTGAACGTTTAGCCCGCGGACGTCACTTTTTCCCCCAGGACCCGAGCCAAGTTTTCATATAGGACTCGAGCAACATAAGGTTTATACTTACGTCGGTATTCCTTCGCCTATACACGCTGTCGGACTCCATTTGCGCACGTGTCCGCTATGGCTGCGGAACGGGGATATGTTGTCAGCAAAGACGCGACACCGTCTGCTTTACCTCCTTTGCCTAGCAGCATTAGCTCGAGCTCCTCATCGAACGCCGTGAAATGCCTCTGGTCAGGGTGTATAGAGGCTTTCGCTACTGAAGATGACTGCTTCCGGCACTTGACAGAATCCCACGCGAGGGACGGCAAGCAGTCCTGTGCATGGCATCCTCACTTGGGCAGGCCAGTGTGTGGGCAGCTATTGAGGAACCGTGGGAATTTCGCAGACCATGTGGTCACTCACTTCAGCACCGCACTAAGACCAATACAGTGCCCGGTGGGTCATCCACGGTGGAATTGGATTAGGTTTTTGTTGGTCTGCTTTTGTTTCCTACGCTGACCTTTTCCTTTTGTATAGCTCTGCCCTAGTCGATTGCGCAACCGACAAGACGTGAAGCGTCACGAATCGAAACATCAGACAAATGGCGAGCAGCCTGTTAGCAAACCAAAGGGGCGCAAGCGAGCCGCATCTCCAACGCCCCATACATCCCAGACTCCGTCCCCGATGACCACAGTGACATCCGCGTCAATAACGACATCTGCGAGTTCGGCAATATCGACAAGCCCCGTTTCTGCTCATATCCCAGATCACTACTCCGCCCGCAACTTGCCTCCAGCGAGTCAAGCAATCAAATTGGAAGATCAGAAGAGTCTGCGGGAGACAGCGACGATACAAAAACGCAGCGCGGCGAGCGCCGCTGAGTGGTACCGGGGATCCGCGGAAATGCCCGCTGCTCTGATACCAATGCAAAACAGTCGTGAAGCATTCCCACACATTTCGGCCACACCACAGGGCTACATGCAAATGCTCACATCTGCCCCAGACCAGATGAGCCGATCCGGCAGCCTGGTTCGCGAGGGCCAATCGTCGCCCATTCCACCCCTGCCAGTTCCCTGGGCGGCCCAAGGACATCATGTGCTAACAGGGGCGCATCAAGCAGGCGTGGGCTCACCGGTGCCTTTCCATCAGTCTCAACGATGGGGTACATCTCTGATGCCACTTCAAGGAGGCGCCGAGTATGGAGCAAATATGCATACCGCACCTTCCACGTCAATGACATCACAGGGGGAGGGTAGTAACTGGGATGGGGAGTGTTCGAGGCCTACGAAAAGAGGAGGCGCCCGCATGCAGTCAGACTTGGTTGCGATCAATCATGAAAACGCCTATGTGGTAGGCATACCCAACTCATTGGCTACTCCCATGACTTTGGGTATCAAAGCCACTATTATCAGTCGGTACGTTCTTTCTCATCTTGTGTTAAATCATTCCTATCAGTGCTAACTCTCCATAACCGCTCAGTCTGCTATCTATTATGCAGGTTATGTGCCCCACCGCCACTCCACCACAGGACTGTCTTGATCTGATCTCTCACGCAGAACGACGAGATTCGTATCTCCCCGGCGTTTACGTGCATACCATATTCTTGAACCTGGTCTACAAGAACATGAGCGGCGACCAAATCGACGAGCTTATGAGGAGGTTCATCCTGAGTGTCCCGAGCCGATCGGAATACTCGTGCGTCATATATCGCGCCTTGACCACCTTCGTTCGCACGTATCTTTCGCCACACGACACTGGGGTTACGACAGGAAAGCGGGACAAAAACGAGCTTTTCGCTCTCGGTGGTAGCGACATGATTCGTGCGATCAAAGCACTGTGCAATTCCGAGGATCCGTATGTCATCAAGCTCATTCCCGACGGTTTCGCATGTGTCGTCCGGCAAAAGCCATTGGACCCCAAGCACGAAGTGGTGTCGGCACCGCGCATTGCTGGGGTGGTGGGTTTACGACGCCGGGTTTACCGCGCTTACGTCGAAGCCATCGCCGCCGACCTTGCATGGCTGGGCGATGTGGACGGATGGAAGGCAGTGGTAGAATGGACACCGACCATCGAGGATGTACAAGAGACGGTCACGGAAGACGGGTATGCTGTGGGAACAATCATCGTGCGCTTCAAGCGAGTCGACACGTACACCTCGCATCCTATTGCCTTGCAAATCGGCGATCAGCAGGCTCTGCAGCAGCGTCCGGGTCACCTATTCCCCTCTGCCCAGACCGGCGCGGTCTCCAGCAGTCAGTCGCAACAGTGGATCAACTCGGCCGCAAACTACACGTTTCCGTCGCAGCCATCAAGCCAGTCTCGTCACGTATCATTATCAACATCCACCTCAACTTCCGCCGACTTGCCAAGACGGAGCGTCCCGATTATAGTCCCAAATCCACGGTCCACCTCCCTCGCATTTCGTGGGTCACAGTCAAGCCAGACTCTAAAGCGAACGCGCGATGATGCTTATAGCGGCTTCTACGAATCATCGGTCCAATCGCATGTCGAGCCTTTCATGCCAGCGGCCTCGGGGCTCGCCATCCCGGTGATGCAGTGCCCCGTTGCGGAACGAGGGGGGCCGATCATGGACGAGTTTACTGTTGCTATAGCGCCACCCAGGCACTCTTCGCTTCCGCACCGCCTGGGTCTTTCGTCTTTCACCAGCCAAGTATCGCCCAGATCATCCTCGCTGCCAGGTTCGAGGAATTCTACCCAGTCAACGATCATTGTCCCGTCGTTATCAACGTTGACATCCGACTTCGTTGATCACGAATCTTACCTCGCCACCGCGCCATCCACTGCTTTGGAATCTCCGCCCGCCCCCATCTCAATTACGCCGCATGTGTTCGCTTCCCCAACTCAGGGCACTGATGACTTCGGCGTAGACCCTGAGTTGGATGCCAGGGCCTTCAACGAATCGTGGGCTGAGCTTCCGCACATTGCCAATATTCGCGGGGAATTTGAGGATGCCGCGTTGGAGTGGTTGCAAGGATATCCCTCCCTCGTATCCTTTATAGCCGCACCTCTCGCTGCAAGCGGCGGACTTGGTGATGAAGCTCCCTTTTTGGGCGATGGCAATGCGATCGCAGTCTGATCTTCTGCACTCCATGCAACAAACATTCTGATACGCATTCACCAGAGTACATATTTACATAGCATAGGATACCTCCGCCGTAGCGACGTATAGATTTAGGGTCTTTTCTTTTTGCACATATTATTCATTATCGTTCGAGGACCCAATATACCGTATTACCGTTCATTTGTTTTGTTTCTCGAACCAAAAGTCCGACGAATATACCACCGCATAATGATCCGTCCGCATATGATTGGGCGGAAGGATGATAAGGAAATTGGTAGCTAATTTCTGCTTTCGGCACCATCGCAAGATCGTAGACACATGGGAACAGGCGGACACGATTGTAATTGGTGCTCTAGAGTCAAATGTTTGCATGAAGCAAAGGAAGCGCTACAGTATGCAAGAACCCATGGCAGAGGACGCCATCAGCACAAGCTGCGTCGTGGCTATCTGTGCGAGTAGGTACTTGAAAGAGCAACGGAAAGATGTCTGAGCCACTCAGGCCCGTCCGCCCACGAGGACGACCGGGCAGACATAAATGGGCTCGCCGAGAACAGCCCCTCTACGAGCACAGAACCGCCGAAACGGAGCGTGCGTCAATAGCTGAACTGGCCGCACGAACTGTAAAGTTTCGTGTTCGCGATACATAGTCACAGTGATGCCCACGGAGGAGAAGGGTAACCAGCCGGCTTAATTGATCGCGGTCGTAATGACAATGCTGGCGCAGTTGCGGTTCAAGGAAACAAGGCGGAACGACGCCCTAACTCGGATGGCGGCGCCTGACCGAACGCAAAGAGTGCTATCTTCTTCCTGCTCTGAACAGAGGCAAATGAACGACGTCCCAGAGCGACCTTCTGTTGAGAACGTGTCGAATAATAGCGGCTCGCTGATGAGTTGAACGTTGGGGCTCAGCACGAGAGCCTTTTTATAAGAAAGTCTGAGGAAGTGGCTTGGACCGAGTGAAAATAAGAAGGGCCTGGACACGTGATCAGTTCATCGTGTCCGGACGTCCCTTCAACGCGCAACTATCCCGTTACATGCAGCGCATAACTGGGGCGGCGAGTGCCAACCCACCCCATTACAACCTCCACATCTGCGGTGAATACCAGATCACACTCCCGCAATCCCACACCGACTCGGAAAGCTGGAGAAGGAGCTCAATCCGCCGTCGCATATCGGGACTGCGAACGCGCTACGTAGTTCCCCCTCTTCAGCAACATCTACCTCGGCGACACCCGGTATTCGTTACACTTTGGAACGGACCTAATCACGATGGACAAAGAAAATGAAGCTCACGAGCAGGATAGCCCTTACGAGTTTGGAGACATTGTTTCCGCTCCAGGTGTGAGCAAAGGTGATGGAGTCACGGACAGTCCTCGGGTAGAACGCGGTTCGCGTAGGCGATCGTCGGTCAGTGTCCTACCACTCAGAGTGACATACGCGAACGTACATTCGTTAACCCCACTGTTCCCTTTTATCGACGCGACAGTTCGCTGGAAAGGGTATCTTACGGGCTACTGAAGTCGCAGACTCTACATGGCCGCCCGTGCCAGGAGTCTTGGATGGGAAGCTTGACGATGATAGGGCGTTCGGGAACGAAATTGAGGATAACGGCGATGGCGACGCGTACGTATTAGTGGAAATGAGGACCACAGGGCAACGAATGTTTGGGTGCGCTGACACTTCGCAGGCAGGGGCACCAGAAGAAGCAATCGCGGAAATCACTCGGACGTAGAGTTAGCTTTGCGCCGCGAGCGCACGTTCGGTACGTGCAAAAGTCAGCGTTTGACTGCATGCATCTTCACCTGACGAAATATGGTCCAGCCCCTTCACGAAAGACAGTGACAAGGCGGACATGCCATCTCCAAATCAGCGCGTCTTCACAATTCCGGACTTATCCTCCATCCGCCGAACAAGGTATGAGCGAGAGATGGACTCTGGTGGTCCAGTGATCAATACGACTATCAGGTGGTGATATGACTGACACTTTGATATAGCGGGCACTACGATATTCAGCTGAGCCCTGGAAGTGACTTGAAAGGGTAGGGTTCATTGGTCTCTCAAAGGATGGGTTGCCCGCGAAAATCAGCACTAACACGATTGTCACAGCGAGCATCGAGACACGAGCTATGAGATTGATCTAGCACCTCCTGCAGCACACCCGGATTCTCCATTACATCGATCGCATAATGATTTCTCCATTGACGCTTTGGCACCTACCGACGTCGGGAACGCGAATACGAACCCGCCACCGCTGTCTTCAGATCCCCAAGGATCTGCTTCGCCAGCGAAATCTAGCAAACGCCGACGCAAATCCATGCGGGACAGTATCGCGGGCTTTTTCGATAATACCGGTACTGGCCCGAAGCAGCTTCGTAATGTTCTGACCGACATCACGGTGCAGGGTCCGGATTTTGCGAATGACGAGTGGGATGATGCTAGCGATGACGACTCGGAGATGGACATCGATGAAGAGACTGAAAATGAGCAGGACGCCGAAGACGTTACTCGTCATGATGAGAGGGATCAACAATGGCCCGGCTATCCGACTGCCGATGTCCATCCGGCGAACCCAGCCGAAGTGGAAACTCCATCCAGTGCTGGTGAACTTTCTATGAGCATGGATTTAGAAATGTCACTCTCGCCAAAGGACTCGGTTGCGTTCGAAGCCGTGGCCGAAAGTCAGGATGTCGGGGGAAGATACGTCCGGCCTCAGCCTGTATTAGAAGAAAGTGGCCCAGAGTCATCGGTCATCCCCATCAAATCACCGCGGAAGAGCCCTCGCCAGAAGAAAGCCCCGCTAAGGTTTGGGGAATGGTTGTCACCCGGACCCAGCGTGTCCCCGGCACCAAATACTGGCGAAAAGGGCAAAGCGAGAATGGACGATTCCGAGCTATCGAACCAACCATTAGCCAAACGATTCAAGCACGTAGATGATACGATCGCGGGATTTTTCCCACGCGAGTTCCCATCGGCTAAGCAGCAGCCAACTGTCGAGAAGCGTGCGGAGATCAGGGTCCAGGCAGATGACCAGGAAACAGCGCGGAGCAGTGCAGGTAAATTGCTTGATTCGCATGCAAGTCACCCAACTTTTAGCAAAACTCATCTGCCTTATACATAGCGTTCTCACGTCTTTCGGCTGCGGATGATAAGGACGACACGATCGGCCGGTTCTTCAAAACACCCGAAGGCGGAAATGCCAGCGAGAATGGCTTGGATGCGGATTCTTCCAGTGAAGACGATGTTGGTGGGGGAGAGTTGGATATGGAAATGACAATGGACATCACTCGCTGTGTTGGGAGAGGAATACTGGCGCCCCTACCGGATGAGGATGACAATACGGCCAACACGGTTGAGACTATGTTGTCGGCGACGCCCACACAGTCGTTCGCACAGAGACGGCGTGAATCGCTGAGATGTGAGTGTTTTGCCACTTAATCATTGCAGGTGTTCAGCATGCACTGACTACGTAACAGCTCGTCGCTCGTCAAGTGCTTCAACGCCCTCATCTCGTCAACCGGTAGAGGCGTCTCCATTCGTGCCTATCACAGAGCTAAAAGGCCTTCTTGGAGATAAAAAATGCGAAGTCCACATTTCCGAGCCTGTGCCACGACACGAATCTAACGTAAAGCCCAGTCCGCGAAAACCTCCTTCTACGCGATCCTCGAACATTGACTCGCCTGCGGTAAAAACACACGTTGAGAGTCCTGCCGAGCCAGCTGAAGACCTGGATGATGCAGGATCGTTTATCGGCGACCAAAACTTCGGTTAGTGTTGGTGCCGAACAGTAATATGCACTCTGCACGTTTGCTAAAGAAACTCTTGTGCCCTGTTGCGCTGCTTCGCAGAAGATGATATCATGAACGAACCGTCCATGGTGGAAGAATCGTTTATGGAGGAGGTTTGATCGACAAGAGCCTTTTGATCGACTACACCTGTAAGATGTGCCTCAGCTAATTCGATATCACATCAGGCGAAGAGCATAACCTCAGTGCGCGAGTTCCTGCAAGCGACTGGAATCTACTTTCAGGACAGCTTGACGACCGGTTTCCGGCGTGAATCTCAGGCGTATTTGCATACTGGTATGAACCCGAAGACTGTGTACCTTTGACGCATCCTGCATCTCATTCATCAACTATTGCTTTTACATCAGAAAAACCTACGGACCTCGAGTACTACACAGCGGCTTTGGTGTGGTCCTGCGAGTTGGACACATATGAGTTTGTAAGTCATTCGTCCATAAGTGGAACGGCTGTTCAGGCCTTTCTTCCTGTCATTGCTGACAGACATATTCATGTCCAACGACATTCTACTCTCGTGTTGCAGGGTTGCACAGAACTGCAGAAGATCATTGACGACGTGAGAGAGGAAATAACGCATGCTGAAGCCGAGGCAGCCGCCAATCCTCCACCAATCTTTTTTGACGCATGCGAAGGCACTGTGAATGAGCTGACGGAGATTCAGGTTGGCGCACCCAAATTAGTGGGAAAGCTGCCCGTGGTTTCTCTGCTTGGCAAACCTGACCTCCACTCTTTCACGTGACAGCGTCAATTGAAAGCAGCCCGATCGTTTACAAGGACAGAAGCGAAGGAGTACTGGCACGCTTGGCGGAGTCAACACCTTGACAATCTCGTGGAGTTTTTCACGGCGCATCTGGAATTCCTGCGTAAGGTAAATTTTCAGAAGCGCTATAGTGGCGGATTCGTCTTTTCTGTGGTCACGCTCCCGTGATAGTCGGAAAGACTCATCCTTACAATGTAGGATTGGAGAAAAATCCAAAGGATGGCTTCTCGGGTTTCAGACATGAATACAAATGGAGAGAAAGTAGTGGCAGACTTGCGCCGCCAAGTGGAAGAGACTAGGCAAAGGTGCGTATCTGACAGAAATTGTCACCCTCTGATGGCTCAGGGCCATGTCCTTTGTGGATATATTAAACTCATGGCTGGGCTCCTGTTTTCGACCAGAGTGCAAAATGAAGAGAAGGAAGTGACGGAGAAGCTCCGAGCCTTGAATGAAGAGCGCGAAGAACAACAGTACGTGTCAAATGCGGTGTCTGTGTTTCGCTGGAGACATGGGCCACGCGCCTAAAATTTGGATGGTGGCAGAGAGCAGATCGCCCAAATTCGTGCGGAGTGTGATCGACTACGACAGCTTTGTGACGAGGAGCAGATCCGGGAGCAACAGCTGGCAAATGACAAGATCGAAATGACCAATGCTATCCGCAAGGCGGAAGATATTTGCAGAGACCTTATGATATTTGATCCCGTAGAACTGGCTACACTTCGAGGTGCGTGAAATGCAAGCGCTGGCCATTTTTCAGGGCATCACTAACGTTCGTAAATTTCCCTCAGATGAATACAAGCTCCTCGCCACTATGTTTTCATGGACCTCGTCCCACGCATCACCGTCCAAGCACGTGCTTATATACGACCAAGTGATTCAAGTAGCGCTCACGAAAGTTGAATCTAACAAGCTGCATGTGGAATTATCTGTTGTGGAAGAGCCGGTATGGTTTCGGAGTGTGCTATTCTGTAATGCTTCGTATGCTCGACATTTCAAAACGCTGTAGAAGTCATCGTATCATTATCACAAAGTCCTCTCAACGATCAAGCAACACGAGTCACATCCCACCGTTGCTGCGTTTGGACGGGCAAAGATCGCGAACATCCTGCGACGGGAGCAGGATGTCATTGGGCTCTGCGGAGGTCCTGCGGACATCGGCCGGGTTAGTGGGGTGCTTCATGCTACATTGCATCTATGCTAGCAGTTGTCAGACGTTCTCACTCATGAGCTTATCTCAGGTGATGACCCACGTGGCCAACGTGTGGAATACGTTACGGGATTTCCACAATGAAGTCGAAGTCGCTCGCGACGAATACCTGCTGGATTACGCCGACAACGAGGCAGTTCCATTTACCAGCCCTCACCCTACAAGGCAACAGTCATCCCCGATCCCTTTCAACGCCAGTGTTGCCGTCACCACTTCCATATTTTGCCGGCAATCGCGAACCCGGTTCCGTGTCGCTTTCGGCGTTCCTGTGGCACCATCAGGAGCGTTGGCTCTGGCGAAGGCGTGGGCGTCGGAAGCCCAGGTCATTTATGGGCGGATCAGGTTTGTGCGGTACTTCGTCTATTCCGACTGGGCGCTCATTGATATTGAAACTCATTCTGAACGTTCAATGTACCATCACAGTTTCGAGCAAGTTGGAGCCGTCGTCGCCGAAGAGCTTGAGGACCGTAAACGCCAAGCCAGCACGCCGTCTACTTCCGGCAAGTTGCTGCGGGCGCTGCGACGGCTGGAACATCTCGCTGCGGGTCGTTGAGCTTTGCGAAACCCTTACGCGCCCTCGATTTGGAATATTGCCGCAAGGCTCTTCCTAATGTAGAGCTTTGATGAACCCCTGCTTTCATGGACAAAGACAGTCTTTGGTGTCGCATTGCACAGTCCTCCACTTATTAGGTTTCACTTCCATGAATACATATAGTACGGCTTCTTACAAGCCTTTACAGCTGCGACCTGTTGCGCCTTCCACATGGCCTTGCAACCTTGTTCGAAGTGTCGTCTTGGAACGTGCCGCTCGCTTTTCTCACTCCCAGGGAAACCAGGGAAAACGCCAGCACGATCTGCAGCACGATCACGCCAAAATTAGTACGTCCATCACGGTGTACCTGGTTGTCTTCCACCCGCCATGGACAAACCGAAAGGTTCACGACCTACATGCGGAGGAAGCCATGCCCACGGAAAAACAGAGGACGGAGGAATTGGGTGGATACGTTCAGAGCATTGCGGAAGACCCTCCTCAGGGAGTTCAACACTTGCTTCCTCCACTTTGCCCATCGTCCACAGCGATGTGCGACCCTTTCCATTGACTTCAGTATTGACTTCGCTGCTCGCTAAGCCACGTTACATGCGGAAGCGTCTGGTAGTCCCCTCTTCGTTCCCCCATCACCAACAGCCACTCGGACGGTTATCACCGCGCCGTTCCTCACAAGTCTCGAGGTACCCTCCCTTTGCAAGTGGCCGATTTTAGGTGAGAAAGGCTGGAAGCAATTTCGATATTAGGGCATCCGACAATATGAGTGAGGCTAGGAGGCTACGCCGACAAGCTTGATTATTGAAGATTATGAAAGGGAAGTGTGTTATCAAAATTGCGTGCGTTTCAAGCTTGGGGAAGCTAGGAGTTGCACTATAAGAGAGTAGGGGACCGCATACATGAAGGCAAGATGGAGCAATATAGGCTGCAGGCGGGATAGTGAAGCCGTTGATGGTCGGCGGGATGAAGCATCGGCTTGATTCGCGAGATTAGGTTGATGGGTTGAAAATATGAGGCGTAGTGAGCGGAATCTATGTCAGGTTGTGGCGTGCTCATAGCCATGAGGGAGGAATAGGAGAGAGGGCGACTGTCAGCTTGTTGACGGCCCGGGAGGCGGTTTGGTATCTGCGTTGCTTTGTGACCAGTCTTTGCGAATGTGTATGGGCACGCTTTGACGAGCCAGGCATTTCGATAGTGCTGTTGATTCTGTTGAGGGCATTGTGGTGAGTACGGAACAGGCACCGCTCGATGGCATGGAGCTCGTAGACATACCTGTCATCCCTGGGAAGGCTTTGGGTGGAGTGACTTCGAAGACATCGGACATGAGCGACGTGCTCAATGCAGCTGCCGTATTCTCACTTTTTCGACCAGAAGGACAAAGAGGTGGTTTAGATTGTTGTTCTCTGCGAAAATCAGAAGAACGAACGAAGTGAAGCGCATGAAAACACCTACAAGTTCATGTGCACAAGGACGAACTTTAGCCGATAAAGTCCCTGGGGTCGCACAGAGAGGTCGTGGAAGATGAAGAACATGCTCTCCTGCCCATCGATGTCCGCGAGAACCTCGCAAGATGCTACTGTCACACCGACCAGCGTTTGTATACATGTTGCGGCATCTGGTTCCATTCTAAGCTGTGAATCGCTTTCCAAAGATTCCATTGATGTTGTTCGTGGTGGTTGAGGCGGTGTTACTGGTGGAGAGTCTCGTTGCAATGGAGAAGACAGGTGAGATGAAGAGGAGAGGCGGGATAACGACGCGGGGCGACCCGACGGAGCAGGCCGTGTCGTTCTGGGAAGATTTGCGTATCGGGAGTTTGACTGTGACATCTTCGGGTCGTTCAGAGGAAGGGTTTCTGCCCCTTGAGAATCGGCATCCCATGGGCGAAACGACTTCCGCTCCGCTGGAACAATCGGTGGTGGTGGTGGACGGGATGGAATCTGAGTGGTCATCGATGACTTCCTTGAAGATTTGTCGCCGGATGTTATCGCTTCTCGCAAGTCAGCGCTGGAGCTTCCTCGTGAAGGACGGACGATGACATTCCGGTCTTCATCCGTGTCGGGGGCATACAACGATGCATGGCAGATGAAGTGGGCTGCTTCCAGCGGTCTATCACTACGTGTCAGGGATGTTGGTGGTTGTCCAATTGGCGACCATCTCGAGGACGGTGAGGATCTCACCTTGATGGAACTTCACGACCATGAGCGTCGTAGAAGATCAATTGAAGCACAGGAGGAGGGTCGCTAATTGGGAAGATTCCGCTTGAGTTCTGTAACGGTGTGTCAAATTTCAAAAATCGGGTGTACACTCACATCAGCCTACGGTCTTTGATATCGCTGAATCCGCACATACGCGCTCGACGAGGCTGTTGCCTCAGAACGAGCTTGAAGCGCCCTCCGCCATAATCGCCTCTACGAGTCAGGGAAAAAAACGGGAGGTAAAGGGAGGTGTGAGAGTTTCAGGGAGCAGCTGCATATTCCCTGCGCCCGAACGCACAAGCCGGTTTGAGAGAATGAGTACATCATATAGCGGTACTTACTGCGCCGAGCTGAAAGACGATGATGGCGAGGCCATTGTCACGAAAGGAAATGGTGAGTCGGGAAATGCTCCACGCGCCTGAACCTCTTTTTGCTTGACACGCCCCCTAGTGTGTGCGAGCACAGGTGGCGATACGGTGAAAGGCGTTGAGAAACGAGAGGCGAGAGCGATACAGGGCCGGCAATAATAAAGTACATAGACTCGTCCCAGTGGAAGGCCCGTCGTTTTCTTAATAAGGACAGTACCGGTGCCGGCGGCAAGGAGGCTTGGGGAAAGCGCAAGGCGACTCTGGTTCCCGGGCGCGTAAAACGGTGTATTGTTACAGGGACGGGGGCTTAGCCCAATTGACCAAGGCTTCTCCTTGTGCTAGCGATATGACTGGAGAGGAAAGTGGGGGGTAGCCCTGGGTGTAGGACATCGGTTCAGGGATTCCGATGGGAGAGGATCTGGACTCATCGAAAGACCGCTGGAGCTTGGAGCCCTTCGATCCTGGGCCTCATCACCATCGGTTCCTCAGGCTAACCATCAGAGATGCTGCGATATAGGAGGGTAACATCCCATGACAGCGCAACGTGCGGTTATTACGTTAACGGTGATAGGAGGACGCCTTCCAAAGTCAAACCGGCACCCGGATGTCACCTTCGATTTCGGTTACCGGTTGTAAAAAAACGCTCCGTCCCAGCGTGATTACGCTTACATCTACAACCCTTCGGGGCCGGATTTTCAAGATTTTGAATAGTTTGAACCACCTCATTATACCAACTTGAATGGCCATTCTTGTGCGGTAGGAAGCTTAAGGTGGAAATTCGTAAGCGCTATATCCGTAAGCGTGAGTGTAAGTGATTCCTGAGAGTGGATGCACCTGCTGAAGGTGCATGGCATGCGAGGTGCCCACAAGCAACCAACCATTGCCCTCAAGGATCTTGCATTGATGCATTCATGGCCTTTATCCACAACAAGCTCGAATCTTGATGAGCAGGAGGAGGATGTCGCCTCAAACTCAGGGGTCGGCCACACGCATTGCTCGGAAACGATGGGTCGCTGGATTTGGTCTCGGCTCGTCATCTGCATGCATGCCGCGCGCCTGATGAGCCCCGATTCCCATGGACAAAAAGCACCGGTTCTCAGGAAAGTACGTACAATACATACGAGCGCCGGCGGTAAATGATGACAAAAGCTTTATCAAAAACCGCCTTGGGCGTTGTCCTGGCGATCTTCTTGGGCGATCTTTGTCGGAGGTAAAAGCGGAGGGCGCAGCTCGGTTAGCTGAGCCGTTATTGGAGCCTCCTGTGGATTCCTATACAGATTGCAGCGGGGCTGGGCACTGTGCGTTGCGGCAGGGCGCGTTGGAGGTTTCCGAGAGTATGGTTCATTGGTTACAGCGAGCTCGTCCAGATGGCAATGTCACGGACGCCAATTTGGCTTGAAAACCTGGTCCATGTTGGCCGTGCGAATACTTTCCCTTGCAGTGGAATTTGGTAGTCTTTGTTTCGCTGAAACAACCGATCCAGCGGATCCCTCTATATCACAGACAATGCTCAGCTCAGAGCGTCAGAGACGTGCGACTTCGGAGGAACGACAGTTGTCAATTTTTGAGCATGCATTTCCGACCGGCAGACACATTCCGAAAACCCATCGACAACCACAAACTGCACTAGTCAGCGACCTAGCCGAAAGCAACACACAACTCGGCACCGTTTTTCTTCATGCACAACGCCGCCAGCGAGCTGAGCCATACTGTACAGGTGGCGGTGGTAGAGCCTTTGCAGGACAGAAATTTGGTGACCTGGGGTGTTTGCGGGACATCGTGTTCTTGCATATCGGGGCTCGCCCAGCTACACTGCGCATAGTAGGGCATCCATGGCCTTCAATTGGGACGATGGTGATCGGCAACTACTGGCAAGCAGTCCAGATTCAAGTGGTAGTCACCAGGTGTGGACGACTAGTGGCGGTCTGCCACTGGGTCTGGGCACACGGGCCCAGCAGGGGAAGACGGGAAGTAAGCGAGGGCGTCGGCAAAGTTGGGATATGGCAGGTACTGTACAGCTGAGCCATTGGGCCGCATGATATGGATAGCGGACCAAACGTGGGTGTTTCCTCGTTAACATACTTCATGTAACTCGGCGAGATCGGATGTGTTCATGGAATGTTCCGACACAGGTGCGATACAGGGTACGAGTGTACAAAATGCTACCCATATGCTACCCATGGCAGTCAAGTCAAGACCCCATCCTCCTCATAACATTGCAGTTGCATCAAGGTTCCGTACCAAATAGCTCCAGGTTCACGGGCGTCGACCATATATATATATATGTAAAAGAGACTGCTTGATGAGCAAGCTGACGGCGAGAAAGCCGACCCATCTCGAAGCATTGCTGATCGGACTCATCGGAGTGACAGAGTCGGCCGACGATATTGTGATCTGGAGTCATGCATATAGTATATATCATGGTATACTGTACTTGCTGTACACATTTCTTCCACCTGATCGGTGGGAAGAAATTTGACCGATCAAGCCGGGATCCGCGTCGCGTACAGTACGGCTCAGGGAGCAGCACAAAGATGTACGTAGGACGTAGGGTTGTCGCCATGGCGAATCGACGGGGGCCGTATAAAGGAGGCTACGGGGACGGAGACCCTCTCTTGAATCGGGAGTACAACCAACCATGAAGTTATTGTCAGCACTTCTTTTCGCCGTCGCGGCCTCGTCCGTGCAGGCCAACATCTTTTCGGACCGTCTGCTGGCCGAAAAGAGTCGTGCCATCCATTTGAAACTCGACACGAAACCAAGTAGTTTGGCTTCCGCTCAAGAGGTTGTCACTGAGCACTTCTTCAACCAGGTGAGCAGGTGATTGCTGAGGTCTTGAGAACGCGTTTAACCAAACTTTCCCCCCCGGATGTCCCGTTCGACAGACCGTCAACCACTTTGGCGAGGTGAAGGGCAACGAAACCTACCCACAGTACTACGTCGTGAACGCCAACCACTACAAACCTGGTGGCCCGCTTGTCTTGGATCTTGGTGGTGAATGGACGGTGACGCCCGGAAGCGAAAGGCAGGGTTTGCAGCACGACTTCATCGCCAAGTACAATGGTTTGCTTGTTGGTCTTGAACATAGGTAACTATCTTGATTTCAACTGTCTCGCTGTTTTTATCTAACCATTCGCCCCACCAGGTTTTACGGGCAGTCCTATCCCTCCCAAGATCCCAAGGACCTCTGGCTCTTGACGGTCGAGCAGGCATTGGCTGATGCTAACAACTTCGTGAAGACCCAGGATTTCAAGGCTGGGAACGTAACAGTCAAGGCTGGAAGCAAGTGGGTCGCCTGGGGAGGCTCTTACTCTGCCAACTTGGCTGCTTGGGCCAGGTTGAAGTATCCCCAGTCGTTCTGGGCCGCGCATGCTGCTTCCGGCCCCGTGTATGCCAAAATGGATTTCCAGGAGTACGCGTACTCGGTATGTTGCACTTGGGCTTTGTCCTGTGCCCTTTTAGCTGAAAGAACCAGCGCACATATATCTCACTGGACTCTCTGTTCTTCAGGTCGATGTTGGTATTCCTCAAATCGGAGGCTCGCAGGCCTGCGTGGCTGGTCTCAAGCAGGCTACCGCTGCTCTTGATAAGATCCTTCTGAAGGGCAACAAGAAGCAGATCAAGGATCTCCAAGCCCTGTTCAGCCTTTCTGGTGTCAAATACCCCTCTGACTTTGCGTCCTGGTCGACAACGTTCCTTGCGTCCAGCATTCAGTACGGACCCAAGTCCTCTTTGGTTAACAACCAGCTTGCCATTGACTATTATTGCAACAACTCTGTCATCACCTCCTCCAAGTTGTCGGCCAATGACAAGCTCCATGCACTCGCGTCCATCGTCGGCAATGCTACCTTGGAGTATTTCGGAGGTGATATGGAGGCTGCCTACAGCACCATCAACACGCCCGTTGGCCCCCCGACTATGTCCGAGACCACGTCCTGGTTGTGGCAAGTTTGCACAGAATTCGGATACTGGCAAATCTCTCTGCCCTACGCACCGTCGACCTACTCCAAGCTGCTCACCGACCCGTACTTCTCATGGCAATGCAAGCAGATCTTCAAGGGGGTGCGTACACAGTTTGAACATTTGCATTATCTTAAGAAGACTTTTCTGATCCCTTCGACATCGCTCTATTAGGTTAAGGTAATCGACCCTAACACTGGTCGCGCAGTTGACTCTCACCGCCCCAACACCGACAAGATCAACAAGAACTATTTCGGTACCGACATCATCAAGCATACCGACCACATCGTGTTCGCGAACGGACAAATCGACCCGTGGCACACTCTCAGCGTCCTGAAGGGCACCGGCGAATCCATTAAGAAAAACGTCGTCGTTCAGCACTTCGGCTACCACTGCGACGAATTCTCGGGATCTCAAAGCCAGGCTGCGTGGAGGGGTCAATTGCTGGCCTTCTGGGACAAGTGGTGGGCCGAGTTCAAGGGCAAGCAGGGCGGCTACCAGGCCCGTGCTGCGCGCATCCGTTAGGTCGTACCGTCCAAGCCGCGCCTGCCGATGTAGGAAGATAGATAGATACCATCGTAAAGCACGTAGAATTAAGTAGAACAATGCGTTGACGCATGAAGATATCCATATACGAGCTATTTGCGTAATATTCACATGCCCTTCACGATCTTCCATCAAAATCAGCACAACTCTGATGAGCCAGTGAACAGATTGGGTGGTTCATGTTCAGTTACCAGTCTTGGCGGTCGTGGGGTGGGGTGGCTGGTGCATCAGAGATTCAAAGCGCGTTCAAACGCTTTCGCGAAGTCGTTTTTCGCGAGAATACTGTAATACTAGCAAAAGGGCGTCCGCAATCCCATCACTCGCCCGTCGTGCATCCGCCAAAAGATGGCCATTATCGAACCGGGAAAACAAGGGCTGTACTCCCCACCGGCGGGACCACCTCCTCCACCACTTATAACGTACTCACCGCCCGCGGGGCCTCCTCCACCTTGGGAGGCCTTCCGGGTCGCATGCCAACGACCTCAAAAGGTTCAACTGGGAATCTTCGACAATCTTCCAGAGGAGCTAATAGTCGAGGATATCCTTCCCCTGCTGAGCCCCCATTCAATCGAGACGTTATCTCGAGTTTGCCGCGCTTTTCAAGTTCATTGCAGGGACGATCAGCTGTGGAGACGGATATGCTTGGCGAAGTGGGCAAACCTTGGCTCTCTGCGTTACAAGGGAGACTGGCGAACAACATACTACTGCCCTAGGGACGAGGAAGCTGACGAGGAAGCAGCAAAACGCTTTCGAGCTCTCACTGGAGCCTCCAACATTCCGCCGCCCGGTGAGGAAGTGGACATGGAGTCGTGTCACGCTATGAAGAACACCCAGTTGACCAGCCAAACCTTCAGACCCGGGCTTGTTTCCCTACTCTTTTGCCAAGTGGTGCCGATGCCATATGAATCTCTCAGGCTTTAACAATTCCTCCATGTCAAACGGCATTCAGAGGGGTTCTAGTCACGATTTCACGGCGGAGCAGTTCCAGAGCAGGTTCGAGTCATTATCCATACCTCTCCTGATCGGACCTGAATACGTCAAGTCAAACTGGACGGCCATGAAGAAGTGGACAATGGCGAGTCTGTTGGAACAGGTACTGCCGTAATTGGAAACTCTATTCCATTCCGTAGGACTGAAAGATATAGCTAGTACGAACACGTTCGCTTCAAAGTTGGCAATGAGTACGGAAACCCGCGAAAAGTCGACATGTCATTCGGCGCGTACACCGATTATATGATCCGTCAGAACGACGAGTCTCCGCTTTACGTTTTTGACTCGGACTTCGCCGAGAAGGCCTCCTCGATGTTGGAAGACTATGCAGTACGTGGCACGTTCTAACTTGTCGATGCGATACTCATATGGTGTCTCAGACATAAGCGTTTGCGCCAGGTTCCGCCAATGTTCAGCGACGACCTGCTGCAAGTGTTAGGGGATGATAGGCCAGATTACCGGTGGTTGGTGATAGGACCATCTCGTTCAGGTGGGATTCGCCTCGAAGTACATAGATTCGATGGAAGCTCGAGCTCACATGTTGCACAGGAGCAAGCTGGCATGTAGATCCCTTGGGCACTTCGGCGTGGAATGCCTTGATATCGGGACGGAAGCGCTGGGCGCTCTATCCGCCAGAGGTCACACCTCCAGGCGTGGACGACGATGAGGAAGGGATGTCTAGCCTGGAATGGTATCTAGAGGTTTATCCCTACCTACCGAGTCATATGAAACCCATCGAAGTCATCCAGGAGCCTGGAGAAATCATATTTGTCCCTGCTGGATGGTGGCACCTGGTGCTCAACATTGACCCGTGCAACATTGCCGTAACCCAGAACTGGGCGAGCAGATGGAATCTGAGCGGCGTTGTTTCGGAGATGGCTGATTCGGGGAAACCCAAACTTCGGGAGGTGAGGTTAGACTTGGTTCCACTGGAGGGTGATCGATCTGCTTATTGATGCTGCAGAAATACCAACGATTTCGAGATGCGATTATGGTTTCACACCCGGAGTTTGCATCAACGTTCACAACTCATGGACCGAGTACCGATCCCATCATTCTATCGGAAGGCTACAGTACGCGTAGCGACTTTCATGAGGGATTCGACTCGGATGCCGATAAATGGATAGAGCGGATCAACATGATATGGGCTTCCAAGTTTCCCACGAGCTCAACTGTCCTTTTGAAGGACGTAATACCTCTAAGCACTGGTATAAATCCGGTAAGCGTGTTCTTGTGTTGCAACGTGATTGGCGAGTTTGCAGCTCAATCGTATGCAACGCAGGTGTATTTCCATGCAGAGAGCAACCATATTGTAAAGTTCTACTCGCATCTAGGGGGCGGGAAAGCATCGTTCCACTCGGAGGCATCAGCTCTATCGAGACTTTCAGCGCATACTACCAAAGGCCATTCCTTTTTTCCTGCACTCCTCGCCAGTGGAACCCTGGCTGATTTACATCCCAGAAAGTTCGACGCCTGGTCATGGCCATACACCGTCCAGTCCAACGATGGCGCTTTGGAAACGCTCTCGATGGGCGATGTCTGTGCGTACTTCACTGACATTCATTGGACCGCTTGCGTGGATAGCATCGCAGCGCATGTCCGGGCGCTCCATCAGACACCACGAGCATCAGATCTGACCGATGTACGTTTATGGAGCCCGTTTCTTCAAGGGAGGATTGAACGGGCGGAAGCCGAGCACGCACGCTGGGGCCATGTGCCGCCCGTCTTATTGCGTCGCCTCAACGAGTTCATCGGCACTGCTCTCAGCTGCGAAATCGAAGCCATGGCCAGCGTACCAGCCGTCACGTTATTGCACGGCGACCTCACTCCCGGCAATATCATCGGCCGATGGAACGGACTGGATATAGCCACATGGATGCCCACACAGTTGATCGATTTTGGCGATTCGCTGCATTGCGTAGACGACACGGCCGACCCGATGTGGGACATTGCCATCCTATACGCGACAACGTTGCGGTGCCAACCTCACTTGCTGCATCGCTTTTTGGATAGCTACCTAGCGCGAAAGGATTGGAGGCGGGAATGGGAATCTCTTGAAAATCGATTACTAGGGTACATACTCCTCTGGGATTTTGAAGGCGGCGTAAAGAGTATAAAGCATGCCAGAGGATTCGATTCGCCGGACGAGGGATGGGAGGGCGTTGTACGTAGAATCTATGGCGACGGAAGCTTTGACGGACTAGAGTAGACGTGTCTGGGTCTAGTATAGTTCACGATGTTCCAATCTACCCCATGTCTGATATCATGAATCGACCCGTTTGACATTGCTCATATCACAACGGTAACGCCATCGCGCTCCTCGGCACCGATGGCAGCTGCGATGATACGGTAGCGGCGGAGCGCTGTTGCGCTCTTTTTCGTTGCTGTTGTTCCCTTAAGTCTGAGCACCAGTGAAAAGGTCGTACATCAGGACGTTGGCGAGTCCATCTCACAAGGAGCACGGGATACTCACAGAAAATATTCCCAGACAGGATGTATTGTTTTGGCGGCGGAGGCAGGGCGGGAGCCGCTGCTGATGTTGCTGGGGCCGCCTCAGCTGCAGGCTTTTCCGATGGCTGTGCGGGCTTTGTGAGGTCTTCCGAACTCAATCCAATGGTTTGAGCAATAGATGACAACCATCCGCCCGGTACTTTCTCATCAGGCTTATTCAGGTCCTCCTTCTCTTTCGGTGGTACTTTCTCCGCTGCCTTTGGCGGAGGTTTGGCCGTGGCTGCTGCTGGTTTTCCTGGAGCTTTCGCAGCAGGAGCAGTTGTATATGCTATTGGCGTAGGCGCCACTTTACAGAAGCTACCGAGAAGGCCAAACGTTAGGGATGAGGTCTTCTGGAAAATGCCTTCTCAAACCCCTCATACCTGGGGTCCTTGATATGCCCTTGGCAAACATAAAACCAGTCGCCGCTGTTGTTTGTCTACCAAAAGTGACGAGTTTACAGGGTCGGGATATTTCTTCCCCCAGACATCACAACAAACGGCGCCATGGCTACCCACCAGCACACTCGTGCAGAATTTTGAGCAAATAAAACAAGTGCTCTCACTGGTAGCTTTCAGCATGAACAACGTCAGTTGAATGCACTGTTGAAAGACAAAGAAGCACGATGGCGTTGGCTACCTGTCTTCAGCTGATATAAGTTGGGGAAGGACGTTGCCATCCTGTGTAGCTCCTGGAGTTAAAAGATAGCGGACAATCCGTAGCTATATTTCCCACAAACTGCTCTCAACTAGCCAGTGACCACGCTCTTGAAGTGCGGAGCCGGAAAACTCTCCATTGGAAAAGCAGCTCAAAGAACGCGTCCGTCTCACACGTCATCCGGTAGTTTTGCGTATTGGACGTACGGACTAGAACATGAAGATTAACAACTTATTGAGATACGCCGACGTTTCGAAGCTCTCCCTTTTCCTATGCTATCCTATGACCTCAACCTTCATTTGCTCAACTTTTCCGCATGCCACCTCAAATGGTCCTCTACAAAGGTGCTGATGAAGAAGTAGCTATGATCGTATCCTTCCTGCATACGGACTTGCACCTGTACTTTGTCATTCGTCTCTGCGGCACTTGTCAATTTGAAAACCTGCAGCTGTTCCTCGAGGAAGTTGTCGCTGGTGCCTTGATCAACTAAAACGTCGCGTTTGGGTCCGTTATAGGACTCGATCAACGTTGTCGAATCGTACTTGCTCCACGCCGAGGTGTTGGTGGCCCCGAGATAGTTCGAAAATGCCTTCTTGCCCCAGGGCACGTTCATCGGATTCGCTGGGTTCATCAGACGAGATGGATATGATCAGATCTTTGCAAGGTTACAAGGTCGACGGGTTTTGCAAAGTCTCTACGTGGAAGAACCTACCAATAGGAGCGAAAGCCGAGATGCTTTTGTACTTCTCCGGATTCCGGAGACCCAGTACAATCGCTCCATGCCCTCCCATGGAGTGCCCAAATACGCCGACCTTCGCCGTGTCGATTCTCAGGTGTCCCTCCACGGTCTTGGGCAGCTCCTCTGTGATGTACGAGTACATCTTGTAGTTCTTCCACTTTTCCTCTGTCGCATCAACGTAGAATCCAGCGCCTGTCCCGAAATCCCAACTATCGTCTTCGCCCTCAATACCCAGTCCACGTGGGCTCGTATCCGGCGAAACCACGATGAGCCCCAGTTCCGCCATCACGTTCTTGCCTCCGGCCTTTTGCATGAAGTTGTCTTCAGTGCAAGTCAAGCCCGATAGAAAGTAGAGGGTGGGGAACTTGTGGTTCAAGTTGGTTGCGTAGTTCGGTGGCAGAAAGACCGAGTATTTCATTTCGCAACCGAGAAGCGACGATTGGTGGGAAAACTTCACGACGAAGCCACCGTGCGCTTTGGCGCGAGACAGTTCTTTCGGTGCAGCCATGCTGGAAGTCGGATATTTGCGTTCGATGAGAGCGGGTATGCCGTAAGGTTGACTGGCACTACTATAGCAGGTTCTATATCTGCGTACTGTACTTGAAATCCGATTATTGCTAAGTTCCTGCTTCCTCGCGTCGTTTGTCAAGCAAGCGTCGCCAAGAGCATCAAGGGAGGATCAAGCGTCGTTTCGCAGCCCGCCAAACGTATGTCGGCGCTGAGCATTTCGCCAACTTGCGCTTCTTCACATTTGTGCAATTCGCCCGTTGCAACTCGCGGAACTCGCCTTTTGTAACCTCTTGCTTTCTCGTTCTCATCTCTCTTCGGAATGCCTCCCAAAGAACCTTCAAAGCCGCCTCGAACTCGACCGCCAAACTTTCCGCCCGATTTCTACGCGTGCTACCTACTGCTGTCGCAGAAGCCAAAATGCGCCAATCACACTTATGTAGGGTCAACTCCGAATCCCTTGCGGAGACTGCGGCAGCACAACGGGGAGATCAAGGGTGGTGCAAAGAAGACCATGAGGAAGAGGCCATGTGCGTGTTTCTGAATATATCAACTACGTTGTCCTATTGAAGTTGTTCTCACCGCTGAAAGTGGCCTGCAGGGGAAATGGTTGCAGTAGTGTGGGGCTTCCCAAACAAATATGCGGCTCTTCAGGTGAGAGAATGCACTAGCTTGTCAATCCTGGTGTTCCACAACTCACGTGTTACGTCGCTGGATAGTTTGAGTGGGGCTGGCAACGACCAAATCTTTCCCGGCATTTTACCACGGCGTACCCCGGGGTCTATAAAGGATCATGGGCAGAGCAGCTGCTGGCTATTAAGCTGCGTGTTCTTTCGGATATGTTGCACTTGCAGCAGTGGGCGCGTTGGCCGCTCAACATCCACTTCACGTCGGAGAAGGTGGCGTCAGCGTTCAATAAGCTTCCAACGGCTCCTCCGCCGCACATCCGCGTCTACTTTGGATCGCTTGTCGATATTATCTCGTACATCCCATCATGTGGTACGTCACGTCTTCTTGTATTGTCTTTGAATTCAGGCCTAATGCGGCGAGTTTGCAGCCACCAGGCCAGCTCCTATCAGAGACGAATGCGCGCTTTGCCGACAAGTTCTCGACACCAGACAGACCGATTCATATGTCGACTGCCATGGGAAGGATTGCGAGATGCAGGCACATCTCCTTTGTATGGCAGATCATTTCTTAGTGACCGAGCAGGAATTGGATCGAAGCCGTGATGAAACGGCAAAGGCCGAACTGCTTCCGGTGATCGGAGACTGTCCGCTGTGCCACATGGAACTTGTATGGGGCGATCTGATTTCACGGATACGAGAGAGGAGGAATGAGCCGCGCACCGCGGTATCGGACGAGGATAGCTCGGATTCTTCCGGAAACGACTCGGACGACGAGATGAATGATATTGATGAGCCCAGTCAGCCAACGACGTGTGAGGAAGATTGCCTGAGAAATGGGGAAGACGGTAGACCGGCCGCTAGACCTATGCGAATGACCCGCGCTGCCGTGACACAGCAAACCGTCGAGGTCTTCACGCAGCGCCCAGTGTTGGTTCCGACCATGAGGATAAACGACATCGATCACTTGCGGTCGAATGCAAACCGTATTCCCCCAGAACCCAATCCAGGAGATCCTCATATTCGGGATCTTCAGATCCCTCGAACAAAATATGTACGTACAGTGGTAAGCAGGAGCAAGGAAACCTATGCACCTAAACAGCCGGACACACTGACAAGTCAGCGGCCAAGCCTGCCGCCAGCGGAGCACGTAAGACGAAGAAAATATGTGATCCATATCCCCGTAGATAGCGATGACGAGAATGTGCCCCCTGGAATGGACCACCCGCAAGCTGGTATCGATGACGAGGAGACGACAGTATCAGCCCTTGTGGATGGTCTGCAAACAATGAGCATTCAGGAAAACGCCGAGCGTAGCTGGAGAGCAGATTCTGTGGAGTCACATGATTTCAATGTATTCATTCAATAATACTGGCCGTCCGGTCTCCTTGTACGCCGCTGAGCACCGATGTTTGGGTTGCCACTGTGGTCTATCCTCCTCATGATACCGAATGTGAATGGTGATACCATTGATGTCGTCTATATCTACTTGACCCGGAGCTTCGCCAAAGCCTCTTCGCGGCGGCTCTCGACGAGCTCTCGCTCCTCCTGTCGGGTGGTGTCGTAGGCCACAGTTTGTTGATTCTATTCCGACCGAGAAGGAATTAGGTGGCAGGATACGCGGCGTAAATTGAGATATCGGTCCACTTGCCATGGGGTTCTCGGGGGACTTCTTCCACCGCTTTTGCAGAAGCTGCTTGTATTGCGTTAGACGGAGATTTGGCTGCTCCTCTTTGAGCAAAGGCATCTCTCGCTCTTCGAAGGCCGCCCAGGCACTCTTCATTCTCTTCTCAGGATGTCTCTCCATCTTGTCCGAGCTCTTCGGTGCCGTGCCCACTCCCGTCGTTAAATCTAACAAGTCCAAGGCCGCATCGATACCGGACGCGGCGAACTCGGGGATGTCAGCTCGTGCATCCGCTGCAAACGCTTCGTGTCTCTCGGTCCGTTGCGCTGCTTTCTTTGCGCTGCCCTTCAAAGCGGCACCTTTGGCGGCTATTGCATTGAGCTCTTTCTCCTCCGCTGCAAGCATTGCTTCTCTGTTACGGAATGATCTCAAATGAGCCTTCAATGCCGTGCTATGACGAACCCGAATACAAAATGCCCACCGTTCTTTCTTCTTCTCTAACAACTCTTGCTGCAAACAGAGTAAGTTAGCTCGTGAAAGGACGGCGAACCAGGAACGGGGAAAGAAGGTAACCACTGCATACGTCAACCCACCTTCTTCTGCTCTTCGAGCTCCTTTTTCTTATTGCCTTTTGCGCCATCGCTCCACTTGGCACTCTCTTGCTCCTCTTTCTGTTGTGCAGCCTAATTTGACCCCTCCGTGTTTATGATAGTCCCGCCTCAAGGTGTGAGTACACCGATTCTCCGCATACCTTGGACTTCTTCTCCGCCTCAGAGGCCGCCTTCTGGGCTACTCTTTCCTTCTTCGCCATGATGGGTTATCACTTGTGTGCTTTTTTGGGTACGTTGAACCGCGCTGCAAGCAGTCCGGAGAGTTGCAGCTTCGAAGGGATTCGGAAACGCGTGCCTCAGGCCTGCCTGCGCAGAGTCTCCTCACTTCTCTCACTTTCCCATTCGCATTTCCGCTGTTGAGTGTTGAATGTTGAGGTCTCTAGGGACGCCGTAGAAGCTCACTATGGCATGTAGTTTTGTACAGTAGATACTTCGGCTCCCATCTTCACTTTTGGCTAGGACCGTGACATCCTGTAGAGCGGCAATATGGTAGGCTCCGCCGTCACGTCTTACCATCTTCCTCTGGACTGAGCCTGCAACATATTGCAGATATCCTTCACCGTAATCAACCCGGATGTCGTAGTTGAGAGAGATATCCCAAAAGAAGTGAAGGTATAGCAACTTGGTGCTACCGGTCCGTAATGCCAACTGTGAAACAGCTTAGTGACTTCCTGCTTTCGGAACAAGATCGAGCGAGCTCTCGACGTCTACAACAGGGCTCTTCTTCTGCTCCAGAACAAACGCAGAGCCGAAGCTCAAGCAGCGCTCGAGGATATCCTTGCCAGAGACGTCTTGCGGGAGAGATTGCCAGCTGCCTCGAAAGGGGCCCATAGCTCACGATTACATGCGCTTCAATATGTGGTCCACCTCAATTATGGAGGCCTGTTGGAACTTCAAGGAGAGTGGGCCGCTGCTCATCAGCACTACCAGAAGGTACGGATGCGACGGTAGAGACCTGTTTCGGGTCGGGTACTGATCACTGGAGCAGGCCACCTTGGTAGATGCGTCGGACGCTGCCCTCTGGTGTAAGCTGGGAAGAACAGCTATGAGACTTCGCCGCTGGGATGCCGCATGTGCGGCATATTACGACGGACTCCAACGCACCGAAATCAGGGCATTGAAAACACAATGTTACGAGGGCGTTGTCGACGTGAGTTCGTTCCGGCCCCTGGCATCCTGCCCAACACGGTCTGACGCCGCTTACTCTAGGCGCTATATGAAATGGGAGAGCTCGCAACATGCTTGGACTACATCAAGAAAGCTTTGAAGAACGATCCTGCTTGGGAGAGGGGCAATGTGCTGAAACGTCACATTGTGGCGGACTATGCGAAAGGGTTCTCACTGATCAGGTACCGGCTTTGACCGCACTCTGGCGTGTATAACGCGCTTTCTAACACAGTCTCCCTGTAGTCTCCAGGCAGATGAAGTGAGTATGGAGGACATAGTGGAATACCAAACGGGAGTTCCACAACAAGCCGATAGCATGCTGCAATCCAGGAACCCTGTGCCGTCGGGCAGTGCCAATTATTCACAGGCTCCTCGTACCCTACATGTGAAGGATCTCACCTGGGAATCCCTCGGGAACGAGCTCATAGACGTCTACGGTGGCTTGATTGGCTCATCAGATAGAACCCCAAACAGTCAAGATGGATGGCAGCTCCGGCAATTGCGCTTCGAATACGATTATATGGTGAAGGGGCCGTCAACTGAAATACCAAACTCGCAGAATGGCACTCACCCGGCAAATGGTGTAGACGAAGGAGCTGATGCTGTAATGGAGTACGCCGAACCAGACGTAGCTGACGACGGGATGGGTGACCCCATCCAACCCGACAACGAGAAGAAACGTCAGTTACCCGAGGCCGATGATTCCAGGCGTGTCTCAAAGCGGGTTCGGCACCGGTTAGAGCAAGAACAGCAACAGAAGACTACGGTTGACGTCGACTTGGAAGCACTCATCGATCGATGCCTCCCGAATGGATGCTCGGTGAGGTGCTGCATGCCCTCCGTAGCACTTGGAAAAGCCCAAATGTTCTTGGATATGGAAGTCTATCTGTCAGAGTTCTGCGCAAGGATGTTGGCTGCCCCCGTACCGAACGATGTCAACCGCAGATCGAAAGGGAAACGAGACCTACCACGGAGCCTGCCGATGCGCGGCCCCCACAGCCACTCTTCTGATGAGCAGACACGTCAAGATGTGGCGAACTTTATTGAAATGTCGACTTCGAAGAACTCCGGTATTCTAGATGTCATTGCCCGATTTGTTCTGCACTTGCTTTCGGAACTTTGCGACGGCGACGCCCTCGAGAAAGATCCTCAGCCTTTGCGGTCACCTGCCTTGCAAAGCATCATCGGTGTTATGCTGGTCATACTCCAAAAGCATGATGCTTGGAACACTTTCCTTAGGTCTGAAGATGCACCAGTTTTTGGTCTAACCGAAACCGCTGACAAGGTCGCACCAAATCTTGGCTCAACCAAAGCTCCTGACTGGGAGATCGAGGACCGACGGCGTAGGGTTTTCGAAATCATCCTGCTTAGCTGCGAAATACTATGCTCTCAGTGGCTGGACGGTAGTACCACATCAGTCGAGCGATTCGCAGACAATGAAGAAGACCTTCTGCCCATGGACGGAGATGACTCAGTTTCGAACCCAATTCACGGCATTTCTGTGCCGCTCGCACTGCGAAAGATTTTGGACTCATTGCATGAGATTTTGGAAAGTGGCGGTGAGAGCATTGGACTGGCTGCAAACCTCCGTTACCTCTGGGTGCACGGCCGGATCAACGAAGGTTCCGGAGACCACTCTCAGGCCTTCAAAAGCTATGCCGACTGCCGCGAGAAGCTGCTCCACGCCCACCCGCGCGTGGATGCCCCAGTCCGGAAGGTCGTCATCCCGCATTGTCCTCTAGACGGTGTTATATCTCTGGATACCCTAAGTCGGAAGTCGTTCGCATGGGATGTGCATCGGCACATCGTGGACGTTCGAAAGCACTTCGCAGAAGGCGACTATACCAGGTCTGCAATGCTGCTAAGCAGGGTCTTCCTTCAGAGTCTCTCAGGCGAAGGACTGGAAGGTGACTTCGAAATCGATGAGCGTGAACTACGAATCATGTCCAAGGCCCGGGAAGTTGTGATTCGAGATTACACTTTCAAGCAGCGGCTCGAATTGCTGAAGATCTTTCGCGAATCATGCGATAAGCTTGGACTAGCGCAACACTCATTCGTTGGGGCGGTTCAGATGCTTCTCGAGGGTCTGTATCATCCCCCTGGAGAGGATGACGATTTCGAAAACTGCCTCGAAATGCTGGCTAGATCGTTACATCACTGCATCACCTTTATGCAAAGCTCTTCGGCAGACACCAATGATTGGACTCGGCTCTTGCGAGGATACCCGCCGCATGGTCTACGCCCGAGTGGCACACTCTACGACCAATTCGTGTCCGCCATCTTCGTCGCCATGCGGATGACGTGCGCATATCTGAAACACTATCAGGATATCCCAAGTCAGACTCGACGCATCACTATCACCAGACGCATCGCTGCACTGAAGCTCTTTTCCCTACGAAGCTGGGTCGCGGCGTACTACGTCTCATTCTCATTGCAGCGGGATGAGAGCCGAAAAAGCACTACAAGGCACAACTCGCCGGTTCCGAATGGCCGCCACACGGTCAACGGGTCAGAAAACACAGAAGTGTCTGCTGTATCGGAAACCGCACATGAAGAGAATAGAGGTACCGAGTTCAACGGAGACCTGTTGAGTGTCGCACATACCGAATTGGGAAGACGATCAATGTGTGGTGCAGATGATGGTCTGCTCTTGCAAACCATTCTTCGGAACCGGGCGACAACAAACGACGAAGCATTACGTGCGGAATTGCAGCAATGTTACTACTGCCTCTATGGTATCAAGTTCGACCATGGGGCAATTCTCACAGAACACTCGGCAGCGCCGCGTCCGTTCGATGAGGCCGCTGCTTCCAACGTCTTTGATGCGATTGCAGATACCATGCTCCAGAAACTCAACGTGCGAAACAGCCGCGGGATCACAGGCGACTTGAAGGAATGCTTAGACAAGGTCGCGAAAGTCTTCCCCTCCCCGCCGTGGAAAAACGCCCGCGTTTTCCTCAATCGCGAATATATCGATCGCCTCCTCGAGGAGCCGATCGATATCGCCCAGTTCGCACCAGGAAGGATTCGAAGTGATACGATCCCGGCTTTCACATCTGAAGAGCGCTCTAAAGTATCTCACGTACACTTCAACATCTTCTTCCTGCAAGCGAAGTTGGCCCTAACACAATATCGTTCTCGGGCGCAAAGTTATACCGACACTCATCGCTCAATTTCCATTCTCAAAGACACTGTCGCCCCACACTTCCTGTTCGATCTGTACATGAACCCGCATCGGTTTGAGAGCTGGTTGCTTCTCGGTATTTGCTACTCTGCATTGATCAACGAGCACCTTGCGGGAAGCGCTGCATTGATTGTAGATGCCTCGGACGGGATTCTGGAATGGCAAAGAAGAGCCTTCCATTGCTTTGTTCAGGCATACCGTCTAGTCGATGAGGCACCGAACAACCATACCGTTGTCACATTGTGGAGCGACCTGGGATTTCTCTGCTATGGCATTGCTTCCAAGCCAATGCATGGAGTGGCAGCGTACTCAAAGGCTCAAAAGATTCGGGAACTTTGGTTTCGACGGTGCGCAGGAAGCGAGCGAGCGGAAGAGCCACAGCAAGAACCCAATGGAACAGGCCCCGTCGATGAAGCCGAAGAAGCGGATATTCTCGAGGGCACTGTGGCGGCAATGACTGGTCTGGCGGCATACTGCTTCCGCAAAGTTCAGCGCATGGACACCACCGACTGGAAGTTCCCTTTCATGTTGGCAACTCTGTACGCAAAACAGCGGAGACCGCCAAAAGACGTCATCGGCTTGTATCTGAGATCCATGAGGCTCGTTCCAAGGGACTGGACAACGAAAGACCAGGAGAACATCTTGGATCCGGTGGTGAAGCTGTTGGGATACCTTTGCAAGACCCTCTTTGCGCGGCGCATTGAGCCACAGGCGGCTCTGGCGGCCATTTCAAAGATCTGGGCCGACGTATACCCTCGCTTCCCACAGCTCCAACGGACGATACCATCTGACGAACGATATGTGAATGGAGACGATGAAGCAGGGGCTGCCCGTTTAATGGCAATTGACAGAATTTACGAAGCATTGGATCGACTGAGGCCGTTGAATGCCTATCAACACAAGCCAGTCTTCCGGGTAGGTCTTCTCCTTTCCGCCTTCGCCGGTAGGCGCCGCTGGCTCTGACTGGACAGCTTGGTACATAGATGGCATGGATACAGTACCGTGTACACAGAAACCCTGCCAGAGCGAAAGACATCTTGAGTAACCTGTTTCGCCTGGACGATAAGCAGCGGAAATTCGTACATTTTTGGAAGCCGGAATTCGAGAGGTACAGGAATATGAGCGTCGAGACGAGGCCTTCAAGACGCAATATCCTTACTTCCCATTCGATTGCAGACCGGGAAAGCATTTCATGTCGATTCACAAGTACACACTCTTCATGATAAAGCTCTGTGTGGAACTCAATGATATTGACGGACTCCGGAGCCTCTGTAAAAAGTTCACAAAGGTGGAAGAGGTTCTGCTGTGGCCAGATAAGCTCTGGCAAGTGGCGTTCGAGGGCGGTTTGAGGGTAAGAGAAATGATCGCTCGACAACAGCATACGTCGGGCGCTGACTTTTGGTATCGTATCAGGTGATACGTCAAACCTTTAGTATCAACGGGAATGCATCCTCTCTTTTGCCCGAAACACTGTCTAAAGAAGCGTTCGACCGGCGGGCCCCGGAAGTAGAGCGTTTGATCCTCACTGCCGAGAACAGACCCGCAGGCTTACAGCAGTTGCTTTGGGGCGTGGAACTTGAAGACCTCAACAAAGGAAAAATGGACACGAAGGAGCTTCGTGTTCTCATGGCTTCGATCTACAGCAGCATCTTTCTGGACGCCGCCCACTCGATTCCAGAGGCAACTACACAGCCCGGTCCAGACACGCTGGCTGCAGACTCGTCGACAAATGGTCTGGACGTCCCGATGGATGATGCGACTGCACCTCCCCAGGCGTCCGTCCCAGTCCGACTCGAAGACATCCTGATGCGATGCCGCAAACTCCCCACCATGTAATATACCGATGATACTTCGCTTTTCACAGAGAGTATCGAATCTCGGAACGTCCAAGCATTTTTCCCCGTCGAGTTTGACCGTTGCAAGAAAATCATCGTAGTTTGTAGACAGGCGAGGATCTTCATCCAATGTAGCGTTTGAATAGAATCTCCACCTTGTACTGTACACGTAAGGCGTATCTTTTGGAGCCGTGTGTCCGAAGATTATTCCCCTCCAATCTCGTAGATATGGTGCCATCACAGGACATGGGGACGTGACAGAAGGAGCAACGCGGATACGTCACGGTAACCGAACGTGATTGGCTGGGGGGCCGGACCGACGCGTTGGGTTGACAGGACCCTCCTAGCAAGCAGCCATGTGTGCCCTTCCGCCCCCTCTGGCATGTGTTGCTGCTGTCTAGTATATGAAATCAACTGTGGATATCTGTCCATATCGCCGCCGTTCAGCGAACTTCCTCTCCGCAACGCACGCCCCGGCCTTCCAACCCTTCCTACACACGTACGTAACTTCTGTGCCCACTCCGCTGCTACTCCGCTTGCCACCTCTTCAGTCTTTTCAAACTCAACGCCGCAGTGTAAACCAGCCAAGAACCGAAGGGAGAAAAAAAGCACAAAAGAACCCCCAAACATGGCCGCCAACCTCACTCAAGCCGGCGGAAGAGCAGCGTCCCAACCGTCCGTTTTCGAAGCCACCCCAACATGGCGCCTCTTCCACGCCCACCACAAAATCCTACGAGCGCTAGCGTCCGCGATTATCCGGAAACACCATGACTTTACATCGACAGGAGGCGCCTCCAGTATCGCTGGACGGTCGGCGTTTTCAAGTATCGGATACGCCGCTCTCCCGTCAGCTGCTCAAAGAGCCGCGTATCTGCGGGCCATGTCCACGGGAGCTGCGTTGAGCAACAATCACGGGGACCTTGCGGCTTATGTGGCGTTGACCGCCGGGGATCTGGCTCGGTTGATGGCTGGGAAAGGGTCGTCGTCGGAGATGCTGGCCTGTGGTGCTCGAGCTGGCGGACAGTATGGCAAAGAGCTGGCGGTTTCGTCCGTCGCTCATTTTGGGAAGGAAGGGCTTCTTCGAGCGTTGCAGCGGACGCTGCTTGCTATTATTGCGCTGAGCAAGGAGTTTTTGGCCAACCCCTGGGTTGACATCTCTGTCGTTGCCGCCGCTCTGAGCGCCCTTTCTTGGCTATACGTACGGCGTCTCCCCAACTCGTCACGATCTGCCCAAGCCGATTTCGATGAAGCGTTGCGAGTCGCAGCTCTAAATGATCCGACAAACCCAGACGGCATACTCTTCAATGAACCCCCTGAAACACCCGTCCCGATACCGTCCATTCCCGACCCGACGCCACAAGAAGCGTATATATCCCAACTGGAATCGCAGAATCGATCCATGAATGATCAACTTCAGAAGCTGTCGGCTCGCGCCACACAATTGGCGGAGGCACTGGAGAGAAGCATAAACCATGTGACGGATGTGGAGACACGGTTGGGATATCAGGGAAACGTCATTGAGCGGCTGGAGGAGGAAAATCGGACCCTCCGAACCGTATGTATCATGGGTGTAAATCTGACCGACTTGCCATCATTTGATCTAACATGTTTTGATACAGCGACTGGAAGAAATCCTCACAGCGTCAATGCATTCGGAGCTTAGGGTCCCTTCCGTAGTCTCACGATCCTCGGCAGGGTCCGTCGCATCCGTTCCGCCATCTCCGAGCTTGAGCTCATCTGATTCGTACGAATGGGTTCAACTTCCTGAAGCGTCACTCACTTAGGAGCAATCACGAAACCCAACGCTCTTTATGGGCAGGGGCGCCTTGTTTCTTGTTGCATCATCGTTTGGTATTGTAGTATAAGTATATCATCTGTATTTTGTCAAAACGGGTGTAGTACCCCATTCATTCTTCCTGCGTCGGAAGTTCCGGTGCTTGTGTACTTTTCTTGGGCAGGCTCGGAATGAGGGAATGGTGCATATGCATATGCATTACGTTGATGCGAAAAAGCCTAGACTACGTTCAGCCTTACAGCTGTCCTCATCGATTCACATCGAGTATCTAAGAGATAGTTTTTCGGAAACGATACCGCGCAATATACAGTACAGTATGTTTCTTGGTTCTCGTAACGGTTGCAATCACAACATCAATTGGAACTCTGATATCGATCGTGCCCAGCAATCACTAGTACTGGGACTCTGGTGGCCTTTTACACTACAGTAGATCTATGAAAACCACACGCGGTCGGCGGACGGGGGATGATGCGGGCTCAGGCCGATGACGATGCAAGACGACACTGCCCATCTGCTATTTCGGCTCTTCATGTCGGTGTGTCTTACTACTTGCCCGATTCAGAACTGCAAATATATATATACGTACAGTATGTCCGGGGGGAACCCCTGAACGCACCATTTGACAGGCAAGCGATTGCGGATGTGCGGGCAATGACATCACAGCGGGCGTGTTGGGGAGAACTTTCTCGAATCTCTCAGACGCCGGACGACGCGTTGGTCCGCCACAGAAGAAACACTGAGGCACTCCTCAACGGGCAAGCCCACCTTCCACCTGCCCCCGCATCGCCACATCTCCTCGTTTTCTTCCTCCCGAACGCTTCTTTTCCCTCAACCAGGCCGTGTGATAAAACAGGTGAGTGGGGTGCGATCGTCTCCACACTCTTAGTGCACACCCACAATCACTTGGAACACTAGCGAACCACTCATCTCATACAAACTGCTTTTGGAACTTGCGTTCGGAAAACTCATCCTTTCACCTACCCTACCTCCATGCCAGTTCGAACATACGGAGCTCGTGACAGTCCCTCAAGCGAAAACACATCCAACAAACGCGCCCACACCGACTCCGACGCCATGGGCAGAGACTACTATTCCATCCTCGGTGTGGCAAAAGACGCCGACGAGGACGCCATCAAGAAAGCATACCGGAAAGCCGCGCTAAAGTGGCATCCAGACCGTAACCCAGACAACAAGGAGCTAGCCGACAAGAAGTTCAAGGAACTCTCCGAAGCCTATGAAGTCCTATCCGACAAACAAAAACGAACCATCTACGACCAGTTCGGGGAAGATGGATTGAAGGGCGCTGCAGGAGCCGGTGGTGCAGGGCCAGGTGGTTTCCCAGGAGCCGGCGGTGCCGGCGGATTCCCCGGCGGCTTCCCTGGCTTCCCTGGCTTCACGTCAGGAGGAGGTGGTCCAGGTGGTGCGCGCACATTCAGCTTCAACATGGGCGGACCAGGCGGCGGTGGTGCTGGATTCCGACCGTTCCAGCCGTCCAACGCTGAAGACATCTTCCGTCAGTTCTTTGGAGGCGCCAGCCCGTTCGGCGGTATGGGCGGCGGAATGGGATCGGATTTCGATGACGATGAGGGTGGAATGGGCGGAGGAATGGGTGGCATTCCTGCCGGTTTCTTCTCTCGCGGGGCTGGAGGACCAGGTACCGGCGCACGCGGTGGACCAGGTCGCGCAGGCGCTCAAACTCCCTCCGCCAGCTCCTCCGTTCAACGTCAACTCCCTGTCTCACTGGAGGACCTAAGCGCAGGTGCCACCAAGAAGCTAAAAGTCACCCGCAAGAATCTCGACGGCACATCATCGGAAAAGGTCCTCGCGGTGCAAATCAAACCGGGATGGAAAGCAGGGACAAAGATCAAGTTCGCAAAAGAAGGCGACGAACTACCCCCCCAAGGCAGCGGAAACGCCCAAGACATCGAATTCGTCATCGAAGAGAAACCCCACCCGAATCTCAAACGCGACGGCGACCATCTCCGCACAGACCTCACAATCGACCTCGTCGAAGCCCTCACCGGATTCAAGAAGCAAGTACCCGTCCTCAACGGCCGCACCGTCGAGGTATCCGGCGCGCAAGGTCCCGTACCCGCGAAACCGGGAGAGGAGATCGTCGTTAGAGGGGAAGGCATGCCCATCTCGAAGCAGCCGGGCAAGAAGGGGGATCTGATCGTCAAGCTGAATGTCAGGTTCCCGCCGACGATCTCGCAGGCGCAGAAGGAAGGCGTCAAGAAGCTTTTCGCGTGAGTAGATTACGTAGAGATACCAACCGCTTTCAACGCGACATCACCGACTGCCCTTTTCCCCTTCTGTCACTCTTCGGGACAGCACCCACCCGTTTCCTGATTCAAAACGCAACACGCCGGAGGACATACCACCTCCCCTACCTCGGCGTCCACCACCATCTTCCACCGTGCCTCCTCAAGGCTGCCCGCTCCCTCAACAATCACGACCTCCCTTCACGTGCGCATCACCGCCACTACCGCCACGCCCTCGCCGTCGTTGGTGGAAGCTCTGACCGCTCTCACCGCGGAAACCGGTGTACGTCAGATTCTCTCGGCCTTGTAGGCATATTGTATATTTTCCTCCGCATTTTGGCTTTGTATTCCATTGTTGCTTTTGCCCTTTTTCAAAATACCTTCGTCAAATAATACACGATCTTTGGCTTATGTCGCGCAAATGTTCTTTCTTGCATGATGCTGAGTTGAACCATATCTTTCGTTGTGTTGCGCTCAATGATGCCACGCGCTCTTCTCCCACCTCCTCATGCATGGAAGTGAGGTACGGTAATATCTCGAGTTTTGACGGGATTTTGACAGCCTTGATCTATACAGTACAGCCGAATGAGACGGCACTTCTTCGAACCTGTGATCAATTGAGATCCCGTTTTTCTAATTTCCATGAGGAACTATTTGTACAGATTCATAGACAACGCCGGATTGCGACGCTGAAAACGCCCGCTGGGGCATCGAATGGGATGATATATACTGTCAACGAGGTCTACCTGTGGACTAAAAAGGGGCTAGTTGTCAAAACCGGGAACTGAGATATGTACAAGACGTTGCGAGGGGATATGCAAAGCGCGGGGGGGGTGTGGATCACTGAGACCGAGGATCGGTTTCGTTTACACTGGAACGGGCTCGGAAGAAGCCCGAAACACGGTCTCCATGCGTTTAGCGTATATGTAATCAGCCAATCCACGCTGGAAGGAGAGAAGCGGGATGAGTATAATCGCCGGAGGGAATGTCAGGCCCGCTCTAGAAAACATTTTATGTCGGGAGCAGAAAACGTACCATGGCAATGATCGTGCCCAGCACCGACAGAAACGTGGGTAACCAGATCCCTTGCGGAACGTCGTCCTGGTCCGGGTTGGATGGGTCGTAAGGGTCGTAGCCTTTGCTTGCTTCCTCGTCGGCGAGGCGGCCGGAGATCATTGCTGCGTAGCGGAACAGTGTTAATCCGAGGCCGACTCGTGCACCTGGAGGATAAATTGGATGTGTCAATGTTTCGAAAGAAGCCTTAGGAAACTTGAAGCGATTCATTGACAGGAAGAACATACCAGCGCGTGCAGCATGCGACGTAGCCAGCATCGCCGTAACCAAAAACCCCACAAAATCAAACGCCGCCGCAATCAAAAAGTTGACAAAAAACGTGAACCCATCCCCGACAGGCATCCCCTCAATCAGGAACTCCCCATCCTCGCTGATAGACGTCGCCGCCATCACGACGGTCGTCTCGCCGTACGCGGGCGCGGGTTGGTCCGCTATTGTTTCCGTGTACGTTGGGGGCTCGAGTTGTTCGAATTCTTTGACGACCCGCGGGATGTTGTCGGTGGTGTCGGTGGTGGGTTTGGCGAAGAGATTGCTGAAGACACCGTCGTTGACTGCGGGGGAGAATGGGCTTCGACTTCTGCTGCTGCTTCCGGTGGACGAGGGATGGACACCACCGTGTTCGAACGCCGCGAGCTCGGCGGCAGGAGCCACATGGTGGGGCTGCTCATTGGCTTCTTCGTCCTCCCTCCCCTCGTGTGCTTCTACGTCTTCGTCATGAGGTGCAGCGAACAACACTTCTGTCTCCTCGAATTCTGGGGGTGGGATGCCAGAAATGTCTTCCTCCTCGAATTCTTCCTCGCCCGGGATAGTCGCCCGCTCGTGATGGAATGGCAGTGCCTGATATCTGGACATTATGGTAACTGTTGTTGCGTAGCAGGTCGTTGCCTTGTATGCAATCAATGTTGCGTGAAGCGCTCCCTTCCCGAAGGACCTTCGCTGTTAGTGTATTCTTGTAGACCTCCACAATGCCAAGCCTTGCAAGTTGAAATTGACTTCCGGCGGACGTGATGAAATGGAACCGGTTCCGTGACTCACCGCGGATCTTGAAACACGCCGCACCCGCCGGGAACCGGGCAGTAGTAACCGTGACTTCCCCGTCCGGTTTAGGCGTGCAGCAAACAGCACAAGTCCAGACGAGTAAGAAGTATGATGTAAAAGTAAGGATATATACGTATATACAGGTGAAATGCCTATGTAAAACTTGGAGCCCCGATCCTCCGAAACACAAGCACCAGCCGAAAAAGAGGCATGCCCTCGGGGCGCTAAATCTCGTAGCCTAAACGCTTTAAACAATCGATCGGTCAATTATCACACGATGCCGACTCATGAGGCTATAGGTGACCGCTTCCGTCTGTTGACTTGCGATGATGGTGGGGACTGCTGTAACCCCAGCACCACCGCCGCCTTGTCGTGCGCGATTCCAACCCGCAAGGATTTCTCTGTCACGATATGCGTCTCTACTCCCAACACTTTCGCCGCCTTGGATTCGAGCGCTGGCGCACTTGGCGCAGCGGTTTTCGCAAACTCCGCCGGTGAAACCATGGGAACTCCCGTCGGCTGGCCGTTCTTCATCTTCCGGAATGCCATTCGCAACAACAGCCCGAACCAGTAGACCTGCAATCCGCAATGCGCGTACGCAAGGACCGGGAGCAGGTAGTACATTCCGGTTGGCAATCCATTTTGGATCAGGTACGCGTAGTACGTGGGAAGGTGCATCTGCACATGTCTCAGGATGAACAGGTTTCCGACGATCCTCGAGATGAAGAAACCAATCACGAAAATGGCTTCATTGGCTCCGTACGCCCAGTGTTTCTTCAGGTTGTGCTCACCCATCAAGAAGCGAGCGTTCAAGAAGGGCGTGGTGATTTCGTTGTTTAGGAAGAGGCACATGTACACGGTGCCGTAGTGATATTGTACGCCGATTGTGTACGCTAATATGATGGTGAGGTGGTGGAACAACATCGACCCGATGGGAGCGGAAGAAACCTCATGCGAGGATGGCTGCAACCACTTGTAATAGCACAGACGCATCAGATCGAAAGACAAGTATCCAAGCGTAATAGCAAGGTAAAAGTCATTCCTGAAGCTGTTGAGAAACGCGTAGTCGGTCGGTACTTTGAGGAGGTGCTTATCGTTCTGGTACCAGGAAAGGCAGCCGAAAGCCGCCATACAGGCGTGCAGTGTCGAAGTGGCTCGATTCGCCCATTCTTCTATGTTTGATACCGGAGCATTGGGAGCCAGCAGACCGAGCGAAAATCGGTTGGCTGGTGTAAAGAGGTGGTGGGCGGTCTGATAGCACGCAAAGAAGAACAGGACCCAGGATGCCACGAGTTGTGGGAAGGCATAAGCTGGGTTTGCGAGGAGCGCTAACCGGTAGTTGTTCTCCGTGAGAATGATGTTGTCGAGGAAGGACATTCTTTCCTGATCGACTTTGGGAACTTCCGCCTCGATTTCGAACCGGTCGTGACGAAAAAAGAACTACGCCCGCTGCTCAGGGCAAATACAAAATCGCCAGGGTATGCTATAACTGTCTACGCTCCCTGAACCTTCCTCTGTGTGTATACCCTCAGTGTATATACGATTTTTGGGCCGTTGCGTGCTGGGGGGGGGAAAGGTGGTAAATATGAAGGGAAGGAAGGAAAGCCAACCAGCGTTTCGGCGCCGCGTCCTATGTAACAATTTCAGCCTCAAATATAGCTCCTCGGCCGTTCAAGCACAGACAGCACCGCCGCAATGGTACACGCTGGTCATACGGATCTACCTTCTACCACTGGGCTGGTGAGTTATACATCCTATCTCTGGCCCCCGGGCGATCGTATGTTATCCCTGTTCGGGTCCGGACGCCCGCCTCCGCATTTATCCGTAGTACATACACGGCAGGGACGGCACGGCGCCTTGGCACGTTGCACCCTACCGATCTCATCGATTGGCCCTCACCAGAAAACCATAAGGAAAATCCCTCTCGATCGGCCAGGATCCGCGTAAAGGATCGTCTCACTGTCGAAGCCCGGCATCGCTGTCGAAGGCAGGAAAACCGGCGCCAAAAGCTGCTGATTCAATTCGTACCGTTCGTAACTGGGGAGCGTACAGTACTTATAAACTGCTCATCGTCGATCAGCAGTGAAGAACGGCATTCTCCGTATCTCGGTGCTCAGTTAGCCGGCAATCCGCCCAACTATATAAGAAGGCGGAGAAGAGCGCCGTCGAGACCCGAGGGTTCTGCGGTACTCACGCTCTATACGGACAACATGCTGATATTTCAACTTTTTTTTTGAAATACGGGGACGTACAATCATGTTATTATGCAATTTGCAACTATTACATGTACAGGTCCGGCCTGAAAAGTAAACAATGGGTATCTATGTCGATGCACCGACGACATTGCGTTCGTAGCTATCTACTCAACCCAATCCTCCGCCACCCTCTCCTCAACAGCATTGCTTGAGGCAAACGCTTAGGCGCTGTTGGCGGCGATGGTGCTCTTGATCCAGGGGACGAAGCTGGACACACGAGTGTAAACACCAGGGACACCGGGCTCGGCGCAACCGTCACCCCACGAGGTGATACCGTGGACATAGAACTTGCCACCGGATGTCGTGTACAAAGGACCTCCGGAGTCACCCTGGCAAGTGTCGACACCACCATTCTTGGCACCGGCACAGATGTTCGAGTCGACGATGTGGCCGGCGCTTCCGTGACCATCGTAGTAGGACTTGCAGGCAGCGTTCGAGACGATGGGGACGCTGGCCTTCAAAAGCACGCGGGAGTCGGAGCCGCCCTCAGAGGTGTCACCCCAGCCGGCAATCTGAACGGTTCCGCTCTGGGGAACGACGGGAGCGTCGTAGATGCCGACGGTAAAGTCGGTGGGGCCGTAAGCCTTGTCGAGCTTCAGGAAGTACAACGCGATGTCGTTGTGGTTGAGGTTGTCATCGTACTGCGGGTGGATGACGATCTTCTTGATCGAGTAAACCAGACCCTTCTCGCTGGAGTCCGACTTGGTCTTGTCGTGACGGTGGACATGGACCTTCGAGTTGGTGTAGGAGCCACAGTGGGCGGCGGTGAGGAAGACGTTGGGGGCGATGATGCTGCCTCCGCAGTACTGTCCGGGAGAGCCCCAGAGCGGGTTGGTCACGTAGGCGATGAACGGAATGGTGTAGGGAGTGACCTGGGTTCCACCGACAATGGGGGCTCCGCCTCGGCCGATGAGGGGAGGGCTGGGGGTGGCGGCGGCGTACACGGCCGGGGCAGCAGCCAAGGCGCTGAGGAGGAGGCTGGTCAAGGGAGCCATTGTGTTTGTTCGGTGGGTGGGGCTGGCGATGAAGGAAGGATGAGAGGATGAGGAATCAAGAGGGACCCAGGTCGACCTGCCCGGCTTTTATATCCGACGGACCATCGATGTCGCTAGAAACCTTCAGCCTACGCTGATGCCAGCAGTGTAGTAGACGGCATATTCTCGAAAAGCCTGCTGATGCTACGTTCGTTGCCCACCAAGTATTTGATCAAGGATCGGAGTTTTCACGGCCTGATTGCTCGTGTAACTCCCCACTCAAAAAGTGTATGCTGGATATCGACGCCGCCCCCAATATCGACTGGATCAAAAAGTCTGGCGGGCATGCTGCCCAGGGCTACTGTCATCGTGACATTCCGAGGCTCTAATGCAAAAAGATGACCAACACGTTGCTCCCTGAATTCGGATCAGAGGCTCACCTGTACTTTCCGTTGGTACTAGCTCCCCGAATGGCCGATGTCGGTGTCTATACCCAATCGCAGGGGCCCTGCCCCTAGTTCAATGCCGCCAGGCTATGATGCACACATGCTAGCCATTGGCGACCATCAATACTGAAGAGCGTACTTTTAGTACCCTTACCGCGGAGAGCGCCGATCTCTGGAGAGAGCGATAGAGGATATCTTCCCCTGGCTGCAAGCGGCGATATCAAGCGATCATGATCACCCCCGTTGAGCAAGATGGTCCAAACGCAAGCACGGGTGACGTTGCTGCCTTTACGACGTCGTGTTGGATTGGTAATTTAGGCAACCTCCAAGGCTCCAAGCACTCCGCGGCGTCCCGAACGTTCTAGGACTGTACCGGACGGAGCCTTGAGGTTGCCAATCCGCAAGTGTGAACGTTAAGGAGAGTCTTGTCCGCGCAGTATCGGAAGACGCGTTTGACAGTCGGACAAAATGCTACCTGTCCGACTGTCCAAGCGATCAAACGATCAAGATTCAAGATCCCTTGTTGTTCACAAATCACGGCGTCCATGCTGCCCATGACTGGTATTGCCTTGCTATATATATAGTACATATGAAAGGAACACTCTCACGATGGAGGCATCCAACATGTGTACAGTAGGATGTAGGCGGCGGGCGCATACTGTACAGTATGCGAGTACAGTATGTACATATCCGTTGAGGCTCTCATTGTTGCAGCGGCCGGGTGTTCAATTCAGTCGTGAACGAGAAGCCGAAGAAGCCGATGCAGCGGAATCAGAGGTGATAGAGAAGTAGTGTGAACATGGTGAAGATGCGCGTGGACCATGAAGTGTGGGCGCATTCGCCCGACGTGCCCGACTCGGGGCCGACTGGACGCAGTCCCAAATCTCGGATCTACGTAAGGGCAATGATGAGAGGTGAGTTCGCGGACTTTTGTGACGGAGCTTGCGAAGGAATCGACGGGAATGAACATGTGAACCAGAATGTGAACTTGAAACTTGCAAGCCCAACTCACCGCGTCTGCAGCCAACAGCGTTGGCGTAAACCTCTTGTGCTTCTTCTTTCGCTGCTCACAGTACAGTATATCCCGCCTGCACTGGAGTCTGGCGAGCCTGCCTTCGGATGGTTGAAATTCATGAGCGGTCTCCAATGCTGAGTTTTCCGAATCGCGTAACCGAACATTTCCGTTCCCAGTCTTACTTCCCACAAGGTCACGAAGCGCTCCCGGAATGCACTGCGGACGTGACGGCATAGCGAAAATATAAAGGAGGCTCCTTCAAGATATCCCTGGTTGGAACGGATGGAATGCGACCGTGCGCCTCAAGTCACGCCGCCTGGGTCAAGGCAAAGCGAGGAATACCGTCTGTTGTTAACGACTTTCCCCATCACCGAATTATACCTCCGCAGCGAGCAGGGTAAGCCGCATCGCCTGGATGCGTAATGTACAGTACGCGGGATTCACTGAAGAAGACCGCTACCGGACAGTGTTCGGATCCATTCTCGAAGGCAATCCATCACATTCCGGGGGAAGATGGCAAATGGAACGGGACGGATGCGCCACGGTCCTGGATGAAGTTCGGCGCTGAGACGTTCACCTTCTCGCCTTCTGGACTCCCGTTTGCTACTTTGGGAGCGAAACATGCGATGGAGAGCCGCACAATAATATTCTTTGATTTGTGGAAATCCCGCACAATTACCATATGACAGGAATCGCTCGCAAAGCCTGCCCTAAGAGCGGAAACTGTTTCTTAAAACCATGGGACAAACTCCCTATCAAATGTGGATGCTCCAGGGCCCGAAATTGCTGGATTCCGAAGATGAGCTGCCTACGCTTACCGTGTTCGTGAAATATGGATGAGGTCAAGAAACGGGAGCCGATGTCTTCCTCCTCCTATATATCATCCTCTCACGGAAGCAGGCACAGTAACTCCAGGCAGCACTGGACGTACAGATGATTGCAGGGCATAATCCGGGTTAGATTGAGCCGGGTTCAGAGAGAGGCAGAATTTTGGCCCCATCTGCACAAGACAATTCCCATCTGCTTCGATATGTCCTAGCCGTGCGAGCTTTGTTGCCTCGTGCTCACATGAGAGGTTTGGTTTAAAAATTCAGGAATGGTTGCACGACTCATTAGAGAGGAGAGTCAGCGCTATGAGGTTTTCTCGGTAAGCGGGTTACAGCAATAGACTCATGGAGCCAACAGCCAACGTCCGAAAAAGGTTCGGACGACTGCCGCCCAAAGGTCAAAAAACACGTCCACACCTGACCCCACAAGCGCGTTGGTGTAAAAATGTGCGAATTTGCTGCAGCTCCTCGTGACGAGGGAGGAGCCGCACAAATGTGATGGATGACGCGCACACGTCTTGCGCCCCAAGGGAAAGATCTCAGCGCGCTATGAACGCGAACAGATGGTGACGAAATGCGGCCGGCTGCCACGGCGCCGGGCACAAAAATGGCCATTGTTGTTGCACGGCAATGTTTCAAGACTTCTTTCCGGAGAAAAAAGCGGAACCAAACGCAAGTTACGGTTTGGTTGGCCAGTGCAGCTATTCATGGTCCCGGATGGCTGGTACGAGGGTGGCTGGTGTGTAGCAATGCACAAGCTGAGCTCGGGTCCGGAAGAGAAATCCTCTCAGCCTCGTCGTCCATGGCGGTTGAAGGAGGTCACACGGTGTCGGAACGCCTGGCTCGGTCCAACTGAAAGCTCCCTCGGGCAAAAACATAATCGAAACACGCGAAAGCCCACGCAAGCCAGAAGCGCAAAAGTGAGAACATGGATATCCGCACACCTGCAAAGCCTGCAGGGCAAGGTTAGCCCTCGGGATTCCTTTCACACCCCACACATTTTCGACATGTGCGCCAAGAGGCCTCAAAAAGTTCAACCCCTGCTGACCCGCCGCTTCGTGTTTTGATGCACTCTTCCTCGCTTCTTGCTTCGCAACCCGCGCGCTACATCCACGATTCCGTACGGACAACTTCGAAGGCAGGCGTTCTCAGAAGCGGCTTGCTTCAGTTTTTGGTGATCAACGTTTTGGCCCGGGCGCACTGTAAAAGCATTCGCTCGAAAAGTATAAATCAGCAAGGCCGGCCCCACGTCCTCTCATCCGCACCTCGTCCAACAAGTTTCAACGACGTCAACGCGAGAAGCAGGCTTCTCGTGCACCCATCATCCACTAGTCCACATCACCATTCACATTCCCAAGTGATATAGCCCGTTGCCATGTCCTTGGAGTCGCAAATCAGTAAAGACACCGTCGTCGATGTCGCCGAGCACGATGTCATCAACCACGTCAAGCTGTCACCGCTCGTTCGTTTGCGTCGCCAGATGAGGTGAGATAGTTTTCATCGCCGTGTTTCATCCAGAGGAACAGTCGAACTGAATGAATGCGACTTTTCATCACCCAGGGAAGAGCTTGCCGAATTTTTCGGTACCTTCATCTTGATCATCTTCGGAAACGGCGTCTGCGCACAGACATCTCTCCACAAAAACACGGGAGAGTACTTATCCATCAACTTCGGATGGGCGATCGGTGTGTTGATGGGCATCTACGTCAGTGCGGGGATATCAGGTGCACACCTGAATCCCGCCGTTACGATCGCCAATGCCGTCCATAGCAACTTCCCCTGGCGGAAAGTCCCCCGCTACTGTGCGGCCCAGGTGTTGGGCGCTTTTATGGGCGCCGCGATCGTATTCGCTAATTATCACTCTGCACTCGACGCCTTCGACGGAGGTGTTCGCCAGACGACTGGCGACTTAAAGACCGCCGGCATCTTCGCCACCTACCCCCAGGCCTACCTGACCACCGTCGGCGCCTTCTTCTCGGAATTCATCACCACAGCTGTCCTCATGATCGGGCTCTTTGCCATCGGCGAGAGCAGGCACGCTGACCGCCCCAAGTCCCACTCCGCCATCGCCGTCGCACTGCTGATTCTCGGTCTCGGTATCTGCTTGGGCGCTCCCACCGGCTACGCCATCAACCCTGCCCGCGATTTTGGCCCCCGTCTCCTCACCCTCGTCGCCGGCTGGGGCACGGACCCCTTTACGGTTAGCAACTACTACTTTTGGATCCCAATCGTTGGCCCCATCACCGGCGGTATCTTCGGAGGCTTCGTATACCAGGCTTTTACCGAGTATGACAATGCCCCCATATTGTAGTTTTTTGGTCGTTCCTGTTTCGTTTAAGATGGACAAAGTGTACATAACTCTCATACCAAATTTGTAATACATAATCTCTCGTCAAGTTCAGATAGCATCGGTACGCCGTTTGCTTGTTAGTCCGCTGAGTCATAGCTGCGTCGTTGGAGAGTGTATGTGTAGGCGATATTTGAGCGTGGGAACGGGAGAATGGGGGAGGTCCAGAAAGGTAGGAAGGTTCTAAGCTCAACCCGTCAGAAGGACAAGTGAATATGCGGGAGACCAGGACTGCCCTGACACTATGGAATCGTAACTGATCTTGCCTTCCCCTTCAAGTCAGAAACTCTTCCACGCTGAATGAAGCTCGTCGCGTTCTTCCCACACGTTTCGGACATGTCTGACGAGGGCGTGCAGGAGGGAGATGCATCATGAAGGCACACTGAAATCAGCACGAAGGTAACGGATGTTTAAAACCCTTCAGGACAGCCAAACGCTAGGATTTGCACTCATAATATGTACGCAGTATATATTAGGTAGGGAGGTAGCTCACAAAACCGTTCACAAAAAAAGCGACGGTCAGATGTCAAACGCGCCTTTCCCGCTTCCAAAAAAACATCTTGCACCCAAATACTCTTTCTACAAAAGACACCTCAGCGTGATGTGAAGTTTTACTTGGCGTGGTGATAGATAACGCCCGCCTCGTCATCCAGCTCTTCGTTCTCTGCGAGCACGGCCATCAGGACGTTGAGGATGCTGCCTGCTGGATACCATCTGGGTGCCAGCAGTTGCAATACTTTGAAGTGCGCCTCCAAATGTGGGCGGAAATCGCTGCCGAAGTGTGGTGGAGGTTTTATCCTCATTGCGATGACCAGCACAAGAGCCGAGTAGAAGCTGAAGAGCGCGAGCCACGGACCTTGCGTGAGACCCTCTGGGTCAAGATCGGCAATTTTGCAGAGCAGGGCGGCGTTGCAGATGGCGTGGTGGACGCAGATGTTGTATGCTCCAGAAGCGTATCCCTTTGTACCGAGTTGCTCTGATGGTGAGAGGGAAGCGAAGCCAGTATCGAGAATGGTCGGCAGGTGGAGAGAGATGTGCGCTGCGTGGTAGTACACATGCATCGTTACGAGCTGCCATGATGGCGGGCTCTGACTCGCTGGTGACGCCGCAAACTGGTTGATTCGATCGATGTTTTGAACCCAGTCGGGTAATGATGAGAACCACGCAGTCAATGCGTTCTCGAGCTCCGAGATGGACTCCATGCGTGCTCGATTGATTGCTGCCGTTGGATGTACGTCTTGAGAGGCGATCTTAGCCGCGCGCTCCGCCATCGACCATGCGGAGCCTCTCAGCGCCTTGATGCGCGCGTATAACTTGGTCAGTGTCACCATGTTTTCCGCGCTATCGAAGTCTTCACCAGGTACGAAGGCACTCAACCGAGGAAGGCCGTCGAGGGTAGCAACCGACTGGAAAAGGGCTTCTGGAGCCGGCGCTCGGGGGGTAGGTCTCCAGCCTTGAAGGCATGGAGTCCGTTCAGTCAACGGGTGATCTCGCCCATCTATAGACGGCGCCTCAGCAGGAGTGGGTATGGCGCTGATGATATCCAGCTGATGGAGACATGCAAGTTAGCATAAGGTTCGGCCAAGAGTTAATGCCATCGATGAAGTTACTTACCGACACGAGCAGCCACCACACCCTTCTCCGGGTCTCTTTCAATAGCCACGGTAGCACACCGTGCACTTCTTCGACATCAGGATCTATATTCAGGTTGATATGCCGCGCAATTGACAAAGCCTGCGCAAGGTAAGCGTCTTTCGAGGATCCTCCTGTGAACCGAATGTCAGCAATGAGGCTTCACACAAAAGAGCTGAATGCATTTGCAGCAGGACAACAAACCTCTTCCACTTTGGGAAACCGCGCAAGCTAGCCACACCGTGCCAACAACCAAGTCAAGCGATGGCTCGTTGATGATGGTGTCAAGAATCTCTTGTCCCCGTTTTGCGTATGCATTGCCAGCAGCATACGTTGGCAGTCCATTCTCAGCCATGAACCGCTTGATAGCTGGATGATCTGAGAATGGTGCAGCCATAGCACACATTCCCATGACGAGAAACTCTGAGTGGCTCGGTCGCTCCAGGCACAGTTTCGCCGTGATTGTGCTGTCGTGGTAAGGGGAAGCCCATATGCTGTTTTGTATGAAATGGGGGAATCACATTAGTCAGATCATGGCAGCGTCCATCACGATGTAGGGCGCAACTTACAGTGGATTTATGATGCGAAGGAACAGACGCACCAACTCCATTTGCAGGTCTGGCGCAAACAGATCGTCGTGTGCAAGGAAAGGACGAGCCACAGAACGCGATGGTGATACCAGCTCTGTCACCGTCCGGACATAACTTGCAGATAGTGGTGGTAGGTCTTGCTCCGCACGACTGTAACTGGGTCGATGGCTTCTTCGCATGTCCTGATTCTGGTGTTCACGAAGCGGAGTTGCCGGAGAATCATCTGGTTGCCCTTTGTTCTGCAACCAGCCTTCGACTTCTCTGACTCTGGCTTCCAGCATTCGAACGTATCCTGCCAGCATGGCGGTGATCAATTAGTCCAAAGGATCGAGCCTCCAGCTTTCTCGGATGTTGTAGAGCCTCACCTGTCGTGTCGTAACGCCTCCCGCGTCTACTTGAACTGTTTGTGCGCTCCGATCCGCCGTACGTGCAGGTGTCTCCAATGTCGTGTTTGACGCAAGCAGAACATGCCGGCTTGCCCGAGTCGCACTTGATCTTCAATCGGTAGCCTGCGAGAAGATGGAAACCATTATCAGCACCTGTTTTATATCTAAGCGGCGGCACTAAGCGCAAATACGGTAGTCCTTCACTTACATCGATCGCAGGCCCAAACCTTATTGGCGCCAATAGCATGTCTGAGGCGTTGTGCGGTGCGATATTGACGAGAAGCTGCTGTGCTGGCTGCCCCAGCTTTCGGCCTAGAGTCCGACACGCTGTCTTCTGGTCCTGAGAGTTCGTCGCTATAAGCGCGGTGAAACGAAGTGTTTCCCACGCTGTCCGGCATCCTTCCCTTATTTATCCACGTTTCGGTGTATTTGAATTCGTATTACTTTTGAAGCTGGACTACGTTTAGAGACGGTATTAAGTGTGCGCTGGCCGAGAGTGTTATTCAGCACTGAGATAGAATTGGCTTAACGCAAGGACGAGGTATACGAGAATGCGAGAGCAATTGTGTTAGACTTTTCCTGTAGGAAGGGTAAGGGGTTGGGGTTGGGGCGCGGGGGGCGTGCATGCTGTACTTATGTACATGGATATATTTCCGGGGGAGGGGATCGGTACCGTGCCTTTCTGTTTGTCCACGGCTACCCTCCGATGAAGGTCCGAGCCGAGAAAAGTATGATGTACGCGTGGATCGACCATGAGGCACAATGGAGCGGCAGCCGGAGGTCTCGGGGAGTGAGCGCGCCGAGACGTCCAAAGGCATATGGTTTGGCGTATCGTGAATATCCGCCGCATTTCTTTGAACGTTTTGGGCAATGAGGATCTCGATTTTGATTAGGGGTCCTGATTCGGAGGTGCGCTTCCGAGTTACATTTTGCGATTCCATTCCCTCCTCAATGCTCCTCGGATGCTGAAGAATGGGTTCCTTGGTCCGGAGTCCCGCGTCACTCTTTCCGGTTACTAATGGTCATATGGATCGAGAAGCGTATGGCCAGTGAACAAGTCGGAGCTCAAAAATGATCTGCAAAGGATCTACTTGCATGACGTCATAAAGTCAAGGGAAGCACATTTACCGGAGAACCGGAGACAAGATCCGCGGTACAGTACAGAAATTTACGCCATGGGAACAAGGGGGGCATTACTGCCGCATTGCGGCCCGAAAGAAATGAACAATCGAACGATACTCGGCGCTGTGGCAAGAACGCAAATATCCCGGGTCTGATGAACGTTAAAATGTGGATCCCGGACTCGCTACGTACGACGGACATGAGGGGCAAAACCCAAAAGATTCCCGCGATATCTGTCGCCATGCATGCACTGGTAAGGGACTTCAAAGGAAAGAAATGCAATATAGACTCCAACAAAGAGAAATCTGGACCAACGTCGGCCCCCCCTTTATGTATACATGTCTCCCTTATACATGTCTCCCATATACATGTCTCCCTGATGGACCTGCCCCATCTCACCAAAGCGAAGAAGGTTGTCTGGGGCAGAAGGTTGTCGGGGTTGTCGGGGGCGGTGTCTTAGATGTCGTCATTATCCAAAAACTGATATCCGGGTACTTTCCGGCCTGCGTAATAGTCATTATCACAGAGATGTGTCACGTGACGAGGAACTGACGGCGCCGTCAAATATGTTCTGGAACCCGATTGACGATACGATCACGGCCTTCGACGGAAAGCGAAAGCCCATTAAGCTCAATCTTACACGACCCACACAGGGCGAAGGGTCGCGTATTCAAGATGCAACTCGGTTCAGAGGGCCATCGGGGAGGAAGGGAAAGGGGGGGGGTTTTGGTCTAGCTTATCTACCAGCGTGTCCCTTGCAGTTCAGCAGAGGACAATACTTTGTCAAAGTCGAATGTCCACCGTTGCTAGCAATCGCCTCCCAAGATGGCTGCAATCTTCCACTTCCTCTGCGTGCTCTTGACCGCTGGAGCTGTGGTAGCTGCGGGCTCGCAGTTCAACCTGACCATTCTCACCACTTCCTCGACTGCGGCGGAGGTCACGCAGCTGCCTTCCGGTCGAACATATGGAGGGTACGCCACACTTCAGACGGCCCTTTCGAAAGCCAGGGTATGTGCGGCTTGCAGTGTCCCTTCGCTGAGCTGCGCACCCTAACTCCCACAGCAGGTCAATCTCGCCAGCACATCGACACCGACTTTGGCCATCCACGGCTTATCTGCGCTGGGGATGTACTCGTTTTCTCAGTACTACAAAGGTCCGTTCCCTGAAGATTTTTGGACCTAAGCCCACGTCTCAATGGTCTGGGCACTTCTGTAGGCAAGAAAGAAGCCACGTACTTGAGCAGACTCGGATTCCAGTATACTACATTTGGAAGTAGAGATTTGTTCCATGGAACGGAGGTCTATGCAAACAACTTCCTCAACAACACGTCAGTTGCATGCATCTCATCAAACACATGGATCTCCAAATCCTCGGCATTGTCCAACCTTTGTCAGCGCTACAAGGTCACCACATTGACCGATGCAAACACGCAGACGACCTTCAAAGCCGCCATCGTCTCGTATGTGGTCACAGACTTCTGTAGTTTCACATTTTGCGCCGAGTCAGCATCCTCGCCTGCTCAAGTCAAGGTGTTGGACATAATACCCGAAATGACGGCGTTCATACAGCAACTGCAGTTTCAGGAGAACCCGGATGTCGTTATAGCGATGTCGAGTGGGTTAGATCTCAATGGGGACCTTGCTATTGCGTCCGCGGTGCCTGGAATAGATGTGATCATCACGAGCGACGATAAGACAGTGAGCTCGAAGAGTTTCCCGATAGCTGCTACTGGAGCTGAAGGTGAGAATCTGGATCTGATATCTTCTTTGCGCGTTGAAATTGAACGTAAACATGGCGTGCAATAGGCGGACCCGTCCTCATAGTAGCTGACATGACACCCGAAGGCGTACGCGGCCTAGCCCGGGTGGATCTGCAGTGGAGGAACGGTTCCTTGGCCGCATGGTCTGGCACCCGGGACCCGTTGAATTCCTGCCAAGGCGATCCGTCTCCTTTGGCAACATGCATTCCGCCCGATGCGGCGTTCGTATCTGACATTGTTGCGGATTATGTGGAAGTCGATAAGGCGTTGGAAGTCGTTATTGGAAGCACAACGGCGCTGTTGAATGGCGCCCAACTTCCGAATCACCCTTGCAGGAGGAGCGACTGCACTGCTGGGAGCGTTGTCTGCGATTCCATGTTGTGGGTGACCGACGGTCAGTGCGATGCTGCGATACTCAATGGCGGGAGTATCCGGGATTCACTTCCTGCTGGTAATGTGACCATGAAGAACATCATGGGGATGTTACCAAACCACAATACCATCTCGGTGACTCGTTTGAGGTATTTATTGCTTTGCCGCGAGTTAGTTCATACGAGTGGCGGTCACATGCTGAGCTTTTCGCAGAGGAATAGACGTCTTGGATGCATTATCCAGTGGTTTGAGCAAAGTCTTCCCACAGGGGAGTGCTGGTCGCTTTCCCCAAGTGGGTAATATCCATTATACCTACAATGTCAACAACAAGCCGGATGCACTTCGCCTAGTGTCCGCACAAATCTTCAATCGCACCCAGGGAACGTATGTCGACATTGATCCCAATGCGATATACAATATCTGTGTGAATGACTACATGCTGAATGGCGGAGATGGGTATTCGATGTTGCTGACCAATGCTTTGAGCACCTTCTCTCAAGGCACACAGTTGGATGTCGCCCTCAGGTCCTATATGGCGGTAAGTTTTGGGAGGGCAGGAAGTGTGGGTCATGCTCTAATGATGTGGATTGTGCAGGCCCAGTCTCCCATATCTCCTCCGGCTGGTCAACGTATCCTTGACCTTTCCACGACGAGCCCATCCTCCCCTCCGCTCTTGGGGTCTTGCAAATTTGCGACATCTGTGACCAACGCTTCAAGCATCCTTTTGGACCCTTGTGATGGAGGTTTGTAATATGGCTCTGCTGCCTTAAACGCAAATATTGAGAACTCATTGCTGCACCTTCATCAGGATCCCGTTTCCGGACGAATGTCTCCTGGACAATCACGCCGACTATAACCTCCCTGCGCTCCATCAATCTGTCATTCGGAAACTTTACGATGGATCCAACCACGGACGTCCTGTATCTATACAATCCGGCGACCAACCAGCTCCTGCAAGTGCGCTCACCCGCCGACAACGTCTCCATGGTCCCAGCGAACTACACATCTCTGCCGTCATCAGTTGGCATCCCAAATGTAGTGTCTGTAGGCGTGCGATTCGTTGCAAATCGCCCGCTTACCGGCAGCGGGGTGAAGCTCAGCTACGCCGCTCATGACGGCTGTCCCGGAGGATACATTCTTGACAACGGCAATTGCGTCGGTTGCCCAGCGGGAACATACGCCGGGCTCCTCGATGTTCAATGCACTGCGTGTCCGGCTGGGAGCGTTACGACCACTAGCGGGCTGGAAACGTGTGCTGTTTGCCAAGAAGGGACTTTCAGTGACGCGGCAGGGAGAACGCAATGCCAGACGTGCGACAGGGGCCGGATATGGATTTCGTCGACGCAGTGTCAATGTGCTGCTGGCACCTTTTTCAATGATTTTACCTGTCTGCGTAAGTCTATTCCGTCTTCTCGTGAATCTGGGTCCCTGCTCATATGCTGACTGGTTGGTCGCCGATACGACAGCGATTGGGTCAGGCTCGTCCCAAACCGGGCAGATTATCGGAATAGCTCTTGGTCTGATTGTACTAGGTGCCGGTATTGGATTTTATGTCTACAGGTATGGCTACTCTTGCGGTTTTCATTTCCTTCGTTCTGCGCCAACCCTGCGTTGTACCCCAGGCGACGTATGGCGGCCATCAAACGGAGACAGATGGGAACGTCGAAACAGAAAGCGTAAGACTATCTCGATGCCATAATTTCTATGTTCTGATAAAAAGCTGAACTTTTATGGTAGGCTGAAGGCTGATGTTGCCATGAAGCGCCTGGTGCACGATATCGTCTTGTCCGTGATGCAGATTGGAATGGACGCAGGAGAATGTGCGCTGGATTGGTATGTTTTGACCTCGACGTTGTATTGGGAGCTTCAATCTCCCGGTCACTTATAAAGTACGCTACAGGCGCGCGTTTCTCAGTGTTCCCGAAGATGAAGGAACCAGACTGTTCTTCATTGTCGGATGTATCTTCCAGAGTTTGTAAGATCACTATGGTACTCACCTTTCCTCTCGCATCTGAACTGATTGTCTCATCCGCATAGGATCACACTTCTGTCCGCCGCGCTACGAATCTACAACATCCAGCGCCTCTTCCGGACGCGTTCTTCTGGGATCAAGCTGATAGCAGCCGGCGCGCGGACCACATCCGTCGAAGCATTGAAGCGCATCCAGGACGCTGAGAACGACCCTGATCTGCAGCTGTCGCTTCTTTCACTGAACAGTTTGCGCCAAAAAGTGATTATAACCATCGCGGTCGCTGCTCCGGGCATGGTGAAGAGTGCGATGATGCTGCTCGTCAGTATTGTGGTAGCGAAACATCAAGGGAGCGGTAAGGTGTCTTGCCTCATTTCCCTACTTTTCAATAGTGCGTGTATCTTGACCTTTTGAACTCCATAGGCCTCACCCTTTTGCTCGCGTTTGGCTTCAGTTGCCTCGTGTTTGCCATCAACTTGCAAGAAACGTTAGGATGGTTTCACCTTCGGGATACATACAGGAAAGAGAAACAAGCAGCCGACACCAAATTGGCCAGTCTAGGACTTCGAAGGCCAGACGGGTATCATCACCGCACGCAGACCGAGAAAGATGCGGTCGACTACTCGGATGAAGAATCTAAGGCTGGGGGCGGCGGAAAACGCAGAGAAATCGAGGCCCCGGGAGGGGAGACCCCCTCGCCGGTAGACGGGGTTGCGACTGAAAAACATATAGCATCCCATGCATTGGAAGACGAAGAGAACCCATAGAGAGATTGACGTCTAATTCCATCGCATTTGACTTTACTCGTTGATGCTCGTTCCCTCGAAACTTCATACCCGGAAACGAGTGTGTTTGAGACTTTGAGTCGGTGAGAATTTGACGCGTTTTATTTGATATTTTTGCCGGTTCGCCGCTTCTTATATCGCCCACCAGCCGCACCGGCTTCCGTGGGCGTCCCGCTGGTGGGCATGCAGGTTACTCAGAACATGCACGACTGGTAGTCTAGTATATATTTAGAAAGGGAGGGGCTACGGCATCCCCGGTTACATACCTACAAGTTCAGTTCCCCTGCCCGTCAGCATCAACCTCATAATGTTGGAATGGAAACTAGGCAGAAGGGCTTTCTCGCGAGGGGAGTTCAAAGGTACTGCAATTGTATTGAGGGGGTGTGATTGTTGTGGGCAAGTATCGCTGAAAGGTTATACTTCATCTATCAATTTATAGGAGGGGAATGGTCGTCCTCGCTTCAGGGCCGCATGGACCGAGAGACTCTCAAGGCTAGAATACAGTACTTGAACTCAACCGCCGGTAAGTCCCCATCCCTTGTACAGTATTGCGAGCGAAGCGAGCAGAGAGGTGCCACCAGAGAAGAGAGCAGCAAAATTGAGAACGACTCATAGCACCGCTGGCGAGTTGCAGGCAATGTCTGCTTGCAGCGTGCCCTGATCTATTGCGAGCAAACTGCGAGCATCGCATGTGTCGGACGACGATTTCTTGTATCTTCGTAATCGATGCAATGATGATGGTGATGCCACTTTCTTCATAGTATACCTAATCGGCTGTCTTATTTCTGCATACAGGCAAAAAGGTTCCAGCCAACATTTGGTACTCCCTCCCTCCCCTAGTTATCTTCATCATATGGATTTCTGTCATCTTTGGCGTCGTAATGAAGGGAAAGAGCTGCTTCGACAACAATTCTCAACCATCGTCCGATTTCACCTTGCCGTCCGACAGCAAGCCTTCTGCGTCTGCCGCCTTCCTCCCGGCGTTCCCGTCCGTGGTACCTATGAGTACGCCCGCTGCTGCTGCCAGAACGACTACCGTACTTGTGTCCGTGACGGGCTCGGCATCTGTGCCGCTTGCAAACGCCACGCCAGCACCTGCCACACTATCGCCTGCCACCAACACCAGTCCCAACTTGCCACCCGCGGACAGCCCTGCCCCCAGCAGCAGCAGCAATGGCGGCGGAAGCACCAGTGGCGGTGGCTCTTCGTCTCCGCCGTCATCCTCCGGGCAAAAAGATATAACTGCATGTACATTCGCTTGTCCGAAGCCTCCGTTCGGTCAGTGCACGCAGCCCGTTAGTTCAGACGCTTATTGGGCCTGCCGCCAAGAAATTTCAAAGCCCTGGAACGACTGCGTCGAGAGGTGTTATGGCAGGACACCATCCAAGCGTCGCAGCCTCCACCGACGAGACTCGTGTACGAGTTCAACACCTTTCAACGGGTAAGTCATGAGGGCTTGGGTTCGTTTGGCAGGCGGTGCTGGAGGGGCCGATTACAGTGAGAATAAACGACGAGCATTCGCATTTTTCGCGGCCGAAGACTCGCGACTTGCGCCATAGGCGCAAGGACCTGATCGCGAGCAATATCCTGCGGTCAACTCTCCAACTATGTGCCGGCGTTATCTCATCGTTCTGTTTTCTGTTCTCGTCATTCATTAGCTTCCTCGTTCCCATCATCATCGTATTTGTCGCGTTCATTGTCGCCGGGGTGGTCATCTACTTTATGCGACAGAACGATTTGACGAACGCCAGAAAGGCAACAAGGAAAGCTCTGGAAGTCCTGAACGGTCAGGATAATCCCCGCGGTCTATTCTGGAGGTACAACGAGATGAAGAGGACGACGACGACATACCAAGGGGGTCGACGTACAGGCCAAACGAAGGAATACTTTCCGGTAAGATACTTGATTGCACCCACACCACCTGTTTTGGTTCGCCTCGCTAATTAAGCTCTCATTCCCTATATCGCAGATGGCGGAACTGGAAGTCATGCCCATCCCGTCCTTTTCGCTCTCTGGTATGGACGACGCAGTGTTTACGCCGCCGATGGCGTCCATGTCGCCTCGTGTTGGAACGGTGTCACAGAGCGAGTTCGCCGCGCCCTATGCGTACCAGCAGGCCCCGTTGACGGGAACGTCCATGGCGCCGCGTACGCAACCGGCGGCAGCCTTCGCGGCCCCAGCACGCCCGGCCTCATCGGCTATATCCATGTCGTCCGTCCCGGGACCCTCGCGTCTGCCTCCAACAAGTACAAGACAGTACCTGACTTCCTCACCGTCCGCCAATGAAAGGGAAAGCCACGGATCGTCCGCGAACCCGTTTACGGACGACGCAAACCTCGCGGATGAATACGACCCAGAAGCCCCGCCGCCCGCTTACGACTCATTCTCTCGCCCGTCGAGACCCGCTCAACAGTCGTCGAAAAGGGGAAAGTTTTAGGAAGCGAGACTTTCAGACCGGTAAATGCTGGTGCCGCTGGTCCGGTCCCGACATGTCTGGGTTTCTGATTTGCATTTAGCCATACATCGGCGTTTTGTGTTTTTGCCCCTCCGTCTTCTCAGGGGGCATCATTCATACATAGTTTGGAACATCGTGCACGATTGTTAGTAGATAGTTTGATGCGTATGTAGATATGGTACATTCCTGGGGTTGGAATACGGCGTAGACGTGAATGCCTCTTGTTTGCAATGATATACCAACACTTGCAAATTGCAGTTCGGCCAGCGAAACTGTGCTTCGGAAAATATCATGGGCCAGGACGGACAGATGGTTCTGATGTCCGAATCCACATGCTAATCTCATCACTTCTTCCACAGTCTAACGTCCAGCCCGTAAGAAATTTCATCGACGCATGATAAGGCACCAATTCAAAGGAAACATTTCAAGTCGTTTTTGCTTTTGCTTTTATTGCTTTAATTACAGGGTAGGGGTAGCACGCCGACGGGTAACAAGTGGGAGCACGGCACACGCGCAAGGAGGGGGTTGAATTCGTGTTTCCAAAATTGCGTTTGTGCGGCTATGAGGATGAGGGATGATAGGAATTGATTTGTGTCTGGTGGGGAAGCGATGTTCGCGGATAAGCAGCTCATGCGGAACCCTCCAACTTCCTCCTCTCCTCCTCGGCGGCGACAATGTCGGCATCCTTTCCTTGGTTGAAGGTGGCCTTGATTTCTGCAATCGTTGATGGATCGTCAATGTCCGTAAAAACTTACGTAGGCGGAAGTACTATTGACAGGTCCACCCTGACCATAAACACCTCCCGTCTGTGAAAACAAGCGATATCCGGAAACTCACCAGGCTTCTTCTTTTCCCATTCAGCCTCAATCTCCTCCTTTGCGTTCTGGGCAGCCAGCTTGGCGGCGGAACCGGCGTGGGTGGCGGCGTTTCCGGCCAGCTGGGCAGCAGCGTTGGCCTCAGCTTGAGCGGTGTCGAGCTCAGCGTTGGCGACGTTCTTCTTTGCTTGGGAGGCCATTTTTGATTTTGTTTGGGGTGTAATGAGGACGGTGGGTTTCAGAAAAAGGGTTTGCGTTTTGTGGGGTTGCTGTTTTCGTTTCTGTTCTGAACAGGGAAGTTGGGAGGGCCTGCCTTTTATAAAGAGCTCCTGAGCTCGCAGCCCTCCAGGACTGAATACGTCATGCCAATTTCACAGACGCGCCTGTCACGATCTCACAAGCCCTCCGCAACCTTGCGCGAGACAAGACAATAGGCGTGACGTATGATGAATCTCGGCCCTTCTCTCCTTTCCACCAAGCCCCCGCTGTCCCAGAACCCAGACAGACCCAAGCCCTCCCGGACTCCCGAATCGGCTCTTACTCAGCCCTCCCCCGCCGATCGTCGTCCTTTCGGAGTCTCCACGTATGCCCAAGGCCCATGACTTGCAAGTTGACAAGGCCTGCATTTCGCCATTTGAAGTTCTAGATCTAAGCTCAAAACGGGAGGCGAAAGGATTCCAAATCATCGCAAAGGCGCTCCGTTTTTGGCATGGTGCGGATGTTGAGAAGAGCCGACAGGCCATGCACGCGAGCAAAAGCTAGCACAGACTTCACCGACTAACTTCCTCATGCATTCAGGTACTTAGTTCTCAGAGGTTTCCTGGCGAGGAAGCGAACGCCCAGCTGGTAGCGAGTAGGCGACGGCTGAGAATGTTCCGTTGCTGGCGAGTGTTGCCTCTCGCCGACCCGTTGTGAATGAGTCTTGCTCCATGTCCAATGCGGCCAGAGTGTGGGGGTTAGGGTTAGGATGAAATAGCTGTTTGGCTTAAATAACCGCGCGTAACAAGAACCGTGGCATGACAAGCCTGCAGCCAATCAGCGACGCGACAATTTGGAAACGGGACGTGAGCAGATGCGCGCCCTGCGGGTTGCTGCACTTCGGCCGGTGGGGAGAACGGGTGAAGAGTCTCGACTCTCGAGACCCATAGTAGACACAAGCCGACATGGCAAGAGCGGCCCACACCGCATGAGATACTGTACTCTAAAAGTCACAAGGATATCCAGGGTCGGAGTAGATAAGGAGGACAGGGCGGGCCTTGGCACCACTTCCGCTTTCGTGCAATTCAAGAACATTTCTGTGTAAAAACTTCCTCACCAAAAGGTTCCCGCAATTGGCCAGGATATCGCCAAGTGGATACTAGATAGATACGAAGAGGAGTTGCAGTCGAAACCCAGACAGTAGAACACACGGGCGAGGCCGTCGTCGAGCAGTTCAACAACGTCGAACAGGGAGTCCAAAGGTCATGAGTCCCACGCAGTCAGCGGAACCCGACTTGGACCCGTACTTGGCGGGTTTTCAAGCCGCAGCCCGCACCCTATTCGCAGAGCAGGATGCTCGTACTCGACAGCTCCTGCAGGAGCAAGAGGAGCGCTATGAGCGGAAGATCCATGTCATGCTGCAGCAGAACACCCAGCCGGTCTATGTTGCGAACCCGCATATGTCTGGCGCTATGTTCCCGCAGCTCGGACCTCCCGGCCAGCAACTTCAACCCCACCAGCAGCTTGCACCACAGCTTGGTGGATTTCAACCACAGCTGGTTCTCCCGCCGAATCAGCTAGCTAATCAACATACGCTGTTGACGAACACATCTGTACCGTCCAGCTTATCGCCATATGGATTCCCAGCCGCATCTCCGATGGATTCCCACGACCCTTTCGCCACTTATACCACCATCCCCGGGACTACCAATCATTCCACCCTTTCAGCGCCAGCGTTCTCCTACCTCGACACGCTGAATCTCGACACGGACTTCAATATGCTCACTGAACAGATATTGGACGCCTCGGGCGTGATCCCAATGGATCTTCACACACCTTCACTAACATCGGTAGCAGTGAAGTCTGCTGACGGCAAATCAAAGTCGAAAAAGTCCAAGCGTAAGGCGTCAGTGGATAACAGTGTCGGTGGCTCAGTGGAGGGTGCCAGCAACGATACCAGCTCCTCGAAGAAAAAGAAGACGAGCAAAGGCGACGACGAAACAAAGACAAAGAGGAAAGCTCGGACGAAGTCCGTATCGAAGGCCGGCGCTGCCGTCAAATCGCCAACTCTGGCGACCGGTGAGCCCATGACAGAGTCGGCGCCTGCCACAATCAACGGTACACTCAGCTCGGCCCCGGGTTCGGTTGAGCCCGCAGTGTTCATCGCGGCTAGTGCTGAGAGCACATTAGCGCCTATGCTTCAACCCATTGCGACGTCCGCACTGCCCTTACCGGACGGCAGCGCCTTCGCTCTCACATCTGCACCAGCATCGATGAGCCCGATGACACTTCCCGCTGGAACCATCCCAGACGCAACACAGAGTCCGGCGATGGTACCCGCCTTCCAGATGGCGTTCAGTGCGGCACCAACAACGCCTGATTTGACATTGTATTCCGAAGTAGCACCCGACCATGGTCCCGTGTCTGCGCCAGCCGCCACATCCTACGGGCCACCGCTGGCGATCTTGCCGGCACTTGCAGATGCCCCGAAAGAGGTCCCTCCGGCAAAGCTGCCCTTACCCCGCCTGGCCAAACCAGTGCAACCACCTCAACACTTCCTCGCAGCGCAGATCCTGAAGCACCAGCGGAAAGTAGCCCACAACGCGATCGAGCGTCGATATAGGAACAACATCAACGATCGTATCACCGAACTGCGATCAGTCGTTCCCGCATTGAATGGGCCGAAGATTCGGGATGCAAAGGGTTCAAAGAGGAACCGTCCTGAAGACGAAAGCAGCTCCGAAGACGAGGACGAAGGCGAACTCATCGACGGTGTTCCCGCTGCTAAGAAGCTCAACAAAGCGACGATCTTGAAGAAGAGCACGGAATACATCTTGCACTTGAAGTCTTCCAACGACATTGTCCTGGATCAGAACGCAAAGTTCAGGGAAATCATCCGATCTTTAGGCGGAGCTGAGATCCTTCGCCAGTTCGATGCACTCCAGACCCATCAGCAGCGCGCCAGCATCCAATTCGCTCATCAGCAGCAGCAGAACGACCTTGGCAATCACTCCTCCAACGACGAAAGGACCGCGCCGATCTCATCAGAGAGCTCAGCCTCTGGCTCTCCATCACCCGAGCCAGCCAGTCCTCGCGACGACGGTCAAAGCTTGAAGATGATGGTTCTCTGCGGCATGTGCGTCGGCATGCTTTGGGCACCAAGTCCGTTCGCCAACGCCGCGGACCATCACCACGGAATGGCCAAGGTGTTCGGAAACCCCAACACATCGTCAGCCATTGCGAACCTCGGATTTGTTGCCGCCTCACTTCCCGTGCTCTACCATGTCGCTCAGATCTTCTTCCTTATCTTTGGCATGTTCCGCGTCTTCCGATGGGCCTCCCCGTCATTGGGGGCCGGTGTCACTTCTCGCATGGCGAATGCGTCAGCCGAAGCGCACGCACTCGTAAGTGATGCACCGTACGAGGAGCGCTATAAACAGTTGTGCACTGTACAAGGCAGGAAACTGGAGCATGCGGGATGGTGGACAGTCATCTTGGAACTGCCAAGGTACTTTGCATCGCAGTACCTACCTGCGCGAAAGACGTCGACCGGTGTTGCGAAGTTGTCGTTGATCGTTTTGGAAGCTAGTCTTCGAGGTAAGTGATTGATCTGTAAGACACCCATGTCCCGGATTCTTTGCTAACCACCATATGCCCGCTATAGAACCGAAATCGTTGCCGCCAGCGCATCGCGTATACCTCGCACTCAACACGTTGAGCCTGGTCAACCGCATACCAGCAAACTCGGCTGAGCTCGTCTCGTTAGGACACTTCCAGGCAGCCGTCAGTCTGCGCGTCGCCCTCACTACCGTGAAGTCTCCCCTCGCCAGCCGCATTCTGCGTTCCCGCGCCGCGAAATGGTTCTCGGCCGCGCTGAAAACCGATAACTTCGAATGGGCTAAAGGTGTTGAGAAGGCTGACCTCGTCACGACTTTCGAGAGTGACGCATGGATCGACGTTGCGGATCCGGTACGATCTCTGAAGGACGCTGCTGGCAAGCTTCAGATGCGTCAAATTATCTATCAACGCGACGCCATCCAAGCACTGCGTCCCTTGCCGTCGCCCGGCACATCGGCTGCGCTCACTCTTGTTGAGAAGGTCCTTGGCGCGTCGGCTAGCCGCAAACATCCCGCCTTGGTGGTCATTGCGCTGTATGCCTCGGGCTCGACGCAGGAAGGCACCAATATCGTCGCTCACCTGATCTCTGAAAACCAGCTGAAAGGCACCGTTGGGCTGGCCCTGTTGACCTACGCCGCAACAACCGCGATGGAGTACGACAACGAAGACTATGACGCTGCGAAAGCCGTCGCCGCCCTGAGCAGGCTCGCGGACGGGTTGGCCGTCACCTTATCCCCAAAATCATCCCGCCTCAACACCGTCACCCTCTCATCGCAGAAAGCCGACGACATGAACAACCTCGCCGAGTTCCTCGCCATCAGCTGGGCCGTGATGGGCCTCAAACGTTTTGTGGAGCAGAGCAACGCGTCTGTCGCTGTGGGAGCGGATTGGGGTGCATCCGACCCGATCTTTGAGAAGTGCATCAGCCGCTGCGGGTACAAGCTGAGGACGCTCCTTAGCGCATTGGTGGAGGGTGCGGAAGACTCTGTGCAGGGTAGGGCTACTGCGAAGGAGTTTGTACGGATTTACCAACGTCTGTTTGATGGGAGCAATGCCCCTTACTAGTAGACTTGGGTCGTAGGGGGGTTATGGTTGCCGGTTTTGTTCTACTGTGGTTCTCCTTTTTTGTCACAATCAATATACATCTATTACTTGTCTTCGTAAGCACGAGTCTCATGCAAGCCAATTGCCAATTGCTCCATTCTTCCACTCTAGTGAATTGTCTTACTGGATGCTTCTCATGTATGGACGGCGAAGGAGCCCCCGGGCCCTATTAAGTCATAGGAACTTGGAACTTCGACAAGTCAGCGCAACGTCACGTGAGATATCAGCGCCGGGGTAAATATTAAAAGGCCAAGCAAAACGCGCTGTTGTGGTCGTACAAATGGGGACTTACGACCCCTGCACCAAGCCCCGTTCCGGCGCGTTTGGACTCACTGGTGACGTTGGATTTTGCAAAGGAAAAGCGCAAAAAGGGACCATCGATACAAAAGCAAGCAACCCCACCTGCGAAGCATTGCATTCCCCACCAACGACCATCCCATTTTCCCACGCCCTCAAACTCACCATCAAACCCACCAACATCACTGCAAACATGGTCGCCTTTAACAACGTCGCGTTCCTTGCTGCTGCTGCCTTCATCTCTACTGCGAGCGCACAGGTCACTCTCCCCGGTGGCGCTCAAATTCCGGGCGTGCCAAACCCTCTCCCTGCGCTCACATCGGTTGCCGGTCAAGTCACTTCCGCCTTTGGAGTTGCCACTTCCGCCATCGCTGGCGTTGCCACACAAGTCGCTGGCGCCGCCACACAAGCGACGTCTGCCGCTGGGGCTGCCGCTACTACCGTCGCTGGTGACTGCCCTGTGGTACGCTTCATGTTTGCTTCCAACGGCCATATTTCTTGTTCCTCATGCTAACGTTTTCTTTCCCGGATTGCAGTTCGACCTTTGCAAGAGCAACATCAACATTGCCACGACCAGCACGTGCGACCCCTTGCAGAAGACTAACGTTACTTGGTACGCGGACTGTGAATGCAGGTTCGCCGTGAACATGAAGTAAGTAACATTTTTCGGGTCGTAACCTTCCTGAAGAAGAGGGTGGCCAGCTATTCGCCTCGCAAATTGCTGACTCTGGTCCCTTTCAGGAACTGCTACTCTCAGTGCCCAGGGAACGCCAAGGTTGAGGCCGAAGGAGTTGCTTACCAGACGAAAGTCGTCGCCCTGTGTGCAGCCGCCAACCTCGACGCCAACCACCTTCCTCCAACCGCCCCCTGGATCATCTCCTCCATTGCTGTCCCAACGGCTACCGCTACCGCCGCCGGTAACACCGTTGCCGCCCCCGCTATCACTGCTACGTCCGTTGCTTCTGCGGCTGCTACCGCTACGCCTTCCGCGGGTGCGAACTCTGAGGGCTACACTCTTGGCGGTTTGACCGCCATCGTTCCGATTGTTGGTGCTGCCCTTGCAGCGGTGCTCGTCTTCTAAAACTTCACGGACTTATTTTTCCTTCCTTGTACTGAGGCACTGATGTAGATTTAGAGACATCGCGCGGCGTAACATATCCCTTTTTCTACATAATGCAGACATTTGTATATTTCTTTTAGTTTTTCTTAATATCAGCTTTTTCCACATACCTGTGACTATCATTTGGGCACCTGTCGCTGCGAGGTTGGTGTACCTTTCTTCCCTTAGCGAATAATGAGAAGATGGGAAAGACAGAGAACTGCGGCAGCATCGTCCACACCTATCTCAATTTCAAAGTGTTTGCTGCAATACGTACCTTCCCAACCTCAACGCCTAGGTCTGCACCTGAACGGTAATTGCCCGCCGATGTCCTATACATGCAGAAAAACAATGCGGCCGGCGACTCCAACTGGTGATGTAGAGGGATCATGCCTTAAACATAGCTTCGAGAGTCCATGATTATATATGCGGCATGTGTGAGAAATGTCGATTTGGGGACGCGTCGAACTGCTCATAAGCGACGAGCGCGTCCCGCGAGCCCTTTTTTACCCCTGTAAAATTACCAAACCGTTTTCCTTCCATGGACGGTGAACCCGACCCGCAGAAGGGACTCGACCGTAATTACCGCATCACACGCCTCCGATGGGTTCTTTGCCAAAGACGCACATCAAAACAAACATGTACGGGACGATGGGGTCTGCCAATATCCACATCAATCGCCCCTGAGTTGTTTGCAATACAAAGTCCGTGACTCCTGCAAAGTCCCCGCCAACCATACCCACCAGTTAGCGGATGTGTACTTCATTTACTCGATCGTGTTGAGGCTGCGTCCGTTTTACTTTTTGGGCGGGATCACTACCTCTCCTGGTGGCAGAAGCTCTCGTTCCTCCTTCCCTTCGCCTCCGAAAAGTGGATTCCTTGGGTTTTGCACCAGCAGAAAAACGTATATATTCCGCGAACGTAGATCCTTTCCCGCCTTGCTCGACTCCTTGTGCAAGCACGCAACGGATCCAGTTTCATCCGGTATACGGCATTGTAGGACCTCTCTCTTGAAACCTACCGCAGGACGGTGAACACGGCGAGAATCATAAGTTACCGAGGCTGCGCAACAGGATCCTTCGCCACCGTCGACATCTTCATTTGGACTACTTAAAAAAGCATCGGCTTCCTGCGTCTCTCCGTGCCTCCGTCCTACAGCACAACAATTGCAGACCCACCTGTGAATGGAGGCACTCTTCCGTCCTGTTCTTCTGTCATCTTGCCCACGCATTTCGCGCTACGAATCTCGCGACGATGTTGACGCGTCGGAGCCCGCGGAAAGGTAACGTGTCATGGTGCATTTCGCGCATTGGAGATTAGCATGATGCTAACGAAAGGCTTCTTCCATCACCAGTGACCTTTACCATTCAAACAGCAGCAGTGCTGCTATTTGCGACCCATCCTGGTCTGGCAAGCCCATTGTTTCTCGACGTTCCGACACCCGCCAACGACTTGGCCCCGGCAATTCCAACCCTGCCCCCGCTCGCCACGCCCTCTGCACCAATAGGCACCGGCTCGACCCCTACTCCTCCGCAAGCTGCAAAGGTCTCTAGTGGAGTACCCAGCCCTCCGGCGACCGTGCAAGGCAGTAATGTTTCATCCGCGATTAGCACCGTAACCCCCGAAACAGACGCAGGAAGCGAATTAACTTGCCCCGATGGACACTATGCAAACGCTGAGAATACCAGCTGTCTGCGCTGTGATGCGTCCTCCACCAATGTCGTTACGTGTGAAAATACGCTGGCGCTGCATGCGAATGCTTTGAGGCCGTCGTCTTCGGAGATGGGAGCGTGGGCGCCAGCCGTAACGGCAGCCGTGGTTGGGATTCCTGTGTTGGTTTGCATCTGCATTGCGTTGGGGGCGGTTTGGTGCATATGGAGCAGACAAAAGAAGGCGAAAGGGGATCTCTTCGGTAGTAAAATGGACTCGCTTAAAGGTACGCCTAATCAGGATTGTCCTATATGATATCGATTTTCAAGCTGATTTTCGTCTATGGAACAGACTTCAGTGAAAACAGCAATCTCCCAACACGGCCTCAGCGGGCATGGAGGAAGCCTGGTGGCTCCGTGCGCGTGGGCGGGATAAAGGAACCACCTCTTGTGAAAGATGAAGCCAGCGGGCAACGAGAGAAGTTCATGGACATGGTCTCAAAGGCGTGGCAAGGGCCATTGGAGCCTGATCGAAAGACTGCAAAGCCCGCGCAACCATCAGCAGCACTCTCCGCGCCTCATTCGAATGGAAGCGAAGGAGGACTGACAGCAGATGAGCAGCGAAGCGCTCTCATTCCAACGATCACGCACATACCAGAGCTTGCGAGAGATCTGGAAGTACCGTTATTTGCTGGGAAGTCGTATCAGCCTGAACGATTTGCTGCACAGAACATCCCAACCATCCAAGTACATCAACCAGACAGTGCACCCCCTTCCGGCTTCAGCTCAGGGTCCTCCGCGACGTCGAACAGCTCGTATAATTCTCAAGGCAAACCCCGAAAGCCCATCTTAGCCCACCGCGAGAGACAAAAGCCTCGCAACCCCGGCGGCCGAATCTACGATGATGTCGACACCGGTCGGTCTGTGAACCGGGAGCTTATTCGCAAAGCCGCCCTTGACGAATTTGCCTATCAGCAACATAAAAACAGCAGTGTGAAGTCGTCCACACCATCGGCAAGCGTGGATGGCTCTAACCCCAGCGATAACACACGGGTCAACACTCCTGCAACCGACCTGATGACAGCCAACGACGACGTTCCGCTGATCAACTTCGTCGGTCCAAGACCAGCTGCACCAACCGTCCGTCAGGACCCTCGCGTTCTTCGCCTCCATATCGAAAGCGGCACATCATCCTCCCTCAGCTCTTCGGGGTCCTCCTTCAGATCGGAAGCATCATCAGCCTCGCGCCTTCCCTCGCCCAACGGGTCCACGAGCTCACGGGAAGCGATGCGTGCTCGACGCGATATGTGGGAGAACGCGTTGTTTACGCCAGGTTCCATGTTATCGCCGGTTCCGCCTTACGCGGCCACAGGCGTTCCGATGCTGATGCCTCACCCGCCTCCTCCGATCTTAAGCTCTCCGGATCCGTACCACCCGATGATGGGAATGCTCAGCATACCACCGCCATACCAGATCTATTTCGACCAGCCTCAGTATGGCTTCGCGTCCAACTCTTCCACCACATCCTCATCCGCGGCCAGTTCCGCCTCGTCGTCGACGGATGACAGTCGCAGGGGTCGTCGACCAGGTCGGACCCGCGATAGAAGTCAAGAGACGTCCCACGACCACCCTGACACCGCAGCTTCGCGTTCTGAATCGCGCGCACGGAGCACCTCTCGATCTCGGTCCCGCTCACGGCGTCGAGATAGATCCCAGCAGCCGAGCGATCGCGTCATGGATATCCGGATGCAGAAGCAACGCGTGCTCAATGAGGAGTATCGGAAGCTGCAAAACAAATGATGTGGACTGCCACACTTACTCGCACGGTTGGATGTTCTGTTCGGATTGTTGTTCTTATGCATGGTGTGTTCATATGTCTGTTCTTACGGGTCAGTGGCTACTATAGCCTGACCCCACCCCTGTGAATACAGTAGAAACTCATCCCTTGTGTTGTTGTCAATCGGTTGTATGTACATATATATATGCAAATGTCAATAGTCCATCCGAAACTTCCATTGATAGTACGTAAGAGGACGGCAAAAGTAAAACGCAGATGACAAAGCACCCAATAAATGTGCGACGGCTCGGAGGCGCTGAATCACGTGCGTTGCTCGAATATAGATGACATCATAAAGTCTGTAGATCCACAACTCTCACTTGGCAGCTCAACGCGTCGGGAACTTCGAGGGAAGACGCCTGTCACGCGCCCCATCCACACGTCACCGTCACCGCGAATCAGGGATGGGGGGGGGGGGGGGGGGGGGAACGCAGAGTCCTTCCCTCTCCCTTCTTGCTTACCCGCTGATGAGGGAGGGATATTCCTGGATTGATGAGAACTGCATGCAATCATCCATGCAGCATCATAACTGGCTCATGAAGGTGGGGAAAAGGACACCGCTCCCTGCGTATCGATATTTCCGTGCAAAAAGGATAAAATCGTACGTAGGATTCTTGATCCACCCGCTACGCAAAGATAGGAAAGCCTCACTTGCAAGATCCGCACGGTATCCGTCCAATAATACTTGCCAGGTGTTTCCTCACTCGCAATACATACATCCACTCGGCGCAAGCAGCAAGCAGCACCAGCAGCAAACGGCTGTCTCGTCTTTCCGAGCGTTATCACCATTTGGTGTTCCTTTTCCACTCGTTGAACGAAACTTTATCCCACATACGCATACTCGGTTCGGTGTCGCAACCTGACCTATCTGTGCATACCGCCTTCCCTCCCCAAAGTCTTCGATTCAAGTTGCAACCACGTCCACACATTCTCGTCGGGTACGATTCTCGTCTCTTTCCGATCGGTCCTGACAACTTTCTACGGTTCGAAACCTTTCTGGTGAGTGAAGAGCTCTTCAGGCGGACTTGCCACTTGCAAGGTCTTCTCCAGAGTGTTTGCCTGCACGAGTTGCACTTGCGAGTGATATCCCGGTTTAGCTCACTCTTCATCACTACCTCATAGCGTCGCCTAAACAACCAGTATCGCAATGACCGAAGCGTTAGACATCTCCGCACCGTTCAATGTGCGTGGGCACAAGAACCATGCTGCCATTTCCGTCCCTTTAAACGTCGCGACGAGCCCGACAAAATCTAACGATGTTCACTTGCAGGCGGTTTCGTCGCCTCGCAGGAAGTTGTCAGTAATGGACGTCGCGACGTCGCCTTTGGCGGTGAACTTCCACACCTGGCGTATAAACGCGCTCACCACCAACGCATTTCGTCAATGCCAGTTCCTTGAGCACGCAAAAAAGACGTTTGACGAAGCCGGTGCGGATTCCGACAAGAAAGCCATGCGCATGCTCAAGGATCTTAGCTTTTTCAACTCGTCGCGGCCTTCGAGCGGATCCTCGCGTCTTTCCGAGCAGGCCCCCAAGTCGACCTACAGTGCGCTTCGAGCTCTCTTGACTACTCCCGTCTCTGCCCTTGGCGACGCAGAATGGCTTTTGGCCATCAAAACGCTTCTCGAGCCGCAGCCGGAGCTGTACGAGGAGTTCAAGGAAGCATTTGGCATACGAGAAGACGATCACACCCCGCATGATGTGGATGAGGCGTTCACTCCGACATCTGCCGCAGCCGCTGCTGAGACGGGCAAACCCTTCGTCCGTCGTTCCAGCAGCAAAGTGAAATTCGAAACACGAGAGGTACAGAATGCGGGCTCGGATGAAGATATGCCAACCATCCTTCACTATCCTCCCACCCCAGCTGCGGTCGACCTGCGTGAGTCTCCTTTCCTTTCCATCTCCGAATGCAGATCCCCAACCCCGATGAGCCCCGCTGGACCCGCCGACAAGTCTTTCGCATTTGATGCCACCGCTCCGGCCGCCATCCCTGAGCAGGAACAGAACGAGGTGTGCTTGAACGGACACTACATCGCCTACGACTTGCATGTGGCCATGATGGACAGGCCCGGCGAAATGCGGGAACTGATGGCAAGGAACCCCGAACTCTTCGAGAACATTCGTAATAGCTGTTGTGCGGATGACGATCGGTGGATCGAGCTGGAAGACGTGCTGTTGACATCTCGAGAAGAGATGGATGACTTGACTTGGATGCACACGATCGGAGACCACATGGGCAACAACCCAAGCTTGTTTGCAATGCTCAAAGAACTAGTTGGCTATGACATGCACGAGGAAGTTGCGGAAGAAAGTGAAGACGAGGATAGCGATCTATATGATGAGGAAGACGATACCTTCGAGAAGCCTGAATGGCTTGACACGGTCGTCAAGATGCGGGAAGCCCCGGAGATCATGCAGCGGCTTGAGAATGATTGTAAGCGTCAATGCTCTGTGTTGTTGACCGCCTTTATCCTGTATATGAGAACTCACACCCATCTCTCTCAGATCCGCAATTCTTTGCCAATGTCAAGAAAGCCATTGCAGCGGAGGATGAGACGGAATACTCCCACTTCCTCAGTGCGTTTTACAGTCCTGCTTCGACCATGTCTGACCAGGAGTGGGAACGCGAGATGCTGCGGTATCTCGCACGATCCAAGTCGCTTCTCAGCCAGCTTCGCGAGATTGCCCTCTACGAACTTGACGTGGATGAAGATAAACCGGAGCCGGAGACCAGTATCTTTGAGCCTGCCGTCAAGGTCGACTTCTCATCGCGTCCAGCACCTACCCAGGCTCAAGGACCAGCGTCCAAGATCGAAGTGAAGGCCCGTGCCGACCCTTCGGCTACGAGGGACTTGGAAACGGACCACCCACTCTTCTTTAACCTGCTGAGGAAGCAACTCACATCTCGTGACGAATACCATCGCTTCCTCCGAGCACTCTACGCTCCCCGAGAACACATCGCCGACGACAAGTGGGAAGCGTTGATTACACATCGCTTCCTCTCGGGCTCGCGGCGCCTGCGTCAGATGTTCCGTGAAGTCGTCGACGCTATGGTCATTTCCACGTCCGAGATTATGGATTCGGACGATGAGGAATACCTTGGCCGATTCGAAGCGCCGATTCGAGGCGTCAGTGATGCCCGTGCGCGCATCCTGCGACTCGAGCTTGCCGCTCCTGAACTATTCAACAAGATAAAGCGCAAGCTTGGCGACCAGTACGGCCGCTTCAAAGCTCTGCTCGTCACACCACGGGAGGAAATGAACGACGACGAGTGGGCCGAACGCATCGAGACGTACCTGGAGAGTGATATCCAGTTGTCGACCGGGTTTGCTCAGGTCGCCGGCATCCAGCAGTTGCGGAAAGACACTGCCAGCAAAAGCACCGCTGCGGCAGAAGAAGGCACCGGCGAGATCCTCTCCACGAGTCCATCATTGCAATCCGCAGCGCCTGTCATCGCACCTGTCCGCCCACCATCCCCCACCTCCTCCACACATTCCGGCCAATACGCCATCCGCGAGCAAATCGCCTCCAGCATCGGCCAGCTCGACTGGTTCCTCGGGCTGAAATCCGCCGTCGATGACGATAAGGTGTTTGGAAAGCTCCTCCATGGCCTCATTGAGAAAGAGGAGACGGAGAAGATCGCGCATCGCGACGACGCCACCCCGAGGTCTGAGGACCTCTCTGGCGGTATTCTGGAGCATGCCAACGTCTCCAACGACAAGCACGTGCTTCGGGAGTTGTTGCACGAGGTATTGCCATCCAATTCTGAGGTTGCTAAGCGTGTCGAAAGCTGGCTGGAAACATTGCCTTGAGCTGGAGGGAATCCCCGTATTTGCCTATCTGTTCACAATGCCTGGGCCGCGGGCGTATCATTGTCATTCCCTTCCGATTCGCTGGCTTTGTATCTTCTTTCATTTTCGCTTGTAATAATCTGCAATTTTGAGCCTTTTCATATCGGTGACCTTTTGTTCTCAACTTCACCAAATCTTTTTCCATTGTCCTCTCGGAGCCAAAGATGAGCATCTGGTCAAGACAGAATGTATTCCCATTTTACGTATTACAGTGCCCCGGAGAGCACGTTCAGATGCAAGCCAGCGCCCGACAGGTGAGCGTAACACAGAGGAATGGATGAGGCCTCTGTACATATTACCATACATCTCCAAAGGCATCCGTTTCTGTAACGACTGCTACAAATTGTACATTGCTCACATAACATACATACGAAACCCAAATACGCCGGTCTACTTATGCTGCGCCAATTTCTAGCACTTCAGAGGTGACCGATTCCACACGAGCCTGATCCAGCTTCTCAGGCTGCAGTACTAAGAGAAGATGTGATAGCGTTGCCTGATATCGCTGAACAGGATGTCTCGATCCGGAGAATCGGCAAGGACGTCAATGTTGAGTGATCCCGCGTGGGCTCTTTTCAGCGGCTGAGGCTGCGGTCCTGAGAGAAGACGTGAAAGGGCTGTCGGAGATCGCCGAACAAGAAGCCTCGCTTCGGATGCTGCCCAACGACGCATGGCTATCAAGCCCACGCGATGATAAGGCGTAGTTCCCAGTCTGCGGCTCAGTGCTTTTCGGGGGTGCACATTCCTGAACGTAGTCCCCAGCTGGCGGTTCCGAACGTCGTCCCGCGCTCACGTCGACAAAGGAAGCTTCCAAGTTTGTCGTTAAGTTGATATGTTCCGCTGCAAACTGAGCAGCTTCGATTGTCTTGAATTCCGCATATGCTATGCTGGTGCCATCTTCGAAGCGGCTATACGTTATCTCCTTCGCATTCTCGTACGAGCCAAGCCATTCCGTGGATCGTTTCTTTCCAAAATTGGTATTGAACAACATCGTCTCCTTAAGATCGACCTGTATGGCGGCAGAGGGGTTGGCATCCGCCATTTTGAAAGGGGCTCGTTCGGGTGGCGACACCATCTCGGCTGTGGCTGGGGTATAACCCTGCACAGAGGAAACGATTTGAGGAAAGGGACTGATGTAAGCGGTGAAAGCGGGCCTTCGTCGGTCCCATACCTCGATATAACGAAAAAAGCGCCTGGCCGAGGGCGGATCGGAAAACGTAGCGATGCATTCTATTTCGGACAAGAGATCCACCCGCTGCCAGCCCCAGAATGATGATAAGAGATGCATGAGAACTATTTGGGAATCAAAATCGTTACGACTTCTGTCTTGACCATTTGAGTGGTTTCCATCACAACATATACCAGCCGGTTCATCGCCATAGGGGGTGACACGAACGCCGCGTGCTTTACTGTAGAGATCCGGATTCGTCACTTTGCCGTTTTGCTCCGCCAGATAGTCCCCAAAGTCGTCCAATTTCGAGATCGGTTCCGTGGGATTCCCGTACCGATCGACAAAGTAAGGCAGCAAATTTGTTTTCGAAGTGAGGTAATCGATGAAGCTAAAAGCGTCGTGAGTTGACTTAAATTTGACAACGTTCCCACGAGGAAAAGCTCTCCCTTGATCATATCCTGGTTGTCGCTGCGCTATCTTCTTTACGACCGAAACTGGCAGAAAGTTTCGAGGTATATAGACATATGGCGACTCGACGGCAACCGAAGCGATGGGAAACGGGCCGTTCTTCGGGTTCGCAAACGACCACTTATCCCAATGCAGCTTGACACGAGCATTAAGTTTCAGGTTGAGTGTCCCCAGAGCACGAACGGCGTTGGCGTGCGAGGTGAAGCATATGAGATGGAAGTGTGGGAACCAGAATATTTGTGTGAAGTCCTCGAACTCTTCGCAGGCTATGAGCAAATCGGCCTCATCCACACCTCTAGGCAGAGGCGGGCGGACCACTAGTCTGGATAGCTGTCCGACATCCATAGCGACGTTGCTGAAAAGGAGAGAGGTGACTAGTCCAAGTTCACAGCAGCGTTAAGACCACCCAAAGATGGACTTGCTCTTGCTTTGACGCGAGGAGAGCCGATTCGCGAACCGGAAGATTCTATTGACCGCAAGGACTTCGAGATACCTGTCAAATGCTGGGAAGTAGGAGCCACACCGTTGAGATTTGCAAACTCAACGACCCGCTTTGCCGTAATCCTTTGCGATGCACAGTCCAGATGGGGAAAGCAACAGGGTCTTGCTGTGCTGTCGAGCCTGACTTGACGCGTCTCTTACCACAAGTTGCCATCATCGGCGACGCCTCAGGCAGAGGTACAATGATGTGGATGGCAGATAACCACCACGGAAAATGGGATGGGGTGAGGATTCTAGACTACCTACGGTTACGGGAGAATACGTCTGGTCTGCGGCCATTGCCAAACACCACCGAACGCACAATCGAGAGGAAATTCTTGGTGCTCAGGACGTCCCGATTGTGCACTCTCATCCGTAGTCGTAGTGGTCGTCTTCCAGGAATCTCAAATGGCGTCCAGTCTTGGTTGATACATTCGGGGTTGGGGCAACCCACCAATCCATGGACGTATTCCATTCTTCCCTTTCTAGCTTGCCACAGCCGAGATGACAGCCGGCGTCGGATGTTTTTCTTCACACGCCCGTGGCAGTCTGGGCACACAGCGGCGACAGCGGGATAGTGGGGACAGCGGCGACAGCGGCGACAGCGGGATAGCGGGATAGCGGGGACAGCGGGATAGCGGGGACAGCAGGGCAGTAGTAATCAGCTGAAACTTACCGAAATGGCCGCTCCTTCTTGATGTCTCGACAGAACAAGAGGTCACGCTTGCCCGGATCAATGCTGACAATGTTTGGAGCCTCCCGTAGTTTGGCGATGTGGTGCTCAAAATACAGCTGCTTGACTTCTTCCTGCATTTGGGCTTTGCTGCGCTTCTGGGCGCGATGGCCGTACTTGAGCCCTGGCTTCTTGAAGTGGATGGTAGCGGAATACCCGTTTGTGCTGATTGACACATCAAATTTGAGACCAAGCTTCTTTCGATCCTTGAAGACCTTGTCCTGCAATCCGTCATTCAGCAAGGTGAGGTGAGTGAAATAAGTGCAGAGGGATAGAGACTTACATTCACGTTGAGAAACTGCCCCCACAGCTCCCGCTTGCGTTGATCGGTGAGTTTCCCCATGCGATGGCAGCCCAAGGCCAGGATATGAGTGGTTGGGATCTTCGTGTCGAGCCGAACAGATGACTGGATTCGAGATTTGCGCAGCGGGATAGCGGAAAACAGCCGCATTCCATGGTGCTCATAGAGGCGTGAGAGCTCACAATAGGCACCTGTGATGAGGCGAGGCAGGTGCGGACCATGATTAGACAAAAGAGGAACCCGCGGGGAGGGGGGGGCCAGAAATATACTAACTCACCTAAATATGGCATTGCGTCCACCGCAAGGCTGTATGCAAGCGGCTCATCCTGGGGAGGAAACAGAGTGTTATGGACGACGCGTCCATACCATGCGCTTACCTCATGACAGCATCCCAACAGTCAGTCAATGTCAATTCCCTGTCAAAACCTGACATCTGCCAAACCTCGCAGCCGCACGCAGCCGCGCTACCCCACACCTGCCACTGCCTTCATTTCTCCACTCAGCCGCACGTAGCCCCACCTCCCAACACTCGGCGCTTACAAACCCTTCTTCATACTTCCCCACGTACCCGCCCACAGCCTCAGCGTAGCCACCCCATCCCCAGTCTTCTGTTTCTATGCTTCCCCCACCCTTGGCGCTTCTCTTGGCTTCCCTCTCATTCCGCACCCTTCTGCTTCCCCACGCTTCCCCAGCCTTCCCAGAAAAGCATAAATAGCCGCCTCCCCTGAGCTCCCCACTTCCTGATCCCCCAGCAGATCAACACCAGTTCTTCCTAGTCTTGTTCTAGTTCTTGTTTCGGTCTGAATACCATTACCTGTCAACAACCTGCACCACAAGTCGCCTCTATTTCCGTCGGCTCCGCCCATTCTTAACAGTTTGATCTGCTCAACAACCCCCAGCCACTGTGCCTCCACGCCAAATCACCATGTCCGACGCCCTTCCCCTCACGGCCGAAGCCTGGCAAGCCATGTGCAATGCGATTGACGAACTTCGAGCGCAGAATACCACCCTACAAGCCGAACTAGCGCAAACCCAGACCACTGCCCCTGCCACTCACGCCCCCGAACCCAAAATCAGTCTCCCAGACAAATTTGATGGCACCCGAAGCAAGTTCCGTGGGTTCCTCAACCAGATCCGGCTTATGTTCGCCCTCCAACCCAGGCGCTACCCCAACGATCAGACCAAGATACGAACTATTGGCACCTACCTCACTGGCACCGCCCAGGCCTGGCTGGCGCCCCTTGTCGAACAAGACCATCATTCCCTTACGAACCTGGATGATTTCATCCAGCAAATGCAAGCAGTCTTTGGAGACAGCGACAGGATCCGCACGTCCGAAAACAAGCTCCAGAACCTTCGACAAACCCGTGCAGCAACAGAGTATGTAGCTGAATTCCGACAGCTGCAATGCGATGTGTCGTGGAATGACCAGGCATTGATTGCCACCTTCCGTCGCGGCCTCAAAGAAGACGTCAAGGACTTAATGCTCACGATGCCCCCTACTGCCTCAATCGACACCGTGATGGAACAGGCCATCCAATGTGACAACCGATTGTTTGAGCGCCATCTAGAGCGAAGCAGGAACCGACAGCCATATGTGCCAGTTACCACTAGCCCCACCCTCATGAGCCCCGACAACCGCCCAGACGACCCTATGGTCATTGACGCCGCTCGTCCGCGAGGACCCCTCACACCGCTAGAGCGCCAACACCGCATCACAAACAAACTTTGCCTCTATTGTGGTAAACCTGGCCACATAGCCAAACTCTGCCCAAACAAGATACGCACGGCGAATGTCGCGGTTAAGGAACCTGCACCCATCCAGGATTTTGCCCAAGTCCAGCTGCAGTAAAGGCCGAGCAGCTGGGCAACACCTGTCCTGGGCCTTCTCACCACGCAAGTACTGCCAAGGGAGAAGCCACAAAACCTTGCACCGATCCTGGCATCTCCAGCAACACCCTTCTCCTGACCACCAACAATGTCAATCTCCGATCTGAGATACCCTCACCCATGCGGATCTTGGGCCCATCCTCACCATTCGAGTACCCTGTTACCCTGCAGATATTGGCCCAGCGAGCTCCAGTTCAGCTTTCAGCACTACTTGACACCGGTGCGATGTCGTGCTTCATCGACGAAAGTTATGCCCGCAAGCACCGCATCCCACTTGTCAAGAAGGAGGACCCCATTGCGCTTGAACTGGTTGACGGACGTCCCAGCCATGCGGGCTCCATTACCCATCACACCCAACCTTTGGGCATGTGGGTCAACGACCATTTTGAGGAGGTGGTATTCCATGTGACATGTTCCCCGCATGCGCCAATCATCCTGGGGCTTCCCTGGTTTGAGCTCCATGATGTGGAGCTACACTGGAAGACTCGCACTCTTTGCGTCCGCTGCCATTGCGGTTTTGGACAATACGCCTCCTGGGATGCCCTGCCAACAGAACCTAGCCCGAAGCCCTCAAGAACCCCTGAACCTCTGATCCGTATCCATCAAGACGAGATTTCAGTCTCCCTAGCCCAGACACCCAACACACTGGACCCAGTATCCACACCGATCCACGTATCGTTTATCAGCGCCCCAGCCTTCCGTGTGGCGGCAAGGCATGACCAGGCATTCATTGCCTACGCCAATCCGACCAAGTCAGATTCCCAAGCCCTGGCGACCACTCCTCCAAAAGATCCGAAGGCCATCATTCCTGAAGAATACCAAGATTTTGCGGACGTCTTCACCAAGAAGAACGCGGATACCCTCCCAGAGCACTGACCCTACGACTGTCCCATCGACTTAGAAGAGGGCAAACAGCCACCGTTCGGCCCGATCTATAGTCTCAGCGAGCCTGAAATGCAGGCACTCTGTGACTACCTTGAAGAGAACCTGGCTAAGGGGTTCATCAAGCACTCCAAGTCTCCCGCCGGTGCCCCAGTCCTCTTTGTCAAGAAAAAGGACGGTTCCCTCCGTCTGTGCGTCGACTATCGTGGACTCAACAATATCACCATCAAGAATCGCTATCCCTTGCCCTTGATTAACAGCATCATGGATCGTCTTCGAGGGGCACGCCGGCTCACCAAGATTGACCTCCGGGGAGCCTACAACCTTCTTCGGATCCGGCCAGGGGATGAATGGAAGACAGCGTTCCGATGTCGCTACGGCCTATTCGAGTATAATGTCATGCCGTTTGGGCTCACCAATGCCCCTGGAGTATTCCAACACCTCATGAACTGACATATTCCGTGACATTCTCGACGTTTTTGTTGTGGTCTACCTTGACGACATTCTGATCTTCTCAAAAAACCCAGAAGACCACCCCAATCACGTCCGAGAGGTGCTCTCACGACTCCGCCAGCACGGGCTGTATGCGAAACCGGAAAAATGCGAATTCAACCGTGACTCTGTTGAGTTCCTGGGGTTTATCATCTCCCAGCAAGGCATTTCCATGGACCCAAAGAAGACGGCTGCCATTACCGAATGGGAACCCCCGACGAATGTCAAAGGCATCCAGCGCTTCCTTGGTTTTGCCAACTTCTACCGGCGATTCATCAAAGGGTACTCTGCGATCGTTGCACCCCTGACCACGCTCACTCGCAAAGACTTGCCATTCAAATGGACCCACGCTGCACACCTAGCTTTTGAAACCCTCAAGAAAGCCTTCACCTCCGCACCTATCCTGACTCACCCCGACCCTGACAAGCCCTTCATTGTCGAATCCGATGCCTCCGACTTTGCCCTTGGCGCCGTCCTCCTTCAACCCGACTGACACAGATCAACTCCACCCCGTGGCCTTTCACTCCCGCAAATTTACTCCTGAGGAAATCAACTATGAGATCTACGACAAGCAACTCCTGGCTATCCAAGACTCATTTGCTCAATGGCGACACCACCTCATTGGTGCCCGCCACAAGGTCATCGTTTACTGTGACCACAAGAACCTCCAGTACTTCATGACTACCCGTACCCTCAACCGCCGCCAATCCCGCTGGTCAATCTTCTTTGCTGATTTCGACTTTGTCATCACATACCGCCCTGGTACCCAGCAACACCAAGCTGACGCCCTCTCTCGTCGCTCTGAATACGAGCTAAGGGAGGGGGAAGAAGCATTCCGCTCCCAGGAAACCACG